AATCACGTTAGGTGGAAAACTGACGTCATGGTAGCGTTCTTCTGGACCTCGTGCCAGAACCGTAACAGTCGGGAGTCGACCCCCTCCTTTTTCAAGCAAGGATCAATTTTGAGCCCCGGCAGTGCCAGGGTGCATTTCGAAGGGTCGAGTTCTGTCAGGCTGATTCCGCTCCTGGTGAACCCTGCTCTATTACCCTACAGCACCCGGTTTCGAATCCCTGCCGTCTTGAATCCAGCATTCTATAAAGTGATTGGAAGGAGAATTTGATTGTTCTAAGAGATTATCTGGCTCTACCTGTAGAATCTTGGTTGGAATTCTGTAATTAGGCGGTATCTAACTGGATTAATAGAAGCTGAAATATCGGGCCTGGAGTAAGCGAGTTGCAGCACTTATAAAATAGTTTTTATTCTATAATATACTTATTTAATCCCAAATTGCTTTTTTTATAGGTTACCTTTAGATTTTTTAGATTTTTATTCTTAGTTATTTTTATTTTATTAATTTTTCTTTTTTAAATATTCTTTAATAATAAATTAATTTTTATTTTTTTTATTTTTTTATTTTTTATTTTTACTTTTATTATATTTTTTTTTATAAATTAAAAGTAATATTACTATTAATAATATTATTTTTTCCTTAATAAGGAAATTTAGTATTTAAATTTACTGTATTTTTATTATATATATATTATAATTACCAGAGCTTAAATTTAAGTTTCAAGCTGCTTTTTTCTTTTCTACTAGAATTCTATCTAACTTTTTCAACCTATTCTAACCTTAATAAATATACTAATAATTCCTATAACCCGACCTATAAAATGCCCTAAGATTCTTATTTAAATCCCCCCTTCAGCTAGCACCCTAGGTAGCTAGTATCTGTATCAGCCCGATATAATATAATAACTCCTCAAACTAGAAGTTATATTAAGCCCTAGTAATATTCTAGAAGAAGACTTAACCTCTTAAATTGGAATTATTAATATTTTTAGCTAAGTTATAAAATATAGCTATTTTTATTTAAATATATAAAATAAAATTATAAATATAAATTTAATTTTTTTATTTATTAATTTTAATTTTATTATTAAAAAATAAATAATATCTAAAAATAGCTAATATAATTTATTAGCTTTTATTTAAATATTATAAATAATATAATAATAACTTAAATAGATTTTTTTTTAAAAAAACCTTAAAAAACTTTTAGTTTTTATTTTTTTAATTTATTTTTTAAATTCTAAAAGAATTTAAAATTATATTAAAATTAGAATTTATAATATAGATATAATAAGTTATTTCTAAAAAAAGCTACTTAAGTAAAATTATTATATTAAAAATTAATTATAATAGGATAAATATTAAAAGGGAAGTTAGTCTTTTAATAATAGAAGACAGTTAGTCTCCCTTATATTCTATAGCTTAAAATAAGATTACTATCTTAAGGTTATTAACTACAGATAGTAGGGTTAAAGTTAGAGGGGTTAAATAGAAGCTTTAGGCAGAGACCAGTAGGTAATAATCTTATTATTTAGCTACTATTTCTTTTGGTACTGGGTGTAGTATTTATTATTTATTTCTACTATTTAAGATTACTATATAGCTTTAATCTATCTAATAATATTAAGTAAAGCTAAAAAAACTAAATAACTATATAGATAGCTATATTTATCCAATAAGTTTAAATATTAAAAGACGCAGTTTAATAGGTGGAGTTATAAGTAGAACTCTATTATAACAGTTAGGTCTAACCTAAGGGTATAGAATAGGTCCGAGGCGTAGGGTGTATAATCAAGTAGATCAGGACGTCGTAGTGAGCAATATAGGTCACGGTCTGGTAATAGTAGAATAGTAGATTCAATATAACCAAGTGTATTGATAGCTGGTGAGGCTATCTATCTATGAAAGTGCTAAATGAGCGTCTATATACTAAATGGGGATTGGTTGGATCGTGGGTACGATCCTTAGCGTGACGCTCCATGTGTTATTGGACAGGAAAAGTGGGTATCCGTGGGATTACTGCCAGGACTGACCGCCTGGTCAACCTGGGCCGTGACATCTATTATAAGCTTTAAAGAAAGAATCTGCAGATTATAATAAAAAATTTAGTTATGAAATATGTTCAGATTCCAATCACCAGTTTTATCTGTTCAAATTGTCGCCCTCAGCACCTTTTAAACCCACAATCCATCCATTTGGTAAGGTGAGACATACAGTTCTCGATGATACTCAAATTCATTCCTTCAAGAATCCTTCTTGTTACTTCTGCTGCAACCCATTGAGTGAGGGAGTGCGCAGAGGACACTAAGAACACACAACCCACCCAGAGGCAGACCTGTGATGACCGCAATAGTGTGTTGTGGCGGAAAGGTCGGATAGGGTCGGGTTCAGAGTCCGGATAAATAGCTTGACTGAGCAAAATAGACGACTTTCTCAGCTGATACCATTTGATCAAATGGGTCTCCAAGAGGTCTCAAAAGAATAGGCCAAAAGACTGTCATTTAAATGAGATGCTAAAAGGGATGACACTGTCTAACAGATCTTGTCCGAGACCTTCCAAAGTTATGGTCCCAATAGGTCAGGCTACTGCTCCCTACTCGGTACGACGTTTCCTGTTGAAGGAATCCACCAATCCTAGCCCTAGTGGCTGCAAGCATCTGATCAGATGACCCTTATCCCCAGAGATAGAAAAACCCCGACTCACCATCATTAGGAGTTTTGAGTAGGCTGTAAGTGATCACTTTTGGTGCGTCATTGCGTATGCCGTGGCCGATGAAAAACTTGCGTACCCAGCAATCGATCCGAGGGTCGCAAGAAAAGCAGCCAGGTTGAGCGGTGGGTTTTCGCAAATATAAGGGGTTGTGGCAGGCGTTATGATACCACCGAAATCGAAGAACACGTTAGCTGCTAGACCGTAATCATCCTTGGCCGTTGGTTGTGGTGTATCTTGATAGCTTGCTATAGCGGGGACCAGCCAGATTGTGTTGATCACGAATTCCACGACTGGCGAAACAACTTCAGTCCACCTCGGAATGCAATGGTCCATCTTGCCGGTGGCGTCTGCGAGCGCCTTAACTGCGTCGATGGCGGCAATGGTGACATTCAACCCCTGATACCATTGTAGTGGGAGGCTGTACAGGAAGTTGGGGAACATGTACGCCAAGTAGACACCTGCGTAACCATATTCGACCCATGCACCCAAAGGCGGAGGAGGTTGAATCATTGCGGCGGGTCCTGGATTTCCGCCATTGCCACCTCCTGCTTGGCCGAGAAGGGGTTGTTGCAAAGGGTTACCCCCTGCTTGAGGTTGTGCATTCTGGGCGGGCTGTGGGTTGGCACGTTGCTGAAAGTTGGCACGGAGGAATCTACGTTTTGGCAGAGATAGCATAGCCAGTAGACTGCCGCTGCCGACTGTACTATAGTTGAAGAAAACCTGAAGTGTTTCTAGGGAACTGGACTCTTGAGATTGGTCTGAGGTTGGGGCAGCCGCGGGTTCAGCTGCACTCGGTGAAGTCTCGTCTGCGGAGAGAATCATGGTCTTTGGGGGTACACCGTTTACGGCTTCGCGCATGGCATACTGTTGCGGAATCTGAATAAAGGAGGCTGCGCTCGTTGTCGCTTGCTGGGGAATTGAACTCAACGATGGAATGCTGATTGGCTGAATCGTTCCGCTTCCAGTATAAGACTGAACGGTCGCATCGTCCGGGAAAGGCGCTTTGCCGCATATAATCTTATATATGATGGTAGCTGGAATTGCAGAGACCAAGCAGACCAAATCAATGATGGTCAGTTCGTCCCCGGTGATGAGCTTGTAGACTTGAGAAAGAACGGGTATATTCAGTGGAGAGTCAAACATATTGAACGCCTCTTGGACGATGAGCTTGAAGACGTCGAGGACTGTGACTAGTACGTCCTTTGCAGTTTTGAGTAGCAGATCTGCGGCGATTGCGAGAATCTTTTGGATAATCTCAATCGGTGTGAGGTCATGGATATGATCGGCAATTTCAGTCTTGATCTGTATCGCAACCGTTTTGATATCATCAATTTGATCAGTCACCAGGGCATCCAAGTCGGCGAGAATCTTTTCAACGGACGAGAGATCTCCCCCTGGCTGCTCAGAGCTAGTGACCTGAGCCGAATCGGTGCCGTTTTGCGTGTGATAGAGCGCCCAGTGAGCTTGCGGGCTGTCTGAGCCTTGAACTTGGTTGGTCTGCTTCTGTTGCGTCCCTATACTCTCGCCGGGGTCGGTCACACCAGCCCACCCATTCACAATATTCTCAGCGTCGACGAAGAAGGTGTCTATATTTGTGGCCATGACATCAATAGAATTGATGAAATTCTGGATCTGAGCCTTCAAGGTATACTTCATGACGCTGTGGGACCGCTTGATATCCTGCCAGGAGAAGATGAAGCCCAGCCAGCGAAATAGATCCTCAAAGGCCACTTCCAACTTCTGGAAGACAAACTCGACGGCGTTGACAACGGCCACCACCGTGTCGAGCACTGCGTGATACACGTCAGTGCCAATCGTGGCGACAAAATGCCACGCCTCGTTCGCAAAGTGCACGACGAACTCCGAGACTGTCTGCGTTGCGAGCTTCAAGAACTGGAAGAAGTCTTCGGCCGCTATCTCAACACTATGCTCCAGCAAATCGACCGTCGAAGTAGAAGAGCCTGTGAGCGAAGGCGCAGTCGGCATGTTTGCATCTACAGTGGGCGGGTTGCTTTGAGGGTTGGCTGAGGCTGTGGTTGAGGACGGAGGATCCACAGAGCCCCCTGTTCCGTTGACTGTGGTATTGGACAGAGATTTTGCATCAATGCCGGATTTGGCTTGCATGAGCTGCGTCAGGGCTTGTGCGGCAGCATTCCGCGTGTCACTGCTGACATTGCTGGAGATCAAGGGCTTCTGGGAGCCATCGTCGGTAGGGATGGTTATGTTGGCAAGATCATCACCAGATTGAATGGACTGAAGCTTTGCGCTGGCTTTGATGAGCGGATCGACTGTACTGCTAACAGGACTTGGACCATCGACGGTTGCCGTGAGCTTGACAGCACCGAGCGTATTTGTTTCTTGAATGACGGTTACCGAGCCTCCGCAATCTGTCTGGACGGTGACAGGAACAGTGGGACCTAGCACATGATATGTGTCGTTGATGTAAACAGACACTGGGACCTCGGAGGTGATGTTCATGTTTTGGAATGGAATCGGAGACCCATAATCATCCTGCAAAGCAATGCGGGTAGTGAAGCTGGTAAACTCAACATATTTGCTCGATTCGCTGGGTGGCATCAAAATGTGTCGTTGAACCCACTCTCCCGAAGGCTGCTGAGTGAATTGTAAAATGTCTTGACCAGACGAGTATGCGAATAAGACGATGTTTGTCGAAGCCGCGTTCAGGAAGAACGCAAACTGGTTGATGTTGGCGGAGAAAGGGACTGGAGTTGACCAGGCCGATGGCGTCGTCTCCTCTCCCGCTGTACAATCGACATGGAAAAGCTGGCCTTGTTGTCCCAAGGCCCAAACCACGGTCTTGTTGCCCGCAGTGTAGGCTGCAAGCGAAGTTATGTTGGCAAACAAATCGACGCCCCCTATGGTTGCGTCGGGCACAACCAAGGTCCCAGAGGCGCCATCATATTGAGCGTTCGGAGCGAACACGTACAGGCCCGATGCCGCGGCAACGAACAGGTTGGAATAGCCCGAGCTGTTGAGTGCCGAGGCTATAGTTCCTGGCTGTTGTGGCAACTGTAATCGCGCAAGTGGAGGCTGTAAATTCTGGTCCCAGAAGTTGTACTCCGGGACAAAGATGAGTTCTTTTGTGCCTTCCAAGCTCCCAAAAGTATAGATACCTGGTATCTCGTCTCCCGTGCGTCGCCCGAGGCAGCTGTCTATCAATCCTGCCCCCAGATTTATAGCCCAAGGGTGGCGAACCCACTTGGTAAGGCCACTTGACAGGACATAATATCGGTCAAGGTCGTTCGTGGGACTATGAATCACATCGACAAAGCAAGTTAAAGTTCCCGGCTGCGACTCATCATCTGGATTGGCAATGGTCATAAGATAGACGTCCGAGACAACCAGCGGGTTCGGAATCGATACCCCAGCGGCGTCAAAAGGGATCTCGGTCCATGTTATGCCGGAAGCCCAGTCAGCCGCAGTATTGCTGTGGTTGGTTGACATGTAGAGCAGATCATTGCCCGAGATGGTGATGACGACAGCCACATCAAACATTTGCGTCTTGGGATTCTGGGCAAGCGCAAAAGTCTTGACGACAATGGCAGCTCCGCCCTGCAGCGTGGAAATCGGGCTTGACAGATCCACGCGAGTCCATCCCGTTTGAGTCTGATTGACTTCTCGGGTAACATAGAAGATGTTGTCTGTGCCAATTGAGAAAAAGAGGGAGTCCCCTTCCGGCGTCTGAAGCACATCAAAGGTCTTGGTTGGAGACAAGACCTCTGCGTGCTTCTGATTTTTCATCAATTCGGATTTGCCGGTGATTTGCATTTTGGATAAACGAATTAACAGAGTTTGGATATGTGGATGTCAAAGTAGAAAGAATAGAATGATGCCAAGTTGGTGGTAGGTTGAATGAAGGAGCAATATTTGGGGTCTTTTAAAGGCTGCGAGGTCGACGATTTTCGCCTTCCTCCTGCTTCAACCACACCACAATCTGCTTTAGCGCACTCAATGTGACTCTGGAAAATGGTGAGCAAACATTCCAGACTCTGAACATTCTCTCTCTATGACGAGTGGCTGGCCTAAGGTACCCAGAACATTCCTCTGGCAATCCTCGACGAGTAAGTGGCTTAAGTTAGCCAGACCATTCACCGGTGTAGAAATCTTTTATCACAAGTGACTGGATGAAGTTACCTGGAACATTCCTCAGTACCAATTCTCGACGAGTAGATGGTCAAGGTTTGCCGGAACATTCAGCAGTGTAGTAGTCTTTGTGACAAGTGGCTGGCTGAGGACACGATCAATAAAGCGCTAGAGACATGGTAAGTATCTCATTGAGGCTTGCACCGACCAAGCTTGATAGAAATTGTGTGTTGAAAAAACGAAAGTTTGCGCTATACTCTGCAATTTTACCGAATCAAAGGCTCACCTCAGGTCTTTTAGAGTCTTGCAGCGATCAGTAGTGGCAAAGTGGATTGCTGATGAACTGTGGCTGGCGGAGGTATGTCACTAGTGGGTGCTCACGACTGAAGTAAATAGACATTTGCTAAGCAGGGTTCAATGTTAGTCAAGCCTTCTTTGTGTTAAGCTGGGTGGATGGTACAGTAAGAATGGCTCAACGTTCTAGTCTATCAAGAGCCCCGCTGAGGCGTATCAGTAGTTCTTTAAGGCTTGTGACTGTAGGCTAGCTTACAAAACTGGAGATTAACTATTATGGCCTGACGGAGAGGAGATAGAATATTCCAGACTCTCACCCCTGTCCCAAAATGGAAATCTAGCTTGGTATCTAGACTTTGGTTGCGACACGAGGTTTCCTATGGTAGGCTTGCAAAGATGGGATGTGAGATGCGACAAAGTAATGGGGAATGGATGTTCAGGGATCGCTAAAACCCCGGACCTAGGTGGATTTGTGCACACCTATACTCCAATTACTAGGTCAGGATAAGTGTAGGCTGCGGAGCCCTCAGGAATGAGTACAGGAATGCTTTTGGAGTGGCCGAAAGATAGCCGTATGACCGACGGCCTCAGCGTCCGAGGCCCAGACATATACGCATTCCTCTGATAAGGTCATTAGTTCGGACACTTGAATGTAGGCTTTCCAATTACGGGTATATAAAGGATTCTATGGCTCAACATATTTTCGGCTTGACCACCACATCATCTCAATCAAAGGCATCTTAAACTCCTTTATCACTACCTCACAGTTCCAGAATTTCTTCAACCCACGAGTCATCAAACGTCTCAGCCATGTCTGCATCCGCCTGCTATCTCTCTGATCCTCACTACGGGTACGACTTCGTCGTGGCTGTCACCCAGGAAAGCATAAATGCTACGCTTAAGGCGTACTTGGCGAGTCTGCAGGAGCCTATGGTCAACGTTTGCTTTGTTGCTGCTGTCGATGGCACTCCAACGCCAATGGATTACGAGAGTTTCTTGACCCTCTCAGGGGGCACGGATCCTTTCACCATGCCGGACGGTGCGAACCCAGAGGGTTCTGATGTTCAAAACCTCATGAAAGCACGCTTCATGGCTGGGTTCAAGGCCCAGCTGGGCATACCATCAGTGCAAAACCCGGCAGATCTCCCGGATATCGTCACACTCAGTTCCAGCATAAGCACTGTCCAGTACAACATGGTCTGCTCCGAGTTTACTATTGTCCAGGTGAACGCGAGTGTCTATGCGCCACCTTCATTCACAAGCATTTCAATGCCCAGTGACAATCCATGGTACATGCAGTCGACGGTCAATCTCGACCTTTCTACCGTTGAAAACGCCAACTACAATGGACTGCCGCCAGCTATACAAGCGCAGATCAAGAACATGTCCGGCTCGGCGTTCAGCGTCCAACAACTGCTCTTTGACTTCAATAGCGCGAAACTTTCGTCACTTCCCAAAGTGGAGGGTGTGAAACCAGGGACTCCAACTTACACGCTGCTCGAGACATGGTTTACCGGGGCCTACTTCACCGAGATGAAGACCGATAGACAACCACTGCTAGGCTGCTCAATTGTACCGCAGACGGCACCTGCAGCTACCATGACAATCACCGATATGAATCTGATGGTTAACCAATACGTCGGCTCTGATGGAAAACCTCAGCCGAGTCCTTCTTATCTTCAACAGAGTCTCAGCACCTTAAACTACCTGTGTGCTGCAGACGGTAAAACACTCGCACCGCCGGCTCCCTTTAGTTGGAACTGGCTCGAGCAAGCCGACATCAGCGACCACGACGGGGTACTCGCCATCAACCGCAACTGCTTCCGAGACTACTTCAACGACAACATCGCAAATTACATCCCCACCGTCTGCTTCCAGGTCGATGCTCACTGTAACGCAGACGGGCTGAGTTCCGACATGAGCGTCGACTTGACTCCCGGTGGGCAGGCTAGTCTGAGCGAAAACACGGGTGAGACGGTATTGAGCTACAGCTACAACACAAGCAGCTACGACGAGGCTGGTCTAAACGGAGACCTCGGCTCACTCTCCGTCGGTACTACCTACAACATGAATACCCAGTTCACCACCGTCAACGGCAATGCAACTGTTGTCATTACCCAGAATCTTGTAATCAGCTGCAACATGAAGAGGAACTTCACCCGGACATCAGGCAACATTGTCGACACGACCATTGTCGACACTTATACACTCGCTGTTGACGAGAGTGGCAAATTGGACGCAACGCTGATTACTAACACGACGGACAACTCAGTCACGCCTTCGACGGATGGTTTCGAAGACTTCTTCACTCACTCCAACGAGGTGGCTGCAACTATCAAACAGCAAGCCGACGCCCTTGTTTCAAGCAACCTCCAGGACATTCCCCTCTCGGTTCTACAGAACTATATCTTCCCAGGCGGTCAAACCTTTGCCTTCAAAGATGTTCGATTCTCAAACAATCAGGACCTGCTTGCTTCTATTTCCTATGTTGATCCTACGGCCCCTCCCACAACTGTGCCTTCATAGGCATTTTGAGTATGCCTGGCAGGGCGGAAAATAAGTGGATGTGAGCAGCATACGAAGCTTTCAGGTTGTTGTGGGGGGAAAGTGCAACTCAAGAACTCTTAGGTTTTTAGTAGTTGAAGGTTGAAACAAGGATAAGGAAGTTGAGATTGAACAGGGATAAGTTTGAGGTTGAAATATGGATAAGTAGTTAATTCTGTTATTTTTAAAATAAAATAAAATCTGTTTTAAAACCTGTTATTGTTTATAAGTATTTCCATTAATGTAAGTTTGAATCCTCACTTGGAAATATTTACCTAAATCAAACTCGATTTGCACTTTCAAATTATTCTAGTTTATAAATCTCTACCCTAAGATTGTAAAATCCAGTTTAATCGGCCATCCAACGCCCACGTAGTTGGGAAAGAATCTGGGTCTTTACTAATTATTCGTAGGAGCCGGGTGTAAATATGGTACCTGTTACTGCTATTGCATTCTGTGAGCAGTAAGGTTCGCTTTGCTTCGTCTACAAAACTCTTTCACCTTGCCAATTACTTTCCAACCTCTCAACCCGATCTTAGTGCGGTGTCAGTTCGGTGACAGAGGTAAAGAGTGGAATTCAGCGACCCAGCCTCTAGTGACAGGGTTAGGCCGGTATCAGATAATTTGGCGTGTAATTGTAAGTCGAAACGTTATTTTAGCTTCCACATTCTTCCCATCTACAGTGAGAACTGTTAGGAGACGATTCACATTACACAGAAACCGACGACAGAAAGAAACAGATTCCGATGCAACTGACCTCGAACAGCTACGCCTTTTCAAGGAATATAAAAATTCAGCGTTGAAACAGCATTGCCTTCATATTGAGGGTTTTATACTGTAGAGTCTATTAACTATCCCTCTGTTGATATCGACGGTAAACTTGTTGCAGGTAGGTGTGACGGCCGTGCTAGGTCTGGGGTGACGGTCTAGGGTAGGGACAGATCGTGGGGTTCAGGTCCTAGTGGGGATCAGGATATTTGACTGTAACTTAAGTCGTGGTACGGTCGTTGCGAACGGGGTAAAGCAGTAGAGTGAAGATGCTAAGTCTGATAATATCTAACTGGTGCAGTAAGCTTGGTGACTAAGTTCTATTGATAGCTGGGGAGCCGGTGTTCTAGGTACATTCAGGTTCCGGGTTTTTTTTAGCCGACTGTGTTGGATCCGCTACAGCCAAATTGATCCAAGGAATAATGCTCCGATTGATGATGATGATGATGTTGATGATCCTTTGTGCCGGTTATCCGGACCGACCTGAAGAGTGTTATCAGACCACCCCGTCTCACTGATTGATGTCAGGATATCGGTCTATCAGAGGTTTCGTAATACAGGGTCATCTTCCAACATCAACCCATATCTTCGGTGCACGTGAAGACGATCTTCTTTGCTGCGCCACCAATCTTATATCCCTCACCAACACAGCAAGTTTCATCAACACATACATCTATACGTCAATAATGGCCTCTCTATGTGCGCTTTGCGAGTCCATGTCTTACGAGGCACTTCCAGATTTCCCAGACGAGAATTACATGCGAACCCTCAGCGGTTATGCAAATCTCCAGCACCTGATCGTGCGAAAGTCCAAGAGGTCAGAGTCCTTGGGCTTCAAGCACCATCCAGACCTGGAGAGCCTGAGGCACTCGGCGAAAGAAGGATGTGACTTGTGCCAGCTTATTGAGGCGCAGGCAGATGATGTGCTATCCGATTTTGAGAAAGAGGAAATGCCGCTGTTGCGAGAGCTGGGAATCGGCGAGGGCGCACATCTCACATTCGATCTATGGGTCACCAAACGCCCAGATGGTCAAGACGGAATCTTGGTTGTTACCAATTGTTCGTGGGAGCCGGGTGTAAAGGTGGTGCCCGTCGCCGCCATCGCATTCTGTGCGCAACAAGGTCCGTTTTGCTTCGTCTACGAAAGGACTTTCACGTTGAGACTAACTCCTCGCAGATGGCCCCTTAGCCGAGATCATAAAAGGCCACGTAATCAGTGACACTCCAGATGAGATCGTTTTAAGTCGTATTTGTGGTTGGGTAGCCGCCTGTGACAAGCATGACCGTTGCGCCCAGCAGGATCGAACCATGCCAACTCGCGTCATTGATGTCGGCGACGAGACGACGGGAAACTCTGTGAAACTGGTCGAAACTACCGTGGACGATCAGGAGAGATATATCGCTTTGAGCTACTGCTGGGGCATTGGCACCAAGCAGTACGTGACAACAGAGGCGATAGTAGCGGAGCGCAAACAGGGCATCGATGTGTCAACTTTGCCCAAGACATTTCAAGATGCTATCGCCTTATCGAGGCAACTTGGTGTGAGATACATCTGGATCGACAGTCTCTGCATCTGCCAGGATCAGATTCATGAGTGGGAGCGAGAATCAACAAAAATGGCCGCGGTCTACACCAACGCCTATCTTACGGTCGCTGCCACGGGCGTCGACAGCAGCGACGGCGGTCTGTTCTTCTCTCGAAACCCCCCAAGAAGCATAGAGTTGCCGTACATATCAGGCGAAACGAGCGGCACCGTTCTCGTGCACCCGTTACCGTTCGACAGGGAGATCATCAAGCAGTACCACACTGAGATGAGGGACGAGCCGCTCACGCAGCGAGCTTGGGGCTTCCAAGAGCGCGTCCTCTCTCGACGAATCCTCCACTTTGCGAAGCACCAAGTGTACTATGAATGCATCGAAGGAACACAGACAGAAAATGGCCTCACACTACCCGATCGATTTCAGTACGCCTATGACGCGTTAGATAAGACCAAGACAGAGATGATCGAAAAAACGTTTAGCGGAAAGCCGAGAAGAAAAAGGTCGTCCAACGAGGTCCTCCAGCAGTGGTACGGGCTCCTTTGGGGCTACGGTGGGAGGAAGCTGACGTGGGCCTCGGACAAGCTGCCTGCCATGTCCGGCCTTGCGAGGATCTACCACGAAATACTCCAAGACGAGTATCTTGCCGGGGTTTGGAAAACCAATATAGTCGAGGGAATCTGTTGGCAGGGGTTGGATTGTTCCTCGCCGCCCAACGACGAGTACCGCGCTCCGTCGTGGTCGTGGGCCTCGGTGGACGGCATCGCCGCAACCGGCTTCTCTGGAAACGACTACCTCGCCACAGCGATTGATTCGCACGTTGAAGTTGACGGAGAGAATCCATTCGGCAAAGTAAAGAACGGCTGGCTTCGACTCAAGGCGCCGCTCGTGCCTCTCACCCTCTCGGACACCAAGGGACCGACGGGACATATGTTTCTTCGGACTCTGGATGGCGACGAAGGGTGCTATGCGGGATTCGATGTGATAGATCGGAATTCTAAAGTGTCGGCGGAAAAGGTCCGCGCCATGCAGTTGTTTGCTCTGATCATGGTACGAACGGCCCCCACTGAGGATGACCCTGATTCAACATATTTCGCACTCATTGTCGAACCGGCGGGTTCTGAGATGGAAACATTCAGAAGGATCGGGTTTCTCCTGTGTGGACGAGAAACATTTGGCCCTAACGATCTTGACAAGATCTCTGAAGTCAAACTAGTTTAGAGAAATGCGCAGCGTGTTTGATTCTATTCGACATGCTGATGCGTGTTGCCGAAAGCTAGCTGAGGTTACGTTGGGTTGTCTCTCCAAATCCTGGCCGTTTGGATGGTTGGTATGTGTAGATGGAAAATAACAGACACACATCAATCGCATACGTTTGTGTTTGCAGGATACTTAGCTATGAAATCGTAAAGCCTTATGTTTGGCTGACGTGTGCTTGCTTAAAATATTGAAAGGCTTGCTCTAGTACTATCCCAGAACTGTAAGCTTCAATATTTGATGTTGTTCATGAGAGCTCAAGACAATCACACTCCTATCTCGTACACGAGTAGATAAAATAGAAGCCGCTCAGTCCATCTTAATCTCAGCCTCATCATACCTTCCGGTACCTTTCTCGGCGTCTCCCCTCGCCATCTCACCCATCATGACCACCAACGCAGACTTGACTCATCACTACTACTCTCCCATCAACGGCTCCAAGACTGGACTCCGCGCTCATGTCGTCGTGTCCGAGCTCTGCAAAGGTTGGCCTGTCTACCTTGGCAACCGTGAATGGTTCAACTCTCCTCCCTCTTCAAAACCACTTGTACTTTATCGATACCTAGTTCAATCCTGAGACTGCACAGCACATGAAGTAGCACAACACATCGAGAGGGCAACCGAACTTGGGACGAGGTCATCTCCATGGACGAGATTTCGGCTACGACGGATGTGAGAAACACTCTGAGTAACGAAAGAATTCGATCCCCCCTATGGCAGAGCGCTATTTGAGGCAGGAATCAACCGTTGTACCACGGGAGTCGGTCTGGGGGCTTCCAAGCTATCATGCTAAGTTGAGAAATTGGCTTAGGACCAAGTCACCATGGGATATTATTCCATCTATAAAAGTTATGATTAATATACCCAACAGGAGATAAGAGACAGCAGACTCACCAGTGCTAGGTACTCTCTTTCCGGGAGGCTGTTCATATTCTTCAACCGGGATAAACCCAGGAGGCCAGAGACGGTAAGTAGATAATGACAATATTATTCCCTGCACAAATGGAAGCAACCCACACGTACCAATCAATCAACTTACTCCGTATTCCCGAAATCCGACTCCGAATATCCCAAAGAGGAAGGCCAGCCGTCAGGGTTGCGCAGCCGTCGAAGCAAACAGGAACATCAGGTCGACTCAAGTGCGTCGATGTTTCGCCTTTGTGTAATTCGCAATGAGTCTCAGCTTGTTGAAGAGTCAAACTTTAGGCTACATGAATGGTGGTTCACAAGATTTCAATTGAACCCTTGAGTTTTCTTGACTAATTCAAAATACCATCAGCTCACCGTACGCCAGCTACTTATTCAACTATTGTTCGCTGTTCTGGAGTACTTCAACATCAAGGCATCTCTATACCGTTCAGCCAAGTTCTGCTTGCTACGCTGTGAGCCTCAATAGCTAGGCAAGGTCTAAAAACGTGGGATAATGATGCAATATGCGCATAATAGCCGCTTTGGGAATGAACATAGTAGATCCATCGGGCACACTGGTAGCGCGGCTTGATGGCGCAATATGACATGAAATGGTGAGATGTGGGATAAAGCTCCGCATGCGTACTTAGGCTAAGCGACCAACATGTTGACCTATTTATGAGCGGGAGATCCGATGACGACATCGATTAGAAATTATATGCCGTATTGCTATTGGCTATCCAGCTTCGACTAACGCTGCATGCTGCACTGACTCTTGGGGTGAGTAGGATATGGGTATTTACATGTTGACATTATATATTGAGCGCCTCTGCCGTGAATGTCATGAGATCTTAGCGTAGCCGTACTTTGAAATGATCTCAAGATGCCGTCTGTAGTTCTTCCCGAGTTAGAACCCTACACCCATGTCCCCGAGACTAAGGAACAGCTCGACTGGGCGTCCCGTGAGTACCCACCTGTTGCATCAAATGGACTTGCATTTTATCTAGTTCCAGTTTGCTTATTATGGTAACTCGTAGTCACAACCATCGACTTGTCCAAGTATGGCACTCCCGAGGGCAACAAGGAACTCTCCCAGACCCTAATTCGAGCCATCAACTCCAAGGGCTTTTTCTACGTCACCAATTTTGGGATCCATCAGCAAGATGTGGACCTCCAATTCGCACTTGGGCAAGCATTCTACAAGCTCTCTCTGGAAGAAAAGTTAAAGTACATTGCCGACTTGGACGCGGGAAACTATACTGGGTATCGACCTGCTGGCAGGCGGCCATTGCCAGGGGGCGTTCCAGAGAAGATAGAGATGTGGAACATGTCGAGTATGTTGTCTTCTAATCTCGTAGTTCCATATCGGCATTTATCAGATCTGTTCTTCGGTACTAATATGGCTCGCGAAGCTGAGGATGGGCAGATTAGGCAATCCCTACCAAAACCACTGAATAACTACCGTGACGAAATCAAAGACTTCTCCAAGGTAAAGAGTCCTATTGTGTGCAAACGCCTCAAGGTCCTGATGCTCTGGAATTTTTAGGCCCTCCATGACAAGATTTTGGACCCCCTGAACCATCTTATTGCCCTGGCACTTGAGCTGCCAGAGGATTACTTCAAAGAACTCCACAGATGGGACACCAACGATGAGTCACACTTGAGGTACATGAAGTACTCCAGGTTTTCTCAAGAGGAGGTTGATTCACTTAAAGATAATCTGTGGATCCGTGGACATACAGATCTAGGTTCTTGGACTCTGCTCTTCCGTCAACCAGTTGCCGGACTTCAGATCCGAGACCCGGAGACAAACGAGTGGAAGTGGGCCAAGCCTCTTGATGGGAGCCTCACTGTCAACGCTGGAGATGCGCTAAGTTACCTGACAGGAGGATACATCAAGTCCACCGTGCATCGGGTAAGCACCCTCCTCTCCCTGTAAAATTTCGGCGAGACTGATCATGCTCGATACACAGGTTGCGGTACCCCCAAAGGATCAGCGAGATGTCGATCGTCTGGGTTTAATGTACTTCACCCGCCCTCAGAACGAGGTGCCGCTCCAGACGGTTGCGTCTCCCTTCCTTCAGAGAGAGGGCTATGCGCAGAATGATTTTGAGGCTGGTGGACACGAGATACCAACCATGGCCGAGTTTACCAGGCTAAAGCAGACGTGGAACCAACGGAAAGACGTCAGCCAAGAACAGCGAGATGGGCAGCAGATTCTTCCCGGTGTTATAGAGAAGCGCTTCCTGTAATCCAAACAAAGAGACCGGTTTGAAACCGATATTTGACGTGCCCCGTATTTATTTGCGAATCGTGTTGACGCCTTGTTAAGTGTGTGGAATCTTAACTCCAATCGTGGACCACTTTCAGCTTAATCGAGGCTTTTGCGCGAAATCTCAACTATTCTAAACTGGACCCTGGTCTCGCAAACGGGTGATTGGCGAAATGGCTCATATAATTCTCCCGCGCAGTCCGAAGCTATGCCGGGAAAGTCTCCCTTGGGGGAAAAAGTCCAAGGGCTTAATCCAACAAACTTGCTGGGCGTTGAACAATCCTAGCTCGTTTTTATCTGCGCCCTCGATGCCCTTATGACAAAGAGGCCTGTGTTATCATTAGTAAAGAGGAAGGCGTCGACAAGTCTAATGTTGTGAGTAGGCTTTAGCCATTAAGAAATTCTGGTTTTGGAATGACTTCTCCGTTGAAGAAAGAGGGCTCTGAGGCTGCAAAGTGTGATTTTCTAGATCTATTGAATCTCATCTTGACCTGGAGGCATTCTTTGAAAAGTCCCACAGAAAGCTCCAGGATGGGAGGAGAATTCGATGAGGCTTTAACTAGGTACTTAAAGTTACAATCCCTAGTAAATGTAAATTAGCATTGGATCTCAGGTAGTTTAAGTATAGCCTGAGTATAATTAAGCAGTATAATATACCTAACATATGTATTCTTTAAGTGTGTATATATACAATGTACAAGTGTAAAGGTTTAATTAAATTAGAAAATTTAAAGTAACAATAAGAATATAATAAAACATAATATACTGAAATTATACTATATATCAAGAATGCTAGTAATGCATTTTTAAAAGAACCTCAATATACTATTCAGGATTCTTATATAAAATCAACTCCTATTCTATTATCTACTTATACAGCTAACATCCTTTCAACCAGCACCACATTCCCGCCCTTCCCCCCTGTCTATATACTCCTCCCGGCCCTGCATACTGACTCGTAGGTGCCGATGCTAAGCCTTGTACAAAGCTCTCACAGAGAGTCAAGTACCATTGGATCGTCATTGTGCGCCCAGCGGCCACTCTGTAGTGCGACGTGATTCCGCCAAGCATAGTGACATACCACCAGTAAAACGTCCAAAACCGTGGAACAACTGGGCCCACAGCAACTCCCAGAATGCAAAAGCAGCCGAGAATAGCCCATTGAGCTCTTCTCCAAATGGATGACCATCTGGGGATCAAACAAGACAGAGCGGGTGCCACAAGGGAGCCATAAGATGCCATCACAGCGGCAACATGTAGCCTGTGAGTCATTTGGATAGCATCCCATTGGAGCAGAGACGTCTCCAGGCTCGTATAAAGAGATCCTTCTGGCATCAAGTGCTTCCTGATGATTTTTTCACCAAGACGGCGAGCAATAAAGGGGCCTCCAAGGTTGCTAAGCAGAAATGCCTGCAGCAAAACTCTTAGCCATCGAAGGTAAAATTCGTCGAAACATTGACATATGTCCCAGATTCTGGCTGCCCTTTTCGATGTTTTCGTCACGGCAGCCTCGAAGCGTTGATACATGGGAAACGAGCTACGCGGGTTGAAGTGGATAGAAGGCTTATCAATGTTAATGTCGAAGAGGCTTCGATCCAGATGTTGCCGTCGAATGGCTTTGACGCTTACTGTGCGACCGTTGACCCGAGTATCCGTCGTCAATCTGTAAAATGGGTTGAAAACTTGACGATGGATATCTCCGACGTTATCGAGGGAGGTCCCTGGGATGATGCGGAAATGAAGTTTTTCCCCGTCAAGCATGAAGAATAAGCTCCGCAAGATCAAGGCGTTCATACTGAGTATAGCATCAGGCGAACCTGCGCCGGAATTCCGCTTCGACGCCGTGATGACGACGGTAAAGCTGTCTCTGGAGTCGTAGGCCTCGAGAAATAGAGCACTTGTCTCGTTGCCGTGCGGGTATCTCAGCAGCGCGTCGTCTGGTTGGCTGTCTTTCGAGACGCTGTACGGCCGCCAGCCGTCTGGCGTGTAGACGTGGAGCCGTTCGATTGTCTTCGGCACGCTCCTTATCCATAAGCTGCTGCCGGGTCCGTTCAATAGGCCAATGCCGGCTGGTCTCTTGGTTTTGAGGAGTATTGCTTGGGGTACCCATTGGTGCCATGCATAGTGGTTAATGGTTCGTACGGGTGCTGAGCATCGGGAGTACGCCATGTTTGCGTCCTGTCTCACAGGGACGGCTAACAGGGTCCAGGGATCGTGCCGCACTCTGCATGGCAGGAGGACGTACGGATCTTTGTCTTCGGACATAGGGAGAATTATTCTGAGCCCTTGCGCAGTGAAGTCCCACTCCAGGGCGACATCGCAGGCCACGACGTCGTTACATTGGGCAAAGTAAGTTGGACTAGGGGCTAGAAGACCCATGAAGACTTCGCTGGTAGGCTCATGAGGACCTGCTCGCAAAGGATGATCACTCCCAGCAAGGGTCTTAATCGCCAGCAGCCACGAGGAGCTTGGCCGCGTTTTCTGCCGCGCCAAGGGCCCTCTGTTGTGCAATGCGTCCCAAGCCAAGATGGTCGGATCAAAAGAGGTCCGCACCACTTCCTCTTGAAGCCTAAGGAAAGCTCTCTCGCCTTCTCCGTAGATGAGCGGCATGTTCACACCCAGGATTCCGAGCAGGCAGTAGGCCATATCCTCCTTTCTAGTGGTTTCCCGCTTCGAAGCCCAGCTCATCTTCTCGGCCACGCTGGTTCTGGCGAGCAGGTCTCGCTGGGCGGCGAGTGTTGCGCCGACAAGGTGTGCTTCCTTGATGTTTGTAATATGGCTGATGCGACTCGCAAGCTCATGTCGGTTCGCAATTAGTGTCCAGTCATTGGCAAAGAAGTCGAGCTTCTGCGGCGCCACGAGCTCCTGCAGCGTCCATCCGCGGGTGAACCAGCGAGACGTGTCGAAGTTGTCATGGGGTGAGCCGAGGGCCGGCGGCACGTCAGACAGGTAGGCAAAGCAAACGAGCGCTTCCTCGTACCAGGGGAACATAGAGTTGATGGCCTCGGAGAGCTCTGCGCTGCTTGTTTTGTCGATGCAGCAGGTGTCGACCCAGACGTGGTGGATGCCGTATTGAAGGGCTTTCTCGCATGCTTTGTGAATCTTCGCGTAGCCAGGTTTGGCTTTAGTGTCAGCCGAGGGTTGGCGGAACTCTTGCATGGATATTTCCCCTTCAGTTTCCCAGGTATGAGATAAGATGGCGTATCCATCGTCAGGCATGGGCTTGCCTGAGAAGTTTTTCAGTTCAAGTGTCTTGGCATCGATGAGGAACATTTTCGTTTTGTCTGGAGGAGGTTAGGCTACGATACGAGGGAGGAGTAAGGTAGCATTGTTATTCAAAATTTAGGCAGACATTTTGATGCAGGGAAATCAGCCTCACACCTCCACAGCAAACCCAGCCATAGGCTTACCTGGCACACGTTTTCCTGGTAGTGATGCATGTAAGATTCAAAGATAACAGCTTTGATAGGAGTGGTAGAGAGAAAAACAGGAGATCCACTGATTAGGTAAAGCGCTTAAAAGGGTAACGTTGAGTACTGAAGTCCTGCACTTTGCTTCTAAAAATGGAAGACTGTTTAAGATAAGGTGGAAACAAGCCGCAGCTTTAATACTCAGCGGATAAAATTACCTGTAGTTTAAGGTTGAAATTTTTATTTCTTTCAAGAAATATATATTAGTTTTTCTTTCTTTAAATTTTATTTTGTCTACTAGTTAAATCCTATGAAATATAGGTAAAGATTTTAAGATTAATACCTAATTATTAGTTAGTAAATACAAAGTATATTATTGTTTCTACTTAATATATAAAAGCTTTCAAGATGTTTACTTAACTATATCGTATAACTAAATACAAACCAGCAAATTATACAAAGTATTTTTAAGGAGGAATTCTATTTTACCTCTTATATATCCATATCCCACATTCTAGCTAACCTATAGTATATCCATAATTCCTTTCAGATCCCTCCCACAGTTAAAGAGATTATCTCCTTGTAAGAAATTCCCTCTGCGCTCTATCGTCGCTGAGACATCAATCATATTATCACGGTACCTTCAGTGGTGTTCATTAATTACGACAGCATTCGAACTCAACAAATGAACGCCAGTGGTGGAAGCGACAAAGGGCTAGCGCAACAACGACACATGCTTGAACTCGACCGAATCCTTGAGAGCAGCGACGTTACCCTCGGGCGAAGTGGCACCGTCTGGTGGCGATGACCACGTATCGGAATAAATGACGCATGCAAGACTTTGGATTTCCAGTTCCACTAGGCCATCGGATAAGATCCTTCAGAGAGGCATAGCATACTGCGCCTTGCCAGATGGGATAGGCGTCACTCCTAGCTCGGTTGCACGCGGATGAGGCCTCGTCACCGAATAGACAAAGATCCAGGGGTCTGACGAGCCAAGGTGGAAATAGCAAGAACTGTTTCGCCCCTAGAAATAACCCCTGGGAACCTCCGTTCGGTGGGGATAAATAACTACGTGAGATTGGGCCCCAGATGGACGACCCGCCCTGACCTGAGACATGAGTGGATATCTGGACCACCCACGTCTCATCGCGGCCAGGGATCATTGTCACGAGCTATCCACAGGGAAGGATTATGGGTTCAGTTGATGCTCCGCAATGGATCGAGGTTTGAGTTTCGGCCGTTTCGCCAAATATCGTCTTTGATTCTTAACACGTGTGTATGTGGCCAGGGTGTTCACGATTGAATCCTCTCAGTAAGCCTAGCAGCCAACCACGTGCAGTTATCCTTCCTGCTTCGACCTCCAGAGTTCATGTCATTGTTCGGAGTTGCTAGAAATCTTGCCATTGGAATTGACATGATCAGTGGGTGGCTGACATCCATTCCTCCTCTCCAGTTCTAGTGTTCTCGCTGGTTCAGAATGAGTCTACTATGGGCCATGGGGACATGGAAGAGTTCAGGTGACTCTTGCCACAGAGAAACGATGTTGATTCTGATTGATGCGGTCTGCCACGTCCAAGATCATCTTCACCATAAATAAGCATAACAAGCAGCGCGGAGAGTACTCGGACCGACGGCGGGCGATGGCGACCCCGTAGCAAGCTAGACAGGGCTCAGTTCTCGGCCCGCTTTGACGTCAGACCCCCTGGTCCTCTAATCTCGGCCCGCTGCCCGATCGGATTCGGATGAGATCAGATGGTGCAATTGTGGCAAATTCGCATTCCAAACACACTCATGTCGGGCATACAGCCATAAATAGTGAACTGATTATAATCCCTTACGGGCATCCCAGACTTTCGTCCCGATCCGTGACCGTGCTACACTGCACAGTCTAGATGAGGAAGGCCACAGGTGACGACCCCTGTTTATCACCGGAGCCCGAGGATAGTGGGCTTATACTGGTCTACGACTGGCTATTCCCGTTGACAGGTTATCACTGAGCGGCTATAGGGGCCTGTATTATAGAGCGAGGACTATCGTTTCGGATGAGGCGGTTGAGGGAAGGGGCATGTGGTGATGAGCTGGCGATGTTGCTTTCCGTCACTATCTGAAGATAGTTTTGGAGGAAGACTTCCTTCCGTAGTGATCTGTTGTGATAGTCCATTCCAAGGCATATTTTGCAGAAAAATAGCAGTGCTAGCACAAACTACCATATTCTAATAGCATATCGCAGTCAATGCGAGGCAGACGTCTCAATGAGAAACGCGTGTGGAGTGCGGCGCCTTTGCACAGACGCAACTGACTCGTGATACTGAATTAGTCATGACCTTGTCTCTTCGATGCTACATTCAAAGCAGCCTCAAACGTCGTATCCAAGCCTCTAGCGTAAAGTCTATTTCGCATGTGTAGCCTCAAAAAGGTATTGGTTCTTCCTTCCCTCGCCACTGTTGATGGCCCATATTCAATATTCATTTCTCTCACCTTCTCATATCTCATTCTGAGACGTCTCAATGACAGCCTCATCATATTCGGAACAATCAAGATCCAATACTGTCATTGGTGTTGTAGTACTTTGTCAATTTCTTGCGACCCTGATAACAGGGCTCCGTTTATGGACGCGGCGGGTCATTCTGAACCAGCTGGGCATTGACGATTGCTTTGCAGCTCTCACTTTGGTTAGTTGGCCACCCTTTGCGTGCTTCCTCACTATAAGTACCAAAGACACATACATAGCTTACCAAGGATGTCATAATAGGTAGTAACGCTTCTTTGCAGCACGTTTGTATTACTCGGTAAGTTGCCTCTGTACCGCTTCTCAATCATTCCGGTACTGAATCATTCATAGAGATCCAATACGGCCTTGGAAAGCATGTCTCGGCTGTCAAAACTACCGACCTGCCAAAGTTTCGCAAGGTTAGTCGTCTTCCAACTCAACGTTGGGCTTTACTCATTAAGAGGCCCAGATGTTCTACTTCAGCATCATGTTCTATAACTTGTCCATGGTATTTGTCAAGTTGACATTCCTCTTCCAATACTACCGGGTCTTGGCCACTCAGGAAATGAGAAAGATTTACATAGCCGTTATTGCAGTAGTCACTGGCTGGACCTTATCCCAAGTATTCGTTTCCATCTTTGGCTGTTGGCCTATCTCCGGATTCTGGGATGATAGCATAGGCGCGCGATGTATTCCCACACAGCCATATTGGTACATCAACGCCGCAGGGCACATCCTCACGGATATTGTCATACTAGTATTACCTATACCTGCTATCAGTCGTCTTAAGCTCCCACGACGTCAGAGATATATCCTCATGGGCATATTCTGCCTGGGATTCTTGTAAATCTACCCCATTCACTCTCGAGAAACTCATTATGCTAACCATATTAGCACTGTGGCCATTTCCATTATTCGAACGACACATCTCGGCGAACAGTCGGATCTGACCTGGGACAACGTGACCTCCGCATTGTGGTCCGTTAGTGAGCTAACCTCGGCTCTTGTGTGCGCCTGCCTTGCCACTCTCCGACCCTTCTTTTCTTCTTACTTCCCTGCGTTGGCCGCAAGATTTGCCCGCTCCACTGGTCGTTATTCCAGGAGCCAGAGTTGGATGGGCCGCGAGAATCCCAGAGATTTTGTGTCTGATGAAGCAGACAGGGTCTCGAACCAGAGTGAAAGACAGCTTTATCGGGGAGGCGGTTCAGCGCCAGAGCTACAGCGCCCAAATACTAGCTATAAAGTTGGGCATACCTGGCATACATTAGAAGAGATGCCCGGCCATCGATAGTAACATAAAGTAGTGTCTTTATACAATAACTGAGTTGTTGAATCTTTTTTTGGATTTATTTTTTCCCTGACCCTGCTAACTCAGACAACGACTGCCACTTAGTATAAACTCAGAAACTTTTAATTAATAATATTAAATTTGTCCTAATGTCTACAATACTTACTCTACTCTTTACTTCTAACTTCAATTCTATCTTTGACAATGGCTAGGTTTTCTTAGTTACTTCAATCTTGACCTACTCGTATATCAATTTTGCTACAATAGACACTGCAACGGTAAGTGGTAATACAGCGACGATGTCAGAAAAGGTCATGTTGATCCCGTTGGCGCCAGTCTTGGAAAGCAACGTCGCAAGACTCAGCATGTTCTTGTTAGTCCCTCCCTCCGTCGACGCGTAACCTACTCAGCACTCCCGCCTATCTGTTAATATTGAGTAAAGCGAAAAAGAAAATTATATGTCTTGGGCGCAGGGATATTTCATTTGTGGGCAATCTGATAGACTTAAGTACTCAAGCCTACAGTCGAAATTCCAGAGATGTAGATAGAATTGAAAGTGTACATAACATATAGCATTGCTTCCACAGCGCCTGCATCGATGCCTTCAATTTTAACAGGGGGGCTACTAGAGAGACAGAAACAGCATCAAATTCCTTTTATAAGTAGGCAATACCTAGATGTTCTTAAAGTAGAAAGGCGGCAATCAGAGGAACCACGTATAGCTGGACTTTGTTCACCATATGACCATGTCCGCCCTCGTTTGGAATAATCTCCGCAGGCCCAGAACTAGTTGGTGCAGCTGTTCCAGTGCTAGTTCCAGTGCCGATACTAGTAAAAGTGCCTGAAGCAGTGGCAAAAGCAGTGCCTGAAGCAGTGGCAAAAGCAGTACCTGAAGCAGTGGCAAATGCAGTGCCTGAAGCAGTGGCAAATGCAGTGCCTGAAGCAGTGGCAAATGCAGTACCAGGAACACTACCAGGAGCAGTGCCAGGGCCAATGCGAGTCTTGGACTCCAAGATAGGGACAGAGCCAGAGCGCCCACCTTTGCCTGTTGCACCAGGGGCTTTGGTTTCCTGACCACCATTAGCAGACTTTGTCTGCGTGGCCTCACCCGGGGTTGCTAAGCTCTTCGCCTCGGCCAACCTGATACCACGGATAGTGACATCCACGGGCTTCGCGCCAGATTCTTGGATTATTTCAAGCTTCGGGTTATCTGAGCTCATAGTCTTTTCACTCTCCACCTCTTTGAACTTCCCCGCCGTGGTCTCAAGCTCTTTATCGTAAATGGTTTTCTGGTCCATAATCATCTGCAGAGTGGAGCCTGTCAAGTCTCGTCGTAAGAGCAACCCAACCTGCGGACTTGGAGCGCCAACTTCTTCAACTCTGATTGAAGCTATGAGCCTGACGAGCTCGCCTGGCGCGATATCCAGCGGTTTCGTGATGTTAAGACTGAAAGATGCATTGCCATTTGGCGGAGCGCTTAGCAGACTATTGTCCATGTCAGCTTATAACAGATGCGAAGTCACTGTTGGGAGGATCTTACATTGCTGTCTCACCGTCCACGGTGATAAACGTTGCGTGTTGGCCGAGCGTGGCGTCGCTGAGGTCTAATTCGATTGACTTGCCCGTTGGCCTTGAAGAAGGGCTAGTAAGTGTCCTAAATCCCGTGGCCTGGGGTTGTGTTGCACCAGTGGGCTCATTGACAGGCCTGGTTGGTTCCTGGGGAGTATTGAAAGTCCCGGCAGCACCTTCCGTGGTCACGAGGGGCCCAATGGCCGTAGACTCAATAGGTATGCTAGTGGGCACATTAGATATCGGTTGAATTGATGTTTGGGTCTGCTCGGATGGTGTTTCGGGCTGCTGAGTAGATGGCTCGACTTGCTGAGTAGATGGCTCGACTTGCTGAGTAGAAATCGGTTGAATAGTTGTTTCGGGAGGCGTTTCGATGGACGTAGGAAGGGCACTGGGTATTGAAGCTTGGGATGTGGGAACTTGGGTTGCAGGAGCTTGGGATGTTGGGATATTGGTTGGAGCTTGTGATGTTGGAACATTGGTTGTTGGAGCTTGGGATGTAGGGGCCTGGGATGGGGGAGTTTGAGACGTGGGGGCTTGCGATGCGGGAGCTTGCGATGTTGGTGGTTCAGATGTGGGAGCTTGTGATGTAACTGGTTGAGATGTGGGAACTTGGGACGCTGGTTGAGATGTGGGAGCTTGAGATGTAGGAGCTTGAGATGTGGGAACTTGGGAGGTGGGAGCCTGAGATGTAGGTAGCTGAGATGTAGGCGGCTGGGATGTAGCTGGTTGCGATGTAGGAGCTTGCGATGTAGCCGGTTGAGATGTAGCTGGTTGAGATGTAGGCAGTGGAGATGTAGGAGCCTGAGAGGTGGGAACCTGGGAGGTGGGAGCCTGAGACGTAGCTGGTTGAGATGTAGCAGGCTGCGATGTAGGACCTTGAGATGTGGGAACTTGGGTGGCCGGTTGAGATGTGGGAACTTGAGATGTAGCTGGTTGAGATGTAGCTGGTTGAGATGTAGCCGGCTGAGATGTGGGAACTTGAGATGTAGCCGGCTGAGATGTGGGAACTTGCGATGTAGGTGGTTGCGATGTAGGTGGTTGCGATGTAGGTGGTTGCGATGTAGGTGGTTGCGATATAGGTGGTTGCGATGTAGGCAATTGAGATGTAGGTAGTTGAGAAGTGGGAGCTTGAGACGTGGGAGCTTGAGATGTAGCTGGTTGAGATGTAGCCGGCTGAAATGTAGGAACTTGAGATGTAGCCGGCTGAGATGTGGGAACTTGCGATGTGGGAACTTGCGATGTAGGTGGTTGCGATGTAGGTGGTTGCGATGTAGGTGGTTGCGATGTAGGTGGTTGCGATATAGGTGGTTGCGATGTAGGCAATTGAGATGTAGGTAGTTGAGAAGTGGGAGCTTGAGACGTGGGAGCTTGAGATGTAGCTGGTTGAGATGTAGCCGGCTGAAATGTAGGAACTTGAGATGTAGCCGGCTGAGATGTGGGAACTTGCGATGTAGGTGGTTGCGATGTAGGTGGTTGCGATGTAGGTGGTTGCGATGTAGGTGGTTGCGATGTAGGTGGTTGCGATGTAGGTGGTTGCGATGTAGGTGGTTGCGATGTAGGTGGTTGCGATGTAGGTGGTTGCGATGTAGGTGGTTGCGATGTAGGTGGTTGCGATGTAGGTGGTTGCGATGTAGGTGGTTGCGATGTAGGTGATTGCGATGTAGCCGGCTGAGAGGTGGGAACTTGCGATGTAGGTGGTTGCGATGTAGGTGGTTGCGATATAGGTGGTTGCGATGTAGGCAATTGAGATGTAGGTAGTTGAGAAGTGGGAGCTTGAGATGTAGCTGGTTGAGATGTAGGAGCCTGTGATGTAGGCAGTTCAGATATGGGAGCTTGAGATGTAGCCGGTTGAGATGTAGGCAGTTGGGATGTAGCCGGTTGAGATGCGGTAACTTGAGATGCAGAAGCTTGAGATGTAACAATTTGAGATGTAGGAACTGGAATCTGAGATGTAGGGGCTTGAGATGTAAAAGCTTGAGACACAGATGCTTGAGACGTAGGAGGTTGAGATGTAGGAGCTGGAAGTGGAGATGTCTGAGGTTCGACTGTGGGCACCCCGGACGTTTGGGCCCGGGCCCTTTCGATTAAAAGGCCGATGATCAGGCCGTTTAACAGACGCATTGTAGTCGATTTCGATTTATGCCGAGAATGACATGGACAGACTGAACAACTGAGCATGTCTCAGGAAGACACAAGCCTTGTCATTAATTGCTATACATATGAGCCGTCTCGTGTCTGCTAATATATCATCCTTTCACATGCTTATGCCTAGCTCGTGAGCGATAGAATTTGGAGTCGGCAAGAAGAGGCTTTGAGTATGTGCTAAGCCATGCGATGCGACTGTGTTGGTTCAATGGCGGCCACTTTGCTTGATTGAGTTCATTGAAGGGGACAGAAGCAGGCTTGTTTCTCCGCGACACTCTTGCTGAGCGATATAATTGGTTCAACTGTATTAAAATGGCGTACGCCACCGGAGGCTGTGGTTTGGCTAATTTTTGGGCAAATCAAGTCACGTCGCTGACGTCCACATCTTCGTATTTAAGGATGTTGTTATGTCGAGAACCAAAGCATCAACAAAGAGAAAAGAAATACAACCGTCGACATATTGACATCATCAATCAACTTGACTAAAATAATCAGACCAGGCTTGACAGCTTCTTTCATTTAAGAGGTCTGGAGCCGAGGAAACCATAGCAGACAAGGACAGGCTAAAGAGCTGAAACGCCTCACCTGCGGGGACAGTATGAGATGGTCACCCGGAACTGTAGGGTACTGCAGCTATATATAATAATACCAAACTTAATGCTGGGGAGAGGTGTGGTATTCTGCGGGACTCCTGATAGGGTGTGCTTACGTATTGAGACTTTGCCACACACCAAGTCAACATCCTTAATCCCTGCGACCTGTACGATTCGGAGTCGACTGATCCGACTGGCTGATCACATGAATAGATCGTCTGTACCCTCTGGGCCGTAATCCGCGGAATTCAACGTCTTTCTCGATGTGCCCAGACTCCAGTGCATGACACTTGGGTAGATAGAGCGGGCGCAGAGGCAAGGAAAGATGATGATTCCCTGGCAGTGAGGCTACACATGGATTCGGAATCTGGAGAAGACGAAATACTCGTTGATCGAAGCGTTTACGAAGAGACTGGGAACTGAGCTGCATCATCATGACCCTTCCCCCGCATCATTAGGCCAGCCTCAGCCTATACCTTCAGCCCTTGTGCGGCTCGCGGACCAAGCCACATCGATTCTAGACTTCAGCGCTGCTAGCCACTCGGGGATCGGTTGGTTGGCATCATTGCGTCCTATAGCGCGAGGGCGTGAGACACCTTATTCTGGTGCCAATCAGGGCCGTCCGACGATGCCTGCATGTCGCCACTGGTGAGCTGATGACATGTAAAACTGAACCCCCGGTCGGTGTTTTGCGAGGCATCCCTACCGACGGTTTCTTCGCCATCTTGCTGCCGTCGACTCCAAGATGAGTAGCCTACTATATTCTTTGATAGCCCTCGTTTTGTGGGGTATACAGCGCTCATACGGACGAGTCCTCTCCCAGCCCACTCAACGACCACGCGAGGCAGACCGTGACCGACCACTTGTGCAAACTCGCATGGTAGAGATCCCTGAGCTCAGACTCAGACAGTTGGCAAAGCGTCAACAAACCAGCCTCTCAAACGCTGTCTTTACCGTCACAATAGCCACAGATGAAACATGCGGTTGGCTGTCAGGGTCTCCGGGGAGCCCGATTACTTGCCAGAACCATCAACCCTGCATGTGGGCTGGTTCACTGGGCATAATCTGCGGCGTGCCTGACAAGCCAAATGACTGGGAGGTTCATGTCAGGTGTGTTGAGAGGGCAGTGGCATTGAACACGGCCCTTTGCAACGATGTCTGCGAATCCAACAGCTTCTTCCTTCGCTGGTGAGCCGAATGTCCCCGCAGTCGTACGGGATATGTTGTTGACGGCTGGACTTGCACTCTAGCACCGACTCTTCGGCCGCTTATTGTCGAACGTATGCCTACCCAGAGGGAATCGTGGACTTTAGATGTGCACCGACGCCCGTGGCCAGAGTTCAAAGCGTGTCTTTTACATACGATGGCCAACACGACGCCGGGTTTCTCACTTCAACCTACACCGATATCAACTCACAAGCCTCATCGACGAAACCGGTTTCTTCCACCACATCGCATCCGCCTCCGCTTCCGCCTCCCCCTTCTCATACAAACCATAGCAATACCGGAGCCATTGTCGGTGGTGCGGTTGGAGGTTTCGTGGCAGTGTCGCTCGTGGCATTTGCCATCTTCTGGTTTGTTCGACGACGGAAGACTGCCCATGCCCAGCAAGTCGCTCCTCCAATGGAGGGTGCTCCGGTGGAACAGGGTCCACCAAATGGGGCAGCGCTGAATGCTGCAAAGGCGAGCCCAAGTCCAAGTTCCGCGGTGCAGTCCGAGTGGCGAGACTCGATGATGACTGTGTTGAGCCCGGGCAGCAATCCCACCTCGCCTCAGGCATGGCTGGATCAACCAGTGTCACCGGGTGATCAGAGTGTTTTGTCTGAAGGTGTATCGCCGCCTGTAGCTCATGAAATGAGCGGGGGTTCCGTTCAACCTCGTGTCTACGAAATGTCCGGAGACCCTGCCCATCCGCAAGTCTATAGAACGATGGGGGATCGTGCCCATCCTCGGGTCTACGAAATGACAGGAGACAATTCTTATTTTCGGACCTAGATTGTTAAAATAATATTAGTTACAGTTAACTAAGTAACAACACCATCATGCGCAATGACAATACGACCATCCGCCCTCCTTGTGAATACCGCCAAGCAAACCAACCAAGAGTCTCAAAGCCACGTATGCGAGCTAAAAGTCCACGTAAGCTAATACGATACATGCAGTCTAGTATTAGGCAGCAATGGGTCGCCTTCTTTCGCCTTCAGCCCTTAGATTGAGTTGCGCGAATCAGATGTCAAAGACGTAGCCACCTAAATCCCCTCGCCAAACTTAGCCGGCAGTTTTGGTGGACGAATCGAATCGTGAGTCGGCTGGCCTTGCACTATTTCTAGATCGCGTACTGAAAAAAATTCTCTCTGGAGCTGGGTTCTCTATCAAACTTGTGTGGGATTTGACTCGAGTGGCTTCCCACGCCGGCAGCACGGTCTAGGCCCAGCTGCCTACATTTCCATTCGAGGATGCCTTTTAGGCTGCTCTGAATAGAAAAGGCCTTGTACAGGCAAACCTTTCTTTGATCTGCCGGCCCAAGGCCTTGTCGGTTGAACTCTTCGACTGGGGCGTTGGGTTCATGATTGAGCTTGATGGAAAGGACACGGGGCGTTCTTTTAGTAGCTATCCTGTCTCCTAGTGTGTACTGGAACAGTTTCCGATAACAGATTTTGTAACGATATCACCAATTGCATTACTTCCTTCCATTGCGAAACAATGGCGATGGGTTCTTATCGTGCCGCAGAGCTGGCGTGGGAGTCACGACACATTACTTTTGGACCTGAGACAAGACATCAATGATAATTGAATAAGCTGACGGGTTTAATTAGCATTGGAGGCTTGGAATTTGTATCCTACCAAAAGGTTCCGAGAATACATGGCTACGTTAACAAAGTAATTTAAGAAGCTGGACCATCCTAGCGTGTTGACTGTTGCAGAGGCAGTGTTGCAGTGTAGGGTAGTGTGGCTGCGTTGGAACCAGGTCTCGGCAAATAGTCTGAATGAAGGATTTGATGAGATGGTAGATTTGTATTAGTTATATAGCCAACTAGTTCTGCAGTAACATTAAGAAATAAAGTTAATTCGGTGAATTTGTAAATAGATTCCCCAAGTGATTTCACACTCTGTGCTGCTAGAGCTCGTTGCCGTAGCCATGTGTGGGTATTTTAAGAGAACCGCTTGAGAACAAAACCTGCCTAGCTATGAGAGCTCGGCATGAGAGCTCGGCTTTGGCTTTGGAGTGAGGTACGGCGGCCAGAGGTAATACGAATCAAAGTTGTCCAGCAGCTCCGGAAGCCTCTCCTTCGGCATCTGCCAGGCAAACTCGCCCTCCTGTAGCTTCTCAGCCTCCCAGCCCAGCTCGTCCAGCCCAACCTTCTTCCAAAGACTGATAGCATCTTCCGCAGGCTTACAGTCCTCACCTGCACTACGCCAGGCGCTTACCACAGCATCCCACTGTCCTGGTTTATGAGCAACTGGGACAGGGGAGGAACCCTCGCTTGATGTCTTAGTGTATGGGCAGGGAAACGATCGGCGTTTGTTTTCATCCTCTACGTCCGAGACAAACATGCGCTTGTATTCAAACGGTTGTAAAGTGTCCAGTGTGGCTGGGAGCGCGCTCGGCGCAGCGATGCTGACCTCGGCGAGGAGCTCGACAGTGGCATCTTTGGTTCCGTCAAGAAGGCCACGGTTGTTGGCGCTGTAGGCTGGATCCGCCGCTTTCGAATCTGCGAGTATGGTCAGTTAGTTGCTTTAAAGGGTTGTTTCGACAGCTCGATGAGCGATGACTACCTGCATTTCCCCCAAAGTCCGGCTGGCATCTTCTTGATAATGCCACGATTATTCTCCCGCAATGGCACCGCCCGCGCGGAGGTTCAAGCATCTTGTCTGCCGGTGTGGGTTTAAAACGAAATTTCACAGTCAAAACGGAAGAGATGGGACTCTCGTCTTTCATAGGTTTAGCAAAGATGGGCATTCCTGAGCCCGGAACTGACGGCTTTTCCTCATCTCCCTCGGTTTCTATGACGGCCTTGTCGATCGGGATTTTGCACGCGATGCTGAAGGCAAAGCCCACGGGTTGTACAACCCACGGCTCGGAGCTTGGTTTCGAGTCTGTTTTGCCGCTGGGGACGAGCCCTGATTCGACTGATAGCACATGCGGTCCGGTGCCGACTGCGGCCGGGGGTTCTGAGTCTTCAGTATCGGAGGCGGACTGCGAATCTGGAGTATAGAGACGCGGTCCTGACGACCTGTCCGAACGATCGAAATCTGAGTACGCGTCTGCGAGTGTCAACCCGCTAAGCGGTGTCGATGCAGTAATAGTGTCAAGAGATGCCTTCTCCCCACCTTCAGACTTTTCGCAGGCCAGTTGAATCATCTCATCAATGGAAATGCCGGGTGGACTATCAGTGCCACTACCAAATGCGATATCAAAGCCAAACACCCAGAAGCACACGTGCACAGTGCCATGGATTGGCGGGCCCTCGATGTGCAAACTCGCCGCAATATCAACCGCGATGTTCAGCGTTACAAGCCAAAGGTCCAAGACAAATCGGACACTAACACTGATGGCTCCGTCGGCGATGAAATGGAAGGGCTGGAAGTTGATCAGGAAGTCAATATGGGCCTCGTAGAAGGCCTCGAGAGGACCGAGTTGCAGAGACACGTTCCACCGCCCACCGCCCATGCACACGGCCGGCGTGATAGCGAAGTAGGCCTCGCCGCGTATTGAGATGGCGTTGCTGAACTGCCAGGAGATGCCCAGACGCGGTGGCTGCGGACACTGCGGCGGCGGCGTGTACTGGCGGTGATAGCCGCCCAGCGAGAAGACCCAGTCACCCTTGAGGTCTGAGTGTTCTCCAAACCACGCGTATAACGCGAAGCCCCCGGAGAGACGGCAGTCGGGGGCCAAGATGAAGGAAGAGGGCGCCAGCTGGCCGTCAATGAAGAGCGTTCCCGCCTCTGCGTCTAGAGTAGCCGTGAGCCCAAGCTCGACATAGGCGAACCGGATGCCACCGGGTATCAATTGAGGCGGCATGCTTGCCGTGGCTACAGCGAAGATGCCTAGGCGAAGACCAGCTCCCCATTCCACCACGGCGACGGCCTGAACTTCGAGCATCTGGAAGGCCTTGACCTTGAGCCCGGCCGCGATCCAGAACCCGCCGTCCTTCGGAGCCACCCAGCCGCTACTGACGATGGAGCCCAACGTCTCAATCAGCGGCGGTTTCTCGGCGTCCTTCTTAGGGCTGGAGCGCGAAAGGAGAGGAAATTCCATGACCTCGGCGGCGGTGGGGAAGCGCATGTGCGTGTTGTAACCAAAGCCGGCCGTGACGCCCGAAATCTGACCAAAGGAGAATGTGATGAGGGGCCCTTCGAGCATGGCGTACAAAAATGCCCACGAGCGTATCGTCAACACCCAGGGCATGGCCGTCGCTGGCGCTGCGAGTGAGGGCGAAAAGGGCACCTTTGGCGTCGTCGTCGGTCAGCGATCCGGCCCGACCAACATCACAGCTCCAACTGCCGTACATGTGCATCTCGTTTCAATCGAAGGGGTCGAACAAATGGAAACTTGGCCCATCACTGGCAAAGCTCAGTATGTAGCCCTGTCATCGCTTCACAGTTGGACGTACATGTGTCTGCCGCCCAGCAGCCGCACCATCTACGATGACTTTGTAGATCTCGGCCAGTCTGTTAGCCTGCTCAAGCCTAGACTGTCTAACGAGGTCAAGGAAAGACTGAAGAACACCAAGCCAGCCGGGCCACGCATGCTAAATAGACTGGAAGAGGGCTTCAGCCTCTCGCGCTACCGCACACAGACGGGAGAGATGACGGGTTGTCTGGTCCACGGACCGCTCGTACCCTGTGATGTGAAGCTTCCAGATTGGTGGAAAGCCATCTCTATGACTGGCCAAGACCTGCAGTTCTTGGACGGGGAGCTCGGCCTCATGGATATCAGCTACTCGGCCGCGTGGCAGCTGGGTAGGTCCATGGCCATGGCGGATGCGGCTTTCACGACATCCTTGTTCCGTATTCGCCAAGATACCCTCGGGTCCGGACATGCAAAGGCTGCCGAGACCTTTATGAAGTCTGCCGCAGGCTACAAGTCTAGAACTGACATGGTCAAGTCGCTAGAAGACGTGGTCGACCGACTTGGAAGCCTCGATGAGCCTAACCGTGTCAACGCAACAGCCATGTCCAAGAGATGGTGCCGCTCGACCGGTCCGGCTACGGATTTTGATCTCTCCTACCACGGAGAAATAGTAGATTCGCTCATCGATGGTGCTCTCCAAGAGCGAGCCACTTGGGTAACGGGCGCGTACGAAGCGGGTAGTTTAACCTGGGCTTCCGACCCGCCGAAGCCGTACAACGAATACAACACGCCCAATTCACCGGATTGGGTCGTCGTTCAGCGCTGGGTGCTCGACAGAATGCTGTTGGATGGAATACCATCGCATTACCTCATAACAGACGCAAGTCATCTGCCGCTCGAAAGCATCCGCTTCTTTCAGATCGACGACGCCTGGTCTGACAGCTTTTTAGACGGCGCACTCAGTCTAGGAAATCTCGTTGACCAGCACGAAGACAAGATCCGGAACTTTATCAAAGAACGCATCAATGACTATCTCAAGGCGTCCCTTCCAGGCATTGACGCCCACCCGCCTATGCCGCGGTATGGATGCTATGTCCGTTCAGGCCTCGTCAAGAAGTTCCCAGACCTGATCGTTACTGTGGAGCCGGCGGATGATGCTACCCCTGCCATCCTTGTTCGCCACAGCGTCCTCGATAATGGGATCATGCTGTGTCTTTTCTCCGCCGCGCCGAACAAGTCCACATTTACCGGACTGAGATTCACCAAGCCACCACACCAGCAGACTTTCATCGCCGGCCGTGACCTCACGGATACAAATCTGACCATGGAGTACCGGCGGGCATACACAGAAAAAGACAGGGTGCGTGATGACAAGGACCACCGTACACTGGTCAGCGAGCCTCGGTGGGATCGTACAAGTCCCGACGAGAAACGCGGCACGGGTTTCCTCTGGGAGGTTTCGAATTCGTTCGACGCAAGTGATGCCAGCCCCATTGCTCTGCGGGTCGTCCATGTAGAGAACCTCGCCGTGGACTACCTACGGCAGCTGAAAGACAAGATGCCTGCGGGATACTTCAAAGATGAATTCGCCAGCTCAGCGCTGTTGGGTTATCAGTTAAGTGAGCCTTCGTACGCTTTACACATCGAGTTCAAGGAAGATGCACCGAATCTGCTAAACGCCGGCCCTGAAGATGAGCCTCACCTGCCCTGCTGCCGACTCGCACGCGGCCACGACCGCCTGTCCCGACGATTCCATCCCCAATGATCCAGCGAGATTTCCCTGCCGAGACCACCGTTGGCGATATGACCTTGGCTCATCGTGAGCAGCGCGTCATCCCGAGCCATGTCCTCGCCCCTTCGCCCACGACTCGCTGCGCCCGCACACTTCCAGACATATTCTCCCCCGATGTACGTGCCGCCATCGACACCCTGAACAGTCGCCAGATGGAACAGCAGCAGACTATTTTCCGCGATGGACTCCTCGGCCTGGATTCACCTAACACAGACACTCCCGTTTTACAAAACACGTACCCTTACTACGAGTATTGGTTCTGGTCAGCCGACCATCCCGGCAAGCCTGGCTCACCCGGTTACATTCCTATGCTCAGCGGCTTGGGGCGTGATGGAGAGCTGCTATCGCTGCCGCAGGACATCATCTTCAGCATCTCCATCCAGGGTGATTCGAGGCCGGGAACCTACAAAATCAAGTTCGTGGATATAAAGCTGGACCTCGGCCCGCCTCCCAAAGGTATGAAATCGGCTTCGTCCTCGCCTCGGGAGTCATCAACTACAAAGCCTGCCATAGTTCCGGGCGCCCTGACAGATCGCAATGCAGACGGCGGTGGACCCCGCGCTTCAATGCTTTCCAACCTCCGCTTCAACCCGAGACTATCATATAGCGCCGACGGTCGGTATATGACCGTGACGCTGCTCCCTCGCGGAGCAAGTCACGTACCCGCAAATCTGGCGCGCGAGTTGTCGTTCATGTTGTCAGGAGTGTGCGTCAACATCGCGCCTCCTGGGATCGATCAGGTCGTTGTGTCGCCGTACATCTCGATCCAGTACGATGGATGGGGACTCCAAGGACCGACTCAGAGGCCCCCACCGCATATGATACTTTCTCGAGACTCACAGCCAGAGTTAGAAAGTTGGAGGCTGACCTAATGATTAGGCTCTCATTGATGCTCCATCGAGGTGGGCGTGAGGAGACTTTGTTGGCATGTATTCCAAATCTTTGTGCTAATATACATGTCGGTTTATGGGGCATTTGGATGGATGTGGCTTTTTATTTACTTATTAACAACCCAGTCCAGACTTAAAATCGTATGAATACAGCTTTTCATCGTGTCCAAACTGGATTCAAGTAATCAGAGTAGTGCCGGCCGCGGAAGAGCCGTCCAAACCCAATGCCAGTAAAGAATGAAACGATGTTGCATCGACAAAATAAATTAATATCTTGCTACATCTAAGCCGTGGAAAGCTTCGTCTGCCGGTGAAGCTCCCTGGTGGGTTGTGTTCCACTCTTCGAAATCGCCTGTCGTCTTGCTCCTCTACTCAAATGCCTCCCGTCGTCGCTGCTTCGGATATAATATGCCAGATCCGCTGTAGGGTCCCACTCAGTTTGAGAGAGGCCGTCACCCAGCCAGGAGAATCGGTTGCCACTGTATTCAAAGTCGTAATCCTCGAAGCGCGGCTCGCGCAAAGCCTCCAAGTAATGGAGAGTCGAGCCAGGCCATGTGATGGAGGACTGCCCCCAGTTGCTGCGGACATTGTGAGAGTTGCGGCAGTTGTCCGACCAGACCATCTTCTTCGTGACCTGCGCTACGTAGGCTTTGAAGTCATAGGACGCGGCGGCTTTGAGATGCATACTATGCATTCCTGGTTCTGTCTGATATTTATCGATGAACGCGCAGACAAAGTCGGTTTGCGATTCAATGGCAACAATGACTGGACCGTTCGAGATTGGCGTCCAGGGCCCTGCAAGTGTGAACGAATTTGGGCATTCGGCGATCCCAACGCCCATGTAGCCCGTAATGGAGGCGTTCCAATCATCCTGAAGGTTGTGACCTTGGAAGAGTATAGGGTAGCGCGGGACGAAGGAGGTGTCGAATCCGGTTGCGCAGATAATCACATCGCCGTCATGGGACTGTCCATCTTCACTGATGCAGCCGGTTTCAGTGAAAGACTTCACACCTGAGTAAATGACTTCCACGTTGTCTTCTTTGATGGCCTATACAATGGAATGAGTATGTGTACTGGCTGTCGCCCGGCAATGGTTCCGGGAACGGTATGCAACTCACGTGGAGGAATTGATCTCCCGAAGGTAAGATCCTTTTGCAGCCGACAGCAAAGTCTGGCACCAGCCTCTTCTGCATCTCTGGATCGGAAATGACTTTCTTCATCTCACTCTCCAAGTGCTTCCGGGCCTGGTCTTGCAATATTGTGCCTTTCATATACATAGCTAATACTGTTAAGGCCTCTCGTAAAATTAGAAAGCATAGGCATTCACTTACTGAAAAAGCTGTTCAGAGTTCGTTCATTTTCTAGCCGGAGATTCAAAACCGTGTTGGGCTCATTGACGAACCTCTCCATCTCTTCTGGCGAGAACTTGCCCTTCTTGGAGTTGACGGAGGGTAATGTCCATCGTGGTGTACGGACGAAAACCCTTGCGGTCTTGACTATCGGCTGAATTGCCGGTAGTATCTGAGCGCTAGACGCGCCTGATCCTATCAAAAGGACATTCTTACCCTCAAGCGAGACGCTTTCGTCCCACTCCGCGCTGTGCAGCTTAGGTCCTTGAAAGGCCTCAGTGCCCGGTACAGAAGGCCACGCTGGCTTGTTGAGGTAACCTGTTGCATGGACCAGAATATGACACCAGTCATCCACAGTCGTCCCAGACTGTAAGTCCGTGACAGTGATATGCCACTGACCTTTCAGCGGGTCCCATGACGTCTCGGTGACACGGTGCAACGTTTGAATATGTTGTTGCAACTCATACTTGGCAGCAAATCCCTCAAAATAGTCTTGGATTTCCTGTGAGCTGGCAAGAACCGATGAGAAGTCTGCCTTTGGCTCAAATGAATACGTGTAGTTGTGTGACGGGACGTCGCAGGCACAGCCTGGGTATACGTTTTCGAACCACGTTCCGCCAAGCTTGGGGTTCTTTTCATAAATCTGCAACCTCCAATTAGCATAATGGCATTAGGAATTACCGGGAGACAGCTACCGTTAGGGAGTAATTCTCGAAAGATCGCCGAAGCTTATACGCAAGACACAGGCCTGAGACTCCAGCGCCAACGCAGACGATCTTGACGAAGCGCTGGTGGTGAATGGCGTCTTCTCGCAGTGGGTCCATATTTCTGGCAAGGTATAGGGTAATTTGAGCATCAACTGAATGGTTAGATATGATGGTGTTATTTGCGGCGTAGCTAACCTACACGCTTTATATCTATATTCCAATTCTGGTTGCTGAAATCCTGTGATAGTTAGAAGTAGGTAAACTTAATGCACCGACAAGTTGCCCATACCTAAATGTGAAACCCCCTGCCATGCAGAGCAGGGGTGTTTCGGCTGAGGGAGAATTTGTCATCGGATCATCAATCTCAGACGTCTTCCACAAGGTTTTCCCCATTCCTTTCTTGGATTCATTATCACATGTTTGGCCTATCTGCTGGCTGAAGCCCTCGGACGACATTCATGGGACGACTCCACTCCACAGAGACAGCTTTCTTTAAATGCCCTCGTACCAAGTCGGAGCTAACACCACATTCGGATTGCCTCGGGCGGACTGCTATTACCTATAACTAAGGCATATAGCCCGCGCCGCCTAATGCAATGCAGGTCTGCGGCGCTGTCACTTCTCGCAGCACCGAGACTATCTTGCAGCTTGCCAGTGGCCTGTCAAGCGTCCCGCCTTCCCGATCTTGACACAGTTAAGGTTTTGGACTGTTTCTGGTTTCTACTGACTTTGTCTTCTTCGCTACCGTGGTAATATCACCGCGTATCCACTCCTCGATCAGGAAATCCGTCTCCCCCAGGACCTTTCTGGTTACCGAGTCTCAGTCAACAGGGGTAGCTGCTTCTCACGGCTCCACCGATTGGTAGTTGAGTGGGTAAGAGAGGCTGCGGGTGAATTTCGCAATTGAAGTTCGGTATTGGTCATTTCATTTCCTATGAAATGGGCCAGTTCTTCTAAAAAATAAATACGATATCTATCCGACAACCTTGCAGGGACTACCAAAATACCACATAGACGGCATCTTCACTTATTTTTGGACCAGCCGGCTGCAGCATCCGCATTACTACCTTAGAACATATTCGCCACCCACATCGAGTCGAACCCTTCCTATTGCTACCAACGGGGATCGCCAGTGTTTTTGTAATCTCCTTCCAATCCTTCAATCTCAATTCTGGACTGCACTAGAATTCCATTGTGAGGTTTTTGGAGCAGTTCCGGTTGCGCTGGGGACTCCAAATTCCTCCTTACCATCTCTTCTTGACTCTCTGACCCTATACCGAGCGTAGTCATTGAATAGGGATCGTGCGCTCTCCTGCTGCTGACAGGGGCTGTCGACCTAAGCTGATAGCTTTCGCCTGGATTGCGGTGGGAGAATTCGCGAATGCGATTATTTGAGCTCCCAGACTTTGACGTAGCGTAGCCAGTATTAACCCAGAAGCGGCGCTTGAGCATTGGCGTGATCATCGGGGCTTGTCCAACGAAGATTCCAACGCAGTCTTCCCGCAGAGACCACATAGCCGACACTCCGCGGTGGTTGAGCTGGTAATCAAGACGTCAGTGGACTTCTCTCTTGTGAACGGGATGTGTGATTGTTGTACGTACATTGAAGATGAGCACGAATCGTAGCACCGCGGCGAACATGCAAAAGAAACCCAGACTGAACAGAAAGTAGAGTCCAACCTTCTGGAAGCGGTTTATTTGGATTCCTCTGAGTACCTACAACCATGATGTGAGCTTGTGGGACTCAACCGATATCCTTGTAGGGAGTGTAAAACGTACTGGAATTGGTACAAGCATAATACAGAGATCCGTGAGCAGATTGAACGTCAACATAACGACGAAAAAGACGATGTTCTGAGGCACACATTGACCTATATCGAACATAATCAGTGCAAGATCAACGAAAAATCACGACTGGTTATTGCCATACTTCCTGGATCAGGCCAGACTTGCCAGAGATGGTTGAAGGGACGACATGTGAGAGCGAGCGTGAAAATAATCGCGGTTGCTGACAATCCCACCATCACCATCAGCGGCTTGACGAACTTCTCGGTCCACAAGCCACGAACGACGCGGCTGTAGAAGCACAACATGTTGAACTTGAGTGTCCAGAGAATAACAAAATACCCTGTTAGGCCCAGGAGAAAAATCTGAGAACCATACGCCCACTCTTTGCGCTCGGATTCACTCATGTTTTTCCTTTCGTTGAACGTCAGGTCAGACGTGTGCCGCCCCTTCGCACCTTGCACGAAGACCTGGCCAATAACGGGCGCCGCTGTCCACATACACTACAGAGACAAATAGATGATAAGTTGGATGCAATCAAGAGAGAGCGATTCAGCACTTACAGCCAAGGCCACTATTAGGTAGTCGTCCCACTGGTAGCCTCTGTAGCCGACTAGCTTTGTGCGGCAAAAGATGCGCGCCGCTATCATGGAGGCACCGATGACGTAAAGAATCCATATCTCGACTATTTGGCCTGTGACAGACTGAGCCATAGCGCAAGAAAGGTGGCAGAATTGTAATCAGAAGCTAGGAATGCCAATATTGTGGGAAAGTCAAAGGTATGTTTCTTGTTGCCCGGGGAAGGCCAGAATATTTGGTTTTGAACCAAGCCATCAAGCCATAGACCACTCTACCTCGCCACAGAAGGAGGTATAAAGATGCATGTAACTGTATCTGTAACCTATACCCCTATCCCTGGTCTGATCCCTGCGCCTGCACAATGCAATTCCAGCTGCTATAGTTATCAAAGTTATGAAAATGCCTGGTTGTGAATCGTTACATGCTCGAATTTTGCTGATCTTTACTCCGTACAAAAGAACCCACTGAGAACCAGGCACAGTGGCGAATTAGCTGGTCTCAAGAACCATGTGGGCGATGTTCATGCAGTTGGTTGGAAGTGTTACGCGCTCCGTATCCACCAACCCGACAAGGCCTTGAGGAATAAGGTTTACGGGGGCAGATGAAGGAAATCGTAAGTTTTCTCGGACGATTTATGGGCCTTCGCTTTGCTGCGTTCCGCCCGGTTTTGATGCAACCGTAATGGTGAATGGAATCCGTGTGCTCGGGGCTCGTTGGCCAGTATGCAGGTGTCAGGTTTGAGCAAACTTCCGGGCGATGCTACTAATGCGGGTGAGGGCTTCGAACTGCAACAGTAACGAAACGGCGTGGGGATTTTCTCGGCGAATTACCGCAGGAGGAAGCTGCGTATATCTCGTAATGAGAACGGTTGCCGAGCAATTACGAAAATGCTGTGGACCAGCTGTTGCTTATAGACATGGCTCAGAGCAAAAGAACTCGGAGTAGATGGATCATCATGCCTAAGCGAGCAACGGGTTGTGGATATCAGTACATATTGTGAGGCGTATGAGAAGCAGCGCGGACCCTTTGCCAGGACGAGAAGTATCTACATAGTATGCGAGTGGGATAGGCCGTTCCTGTTCATATCGCAAATCGGCGGCCTTGACTATGCAAGACATCTCCTATAACCGAGTCTGGGGTGAATACGAAGAAATCCACTCCCCTGCTTTCGCGGGAGCCAAGGGTTCGGGGGGCCGGAAACCAGACTTCCGCCGGCCACACTATGCAAAATATGGTTAGTTCATAGATCTTGGCTTCCGTGCGTCGTATGTTGATGTTGGTCCAGTGTCGCGGCGTAGCCAGATTTGTAAGGCCTTATCCTATCATCCTGCTGCGTGGGTATTTTTCGTAATGGCCCGCGGCCGCAGTGTGCATTACTTAGACGATGGCTCGGCCCATCCCTCCCCCATCTGAGTTTTCCCATTACAGTACCCCATATTACAAACCATCCATCTATCGTCTTTGAACTCTGCTGGAGCCATGGCCGCCCCGATCCGAGTTGCCGTCACACAGGCAGAGCCTGTCTACCTCGATCTGGCAGGTTCTGTGAAAAAAGCATGCGCTCTCATTACTGAAGCGGCACAAAACGGAGCTAAGCTTATTGCTTTCTCCGAATGCTGGCTCCCGGGTTATCCTGCCTGGATCTGGTAAGCGATTACGCTCTTGGCATACGAGTGCTTTACTAATGCGACTTGTTTGTGACAGGGCACGATCGGTCGATTTTGAACTTCAGACTCGGTACATCTACAATTCACTTCCTGTGGAATCAGAAGCAATGGAGCTAGTCAAGGCTACTGCCAAGGAGTGCTCGATCGCGGTCGTGCTTGGGTTTTCGGAGCTGAGCCCATCCCATAGCATCTACATTTCACAGGCTATTATATCTCCCCAGGGTGAGCTTTTGTTGAACCGACGAAAGATCAAGCCCACCCACATGGAGCGTACCGTCTTTGGTGAGGGATCAGGTGGCGATCTAAACAATGTTGTCGAGGTCGATTTCGGGGCGGAGCATGGTAAGATCAAGGTCGGATGCTTTGCCTGCTGGGAGCACACACAACCACTGTTGAAGTATCACAGCATCTCCCAGGGAGCGGCAATCCATATTTCGATGTGGCCACCGATTGATCCTACGACTGGTGTGGACCATCCAGGCCTATGGAGCATGACTGCTGAAGGGTGCCAGAACCTATCCCAAACCTACGCCATCGAAAGCACTGCCTACGTGCTTCACAGCACTTCGGTATGCACTCAGAAGGGGATCGAAGTCTTGAAAACCCAGGATGGCCTGTCTTGCCGGCAGCCGGGTGGTGGCCATAGTTGCGTGATTGGACCTGATGGTCGACGCATGACTCCGCCTCTCGGCGACGGGAAGCCCGACACAGAAGGCATCGTTTACGCCGATCTTGACCTTACCAAGATTGTAGCAACCCGGGGGTGGTTGGACAATGTTGGTCATTATAGCAGACCAGATCTGCTGTGGTTGGGTGTTGATAGACAGCAAAAGGAATGCGTCATTGTAAAGCGGCACAAGTCAACGGAACTGGAAGAGCTGGAAGAATAGCCTAGAAAGAAACTTGTATCCTCTATAGTGTAGTGTCCACGGTAAACATGACCTGTCTCAGTCTTGCATTGACCGCTATAAAAGCTATGTTATAACTGTCTTTTGGGTTAACGCCGAGTATCCGGTAACAGTTCCGATTCACATGGAAGCGGCTTAAATCTAATCAGGCAACTCGCCTCTATATCCGAGATCCCTAGATGGGAATAGGGAGTTGCGACATATCCCTGCGTGAGCGGCATGCCCGATTATGCCTACACCGACATAGCCGATCCACCTACCCGAGAAGATTCTGATCAACGAGTGCAGCCCACTTTCGGAGACATGCGATCAATTCTACGAGGCTAAGGTATTACCGACATGGCAGGGATAAATCCTGGTACAATTAATCTAAATCCACCATACGGAGTAAAGGTTCAGTCATAGCGCTCGGTCGTGAGTCTAAGGATGAGTTTCTATAAAGAGCTGTCCAAACTGCGTCTCAACCGCCAGAGGCCTCTGGATCAGTAATCGAGTCTACCATCCTACGGACTCAGACCAGCAACATGAACCGCCCAGGGAACCTCTCTGGAGACGCCAAACCATGGCACCTCGTCAAAGCTAGGACCGACGGCCTCCTTAGCTCCCAACAGCAGTACTGGTACCAGACAGTTGGATATGTGCTAGCGGCTCTTGTCGACAGCGCTGGGTACAGTCACCCAAGACAAGTCAGAATCCTCAATCACTTCGCGAGTCTGGTTGCGCCATATTTGGGCGTTGCCCCTTGGTCAGATTTGCCTCGCTGGAAGAGCTTCATGACGGACGACCACACTCCCGTCGAACTGAGTTGGGACTTCCACACAGGCATCGAGCAACCCACTATCCGCTATTCCATCGAACCAATTGGTCTTGATGCTGGCACAGTCGCAAATCGCCGCAACGACAGAGCCGCAGCAGACTTCAAGCAAGGCCTGGTCAAGGCATTCCCAGACACAGACACCGCCTGGCTTGACCACTTTGAAGCATGCTTCAATGCGTGTCGGACTGATGGCGTTTCAGAAGGCCACCGTTCCACCATGTTCTGGGCGTTCGACCTGACCGAGCAGGCTATCATGAATAAAGCCTACTTCTTCCCCGGCGCCGTGGCATATGCAAGAAATCGGTCCAAGTTAGCCGTCATTGAAGATGCCATCACCTCTGCCCCTGGATACAGCTCAGAAAGCCTCATGTCTTTCAACGTCTTTACCGACTATGTGGGCCAGCACTTGGACGTGAAGCTCGAGGTAGACATGTTGGCCCTGGACTTGGTCCCGGTAGACAAGTCCAGACTCAAGATCTACTTTCGGGACAGAAGGACAGATTTTCGCGCTGTCCAAGAAAACATGTCTCTAGGGGGCCGGATAAAAGACCCCAACTTTGAGATGGGCATACAAAGGCTAAGGCGGCTTTGGGATGCCTTATTGAGCACACGAGACACACCTGATAACGTCCCCCTCCCCCACAAAGATCACAGGACGGCGGGCATCCTCTATAACGTCGAGTTCCGCACGCACTCCAAAGTCCCAGTGGTGAAGGTTTACATACCCGTGCGACATTATGCAAAAAACGACAAGCAAATCATCAGCGCGTTGACGGGATTCTTAACCGAGGAGGTTGGAAAGCAGCGAGGTCTTGCAGTCGCACCGGCAAATCCCGAGATGTACTCCAGATGTCTACAGAATATTTTGTAAGTCAGATGCGACAACACTTACCACTTTTGCTACATGGAGCTGACTCTTTCCAGCAATGCGGAAGCCCTTGACAGCAGTCTTGGTGTTCACACCTATATTGGCTGCTCTATACAAGACAAGGGAGACCTGCGCTTGGTGTCTTATCTTAACCCCCAACAGTTTAAGATGAAAAGTCGCATAGCGTGTGTCAGAGGTTAGGGTTCTCAATTATCACATGATGAGCAACGAATAGTACATAGGATGTTTGTCTTGGAAGAAGAATGTTTGCGCCAGTTACAATAGAAATAGTTGTATTTTATACTTCCGCGTCCGACTGGGTTCCCATAACATAGAATTGCTGCGTCCTAGACTCGTGGCGCAAAACATGTGGCATCGTAGTAATAGAGAGTAGGTGCCGGCCAAACTGGCACGTCTCCGCAGCCGGGTCTCTCTTAATCAGGTAAGCTTGACTGTCATAAACAGTGTCCAGTGTTCACAGAGATACTCTGATAGATAGCAACACCGGCGTGCCATCTTCGGAGCATTATTTCCACTGTGTTGGAAATTCAGTTTGTATCAAACAGATTGTTTCTTCCCCACACGCACCCTCTTCATTCAGACCCTTGTCGCAGCTGATGACTGGCTACATCTGATGGGTTGATGGGTTGATCCATGAGGCTGTGTCAACCAACACAACACGTGACAGCCGTCTAGATAAAGCGCAGGGCAACATGTGAGAAGATGGTAAAATTCTCCACTCTCACCATCATCTGCAAGACATCAACAATTCTGCTCGAGGTCCACCCAAAATGTCGAACGCGACCAGAACACAACAACACAAGGCTATCATCCAAGAATACGTCTCGCAGAACCAGGACATATCTATCCAGGTGCCCATCATAGGTCATAGCTGGAGCAGTTGTCGCAGCATCTTGCACAGGGTAGGATACACGCCTGTTCCGTAGATCCCTGTAACGTATCGAGTCTCAAGACAGCTAAGTTCATCAGCTTGCCTTTCAACACGACTACTGGTATGATGATCCCACGACAACTGCGAAGAGACAAAAAGTATCGAGGTTGAGGGTCATCGTGTTACTCTGATCCTTTGGGTGTACGAGGGCAACAATCACGCTTTCATGGCCGAAGTACTCCGAAAAAGAAATATCTTTCTGCTCGCATATGACGTCACCGACAGGAATACTTTCGATTATATCAAGAAGTTCCATCCTGAGGTCTTTGGAGCTGATCAGGACGGTAAGCCCATCTTGGTGTGCGCTGGCAAGTCCGAACGCCCGGAGGAGGACTGGGCTGTATCGGCACAAGAGGCCGAGGAGTTTAGCACGACTATCGGAGCTCGGTTCATGAAGTACTCAGGCCGGACTGGATACGGGCTAGACGATGATTTTGCACGTCATATTGCCGCAAATGCGTTGCTGGACTTGGCCGGGGTCAACTATCGGGGGCCTAACAAGATATTGCAGGTGAGATCTGTCCCCAAACGGTGGCGTCTTCATTTGGGTGCCATATGCGAGAAAGTACGAAACTGTTTTCGGAACCCTTCCAAATAGTTTACTGTCTTTGCTTTTGAACGCCAACGTAATCTTTAATTGTCAACGCCTCCACCCAGACTCAAATTTTGTCACGTCATGCATATGTCGATGACTACTGTAGTGTACCAGAAGATACATCCCTGGATGATATCAAGCCTCCGGGGACTCATACAAGCTGCATGGTACAATGTGACGAATGAGATATGTCGGTGGCTATTCGCGGACAGTGGCATGTCGCCAAGGCAACACTAACAATTGACACAACTAATAGATATCGAAGATAGGAGTTGGCTTTAGGTGCAATTCCCAAATAGAGAAAGTCGCAATAGTGGCGAGAACTGGTATTCGAATGCGCATAGCAATAATCCCATCATCAAGCTGTCTACCTCTCCGCAACAGGAATCCTTACAGGACATGTTTAAACAACGGAGACCTGTCTCCCATCTCGAACAATTCCTCCTCGGTGTACTTAATTCTTGCCTCGTCAGCAATCTTGGCCTTCCGCGCATTCTCCATCTTGTAGCTCAATTCGAGGAAAAGCGCAACGATCAATCCTGTGGCACCAAAAGCCAAACTGAGACCAAACCCTGTGTAATACTTTGGCTTCTCTCTCTCGAGGTACATAAAACTGCCAATGATGCCGCCGCAGTTTCCAACGCAGTTCATCAGCGCGATACCGACTGCTCGTCGCGAAGAAGGGGCAATGTTGTTGGCGTTCCAAGAGGCTGCTGCGGCTTGGATAGGATAGATGCCGACAACAGCGAGGACCACGGAGAAGTAAGCGACGGCCTTCTTTTCTTCAAGGGCTCCATTCAGTGATATGATGATGGAATAAGCTGTTGCAACAATTGCCATCGGGGTTACAACGAATGGCATTCGCCAGAAGAAGCGATCGGAAATCTTGGCAAAGACGATAGCTGATATCGCAGCAGCAACATAAGGGGGAGCAGAAGTCAGCTGAGCTTCAGTGTTGTTGAAACCCATAGATTTGGTGATGGTTGGGAGTGTGAACTTGATGCCTGTTCCCTTTGAGTTAGCGCGAAGTTGCGTAGGCTTGTCTGGGATAGTTGTACCGTAGGAAAGTGCCGACTGGCACAGGAGGAAGTAAGCTTGCACGTAGATCCTCCAGTTTGTTATAACCATCTTGATATCCTTCCACTTGACAGCATTCTCCTCGTGGAAACCTCCTCCTTGCTTGATGAACATTGAAATCTCGAGATATCGGATCTCCTCAGGCTCTAGCCAACGCGAAGATAGGGCGGGGGTGTCTACCAGTAGGAAGAAACACCCGATGCCAATCAGAATGGTAGCAAGGCCTTCGAGGATGAAGATCCAGCGCCAGCCTTCATAGCCGCCGACGCCATCCATCTCAGCGATACCAGCAGCGAGCAGGCCGGAAAAGGCACCGGACAAGGCGCTTGCGCAGTAGAAGTATGAGATTCGAACCGACAAGTCTTTGGGCATGTACCAGTATGAGCAGAGATAAATGGCACCAGGGAAGAAGCCTGCTCTATAGTTCAACATGTTAGTGGAGAAAAAGACAGCATTGACACGAAAAGACTTACTCGAAAATGCCCAATAGCACGCGAGTAGTCATTAGACCGCCAAAGTTCTGAACCAAGCCTGTGCAGGTCATGATTGTACCCCAGCAGGTGGTGAGAATGCCGAGGTACATTGATGGACGCTTGAACCTCTTGAGTAGAATGTTGCTAGGGACTTCGAATAGGACATATGGGACAAAGACTGCCGTGTGAAGTATTAGCATGTTCACTGGGCGTTGATCAAGTATCCCTTACAGATAGCCAGAACAGTATTGTATTGCACTCCACTCATGCCCAAGTCCTCCACCATGCCCTCGATCTTGGCATTGCCGATGTTGGCACGGTCGATATGGCAGATCAGATATAAGATCGCTAGTGCAGGGATGAGACGAACATCGACCTTTGCAGGATGTCAGTCTCTGCTGCTTCGCTTGCATAGGACCAAAGCATTCTTACCTTGCGAAAGACCTTCTTGCGTTTCTCCTCGGGGTAGTTCGTGTAGAAATCGGCATCGTCTGGATCCAGGCCGAAGACACGAAAGGTGCCGATTTCGGTTACTTCGGCTGCACCTTCAAGATGAGAGACCTTGTGATCGAGATCAAGGTCATTCTTTTCGATCGAGTTTTTGGTAGCCATGGTGGGCCAGAAGGTGCCAAAAAAATGTTGGAATCTCAGAGGCCGGACCCAGGTGGTGAATGGCGTTGTGACGTTTTCTAGACGGCGTTTGACAGGACTAGGCGACGTCTTATACCCAGAAACCTTCTGGTTCTGTCACATCTTCTACTCAACCCTTGCTACTTTACCCCAGAAAGCCCTGGTCGAGGCAACATCCCGGGTGGACATGTCATCACCAAGTGCGGGGTTAGTCGTATCATAGCACGGAAACACAAATGAGGAGGCCGTGTTTTAGACTCGTGATACGGATAACAAGCGTTAGGTTATCCGATGTAGCATTCCTATGATGCGGAAAACTTAGCGTTGCATTAAGGTGGTCGCGGCGGATAACGTGCCGCGGACTATTCTTCTTAGATCATCTCGTGTAGATCACGGAAATAACCCATCGGATATCTGCCCCAGGCTAGTACCCTGGCATCGTGACGGCTGCATGCCGACTACATATCTATCCCGTAACGCAGATCGCGCAAGTAGCCCTAGTATTCCTTTCCGCCCAAGACAAAAAGCTCCCCGTGACTTATCTTCGTCTCGACGTGTTTCGCCAAGCTAGCGGAGTCACCAATTCAAGGCCCTACTACCTTGTGGTAATTCGGATTTCTATTCAAGGACGAGATCCATCAGCTTCGCGCAAGAGTCTGAGAGAACGCAGGTGTGCATTTGTCTCAAGGTTTGAGACCTTGCACAGGGCTTAGCTTGGGCAACGAATGAGCTGATTGTTTGCTTTTTATGGCAAACATATCACCAATGTATTTGCCCGGTAAGATGTCATTGTAAAATTGTCGGAGCCCTCCCCCGTGAAGGCCCTGTTCTCGGTTGTCATTGTCAGTTCAGGCATGGACCTCTTGAGCCTGAAGCTGAGGACTACTCCCGTTCAGAGAGCGCAAAGTCACAAGCGTACAAGGCAATAAAGAGCTCGCGCTCAGGTATCGTTGCTCGGAATTTTACTATTTGTTATATTCCAACACCAACTCAACCCTCCAACGTTCAAATATCCGACAGCATCATTCCCAACACGGAGCCCCTCGCAGAGTAGCAGGCCACCACCAGCGCTCAATACAACCATACAGCAGAGCACTACTCTCCTAACGGAGAACACTCCTCCTCTTCGACTTCGGTACTTGAGAGGAGCACCGCCGTCGCCATTTGTGTTCGACCTTGTCTCCAGGAAGGACTTGCCAATGGCGAATCCTAGGGTGTCTCGGTGTGCTCGTGGCGAACTAGCGTTGCTGATACCCATGAGTTCCAACGCAATACGATGGGCGTGCTCTCTAATCGCAATGCAGTGCGCTATCTACTCGCTAATATCCATTTTCCTATTGTACCAAGTCACTGTTGCATGTCGTCCATTACACACTTTCTGTCCTCGCATGCGCGGCGGGTTTTCCTCTCACTTCATCAGAGTGTATAGTGAACGAACCTCAGGAAATCACTGCACCTCGTAATCCAGCCACGTGAACAATGAATCAGCGCAGTATTCCTACTCAATATTATTGGCCCGGCCTTGCATACTTTTAGCACGCGCAGTGAGACAGACAGTTTGTGGTACAAAGAATCACATGATGAGTGTGAGCACGGCGTTTGAAAAAGCCCGAAACCCGATGCTGCGGGGTGGCGTTGTTCCGTTTTATCATGTGTTACGCAACAAAAAGGCTGTTCTCCCGTCAGCCTCGCCTTCTTAAAAACCTGACCCGATCACAAATCTGAGAGAAGAGTCTCAACTGCTCTCAACTTCTCTCTTCCACCACCCGCAATGGTTTCTTTCAAAGAAATAAAGGCCTCCAACGCCCTCATCAACGATGCCACCGCCCCAGGCGTCGCCGTCTTCGTTGGCGGCACATCAGGCATCGGACAACTCACAGTGAGAGCCTTGGTCGCCACAGGCGCAAGCGTCAGAATCTACCTCGTCGGGCGCAAGAGTTCCGAGGAGCGCACGCGTGTCTTCATTCTGGAGTTACAGGCCATCAACCCCAAGGCGGAAGTCATTTGGACCGAAGGCGAGGTCTCGCTGCTCGCCGAAACAAAGAGAGTTTGCGAGGTCATCAAAAGCAAGGAGTCACGCATCGACCTACTCTTCCTCACCCCGGGATACGCACCATTCAACACACGCCAGGAGACTGCCGAGGGCTTGGAAATGGTTCAGAGCTTGGCATACTACTCGCGAATGCTGTTCATTCATCATCTTCTGCCTCTTCTGAATAAAGCAGAAGCCCCCAAGGTCGTCAGCGTTCTGGGCGGGGGGCTAGAGCAGACGACTATCCTCTTGGACGACTTGGACCTGAAGAAACCCGAGAACTTTGGCCCTATGAAGGTTCAGCTGCAATACGTAACGATGAATACGACGTCTTTGGAAAAGCTGGCCAACGACAACCCCGATGTGACCTTCATCCACTCCTGGCCCGGGTGGGTCAACACTGGAAATGTATGGAGGGGAGTAGACCCGGGTTCGATCATGGCCTGGTTCATCTGGCTTATTCTTGAGCCCCTTATCCGCATATTTTCGTTCAGCGATGAGGAGTCTGGACAGAGGCATTTGTTCCAAAGCACCAGTGCTGCATATGGCGGTCGGGGTGTACCATGGAACGGCAAGGAAGGTGTGAATTCGCTGGAGAAGCCGACGAATGGGTTGTTTATGGTCAACTATAAGTGTGACTGTACTCCGAATGCAAAGGTCATGCATACTCTTCGAGAAAAGGCGCAGGCAAAGATTTGGGACCATACCCAGGAACTCCTTCGACCTTATCTATAGGCCGGAAACTTCTTCATGAGTTCAATAGACCTTCTTTTGCCCCTTTTTTCATCAACAGGTATCAGAAAGTGGATCTCAAAGACGCAAGTGTCTAGAAAATAGATTAGACGTACTCAACTCTTTATTACACTGAGAAGCAGAAATGCTACGACTCCTCCTGCGCAAAATAATTTCACTTTATAGTTTGCATGATTTCCAGCAGATCTAGCTTTTTCAAGACGCAGCTGTTACTGCAGCTCATTGAGGTATTGGGAAAGGTAATCAGTTGGACTAGAAACCTTAGTCTGTCTAAGTGTACTGTTTGTTAACCTTTAAATAGACCGGGTATGTAGTCTGTATTGTTGATACTAGTGTTGGTGTTTTCTCTTTTTACTTTTGAGCTTCTAGTCCCCCCTCTGGGTATGTGTACTAGGGCACCCTAATCTCTTGATACTTTACATGATATCTCGCATAACTTCAACAACTTCCTTGCTTCAAGTAGACCTGACAACTGCGCTCCATTATGCAGGCGACCAGGTTCTAGTGCTGAGGGCGAACATGAGGCTGGCCCCGCTAACAGTATTAGTGATCTGTGATTCATCAAATGCGACTACTCGATTCCCATCTGCAACTCAATAGAACACTATCTGGCGAGCCAAGTCACGAGAGTGTTTAAACTGTCCAGTTCCTTATTTTCCCAACAATTTCAGGTTCACATTAATCTCCTTCCCCAAGGGAGTCCATACCACATCCCAGCTGAATATCCAAGGTGGCAGTTGTTTAGCCCGCATACGTCGTGGTTACCTCAGGACATCAGACAGTACCCATAAGCAATTCAATAGAACCCATAAATAGAAACATCAACAACATCCAGCTTATTGTAACCCTGCCTCATTATCTGACGAGATTTGAGCTTCTGTCTCCATTTCGCCGAACTCCCACAATGTTTAAGGCCCACGAAACCTTGAACTTAGGGCTCAAGGAAGGATGTGAAAGTTGAAGGAGAAATTCCTAAGAAGCCAAATGGTATATATTGCAGGGTAGGTATTATCATGTTGCCGTGCCTGTCACGCCCACTCACTCCTCCGTCTAGCTAATTTATTCAAGGCGCCTACTATAATAGGGACCGTTACTTAAAGTCGATCACCTTTCACGGAAACGGGAGCATCGGGTCCTTCTAATCAAGGACGAAACATGACGTTCTAGCAAGGGTACGTCATAACTCAGCGCCTCCTTATCTAACGGAAAGCTGGGCGTGCTCTCTTCGTCTAGCTCGTTTTCTAACCATTCCTGCGTCTGCGTCATCTTGGATAGCACCGCCAACACGAACGTCGTCAATACGACCAACTACTGGCGCTTTGCGAATTTGGTCTGCTTACGAACTTCACCCAAGTATTATGTCACTACTTATTTAATTCTTCTCATTGATATTTGCGAATATTTGCCTAGCACCCTTGTAACCAACCGTTGGTCACGATCTTCATCCTTCTCCTTTAAAAATACTAGCTTCTCGGCTTTAGGTACATATTCATGGGGCCTTTCTCCCATAGGAGGTAGAATGCGCTCCGGTCATCCCAACCCCTACTCTCCTCGGCGACCTGGATGTCAAAATTCCACACAAGCCTGGCGAGTATTAAACGCATCTCGGCATACGCAAGGCTGTGCAGATGTAAAAAGAGTCAAGTTAGCGCACATCAGAAACCACAGTAATGGGTATCCTTAAAACCAATAGGCATTGGAAATTGCAGATAGGCTATCAACTCACTTCTTCCCAATACAATTCCGCGAGCCAACCGAAAACGGCTGGAACGCTTCAACTTTATCGTTTGCGAAACGCGGGTCCCCAAGCCAACGCTCGGGGATGAATTCGTCTGGTCTGGTGAAGTTCGCTGGGTTATGGTGTGTAGCCCACTGCCAGACTTCGACTTTTGTCTGTGAATCAACGCAAATATTGCAATGTCAGAGATCGTACGCATTTCTCAGGCAGGCACGCCCATATAAGGACCACTTACACCTGCAGGCATATACATGCCCATGATCTCGTCGCCTCCTTCGCAAATAATCCGTGGCTGACCCCCTGGTGCGGGTGGATACATGCGCATAGCCTCATCTAACACGGCCAGCATGTAAGGCAGCTTCTGCACGCTAAGCAAGTCGATCTCTCCTTCGGTGGAGAACGTCGTGCGAACCTCCTCCGTAAGAATGGCCAGCGCTCGCGGATTTGTTCCTAGGTAATACGCTGCTGCAGACAGGGCAGTGGCTGTTGTTTCGGAACCGGCAGTGATGAGTAGTGATGAGTGTGACGCCAGCTCATCGAAGGTAAGCTCCTAAGTTTCAGTCAGTCGCCGGCCACTTAATCAGCTGAGACTCCTCTAGCGTATATAGTATATGCTAGCTGCCCAGTTATCATATGTTTGAGCTACTTACATCCCCCTTGGACGAACCACGTCTCGTCGTCATGGCTGTGATGAAATCTGGGCGGTTAGTCTCCCTCGCCAGCCTTTGGGACACCTTGGCTGCTGAGAGCTGATTGTGTTCTGCGAGCTTTGTGGCCAGAGTCTTGGGTATAACAAACCTCCTTAACAGAGGACCAATGAGAGCAAAGCGTTGTAGCTGAGCTACATATGTCAGGTTCTTGATGCTGGAGAAAACAAGCGACACCCAACCGTGATACCTCGATTCTTCAAGGCAGCCAAAGGGCTCGCCAAAGGCTAGATCGCCAATGATGTCAAAAGTGGTATAATTGAACCACTGGACCATGTCAACCCGTTTCGTACCGCCAGCACTTTCGTCGTGAAGCTTTTGGATGAACATGTCGACGTATTGCTTGATAATGGGCTCCTGGTCAAGCATGACTTGGGCTGAAAAGCCGTGGGCCAAGGATCGCCGGTATCGTGAATGGTTTGCCCGATCCGCGCCAAGAATGGTCTTGCCTAGGGGTCCAAGGTGCTTTGGGTCTTTGCCGTGCTCTCCCATACCTGCCTTGCGGTGGCCACGAATTTCCTTGGCTGCATCAGGGTGACTAAAGGCTACAACACCGGGCGCCAGTCTCACGGCAGGGCCGTAAGCCTTGTGAAGTTCCAGCACTTCCCGAAGAGCCTTGCCGGACAGGAACATGCGAGTATAGGGTATCAGTGTCATGGCCCAGAGCTTCGGCCCAGGGACATTCCGCAGGGGGTGGAAGTAAACATTGTATATTGCGGTCAGGAGGAAGTATCCAACTCCCTGAAGTGGCAGATTTGCGGTTAGTAGGTGAATGCACGGGAAGGGGCATGCCCGTGGGATTTGGAGTGTCCAGCATACCAGTCCAATTGAAAGCAACGCTAAAGCCGTAGCAAAATGCATCTCAGGAAGTGGCGTGATGTTTTGGGCGAGGAGTCCCATGTTGAAACGTGTGTCGGACTCGTTCAAGATGTTGGAAGTTATTGCAGACTGCTCGACGCAAGAGATTGTATCGCCGTAGTAATGGAAGCTATGATGAAGCTCAAGGAAATCAAAATATTTTAGAAGCCGCGGAGTGAGGTCGCTTTATATCAATTACAACTACGAATGCCGGAGATGAAACCTCCGAGATCAGCATCGGTATCGGGTGCCTTAAGACCGATCAATCTCCATCATGATTTCTTCCTGCATGACGAGAAAGGCATAGATATACATGGACTGGGGATATGGAACTGCCAAGGACAATTCTAGAGGCGGCAGACTGCGGCTAGCAAAGCCGAAGCGGCTGGGCCCGCACATGCATACCCCTTACTCGGGAAATAGCCCGGCTACGTCGGCAGTTGGATGGATTCATTGGTGGAGATAGATTCGGAGAGATCGGTGGCTGCCAAATCCCGCGGGCGTCTCAAGTCCGCGGACCCGGACAAAGGAGAAGCGACACTGGGCAAAGCCTCATTCCCACAGGTAGATGATCTCCTTCAACGTCGCATCCAAATTAAACGTGATGCCGAAAATGACAAAGATGAGGGTCATGGTAGCAGTGGAGGCCATTTATCAGGCGATCTACTGCGACGGGTGACGGCGATAACAAAGGCCCACGGCGATTAACCACCCGCCGTCCACCACCTGCTCCCTTTGTATTGATCTCCAGCACAGATACTTCCTGAAAGTTGATATAATCCCGAAGTAGTTACTACCAAGAGATTCCCCACCAGTGTGGAGAATGCCGATCGCTGCTTTCACCGAGTCAGCGGCATCCCCATCACACTCTGTCCGAGATCAGTCGGGCTTTCATCCCGATCATGTGAAAGACAAAGAACAGTTATTTCCACTTAGCACTCAATCGCTCATCTCCGCTTTTTGGCGCGCCGCCTTTGCAGATGTACACCTCGGGGACGGCGGCTTCACTCCTTCACATGAATGGGAAGCAACGCGAACCATCTTGCATCATCAGCGAGATGACTTGGAAGAGGTGAAGCTACCAACCTCCAGCATGGCTGAGTATCTAGAGTACATGCTCATATGAACTGGTGGTTGGTCACGGTCTGATTGGTACGGCGCCGAGACTTTTTGGAAGTATGCCGATAGTATGAGTGCGCATGAGAGGTTCTGTGTGCTCCGGGCAGTCAGGAGACATATAGTTCCAGCCACAGCCGATCCCTACACGTTTGTAAAATCACGAAACATGGACTGTGTCGGCCGCGGAGTTGCCCTGTCCCAGCTTCCGCCGTCACTGCCGCTCAACTATGGACATGGCGTGAAGATATCGCTCCCCAAGGTTCCTTATCGCACGGAACTATCTTAAAGCTTGTAGCTACCTAAACATTTTCCTAGTTGGTCACTTATAATAAACATTTCACAGTTAACAGTGACTGAAGGGGTGTCCCGACAAGATTTCAAAGGGTTTCCTGCGACTCTTGACACTTCCCAAAAATGATTCTTCAGACCCAATCGCGCCCATAATAAGGTGCTCTAATCCATCCGCAAGCTGTGGCCACACCTTTTCGACGAACTCAGAAACAGGCATACCAAAAGACCGGCCCCTATCAAGTCCCATCTAATTGTGAAGCTCGGCTTTGAATAGTTAGTTTCATCCGATGTGGAAACAATACATGCCCTATGAAGGGTGACCTACCCTGTACAACTGGAGCCGAGACCTCAATGATCTTTGTAGAAGATCCCACATTCTGTCGGTGCAGACAGTCTACTTACGCGGTCAAGGCCGCCTTAGAAGCAGAGTATGCGGGCATAGTGGCGGCTGGAACATGTGCAAGTATGCTACCCGTGATAATCAAGGCAGTTGGGGAGGACTTGCTCAGGAGATGGGGGAGGAACTTGATGGATAGATCCACGAGTCTGGTGAAGTTGGTGGTCATTTCTTGATGGAAGACATACAGGTAAACCTCTGTAGCTTTGGACAGCTTTACTTGGCTTTGTGTTCCAGAATTGAGGAACACGCAATCGAGATCGAGATACTGATTCACGATTCTGCAATTGGGTCAGAATTGTGCCAGCACAATAAGTATATTTACTAGAACCAACTACCCATTGACGAATGCATCCATTCCAGCTGTGTCCGTGACGTCATATCTTACGCCACTGGCCTTGACCGTTCCGTGCTTCTCGACAAAAGCATCAAGTCTCTCCTGGCCCTCCCAACGGCAATGACTTTGCTGCCTTCGAGGATGAACTTGTCTGCCAATGCAGCTCCAATCCCAGAGGTGGCGCCGACCAAGAGAACACGTTTGTATGGAGAAGACCTGGTTAATTTGTGTCGTAAGCTCGAGGAATCAGAGCGTTCTTTGGTCGCGCAATCTGCATTCGGATGGAATGGATGGCGGCTTTATATAATCGTTGAGGCCAGCTCGAGAAATACTCAGATAGCTCCGAGCTGGCTCTTGCGGTAAGATACTAAATTTACCTAATAGGGTAGCCTTCGGGAAGGTTGGCGGGCATTCTGGCCACAGCTGTGAGTAACGGTGACGAGTCTTTCCGTCACGCCCGGATACTGTGGAACAACCATAGAGACGCAAGCGCCCTAGCAGCGATACTACATTCGGGTAGATTCAGAAATCACCGAAGGTCCGTGTGGTTTATTCAATAACCCAGCTGCTCTCATGCAGTCATTGCATAACACCCCGTCATCGCCCATACAGTCCAATAGTCGATATCTGATCTTGTCCTAAGCATATCGGTGATATCTTTGGCTACCCGGATGTTCCCCTTCTCTGCCATATAGTCTATGGAATTGCAGATCCATTCCTGGATATGCGTGTCTGTTGAAACACACGCGGCGAGGTAAAGTGGCGCCAGCAGAGCCCTGCACTGGAGCTTCTGTATAGATGAGAAAGGTTCTGCATTGTCTGGTCTGGCCCCTGGAAGGATGAACTGGGGCACCGTGTGGCATATTCGCCGTGAAATACGGTTGATGGTTTCAGAGGCATCAGGTTCGGAACTCTGATGATAATCTTTGATAATTTTGGCCATCTCTAGACGCATTGCCCTCAAAGTGTTCCAAAGCTGTGTTGCAAAATGGCTGGGGTAGACGTCGTATTGCCCATCGAGAAGCTGTAGCCCATGGTTGTCGGCCGCTAGGACGACTACGGGCTTCCAAAACTCCGGTAGCGTCTTCTCCAAGCTTGCTAGATTTCGATCAATATCCTTTGCCTTCTCAACGACCCTGGTCCTGTCGCCACCTCCGTCGTGATAGACATCGGCTCTCAGATTCACGATATGAAGTAGTATGGCCATAAAGTCCCATTTTTTGTCCACACCAGAAACGTCGAGCTCTTTGCGTAATGATATTATGGATTCGGGAACTGGGACCATGGCAGCTCCGCAACTGATGATTAGTGTTGTGACCACACTTCTGGTCAGCTGGCAAGCGATTGGGTTGGAGAAGTTCAAGGATCCCCGCGCTGCGACCAGCGACATTGCTCCTTGGACATGGCTCATCCATGAAGGCCGTGTGTGAGCTTCGCGATTGGATAACTTCTCGTACACATCCAGGACCAAGACCGATTGCAGAACCTCGTTGCTCTCGAGCGCCTTGGGGTCTCGCAAAGCTTGACCCAGGTTCTGAATGGCTGCCACGTACCTCTTTTTTGCGAAGCTCATGATTTCTTGGCTCTCGAATTGGACAGCTGTAAAGGCCAGACTGACTGCGTCGACACTGCACGCGAGGTGCCCCGTGGCTGGAGCTTGGGTATAGAGGGTGACGAGAGAGGTATAGCTGTGTGAAAACCCTGTAAGATACAGTGAAAAGAAGGTTTCTCGACAGCATGTAGTCATGTCCATACTCAGGCCCCACAAGGAAAAGGGAAGACAGGATGCTTCAGCGGGATAATGCCTCGAGCGGGCTAAAACCTTGTGCCTAGCTGCATCCGTCTCGTCGCGGAAGACCAAGTCCTGCAGATTCCGGTATCCATGGCACACGATTTTGGCTCTCTGGCACTGACCGCAGCTTTCAAGCTTCAAGTCGCACTGCAATCTCTACATTAGCGAACCTCGGACAGGTGATGTACTCTCCTCCTAGGAGGTGGGGGTAAGGGTCAACCACGCCATACCCGGAGCTTCCGCTTCCTACAAGGAAGACAGTCCTTAGAAGGCCGGCCTCTGTTCACCATGGTACTTGGTTCAGGACCTTCTTATTGGCGTAGCTTGTACCTGGCGAGACAACGCCGATGAAAAGATGGAGGTGGCCGAAGTGGATTGAATCTGGATGATAGCGATCTGCTGAATTGGAGGTGAGGCCACTTGTAACGGAAAAGGAAACCCATCCGGAGTTTAGAACAGCCCATTCCGTGATGGGTCAAGCGCTTATCAGTTGGAAGCTTGGAGAGAAGAAACTTTACCGCCTTCTTGGTGGGGAAGAGTCCCTTTCTTGGCATAGCTTCGTGGAGAGTAGATTGAACGATGTGACAACTGCGTAAGGCTAGCCCGATTAGCTTAGTTGGTGGGAATAATTACGACAGCTACATGGTTTAATGGCAGACTACACATGCAGCTCCTGTGGAGCAAACAACCTAGATTTAGATGATTCAAGACGTCAATGTTTCAATTTCGAGCTGCTTGAGCGGAATTTTATCTCTATCGCTCAGGATTGAAGCTTCTGAATCACCTCCACCAAAGTTTTACCGATAACTCCAGCACTGGGCGGGTTCTGTCCAGTCACAAGATTCCCGCTCTTCCCACTAACAACCACCTTGACGCCAAACAACTGATCCGCCTTCTCATACTTTCCGCCGTGGTTTCGCAGCTCATCTTCAAGCAAGAAAGGCATCGCGTCGGTGAACTTATAGGCATCTTCCTCGGCGTTGGAAAACCCCGTGACTGCCTGGTCCTTGACCATATACGTCCCATCCGAGAGCTTGATATTGACCAGGGCCGCAGGGCCGTGACAGACAGCTGAGACAATCTTTCCTGACTCGTAGAATTCCCGAACCAGCGCGTGTGATGTGGTGTCCACGGCGAGGTCAAACATGGCTATTGTGGATACGTTAGTCTCAGCAATGGAAGGGGGTACGAGCGGACTTACGGCCATGGCCACCGATGAAGAAGATACCAGCATAGTCGGAAGACCGACCTAGAAAACTCTCGAGTTTCATGGTGTGTTTCCAGAGGTGCTCTTTGTCTCTCAAAAATTCTTGGCATGCCTCATCCCCTTTGGAGTCCTCAATAGAGTAGGGATCAATCGGGGCCTCGCCTCCCTTCGGGGAAGCCATGACGATATCGACATGAGAGACGAGATCGTTGTATGGGTGGACTAGCTCAGGGAGATACCAACCAGTCTTCATATTATCCCGCGTGGGGAGAACATCCTGAGACGTGAGGACGACGAGCAGCTTCGGTCTGGCAGACATGGTAGATGGATGCGGTCAACGCTGGTGGCTATTCAAATTGTAGGATATTGAAGATGTTGCTTGACTCGAAGCTATGATACACGACAAAATAAGACGGGAAGAGCGTTCGTTTTAATACCGAAGGTTTTCGGAGCTGGGCGTATGCGGAGGGCCCCCGTGCTTACGATGCATCGCTTCACAGAACTTTGACTTTGACTAGCCAAGCCAAATCATGGCCCTAAATGAAGTCATTTGTGGATCAAGATTTACCGTCGGACTTAAGGTAAGGACCACGTAATCATTTAACGCCGAAAATGTCGGCGTTTCCGAGATGTGAATTGGTATAAACTCCCGTCAACCTAGTCAAGTGTCTCGAACCACTTCTCATCTACAACCACGATCGTATCATTCGCTATATATCTTCATCCTCATCTCAAAGCTCCATTACTCATACAAAATAATATTTTCATCTTCAATTTACATCCAAAATGGCCTTCACCGTCACCGTCGTCTTCCCAAATGAGCCCGACGCCAAATACGACATCGACTACTACCTCACAAAGCACATGCCCATGATTCAGGAGCGTTGGGGAAAATACGGTGTCACCAGCTGGTCAGCCACAAAATTCATCGATGGGCTAGATGGCTCGCCTTCCCTCTACGCCTTTGGATCGGTTGTCAACTGGGACAATGCGGGCCAAGTCAAGGCCGCCTTCGCTGGGCCTGAGGTGGCGGAAATCATGGGAGATGTCTCGAACTTCAGCAACAAGCAGGCCATTTTCCTCCTTGGCGAAGTTCTGCACTGAGGAATTTCATCGGGTCTGCGAACCCGGTATGATGCTTGATTGTGGCAAGCTTGCAAATGCAAGGGGCTAGTCAATGGTATTATTTCAAGAGACCTTTTGTGAAATCATGTCATACTTGCGCCTATGATGTCTCAATGAACAGTCTCTACTCGCATTTACCGCTACCATGGAAGTTCCTGCTCATCCCAAGACCAAAACCTTCCCGATGTCTTCTCTCTCGTCGCTTTGTCAATGACGTTAACTATGCCGTTCACACCATCTTCTACGGCAACGGGAGCCTGCGGCAAACCCGAGCTCTGGGCTGCATGATTTCCAAGCTATCAACGGTTAGCACGAACCCCTATGTGATGCTGCAGAAAACACACATCTGTCTGCAGCCAGCCAGGATTGATAGAAAACGCAATCAAATACGAATTCTCGAAGTGGATCTTTCTGGTGATAAAGTTCAACGCTGTTTTGGATGAGCCATAGGCCGTGTTCTCGACCATTAGTTTATCCATTCCGCCAATGCTCCCAGCGCCAGACGAGATGGCGACAAATTTTGGCGTTGGTGATGCCGACAGCAGACGCGACGCGGCCTGGAAAAGGAGCAGGGGGCCAACGGCGTTGATTGTGAAATGATCCAGCATTTGCTGAACCGGGGTAACGGTCGCCTTTCCAAAGTAATTTGAGATGCCTGCGTTGGCAATGACTAGGTCCAGCTTTTCAATGCCGTGCTGCGATCTGAGGGTTTCAATAGCCGTAGGGAAATCTGCCTCGGAGGCGCTGTCGATCTTGACCAGTATGGCTCTGCTGCCTCGTCCAAGGGCAAAGGAATGCAGCGCTTTAGAACTCTCGCTATCAGGGCCCCGTACTGCGGCAATTACAGTGTGGTTGGGCCTACATGCCCAAGCCTTAAAAAGAGCCTTTCCAATTCCTTAGGCAACAATTAGCCCTGTAAACTGCACAAGAAAGAAGAGAATACCTCTGTTAGCCCCCGTGATGAGAACATTCATGGTGTCTTGAGTCTCGGATGGAACTGTTTTCGTGGACATAATGTGTCGCTGCTTCTTGATTTCGGACTGTAGCTTAAGATCTACTAAGGATTCGGTTGTCGGTGAAGTGAGAAGTCCGAGCATGAGACAAGACTTGGGTGGCTTACCTTTTATCATATTGTCAATGGCAGCTAAGTCCAATTCAGCTAGCCTTCCGTAGTAAATTGCATTGCCGACGACAGCTAGGTCAAGTTAGGCTAGCCCTCGGTAATAAATCCTGCCGACTCTCAGTCTACTATTCATTTGTCAGACTCCCACTGCACGCTTTTGAATGCCAGGGCTTAACTGACGATACTTCTAAGCCGTACAAAACTATTAGATCAAGACCCTCTTGTCTATTGCTATTTTTATAGGATAAGAGCAGTAATTCGAGAACTGATAGATTCTCGATATCAAGAGGTTGGGGTGCCTTGGTACAGACATACCCAGAGGGGGGATTAGAAGCTTAACAGTAAAAAAAACACTATTAATAATATGAATAATACAGGCTATTTACCTAGTACAGTCAAAGGCTAATATTTAGTCAGACGGATTAAGGTTTGGTGCGTGATTAATATATCATTATTATTCGTGCAAGCATATTATTATTATTCGTACAAGCATATTATTATTATTCGTACAAGCATATCGGAATTGATAGAAGTGATTATTTTAGCATAAAATATAAGGGTATGTGTAATAATACTGAAAGATAAATTGGAGACTTATAATCGCTCAACCCTTGTGATTTAATATTCGAACTGTTAACTGGTTTGAGGAACTATTTTCTGCACGGATATCTTCCTCTAAATAGGTCCTATTGTGAAATTGTAATCGAAATTATAAACTTTAATAAAAAAAGGATATAGCCATCAAGATAAAAATACATTCAACCCCTGCTCAGCCCTTTGACGCCATATGGTTAATCGCAATATACGCAAAGGTCAAAGCCGGACCCAGCGTCGACCCGGCTCCTAGATAAGCCCTTCCCATAACGCTGGCGGTAGTATTCCCAGCCCCGTACAAGCCCTCCAGAACAGCCCCGTCCTTCTTGAGAACTCGTGAAAATTCATCTGTGAGCAGGCCCCCTTTCGTACCTAGATCTCCAGGATAGATCTTGACGGCGTAGTACGGAGCCTTCTCAACGGGTCCCATGTTTGGATTCGGCCTGATGTTGAGGTCTCCAAAGAACTGATCGTAGGCGTTTGCGCCCTTGTGAAAGTCCTCGTCTCTGCCTTTGACACACATCTCATTCCACCGTTGAATACTACCTGTTAGCCCTGCAGCATCGACGCCGATTTTCTCGGCAAGACCAGCGAGTGTTTCTGAGCAGAACAAACGACCCGCTTCCTCTGCTTTCTTCTCCTTAGCTCGATTCCGAGGCGGTAGGGAGCCTAGTGTGTACATGTCAAGGTACTTCCGATCCATAATCAGCCACGAAGGCACTGCCGGAACCTCTTTGTGTCGTTCGTACATGATACGGCCCGTATCCGTGTAACTTGCGGCTTCGTTCATATACCGCTGCCCAGCCGAATCGACGATAATGCAGAATGGCCGAGTACGTTCAGAAAGGGCAAAATGAGGATTACCCATTACAGGGTCCAGGATTGTCGGACCCCACCAGGCTTCCTCCAGCAACGCCGTTTCTGCGCCGGCATCAACACCTGCTGTGATGGCGTCTCCGTTGTCACCCGGAGGCACACTCGTCCATTCCACGCTGGCGGGTTGGCGTCCATGCTTCTCCCGCAGCTCTTTGTTCCTCGCAAAGCCTCCAGCGCAGAGGAGGACGCCGTGGCGAGCTTTGATTGTGCGTACTGCATCATTGTGCTTTACAGTCGCCCCAATGATGGCGCCGTTAGGTCCAGAAATGAGCGACAATAGCGGCGAGTTGCGCCATATCTCCCGTTCTTTCTGCTTGTTCAAGTATAGAAGCTGTGCAATGAGGGCGTGGCCCAGACCGACTTGCTTCTGGCCCAATGCGCGCCTGACAAGTACCGGTGTCATGAGTCGCGCTGCGTACAAGAAGTCTCGCACAGATGACATTGCCCTCGTCAAGCGAGCTGCTTGATAGATGTGAAATGGCGGAATGTAGCCGTCTCTCGCCAGCACCCAATCTGCCCAATCGCCCAGCTTTCTCTTGTCGAAAAACTCAGGCTCGAGTGTGCGCCCGCCGGTCTCACTGGCTCCGGGCAGATGGGGGTAGTAGTCTGGATAGTGTTGCGTGAAATGCCACCGATATCCCTGGTCTTTCAAGAAGTCAACCATTTGTGGCGCGTTGTCAATGAAGGCCATCCGACGAGCGATGGATGACGCTGGGCCAGGGTCGCCGTGCTGCATGATGCCATGTTCCATGTATTTCAAGAGATTCTCGCGGTTCTCGTTTACGCCATGGGATTTGGCGATTGAGTTTCCGGGCACCCAGCATCCTCCTCCAGAATAAGCTGTCGAACCGCCTACTTTCTGTCCTTTCTCGATGACGATGGAGTTTAAACCGAGGGAACCGGCGCGGAGGGAGGCTGTCAATCCGGCTCCACCACTTCCTACGATGAGGATGTCTGTCTCCGTGTCGAACTTTGTCTCGCGTAGAGCTTGCGTGGAAGCGAAGAATCGAGGTGTAGCTGACAAGGGCCTAGACCATAGCCGAGTTCTGCTGATGGAGGACTGGAAAACAAGTGCACTTGGACACGGCCTGCAGGTCCTGGGTAGAATCATTGCGAATTAGTGTCAGGGCGGCAATATTCAAAAGTGGACGAGCGCACCATTTCCTCAAAGACTAGATTAACATATATAAGACACACATATCACAAGGCCATAAAGCAAATAAGTAATCAAGACACTGGTCAAGGTTCCCCGCAAAGAACGGACGTCTCTTGGAACCCGTACCCGAAAGCGAAAGCGAGCATCCCACCATCTCTCTCGAAGCCAAAGCGATCTTCTGATCTGGGGAAGATGCCACTTTAAGCGGAGTAGCTACTCCATAGGGTTAGTGGATGCAAGGATAGCAACCAGTGATGGCACTTCAATATCGACGAATAACACCTCCTCTTCAAGCCACCAGCCAATTGCTATTGAACATGATGCAGCCCGTCCTCCCTCCTCCCTTGGCTTAAGAAGCAGCGTCCCTGGAAACACGTTGCGTTAGCACGCTTGTCCTCCCTGGCACAACACCAGGCTGCGTTTGTGACGTTTGAACCTCATGAGAAAACTGCTTGGCAATGACTTCCCAAGATTGCCAGTCGGGCTGGTAACGAGACCAGCACTTTCTTCTTGTGACATGTTGATGCGAAGTGAGGGGATTTTGGATTGAATAGCGGAATTCGAAACACGGCAATAGCTCACAAACACCGATTAAACCTCTCCTTTTAAAGACCGCCAAAAGCCTGTATAATATTTTATGACGATTTATGAATAACTCTCGGCATGAGAGCTTCCGATACGCTGGCTAAATAAACCCTGCTCTCGTATACGCGTATATATGCATCCCTCGTATGAAGCATCCCATTCCAATCCTACCGCTTCCCGGTAATCACAATCTACTCACCGTCTTTGCTCGGTTAGTGTACTTCCCTCCCAGGCATCTTTAGGTTAGATTCTGCCAAGGCCGTAGTTGATTAAAAAATAGGTGAACAGGGATGACTCCAAATGCCCTGCTCTGGGTTATTATGGAAGATGTTCGCTATTTTGGGTTTGTGCCAATCACCTTGAGTAGAAAACCACCACCCAAGGTACTCCCTGAGACAGACCCCTTATAAGTAGCGGATTCTGCTCGAGGGGGGAGAGTAATAGGCATCTAGATATATATTGGAGCTATGCATAGTGCTCCTTGTCGATACCGCCGGAATCCTTTGTCACGGCAGATGTATAGGGTAGTTCGGTACCTGAAATGTTCCGACGATCATATTATAAGTCTTGGGTGGCCGGGTCTTTTATCGTATCTCATTGATCGTGGAAAGTGCTTGTGGGGTAGCCTAAACGAATCGGATTTCAGCCGGTACACAACTCAGTTAGCGGATACTATATCTATAGCCGAGCCGACTATGGCAATTGTGGTATCTGTTCAACGTAGGGAAATCCTGAACTGCTCCACAAGCACTTCCACTGTCAAGGAGATTGTCCATGAAAGCTGAGTCGAATTCGACTATCCGTCCTTGGTCAGTCGCATTGTCTAGGAGAGCTAGGTCAAATTAGGCTAGCCTTCCGTCGTAAATCATGCCGAACTGAGACTCCGTCTACCATACTTGTTGATTTGTCGATTAGAGTAGCGGTATGTATGCTTGACGCTGAGGGTTGGGGTCTTGTAGCTAAGCTTAAATATTCTTAAATTACTGGATTATATTTAGAATGCGGCGCGGCCGATTGCTATTCCCGCCTATTTCCGAAGTCTTCTCCTTTCAGTCTATATCCCCTCCAGTAAATTCCTCGTTCATAGAGTAGCACCGACTGCAGAGTGTTGTTACTTGTCGAGGTGGGAGCATTGTGTGGAAGTAGATAGTTGCTCAACCGGAACGCTAGCCTGTTCTGGTCCGTGTAGTTGCTAAGTCTACCTCTGCCGTCACATAGCTAGGAGTCGGCGGGAGAACTCGCGCCCATGCCCGATTACAAAGCAGCATCGGCCTTCGGATAGACCGAGGCTGAAGCCGAAGCTGTAAGACGACCGGTGCAGGGTGCGATCTCGGTCTCGCGACTTCAATCTCGCGACTTTGGTCTCGCGTTTCGGTCTCAACCCCCACGGATTCAAAGCAATATTGCCCGCTCATAGACGGGAGTCCAGAAGCTAGGTTATGAAATCCGTTATGCCATAATATCGACTAATTACCCTTGCCACACATAAGGCCTTTGTACACCCAATGAGAGCCCTACTTTACCCCAGTTGAAAACGGGGGGGCTTGTATGACTCTGTTGTCTCTTCTTGTTCTTTCAGGCCAGATGCTGGGTTTACCTCAAATAGTCTTCTGTCCGGACGTTTCGCTTATTGGATATAACTCGAGTACCTGTGAAAAGCTCTGGACGGATTGTCCATTATGATTTAGCCCTTGCGTCCTACAATATCAGCTATAGCTCCCACGCTGCATCTAACTATTTCGTAGAGTAAACATGCTCGTTCCTAAGACTCTTGTTGATTATTAAATCTCCCCATTAATACCTTCCTCCTGGAACTCCGGGACACGGCTTCGATGGATATCTTGAGACGATAATGGGGAATGGCAGTATATTCCTCGCCTCCCCTCAGGCAACCGAGGTTTTCGAATGCATGGCGGCGGAGGCTGGCCAAAATCCCGCAGACCTGCGGCAGCTCTTAAGCACCGACGCCAACATGCTCAGCTCTGACGGGGATCAGATGACCGGTCTCTCAGGGCTATCCTTTCATGCCAACAACACATGGGGTCGCTACAGCTGGAGGGATCGCGTTCTTGACACATTACACACCATTGATAGAAAAGGCAGGCAGAAGTACCCTCTGGACCTTAAGCTCAACTCATATGCCTCCAAGATTATCTTCAACAAACCCAAGAAGGGCTCGACTCCCCGAGCTATAGGGCTAGAGTATTTGGAAGGTAAAAGTGTCTACCAGGGCGATCTGCGCTACAACTCGTCGAATATAGGAACCCTTCGTCAGGTATATGCGAAGAAAGAAGTCATCCTTAGTGGCGGCGCGTTCAACACGCCGCAGCTGCTGTTGCTGAGCGGTATTGGACCGGGTGCTGACCTCAAGACGCTTAATATCCCAGTTGTTGCCGACCTTCCGGGAGTTGGTGCTAATATGCAAGAGCATAATGAAATTGCTGTCATCGGGGAAGCATCTCAGATCTTCAATTTTGACGCAGCCCCCGGGTTCCCTCGCTCGCAGTGTACATGGGGTGCCCCTGGTGATCCTTGTTATAAGCTCTGGCTACAGGGAGAGGGACCGTATACACAGCCCGGCCTTAACTCGGACGTAACGTTCCTCAAGACCAACCATTCCAACATTGACGAGCGCGACATCGCCATCTTCTCCGGTCCGTTTGCTTTCCGCGGTCTATAGCCTGCAACTCCCAGTCAGTCATGGCAAGATCCCCCCACCACTTGGGGGCTGCATAGTGTGCATATGTATGGGAGCAACCGCGCTGGATACCTCAAGCTTCGCTCCAGTGACCCAACTGTTCCACCCGAGATCAACTTCCGATTCTTTACCGACGAGGGTGCCGACGAGGATATTGTCGCCATGAAGGAATTCATCTGCTGGGGCCGCCGTGTGTTCAACCGCGTCCAGCAGCCGGTTGCTCCCTTTAACATCACCTGGCCCCCTTGCGCGGGCTCGATTGATACAGACGGCAGCTGCTCTATTGTTAAAAATGACGAAGACTTCATTCGCGAGAATAGCTTTGGCCATCATGTCACTGGAACCTGTGCTATTGGTCATAAGGATAACCGGAATGCTGTTCTCGACTCCGACTTCCGTGTTCACGGCGTTTCTGGCCTGCATGTCGTCGACGCGAGTGCTTTCCCTAGGTCCCCAGGGGCCTTTCCCGTTCTCGCAACCTATATGCTCAGTGAGAAAGCAGCAGAGGCTATTTTGTCACACAAATGATTCTTTCTGTCGGGTATCACAACCAGAATAAAAAGTCTATATCTCTCTTAGAGTGCTTTTATTCGGCCACTCTTTGTTTTCTAATTTTCTCCGAGATAAAAATACAACTTTACTTTACTGTTCCTGTTGACGCAGGATAGTGTTTTTTACCTGAATATATTAACTTGGCACATACGCTGCGCTCCATTAAAGTCGCACATTGCTGAGTATCTACGAGCATAAAAGCGCTGAACTTCTTCACGACAAGCCTTCCAACCTAACGGCAATGGGCGGCAGGCTCAATGTTGGCTTCCGTCTTTTTCGCCTGACGGAACAAAGCTGGTGTACCGCCTATGGGACTGGGAGGCTACAATTCTGCTGGGCTTGCGTATCCTCGACCTGACGACGGGCCACACAAGTAGCCTGACATGGGGCTGGGACAACACGACGAGATGGTCCCCTGACGGCGGGCGCATCGTTTTCACCCGGCAGGTTAACTGGACATCAGAGTACGCCAGTGTTTGGTACGAGGACCGCTTCGACATCATGACTATCCGGCCAGACGGCACCGACCTGACGCGTGTGACTGATAGCTTGGTAAACGATGCCCACGTGGTGGGGTTGTATGACGGCCATATCCTGTGGAGCAGCGGCATGTACGGCTTCCGTGACGTGTCAGCCCAGTACGACAACACGTTTCAGCCCTACGGCCAGGTCATGGTGATGGATGCGGATGGCTCCAACAAGCGTATGTTGACCGACAGTTTGTGGGAGGACTCAATGCCAATGTATGTGCCCGTAGGTAGGGGCTCAAGGACGGAGGGCTCTCCCTTGTAGCTGAGATTAAGTCGTAGTAGTAATCCTAGTTGTATGTATTGAAAGTGCTCGCTGGTGAACTGGATGTGGGCCAATCGTGGAACTCGGGGTCTCGTCAGGCTCCAGTCGTAGGTACCATGCTCCCGTTTCTTAGTCGAAGCGTTGTGTATATAGTTTCATGGGCCACTCCGGAGATAAGAGTAGAGACCCAGCTATACCCTTCTCTGAAGACTAATATTAATCAAGATGCAAGGATAATCGAGCAAAGATGATCGAGCAAGGGTGGTTTTTGCGTTACATTAATGATGCGAGTAAATATCAAGCCTGTGGGGTCTGAAAGTCGGTGCCAAGATTTAGGCTGGCTGCCAGGTTGTCTGCCTAGTGCGGCTGAGGTTGTACATACCTACTTACAACACGCTATGTTCCATCGCAGGTGGATTAGTCAACGGAGTAAATACTCCCGCATCGTAGATACTTTATCTTTATCAGTTGCCCAGCCCAAGGCCCGCTCAATTTGCCAGCTATATACTCAGCCCTTCGTCCTGTAAAACCATCATCAGCCTCCCATTCTCAAACGGTAAATTACAATCATGTTTCTGCCCGCCAAGTCCATCCAGTGTGGAATGAGTAAAGAATTAAAGATGCCCGACTTTGCCTTACATGCTTCCATTGGTATCTGGAGAAGTCGGACGAAGCTGAAAGCTCCGTCACCACGACTACGGTGTCACCTCCGTCGACAGCGTCGGGCGCGCCCACGCCTCCGGCCGAGACGCATGAGGGACAGCCGTCGGATTGCAACAAGTGGGACGTCGTTGAACATGGTGGAACGTGCGACTCGATATCTGCCGCCGCCGCCATCTCAACAGCTCAATTCTTTATGTGGAATCCTGCTGTTAGCGAAGATTTCCTTACAAACTTCTAGCTGGGATACGTCTACTGCGTTGGCGGTCTGAAAAGTGAACCCTTCGATAATGGCTGAATAAATGTTGGCAAGTCTGTGTGTTAAATGCACTCCTCAGTCTTAACCCGCTGATTCCGATTATTAAAAAAAGAAGCCCAGTTAGAAACAGAGAAAATGCCTAAGGTTCCAGTCCGTTAAACTCCTTCCAAACCATCTTAAGTTCACCATGCCCACCTAGATCTTCAAACAACTCCATAACGCCCTCGTGCGGTCTCCACGATCCGACCTGCCATTCCAATATCCCCTCAACACCGTCTTTCCCGGGAACGTACCTCAATCCCCATCTACGACCACCATATTCGGCATCGTAGGGCGCCTCATCTCCGTACTCGTCCAATCTTTCTGTCGACGGGTTCCAGGACACATGCGTGAATAGCTCTGCCTCCTCGAGGGCGGGCATGCTTTTCAACGCCACAGCAAACGCCGACAGAAGTGGCTCGATCTGCTCTGCCAGCGGTTCCGTACGGAACATGTCGGGCGTGAGGTCATCCCTGACCCAGTTCTCCTCCCAATCCTCGTCGAACTCCTTATCCGCCTCGTTCGGCCCCGTGGGAGGGTAATGCTCATCGGTGACCTTGTAGCCGTCTGGGTTGGGATTCTCGCCCCGCGGCCCGACAAAGTACCAGCGTCCGTCAGGTCGGCAGGGATGAAATTCAACGCGAAGACGACGCATGCGCAGCCATTGGGCCTTGAAGAGGGCGGGTGTCAGAAAAGCGCGTAGATCAAGCTCCTCGAGGTACGGCGCCATGATGCTAAGCCCAGCTGATACGGGATCCTCGTCGGCGGGGTGCACAAGATCCGGCATCGGAACGGCTTGGTCATCACTGAAGCTGTAACGGCGCTCCCAAAACCAGAACCTGACCTTTCTCAACGACACGGGGATCTGCTCACGGAGTTCGTCTACTGCCCGGCCAAATTCGTGGCGCGAGTCACGCCACAGACCCTCCCAATCACGCGTGTAGATGCGCAGAAAAGGCGACTCGTAGGCGATCAGTGTCCGCTCACCGAGGCCGGGCCAATCGACCTCTTGCAGATCTGGGAGTCGTATTATGCACTCTACTATCGTTCGCGGTGAAACTGGACGAACGTGTTCAATCCCGCTACTGCCGGTGCTGTTGAACCTCAACTTGGTGAAGTACGGCAGTGAAGGTAGCGTGGCTGCATCGCTGAGATGGAGACGACGCGAGTGAAAATCGCGATGCAGGCACACGGGAAAGATGTCGTAGGATTGACGCTCAATTTCAATTTCGAGATAGGAACCATCTTGCTGCAGTGGCTGTCTGTCGGCTTCGGCGCTTGAATCCTGATGGGCTTTGAGGGCGTTAAAAAGGGCGTGAATCTGGGAGGAAAAATATGCGTTGATGTCTTCGAACTCGCCTGGCGTCTCGCGACAGGGCAGAGGTTTCTCTCCTGGGCTTAGCTTAAGGGGCATCCTCATCCTCATGTAATATCTTAGCGGTTCGGAGCACCCTTTCAGTTCATTCAAAATGTGCTCCTCTCGAGACGGCAGCGACTCGTACGAGTACAGCTTTTGGGACTCGTCATAGCCATAATAAAGCAGCGGCGGCGTTTGTTCGGCGGCCGCCTTGGCACGAACAGGAAGAGTCTGGCCTTTCAGTTCCGAGTCAGAAGAAGCCATGATGAGAAAAATCAATGAGGGTTGAGAAAGAACAGATGTCAAGTGTTATGTTGCGTGGAAGGAGTTGCAGAATCTTGCGGGAATGGGAGCGGTTTTATACCGTAGGTGCCTTACTTTACCGAGCTACGTGCCTAAAAACAGGGTGCCTACGACCCCTGTATCGGCTATGATAAGAATTACGTGGGGCGGGCTCCTTACTTGGACCAGGATCCACAAGGCCTTAATTCGGCTGTCAAATATTCGCTTCTACTTGTATTACAGGTATAAATTGTTAAGTAGCTAAAAGAATAGCCGGATCTCACCGGCGAATAGATATTCTAGGGTTATATAGTGCTATTCCAATACTGACTGACCTCGCCACCCGGATCATCCCTACCTCGTCCCCTGGTGTCGCCAAGTGTTGATAATATCTACATCTGTCCTATTCTGAATACTGAGCGAGGACGGAGTTTCTGAAATGACAGCAACGTACGGCACCTAAGGTCTTTTTCGAATGGTCAATTGCACAGTCTACAGTCTGTTCCATTGCCCAGTGCAACCCAAGAACGATGGCAACTTCCTAACCCCAAGGAGTGGTCCAGTGAACTCCGCAAGCACACCACGTACTTGAGCAGATACCCTCAGGAGGCGCTACTGTGTATTAAACGTGTAGATGGTTAACCCGTACTGACGGACCTAGCTACTACTGTACAAAGGAAAGCTTGCGATTTACCAATATACAAAAGTCACTTTCCGTCATAAGCCCCTCGTAGTCTGGTGTAATTCCCTCCAATTTTCCGGAAGGGACGTGAGGAAGGGGAACTATTTCGAAAATTGTTTTCTAGTCTTAACTCCGGTGCTAGAGTGTGGCTGAGGGCAGAAAACGTGCTAGTTGAAGCGCCTTCATATCATATTCTCAGTCTAGATCCCGGGCTCGGCCCAACGTTGCCTCACTTACGCATGAGTCTTATGTGCACTGCAATTGAGACCTGGCGTTTACCTTGGTTTTATATATAAGTCCCATGTTCAAAAGCCAAAGAAGTAATGAACTGTAGCTTTCACAGGTTTCCTTTCATGCATTCTCAACCATCTTGAAACCCCCCATTGTAAAATTAGTTTACCTTGGCCAATACTTCGCGTGGTTGGCAGAATTGTTCGTTAGAAAAGCCGAGCTAAAGGATTCAAGTGCCCTCGTCCTACTGCAGCGGCAGTGCTTATTGGTGCATCTCCAGCCTGCCTGGTGCTCGTGGCGGCCGACTGTGACGCATTGAGCTGTCCCCCGTTAAGAGTTGCGGCAATAAAGTCGTAGCCCATGTCGAATTGAATTCCGTCAGGATTCTTGATGCCGTATTCAGAGTCTACAGCATGTCATGTCAGCTGAAACCGCGCAGTTACGCCGAGAAGGGAGGAAATGAGTTTATGAGGATGATACTTACACCAATCACCAGTCGCCTCTGGATGTGGACCAACAACACCGACCCAGCCTTTACCATAAGGTGTCACGGACGCAGCCACATCTCCATTCTTGGAGTACGTTGCTATCACTCTTCCGTGTCCCTCACTCTCCAAAGCCTTCTTTAGTCCAGTAAAGGCGGCGCCGTCTTGAAAGTAGACCCATCGATTCTTCTCAGTGTGACCGGAAGAGAATGTCCAGTCAACTTGAATAATAGTATCCTTTTCAGAAGTGACCTGGGCTCCGTGCTGGGAGCGCTCGTCCGTAGTATCAGCGCCCCTTGGCAGGAGGCCAAATCCAGGCGAGTTACCTGCAAGATATGCACCAAGGCAGAAGCCCATATAATGCCCGCCAGATGATACAAAGTCGTGTAAAGAGTCGTTGTACTTTTTGACCCTTCCCCATGCGTCATCCAAGTCTGTCACTCTGTGTCAGCCACGCCACCGGAAATAGGGCTGAGTAATTGCCTGCAGAGTTGACATGGGTTTGATCACTGTGAGGGAAATCTTACCGGGACCTCCAGCCTGAGCATAAACTTGTACGCCTTTTAGACTGTTTTCGTCTACATCCACATCTTCATCGGGCCCAGCATACGTGACATGAAATTTCCAGGGAGATGATTCAAGTAACTCGGCAATGGCTTCGGGACAGCCAGGGCACGCAGCTGGGCCACGGTACACCAATGCTCTCGGTGACGAATCTGTAGCTGCCATGGCACCTGTAAGAATGGACATTGTGATTAGCAACGTGTGTCGCATAGTACTCAACCTTGGTTTAGAGCAAGGCTTGAATGAAGAGGAAGGTGTAGACCATAGATGAAGTTGATGAGGGAAAAGTTTAGAGATTAGGAGCGGAACCAAGGCTTAAATATTGGAATGGCGAAGCCGCGCCAACACTGATGCGAACACTGAGATGTGGCCTTTGTGGCGTTTACGATTATACCAATCACAGGTTCAGCTAAATGTTGGCTCGTCATTTTGAGGCCTCTCTCGAATATGGTATAGATCCCCTAGTGCTATTATCCCTTTGAGTGTCGTAAGCCTCCACTTCCGTACCGTATATGGGGCTCCAGCCAATTAACGAAAGACATCTGAGAGGTACTTAAGCAGTCACCCAAATTTGGTGGCAGCAGAAGTCTAGTCCACGTTAGGGCGGTACGAAGATCTACATTGAATAGTGCCAAACCCGACCGTAATTGCTATTGCCACAGGTTCCTCTGGGTCAATCAACATCTTGAAGGGCTCTGTGGGGCTAGGTACGGAGGTGGAGGCTTACGACACTCAAAGGGATATGTTAGCGTGGCTGCGGCAATGGCAAAGTCGCTGGCGCAGTCCCACTCACAAATCTATGGCGTTTTGCGGTGGATGCTACTGGCGCTTTCGTACAGTATTGATCCAATGGAAGTTGGCTGATATTACGGGGTATGTGATCTTCAGAGCTAAAGCTTCAAGGCACCGCGGAATCTAACTCAGACGTTTGGACACCAGCAGCAGTGTGCTCTATATGCTACGCTCTTTAATTCACTTATCTCGTCATCTCATGACATAAGGTGCCGATTGACGGTATATGCCTAAAGTCACCGACTCAGGAGGTTTACATTCCAGACCACCCTATCAATCAAGAGCATGCAATGAAACATGTCACCAAAAGTGTCTTTAATCGGCGCTCTCCCATTTATGTCAGCATCAACCTTCCTGATAAACCTCACATTTCCGGCTGGGGTTACAATATCAACAGTCCCGCGATGGACAGAACATTTCACAACCACAAGACAGGCGAACTTCGCGTACGGGAGCCAGTAATTGGATCCACCACCTCAACACTGATCTGATTGGCTCCTCCGTAAAAATACAAGATGATCGGCCGTTTCCGGGGCTTGCTAAATAGCTCTGACATAAGCTCCCGGGATGACTCAGGCCGTGTTTTGGACTGGTTTTGGTATACGAGGTGCACGTGTTTTTAAGACCAAGCCCGCCACGCATCGTCTTGACTCCATCTCGTAAATTGGCGCAAATCACATCATTTCTCAGCCCAACCGACGCCAGCTCAGCCATGGCAGAGCCTGTAAAGAAGATAAAGTGGACGCGTGCGAGAGCGCCGAGAGTGAGGACGGGATGTGTAACATGGTATGTCGCCAATTCTGCAAGACGTTGAATACCTTACCTATAGTTGATTCACTTAGCAAGTCGGTAGTCCTCTCCCACGTACAGAGGTCGGAGAGCTTATCACCCATATAGAATACGCCATTTGAAATGCGATGAAGGTAAGCCAACCTGCAATCGTTGCGACAAAGATAAGTTCACTTGTGGCGGCTATGTCACTGTACCTGCTTTCATCCGCCGTCCCAAGCGCAAGTCAATCGTCAGGCCTTCGACCAAATTACCCTTCATCGCACCTTCATTATGCATCTCACTCCCGACGCCCTTGTCACTCCAGCCAGATGCCTCGTCAACCGAGCTTGACCTCTTCCACCATGTCCGGGCCTACACCGTCTTAGAACTTGCCAACTCCCTGCCTCCCACCGAATTCTGGCACAACTATGCTCTTCCTCTTAGCCACACCTACCAGCCCATCGAAGCAGCTATCTGCGCCCTCGGCAGCGCGCACAAGTACTTCAAACGTCAGGGTCAAATGGACCTTGTTACTCGAAGGACTTGCGAAGACGAATCTGTTGTGCAATACAACCTAGCTATCCGTGCCGCGCATCAGTACATGGGCTCATCTGAGAGGAAGCTCGAGGTAATCCTCACCTGTTGCCTGATCTTCATCTGCATAGAAAACCTCCACGGCCGCTATCAAAATGCTCTCCGCCATCTTGAGTCCGCTTTCTCGCTACTCAATGCGCCCTACCAATGGAACAGTTTGGAACCTTCAACGACTCCGGGTCAGCGACAGGATCTGACCGTTTTCCTCCGACACATCGAACCTTTGCTCTGCGGACTAGCTTCGGACGCGCAGTTTTACATGGACGATGATATGTCGATGAAAGTCATGTCTGGTCTTATAGCGTGGGTCGAAGCCCAGAAGCCCGTCGACCTCGGGGACACACTGGCTCCGTTCCCTTCTGCTCAAGCTGCAGCCTTGGCATTGAACCGGCTACAGAGCATGTGCGATGTGGAGCTTTGCGCAGACTGCATTTCCTCGGACGGGAACTGTTGCCACACTTCAACATCCAACTGTGACTCGGAGGACTGGTTCATAGAGACGCTGTTTGAGGCCTGGAACGCTCGTTTCAAAGCCTTCAGAGCGCTTTTTGATCCCGAAAAGGCTATCGAATCGGAGATTCACCGAGTGAAAATTCTGGACCTGGAGCAGATCACATGGGAAGCAACTATGAAAATGGACTCCATCAACGACGATCTGGATAGATCAGACTGCGAGGAAATTCTCCGGAGAGCAGAATCGCTGATTCAATATGAGAGCACCGGTCTAGGACGCACCTTCAGCTTTAATGGCCATTTGGTCCCACCGCTTTCGTTGGTGATCATCTCATGTCCAGATCCTGACATTCAGTGGAAAGGTGTGAGTCTGCTCCGATCCATGCACCGGCGGGAGGGTATGTGGGACAGTGAGGAGATGGCGAATGTGTATTCGGAGATGATCACAGCAAAGGAGAAGAAGCTTTTGAGCTGGGATGACATCCCAGGGGACGTGCCGGGCTTGACGGGGTTGCTTGCATCCCTGCAGCTTTCGCCGTCTTCCGTCAAAGACCTTTTGTAGAAGCATCAGGTTTCAGAGCCCCCTTGCTCGGCTCCCATAGTTAGCCAATGCTATCAATATTTGCTCCTGTCTTGAAGCCGATCAATCATCAAAAATATCCCCTTGAGATTCCAGATCTACAAGACGAATATGAAGAATTGACTGCTGTAAAGATTAGACAGGGATTCAAGACCCCCTCTCTCGTGGGAGAGAGAATCGACTATTTACTGTCCATCGCCCAAAATCCGGCGCCTGGCCCAACGTCCAATACGCGAACATCGAAATCCGGCTCAGGACTAATGCAGAGAGCTTTATTAATTTCCCCTCTTTTCCCCTCAAGACCTTGGATCCCTGACACACCAGACGCACCATCCAGCATTATTTGTATCCCGTTGTTGTTTAATATGCCGATAAGTCTGTCAGATATACTTCCAATACCTCCCCCAAAAGATGCTTATGGAAAAGCAGGCGGCATGAACGGCGGCGGCCCGGCCACTTGCCACCATTCATTTGGATGGAAAAACTCATACGGCTTGTCGTTCGCATCCAAGTAGAACAGCACTGAACCGTAGCTCTGTCGTTGATTGTCCGGCGAAGGCATGAGGATGTGAGCCTCGTACTGGAGGTGATCACTGGGCGCATAGTCGTGCGTCTGGAGAAGTGTCTTGAGCGGGCTAGGCTTCAATGTGGTCGACTCCAGGGCTTTTGGGTCCGAGAAGAAGAGGCGATAGTTTCTACCGTTCCCTCTCTAATCAACATCATCATCATTAGCAGGAGTACGTACAGTACACTTTATCTCTTTCGCTTTCTCATTGAAAGTTTTGGGGCAGGTTATTTTGTGATCGCCTACCGGATTGTCGTAAAAGCCCTTCACGATGGCCTGCAGGCTCGACAACCGCGGGTTTCCATGTGTCGAGTGTTGTGCAGAAATGAAATACACATCCGCCCTGACAGCAGAATAGAATTGCGCATGCGTCGTCTTTTCTGACCCATGATGCGGAATCTTCATCGCGCTGAACTTGAACAGTGGCGCCCCGGCAGCTAGGCCATTCTTCCACATGGCGATGCTGTGTCTGATATTTGATTCCTGTTCATACGCATCACCGGTGAATAACATGTCAAAGTCCTTCTCGCGGCGGCCGAACACCGTGACCACAGAGGCCCGGTTCAGGATCTTTTCAGCGTTTTCCGCCTCGTAGATGATGTCTTCGAAGGTGGGATCCTTTGTCTTCGCCTTGAGATAGTTGGGAATGTCGTAGCGCTGGCGCAGTTGATAAACATCCAGCATGGGGCCGACGATGGCTTGCGTTACATCGATGTCGTTGAGGATTCCATTTGTATGTTGACGAAAGACTTTCTGATCTGAGATGAGTTAGATCCAAGCATTTGTTGCTCTACCCATGGCTTGCTTGCAATATAAGAGTGCAGAGAGCAAGAGAGGGAGGCGACTGACCATAAAGAGGCCGTTCGTGGGTAATCTTATTGCTATGTCTCGTCTTGAGCAGCGCCTCCAACTCGGCGATCCGTCTAGTTACCACCTCAAACGGAGGATTCCAAGTGACCATCGGCTCTAGGCCATTTACTACTCCGGAAGTCCGACTAACTATGCGAAGTTCATTGTCAGCTTGGTCCATTAAATGCAGAGAAGAAAGAGAGAGAAAGAGAAGGGATTTACAATGATTCTGCGAGAGGGTATCTCCAATGAACGCCAACATCCACGGTATTACTTTTCGCAAATCTAGCGACATCTCGACATTTTCTCTCAGCACGCTCCTTGGCGCGTAGGAAGTCTCGTTTGTAGTATCGTTAATCTCACACAGGAACCCAAATTCAAACGTGCCTTTTCTTAGTCCATGACCAAATAAGTAATCGGCAAACCCCTTGACCATTGAGATCGGAATCAAGTAGCTTAGCATCTCCGATTCGCTGACTGTCGTCGATGACACGCCAACGCTGAAGCCTTGACCTTGCGTAGTGGACAGCCTGGCCGTGGCACCCGCGAAGATGGGAACGAGTCCAATATTTCCAAGCCGGGTCTGCCATTGGATCAGGTTATCCAGCCGGAACTCGAACCGGATATTAGGCTCGACGACCTCGGCCGCGGTGAAGTGGGCATCGATGTTTGGCATGGCTGGTGGGATATCCGAGTATCGTACGATAAGGGGGACAGAGTCCTGGCCCGGCTGGGGGTCAGGAGGAAGCTGGTCCGAGTTCAAGTTATTGAGGACGGACACAGCATTGCCGATGTGATCTTGGTCCAAATGCGTGACTTGGAGCTCGTAGAGGCGCGGCACGATGGGCTGTGGGTGAGGGGTGGACTCAGGGAGGGGGAGCCCGTGGTTCACGAGGGCGTGGATAATGGCATTGGCGATTTTGTTCTTTTTGGGGCCAGTGTCGATAAGTGAGCGGCGGACGAGGGGGGTGATATACTCATTCTCGAGGCCGAGGGCGAACTCGTACAGGTCGATGATGTTGGAGTCACCGTAGTCTGGGCCCGTCAACACTTTTCTTTGTTTTGATGCCTGCTAACATCAAGCGTTTTACTGTTGCCATCATTTGTTCTCCAGGATTGAAGCCCATTTAGAAGACAGCGAGAGACTGACCTGCGTCAATTACTGTCACTTGGGCCAGCAGCTGTATCCCAATTAGAACGAGCTACATTAATTCTCTACAGAAAGAAAAGAACGTACATTTTCTGGCGGGATATTGTCTGGGTACGGGAGGCATGTCGCCATCGTGGCGGCTTCGTAGAAGATGATTGAGACGAGTACCGACCAAACTGCATCTTGTGATGGGAATTCCAGGCCGCAGTATTCTTTTCTATGTACGTACTCCTCTCCGCAATGCGACCTACTACGTAGTACAGCAGATATTGAGCGTCTGCAGCAATAGTCCGGCCTAGCCATGCAGTCCGTCGATAGTCTGAACTACGCCGTTCAATAGTGCCAACGCTCCCACCCCGGCTCGGCCCGTTCTGGAAAGCTGCATGGCAATAGAGACTGTCGGCCAATAGCCAGTGGTCACTGGTGTGCTGCAATCGGCCACCTTGAGCTCTTTTCTTCTTGCTTCAAGACTATTGAAAGGGTCTCCCATACTAGGTCGGTAGTCCAGTACGTAGTCCTCTTTTAATTTTGGACCTTCAATCACTGAATACATCTTCTCTAGCATGTCTCGATCGCTGGAAAGAAGGCGAAGTAAAATAGCGACAGAAAAACATGTCGGACCCGGGTTCTGGCGTCCAGCAAGCCGTCAGTGATGTGCTATCTAATGTCCTCGCCGGCTTCGCCCTTCCAGTACCAACACCGACTCCACATCCACCTACATCTATCAAACATGCCTCCCAGAAAGATTCTTCTATCAACAATACATCTCCATCTTTGATCGATGCGAATGCCACCACACTCGACTACTCCCTCGACGCCACAGCCACCATCCGCCTCAACACCTCCTGGACGGTCCTCACCGGCTTTGAGCTCACACAGGTACAGTTTGGTGTACGCATCTCCAAGCAGGCTGCCCAGCAGCCCACACTTATCTCGCTGAGTATTCTCGCTCTACTTTCAGTCGACAAGGTCCCCGTCCGCGTCGTCGGCTGGGTTCCGCAGATCGGCATCCAGGCTGACGGCTCCATCACGTCGCCCGTCGAGCTGCACTTCCGGCTCGAAGCAGCCAGCTGCCTCAGCTCGATCAGCGCAAAGCCCTTGGTTGCTATTTGCGCTGGCACCGACTCCAATCAGGGCTCGGCAGCCAGTGCCTTGTCGAACAGCCTGCTGAGCCAAGTCGGGCCAGCTTCGTATGATTCCGGCAATGGACTGGCTACCCACGCAGATATCGTGGTCGTGCGAGATCCTGCTTCTGCGGCTCCCTCCAGCACTGACAATGGAGAGTCAAATGGACCAACGTACTATTTACGCAAGTTCGAGTTCGCCTTGTCTCAACAGACCGACTGGACCATCATCCCCCAAAGTCCTGACCCTCAGCCGGGTCGACACAGCTCTAAGCATCTTCCGCAAGAGAGCAAGTGACCCGTTCGATGGCTACGTCGACGTCTCAGGAACTCTTGCAGTCAAAACAAAGACGACTTTGAAAGCTACGTCAATTCTGTTGAGGGGTAGGATATGGTGGGAGAAGGCCAAAGTTTCAGTTGCAGTCTGGTGCGAAATCGGGACCGAAAGCACCGTCAGCCCAATCGAGGTTGTTGGCGTTTTAACTGCTGGCAGTGACACAGCAAGTGAGTCCCAGAAAGCCTTTTCACCCCCACCGGGCATCAATAAATATCCCGATGCCAACGGTAGGAATGCGTTCCGCGTGTTTGCCGTCTTTGAGATGCCGCTGGGTCCCTCGGGTGGAAGTAATGGCGGCTGGCAACTATCCGAAGTTCGTTCGGCCTTGATCATGCGAGTGTATTGGGAGCCTCTGCCAGATGTTATGCTGAAAGAGGTAACCATTGTCCTCGCTGCATGGTGACCAGGTCTTTTACCCAAGCCAGATACAGACGAGAACGACAAAAAGGTCGTTGAGGAGAGAAAACGGATGATCCCACCAGACCGAGCGCACCTGGACCCAAACCCAACTCTACCTCCACCTCTTACAAGCGACGAGAGTGGCAATGTGAATGAGATGGCCTACAGCGCATTTGTTAGTGGGAGAATCTCACTGGGTGGCAACACCCTCCATGTCTCAGCCTCGTACCAATCCAACACGGATATGCTCTCGCTGCGCTGCGACGTACCCGAGGAGAGCGTCACCTCACTCGTTGCGGTAGTGAGAGACCCCCAGCTAGCCTCCTTCTACGGCCACAAGCCCCAAACCAAAGATCCCAAGCCGCTGTTTGCCCTACTGGAAGAAGAAGAAGAGGAGGAAGAAGAGGAGGAACAGCAAGACGATGAAGAAGATGGCGATTCCGTCACTAGCTTCAGGACGGCTATCAGCACGTACGGCATTGCCTCTAGAAACACCACCAACACTGACCAGGATGCTGTCAACGACGTCCTCAAGACAATGCAGTTCCCAGGCAATTGTCCCGTAAGCCCTACATGGGCTAACTCTCCATTTATGGGCCGCCAGCGGTACTGCGTTGTGTGTATACAGGATTCCAGCATCGACCACATATCGTTTGCTGCCAACTTTTCCAAAGTCGACTGGACCATTGTCAAGGGTTTTGTGCTGAACTAACTCGGTGGTTGGTTCGAGATAAAAAGGCTGCCTGCGCCTCCTACTACTCCTATTTCTGCTTCACCTTCATTGAGTATCAGAGGATGCGCATTCGGCAGATTCACTGTCGCATCGACGATAAATCTGTTCGCTCTTGTCGCAGGATCTACGAACAATACACAAAAAGCCTGTCTAGTCCGGATCTCAGCTACTCCGGTGCCCAGCGGCAGAATCACAAATATCACCCCGGCCCGAATCTTGAACGATCCCCTCTTCTCCTCGACACTGCATCTGCCTGTGCCGGCCAAGGGGGAAACTTGGGATCTGCCAGATACGGTTCCTAGTACTGGCCCCGATACGGCGCTGCAGTCACTGGCCGCAGACCTCGTTCTGAGCTTCTCTACTGTTGCGTCTACCTCCTCGGAAGCTGGTGATCAAATGACTCTGCAGTATGCTCAAGCCAGTGCATCTATCACAGGCAGCTGGGAACTCCTTCCAGGCCTGGTGCTGGAGAAGCTTAATTTTGCCGTGCTCATGTACGCTCCAACAACCGCGAGTGGTACAGCAAAGACAGTTGAAGTTCATCTCGGGGGCCTCTTTACTTTCACACCGACGTCGTCGACGGGTCCTGCGTCCCTACAAGTTACAGCATCATTTGAAAAGACAAGCTCGTCCAGATTCTTTGCAAGCATCAGCGCAGAATCTTCGACATCAACCTCTGATGATGGCCAGGAGAAGAAGGCCCTCGGGATGACGCCCAACACCCTGCTGGCTCTTCCTGAATTTGGAGCCCAGCCCCTAACACAGGCTGAGACTGAAGCCGGCGAACTTGTTATCCCTTCGGCCTTCCCCGTGCAAGAATCCGATCTGGTTGCGGCGACGACTATATCGTGTGAGATTGACGTACTTAAGACTACCAATGCCGTGGGTTATGCTACTCCAGAGTGGAAACTCTCCAGTATGCTGTTCTTATTGAGTGCAACACCCACCCAGGCCGTTGATCTTCTTCCGGGCGTACTCTCCCTCTCTAGTATCTCGCTGTTGCTTATTTTTAAGAATGACCTTGCGTCTGTTACGCTATCGCGTAGTATTATGTTTACAGCAGATGCTACTATGAAGCTCGGCGTGTTACTGACTCTATTAACCCGTATTGAATTCTTTCAGAAAAAAAAGCAAAAGGTGTTGCGCTTCTTAGCAATTGCTGCGCCACAGGATGTCAACCTGGCCGTGCAAGCGCTCACCTTGCAGCCTCTGTCTTCTCTTCTCCCAGATGGAGCTCCTCCACTGGTGGGAAGTGGTAGTACTGTTCTATTGCTTGCGTTTGGGTTTACCTGTATAGGTTCGATTGGTAGTGATAATGCCAGTGAGTCCTTCTTGTTATCTGAAATCTGGGTTTCGTTCGATCCGGCCCAAATATGGACTATCGGCCCTCTCTCACTTACGTCACTGTCTGCTTCTATCTCATGGTCTGCCTCGTCTTCTTCCTCTCGAGGTCAAGTGAAAGGAAACGCCACTTCGGTGCAATTATCAGCCACAGCCGTCATTGGCAACATCCCCACCATGCTGGACATTTTATACCTGCCCTCTTCGGGAACTTCATCCGGCGAGACGCTGTCCTTTAGCGTCTTGGCCACCAATCATCTATACCTCAAAGACCTCATATCCCTCGGGAATACTTCTACGGTTCCTGTTCCCGAAGCGGAACCCCGCGAGTGTCCCGACTTTGGTCTCATCCCACTCGCCTCGCTGACGGGCATGTTGTCCCGGCCCCAGCCCACGCCTGAGACGCCCAACCCGTCATTTGCCCTTACAACATTCGACGCTGCTGTCCACTCATCTACCAGCATTAATATTATGCCGATAACCCCTGATCTCAGCCTGGTTCTGCAGAAGCTTTCGTTCTTGTGGACGTATCACGTTGGAGCCACACCCCCCAACAAGGCTAGTATTTATGCCCTGCTGGAGCTCGGCCCTGCCACACTGCAGCTCGTCTACTCTCAGGACTCGAACAAGAACGACGTGTACGCAGGTGTTCTTGCCGTGGGAAGCTCGCCAGCAGAATACGACAGTATTCTCAGCTCTCTGCTCCCAGGAACCGCGTATGCTATCGATCAGGATCTCAATGCGCCTCCGGCAAGTGCCCTCCCCATGGCGGCTGTTGCAGCTGTCGTGACGAGGAATGTGGGTGCCAAGATCTCTGCACAGGCTAGCGGAGGGACTTCGAACCCGTGGACGTTGCCATTTGAGAAGGTGACTCTCGCTCTGGACTCTGTGGGCATCGACGTGCAAGTGGGAACTAACCTCTTCCTTGTGCGCATCGACGTTGCTCGTGCCGGTGTGACTATCACCAATACACTCCACGAGGATATCAACTGGTGGTTCATGACACTGCATAAGCCGTCCCTGTCCATCTCATCACACTCCTCCACAGGAACTGGACCCTCGTTTACGATCGCCACGGATGCTTCCTTCTTCGACTTCGACACGACCATCAAAACGTCCATCACGTACATCCCACCAGCCTCTGACAAGGAATATCCCACGTATGAGGCCATGCTAGTCTTGCCGGACCCCTTCCCCTCTGTTTCACTTCTTTGGAGCGACGGCGCTTTTGGCATCGGGGGTTGGAATTTTCAACCCTACTGGGGTGAGGTGCTCAGGACCCGGGGCATTGGCAAGCTCGAGGATGCCATTCGTGAGGCCTCCAAACCCACAGGATCGTGTACTTGTGAGGAAATGGTGGATTTGATATTCGAAGACGTCGTCAAGACGAAATTCAACTTTTCATTGGGAAAGCCTAAAAAGGGAACTAAGTTGCTGGATGTGGATGACAAGGGCAACGCCACGCTCAACGGGTCTCTGCACATCACAATCGATATTGTCATTAACTTGGCCGAATCGGAAGCGTCCGGGATTGAAACCACGGAGCCGCCCCTCATCAAGGATCTCGATATCGGCACGTGGCCCGTCTCGCTGACCGGTCCGTTTAAGAAGGATGAGCTTTTCGCAATGTTCCTTAACACGGTGAGAAACAACTTTGTACAGCTTGGCAAGGCGATTCTCGAGGATGGATCAAAGCCTATAGCCAAATTGACGACGTTCATTCTCACCAAAGATCTTACCCGCAAGCTAGTCAAGTCGCTGCTGTGCCGGGACGTCAACGAGAAGCGCGTTGTGGATGCCGGAAACAATCAGGTTGGGTCTGACCAGGATGTTGCCTTCGAAGATGTCGTCAAGGTAGTGAGCAAGCTTGTCTCAGCCATCAAGACGGCAATAGACATCGGAATTGGCATTGGATGTGCCCTGTTTTTCGGGTTCTTGGTGGTTCTTGGCATAGCCGGTGCCGTGGGAAAAGAAATCTCAAAGCTCATGAATGATCTTTACGAGGACGGAGGGTTGGGCAAGCTCTTGACGAGCTTGGAGAATAACGAAAAGAGGGACAATCTTCTTGCGCGGCAGAAGGAGATTCTCGATGCACTGGCGACTGCTGAAGCCCGCAAAGCAGAGCTAATACAACACATGCAAGAAGCCATGGCGCTCAAGGGAGTCCCGTCGCTAACACTCAACGATCCTCCTCTTGTCCCAAGTCTCGAGACGCTGCTGGTCGACTGGACGAATGTCGTCCCGAACTCGCTGAAACCAGACCCAAGCGAACAGCCCCCTCCCGAACTGTCCAGCCTCGTTTGGAATGTCCTCGTCGGCACCACCAGCGATCCTACCGTGGCCAAGCAGGTAGCTACCGTGGCGTACCCTGCAACGACGGCTTTGCTCAACACATCGGCTTTCACGGCCGGGACACTGCATGTGTGGGTGCGTGTTAACCTGGTCAGCAGTGACAAGACCTCTGTGACTGCAGTGCCTGGCCCGGTGGCCACGCTCGACTTTGTCCCCCGGGCTTCTGCTCCCACGAGCGTCGTGTTCGTCACGGAGGGCTTATCAACTGCGTCAACTATGGTACAGATCAATGTGGAAGGCGTCGAAAATGGCGGCACGTATGGCTTGTACGTCGTTCCGGCGGGCATCACCACCATTGACTCGCCACTATTCTCCCAGTCGATGGTAGTGAGCACTTCCGCTACCAATCCCACCTTTTCCCAACTTAGTTTCCCGCTATTTGCGCTTCGTGCCATTCCAAGTGGCGTCACTGGGTTGAGCGTTCTCGTCCAGCATGCGTCGACGGATAACACCAAGTTCCGACCCTCTGCAATTTGTGCTTCGTCTCAGTCCGTATCACTGCAGCAGCATGGTGATTTTTCACAATTTCAGAGCTGGACAACCAACGAGCCATCATCCACGGCGGTGCTCCAGTGGAGCCAGCCACAAGGTCAAGCCGTGGCGTTCGATATCGTCATGCTCGACTCCCTGACATCCAAAACCCCCATCACCTGTACGCAAGCACCCGTTCCAGGAGCATCTGCTGTCGAGCTGGTGTTTGCCGAGCTGTTACAGTCGCAAGCCACGCTCTTCTTTGCTATTCGTCAACGCGTGATCCCAGCCCAGTCAGGAATGGTGGTGCCGTATCTGCTTGCTCAAGCGTCCGTCACCCACCAGCCCGCGCCCACAGCCTCGGGTATCTCGTACGATGCTGCAACTCATATCCTTTCCCTGATCGTCTCGCTTGGCACGGTGCCCCTGTTTCTGAGCCAGACAGTCATGCTCGCCCTGCAGCCAAGCGGAACAACCGTCCCTTGCCATCTTGCCCCCCAAAATCCGCCTCAGTTTCCAACCGGCGTACCCGTTGCCGTCACAGCATCATTAGCTAAGGTCGACAAGAACGTCGTCTCATCAACTCAAAGCATCTGCGTCGCTCTCCAGACACCAGGGCCCAAAGAGGGCCAGCCGACGTTGGGCCCTTGGTCGCCATCACTGCTATTTCCACAAGTGCCAGCCGCCCTCAATATCTCCATGGCCATGATGACTTTGTCTGAGGAAAACACCATTCGCTTCTCATGGTTGCCTCCCAAACTCCCCGCGGGATCCTCATGCAAGATTGTTTTTGTTCCGACGCCCAATACCAGCCGCTCAGCGCTTGAGCCCATTGTCACTCCCGCGGATCCTGGAACCATCTTGCTCAGCTCGTCCCAGCTGGGGAGTAAGCGCTGGTCCAAGGTCTCGTTCCTTCAAACGACGTATTACAGCATCCCAGGAGTCACCGATAGCACGGTCTCGCAGACGTTCGTGTTCTACCGCGCACCCATTACGGCTCTCACACGTCCACCGGACGGAAACCGTAACAACTTCATCACGTTATCAACCAGGGAAACAGCTGTCATTGCCAACGAATCTAGCCTTATTTGGGTCAATGGATCGGATCAAAACTTGCAATACTTCAGCGTCTTGTTCTCCGGCGAAACAACCTTGGGCGCCGTCACCATCGACACCCAGGCGAAACGGTATGAAGATGCGAGCACGTGGGCTGCCACCATACCCAACGCGCAGACAAGTAAGTACGGCTCGAAGATGGCGTCGTACTATTCCAAGGGCAAGTTGTTCATCTTCTGGGCCTCGGCGGTGGACATGGCGGTGCGCTTTGTCTCAACAACGACAACCCCCGCCCAGCGCTCAGGTAACCCTGGCACCTGGACGAGCGAGGCTGTGGCACCTTTCAACAAGGAAGGAGATGCATCCATTGAAAAGGGCGGTGCGATTGCAGCTCTTGATAACAGCGAAATTCCGTTTATGATATGGCAGGCACCGAATTACAATTTACTGATTGCCTGGGAAAGGCGTGACAATGGCGGATGGACCCATGGCACGCTTCTCGCTCACGAAGATCGCAGGATAGTAAGCCTCATTGTCGTCAAACTGCTGGAGCCTCCAAATGCCGTCTCTCCTCGTCCAGTCAACCCCGCCGAGGGACCCGTCTTTGGCGGGCTTGCGGCTTGGTCGACAGAGGCCGGTAGACTGATGCTACAGGTAGTCGGGTCCGGGAGAGAGCCTGAGGCCATCCCCACCGGTGATCTTGCTCCGGGAGAATTGGCCATTCATCAAACGTTGGATTCGGACGGCTCTGTGGTGGTTTTGGTGTTTTACACCGACAGCTATGAGTTGGGGTGCTCGATTGGTCGGATGAATGGATCAGCCACACCTCCCCCATGGACTACGATCCGTGTTGCTACACAGAACTACGCCCACGACTCCTCGCCTATACGTATCTTCCGTCCAAGTATGTCAGGCTCAAAGGAAACGTTCTTGGTTGTGTGGTATGATAGCTGGGGTGGGATGATGGTGGCTGTGCCGTCAATGGTGGTCGATGGCCAGACGGGGCGCAAGTCGCTAGCGTTCTCGGTGCAGACATTTCCGAACCTCTCACGTGGGACGGTTGATCCCGGTGGTTTGCGGATGAATATGAGTGTAGCTGTGGCGAAGGGGAAGCCGACTATGTGGATGATCTTTCCGGCGAGTGGGAATGGAACATTTTTCGGCATGCCGTTTACGTGTGGGCTGCTGCAAGAGATTCAGGTGCCGGATATAGATGGTCGTAGAGAGGATTCTAGATAAGGTAAGTATTATAATAGTTGAGAATTTTTATAGAAAGACTCGTGTATCTATCCAGTCTAGTTATGCTCCACCAAGACGTGGTTGGATTGCGCAGTAGTGTTATTAGCATTCGGGTCGTTACGCATAATATTTGCTCAGGCGGAAAGCAACATTCTCTCAGTACAGAGTGCAAAGGGGCAAATACAAATCAACAGGACATAGAGCCTGTAAAATAAAGAATGCAAATTGTGCGTGATAATGTCTCCTAATTGCAATGTCTTATCTTTATCTGTCGTCATCCTTTCGTGCTGTACTGGTATTTGAAGTCCTACCTGATGATGCGCTACCCTAGACAACAGGAGGACAACTACCTGGGAAAGAAGTAATCTAAGATGGGTCCATGACTACCTATATAAAATAGCATGCCATGACAATTCCATCATCCAAACTTTAATATCTATGGACCAGTGCGTTGTTTTGTCGGTCGCGAATTTCCTCTCCGGTTAGGATTGCTGATGGGGACCACATTTGTTTTGGAAGATCTAGCAAGGAACACTGCCACTCCACAGTGCACTATTAATAACCTGTATCATGTAGCTAACACTCCCCAGTCCTCGATTTTATGTGTAAATGGATTACTTAACAGACCCGATACCTGCAAGAAGCCTTTGAAAGAGCGCAAGGTGATGACGGTGATGGAGATCTCCTGGTGGTGGAATGTGGGTGGCTGAGACAAATCGCTTCTGGTTTAGTCATGTCACTTGTGAAGCGTTCACGCTGTCTTTAGCACTAATAAATCACATTAAACGCCCCGATAACATGGCTTTGGCACTCTACGGGATAGACGTGCGATGGTGAATCTTTGAGCTAATACTTATGACGTCACCCGACAAGAGCGCTGACATGGCATCGTCAGCCGGAGGTACTTTAATTAGTTGCACCCATGGCGGCTCGGACTTTTACCTTGCACCACTAACCCACAATCAGAGCAACGGCCATTTAACACGGAACCACATGCAATTTAACTTGAACGAAGCAAAGGAAAGAAAGACAAAGAAGACCAACTTCGAATATGGCATCACAAGAGGAACAGGCTCTACAGCAGAGCATTTTGCAGGCACGAGAGCGACAATTGCAGGTGCTGGCAGCCAGACAGCTACAACTACAGCAGCAGCAGCAGCAGCAGCGAGGCATGGGTGGTGTGAATCAGATGGGAAATCAGATGGGACAACAAATGGGCCAGCAAACAGCCCAGACTCAACCAAGAATCATGGGAACTATGGGAACCATGGGAATGTCAATGGCCCCAACCATGGGTTCATCCATGGGCACATCCTACGATGATATCCCCATCACAGAGCCAAATGACTTGCAGCTATTCTCAGGCCAACCCGTCTCGCAACCGGATTTCGCTTCATTTCAAGCCGCCTGCCGGGACGGCTCTCTCTCCACCATAGGGTCCATCATCACTTCCAAGCCTCGCACGCCGGCTTTTCTGCATCAAGGCCTGATCCTCGCTCTTGGCTCTGGCAAAGTCGATGCTGCCCGCCGCTTGCTCGAGGCTGGCGCGCCCATTGCCCGGCAAACGCCAACACACATCCTCTCGGCACCGGAAGACCAGAAGATTCCCCTGTTCGAGCTTCTCACGCAGCACGGCTGGACGACCAATACGCCGGGCTTCTACGGTGCCGTGCTGCTCCCGAGAGTCGTCACCAACGACGCCCTGCTCGACTGGTTCCTCGCCCACGGCGCAGATCCCAACCTGGGAGCGCAACGCGACAACCGCGACCGCAATGGCGCGCCCGATGCCGACTCGTGCGTAGCGCTCGAGACAGCCGCATCGCACGGCACCGCCGAGGCAGTGCAGAAGCTGCTAAGCGCCGGCGCGCAAATGCGAAACGGAGCGCCGCTGTACTTTGCAGCGGGCGTTTGCCCTGCCGGCGCGAACCCCCATGCAGGTCCCGTCACGCCAAGCAGGGAAATCGATGCCGGAAGGATTCCCGTCATGGCGCAGCTGGTGGAGAATGGCGCCGACGTGAACCAGAAGCTGGAGTCTCGCCACATGAACCCGCAGTATCCGATTGTCAACGCCGTCATGGCGGGGGCCGTTGAGAGAGTGAAGTGGCTGCTGAGCCAGGGGGCCGATCCTGACTTGCGAGGCGCGTTTGGGAGTGCTACCCAGTATGCTGAGAGGATGGGGAGCGATGAGATGAAAAGGATTCTCCAGGAGGAGCGCAGGGGTTAGTTAGGGCCGTTACAGTACTCCACAAGGCTGTAAAGCAGCAGTTATTACAGGGTTGCAGGGGGTGGACGTGTTTTAAATATAGCGAGTAGCTACGTCGGTACTTTCAATCGTGATTTAGTTTGTATTGTAGGTATACAACGGAAGCTGAGCGAAGTAAATAATTCTCAAAATACACGTACTGCCTTGAAGTCGGCCAGCCACAGAAAATGTAGGCTCGTCAAGCACGGAATTGCTTTCTTCGCTCTTTAATCCCTGGAGCCTGTGAGGGAGACGTTGTAGCGTATGGGGCACTAAGATACGTACTACTGTACAGCATAAATTTAGTACTTCGTACGGACATTTTGACTCCTCCCCTGCAGGGCAGCTGAGTGCAATCTCATCCTTCAGGACCTGAAATAAAACCTGGCAACCTGGCCCTAAGAACGGGCCGTAAGGCAAAGCGCGTACAGCGATGCATCATTGGTAGTACAGGCCATACATACAGGGGGCAGCTCCTGCGGTGCAACAAGGATCGAGCTTGAATTGCACATCTTAATATGGAGTTTCTTGGGGGCCGTAATCTGGGAACAGGGCGAGCCGTGATCCCGGAGGATGGGGGCATTCCTTGAAGGATTTTAGTGCTACGGTGCTAAAATCTGACCCGTTACACGGAACTTTGGCCATTTCGCTAGTTATGACAGCGGATGCATTGTTATTTCTCCGGATGGAGGATATAGAAACAGATATCCTCGATGTTTTGACTGTTGAAGGACAACCACGGGCTGTCGGCCATCCGCTCACGCTCTCCGTTCGTTCATTGTCGACTGCCTCTCAAGTTTATTCTTTCACTTAAACTTCTTCGTTCGTTCTGGCCTTCGACAATTGACGAGCAAAATGCGGTCTCACGGCTGGTCAGTATCAGCCGGTCGCGCATTCCTTGTGCTGGCCTCGCTGCCACTGTACGTGTCTGCGCAAGTAGATATCTTCAATACTCCGGTATCCGTGGCCCAGCCCCCGACAACGTAAGTGATGGTTGGAATCTCTGAAAAAGAAAAGGCCCCTAACTCGATGTTAGCACCCAAGATCCCACCAGCACTACCGTCTTCGTTCCCATCTTCAACACTCCTGTCGAGCAGCCCACCACTGAGACTTCCATCGCTGTTGAGGAGACTACGACAACGAGCTTGATTCCTGATGTTCCCGAAACTGTCGACCCTGTCAATACTCCTGGTAGCGAGACGACGACTACTGAGGTGCTGATTCAGGACACCACGACGACTGAGCTGCCTATTGACACCACCACCACTGCATTGCTTGTTGACACCACGACTACTGAATTGCCTCTCGGTACTCCCACCACTGAGTTGCCGGTTCCTGTTGACACCACCACCACTGAGTTGCCTGTTGACACTACCACCACGGAACTGCCTGTTGCTGCTGATACCACTACTGATCTGCCTCTCGGTACTCCCACCACCACAGATCTGCCTGTTGACGTGACTACCACAACGGAGCAGCTCCCTGAGACTACCACCACCACCCCTGGATTTCCCGAAGATACCACTACCACCGCTGTGCAGCCTATCGATACTACGACTACCACTGCGCTGCCAATTGAGCCTCCCACTACAACTACAGAGCTTGCCGCTGAGACTACTACTACGGTCGAACAAGCCGCTGATACTACAACCACCGCGGGTGATCCTGCGGCCACCATCACCGATGCCCCGGTCCTCACCACTGCTACAGGTGCTGCTGCCACCTCGAGCGTGTCTTCCGTGTCGACTGAGATCCTGGGTCTGATCCCCATCATCAACTCCTGGAAGGACAACGTCGATGCCCTCAAAGATGAGACGAAGAACAAGGTCGACGAAGTAAAGGACCACGTCCTCGCCGTCATCAAGGACCTGGGCGGCGACTCCACCAAGGGCTGCGACAACAAGAGGAAGCGTGGCCTTCTCGGTTTCATCGGCGACATCGTCAACAGTCTGGTCTGTATCGCTCAGGACCTGACTGATATCTCGAGTAATATCGTGATCGGCGATGTCACTGCTGTTACCAGTGTCATAAGCGGTGTCCAGTCCACGACGGAGGAGCTCACTGACGAGGAAAACAACGACCAGAGCGACCAGAACAGCGAACAAGAGTCGACGGAGCAGCAGTCTTCTACAGAAGAGCCCACCTCGACCACGACGTCTCCGTGTACAGACGATACGGCCGAGCACGTAACCATCGTCTGCAAGCCCACCACCATCACGGAAGATGGCAACGTCCGCTCTACAGAGACGTGCTTCGAGTCCATCACCATCGAAGTCACCGGCTGCTCCGTCACCGAAGCAACAACGGTCATCTCAACCACCGGCACAGCGCCGGCCATCACGCCCTGTGCTCCCGACACTTGCGGCGGCGTTGATGCGTGCCCCCTGGGCGAGCTTCCCCTGAGCGGTGCTGCTATGAACTACGTCTCATCCCAGGCAGACTGCGCAGCCCTTTCCACCATCACCACCTCAGAGCTTCCCACCGGCTATGGAACTCTCAACGACATCTCTGTTGCTGAGCCCACAGCTCGCCCTGAGTCTGACTCTCCCGCTGTGAAACGAGGCTTTTCTGACGCCGAGAAGCGAGAATTGTCTGCTCGTACCTTTGCTCACAACACCACTCCTAACCCGTTCTACGTCGCGAGCTTGTCGCCTGTCTGGGTCAGCCAGCTGGGAGATGCGTCTGGACACTGGTTCGACTTCCCTCAGACGGGCCAGGGATTCGCAGGTGTCAACGGCATCTACGGCTGCACGGCCGTTATCATCGCTTCGGAGAGAGGTGTCTATCTCTCACATATCTGGGAGAACCCTGTCTTTATCGACATCGACTGGAATCCGACCGATGATGCGTCCTTCAACGCAAATGCATTTGAGGCCCTCCGCGATGGCACTGCATATGCACAGAGCATCACTGCACTTGTTGGTGACGATGCTAACCCCGGTGTCTTGAACGCCATCTACTCTCCCAAGGTCTTCGTCCTCACTCCCTTCACAGGCCCCAATGACCCCACGGGCGTCACCACCAGGTTCCGATACCAGGACCGCGCTCAGCAGCTTGCCGATAACCTCGCCAGCGTCATCCCCGGCTCTGGCGGCAGCGGCTACCTCCTGGGCTACACCCGCACCAACCAGAAGCTCTCCACCGAGGACATCGGGACTTGGGGTCGAGCTATTTTTGAAGTCGACGTTCTGCAGTCCGTCCTGATGACTCCTTTCGCCCCCGAGGGCAGTCTTGGCCTTCGTATTGGCCGATGGAGGCTGTGGGTTGAGGACCAGCTCATCACGTACCAGGACTTCTGGATTCCCGACGTTACCCCTGCAGGGAACCAGAAGCGACAGGACTCGGATGCCGACGCCTGCTTAGTTGTGGGCAACAGTGATGGTAGTACTACTGAGGCCACTTCTACTGCCACTGGCCTTACCACGACGGACATTCAGACAACGGATACTACTGGGACCCCTGTCGAGACAACAACCGCCGAGCCAACTACTGTCGAGCCCACCACTGAGACCACCGAGACTATCGAGACGACAACGGACTCTACCAAGGTCCCTACAACTTTTGAAACGTCCACCATCTTCACCACGCCCGCGCCAGACACCACTACAGACCAGGAGACCACCACGACTGAGGCAGCCTTCACTGGTCCAGTCTACTGTGTCAACTTTGGCGGTCCTCGCGTCGCTACCCCTTACTGCCAGTGCTCCACTACCACCGCGGGCCAGACTTTCTTTGCCACGGCTCCTCTCATTTCCGGTCACTGCACCGACTATACCAACTTCCCCTCCGCCGTCACCGTTGAGCCCACAGAGGTCGTGACTGCGGCACCCACTACCACTCAAGCCGCGATCCCTGTGACACCACTAACAAGGCAGGCGATTGTTTGTCACAACGAAGCCGACTTCCCCGGGCACGCGGACATTAACGGCGGCTCTCAGGACGACTATTCAACAGATTTTAGCGGACTGAGCGGACCCAACGGGGACGACAACCTTTACGACGGAGCGGGAATTATTGAGTTGAGCAAGTCGGATAAACACGGCGTCTCATACTACTACTCAGTCAACTGGATAGATGGATGTGTAACAACCCAAGACACACAAAACTTCCGGTTTCCCTTGGGCATGGGTGGTATTATCACTGCCTACTTGATGGTGAGAGAAGACTATACAAAGTGTAAGTGATGATAAGATTATATCCCTGAGACCCTTTCAAAGAGGATACGTGCTGACTTTATCCGTTAGGTACCAACGGCGGTGTTGGCGGAAGTGTACAGGTTGGCTGTTTGTTATACACATTCACTGGTGGAAAGTAAAGATAGGGAAAAATCACTTATACTTTCGAGAAGCGAAATTTAGAGCTGCATTTTATAGAATTAACAACTTTATCTACACTGAGTTTACACTTTCATGAATCTAGGATATTAAATGCTTCACTTGGGGTGCAGACGCTTATATAACAAACAAGCTCGCCCTACGCCGCGTAAAAATATCCCTCCATGCGATTGTGGATCTGAAATTGACGGGGCTTGACAAAAAGCGGCTCTGTAGCCTCAAAATAGGGCTTATAATACTCCTTCGTCATTTGGTGCTGCATGATATTAGTTTCTCTCCACTGGGTCGAACAATCTTAGTGCGGTTACAAACCTCCTGGAACCATTTTACCGACGCAGACCTTCGCTTCGTTAGCTCTGCCAGAACCGTACGGGAGCAAGACAAGTAACTGAACATACCAGTTTTCTACCCAGCGGAGTTCTCCTGGATTCTCTGGTGACTGGTACACCTCGAAGAATGTGCATTCGGGCTCGGCAATCACGTTTTCGTAGGCGAGCTTGAAATGCTTGAAAAACTCTGCCACATTCAGTGGATCAATAAAGATCGTGACGTGGAGACTGAATCCTGATTTGGCTGCCATTTGGAGTATCTTAGCAAGGCTGAGATGAATATTTGGAGTACATCGAAGACTCACCTCACCTCGAGGGGAAGCACGAAATTTATGCATCATCATTAAGCTCGCTTAGTCAGAGTGTCACAAGCATGCAAGCATTGCATCTTTATAACCTTGGTGGCGGATTGTTACGTCGATCGAGAGGGTGCGTCAGAATTACATCAGCACTACGAGAAGACTCCCAGACTGACAGGTAGACCTTTAAAAAGACTATGAGGTCTTATTTAGCACTAATACTGCTGTTCTGCAAATTTCGCGTCTTTATTCGCCTTGCTACAAATTTCTTGCGGGCAAATCGAAGAACACTTGGTCTTCTTCCATTGACGTGCTGAGAATAGCCGGCATTATGTACAGCACTTTCACATCGGTTATGGTGGTGCAGCTTACCACACTGTTTTCATTGAAAGCAGGCGAAGATGCGCTGACATACCGATTCGGCGATTTCCACATCCGCGATTTCCACATCCGCGATACTCACGTAGTCATGGTGAAATAATGAACCAATCCGGGGGAAGATCACATCTGACGCGAAGTAATGTTACCCGTCACAGTGGGCCTAAACTTCCAAGTATGGATAGCAAGGGACATGTTTATTTTTGAAGGCAACAACTATCATATGATTCTGAATGGTTAAACTATGCTACATGATACATGGTTAATCATGCAAAAATGCTCAGGCGTTGCCGCTTCCATTGGCAACAACTACTGGAATACGGCCATCCATGCCATGTGCCAAGTCATGGATATCTTTCTGTATGTGGTCGGAAAATGCCCTTGGAGTTTTGTTCTCCCGCTTCGTACTGGCGTGGTTGTCACTCTTTGCCGAATCTAACCCCATTCCCTTTTCAACAGTTGCACCCTGAATCGTATATCCAGTGTCACTAGAGTCAACGTACGCATCCAGGCCCTCGCCCCTTCGTGGAAACTTGTGCATAAGTTTCTTGTGAACCTGCAAAGCCTGGCACATCTCGTCGTGGCTGACATCGTTCAAGAACACACACTCACCCATGGGACTGACAGGCACAGCGGCGCGCAGCTTGCCATCCCTGGTCTTGAGGATTGCACTTGTCGCCTGCTTAAGTAGCGGCCCGTCAAACTGATGATGATCCATGGACAGACCCGCGCGAGAGAACAACTTGAGAATTCTCTCGTGATCAGAAGAGCTGAGAAGTCCTCGGAGGTTTGACAGTGTCGCAGAGTAGGCCATGTCGATTGAAATTGCATGACCGTGACGAAGAGGCGTCTCAGGCACAAGCTCGTGAAGAGGGGACCATCTAAAATGGTTAGCAACAGTAGGTACGGTAGAGTGGATAGAAGATGGGCTCACGTGTGACCATAGGCAATGACCCTGTCAAGCATGATTTCGTGGAGGTTGGGCGTCTCGAGTTTCAGCATCTCATGAATACCCGCCCGGCAAATGCGATCAGCTGCAATCCTGACTTCTTTTGGTGCATCACCTAGCCGCCCAAAGGCCGTCTCAATCAAATCCTCGCAGTAGCGGTCGAGCAGATCAAACGTAGACTTGTGTGCACACGAAGAAATTTTAATAAGCTCTGCAAATCCATTGCGGATCTGAGCTACCGGGAGTGTCCGGAGGAAAGTGAAGTCGAGAAACGTGTGCATAGGTGCATGGTATGCTCCGAGGCGATTTTTGTATCGGCCATAGTTGACCGCCACCTTGATAGAGACGGAAGCGTCAATGAGGCCAATGACTGTTGTAGGAATGCGGATATAGTCGGTGTTGCGTCGGTATGCAGCACAGGCAAATCTGGCGGACAAGTAAGTCAATATTGTGCTTCACTCGGGCTAGAGCGTGGATGAGCGTGGCATACCCGGCGACATCAGTGACTAGTCCTCCTCCAACAACTAACACGGGTTCCTTTCGATATATACCAAACTCGGTCATGCTGTCGACGATCTTCAACATGGTGTCCATGCTCTTGGCCTTTTCGCCAATCATGGTTTTGTGTATTTTTAACTTGATGTCGTAATGGTCGAAATACGTTTGCATTCGACCTCCATACAACTGAAATATGTTCAAATCCATGACCGCTAGGCAGCGCTGCCATGTCTGGTAGTGCTCTGCCAGCTGGCTATTTTTGATGTCAAAAACGCCGTCGAGAAACTCAAAGTCATACTCGATCTTCTCGTAGCCGCAAACAGAGAATCCCTGCTTAGTGGGCTCGACGGTGGCTTTCATATCAGACATGATGGATGAGGTGTTTGTTGAGTATCAAAATTGATGCAGAAAATTGCTGGATGATAGTGAGAGGAGAGGAGAAAAAAGCTTACGGAGCGAATGACGGGCTTTTATGATGTTGCCGGCGCCATCAACAATCCAGCCATAGTCGCACACTTGACAGACCCATTGATGGTCAATCTATTAACAAATATTCCAAATTCTCCACCTCTTAATCGATACATCATCCTGAAACCAAGCCCACGCTGGGTAATGAGCTCATCGACCCGCCTGAGGAGCACTTCATCCAGTGTACTGGATACTGAACGAGCCTAGCTATTTCATGTCTCAAGAGGTACCAGTTTCTCACATGGGAGGTCTATGACGGGATCAGTTTGGTGTGGTACCGATGTCTGGAGTGCTTGGCATGTTAAGGTGAATGCACCATGCACTGCATGTTGTGGAAGCTTAAGCAGTGCATACGGGGCCATCATGGCTACCTATGCACGAAACCGATCATGTATGTAAGTGGTGATGTATTCGAATCTAATATTTGAATCTACTTAGCGCCACGAAATCCATGAATATCTCTAGCTGCGGCCGACTCGGCGAGCGTAAGGGGAAGCTTTCCATCTCATGGTGTCATCCACTAATGACGGCCTCGCATGAGGAGAGCATAGAAAAGTGAAACACGTCCCTGCCCTGACTAATAGCAAGCATTCGGAACGTTAAATTACTTTCATGTCGGATAGATCCATGATTCATCGAAACGATTCCTACCCTTATGATACGTCCCCGCGAATATGCGGCCCGAGACTTTTCGGAATTTAAGGGAAGTCTGGCTTACCTTTCTGAGCTTAATGCATGCCACCCCATTATCCAGGATGGACTGGGCCGTGAAATTTTACGTTACCTATGCGTTGATAATTCACGCTGTTTCAAGTACAGAGAAATATGACTCAACTCAAATGTGCGTGTCATCATTTTCGGTTTCGTGATATTCCGAAAGCTTAACCACCAGGTGGAGTAAAACGTGAAGATGGAGTTAGATCCGAGTTTAAAGATGGTGCGAAGGGAACAGGTTCATCTGGTGAATCTTTTGACGGTGAAGACCGAATATGGCCAGTTTCGACCAGACCAGAGCCTATGCGGCGCAAGAAGATGTCTTCTTCAACGACGGTCGTGAGATTGAACTCCTTCACTTCGTATACGACCATGCAAATCTTGAACAAATTCGGGGATCGCCGCAGCGCGTCTTGGAGGCCATTGATGAGTTTGGTCGCACTCGGAAATATTTGATGAATATTGGCGAAGACAAGGGCAACATTGTGACAGATCTCATCTCAGAGGTCAAACCAAGTGTCATGGTGAGTGCGCTATCGGTCTAAAATGAAGTGTAGTATGCAGACCCGTCTAATCTTTCCCTAACGTAGGTGGAGCTCGGTGGGTATGTTGGATACTCGGCCATCCTCTTTGGTGATGCCTTGAGAAAGGCAGGTGGTCAGAAGTATTGGAGTCTCGAGCGAAACCCGGAATTTGCAGCTGTCATCACTTCCCTCGTCGAGCTCGCAGGGTTACAGGACATTGTCAAGGTCGTTGTTGGCTCCAGCGATCAGTCCCTTCGACGATTACACGCTCAGAAGCATTTGGCAAAGATTGACTTATTATTTCTGGACCATTATAAGCCTGCTTACCTACCGGATCTAAAGTTGTGTGAACAATTGCGCCTCGTCACTTCGGACTCTGTCCTTGCTGCCGACAACGTCATCAAACCCGGAAATCCCCCATACCTGGAATACGTCCGAAGTAGTGTAGAGGAAAAGGAAGTCAAGGCAGACCCGGCATCGACACCTAACGGTGTGACTGATAGCACAAATCAATACGCGGACAAGGAAGGGTCAAAGGAAACGAATACAGGTCTCAGCGGCAACCCACACCTCATATACGAAAGTAAGCTGATTCGGAGCTTTGAGCCAACAGGCATTCCTATAAGTAGGTTGCAATATTTATCCGAACCATTTATACTAATACAAAGAGATACAGGATGGTATTGAGGTCACATACTGCCGTGGTGAAGCTCGTGTTAGTTTATAGAGAAATGTCAATGTGGTCGTACTGTGCTCATATTGAGAAGGAAATGAGGGCTGAGATATATCACCAACGAATAAATTAAAATAGCATTGACTATGTTCAGGTTGTAGTATCATTTCAAGATGAGCTAGGATTGCTACAAAATCCTGAGGTGCCAAGAAGTTAAACAGCCTCTAGCCCAAGAATGAAGCGGGAACAAGACAGATGTCCCCGACAGTGCAGTGAAATAATAAAACACTTCCTACTAATGCGTCGGAGATATGCCCACTGCACTGCCTTGAGCTGTAAAGTGATCAGGTCGCAGCAAAACGAAGATTTATTCTTTCGTGTTTTGAATATTACCAGAAACGTAGGTGTGACGCCTCTTGACGAGGCTCGAAAACTTAGAGGTCCAGTCCGCGAGTCTATGACGTCTGCACTGCCCATCCACACTTATGTACGTGCCACAGATAATCCCTTTTTGTTCCCTCGCGACTGGATTGTTCACTCCTACAAAAGTCCCAAGTCAATCATTTCTGGCTCCGGCTTCAACATGGCTGCCAAAATGCTCTGGCACTTCTCAAAGAATCTCCTTCTCCTTGTTCTAAGCCTTCTATTTCTTCCATTGAACACATCTCTGCTCCTGTTAGTGAGCCTTTGGCAAGCTGTTCTCCCCGCCAAGCACAAACATAATTGTCACACGGATGAATTAGCGACTGCGAGTCCCAGGACCATTCTTGTTACTGGAATCAACATGTCCAAAGGGCTAGCTGTTGCGCGGATGTTCAAACGCAGTGGTCATCGTGTCATTGGAGCGGACTGGCATAGGCTATCTCTTGGAAAGGTTTCGAGTGCGATTGACGCCTACTACGCTGTTCCGCCGCCGTCTGAACTCTCAGATAGGAACCTGGACGACCCATATGCGGAGAAAATGCTGGAAATTGTGCTGAAAGAGGATGTAGATCTGTGGATCTCTGTGTCTGATGTAAATTCCGCACTTCAGGACGCCGCTGTTAAGGAGAGGATTGAGGCTGAATCAAAAACCAAGGCCATTCAATTCGGTGTCGAGTGGACTCGCACTCTCCACAACAAGGAGTCTTTCATGGACCACACTCGAAACATCGGGCTCCGAATTCCCGATGTTGGGACTGTGAAGTCACGAAAGGAACTCATACAATTCTTAGAAGACAGAGGGAGTCTAGAGAAGCGGAGTGGTGGACGACAGTACCTTATCAAACCTTGTGGTGTGGATGATGTTGCCAGATTCGACATGCCTCTACTGCCCTTGGAGAGCAAGGAGGCGACATTGCGGAGAATACAACAGATACCCTTCCAGAAAACTCCTCAGACATTATTTCTCGCACAGGAATTTATCGGCGGTCTGGAGTTCTGTACCCACGCTCTCGTCATTCGCGGCCAAGTTCACGCATTCGTGGCATGCCCGTCTGCAGCTGTCTTGACGCACTACACGGCGCTCCCGTCAGACTCGCCCATTAGCCAAGCCATGGAAGACTTCACGAAGAGGCAGGCTGTAGCTGGCGGCGAGAGTTTCACCGGTCATCTGAGTTTTGATTTCATGCTCAAAGTTGCACGCCCTGCTGAAAAAGAAAAGGTGGAAATTTATGCCATCGAATGCAATCCGCGGGTTCACACCGCGATTGTCCTATTCGGCCGGACACCTCAGCTTGTAGAAGAGTATCTCTCTGCACTTTCACCGTCAGATGGACCTTCTTGTTCTCCGCCACTAACACCCGAGAGCCCTGCCCAGTACTACTGGGTTGGGCAAGACATGGTCGAACAAGTAATTCACCCTTTATACTGCTGGATTTTTGCCGGCACGATATCTGTCAGCCAAGTTTGTCAGTCTACTACAATGTTTTTCAGGCGCTTATTATACTGGAAAGATGGAAGTTGGGATACTTCGGATATTCTTCCATTCTGGTGGTTGTATCATGTGTACTGGCCTCTACACTTTATCAGATACTTGTTTTGGGGGCGTTGGAGCAAGATTAATGTCAGCACCGGAAAAGCCTTTCAGATGTAGATAGCGACGATGGACATTGCATGGGAGTTTGACTGGCTGAAGATGATGAGTGAGAAAAGGAAACTATAATGCAAAAATGAGCGCAGCATTGGATTGAGTGACGGTTCCCACCGGTGAGCCTTCTGCTGGTACGTAGGTCTGTTTTAACTTAGTGTTGCATGTCGGCGACGAAAAGGGCTGGCTAATAATAATACATGCTTGTCTGAGACTATCAAAGTGGGCTAATATGTAGAACATACACAAATTAATTTGAACTTCTGCCCGAGGTTGAAAATTTACTACCGCAATGAGCCTCCTTTTCACCTACTCTGAGACACATCCTATCAGCACTCCAGATACAAAGGGTCGCCAGCTGGCCCAGCTGCAAGCAACATCATCTCCATAAACCCAGCTCCAACCTGCCGGACATTGTCGTGGTACTCGGCCGCATCAGGATAGAACGGGCAGGTTGGATCTGAGCTACTCCCAGCACCAAACTCCATGGTCAGACCGAACATACGACTCGAGCCGCACGCCAGCTTGCCGTAGTATCGTCCCATCGCGTAGTCGTTGCTCGCCCCAGATGTCGGGTATAAACCGACGGCCGGGTACGCGTCATAAGGGACAGAGCCTGCAGCCAGCATGGCCTTGACCATGACAGACGTGACATCCTCCTCCGTCTTGAGGTCCTCAGCGGTAAAGTACTCCTTGTAGACGCTATCAGGTGGATCTTCTCCCACATAGCCGCGCTTGCCGTCAAAAGCAGGGTTAACGAAGTTCTGCTCCGGCTCTTCATGACCGGCATCATCATCGCCCCAAGAGTAAAGGATGCTTCCGGTGTACGAGTGCAGGTCCATGAACCAAGTAATGTTCTGGTACTGGTCGAGGGTCCATACTACAGCTTCAGTCTCAGGTTCGGAAGCGGGACCCGTGCCATAGAAGACCTCGCTTGATGGGTCGTCTGACGCGGGCGAGTCCGAAGCGTTGAGGTTGAAGGCCGTTTTGTAATCCCAGACGAAGTCGTAGTTGCGGTTCAGGTCGACTCCCACGTCACTTCCGTCTGCGGCTCCTGAAGATGATTCCGTATTGCGGTTCTTGCGCCAGCATGTATCTGTGGTTTGGTCGTACGCCACACCGTCGGGGTTCGTCAGCGGAAGAACGACGATGCCCGCGGATAGAGCTGTCTTGACATCCTCAGCGGTGTAGTTCTTGCCGCCGTATGAAAGCCCTGAGCGAGCTTTGCGTGCAGCGAGGAGGTCGGCGAGGAAGTAGATGACGTTGTCCGGACCACCGCGCTCCCGCGCATGGATGCCGCTCATGATGAACACCCTAGGATTGTCGCCCACCACGGCGCCGTGGATCTTTCTACCCTCAAATGTTTTGAAGGGAGGCTCGAAGAGCTGAACTTGGCGGGGATAACCCTTCTTCAGCCCCTTTAGGGCGGAGGTGATTTCCTTGACATTCAAAACGGATTCGAGTTCACGGTCCTTGACACCTAGTCCAACCGGTTTGACACACCCGTGAGCAAACCGATCGCCGGTGCCAATGGGAAATGTAGTGGAAGCTTGGCGGCGGGGAATGGTTGAACGCCGGTCTGGACGGACACCAGTCAGGGCGAATTGGCGGTCAGCCTCGCGCTCTCCAGGCAGAAGACAGGCGTTGACAGAGGATGTAATGCCGAGCGCCGCAACAAACGTGGGAAACCTCATGTTGGCGAGTCTTGCCGAATTTGATCTGCGTGGTGATGGGTATGCCTTGGACGCAAGGGTGAGAGGAGCAGCAGTACAGGAGACAGAATTTAAAGGTAAAAGGGAAGGTCGTGAATCATATGAGGGACTTAAGCATAAAAATGGTACCAGGTTTCGATTCAATGCCAAGTCTTGATGCTTATATTGACCTGCCTAAATAGGCAGGTAGGTATGTGGCATGCCGATCAAGCAACGGGCATTGATCAAAACGCCCCAAACAAAAGGTCATTGCATTTCTCGTATTTTGAGTCTTGGCGGAATTTTTAGCATTGATTTTCGTGCGGCTGAGTGAGAGAAGATTAACATGAAATCTTGTACAACACTCGGAGAAATGATGGTTTTCTCATCGGTGTGGTTAGAGGGAAAGAATGAATGATTTTAGTGTTATTTAGGGATGGCACAGTTGATGTCTCGCATATCTTGAGCTGCTTGTTTGTCTCACCCGTTGGCCATTGTGTTCAACAGCGGATCCAATACCAACCACCATGGCGTTTACTGTTGCACGGAGGCCAAGGGAATTCAGAAACATCACTCATTGCCAAAGACTGGCTTCATTCAAGTTGTAATGAGTCTCAAGAGGTAACAACGTTTCGCTATCCCGCTTGCCAGGTCAAGTCTTGCAGCGGCGAAAGCACCCAAAACTTCTGGGTAAGCTGGATTCGTTGTTCTGTCTCTGCTCATCTTTTTGTAATGGTTTAGGGTGAGTGCACAGTCCTATGTGGCGGTCAGTCATGCACCCATCGTCCTTACTGCATTGGAGTCGTTCCTAGGATCGTGTAAGCACTAGCCGTGCTTGGCGCAGGAGACAAATACAGCTGGATTGGGGTCTCGAGCGCAATGTGACGATAAGGGATCTTGATAATTCTGGACACGTCAAGAGGAGTGCTATGTGCAGATGGAACAACAACTATTATCAGGGCTACTGTAAACACTTATATAAGAGACCCTAAGAGGTGTTGGGAGACTTAATATATTCAGCTATGAAGCAATATCTTGCGTGGACATGAGCCGTGAAGGAGAGTTGCATCTTTGTCTCAGAAAATTGGGAAAAGAAAAAGCTACCGAATAAAGGGACTCCAATAGGGACGTCGACTTTTCATTCTGGAAGCGGTGCCAGACAGACAGAATTATTTGACTAATAGAATAGCTTCTACTGCTTTCTCACTAAGCACATAGGTCGCGAGAATGGGAATGGCCCCTGGGAACCTCGGGAAAGCACTCGCATCAACAGAAACGCCGTGTACAGGGAAGTTGGAGTCGGGAACAGCGTTCCGGTCACCCCTCAGGCTGATGACACAGGTTCCTGTGACATAATGGCCGAAGCTATTCTCGCGAATAAAGTCCTCGTCGTTATGAGCTATGGGTCAACTGCCGTCCACCTCAATCTAGCCCGCGCAAGGAGGCCAGGTGGTGAGATACCTGTTGCAACTCACAGTCCGCACATTGACCATCCGAAAGAGTATAGCACTGGGACATTCTGGCCGCTGACTCAACCGTGGGTTAGGGTAAGAATCCTTGATAGTTTTGGCGGGATATTGCAAGGTGAGGAAGTTATGAGGCTGGCAAGATAGACAACTTTAGAGAAACAATTCCTTCCAATATAGTTTTGCAATACGTTTTGCAATACGGAGTAAGTAAGACGAAGTGTGCGGAGAAGCATATCCAGCTCAACCACTTAGTGTTACTCAAACCTGAGAGAAGCTGAGGGTAGGGTCTTTGAAGACACAAATCTACTGTCCACATTATTGATGCAGCTTTGAACTATCGTAAGACATCGTTTGAGGTACAAGTTCCACTAGATCAAGAGGTTAGGGTGCCCTACTACACACATACCCATAGGGGGGACTAGAATTTCAACAGTAAAAAGAAATACCAGTAGGATCAACAATATAGACCAGATACCCAGTCTATTTAAAGGTCAACAGTTTACTCAGACGACAGTTTACTCAGACAGAGTAAGGTTTTTATGCTATTTATATTAAAGATAAAAAGGAAAGAAAGAAAATTCTCAAGCGCCCTTAAGCTGTAGAACGATTTCCCATTCCTGGCACGCACAAGCCTAGTACGTCTTGCAGTACAGCCGCAAGGATATAGGCCCTGGCCAGTGACACATTCACCCTGCCTCCATAGTCTATTTGCACTCTCAATCTCTAGTGCAAGTCATTCTTGCCGCCAGAGTCACAGCTCTTGAAGGGAAGCTTAGGGCCGCAGTACATGTCGCTCTCAAAGTGATTGGCAGGACCCATAAGAAGGTACCCGTTCCAGGTACCACTGTGAGTCAGGTCCAGGCACTCAGTGCGGCACAGCTCGCCATCAGTCTCGGTCTTAAGATGGTGTTCAAGAGCACCAGCAATAGTCTTCAACTCAGCTGCAGTGTCACAATTACGACCGGTAGCCTACACTCTATGCGTTAGAAAATTGCTGCAGGAATTGAGACAAAAGGATTTACTGACGTAGTAACGATACTTGACTTTTCCGCCGGCAGCCGTGCCACTGACAGTAGCGCAGCTCTTCTCGTCGCTTAATTGTTTTATAGCGGTAGCTGCATAGTTAGCATGTGGAATAGAAATAGTATTCGAGTGCCATTATTTACCAAAAGTCATGACAATCTGCTGTAAACCCACAGCGATAGTAACGCAGTTGGCAGCAACACCAACGTACTGGCAGACCTTCAAGAAATAATTAGCCCCAAATCTCAACTCACGTTCGAGCTTCATCACACCTGAACATTGGTACGCTTCTCAATCGATCCCTGGTCCTCGAAATCTTCAAGCTCGTACAGGTAGGTTGCGCCGGGAAATTTAAAAGGCGGAGGCTCAGTACCCGGCAATGCGGCTCCAGAACAGATGGAAGGCAGCAAGGACATTGAAGCCAACAAGCCCCATATTCCGAGCTTCATCTTGGCGGAAGTAGTCAAAAAGATTGAGAATGAAGAGAATAAGAGTAATGATAGTTGGTCCTGTCGTGAGGATTCTCTGGGCAACACTTTGGGAAGCGCGCTCAGGGTGCTGTAGCTTGGTGGTCTCCATAGAGCTTAGAAATAGAGAATATTATTACTGATTGAGGGAGTCTTTATACTTGGAAGAAATAATCGTTGAATATTGTTGGAAGAGGAAAATTTCAGGAGTCGGAGACAGAGAGCGGACAGATCAAGCTTGCCGATGGGCTGCAGCTAGGGAGCGGGCCGAGCTGAGTCTCCAACATGGTGTGATGTTGTTGGTTGGTGTTGGTCCGAGATGGATCTAGGCCGCAGGATGGCCCGGAGTAGAACCAACAGACATTCTGCAGAACCAACACGCAAAACTAGCCAATGAGGGTTTTATACTCCGGGAAACACGGCATCGCTAAGCTTCAGAACTAATACGTTTATATACATGGAGGGCCCTTTCAAAAGGCATGTCCAAGCGCTAGCAACGCCACATCTCAATACCTTCTCAGTTACCTAAGATATATGGTGGTCGAAGCAGCATACCCGAGAGTCGGAGCCAAGACATCCGCTTTGCCTGCTGTAGCTCCAGGGTATTATGGGCTACTGGCCCTCTATATGTATAGAGAAGTGGGATTTTGAAGGGAACAGGCGTAGAGAGGTTCGAATGGGGGTTAGTGTTAGACTGTTGGTCGGATTCAACACTGCCTGTCTGCAGAGCCAGCGCACATACTACTCACTGATCGTCTTTTCCCCTCCGGAAGTGCGGCATCTCAGAGCTCAGAACTAACCCAGTAGAAGGCAGGGCTGTTTACGAGAAAAAAGTGGGCTTAACTCGGAGAACCTAAGGCACCCTCCCTGCTAGCCCATGGAATAAAAGCCGGTCCGGAGGTGCCTGACAGGGGGTGATAAATAATTAGAAGGGAAGGTTAATCTCGCCTAGCTCAATCGGCCTCGGCTGGTCGGGAGCGGCGCAGCCTGTGCCCCCATACCGAGCCTCAGTCCGTGAGAGGAATAATACACTAGATGGCATTATAAGGGCGGGGTGAAGGGCCTCTAGTAACTATATTCCAGCTCTCTACCTAGTCCAGGATGCTATTTACATTAAAGATAAAGAAGAAAGAAACAAGTTCCTAAATGCCCCTGAGCTATAATCGCGTCAGACGATAAAGGGCCAATTTTCTAAAAGAAATGCCCGTGAAGGGTCCACGCTGTCAAAATCCGACATACAACACCTCTCAGCATAGACTCTCAATAGCCGTCGAATAAAGAATGCAATCCACATGAGAATCAAATGGTGCGCGCAAAACCAACAGCCACTGGACTTAATCAACGTGGAACACGTCACTCGGTTGGCATGTCATGCCGCAACCAAATCTGAGCGACTATCTGAATAAAGTGCGGTAAAAGAAGCGGGAATATCCAGATCGTTAAATGGTCTGGAAGTGTGAAACTTTGTCAACTCATGGGCAAGTAGAGCGGGCTTCCTAGTATTTTATTGCAATTTTAGAATGAGGAATATAATCCCTTTACAAAACTCCTTCGATGACTGACTATTTTCATAAAAGGTTTATGCAAGATATAGATTATACCCCCAACCCTATGACTAAACAGACTACAGCTAGAGCTGCTGCATTTACGGTTGTTTACCCTCGAAAGATAACGATTCCGCTTACCCTATATTAACCACCCAGAGTAATGTCATTTTTACAGCAACATACTGATTCGCTACATCACTTACCTTCCAGTATCCGTCGTGCTCAGTATTTATTTCTAAAATTCCATAATGGTTATGTAGAGCTAAAGATGAGACTCAATATTATCAAGAGGCCAGGGCGCCCTAGTACACACATACCCAGAGGGGGGACTAGAAGCTTAACAGTAAAAAGAAACACCAACAATAGTATCAACAATAGAGACTCAGTATTATAGTATTACTTGAAGCGATGTGTCTAGTGTCTTATTGTCAATCCTGATTGGAAAATGAGAGGCCAATTGTAAAATCTCCTGAATAAACCAAATATTTAGACACTATACTTCTCCCTCGAGGTCTCCGTCATTGAACCCTTATGGTAGTCTCCAGAACCTTGTTCTGTATTATCTACTGCACCAATAACACCTCGAATATCATCCACTGTCTCGCCCTCAAAGAATCCTTCCGACGGCGCCATGAACTCAAAAGTGGTGTCTGCTTCCGCGGCTACCGGGTAGATTGGCGGCGGCCAGATGAGGCAGAGTACGTAATAGACAGCAGAGCCCATCAAGAAAGACAGTAAAAAGCCTAGCTTATACATGTTCTTGCTGGCCTGGTTGACGGAGTTGGGGTCCAGGGAACCTGCAATACCGTGGACTGTGAATGCAACGCCGGAAATCCATGCGGCAACGGCCCTCAAGTTCCAACCGTTGTGGTAGGAGTACGGGCTGCCATCAGCCTTGGTGTAGAGGCTCGGCACATGGATGTTCCCTTTGCGAATAATCCAATAATCCACAACCATAACCTGGATTGACAGTGTTTGTTAGCAACTATACTCTAATTATTGCGGAATGTCAATCGATGACCCCTGTTACACATGGGAGGCAGAAAGAATTTTTGCGAGGGATAACTTCTTTAAAAAATGTTTCCTGGCACACTTACACCGCAAATTGGCATGAGGAAGACAGTGTATGAGCCCAAAAAGGTAAGGAATGATTTAGCACTGGCAATGATCTTCCACGGCACGCACAGTGGCGCCATCAGAGCACAAAACACCTGACCGCGCACAATGTTGATGTACTTTGGCCAGAGACCTGTGATATCAGCGCCAACTGGTAGGGAGTTGGAGCCTGCATTGGTAGCAATGACGGCTAGCATCATACCCTAGATAATATGGTCAGCAATTTTATCAGACTGGCAGAGGGCGTCAATACTGACCAGACAAGCGAAGAAAATGCCGGCACGGGCTGCAGGTCCCCAGTAAGCTGTGAGGATTGCGTCATAAAGATCCCATACGTTCCAGTAGCTCTCTCCCAGAACTCCAGTACAGGCGCTTGTCGTAGCACAGCTCAAGAACATGACGATGACCTTACTGATGAGGATACCAGTCGACTGCGACCACGTTGCCTGCGCTGGACTGGTTGCATATCGGGCGATATCTGGCTGGTTGATGAGAATGGGGCAAAGTGCCGCCATGATGGAGTTGATGGCCTGTATCATCGGCCATACAAGAGCTCCTCCCTTCAATGCCGTACCGCCAAAATCGAAGTCACCAATAGTGCCGCCATTTGCATGGATAGCCCATCCCATTACACCAAAGAGAGCAGCGGTGGTCGCGACAGACTTGACGACGAACAGATGCCTGATTACGGTAGGGTGGACAAACATGACGGGGAACTGAATGATCCAGAAAATAAAAAAGGCAAGCAGATTTTGGGACGTAATTCCCGCGCTCTCGGGAAGTCTGTTGGGGATCTTCTCCCAGCCATGGCCAAAAATGGCGCGCAAGGCAACCGAGGTAATGCGGCCGCCATAGTATGACTGGGTCGCGAAATAGATGATGGCAACAGAGGCCCTCACCGCAATGAACAGCTTGGACCCGGTAATGCCAGCACTGGCACGCACATACGTGGGGAATCCGATGTGGTATCTGGTTGCTCCTCTTGAGTTTAGGATGACGATGATGCTAAGGATGCCGGAGCCGATGACTGCGGCGATGATGCCATGCCACCATTTCTATCGAGTGATGTTAGTTGTGCCAACTTTTAGGGAGGTGAAGTCCTTTGACTTCATCCACATTTCTGGGTTCATTTTTTTTTGGAACTGGAGAGGAGAGGTCAATTGATAATAGCTGGGCCTGCACGTACCAATCCGATAGAGATCAATGTTGCTCCAAGATTATAAGAGCTTGGCGAAAAGGTTTGCGTCAAGTAGTACGCAAAGAAATGCAAAGCTGTCCAAGTGCGATGAGCTGCGGTAGGTGAATAACCAAAGTCAGTCAACTATCTTGAGTGTAAAATAGGTTTGTGTTGGTTATTTCTCACATGGAGGCGAAGGAAGAAGATCCTCGTTGAAGAATTCTCCTCTCTCTTTCGTCTGCAAGAAATTCTTCAATTCCTGCTTGGAGGAGACGGCTTTCTTGACCCGCCGAACGATTGCCATCTCGAATGCACTGTGAGCTTTCGTCTGCGGAATTGTCGATGCCACAAGGCGCTGAATTGATCGGCCAAACCTCGACAAGAGTGCATATGTCGTCTACATATACATGTCGAGATTGCGTCAAAAGAAGAGCCAGCCGTGTGACTCTACCTAATGAAGTTGGATATCTTAATCTATCCGTGCATTGAGTGTGCCTCGACCCAGGTGCTCGCTGAATGAACCTAATGATAACCTTACCTTTGTCAGACTAGTGCCCCCGGTCATGACATTGATAACGGAGATAATGTGGGCGATAATCATCTGCACGACTTCGGACCTCCGACGAAAGTGGCCCCCGATCAATCTCTCACTCGCTTATCATTGCTCGTGGGTCTCTTTCGGAGCTCCGAAGCAGCCCAAGCGTAGTCGGGACAGTCGGAGACCCATCACATCTGCAACAACCAACAAGAGATGAACAGTGAAAGCATTGATATGGAGTATCCACATAGGATTCACCCCTGGATGTGAGCGAATACAGTATTATGTAAAGACAATTCCGGGATTGGAGAACCGACAATTCGGGGCCCCACGATGACGAAGGGAACATCCGCTGGGGGCAAGAGATGTGGTGTTCAAAAGCCACCATAACATATCGCCTGGTATCTCTGTTTCTTTATCTCTTAGCACCGTTTGCTTTCTTCAGATCGATATTTTGCCAATTGTCATTATGGGTAGAAGCCATCAGCATACCACCGTGTCAGAGCGCGCCATCCATGACCAGACGAACCTCCTACCCCGGCCTCAATTAATAGTCGTCTTCACCGCATTGTCGTTGACGCTCTTGATCGCCTTTATTGATCAAAATGGCATCAGTGTCTCACTTCCCACCATCGCTGCGGATCTCAACGCCGAGGATACCATCTCATGGGCCGGCACAACATCATTGGTCGCCAACACCATGTTCCAGATGCTATATGGCCGGCTGTCCGACATCTTCGGTCGCAAAGCAGTTTATCTCACCGCAATCGCTACACTCATCATTGCCGATATACTATGTGGCATAGCTCAGAATGCAGCTTCATTTTATGTTTTCCGTGGGTTGGCCGGTATTGGCGGAGGCGGAATCACCAACCTCAGCATGATCATCATCTCAGATATTGTGACTCTGGAGCAGCGTGGGAAGTACCAAGGCATTATCGGCTCCATGGTGGGCTTGGGCAATGTTGCTGGACCGTTCATAGGGGCGGCCTTCATTCAAAAGACCGGCAGTTGGAGAGGCTTCTTCTATATGTTGGCGCCACTCGGTGCTGTGGTTTGGGTTATCACATTCTTCCTCCTACCATCAAAGCCTCCGTCAGGGTCGTTCCAGGAAAACGCTAGGAAGGTTGACTATATGGGATCCTTTACCTCCTCACTGGGGGTTATTTTCTTGTTAATACCCATATCTGGCGGTATGTCCTTTGGTGTTGGGATTCTTTGGTCCATACACGATTCCTTTGGTTTCTATGTTCACAAACTAATTTTTTATCACAGGAGGCGCATATTTCCCATGGGAGTCTCCAATGGTGGTCAGTATGCTTGTGATTGGCTCTTTGGCTATGATAGTATTCATCATCATTGAATGGAAGCTCGCCAAACTTCCAATGATGCCATGTGCGTGAGCCCTTTTCTGAACCCGGCGCATTCTGTTAGCAAAGTTGATGTCGCTTGGTCATATTTCTAATCATATCGAATTCACAGTGGCCATATTTTCTAACCCAGTCACTACAATCATGCTTGTACAAAGTTTCTTGTTTGGAGCTGTATATCAGTCATACTTGTACTATATCCCGATGTATCTCCAGAACGCCCATCAATTCTCACCCACCATGTCTGCTGCTATTTCAGTTGCCCTGATGGGCTTACAGACGGTATCGTCGGTTCTTTCCGGTCAATACATCTCCCGTATGAAGAGATACGGAGAAGTCATCCAGATAGGCTTCGGATCGTGGACCTTGTAAGTTTAATTCCCCTTCGACTTGTTCTGACAACGAGTTTGCGATTGCCGAGATCATGACACCTATAGATGCTGACAATGGAATGATATGCTTCCATTAGGGGTTCTGGTCTTACATTGCTTCTTGATCGTAAGAGTAGCCCAGGTATCATCATCATTCCACTCATGTTCGTCGGCTTTGGTGTAGGATGTATCTTTCAGCCAACACTCGTTGCATTGCAGGCGCACTCGACCAAATCACGTCGCGCCGTCATTATATCTAACCGGAACTTCTTTCGGTGTTTTGGTGGAGCCTGCGGGTTAGCGGTTTCGGCTGCTGTTTTGCAGGCCGTTCTGAGAGCTAATCTTCCGCCGAAATATGCCTACCTCGCTGATGAGACATACGCCGTTCCTAGGCTGGGCGGTGATGACAAAGACGGAGTTTTGGATGCATATATGGCTGCTAGCAGGGCAGTATTCATACTGCAGATTCCTTTGATTGGATTGTGCTTATTAGGATGCGTTTTCATCAAGGACAATGGGTTGGAGGCCATCGATGAGCGTCCAAACCCTGACGCTGTCGAAGATGGGACGACGAGTACCATGCAAGAATCTCAAATATCATCGACGGAAAATGGATTTGGCGGTGCCATTAAGGAAACGAAATAGATAAAAGCAACCGCACCTAGACAGGGATAGAACTTATAGAGGTTTAGAGCCAATAGCGCACATCTGCGATTTCTTAAGCCAACCTACGATCAGTATTGATTAAGACTGCAGTTCAGCAATGACGATAATAGTATTCAACCCTTTTAACGCTCAGTTTCTCTTGCATCCGTATCATCGTATACGTATATCTGTCATCCAGAGAGTTTTCACTTCACATAATCGAACAAATTGTCCATCTTTGACCAGAGGCACAGCACATGTAACTCTTCACTTTCAAACAAAAGGAGGTAGAGGCGACTTTTCATTTAACAACCGAAATTTCTACAATTCATCTCTAGAATGTTCTCCAGTCAATGCTATTCTCCCAAGCGTAAGCAGCTCGTAGGATCCTTGCTTCATCCCAGTACTTGCCAACGATCTGTATGCTCGCTGGCAACATGATCTTAGGATCATCCTTGGCGGGTACAAAACCAATGGGAACAGCTAAAGCCGGGTGACCGGACGCATTAAATGGCGAAGTATTTTCTAGCTTTCCGGCCGATGCGTCCATATCTTGACGAGGGGTTGCGCCAACGGGAGGAAGCGGGTTGCTCGGTGTTACTGTCGTGGGCATAACGAGGAGATCAACCTCGTCCAACACAGTGTCGTACTCATGCTGTAGTTTTCGGGACAGGTTTATCGCCTTCGCATAAGCGAGTGGATGATTCTGCCATCCAAACTCCCCAGATAACAAACCTTCCTTGCTCACTGTATTCATCTGCAAAAGTGGAAGTGTCAGTGGTTTGTTATTTAATATGAATGGCAGTAGATGTTCATGTAGTTGTCTAACACGCACCTTTGATACGGAATCCTGTGAAAACGGAAAGCTCTTCTTCTCGAGAAGGTCGGTGAGCATGACCTGTCTTCTCCCAGTTGCCCTCCCTTGCATGCCCATATGATTTCCCATTTTGCTCATGACAACGTAAATGGTGCGTGCAAACTGGTGCATGGGAACGCTGACTTCGGTGATTATGGCACCAAGCTTTGCGAATTCCGCAACAGCCGCCTTGAACTTCTTCTCCACCTCGGAGTCAAGCATTGGTGATGAGAGTCCCTCTTTCAAAATTCCAATTCTCATACCCTTTACTCCTTGGCTCCTTGTTGCCTCGAGGATTTCTGCGTATTTGGGAACATCTTTCACAAACGGCGTCCCCGCAATCTGCCGATCGTCCATGCCGTCGGCACCAGCAATAGCTTGTAGCAACTTGGCGCAGTCCAAACACGTCCTTGTCATGGGTCCGACGTAGTCAACACTGGCGTCATTGCTTGCAATTCCAGTATAGGGAACCAGACCTACAGTAGCTTTGAAGCCGTAGAGCCCACAAAGACCAGCAGGAATCCTGATACTCCCGCCTTGATCGCATCCGATGCCCATGTCGACCGCTCCAGATCCAACGAGAGCAGCAGTACCAGAGCTACTCCCACCGGCAGAGTACCCTTTCGCATACGGATTGTGAACAGGGCCCGTAGCAGCCGTAGAGCTGACGGCACCGCGGGACAAGTTCTCGCAAACTGCCTTGCCGGAAATTGTGCCACTGTGCGACAATATGCGAGTAACTACCGTGGCGTCTGTCTTTGGAATCCAACCAGTGAAGCTCTCGGTGCCTAGGAGGCAGGGAACACCGGCCATTGCGATGTTGTCCTTGAGACAAAATGTCTTGTTCTCGAGGAGAAGAGATGGAGGTTCTCTGTGTACACATGTACAACGCCATGCCCAACCTCCGAGTGCATTGTCGGCTTCTTCTGGGAAATGGACATTTGTACGGGCGGATGCCTCAAAATCCGGCACCGGCTGGTAATCTGATTGGAGGTTAGCTTTTCCGAATGTGCATTTCATACTCCAGCCGGGGATTTCAAACCTTCAGAATTGGTAATTGCTTCCAGACTGGATTCAAACTTCTCCAGTAACTCTACATAATCCTTGAGATCTGCGTCTGGGATAGCGAAGCCCACTCCGCTGGCGATGCCATGGACAGCATCGTCAGTGATGGCCATTATGTTGAGGGTTTGAAATATTGGTGGCTAGCTAAAGCATTTGCGGGTGAAAAGGCCTAATCGAGTGAGATATTCTGTGATATCTGAAGTGATTTCTTACCAAAGCCGGACTCGCACTTTTGAATGGTTAATCAATCTCGATTTTCGGACAATGGAATGTCTTCTCGCGTGTGCTTGCAACTTTGAGACCGCAACTGTGAGCGAATCACAAGTAGTGAGACGCTATCTTCACGACAGCGGGTCGCCAATGGCATTCCAGATTGACATCAGCCAAGATCTGATCCGGTCATGCCATTTCCTGTCGGACCTCCGATGATTGCCAGAGATGCCGATAACGTGGTGGGTTCGGCAATGAGCTATCGTCAAGAAGAGGGGGCGGTCCAAACCATTCCGAAGGGTTCTCGGAATAGACCCAGTTATTCATTCCCTTATCTATCGGACGACCGATGCCGATCACCAAGAGCTGGCGATAACAGATTGCCATTGAACGTGAACCCCGCAAGTAGGCCCTGGTCTTATCAGCGTGTCTTGATAGGTCCAATGTTTCGGCTGATCCAGGATCTGGCTCTTTGCAAGAGGCTTGCTTATTCTTTGATTGAGCTTGAGGTGTTGGTGGCTCCATAACTAACATTGGGACTGGTGCTATAAATGCCCAGAGATCTGAAAAGGCCGTAGGCTGCGCATTGCACTGCTACAGATTGCATAATTTCTTGTCCCATACCTAATAAAACGGGAATAATTCCACTAGTTTATGAGAACCATGGTTCATATTGAAGAGTCGCTCCAGCTCCCCAGAGACTTTGAGGGTAAGTATTCAAACTTGTGCATAATTTAATCAGTGCATATCATCTCTAACTATTTTACAGGTTTTGGAGAGGAGGGCTTTGACCCAAAGTGGCCAAATGGTGCCCAAATTGCCGTATCGTTTGTCTTGAATTATGAGTAAAATACCCTACCCTACACTCCCATTCAACCCAGTACGCTAACCGGTAAGGGATTTCCCGGTGATCTGCCGGATCTGGTGATTCGCCGGACTTACACCTACTTGCATTCCAGACATCAATCTATAATAGCTCCACAGCCGCAGTCCCAAATCTTCCAAAATTAAACACATAATGAAAATGCAACTATAAGATATGTCTCAGTCTATTTCGCAGTCATCAAGCCATCGTGGTCGCTTGCTATTCCGCTGCGGCCGCCCGGTACCCCGAAATGCGACTACCATCTCCCGATCACTCTCAACAGCTAGACAGGGTCTTTTCGGACGAGCGGTACGGATTGGAGTGGTCGCTGCCTTCCCTTTTCGGTTGTCTTTTGGTAGATCTAGGGCCTGTGATGCTACCGGCGGCTCTGGTATGAGTGGAAGAGCGACGATTATCTCGTCTCGAACGTCCGGACTCTTCTCGCGGCCTTCAGAAGCCACCCGTCGTTCATGTTGCATTTCATGTGCCATTTCCAGATTGCGACGCTTAAGTTCTTGTCGAATCTGTCGATTGGTCTCCTTCTCTTGCTGCCTGGCCTCCCTTACCTGCCGTTTTCTCTCTATTTCCGCCTCTCGTTGCCTCCTCTTCTCCAGAGCGAGAGCTTTTTGCTCCGCCGCCTTCTGCTGTCGCTGAGCCTTTTGCGATTCCTTCTGCAGAACCTCCTCTTTCTTTTGGGCGTCCATCGCCGCTTTCTTTAGGCGGGCTTGAGCGACTTTTGCTGGGCTAAACACCTGAGCTGAATTTGGATCTGTACGATCAAAGAGCAGATCTTTCAGAGCTTTACCGCGCTGTCTGCGCTTCTTTTCTTGGCTAATTGTCTCGCGGAGTCCTTGATTCTCATATCGAAGCAGTTCAACCTCAGATTGCAGGCTTTCGAGGGTGTTCTTCAGCTTTCGGCTGTTGCGGTCAGCATCGATAGAGGATTTGTCGACTACTTTGTCAATAAGTCGGCGTAAATCTCGGGCCGTAGGTTGCTGAAGGGCTAGTGATTCTGCCGAGTCGCTACCCGTATTCGAATCATCATCTTTTTTCTCAGTGATCTGCGATAGGACCACTTCTGGGTCAAAAGGCAGGAGACCAGTCCGTTTCCACCCACTCGCAATGTTCTCGGAAGAGAAGGAAGTCTCAAATGCGTTCCAAAATAAAGTCCAGAACTCACGTTTCGATAGGCCAATAAGGCCTTGTGTTTTTGCTGTCCACTGGATAAGCTGATTTGAGTATGCGGTCGAAAGGGGGCTGAATAGCGACACGTCCAAGGGTTGCAGCCGATGCGTGGAATGGGGGGGAAACACCGCAACGATAATCCGGTGCTGGTCACACCACTCCAGAAAGTCCATATTAACATGGCTAGAGTGGCCGTCGGTAATGAGAAGGCGATAATCACGACCGTTTCGAGCTTTTGCCTTAGTAAAGCGATCGAAAACACCGACGAGCCACTCTTTTCCAAGCTCGTGATTTGTCCACCCCGTTTCTGAGGTGGTAAAGAAGGCTGATTGATGTTCTGGGTCAAATTCATTGAGCCAAGAGTCCTGGACTTGTCCTGGTTTGCCTTGATAGATGAGGAATGGGGGCAGCGATGTCATGTCCTGGCTGATGCACGCCAGGAACGTAATCCAAGATCGATTACCATCTTGCGACGCACCGAGCAATTTGCCTTGCTTTTTGACGTTAATGGAAAATACTCTCTTCGTTCGATTGATCACACCCAAGAGAAATCCTTTCTCATCCGCGTTATACGTGTTGCAGGGTAGGATGTTGTATTTCTCGATTTTTGTGCGGATCTTCCACTGTCAGTTGTGAAAGGGAAGCTTCGTGCATTGGCTTACAAGCTCAAAATAAGCCCTATACCTAGAGGCATTATCGGCTCTCTTTCGCGCGATGTCCAACCCGTCGAACCATGTACAACCTAACTCATCACGATTGCGTCGAACGAAGCTGTACGGCCAGTCCTTTCCGACCTCGATTTTGGCGATATCCTGGGCGAAGTTCTTTATCATAGGTAAGGTAGGGGGAATGCCACGCGATGAAAGCTTATGAATATAAGCGATAAGATCCCGTTCTTGTTGTTTTGACAGACGTGACTTATACAAACTGTCGGCATCTCGTCTTGACCGCTGTTTGCCTTGATGTCGGCGTCGCAAGGTCGTCTCGTCGCAATTGAAACGCCGTGCAGTCTCAGCATAATTAACTGATTCCGACGATTTCAGGAAATCAAGGGCCTCATCAATCGGCGCCATGGTTGTTGAGTAATTGTCGATTGATGTTGAGTGTGCGAAGTGGCGGTGATCCGGCGGATCACCAGATCCGGCAGATCACCGGGAAATCCCTTATCGCAGGGAGGGCGGAGAGCGGAACATTCTGGACGGCGACCCTTGCAGTGAGCCCTACCTCTGGGAAAAGGGAGCTTCGGGTGGCGGGAGAGATGGCGCTCGGTACATTAATGCAGAGCAAGATTTCGAATATGGTAGTCGGGTTGCTTCGTGGAGAATCTTGCGCCTTTTCAAGGAGTTCGGTTGGAATTTCACCACGTACGCTGTGGGAGTCGCTTTGAAGAGGAATCCCACGTATGCCAAAGCATTGGTTCGTGAGGGACATGAGATCTCTTGCCACGGCCTCCGATGGTTAGACATCTGGGACATGACCATTGAGGAGGAAACCGAGTACATCAAGGAGAATATCCGGATGCTCACCGAGGTCTCAGGCGAGGCTCCCGTCGGCGTGTACTATGGAAGAGGGACTCCCAACACGCGTGCCTTGTTCCCAGAGATCTGGAAGAGCCTTGGATTGCCATTTCTGTGGTCTTCCGAGTGCTACAACGATGATGTTCCATACTGGGTGGATCTTCCCAGGGAACAGAGCCTCCCCGAGGACCAACGCGAGGGCATGCTACTGATTCCGTACAACTATGACTGCAACGATGGAAAGTTCCACATGTCGCCTGGATTTGGAAGCTCCGTCGCCGAGACATACGAGCAATACCTCAAGAACACGTTCGACTGCCTCTACCGCGAGGGCGGCAAGATGATGAACATCCCGCTGCACACGCGCATTATCGGCAAACCCGGACGATCGGAGGCGCTGCGTAAGTTCATGAAGTATGTTTCTGAGAAGCCCCGTGTTTGGGTTACAACGAGGAGGGATATCGCAAAGCACATGAGGAGTGAGTTTCCATACAAGCCAGAAGGGGCGTGGAAGCCAGCAAACTAGATTATCAAGCATGAATAGTATGGATTAGCCATCACAGCATGGAGTTCGAAATTCGACTTGCCTCTTTTTTCGTATCATTAAATCCGTGTCGTAAACATAGGATTCGCTGTCATCGCATCTCCAACCTACAATCCGCATGAGATTGTGCATTCCGTGAAATCCCGGGATCTGACCAGACCCACAACTCGTAGCCTCAACCTTGCAATCAGTCCTCGAGCGATAAAGAAGCCCCGCCTCTGTCTTATCTCTGCTGCTGTGGTCATAAGTCTTCTTCTTCGAGAGATTGGACTGGGGTGCAGACGGCTCTCCCACTTCATCGTTCATTGCACCTTGTCGGCACGCAAATTGTCAGTACCTATTGACAAAAACAGGCTTCCCTCATCTCAGGAGTTTTCAGGCATGTCATCATTTTCTAATTCTGTGGGAACGGGTTTAAATCCGAGAAAGAGGAATAGGACAGCATGCACACGATGCCAAAGGCGCAAGCAAAAGGTTAGCTTCCTCCAGGCCCATCCCGTTGCAGACCCGAGTGGTTGCACCCTTAGTACTTGATCTTGGAAATGGCTGCAAATTCATCACTGATTGCTTGAGTCAGTGCGACGATCAGCTGCCATCTTGTTCCAATTGTCTCCTTGCAAGAGCACGTTGTGACAAGTCTATTGTTGCAAATGAAACCTTTTCAGTTGCGTACGTGATATTCCCATTCATAAATGGAAATGGAGAAACATATCTCAAGGACGCTTTATTCTCGCATCTATGTGGCTCGTCACTAATAACACCATAACACATCCAGGTATACAAAGGCGCTTGAGGATCGAGTAGCATCCCTTGAGATACAACTGGCTCAGAGTGCAAGCAACAATAGCCCTTCCAGGCAACTTGATGAAGGCGCACATTCACAGCAACATGAACGACTACATCAACCTACACCAAGCGTTGGAGTTGGCGTGATGAATACTCCAAGCCCAGCAACCACAGCAGATATTCGATGCCCAGATGCCCTAAGCGAGGTAGTCGACATGATTTCCATGGGTAATTTCGAGGCCCCTGCCTATGTAGGACCATCTGCTGGCCTGTCCCTGGCCCTAAATCTAGGAGAAATGGTGCAAGCAACAGTTTGGAAGGAAGCGATCCCGAGCATGACCCACGATCCCAATCCAAGTCCTATTGGTGACAGCAACGAACTCAAGCGAGGCCCAGAAGACCACGTTTCGACCCCAGGCGCAGGTCACAAGAGCCACCTATATGGACCGAATGTTACCGCGCGTGCGATGACAATGGAGGAAATAATGAAATACGGTGCCAAGGAGCCTCCCGATGAGAGTCTGGGAAGCCGGATCCTGAACGCGTATCTACTACGGTTGCATCCTCGATATCCATTCCTTGATCCAGCGGAAGTATGGGAACTGCACAGAGAGAGAACAGACTTGACATCTTCAGCTAATGCAGCCCAAATTCTGTCTCGTCGGTTCAAAATATTCAAGTTGTACATGGTTTATGCCATTGGATCGACGTTGCTTCAGCTTACGGATAATGTGACGGTGTCACCTGAGGTGAGTAGTTGTTTGCATGAGGCAGTTCTACAATGCCCAAAGTATACGATACTCATTGAACGAACGGGAGCTAAATTAAACTCTCTTTACCATCTATAGAGCTTCTACATGACTGCGCTACAGCATATAGCAGTCGCAAAAGAGGGCAGAACTGTCCACAATGTTGAGGCAATGACACTACTTGTGATCTACCATCTCCGATCTGCATCTGGCCACGGCTTATGGTACATGATCGGACTAGCAATGCGAACATGCATCGACCTCGGCATGCACCGTAAGGGATATGAGCAAGGTCTACTGCCTAGTATCGTTCACAAGCGCCGACGTCTTTTCTGGACCGTTTATTCACTCGAACGAACCATTGCAATATCGCTCGGGCGCCCTTTGAGTATAGCAGAGCGAGACATTGATGTCGAGCTCCCTGAAGCGATGCCGGAAGATTCGCCATCGTCTACCTGCACCACTGCATCCCCTCCAACGGCCTCGGTACAACCAACAGAGTATATACAACATGCCATTTTTCTCTTCCAGCTGCGCCGAATCGAGTCACGCATATACCACTCCATTTACCGCGCGGACAAGTCTCTGACTGCTCTTCGCCCCAAACTCGACCATCTCTACCAGACACTGGAGGAATAGCGTGCCTCACTGACAAAGTGGCAGCTCCCGGATTCCTCAATGTTTGATTATCTCATGCTGCACTATTTCCGCGCCGTTCGCATGCTTGTCCAGCCATTCCTGACGCTTCTTCAAGTATCCGACCCATACTACGCACTGTGCCTACGAGCAGCCGGCGACATTTGCCAGACACATAAGCGCTTGCACCAGACCCTCGACTACGGGCACAGCTTCATTGCTGTGCAGACTGTCTTCGTAGCGGGGGTGACCCTGCTGTATGGGCTGTGGACTCAAGCCAACGCCATGTGGTCTGTATCGTTCGCAGATGACGTTCGAGCATGCTCGCTGGTGCTCTTCGTCATGGGTGAGAGGGCATCGTGGGTTCGAAAATACCGTGACGCCTTTGAGATACTCGTTGGTGCAGCGATGGAGAAACTGCGGATGGGCGAGGCTGGCGTCATGGGAGCATCTCACAATCAGTCTCATGGGGAGCAGCGGCAAGCCCAAGACTTGCCCCGTGAAGCCGGTGTAAACAGCGGGGAAGATCGAAGTGCAGGAACCCACAGCATCGGGGATATGCTTGGCTCAAATTCAGCGTGGTCCGGTGGTAATGCAGCCATGAACGGCGAGGATGGTGATGCCTGGCGAGTTGTTATGGAGTTGGCTCATTGGATTGATCGGGATGATGAAGAGCCTCTGTGGATGCCGAATTTTGAGCATTTACAGAACCTCTCCGGTTGAAATGTGGGAACTGGTGGTTCGGTAGGGGGGTAACTCAAGGCCGCTGACCGGAACCCATATCGAGGGAACATAATGTTGCAATCACGCTACAGAGGAGCCGGCCTTGGCAGAAGGGTTGAAGACAGGGTGTTGCAGCACATTATGCACACTATGAGCTCTCTAGTGGAGCGTTCCTTTCTTCTTGTTGGTCCAACGAAGGGAAATACGGCACAGCATGGAGCAGTGCGTTGGCGACAGCCGGTGAGAAGGATCGTGTTCGGCGATCATTTCGGGGACCATTTTATATTAGCCAATGATATTACCGCAACCCCGTATCAGCACAAGGCAAATTTAGGCATGAAACAAGCTGCCAGGGTTCCCTGATGTCTTTGCTATTGTTAAATAGACGATGCCCAAACCCAATCCGTTTGCGCGTTGGGAGACACTCATCACCTTCCAAAGCTTCGTTTCGTCCTAAGCCAGTAAATTGATTACAACGCACTCAAGACTGCACCCAAACCGCACACCGCACACACTTTGCACTATGGCCCACGTTAGCAGGCAAGACGACAGCTATCATCAGCTCATGGACCAATCGGACCGTGGTAATGGCACCTGTACGGCGGTCCTCCTTCTTTCTTCCTCAGCCCCCGTATGCATTCTAACCTGCTCCCAACAGACCAACAAAATGGCGGCCATCTCGAGAATGCGGGAATTACCCCGGCACCGCAACGGCCGGTCTTAAAATTGTCGGACAAGATCTCCTTCGTTGCTATTCTGGTCATGCAGCTGTCCTACATTGCCATAATTATCATGATAGCAATGAAGTGGAAGGGTTGGGATAAAGAAGCAACAACCGATAAGATATGGGTGATTGGAGGTGCTATAGTCCTCGTACTTTCAGTGGTGTATCAAGTCCGCTTCTTTCGTCTCTGGCGCAAATCTAGGAAAGGCATTCGGGCATAACCCACCGGTATAATATCAAGGGCAGGGGAGAGTTCAATAAAAGCAGACAGAACCATTGTCTTCTGAGACATGACGAATAGCGAAACCAAGAGTGAAGTACAAACCAGATGCCCAAATCGTGAAAAGAACCTCCTAACCGCCTCTATCTCGTTACTATATGTCCAGTCCGGGCCACTATGAGGGAGGATGAATTTGTAAGAGCAATATATCTAGCACAGGCCGGATACAGGCATAATCCAGCTCAATTAAAGATGAGAAAAAAAAGCGGTTCAATCTTGCCCGGGTGGATAACAATGGACTTCGAGCATCCACAAATACCCTGTGCCCCAAAAATATTAGGAGATAAAAAGTATTGACAGCAAAAAGAATGCGACTAAGGGGAATTGAACCCCTCCCTATTGCTTGGAAGGCAACAATGCTAACCACTACACCATAGACGCTTGGTTTGTCCGTCTACGAGGAACCGTGCCGCTTAAGTGATACTATCTTCTATTGAGCTGACTGAATTTTTTCAACACTTATACTCGACTCATAGGCCCCTCAGTCTTCATTTGCCGACTCTGTTTGCTACTCACTTGGTAATGTGGAGGCGGAGGTTAGAATAAACCGAGCTGTCAAAAGCCCATAAGAGTTCTTTAAGCAGGTGGAATGCTGCTTCCGGGAACCCACCGGCACCTTTCAACTAATAATGAGCGCGACAAACACAACTGGTTCCAGGGGATGGGAGTAGTCACAATACCATTCCAATCTAACAAGCAATGCGAAAACCTTAGACCTAATGCCGATGATAGAGAGTATGGTCGGTACCCAACCACCACTATCTGGACATGATTAATATGCGTCAGAATATTTCAGGCTATAGAAAACCTGCAGCTTCAGTCGGGTCTATGAATACGGCCGGTATGGCGTCGATTATTGTTCTGATGGACGGCTCCGTTGCGTTGGAGGAGAACATCAGCTAGAAATTCTTCTTGCTGTTAATCATACACCACATTCTACTGGTTTGCCATCTAGTATTTACTCCCAGAACCCGGGAAGCGGCCACTAGAAGATACCAGCGAAAGCTTTAGGGAAAGGTTGCAGTGCACTACTATAGAACGACCAAAGGTGAACAGGAATACATGGATGCTATGGAGGGCAGCACCGACCAGGGACACGGTATTCAACTGAAAGATATAGGTTCTCGAGCAGAGCATCTGGAAACCAGAGTTGTGTATTAACGCACCTAACAACACATAGCACTGCACACTTGTCCGTCATGTAAAATAGCTAAGGCGAGAGACTAGAAATGTCCCCATGCTCTAGCCGGCATTCCCTGTCCTTGCTCGACATCTCTCCCCTCTTAAGACAGTCCAAGCATCCAAACCATCCTTTCTGCTTGGGAATATTCATGGACAGTACATTCAAATTCTTTGTCAAGCTTTCTTTTTTGTCTCCCGAACAATCGCAATTGTACCGATTTGTGCAGTCCTTCACAGCGAGATACGGCAACCCAGACGAAGCCCTGAGTAGGAATCCGAGTCGATGATCCCTCAGGTCTACCTCGTAAGGCACAATACCCGATTTCCTGAGGGCTTCGGTATATCTTCCAATGACGTCTCTTGCCCGGTAGCATCCCGAACTTAGACTTACCCATTTCCATGTCGTCCACGGCCCCGTTATCGCGCGATGAAAAGCCTCGCAGAATCGAAATCGCTTCCGGTCCAAGTAACCTACACGGATGTGTTAGTAAATCCCTTCCATGCAATTCTGAGTTGCATTCTTACTTCCGACATCTTGGTACAGAAGAGGATGATCGATCAGCTGGACCGCCTGGGTCTGCTCTCCCGCAAGAGGTCCTTTGTGATGAAGAAGCAGCCTCCATGCCACCTCGCAAAACTCATACGGCAAATCTGCCACGTATGAAAAGATCAGGAGGCGACAAATGTCCTCGATTGGCGGTTGGCTTAGAAGGTCTAGGTAAAGGAGCCAGTTTCTAACCCACAAGGCGCCGCAGTATTTGAGTGTCTGAGTGCACTGGTACTTGTCACAAACGCTGGCCAAGGCCAAGAGCAAGTCGGAGTTGGGTCGGGCGGCGATATCGCTGACTTTGAAATGCAGCACTTTGCAAAGAAGCAACATTGCTGCAAAGTCGTCGTCGGGAAGCGAAAGCCGAAATGGTTCCTTGTCGGGCGACGTTTTCGCGTCTGACAACTGAACGCCCTCGCGAAACCTCCCATCCAGCATGACTTGGAAAACGGGTGATGCAGTTGAAAGGATCTTGGAGGAGACCAGTATGTCTCTCGTCTCAGGCTTTGAAGGGTCATCATTTGGGTCAGTCTTGGAAAAAGGCTCTGCGTCTGGAGGCTCGGATGGCTCGTCAGATACATCTGTCTCAAGGTCGTACGGCACAACGAGCACCATATCTCCAGTAGAATCGACAGTGCGTATTGATAGCATCACCTCGGCTTTCGACATTGCGGAAATGACCTGCAGCGCGTTTCGGTTGCGAAAGGTGTTTCTGGATGTCCTTTTGAAGCAATTACGGATGAAAGAGCAAGAGAGCAAATTCGTCCGGCGTCAGCTGAGATCACGCACTGAAGATTAGCCACGGCGCTTCGTCGACGAGTTGACTGGTGATTACGTGGGCCTCAAACTTGGCGCGCTGGGATTGATGTTTTAAGCGCCCAGAATGCAGGGATGAGCCCAATCACATGTGGCCTCGAGAAGAGACCGCGCCGAACAACGTCAAGAAGCCAATTATCAATCGACGGTCGATTGAGATCAGCAAAAGACAGGATTTAAGGCTATTGGGGCATGTTGTTAACTCAGATCTCGGCCACTGGGGCATCAGCGTCAACCCAATCTAAGCCGCGGACCCGGGCAGCCTTGGCCGTGCTCAAGGTGCGATAATTACAGCAATGCAACCAATCCAGCATCCTTGCCCATTTCTGCTTTATCTCTCGGCCAGGTGACCTATCGCAGAGGTTATGGAAATCTTTGAGGTCAGTCCCAGCTGCGGTGAAGATGCGGAGGTGCGGTTTCTTCTCGGCTTTCCTCATCGTTCCTGTCCAAGATTATCTTCGGCGACAACGACTATGACGAGATGTTTCGATAACTTGGACCAGTTACATGTGGGAAGGAAACCCGCTATAGATTATCTTCCGAGACCAACGACAAGCAGAGCATCACTTTGTTCAGTATGCTATTGGCGACGACCAGGCTCATGTCATCGCTGCGTCCATGGCTAGTGCGCCCTTTGCCGAGGATATGACTGGATTTAGCTTTGGCGATGTCGAGAGTACAATGATGAGAGCGCTGGAGCCACATCATTGTCTCCGTTGCTCTAATGCTGCGACCTGCTGGCAACCACACTACGGAGGATGAACATCTTGAGACGATAAAAAAAAAACCCCAATAAATGAGCTAAAGGGACGCAGTATATACAGCAAACTAAAATAACAGAATTGTAGGCAAATTTTATATTTGCAGATCAATGGAAAAATTGATTACCCTCAAAGAGATTGGCGTAATATTCGAGGGTCACACACATGGACCTGGACGTTACCTTGACGGAAGTCCTTGAGGGCGAATCAGTCGCGGAAGCTAGCGATCAGGTTTCAAAGCTCAAGGACTGAATTCTATTCACAGCAGGTATTGGTTGTCATCGGGTAATGGGTGATTAAATAGACAAGCTGAATGGAGGACTCGTAGGGCAATTATTATTTAATAGATGTGGGGATATTCCTGAACATTTGCTTTGTAGATTCGAACATCGATCTGATTACCTCATCGACCTAATCTGGCGTTTATCGCGTGGAGACACACCGCCCCCTCAGCCCTACACCCAACCTCTTGATAATCTGGATGGGACTTCAGTTGGGGACTTGTGGCTAAATACAAGACGGCTGGCCAACCACGCAATGGCAATTTGATGGACGTCAGCACTAGTAGTGGCACTGCAGCGTGATGTCAGACAAGACGAATTGATTTGGCCTCGATCCGTCACGTTATCGGAGCCATCGGAACAGAGACCACGTCCATTTATCTGGGTATCGACCGTCTCACCATCTTTTAATTCTTACATCTCACCCAACGCGTGTCAGATTCAGCATGGCACCCGTATTTCTCGACCATCTGCCCCCGTTGGCGAGTCCTCTCGGCTTCGCCTTGGTCGCCGTGGCAGGATTCGTTCTTCTCTATCTGATTGAGCGCTATGTTCTCGCCGTCCCTTATCCCCAAGGGATCCCTATTGTCGGACAGTCTGCAGGGAGCCGTCGCCTGAGCCTGCGCACCAGATTGAGGTATTATACCGACTGCGAGAGCCTGTTCCGCGAGGCCTACGACAATGTGTGTCCCCTCGTCGACCCCGCGCTTTCGGCTGCCAGACTAATCGCCCTGTTCAGTATGTCAAGAAGGGCAAGCCAGTCATCCTCCCTGGCTTCGGCTTCCGCAAAGAGGTCATCATGCCTCAGAGCGCCATGAAATGGGTCCTTGCCCAACCAGACGACGTGCTAAGCGTCGACGCAGCATTTGTTGAGGTCGATCAGGTCAAGTGGGGGCTGGGCCACGAGAAGATTGTCGCGGATGCATGGCAGGCCATGCTCGTCAAGAAGGAATTGAACCAGGTCCTCGAGGCCATCTGTGCGGCCATGAACAATGAGCTGGGCTTGGTGTTTGACGAGCACTTCGGTACCGATACCGCCAACTGGAAAGAAATCGATCTCGGTCCAACTATCCAGATTATCGTTGCCCAGGCTGCCAGTCGATTTACTGTCGGTCTTCCGCTCTGTATGTCTCAGCCGCCGGCGACATGTTCCTCAGAGTATCATGCTAACAACAATAGGCCGCGATAAGGGGTACATCCGCAATGCCCTGAAAATCAACGAATGGCTCATCATCAATGCTGGCGTCACCGGCGGAACCCCTCGTATCCTGCAGCCCATCGTTGGCTTCCTCCTCAATATTCCAACACGTCGACTGCTCTCCGAGATGAAGAAATGGTTCGTCCCCCTATGGGAGAAGCGTCTAGAGCTCCTCCCAGTCGACCCCCAAAGCCCTGGCCACGAAGAGCCCCAAGATCACCTCCAGTTGATCCTCCGCTACGCCCAGCGCGAGCGGCAGCACGAGCTCCATGACTTCCCACTTATCCTCCGCCGCCTTGCAGCCACCAACTTTGGCTCCATGCATCAAACCAAAATCCAGGTGACGAACGTCATTCTCAATGTTCTGGGCTCCGACGCAGAGTACAACACCATCGCCGTCTTGCGCGATGAAGTGGATCGTATCCTTGGAGACGACAAGAACGCCGCCTGGACCAAAGCCAAAGTAAGCCAAATGACACGCGCCGACAGCGTTTCCCGCGAGACCCTTCGACTCCAGTCCTTCGGGGGCCGCGCCATCTTTAGAAAGGTCATGACGTCCAACTTTGAGACACCGGACGGTTACCATCTCCCCAAAGGCACGCTGCTGTCGTTTCTCAGTCAGCCGGCGCACGTAGACCACGACAAGATGGACGATGCGGCAAAGTACGACCCTTTTCGCTTCTCTCGGCTGCGCGAGCTTGCCGAGAGTCGCAATGAGAAGATCGCGCCCGTAAGCCTCGTGTCTACGTCGCCCGAGTTTCTACCCTTTGGTCATGGAAAACACGCGTGCCCGGGACGGTTTTTGATTGATTTTGAGCTGAAGATGATTCTGGCATATGTGCTGAGGAATTACGATATTGCCTTTGCAGACGAACTCAATGGGAAACGACCTCCTAATATTTGGTTGACAGAGGCCATGCTCCCGCCGAACGGGGTCAAGATTCGAGTGAAGAGAAGGGAAAGGAATACATAGAGACAGCAGGGAGAGGGTAGACCTGTAGAGATGCATGTGATAGAGAGCATCACGGCCAGAGCTAGATCCAAGAAAATGTTCAGTTCGAGTCTCTCTCTGGAATTCGAGGGCCGTGATAACCTAAGACGAATCTCAGAGTTTTCACAGTGTTGTATATATGCCGAGGTACAGACCTCATCTCTCCAATATATCCCAGATTCGAGCACGAATTCGGCCTTTTTCCTGCTCTGCTACCACAGAACAGGTAAAAAGGTTCAGCGTAATTAGATCGAGCTGACTTGTAGTCTTGAGGCCTGACGTTGGCTATCTGAGGGATAGCAGAAAAGAAGTAGTAACCGGCAATCGCAGACAAGTGTCCAAGAACCTCAGTATACTCTTCGCTTAACACAATTACTATTTCTCATCTTCAAATAGCACTACCAAGCCTCCCTAAAAATAAGGGGCACTTGACCGACGAAAGTCAGCAAAGTTGTAGTCGAAAATATCCCATCCAATGGGTTCATCCTCCCGGTACATCTGCCTCTTCATTGTCGCTCTAGAAAAGAGTGATCAGTATGTAATCTCAAAAGCAACACCCAGGTTACATACCAGTATTTAGAAATGTCAGTAGAATTCCCTCGCATAAGATCTCAGAACAAGAAACGAGGCTTTCATCTTCAGTTAAGCAGTTCTGGGTCGAAGTCTTGCCGAAGCCCTCCAAATTTTGTGGTTCTCGTGGTGATTTCATCCAGTTTTCAGTCACCAAGGTCAAAGAGAACAGCGGAAACACGCCCCTCAGAAGGGAATGTAAGGTAAAGAAAAAAGGTAGGACAACAAGGGAAGTCAAGACGAAAAATTTTCAAGAGAAGGACCAAGTAGTCTGCTCCATAGTAAATTTCTTATTGAGTTATAATGACCAAACTTAACTGCACAGTAAATTAGAGCTTCTGTGACCATTTCGGTGCTTACTGTAGAAAGTGAGCTTGATCAATTTACACGACATCGACTAACACCGAGGCTTAGGCTCATTATACGACCAACAACTACAAGACAGGATAGTATTTATGGTACGTAGTGAGAAATTACAATCAACGGGTGTGTGACAACTGTGCAATCATTTGACCACATCATTATTCTCCGGTCTAGGGGCCTCGCAAGTGAAGCAAAATAATAGATCATTCATATTTGCCTTTCTAAGTTGGTTGCTTGAGGTAGTCCTGGGATGGCGTAGTGAAAGCATCATAAGTGCGATCAGAAATATTCAACTATTTAAAGCCCCAGCTCCTTAATGAGAATAGCTGCCGCCTTCTCTCCCACGACAATAGCAGTATTGTTCGTGTTCGCACCTACATTCATAGGCGGGATACTCAAGTCTGCAATCTTGAGCTTCTTTGTTCCCCACACGTCCAGAGACTCGCTGACAACACCGCCTTCTTCGCGAGGAGCCATCTTTGCAGTACCTAGCGAGTGCCAAGTCGTGCCGATATTCTCTCGCAGCCACTTCTCAATGGCTGCATCATCCTCAGCCGTGTACTTGAGGTCCTCGACATTGGAGAGTGGCGCTTCGGCTTCAATGCATGCGGCTGCAGATCCCTCGGGGAAGGCCGGGTGACCGGGGGCAAGCTCGCCGCGATACATGGCCGTGCGACGCATGATCTCACGATGCTTCTTGTAGGCCCAGATCTGCTTCTTCACGTCGATGTCGTGTTGGTCCGAGAAGAAGCCAACATCGAAGTCGAGGGGATCGCTGAGCTCCGGCCCAGTGATGTGCATGTGTCCACGGGAGTAGGGGTATGCTGTATAGTTTCCAACCGTGACGTACTGTGCCTCCGGGACAGATGACGGGTCGCCCAAAAAACTAAGTCCGGCTGTCAGCACCTATGCTAAGGGAATTTTGCAAAGACTTTGGAAGTGGTCCGGGAAAACTTACCATGACACAACGCCCATGAGCATCAGTGGCCTGTCAGGGGAGTTCTTGTAGTCCCGGTTCCAGGCAGCTTGGAACTCGGGGGCAAAACCTGCCACATCTTCTTCACTCGGTCGAAGCTTCGACGAGATGTCGATGGAGTTCCAGCCCAAGACATCATCTTTATCGTCAATAAGCTTCTGTCGGTTACCCGGGTTCCTCAGGACGCGGTCAATAGTCTCGTGAGGTTGGAGACTTGTCCTGTAAGGGTAAAGAGCCAAGTGGTGATCTTGGTAATTACGACCCACTCCCGGGAGATCGACAACGACAGGAACGCCAACCTTCTTCAGTAGCTCGGGATCGCCCAGGCCAGATCTCTCAAGGACTGGCGGGGTGCCGCATGCGCCGCAGGATACAATGACCTGCTTCCTTGCTCGGACAGTGAGCTTGGGGTGCTGCGGAGTCTGTACAGCGGGTTGGAGGTCTGGGTTGGGCGTGTACTCTACGCCAACAGCTTGCTTGTCGTCGTCGAAGAGAACACGCAGAACCTTTGACTCAACCAGCACATGCAAGTTGGGGTAGTTTCCTGACTGGAGCTTCTCATGGACGTATTTGTGCGCCGTGTCTTGTCGCTTGCCGTCCTCTGAGATGTAGTTCTGCCATCGCTCGATGCCGTTGTTTGCATCCAGAGTCTGAAGGTCCTTGATCTCAGGCCAACCGACCTTGGCCGCAGCGCCGAGGAAGTCGTCCTGGAGTCCGCGGGCGCGGAATGTACTGTCGGAAATATGGACCGGGCCGTCGTAGCCGTGATGATCCTTTTCGCCTTGACCGCTGTAGTTCTCCAACTGTTGGATTGACGAATTAGCACAAACGCGCCCCTGCTAGCATAAATAGCTAGACGTACCTTCTTCATATATGGCAATAGATCATCCGCAGACCAGCCGCTGGACTTCCATGAATCGAAGTCAGATCGTTGGCCTCGTGTGTACATCATGAAGTTGATAGATGATCCACCGCCAAGGGTTCCACCTGAAGGCACGATGACCTCGCGGTCCGCGAGCTGAGCCGCTTTGTTGCCCTTGTAGAAGATGGTGGTCTTGCTGGTGGGGAGAAGGTGATCAAGGAAGAACACCGGGTGAACAATGTTTGGAACGTTGTAGTTGTTTGGGCCACCCTCGATAAGCAAGATCGAGAGCTTGGGATCGGCCTCGGCCAATCTGCCGGCCACCACGCATGCCGCAGTGCCACCTAAGATCAATGAGATGTGAGCAGACGATCATGAACCAATACAGGGCGATTGTACGTACCGCCGGCAATGATCACATCCACCTCCGCAAGGTCATCGGCCAGTTTGGTATACACGCCCATAATGATTCGGCAAAGTAAAAAGATGCTCAAGATTGTTTATGGTTTATGCTAAGAGAAGTCGAAACAAGGCTGCAGTCTGCAATAATGAACAAGAATGTATTCCCACCCCACCATATATAACTTCTCCCGTTAGCATCGCCTTTAACCACCCATGATACGCGGCAATTACCGCACAGGCCCTGGCCAACGGCATGTTCTTGCCCCTGTCTCTGCTACATGGGGGAAACCTAGTCGTGGCTAAGCTAACCCCTGGCTCCGCTTGGAATGTCACCGCGGTTCCCCGATTTCGACCTGTTGGCGGGGACCCCGTTGGGCGAGGACCCGTTGGAGCGAAGGCTACCAGGCTCGGCTGCTTTGGTACAATATTGGAAAAAGCTCCGGTTCCGCAATGGGATCTACAGATCAATCCGGTATCACTTGGCGGGGCCAGTATGGGGCTTTGCTACTCCTACAGGATCCCTTGTCTTACTGGCGGTGTGTCCTCGTACCGGCATTGTGCAGATACGCAGGTCCCGATGCAAGTCAAAATGAACCAAAACAGTGTGCCTTAGTCTCATTATGTTTGGCCAATCTACTATGTACCAAACTGATGTGCCGCTGGGCGTGTCCCGCCGTCTAATCTAGTACCGGTACTCAAGAAAATTACAAGTTCGATCCCGCGAAATCATACGAATTGGCCTCGGTATGGCTCCGAGTGGTCCTTCAGCCGACGCGTCGATGACTGCGAGCTCCCATCTTCATTATCCTCCACCTCGTCATGATTCCGCGGCGTCACCGTGATCCGCGTCTGCACCATTTTTGTGATTCCACGGGGAAAGCCCTTGGGAGCGTCATCGCCCGTCTCAGCTTCAACCTGCGTCTGAGTGCCGTGATTTCCGGAGAACATGTGGTTTGACGGCACGGTAGCCCCGGATCGGTTGTTCGGTTTCGACTGCAGTTCGGTGCCGGTTGTGCCATTTGCATACGAGCTGTTGTCGCCTGTCGCGCGGACAACCTTGACGATTAGTGCCGAGATGTTCATCTCGATGTGTAGCTTCAGCATGTACACCAGCGGGTGAAATTGGACATAACTAGGTGGAATATGGTAAGCGTAAGCCACAAAACGATAGAAACTCGGTGACGTACATGAATCCATTTCCAATCGACATGCTGCCAATGAGGATTACCTACAATCTCCAAGTCAGTGACCAGACTGCAGCAACTGCACTCGGGATTCGCTTACATCTAGACTCATCGACACTGCCACCATCATCAGGTTGAACCTGAACAACGGGACGTACTTCTCAAGCCCGTTCGCTATCAACTTGACTCGAAGGAGGTAGATGAAGTACAGGTGCAGACATGCGTCAATGACCAAGAACAGCACCTTCTCGATTCGATCGTAGATTTCGTTGACGTGCACCCACATGGGCGATATCTGCAGGCGCGCAGGAATCCAGACGATGAAGACGCTGATGTTGATCAAGCCCAGGGCAAGAGCCGCGCCCCATCGAATCTTGTTGGCGTTGCGCTTGTCCACCATGAGGAGAGCGATTCGGTTGATGATGATGCCGCAGATGCATTGAATCTGGACGACCCAGAGACACACTGGAAGGGGTTAGCAAACGATGGCGCTGAAGGAATGGGTTGGCGGACAGAATGTAAAGTAAATCCAAAAGCTGCACGCCGTCGTTAGCATCAAATCCGCATCCGATTCGCAGTGCAACTCACCTTGGCGTAATGAATCCGCGAATAAAGGTCCAAGACAGAACGCCGATGACCATGGACACAGTCCACTCAGCCCAGATCATTATCGCGTACGCATGCAGGCGGTGCGACCGTCTCCATGTGGCCCAAGTCTGCTTGAACGCCTTTGTGCCCGAAAAGACGCCCGTCGCCAGGGTGAATCCCCAGATGATACTTGCAATCAACAAGTCATTGAGGCTTGGTTGTACCACCACGTAGGTGTCTGGCACGAGGAAGCCGAACGCCATGATAGAAAGTCGAGAAGTCGCAGACCTCTCCAGACAGCAGCGATTGGGACGAGAATGAGTGGTTCGAGAGTTGGTCTCGTTTCATGCTAATGAGGGCGCTGAAGGAGAGTATATCTACGCCGGGTTGACCTGGCTCCAACGTGCCGGCAGCGCCGTGACGAGCAGAGGTGCGCTCCATCGGGCCGCAAGGCTCCGCGTTGAGTCGCTGGCTCAAATTTTAGCTGTCAATGCTCATTGCTACGGAGTCATTGCTACGGAGTGACGACCATGATGGATCGGATCCGCGGTGGCAGCGTATTCCTAGATTCCGGGACGGCGTTAAAGAATCTAGTCCCCTAGCAGTACTACCCTGGGTCTCTAGTACTGTCCAGTCCTAGTACTGTCCAGTCCTACCCTGAGTCTCTACGGTACTACCCTGGGGTATATGGAACATCTCCGTGCCGATCTCACTTTCCATGCATGCTCTGGACAAGCGGAGTTAACCGTCGCCCGTTGAGCTTGTTTCACGACCCGCTACAGCCATTGTCACCTCGTGGAGCCGCGTCCAACGCTGGATGGAATAGCGTGTTATGCAGCTTGCAGGGGTCCTTTACTCGCGGCCCCCGAACTAGTGAACTGAATCCACAAGACCGTTGCAGGCACGACTCGCGAGGCGTGGAGCGTGGGGTTTAAAAGCCGGGGACTCTGCACGCACTCCGCCCTCAGATTGGCGCCAGGCGTCGCGAGAGGTCACCCACGGCATCTGGAAGAAGAAAAGGAAAGGGATTTACAGAGCTAGGGCAGGTGGTTGTCGCCACTCAATTGCCCGAGTAAGTCAGACGTCATTGTATCCGAATCCGTTTCCCATGTAGTCTACCAGCATCAAGTATATGCCACGTACATAGTACGCCGACAGTTCCCAGAAATGGTACGAAAAAGGAGACCCCAGCTACGCCACTCCCGCTAGTACTACGTTGCACATCTAGCTGGTCACTCAATGCAACGCCAGGTAGGATTTGTGCCTCAACGCGTCAGTTCTCACGTCTCGGCGGTCCAGGTGCAGCCCATGTTGGCGTTGCCGATCTCCAGATTCATCCCTGGCATACCCGTTATTGCCACAACGGTTCGGACGCTACGCTACGCTATTCGTGCTTCGTACATCCATGAAGCGCGGAAACAGTCACGGATTGGCTCAAGGTTGCATTCGCCTACCTCTCTTGTGACAGTCCACTTTTGATGTCCCGCGTTTTCCGTCACGAAAAAATGGCTGGGTCCAAGGGGGGAAGCGATTGATAGACACTACATGAAGCCGCACTCATGTGGTGACAACGTCGGATGCGACCCTTTTGGAGGCAAAATTCCCTCCCCCTGGTCCGTTCGTTGCAGAAGTTCTAATGATGAGCGATACGATACAGCCAGACGTTTCTGCTTGTTTCATCATACTTGCCCGAGGCCACTAGGTTACGGCCAAGCAACGAGTGACAGCCGCCTCACCGCCAAATTACAGCCACACGCGTGTTTGATAAAACATTCTCTCAACGACGATCATTCTAGTAGCTCTTCAAATTGGCTAGCTATTCACTTGCTGCGAAATCCCGCTTAGTAAATTGACAAGTCACAAATCGGCCAAATCCTGACTCGAATGCCTTAGGCGACTCATAGGTCAACCACAGCATTGGCGATCCGAAATTAGATTCCGCAAGATGCATTGACCCATTGGAGGTCTTTCCGTCTATCGTAATCCAACCAATACACAGCTTTCACAAAAAGTGGTTCCACATCCATTCACCCGCGCTGCTGAAGCGGTCTCAAGCAGGTCAGCTATCGTATGGCTGTAGGGTAGACCGGCAAGGAAATGCAGTCGGATCTGGGCAATGGTACTGGTAACAAAGTATCGTGGGAATGAGAGGAATAGTTTTTGGTTTATTTTATCTCTCTCGACAAAGCAAATGAAGACTGTAATACAACAGAAGAATTTATTCGTTGACCCTTTGAAGGACATCTTTCAACATGTCCAACGCAACAAACAAGCCATTATCATCGTATCTTCTTGCAACAATTTGGATATTAATTGGAGCGCCCTCAAAGTCTCCGTTGGTCCACAATTCTCGAACATGCTTGCACTGATCGCTAAGCGGAGTTCTTGAAGCATAGCTTTCAGCCCCTGCACAACCAGCTTTGACTGGGGTAGGGACTACGGCCGCAGGATAATCAACATAGTTCCACAACGCGGTGTAGTTCCAGTAAAAGGCTGTGTCGTGTTCACACGCAGGGCCGACAAACACGGGACAGATGACCACATCGACATCTTGAGCCTCCCAATGTCGCGCAAAGCTGCAGCGGAATTCATCCCGAGCTATGCGCTGCTCCAGAACGCATGAGGCTGTGAGTTCGGCTCCCTCGGCGTCTTTGATGATCCATTGAGTTAACGGGAACATTGGTTCGCCAGTGGCTGCTAAATGTGCCTTCACGGCACGGCCTCCATCAGGCCAATATGCCAATCTGATGTTCTGCATCGCTTTTGCTGTCTCATAAGGCTGAAATGGCTTCAGAATCAAGTCGGATGATTTTTGAATCTGGGATTGTGCCCATTCCAAGGCCCGAGTGACTGGAGGTTGAGGCTCAATCACCCCATCGTTCATCATAATTCCAATCTTCAAGGGTGCTCTCGGCTTCTGAGTCAGTGCGGACCCTGTCCAAGGGATCGGAATAAGTCGAGGATCCTCTAGATAAGGTTTCGCAGATGCCACCACAGACATAAAGTATTCCAGGTCTCGTAGAGATGTGCACATGGGCCCCGTTGAACACAGCACATTCAGCTCCGCCCCAAAACCACCCGCGAGAAAATCCTTCATCGGGAGGGTATAAGATGTGGGTTTGAACCCATATATACCACAGAAGCCTGCAGGGCCACGGATGCTCCCACCAATATCCGTCCCAACCCCGAGGATTGAGCCGCGAAGAGCTATCAATGCTGCCTCGCCGCCAGTAGAGCCTCCAGCGGAGAGACCGATGTTGCAAGGGTTGAGTACCCTCCCTAAGGACGAATGGCTCTCCAAATGCATAATGGATTGGGGTTGGTTGGTCTTGCAATAAAAGACGGCACCTGCTCTCCGCAGGATCTCAACCATTTGGCAGTCGACCGTATCCTTTCTTCTTGTCTCCAGATATCCGACACTGCTCCAATGGCCAGCTATCGGGATATGCTCTTTGATGCTGATAGGGACACCGTGAAGCGGCCCCACAGGTTTCCCTGTCTTAAGGTGAGCATCCAGGATCCTGGCACGCTCAACAGCCTCGTCCATGAACCATTCTGAAAGACAGCCGCTGAGCTGGTGAGAAATGATGGCTCGCTTTGCAAACGCAGTTGCTACAGAAACAGCTGTAAGCTTCTGAGAAGCAATCGCTTGAGCAAGTGCAGTAGCATCGTATGTTTCCGTGATTTCCAGTTCCCTGTCGGAGAGAATCGAGCATTTTTGAGGGATGCCCGTGACATCTTTAGGAGGGTTCTGAATCATGGAGTCTGGTAGGAGAAGCTCTTGGGGAACAGATGACCAGAGTTCAGTCCGTATAGAGTCCCGCAAGGCTTCATATTCGGGGGAACCCGAAATTACTGACCCTCTTTGGATGGTCACAAGAGATTTGGAGGACATGGTGATGGGAAGTAGAGTAGATGGACAAGAGAATGTGGCCTATTGGGGGAAGAAGGTGTCTATGCCTGTAGGTTCGGCCTTGGCCTTATATATGTACAGAGTGAACCAACGCTCCCAACCTCGGGGTGAGACAACCAATTAAACACATTACCGCGAGCCGCGACACAGGGTCAAGTGAGATACCCCGCACTCCGATTATGACAAATATGGCTTCCCAATATGAGGGACATCTGGGTCTTTGTGGTGGGGGGAGGGCCTAAGAAGGGAGGACCCAATGAGGAAAGACATCCTTATCTCGGCTCTGAGCCCCTTTCTGGAGAAGATGAGGGCATCTTTGGTCTTAGCCACTTCAGCTGCGGTCAAAAGTCCGCTAGAGTTATCTTCTGGTGTCTGCTGTGGTCGCAAAGTGGCCACGGAGCAGTTATGTCACGGTTACGAACACAACAGACCAAAGCTATCGGAATTTATGCCACTTTTGTGTTTCTCGATTCCCAAAAGTGTGATTTCGTCATGGCTACTATTTTAATAAGGCACACTTGTATGTGATTAATGGGCGATTTCTTCGATGTAGCTTATGAAACCTATGTAAAGAGTGTCGATTTCTGACCGCAATACACAACAGGAATAGTGCGGTTCACCCCTTGAGATATCAATGTCCATCTACATACAATAAATGTCCAATCCAACTATGAGAGCCCTTTATCCAGAGACTTCTGTGAATAGGACAGGGGGAGAATTAAAATGTTCTTGGACTGTCCGTGGCAACAGGCCCAAAACGAACACATAGAGCAGAGCTGGCCTAATGCCCGCCAGCAGCCCGATCTTCGGAGACATAAGCCCAGTACCTTGCGGCAGAAAACATGCGGAGTTTCTTTCCCCACACAACCATGAGAAGAAATGTACCGGTCGAAAACAAAGAGATCATAGCGACGGAAATGAAGCAGTTCTGAAGTCCGAGACTGTCGATCCAAGGGTTTATGGCGTAATTGAATGCAAAGCCGAGAGAGTTGCGAATGAGGATGACAGTAACAAGAGACTCTCCAGCTATTTCCTTGAAGCAGTCCACTGCATAGGACAGGGAAATGGCGCCCCCGCAGACAACTCCAAAGGTTGTAAAGCCAATGCCAAAGATCAGTCCCATGAAATGAAGGTCGTGACTGGCGCCCACTCCCCACATGACTAAACCGCCCGTTGAGACAATGGCCGATAAGATGAGAGCCCAAAGTCGATGTTCTGGTTCTCGAATACCATGATTGCGTCTTGCTAACCGAAGGGCAACCAAGTCCGCAAACCAACCCGACCAAATTGAGGCGACGGCACTAAAGGCCAAAGGCGATAGATAGGCAACTCCAACCATTGCCGGTGAGAAGTTGTAGGGGCTCCCTCCAAGAATGCTCGACATTGTTCCATTGATGACGCTGTACCAGGCAAGGTTGGTACCGTATAACAGACCCGCCCACACAATGTTGGGAAACCAGATTAAAATCTCAAAGGCCCGCCACACCTTCTCGATTGTTTGTCGCGGGGTGGGGCCTCCTTGGGCGACCGTGAACAGCCGAAGCTTTTGCAAGTATGGTTTAGGTGCTGGAATAGATGTTTCCGAGGTTTCGTGGTATGGTGACGAGGTCTTTTCGTCCGTGGTGATGGTGCCACCTTCTGTGGTTTCTCGGAAGTACATGGTTTCTTCCATGAAGAAGAATAAAAGTATCGCACAAGCAACCAGCAAGATGGCAGCAAAGTACATAACCCAATGCCAACCGGCGCCGTCGTTGATGAACCCTGCGAGAAAGGGCGCAAAAAAGTTGGACCCAAAGAGCACCAGGGCATAGTATGCCATAAAGCTACCGCGCTCATGGGCGAAGAAGAGATCCGGCACCGAAACTTCCGGGAGAGACTCGATTGGGGCTGCAATGAAACCGAGGATGATGCGATGGGCGTACCATTGACTGGCACCATGAGAAAAGGGAGTCCAAAGGACGGGGGCAATGCAGAGGACTATAGAGGCAATGTAGACTCCTCTACGGCCGTATGCCATAGCAATGGGCTGCCAGAACAAGTTCCCCCACCCCAAGAAAAGGAACATCAGGCCTGTTCCGAGATTGAGTTGGCTGACTTGAAGATTTTGAGCGTCGGCGATCTGAGTCAAGACGGAATAATGCACTGTCGTGCAAATACCAACTCCCAGGACATAGACATAGACCATACCGATGGCTAATGACTTCCTCGACCTGCTCCAGTTGAGTGGATCGTCGGGATCACTGCTTGGCTGGGGCTGAAGCACAACTTGGCCCTCATGACTGAGCGCGTTTGGGGTTTCGGTTGCATCCCAGAGGAGGATTGTGCCTGGCACATCATCGGGATGTGACATGTTTGCAGGACTCGTGCTCACGAGAAGAAAGAAGATGGATTGGGTTGGGGGTTCGAGTTTGTGTGAGAGGAAAAGGTATCACAACTCCTTTGACTGATGTGCGGAACCATCTCCAGACTTTCGGTGCTTTTATGATAAAGTCGGAGTACCTAACGGCCGCAGATGTGAGGGAGGTATGGCTTTCAACGTCCCACCGTTCGGTTCACCGGACATGTGAGTTTGATTAGTCTAGAGAAGCAACGAGGCTTATCGGTGAAGTCCAGAACACAGCGCGGCAATGAAGGCCATTGGCTCACGAGGTGGAAGATGTGTGAATCCATCACGAGTCATGCCATGAGTTGAGATCTTCTCCGGCGATGCTACCCCGCCTATACGCGAAGCCACGAATCACCTCGAAAGCTGGGGGCGGAGACATTGTGTTGGCCAATTGTATCAAATTGCGAGAGATAGTCTAGGCCCGACGCTGGATTCTGATGATGGAAGGGTGGGACCGGGAAAGGTCCAACTCCATGAACTGGCCAATATCAGACAATGGTTATCTCTTGGACCAATCATTTTGAATTGCGAGAACTTGATAAGCCATCTTTTGCTAGCCCCCATGAATTCTGGACTAACCCAAAGCATTCTTGCTGCGGGTCAAACCCCAGATGCAAATAATCAGTGCCGAGCTGACCAGACGTCGTCTACAAGACGTCGTGGCAAGTCTAACTGGGCTGGCTGATGTTGGATTTGATCGTTGCTCCACAGAGACACTCCAATCTGCAACCAACATTACGCATCTACCATTTCAAAGCGCGCGTCCGAGGCCAACGCGGGTCGCATGGGCGAACGGATCGAGTTGAATCCGCTGCACCGGTAGTTTTCCGTGACAGGGATTACCTCTTGCGTCATCGAATTTGCATTATGCCTCTAAATTGAACGTCCGAGACACCTTATTCATAGGTATCTTCAATGAGATGGCCAGATCGAAGTTACATGAATCACAATGGCCCTGTTCACTTGTATTAGCCTTGCCAGAATATCTTGACAGACTAATGCAACCCCGCATCACAGATGATAACGTGACCCACCCCGAGATAGCAAAAGGACGGCCATTTCCCGCACATGGCCCACATCTGGCAGCTTCACAGTCTCTCCACCGTCAAGTGAAGTCGACTCATCGCTCCGGCCAGTGGACGACGTGACATGCTACAGGCATTGGGCACAACTCCATCGCCATGGGGAACGCGAGATTGCGGACCAAGACCGGATGCCTGAATTGTAAGTTGTCTAGCCGCCCCTGCACTCTTCTATCATGCCTTACCAACGCATCCGGCTCGTGTCCCAGGTAGGAAACGCAAGGTGAAATGCGGAGAAGAGAGGCCATCGTGCCGGAACTGCTTTACTAGTCGTCGCCAATGCCATTGGCCTTCATCTGCCGATCTCCGGGACCGCCGGAATCTTCCCCGTAAAGGCCAGGGCCATGTATCACCAGGCAGTCCTGGCTCGGCAACATCGTCAGAGGATCCAGAATGCCGAGGCGATGCACCTCCGAAGACGTCGGAACTGACCCTGTCGACGAGCCTGAACACGGCAGCTTCGGCCATTCGCTCCGAGGTTAAGGTCGAGCTGATCTACCACTTTCTCAACAAGTTCTTTTCGCTCCTGGTGCTTCCGACCTGGAACAAGACGTATTTCCTGGAATATCAATTCCAGCTCGTGAGCATGATGATGCACTGCGACAGCGTCAAGTACGCTGTTCTTGCTAGCTGTGCCGCCAACAAATGCATCCTGTCTAACGACCGTCGGTATCAGCATCACGCTCTAGTCTACTACTCTAGGGCGGTACGAGGAGTCAACCAAGCAGTACTTCAGCTGCATTCTCGCCCAAGAGTTCCCGATGATTCACTACTAGCTACAGTCGTTTTTCTATATCTTCACGATGTACGTCCCTGATCTCTCCTTTCCTCATCTTATTAGTGTTGCGACCAACGTTCAAACCAGTTTTGGGGCCTTGATACTGTGGTGGATCCGCGGCAACATGTGGCTGGTGCCATTAAACTCCTCAACTTGCGATACAATGACCAATCTTGTCCGCTTTCCATGTCGCGACCCTTCGACCGTCTAACAGCAGAAAGCGTCCTCTATCAAGCATTCCTACTTGCTTCGAGGCGACCATTCTCATCTAATTTCCATGTTGACGGAGAGTTTCTTGATAATACAGAGAATATTCTTGATTGCAAGAAGCTAATAGACGCTCTCCCCATGGATTCTTTTCCTGTCTTGGGCATTCCTCTACCATTATTTCGCCATATTCTCGACATCATTAACTTTTACAACTCGACTCAAAGTCAGAGTTCCGAAACTCTTGTCCAGTTGAGGCTGGGTATGAATTATTGGGAAGCCGAGGTTTTCAGCCCAAATGTCATGGACTGTTATCCGCCATTGCTCCAAAGCTTCCACTCCGATACTGTTACCCTCTACGTCCATGCAGCTTCATTACTTCTCGACTGGATTACGGATTCTTATAGCGCCCAGCCCCGAATTGACGTCATTGGCTTGCTGGACAAGTCTTTCCGTTGCAAATGTACTCAGAGTCCACGCCCTTGGCAGCTCGACAGCGCATTATCCATCTTGCGTCAGCCAACCTTTTTCGAAACCTGGAGTCGTTGTTTTATAGGAGCTTGGCCCATGTTGATATTCGGATATGCTGTCAGCAATGACGATGACATCAGATTGATACGGGATGTCCTTCGTCGAACTCGGCAGCGCGTGGGGTATGGCGAGATGCAAAGGATCTGGGATGAGCTGGAGCTGAGATGGGCTTGGCCCGATAATCATTGGAGAGTCGAATCAATCGCAACGTCCGAGGAGCGTTTCACAGATGGTAATCAAGATGTAGGGAAATTAGGCAATATGCTTCCTGAGGAGGTATGAAGTCCCACCGATAAGGATCACTGCACTCCAAAGGGTTAGTGTTGGGGCAGCTGGAAGAAACCACGAGATATCATCTTGCTGTATCCCCCAACTAGAGATGTGCTTCATAATGAAATGCTCTGAAGCAGGATTCTCCTCCTGGTCAGAAGCTGCTTCGACAGCGCCGTTTCTGTGCTCGCTAGGTGAGCCGCTGACCTTAAGTCGGTCTACTTCCGCATTATAAGCAAGACCCTCGCGTAGTTTTCTTGCAATCAGGGTGTTGCGAGCTGGGCCATCATCCATAAAAACCTTTACACGCTCTTCCAGGCTGATTCCTCGGTAGGACTTCCAGTTGACGCTGGACGCGGGATTGCACAATCTGGTCTTTCAGCTGTTGGGGGCCGTGAGAGGTCGCCATCTTGGCTGCAGTTTGAAGCCACAGCCAATATTGTGAGGCTGCTTCAGCTTAGACACCCGCCATGAGTGCATGAGGATAATGATAATAGCTTCCGAAGGCAAATGTCAAGACTGTTCGAAGAAATGGACGGGACGCGTTTCGCGAAGTGCCCAGCCGGTGAGTCACGTGTCATTTTGGCAGGTCAGGCACGTGACTATTAGCGAGACAAGTCGTACGGTAAAAACACTTGACTTTAATCATAAACAAGCCTTAAATTCCATGCCGGAGAGGCATGCCTACCGGTATTGGAAGCGAAAGCTGCCCTGAACCTATACTCTGATGTGTTTGGGGCACCAAGATTCATTCATCGATCCGCTCTGTACGATACGTGGCACAACCCACGGCAAAATAACGCCGCGAAGAGTAACATTGTCCGGCTGTTTTCTACCTCAACTTCGGAGAAAATTCGATCCCGAACAGCCTGAAAGTTACCACGTCAGGCCGCTGTTGAAAGTCCAACCACGGCCGACTGTTGATTTACTGGCAGTTCGCCTTCAAAGACTCAATCTAGCTCTGATACAATTCTCAGCAAGGCCCTTTCTAACTTGATCAACGAGATCAAGGCACCCCTTGGAAATCATTGCGGAGACGAGCTCAGTGTTTTAGCAATGTCACTGAACACCGACACCTTAACAGGAGACAAAACAGTGGCAGGTGCTAACTTAGGTAGTGGCGTTATTACAGTCGTGAGGCGCTCGCTCATCATACACGTACATCAAGAATTTCCTGACAATCTACCCATTTGAAAATACGGTCGTGAGGCCATGATAGAAGGAAGAGAAGCGCAGCAGAAGACAGGGTAGAATGGGTCCTTTACATTACCACACACTTGGAGCAACATCCAGCTTGTTGATCTCCATCATCAATATCAATGGGCTTGAGAGGGCCGTTTCTGCCGCCGGCACCAGTCGATGAACTTTGCATCTCTCGGTTGTATCTCCGAATCTCTCGCACAAGATCGTAGAAAGCCTTTTCGACATTGATTCGGGCCTTGGCTGATGTCTCGATGAACTTACAGCTGAAAGCCTTCGCAAGTGCCTCGCCCTCTATGTATGAACGTTAGAAATCTTTAACCAATTGATGTAGTATAGCTCTTGGTGTACCTTGTTGCGTAACTTCTCGTCTGCCCTCTAAATCGCACTTATTGCCAACAACGACCATGGGGAAATAGTCTCTATCCTTGACTCGCAAAACTTGTTGCTGGAAAGTACTAATTTCCTCAAAACTTTGTCGGGATGTGATGGAATAGACCAGCAGAACACCTTCGCCGGTTTGCAGGTACTGATCTCGTAGAGCGCTGTACTCCTCCTGGCCGGCGGTATCGAGGATGTCGAGGAGGGAGACCTCATCATCTATAATACACCGCTTTTGGTAGGCATCTATTCAAAGTGGGATTTGAATCAGCATAATGAAGATGGAACCCAGATATGGTGTAATGGAGGTTTGAGGGCTGGGGGGTGTTGTAGCAACGAACCTTCAATTGTAGGATCATATTCATCGGCGAAACGGTTTTGGATTAACTGAATGGTCAAGCACGATTTACCGACACCGCCACCGCCGAAAATGACGAGCTTGTACTCTCGCATCAACTGAACAATGGGCGTAGGGTTAGCAGTAGGAATAGCAGCAGGAAAGCGGAGAAGGAGGAGAGGGAGGGCATGGAGCAAGAGTGGAGCGGCCAACGCGGTAGCACTACTGGGACCCAACAGGAATTTCGGAGCATCGTACCTTGGTCAATGAAGCCATTGTGTTCCGTAATTTGACGCAGATATCGAGGCAATTTTGTTTCGAGACTCAGAATTAACTCGTGTAGAGGGGCTAGTCGTCCCCGAATCATAGGACAGACGGCGGGGATTGGGACACTGGGGATGATATGAAAGGAAATAGAAAAGATGTCGAAAAGGGGGGGAATTGAAGGCAGCTGAGCTTTGTGGCGTTTGATGAGTCGCGAACGCTAGGCACTAGACACATACTACGCAGGCATCCCATACCACACTCGGGTAATCTCAAAATCTGCACGCGTTCGCAAGGCTGACACGGGGCTTAATCGACACAAGGTCGATTTCACTCTGGCAAGTCTTTTCCGCACCTCCCACTTCAGAACGCTCGCCCGGTCAGTGTTTGCTCGCTTCACTGGGCCATTCGTGGTTTGTTTTAGACACCCAAGGAGCTTGTACAATAACCTGACCCACAGACAGCCTTCTCGTGACCTTGCCTTAAAGTCCAAAATAAGGCAGAGTTCCCACATGATCGTGGGTTGTAACGATAAAGATGCGTCTGCAACTGCAAGGAGGGTCGAGGCGAGGGTCAATGAAAATGAACAAAAGAGACAAGACTGATGGATGCCACGCACGCAGTCTAAGCTCGATCTTATTGGAATTACGGGTATTGATACAAGTGAGAATAGGTGACTAAAAGGAGTGATTGAATTGAACCCGCAGCCTCCGAGGCTCGAACCTAGCGACGTTACGTACTGCTCACACTTCGGTTGCTATAGCAAATAGTCGTTGGCGCAGAGCCTTAGCACAGGATTGTGGCGTGGATAGCCCAAAGTTAGTCTTGTAAGCGAGAGACTGGTCACCCATCCTCTTCTGTTCGATTGGACTTGTGAGGGATTTACAGGGCAAAGACGGAATCCCACCTCCGATCAAAAAGAGGGGAAGGAGACACAATGTATCAATACGATCAAGACTTGTTCCTCATCGAGCCTAGATCATCAAGAAAACGTCCCGCGTTTGGAACATCCACGTCAGGTTCACGTCGCGGTGCACGAATTCAAGGACTCAGCAGTGCACAAATTCACGCACTAAGTGATGCCTGAATCCGGATTGATGGTACTTCACGAAGTGATTGTTTTGAGTGTCAGAGGAGATACTTAACCACAGCCCGTCCACAACGAGTCTCATCTCGGTAGCGATTTCTTCTCAAGGATTCAAGTTCCATACCAGCTTGCGGTTCTTTCTCCTGTCAAAATGCTTGGCCACGTTTCTATCCGTGTTTCAGATCTTGAAGCCTCAATCGACTTTTATTTGGCGGCTCTAGCCCCTCTGTCCTATAAAGAGATGCGTTTCCCAACTGTTGTCGGACTTGGCCCAACTTCATCCGCAGCTCCCATTCCTGACTTCTGGCTCCGCCAGCATAGCCGTGGGCCACAAAACGGCCACGCAACCAAGCCAACGCCGGTGCACGTCTCATTCTATGTCAGCGAGCGCAGGCTTGTGGATGACTTTCATGCTGCAGGAATTCGCGCTGGAGGATCGGACAATGGGCAGCCTGGAGAGCGGCCTTGGTTAGAGGGATACTACGGTAAGGGGTCTGGAATCCTGCGTACTCCGAGATGTAGGCACTGATAGTCATGAACTTAGCTGCTTACGTTTTGGACTTGGATGGCAATAACATTGAAGTGGTTTGCTTTTCTAAGCAGACTGAGGCTGCCTCGTGATTGCCTTCGGTTCCGTCCCCGCTGTTTTCCGTGAGGCAATTAGGATATATGCCTTCAAGGTTACAACTAAGGTTTACGATCTTGTATAATTACAAGGGGTAGTTTGAGAGCTAAATAAAAAAGGCGGGGGAAATCATTCACAGTTTGATTGCATCCATGTTACGCTTGTCACTTGCTCTCAGACTCGACTGTCCCGAGACCACGACGGGATATAGCATAAAGCTATGTTGTGACTTAACTTGCTTTATCTAGTATGCAATAACCATCAAAAGCGATGGTCACTGGTTATTCTCCGTATCGAAATAGTAGAGCAGTATCTTGGCAGTTCACAAAGGATGCCAACGGCAATGGTCCGGCAACGTCTTGTGATCAACTACGATGCTCTTGATGAGTTCTGTTGAGTTCTAGGTATATTACTAGGCTTTATGAAGAGGAAAACGATGCCGGGTAATTTCAGAGTAATTTCAGCAGCACGGCTGGCTCATGGAAAGTTGTCGGGCACATCTACAGCACAGCTGCAACTCAGCATGCAATTTGGGCACATAAATACCTTCCTACCCTAATTTGTGGACAACTAGATGTCTATAAACTCTACTATATAAACATTCGCACGTTTAATCCATAGCACATCTTATAATCATGCCATGCCAGTCCCATTGAAGGCTCTAGCTCGGATGACTCTGATGAGATAGAGAGTCCTGCGATGGACATTCGGCCGCTCAACCGCTGTTCCTTGTTCAAGGTAGTTGCCACGCTGACATTAGATTCGAGCCAGCAGGTTGCGAGAATCGTCATGTTGTTGGCGATTGGTTGTGACTGCAGTAGCGTGTTACGCCTTCTGCGGGAGGCCCACCGTTGTGTACCATGAGGCAATCTTGGGCAGACCACGTTGATTATTCCTTATACTCCGCACATCCCAGTAATCTTTTGTTCTTTCTTCATCTGTTTCAATAACTCTGTAGCGTAAATCGAAAGATGGCTACGAATGAAACTTTCCTGCTTACTGTGCTCTTTCACCACCTCGTGCTCCCCCGAAGCTCCCACGGAGCTTCGACGGTGACAACATCGCCCTGACCCGAAGCCTCGGGCAAAGGCTACTGAATGGCTTGGCTTTATTTAGCCACGTTGGCGACACGAGGGTCTGGCGGACGCTAGTGGCTTCGTTACAAGCCACAGCAGACTTGAATCAAAGCCCTCTATATCGTGATGATCTTCAGAAGGCACTCGAACTCGTCAGAGATTCCGATGAGAATGTTTGGCTGGGGCTCCATGTCGTGCCGCAGAATGCTGCACTGATCGTCCACCAAGACACTGCGTATGTCCACCACGGCTCTCTGATTTTCAGTTATAAATATCTGACTTCTCCTGCAGCACTGGCGGTGTCATCTTCGAGCAATTCCAGGCCGCGGCGCCTGTTTCCGATGTTCTCAAGGCAGACCATGCCCTCGCCTGGGACTTCCCTAACCGGGCCGTCACGGTCCTGCTCAGCGACTTCAGCAACAATTCCTTCCTGAGGAACTTGTCCCTTTTTCTTGAACAGGCCAGCACTCAAGCTTTTGACCGGTTTTCTGCGCGAGCCTCTAAAGGCGGCCAGTCCGTTGTCGAGACTCGCGACTGCCCGAGCCCGGCTCTCATCAGCGAAATGCTCATGTCTCTTCTCGAGGGACTCGGAAGGCCGGCGAATGTTCATCGACTGCGCAAGCAGGTGTGGGATGATGCCGTCTTGGATGCTTCCGAGATCCCCTGGAGGTGCTCGTCGTACTGGCTCGTCCTTCGCGTCACCGTCGGGCGGCTCCTCTCCACGCTGTTGGAGGATGCTGACGAGGCGATGGGACGCGTGTATTACAAGTTCATCATTTGTGCGGTATTGAGCAATCTTCTCAGGGACTGCGTGGGAAAGCTGCACCCGGAGATGATGCTGATGTTGCAGGCAAAGCTCTGTCGTCGCCTCGCCAAGCTCGAGTCGGAGAGGAAGTCTGTCTCCGGGCCTCTGCAGACCGTATATGGCGATTTCTTCGCCACCAGTCGCGACTATTTCGAGGCCATTGTAACTGATGCCAGGAACCGCGTTGCCAGCTCGTGGGAGGAGTATAAAAGGGGCATCGTCCGTCGGATCCCGACCCTCCCTCTTCGCGCTTCCAGGAACGACCTGTTACTACATTTACCCAACAGCCACGCCACTCTTCTACGCTTACTATCCCAAAGCTTCGACTCTCCCTGCCGGAACGTGTCTGTTAACCTTTCGTCACTGAGGGAAGGGACATTCTTTCAGGTCAACCAGCTTGCAACTCAGCACATCCAACTTATCAACTACAAGGCGAGTATAACAGGCGATAACGCTCTGTATTCTTTACCATCTCCAGGGGACAGATACACAGAGCTTGCAAAGAGTATTTAGGAGGCTCTATAATATCATACTATATATTAAAGCTAGCCCTCAACAGCGCCAATTCTTCAGATCCATACAAATTGGCGGCGATCTGGCTACATTTGACGGATTGGAGGTAAGCCCCCCTAGTGCGCGTCGCAAGGTAGTTGCGGCGTCCTACACTTCCGGTTTCAGTACTGATATTGGAGTTTGTTGTAGCTTGTCCAAAGTTAGTCCATGCACTGGAATTCTTATTTCTTATTAATTAGATGCGCTCTTAATGTTAAAGAACGTATCCAGCTCTTCTGCGATCAATATGAGCCTCTCCAAAGCGACAGAGACATCCTAAACCAACGCCTCAGCCCATGGCAATGGGACGAACTGGGACACCTCCATGACCAACTCAAGATATTCTACAAGGCCACAGTAATAAATAAAGGCAGATAGTAGACTCTTGTAGATCATTTTCAATTGCTGGACTGGCTTATGGATGAAATCCACCTTGCTCGGCGAAAGTTTGAATAGCTCGCTAAAGACGCCCTGTAGAAGCGTGGCCCGAATAGACAGGCAGAACGAATTTGACAACTATAACTGGCTTGCTGCGGCTGCAGAAGTTGCCTGGCAGAAATGCAAGAAGTACTATAACAAGACCGATAAGTCGCCCGCTTACTACGCCGCCATATCGTTGAATCCAAGCCTTAAGAACCAATGATACTACTAGGTTTGGAATAGCAGTAATGATAAGCGTGCCTGGATCCAAGCTGCTGTTGGAGTAGTTAAGGAGCTCTGGGTTGACGAATATAAAGGCAAGTTCGCCTACGGCGTGCCAGTTCCTACCCACGTCTTTAAGGCCCCAGAACTAAAAGAGAAATCATTTACTTTAGTAAGAAACCATAAGCATCTCAAACTACGCCACCTCAATCCTAATTCAAGCCCCAAACTGCCCTCAACCAATCACTACAATGAGTTTATCACCGGTGACGTTATCGGCCTTAATGATGACGAGGAATTCGACCCCATCCAGTACTGGAATGAGCATTACCACTTACAGGTGGACCTAGCTTGTATAGCGCTGGATGTTTTAGCCCTACCTCCTATGTCAGATAAGTGTAAGCGCCTTTTTAGCAGCGCCAAGCTCCTCCTTACAGATCATCGCTCACAGCTCTGGATGGACGTTATTGAAGCCAGCGAGTGCTTACGAGCTTGATATGGTCGCCCGGAGCAGAAGGCATTTAATAACTCTTCCATCGGTTTGATGGAGGGTGAGGCAGGGAATACAGTTAGGGCGGATGGGCTGGGTGAGGGAGAGGAAGGCGGCGAAGATGATGGAAGTGAGAAGTCGAATATTCAGCAGCACATTGATTGTCCCAAAAGGGTAAAAATACGAACTGGATCGGTTCTGGATATCCTGGAGGCTGCCCGTCCCTACATCTGGACTGGATTGAATCGGGGCTCGGATCCAGCTCCAATCCAATCCAATAACATCACTGCTTCTAACGGTATGTGTCATGAATTTGATTTATCGAGGCTGTACAGTATCCTTTCCATCTCGAAATCTCTCCAAGACTAAGACCCAGTTCCATCCCAGCTAGCATCACCCCCGACCTCAACCTCACTCTCACCCTTGCATCCGTTCTAATCTGACTCTTGTCCTTAGAGTCTACTGATACAGACAGTTGATACGAAGACCAGTAGCAAAGTAGGGACCGACAATCGGGATGAAGTCAGCAACAAAGGCAGCAATAGCCCCTGCCTTTCCACAGCCACCCGAACCAAGTGCCTGGGAGGCGACTCGCGCTTGGTAGGCATCGGCACGGAGCGATCCGTCGCGGTTGTAGACGTTCATGCGCATGATACTAGGAAGCCAGGTGCCCCATTTCATGCCAGTGCACTCCATACCTTCCAAGGGGCAGTCCTTGTTCTTCGGACATTTGGTCTTTGACAAGCCTCCACAGGCCGAGTTGGCCTTGTTAGGCTTTCCCTCCTGCCAAGTAAAGCCGTAGCAATTGTTGTAGACAGTGTAGCCGTTCTTCTGGCCAAGTCCATCGGCCATCTTCCACATAGAGCGAATCAAGGCATCTCGCATCGCCCAGCCAGTCACACGGCCCACAGCGCCCCATTGCCCATCAAGGACAAAGTTCGTGCTGACGCCGGCGCCTGCAGAAGGACCGTTGCAAAACTTGCTCCAAGCACCACGGCTGACGTCGGAGAGACCTCCGCGGTCGTTGCTTACGTCGTACATGCGCTGCCAGAGCATGTAGAAGGTATCGACATCACCCACGTTGACCAGACGGTCAGTGTACATTCCATAGATTTGGAAGATCCAACTATCTCTGGAATCGATGGCGTCGGTTTCGTTGAAGGCTAAGGCTTCCTGCTTGGCAGCTTCTTCCTTGACCGCCTGGAGCCAGTTGTCAGGGTCGACTTGATAGATCTTGGCCAGCGCGTCAGGCAGCTTTGCTTGTTCGACAGAGTGTTGAACTTCAGCTGGCAGAGCGAGAGCCAGAGGAATGCTTGCAAGAATTGCAAGGGAAGTAGAGGAGAACTTCATGATGGTCGATAGTTGGAGACCAGATAGGTAATTGAGGAATGAATGTTTGGGTACGGATTCTAAGTTATCTGTGGGAGGGGAGTGCTCTTCTTGTACTGCTGGGAACCATAGCACCGGCAAATCTCCTCTAATTGTAACTATCACAGCTTCCTCATGTACAAGGGAGCAATACGAATCTCTAGACTGGACCTGGCTACCGCTATTGATCCAAGCTTAGCTTGGTAAGAAATCTGGTTACCGAGAGCTTGTGCACAACCGCCTTCCCTATGAAGTCCATCCTCTTAGCGGTGACTGAAGATGAAGAAACCTTAGTCGATATCTCAATGAGTTGTTTTGGGGGCAACAAGGCTACCATCACGAACCACGCCAGATGTTACTCCACAATTGATATATGACTTTTAGCGACTGACAGCTATGGGTAGTTTTTACACCAATCATACAGGAGGGAATACGGAGAGACCGAAACTCTACCACTTTGTCTTAGCAAGTCTAGTCCTCTTTAAGAAGCGATTCGCAGATGAAGTTGAAACCTTAAGCTAAGCGTGATCAATTTCCCAGGATCTTGCGATAATTAACATGTTATCGGTCTGCCCCTGCAATCGTACCCCTTGTAGGCTTTTAGCTTTCAGATGGAGTCATGAACGGTTCTATTCGTATTCCAGAACGTGCTAAAAGTGGCCATTAGTGCCGTAACCGACTCTGGTCCACTAGTTTACAATACCTGCCGCTATGAGCTAGCTTTGAGATGAAAATTGCGCAGTTTATAATTTGCGCTAACCTTCAGTAGCATGGTCACCTGAGATAGCAACTACCAATGGGTTGTCTCTTATCTGAAATAAGATGGCTTGACGGACCAGTTGTGATAATTCGTAATCAAGACAGGCAATTCGTATCATGATGGAGAAGCTTCATGAATGGGCAATTATTCGAATATATGCTTCAAGCTTTCAACCTACTTTCTGATAAGCTTCAAGTTCTCATCCTCCTTTCTAAACCGGTTCATCGTATCACCATGCGTCTCTTTGCCCTGCTCTTACTTGCTGCTCTTTACACTCCAACGACATGCATCAAACTCCGCAAAGCCGAGTTCAACGTTTTGATATTCTCAAGACAGTCGCTCATCCTGTTCACAGCAGACGGCTGTAAGGAATGCGATCGAGTACAAGGGTTGCTGGACAGTGCATCCTCAGTACTCACCAAGACAGCCATTGCCTCAGTCAATTGCAACGAGGAGCCGTCTGCCTGTGATGATGCACAGGTATTCACCGTCCCTACGTTGAAGTATACAACAGGCGACGGCAACTTGGTTACGTACAAGGAAGCTTTGGACGCGTCTTCGTAGGCTTCTACCTCGACATCTACCTGTGCACTACTGACCATGATGACAGAGTTGTCAAGTATATCGAAAGACAATCTGGTTCTCCAGTCACGGATCTGACCAGTAAGGGTCACATTGATTTCGCGACTTCAGCCCGAGTGGCGGTCGTTGCATTTCTTGGCTCATCAGACCGCCAACAAGACCGCAAGAATTTTTACAATGTTGCTGAGCGGTGGCGGGCGCATTACAGCTTTGGTTCTGTTGATGCTTTAGACGGACACAGTACGCAACCTTCCATCGCTGTTTATACACAGGAGGAAGACGATCCTGTCTACTACCGCGGGCCCTTCAACGTGGACTATATTAATACTTTCTTGCAAAACGCAACTACGCCTCTGATCCGCGAACATGATCCGGTGATTTATGAACAAGCCATTGCAGTAAGCCATCCTTACTTGACACATTCTTCCCGCTGACCGATTTAGGACGGAAAACCACTGGCTCAAATCTTCTTCAGTAAACGTGAAGAAAGGGTTGAGCTTACCAAGTCTTTGATTCCTCTTGCCAAAAAGTATCAGTATCAAATGACATTTCTGACAGTCTTTGCCCCGGATTACCCTGCGAGATGCAAGCAGATGCATCTAAGAAATGATGTCAAGCGTGGGTTCGCTATTGCAGATCCCCGAGGAAGGGCGTATCCTATGTCGACATCGGCATTCAATGCCAATAGGATTGACAAGCACATATCTGCATACTTGAAAGGGACATTAACACCGACTATCAAATCCGAGCCAGTATCTACACCATCTGCTTCCCAGCCTTTCTTGACCACGTTGGTTGGCAGCAACTTTGACGAGTTCGTCTATGACAAGACTCGGGATGTCCTTGTTGAGTTCCACGTCCCATGGTGTCAATACTGCACAGAGTAAGTCCACCAATCTCCAAAGTCGCTCTACATAATTACTGACAGGCTTGGATAGCCTTCATGGGACGATGAAAGAGCTTGGGTCCAGATACTCAAAGTCGGGTCTTTCCAAGCAGGTTTCTATAGCTGTGATCAACGTCGATGCTAATGATGTGCCGATTGAGATTGACTCATATCCGTCGATCAGGTTGTATCGCGCTGGCACGAATGAGATCATATCTTTCAAAGGCAAATTTACTCATATGCTGACAGAAGAACAACTGGATAATTTTATATTTACAAGTGGAAGTCATGGAGCTAGCGTCTTTAATCAGGATAGATTAAAGCACCATGATGAGCTGTAGATTAGAAGAACTATAATATATTTGTTAAGCCTTTTTACTTCTGTATAGAATTCCTTTTAATTTCGATCTTCCCCCAAGACCAATACCCAATTCCACTCCACCCAGCATCTCATACAAAGCCCAAGCCCCCGGATCCGGCACCTGTTGCTCGCTCGCCTCACCCACATACAGAGCTCTTCCCAGTTTCGACTTCAGAAAACGTGTAGCTTCTGCCTTCTCCTTCGCCTTTCGCATTGCAGCCTCAAAGCTCCTCGTCTGCACAAGCTCGTCTGTAAATGGGATCAGAACATCCATGACCGTACGGTCTCCCTCTCGTGCTGTAGTATACACCTTGAGGGACTCAACAGCTATGCCAAGAGCGTCGGAGAAAATCGCAGCGGTGACAGCTCCTTGAGATGTGAATTGGCGCTTGAAGGCGTTGTTAAAGGCTGTGAGTAGGATGCCTAGAATAGCTCCTAGTGTTCCGCCCATATCGTCGACAGTATCGGTGATTGCTCGGGGTATGTTGAGTTGCCGAATGCGTCTCTTTATATACTTGACGAGGATACGATCTTTTTGGTCGTTGCTCTCCTTGAGGTCAGAGAGAAGCTGTGTGATATCTTCTGCTTTGAATTCCCCCGAGCGCACACCGTACGGCCCTATCCCCACTCATCCTGCCTCAAGTCCGCGTTTGTCAAGGGGCCAAGTCGAGCAACATCAGGTACATCGCACCCGACAAGTGATTCTGATGAAGCCGGCACGAAGGGAGTGCCAATTCCGCACCGATGATGGAGTCGGCCTGATTTACTATGCGAATTCCGGTCCTTTGGACTGTCTAGCTAGCACACACACCTTTTAAAGGGTGACCCGGCCAGGGCCCGATGGACCTAATCAAGTATCCTTCGTTCATCTACACGAATTACACCGTGGCGTCAGCGTTCGCTCTCGTATTCCGGAACAACCCTCGGACATATCCCCACAACCCCCCAGCACAAAGCTGCACCAACAGGTGGAGAGGAAGCAACAGCTTGGGATCAGCGGGGATTATCGTTCTGATTTAGACCGAACGACGAAGCTGCACGGACAGCAGAATGAGACGAATCAAAAGATCATCGTGTGATCCCTTATGATAAACCCAAGACACCCTAGGATTCCCCGCATCCCCACACTTCTTCCCTAGCTCTCCACGTCATGATCTTGTGTCTGGAGGTCTGGAAGGCATACTAAAGACGGGATCATTTTGATTAGATGTAGGTAGGCATGGCAAACCCTAGGATCAGTCTATGAACTGAAGAAACATTCTGTTCTGTGTGTACTACGATTATTAGGTGATTTCGCCATATTCATGTGCGCCCACTCATCATCAGCTTAGGTAGGGACAGGCAGGTGTCTATCGTAACCCCTGGATCTTAGCTCTGGCACTGATGAATAACTTGCTATCTCCAGAGTCATTTCTCCGTACCCATACATACCTCTCGGTTCTTGTCGAAGCTTGAATCGAGCTACAAGGGTCTCAGTTAAGCCTTTCTCCTCACCTTGGTAATCGGGCATCGGTGTAAGTCAGGGCGAAGATCGACAGACAACTATAGTTTTAGAATTGGCCAGGCTTCTGTGTGACCTTCAATGTGCCACATCCATCATTACTCCTAACCGTTGCCCAATATGGCGCTGTGAAAACACGATTTGCGAGGTCAGACACTCGTTCTGGCCATCACTTTGGCATCATGCCAGGCTTTTCTGTTCCTCGGTTTCGACCAAGGGGTTATGGCTGGGCTGATTGGAGCAGAAAATCGTTTTGAAAGAGACTTTAATCACCCTGATGCTGATATGCAGGGTAATATTACAGCTTTGTACGACATTGGCCGGTGGTCGGGTTGATCATGTGCTACTTTATCGCCGAGAGATTTGGTCGCAGAACCATGTTGATCGCTGGCCGTAGTATCATGATTGTTGGAGCTGCAATTTTGGCTTCATCTTACACAGTCGCACAACTCATCGTCGGTCGCATCGTCACGGGGATTGGGAACGGAATGAACTCTTCGACGGCCCCCGTTTACCAGAGGGAATGTTCATCGGCTGCTATCCGAGGTGCGCTGTTGACCCTATAGGGCACAGTGACGATTCTAGGAGTTGTGATTTCTTACTGGTGAGTACACGTCGATGGCTTGGACATGGTATGGTGTCGCTAACTCAAGTTTCCCCAGGATGGACTATGGGACTAGCTTCACCGAGTCCTCGCTTCAGTGGAGATTCCCTCTTGCATTCCAAGCTCTATTTGCCATCTTGCTCATCTTGCTCATCTTGCAAGTCATTGGTCTTCCCGAATCCCCTCGATGGCTCGTCCAGCACGAGCAGTACGAAGAGGCTCGCCATATCATCGCGGCCATTGCCGATAAGCCCGATGACGATGCGGATGTTAATCGAACCTTACTCGATATCCGCAATGGCTTGGAAGAGGAGCAAAAAGATGGCCCTTCAGCATCAAGGAACTTCTCTTCTGGGGCGAGGTCCAGAACTTGCGGAGACTGCTCATTGCCATCTCCATCCAGCTTGTACAGCAGTTCTCGGGCAGCAACATGATCAACTACTATGCGCCCGTAATCTTCCAAGGTAGCATTAGACTCAGTCGAAATACTTCCCTCATTGTCGGAGGGTTTTCGCAAATCACCTACCTTATTGGAAGCTGCATTCCAGTCTTCTGGATGGATCGCTATGTAGGTAAGCTGAGTTTAAGCATTCAAGTCAGCAAACCCGAATTTTCTTTTTTAAAAAAAACATATAGTATAACTAATTATGCATTCTTAATCTTAAGTAACCTAAATATAATTATAAGAAAGATTGAAGGTTGATTTGGAATTTAAAACTTATTTCTCTTTCCATCATCTCCCCGGCTTCTGGATCCAATTCGGTTCTCCAGATGAACATGGGCCAAGGTTTGTCCTCCCTTCTCTCACTTCTGCTCCGCGAAGATGCTAAATTTATTCCCTCATTTAGGCAAGACTTCATGTATCATGCCCATGGCTGTGGCCGTTCTGGCCGATAAGATCTTTCTATGTAGGCTGGTCGTTCCTCGTCCTCTTCTCCTACAAACGGCGCAGGTGATCCAGAGCCGAATCGGTGGACTTGTTGGTCGGGCTGTTCGTCACATCCCCTATTATCGACGATCACCGACACAAATGGACAACCTTGATCTTTTTCAGAGCATCCATCAAGACATGCGCAGTTCAGGCAGCATCATGCTCTGTCTTCCCGAGCACATGTTGTCATTCAAGCTGAGCGGGATCCAGCGACTGGCAGACGGAGGGCTCAAGTTGGCCAAGAGGATGATTGAAATTCAGAAATGGCTAGAAAATTTGTGTCGCGACGTTCTCGATGAATCGGACTATACGCTCTCGGCAAAGATGCAGCTGATATACCCCAGTGGCACCCCAATGACGATCGACGGCCATCCTCAGCGTTGGCAATTAGTCGAGGAGCTCTTGTTACTTATTGAAGATCACGTTCCATACCTTCAATCGAGATTCGGGGGTGGCATCGACATATTGTAGCGGCACCAAGGCTATCCGATCATCCATTTCTTGCGCGCCGAAGTCGAGGATAGGCTCAACGCACTTCTTGTCAACGACGTTCGCGAAGGCCGTCTTCCTCAGCTCCAGTTAAAGAACACAAGCAACGTCAATGCGCTGAGGGACGTTGGCTTGATCGTATCGGGCGTCGATGTCGACCTGCCTACCTGGGAACAAGCTGCTGAATCCCTAACAGACGACGTCTTTGGCTTGAAGAACCTTTACCTGCTTCGGGGTCTCATTTCCCAACGTTTGTTGCTGGTATGCCTAAAGAAATGATGGAACGTGCAGTATAGTCTGCATCCCCAACGAGCCCCTATTGCAGTCCCTTTTGAAGCAAAAGGCATTCCCTCGCCAACTGCGGAGTATGGCTATCCGGATACAGCCTTAGTGTTAACATACCTTGCCTTCTACTAGATAGGACTTACAAAGCACCAGGTAACTCAAGCCTCCTGCATATTCTACAGTCTGATGATCCTCCTACATAGTACAAGCAATTGGTTCACGGGTATAAGCTACCGGCCCGCCTCAAACACTGGAACTTGCTCCACACCGACGATGAGGCCCAGATCGAGGAACTATGGACATACTTGAGGCTCGACAGAGGCGTACTAAACTACTTCATAGACAACTTTGCATTCCTAGTATATGCAAAACAGTTTAGGACCAAGCTTCAGACTTTAGGCTGGGACATCCCCCTTTTGTCAAATAACGCCTCCTCAAGGAATCTCACCATGGGCTTCAGCAGGACTAATGATAACAAGACCATGCTCCCTCAGTCAATTAAGCAGGACGACTTACCCAGCCTCGTACAGACAAATGCAGAAGTTCTCGGTTACCTCTTAGAGCCGCGGAACCAGAAGTGCATTCAAGCCGTCAACAGAAATGGTCGGCACCTGACCGAGAAGGGACTGCTGGAACTTCTTGGCAACAAACAGATACGCATTCTCATCGATGCGGGAGCTTACATCTTGGAGATGGAGAATCTAGATCTTGCAGCCGCCTGGCTTGACATCTATTCCGAGGCTCAAGATGCCGTCTACTTTGACCGTAATAACAGAATCATGGTCCGCGCCCGTTTTCAGAAGGCCCCTGTGCCTCTTCTTGCAAGTCTATTTGCCGAGAATCTCGAGGAATGCGTTGTATACATCGATGAAGCACACACGCGTGGTACGGATCTAAAGCTACCTGTTAACGCCAGAGGGGCCGTGACGCTTGGCCTTGGCCAGACAAAAGACCAGACAGTTCAAGATGAGCAGGCGACCTAACTTCGCACGAGCATGATAATTGACAGGCATAGCGACGATGAGACTCAGACAGCTTGGCTCGATGCAGTCCATAGCACTCGTTATGCCTCTTGAGGTGTACCAGAACGTTCTCGATCTCCGACCTAGCGAGGACCGCACGCAATCACAGGTGGTATCTGCGGACGTAGTGTACTGGCTGCTCGAGTAGAGCTGTAAGGCAAATGAGAATATGATGTCTCTCCATACGGTACAGGGGTTTGACTTCTATCGGCGCACTAATGCATTGTGGAAGTACTCGGACTTTTCCACTAATATAGAAGACAGGCTACAGCTTCTCAATGCCATCCAACGGCGAGAAGACCAGACTCTTGAGCAGCTTTATGGTCCCAGACAGTCCAGACTGACCTCGGGAGCCACGGCCCAGCTCGAATTTGAATGCTTGAAGGCGTTTGCCACCAATTTGAGCCAGCAGAACGTTGACCCATCGGGACACGACTCGTCAGCATTCCAAGAGGTTGAGCAGGAGCGAGAGGTCGAGTTTGAGATCGAGCAGCTTCGTGAGAAGCAAAAGCCCGTGAACTACCTCGCGCTCACTTTCCCTGGGCTCGATCCCACCATCTTACGTTTCGCCCAGACCGGAGAGCTTCAAGAAGGCGGCAATTTCACCCAGGGGTTTGACTTCCTAAGTAGGACGAAGATAGGACGGAAATTCAGCATAAAGAAGACTCCCTCTAGGTTCTTTACCTCGAGGCAGTTCTCCAGAAGTATCGGAAGTGGTCGTTCTAATAAAACCTACGATTTTGTGGTAAGTCTTCCATAAAAAGAATAAGTTAAAACAATTAACTAACGCATGTAGCGGCCCGTTGAATGGGTTCTCTGGAGCGCGGAGACGGAGACAGCCCTCATCGTTATTCCTGAAGAGGCCGAGCTTCTTATTGCGATGTTTCGCGACACGAGCAAGATATGTGTGTTGCTGCTGACTTATTCTGCACCAGTTACGAAGTCTATGTAGCTGTTCAACACGCTTAAGTACTTTACAATACCAGTGCGAGAGAAGAGCCCAGCGTTTCCTCTATAGCTCTTAATTGAGATTGGGGTTCTTGTGCTTGTACTTTGATTTCACAGAGTATACGCCGCTTGTTATATGGTTGGGAGTCGATGAAGCGACCGCGCCGTCAACCGGTCTTTTGAATGAGCCATCGCAGGAGACAATTTCAGTTGCGCGCGGCTTATTCGTCGACCAGCCTCTGAAGTTTCTCCTAGAGTGGCTGACATATCGACGCCAGACGTTAGACATTATGCGCACCCGGATGGGCTATATATGTCAGAGGCGGAGGCTGTACAGTGAGCATTCTTTTTTCACTCAGGCAGTTGATTAGTCCTGGATTTGAGGGGCCGGGGTTGGCTAAGAAAGAGATTTGGATATTGGTAGATAGGTAGATATACCACTTCATTATTTGGACCTGAAATCACTTTGAGATTCGATACAAACTGAACCAGCATATCACAGTTTTTTTCCCCAGGAGGCAGTTGACAAGCCACCCGTTGAAGAACAGGTTTAATTACTTTGAAAGCTCTTCCTTAAGAAGCTCCTTCAAGTCGTCGTCAACACGTCCAAAATAATCTGTACATCAGTTAACACTGCAATAGTAGCTAAAGACATCATCAGAGAGCGAGCGTAACTTACCCAACACCTTGTTCTTCAACCTATCGGGAATATCTCGCAACGTTGGCAGAATATTATGCAGGAACTGCTCCTTGTCATCCGGCTCCTTGCAAATGATATCCCAGAGCATTCGAGCCTGGACAAAATCCTTGTCGTTAACAGACGTCGAGAACGCAGTCACATGTCCGGCCCATAGCTCATGGGTTGGCATCTGCACCCGCTTGCTCACGGTGACAGGGCGGAGTTCCGAGAAGACGTAGTCGGGATCGCCACCGTAGTTGCCATTCGAGGTCCCAGGGCCATCTCGGACGTACGGAGAGTACACGGTATTGGTTGGCTTGTTGCACGGGAGCTGGAAGTAATTCGGCCCAACTCTGTAGCGGTGGGCGTCGGGATAACTGAACATCCTGGCTTGAAGGACTGTGGTAATCTCAGTTAGCTACGTTGTGAGAGACATGGTGTTTGTACATACCGGGATCAGCAGATGGTCCAATGCCTGGAACCATGTTGGAAGGTGAGAAGCAGGCTTGCTCAATGTCCTGGAAGTAGTTCCTGGGCTATTTAAATACCGTCAGCTGTTCGTGTCATACATGCTGGAATTTAGGGATACTCACATTCTCGTTGAGCGTCAACTTTCCAACGAGACGCAAGGGATACTCGTCAAACGGCCAAGTGTAGGTGTCATCAAAGATGTCAATCGGAGCAGACCTGACCTCTTCAGGCCTCATGACCTGGATGAAAACCGACCAGCTGGGATAATCGCCCTTCTCAATGGCCTTGAAGAGATCCTTGACGTGGTAGTCGGGCTCGGATCCGGCCAGGCGGACAGCGGTATCGGCATCCATGGTCTTGATGCCATCATCGGGCTGCCAATGCCACTTCACGTAGACATAGCTTCCATCCTAGATTCCGTGAGCTTGAGTCAACGGCAAATAACAAGAAACAAGGCTTACGGCTTTGTTCAAGGTGTAGGTATGGACACTGAATCCGTTGATGTTTCTCAGCGAAGCCGGAATCCCGCGCTGCCCAAACAGATGCATCAATGCATGGATTCCTTCGGGATTGTTGACGTGAAAGTCCCAGAACATGGTGTTGTCGGGGCAATTGGTCTGAGGATGCCGCTTATGGCTTCGGTTCATCGAGGGAAACTTGATGGGATCCCGAATGAAAAAGACCGGAAGATCATTGAAGACAAAGTCCTGAATACCTTCTTCGGTATAGAACTTGGTTGCCCAACCTCGAACATCGCGAACTGTGTCGCTGGATCCCTTCTCGCCCCCGACAGTTGACATGCGAGTGAGCACTTTGGTCTTCTTTCCAACGCCGGTCAGGAAATTGGCGTCGGTAAAATCCGAGACATCTTCAAGAACCTCGAATTCACCAAAGGCACCCGCGGCCTTTGCATGAACGCTTCTGCAGTAGGGTATGAGTCTATACGAGCTCACAAAACAGGGCCGACTGGTTCTTACCGCTCAGGAATGCGCTCACGGGCGAAATGAGCCAGAACCTCGACGGTTTGCACGTCGCTCAGGACGACCAAGCCACCATTGCTGGTGCCGTAGCGGACCTGCTGAACTGAACCGGGGTTCTCACTCGGCTGGCCTAGAGAATGGCGGTCAGGGAGCATTCGGCCAGGACAGAAAGGGAAACGGTCTTACCGTTGGCGAGTGTGTACAGAGGATTCTCGGTCGAGGTGGACTATGATAGGTGGGCCAAGGATACTTGAACATGCATCAGAATTCAAAGCTCACCATGATGATATCTTGTACTTGATTGTAGTCGAATGTAGTCAATTCTAGTCAATTCAACGAGCCGAAGACGAGGACAGCGATGCACCGACGACGCCTTCACTCGCCAGATTCCTCAAGTGAAACACCATTGTCTTATCATTTTCCCTCCAACATGCCTGTCTCGCACAACGCCATGATTGGAATAAGCTCTCATCAATTGACTTCAAGGTGCAACGCCGCAGTAGCATTACGCCCGCCATTGCGTCACGATGATGACCATCCGCCGCATCCGAGTCCTCGCAGTGGCCGAACCCCGCCCTGTAACCTCGTGTTAGCGTTGGGTCATGATGGCATCACCAGTCATCACACACTTCCAGATGCGACTGCTGCAACCCCAACAGCCAATGCTTTGAGACACATTGGGCCGAAACAAAGCAAAAAGGCGGAGAGTTGTGGAAGCGAGAAACACACTTTCTTATCGCACCAATCTGTGCCATCTAATGTGTCGCGCTAATCCAGCCCAGTCTCTCTGCGAAAGCTTGCATAAACTCGACGGTTGTCATTGGGTCGATTGTCATGCCAGAATCGTCTAGATCTCTGATCATCACATCTTGGCACTACTGCCGACCCTCCATTTGAAACTGGGATGAGGGCACACGACCCTCTTCTGAGTCAACCAGGCCACGGCCAGCATACTTCGACGGGCTCAGATATGAGGGTAGAAGTACTTCCGTCTGTCACTCTCCCCTCCCACTCCATCGTTGCAATTTTTGACCTGTAGAACACACATTGTCGCAATCATGAAGACTACAAACCGTCCAGATGAGTGGAAGATCGAGCAGGGACTGTCTGGAGCTGTGCTCCCAGTCCTTGACATGACAGGACCCAAGACCGAGCGTCTAGATCCCCAGGTTTTTGGCGAGCTCACCAAAGATGAGAAAGCTATCAAGGATGTTGGCGACCCCGAGAAACTCTTTTCCAGGGAGCGAAAGGGCTGGATCGGGTAAGTTGCAGCTTTGGTCAAGACATGGAGCATCTATCGCTCTAGGATTGAGATTTGTGCTGACCGATTCTCGCCTCCAGCTTCGTCGAGTGGGAGAACTACCCCGAGAAGAAGGCCGCCGCACACAAGATCTTGACGTCCCAGACCTTCCCGCCAAACCCCGAGTTCCAGCTCGGCCCCATCCCTGGAACAAACCCAGTGCTTCCCGGTACCCATTGGAAGATGTGGCACCATGCTCTCGGCGGCGAACTCGACAAAATCCCCGAGGACTCTTGGTCTACCGTCCTCAAAGAGAAGCACGCCGACATGCTCCACCTGCTCCAATTCCCGTACAACGGAGAGCCTCCGAAGCGTCTCGTCACCGACAAGGTGATTACTCCCAACCCGCTGCATTTCGTGAGGAACCACGGAGGCATCCCCATTGTCAACAAGGAAGACTTCAGCTTCATCCTCGACGGCCTCGTGGCCAAACCTCAGTCGTTCACGCTGGACGACATCATGGATGAGTCCAGGTTCCCGCGCATGGAGAAGACCATCACGATGCAGTGCTCTGGAACGCGCCGCATTGAGCAGATCCTCAAGTACCCTGGCCAGGGCGACGAAGTTCCCCAGGCACCATGGGCGGAGGGCGCAATCGGCAATGCTCGATACACTGGTATCAGCCTCAAGAAGGTTATCAAGGCCTGTGGCGGATTGATTGATGGTGCGAAGCACTTGGAATTCTACGGTGCCGACACCTACTTCAAGGACGACAAGACCATGAACTATCTCGTCAGCGTTCCATGGTCCAAGGTCAAAGCAAATGAAGTCATGCTGGCTTGGGACATGAACGGAGAGCCTCTACCTCGCATCCACGGATATCCACTGCGTATCATGGTCTTTGGATATATCGGAGCTCGAAGCGTAAAGTGGCTCTATCGCATCAAGGCCATCAAAAACCCTTCCCTCGCCCCAGTGCAGAGCCAAGAGTACCTCTACTTCCCCCAACAGGTGGGAAAGCACAACTTCAAGCTCACAGACGGCATTCAGATTCAGGAAATGCCAGTCAGCTCAGCCATCATGTCGCCATGGACCAAGCAGGTCGTCATCCACAATGGCAAGATTCGCTGCAAGGGCTGGGCGTACTCTGGAGGTGGCCGCTGGCCTGAACGCGTTGAACTGTCCGCTGACGGTGGCTTCAACTGGTACACGGTCCCGGTTGAGAACATGTCCAAGAAGCGGCAGTGGACTTGGCGTACCTGGGAGATCGACCTGCCTTGCGATGTTGAGGGCTGGGTTGAAATTGTTTGCCGTTGTTGGGACAACTCATTGAATACCCAGCCACCGGATGTCCGAACCGCTTGGAACTGGGGTCTGCACGTCACAAGCTCTTGTCATCGAATCTCGGTGTACAGCGTCAACAAGAGCAAGCCTCTGACCAAGGCTCGTCTTGATGAGTTTGAGAACAAGCACATTCCGTTCGGCCCCATCACTGTACCTTTGGCATTCCCTGCTCAGAGTTGGGAGGAGTACGGCAAGTACTGGGAAAATCATGATCCGCGTGATGCGGAGGATGATTGATTCGATCGTTCTATACTCAGAATAAAAGTATCCCCCATGGCAGCTTCTATCCCGTAGTCTAGTCATTTTCTAATTATCATTATCTGTATTACTCCATATCGACTATCGCTGGACACCTCTCCTAGAGGAGATAGACATTGACATTTGTGATAGTGGACGCTACAAGTAGAATACTCAAACATACACGCACCGATTTCAAATATACATACACAGCAGGGATACCTTAATAAAACTAGTCCCAATTAGGAAAGGCCTGTTTCTTCTCAGACCCCCCAAGCAATTCTTCCTTTATCTCAAGTGAGGCCGAGGTACGAGAGCCCCCGCAAGAGCGTAGCGATAGAGGGTGCCCCGGAGCTGCCCCGGAGCGCAGCGTAGGTCGCAGCGTAGGTCGCGGCGGGCCGAACGTATTCTGTCAATTCACCAAAAGAAAGCCAAAAGATATAAAAGCCAGCTGCAGGCATTATAGTAAGAGAGTGTACCTGTTATTAGCAGGTCGAGAGAGAGGAAATTAGTTCTATCCGAATTGGGGCTAGTAAGATTAGCTAGATAATAGCTATTAAGCTCGGGCAGGCTCGTCATAAAGAAGCGCCACACTCACAACTGGCTAATCCTGCGTTACAGTCTGCAGTTTGTTTCTAGCGCCAATGCGGGAGGCCGACCAGGAGCCGTGAGGGGTCTCCATGACCAACACAGGGAAAAAAGGGAATAACTTGGCTCTCTGCTCCCTCACGATGATCTTTGTTAACAAGCTTCCCTCTCCCCAAGCTGACCACAACACGCCAGAAGTCTTTCACAGAAGCCACAGCCATCTTCCTCATGGCTGATACCAACCCTCTATATCTCGTCCAAGGCGTCCCCGGAAAGGGTCACGGTCTTGTTGCAGCTTCAAAGATCTCCAAAGGCACACGCATCCTCTCCGAGGCTCCCCTGATACAGGTGCCTCGAGATGTGAATGACAAGGATCAACTTCGTCGTTCCATAGCCGCCAAGCTTGCCTCCCTCTCAGAGGATCAACGACGGTCATACTTCGCATTGAAGAATTCTCATGCAGAAGAGGGCAGCGAACTCGGGATCGCTAAGACGAACGCTCTCCCTTTGGGCTCGGGTGCGCCTAAAGGGGCCGTTTTCTTGGTTGCGTCTCGCATCAATCATTGCTGCCATCAGAACGCCCAGAATACCTGGAATGAGAAGCTTCAGAAACTCACAATTCATGCCTGTCAAGACATTGAAGAAGGAGAAGAAATCACCATCACGTACCTGTCAGAGCATGCAGGCTATGTGGCCCGCCAGCGCACTCTTCAAGCCAGGTTTCGCTTTCGCTGCTCCTGCCATGTCTGTTCTCTGCCCATTTCCGATCGCAAACTGAGTGATGGCAGGCTGCATGAGATTCAGAAGCTAGACGATGCAATCGGTGACGGAATGGCGCTTCTTTCCACCCCTCTCGACACCCTCCACAACGTGCAGAGATTGTTGGAGCTGCTCAAAGTCGAGGGCCTTGGCGATGCAAGCGTCCCCAGAGCTTATTATGACGCATTTCAGGTCACTGTCACTCATGGAGATCTAGCGAGGGCTAAAGTCTTTGCTGAGCGAGCAATGTCGAGTCGAAAGGTTCTGGAAGGAGACGACAGCCCTGACGTGGAAAGGCTACAGCGACTATACCACAATCCATCTCAGCATAGATCCTACGGCATCTCAAACAAGTGGAAATCTAGTATTGGAGACTTCCCAAAAGAATTGGCGGCTGATGAGCTTGAACTTTGGCTTTGGCGGCAGCAAAAGCCTTGCGACTTGCAATTTGCAGACCTACGATGCGAGCCAACCTTCCCAGCGTTTGAAAATCTTCCTGGGGAACACGACGTCAACTTCGAGTTCTACGAAAGTACGGTCGGGGTTACTCTTCATCCAAACAAGCATTGGGCTTTCTTGGGCGAAATCGTGGACGTGGAAGCTATGTTCCGCTTGAGGCTTATCGTCAAGGACAGGAACGAGCAAGAGATCCCGGTTGCTTTCTACACTAACCAAGCTGGGTACGAACTAGCTCCCTCGATGCGCGTGGTTGGATATACTGTTGTAATACTCTACGCCGAACAACATGGATTTTTGGATCTTACTTTCGGTATCCGTCTTGAGAGACCAGAGCTTCTGAGGGTAAGCCCGGAATAACATCCACAATGGGGCTTTCCTGCTAATCGTTATTAAAAATAGATATTTCCTGTCTCTCTAAATGAATTGCATCTGCTGAGTGACAGAGTGCAAAAGCATGCCAAGGTTGTCGATGGCATGAGAACTTGCCAGGGCTGCAATAGCAAATCAGCTTCCCTACGGAAATGCGCCAGGTGTGGTTTCTTCTGGTACTGTAACAAGGTAGGAGACCCCAGAACAACAGAAACTCGTACCTTTCTGATCACCCGATATCCTAGTTCTGCCAGACTATGGGTTGGAATGACAACGGCCACAAGAAGGATTGCAAACTTCTAAAAGATCCTGACCTGAGGGGACTGTTTCTTCTGAAGTGGAACAACTATGACAGGCACATGACCTTTCCTTTGAGGTTGGAAGATTAAATATGTAGCAGCTTAGGGCTGTTCGATGGAGACACACCTCTACACCGGGCTGCGTACAAGGGACTTAAGGACGTCGTTACATATCTACAAGAAAATGCGAACAAAAAGCTGCGAGACAACAACAGTAGAACTGCCTTGCATCTAAGCAGCGATAGCGGGAATAGAGGAAGGAGTAAAGTCGCTCGTTGAGATAAGTACCGACAAGGAGGCCAATAATAGGGACGGCTGGACGCTGCTGCACCTACGGCCTGGAGCGGGCACACGGGGACGGTGTGGGCGCTCGTCAAGGAGCTCGAGGCCGACAAGGAGGCGCAGGATGAGGCCGGCCGGACGCCGCTGCACTTGACAGCCAGTAAGGGATAGCTAGGCTACTCGCGTAACATTTTAGCCAACACCCCGCCCATGTCCTGCTGCCCTTCTTTGTTTATATAGGTGCCGTCGTCCTAAGACAGTGATAGTCCCTGGACTTCAGTCTTAGGACTAAGCTAGCCCTGGAACTCCGGTCGTCACAGGACAGAGATAGTCCTGGCATAGGGGCAGCCTGGGGATATAGGTTGTCATGGGACGTTTCTAGGCCTAGAATAATGGTAGTTCTAGGGCTTCAATCGTTCGGCGGTATTCGGACGTCGTAGGAAATCGGGGAGGCTTGTTCAAAGTCGGGCTTGAGATACTACAATTCCTGGCATTGATGACTATGAGATGTCGAGGAAAGAAGTGGGTGATACATAGTGGGATACGAAGCGTTGTTTTCTTTCGCTTCCTGTGGTGCATCCTTGATGCCGAAGGCGCCTAAGCGTTCAGACCTGTCATTGACGGCTCCGGACAGTTCAGGTCCACCTACAGATGACGCGGCCTGCACGAATAATGGTACGTACGACCAATAGAAATAAAACTACAGCCAGAAAACACGCCCCTCTATGCGCGTGACCTCTCTGGCCTCAGCTACGGCGCTTCGGGGCTGTCCTGCCTACCCAATCGACTTAGATTCTTAGGCAATTTAGAATTGAAACCTGATTAGACAAAGCCGAGTATTAGGTGGAGTATAGGTACAAAGTCATAAAACCAAGGGCTAACTGACCCGAGAGAGCCTGGAATTGTATATATATTAGTAGAGGGCCTCTACCTGAGGTGGGCGGGGTTGATTTTGACGGTGCTAGCAAAGTCTGCTTAGTCAAGCCCCTGGGTACCCTTGGTACCCTCATTTAGAGCATGTTAATTGGACCGGGATTCTAGTCGATACCAGTCCGGAGGCTTGTGAGCATCCGGAGATTGGGGAAATCTCCCCGGGCAGAATTATCATCACCTGATCAGCTACTCCGTAGAATATGGTGTACTACTAATGCCAGCCTCTACCAAAAAGCTCTCATGCTGTGTCAGGCTTAACAGCTTTCTTCTTTAGTAACTAGATATACATATCCGCATGCGTTAATAACCGGCGGTATATACTGGATACTGCCACTCTCACGTCGACTAGAGAAGTATCAGAAGTGCATGTACAAGCGAGTCAAGTAACGAATTAACGGCCCCACCCCCTTCTATAGGATGTCCTCATTAACTCTTCACCCAAATAGAGACAGCGTAAGACGAGCACTCGATGAACCGGCTGCCAATTTGCTGTTTTGGTAAAGGAATAGCTAGGTAAGACCATGTAGACGTTACGACGCTCACAGAAGCTGAAGCAAGCATCTTAACGTAGACAAACGTCATGTTTGAGCTAGCGCCAGTCTCGTTTCGGCCGGAGGGCTTCGGTGCTGTCCCGGCCGGTTGGCTTTGGTCCCGTCGCCGCGGAGGGCCTCAGTTCCGTTCCGGATATGGATAATAGCGCCAGCGACAAATCCGCAATGTAGAATATCGAACATTTCCTTATTCACCGTTGGACCTTGTCCCTCAAGTGCACCTTTACGTGATCCACCATGGAGGATCGGACTGCTCCATACAAGATTTGCGTTTTCGGCCCTGGCGACGCCGGCTGCATCATCATCCGCGAAGCTTGCCGCCTACCAGAGTTTGAAATCGTCGGAGTTTTCGTGTTTCAAGAACAAAAGGACGGTGTTGATGCAGGCACACTGGCCGGTATCAACCCAATTGAGGTCAGAGCAACGCGCAGCTGGGAAGAGTTCTTGGCCATCGACTGCGATGTTGTGGTTCACACGGCTCTCGATTCTCCGGCGACACCTCCGCTTTCGACGTATATAAGACTACTCGATGCAGGCAAAAATGTCCTGACGACCCATCCGTACAGCTACCTTCCAGCACGGGACAAACGTTTCGGAGACGAGATCAAGGCAGCATGTCAGCGAGGAAAAGCAACTTTTCATGCTGGAGGTCTTAACCCCGACTTCATGACACAGCGCTTCACTACCTTGCTGACGGGGCTTTCAAACGATGTTAAACGAATCAAGATCGAAGAGTATTTCGATTGTGCCGATCAAAAAAATACAGGCCTGCTGAAAGTCATTGGTCTGGGAGGAGTTCCAGATGAGACTATCGACGAGAACAGCCCTGCAATATGGTATCAGAAGCATTATAACTACCAAATGATCCAGCATCTGGGCGAAGAGTTTGGGGTCAAGATTTCGAGGATCGGCGGGGACAAGCAAGTATTCGCCGCGCCGCGAGACATCACCCGGCCGGTTATGGAAATCAAAAAGGGCGAGACCGGCCGCATTTCATATACGTCCACAGGATATCTCGAAGACGACGCTCCTTTTATCAGTATCACGATTACATATTTCTTCGACACTTTGATGAGGCCTGAGCATCTTGAGCCTGATAACACATATATCGTCACTATTGAAGGTCGTCCTTCAACTCGAACAGTTCTCAGCATCCGGCCGTCATATCTGACAGAGACAAAGGAGATGCAGAATGAGCCTGCGGCACCCGCTTACTTTACGTTTGCTGTTACGATACTCCAGGCTGTACCTGTTGTTGTCGCGGCGCCGCCCGGGTTTAAAGCACCGGATATCCCTGTGGTGCATTGGAAGAAGGACCAGAGGAAGAGTGTAGGCAGATGTTACGCAGAGCATTAGTATTAGTCGGATCAACATTGAAAGAATTATCCTAGTAGCATGAGAAACGTGTTTCAGTGACGGAAACCTGAAATCTTTTCGGGTGATAGCATTCCCGTCCCCTTGGTTGGTTGTCATTGACTTGACTCGCAGGTTGATCTTGCAGGCCCGTGGGACTAGATAGGCGGACACCTTTTAGCCACAAAATATGGATTTATTGTCCTTTCCAACTTTCATACGTTGTCAATGTTCTTCCCACGTCTTTAAGCCCAGAAGAGCCTTGAATTTGTCTTGGCGATTTTAGATGTGGGAACTGACCTCGCAAAAGCGGCTTTGTTTATTCCACGTCATCCAGAACCGCGAGACCTCATTGAAAGGCATGAGTGACATCTGATATTAGCACCATCAACTTAGTAATAGAGGCCAATAAAAGTCCCTGATTGCCTATTCGCCGATTCAAAATGCGGATGGTCCCGTGATTAATGACGTTGGGAATGGTGTAACATCAGCTGCATTGCCTTTTTGGCTGTGTTACCAATAACTAGATTTCTCTCCACCAATGATAAACCGAGTGTTCAGCTGCTTCTAAGACAAAAACAACCATTTGGTCGATTCCCAGCCCTTCTTCTTCTGAATTCGGACCCCAAATCCTTCGCCATTATTAATCGGCTTGCCCGCCGCTTCAGAGAAACTACATCTCATCTTGACTGGGACCTTGAAGTCAACATCCTGGCCCAATGGCGAAACGTCAAAGCCCAGGAGCAGACAGGTCACAAAGCCCAAGTTCTCCGCAAAGGCAAAGTTGCGCCCGGGGCACAGGTTTCGGCCGCCGCCAAAGGGAATAAACGACAACCGCTTTGCCTTTTCAGTCTGAACATTCTCTTTTCCACTCATCTCGATAAACCGCTCGGGGTCGAATTCGTCTACGTTGTCACCCCAAACACCCTTCAGACTGTGGAGAACCTCGGCGGACATCTGTACGTTGAGACCCTTCTTCAGCAGATACGAATTGCCCTTTCCGTCCGAGACGGTGGTGTCCTCCAATACTCTGCGGTTACCCACAGCCTGGTTGGAGAGTCGAATAGCCTCGCGGTAGCAGCTGACGAGTAGTGGGCACTTCTGGTCTAACGTGGTGATATCGATGGTTACCTCGTTTTCAGTGCCATGTTGTGCCGCCGGCAACGCTTCTTCTCTGAGCCGCATCACGAGTTCGGGCCGGGTGAATATTTGTGCCATGAACCAAAACAGCGTGGGTATAGTGTTGGCCGTGGCGACATGCAGCAAAGCAAGCTCAAAATTGCCAACTTCTGTGCCGGGAAAGCCGTAACTTCGGAGAACGTTTGCTCGGGTTTTCACGATCTGGGCTGCGTCCTCGTGATGGTCCTTTTCCGCACCGTAGTATTCTGCCAGGGCAGCTTGTAGCTTGGCCCTTGCATTGTGAGCTGCTCGTGCTGTGATGGCTGGAAACACGTTCAACAGCAGCATCGGCAAGTCTCGCTCGAAAGTCCTAGAGTGGTCAGTCAGTTTAACCACTAACAAATGTTTACAAATTCCGGGACTCTCCGCACCAAAGATCTTGAACCAGGTCAGGATACTTCTTCATCGGATTGTCGGGTCCGTATAGGGCTTCTGTGGTTGCCAGTGTCATCAAATCTCGCACCCATTGGTAGAGATTAAGAACTTCCAAGGGCTTGCCACTGCTGCCAATGGCGTATAGCTCATTCGATACATAATTGAGAGCGGTTGCGTTCATCCGATGCAGATGTGCACCCGTCATTGCTGGGTGAATCACGGAGAAAAACTCAGGTACAAGGGTAGTTTCCTGAATGATCTTGAGCGCGTCGTTGCTAAACCTGAGCTCCCTCTGTGCAAACTCCACCGCAAAAGGCTCGAACGACAATTTCTTGTTACGATACGCGGACTGAATTATGGCGGAGTCAAATATGACGTAAAGTTTGCCATTGAGGATGGGCAGAGTAGCAATCTGTTCTCGCGTCGAGTCGCTGGGCGATGCATCAGTTTAGGCCCGGATTGTGCTCGTACGAGCCGTGGCTTCCGGACGATTTCGTCTGCCTCGCACTTACTACAGGATCTTGATGTAGCCACCTTGGTGTCGAAGAAGCCCGATTAAGTGTCCGAGAACCGGAATCCTAGGCTTAAGCAGAGGAGGCTCCCGGCTGTCGTTATGTGGAGAGAACAGCTTGTGCAAGAGGGTTGCCGAGATAAGCACGCCCAGAACTGTCAGATATGCTGCCTTTGACTGCTTGTAGTCATCTGCCAGAAAGTTCAGGAAGCCCTGAGACTCCGATGTGACGTTCCCGGCCATGATTTCGACGGAGGTCGTGGTTCGTTGACAGAGATGTGGCAACGGGTCTCCGATGGCAAGGTCCGCCAATGCCTTGCGAGATCGTTAGGACAGAGTGATTCAAAGTTTGGAGAGAAGACAGAGTTTGAAGATACGCAGCGGGAATTTCCAGCCGTTAGCTACTTGGCGTTCGCTTGCCATCACAGGGTACGGATTGGGATGGAGCAATGACGATTAGGTGAGATTTTAGTGCTAGGATGGACCCTGGTCTATGACAACTCGTCATCTTAATCAAGGTTTGATTAGCAAGCGGAAGAAATGATTCGCCAGTTTGGCGCTTTGGGGGGCATCTTACTTCGACGGGTGTTGGCGCTAGGCTTAATTAGTTCCGTCATGATACGATACAATTTATGACTCCCGGATGAATCCCCCTCTTATATTTACTTGTAGATTGTGAAGGGGATAAGTAAAAGCTCAACGATTCCAGAGTCACAGGCTTCGAGCCAGCCGTGAAAACACCGATAAACCTTCCACAGGAATCCCGATGTTGGTCAGGATGTTAGTGAAGAAGTATCAGTCTCGGCTATCTCCGTCAGTCTTGTGAGTCACTTCGACCAGACGCTCTCACACAGTAGATATCTACTCGGATTATGCAATAGCATTTTCATATTACCACCCGCTCTCAATTTGAACTATGCTTTATCTCGCTGTTGATACATTGTTCTCCAAACTTAACGATGACGACGAAAAGTCATTTGCCAAACCTTCAACTGCCGAGTGTGTTGAGTTGTAGTGCGCAATTTCGCTTACTGATCAGGCCAAAGGGTGAAAATACACGCTACACAACCAACGTACGTATTGAAGATAAGAGCCCGAAGCCTTTTAGGTTATATGCGAGGTTACCTAGAGAATACATAATAACAATTACTGGACCTTGACCCCGGTATATCACTGATCGGGATGCCATGGTCAACCATCATACCTCCGCATTCCCGCCTACCCTAGACTACCACGGGGACGTGCACGATTGATACACAACTGTTGCTCCAATTGCTCCAGATATTGATTTATTTATTATTCTTACTCTATTTAACTAGTAGCGATTATCTAGATTATCTGCTGTGTCTAGGGTACGAACTGTGTAGGTCTAGTCGAGATCCAGCCGACTACACTTAGTGTGGGGAGGTATGATAACTCATGCGTTAACGCTGTCCCACAATTTACGTCGCTTCAGGTCATCAATTCGATCATTCTGTCTCCAAACGTGCCTCCAATGGGCAAAAATGACCGTCCTGCGCGTGTGAAATAGGACACAGATTCGATCCTGGGCTGTTCAGAACTTCAGTCGGTCCGCAGGGCTTAAACGGCTGTGGGGCAAAAAGGTAGATCGCATTCTGGAACGTCGAAAGAATGAAGTATAAATCTAGAGCGAGTCATGAAAATGCGGCATGCACCAAAAACGCCGTAGATGGTAATATTGGGTTCCCTCATTAAGGGGCGAGGCCTTTCGTGGAACGCCGCTCTACCTCCTTACCACAGCCTGCGCCCCATTTCACGGCCCTTATCTATTCCTTTACAGCCAACCCTTTACGATATCAGCTATTGATCGGTCCCCATGCTGACCATAATCCCTCCTAGTCTGCGTTAGACATCTGGTGTCGATGCCTTAGGCCTGTGCAAGCTGACACCCCCTGAATCTGAATAAGCTCCGGGCTAGTGGAACGTCTTGAATAAGCGTCGATGCTGACCAAAGTCCCATTCTCACTCCTCCGTGACTCTTCACGGCCTTCTAACCATTACATCTCAAGAAAGATCCCTTCCAGCCATTAAATCTCAAGAAAAATGTCGACATCTGAGGGCAAGTTTCGTGTCGTGATCGTCGGTGGCGGCCCGGTAGGTCTCTGCCTTGCCCACAGCCTGTCTCTCGCCGGGATAGACTACATCCTGCTCGAAGGCCGCAGTACCGTTGTGGAAAAGACCGGGTTGGGCCTGGCTCTATGGCCACATGGCGTCCGGATTCTCGACCAAATTGGTCTGCTCGAAGAAGGCCGTAAGGTGTATTTGCCAGTGAAGGACAAGTACAACCACTTGCCTGACGGCTCTGAGATCAATCATTCTGACCTGTACCAAGAAATCGAGAAGAAGTGAGTGATTGTGGGTCCCTATTGTGGCTTTGAACTGCAGCTAATTCCTGGTAGCCACGGCCATCCTTGGATGCTCTTTCATCGACAGAAGCTCCTTGAGCTGCTCTACACCCATATTCCAGAGAACGACAAGCGGATTCTTACCGACAAAAAGGTCGTCGCTATTGACACACATGATCAAGGCGTCACGGTGCATTGCTCTGACGACACCACCGTAGAGGGGTCCATAGTCGTTGGGTGCGATGGCGTCCACAGCAGGGTACGCCAAATCATGCGCGATGCGATGCTGAAAGCCTCAGTCAAAGTCAGGGACAGCGATTCACCCATGGTGGCGCAATATCAAATGCTGGCCGGCCATATTGGTCGACTCCCCGACATGGAAGCTGGTCGCTTGTGGGAAACCCGCTACGACAGAGGGAATATACAGACATTCATGCTGGAAGACGAAGGTTGGTTCCTCGCCTATAAGCGGCTGCCCGTCCCGATCAGCGAGTCGACACGATACACCGATGAAGATGCCGAGTCGTTTGCCAATTCAATCATGGAGAGCCAAATCACGCCGGACAAGAAGTTCAGCGATCTTTGGGCTGTTCGAAAGTGGTTCCACTTGTTTAACCTGGAAGAAGGATTTGTCCGGTCTTGGCACTGGGATCGTATTGTGCTGCTGGGTGACTCGGTCCACAAGATGACCCCAAACTCAGGCCTGGGACTGAATCAGGGCTGGCAGGGTGTGGCTGCCTTGACCAATATCCTCCGCAAGCTGCTGATCGACAACCCGAGCCCCAATACGAAGACACTAGGGGCGGCATTTGCAGAGTACAAGAATCAGACGGAAGGGATGGCTAGGGACAGCATGCGGCTTTCAAGTTTGTATACCCGCATTACGTCCTGGCATAACCTGTTCTACAAGGCGGCCGATTACGTGGGGCCGTATGTGGGAGGTGATTTGTTGCTGTTCAGGATGCTGGCTTCTCCGATTGTGAAGAGGGGGATCGTTCTAGACTTTGTGCCCGAGAGCGGACTTGTCCCTGGTAGGATCAAGTGGGTCAATGATGCACCTCATGAGAGTATATGAGTGAAAGAGGCGGGAACGGAAGTGTGTACAGACAGATTGTTTCAGGGATAAGCCAGTGCTTGGGTACGGGATCCACGCTGGTCTAGGCCGTAACCAGCAGACAGACAGATAAACCAGACAGATAAACCAGACAGATAGACCGAAAGAGACAAGTAAAGAATCAGACCTAAGCCCGAGAGAGCCAAGCCAGCCTGCGAGTTTCCACCTGACCCTTGTTCGGAGCGGAGGTCGGAAAATGAGAAGGACAGATGATCTTGTCGACTGAATTCCTTTGTCTAGAATCCCGCGGCATATTTCTACTTCGAGTATGGTTGGCCTTGGCTTTTGCTGCTTTGTTCTTTCTCAACCTCTGCTGAACTTCAGCAATACTGTTTGCAAGACACACAATGTTGTAGAATTGAAGCTCGACAAGCCGAGTGTGGTCAAGTTGGTCTGCACTAAGTATGTTCTCCATTTTACTCCGTAAAGCTGCAGTCTAACCCAAGTAAATGTCATGCGGATGGCGTCAGCCCATATCCCTGCTACTTAAGCCGACCCTCAACTTGCTGTGCCATTTCATGAGCCATGCTCGTGATAGAATTAGGCGTCGATATTGTCGAGCTTTCCTACTGAACAATGAATCCAGCTTCGTCCACGCTGACGTGAACATCGGTTACGTTCGGTTCTTCCAAGCGCCAGCTCGCTTCGTCTAACCTTTCTGGGCATGGACTGCCTCCACACCACCGGTATAAAGCTATCTGTCTTTATGCCATACAACGCATATCGACCCGAGCATTCGGTAAGACGTTATCCCGTTCCGTATTTCTAAGCTCTCGTCGAGTGGGCCGAGACTTGAGGCGTGCCACGTATTCTGCGGTGGCTCCATTTTGCCGCCGCTTAAACCCACTATGGAAATCTCAAGGTAACATTGGGCATGCGACTGGTTGCCACGTTCGCGTTGACGTGTATCGCCGAGACAACAGCGCACTTCACCGCTTGTTCCGGCGCTGTCAAGTTCGCAGATGACTGGTTGGCGATCCTCCACCATGTGGATCGCGTTGGGTTCGCATCGCCCTAGTAGATCTGCACGAATGCCTTAGCCACAGACCCCGGTGGGATCATCGAGCAGCCGAAGTGAGTCAACAAAACAGGAGGCATCGAGGGGGAAACTTGAGGATTGGTTCTCACTCTGGTTGAGACATGGAAGCCATGAATGGGAATAGCATCACTGAGCTGGGCATTCCTCGGCTCATCGAATCCACATCCATCCTGTACAAGACTCTCGAGGACCACGTGACTGGCAGCGTGACTCTGGACACGCCCAAGGAGTTGCATGATGAAGTTGCCGAGTGGATGAGGCTCCTGGAGCACATCAGCCAGGTGCAAATACCAGGCAGTGGTCTGGAGAACAAACTCCATGAAGGCCAAAACCTCTTCGGCAAATACGCTACGACACTGTTTGACATCAACATCCATCTTGAGATCTCCAAGCGATCCATGGACCCAGAGAAGAGTTCTTGGGCCAGAGATGAGTTGTACACGCTTCGACGGTCACTTCAAGAGCAGCGTGGTGATGTGGAAAGGTGGATGACAGAAACAACGTAAGGAGACCCATTTTAATCATGCTTGATCTAACATTGTGCAGGGTTGTGCCGACCTATTCAGAGGGTACTATGCGAGGAACATATCTTGACCCTCAGCCTATGGACCTCCGTGTCGGTGCCATTTTGAGAGATGCGCCAAAGGTTCAACTCAGCAACCGTTGGAAGGAGGGAGAGCCGAATTTCCAACATGGGTCTCCCAACCAGCAGACCTGGGGCCATTCGCCAGACGTCCCAGAACGCCAGCGTCTACAAACTCCGGCTCCAGAGCCCACTGAGCAACAACAGTCTTGGCATTCACAGATGATGGAAAAAGCCAAGTGCATTGCCACAGGCATGGAGGAGATGGGGCTTCACCTGAACAACCTCAACAAGTTTGATATCTCGGCCCACGACTCAACGCAAAGTCGAGGGCACCTCACGACGCTATTCGACCAGACAAAGGAGGACTTTTGGAAGTTCCTGCAAGATTTCCATGATCTCGAAGCGAAATTGGCCACCGAGGGCCCTGCCAAAGGTAGTGTGTATACTATTCTCCGAAAGACGCATGCTGACATAGAAGCTCCTTCAGAGAAACAGAGGATGGCTAGTAACAGCACTCAAACCGGACACAGGTTCCACTCGAACTCTGAACTGCGCAAGTCCGTCGACTCCACAAACTCTGCCAACGAGTGGCGGCAATTCGACCAAACGAGAGACTCCCCTCGACGGCTGTCCTATCACCAATCGCATGCGGTCGAGTCACGCGAAATACATGATGGTGATGGCAGCACCATCGTTGCGCCGTTGACAGAAATGGCACTCAACGGCACTCACACTATTGACGCAACATCTACAATCGAAACTTTCCTTACAGCGCTCCCCGAAACCCATCCGATGTCCCCCATTGTCAGCGATCGAGAAAGCGAGGCCCTGGTCCTAAAGTACCCTTCATTTATTGGTGTCGACAGCATATCAAAGGCTATCATTGAAAAGGACACCAGGCCATTCACCAAGTCATTCTCTCAGATTGTTGGCGGGTCTCTCGGCAAAACCGGCTTGGAGTTGGGTGTCCTCGAGGTCGACGGGAGCAATTGGGTGGCTCAATTCTGCGACACGCACCGTTATCTCTGCGGAATTCTGATTGCCATTACTGTTCCAAAGGACCTTTTCCTGTGGCATACCCGACACTTCCCCGTTGATTCCGACACCTGGACCAAGGGAGCCCTTGTCAGAACGATGTCCATCGTGACAGAACCGCCTCGATATCTACACTCTTATCCGCTGCGCCACGGCCGAAACCTATCGTTAAGCAACCCCAACTTCCTTTTGCACTGGAACCTCGAAGATATCAAGGAACCTCACGTCTCGGCCCGATTCAAAGAGCTAGTGCAGGTGGGAGGTGAGCTGCAGAAGAGAGTTGGGTCCTTTTCCTACAAGCAGCTGGTTGTCTGCATCACGATTCCGTGGTGGATATGCTACAAAGACACGTCCGGAGACCGGAAACAGGCAATGGAGTTTTTGGAACGAATGGGAATTGTCGGAGCGATACCCGTGAATGAGAAGTCCGACGGAGGAGTTCGGAAAACGCTATGGTGTCCGTCACGCATCAAACTCGGCGGATCGGACCAGAGCGTGCACGCATTCCTTCAAGAGGTAAGTCATCTTAGCCTTGGACATGCGAACGATATACTGACTTCTTAGACCACATTTACCGGATCGCCAGAACTGCAACCAGCCATTTCTGCCACGCCCACACGGTTCGTCGTGGTCACAGTTCGGAGAGGTCACGTTTCCGACTGGGTGGATGCCGTCCAATATGCTCTTGGGATGGACAGCAAGACCCTACGGTACTCGGTACCGACTAAAGAGCCCATCAGCTTCAGCCAGCTGAACAGATTTTATCGGAATGGCAGGAACCCAGGTCCAGAGCAATCGAAGAAAGTTGCACCGTCAGATAGATCATGAAATACTAGTTTGTTTTCATTTTTCTTTTAAGATTTCTTATGTTAGTCTTCTTCATTTCCTCGGCGATCTCGAACAGTTATCACTCCGGCTCAGCCTGTACCAAATGCATCTTCCACGGAGAGTCTAGGCACCTTTGTTTCCTTCCTTGATTATAGTGACGTTTCATGAGGTGCGTTAACCTATCCGTGAGCCCAACCCTCTACGTAGCTGGCACCGGATCACTTCACCACCTCATTCCGTTGCTGGACTTATACGTATGGTATCTCTCGCCTTGTCTATGCTAGGTATCTTTCCCCGTAAGAAGCCAAACTCAAGTGTCAAAATCCATAGTCTGTACTAAAAGTGTCCCTACTGTTCAATTAACTAATCGTAATAAAATGATATAGCCAGTGATTGAATTCTCAACCAACTTGCATACGAGTCCTCTAGCTCTCCTATTTTGGGATCCTCGTGAGACATCTGGAATAGTTTCCAGACCGGGTGGCAGGAATCTGGACGGCGGTCTTAAGCCCTTGGACCTCGGCCCCGGAGGCTGCTGGAGGCTGCCCTCATCTTCATCAGTAAGACCGACCCCTAGCCCTTGGCTTGATAGGAAATAAAGGGCTTTCATAATCGTCATTCTGATCTTATCTACTAATTGTGACAGCAGCTAGTTTTCTTGATTGGTAACTAGGCAACGGAGAATTCAGAGCATTTAGGCAAATTTAATGTTATTTATTCTGCTTAAATCGAGCCTCAGCTATAGTGAATTCCTGCTCTGACACCCTGTTTATCCTTCCTGGCACTTGCATCCTTAATTTGTTGTCTGCATTGACCTTCTTCTTCTGTCCCATCACTGTCCCCCAATACAATTTCCAACTGTTGATTCTCACCCACCGCCCTCACCCTTGCGGTTGCTGTCCATGTTTGAGAACTCTCAACGCCTCCACCCACCTTCCCTAAGCTACTGGGAGATGTTGAACGCAATGCAAGTATTAGCATCTGCCCAACGCTACCCCAGCTGGAGCTGTGCCATGGATGAGAAGATAAAAGAATTGTTGCTATATGAACGAGAACAATGATGATATGCAGGATAAGAATGGCGAACGCACAAGGTATAGCGCGGCTATTTAGAAAATTGTACATGAATGGCTTGTTATACACAGTATTGTGAATAATCGTATAATTCTGGGGATCTTTTTCGTTGATATGAACCGCTTCCGTGTAGGCTGAATAAGGCGCTAGTTTGTCGTGGAAGGACTTAACTTTCTGTTCATTTTGACTATCACAAGAGTCCACTTCCCTGCTGTGACTCCCCGATAGTGCGTCGGCAAGGTGAGCTGCAAGGGACATCGGGAGGCAGTTTTCAAAAAATCCATGATTGTTGCCGCAGAATCGGAGTATTTGCTGATATGCAGAGTTTGATGGCGTGATGTCTGGAAAGTCTATGCCAGTGAACCATCCATCTCCCATCCGAATGAGGTCTCCTGTTGATAAAGACCCATTCGAACGTTCAAACCCATCATCGATCGGAAGATCCAAGTGGCTTTGGATGACATTCGCCTTTTTCTCAATCCAGATGTCCGCCTGAACCCAGTGAGCCGAAATAATACAAAGACTGAGTTTTAAGACGCTTGGGTTGACGGGATTCCACATGGGATTGCTCCCTTCATTGAGTTGCATGCTCTCGTTAACACGCGTTGCGAACAGAATGCTGGCGCTGATTGGCTGACTTGTGATATGGTTGATGTTCAGAAATCTATAGCTTACAGGGCCTGGCGGAGTCTCGACCTCATTCAGGTCTTTAAGAGGAGAAGTATTTTTGACATTTAGAGAAATTGTGTCATTTAGAACCTTGGAGTTAAATTTGAACGCCGCAGTTCCTTTGTCCATCTGTGCATCGGAACAAGATACAGACACAGAAGGCTGTTTCCACTTCAACAAATCAGGAGAATCCGCCCTCTTCTGAGCGGACCTCACAAGCCACTCCGTTGTATTTGACTGGAATGAACAGACGTAATTGTGAAGTGACATAGCCACTAAATCCATGGGACACGTCGCGGTGATCAAAACGTCCGGCTGTGTAGGGGCAAAGTCCGCGAAAAGCGATATGTATCGCCACTCGAGGTTGTAAAAGTAAAAAGCGGAGTGTGTAATGTTTCCGAGAAAGACATCCGTAGTGCCGTACCCATAGTCCCTTTCAGGCCGAGAAATGATGTTGTGAATGAGAGGAACAAAATTTTCCAACAGCAAAGTTGGACTGGATTTAGACCCTAGCTGGATGGTCCCTAATGCATTCCAGGCATGTCGAGAGTCGAGATTTGTCTCGAAAGCCAGGCCATTAACGCACCAGGTGTTCCAATCGCTGTCAAAAAATGACCACCCTTGGCGTGGAATCATTATGATTGCTGAAAGAGGTCCCAAACTTATGGCAAGTAGAGAGATTAAGATGATCAAGATACCCGTCATTTGGTGCAGCAGGCGATTCGCCGCTGGCTTTAGCAAGACTCCCCATAACTCCCAACTCACTAAATACTGAATCGGGGAGCCAAGGTGAAACGGTGAAGAAATGAAGCCGAGGGGAATGCCGCCATCTTCAATGAGGCCGTAGCATATCCTATGCAGGAGGATGTCCGTAAGAGAAACCAGCACCGAAGCTTCATGTGCCTTAGCTGCAAATTGGAGGGCATTTAGCTGTTCATTTGTAGGTTCTGCCCATTGTAAGTTTGATGTGTAGAATGAGAGTAAGACCAAGGTAATCGTGATTGACGGTAGATGAATCAGTGCGAAGCGGCGTAGAGCCGACTTTTTTCTCCCACTACAGACGACCTTTGAGGGCTCGACACCATTTAGCCTCTCCATGTAGGCCGCCAAGGATCGATGCAACGTTGGCCCATTTTCGGTAGCATTTGTGGGCACAGCTTCGTATGAATGTCGGACCGTATCAGTACTGTCGTAGACGGATTCGGCTCCAATGCTGGAGGTGGCTGCTTCTATGGGCGTAATTTCTTCAGGCAATGTCGATGCCCGAGATTCGGCTTCCGAGTGGAGTCGAAGACGACAAGTTATGGGTTCTTTATGCAACTCGGATGTTAGAGACGGCCGGATCAACAGCGCATTTTCTTGCAACTCTTCATCTTCGACGCTCTATGAGTGGTTAGAATTAGAAAGCAAGATGCAGTTAAAAGGCATGAATACCTTTTGCTCCTGTGCATCTCTGCCCGGATCAAGAGGCTTGGGATTTGACGATTCGAGATCGTTGTTGTGGCACATGATTGCTCCTTGCGTTGGGTTGCGATGGAGATTTTGGTGTTGAAGAAAAGGATTGCGAAGATTTTGGTTGGTCGATGGCAGCAGTGAAGAGAAAAGCAGGCAGTAGAGTAAGGAGTGGACTTGACATAGAAACTCATCAGATCGCGGAATGATCGATCGGGGACAGTAAGGGGTTATTTGTGACCACTCCAGCAGTAAGCGCGCTTAGTATGTTGATGGTAGGTCAGTTTTCATGCAGGCATCACCAAAAATATGCTGTGGTACGTTGGCTATGAATACGCCACCTCCTTTCCGAAGTAATACATGGCGCTGTTAGGTGTGACGGATGGAAAGATGGTGTACATTCATCGGGCCGATGGAGCGAGAAGTTTTGTGTACAACATAAACCCCATCTCGAGAAGCAGCCGACTTGTACTAGTGCCGCGGTAGCGATTGGAGACTGCATGATGTATCGACCAGAATCAAGGGACCATATCTAAAGGATGGCTGGGGAGCACAACCTCTTTGTATTAGCTTGAGGTTTGGTCTTGAGAATCTATACCTGGAGACACGTGTATGCAAAATCGAAGGAGAATCAAGAAGAATCTAGCAACTCTTTAGATGCAAGTGGCTACCTCTTGTATCCACAAGTTCGCTAGAATGAGGATGACTGCATTGAAAGTGCAACTGCCCCTCATGCGGTGTCTCGCGAATGAAGGGCCGATAGTCATGGACCCTAATGCAAGCCTTGTTCCACCACATACACGAGGCTCATTCATGTCTCTGCTTCTCACTTGGTTAGGCGCCAATCTTTCAGCGTCACTAGATTGATCCTGCTCTTCAGGGCAGCTGAGCATACATATGCCTGTCCGACTTCATAAGGTGGTTGGACTCCCTGGCATATACATGGGCCTTTCCAAGATACTTACACCTGGCTAGGCCCCCCCCCCCCCCCCCCCCCCCACCAAGAGCTGACGCTTTGTGGTATTTCCCCTCTGAATCGAGATAGCAGAGCCGCAACGTCGGACAATTCTCAGGGTCTCCGGGCACCCCCGCTGTCATTTTCTCGCGGTTGTGCAGCAGTTTCATCTCTTATAGGTGTCCATAATATTACGATCTACGCGATCCCCCAGGCTTCGCTGTGCAGCAACATAGTCGAGAAACAGTATACCCCCTTCCAGCCCATTGCCGTGATCTTATGTAAACACATAGTGGCAAATTACTATGTGCCGGCCTTCCGATCGTACTTATTTCGTAGATGCTTTACGCCCGTAATGCCTGCCCAATCCCTGTTGGTCCTAAGTCGAGGCGGTTGGAATAGTGAGGTCAAGTCCAAAATACCATGAACCCTGCTTACTTCCCGCAATGGCCGGTAGCAGTTATAGGATCACATATCGACGGCTTCCTTAAGCCAATCGTCCTTCTCGATATAGGCAATGAAGGTCATATTCCGTCGAAAACAATGTGCTGGAGTTCTTTGGGAGTCCACTTCGGCTGACACGCTGACAGGCGACGGATGACTCGGAGGTTTGACCGCGTCCTGAGCCCTCCCCCACCTCTGCTGCCGGAGCTAACTTAGTTTCCAGGCCCGGTGCCTCATCTTGAATTCGTGTTTTTGGCCTCCTATTCCAGCATGGACTGTCGAGTTGTAGCACTTGTAGGGCGCCCAAACCTACAGCTGATTAACATGTGAAGAGGGGAATAGGGCACTGCAACACTCGTCCGCGTCATCCGGGGAAGAAGCGCTTTAGGCTGTAATTTACTCACTGATCCCTGCTTCTTGTGGTTCTTGACCTCATGACTGCGTCACAGGTATTGCCGAGATCCGGCCAGAATTCCCTTCCTTCAGCAAACATTTCACTAAATGAGATACAAAAGAATTCGCACAGCTGCCGGAATTCCAATCGGTCAGCTTCTCCTCACGATTTATTTCTAGAGGCATACTTATTCTCCCATTGTCATTTTCGGGCTCCGGGGCATAAGCGGCGCGATGGCAGCAGGCACTATGGAAGCCGTTGTTCTTCACGAAGCTGGAGGTCCCGACAATTTAAAACTGGAAAGGATTCCAATTCCGCAGCCAAGCCGCGGGCAAGTCCTTATCCGCGTCAAGGCCTTTGGACTCAATCGGTCTGAACTATTCACTCGTCAGGGTCATTCTCCCGATGTTCGCTTTCCTCGTGTGCTAGGGATCGAAGCGGTTGGATTGGTTGAAGAAGCGCCAGGCGGGGAGTTTGAGAAAGGAAGCATCGTCGCGACTGCAATGGGCGGGATGGGAAGGGCATTTGACGGAAGCTACGCGGAATACACCTGCGTTCCGGTTCAGCAAGCCCAGGTTATCTCTACGAAACTGCCCTGGAGTGTCCTCGGTGCCTTGCCAGAGATGCTACAAACAGCGTACGGTTCGCTCTTCAAGTCACTCCGCCTCAAAAAGGGCGAACGCTTGCTCATCCGCGGCGGCACCACGTCAGTAGGATTAGCTGCAGCTGCGATTGCCAAATCACACGGTGCCTTCGTAACATCAACAAGCCGCAGGGCCGACCGTGACCAAATGCTGCGTGAACACGGGGCGGACGACACGGTCGCCGATGACGGCGGCATATCTCAGAAGATCAAAGAACCCTTTGACAAAGTTCTGGAAATGGTGGGAACCGAAACATTGCGCGATTCATTGCTCTGTGCAAAGGAGGGGGGAATCGTCTGCATGACAGGTATAGTCGGAAATAAGTGGACGCTGAGCAACATCAACCCGATGGAATTTATCCCATCAGCGGTGTGCTTGACGGCCTATGCGGGAGGGTCTGGCGATTTCATGGCAACGCCATTAGATGAATTGGCCAAGACTATCGCGGCAGGGAGCTTGAAGGTTAAAGTTGGGAAAACCTTTCAGCTCAAGGACATTGCTGCGGCACATCGAGTAATGGAGGAAAATACTGCTGGTGGGAAAATTGTTGTTCTAACCGGGGAAGGGGAGTGAGTTAGGCTTGAAAAATATTTTTTCTATTGTTATTTTGTGCTATGGTGTCCTTTCCGTTTTCGCGGTGGAAAAATTTGAACTTATCTAACGGCGAAAACGGGAAGGGTCTCGTAGTCGAGGTATTCTATATCGAAGGCCACCCTTGACACCAAGTCAAAGAAAGCCACGCTAGATGCAAGTGGAAATCTAAGGAACATCTAGCTTCCCTTGTAATACCTTCCGATATTCATCAGAAGCAGCCTGGTCACTTTGACATTGAGATTGACCGTAACGACCCAGGAGCAGGACCTGTAAATACTACACTAAAAGACTCGTTGAAGGGACAGATGATTTAGCTCGAGTATCGACGCTTTGTCATTTATTTCTCTACTGCTCCACGACACGACAAAGAGGATTTCTACTCATTTTCCCGACGGGAGTTCCATTCTCGATCGAAGCGGGTCAACGCTCTCTGAGCTGTAGGAACACAGTCCAAAGCCTTGATGGAGATTCTTTCTGGTGCCCTCAGCATGTAGATAACCGAGTTGGCCAAGTCCTCGGCGATCAGTGGTTCGTATCCTTTAAAAAACTCATCCATGGCCTCCTTGTCGTACTGGACGCGTTGCAGGTGGAAGTGTGTATCAACACAGCCAGGACGCAGGGTAAGAACTCGAATGTCGGACTCAGAAGTCTCCATTCGCAAGCTGTTGCTAAATCCCTCTAGAAATGCCTTGCTTGCGTGGTACACAGCCTCACCATTAAATGGGGGGCATTCTAGACCCGTCACAGAAGAAACATTGATGATGGTACCCTTCTTGCGAGGCCACATGCTGCGGTTGATTACCGAATGAGTGGTGAACATGACACCGTTGATGTTGGTGCCAGACATTTGCTGCACAAGCTCTATCGGAAGCTCCCAGAACCTCGCAGGAGCCCCAAGAGCGAGACCAGCCTGGCAAGAGTTAGTCCAGAGGGCATATTTGCCTGGATTCAAGAAAAGACTCACATTGTTGACGAGAATATCAATCTGTCCAAGGTCCGAAATTGCTTGCGCCACTGCCTTGTCGACATCGCTGTGGTTCTGTATGTCCACCGCGTACACTCCAATCTTAACTTGGTACCCTTTTTCTAGGATCGCGACCCGGGTAGCTTCGAGTTTGTCCTTTCGCGCAACGTCAATTTCCATCTGTTCATGGCACACAATTTTACAAAAATGTATATACCTTGCTTCTGGACACGAGAGCGACGTTTACGCCATGCTTAGCAAGCTTTATGGCAATAGCCTGGCCAATGCCCATAGAGGCGCCGGTCTGGTAAATCCGATGATCAGCATATTACTGCGTATTCCAGGGACGGTGGGTGCCTCACAATCAGCGCAGTTCGTCCGGTCAAAGATTGAGATTCCATGGTTAAGATTGGATCTTGTATCGCCGTGCCGAAAGGAGTAGTGAAGTAACCTGTACTTGGGCCAGGTATATTATTGTCGAGATGGATACGGGCACGACGCTTGTCTCTAGAAGCTCAGTCCTTGCGTATTTAACAACTTCGTGATGACAAATCCACAGTGGAGAAACATCATCGATTTCATGGAGCAATGGATCGACTAGGTTCCCCTTGAGAGGCGGGGAACCCACGCGTGATTAAATTCCCCGCGGTTTGATCTCCGCGCGGGTTGATCTCCGCGCGGGTTGATGAATCTGCACGCGGGCTAGTCTTCGCTGGCACTATATCCACACACTTAACACTACAGTATCAACTCGGTAAATTCGTACTGAATTTCTCCCCCATTTAAAGTGGCTTATCGGTCCGCTAGCAGTTATCGGGACGACTATAGCGAATCATTCAACTTAAGCTATGGGATTTGTGGGCTTAGTGGAGAAGAAATTCAGTACGAATTTACCGAGTTGATACGGTAGACCAGGACGCCTTAAGCTCCATAGCTATCGACGCAATTGGCGACGTCCTAATCCCACTTGATGATACAATCCACATCCCAAGCTACCCTATACATCCACCTTGGTGCAACCATGTTGGTCCAGCCGGATCGTTACACACAACTCAAGCCATTGTCTTCCGACATCACCAACGCTCCCAGCCTAGCTTCACAGCATTTTCCGTTGCTCTATCAGCCTCCTTCACCCAATGTGAACGGTTGCTCCGTGACATCCAATAGGAAAGCATACTTTCAGACTCAGGGCCCAAGGCCTCCATCCGTTTTGAACAAATAGGATGCTCCATTGGGTCGAATGTGGCACCCTCTTCCTCATACCAGTCCTGAGGAATAGGGTCGAACGTGACAAGGTAGACATCGTGAACTTCGCCGGCGGCACCTTTGAACCTGACTTCTACGTCTGGATATATGAAGAACCAGCCGCGATACCAGATATCTTCAACATCCCGATCGCATTTCGGCCAGACCAAGCCAGGAAGTTGATTGTCCGCATTAGTGTCTTCATCAGAGGCGGACTCTTCATCAAAAGATGACTCTTCCTCAGGACTGGGATCTTCAACAGAAGTGGACACTTGAATAAAGGTGGACTCTTGCGCGGAATTATCCTCCGGCTCTTTGCCCTGCTTCATATTCTTGACGGCTCGCTTGACCTTGCGGATTTGGCGCCACATGGTACCGCGAGCCTCCATCTCTCCAAGGTAGTGCGCGTGGCATTCTTCGGGTGTGGCGCCAGGAAGAAAGAAGAACTCGTACCGATGGTCCCGATCATGGACTTGAGCTAAACTGTGGGCATTCTCAAGGCTATCGCGAAATTCACAGCCGTCGAAGTCATTTGGCACACCCGGATGGACCATGTAGAAGACCCAGGAGGCGAGGGGAGGCAATGCACGCTTGACTCCCAAGCTCCACCATGACATCAAGGCTGGTCTGCCGGCGTGGTCCTTGAAGATGAGGTTATTGTTGATTTGTTGGACTGCCAGTGGCAAGCGAATGTTGGGGGGACCGTTCGGGTAACATTCTGAGAAAGTTCGGGCCCGCGTCTTTGTTCGGACCATATTGACAAGATGGTCGGTTTTTTTAAAAAAAAAAAAAACGATGGACAGCTTGTGGACCGAATGGTATCATTCTAAAGGGGAAGTGAGATAGAAAATAGTGTCTGGAGATGAAAAACGTTCTGGAGTACAGAGTGTTGGTCGAACGTGTTTTATACATGACCGCTTCGAAGGACGGCGGTCAAATATGGCAGAATCTCAACAAGGGTCTGTCCATACCACTATCACTCTCAACTTGCTGGCCCCGCTAGATCGTGGAAATGGACTTGGCAACTTCTACAGTTTGTCTTTTCAAGTAGAAAATGAAAGAAATTGTAAAGCAGTGAAAAATTTAGTAGCAATTTACCTATAAGGATGAACTAGTAGTTTATTAACTAAAACAAAAGAGACTAATAGCAAGGTTTAGGCAGACCAAAATACCCAGTCGATAACTCAAACAAAGGAAAAGATAAAAGAACGACTAGCTATAACTGGCTAAAGGGGTTTTTCCCCATCGTACTGCCGAAGTTGAAAGGGGCTGATGATGATCTTGTCTGCTGCAGAGACCTCCGTCGACACATCACCCCCTGATTGGCCTTGGAAGAGTTGACACCTTGGTCCAATCCACTTGCCTCCATTTCTTTTGTGCTAATAAACTTGCCATTTTAATAGTTCTCCATCCAAGATCTCCACTTCCAAACATTGTAAGATACCACTCTCTCAATCGTTCTCTCAGAGGTCCAAGCTAATTTGCTCGTGAACTTGATTTGCCGGTAAGTAAAGCGCGCGACCCTGGTGTATTCGTAAAGAAATCGTCCGATGTATGTGAAAAGGGGATACTTTTCGCTGTAAAAGTACTGAAAGATATAATACCACACTGCCAGCGAGAAAAAGAGGATGAAACCGAGTCCCAGTAGGCCAGTATGGACCTTGCAGATGATCCTGCTCAGATCCCCTAGTAGACCCCATGCGAATCTGGCAAGTTGTCTAGACAACCGAAAGATATTTGCGGCAGTATTTCGAACAAACCGTAAGATATCCTTGGAAATTACCACCCAAAAGTGGACCAGCGGTGTAACAAGGATAGCGCAAGTAAATCCGAAAAACACTTTGTCTCCGAATACAAGGTACGGTGTGAAGATGTGAGCGGCCAGAGCGGAAGATACCGCAGTAATGATTGCGAAGTTCAAGTACCATCTTTTAAGATAGGTTCTTACGTACTTCACAACCTTGAGTCCAATGTAGATGACTGCCGAGCTCGTAAGAGTGAGAGCAATCCAGAGTAGGTGCTTGTTTGACAAAAGGGGGTAAAGAAGAAAAACCAAAACGGCGAGGCAAAGGTACCACCCCCCAAGGTGTTTGGTTCGAAGTGCCAGTGCTGCAAGAAGGGAAATTCCTTCTAAGAGGGCGTAGAAAAATGCAAGTAGCTTAGATGGCCACAAAAACGTATCGCTCAGTTTGTGGAATTCATCCAGGAGAGCAGAGAGCCACGCCTTGACACTCCAGTATCTGGGCACTTCTGGCTCCATATCCTCCCGCACCCGGTTTTCCATGCGCATTTCCTCAGCCATTTTGGCACTCAGTTGGCAGACTTTTTCCAGGAAGATGAAGGAGGTGGTTGACTCTCAGAGGTTGACTTTATTCTGGAGACTCTGCTGTTAGTCTTGGGGAGTGGTTCGCTTTGCTGGGGGGGCGGCCTGAAAAGTCTGCTGTTGTTGCGTTGCTTTTGTTGTTCGTGGTGTGATCCTATTTTCTAGAGCTAGTTTGAAGCAGACTTTATAGAAATTAGACATTGCACGTGAGGAATCATTTGAGTACAGTGGATGAAAAGGTGTTCGTCGAAATCAGTGGCCAGTTCTGATTTCTCCCGCGCTGTTTGGATCTGTTATCAACTATAGACAAAGAGGGTCGCAAGCAGAGGCTCTTAAACTACCGGTCGTTGTTTATACTCCTTTGCGAAGTGTTCACACGTTCTTCTTTGACGACCAGGAACTTCTTAAAATGTGTATGGAAATCAGTGGCAGTTCGCTCCGTATCCATGGAAGACAAAGAAGGCTCACAAGTCGGGGCGCTCGGACCACCAGTATTGGCTCTGGTTTATTGGTTTAGTTCTTAATCTTGCTTTTTTGTGTCTAAGTCTAACATCTTGATGTCAATCTAACTTGTTTATGTCTTGATATCAATTGTACTTGTCGATGTGGTCCTTTTTATTTTCAAGCTCTTAAGTTCTCTTACCCAGCCTTCAGGGCAATCTTTGTCTTGATATGGGTCTGGTTCAGTGTTCTTGTTCCAGCGTTCGATCTAATTTCTTTCACGACATCGGCATCGTCCAGTTTTCTCTCCACAACAAAGAGGGCCCAACATAAGGTGATCTCTAAACACCGAACTATGCTTCGCTCTTGTGTCATTTCGTCTTGATACCCAAAATTTGCTCACTTGGAAGGGGGCGAATGGTTGTAGCTTAGTTTGACTCCGTACCGTCGATATCGACCAGGTGGGGTGTTTGGTGGGGTGTTGGGAGCAGTAATTGAGTGGTCCTGAAGTGCATGTCCATTCATTCTATCTTGATCTCACCTGGCGTCGAAAATTTCCACCTCCTTCGGCTTGGAATAGTCCGGAGTGTCGGGCTCTAGTATAAGTCCGACAAGGTAGGTATATAGTCATAGTCGTCGGAGTCACTGGTGTTCCTAGCAACTTGCCCATCCTTGAAGGAGATAGATATTTCTACCGATCTAGAGAATGATTGGAGAGGAGAACAATTTTACGATACCAAAGTAAGATAAAAACAAATTTGGTAATAATTACTGAGAAGGATGAGACCGTTTCCTAAGGTAGTCTCTTCCCGCCTCCAACATGGCACTAAGGTGATGATACCACGGTTCTCGGCGGGGGGATCGTGTAATATCTGGGTAGGCCCCAGATATTTCGCTCCGGCTAAGTCCAGCACTTCTTCGGTGGCAATTCGATGCATAAAAGTATCGTCCAATTCGAGTCCGGTCTGACTTGAAAAGTTCAGAAACCGGGCTCCGATTAGGATGTATAACCTTGCTTCTTGTAACTTGCCACGGCTTGGGATCGTTTCCGTAGATACTCGACTAATTTGAGATCATTGACAATCTTGTCTTCTTTCTGTTTAGCCAATTTTGTTGGAGCATTCCCATGAAGCACGAGCCGGCTCATCAAATTGATGAAATCCGATGTAAAGTGTGTGATGCTGGAATGGAAGCATTTGAACAACCGATAGGGCAGTTGAGCGCGAGCTTAATTACACCGCCATCCCACATGACTGAGCTTAAATTAATGCAATATACTTATGACACTTTTTTGCAAAATTTCTTCTAGACTTGTGGGCTCGATGCCCACGTCGACGCATCACTGAAAACGTCACGCCCTTGAGATAACACCACGCCCTTTGCACTACATGGCGACACGTGACCATGGGTCGGTACTTAACAGCAACAATCAGCTGTTTATGCATGCTCTCGTATCTCTCTCAATCAACATCGTTGGATTCAGTTCATTCATCACTGATCATCACTCAGCTTCTGTGAATTCTGGCTGTGCAGTAGCTAACGCCAAGACTGACTACTGATTGCACCAAACTCCAACAGACCTCTCCTGTCGTCAAAATGGCTGCCAAGGAAGTCCCCATGGATGAGGCGAACAAGTCCAGCGGTGCGCCATTTGTCTCTTGAAGGAATTAGAAAGCGACAGGGACTAATAGACGCTTGAATAGCCGATCAATCTGGAAAGGCGAACGGCTCCGCCCATGCTAACGGAACCGCGAACGGCTCGGCCGCAGAAAACCCTGGCGGGGAATCAGATGACGACCCTGACGAACATGTCATTGATGCCAGTGCTGTCGCTGGTGAAGGTGGTGCCAAGAAGAAGAAGAACAAAAAGAAGAACAAGAAGAAGAAGAGAAAGGGTCTGACTGTGCAGACCGATCCTCCCTCCGTCCTCATGTCCCAACTGTTTCCAAACAACAGCTACCCCAAGGGCGAAGAGGTTGAATACCAGAACGAGAATGCATATCGCACCACCGACGAAGAGAAGCGCCATTTGGATAACATCAACAGCGACTTCCTCTCCGATTACCGCCAGGCCGCTGAAACGCATCGCCAGGTTCGTCAGTGGGCACAGAAGAATATCAAGCCAGGCCAAACCCTCACTGAAATTGCCAACGGCATCGAGGATAGTGTACGTCGTCTAGTCGGACACGATGGCTTATCCGAAGGCGACGCGATTGTCGCCGGAATGGGATTCCCAACTGGCTTGAACCTCGACGAAATTGCCGCACATTTCAGCCCAAATGCCGGTAACAAAACGGTGCTTCAGCAAAACAACGTCATGAAGGTTGACATTGGCGTCCACGTGAATGGTCGCATCGTGGACAGCGCCTTCACCATGGCGTTTGATCCTACATATGACAACCTGCTCGCAGCCGTAAAGGACGCGACAAATACTGGTGTCCGCGAAGCCGGGATTGATGTTCGCCTCGGCGAGTTAGGTGGCCTCATCCAGGAGGCTATGGAAAGCTACGAGTGCGAGATCAACGGAACTACACATCCGATCAAGCCGATTCGCGGCCTAGCCGGGCATACCATCTTACCGTACAGCATCCATGGCACAAAGAGCGTCCCCCTTATAAAGACGGACGACATGACCAAGATGGAAGAGGGCGATGTCTTTGCCATTGAAACATTTGGCAGCACTGGCACCGGCCGGGTTTGGGACGAGGGTGAAACCTCGCATTACGCCCTCCGCAAGGATGCGCCCAAGATGGACTTGCGTCTGTCTTCGGCCAGATCCCTGTTGAACACGATCCAGAAGAATTTCAGCACCATTCCGTTCTGTCGACGCTATTTGGACAGAATTGGACAGGAGAAGTATCTGCTTGGTGTATGCCATCCCAGTCAGAAAACATGGATATTAGTGACTAACAATTGGGTAGCTCCACAATCTCGTGAAATCCGGCATTGTTGAAGATTATCCTCCTTTGGTTGATAAGAAAGGGTCATACACGGCCCAATTTGAACATGTAAGTGCCTGTCTTGGTAGCCTTGGAATATCCCGTATTAATGAAGAATACCAGACGATCTTGCTCAGACCTACTGTGAAGGAGGTCATCAGTCGTGGAGACGACTACTGAGTAGGCTAGGACTTTTTGAGCGGTCATGGCATATCAAGAGCTCGGGGATCGTGGTTTCCCGTGCTATACAGATTGAAACATATCTGGCACCCACGAGTCAATGAAGTATTCTCTTCGCCTCCTTCCAGAGAAGGAACCTCACTGTCATTACATTCTTTCTAAACACACAAGATTGTTAAGTATTCTCTACGACTCATTTCAGCGGAGCAACCACACCGTCATTACATAGTTATCTACTCAGACTCGCTTGCAGAATGCAGACTCTGAGAATCTTATTCGTGTATTGTCACTACCCCGAGACCCTCTGTGCTTGTGAATGCTATGGAATCTCTTGGGTGGCATGATAAACATTTCTCTGACGAGACCCGACATAGCAAGTCAATTACATAACACCAGCTCCTCGCCACAACGGAGAAAGGTAGTAGGATTGATGAACCTGTTGATAACTTCTTGCTTAGGTTTAAGATAGAGATATCTCGGACATATTAAACCTTGAAATATGTGCTGCCCATACCTCCGAAGTGCCAGAGCATGCAGTTAGTTCAGGCCTTGAGTGAAACAGGTCCTGGCTAGGGCGTTCTCTCTCCAATACCAAACCGCTGACATAGTAGCACCGGGGCCGATAATGAGGCTGCTTAAAGCGATGATGGTTGAAGCATTGCCAACGTTGACTGCTGTCCTGCCCATTCGCTTTAAATCCCAAACAGCCATGCACAGCCAAGCGTAGGTGGCAATGTGGAAGCCCCAGAAGTCTGCCAAGAAGAGAGCGATAAGACCTTGGCCAAATGACTTTGATTGTCCAGTAAAGTCAGGCCAGAAGACTGACGCCAAGCTGATATTGGGGGACAACGTGATCTTGGCAACGCAGTAGACATGTAGCACTAGACCAAGCACACCAGTAACAACGTAAACCATGTTGAGATGTGGAACGTCAGGGAAAAGCTGGTTGGCTTTCTTGGGGGTCTGAACGAGGCTATGTCTCCTGGTATAAAGGTGCCCAAGAATCCCGCACATGAGCGGGACAAGCATTGGGGACACTTGCCAAAGAGACTCAAGGTTTTGTACTGTGTTGGGGCTATTCCACGGTATGAACATGAGAATTGTTGGAAGCGTGTAGCCGATCAGAACGGCCGGTAGGAGTGATGAAGCAAATTGAATCTGAACTTCTCGGTTGAGTGGCCACCAGTACGTTTCCGCCTCAGAAATGTACGTATAGACGGCGTAGTAGATTGGCATGTAGATGCCAATGCCGGCCGACTGGAAAAGTGTGAACCAGATCGTAATTCTGAAAGCAAGTAAGCCAATAAGTTGAGCCATGAGCAAAGAAGGATACCCACAGTGATACTGGCGTCAGCATGTTGCGTTTGCGATATGCTTCAACAGTCCACACCGCAATGGGTTGGATGAGCATTCCCAGGAAATACAATTGCAAGACCCTGAAGTCCTGATCCCAATTATTCAAACCTGGCATGAATACTGCTGCCAAGAACACCAAATAGTCATCGATTGGCTTGATACCAATATAGTTGCGCTTGAGGGTGAAAGCCGGATCGAACGTGAACCCCCCAGTCTTCAGCACAGCCTCCAAATGATCTCCAAGGCCGTAATGGGCAGACCAGACCCACATGCCATAGTAAACGATGGCGGCAATTAGCAAGTAGAATCCCATAAAGTACCACTTCTTGACACCTCGGGGCTGTGGGCTGCTTAGAAGCTCGTCTTTGTAAGGCACGAGTCTCGAGACAGGGCTCAATTTCGGATTGTCCAGCTTTTCAGCGAGCGGCATGTTGCGGGAGAAATTAAAGGTGACGTCCTCCTTGTCAGTCATCGGCAACAGATAGAAGGCCGCGAGCTGATGGAACGGCGTGTCGATTGACTCAGTTCGCTGTTGTTCGTGCGAGTGTTCTTTGAGGGTGGTCGCCCGTTCCTGGCGAACCTTTTGAGTCGTAGCAAACACATGTTCAATCTGTTCCAGTGTTGGCTTGCCGCCTCGAGATTTCGCAAGCACTTTACGAAGGGCGTTGACAAGAACTGCTGCTGATTCGAAACAAGCATTGCCACCATGACCACCGATTGGATGGAACTGCGGATTGTCAGCGTTGCCTGGTGTCTACAGAGCATGGTATGCGTACCTTGTGTGCGGCGTCACCTATGGTGATGATACGCTTGAAATACCACTGTCGAAAGACGTATTCCTGCAAAGGCACCAAAGCCGTCGTAACCCTACGATCTATAAGTTCCTTGAACTTGAGATTCGGCGTGATGTTGTCATTTTCTCGCTGCGCGAGTAGCTTCTCCTCGTCTTGTTTAGTGTAGGTTGGAATGTCGTCGCCGTAGGCTCGCCGCGCCAGCTTGAAGAAATAGAACCAGTAGACGCGACCCTCCGGACCACCGTTGACGATGTAAGACTCATGCTTCTTAAACACCGAGTTCGACGCACCGGGCTCAATGCCCTTGCAATTGTTGGAAATTCCGAAAACACATCCATAATCGCAAGGGACCGCTGAAACAGGTTAATACAGATCGGTATGAGAGATGCCTGAACTCACAAACGGGCTCATCGGATGGAATCCACCCAGGCGAAATTTCATTCGCAATCCTCAACATTTCTCCTCTCACAGAGCTGTGGATTCCATCGGCCCCAATGAGGATGTCGCCTTTGTAGGAAGAGCCGTCAGAAGTCTTCACCACCACGCCGTCATCAGTCATGTCGACCTTTTGGACGTGTTTCTTTGTGAGAATTTTGGTTTTGTCACGGATGTTGTCGTATAGCACTTGAAGCACCATTTGACGATCCAAGAATGCGATTGGATAACCGTGCCTAGAGAGTTTAGATTTTATGTCGTCTCGATCCCATGTAGTAGCCTTACCTCTCCCTCATCGACTGGTCCATGCCTCGGAATTCGCAAATTATGTTGCCCGTCTCATCACGAAAGTGGAATGAGTCCAAAGGGGGACATAGATCCAGAACCTTCTGGTACAAGCCGAGTTGGTCTAATATCCGGTTCCCATGTGGCAATATGCCAATACTTGCGCCCACCTGGGGCGCAATATCCGGATATGACTCGAGCACGACGAAATCGATATCGTACAGCTGCAGCATGTTGGCCACGGTAAGACCGGTGATGCTGCCGCCTCCAATCACAACCTTGAAATCGCTTTTGGCGTCCATTTTGTTTGTAGCTGTTGCGAATGAATGTCTGAGTAAGAAACACAGATCAAGGAGTAACAGTTACGCAACTAAAGTAGGACGTGTTGGCTTATATTTCCAACTCGAATCGGAAAGTTAGATCGGGAATGCTTAATCGAGTCAATCCGCAGCCTCACGCCTCAAAGGCTCGATGGGGATAGCCGCAAAAGCCAGCTCGGATAACCCCGAATCGGTTCGGAGTTCCACCGACAGATAAATTGACTTGGTAACCATCCGGGTTCCTACTAGGGCTCCGAGGGCCGGCCTCACGCCTCGAAGGGCCTATGGGGTGGCCTCAACAGCCCGGTCGGATGACCCGAATCGGTTTGAAGTTGTACGCATAGATGAAAGGATTTGATAACCATTCGGGTTCCGACAAGAGCTGCAAGGGTCGGCATACGCCTCGAAGGACCGGTGAGGATGGATTCGGGTTTCGACTGATGTTACGTTGTACAAGAGGGGCCTCAGAATCGACACCACCCCGGTGTGATTCCTTCTTCCTTCACACGAATCCAAGGGGAGCCGCTTTTGAGGCCCCCCTTGTACAACGGTAAGGATATCCGAAGTAACAACCCGAAGAACCGGAATTGCGGCCCGACCGATTATGCACTAGTGCGCTGGCCTTGAACGCGCCAATTCGTAGCTTCACGAGTAGTCATTCAATTTACAGGTGCTGTGCTATTCGGAATGCTGTAATTTAGTTCGGCAATTGCAGGGAGGTCGTGCTTAACTGTGCCACCGTTGGCTGATCGGAAATCCTCAACACATTGGGCTAGGATCTGGAGACGTGGCCGACAGTTCAGGCTCTCGGTCTGGCGTTTCACTGTTTCAGGCTCCCGGTCCGACTTAACCGGTGTGATACAAACCGATCTTCCGAGAGAGAAGCAGCCCTAGGCAAAGAAATTGCTCCTTTAATCTATAAACAAGAGAACGATTCGAAGCAGGGGAATTGTCGGTCTTTTTTGAGGCGCGTATCATAACAAATTCTTTTCTGCGGATCCTCCATTGGTCTGAAATCATACCTTCGCGCCGTCTCGATATTTCTTTAGATAATCACCAGTTTTCACCATGGACACCTTCCAGCGAAAAGAGCTCGTCACACAGCGTTCGCTCAAGTACAGATACTTCGTGTCACCTTCGGGTGAATCTACCAAGCAGCATCCCGCCTTGTTTTTTATTCACGGCTTTCCCGATTCGGCGCATCTATGGTCAAGTGTGATCGCCTCACTTTGCGACCTACCAAACAAAATAATTATTCCTGATTGCTTGGGATATGCGGGTACCGACAAACCAGAAGACACAAATCTGTATGCGTACAAAGGTCAAGCCGACGACCTTGTAGATATCCTCAATAACGAGGACGCTAAATCCACAATCATCATCGGACACGATTGGGGTAGCGCACTCGCCCAGCGCACCTATCTTCACCACCGAGAACTATTCAGCGGCGTGGTCCTCCTCAATACCGGGTACATGGTGCCATCAAATCAACCATTCGACCTGACCTCCATAAATGAGTTCACGGAAAAGGCCTTGGGCTATCCACAGTTTTCGTATTGGGAGTTCTTCACGGCACCCGATGCTGCCAAGATAGTAGACGAGAATCTGGACAAAATGTGGCAGGTGTTGCACGGCGATAAAGAAGATTGGATGAAGAAGTTGTTCTGTGTTCCAAACGCTATGCGCGAGTATTTACTCGGCAGCAAGGAAGTGCCGTTGAAATCATACGCCCGCCAGCCAGAATGGAAAGACAAGTTTATGCAGCAATTCAGCACAGATGGTTTTGGCTCAACTTTGCAGATGTACAAAGCTACTGCTTCCAACATACAGACCATATCGGACTCGGCTATTCCTAAGGAGAGCTTAGCGATCGAGGTGCCAATACTGTTTTTCATTTGCACTAAAGATGCCGTCTGTGTGCCAGAAATGATGAGTCCAGCGAAGGATCAAGGTCTCGTGCCTAATTTAAAGGAAGTTGTTCTTGAGTGTGCACATTGGTCGCCGATGGAGAAGCCGGATGAAATCGCATCACACATTAGAGACTTTGTGATCAAGGCTTGTATTTAATTAAAATCTTTCCTACCTGAATCTCAATCAAAGCATACATTCATCTTGCACACCTATTCTGTAAAGGCGAGCTTATAAATTTGTTTGAATAACATTGATACAATCCAAGATACATGTCAATAAATTGGAGACCTTCTTGACCTTGCACATTGTACAGCGAACTCTTACAATTTTAAGCACATTTATTTGCGAAGATGAAGATCCAGATTCTCTTCAAGGGGTTCTATTCCATTATGACTATAATAGCTACGCGGCCATGTTGATAAGGACCGTCTTTGGCTCGGTAAATAGCCTCAGCGCATACTCACCGAATTCCCGCCCAACCCCACTCTGCTTCTTGCCCCCGAAAGGCACTTGCATGTTTTGCAGGCTGACACAGTTGATGCCAACGACTCCCGATTCCAGTGCTGAAGACATACGCAGGGCTCGCGTGATGTCCCGGGTGAAGACTCCAGACATCAGCCCGTACTCGGTGTCGTTGGCCAGCTTCAAAACCTCTTCCTCCGTCTCGAAAGTCTTGATGATGCTGACCGGGCCAAAGATCTCGTTGCGGTAGATTTCGGCATCATCCTTTGGGTTCAAAAATACCGTGGGCTCCATGTAACACCCGGTATCGCCATGCTGAACACCGCCGACAACCAGCTCAGCCTCAGATCTTCCTCGCTCCACCATCTGTTTTACCCGCTCAAGCTGTCCCTCGTCAACCATAGGCCCCAATCGAACATCTGGATCTTGAGGATCTCCCAAGTCATTCGCAGCTGCCTTCATCCTTTTCTTGTATTCGTTGATGAATTGATCTGCGATGCCCTTCTGGACATACACTCTTGTGGCAGCGACACAAAGCTGCCCACTTCGTGTCAAGACTGCGTTTATTGTCCACGTAAGTGCGTTTTCGAGGTTGGCGTCGTCGAAAATGACTGCCGGACTCTTTCCTCCCAGCTCAAGTGTGACTCGTTTCAAGTTACTTCTGGCAGCAGCCTCTTGGATCCTTCTGCCCGTTGCGATTGAGCCAGTAAAGCTGATTTTGCGGATCCTCATATGCTCGGCAAGCAAAGCACCAGTAGATCCGGGTCCTGTAATAACTTGTATGACTCCAGGAGGAAAGCCGGCCTTTTCAAATAGGGATGCGACAGCCAAGGATCCCAGTGGTGTTTTCTCACTGGGCTTCACAATCATGACGTTTCCAGTCGCCAGTGCCGGTGCAGCCTTGAGAAAGAAGCATGCCAAGGGTGCATTAAAAGGGTTGATGGCAGCACAGACACCAAGCGGTTCATGCCGAACCAACTTTACAAATCCTGATACCGGGTGGTCAGTTACCAATAACAGCTATTGCCAATATTCACTCACCATCATCAGCGGGGAAGTAATCGCCTTTCTGCTTGTCCGTCCACCCTGCGTAATACAGGACACAGTTTCTGATATAACTTCGCTCACGAACTGGGGCCAACGAAACTGGGATCCCAGATGTGAGTGAGTCAAGTGTTAAAATTGACATAAGCTCCTCCTCAAGCAGCGAGGCTAATTTTAGTAGGCACTCAGTCCGCTGGATGGCTGTAAATCGACTCCATGGTCCATGGAATGCCTCCTCAGCGTGCTTAACGGCCGCCTCGACATCTGCAGGCCCAGCGATGGGGATTTTATCGCAGACGATGGTGTTATCCTTGGGGTTTTTGAGGCTATAGGTTTCGTCGTTCTGCGCTGTGACGTATTGTCCGTTCAAGAACAACTTGGTGTAAGATTTCGGGTCCAGGCCAGTACAAGCCATTGCTAAGTCGTTCAATCTTATTTCCGGCTAAACAGGAAGCTGGTCAGGTCAAAGCGCCTAATAATGATTGCAACACTCTACTGACGTGTGTTTCTCATTAGACATTTAAATTCCGTTTGCTAGACTTGTTTGGTTACCGAGGTCGACTAGCACCCCGGCCCGGGCCGAAAGTTGTACAATTTCGAGTCTTGGACAAACGCAACATGTCGGTTCGGATATGCATTGCCTGTAGATCTCGTTTCAACTCCAGACTAGTCGTATTCAGGCTTCGGGAGAGCTTCCGGACCCGTCTACCGCTTCGCAACCCCACGTCGGTGACGGCCGGGCGTGTGGAGCCTCTACCTCTACGGCAATTGACGAGAGCTCGGCCAACGCCGACAAGGCTTGGTTACCGTAATAAATGCCGGCGAGTTGCTGCTACAGGACTGAATTTCTCAAATCACAAGCTATTCGATCAACCAATAATGGAAAACCTAATGGATGTCTGGGCCTTGACAGAATGGGATAAGCCTCTCCAGAAGATCCGCCAGCCCATTCCAACACCACAGGGAACAGATGTTCTAATTAAAGTCACCCACGCTGGCGTTTGCCATTCAGACCTGCATACGGCCGAGGGTTTCTATGATATTGGAGGAGGACAGCGGTTTTACGTCAAAGACCGCGGCATTCAATTACCTATCGCCTTGGGACACGAAATACTCGGAGAAGTCGCTGCTGTTGGGCCCGGTGCAGGGTCCATCCCGGTAGGGTCGCGTCAGATCGTGTACCCGTGGCTTGGTTGTGGTTCATGTACACGCTGCAGCCAGGAAGAAGACAACTTGTGCGCCGGGCAGAAAGGACTTGGAACACTCCGAAATGGCGGCTTCGGCGAGTATGTCGTGGTACCACATCCAAAGTACCTTGTCGACCTAGGCAACCTTGATCCTGCGGTGGCATGTACATTTGGCTGTTCTGGAATCACAACTCTCAGTGCAGTCAGTAAGGTTATGCCCCTGCCGTCGGATGAGCCGGTCCTCCTCATCGGCGCGGGAGGTCTAGGCCTCGCTGCGATCTCAGTGCTGAAATCGTGGGGGCACAAGTTCATTGTCACTGCAGACATAAACGACGAGAAGCTAGCTGCTGCTTCTGCTGCTGGTGCAACAAGGACCGTCAACACCTCTGGCCCTTCAGCATCCAAGGACATTCTTGCGGCAACAAACGGGCCAGTCATTGCCGTGATTGACTTTGTGAACAGTTCAAGCACTGCCAGCCTAGTGAATAGTCTAGTTGCTAAGGGAGCCAAGTGGGTGCAGGTTGGAGTCATGGGAGGCTCAATTGAGATGTCACTTGTGGGGAACATTTTCAAAGGCCTAACCATTTATTCAAACATTACCGGGAATTTGGACGAGTTTCGAAGACTTGTACAAATGGCAAAGGAAGGAAAGTTAAGCCCGGTACCGATCCAAGAGATGGCGTGGGACTCGGTGAATGAAGCAATGGACCTGCTCAAGGCGGGGAGGGTTTCAGGGCGAATTGTGCTTGTAAAGTAATTCGATCAATGCAAGTAGCCGAAATGAGTAGCCGTAAATATATTTCATGCACGGGAAACTCGCTTTGGAGGACCAGCAACTGCGGGCATGTTGACCGTAATTGGTTGGGTTGGTAAAGGTGTACATGACATATCAACAGACCTCAGTAAAAAATCGAGAAGCGCACCATAGAAACTTAGTTATCTCGTCCAAGTTGTTACCTGTATAAAAAGAAAGAGTAATTAATTAAACCAGTTCTTTATAGATACTTCTACGGTTAACAGTGGAAATACAGAGACTAATAGTGGAAATATGGATATAATGTGGAGGCGCTACTGGAAGAGTCGAGTGGGTTTCCACGGTAAGTAATTGGCAAAAAGAGAACATACAACAGCGAGGATTCCCCGGTCGTCACCGACCCGAGTACTAATTCGCCGCTTCTCAGCTTGACTAAGGGAGAGCGGACGGGATCCCGTATTTTCTAAGAGCTATGGTCGTATGTACCAGACGCAGCATCAACACAGCTTCTAAGCGCGGGCGACAATGAAGAGACGCTCTCTTCATGGGTGGACCCCGTATCTACTGCTACCGTTACATGTCCTGCTTTCGTTCCATCGGGATACTGTTGGTAGTAGCCTCAACATGGTTTGAATCTCCTCTCTCCGCGCCTATATCGATTTTCCCGTCTTGGGAAAGACCGTCACCACCACCCATCGCACAGTCCATCTCCTCCAGATGCCAACCACCAGTCTACACGTAATGTTAGGATTTGCTGACTCCGGACTAGAATACCTGAAAATCGATACATACCTCCGGGAGGTTAAAGAATAGATGTATAGTGTGTACCACAGCTAGACACACAAAGATCAGGTAATATTTCCAGCCGATGGTTGCTGTGGCAGTAGGCAAGAGGTTTAGCCAGAGGATATCTGCTAGAAAAAGGCCACTGATAGCCACAGCCGATGCTTGGTTCCTAATATGGGTCGGAAATATCTCGGTTGCCACGGTAAACTGGTTGAGATCAATGAATGAGTTATAACTGTTGGTGAGTTAGATTAGCACTGCAATACCAGAACTCAAAGACATCTTACCAAACCACAAATAAGTAGATCATGACTGTGGCACCGACAGCCCAACTCTTTGTTGGATTATTGTTGTATTTTGCAATCATTCCAGTCAAGGTCGCAAAAACACACGTTATCAACACATATCCAGTGACTATGTCCATATTAGCTTTGCTGACGAAATTGACTTGAAGAGAACCCACTCATAGACTTCCTCCGACCCAGACGGTCCGCCATCAAGCCACCGATGCAAGATATAATGAAACCCACGGTATTATAAACAGCTGAAAGTAGCAGGGAGGTGGTAGGCCCTAGCCCGAGTGAGCCGTAGAGCAAGACATTGTAGTTGTTGATGACGAGAGGGCCAATGTTCTGGCCCCCAGCCATGACGAGCCATGCAAGCACGAGTCTCTGACGGTTAGCCTTCTTCGTGAACAATCTCCACCTCCCATCAACTCTGACAACTTCTTTCTCCGCCTGCCATCGCTGCACAATCATCTCCAACTCTTGGTGTGCAAAGGTGTTGTTGGGATCGTTGGGATCATGATGTAGTCGGACTAGGATGTCGAGTGCTTTCTGATGATCGTCGTGCTGAACCAAGAATCTTGGGCTTTCCGGAACTACAGAAAATCAGAACCTCGAATAAAGTTTTTGTTCGCACGATGTATGGTACCGTAGAATGATCCTGCAAGGAGGCAAAGAGCCCAGATTATGACAACTGCGAAGGGGAACCGCCACGCAAACTCAGAATCAGGAGTGAAATAGCATCCAAATCTTGAAAGAGACAATCGTTAGCAAATAGAACACGACGAATGTGGTGCACTTACCCTATCCATCCTGCAATACAATACCCGACGTTGATGAAGATACCGTGTGCACCGGTTATCAAACCCCGAGAATGAGGGGGGGCTACTTCAGTGAAATATGTTGGCATCGCGGCCATCGTGTGGCCTGCTGCTAAACCAGCTACAGCTCGTGAGACCAAGAACTGTTCATGCTTATTAGCCAAGTGAAAGGGTACTCCAGGGGTTGTTGTACGAACCATCGCTGGTGACTGTGATGCACATTGGAGTACACCACCAATAATTCCAGTTATGGCAGCGATACGAAAACCATTGACTCTTCCAAAGCGGTTTCCCGCCCAGCCCGCCAAAAAGCAACCAAAGAAGCCAGTGCCGAAAAACACCCCATTTGACGCCCCAATGATGTCGTTGGTGTGGCTATACCCGGGGACCGTAGGATCTTGTTCAAGGCCGAGCGAGGAATAGAAGGTCGGCTGACCCAAAGTGAATGCGAAGACGGCAAGAGAGTACCCGGTGAATAGAGACCCGAAGGCTGCAAAACACACCACCTGTATTCATCAGCATCAGTGTAGGAGAGGATCGTCTCGGATGTTTGTATTTACCGTGACATTGTACCAACTATAGGTTTCCATGGCAGAAGCGCTTTTTATTTATACTTGTGCAGTGAAGACAATCTGCAAATGGAGAGGGTTGTGGTATATGTCGTGGCTTTATCTAAGTTATACGGATATAGGACTATCAACTCCCACTAATGAATCGGTGTTGGCCGAAGTGGATTCCGGCAACCGTCGTAATTGGGTATGGGTACGTCGGAAGGAAACTATTAATTTTAAACTGTAGAACCACGCGAAATCTGGTCTCGCCTCGAAGTTCTATGAAAATGAGGAAGTTTAGAGCAGCTCCAAACTGGTACACTGCTACCCTGTAGCTATTGCTTTGATTAATGCCTTATCGGCGAACGTTATTACCCCGGATCTGCAGTTTATCATGCTACGGAAAGCTATGGATGGTAGTGTTGTAGTTAAGGATGCCCAAACTTAGCCTCGGCTATGGAGCCGAAGGCACAAATAGCAGCTTTCACAAGCGGCTCCCACCGACCAGATCCCGATACAACGGTACTGGACACCCGGGATAACAAAAGCCGGGTTCGTCTTGGATCAATTTGGCTTGCATACGTGTGGGGTCCGCTTCGGCGAAAGCCGACCCTTCCTCCTCCCTACTTGCGTTTGTTCACAGTGCACTCTTATGCTCGCAATAGCAATCAGACGTAAGAAGTATACATTTAAGGACCAGTGTCAGGTAGCTAAGGGAGTGTTTGAGCTAAGCCAGAGATCAAAACTTCTGATGGAAGGAGATCTAAAAGAGAGCTGTCAAATCCACCTGATGCGAAGCCGCCTCGTGTGATTTCCGTGTCAAAACAATCCCAGAAATCAGGGCCATTTCCAGCTACAAAGGAATCATCTTGGGTAAGATTAGATCCAGAATTTAGTTCTGGTAACGGGTTTGAAGCCGACGCCTCTTGAGAAGGACCTTCCGTTGAGTCCCAATACGTAGACGGAAACATGATACTGAGTAGTCCTCCCCCGCAAATCTGCTTCAGTGATTCGAGCATGCGCCCTACAATTGGGAAGTGTGGCTGCACCGATTCCATGCTCTTTACCAGTTGGCGAAGCCAGGTAGTCTGGCGCTTCATTTCGTTAACGTTGTCCGCTTTGTTGAGGTGCTCAATCATCGCAGTTGCTGCCACCACTGCGTTGTCGAGCATGATGGAGGGTATCTTTTCCATCCCAAAAGCCTCGCGGTAAGTGACAACTAGACGTGCGACCCGGAGTGCATATTGATAAATAATGACGTCTGAATCATCGGATGACGTCCGCATGGCACTGTCACCTGCGATCTGAGAGTGCCTTCGCTTCCTCGTCTTCGGCGGCTTCGCCAGCGCTCGTCTCAAGAGTATTTGCACTTTGCAGTACTGGGTGTGTAAGCCGTATCCCGCCAGATCCATGTTCGTCAGACGGTTTTCGTTGTACGTCAACTCTGGCGGAAGGCTTTCATACCATTCCTCAACCTGTCCAAACAGCTTGCGCAGCGAAGCAGTTCTATCGGAATTGTCGATTGAGTGTTCGTTCAGCACTTGGGATATCTCGGCCATGGGCACGCAAAGCCTTACCCAGGCGTTAAGCCACGGGGAATCTGATTTTCGGCCTGCCTTGCAGCGTGAAGCCGCAATACTCATGACTGATCTCGGGATGGAGCTGGGTCTACCAAGATATAGAGTCCACACCCCTTCGTACACCACGCAAGCTGACAGCAGCGCATATGCAACATCGCTTCCTTTGGTGGGCTCCTGTGCACCCATGTTACTTGCAAGCTCATGAAGACCAAGATCGGACAACATTCGACAAGCCACCCCTATACCAGTCAGCTATCATTAATAAAGAGTCTTCGCAGAATGGCTCACCACAAAACATCCAGCCCGGGCGCAGATTACCCTGTGTGACTTCGTATTCACTCAGGACCAGAAACCCTTGCAGGTTCGCGGGTGTCGGCTCAGACATAGCTTTCAATGCTTCATCCTTCGCCCACTCACAGTACTTGGAGCCCAATGCGCGTACTGACTTCGAGGTACTCAATCGCGTCCCACATGCCAACATGGCATTTTCCAAAAACTTGGAGTACCATCGAGATTGATTACCAGTGGCTTGGTGGGTCATGAACTGTTCCTTGCCCACAATGTCAACCCAGAGTGATTGATATTTGAAGAAGGACTGTAGGAGGTGTTCGCGCAAGTGGGGTGAAGATGGGTCAAGGTCAATATCGACTCCATCAGATTCTTCGAAGGAGCTGAGACGGGACTCGTCACCGGGAGAGACAACATGAGGGTGGGATGTTGCGCCGAAGAAACTTGGCGACTCATCACGAGTCTTTTCGGGAGAGGTTCCATTAATCAAGGTCGACGCAGGCAGAGTTTGATGGGAACTGTAGGAGACCCTTGTCACCACTGGATGCGTGGAGTCGTCGCCCTGAGGAGGCGCCGTATTAGGAGGTGCGGCACTTGAAACCGTCAGTAATGCTACACGCGCCGAGTCCGACCGAGAGGTCATCCGGGCAATTCCTCGTTCGCAGTAACGTACCTTGGACCGAATGATGGCACAGATGTGTCGGTGAGAGGAACAGTAGCATCCTCGGTGGGTCTACAAGTCGATGGGTCACCAGTCCTTTGATTGAGAGCTTCCAGCGTTTCTATGCGCTGTTGGAGCTTGTCGACAAATTTCCGGCTGACAGATCTGTCTCTCGTGCTTAGCCGCTGCTAATATCCTCTTGTTGGTCAATAAATTACCTTCTTCCGTCTGATAAAGGGTCCAGCAAGCACTCCTGTCCAGCTCGTTGACATGGACCACACCCTTCGTCTGATGGAACAGACTGGGCATCGCACTGGAGAGAAACGTTCAATATCCGGGCACGCAAAGCGGAGCAGCGGGAATCTTGCCTTGACCTTGCGGAGTCGACAACTCTGGCAGGCAATTGCGGCGCGCCTGAAGGTACTTGTCGTCGACGAGGTTCTCGGCCGATCCACCATTGGTAACGCTATCAAAGGAGCTCAAGATAAGTTCAATCTCAAATCGATTCTGCAGAATAGCACGATAATCCGGGGTTGAATGCGGAGCTCGATCCAAGCATGCTGCATTTGCGGGGTACGAAGAGCACGAAGAGCCTAGCGGCTTGTCGGCCGAGGGCCGAGTCTATATTGGAGATATCGGCCATTGCCGTAGTTGGGACCAGGGCAGAGCAGGGCTAATATGGTCGTCTAACTTGGTTCGTCCCAAGATCAGCGCAATTTTGCGCTGGGATCTCACTGACAATACTGACAGTGGAGTGTCCAATTCAAAACGCCGAGGTGAACCCATCGTGTATGTTATATATGTGCAGGCGGATGAGAGAGCTGATCCACATCAGATGCTTGTCTATCCACAGCCGTAAGACAGTGGGGACGGTGGGACAATGAGATAGGCTGCATTGCCGTGATTCCAAGACTGCCTTGGCAGCCAGAGAGGAGCATACATCACTGGCAGACACATCTGTTAAACGGTCGAAGATATTCCCGTTCCGGCTAGATTGGTTGGGTAGGTTCTCTTCCGTCGGTGAAAGCCGATGACATCTTTGCCGCTTGCGCCAATCTTCAAGTCCAGGAATATTCTGGCATCAGTGCCGTGAAATTTGCTTCACACTACACTGTTATTAGCTCTATAGTATCAGTCATGTCCTATCGAAGCATATTTCAGATATCAGATATCTGTTTGTTGGGACGCGTCTCGGGAGGTCGATGGGTGCTGCTGCTTGGTTCTCGTCAGGGTGGATTGTCGTGTTCCTGAACGGGATTTTATGCCATGCTTGATTTAGCCACCCAATCTTCTCATATAGCGCCAATTTTACGTAAGCTATGACTTCATGGATCGGAATACATTCAGTCCGCGGGTGGTGCGTAATTTCGGAAATACTAGGACTACGACGTAAATTCAACCGCGCCGAATCTCCTTGTCCCGGCTATCCCGGTCGGCATCTACCGAGCTGGGAATCCACGGACCAGACCGACGACTGCAATTTGGGACAATGACGCACAGCGTTGGGACCGATTGGTCCGCCCGTAGTTGGATATATTATCATACATGGTGCAAAGACCAAACCACCTGATCATGATACCTTCTAACTCTATCAAGTCATTCTAAAGCCTGATTAGTATTTCGCCTTCCTGCATAACCAATGTCGTCCCACAAGACTACCGATTATGATACCATCGTTGTCGGCGCAGGCTTCGGTGGTATTCGGTCGCTCTGGGAACTTAGTCAGCTAGGCCTAACCGCAAAGTGCTTCGAGGCTGGATCAGATGTGGGCGGCGCATGGTATTGGAATCGCTATCCTGGAGCCCGAACAGATAGTGAAGCATGGGTGTACAGTATGAACTTTGCGCCCGAGTTGAGGGACGAATGGGATTATCGTGAGCGGTACCCTTCTCAGGAAGAGGTTCAGCGGTATTTAGGCCGCGTTGTTGGTCAGTTCTTCACTCCCCAAATAATCAATTTCCCTTCGTACTGTGGAAACTTGGTCTTCAGTTATTAACATTTCAAAACATAGATCGATTCGATCTGCGCAAGAATATTGAGTTCAACACGCGTATCGGGGCCGCGCATTACAATGATGCTGAGAGCACCTGGACGATTACCACCGCAAACGGAATTTCCGCGACTTGCCGCTACTTCCTCCCTGCGACCGGGCCTTTGTCGGTTACAAAAGATCCGCCTTTTGCAGGGCTCAAGTCATACACTGGCGAGTGGTATCAAGCATCCAATTGGCCCAAGCACAAAGTCGATTTCCACGGGAAGCGCATCGCAATTGTTGGCACCGGCGCTACAGGAGTCCAGATCATTCCCAAGGTTGCCCCTGTTGCCAAGGAGTTGACAGTGTTTCAACGTACTCCGAACTACGTGCTTCCGGGGCGAAACTATGTCATCGACGAGCATCAGGCTGCGGAAATCAAGCACAACTATGATGCCACATGGAATCATGCAAGCTCGCACCCCTTCGGTCTGGCTATGACTCCCTCGGGGAAAACAGTCAAGGATGCGACAGACCCGGAAATCATCAAACAGGTCTTGGACTCTGGCTGGGAATCCGGTGGATTCCATTATCAGTTCGAGACTTTGGATGACCTTTTCACAAGCCAAGAATCCAATGACATTGCCTCGGAATATCTTCGCCAAAAGATTCAAGCCATCGTCAAGGACCCCAAAACGGCAGAACTACTCTCCCCAAAATATCCCTTCCTATCCAAGCGTCCGCCTTGTGGACACTTCTACTACGAGGCATTCAATCGGCCCAACGTCAAGCTGGTTGACATCAAACGTGACGATATTGATCTCTACGAGAAAGGAATCCGCACCAGCTCCGGGGGCGAATACGAGTTCGACATGATCATTTTCGCTCTGGGATTCGATGCCGCCACTGGCGCGCTTAGTGAGATGGATGTCAAAGGTATCCACGACAAATCACTGGCGAACTTTTGGGCAAGCAGGCTTGAAACTTTCGCCGGGGTCCTTGTGCCTGGATTTCCAAACATGTTCTTGGTCTGTGGCCCTCACGTGCCTTTTGGAAACATGCCAGTTGTCGTCGACATAGAAGTGAACTGGATCGGCAAAACCATTGGGTATATGGAGAAGAACAAAGTCGCCAATATCAACGTCACTGAGAAAGCCGTGGTTGCATGGTCTTCTCACCTGCATGAAGCATTCAACGCCACTCTTTTTGCGGAATCTGCCACGGCATCTGGCGCTTGGTTCGTTGGCGCAAATATACCAGGAAAGGCCCTCGATATCTTGTTCTATTTTGGGGGTGTGCCGACTTGGACTGCTTGGCTCGACAATGAGAGTAAGGCGGGGTGGGAAAACATGGAATTTCATCCTCCCGTCGTCTCCGACACGGAGACTGAAGCTACTTCGGATCAACACCGTAGCCAGATAGCAGTTGGTATTACAACAGTAGCATGATTGGGCTAGACTAAAGGTAGATCAATATATACTTAGCTTTTTTACCCTCACCCAACATCACCAGAGAGATCAAAGATGTACTGTACTTCCAAATAGTGTAAGGCACACACGTAGCACCACAACCAGTACCGAGAGACAGAGTATTTCTGCAATAAAGTAATCAACATGCACCACTTCAACAACAAAACCGCGAGTTTCAAGCATAAATCGACTGGTTCAGTTACTTTACGCACTAGCTTCTACCATGCTGACCGCTTTGCACTACATCCCACCCCTGCCTCCAGTGACCTTCTGATGGTTATTGCCTGATTATATAGATTCCATTGACTCGCACTTACCATGATTGTCTACAAGTTCATCTGTTAGAATGCTTCTCAAATGCTTGCTACAAATAATGGGTTGACTTACCTGTCCACTCACATATGAGAAGAGTGGAGAGACTACGGCCAAGATCGCCCTCCCGGCGTCTGTGGGAGATCCAACCCGTCGAAGAGGGATGTCTCCGACCCTATCGGTATAGATGTGAGAGTTGATCGACAATATTTGGGAACCGAGCAAACTTACCATTTCTCTTCCTCATCGTAGCCGCCATGAAACCCGACAGCATGTTTCGTGCCATCTGGTCTTACGACATACTCACCAACAGGAGCCTGTGTAAGTCTAGTTTTGATGGCTCCGAAAGCGACAGCTGTGGATTAAATGATTAGTCTGGGCGGCGCTCAACGGCCTTGGACATTATACATACTATTAACTCTCACTCCATACTCGGGTCCCCATTCTTGGGCCAGTGTTTTGGTAAGCCCTACTAATCCTGCTTTAGCCAAAGCATAGCTAGCTTGTCCCGCGTTACCATAAATTCCAGATGTAGATGAGATATTGACGATTGATCTCGGTTCACCGTCTTTGAGCATAAAGTATGGTGCCGCTGCCCGTATGAGCTTGAATGGTGCCGTGTTATGTAGGGCAATAATGGTATCTTCGTCTGTTAGAGTAAAATATGAAGCTGGTAGGTTGATAGAAAGGCTCACCCCATTGTTCGTCCCGGATTTTCTCAATAGGGTCGTCCCATGCATAACCTGCATTATTGATGATGATGTTAATTTTGCCACCACTAAACTCGACCGTCTTTTGGACCAGGTTGCTGATGGCTTCATTGTTCGTAATATCTCCCGCAACAGCAATCGCAGTGCCCCCATCTGAATTGATGGCTTGAGCGGTCTTATCGGCCTTCCCTGGTCTCTGTATCAGCATCATCGTCACGTCATTCTATTTATGAACCAATACCGGCATCGATGTCTGCGATGACAACCTTGCACCCCTCGCGTGCCAGAATTGTGGCCGTCTCAGCACCTATACCTTGAGCTGCGCCTGTAATTATAGCAGTTTGGCCTGATGCGAGCTGTCAGTCAGGCCATGGAGTAGTGGTACATGGACATTACCCGCCAGCATCCCTTGGGGGAAGTTGAGTCGTGGAATAGCACTCATGGTTGTGCCTGTTAGAGCCTGGAGAAAGGGCGAAGTCTTCGACGATTTGCGGAATTGCCGGAATTCACAAATCAGGATAATATTTTGCTGCCATCAAATTCTAAAGATTGAAACAGGCCCAAGGTAGACATCACACTTAGTATGAAGGTAGCTATACTTTTATCGGCGAACGCCGAGAAGGCGGGGGCCAAATGACCAGGTCCGGATTATCTCCGACTCGTCTACAGCCGTACTCCGATCACTGACTGCGGAGACTCCATCGTCAGTCAGCTCCCTTCGCTAAGACTCTTAATTCGTCGGCTACCTTGAGTTACCGAGCTCGTGATTGAGAGCAAAATGTGATTCGATGTCAGTAGAAGTTGAGGCCGGTGAATGGCGGTTCCGACCGGTGATTCTTTGCACTCAAGGGACAAATACGACGCTTCGGCAAGGGCCGAATATCCGGTCCTCGGCTACTTATCCCGCCAAAGACGAGGAGTGGCATTTCGTGCAAGTCACGTCATCTCAACTTAGCCACTCAGCTATGTCGGGATAGTGTAGTCTTGGCTGTATTCAACGTCAATCGGAGTGAGCATGATTCGCCGGCTTCACCAAGACTTTAAATTATCACGTTTCACCTTGATGTTATTAGTCTCATGGCACATTTGTATCATATTATCCCTTTCAATAATTTCACAGCTCGCACATTATCAGTCACAAGATGAATTCAGCAAAGCCTTTCGCTAATGGGGACAACGGAGCAAGAGAGCTCGATGTTTTGATCATCGGTGCTGGCTTCGGCGGATGTTATGCTCTCTACAAGCTTCGCCAACTGGGGCTTAATGTTCATGTTTTCGACGCGGCCTCTTATCTTGGAGGAGTCTGGCATTGGAATACCTATCCTGGAGCTCGCGTCGACTCGGAGATGCCATACTACCAATTCTCAATGCCTGAAGTGTGGCGGAAATGGAACTGGTCTGAGAGATTCCCAAGCGGGGAGGAATTGAAGGCCTACTTCAAGCATGTTGATGAGACTTTGGATCTGTCCAAAGATATCACATACATACTCTGCCAATGTAATCGACGGTAGATACGACGAGTTCTCGGGGAAGTGGACCGTGACAACAGAAAATGGGCAGAAAGCGGTATGCAAATACCTCGTTTGCGCGACTGGCAGCTCATTCAAGCCACACTATCCCGACTTCAAAAACTTGGACAAATTCCAGGGTCAACTCATTCACTCGACTCGCTGGCCCACTGCGGCAAATACGAAGAACAAACGTGTCGCCATCGTCGGGTCCGGTGCAACAGCGATCCAGTGCACCCAGGAGATTGCAAAAGAGGCACGCCATTTGACAGTGTATATCCGTACTGCTAGCATCTCGCTGCCTATGTTCCAGCGTTCCTTGAGTGAATCTGAGCAACGGGTGAACAAGTCGACCTATCGAAGAATGTTTGCGTATTGCCGGAAGACAAAGTCTGGTCTTGGGTACGATATTCAACCAGGCTCCGTGTTCGACTTGAGCGACCAAGAACGAGAGGAGCTTTGGGAAGAGCTGTGGAACCGCGGCGGATTCAACTTCAACCAAGCCAACTATCGAGACTTCTTGGTTGATCCGAAAGCCAGCAACTTGATGTATGAGTTCTGGGCAAAGAAGACACGACCAAGGCTCAAGAACGCTGCCAAGTCCGCATTTCTCGTGCCCGAGAAGGCGCCTTTTGCGTTCGGCACGAAGCGGAGTAGTCTGGAACAAGACTATTACGAGTGTCTTGATCAAGATAATGTTGACATTGTGGACCTCAAAGTCAATGCTATTCAAGAGATCACAGAAAAGGGCATCATTTGTCAAGATGGGGTGGAGCGCGAATTCGATACCATCGTTATGGCTACAGGCTTCGACGCCATGACTGGAAGCTTGACCAATATGAATATACATGGTAGAGACGGTTTGACCTTCCAGGAACGATGGAAAGATGGTGTCTTCACTCATCTCGGCCTCTGCAGCAGTGGTTGCCCTAACATGTTTATGATATATGGACCTCAAGGCAAGTCTCCTTTGATCTAAAGACACACCTGCTAACAGTCAGGCCAGCGCCGACGGCGTTTACCAACGGACCGGTATTCATTGAAGCCCAAGTCGACATAATCGTCGATTTGCTCAAGAAACTCCAGAGTCAAGGTATCAAGTCGATCGAAGCACAGCGAACTTACGAGGAAAAGTGGAAGCAAGCGATCCAAGAAGCAAATGACAAAACCTTGATGCCGTTGACAGATTCTTGGTATATGGGAGCGAATATCCCAGGAAAGAAGCGAGAACAGTTGGTCTACTTAGGAGGCATTGAGAAGTATGAAGATGAATGTCGGAGAGCTTTGGCAACCTTGGAGGGATTTACGGTGGTCTATGGTCCCGATAGAGAGTCTGATGGCATATAGAAAACGCCAACAGGGTCTTTCATCGGTACAATAATGCTCTTTGCCACCTTGAATGCAACTTTTGCATTCGTCATAGTAAAGCTTTGCTTTTATCTTGTCTACGCCTAATCTGCTGTGTATTTTGACGCCGTGCTTAGCAAACATCACCTCTCGGATTTGGTAGACGAAGGATGGTCAACCCTGCAATTTGCGGCATTTCGCCCGAAACCCGGCTCCGTGTGGTTATGCTGACCATCTGCATAAGCTCAGCCACACCATCTTGTCTCGACCTCATTCGCTCTAGTAGAGCTCTCCCAGAGCTACTACTGCTACTTATAAGATACATACCGTCTATTTAGTTTGCAATCTCATTCATCGAGTCTGCTATCCGTAAGACAACAGTTTAGCTCGGCAAACCACTTGTGAACAGTTTAGAATCGAAACCAGTCGTGTATCGCTCTGTGGTATCAATTATCGCCCCCAACAAACTAAAACTATAAGCTAGGGTGTATTAACAAAGTAACTCTTAAATACCTCGTCCACAATCCGTCCACTCATCTCGCGGAGAATCTTACAAGTCATCGGAAAAATAAAGGGTATCATAAGACTGTTCGCCTCAAGGTGTGTCTCCCCGTACAGCTCCCACTCTTCTCCCAAAGCGGTCATTGTGCCTGGGCTATCGTCCAAACTGGCCACCGTGCCAGGGCTACCGTCCAAGTTGGTGGAGACGGTGGCCTCGCTCAGTGGACGAACGGTCCACTGGGTCCACGTTATAATACCGCCCGGGGCGTTAACTCGACACAGGGCGCCATTAGGTACACACTGGAAGACGATGGGCCACTTTGTTTCTCGGCGAAGGCCAGGGGCAAGTTGGATAACCTCACGGACCTCAAAGGCGCGAACAGTGTTGTCCCAAGGCCCAAAGTAGGGATCGTTTTCAATAAGGCTGGGGTTAGACGGCGATTCCTCAAAGCTGACCATGCCAGGGTTATGGCGTATGATGGGAGTAAAGGTCTGCAGAAAGGCCACGACGACCTCAGATGGTAAATTGCCGGGGATGGGGCTCGTAATGTCTGCGCGGTATCGTGACCGCATTGCTGGTTGATGTATAACTAGGAGTGTCAATTGAAGATTCCTCTTCCTGCAAAGACATGGCTCGCATGCAGAACCGGCTGTATCTACCTCTGAGGGGTGGCGGGTTGCTAGCTTAGTATATGCGCCTTGTTTGGCAGTGAGGGATTAATCTGGTCGACGTCTCTGGAGTCCCTGAGACAGAGGAGACGGCCTAAGTCATAGTACAGACACAGGAGACGGCGAATCCAACCACTTGCTGCTGTGGTAGAAGCCGGGGCTGCAGGCGTGGCTTGATTGCTATACGAAAGGTGCAGCTGGTCTCACGAGAGCGGAGTTGGAGATTGTGGCGGAGGTCGCATGATCTGTCACGTGATACGATTATGCACGGCTTTAAACAAGGTTCAACAGGGGTAAAAATCCCTTGAAACAAATTAAAATTAACTTGTGCGGCCATAAATAGATATTTAGAGGTACCAATTCTGATTCAATCAGTGAGAATACGGTATCTCTTTACGGAGTAATATCTAGGCAAATGGCTTTATAATCTCCTTCAGCTCATTCTCTGTCATGCGCGTTATCCCTGCGAGATGATTCTGAGTCCCATCAATCTGACCTCCACATCCAGGTGTAAACATAATCTTGAACACCATCGGGTCGACGACCGAAATAGAAAATTGGCCTGCAAACATCTTTTGCTCGGCAGTCTCAGCATTCTTGTCCATGTCCACGTACTCGACCTGCCAGTCGCCAGGCAGCACTTCCCCAGCCGATGCGAGGATCTGGAGCTGCGTGGGTCGGTAGGATTCTATCAGCATCACCTTGTTCTCGGTATCTTCCGGGTGGCTAAAAGCACCCACGAATGCTTTCGCGTAGTCATTCGTCTTGGTTATGGGAAATGGTATGTTTCCGCCAAGGAGTTTACAGTGTTTCAACGTACTCCGAACTACGTGTTTCCAGGGCGAAACTATGGGGCTTCCTCGGCCGCGAAACTGCGCCGGGCTTCTAGACCCCGCGCCCATTGTTTGTTGACCAATTCTACCGCCTCCCGGATAAGGCTAGGCTTCTGTCCGGGAATTATAATTAGAAATGGTCGCGTACGTACATGGTGAGCGAGCGCCAGAGACAAGCGAGTGCTACACCTCCAAATTCCATGCAAAAACTATCAACTTCTAATCAAATTTCTTAAATCTGTCTCTACGTATGAGATATAACGAATGGATAACAAACTCTCCCTTAGAATCTCTTTAAACTTGACTTTGGAGAAGGCGATTGTTGGTAGTTGGCTGATGTGGGCAGCCGGAGATAGCGCGAGACAGATATATTCCTGTTCCTCATAGGTTTACTTAGACCTCTATTTACCATCAACAATGTAGATACGGATGCAAAAATGCCAAATGAATCAGCTGGTTACCGTAGCTTCTAATCTTCTTTCACTAGAACCTTAAGCATTTCCACCGCTTGGCTCTGGCCACACAAATGAAAATCCCTCGGCAATCCCAAAGTTGGGTGACCCATCCTCATTGGCCGTTAGAGGCTGTACCATGGCATACCGTGAATCATCGCATGCTCCCGCCGAATTCGAAGTGGCATGAAACGTGATCCAAGTTTCACTTCCATCGGGGCTGGTGAAGAAGCTGTTGTGACCGGTACCGAAATTGCCGTTTGCGCTCGATAAATGACATCCGTCCGATTTGGTCCACGCGCCAGAAAGCGCCGGATCAGTCGCGCCGTCCCACTCCAAGAGGGCAATACAGTAGTCAGGTGTCCAGCAATAGTTAGCAGAGTATGCAATGTACGTTTTGTTTCCAAAGTAGAGACCAACTTGGCCTTCATGCACAGGGACGCCACTCTGTTCCCAGGGCTGATCAGGCTGAGATATGATGCTCAGATCACCAGTAGAGACATAATCGTCGCCCAGCTTGCGGATACATGTCGATTGGTTGGGCACACCGGTCATGCAAGAGTAAACAAAGTAGTTCCCCCATCCACTGAACCTCAGGATGGAGCCATCGATGCCCCAGTCGGGGGCCATTTGGCCGACATAAGCCCAATCATCATCCCAAGGAGAGGCACCGCCTAAGATCGAAATTGTCAGTCGCTTTGAACGAAGTCGTCAATCAGTTATCGGGTGTGTAATTCTACCTTTGATCACATGGGACCTCTGGTTGTCCAAGTTGGTGGCACCGGAGTTGCCTGCGGTATAGTACAGATACCAATTTCCATCAAAGAAGTGAAGCTCAGGGGCCCAGACATTGCAGCACCGAGACGCGTTCGTGTCGGAATAAATGATCTTCGACTCGGCAGTCTTCAGCCCCTCGATGGTCTCTGCACGAGCAAGCTGCAAGTTGTCCCACTCCGTCGAGATGAGATAGTACCAGCCACCGGAGTAAGTCACCTGGGGGTCGCTTCCTCCGGGGCTCCGGATCGGATTCGTAAAGGCACTCGTGGAGCCAAAGAGGCTTCCAACCACGAGACCAGCTTTCAAGATTCGGAGGAGAGCCATCATTCCCCAGTGAAATGGTGGTGAGGGGTGATTTAAGATGGTGTTCGCATTTCATAAATGGGCAAACCAAGCGTGGTTTTATACATGGATGTGCCCAGCTTTTCACCTCCTCCTGGCCCTGTTCAAGATCCAGGACTCGAACGTCGGTGATAGATGACCCGGGACGCTTGTAAGGGTTCTTATAGCCTCAAAATACTAGCGACCCAGTGTCGTTTCTCGAAAGAGTAGCGGAGACGCTCTGACGTAGTATGGGCCTGATGATTCATGTGCCATTCCAATTCTATTGGAGCGCTTTTTCGGAATAGCCCCGGTTTCGTCATTGCCAAGACGGGGTGCAAGGAAGCCCGCGGGGTGTTGATTCGTGGGGATTTGTATGTTTTCTTTGTCTCAAACCTACCCCACAGCAGACATTAATGGATCGGCGCATTAACAGGTGGTGCACAGTGACCCCCGCCCTCCGTTGAGGTGGTGACTTCAATAAGCATAGTTGATAAGCTTAATTGTTGTTTCTTGCAGCCAGCTGGTGCGGTGTCTGGTAGAACTCATTCCTGACTATTATAAAATGACCAGCTTCGCCCCCACATCCCCGGATCATGACCCCACGCCTGCGGGTCTAGGAGAAGTTCCAGAAGCCGGTACTTCAGACACTGGTAAAGCGTATGACTCTCTAAGACAGACTTAAAGGCTGTGTGAGTCTTCTATCTAGACATCAGCGATTTGTCGCGCGCAATTTCTTATTGCTGAACCAATAGGGCGAAAGCTGCAGCTGAAACACGATTCATATCCACAACTCTTGCTTCACTGTTGGACGAGACTTGAACCATGTGTCGAGATTCAGAAGCAAAGGCCATGTAGAACTCACATTATTTATGGCCGAAGGAGGCTCTGCGCACTTTCAATAAAGTGCACGGCCAACCCTGGGGTATTGAGCTACCCAGCTCAGAGAGTCTCTTCGAAACGAGCAAATTAACAAATAATTATTCCAAGCAATCGATACTCAGCGCTACACAAGCCAGGGTTCGTCGTGGTTGAATATATTTTTTACCATCTCAATACTCTAGGCCTAGGCAAAGGGAAACCTACCGTTATCCAGTGTCAAGAAACAATGTTAAATGTAAGCTTAGTTGACCTCCCAAGTGGATGAAAAGGAAAAAGTCAGCTATAGGGTAGGTTTAGTGAAAAGGTGAAATATGGCAAACGAATTCGCGTTTGCCACACATTCTCACGTAAATCAATTTATCTGAAGTCGTCACCCGGACCTAGTGACCTACTCGCTGCTCAAAAATGTCTACCGCCCGACCGGTATGATTATTTTTTACTACCAGTTAGAGTCGGATATGTTAAGCCACCAAAGTATCCAGCCCAAAGTGGTTGCGGAGAATGCCACTTGCGCCCTTATACAAACAGAACGCGGGGTTCGAACATCAGTTTGTACTACAGCCTCTCGTCGGGTCTCCTCCAAGAATATCAGTGTTATTATTTATTCATCGGGCTAGTGTCCCATCTGGTCTTATTCCTGTTCATATCATCTACATTAGGCAGCTTGCTATTATTAATGGACGGCTTTAAACGCCTCTGGTTTGAACAATCGACTTTTTAACTGTGATGTTCCATCCTCCTTGTCCGGCCTGAGTCTCTTCCTTTCTCTCTGCAAGGTTTGACTGGCTGTTATTCCAATCGTCTGTACCCCCAACGGAACCTTCCGACCTACTATCTGCCTTATACTTCTGGCCCTCGAGGTCAGAGTCGGCAGCATCGTCATGGTTGATGACGGTTGTAACTCCGATGCGCTTTCCAGCATTATCATGAAGTTCAAACGCTGTGCCGTTCTCGCCTTGGCTCCGGATGTATCCTGCTTTCGGGTGGCCGCTATCTGTTCGGTGCCATTGTCGAGCGGAGGTTCCGTTGCTTTGTGCTGTAGAACCACCGAAGAAGGTTCGGAGAAGGGGTCGGAGGGTTGCCACTCCTGACGCAGTGATGCCAAGGCCAGTTTCGACTGTCGACCAGATGGCGACGTCTGAAGTTGAGTAGAGGAAATCTTCGATGTCGGTTAAAGAGTAGAGGTAGGGAAAACGAACGATCGTCGCACTCGAAGCACTGTTAATCGCATTAGCTTGAGTCAAAACCATCGAAATAGGTAGAGAGAAGACAAAATTCATGCTGGGAAAGGAAGGGGACCAATCATACATTGCGCCGGCAGCTAGAATCAGTACAACTGAGATTTTCATTCTCAAGTTCATCTGTAGCTTCCAAACAAGGAATATGGGAAGGATGCTGAATGTCCAGTCGGTCCAGCAACTAATGGCGGAGTAGCCATAGAAGGCATTCGAAACCACCTTTGCATCTAAGCAACTTCCCTCGGGCGGGTTGCTGGTGTATCGGAGCCAAAAGAGTGATGTAGGTCGGCACTGCAGTACGAACAGCAGGAAGAAAAACAAGCTGTAAATCTCAGTGACACCTGTCACGATCCAGATGGTGATTTTGTGGGATCTGTGAACGCAGATTCGCAATAAGAAGATGGCAATGCTGGCTTTGATGGCCATATTAGTTAGGACGTAAAGAGGTTCGCAAGTCCACCACATCTTTGCAACGTCAGTATCTACAACTTGATCAACCAACTCAGTCGGGGTACTCACCTGCATCGCCTTGGGGATTTTCTCCTCGGGGATGTTGACAATGTGCTGTCCAGTGCCATAACGAACGCCTGTGATCTCATAGGAACAAAAGACAATAAAGAGAATCTGTCACATGTTAACGAGGGACAGGTAGATCAAAGGTTGAGACATACCTGGGCGGCCACAGCTAGCCAATCATCCGCAGCAAATGCCTTGATGACCCAGCCACGACAGTAAACTCGAAGGATTGTTGCAATGGAGGAGACGATGACAAATGTGTATGCAATGGCACCAATTTGCGGTCCGCGGCTCTCGGCCGCCATCTTGTCGAGTAGTGAGCGAAAGTGACCAACGTGCGATATTATGCAGGGCGATGTAAAAGAACGAAGCAGCAGCCAAGGGAAACAGAGTTTGGAGCGAGGTTAGTCGGGGATATTAAAGAAGCAAGGGGTAGGCTACCTGTCAGTCTTTCCAAACTGCCGGCAGCGGCTCCGCGATCAAACAATCTTGAGTGGGAACCAGAATAATGAGTGGCTGCAATCCCCCGTCTCGGTGTATCCAGTCCGCTTGTGGCTAATTCTGGTGTCTCTAGCGTGCGGACTCGACATGACTCGAGTCAAGAGCGGTTCGCCTATTGGTTTCACATGAGCGTGGCAAGTGGCGACCATCTCAAGCAGTTTAGCGCTACGCTTTGATGATCTTCATCTTGGGAGCACTAACGGCGACTTTATCAAAGCACACCGTCGTTCCTCCACATCGGACCCATCGACTACGGATCCAGAAGAAATCCATGTGGAGATCTCAGGCACAATTATCCACAGGATGTGCAACCATGACACGCGTAGCGCCCGAGAGCTGGCCGCTTGGGAAGTAGTTCAGGGTCATGGCGACAATTAGTACGGTGTACATTCCGCATTATCCGGCAGGGCTAGAATGTGCATCACGGGGCATTGGGGAGGGCTACAAAAGTCGACAACAGCCAGAACGGATACTTACTGTTCTCGGAAGTCGTCCATGTGGGTTTAAGCTGGATAATCTGACCTGGTTCATCTCGGTTCGGGCTCAGTGTTGATCAATAATGTAGCGTGAGCTACGGTAGATCCGGGGATGAAGAGACTGAAGTAAATGGCACGCTGGAGCCTTGATATCGCCGCATAACCCGCGGGAGGCAGATGCGGCACGCGCGGCGAACGCTCAGGCACCAAACGACGAGGCTGATGGCGTGGCAAGGATGAGGCTGGCGATGAAGACAGCGAGAGAACCTGTGCATCGCGGTCCGCGCGGCGGCTGAACGCCACACCACGTGGTGACAACGCCGCGAGAAAGGCCTAGATTAGCCGCGGAGCAGAAGGACCTGAGTTTATACGTAGTACACTAGATTCTTAGGACTCGGAGTTGTGCCTTTACGTAGACGCATGGCCGAGAAGGCCGAGAAAGCCGGGAGCTTGGAGTAGAAATCCCGAATTGCCACAAGCCCAAGCCCTAATTATGACTCGCCTCGTTCCAGCACACAGTCGCTCTGCTCGCGGTTATAGCCATGGATGCCCTGTAATCGGACCGAGGACGCCAAGAAAGGGGCTTTCGCTGTCAAGACGACCTCGGCTTCAAGCCCTGTATGTCAGAAGCACCTACCATCACCACGGCGCAATTCTTCGCTTTGAGTCGTGCCGTAACATCGTCGGGGAACTGACGTCCCCTGTTACGTAACGATATCCACATTGGCGATCTGCTCCGAGGTCATGCAAAGAATTCGAGGGAAGAGGGAGGGCCAGCCAGGGTATGTGGAAATAACAGGCAATGAATGTTGAACCAGAGCCGGAGATTAATGGACAAAATCCCATCTGCCATCACCAGATTCACAGATAATTAATTAGCTTGGGCTGTCACTTATCTACAGCATCTGATGAATCCCACTGCCGATCGGGTTAATTGCCACCGGCCCGCAGCCCTAATGCCGATCGTGAAGATCTCTGATTGCCACGCTGACATACCAATCGGGTCGGCTAATATTACCCTCAACCCCTGTGCAAAGATGAGCTGGTGGTAATTCCGAATGGCAACATGATGATGCGTATCGCAAATGCAGTTTTGCACTATCCCATGGCCTGTCAACTGCATGTTAGAATAGGTTCATGCGAATTCATGGTTGATTTGTAAGCAGAGCAATTGGACTGAATATTCTAAGAAGAGGTCATGCAGCATCAGAAGAAAACCATCTTGCAATAAATCTATCCTGATCATGAGGGAGCATGATATATCCTGGCGAAAGAGAAGTACCTCATCAAATGTGAGGATGGGAACATCTCTACGGAGTTTAGTGACGGCCGCTTCTACGAGCGTAGTTTGCGTTTGCTCAACAAGGTCCATCGCTGTTAGGTGTACTGCACCAAGCACGAGTGGCCCAATGATATCGTTTGAGTAACGGATCCGCTCTTCTCTTATCTCTGTCGACCACCGTTGGTTGCACAGACGTCAGACGATGGGGTGAGCCTTATTCCTTTTCCGTGTCTCGGGTATTCTAGCGTGGCCTCGCCTAGTGTTGAGTGACAGCTTCTTGTTGATCATTATTTCTTAGACCACAACCACCCTTGCACGTGGGTATAGAATCCAATCCACGTGCCACTATGCATCCTAGGAGAATGAATTGCAATCTTGTCTGATAGCCTTGTGATAACAACGCAAGAAACTATACAAGGTATATTGACAGGAATGTTGGGAACCGCGGAAGGATCCGCTTTTGTTTTTAATCTACCCTGTGGGACATAGGAGATAGCTCCCAGTCTCAAATTACACTTCTCCGCGCTTTGTTGATGCCTGAATACTTTTTGATCTTTTAATAATCTAATAATTTTGTATTGAAGAAGCAACAAGTCCGCTGCGGCACAAAGCTCCCGAACATTAGACCGGACCGAGCCTGAACGGCAGAATCACAAATCTGAACGACTAGGCTGACCTACCTACCCATCGAATGTAAGTCGAACCACCGCAGCAAATAATACACGGCGAGCCCTGGGTGACGTGCATCACGACGCCGAAAAATAGCATGCCCAGCACCCTCAAATTTGATGAGGGCTGTTGGGACCCGCAGGTGTTTGAGCAACCTGAACATCATTTCTCCCCAGCACCGCAGTGGGCGTCCGGACATGTTTGTTCCCCGTTATGAACGGCTTCTTGCCTCCCTTGGCAAAAACGCAAATGTTAGAATAACGGGCATATCATTTTATCCTACTTTCATTTTTAGTTGGAAGGACTTGTCGTATCATGGTGCGAGCTTGCACACTTTTAAATCCGAATTCATTGCAGTAATAGACAGAGTTGAGTATAATCTGGTCCCGTGAGGAGTGACTTCAGACATTTACCATCTAGCTAAGAGCTGGCATCGCTCATACTAAGACAATACGGACTGAAACAGCTCCATTCTTTGTGTGCGGCACAATCAAGTCATGGTCATACTTGATGTCCTCTATCGTTGTTTCATAGAGACGCGCCCTCGGTAGAACACGGAATGCCATCAATGCGACCATAATATAAATTTCGCAATATGCTAAACTGCGAGCCATATCAGCATTGGGTAAAAATGCGGTATCATAGGTTACGAGGGACTCACTTCTCGCCGAGACACGAACGACTACCCTTGCCGAAAGATATCAACATCTTTTCAAGTCTGTGGTTTGGCTGGCCATTCATTAACCATCGCTCGGGCAAGAACTCGTCGGGGCTTGGGAAGAGTTCTTTATTCCAGTGGTTGATCATGGAGGTCATGCCGATAGGAGTGCCTCTAGGAATTACCCACTCGACCTCGCCATCTTGGCTTTTGTAGACTAGGTCTTCGGTACGAGCAATTCTGGCTGCCCTAGACGAGATGCCAGGAGTCATCCGTAAGGCCTCGTGTATGACCGCCCATAGGTAAGGCCGCCCTTCAAGATCAATCCATTTGAGATTCGAAGGGTCAATGTCCTGGAGGTCTTCCATCAAACGCGCATAAATGGCAGGCTGATCAAGAAGGTGGTACATGATTACCGTGAGCGTAGTCTAGGAAGCGTCAGTATAATGCGGGACGTTCACTAAAAGTAATGGCACCATACAGCGGTGGTTTCTGTTCCCGCAAGCAAGAAAACAGACCCTTCGCCGGAAAGTCGATACATAGACTTGTCGGACTCTGGCAGCGTTTTCGACTGCACAAGGTCTGCAAACACTCTTCCATTTTCCGGGTTATCCAGGGCGTCCTTGATATATCCGGGAATAATAACATTCATGTGCCTCGCGACGGCCTTGATGTCTTCGCCCATATAATCAGCCAGCCAGGGGAGAAGATCAGCAAGCTTTCTCGCAAGTGCATTATATCTCATTATATACGCGTTCCTTAGAAAAGGCTTGACCATGGTGGCAAAGTTGGGCTCCCAGCCATCTTGTGATAGGAATCCCATGGGCTCACCAAAGCAATACTGGGAAATAATGTCTGCGGTAAAGCAGTTGAAGGCTTCTTTGATGTCGAATGGCTTCTTACCAGCAGAGCGTAACATCTTGTTCACCAGGAGTTGGGCAAACTCGTGTACCTCGTCTTCGAGTTTGAGCATTTGTTGACGTGAGAAAAACCTTGACAAGGCGCTTCTCCGGATACGATGGACCTCGTGAGCGACAGTCGAGAAAGCACTCACTGACACTGGACCGGCGCCTCCAGTATTGAGTTGGTGTTGCCATTTGTCGCGGACGCGGCCGCCCCCGGCGTAAATCTCGTCGGTAAAGTATGGATCAGAGCAATGAAGCTCGTGAGGGTTGATTCTGACGATTGGCCCTGCGACTTCAGTTAGACTCGACTGGCCGAAAATGTGCTTTACTCAACTCACCATAGCGCTCATGCATTCGCCTGATCTCGTGGCCATATCTTCCCATCAGCCACCATTCAAAGTATGCTTCATACAAGTAGGTCGCAGCAGCCAGTTTGGGGCCGGGAAATCGGGACAACGGGTGGAACGGTGATGCGTTATACAAAGCTGTCAGAATGCCATGTGCAACCCATACACTGATCAGGTAGAGTATGTTTTCTGGAGAGAGGAGGGCTCTGACACTGCCGACATTGAATTCAGCCATTGACTCCATATTTAGCACGAGCCAAAGGATATCTCCAGGTGTATGTATCGGTGGAGGGTTATTCGAGGAAAGAGACGTTTTTGAACGGATTTATGTATCAAATGCGCCTTGATTTGAGGGTTACTCAAAATATAAGCGGCTGAAAGAGTATCTTGTTCTTCGCTGTCCACCAGTAGGCATTCTTAAGTCACGGGCTGTCTCGCTGAATAAAGGGAGTATTATGCCCCCGTCAGTCCAAGAGCGACACACCATCAATCTGAATCATTGAGGGGTTAGGCAGCCATGCATAGTTATCATCCAGCCTTGTTTTCGGAGCAAAGACGGGATTGTTACAGTTTCCTTTTTGCGATCTCTGAGCATAACGCTAGCTGTATTGTGCAAGACATGCATTCCCAACGCGAATGATTGGGTATGGGCTGTCGAGATGGCTCAGATGACGCGCCGCATGCAGATATATGATGACGCCAAGTTCTTGCAGGATGATAGAGGCGCAGTATGACTTTCTTGATTGGTGCTCACCCATTCACGTTCGCCTCGATGTGTGTTAGTTCTATTCAGTTGAACAAAGCAATATGTGATCCTATCCCATGACTGAAACCAGGGGCCACAATTGGTAGTGAAAATGATGAGGGTAGTCTAGAATTGGCTCAGGTGGCAATCAATGATGTAACCCTTGATCTGGCATAATTGGGGCCGTCCCAACATTTCCTTTGCATGTAGATAAGCACAATGCCCATCTTAGCTGAGACATCTGCGCCCCGTACCAACATCACAAATGGATATGGAAAAGAATTCCTATAATATTACCAAGGTTGGAAGATATCAGATCACTAGTAGTCAGAGTTTATACGGCCCGCACTTGTGTCGCTAGACCGTTGTAAACCATTTTAAAACTCCATTGTCAATCATGCTGATTGCATGCACATATTCCTGGTAACACCAAGTCTCTCCCTTCACCGTGCAAACACCATCCATATTGGGGACTTATCAATGTTCATCTTTGCCTGCGAAGGGGACCAAGTTTTCGACCATAGCGCATACCATGGCACTGCGAACGTTTCCGTAGGTGAACTTCATTCTAGAATCCCCCTGCCTTCAAAAAGTCCTTGCAATCTTCGAAGACACCACAAAGCGCAGGGTTTGGGCGTACGCGGCTCCGCTATGATAATCGAGGTAGCGAAAAAATACAGGAATCCCTTTAGGATCCATGGATCGGTAATAATCCAGATACGAAGCTCACAGCTTTGTATTCCGGTAATCACGAGAACAACTGAGACAGATCCATTTAGGGTCAACAACATGAATATCAACTACTTAGAATAATGTAGGATATTTAAACGCCTGTAGATGCACCTTTTCCATGACGCCTTGCATTTCGCTCACCAGGCGATCTTGGCCAAGAACGAGCCCGGGAACTTCCTCACGATAAGCTTCCTAATCTCATCCACACACAAAATCCCAAGGCCTAGAGGGATCGGGATGAACCAAAACTCAATCGGCACCGAAGCGGTTCCGAAAAGCTTCTGAATCCCCGGCACCTCGGTAACAAAGACGGCAATGACCAAGCTGATAAGCATGCTGAGAAGCAACCAAGGGTTCTGCTTCTCCTTCGTAAACGGGTTGGACTGGAAGATACTCAACCTCCGGTTCCGCACAGCGAGGATATTTCCCCACTGCAAGAAGACAAGAGTGACGAAGTAGACACATTGTCCAGTGTTGTTGAACTGCACTAGCTGATCCTCGGTGTAGCCGTGATATCCCGGTTTATAGCCCTCGAAAAGCAAGAACAGTTCGCTCACGGGCATCTTAGCATACTTCCACATGTAGAGAAAGAACATTGAGTGGGCAATGATTGTCTCCATGGAGCCCGTGAACAGGTACGCCTGGGTGTAGATCTTGGCGTTGATCAGATGGTCATGTTTGTGGTTGCGAGGAGGCAGCGACAATAGGTCGAACTCTTCCTTCTCCATGATGAGAGAAAGACTCAGGAAAAGATCAGTGAAGACGCAAATGATAATCATCAGGAACGCGCTCAGTGGAAGGGGCACGCCGAGGAAAACGTTGAGAATGACGGGCCAGATTTCAGACCAACTGCCTGCGGGGAGGAGGTAGGAGATGACTTTCTGAAGGTTCTGGAAGACAAGACGACCGAGGCGAATAGCATCAATAATGGAGTCGAAACGGTCAAGAAGCACCAAGTCTGCCGCTTCGATGGCAACGTCGCTGCCCGTGACGATGGCGACTCCAACGTCGGCGGCTCGCAGTGCGGGAGCATCGTTGACTCCATCGCCTGTAACAGCGACGACGTTGTCGCGAGCGCGCAGCTCGTTTACGATTCGCAGCTTTTGCTCTGGCGTCGTTCGTGCAAAGACAATTTCGTCGTAGGCGCACACGATGTCCCAGTTTTCTTGCGTCAGGCGACTCAGATTTGAGCCTTCGAGGAGCAGGCTTCGCTTGATCAGAGGAGCTCGTTCCCTCTTCCTCTTGGACTTTGGTTTTTCGCTGAGCTCGTTGTTATCAACGCCACTATAGAGACTGTCGATCGTATCGGGGTCGCTGCTGCAAGTGAAGATGCCAGTGTTGCGAGCAATCGCAGCCGCAGTCAGCGCGTAATCGCCCGTGACCATGAAGAAGCGGGTTCCAGCGCGGCGACATTGCTCAACAGTAACAGGAATCTCAGGACGATGCGGATCAATGATACCGAGCATGCCAACAATGGTGAGATTTTGAACGACGGAGTGGGTAATTTCGTCACTGAATGCGTTCGTTCCGGCGATAGCGTTGGGGGAGATGAGTTTCTCGCACAGGACAATGACTCTCTCAGCACGGCGAGAAGCTTCGTCTTGGATGTGCTGGAACTTGCTGCGGGCAGCCTGGTCAAGAGGGAGGACCGAATTAGAGTCGTAGGACCAGTATTGAGTGCAGCCAGCGAGAAGAATGTCCGGAGCACCTTTGATGATGGCACGGTATTTGCCTCTTTTATCTTCCGACTCGAAGAGTGCCAGCATCCACTTGTTTTTGGAGTTGAAAGGGATTTCGAAGACGCGGGCGTTTGTCTTCCTGAGGCTATCTCCAGAGGCACCGGATGCAGCAAACCGAAAGACGGCGCTATCAGTAGCATTGCCTTGAACTGTTCGTTTGTGGACGGGAAGATGGATCGTGGTTGGGTCAAACGATGCGTCGTTGCACAAGAGGGACGCTCGATGCATCGCTACCGCAGCATGGTTTGGCTCAATTCCCTCATGCAAATGATGGAAGTCATCGGCTGAGTCAAGACTGTGATCGACAAACGCAACAGAGTTGACAAACATCTGGTTCTGCGTGAGAGTGCCAGTCTTGTCTGAACAAATGACATTCACGCAGCCCAGTGTCTCAACAGTCGACAGTCCTTTCGGCAATACATTGACGGCCTTCATTCGACGGGCAACCATCATGAGTGTCAACGCGACAGCAACAGGCATACCCTCGGGAATGAAAGCCACGACGCAAGCCATGACGTTGACAAGCATGGCGGGGACACTCATGAAGCCAGGATGGTCGACACGCAGCCAGCCAGCCCAAGACAATAAGATGAGCAAGGCAAGCAAGATGGTCATGCATACGATGATTTTGACAAAGCGAGTGATCTCTTTCTGGATAAGGGCAGCAGAGTCTTTGACACTGGCGGTCGAGCTTGCGATACGGCCCATGACGCTTCGGGCACCGGTGAGGACGACCACACCGACACCATTGCCGTTCATGACGGTTGTACCCATCAAGGCGATATTGCGACTCTCAAGGAAGTTTCGGTCGGTCGGGTCCACGGCGCCCTCGACCTCATCCGACTCACCGGTAAGGACAGATCGATCGAAGCGGATGTCACCAGAGTGGCTGATGAGGCGGAGATCAGCTGGCACTTTGTCGCCAACCTGGAGATGAACCACGTCGCCGGCCACGAGGCTGATGGTGGGCAAGCTCTTGAGGTCTCCATCACGCTTGACCAATGCAAAAGACGGCAACAGGTCCAGGATGGCATTCATGGTCTTTGCGGTCGACCAGTCCTGGAAGGCGGAGAAGCCAGCCTGAAGGAAGATGACGATGAGGATGAGGACAGCAAGAGCCAGATTCTGCGCCGACGGGGGGCTGCTCAGGGGCTGCCAGCAGAGGAAGAATATGATGGTACCGACCCAAAGAACCGAACAGAAGCCACCGAAGATGTACTTGAGCGTTTTCTTGATGTAGTTTGTCTTGGGATGCGGCAGGGAGTTGTTTCCATCTCGCTCAAGGCGAACCGCGGCGGCACTTTCTGAAAGGCCCTCTCCAGAACTAACGTTGAGCTGTTGGCAGAGCTGCTCAACTTGGAGCTCATGGTATTGAAGCTTGGCGAAATAGTCCTCGTCGTCTTTGTTGCCGAGGCCAGTCGCGTTTTTAGCCTCTTCGATCTCGTCGTCGTTCTGCTTCGCCTCAGTCACCTGGTAGGACAACGTTCGGTATTCGATCTGGACGCCCGAGTACGGCGAGGTAGGCTGGATGCGGCTGCGAGAGCTAGAACGCGATCGGGTGCGACGGCGAGAAAGCGAGCGGGTGCGAGAGCGTCCATAGTATGCGTCCGCGTCATTGGACGCGCCATCCCTGCCGAGACCGCTCTGGAAGGTGATGCGAGGATTATTCGCAGCTTCCAGATCGGCCTCGTCGAGTTGGATGTCGGGGTCTGACATGTTGATTGCTGTTGCGGCGGTGTGTCTGATGCAAGGTTGCAGAGAGGAGGGTGGCAGGAAGGAATAGAATGCACAAGGATGGATGTTACAGAGGCAAGATCGGCAGTTGTCAGAGTGAGAAAGGTTTCAGTATGAATTTGCACTGGCACCTAAGTATGCAACTCGCGGTTCTGCTCCCTTTCCTCACCGGTATCCAGGAGGCCTCTCCCCTCAAATACCCAGGCAGCGCAGCGCCATGGAAAATGCCTCATAGACCTGCTGGCCTCGGCTTGCAGCGCAATGGAATACGGTGTAGCCAGTGCCGGTGCTATACAGAGCGGTACGAGCCACCCGCCAGCAAGAGGTTGTGTGGGTGAGGTCCCGGCCGGGTAGCGGTCAGCGCAACTACCTGTCCCTCAGATTGTAGGGCCTAGGCCCGGCCATCGGTTGGTCTGCTAGCCCTTGTATGCGGAGATGACGAATAGCTCATAGCTAACTAGATGCGGATGTCTGCGTTTCTGTCATCTCGAACTCGGCCCCTGGTGCTGAGGACTTGGGGTTGGCGCGGCATGCCGGATCTGGACGAGGTACTCGATACCGGGGAGATGGGGCATACGTAATGTGCGGGGAGGTCATGGGCTCTGAGAAGCTTTCCAGGTGGTCCTTTGACGTCTTTGACGAAGATGGACAAGCTCGCCGGTTGGCGATTGGGGCGTCTTTTTCAGTGGGGAGGTGAGGCACTTTTGGAGTACGCTGGCGTGTGTGAGAGGAGACGGGCGGAGGAGAAAGAAAGACGGAGAAAAAGAGACGGACAATTGCAAACGAAGCCATCTCGTTTGTTTCGTCTCATGGGCTCTACGTCACATCAAGAATTGCAGATGGGATCACGGTTCCTGGATTGACGTCCTCGACGTGGGTGTACCCGTCTTGGCATTTCTTGGCACTGTCTTAGCATTTCTCTTCCCATTCCTGATTCGGCAGTGGCAGTGCTCGCCGCGATTGAGCTCCTTGATTGGCCGACCCCCTGGTGTCGTCACTTCGTGTAAGTTGGGGTTAGGGCATCCAGTTTGGCAATTGCCGTTAGTATGCCACGCTGCGTCGGACAAAATCCCTCATAGAAGCCAATAAGGGGACGGAACGCGAGAAATCAGGATTTACGACCAGAAATGAGGGGGGTTCTTACCGACTGACTGTTTGCATCCGAGCCCCGATGGTCTAGATCCACCTTGACTGCGTTACGCATCCTCCACTCTCCATTAAGCTATTTCTCATCTCATTATGAGCGATTACTCGAATACTTTTCTCAATGCCATGACTCTGAAGGTTAGGGCCTACTCAGCCAGAAAATCAGGGCTACAGGGTATCCTCGCCGGCTTGCTTCGGTTCCAAGTCCAGACACCCCGTGTTGACGCAGTGGAAGTTGTGACTTGTCACCGGGGCTGCTTGGTAGTGAAAGCCTCACCATCGTATTTACGCCAATGCCAATGGTTTTATTCCATTATGTACAAGAAACTCTCCTCCGCGCCCCAGCTCGGCATACTGCGAAGAGTTAGACGCAATCTGACATCAGCCCCCAATGTCCTGCCCGCCGCACTTTCGACAAGCGGTGTGTTCCATGTTGTCCATCGCCGTTAATCATGCTATCGTGTAGCGCTTGCAGAGGATGCTGGGGGAGGCTGCACTCGAAACTTTGCGCGACTGCATCACATCGTCAGTCGAAACGCCAGCAACGTCCACGTTCTTCGCACAATCTGGGCACAGCATACCATAGAGGACAAGTACGAGCCCGCCGCTCAAGCCATGGGTCGATGCACTCCGGGTGAAACATGTGGCCGCAGAGTAATAGGCGCAGCAAAACGCCATCAATAAAATCTTCGGTGCAAATAGAACATTCAGACTGGTCGCCGTATCCTGACTCTGGCTGTTTCCGGGTTGGTTTTGAGTGCCGTATGAAGACGGGCTTTGGAATCTGTACCCCGCCGTCACTTGGCTCGTGTTCAGATGTCTTGTTCTTCGCCTTCAATGTATGAGCATCTTCTAAATGGCTTGGCTGGGGATGATAGACGACTAGTGGGATATAGTGTGCTGTGTTCCGACCTAGGCCGCCCGTGGTGTTGACGTTGGTGTTGATGTTCGCAGGGTGGTGCCTTTCCCGTTGACGGATGCTCAGGAGTGAACCTGGTCTAGCGACATATGCTAAACCGCCGATGACAAGTACAAAAACAATTACCAAAATGACAGATACCGTGGTTCGTATGCTGTCTTGATTTGATGACGTTGCTTGGCTATCAGCCATATTTTGCGACGAGCTCGAAATTATTGGGGACCAGGAGATGCTAGAGGCAGGATTATAACCGTCCCCCAGATTGGAAAATCAATCCATGACATGGTTTCAATGATTGGGCTTGAGATCCAGCGGTGTGAAGTCACTATGACATGCTTGTGCTGTTGTTTGGAAGCTGTTGTTCAGCAGCGGGCGTTTCAAAGTGCTTGATACTACCGCCTTGAGAGTGTTGGCCACGCCCTCTCATGTGCAATTGCGGCCAGGTTTCTATTGTGTACTGGAGACTTGCTTTGGTCGCTACGAGATCAGGTGGATGAGTGATTTATGGCCATCGACGGCGGGTTGAACGACCACGTCGCCCGAACTTGCAGAATACGCATGAGGATAGGTATTCAGTACAATGCGCAATGTCTCTCTTCTGTTGATCAATGTCTTAATCCGCCCTGCTTCTCCGGCCCGCCTCCAGCCCTCCTCCAGCCCTAGCAAGTCATGCGACATGACTATGCAGCTAGACGAGGGAGTGTATATTTTATGATGGTAATAAGAAAGCAAAGAGGCTGGTCTGGACCTTTGCGATAATTTACCAACGTAAACGCGGTCAATTTCGTTGGGTGAAGCTGCGAGACATCAAAAGTTCCCTGCTGACTCCGCTCGTCCATCGGAACTTGCACATGACACGGTTGCCGAGGCATGCTGGCATACGAGGGATTTAGAAGCGCACGAGACAAGCCGTGAATTCCGTTGCGTTATCGATTCCGAAGCCTTGTATCTTCTTAACTGACTTACAGCAAAGAATAAGGATGTCTAGTTTACGGAAGAGATCTGTCTCCCCGCTCAAGACCATGTCCTGGTGGGTCCGATGGAGGCCGCCCATCAGGGGGTGTGAGCGCGAAAAGAGCGCGAAAAGAGCAAAGCCCAAGACAAAATCGGCTTTGGTGACGTCGTCTGCGTATCTAGCGCGACGTCGGACCTTTTGCACTCCTTTCCTGGCTTGGCTTGGATGTGAAAAGTAGCTCCCGCCGGTAATTAAGGGATGGAGCCAACTGAGTCTTTTTTGGTCTGAACCAATGGCCTTTGTGCGACTGATTCTCTCCCGTAGCCCTGTACCCGTCAGCTTGGGCTTGAGCTTGAGCTTGAGGCGTCGCAAGATCCCTGTTCGAACGAAATATCGCTTGTCCTGCGGGCGCTCTGGACGCTCTAGACACTGGTGCATTCGCTTGCTACAGCTCACTCATCTCCTGACGGGTAATGGATCTGGCCATGATGTCCATTGGACATTGGAAATTGGCTGGGCCTGTTCCACAGAGACCAGAAAGAGAGAAACTGCATAAAAAAAGAGACATTGTTTTAGCCCTACAGACAATAGCGTGAACGATTCCCCAGGATTAACGGGGTTAAACCCTCATTAGCCTCTCCTAAAAATAAACAATGTCGCGTCTGTCAATTCTCCGCATCCTTATTTGCTATTGAGCTCTGTTCCTCGCATTTCACACACCTCACTTCCCTGTCCACCACCCACCAACTAAACCCTTTATCCTGTGGCACCATATCCCTTCTCCATCGAATCAAGTCCCCGCATTGACTGGCATTCCAGATGTCCGGCAACTCTAAAATCTTCCATGAGAACTCTCTGCCTATGGTGACAATTGTGCGGAAGATGTCTCGATGAATGTTATCAGTCGTCTGAGCCGTTTTCAACTCGTCTGGAATCCTGAGTGTCCAAGAGAACGAGTCTTCTTTGCCTGGGTCCACCGTTGCTGAATGGTCGGCGGAAGGGTAGGCCTGCTTCACGTGAAACCCGGGACTCAAGCCCAGTACGGTGAAGTGCAGCGGATCTTCGCCTTTGTTCGCAACTATGAGCTTGAACTGTTGGTGTTCGTGGAATGTCTCTTTGCCGTTTATATTCGGCCCGGGATCCCAGGTTAAATCGAATGGCTTCTTTGCGTTTGAGGCTTGCTCAGAAAGATCAAGTATCTGTCCGAAACGGGTCAGATGTGATAGGGCGATGGCTGCGATGTCCTCGACATTGTCACCGCTGAGATTTAAGCCACGCACAGCGCTTTTGTACCCGATCAAGGACTGAGGACCGAAGATATCAATGCTGCCGTCTCCCTTGCCCTTGGCTAGTCTCAGTGAGTCGGGATCTGGCCGGCCGACTTCGTGATTCCTGACCTTGATCGACCCGACAATGCGCTTCTGGAGGGACTCATATAGGGCCGCCTGGAACTCACTCCCGAGACTTGCGTCAACAAGAATCTGAAGAGCGTCCTTACCCAAACTCCACCGGGATGGAACGACCTCACAAACAGATTTTTGTAGTATCTGTAAAACGTGAGGGGGCACCGTTGCGCTGCAATTGTCCTCCCCCACCTTATCTATTTGGAAGGTCGCCTCTGAAGCTGGCGCGATAGTCGTGAACTCGCATCCTTCATGAATACCATGGACCTTTCCGATTGGGAGAGAAACTTCATCCTTGTCGACTTTCACAACAAGGCGTGTAGGAAAGAACGGTTCTTGACTTCCTAAGAAAAGAAGTCTGTCTCGACCAAACACCCTTGGAGTCTGGTCATTCCCCGTAAGTTGCTGCGCTATGTGGTCGCGAAGGGCGCGGTATGTCAGATTAACTTCACTCTGCTTGCTCCGTTTCACGGGCTTCAAAGACTCCAGTAGTCCACAAGTGAATTCCCCGCCCGCTTTCCCATTGATAATGGTCTCGAAAGCCTTCTCATCACCTTTGCAGGCCGCCATCAACGTGAACCCTTCCGGGTTGATGGACCAGGATACATCCAACTCGCCATCGCGGCTATTCGACATGACAGGAGTCTCAATAGTAGGATCTCCATCGATAGGAAGGTTGGGAACCGTGGCCAAGCCTTCTGGAGATCTCCAACGGCCACCCGAATCGCCTGATCGCCATCCGCCCCCGGCGTAGCAACTGTCGATAATGACGACGATCTGAATTTTCTTTTCATTCAAATTCTTCAACCATTGATTGATTTCCCATCCCCGCACTGCACGCTGCTCGCGGAAGTAGTCTACTGTAAGAAGACAAGGGTCATGTTGGGTCTCGCTGGGTGACCCTGACACCTTAGGAAGTCGTGCGCCGTGACCTGAGAACTGGAAGAAGAAGAAATCGCCAGGGCTCGCCACTTCCTCGACTTTTTCGAACTCCTTCTTGATATTGGCAAATGTCGGCCAACATTTCAGGGGCTCTGATGGTTCCGTACGGTTCTGGTCGACAGACGAGGTAAGAACGGAAGGAGTCATTACTTGAAATCTTTGTGCTGTGTCTTCTCGAAGGAAACGCTCGATGTTTCTCACATCATTGACACATCCTTGAAGATTTGTCGATGGGAATGCGCTTGCCTTGCGCATTCTTTCTTTCGCCGCTCAAGTACAGGTCGATACCAACGAGCAGTGAAAATAGTTTTGGAGGGTTTCTGGCTGGCATGATGGACTGGAGAAGGTTGAAGAGGAATGCCGACCCAAACGTCGTTTCCTCGCTCTGGAGACTCGTCTGTCACGACAACAGTGGATTTTTCTGTTCAATAAAGCGGAGGAGAGTGAATGACCCAGGTTATCCAGCCAGTAAAAGGGAACATTTTCTACTCTTAATGTGTGGTTCGCGTCACCAGGCGTCTGGTGAGGCGCTCTTTTGCCTCGCGTCCGGACTTGCAGGCAGCGGCCTGTTGAAGACAGCCCAATTTAATGGCTGACCACCCTCTCGCACCGCTCAGCGAGAACTAATCTACCGGTCTGAAATGGCGTCTGGCAGATATTCCCGCCACTCCGGCCACCTTGCCAACACAATTGCACATCTCATGGGGGCAAACTGCGAAGCCAGTGGCTATAGGCTTTCTGAAGTCGGCATTAGACGGGGAGAGGGGATTCGTGGGCCAACCACCGAATCAACTCCCATTTCGGCACTGTAAGCTCGCTCAGAGGCCGACAAGATGATTCTCAGTATGAATATCACTAGCGACTTATAAAAGTACGTCAACAATGTATCATGTATACAAAATCCCTCGCAGTGGCAAGTCATAAACGCTCATGAAATTGAGGACATCAGCGCTGAAACTCAAGCAAGAGTCCCGCCCGCAACATGACGCTCGTCACTCCGCTGCACCAATGAGCCATTTCCGTTGGCCTTGCCAAGAAAGGAGCTATCACGGTAGTGAAGTGGCACTGTCGCACCATCGATTGTCTCGGCTGGACTTGCTAAGGTGGCTGAAGGTCACATCGAGGAAGCGCCGAGGAGTGTCGCTGATTGGAGACATGATGGGTCGGGTAGGCATTACGTGGAGGAATGCGGGAGCTCCCTGCGTCGGTTTGGTCTGATATTGGCCAGATACGCGAGGTAGCATAGGCTAAGAAAAGACAAAAGCAAAACAAGCCTGACCGGTGTGATGGACTCGGATGGAGTTGCATGCAGGAGAAGGCGACCAGGCTAAATATGCGGGATGCGCCAAGTCGTCGCAACCCAATGTGACAGCGTTAACGTAGATTGGTGAGAGTGTGATAGCTTGACATGACAGAGTGGTCAGAAGCTTGCGCGGGGGCAGTATAGGAGGCAAATGTCTCATGCAGCTCTCAAGCATGACCCCTCACCGCAACCAAGGGGATCACCCAGCGAAGACTGGGCGTTATTTGCCAAGCAACGAGGCGTCATGTGGCTAGCTGAGGGCTGTGGTGGCCGCAATCAATGGGTCATGAACGGGATGCCTCGTTATCCCACGGTTATACGGTTTCATCATTGAGCACGCTCCCGCCCTCTGCAAAAAGAATGCCGGCACACGTAGCCATGTATAAGACAACTCAGTACAAGGTATGTCTCCACAGCCTCCTCGAGAGTCATCGCCAGCGGATAAGATCCTGAAGCTGCATCGAGGCATTTGTACCGCATCGCAGCATGGATATGCAGGCTGATGTGACGCGTCATTCGGCGCAAATCGCCTTCGGGTTGGACTATGGCTTACGGGGTCCTGTCTGCAGTCGGGCGTCAAGCACTGGGGTTTCCTCAGCGAATAAAACACAAAACAGATAGCAGTTGCGAGAGTGAGGCGTTGTGCCCGCTCAATCAGAGAAAAGTGCATTGCATCAAGCTGTGTGCGTGTGATCAGGCGACCGGCAGTTCTCACCGACACGGGTGAAATAGAAGATATCACATCTAGCTAGGCGCTTACTAGATTGCGCCATTGGATGCATATTTCTAAACGCTTCAGCTCTTGAATGATGCGTCATTTGAAGCTGCAGATGACTCTTAACCCAATATTGCACCCCCTTGACTCTCGGTACCCCATAATCGCGTACGGAATTGAAGGCTTAGATGTTCCCTTTTACTCAACCTTGGAAGGAATTTGGCACTGGACAACTTAGGCATATTACTTATTTCAATGCACATCAAGTCACCCATTCTTTTGCCATCGCATAAGCGTTTTAGCGACACAATCTATTCATAGACGCATTCTCATACTCACCATGTCACCAACAGACGAAGTTGTCGACCAAACCCAAGGGAACGACCCGTGTCGAGCCCTCCTGCAGAAAGACCCCAGTGACCCAATTGCCCCCATCGACAAACTCGATGCCAAGTTCAGACACCCGAATGCCGCAGAGGACGGCAACGAAGCGATTAGAGTGACCCGCAAGCTGCTCGACGCCATGTCGGAGAACGATCCAGAACGCATGGGCATAATGCGGAACCTCGGGACTAAACTTAGTGAGATTTACGACCGCACGGGTAAATTGAAAGACTTGCAAGATTCCATTGACTTGGCTCGCACGGTTCTTGAGTCGATTCCCGAAAGTGACCTCGGCTGGCTTTCTACACAGAACAACCTTGCGGTTCGACTCTTGAAAAGATACGTGCGTCTTGAAAATGAGGAGGATCTAGAAGCCTCCCTCGCGACAGCTGACCGAGTTGCCGCGGCTACCCCAGAAGACGATCCAGCTTGGGTATCCAGGCACGCCAACCTCTCCGTCCAACTCGGTCACCAGTACTATCAAACTGGAAGATTAGAAGATCTCGAAAAAGCCATCAATGTTGCGCAGAGATTCGCGAAGTCCATCCCGAAGGACCACACTGACAGAGCCCTCTGTCTGCGCGGCCTTGGGATCCGGCTCAACGATAGATACTTGCGTACTGGGAAGCTAGATGATCTCAACGAAGCGATTCGTGTGGGCCGAGAGGCCGAGAGCATTACGCCAAAGGACGAAGGGGATCTACCCACACTATGGAGCAACCTTGGAATGTGTCTTGGCAATAGATACTCCCGAACCGGCCTGATGGAAGATCTTGACAATGCCATTGGAATAATTCGCCAGGCCATCGACAAACTCCAGGCGATGACGGCGAACTCCGAGGCTCATTTCGATATGGCTGGACTCGAGAATAACCTCGGACTCCTGCTCGGCAAGAAGTATGCGCGAACAAAAACAAAGGAGATTCTCGACGAAGCTATCTCTGCGGCTCAGAAGTCAGTACAGGCGGTCGCAGAAAACCACATCGGGCGGCCACTCCTATTGAACAATCTCGGCCTGCGGCTCGGCGAAAGGTTCTTGTTAGAGAACAGAGTACAGGACCTTGATGAAGCTGTCAAATTGTCTCGCCAGGCCGTGGAGGCAACGAGAGACCACCCTTACCGCGCTGGATGGTTCGTAAACCATCGCAACTTGCTGGATGAGAGATACGCTCACACTCAATTGGAACTTGACCGTGAGAAAGCTATTCAAGTATCACGCGACGCCATGAATGCCACATCATTGGACGACCCTGCTCGATGTGCACTATTGAAGGGCTTCGGAGACCAGCTTCTCAACAGATATCGGCAGGGTAAAAAAGCCGAAGACTTTTCCGAGGCGATGGAATGCTTTCGAACTGCCCTGCATCAGGAGACGTCTCCTATTAGTGACCGCATAGCGGCTGGTCGCCAACTCCTCCTATCTCCAACAACGATGGAGGAAAGCCCCAGTCTAGACATAGACAAGGCTGCTGAGGCTACTATCAATCTAGTTACCTTTCTTGCTCCCAAGTCTTTGCAAATCACGGACAAGCAATTTCTCCTTTGGCAGGTCGTTGGATTCGCTTCAGATGCGGCGGCTGTTGCGCTGGCTGTTGGCAAGGGGCCTATCGAGGCGATAGCGCGCCTTGAAAAGGGCCGTGGTATCCTCGCAAGCTCTCTTCAAGATCTACGCACAGATCTCTCCCTGCTGAAGCAGAAGCATCCAGAGTTGGAACGTTCCTTCATCGACATCCGAGATACACTGGACGGATCGTACCAGACTGATCTCCTAGCTCGCGTCACGGACGAGTCCACCCAAGTCTTCCAGACCAAGGTCGACGAACGCCATGAAGCCGACAAGCAAATGTTGCTTCTCCTCGAGGATATTCGTGCCAAAGCTGGCTTCGAGCGGTTCCTCCTCCCGTTATCTGAAGCCGAGATGCGAAAGGCAGCATCACAAGGGCCAATCATCATCATTAATATCAGCATTTTTCGATGCGATGCTTTGATCATCGAGGAGTCTGACATAAAGGCGGTTCCGTTAGTCCGCCTTGCTCGCCAAGATGTCTTGAATCGGAGCTCGCGTCCGCGGTCTCTTGAAACACTTGCCTGGCTCTGGGATGACATAGTAAATCCGGTGTTCGAGGCCCTGGGGCTCAACAAGTCTCCTTCTGAAGATTCCTTGAAGCACATCTGGTGGATTCCCACAGGGCCACTCGTCGGCTTTCCGCTTCACGCAGCAGGATACCACCTGGAGCCCGGCTTCAATACAGCACTTGACAGAGCCATCTCATCGTATAGTTCGACCATCAAGACAATTGTACACAGTCGTGAACAGCCCATACAGGAGATGCCAGCCACAGGACGCGGCCAAGCTGTTGTCATTGCCATGCCTCAAACCCCCGGCCAGAATCCACTTTCCAACGCCGAAGACGAGAGGAAAGAGGTGCACCGGATTTGCATAGAGATGGGACTACATTCAGTTCCACTCCAACCCTTCAGGGATGAAGTCTTATCGGCGTTGCAAGATTGCAAGGTGTTCCATTTCGCTGGACACGGCAATAGCTGCCAGGGAGACCCGTTGCAGAGCCATCTCCCACTCCAAGACTGGGAAGAAAGTCCCCTAACTGTGGAGAGGATGATGGGGACAAACGTCGGTTCCAGGTCGCCGTTACTTGCCTATCTCTCAGCCTGCCGGACAGGCCAGATACGGCACGAGGCATCAGTGGACGAAAGTATCCATCTCATGACTGCTTTCCAACTAGCAGGATTCCGACATGTAGTGGGCACCCTTTGGGAGGTCGATGACGAGCAATGTGTGTCCATTGCCAAATCGATGTACGAGTTTCTACAGAAGAATGGCATACGTGACTCGTCTGTGAGTAGCGGGCTTCACCAAGCTCTCAGGGAGAGTCGGGATGAGTGGGTGAAAAGTGTCCAACATCGCCGAAGCAGCAACGTAGAGGATGGCAGGGACATCCAGGGGTTGGCAGGAAGTGAAGCCCTGGATATACCGCCTTGGGTTCCATATGTACATTACGGAGTTTGAATTTTGTCTTCTTTAGTTATTGACTCTGCTCTATGGTGGTATTCTTTACAGCCTCTGTGCCTAGTTTTTCGAATAAAGCTGAGATGTACAAATCAATGTCCCTAGCTCGCCGGAACCCGATCAGTAGGCCTAGCGAGTACTTGTTGATTCACCCCTCGGCGACTTCGTCATATGAACGAATGACCCTATGCCTCGATCTGTCATCCATGAGAATCCCGGCAGTATGAATCAGACAGTTTTGTAGCTCGGGATGCTGACAATCACTAGGAGTGGGCCTGAATTCCTGTTCCAATCATAAATGGATCAGTACTTGATGTTTTCAGATTATATTTACATCTAGATGCGTACGACCCGAGAAGACCAAGATATTGCCGCATTCGCGTACGAGAAATATTACTCTATATCAAACAAGGTATAATTTAACAGGAACGGAAGAGTCCGTTACTAAAAGTTGCATATCTTTATGCTGATGCCTTGTACTTTTGACCCATACTCTCTCCAATATCAACGCCAAACCGGGCGTGATCTGTTTTAACTGTCGATGCTTCACCATCAGCTGTCATCCACCATCCAAGGCTAAACACGCGCCGGTCGAATACTCGCTTCAGCTGCTGATCACTCATTAACTCTGCGCCATGAGGAATGATGCCGGTCCTGCGATCGCAGAGTTGTGAGCCAGCGAGGAACGCCATCGTGCTCGCAATACTGCATGGGTCACGCGGGAGCGTGCCTCGGAGCTTGACGAGGGAGTAGCCCAGAAAGCCAAAGACTGTCATTACGGCTAACAGAACTTGGAGGATGAGCCTCGATGTTCGATGAATGGCTAGGCGAGTAATGATCCTGGATACTATTCCACTAACTTCCGTGTTGGCCGCGGATGGAACTGGAGACAAGGTGCCGTTGGCAGCGCTGACGAGGTTGATATGGGTTGCATTGCTCCCCGCCCGGAAATTGAGATCTATGACATGCCTCATGTACTCGCTGTATTCTCTCGTCACAGCGCTGATCAATTTCTCGGCGTTCTCAGGACCTTCGAGTTCTTCCTCTCGTTGTCCATTGGGGCCGTAGAGGAGGTGGTTGAAGAAGGCGTCATATGTCCACTTCGCGTCATGGTCGTCGTGATCAAAGGGAAAGAACTGACCCTCCATAAACCCCCCCAGTCTAGGACGAAACGTGTGCGCATTATTCGTACCGTTTCGCAAACTCTGGGCCTTCTCGGGTGATAATCTTGGTGGTTGACCACTGCTAATCTCCCCCAAGATTGGGTCGCCATTGTACGTGATGGTCAATGGAATTTCATTCACTTCTTGAGAGCAGAGCAGTGCAGTGATATTTGCGTGTATAGTGATGTTGTCCGAAGGGGAGCTTTTGCTACTGTTAAGCGACCCGTACAGGATGCCGATTGAAGGGCATGCCGTGCTGACCTCGCCTGCAGTTGAATCAAGCAAGTCGAAGTAGCGGCCCACTCGGTATAGACCAGGGATGTACGTCGCCATCCCTATCTCCATGGCGTAAGAAAGGCTCGCCGTTCCGCTGATCCATGAACTTGAACACTCAGGCGGAATAACGGGGCTGGCCGCGATACTACTTGAAACGTTGATGTCTTGTTGAGGAACCACTGTACAATTCAGCACAGGCTGAAGGGCCATGATCTCGTAAGTATAATTGGTGCCATGCGGTGCACCATCGGATAGTGATGGCAAAGATATCCTGGGAACCACGACGTCTTTCCAGATTCCTGGCGGGGTGTTGGTACCGTTCCTTCGTATGCTGTTCAACCTGATGGCGGCCCCTCCGTCATCGAGAGGGTTATTCAGCCAACTAGAATCCCAGTGATTTATTATTGCTGTTGAAGCCTGCTCTGCGCTCATAGGGTCCGTCACAACCCATAAGCCAGACACTATAATTGTAAGAGAACTGGCAATGAGTGATGACAAGTGAGAAGCCGCAGGGCCGTAATGGCGATTGCGTAAAGATTTAACCAGAATGAGGAATGGTGATACCGAAAGAAGATGAAAGAGGATGCTCTGATCTGCCCGAGCATTTCCCGATCGTAGGCTGCTATAAGGTGCAAATGCAGTAATGGTGGAGTCGAGACTGTCGATCATGGTTGCAATAGCAAACACTAACAGAGTGGAAGCAATTCGAACGATATAGGAATTGGCAGTCATGTCGCTGTCGTTCATGTTGACTAGGCCGTGCCTTTGGTCTGAGAGACGTTGGAGAAGCCCAAGTACGACAACGGCGACGATAGGGAGCGTAAAAACAGTGATAACCATGGGTAGGCGAGCGGCCAGAGGCGACCAGGGTCCAGTCTCCTTCTCTTTCTTCTCCGCAGGCGACTTGGTTTCTGACTGAATACCATCTGTCACTTTGACGAGAAACCCTCCGGTAGTATCTCTTCCAGCAGAGAATCGCATCCCATCCAGCCTGAGTCTCAACTCAGTTTCTTTGCAATGCCCTGTACCCCTAAGGACCCCTTTCAAGGACGGACTACTGGCGAGTATGGCCGCATGTCCAGCAATAGAACCACACATGGCAGGGGACCAGGGACTGCTTTCAGCTTGAAACATAAACAATAGAAGCAGACAAATCACTGCTAACAAGCAGAATCCATCCACCATTGCCCAAAGTGCAAAAGGTCTTGCGTAGAGCCTGTCCTCGCTGACCAGGCCCTTCGCGAATCCCTCGCTTCCATTGGACACCAGTAGCGACTGTCGGGCAAACTCCGTGGATATGCCCCCCAATACTGAGACGAATGTGTCCTTGAGTACTGAGGGCTGGTGGAAGATATCGAGGTCGTCTGGGTACCCCAGCTTCGCAAACATGAGTTGGAAGAGCGGACTGCTAGGTGGTGTACGGCTTTGCGTGGCACTTTCAGTAAGTAGCTTGATATCGACGACAAGCGAAGTCGACGCCCCGAGGTTGGTCAAGAGCATTTCCGTTAGAGCGATGGATGAAAGATTGTGCAATCTTTTTGTCTCCCCATCGAAGGCGCCGTCTGGAAAGCCAACCTTGCCAGTGAACGGGTCAAGCGTAGCGTTCTCTGACAGAATTCCATACCCTATCTTGCAGATGATAGAGGAATATTTGACAGGGTCCGTTGGGATCTCACTGACACCACCAATTGTGTTGTTCAGGGTCTGCATCTCGTGCTTAGTAACTGTGATGGCGTAGCGGATGTCGTAGGGCTCATAGTCCTCAGGGAAAAATCTCCGGTGATCCCAGTTAATGTCCTTGTCGGATTTATCATGACCAGAGGAACAGTTTAACCGGAACAACGTGTAGGTTCGGGGGACTTTTGGACAGCCAACCTGTGACGCGTCCGGGTCGTTGCCTTTCTCAAAACATGGCTCGACGACACCTCCATCTGCTGAACATGTTGCGGACTCGAAGTCGAACTTGGAGGAGCCGGAAGCTGGGTCTGAGATCGACAGAGTAGCGTCTTCACAACTAATGCGTGGAACAAACATGTCCACAGGAGCTTCCAGAGAACTGGCATTTGCTTCTACGGCTGGCGGACGAAAACTCTGCGTCACCAAGCCGTTCTGGGGATTCCAATGAGTATTGTTTGTTGCGCCTTCGTTTAGCTTCGCTAGATACGCCCAAACGGACGCGTCTGAACCGCCAGTGAAGGCGCCATAGCCTCTTTTGTAGCGCCAGCTCGAGTCATAGCAGCATCTTTTGTTGTTTCCTCTTGCGCTATAGTCGAGAGACGCCCAGGCGTCTGCCGCATCAAACTTATTCTCATACTGAATTGCGAAGGTTTCTGCGTGTAGAGATGGTGCAACAACAAATAAAGTAGTTGACACAAGAATGATGAGCTTGAGAAGAAAAAAAGAGGAAATAGTCGCGGCAACAGCGTAGTGGCCATTTTGTATGGCGCGTATCATGCTAGTGCCTTGGAAGGGAGTTATGTAGTCGAGGAGGAGGGACTTGTCCGCTGGAACTGGCCGAGCCCATAACTCGCGCCAGGGTTGTAATGACTTGTAATAGTAGTCGACACGCCTCCAGAAACTCAGGATGACAACGAGGATTGCGGTAGGGCCGTACGTCCATGAGTAGGAGCTTGAGGATATGGTGAGTGCCAGACCATCTCGAGATGCAATAAGTCGGTCCAAAGTAATGAGAGACGCGGCACATGTAAGGAAGAGTAGACAGAACAAGACCAATGCTGCATTACTTAGCCAGAAAGACCTTCGTGCGGGGGAAGCAGGCTGAGGATCACCCTGCTGGGTTGTTGAAGAAGAGTCCATATCGTCGTACATTGATGTAGCTTTCCAGTTGTTGCAACTGGCATGTGGGAGCGGAATGCTTCAAGGCAAGCTTTGTTGTAAATTTTCAAGAATTAAGTACCGATAAAAGGGAGCGATTCGAACGCAAAGTAACCCGTTTACACATTCAGGCGCACCTTTCATGTCGGCGGTTAACGCGGCCGAGCCTGATTTGGAGGTTGGCCGCATGTTCTGTACGGCCTCTCGTGGATCATGGCCACGTTCATCGTGGTCCAATGCTATTTGAAGCCAAGCAGCCAACTTCAGCCACGTCTGTACCTAAAGCGCCGCATGCTGAAAATTACCCACAACTTGGCCAAAATTTGGCCTGGCTCAAATTGTTTTTAAGTTTCAATGCTCATGAACTGCCAGCAGCACCTGTTTCTTCGGACGACAGACCGCCATGATAGCCACGTGTGGATGTGTTCTGTTTCAGCCTCAGCGTCTAATCAGCCTCACCATTTCTTTAGCTGCTGAAATGCTTGTGGGGCAGCTCGGGACCTGCAGAAGTTTAAGAGACACCTAGTCTTCTATGTCGGCTCGGGTATAAGAAAGGTATTTGCTAACTGAGCTACGCTGCGGCCCGAAACTGGAGCTGGCAACTGCAGCATTGCCCCCAATGTTGGGAGTGGGTGGGTTTAAACGGGGCTGAAGGATGTCGAGTGCGAGGCTCAGATCCGATCACCCTCGGTTCAGGTTAAAGCGGCCACAGCTCAGACCCAGTGCTCAATACAGATTCGGAGGTGGAAAGTCGACGGGATTAACCGGAGGCAAGTGGACGCCGGCCAACGACAAGGGAAATTCGCTCAATTGGATGGATTATGGGGGGACTCCTGCGCCTCAGGAGGTGGCTGAATGGGGGCTTTGTTTCAGCTCAAGGCGGCTGTGCATGGGGCGAGGTCATTCATAACAGAGCTCTCGGTCCAGTCTGGTTGAGGACCTCGTTTTCCACCCACACAGTACACTTCTCACCCGACACAAAATCATATACCATTAAGCTTCAAGGGACATCAAAGAATGGCTAGCGAGAAAGAAAACCTCGTCCGCGTCACTGGCGATGGAGACGGTACGTATTTCTCCTCTTAATTCCGCGACCCTCCCTCTAACCATTTTATCCAGAGAGTCACAAACCAATACCCACTCAAGTCATTACTAGGGGTGATGTGAGACGTTTCGGGATTCTTATCATCTGGCAGATGTTTAACATGATAAACATGGCTGTGAGATTGGTTGATTGGAAGGGTTGGAGCCAGGAAAGCCGCTCAAACAAAGGATGGCTTATAGCAGGAACTATTCAAACAATACTTACAATCTTCGCGGTTATCGCGGATTATATAGTGTGGCTACGGACATTGAAGGAGAGATAGAACCAAGGTCAGGGCGAAAGAAGTAGGTCCCACACTCCCGAATCTCCCCGCGATTAGCAGAAAACAAGGCAAACGCCTTCTCTCCGATCTGGGATCAGCTTTGAATCAGCTTTGACGTGGCAGAATCGGCGTGAAGCGACACGGATCAGTTGTTTATTTCGAAGGATGAGGAATATTATTAATCTACCCGAATTTCTAAATGACGCTCCAGCGGTGATAAATCCAATCGGTACGATCAGAAGCAAATTTCACGCAATTTTTAGCGCTTCGTTTCTCAGGTGTAGACCCATAACGGATGCATGGCCGCGCGGCCACTGATGCAATCCTTGCGTCCCCTGAGGAGGGAGATGGGCCCTGTAGGGTACCTACTTAGGTAGGGGTGGATAAATGGACAGCCAGCCAGCAGAAGGAAGACAAGGCCAAGGCGCAGTAGTAAGGCTTCTATTGTTAATGGGACTACGATGAGGCACTCGAGCGATATTCTCTAGTAATTAAATAGGCTATTATCAACGATGGATTCTGAGATTGAATGGGAAATTCACGACTACAGATTCATACAATCTGGGAGCTGAAATAAACTTAACTTTAGGGTTAAAGATGGTCGCAGATTTGCTCCCCTAAGCGCTGAAAGCCCTGTCTAGCTCCCTAGAAGGAGGATTTCTGAAACCCAGCTCTATGATCAACAGGGGCTCAATAGGTTACTCATGTTGCTATGGTGAAACAGGAGAATTCTTGCGTGCTTGACTGATTGATCGATGGTACAGAGGAGCTATGGCCAGTATGACGCCAAGCGTTTGCGGAGATGCGGGGTGAAACCAAGGAAGCTCTTCTTCCGCTCAGCGTCCGGTTTTGTCCTGAACCTCAAGGGCGCGCACAGAGCCTAAGGTTTCATAATAGCTGCCATCTCTGGTTACCCTCTGTTTCGGAGGCCTCAATTAAGCGCAAGAGATTGGGCCGGTATCGCATTCAGGGGCCATCTTCAAACATCGGGACGTACCCCTTCCGAGCTGGGATCTTCGGGATCTACATCTCCCGGCCAGAACCTCAAATCCGACTTCTCCGGACCAGGCGTCGTCATCTTCCTCTATAAGACTGACCCTTAGGCCATCAATTGAAGGAGGAGAAGTTAAGAGCCTGGAAGACCAGACCGAGCTCTTTACCTCTGGCGTTTTTTTTATACCTGGTCATAATCACCTCCTGCTCGGCTACTCGGGGAGAGACTTTCGGCTGAAATGGACAGGGTTATTGAAACGCCCGCATAGCTAGAGATCCGCCCGTTTGATCGCCAACAGCCCAATGATATTTCATCCCTGCTTTCATCCACTGGGGTTTGGAAAATCTGGTTAGAGTATAGGGTAGGAGTAATTCATGTCGGCTAGCAAAAGTTGAACGCTCGACTCGAAAGCCCTGGTATTGTCGAATATCACTGTTTAACAATTCACGCACATTTGCAACTTGAGAGCACCCTGTTTTGACCTGTATGACATCTAGCATTGGTGTAATCAGGGTGGTCTAGTCCAAATTTCCATTCCCTTCTACGTCTCTCGCTAGCTGTGTGGGGATTGACTCGCCTCACGCTAACGTCATGCTTCACTGTAGGCGCCCAGCCTCGATATCGACAAACCGCCTTGGCCATTGGGAATGAGTGGTTTATTCTTGAATAGGCTCTAGCCGAGATGTAGAATTTTTGCTTAAATTAGCTGCAGTGAGCATCTTGTGAGCATCACTTGGCATCACGCGACCACCTACTATAATTAGACAGAATCGATATCTCCAAGTTGTGCAATGCTGCCGCCAAGTGTTTTAAGCTTTTAAAGTTGACTGTTTTATCTTTCTCGCGTGGATTTTACTGGCAGGGGGTCTCGGAGAATACGCGGAGACAGGGTGGTAGTGGTGACTACAGTGTGAGACGAAGCCCTGTTTCACCACTTCATCCCTTCCCCCGCCACCTGGTGATCCCGTCTGGTGTTTGGCAGCTGTTCTGGAATTGGGAATGACGAGGCCTATGTTTGAAATTTTGGTCGAACTGAAGAAATTTACGGGTTTGTTGTGGTGGTTCTTTTATTTTCTGGGACTTGGGTCTGGAGACGGGGTATTTTCGGCGGGCCGGGGAAGCCATGCTGGATCTCATCCAAGCTCGTGGGCACGACTCTTGGCCATTTATCTCGACCAATTGCCATGAGACGTCAAGAACTAATAATAAAGACGTTCTTGGCGTGTTGGGTTACGTTTGTGTCAAATCGATCCTCATTCTAGGCATTGGGACTATTCTTGGTGGAGCCAAGCAATACGCCGTTTTGGAAGTCTTGGCTCTTGACCAATATCCCCCAGTGACGGCCTTGGCGATAGTTTCATTGAGTTTCCAGGGCGTGTAACGTCCCTGGAGACTGTCACAGCCAAGACAACGATGCGCCCAAGGCCCATTATTCTTAGCGATCCTAAACATCGGTACGGAGTACTACGACAATGTCTATAAAGCCGTTTTGACATCCGGTGAAAACGTTTCTTCCTTCCTCTCCATCCACTTCAAGCACAATATTCACTTTGCATTTCAACCCGCTTCTTCTCTTCTCTACTCTTCGCAGGTTCGAAGATTCTTTATTTCCGGTTATTTTAACCCCTTCGTCCTCTTCACCTTCCCAACACTTTATCCTTCACGAGCCCTTCTCTCAAAATGCGTCTCACTCAAGCCGCCGCCCTCGGGCTCTCTCTGCTTTTCGCCACTGCTACCGCCGCTCCCACTCACCAACACTCTGCTCGCTTGGCCATCAAAGTCGGAAATGAAACTGAGACCCCGGCGGCTGGCGAGGAGGCTGGTGAGGCTGAAGGCGAAGAGGGCAATGAGGTTGAGACCGAGGGAGCTTTCGGGACTGCTGTTGCCCTGACCGGAGGCGATGTCAAGCAGGATGTGCTTTTCCCTCCAGGAGTAAGCCTCAGACAATGCACCTGAAATATTAACGTACTGCTGACAATTGTCTAGACGAATGGAGTCTTGGAGGTTGAGTTCCAGAACGCCGAAGGGAGAACGCTCACAGTCACTGAAAACACGACTCCGGCCCCTCCCCCAGATGGCTTTGTGGCTGCCGAGGCCGTCTCTTACAAGATCGACCTCGCTGAAGGCGCCGATAACCTCACGCTATCGAAGGTGGACTACATTCTCAACGCAGGAAGTAAGTGCCCCTCAATTTGTCTGCTAGAAACATTGTATAGTGCGAATACTAATCTCCATGATTTAGGCACTCTCGACATTAGTGGAGGCAAGATTGGTCGATTGTGCACTGAGGCAAATGCCTTCTTGATTGATTCTGCAGTTGGCGAATTGGAGTTCGAGGCAGAGGAGAATGAGCTCACTCTGTCAGTCGCCAATATTAACGGAGAATGGGCAATCTTCTTGCCCGCTGAAGCCGGTGCAGCTGATCCTGCGGCTGGGGAAGAGGCCGCAGCGACTGAGACTCCTGCGGCTGGAGAAGAGGCCACAGCGACTGAGACTCCTGCGGCTGGTGAAGAGGCCGCAGCAACTGAGACTCCCGCGGCTACGGCTACCCCTGCCGCTGGTGAAGGGGCTGAAGAGACCCCTGCCGCTGACGAGGGAGCCGAAGATACGGAGTCCACCCCCGAGTCCAGGCTCATCGATGCTATCACAGAGCTACTGAGTGGAAACCAGGCCGCCTAACTCAGAGGTAGTTAGAGGTACCGCGTGGCTTGGAAGGGAAGAAGAGCAAGGGGGGTGTTTGGTATTAGGAGCGATTGATGCATTTCAACTACGGCGGTGGTGAGCAACGTTCCCAAAAGAAAAAAAAAATATGGCTGGCGGTTGCCAAGTGCAGAAGTAGAAGTACGGCTGCTGTGATTCAGGTGAGAGCCTGTTGTTGCCCTACCAGTCACGATGTGGGTGGGGTTGTATCTAGATACTTCGTGCTCAATGTCAATAAATAGAAACCTCAGCCTGGAGAAATAGCAGTCTGGCCTTTTTGTTACATTTTTACGATTCAATTATTTAGAAAATCGTTCCGATTCATCCACTTTGCTAATCTGTACGGGGATATACGACTTGGGCGACGTCGGTAAATTTAACCATATTTAGTCGTGTTAAGGTGCAGATTCATCGCGCTGTTTGATATGCCACGCTAACCCTTGGAAGTTGAATCTGTATGGAAATAGTCTTGGACTTGGTGTCGCTGGGACGCTGGAGGTGCAGCTCGTGAAAAATGGAGCAAGCGAAGTCATGGCTTTCCGCGGCGCATTGTACTCTGGAGCTGCATGGACCGTTGTAGCTCTAGCCTTGGATCTTGCATTTGTTAGAATGCAAAAGCAAGATCGATTAATGCCATGGATGCACATGATGGCTTTCTTCGTCGCATTTCTCATGTCGCTTGCGGCAGGTCTAGTAACCTAGCTAATCGGAATCGGGTTTCGTTGGGTCACAAACCAGTTCTATACCCCGTACCACTCGTCGTTGCAGTGAGTCGATTCTGGTCGATGCTCTGGCGAGAGAGATGCTGTTGGACCCAGCGATGCCCGCTCAGCAAAATGATAAGGTGGCGGACCAGGAGCTGGATAAAGAGATGCTGGGGTCTGTCACCCGTGGTAGATTTAGCGCATAATTTCCTGTTCCTTGTCTACAGATTTCCCCTCGCACACAGCTATTGCCACAGATCTCCACTACTCCGTGGAGATGAGAGCCAGTGGGATTATTTTCGGAGTCAATTAATAAGCGCCTCAGATCCCCAATTTTGGCAGATATCCAAGAGACGGGAATGGTACAGATGAAGATCGCGACCTGATAGCGTCAGGAATATTTCAACGATCAACATGGCCGAGATAAAGGTCAGAGATAGTGATAGCAGGTCAGATAGCCTTGGTTTAACCCAAATGCGATACGATAAGAACTGTTGCAAGCTCCGAGACCCTAAAATACTCGGCTAACCACCAAAATGGAAAAGATAAGCTCTCAGTTCTCATGATTCTGTATCCGCACTCTCCAGCAAGCGGACATGTCGAGATTTAGGGACGAATCAGAACAATTGCAATAATCCTGTTACCGACATCGTCAAGCATGGCAGCTACCAATGCGACGAGATAGACAGTCCAGAGTCATCAACCCTCTGTCTCCTGGGATACTGGGCCAACGCTCGGCTGTAACATGTGTTTAAAAGCACGCGGCATCCATAAATCTATCCTTCCTGCTCGCTAGAAAGCCACAATTTTGGCATCTCGCCTGCATCATGTCTCCGACAACCATGCAAGAAGACCACCTTCCGCACACATTTGGGCTGTGGAGCGGCATCAGCGTTGGCTGGCTGACCCTTAACGTTTTCGGAGGCTTGTCGTTTATTCTGTTTGTCAGTCTTTCTGCAGGAGGTACTCCGGCTCTTCTCTATGGCTTGTAAGTTCTCTCGGGGGTCCATCTATAATCTCTACTAATTTACGAAGTATTGGCTCAACTGTTTGTGTCTTCTGCATCATCTTGGTGTTTGCGCAGTGTGCATCCAGATTCTCGACGGCCAGTAAGCCCAAGTGTCAACCAGTCTCAATAAGACCTTACGAACATAATCACAGGCGGTGCCTACCATTATGAACGCGGAGAAAGCAACACGACTGACTGGTCATGCAGTGTACCTATCGTGGAGCTTATCGGGCTCGCAACTGGCAGCGATGCATCAGCTGTTTTGTCTTGTCTGATTCTCATTATCAAGAACGGAACTTCTGCTCTGAGAAGCGACATCGCAATGAGCAGGCAAGGTTATGCCTTTTCGAGGGATGGTGGTTTGTTCTGGAACGAAAGGTCGGCTGGATACGCCACATCATCGCTTGACAAAGTTTCTGACATAAGTTAGACTTACGCGACTGTCTCCAAAGTCACACTTGCCAACCTGGTCAATCAACTTACCTTCGGCCCTAGTCACCCTCATTGGCCTTGTTTCAGTATCCCCATCGTTGATAGCATGGCATTTGCTCATACAATCCTGCAGCTATCTGTTCTCAAGTGCAGCTTTTAACGCCATCATCGGGTCTCAAGCTGTGTGCATGATTATAAGTTTTGGTAAGACAACGTCAGAGGGGTTTCATGGTTTCCCACAATACTAATTGCTTCCAGGCTCTCCGGCCTTGATCCTTCTCATCACCCGCAAGAAATCATTGCCCGTTGGTGGTAGGTATAAATATATATATTTTTTTTTAAGCTTTACTCAATATCATCAGATAGATCAAAGCCATACAGTATTCTCAAACAGTATGTATAAATATATTATGACAGAGATACTTCCATCCTGGAAGAGTTATAAATCGACCACCTCGACCATGGGCTCCTTTGGTGGAGTGTTCCTACTCCTACTTCTCCGATACGCCTCCCGCTGGGCTTCTTGCACATATGGCACCAGCCCCCCAGACCCCATGTTGCTCACGCTTGCGGGCACGCTTAGATACGTGGGAATGTCCCCGTAGAGCTCCGGGAACTGCACGAAGAAGTCCGGGCACATGGTCCAGGCGCTAATATCCCTGATGCGCTCCTCGAAGAGAGGCGACAGGTGGTATCGGCCTGTTTCCGAGTTGTGCATGTAGGTATCTCGGAAGTCGTACGGCCACATGATTTTGAAGTTGCCGCGGAAGAGATCCCAGAACATGTTTGTGCAGTATTGGTGTTGCGAGAAGACGAATCGCTCTCGTATGCCGGGCCTTGGCCTCGTTAGTGCCGTTTCTGTGCTGAATGAATAGAGGGTCTTACCAAACAAAGTAGTCGATGGCGTATGAGTGTGCTATGGCTTGTGAAGGTCTAGATGATTTGTTAACTTCATACTCGCTCCGGGGCATGGGTACTCACCTCATAAGAAACCAATGCGGGACAGAGGCATGTCTCTCCAGGGTTGGATCGCCGTGGTACGTCATCAAGATATGCATCATCCTCAAGATGGCGAGGCGCTCTATCTGGGAGCACGTCTTGAAGCAGACCTGGTCAACGCCTTGCAGCTTTCGCCAAGACTCGGTCATCCTGCCCTCCTGTTCGACGCTGTCCCATCCCTCTAAGACGGCGCGGATGGGCGTGTCCTCGCTCGTCAGGTCTTCGGCCATGATTTCTGCGCGGGACAGCCTCGTGGACCTCCCCAGCGACTCGTTTGCGGCCCGCCATTTGTTCACGGGGCTCTGGGATCCTTGTCGGCCAGGATCGGACGAGTTGCAGAAGCATTCAATTGCCGGTCTGGGGACAATGACATCGTCGACGTACGAGCCATCACCGCTCGAGACGCTGCCTGGGGGGAGATTCAGCACGCTGAGGTCGTCGATAGGATTGGCGTGATGGTCGAAGCCGCAGCCCACAGCGGGATTAGCTTGTAGTCCGCTGAGGCAGCCTACGGCCGCATTGGGCTGGATCCCGGCGAGGCCGCACATGGGGTCGTCCCAGATGGCCGAGTCAGTTGAGCCGGGGGGAATCTGCAGTGGTGGAGGATGGGATGGTAGGCCTGGATGGGATTCCGGGTAAATGACGCTCCGTGATGGTCGTGAAGGCTGCGACTGCGACTGCGACTGCGTGACGAGAGCTCCAGCACCAGACTCGGACGGGCTGCCCTCGTTAAGATGGCGATGGATGGTGCTGTCCAGAGACCGCAGAACCTGCCTCGCCTTGTCCCTCTCCTTGGTCACCTGCGACAGCTGGTCCATCAGCGACAGGATCTGGGTGTTGGCATCGCTGTGGCGGAGATGCTCCACCATGGCCTCGAGCTCAGCGATGCGGCTCTTTGTGCGTTCGCGCGCGAGCCGCTGCGCTTTGCGGTCCAGCTCGCGCTTCTTGAGGCGACGCGAGTCGGTGCTGTCGTCGGGCGGCTTGTCGGCAGCGACGGGCGGTTTTGACGGCGGATATTCCATCATGAGAGACGTCTGGACAGTCTGGAGAGCGGTTTGAGAGAGGCTCTGGTATGTGGGCAAGTGGAGATTCCCAGGATGTGGAGGATCTGGAGATGGAGGATGTGGCGGGTTGGGTGGGGACAGAATGGGGACAAGGGGACAAGGGGATAATGGACAAGGGGGACAAAATGGACCAAAACTACAAGGAATCAGCAGCGAGATGCCCGTCTTATCAACAATGCGGGGAAGCGGGCTCTCGTGACGCCGACAGATCGATCCCATCACTAAGAGTCGACGCCAATTGGTTCGTCCTGAGACACTTTGCTTTTGCCAAAACTCCAAGGCAGCTGAAATGCCACTGTAAATTCGCCACGGCGATTCTTTGCGTTTCCTTTGCTCCCTTTAATGCCTCTCTCTCTCTCTCTCTCTCTCTCTGTATGTCTCCCTCTCACCCTTGATGACGACATGGATTCGTTCCGTATTCGTCCGTCTTCATTCCATAAGTAATGCCCACCCTGTTCTCTCCTCCATCACCCCCTATCCCGTCTTCCGCCTCGTCAACACCAAATTCAACCCCGGCGACGCCAGCGTAAATCCATCCTTCAACCCTCCCAAGAACTGCTCAGGGGTGCACCCCGGCGACAGCTTCACGTCGTATCGTCGCAGCACTTGACTCGTTACGTAACGAAGCTCCATTAGGCCCAATTGCTTGCCGACACACGAATAGCGGCCTAGGCTCGAATTAGCATAGTCCAAATTGGAGAGACGCGTCAGTGACATACCCATGGAAAAGGGATGGAAAACAGACGCGTCCTTGGTCAGTTCCGGTTGACTTGTCCATCTCTCGGGAATGAATTCGTTAGGATGGTCAAATAGTCTCTTGTCTGTAATATTCATTAGCTCATTCAATATCCACCATCCCCATCTCTATACTCACCTCGGTATAGGGTATGCGCCGGAATTTGCACAATCGTATCCCCGGGAATGAAGACATCTCCAACCTGTAGGCCCTGGGGAGGCGTCATCCTCTGGAGTCCGGAAGGAACGGGCGGGTGAAGTCGGAGGGACTCGTCGATGCAGGCTTGTAGATATTTTAGTTTTGAGAGGGCAAGATGATCCGGCTCGTTTCGTTCCGTATAGTATTGGTCAATCTCTTCCTGTAGTCGACGGCAGGCCTCTGGGTTGGTGGCGAGCTCGAAGAAGAGGCACGTCAGGGATGCAGCAGTAGTATCACTAGGAAATATGAGTACGAGACAAAGACACGAGCACACATATCCACTCACCTTCCAGCCACGACGATCAAGTGAGCGTCTCCGTGGAGGTCGACCGTGTCTTGCTTAACCGGCTTCTCAATCGCATTATAATCGGATAGAATCCACGAAAAGACATCTGGATCATCGGGTTTGTTCTAGAAACGCGTTAGTCAGACGACAGTTGATAGGTGACCTCCCAGTGCGCCGTCACATTACAGACCACACTAATGCAACTAGATGTGCTACTTGTCGCCCAGCAAATAGGGAATCATTGTCTCGCATACCTTTTGTCTTTCAACCACTTGCGACGAGAGCCAACTCTGGAACTTCAAGTGCTCGTAGTTGAGACCTGGAATCTCCTTGAACAGCGGGAAGATCCAGACCAAGTGGCTAAAGGCGCTGACGGCCAACATGTTGGTGTGAACCGACTTCATAAAGTAGTGCACCACCCCGTTCTTGACCATGTCAAAACTCTTGCCGAAAGCGAGATCGCCCATGACGTCGAAGCTGTAAAAGTTGAACATTGTCGACGCATCGAAAGGCAGCCCTTGCACCTCTTCCAGCTTTTCGAGGAGCAGGTTCGTGTACTTTGCGACTCGGGGCTCGTAATCTCGGAGGGCTTGAAGTCACGTTAGCGAAACTCGGGGTTCCTATGTGAAGAAGCCGTCTAAATACGTACCCTTTGTGCTGAAAGCCTTGTCCCAGGTCTTTCTGCGTACGGCATGCGCCTTGTTATCGCGCATCATGTGCAGGGAGAGCACAGGGTACAGGATATTGTACCAAGGACCCTTTGTGCATGGTGAAGTGTTAGAATGGATGAGAGGAAAGGCTTTTGGGTCAGAAATGGATAGTTCGGAAGGGCCTATAATTGTCAATGGGTGTTCGGTTCGAAATGGATCGAGAAACAACTCACCGAGGCGAACGATGTCGCCGTATTTTTCGTGCAACTGCTGCACTTCCTCGTAGAGTTGGAATTTCTTGACAGACAGAGATGTAACGTAGAAATTAGAAATCCTGGCCCAAAAAGGACCGGGGAAGCGATTGAGTCGATGAAAGGCGCCTCGATAGACCAGGATACTCGAGTAGAGGCCCGCCCAGACGGCCGAAGACAAAAGCGAAGCCGCTTTGAATGCCTCCCAGCGAGTGCCAAACTCCTCAGCGCCAGAGTAGAAAAGAACACCGGCGAGGGAAGCATTAAGGATAATGGAAGTTCCTAAAAGTTTGGTCGTGTAGAGATCCCATTCTCCGCGGGTGAAGACGCCAACGTGCAGCAAAACGCCCACCGCGAAGGCCGCCGCATAGCCAGTCTGGCTTTGCACATGCGCAAGCAAAGAATCCATAGTTGACGTGTCGTTTGTGGAATCCAGCCGCGACTCAAAAGCCGTCACGGGCAAGGTAATAAATATCCCCAGTCTTTGACTTTCGGTTTCCTAATCTCCCTTCCATCGAATGATGCCAACACGATACGAACAGTCATGTCATGGTCTGCACGGTCAGACAGTGCAATTGATTCATAGTACGTTCCCCCGCCTGGTCATGGCTATGTTTGCAGTTTCGCTCATTGGTGGGCGGACTGGCGCATATCTGAGCTGCCCGCTCGACTGGGCTGCGAGTCAGGTCGAGTCAGACGGCCCTGACATGGCGAACCTGGGAAGCGGGGGCTTGGATGTATCCCCGGGGTTCCCAGTCTAGCCATTCCGCGTTACGGCGAGAAGACAGCACCGAGCCTCCGCGTCTTGATGCTTGTTTGCGGGGAGCTCTGCGGGGAAGCCAATGGAGCCTCTGTGATAGGATAAAGTCGCCGGTTATAAGTATGGGGTATCTCCCCAGCCGAGGTCAGCGGGGGCGGCCCGGATCGATATCGTTGGCGCCAGGATGCGAGTCCATGCCAAGAGATTCAGGGGTCCTGTATGGAGTATGGAGTATGTCTGGGGTATTTTAGGCTCCTTCCGCTTGGCCCCTCTTGACTCATAAAGCTGGCCAGCCCGTTCAGTTTGATTACCAACATTGATGTCGACGTCGAGGATGTTGACTTGCGCCGATCTCGACTGTGGGGTAGATGAACAGGCAACAATAAACAGGGAAAACGTGGGATTTTGTATGAATGCATCGCGAGGAAGAAGACTGCTTCAAGTGTATTGCAATGAATTGAACGGCTTAATGTCAAGTAATATTTCAGAAATTACACTGTTCGTAGACCGCTAAACTACCTCAAATCGAGAACTACTCTGCCCTGGATCTTACCACTCTCTATTTCCTCAAATACCTATGGAGCAAGTTAGAGTCAGAGCTCACGTACACAGTTCTGTACTTACGCTTGAAAGATCTTCCATCTTGCGGAGCTGATACTGCGGAGTAACGCCACCCGACGCTGCAAGCTCTAGGCACTGCTTCGCATCCAGTCGGTTACCGGTTTTCGTAGCTGATGCGTGTGAGACAATGCCCTGGATATACAGCAGAGAATACATACCGATAATCCTGAGTTCATCCGTCACCATTGCGACGATATTCGGGATCAAGGCCCCCTCCTTCTCCGGGATGCCAACGCAGGCCACGGTTCCTCTAAATCCAAGCCATGACATTGCCTGCGCGTATGCCCTTGAGCTTGACGCGCACATCAATGCGACTCGTGCACCGCCGCTGGTGATGTCCTTTACTCTAGCGGCGAGATCCGCGTCCGTAGAAAACTTGGTGAAGTCGACGAATTCGTTGGCCCCTAGACTGCGACAGAGTTCTTCCTTTGCCCCGGTATCAACGGCGAGGACCTTTCCACCGAGTGCTTTGGCATATTGAATGGCCAAGTGGCCCAGACCACCACCGGCTCCTGAAATGACGACCCAGTCTCCTACTCGCATACCGGCCGTTCGTAAGGATGTGTAAACTGTAATTCCGCCGCACATGAGCGGCGCGGCGGCGGCAAGATCCAGGCCGCTTGGGATGGGTGTAACATAGTGAGCGGGGGCAAGGCAGTACTGCTGGAAGGTCCCTGGTGTAAAGTATCCGGATATCTTGGTTTTCTTACACGAAGACTCTCCGCCTTCGAGGCAATTGTCTTGGTCGAACAGTTAGGCTCCGTCGAATCCTCCACGATCTTAGAATCACTCACCACATGTAAGACAGGCATCGGCGGCGTATTTGATGCCTACGTTGGATCCGATAGCAGGAAACTCAACCCCTTCACCGTGTGCAACGACTTGGCCAGCGCCTACGGAATTAGAATACTGATGTCAAGAATGTCAAACAGACATACCTTCATGGCCTCCAATCTGACCTGTACCGGTGGCGACATTAGTTCCATAATGATTAATACGCTTCATTGTTCTAAAACATACCTGGTTGTGTTGGAGCTGGCAGATTTGGGAAGTGGTTCATGCAAAATCCGATATCGGTATGACAAACGCCAGAGTACAGCCTTTGGTATGTTTAACACGAGCCAAGATAACCTGAGGGAGGCAGCTTACAGGCGCACCAAAACCTCTCCTCTTCCAGGCTTCGGGATAGGTAACTCGACGACCTCCGTCTTTAGAGTTCCTGGCTCGGAGTAGATGACCGCGCGGTTGGAAGTGGGCATTGTGACGTGTCCATTTGATTGAGACGAAACATCCGCGCTGGGACTCATCTTTGCTACTATTGTGATGGTTGATGGAGATCTTGCATGGACTTGGTTTATTAGTTGGTCTATATTTATAAAAACTGCTCTACCGAGGCAGCTCACAACCATGCATAGCCCAACAGATGGTCATCCCGTGATGCCTGTTCTTGACATCGACATAACCCTAACCCTTGCTAAACCATGGATCTAGCCCTGTTTGGACATCCAGATGCTCAGCCGACATCATTGGAGGCGATTCATGTAGCGCTAAAACCCCGCCTTGACTCAGAATTTACCTTGTCAGAATTATCCGATCGACTTCGCAAGCACGACTGACATGCTTCTCCGCACGATCCTGACATTGAAACCCCGTGATGGAGTTTCGCCATTATGGGGGAATGACCCGGGAAAGGGTTAGCCGGTGCATTAATAATTATTGCCTCGGTAGTTTGACCATCCCCGTATATATAGAGACTTTGGTAGGAAGGACTAGTTGTGAGGAGAAGGGCTATTATCCACAAAGTACAAGACAAAAACAACAAGAAAATGGAACCTCTAAGTTTTGACCAGTTCCGCAATGTCATTGACGGCAAACTCGTCGACTCTGAGACTACTCGCCATGGCATCAACCCTGCGACGCTCGAGGCACTCCCACCCGTTCCCAACAGCACACCCAAGGACGTAGATGCTGCCATAGCTGCGGCAAAGAAAGCTGCCGCAGGATGGGCCGACACGCCACTCGCCGAGCGCCAACAGGCTGTCTCCAAATACGCCGACGCCCTTGCTGCAAATGCAGAGGCCTTTGCAAAGATGTTGGTGCTTGAGCAGGGTAAACCGGTAGGTGATGAGAATGCACTTGCAACTTATTTTAGTTCATTGTCTGATGTTTTTTAAGCTGGCCGTTGCGACAGCAGAGATCAACATAACTGTTGGGCTTCTGAAGGGCGTTACGGAACTTCCTTTTCCGGAGCAAGTGGTCGATGATAACCCAGAACGCCGCGTCGTTACACGATATGTGCCACTAGGTTGGTTTAGATTCTTATGGTTTCGTGATCATAGGGCTGTGGAAATAACCATGTGAACATCTAGGCGTTGCGGTTGGTATCGTCCCTTGGAACTGTAAGTACCTATCGACCGTTTTCTGTGGCACATTAACTAATTCTACTAGTTCCGGTATCATTATGTTGGTAACCTTCCAATCATTGTGCCATCGATTAATACTAACCAATTTACTCCAGCTTCGTTCAAATTAGGACCAGCCCTCGTTGCTGGAAATGCCATGATTCTTAAGCCTTCGTATGTTCTGGCGGCTCTGTCCTGTATGAAGCCATGTACTGACCATTCCAGGCCATTTACACCCTACTGCGGCCTCAAGCTTGCAGAACTAGGTCGCGGCATCTTCCCTCCTGGAGTTTTGCAGGCGTTGAGTGGCGATGACAATCTTGGTCCCTGGTTGACATCCCACCCTGGTGTCAACAAGGTCAGCTTTACAGGCTCAACCCAGACTGGCATGAGAGTGATGCAAAGCTGCGCGAGCACATTGAAGAGAGTGACACTTGAGTTGTGAGTCTCCTTGAACAGATATCTGGAACTGTACTAACTGGGGTTAGGGGAGGAAATGACCCAGCAATTATCTGTGCGAATGTTGATGTTCCAACAGTTGCTGCTAGGGTAAGCAGATCTTGCTTGAATGTAATAAATATCGACGGTGCCTAACTATGACAGGTGACATCTCTCGCCCTTTACAACTCTGGCCAGGTAAGTTATGCGATGGGCTTGTAGGAACCACACGTGCTGATATCTGCAACAGGTCTGCATTGCTATTAAGCGAGTTTATGTTCACTCCGATATTTACGAAGAGTTCATCACTGAGGTGGCCCGCTGCGTGAATGCACTCAAGGTGGGCAATGGGTTGGACGAGGCTGTCTCAATCGGCCCAGTCCAAAACGCTCTTCAATTCGACCGCGTCAAGGATCTCGTATTATCCCTGAAAAAAGACGGTGCCAAGGTTCTGGCTGGAAGCGTCGACAATTTGTCGAGTGAGAAGGGATATTTTATCAACCCGATCGTTATTGAGAACCCGTCAGACGATTCGAGAATCGTCAAGGAGGAGCCATTCGGTACGTGCGCTATTCAAGCTGGGAGGCTAAGCTAATGACGTCCAGGTCCTGTGTTCCCGGTTCTCAAGTGGACTAGCGAAGAGGATGTAATCCGACGTGCGAATGATAGCGACATGGGTCTTGGAGCTTCTGTCTGGACACGAGATACGGAACAGGCGGATCGATTAGCCAAGAAGTTGGAGGCTGGTAACGTCTGGATTAATGCCCATTTGGAGCTTCAGGCTAATGCGACATTCGGTGGCCACAAGTTCAGTGGAATTGGGTCGGAGCTGGGACTCGATGGGCTGAAGTCATACTGCAATGCGCAGACTGTCTACTATAAGAAGGATGTCTAAGAGCGTTTGAAGTTATTTACGATGAAGTCTACTAGAAATATCATGCTCTTCCTGTCTACTCAATTGCAATTATTCCTACCCTGGACTTTCGATCAGCTCAGTCGACATCCTGGGCGTTGGTGGGGCTTCACTGTGGAGAACAACTCAGTCAGATGACGCTGATTAAGTGATACGGCAATAAAAGACGGGAGTTTATTACTCCACTGCACTGAACTGCAGAGTCATTATCCGCCCGCTGGGCGTCAGCTTCTGCCAACTTCGGTTGTGATTCTGTTGAGCGGGAATTGAAAACACCAACTGGAACGTCGATATGTCAGATCTAAACAAGGGGAGTCGTTCGTCGACATTCGCTTCTGCAGACAAGATTGGCTCGGAGCCTGTGAGCAAGGATGAGCCGCGAAATGGCTCAGATCCGAACGACGAGCTTCCCTCACCGGTTGACGGCCTGAAGACGACAATGAAAACGGAATCCGAATTTACACCTTCTACAACTCTTCCTCCGCCCCAACCCAACAATGACGCCGAAGGAGGTGTATTGGCATGGTTGCAAGTCGCCGGTTGCTTTTGTCTATATTGGAATAGTCTGTACGTATTTTTATGTTCCCACGCTCCTTAAAATGCACCAAGCCAATTGATCAACAGGGGACTCATAAATACCTTTGGCGTATTCCAGACCTTCTACGAAAACCACCTTCTCACAAACATGTCCTCATCAGACATCTCCTGGATCGGTTCCATCCAAATGTTCTTCCTCATGTCGGTTGGCATCATCATCGGCCCGCTGTACGATGCCGGCCACTGCCGTCTCCTTATCATCACTGGAGCATTCCTCGTCGTCTTCGGATTTATGATGACGAGCCTTTGTACAACCTACTGGCAAGTCATGCTTGCCCATGCTGTGTGTGTTGGCCTAGGAACCAGCTGCTTGTCAATTCCGTCCATCGCAATCGTCCCGCAATACTTTAAAGCTCGGCGTGCGCGAGCCATGAGCATTGCTACTGTCGGAAGCTGCGTGGGCGGAACTGTCTACCCGCTGATATTCCAAGGCTTGCAGCCGCGAATAGGCTTTCCATGGACCGTCCGGATCTTTGCTTTCATTTCACTCGCCATGTGCTGCTTCTCGCTCGCTGTATTGCGTCCGCGACTGCATGGAGGAAGGCGCTTCTCGGGAATTAAATCACTCATTGACCGTTCGGCATTCAGCAGTCCCTCGTACTCTGTATACGCAGTTGGCATCTTCTTCACCAATGTCGCCTGGTTTGTGCCTGTCTTCTACTTGCAGTCATATGCACTGGGCCACGGCCTCCGAGGTCAGGCTGTGGCTCTGTATCTCGTTGCGATACTCAACGCGGCCTCGATTCCTGGCCGAATTATCCTAGCCATGGTTTCCGACCGAGTTGGACCCCTTAATACCCTGGTATTCATCACAGCCTCCACAGCTATTGTCACGTTCTCATGGGCGGCGGTAAACACCGGTGCTGGAAATATCGTCTTTTCAATCTTTTATGGGTTCTTCTCCGGGAGCCTTGTGGCGGTGGCCCCAGTTGTCCTTGCATCCTTCACAACTGACCTGAGCCGCCTCGGGACAAGACTTGGGATGGTATCTTTTCTAAAGGGAATCGGATCACTGATAGGATCACCAGTTGCTGGAGCTATCCTCGCTCGTTCTGGTGGCGGCTACTTGGGTGTTCAGCTTTTTGCCGGTCTCTGCTTTCTGGTAACATTTTCGTTTCTCGTCATTTTGCGCATTATTCTTGGCGGAAAGCAGTGGAGTACTAGACTGTGACAATACACTTAGTAGAGTTGTACCTCAAACTGGCGCATAGCAGAATAGGAAAATTCCAGAGTGTAGTTAAGTCGAAAAAAATATATCGCCTGAAAAGAAACATGATATAAATGACACAATATTGAAGCCGGGACTCCAACCGATGGCAATGGGAGATGTCAACAAAGCAAGCAGCTCTTCAAATTAGTCTAACTATCAGTGCTTAAAACGTTTGCAATTTTGATAAGATACCTGCATCATTATGTACATTTAATTATCATATGGGCAAATTTGAACATGATGATCAATTGGGGATTAAGTTTTTAGTAGAGTACATGATAATGTGGTATGAAAGCGCTGACAAAGGGAAAGTTGATGTAATTTTCAAAGATATACATCGGGTTTGTGCGATTGGTACGCATGAGGTAAACAAATGAAACTATCAAATGAAATGTGAGGCAGTCTATACCCTTGTGTATCCTTCCCGATTCTATCCTCAAACAACACTCACAAATGAGTATGGCCGCTGTCTTCTCAGAATCTTACTCATTCTGGCTCCTGACTTTCGTCTTGGTGGCCCTTGGCCTTCAAGCACCTGCCACTGTTCAAGCATGATTGGCTGCGACCAGTCGATCTTTGTTTCTTCCTCCAAGTCCTCGTTGTCATCCTCGACGTACCGGAGCGGCACAGGCGTTCCAAACTTGTACCGGTTGTTGGCCCGGGCCTGAATATGTTCCTCTGCCTTCATCTTGCTTTGGTGCCATTGGATCCAGAACATCTGTTCGTGTTCCCGTAGGTACCGGTTCCCGTGGAAACTGTGGAGGACGACCTTGCGCGAGAGCATACCAAGCTCTCGACGATACTCTGCTTTCGCATAGAATCGTTTCGTAAGCCACTCCACATCAGTAGGTGTAATCTCGTCGGGGAGAGTTGGCGTATTCTTCTGCCCGGCCTCGTCGGTGAAATTGGTCCACTGGCCTACCATGCTGAGAATACTGATCTGGGCGCGGGCCAGGGCCAGAGGGTCATTAGGCGGCACGACCTCGCCATAGCGAAGATCTGGATTCTGAGGGTCCGTTAAGACCAGAGCTGTGGCACCAACCTCAGTGGCGACAATAGGCACACCGGCAAGAGCTGCCTCGCCAATGGCCAGAGGAAGGCCTTCAGAGATAGAGGAGTTCATGAACAACCAGGCATCCTTGAGGATTACCTTGGGATTGCCAAAGCCAGCGAGAATGACCTTATCTGACAGGTTATTATCAGTGATGAACTTTTCCATCTCCAGTGCGTACGCCGGCTGGCGGTCCTTTGCGCCATAAACGATAAGCTGGTAGTCAGTGAAGCCGAACCGGTTGATGATAATCTCAGCTGCTTGGATAGCTGCCTTGACTCCCTTGATAACTTGAACGTTGGACAGCATGAGAACAGTGGGTTTCTCTGTTCGGATTTTGTCGACCGGCGTGAACGCATCCATGTTGCTAATACCGTTGACAATCGGGTCAATCTTGCGTTTGAAGAGGTTTCTGTTGCCAACGGTACCCTTTTCTGTGCCAATCTCAATTTCCCAAGTACTGCAACCAAGGGTTAGCTTTCGCGTCTATGCGAAGGTGCATAGAAAAACTTACGGGTTGAAGAGAGATGCACATGGTGTGATCACATCCGCGTGGAAGTAAGCGAGACGACTGGCCAGACCAATGCTAGCCAGAAGCATAGACTGCACAGAGAGTGGGAGCTCACATTGTGCAGCACTAATGTTAAGGCAGCACTCTCGCCAGAGGATAGCATGGTCCCAAATACCAAAGCTAGCACCGTGGCGATGCTTAAGAACCAGTCCAAAGAGACTGCTAATGCCATGATGGGTACTCTGGAAGACCCGTGGACAATCCTCAGGAATGCCAACGGCGAATATGAAGAAATAGGCCCGGAAAATACCCAGCGCAACACGGAAGTCAGGAATACTCGGCCGTTCGATCTCGAAAGTCTCTGATGGGTTGACAACATTAGGATCATGGTAGTGGACAAGCCAGGCAGCCACCCAGGTATCTTCTACCTCCTTAGATGACCAAGTGAGGGTATAGTCCTTGTGTTCGTAGTACTTGGCCATAGAGAGGATGACGTTGCTGAACTTGATGAGATCAGGTCGGGCCAGACGTCTAGTACGGGCTCCCCTGACGAACTCCATCAGGAGGGGGACAAACGTGCCGATGATGTCTCGTTGCACACCGGTGTCAGCGACCTTCTTATCAACCACAGACTCCAGCATGTTGTCGATCACGCCGTGATTGGCAGTGCCGCCATCAATTCCCCAAAGCGGCAGAAGCTTGAGAGACTGCACACTCTTCTCAATCTGGAAGCGGGGAATGCCATAGTCATTAGCACACTCAGACAAAACGTGATTTCGAATCGTGGTGTGCCCATTGACAAGATCGCGTCGACAGTTGGAGACGCCTCCGGGCGCCACTGGCCAGCATCCAATGTCATTGAAGACGACTGAAATACGGTCACTCGTATCATTGAAACAGTCTTGCGGCCGCGTAGTCACCTGAGGAGCATCGTTGCTCAGTCCCATGGCGTACAAATCAGCTGTCTTCATGGCAAGGACGGTAACCTCGGACACATCGGTGTCGATATCCATAGCGGCTACAATCTGATCAATATTCGCATCCAGGATGCTGCGAGCGCTGTCGAGACGTCCGATATCTCGCTCACTCCAATAAGGTCGAAGTAGAGGTTCCTCGCGAAGAATGAGCTCATCCATCCAACAAGCCGTCACCGCGTCGAGCGTGGCGCCCTTGAGCCAAAGACTCCAAAGCTCCGTACGTAACCGCCAAGTTGGCACAGGACGGTACTTGTGTTTATTCAACCGGTCAATCCACGACAGAGGGTTCATGAGTGAGACGAGAGAAGGCTTCGCGCTGGCATACCGTCTCATGAGCCGGATCTGTCGTCGACTGTGGTAGATCAGCAGGTCGTCTGAGTCAAAACACGCGTTGCGCGGACGAGCGAACAATTCAGCCTCTCGAGGGAAGACCGCAGGCGAGTCAGTAATAGCAGTCTGGGCGCGTTGACCCTCTTGCACGAAATGGGTAATTGCAGGATCACGTCGATGGAGGTACTCATATTCGCTGGTGTATGTCTTGCCATTGGTAAGCTTGACAATGCGACCGATGTTCTTGGATGGCGTCCAGTTGTACTCTTCAACAACCACAGGCTTGCCCCAGAACACAGAGAGCATGTCGTCTGAGTTAGGATCAGCCAATTTGTAGTCGACGCGGAGGACGTCGGAATTGCCCTTTGGTGCAGACTTGTAGTGGTACTGGAACACAAATTCGACGTCGCCGAGAGTCCGCGTGCCTCGTACAATACGCCCATAGTTGTCGTAGTATCCCACGCTTGTAGAATCCTCTTTGGAGATCACCTTTGCAGTCGGCCAGCGAGAGTTTCCGTCGTACTGGTATGTGCAAACACCGCCATCGCTGCTGTCCTGTTTGCTCCTGAGACGCAATCTCTCATCATAGGTATCCACGAACAACGGGTCTCCAGTGGCGGGGGCCTCCTTGAGAGATCCAGGATACACTTTGAGAGCCAATACCTTGCTCTCGTCGACTGACGCAATTCCAGTGATGTTCTTTCGCGATAGTTCGACGACGACGGTGTCTTTGATAATCGTTCGACGGGCACCTTTCTGGGCAAGGCGAGTGATGTTGACGAGTGCAGGTCGGTGATAGATCAGAATCCAATAGACCCAGAAGTGACTGACAGCGCGACAGATATTCCAAATACGCAGGATCGTCCAGGCGAGAGTACTTCTCATTGGTGTTTTGTTAAGACAGTGGAGGAGCTCTCTTTCGACATTGGATGCTCCTGAGCTGATGAATGCGATCCACTTGACGCACACGTAGGGTGAAGAGATCATCCTTGCCCAGAGATTTTGGAAAAAGGTAGCAGTCTCAGCGCTCTCGATATCGACCGTTTTCAATTCTGGGGGAGGCGGCGGTAAAATATCTTGCCCCAGGACTGAGAAGGACGTGGTCGGGCTGAGTTTCTCTTGGCACTTCCGATAGACCTCTAGAGTGAGGCCGACGTAGAAATCCTCCGTCTCCAGGTCGATCTTGGCTCCAGATGCCCACTGAGTGAACTCAAACGTCAAAGCAACTGGTTCCCCGAAAATTCGTCGCAAGACGCCCTCGCGGACAGATTGAGGGGTTGTTGGCCAGTCGGCGTCAACATCAAAGTCCAGACACAGATGTTTCATCATTTCCATCTCTGTTTTGAGAGACAGACGGGTGAGTTGTTGCCGGGAGTCTGAAGAGATCTCAAACTCGAGTCTCCTGGAAATGAACTCCGTATCATAGAGAAAGTGCTCGGCTCGAAGCGCACGGCTGCTCGAGAGGTTGAACTGGGACCGAGCTACATGATACAAGATGGACTCGCTGATAACAGTGGCCAGTAATGGCTGCCACGCAGGCAAACACAGCTGAGCTTCACCCATGAATCCGACCGTGATATGAAGGTTGGTGCCTCGCTGTACGCTGAACGAGCTCATGTCACCCAAGCCATCCTCCCAAAAGTCTTCTCGGCGGACGATTTTGACAGTGATTTTGTGGTTGAACCACATCTCCCTCGCCGTCTTCACAAGCTTTCGGGCCCAGGGTGTGCCTCGAGTCATTTTATTGGGGTACTCGAGAGAGCGATGCAGGTTTTCTGTGACTCTCTTGGACGTTGGTTTGCCATCCTCATGGGTGATCTTCACGCCAAACAAGCTGTTTTGAATAGCCTCCGTCGGAATCTTTGATGGAATGGACTCCTCGGCACTGTATCTTCGTTGGATGTAGGTGTCACGTTCGCCATCAACGGACTCAGACGTCGAGTGAGAGGGGGGTGACGCGGTCCAATCCTTGTAGCTCCAAAGGGATGTTCCGGCGGCTGCAAGGAGGGAAGCTGTGTTCTGCGCAATAATATCATTGTAGAGCCATTGGGAGGTGGCGGGAATAGAATGGAGGACGCAGCCAACGACGAAGCCTATGATTGCTGAAAAGTAGAGAATGGCGATGTAGACATTGACATTAGTGGTGAAGCATCGATTGAACTGGAAGATGATGGTCGCAGTATATCCCAGGGTGTACATATAGTAAAGAACTGTCGTTTCCCAGCTCTCAACGAAAACGCAAAGGAGGAGGGTAGAGACACCGACAACGATGAAAAGCTTCCCCATGATATCTGTGAGTGCCTTGAGGATGCTCGTACGACGGAATGTTTCGAACTCTGCGGCGAGTTTCTGAGCATGCTCAAAGTCCCGAAGCTTTTCGTCTGAGATCTGGTCCTTCAGGCCCCAATATTTATAGAGCGTCGAATCGAGCAGCATAGCCGCCACGCAGAAGTAACTGATGGACATGCAAATGCCATAACGAGCTCTGGAGTCACTATACATACTCGGATAGGGTCCACCTGCGCTCCAGACCATCATGACCCAGCGGTCCATGAGAGCGACCAAGAACAGTGCAAGGGTTTGGCCAATGTCGTAACGAGCAAGGCGGAAGAGCGTGAAGACATTATGGTCCTTGAGGCCGCGGATCAAGCCAAGCTGTGCATTCTTGGATTCGTTGAGCTGAGTGAACCAGGCGGTGCTGAACATGTCTGGATGATCATCACGATTGGGGTTGGTCTTTCTGAATAGCCAATCGATAAAGGGCAGCCCTTTTGCGATGCGAGCTACAAATGGGTCTGAGAGGACACCAGAAGAGCGGGAGTCCTTTGTGCGGCGTTGGTATGACTCCAGAAACGCAGTGAAGGTCTGCAAGGCCACAGCCTCTTGGTCTTTCAGGTCTGCTTCGTTCGTATCAGGATCTTGCCTCGCAGCATACCATTCAAGAACATCTTTGTGCGAGAACTTCGGAATGTTGTCCATCCAATTGGACCATTCGTGACACAGTCGTCGGTATCGATATAGGGACACGAACAGGTAGGTGTACATGACAAGGAGGTAGATCTCGATGTCACGACCATTGATGAAGGATGAGATTGTCGGTGATAGTAGGAGGATCGACATGTCTTGAATAAACATGGTGCGACCCGACAAGATTGGGCTTTCATGCTGGTGCATAGAACTCATAATTCCCAAGAGATTGAAATGAGTCGTGATACAGATGACGTAGGCCACGAAGACGAACCCTATTTCAACAGAGTATCGCAAGCCGAACATGATAAGGCCCGCCATTGCGACAAGAAGCGTCAGGATAAAACCTCCAGCCAGCCTTTGAACGTGGAAGTAGACCATATTGTCATAGGCATAATGGGCCAGGTAGTAATTGCCGATACTACCGGCCCAACCCGTGACTCCAGCAGTAAGTAACAGGGAAACAAGCAGCGCATAGCCAGCCGCCTCCAGGGCTCTATAGTCCATGAATGCAGTCATGAAGCATCCCCGCCCCACGAAGGTGAGGAGTATAACGTCCACGAGCGCGGGGAGACAAAAGATGGACAGAGCGCCAGCTTCGGCGAACTTCTTCTTCCACAACCGAATTCTTTCATAACGAGTGCGCTTCATCCCTGAAGATCCTGGAAAGGCTCCTTCATCACCTTCCTTGATGATGGGTGGCGCACTCGGACTGAAGTACATAGTCATGATCTCGTTGTTGACTCGATCGGCGGCTGTGGGGGGACGCTGATCCAGGTGTGTGCGATAGCGTTGGTAGATGATGTTGCCAATATCCCGGGGAAGCAATCCAAAATAGATATCGCATTGAGATCCAAGAATCCAAAGCTCTGAGAATACTGCTGCTTGATCGGGCTGCGATACAAAGATAGGGCAGCGGTCAATGGACTCATTATAGACCTCTTCAAAGGCCGCCCTTCGAAGGACAGTGAACAAGATGAGAGCGTAAAGTTCAGCGTTGATGTCAACGTAATCGCAATCAGTCCAGGATTTCCAAGGGTCGTAGGCGCGAAGTAGAGCCTGTGTCAGTGCATTGATGGTGTCTCGACGCCCAAAGAAGAGAGCATCCACAATAGTCTTGCTTGTCAGCTTATACAACGCGACGACATTCTCTAGAGTTGGTAGCTCTGTCGCGCCCTGTCTGGCGTAGTACTCGAGACGCATTCGGAGAATGTCTTGCATGCTTGTAGACCCGTCGAGGGCGGCTTTGGCGCAGGTCAAGTTCCAGGCTGACTTGGTAGTTTCGCTGATCAGCATAGACCGACAATAGGCCTTAATCGCGTCGGCAAAAGGATGATTTAATTGAGACGCTCGTAGCTTCTGGAGGAGACTCAGAACTTCCGAATACGTCGCTTGGTCAATCGTTGCTCGGATACTGAGAGGGAGACCTGAGGAGTCGCTCTGGTTGTTGACAATTTCCAGATGAAGCTCTTCCTCATATCGGTGCAAACGAGGAATTTGTCTGTGAGCGAACCAAGAGTGAAGAACTGTGGCTGCATCGCTGGGGGCCTTTTGAGAGACGAAGATGTCGACACAGTTAGCAGTAGGGCCTGGTCGATCTTTTGAGACACCCCAAAAGTGGGCGTCGCTTTCGGGAACGCCAAACCCGGTATCCATTCCCTTGTAGACGCGGATTTGATGGTCTCGAAGGCCCTCGATGAGCTCATGTACAGCAGCGTTACACTCCCCGCGTTGAGTTAACGAGGTCAAGGCGACCACCAACAGCTCCAATTCGGGACCTTCCACGGAATGAAGCATTTCGAGTTCCTTCAGGTGATGTTGAGTGGAACTGATTGCCTGATAATGATCTGCATGAGGCTCAGAGGTGAGCGGAAAGCATCCAGCAGGTGAAAGATGCTTCCTATCACTGGAGGAGTCCCAAAAGCTGACTCGGGCTGGTACGAGGTCGATATAATCGGGAGATACGTAGTATCTTGGCACCTCATCTTTGATGGCCCTCAGTGCCAGCGGGAGATCTTGATGTGTCAGAAGGTATGACGCGTTGGGCATCACAGCCTCAAGATCTTCTAGCGACAGTTCCGCTACCTTGGCAAAAGGGGATCCATCGGGAATCCAGACCCCCCTCGCCTCGGTGGCCCAGGATTTCTGAAGCTATAAAGTTGTCAGCAAAATCCTTAAGATATACGCATCAAATCTCGTGCATACCTCGATGGTTTCTGCACGACGAAGATACTCAAAACCGCTAAGCGTCTCCGTGGGACTTGGCATAGGCTCCTTAAGACTCGTGGCATGGTCGAGGGGACTGTGATCGAAAACAGCACCAAAGTGTTCGGCGAGCTTTACGGCTCGACGGACTGTAGCAGGATGTGGTCGCTTCTCCCATCGGGTAAGGAACCCGATAAAGAAGCTAGGCCTCTCTTCTCGCTCCTTGTGACACCTGGCCATGATGTTTCGGAGCCGTTGAGCCCTGAAATAATCCCGTGCCTCTCCGTTTGGCAAAATGAGCGCATTTTCAACAATCAGGCCAGACACATAAGTGAAACTGATTGCGTCGAGAGCTTCGGAATCATGACAGCATGAAAGAAGAACGGGAATTCTCGCGTCATGGAGTCGTCCTAGTAGTTCATCTACCTGTTCAGGCTTCTCGGCTGCAGAAACCTGAAGCGCGTATCCGGCCAAGCTATTGTCCATGTACGTCTGGGTGAGGAAGTCGCAAGTGCCGTCAATTCGAGACTGGTCGAGCGCATCGGGGCCCAAGGAATCGATGCTAATATTGGCAAGACGCATCTTGGCGACGATGGTATCGGACGTGCCAATGGACGAGCGCGAGGCTCCATCTTCACCAGCGATGCTCCCATTCATTGACAGTGGGAGGATAACGAAATCGTATGTTCGGGTGGATCGCTTGGACGAGAGGGCATCGGACTCGGAGAGGATCGTGAATGTTTTCGTCGGTCTGAACGAGTGCATAGGAGCCACGGTGGAGTTGATTCCTCCATCTAGGCTGAGAAGGCGATTCCGCTGGCTGAAGGGCAATTAGAGAAAGAATTACGAAACTTGGATCACAAATAAGAACTTGCCTTGACGCCTTTGGTCTTCTTGCTTTACGTGACTGAATGAACCTGTAGACGAGATAAAGAATTAAAGGGACAAACGTAGCTGTAAGGCCAAACGTAAAGTTCACGACTTGGAACAAGTGAATGAACCTGTGGCCTGCGGGGAGGACACTATTGCAGTAGACTTGATACTTCTGCTCACCGCATGCATCGCGGGTCGGGTCATCCTTCCCGGGCTGGAAAAACGAAGCCATTGCGAGATCGACAGTTGGAAAACAATGAACAGGACGTGGAACAGCTTGCGCTGTGAATTATCACCCAGTCACAATGCTGATGGTAGAAAAAAACAGTCAAAACAGGCGAAGCTATAGGAGTTGAAGCAAGCTCCTGCACCTAGAGCAGGGCGCTTCGGGACGCATTGGGGATTACATTGAGCGCATCGGGATACATCAGGGACGCATTTGGAGGACCTCACACAGCTTAGCAACTGAACAGCTGATAGCAACGAGAGTTTGACGGAATGCGGAGCAAGCGTAAGTGGCGGAGCAAGCTGGATCTGGAGCCGAGGAATGCGGAGACGTGGAATGTAGATGGGAGGAATGCGGATGCAGAGTGCGTTCCCACAACACGCCCCCATCAACAAGGACTAGCCTCATTTAAAGTGAGATTCCAGATGGAGAACAATGCGCCGGAACGGATCAACCAAGATCTAGAATCACTCGGCGACTAAGTTGTCTGGAGCCAATTAAGGCGGGGATCAGTTCGAGACCTTTCTCTTTTGATATTCGTGCGCCGGAAACCCTCAAGCCGATATCACGCTATTCCTCGGATTAGTCTTCGTCTTCCGCACGTAGGCCCATTCACAATTAGTCTTAGCATCACGCATCGTTTAGCTTTGTTCCGAAGACCACAGTTTAGCAGGTAGTATGCCAGTCCAAACAGGGAACACCATGGCCTAGATTAGTTCTCTATCGGTTTGGCCGCCCACGCCCAGGATATCAGAGTTTGCAAGTCACGGAAATGGAACCTACTTATCGCGCCAGTTCTAGTATTGGTGAAGCTTTTTCCCGAATCCGTGGGCGGTAACGCCGTCACCCGAGTGAAAATGAGGTTTAAGCATCCTCGCTGAGAGTAAAAAGTAGCGTGTCAAGTAGCGTATTTGGCGGGTATATGATAAAGGGCAAGGTCGGCAAAGAGTAGAAGTCATCAGCCTCAGTCACTTCTCTCCTTCGATTCCACCTGCCTACAACACTTTCATTGTCACTGAACACTCATTTCCAAACTTCTCCAAACTTCAGTAAGAAACCTCACTTTGCGTGTCAAGCTCAGACTCCATTGCCACTCTCACCATGTATTCTTCTCTACCTCACGATGATGGCGCCTCCTCCCGCCCGTCGACATCCTCTTCGATGTCGATGTTCGGCTCCTCGGCAGCGACTAGTCAAGGCTCAGAGCATGCCCTCAATGCCAGAGCGCCTGGCTCCACTGGCAGCTTCATCCTCGTAACCGGTGGTCTTGGTTACATTGGATCCCACACTTCTCTGGAGCTGCTAAAGGCCGGCTACAATGTCATCATCGTCGATGATCTCAGCAACAGCTTCCACAGCGTCTTCACTCGCGTTCAGCAGCTCGCAGAGAAATATTGTCACGAGAAGAACCGCATCATGCCTGTGTTGCACTTCCACAAGGTTGACTACCGCAGCAAGTCCATGCGCTTTTTGCTGGAGTCCTACTCAGACTTTGTTCCGGGTCCTACAACGACAACTGAGACGCCTGAATTGAGACGACAATCACGAATTGCTGGCGTCATTCATTTTGCTGCCTTCAAGTCTGTCACTGACTCAATTGAGAACCCCGTTTCCTATTATCGCAACAATGTATCCGGTCTCGTTGATCTGGTTGAGCTTCTTGGAAAGCATAACATTCGAAACTTTGTCTTTTCGTCCTCTGCTACCGTTTACGGTACTAAGGCTGATGAAGGATTCCCTCTCAAGGAGGAAGACCTCGTGCATCACCCTGAAAATTACATCGATGCCAACGGTCAGGAGCAGGTAAGGATGCCACAGGCTACTGGACTGCTCAGCCCATATGCTCGGTCCAAGTACTTCTGCGAAGCCATCCTCGCCGACATCGCCCATTCAGACCCTGCTTGGCGAATTATTGCCCTCCGTTATTTCAACCCCATCGGATGTGATGTATCTGGAGTTCTTGGCGAGGATCCCAAGGGCGTGCCAACGAACCTCTTCCCTGTCATTACGCAAGTTTTGACCGGACAGCGCGAGCAACTAGACATTTTCGGATCCGATTGGGATACACGCGATGGCACTGCTATCCGTGATTTCATTCACGTTTCTGATCTAGCTAGAGGACACATTGCTGCCGTAGGCGCTTCCATCAAGGAGCCCTTCCGCACCTTCAACCTCGGCACTGGAAATGGTACCACTGTCAGAGAGGCTGTCGATAGCCTCGAAGCGGCCTCAGGAAGGAACATCCCCGTGAACATGGCCCCCAGAAGGGAAGGTGACGTTGGATCATGCGTCGCAGCCAACGCGCGAGCAGTCAAGGAACTTGGCTGGACAGCGACAGAGAGCATCAACCAGTGTGCTACTGACCTGTGGAACTTCGTGTCTAAGACGCATGAAACTTAGATGTTTGAATATTCTTTGTACACTGTGTCTTACTTCTATTGGGTCGGCGTTTTCTATAGTTGAGATTGATGCGACAATTTCTTTTCCTTCCTTGGTTGGAGTTACATTGAAGAACTTAGATCAAACCCCAGGTATGGGTAGCGTGGAACAAGATTGGGCCAAGATGGAGGGGGAAAAAATGAGGAACGGACTTCACAGTCGTTTACGGAAGAGTCAGTATTGTACATTGTACTACCCAAATTGAAAGTAATATACTCTGTTGTATCTCTCATATTCACTCTTCCTGTATCTGCTCGCATAAGTGAACATGTGCCATTGACATGATCAAATTAACGTCATCAAACAGCTAACCAGCACACTTCAAGCCCCTCTCCCAACACTCTCAGACAAGGGGTGTACAGTATGCGAATCGCCCAAACCAAGACGGTCCATGGAAATGGTACTCGGGTCCGATGAAGCCGTCTATCCGATTAGTGCCACGAATGCATTCCTCTCCTGATAAACCTAGAACTCTCAAAGTTTCGTTAGCCTCTACTTAAGAGAAGGTCGCATTTCAACTCCCTTAGGTCGGAGCTAAGAAATCTAGCCGATGGGGGAGATTCGCATCGAGGCCGGAGTCCACCGGTGGATGGACTGAGGAAACGGGTCACTGGGGGGATTGACTTCACGAGTATCACTGAGTTGGCCCGGCGATCGATCGGCTGATTTGCAAGCATTTGGTGAAATTGTATGATGTGAGACACGGTGTGAGACAACTCGTGGGGTCGAACCACCGTCGCAGATTTTGTAGCAGCCGACTGAGGTGTCCACAGTTCTGGATATCCAAGGGCTCACTTGGAACCCTTGCTAAATCAACATGGCAACTGAGAATTGCGACCCGTAGTGGATTCTGACTCTAGAGATTATTTGCAAGTGTTCAATAGAATTATTTCTACTCTGTGCATTTGTTCCAGCCACAGGTGAGCCCACGTTTTAACGCAGCCTCTTTATACCTACCCTGAAGCCTATTAACCTCTCCTCTGTGTTGTATTCAATCACCACCACTTTTCTCTCACGTTCAGCCAATTCTAATTTGAACGGTTAAATATTCTATTACCCTGCTATTGTTCCCTCTTCGTATTATTAACTTTAAACCCCAAATTCCGCACGAACATTCTGGTCTTGGAATAGTTATCTTATAAAACATTAGACCCGTAAATATTCTGGCTGATTTCATTATGCTTTGCACATGCAGTTCATCGATCTTTTAATCCATGGTGGTAATGGCATATTTAGGTGTTTCGTTTCTGGCTTTTACGTCGGTGTGACCCTTCCGCACTCTGGACATTGGACGGATATTTTAATTACGAACATTGAAATAGACATGTCTACTTCCTCAAGATAATCTCTTAATTATTAGAGCTGCACTGGATACAGAATCTTTAGAATCTTTGATTACATTTAATCTAGCAGACGCAGCAACGCGTCTCTTCTAGGCCGTCATCGGTGACCTTCGTCACACTTCCTCCGAAATTCGGGTTGTCGCTCTTCTACTTTCTCAAGTTCCAGCGCCAAATAACAATGCCATTGTGCCCAAATCCTCGTGTCTTGACACCAGGGGATATGTTGGTGTGAGGTTTGACCGAATTTAGAACAATAGCTCGCCACGAGTCGATGGTAGTTGACTTCCAAGCATTTGCGCTGTTGCCTCCCGCGCGCGAAGTTGGTCTATTCCATGAGCTCCTCTGCGAGCTATGCCAACACCGACTCCCACACCCAAGGGAACGGCGATTATGAGCCAAAGCCCGACGACGGCGAACTTTTTCCACAGTGGCCATGTGTTTGTTGCCGACTGGTCGTCTGATTCTTCTTTCAGCTCGGCCATGGCTTGTAAATCTCGACTTCCTCGAGGGAAGTCGAGACCAAAGGAGTAGGCACCCGTGACGACGGGTGGAGAGGAGAGTTGGGGTCGATTGTGTGATGCGCACGAGCAATCGTGGTTGGCAAATTATGCGGATAAAGGTAACTGGAGAGGCAATTGGAGTTCAAGATGGAATTGGGGTCCCGATGAATTTGAATAGATGCTTGTTGATCAAAGAATGAAGCTTTACTGTCTTTTGCTTCGAAGGTGAAAGTGTTCCGTGAAGGCGATGAATGAAACCAAGTCTAAACCGGTCCATCCGTGCCGACGACGACGGCAATAATAGACGTCGCCCGATAAATGACATCGACGGTCTAGGCCAGCACGCATATAGATTTAGAATTGACGCCTATCTCCAACCAAACGCCGTAGCCAGCTTCGGCGAACCTAATCACCAACAATTGCCAAGACAGCTCTCTAGCGTCGATGCTCCTGGCGATACGCCTCCACAGAGGATCTGAAATGCGCCACGCGGGCCAAGCCCGCGGAACTCAGAGAGATCCGGCGAAGATCGGGTTCGGCAACGACACAGCGGAGCGAGCGAGATTCCCCAGACACTTAGCTCAGTTGCTGTGGCGCTTTGTCTAGGCCTTCGTTGCTGAATGGACCCCCGGACGCATAGTCTGCATTCCAGAGCCGTCAATGGGCCTCACAACCGCCAAGTCCACCGGATGCAGCCCAGTAGGGTTAGGGTTACTTGGCGATCTGCGCTACGTCTAAAACAGAGCTTGGATAGTTGCTCGCGGGGACTCGAGACCCGTCTCGCGCGGCGGAAGACGCCTCCTCCAGGGCGTCGACGTAGCTGCATTTCCCGCCAACAAGACCGGCCCAGTGGATTTCAGACCAAGAGCGTGTATCTCCGGCGTACTGGATCAGCTACCGGATCGGCCGCGCTGACTGATGTGGCCCAGAATGTCTCGACCACCGGACACTCCGTCATTGCCTCTTTCGGCCGTTCGCTCTGCAACCAAGCGTGCCGGGTTTCGTTGGCTTGGATGCCTTCGATGTTCGATATGAATCAGCATTTTTTGCCGCTTTTGATGCCATCTCCACCAACCGTCCCTCAGGGCCTCATCGTTTTAAAGACTCAACTGTCGAGGTTGTTCGTTCCTCTTCATCCTTCTTTTCTTCAGTCTTGTACAAAGCCGAGCGTTCATTCACCCGGATCGACATCGAGATCCAAACAACCGCCAACTTCCCTTCGACTCTTTTCAGTTCATTATCTTTCTCTGGTTCCTTTGGGACCCCCTCCACAGCGATGCGGTACATCGCCATTGCCACCGCCGCCCTCGGCATGCTGAGGGTCAGCGAGGCCAACGTCATGTGCAACCCAAGCGTCACCGGTTATGAAGCGTCCCAGACCCCGACCGGAGCCAATAAAATCGTCAACGGCGACTTCTCTAATGGTCTCGAGGGCTTCAACACCAGTGGTTCGGTCGAACATATCCCTCTCGCCGGCTCGGATGGCTGCAGCGACTCCGACAGTGTCATTCAGATGATCGCCGTCCCCCAGGATGAGCAATCCACGAGCGTCTATCCCGTCGAGTCGACGGGCGGGAGTATCTCCAAGCGAGATTCCTGGACCAGCAGCAGCATGAGCACGACGATCAAGAGTTTGACGGTTGGCGCCAAATACGCCGTCGAGTTTTACTACTACGTCGTGTACAGCCCCAAGGCCAACACCTGCCGCATCCAAGCCACCTGGGACGGCGTCAACATTGGCAACTCGAGCTATTTCCCCGTCGTCTTGATCATCGGCAGTGACTGGAAGAAATTCAACGGAACTGCCACTGCCTCCAAAGCCAATGGAGTCCTCAAGGTGGTCGTGGCATGTACCGCCGGTACGGCCCAGGTGTATATCGACAGCATCTCAGTCACCAAGACGACTGCGGCGGCGGTCGTATCCACGTCCTCGACCTCAAGCAAAGCTATCGCCACTATCACGAGCACGCTCACCAGCTCCAGCTCTGCGCCGTCTCTCACCACATCGGCCAAAGCAACCACCACTTCGGCGACGGCGGCCACCACATTGTCCAGCCAGGCCAATACCTCGTCCTCCGCTGCGGCGTCTTCAACTGCATCTTCAGCTGCTGGGTCATCTAGCTCGGCAGGTTCTACGTCTTCCGACTCTGGCTCTAGCTCAAACACTGGTACCTCTTCTGTCTCCGGCTCCAGTTCAAACACTGCTTCCTCCTCCGACACTGGCTCAGGCACATCGAATAGCGCTTCGTCTTCTGGCTCCGGCACCTCCAGCTCCTCTGCTGCTTCGTCCAGCTCCACCGGAGCCCTCCACGGAGCGGGTGCTACTGTGGACGCCACCATCCTCGTCATTGCGGCAGACAGTGACACCGCCGCTGCCGGAAGCCTTGGCCTTCTCGCATACGGCATCCCCTACGAGACCTTTGTTGTGTCTGCCGACGGTTCCGACCTGCCTCCGCTGAGCTCGTCTTCCACTCACGGAAACTATGGTGGAATCATTATTCTGTCGTCCATTGCCGTCTCAAAGAGCTCTGGTTGGGGCAGTGCCCTTACCGACAATCAGTGGACCGCTCTCTATGCTTACCAGACTGACTATAATGTCCGTATGGTCCGCATCAACGAGTACCCCGGTTCCAAGTTCGGCACTACTCCTGTTGGCAGCGGATGTTGTGACAGCAGCGCCGATCAGTCCATCAGCTTTACCGACGTTAGCGATTTCCCCACAGCAAACCTCAAGGCGTAAGTCTACTTATCTTATATCTACAGAATCCACCTAACACCTCTTTAGAAAGGCCACAGTCTCTACGAGCGGCCTCTGGCACGTCCCTGCCAGCATCACCGACACGAGTACCACCAAGCAAATCGCCAAGTTCGGAATCTCCACGGGCTACACCAGCGAAACGGTCGCCGCCGTCATCAACAACTTCAATGGCCGCGAGCAATTTGTCTGGTTCATCGGCTGGGCTCCCGCTTGGTCTCTTACCTCCAACTACCTGCAGCACGCCCATATCCATTGGCTGACCCGTGGACTCTTCCTTGGCAAGCGCAAGACGCACCTGAGCTGCCAGATTGACGACGTTCAGATCGCTACAGAACTGTACTACCCTACCGGTCTCGACGACTTTAAGATCCAGATTGCCGACCTCGAGGCCCACGTCACCTGGCAGAACAGTATTGTTAGCCGTATGCCTTCAGGGTCGGTGTTCTGGCTAGAGCTTGCGCACAACGGCAACGGCGATATTATCACTTCAACTCTCAAGGATCAGTCGGGAACCTGCGACCCCGAAGACGCAGTCTACTACGATTCTCCCAATGCCACCGCCCTCGAGTTTCAGAAGGAACTTGGCACCGGTACGGATCTGTGGCCAACTGGATATGAGACCTACTCTTGGTCCAAGGCCTGTTCTGGCATGGATTCTTTTTCCTCTTGGTTCACCAAAACCGACAACCTCAACCAGTTTGCCCATCTCTCTCATACCTTCTCCCATATGAGTCTGAATAACGCCACCTACCACGATACGTCACGAGAGATCAAATTCAACCAGGCGTGGATGAAGCAGCTCGGTATTGACCAGGCTACGCTTTTCTCGGCCCATGGTCTTGTTCCTCCAGCTATTACTGGTCTGCACAATGGAGATGCTATCAAGGCCTGGATGGACAATGGAATTGTGAACGTTGTTGGCGACAATACACGTCCTCTTCTGCGAAACCCAAATAACCCCTACTGGCCTCTTACTAGTACTGTTGCAGCCAATGGCTATGATGGATTGACTATCGTCCCCCGATTCTCTACAGCTATTTACTTCAACTGTCACACAATGGAATGTACCTTGAACGAGTGGATTGCAACATCCGCTGGTAAGGGCACCTACTTCGACCTTCTGGCCAGCTCCAAGGCATCTACTATCCGAAACTTGCTTGCGCTTCAGTCGGACCCTTACATGTTCCATCAGGCCAACATGCACCAGACCACAGTGTCATCTATTACCATTGGCACCCAGAGCGGCCAGATGTCACTAGTTATGTCTTGGACTGAAACTATGGTTCAAGAAATGATGCGCTTGACGAACTGGCCTATGCAATCTCTGAAGCACGACGATATTGCTCAGTACTTCCTGGACCGTCAGGCTTTGGATAACTGCAACCCCAAGCTCTCGTATAGCTTTTCCGGTGACGGCACCAAGCTTAAGGCTGTTACAGTCACTGCCGATGGGAACAGCTGTTCTGTTCCTGTTCCTGTCACTATCCCATCTGGCTCTGTTTCCGCATCTGGAGGTTCAATTAAATCGGACGTTGTTGGCTCCGAGCCTCCCATTCAGTGGGTGACCCTTTCGGGCTCGCCTGTTACGCTCTCTCTTAGCTCCCCGATCTCTATTTCCTTTTAATTTTTCTTTGTACCTCGCGCCGAGCAGACATGTCACAGCACACTGTGCCACTATTGTAATTTAATCTAGTCATATAAACATTTGCCTTAATTGATTTGTTGTTAACTGGGTACTATCTAGCATGTTCTACCACCGTGCTACCTACAGCATGGTCCCTCGAGGCAGCAATAGCTAAAAGAAGGGAATCCCAATCTCGCCTAGCTACGGCACGGAACAGTTTGTGGTTTTGTACGGGACCTCAGCTGGTGACATATGCTAGCCCTATAAGGCTTAATCCTCCTGGGCCATCCATCCCTTCATTTCGCTTGACATCCACATTGTCTCCGACCGTATGATTCTAAATACCTCTCAATGATTTCATTGGTGGGACATGCACTTGGTACAAACCGGGCCGGAGACATAGAGAATATGGGATGACCCAAGGGATTGGACTTGAGGGAGAGCTTCTGGTAGGATCAGCTGAAGGAAGAGGCCAATTGGGTAGTTTAGGAACTTGATCAAATGCTTCCAAATATAACCAAGGGAAAAATTGCGTAAGGTGGGCAAGATAAGCTGCTGCGACAGCTATTCAGGAAATGCAGGGCAAGACAGGCTATGTCTCAAATTGAAAATTCAAGAAGGGAAAAAGCATGCCCTTCCAATGACTCGAAAGGTGCATTTGCTTTAAGTATTAGCTAGTACGCCAGGCTAGCCCTGCTGTCATTAAACCCCAATGCGTCTATCAACACTATCACCGTATCTCATTTTCCTATGACAATCCTAAGTTTTCTCATCATCGGCGTGAAACTCCATACACAATCCTCCTGACATGTGCGTATTTCCAACGAGCTCTTAGAACAGCGCCAGCGGATTTGTGGCGTTGGCCGGCAGCTGGAGGAACACATCCCAATGTTCAACAATGCAGGTTCCCTCGAACCTGAAAATATCCACCACCGCGAAAAATGGTGCGCCCGGAATCTCCATCTTAGTATGGGCCCAGCCAGTGCTGTTGCTGAAGGACGTACGGGCGACCGTGAAGTTGGCGATTTCGAACGTAGGGCCAACATAGTCGATGGCGTTTTGGCGTCCGCTCAAGGCGTCGGGGTTGTGTTGGATGTAATCGACGGCCATATTCTCCAGAATGGCCGCTTTAGGCTCCTTTAGAACGTAGAACTTGTGAACAAAGGCATCGAATTTCTTCTCCTGGATCCAGGGGCTGACTGGGTGACGGGAGCATTCAGTTTTCGCCTTGGATGTTTTCGGTTCTGCACAAGTGGGAGCGGCGTTGAGTGGCACCAATGCGCCGGCGATGGCAAAAAGATTGAGCAAGCGCATCTTGTATCTTGAATTGACGTGGAGGTAGGGCTTAAGAAAACCGAGGTACTGATTATTGGGGAGGCACTACAGTGAGACATAGTAACGATATCTATACTTCTCAATTATAATTACACCGTCAACTTCAATTGTTGCTATTACGTGTATAATCCGTCGCGGTGCTGACTTCGTACAACTGACCACAACTGAAAGTTTAGATGTTCACGATGGCGGGATGATAATTGGACCGACGGGAGAAAGATATGCCGTCCCCATTTCGCTAGGCCATGTTCCAGAGCTTGGTCAGCATAATCTTGGGTTATGACCCTGTATTGACCTTCCTCGCAAGTAATGACATAAAACCCCGAATCCTAGATCCAGACAATCATCACCTTTATTAATCTCCACATCGTCTTGAACTCTATCGTCCTGATCCAATTGACCGCATTGGACCCAACAATCAACAGTCAGGATTGCGTGAAGAGGCTATTCGTGCTACGGCCTGACCAGCCGTTAGAATAGCTGGTCACCGGCCTTAAGTACCCTATGTCCGAAGAATCCCTTCACAAAGGATCGAGCCCGAACGACTCCGGTAAATCCGACAGCCAGCCAGTCAAGGGTCTAGCCAGACCCTCGTTCCGATCTGTATCCATGAGACACCTGATCCGTTCCAATGCACCGATCTATTACAGAATTGACTGCTGAAGACAGGGCTGCTTATCAGTCTGTTCGCAAGGGTTGCAGACAGAACTATAGGCAGTCTAAAACAGCAACACTATTGGATTGATAAGACGAAGGATTAGGTAGTGGATACAGTTGCGGATGGCCCAGCTGCGAGTATCTGTGATTCCGAACAGGATCTAAGGAACTGGCATGTCAACCTTTGAAACGGCATTGGGGCTACAATGCCTAAGTAGCAAAGCAAAGCTTCGGCTAAATATCAGAAGATTGTATTTGCTGGACGGCCTGTGACGATCCGGCTAATCCTTCTGCGATAGTATAGGGTAGGCTGGGACGTGGGTGTAAGATTGAGTGGATCAGGACGTCAAGGTGAGCAATGTAGGTCACGGTCAGGTGATGTGTCAAAGATAGTTTGATGTAACTAAGCGCGTCGATAGCAGGAGCTTGGGGCTCTAATATAGTGTTCTGACTCTTCTATGTGGCTCAATGTCATTGGCAGTGGTTTCATTGCTGAGATTTGGTCTCTGTACAATGAGACTGGGCTCTTGTGTTTGTGCCGAGGACCAAAGAAAGTGTGGGTACTGTTACAGCCGGTTTTACGGGCTGTGACAGTCAGTATCGCGCTGGAGGTTCCATTCGGGCTCGCAAGCTTCCTTGCTCTTCGCCTACTTGACCAAGAAACCGACGGCCGTATTGGCTTCATCGACACGATGGAACCCGCGTCGCCCGTCTTCAGGAGGCCGAGCAGCCCGTCCCCGCTCCATCTCAACCATGCGCCAACAAGTTCGTGCTTGGCGTATTTCGACGCGTAGACGAGCCAACCACAGTCGCGAATTTGTCAATCCCGGCCACACCAGATGCGCTTAGAGCGACGGTACGACAATATTGCGGGGCGGAGCAAGTCACTTCCGATGCTCCCAGACTGGCCTGATGTTCTAAAAACACCAATACATAAGAGCCAGCTGTCGACTTAAAAGCGCTTCATCTTCGCTGAGAGTATGATTGTATACTTGAAGCCACCAACGCTCGATTCCCTTTTTCCCGTCTCCGAAATCTTTCCAGCGTGAGCTGAATTGATAAGACTTCCCTCAGCACCCCTGTTCTCGCGTGCCAAGCGGTGGGTCGGGCCCAGTATGGTTACCCTACAGCATCAATATGAATTTGGCGGCCCGTAAGTAAACAAGCCATTGTCGAGTGATGCCGTGATTTCAGTTCACTTTGTTGACAATAACACCATCTCGGCAGTGCTGGCGCTACAGGAATCGTCTTTGGTCTCCCCATCTTGATGAATGTTCTCTTTCTCGGCTGCAACGACATCTCAGGCTGTCCTCCTCCCTCTTTGCTAGATCCTCGCACCCTCACTTGGGACAAGCTCAAGTCCGAGATTCCGTGGCCTGACGATGGCCTTTGGGGATTTGCAAGCTGGAAGGCCACAGGCTGGTTGTCCGCCTACTACCTCCTCAGCCTGATCCTCTATCGAGTGCTGCCTGCCCACGAAGTATACGGCACGAAGTTGCGCGAGTCTGGCCGGCCTCTTAAATATCGCTTTAATGGTAAACCCTCCTGGCTTAGGCTGCCGTTTTTACTTGCAAATATTAATGAGTCGCGTCTTTTAGCTTTCTACGCCACAGCCGTCCAGTTTGCCGGTTGTGCTGTCGGAACCTACCTCTACGGGGCCGAATTCGCCGTGTGGACGTTCATCTCCGAAAACTACCTGCAGCTCCTGACGGCAAATATCATCCTCGCCTACGCCATCTCCATCTACGTGTACATCGGCAGCTTCAGCGTCAAGCAGGGCAATCCTGAGTTGCGTGAGTTGGCCAGGGGCGGGCACACCGGAAACCTCATCTACGACTTCTTCATTGGCCGTGAGCTCAATCCCCGAATCACGATTCCTCTGATTGGAGAAATTGATATCAAAGCCTGGTTGGAGATGCGTCCTGGCCTTACTGGATGGGCTCTTCTGGATTGCGCCTTCATCGCGAAACAGTACCGCACCTACGGTTATGTATCCGATAGCATCATCATTGTGGGCCTGGTTCAGTCATACTATGTTCTGGAAGGCCAGTACGCAGAGGCTGGCCTCTTGGGCATGATGGACATCACCACAGACGGAATGGGATTCATGCTGAGTTTTGGTGACATAGTTTGGGTGCCATTTCTCTACTCCACGCAGTGTCGTTACCTGTCCACCTACCCGGTTCACCTGGGATGGCCTGCCGTTGCGGCTATCGGGGCCGTCTTTTCCACTGGCGTGTACATTTTCAGAGCCACGAATTCTCAGAAGAACATGTTCCGCACCAATCCCACTCACCCGGCGGTGGCAAACATGCCGTATATCCAAACCAAGAGAGGAACGAGGCTCCTCACTGGTGGCTGGTGGGGAAGGGCCCGCCATATCAACTACTTTGGAGATTGGGTACAATCCCTGCCCTTTTGTCTGCCCACAGGACTTGCCGGCTATCTCATTGTTCCAGCGGGAACTGCCCTGACCAGCGTAGGCATTACGAAAATGCTAGACGGCCGCGAAGTGGTCCAGGAAGGCGCAGCAGGATGGGGAATGCTCTTCACTTACTTCTATTCGGCTTGGTTTGGATTTTTGTTGATTCACCGTGAGCGGAGAGACGATGCCGCTTGCTCAGAGAAGTATGGGGAGGACTGGGAAAAGTATAAGAAGACAGTGAAGTGGAGGATCATTCCCAAGATTTACTAAACGGTTACTGTTTTGCAGGGGCAGCTTCTTTGCATCTTGTGCATACATCTTGACGTTGGCAAAGTTGATGGTATGTATTAGCAATTGACAGTCTCAGGGTAGCCGTTGAGAAGCTAGCTCGACCAAAGAAGTTTAACTAAGGTACACACTGAATACATGTCAATCTTCCACAATTGACCCCGTCCAACTGGTAGTTCGAACCGTTGTCAGTCACTTCATTGAATGAGCAGACTAGGATCTTGACAAGATTGGTTATTTGCAAACGTCGCATCTCCACCACTCGTCAGGGCGCTGATACAGCATTTGGACAGTTGGGGGGGGGGGGTAATGCCTTTTGAACCACTGTAAATGAGAAAGTCACCATGGTCTTCTATAAAACCCGTATCTTTTAATAGGAAGCAAAGAAAATTGGATTTTGGAATCTAAACATGCTGGCCACTCTATCCCAAAACAACAACCTCCTCTCTACTTGGTACAAGCCGCCACGCTTTCTTGGTGAGCCTTCCCATCGCCTCGCGTCGAGCAAATGGCCGCCCTCCATCTTCCCGGCTCAGAAGCATGACATTGAAGAGCGGATAGTCCGTAAAATCGACACAGTCCTCGTCGCCAAAGTACTGCGCCTCGGAAATGAGGGCAAAGTCATAGAGCAGCTGGCCCGGCGTGTGTCCGTCCGGGTCCGGGAGCCAGACCCGGCCGACCTCGATACCACCTCCCATGATGGGAGTCTCGCGTATCTTGAGCTGTGAGGATACGATGAGCTTTCCGGTGTCGTTTCGCTTCCAGGTAGTATCGGTCCTGATGCGTGTCTTCCCGAGGCGGAACTGGGCGATTTTCGTCCTGAAGACGAGGTGTTGGTCCGTTAGCAGCCTAGTTATGCTGTTGTCAAGGGAGGGCATGCTACAGTTTAGGTTGCCCGTAGCCGCGCTGACCAATATGTTCCACTCTTTGATATCGACGTCGTTGTTCAAGGCGAGGCCGAGGCCAGTCTTGTTCAAAGGTCGAAGGCGTGGGTGAGTCTGATTAGGAAAAACCCGATCCACCACGTACCACTTCAATAGCGGTCTCATAAATTCTTCTGCTTTGTCTCCTTCATCTGGAACAACTTTCTTCAGTCCTCCATCGTCATCAGTCTGGGCTCTAAACGGTGCTTCGTAGCGCACGCCCCCATCACATCCTTCAGTATCTTCAACGGCTGTCCATGCGGCCCATGACCAACTCGGGAACATGAACCTCGTATTACCAGAGTTGTTCGAGGTTACTCGTAGCTTGAGGCGGACGTTCTCGCCCGCCGCCGGTTGCCAGTGCAACGCCTGGTCCAAGAACTCCTCGGGGAGACCGCTCAGCGGTGGCGTCTTTCGCTGCGAGTCCTGCTGGTTGGTGATGAGAATTTGAAGCATGCCTGATATAGCGTTTATAGCATCCGACGTCGTTGACATCTTCCGCGGCGTGTACTGCTCGATCAAAGACGTGTACTGTGCAAAGACAGGCGAGCGTAGTAGTCGCAGCCCGGGTGTCGTCAACGAAACGAGACGCCCAACGGACAACCCGACAAGAGGGGGCGGTTTGCTAATGCAGGAGTCATCGGCCGCCATGTCCTCGTAAGAAACGCCACAAGAGCAGTAGAAGTCAACCATCCCGTCGTGGAAGACGAGAAGTCGTTTAGACAGCAATTTCTCCTGCAGAGTCCAGGCCCTTGTCGACCACGGTCTCAAACTTGTATTGCGTTTACAAGGCACGAGTACATTGATCTGAGGGTCCGCTGTTACTTGCTCGGCGAGTTGGGTGACGGAACGCTCTGTGGTGACACCGACGATAGGCTCATCGAGATGATTACAAGACGCAGCGGCGATGGTGACCACAGCGCTGCCGTAAATTCGATCCATTTGCTGTAGTTGTTCTTCCTTGTCGTTCTGTTGATGCTGTAGGATGCAAAGACGATCGGCCCAAAGATAGCGCAGTCCAAGCTTGCGTGTAATCTCCATTGCATCCGCAATGACGTTCCCAACACGTTTACCACTGAGACTCATAGGCTTGAAGAGGTCAGATTTGTTGGTGCTTTTCAAACACTCAATGCCCTTCGAGTGCTGTTCAGGTCCCCAGACATATGACAAAGCGGCGTAGCTGTATTGAGTTGTCATCTTATTCGGCTCAACAATTGCCATCTTTAACACGTCGATGAGCCTGAAGTCGGTTCCCGTCGGCCTCTGAAGGGTCTTTGACCATTTGGGTTTGTTGCATGTATCCCCATGTTTATTCCGGCAGTGATCCACCCATTTCCGACAAAGCTCCATATCAATCTTGGTCTTGTTGATAATCTTGCCGTAGCGGAGACTCTGGTCTTCCGTGTAGACCTCTGGCGAGGCAACACGGAGTCGAAAGTGGCTCAGCGTCTTCAAGACGTGGGTGATACGCTTACTGCAGCCGAAAACAGTGACTTCCATGACTCCCGAGTTTTTGTGCGACGCGCCATACACAATTATCCAGAGTGCGGCGGGAACTTTCTTCTTCTCCATCTCGTTGAAGAAGGCTGGGTCTGGGATCATCTCGCGGATGAACGTGTACCATCGTGTGCGTTCTTCATTATTGTCGAACTCCTCGGCCACTCGAAAGGCTTTCTTGGCCCCTTCGCCGACTACTCGGGAATTGATGTCCAGGCCGTGTGATTCCTGAAACTCGACGTTGGTCGAAATTTCGACGTTGCGTTTGATCTCCATCTCAGCATTAGAATCAACATCCGTCTCCGTATTCGACTCTTCGAAGGCTTTAATCTTGTTTTTCTTAGTCTTCTTGGTGATTTTCATCCGTGCTTGCATCTCGAAGCTATCTTTTGTGTGCCCACCAAACGGCCAACGAGAGTCCTTCTTGATGAGGAATGCATTATTCTTCGTGCTCCATATATTCTCGCGCACCTGGGCCCATGTTTCGAAGTTGACTTGATCGTTCTGGGGGAAGCTCTTATCCTCCTTGATGGTTGTCTGCAGATCTTTATCACGCAAGGGGTCATTTTCGGGCAGGCAAAGGGCCTGGAAGAGTAACCCGCAGAAGCTGCATGTCTTTCGCTCCTTGAGAAGATGCTTCAGTTCAATAGAGTATTGTTCGCCATCTTGGTTCGAGGAGATGGTATTCGGGTCAAATTGACTGAAATTGATCTTGGTGCACACCCTGCAGAGAGGGCCGGACTTGAAGATGCTGCTGAATCGGTTGGAAGGTCGTTGAATAGGTTCAAGAGTGGGGGGAGGATCTTGAGTCCCTAGCGATGAGACTGACGCGGAGCGCGTGTCGGAAGCGCTAGAATGATCGGGCAATGAACGCGGACGGCAAGGTAGAGGCGGCGGTGGACGCGGACGACAAGGTGGAGGCGGCGGTGGAAAAGAACGAGGTGGAATAGAGGGAGGTGGGACAGACGGTGGCATATGAGGCTTGCTCTTAAACTTGGCGGGCTTTGAGGGCCTTCCAGGTGCGTTTCTTGGAAGATTCACACTCGAACGTGGCGTGGAAGGATTCGAGAATGCTGGTGAATTGCTGGTGTTCGTCATGGATTTGTAGTTGGGAGTCGATGTTGAATTGCCCTGCTCAAACACCTTCCTTATATCTTTGACGCCTTTGGGTGATAGTTGCTCCAGCTCATATCCGCTTGACAGGAATTCTGCTTCGTTTGGTGCCATTTTGCTTTCGGTTGAGCCGCCGTCGTTACTTTTTTGATAGAGGGTGCAAGAGTCTGGTCGGAAAGTGGAAAAGTGGACTGAAGGGAAGAGAAATACTCGGGGATTGAGCCCCCAATTCCCCCCCGACGAAGTGAATACTGAATCGGTTGACACGTACTGCATGATGTACTTCGTATTCGACCTGCTGTGTTACCATTGCGCCTCAGTTCAATCGTTTATGTCCACGAATCAATATGTCCCTGGGCGGTGTCTATTCTCAAGGCAGTACGCCATCTGACGCAAATCTCCCGAGAACTTGCATATTGCATGCCACTGCAAGTGGCAAAGTGCAGTGCCAAGCATGAGGAGGATTATGTGGCTGCAGTTTCGTTCCTTATTGGCGTTGCCTGCTTGTATTGCTGCGCTACAACCACTCAGCCGCACGAGGCTCGGCGACATTTCGGCCAGAGAATGACGTTTACATGCCCCCTTAACATTTTGCTGTCCAGTAATCACTCATGGCGGTTCACCCGATGACATCGGCGGCCGATGCTATAAATAAATCCTCAATGGTTCTCCTTGACACCCCGGGATAGTCGCTTTTCTTAGAACCCTCCTTCTGGAGCCTGAAACAAGGACAACTGTCCAATAACAGTGTCACCTTGAGTTTATGATCCCAAAGTCAGCCTTTCTTAAAATTTCCACCGAAAGCTAGCCCGGAGTCCAGTCAATTTCAATGCAAGTTCCTCCTCGCTCAGGCACAGCCGTCAACACGATATGAGTGCTTAGCCTAGTGCGAGGGTAGTGACAGACACACGCGTTTGTAGGCGGCTCAGTACCAAGCTTCTTTGGCTTAAGATTGTGCCCAAATTTATGAGTAAAAATGGACATGGATTTTCCTCTCTACGACTAAGATGCACCTTCACACTTCAATTTACTCGATATCCCAGGCTACGTAGTATGTAGTACTCTGTAGTCTAGAGGCAAGTAGTACCTCCGGCCTCCTTCCATAAAAGGTCTGTGAGCTTTTCCAAGTGCAACAAGTGACCTCTTCGACGGTAGACGTAGATAGTGTAGGCGAAGCTTGCTGTAGTGACGGCTGTACCAGAAATGAATGATGGCCAAAAGAACTGTGAGGGACGAAAGAACACAATTGTTGAAAAGTAGGAAAGCAGCTCAAAGGCATTTTGCCAGGCAGCTTCAACCGAAGAGAAAGAGCCACGGCTCTCAGCCTCTACTTCCTAACCAAAGAATTAGTCTTTAAGTTGAGGTTCGGTTGTTGACTGAAATCGTTACCTCCTGCACAATGACTTGCATACACAAGTCGAAACCTCGGAGACCTAGTCGACTCACAATGGTCCCAATGACTAGACCGCCAGCAGAGATGACTGGATTGTCCATGAAACCCCCAAAAACTGTGATGCCAGCGATAAGAGGTATGACCTGGCAATTACTCAACCAGAGACCTGCTCGCACCGGTCCAATCCGACTTATCAGCCAAGGCGCAACCCAGGTGGCCATGACCTCAAACGCAACGCTTAAAGTTCTCGCAATGGTTATTTGTGTTGCATTATAACCAGAGGCAACCAGGTACGTGACCATTTGACCGGAAAAGCTAAGAACAGTGAGATATAGTAGCGCGCCCGCGATTGACGGGAGAAATACGCGATGGTGGAAGTAAAAGCTGAAATCAGCAATGAACCGACTGAAAGCGCTGCGAGTCTGGGTAATGGCCCCTGCAGTCGCAATAGAATCTCTCTGAGGCGACGGTGGGCCTGGTTGCGCTGACCGAGGCTTTGATCTACTCTCTTGGAGGTCTGGGACTTCGTAGTAGATCCAAGCTATTGCGAAGTATTCTACCACTACCGAAGTGATGTTCATGGTGAAATTGGCGATAATAGCTGCTTCTGTCGATAGGCCATCAATGAGTGCAATGCACAGAGGCCCGAGGAGCTTGCACAGCAGGTCGATTCGTCGCATCTGCGCATTTAAGGTAGCCAGGGCGGATATATCATTCTCAGCGAGGACAACGACCTATGAAAGTGATATCGTTAGATGGGACTAGGATGTGACTAGGAATATGTCGTAATTACGAAAGTACTTACCCAGTCTTTCTCAATCGAGACGAGGTTTACGATGGAGTACAGCTTCTCGACACAGGCTAAGAAGGAGACAACGCTGAGCATGACTATGCGACCATTGTTACTAGATGAGAGGCGGATGTATAAGATGTAGAATATGGCGCAAGAGGATGCCACAGCTAATCGCTGGAAGACTGCGATCTGATTGTTAGTTAATGATCTTGGAGCTGACAAAGGTGGCGGGGCGACATGCCTATAGACGCGCGTACGACTTGGAGGCGGTCATTAGTATCGATGTGTTGCCCGATCGCGGGTGCGAATATCACAGCGGAGAGACCTCGCGTGAGAGCATACACCGACATGGGAAGCAACGTGCCGGGAAATATGGTTGCAAGGTACAGCACTGCGCCGAACTCGAAGACTCGAGAGTTCCAAGTAGATAAGAAGTGAGATAGATAGAGACGGTGTGCGATCCGAGGGGATATTCGATGTGTCAAGGTGACCGAGTCGTCATTTGGAATGTCAGCTCTGAGGAGAGAAGTATGTTCGTCTGGTGGAGCGACTTCCACATCGATACGAGGTCGTCGTGATTGCATCTTGGCGAACAAATGAGACGAGCAGAGGAAAAAATAAATTGTAGACAAATAGGCCGTAATTTCCCTACGAAGTAAGAGACTTTTATATACAAGCATAAGTAGCCAACAGCTTTTGTGAGCTGATCTCAGGGAATGCCGTCACTCAGCGCCTCGCAGTTCCGATATTGACGGAGGCATCAAAGCTCCGTACTCCGTGGCCTGTGCAGAGCATGTCCCCAGGCTAATCTACAACCAGATTAGATGCGGGAATGAGATCAGAGCCAGGGGAGACATACTCCACAGAAGTCAAGCAATCGCCAGATCAGGGAAGAATGATCGGAGTTGAAGCGTGTTTACCGGTCGTGGACGGGGCGATACTTACTTGTACTTGCCCGAATCTGAATTTGAGGTTGAGCGATGCACCGCTGTACGAAGCTCCAGCAATGTCACAATTCTCGGACCTCGCCGTGAGCATTCGGTAGTTTTAATTTGTGATTTCAATTGCACGCCGCTTGCACGTTTCACTCCAGCTCTCTATCATACCGATTTGTACGGAATGACTATTGTCGGCAATACGCTCCCACCTAACCCAGTTCGTATCTTTCTTCTCTCTTTGCCTTCGAGATAGCGCAACTCCCAAGCCGTACTAGCTCTATTATAAAGTCATTTGTTTGTTGTACATGGTCAACCTCGTCGTGTGTTAGTGTACCCAATGGCATACTGCGGATTATGCCGACGGCCGATACTAAAAGTTCAATATCTAGTTGTACTCGGGTATCGAGGGGGTGCAGTAGGATGTTTGTGAACAGAGACATGGCAGCCACGGTAGAATAGAAGACGATGTGCCTATTTGCACATCAGCATTGGTCCTTGCGAAACATCATTTAGACTCACCAAAATGCTTCTTCCGCCAACGTCGATATGGGGGCCTTCAAAAATAGGAGAGTTGAGCGGCTCGCTTCTAAGGTAAGGTCGGTGCTTGAATGAGCAACGATATGGAGATCCTCGGGCAAATCATCGGCCTCAGGGCTACCGGCGCCGCACCTCCTAACCGTCGTATGAATTGCCGTCGTAAGGTAGTGATAATCTAGTTGCAGGTTGATATATCGAATGATTTGCGGGGCCTTCATCCCAGCTGGAAGCAGAGGGCGATTTGGAGGAATGGAAAGTTTGGGGCGGAATTCAGGGGGGATGGAGATTCGCCAGCTCTCAAGCTCGTCATCTAGCTGGCGAATATGGAGGAGTAGTTGGCTGTCGGTCATCCTAAATGCCTGAGGTGAATAGAGAAGACGGCAAGTTTTCTCTTTAAGATAGCTTAGGCCAGGGTCTCCAGGGAAATGAGAGGTGAAGATCCCATCGGTATCGCCACTAGTCCTTGAGACTCCATCATCCGGCCCGGGCGAGCAAGAGTAACAACTCAAATAATCTTCGGGCGGGGTTAGATCACAATAATCCTCCGTGAGAAGGGGAGGTTGCCCGGAACGGAGAGAGATATCCTTGTCCAACCCGTAGCACAACCAGAAAAGCATTCGGATGTGGCTGCTCTGTCGTTCTGTACAGGGCAAAGGCTGATATATGTGTCCGCCAAGCCCGCAAACCATGCGGCAGGCAATTGAGTGCATAAAGGTGGCATTTTTCCATTGGCCTGTATGTGTCTGATGCATTTGCTAACTGATATGAGTCCCGATCCCAGGATGATTGAGCTAAGGATGCAGAAGCTGAGCTTACCAACATGAGCACTGTCTGGAGGTTTACCAAGGTTGCATCCCCAGTGATATGTCCTAGCATGCATTGCGCCTTGGTAGCACAAGCATCGCTCTTGATAGAAGAAGAGACCTCCCTGGACCGTTTTAGCTGACACATAATGGAGAGAGCGGCGTTAACACAAGCTATGGCCGACACATGTGCGGGCGAGGAGGGCATTCCATTGAATGGTTCATATGCTGTTTCCAAGGTATCTTCAAACAGTATTTTGTCCAGTATCGGGAAAGCCAGCCGAGAAGGCGAACTGAAGAAACCACTGAGAATCTTTTGAGTCACACTCTTATCAGGTAGCTCCCATAATTCTTGAGAAGAGATATGCAATTGAAAAGCTGAGAATGTCGAAGCAAACAGACCTTCCTGACTGCCAAACAGATGGAACTTGCCTAGATTAACATCTTGGCCAGTTCGGGATGATATCCAGTTCTGGCCCGCCTCGGAAAGCAAAGGCGTTCCCTTGTAGTACCAGTTCTGTCCTAAATGGCGCCCGGAGAAGCGAATTTGCCCAAATGAGAAATTGGGGAGCTGCGTGTTTGGCTGTGGTGAAACCAAGGGGGACTGCGTAGATTCGGGAACACAGGACTGCCCGCCAAGACTGGATGGAGTCACGTATTGAAGAGATTCATCTTGTGCGGTAGCTGGAGTTGTTATCTCTGCGGGACTGGATGACACTTCACGAGGCGTCTGCTTATTGGCCGTACTCTGAGCTAGAGCACCCTCAAGCTGCTCAATGCGATTGAACAACTCTTTTATGTCACTCAATCTGGCTCTAGTACGCACGTTAGACAGGAGCTTGGGGTGCGAAGAACGCAAACGTACCTGTTCTTTGTGTTTCTTTGCTTTGCCCTTGTAAATTTGCAAGTCAGATTATGGTGACTGCACCAGTTGCAGGGTGCATCTGGATCGGGGATAGAGCACTGGATCTATGGAGAGGAAAGTCGGCATATCGTTCCATCGCAAGGATGTCTGCTCGGGAGAGGCGGAAGATTTCGGGATGTACCTTTCTCTTGTAACATATGTCACATGCTCGTCTGGGAGGCATGTTGGCGAGGCGTTAATACGATACCGTTGATTCTCCGCTCTGGAAGCGCCCAGCAATGAAGCTGGAAAGTTGGAAACAATGCTGCGGAATACTGAGATGATTCTGTCGGAGCATCGGAGCCCACATGACCGGGCTGTACTGGTGCCACGCCGATTCCGAAAAGCAAGCTTGGGCTAACTGGGACAAGTCTCTCCACTATGGAAAACATCACCAATTGTACACGTCGTACGTTGCGATCTATGCCTAGTTCGTATGGGTAGTGGGTACAATTGTCACTGACTCAGCGGAACAAGAATCAATTCACTCCGATTACATAACTCAAGACACCTGACAAGTCACGTTTGAATCAGTCATTGTACTGAGCTTGAATGTATTTCAGCTATCTACTCTCTACCTAATCCTCCAACTTCTTTGCAGGGTCCTCCGTCAGAGAAGGCTGGTCGCGGTCAAGATCGTACATCTTTTCCTCCTCAGCATCATAGTGGTGGAAGATGAACCAAAAGATGCAGCCAGTAACAAATGAAGAGCAAGCGACGCCAGTGTACATCCACACAAACTTGGGGTCCACAGCCACAGAGACAAGAGCCTCGGAAATGGCGGAACCGAAAGCGTTGGTAAAGAGGTAGATACTCTGGACGAACGACTTCATGCTGGGAGGGGCCTTGGTGTAAGCGTACTCGAGACCCGTGACAGAAATGAAAATCTCCGAGAGACCGATGAAGATGTAGGCTGGTGTCTGAACAGCAATGTGGACGTTGTTGGACAGGTAACCGTTTCCGTCTTTGCCGGCCTCACAGTTGCCGGGCGAATCGTAGCAAGGACCAGCGTTGTAGATGAGGTGCTGGACGATAGCGGCGTAGGCGAGACAGATGGCGGCTAGCCAGAATCCAATGGTGATTCGCATGATGGGGCGCAGCTCGATTCCGGCCTTGCGAAGCAGGGGATAAACGACGCTTTCGAGGATGGGTGTGAAGACCAAAATGGAGACGGGATCAAAGTTCTGCATAAAGTCGTTCGGCATGCCGTGGCCTCGCATTTGACCGGCTTGAGTCACGAAGTTGGTCGAGAATTGGCCGTAGCAAACCCAGAAGATGGGGTCTAGAAGAAACAAGGTTAGCATGCACAATGAATCAAAACAGCACGAGATGCAGTGACTTACAGAAGATGAAGACCTTGCAGGCACGGAGAGCTCGCTTGAGTTCCTCAACAAAGTGGTCATTCCAGGGAACCACTCTGGTCTTGCCGTTGGCCTCACGCCACGAGGGCTTTGCTGCGTCCAAATTGCGCGCGGCAATCATCATTCCAAGTGCCTTGAAGGCATCGGTAATGACAGAACCCTGAGGAGGGCGATCAATGAAAGAGTGTCGACGTGTCACAAGAACAGTAATGCCGAGGTTGAACATGACGAAGCACATCAGGAAGGCGGTCCAGAAGCCCTTGTACTTCTCCATGAAAGGCGTCGCCATCAACGAGAGTGAACCCAAGTTGATGCACCAATAGAAGATCATGTAGATTCTCTGGTACGTGATGGCGGGATCAATGATGACGCGCTCTCCGCTCTTCTCCGTCTTAACGGCCATCCGGCGGCGCTGATATTGGTCGGCAATCAGAGGCGCGATGTTGGACTTGATACCACCGGTGCCCAATCCAATGACGATGATGGCGACGATGTATCCAGGCATGCTGGCACCGTGTGCCAAAGCAGATGGCAGAGCGGTGGTCCAGAGAATGACCAAACCAACCCAGTAGAAGCTACAGAAGATGAGAATAGTCTTGTACTTTCCGAGATACTGGTCGGCAATAATGGCACCGAGAATGGGAGTGACTGCGCATGGATGTCAGATTGATTTCATCAGGCATGTAGAGCAAATCTACCGTAGCAAAACCACTGGAAGAACAGGTTCAGACCAGTGGCGGCTTGGTGGCCCATCCCAAGGCCTTTGGCACCATCGGATCCATCTTTACTGTTGCTAATGTAGTTCTGGAACAAGCCCTGGGCACCGTAGTAGGTGAAGCGCTCTGTGAGCTCGACCACGGCGATGAGGTAGGCTGAGGCGGGAAGATTCTCGCCAATACGGCGTAGGGTGCCCTTCTCGTATTCATTGGGCTCCTCTCCCTCTGCGGTAGGGGCCGACTCTGCACTGGCGTTTAACGCGGCAGCGGCCTTCTCGTCCAAGCCGTACTGGATAACATTGCCGCTCGCGATGTCCGTCTCCGGCCTGAACGTGGGCTGAGCGACGGGATCGGCGCGTCTAAAAAGGATCAGCGAGGCGTTCCCCCACTTGTAATATGCAAGACGTACTTGTCGCTTTCTTTCTCTTGCGTGGATGCCATGTTAACGTGAATCACAAGTCTACACAGAGAGGCAGATGGAAAAGAAAAGCAAAGCGGCCCAGATATAATATACGAAAGCCAAATGACCATTCAAAGACACGCAATTCGGCCATTTCTCAGCTGGTGTTGTATACAACGTAGTATGGCACTTTTGCTCTTTGGCATTGTCGTACCACACCCGCTCACGGCTCGTCGGCATCAAATCCTTTCCCAAGTTGGAAGCTCCATCCAAGGACCTTTTGAAGAGCCTCTCCTATCCGGGCCGAAGAGCGCAATAAGCGGGGAGTCGGAACTCGCCCGTGCATTAAAACCGGGGATAACTTGGCCGACGAGTCAACGACTGGGTTTACGAAGGCTCCATGAGCTGCAAATTTTCTAGAATTATCACCGCATCTCCGGACCCGCATAACCCCACAGAAGCCGCGAGACCCGGCATTGCCACTCGTAATACGTACGATTTATTAAGTAATAGCTACGGAAGGGGAGGGATTAATACGCACTCGACGAGGAAATTGTCACCCGAGCGAGATAAGGGAATAGACCGGGGATTGTTTTCTCTGGAGTAAGACGTCTTATAAATAAGCATCAGTGCAAGTCTGGTGACAATTGCTCCAATAGGTCATGCTAAGTGATGTCACGATTTACGATCAGATTTCCCCTCATCGTTAGCCAACATGTGGTTACCGAAAAATGCCTTCCTAAATGGGTCTTGGCCTTCAGCTACTTGTTTCGGAGACTTTTAATGTCCGGGGCAATGTCCGTACATGCAAAGAAATATGGGCCAGTTTGAGTCGTCTCTCCACAATGGCCCGGCCTCCACATCTTCCTTTCATATCAACACCACGTCCTCCTTCATTTCAGCATTGTCAGTCTCAAACGGGGTAATCACGCTGGCGAGTCTCCATCACTGCCCTAAATCAAGAAAACGCCGTCTCGAACTCAGCATACTCGTCATCATTGTTCCTTTCCGCCGGCACAACCACCAGTCCAGCATCCAGCAGTTCTTCTCTTATGTTAGCGGGAATGTCACTGGCGGGGCACTTGAATTCCCTTGTGTTCTCTTCGCTGTTTCGGTTGCCACCTTTCCAGCATTTTCAAGATCATCGAATGCCCCTTTGGAGGTTGAGATACCATACTATCACAGGTATCGTCATGGACGTACTTCATTGCTTTGCCAGGCTCTATCCGCAGCGCCTGGCTCGCTACATGCTCCCCAGAAGGTAACAGCCAAAATGAATCCTTCCCACTCCAACTTTGTCGAGACTCTTCGGGTCCTCGGTCGGACCGTCAAGCCACTGAAGTCACCGAGGTAAGCATGACTCGACAGCAGGTTTGGCTCGTCAAATTATACCACCTGTAACCTGACAATGTCTTCTGCGACCGCGAACACATGGTGGGGTAGATTAAAAAGTCTACCTCGCCACGTTCCGCAAATGGTTCCTGTGTCAAAGAAGGGACTGAGAACTATGTCCACAATGGAGTTGACATCTGCTATTGCTTTTGCTGATACAGCCCTCTGACCTATGCTGAGGTCGGAAAATTCTTTCCAGATTTACAGCAAGGTATGAGAAGCCCGTTTTTGTCTGAACAACTCGAGCAACTCCTGCACACGCAATAGCCCTGTACTTTCGGACTTCGGCTGCCAGTCAGTCATATTGCACCAACAATCCCCTTTGTCTGCGGAAAGTCTTGTCGAATTTGGCACCTTGTGCAAAACTGGTGCGAAATCCTCATTTAGATCACGCTATTGTCCGGCAGCCCATAAAACTCGTCTCTTATCGACAAAACACACCCATACCAGTCGACTACGGTCTTCATGGACAATACAGGCACAGAGTAATCACTCCTGGAATGCGCATCCCCTTGAAAGTGGTGGCCCCGAATGGTTCACAGCGGGAAGTGTTGCCACTCTATGGACTTGCCCGACGCGGGATACTCAGTCCTCCCAGGAATGCCTGAACCATGTGATACCACATGGTTGGACACGTCGCTTCAGTGGTTGGTGATATGCCTCGAGAGCAGCTCTACATCTTGGAGTGCTTCTCATTTGTAACGTTCTGCACATGCTATTCAATAATCATTTAACTATAGAATAACACGATCTTCATCTTGAGAAACCCGTCAAGGCCCCCCCTGTGCATCGAATCGACCCCATCTACTAGACTTGAATTCTTCGTAAAAAAGATTGAGATTGTCGAGAACCGTCATTGAGTTGCTATAGACTGCTCTGCTTTAAATTTCCTTGGCAATCTTCGGTGCTCGTCGCAGGTCCTGGCTAAAAACGGCAAAGCTGTGCCCATACGCGGTGTCATTGGCAATGCCAATCACCTCTTTATCGCTCTTAATAGATATTAGCGAAACAGTAGGACCAAGCCATTTTTTAAACTCAATGTTCGTAGTAAGATCAACCGCGACAAGAATAGTATGACGCGATCTATGCTTCTCTTCTCCGCCGTTGACCCTGCTCGGCTTTTCTCTAGCAATGATATCTGCCCCCGCGGAATGCCCATGTGCAATGAGTCTTCGGTTTTTTTCCGCACCAGCAGACATGGCAAGATCAGGCGCTGGCTCAGATTTCGGAGCTGTCATGTTCTGCGCTTTCACCAACGCAAACTTGAACTGTTCAAAGATCTAATAGTGAACTAATATCCTCTCAGTCGACATACAATCTGCCCGGTCTGAAAAGAATCAGTACAAACCCTCAATTCAGAGGATGATTGATATTATTACGTGAAAGACAGCACTGGCTCCAGTTTCTTCCGCCTCGAATTGGGCAAACTCAGCTCGCTGTTCGAGCAGCGTCGCGGCCCGTAGGAAGATGTATCATCGCTCAATTACTTTCGCTTTGACCATGCGGAGAAGGCTACAGAGGCTGTCTCCACCGCCTTCACTGCCTCTGCCTTGGACACGCTTGTGAAATGCCCCAAGACTAGGGGAGGTTAGGTCCAATAACATTTCCATTCAGCACCAGATGTGCAGTTTACGGAGCATATACTACCCTCCATAGAAGTAGATCCTGCTTAACATTATAGAGAATTTAAAACGGGACTTTTGATGGGTTCTATAACTCGCCGTGTATTGATACTAGCTGAAATGGCGTCTTTCAAGAATTTGCAATTAATATACTCCTTGTCCATTTTTTCAACGCTTCGATGCACTCTCCGTTTCGTTTATCGTCGCCTTCAATTAAGATAAAATCGTGTGCCATCGTTTCTTGAAGATCAAACTGTAGCTTCATCTCGGGGCTGTTCTTCTGCACTTGTCCCACAAAATCGATGCATTGGTCCCGAAACACCTCGTGGTATCCCACCGACACGTACATCTGGTTTGTAAGGGCGCTCAGATGGTGTATCCAGGGCTTCTCCATGTCGAGGGCAAATAAATGACAGCGTTCTTCCATTGACCTCGTCTCCCAATCGTCATAACCCACCACTACACCTATGATTGACTTCACAAAGTCGGCAGAGAGCATATCAATCGAGCCGTTTTCAACAAATGCTCGATCGTTTGTTTCTTTTGTGAGCCACGGCGAGATGAGGAATACTCCAGCGAATGGCTTGGCCAGGCTGATCTGAACGGCTTCGGGATGCGGCCACACCAAATGGCACATCAACTGGCCTGTCAAGTTGCCGCCAGCAGAATCTCCGCCGATGATGATATTCTCTGGGAGAATTCCAGATGCAAGCAAATGAGATAGGCCACTGGCGGCCTGACGCAGTTGCATGGGATACCGCGCAACGGGGCAGAGCGTGTACTCGAGGATTGCCACTGCAACTTCAGTCTCTGCCTCGATACCAGCCACGATAAACGATCGCCACAGCCACTCCATATATGAAGTGAGCATTGGGGTAGTGAAGCCTCCTCCGTGGAAGAAGAGCACTACTTTCTTAGCCTTGTGGCGGTCTCCGAGCCAGAGGATCGAGGAGTTCCCGTCCTCCAGTGGTTCAATGTCGCAGCTCAATCGACCAGCCTTTTCTGAATCCGCTCCTGGACTCAGCTTGGATATTTCCACCTCAACCCATGATTTGAACACCTCTTTGGTTGGGGGGCACAAATATTGAGTTTCGCGTGCGTCAAAAACATCCTGGAGCGCTTTGTAAACTCCACACAGAACGTAGTCTCGAAGGGGGAGTCCTCGAAATCCAGCAATAACTGTAGCACGGGCGACGTATGCCGAGACGTAGAATGGAGCTGACAGGAACCGTTAACATTGATGCACCGAGGTCCCAAGTCATACAATCTCGACATACCTTGGAGAAACCGGAATGCCAAACGGAATTTGTCCGCGTTGGAGAAGGGAGACGCCATGGGTAAAAGAAGACGAGTTATGGTTGACAGTTGTGTGACCAGAAAGTCGCAACAGCAGTGAGTTGCAGGTGAACAGGAGATGGTCAAATCAAGGAGAGAAAGCTGATATTTATGTTTTAGCTTCATGCGGTTGCATCATGCCCGCTATTAGTAGCCCCAGACAATAACCGCGCCCAGGGCTCAATACTAATCCATCATCTCTCTGCCTTGGATCGGCTAGGGATATTGAGACCTCGGATCATTCGTCTCAAATTGACGGTCAATGACACTAACAAACTCCGTAGCGTCATGCATACAGAGAGTATAACAACCGAAATGTCATTGTCAACCTGTTTTGAGTGTAGTGGTGGAGGCTGGAACCCTCGTAGCCAAGGGTCAGATACGCTATCATCTTGACGGAATTCGCGGGAATGGGGATGTCGTAATTGCCGGTGGTAGTTCCGCATAACCACGCGACCTGGCGGATCCCGCGGAGGCCTTGACTCCCGAAAGCCGTCGCAGAAAGCGCGCGCACACGGGCCATGCGCGGTCTTGGCGAGTCTCTGAACAATGCCGAAGCGAAGGGATTGTTCATTTGCATACCATGTGTTTTAGCTGGTGGTAATGGCTGCTAGTCAATGGATAGTTGGCAGACAACGTGGCAGGGTTACTCAGTGAACGGAGAAAGGGAGAAGTGCCGTCCCAATGACGCCGGGGAGCAAGTTAGGCCGTGGAAATTGAAACATATTCGCTAACGGTTTCATCCGCCAATCGAGTCTCGTCGCGATTATCATATCATTAATACACAGGAAATACGGTTTCCCGCAGAGAGATATCGCGGGCGGTGAATCGATCCGACGATAATCGTGAAATAAGAAGATGTTTATACATCATGTCTAATACTCTATTGTAAACCCGTGCCGTGATACTTTAGTATCTCAGTATGGCACCAGATACAATCCTCGATTTATAAGCACCCCAGCACCAGAATAGGAAAATAACAACGCCGGTGAACAAAGCAAATGCTTGATCCAACTCTGATATCGAATTTCCAGACAGGCGGAAGGGGTTGTAGATAGGAAATTTATCTGGGCGCCCCTGAAGTAGGGCAACAGCCGCGAGAAAATGAAAGCTACCTGTCTGGGTGTAGATATAAGAAGACATGTTTGTTCTTAAAAGACCCCAAACTGTTCGCAACGTCTCCGTTATTCTCTTCAATAATATGATAGGAGCCGTTCTTTCGATGTTCCAATCAAGACAGTGAAATAAGGCTGCCAATATTGAGATAAGAAATGGATATGCCAGGCTTATCCCTTGGGCAAGATAAAAGCTGTATGTCATGAGGAAAACGACGTGATAAAAAAAGGAGCTGAATATTTTGCCCTGGCCCATTTTCCAACATGAGATGATGAATGGTTCGTAGGCGTCTATTCCCAACGACTTGAGATGGTCATCATCGTAGGACTCATGGGGACCCCGATAATACCGCTTCGCACAAGCCACGCAACATATAAACCAAGTAACTGAAACGGCCAGGGCTCTTTTTCGGACAACCAGCTTGGGAACATTCGCCTTGCCCATGACGTGCAGTATATTCATTGGGTGAATTTTCAGCCGCTGGGAAACCAGAATCATCCAGGGCGCGAAGGTGCAAAAGAGGATGACCACGGAGAGCGGGGCCTGTAGCGCGAGACGATGTTGTATCTGCGCAAGCTTGGAGTCGGCTTCTGACTCAAATTCTTGAGAGTAATTGGCTATCTGTGAAAGCACATCGCAGGCTGCAATGAAAGGGTATGCCAATGCCACTATGAGATCCGCATCGAGAGAGTCATGTGTGCGATACTCTGAATGCAGAGTCCACGAAACAAAGGTAGATGCAATAGATAGTATCCAGCAGGCGAGAACTCCAGGGCCATATTGCGACGAGACAAGGTCGAATTGAGTCAATGTGCCGCTCATGGCTGCGACCGACTCGCGGCTGAGGCGTTTTCAAGTGGAGGACCAACTGGCGGCGGAGGGAAGCTTTTCTTATTTGTTGCCGGAATTCGTCTGCGATCCAGGTTGCTCGAATTTGTCGACATGATAGAAGGGCGGATAAATATGTCTCAATAAAGATGTAAGATCAACGGCTGATGCCTTATCGCCAGCCTCATCCGTCTGACATTTGCTCATCGTCAGCGTCACGTGCAGACCTCAGTCAGCACTCAACTCGGGCCGGCTTTTTTGCGTGCAGGGGTGTTTGTGAGAGGGCATCGACATTCATCTAAAACCTGGCAGCAAGAAACTTGGCGGTATCTGGGGCATCAGACGGGTAGTAGATGGATCTGAGAGTCTAGTAGAATCGAGATTGCAAGCCGCGTGCATGCTTCTGAGCTTGATCAGTGGAGTCTCAGATCAACTTTGAGGGAGGCTAAGGCTTTTAGACTAGAGCCATTCGGTCTCAAGACCGTGAGTATTATTGGCTGGCTGGATCCCCGTCTGGTCAGCTTATGTCGAACATTGATAAAGCAAGTATGCTATATTCTGACGGCAACCTGTAGCAGATGATTCAAGCATACCATACCAGTACTCGACGTTATTCCATCTGGTTGTTGGCTGCTCTACGTCGTCCGTTTGTTACCGTAGCGAATGCGAGATCCACGATGAATGCGAGATGGTGTGCTTTATCATCGGCGCAAATGGCCCCACTCGGACTGCAATTGCCCCGAAACTCAGACACGCGGACCAAGTAGGTAACAGTTCCGACTCAGCTCCCTGATTACACAGCATTGTGTCTAGATGTTATGCCCATTCGAGTCAGGCGCCAGATGAAAGGTTCAATCCGAGGCTCCGTAACGGAGCAACAGTCGGTCCATTTGTGATGGCGCCGTCAAGTTTCTGAAATTCGCACAGTTTCCGCCGCGGCTGGGGCCACGCTGGGCAGAATTGTATAATACTAGAGTGGCCGCCGCCTTGTAATGGTGACATCAACACTTTCCCCAATTTCAACACATATTCTTCATCTCATTTCCATCATCCATCATGAAAGCCCTTCTATCAAACAACTCCATTGTGTCCAGGATCAGCAACCTGACTCTGGGCAAATCCTTCGGTGGACGCGGTGGCGTGTTCAAGGACATCCCCGTGCCAACCATCTCCAGTGACGAGATCCTCGTCAAGGTCAAATCCGTAGCGCTGAACCCCACCGACTTCAAGCACATCGACATCATCTCTCCCCCAAACTCCATCATCGGCTGCGACTATGCCGGCGAGGTAGCTGCCGTCGGCGCCAATGCAGCCAAGTTCTGGAAAGTCGGCGAGCGGGTAGCCGGCGCAGTCCATGGCGGCCTGTACCCTGACCGCGGTGCCTTTGCCGAGTATCTCAAGGCAGATCACGACCTCGCCTGGAAGATCCCGCCCGAGGTGTCCGATGCTGATGCAACGACATATGGCGTCTCGGCCATCACTGCTGCGCTGGCCCTCAACAACCGCCATGGCTTGCCGTGGGCCAACGAGGGTCCCAAGACAGGCCAAGCAGCATCTGCAGAACGTCGGTCAATCTTCATTTATGCAGGCTCAACCGCTGCCGGCCTCTTCCACATACAGCTAGCCAAGGCTGCGGGACTTACCGTCGTCGCCACCGCATCGCCTCATTCCTTTGATCTCGTCAAGAAATACGGCGCAGACAGCGTCTTCAATTACAAGTCGCCAACGGTTGCCGAAGAAATCGTCAAAGAGTTTCCCAATATCTCAATGGCCGTGGACTGCTTCTCTGAAGGCAAATCGATTGAAATCTGTGCCAAGGTCATCCAGAACAAAGGCGGCAAGGTCGTGACGCTTCTTGACCCTGGCAAGTCCAAAACTCTCGGCGTCGAATACGAAATGATCCTGGCGTACACAATGTACGGCCACAGCTTCCAATGGTTGGCGCCTATCGGACCCAAGTTCGCAGCCAGTTCGTTAGACCGCGAGACCCTTGTCCACTTCTGCTCCATCCTGCCAGAGCTTACGAAGACCATTAAGCCAACCCCGGTCACAGAGTTGGAGGGTGGTTTTGACGCCATTCTCGGTGGATTAGATCAGTTGCGAGCGGGAAAGGTATCTGGAGGCAAGTTGGTGGTCAAGGTGTCTGAGTAGCGTATGTAGCTTCTGTTTTCCTATTGTAAGGTTATAGGTCAGCTTGTTGATTGCTAGAGTTCAAGGCTCTGGATTGATTATGGGAATGAATAATGAGATAGTATAATTTAGAATGATTTTTACACCCACAACGACAAAATGATCTCAAAGTAGTAGGATTACGATTTACTTACTACTTGAGATGAAATATGATATTATGACCAGGCAATCCCATGGGTTCCTCGAAGCTGCATTTGGCGGTAAAACACGAGATGTAGAATAAGATCCGAAACCTGAGATTTTGAAGATGGAGGAGGGAAAGTTGGTCCCGTCTGCTGTTATTAGTCTTTACATAACATCTATTTCTAGCTGATATTTGTGCACACTGTCTCGGCCTAGCAACGGAAAACCAGTGAGTTGATCTCAAGGGGCCAGGTACTCCAAATCCGAATGCATACACCCAATTTCTTTCATTCCTCCAAACTTCTTTCGTAAAGCAGGAACTATCAATACTACTATAATATTATATTTTTAAAGCTAAAACAATGTCTGGCAGTTTCAGTTGCTAGTTGGCTATATCTTGCCCAGCAATATAGCCCATTGGCCACTCTATAATACTATTCCATAACGGATCGATAGTATTTGCAATAGACCTTGCCACACCGAGCCCCCATCCCTTCATAAACCAAAATGTCGATTCAGTAATGCGCAAGACAACACAGAAATACGCCAAGAGGGCCACTGCGGCAGGTTGTCGTTGGCGAAGAAGAGTGATAAAGTCTGGGTTAAGATGCATCGGCCAAGTCGAGACAACTCGCACTTCAGGCATCGGGGCAGTAGCATTTGCATTGTGAATGCATGAAATGAGACTGATAATCTCAGCCTCGACCAGGGCCTGGATATGGTCATCCAACTGGTGGGTCTCTAGCTGCAGTTGAAGATCAATAATTTTGTCGAGGAGAGTCTGTAGACCGGCGGGCATCGACGGAACGGGATGTTTAGGTAGCCCAAAGAATTCATGTAAAGCGCCTTTGGAGATGTTATCCTCCTCTGTCTTCAGAACACCATCGATGCCTCTGGTGAGGAGAAAGATATCCAAGATATCATCGACAGACGGCTCTAATCCATTTGTCTGGTTCGTCACGCCAGAAAATCCTCCAAAAGAGAATAAGAGGGAGGCCGCAAAGAGCGCATCGCAATTCTCGGCTGTTATCTCTGCCAGCGCTATCCTCATTAGACGGACGGCGTGATCCTGATGCTGCGATGCCCGCAGTGCGTAAACATGGCGCTGACCTGGGTTCAGGTAGGCAAGGTGAAAGGCCGAAAGTGCGAGAAGCTGGTTCATAAGGAACTGATGCTTGATTGCTATCTTTGGCACTTCAAACTGCCACACATCATTGGCGTCCTTTGCTCTTGGCAACGTCGAGTGAGTATGCGTTGACCAGTGGTGCATGAGCTCGAGATCACCTATCCAGGAACCGGTGTTGGACCTGGCATGTTTCTCCGTCTGATGACTGGTGAATCTTGCAAAATACGAGTACGGATCGAAACTGAACAACAGCTCGTTGCTGGACAGGGCCGGGTCAATCGCTGGATGGGATATCGAGGCGCCGAGCTGCTGGTTGGCGTATGGCTCAATCAGTACTTAGGAATATTGGCGTATCAAATTAGAAGAACCTACCGCGGTGACTACGGCATTCTCCTGTGGCAGTTGCTCTCCTCCTTGACTTAACCCGGCTGAGGACGGCTGAGCTTGTTCCGGGGGGCACACCACAAGGGTGCATACAACACCGTGTCTGACGCAGGCAAGGCAAGGGCGGTTTTCGTCGCACTATAGTAATTAGTCTTAACTGGTAGCGTAATATGGGAGAACAGGGCTAATTCGCACCTTGACTTTTCGTTGCTTGCATCGTAAGCACCCTGTGCGAGACTTCTTGTACCCTAGAGCCGGTGGCATTCTGGCAGTAATTGTGGAGGATGAAGTGAGTACCTTGGTGCTGGTCATAGCCTCGTGTACCAGGCGGTCAAATGCGGCAGAATGAGGAGACCCGTAATTCCCACCAATATGAACGGTCCAACCTGAATCGCGTGGTAAAACTATAGTGTGGTTCGGTGGGCGGAGTAACAGTCTCGTTGACGACGTCTACCTTAAACTTTCCCATGTACTCAACACCTGACTGTCTAGTGTAAATTATAAACAGGAAGCAGTAATGCATCCGAGGAACCTCATGATTTAAATTGTTATGGCATAGCTCGTAAAATGGTGGGTGGCCCTATTTAGCTGCGAGCAGCTAGATTGAACGTGTGTAATAGAATAAGAATGACTAGCTACTTGAGAGTTCAGAGACCCTCATTTATTTTAATGGTGGGAGAGGTCTTTAGACTACACCCTTTCGCAGGGTCGTAGCTGGAGAGGGATAAAATATAAAACAAAGCAACAGAAAAACCGACTCCTGAGGGTAAAAGATACAGAGAGCAAGTAGTTTACTGCTTTTTAATATCTCTAAGAAGAAAAGAAATAAAAATATCAACAAGAGCCACTGCTACATCTGTATTATAAGAAGCATACTGAAGCCAAAGGTATCTGATAATTCAGTGAAGGAAAAAAGCGTGCCGTCTTATTTTTCAAGCAGACTCAACGCCTTAAGTAGGGTCATCCTAAACTAGCTGCTGGCCACTACTGAATTAAACTCCAGGTGGATTGTCGGTCCCATTACAGTATCCTAGCCGTTGGGGAGCCTGCTAGGGCTCCACACTAAGACAGAAATTCATTCTACTACTCAGCCTTCCGGACCTTCGACGTAAAGTCCATAATATCCCCCCAGAGTGTAACAGGTTGCTCGGTCGGACTAAAGTGACCACCCTATAATTAAAACGTCAGCATTATTAAATCTAAGATTTCAATATTTAAACAGCAAGGATACCTACCTTATCGTGTTGGTAGAAGTAAGTGAAGACGTCACTATTACGCTCAAAGTATGATTTCGGTGGAAGGCCAACATCGTTCGGAAACCACGAGAACCCCTCCGGTTTTCCAGTTCTCGTCGGCAATGCAATCTTCGCAGTATCATTGGTTGCCTAGCGATGGTCAGTATACTGCTGTAGTGTATATAAGTGATCGTGTCCACTCCTTCAGACATGGTTTAATAAATGGGTAGAGTTCGCGAGCGGAAGGGAGAGGGATTGGCAGTGCCGTGGTGTTCTGTTCACTTACCGGCTCCGACCTAAATGCGGCATATATCCAGTACGAGGTAGGATAGGTCTGTGTGAACCAATACAACGAAGCCGTAGCTACGATAGTTTCCAAGGACAGTGGTTTCTTCGGGTCCGACCATAAGACCATTCTCTCACCGATCCTGTTTTATTTATCAGCCAATATTATTGGACATTCGTTGCCAAACACATAAACGAAACTTACCACACAAGCATTGAAATCGGGTTACCACCGATTGTGAGCCCCGCTGTGCTTGATCTATCTGAATGCAACAGGACGTTCGCTTGGCCCCATTGCCGAGTCTCGGCCATGCGCTGCAACCCATACTTCTCTAGATCGGAAGAGGGAAGATCCGTAGCAGGGTCATACGCCGGGTGACCCCACCAAAGGGTGACATGGGCGGCTAATGTTTCTTGTCAACATATACGCCCTTGGTCCACGCGTAGTTATGGGACTATTACCTTTGCACTCGTCATACTCCAGCATGTAATCTGACACCATTGAGCCGACATCTTGGCCCTGAGCGATGTAACCCTTTTCGCCGAAGCCGAGAGCCACCATAAGCTTATTAAGGATACGTGCCGTGTCGCTTGTGTAAAATGCTTCCGTCCGAGGAGGTGGGGACGAAAATCCCATGCCGATGAGGGACGGCACGATGAGGTGGTATGTCAGCTCGTGGGGTTTACCTGAGTATTGCTTTTGCACTCTCTGGAGGATGGGCATATATATCATATATGAGTCTGGATAATACGTCTCATTAGTTCAGGTTCTCGTGTCACTCTCTTTCCCTGAAAGCCGTGGCTGAGGATGATAGGAATAGCATCCTTCTTGGCGGAGAAGAGTGCGGCAAAATGAACAGAGTATTCCTCCCCATTGTCATCTTTCAAATCTAATCGAAATTGCGGGATACTGTTGATCTCGCGTTCCTGCTTACGCCTATTGGAGTTCGCGTCAGCTGAGGGCAAAAGGAGCCCAAGGATAAAGTGCCTCTTACCAGTCGAACTCGTGCCGCCAGTAGTCAACCGCATATATGAGCCAGTCCTTGGGCACACCATATTTCCAGCCATTGTCGGAGTTCTCATACGTCGGGTGCGGTGCGCGAAAGAGTTTCAGATGATCGTTCAATTCATGAATCTCCTTGTTGGAGATATTGACACGGAACTCTGTGAGCTTTGCGTCGTGAGCAATAGGGTGAGGCGGAGTTGAAAGGATACGAGCTGAGGCAAGCGTTGACCGGACAAGTATGCACAGGGCTAGTGCCATCCAGGCAAGTCGCGCCATGGTTTTTGAATCGAAAAATCTGAAAAAAAGATAGGAGGTAGTGAGGATTGGATGCTTGGATTCTGGTGAGAGGTAGCAATTAGAAAAGGTTCGATGACTTGTGCTCGCAGATGCCTTTATTATAGCTACGAGCCGTGTAGACCGTAGAGTCTCTGATTGGTTTGCTCGGTTTCTTATCTTAGTCTCGGTTCCATATCTTAGCCTCGGTATCGTATCCTTAGTCTCGGTATCGTATTTCAGTCTCGCCTTGGTCGTCGAAAACATTCGAGCTGACAAGCATATACATGCCACTGAAAAGCTCTTAACCTGTGACCTGGAGTCAATTAATTTAAGGGTGTTTATTTGACACACCGTCTCGGGTACTTGTATACCCAAGCAGCTGTTTGGCCGCTACGACACTCTGTCAACCTTTGGTGCACGGCTTCCCCCCAAATAGGCACTACAGTCCCGAACGGCCCCCGTTGCTGCACCAATTTCACAAAGGCACTTTAATTTCGTGAGCATCAGTGTGCTCCTCGTTAATCTGGCTAGTAATGAGAATGCTATGGATGCTAGGCATTACACTTACAGTATACTTGGGGTGCTATACCAAGACCTACGCGGCACAATTATTACAACCTATAGGAAGGACTGTATGCAGCGGGTCTATGAGGTTTTACGGGAAGACTGGCGGAGACCCTGTCCTGTGTACATGCTTCAGCCAATACTGCCCGAGTTCTCATTTCGCCCGCCGCACGAGGGCGTTCTCAGCAGCGTTATAATTCTCTGTTTTCATGCGGCGCTCAATCGAAGACAACGGGTCTTTCTCCTCCACGAGGGCTCTATAGCCCGGTGCAAAGTTTCAAGCTATCAGGTTTATGCCTATTCGTATATACGAAAAAGAGATGGTTGAAACTAATGCAGGCATATACTATCGAGTCTATATGTGAGTATGCGTTGCATAGAATGGCTTGCGCTCTGCTAAGCGAAAATGACATGAAGGTTCGCACGAGCACAGGAATCATCAAGGCTCCCGACAATTCAAGGTAATCCGCCTCCCTAGGTAAATTGTATTAGACGCCGTTGAGGTTGAATTGAGGGGGTCCGACTTGAATTAATTGAACTACTTCATACTCCTTTAATCAGACAGTCGTGGAGAGAGCGACTATACTTTTTTTTCCCCAGCTGCTTTTGAGGGTTCTGTTATAAAGCGCTGAAATTAGCGATATTTCGATGCAGTTGTTGCAGTGCTTCAGTATAATTAGGGGCTCTAGCCACTATAGCGCTGTGAGTTATAGGTGCAGCCTGGGAATCCACCTACCCTATAGCACATCTCATAAAATGTAAATCTGAAATAAACGTGGTAAAAGATTATCAGTATGTCAACTTGGATTGTATCCAATTAATTAAATAGCCTGTTTTAAATCGAATTGAATTCGCTGGTAGAGTACTTTGAATTAAACTCATTCAAATTGAAGTTACCTACTTTGATTGCATACAGCTTCTGCAGACACCACCTTGATGGTTGAGTGGCAAATGAGCCGCGTGAATGTGTTCCCAATTCCAATGACTAATTGAAGCTCCTTTTACCTTATTCGCATGTGGAAACCTCACTTGGGCAGTGTGCAGAATTGTGTCTCAAGGTCTTGCTCCCAATCTAACTCCTTAACCTTCATAACGGCTTTGGTCCCATTTCACTGCGTGGACCACCGATTTGTTAGAATACCAAAATGAAAGGAGACGTCGTGATTTATTCAAATGGTTATGTATAATTGAAATCTATATTTACATTTTCGACATTTGCCGAGAACAAGACAATTAGATACAAGTTCCTTGCGATTAAGATCCCAGGGCGTCCGAAATGGGCAGAAGTTGAACCGACTACGCCTGAGCCGCCTTGATGATGACATCGCTCGCCTTCTCTGACACAACAAAGAGGGGCAGAGCAATGTAGAAGCCAGGGATCTTGGGGAACACGCTGGCGTCGACAACTCTCAAGCCCTCGGTGCCGCGGACCTGGAATTTGGAGTCGAGAACAGCCATCGGGTCGCTATCAGGGCCAATGGGACAGGTGCATGATGCGTGGTGACCCCAGGCCTCGTCCTTGATGAATTGCTTGGCATCTGCCTTGGTCGATACATTCTTGCCCGGCCAGACTTCAGGGAAGCTGCCGTCAAGCGGAATCATATCGGCAAAGGCCTGTCGAGCGAACTGGAAGCCTTCATAAGTAGCCTGGAGGTCCTTGTCGCCTTCTCCGTTGCTGTTGACACCAGTGTTGTAATAGTTGAAGTTGATGAGGGGCATATCCCTTGGATCGGTCGACTTCAGTGTGACGGTTCCGGCATTGTTTCGGCTGTGAGCCTTGAGGATAATCCAAGCCCAATGCCTGGCATCGGCGAGGGAGTCAGTGGAATAGCCGGGGAAGTACCCCTTGAACTTGGCCGGAGCGCCAGAAATAAGCAAGTCAGGCTCCTTTTCGGCAACGGAAGACTTGAGGACGACGGCAATGGCAATACCGTTTGTACCATAGACGCCCTTGGTGATGGGATCGATTCCGCTCTGATACTGCTCTAGGCAAGGATCAGGCATGGTCTCCAAGAAGGTGCATTTGGAGGTGATGACGAAGTCACTGGTGGTCTTGCCGATGACAGTGGCCTCATAACGATCCTGCATGTTGGTTCCGACACCGGGAAGGTCGACGACAACAGGGATGTTAAACGACCCAAGCTCCGCCTTGGGTCCAATGCCACTGAGCTTAAGCAGCTGGGGTGTATTGAAAGCGCCAGCGGAAATGATGATCTCGCGGCTGGCGTCGACACTGCCCGACCCAGTGGCCTTGGCCGATCCGGAACGGGGGTCGGCACGGTATAAGCTTGATCCTTCCAAGAAGTCGACACCAGTGGCCCGAGGCTTAGATCCAGTCTTGTCGAACCGAATGTTGGTAACCTGTGATGTTGTAAGCACTGGCGTAAGTGGTGAAATTCATTCATGAGAGCGCTTACCAAAGTATCCAGCTTGATATCAAGGTGGTATTTGCGCGAACCATCCGAGTTGATAGCGTTGGCAGTGTTCAGAATGAAATCCCTGTGGCCGCCGCGGACATTGTCAGTCATTGCTAGCGGGACTTGGTACAGACCAGTCTTGCTAGCCTGACCCGGGGCATTGATATCGCGGAGTAGGACCTGGCCAAGTCCAACGACAGTGTTCAACAACAAGCCTAAGAGACTCTTTCCCATAGCGGTAGCAGCAGAAATAATCATAGACAGCAGCTTCTGGTCTTCCACAACCAGGGAGAGGGTTGTAAGCGACAAGCCAAGCCAGCCGCCGTATCCATGGCCGATAATACTGCTGGGCAGATACATATTGTTCTCTAGCTTCATGAAGTACGATCTCATGTTAGTCGGGCTCCACGAGTCATCGCCAGTGAGAGTAGCAATACTGCTCCAGTCACTGTCGTGAGCATAGATGGAGATGAGTGCGTTGTGACGAGAACATCCGCCCAGTGTACCAGTACGAGGGTACCAGACGCCAAGGGGCTTGGCACCAGAGGGAGGCTCGAGGCCAACATAAAAGCTGCCGTCTGCCTTCTGATAAGTCATCTTGGAGTCCTTCTTCTGTTGCTCGAGGTCGGAGTAGTGGTTGACGAAATAGTTCCATCTAGTATCCTCAAACTCGGTGGACATGAGATGCAGCGCCGGAAGCGTTTCAGTCAAACTCTCACCAGAGTCACCGCCGGCATCGATCAGCAAGACCTTGTAGCCAGCGATGGCGAGGTTGGCGGCAACAGGACCTCCGCCTGGGCCAGACCCTACGACGACATACTCGTAGCCGTCCAATGTATCGCGCTTGCCGATGAATGGGTTATGCCGAGGTTGCTGTGTGGTTGTCTTCCAAGGAACGGCACTGTTTACTAGTTGGTTTCGTATTTCTGCTTTCGGATTGCGATGGTACCTACATCGACGTAGCCGAGTCGGCTAGGAGTGAAACGAGTGTGAAGGCGATTGAGCCACGCATTTTGGCTGTGGACTGATTTAAGTCGTAGAAGGAGAGTAGAGTGGCCAGCGCCTCAAATGGATCAAAGAGATCTCAAAACATCAGTCAAAATCACCAAATTGGCGGTAGAAGGCTTAGACGACCTTAGCAAAAAGGTACGTCTGGGCGAGGCGAAGGGAAGAATAAAGAGAGTGGCGAGCTTGTAGCCAGAAACTGTTAGCTAAGCTTGGCGGTCAGCGTGCTCTTAAGGGGCGACTATTAGGCGCGCTAGGGCAAAGACCAGAATAAAGGTGGTGTGTTCTGCATCGTGTGAGTGCGTACATAGCCGGTAGTACGCTTAGACTACCTATTCGCCGATGCATTGGGCGCGTCTGTAAGCAGAAGACGCTGACATTTCGATGAAGGGGTTGCGCTTCAGTAGCGAACAGTTGATCAGGCAGGGGTTAAGCAGGCTGGAAACTCCACTACGTAGTACTAATCTCGTTCTAGTTACTAGGTGAGGCGATCGCGGACCTGGGGTGTGCGTGTTACGGAGTCTCATTTCCAATGAATGGTCATCCAACGTCCCGTGACTCGCGTCTTGGCTAATTTTATCGGATCTAGTGGCGGGGAATCGGCTTTAGTCTCCTGTAGAGGCAAAGAGATCAACACGGCAGTTATCGCGTGGTGCTTGATTTCTGGACATGATCGCCCCGGCAGAGTCAGCTTCCGTAGAGCGACCTTTAGGACGATATGGCGAGGTTGGGTCGTATTTTGCTCAATTAGGATGCTGCAGACTCACTTGTCAGTCCTGTTTCGTGCAGACGATCATAATGGTGACAGTAAGAAAGGACAAGCATTCGCGAACCTAGCTTCCGGGAAACAGGCGGCCCCGAGGGGCTGGACGGGTATGAAACGGTAGTCGGCACAGGGATTAGCAAAGTCTTTGCCAAACGAGGAGATAAACGATGCAGAGACCAGAACACCCCGGGATTGCTGAAGATTGACATTGCCACGATGGTAAGGAGAACCTGGCAATGCCCTTGCTAGCCTTACGCACGGCTACTATTCATGGGTGCTCCCCATGCTTCTGCTAACTGCAATCGGCTTGTCTCCACTGCACGCATGAACTACGTAATTAGAACTTTGAGGGCGGGGACGGTTTCAACCGCAAGGTTGGGCGATGAAGTTCCCCGGACGATCTTAGCTTTGTTTGAGCAAGTGCAGAATGCTAGCAGGGTCGCTACTTTTTATACGGATATTGCGGATCCCGAAGAATATACGGCGAAACGGCATCTCGATCGCGACAGCTTGAACATTTGTTTGGATTGGCTCACTCTATGTCTATAGCGGAAAATTAAGAAGCAAAGGAATGGACTATTTAGTCGGGTATCGTATGATTATACTGGCTCGCGCGGAGTCGTGGGTCTTCCTTGGGAAGAGTGGTGTCGTTCGTGCGACATGTTTGTGAGTTCGACAGTGGATGAGTTGTCGTGGTCGCTTGACCTGACGGAGAATTCTGTTTTGACCCGAATGGATGGCTGGGATTCAGCCTTAGACGGCGTTTTCTGGGAGTGTGATATCGGTTTCGACTGGTTCGAAAGATTGGCATAAGGTGGCATGCTCCGTTGTGTGCTGCCAAACACCTTTGGAAAGATTTGACTAAAGAGAGAGCGGATGGCGGGCATGCATGCGCATATGATGCCCACTGGGACTTCGATGGTGCTCCAGTACCCAACTTCGACGTAATCCTCTGATGGCATGTCAGTACAAAGAGTCATGCAAGCATTGGTCGGGGAGTCCACGTACGCGTAACATTGTGGGTTGTAGCGTAACTGGCCAACGAGCGCAGTCGAACAACACTGACGATGGTAACACTGACAAGGCATTAGCGAGATTACCAAACAGGGAAACCCAGAAGAGAGAACATACAAGAATCCAACACTGAACATTGCCATGATCTGGACCTTCTTTCTTACAGACAGGTTGAGCCTGATCAGCTCCCTGAGCGGCAGGACAAGTGTGCCCAAGTCCAACACAATGTTGAAAACAGCAGCCATCCAACCCTGCATGTTGATGTTGTTGCATTTTGCTGGAAACTCCTTGTCCCAAGCCCTCCAAGCACCTTCAATGGGGCTGCATTGGAAGATTGACACGAGCTCAAAAGCGATGAAGTATCCGACATTGAGGCCGATGAGAACCCAACAGGCGATTCTGATCTCTCTGTTGGGGAAGATCTTGAGGTAGAAGAGCAAGATGGATATTTTCGTCACTGGCAGGGCCCCCAGGTAGAGAAGCTCGTCCCAAAAGAATAACTGTATGCCCTGTTCAGTCCAGCAATTTTGGAGACAATAGCCAGAAGACTCACGTAAAGGAAATCCGTAATGTCGTCTGGATGGAGATTCCAGATATCTTTGCCCAACATTCTGGAAACTAGACAACCGGTAAATGTTTGCACAGACAACCGAGGATCAAGGACACATACTAGGGAAAGAGATGGCATTCAGCGGTATCATCATAGCCTGTTCACGAAGTCAGCTTGCAATTCAACCCGTATGTGTGAAGTCGACATACCACTGCAAGAAGCATGACCCAGTCGTCAGGTCCCCAGGTATGAGTACCCAAGAAGAACCTAGCCATGACTCTAAAGGCAAAAGAGAGGAGTCCAAGGACAAGAAATACGACGCCTACAACCCATACCAAGGTCGACCGGTCTCTAGACGGTGCGCCGCACGCGTGCTTTGAGTAGCTCTGGACCACTTCAACGCATTGTTAGCGACATCACAACGACGGCCGTGGAGAACATACGCAGCGACTCCCGGACGGTGCAGTTGGCAGCCACACATAGTGAAATCTGCTCGTTCAATTCGACATTCGTGCAGATACAGGTGGCGTTGGTCGGCGAACAGGTCGACTTCAACGTCTCCTGCTGAATACAACTGACCTAGTCGATTGTGAACCCAAAGATCATCCCGCATGGCCAGAAGAGGAACTTACGCCGCACAAGGGGGGTGTCTCGGTGGTGGTGTTGGCAGCAGCCCACACACCGACCTGGGCCACGGCCAGAATCAACGATGCGAAAGCGAGGAGCCTCATGGTTCCTTGGGGATGCTGAAAGAGGCACAGCAGCCGGAGACACGAGAGAAGGGAAAAAGGGACAAGGACAAAGAAAAAGAACGGCACCGTTGAATACGGAACGAGGGTGAATAACTATTCAAGCTGCTTAATGCCGCGTGGGAAAAAAGATTCAGGCACATCTGCCGAAGCGCTACGTAACTAACGCGATGCCCGGGCCTCCCATGCCGGGTCCGGGTGTGTTGCTTTGGGTTCCCCGTTTCGAGGCGATAGAGACAGGCCAGGGAAGTAATTGGCGATAGACGTTGCCGCAGTATCCATAACAACGCAGCCGCGCAGTTAGTCGAGGTGGATATGCCCTGAAAGAATGGAAGCTCGCAGGCCTTTGCCTGTTGAAATCATGGCCAAGCGCGCTAAAAGCGAAGCCATTCAAGGGATCCGTGCTAGCGGTTTCAGCGCCAAGAGACAGACTGGGATGTATGCTAGGCCCAGCCTGGCAGCCAGCCTTGGTGGAGTCGACTCATGTGGAGAGATGATTAGCGTTTTTACGACACAAACCATAGGAGCCTTGTTATGTGTGGGCTCCCTCGAGGACAATGTTGCACTGCGAGAACCGGCGAAGGGGCTCGCAAGGGTTCGACCCTGACGTCTATCCGATGACGGCAGATTATACTATGCAGTATGACGAGCCATGGTACTGGGTTGGATGGAGAATCTTCATGACACACAGGGGCTATACCAAGATACGCGGCTGTCGGGATGGAGAAGCAGCAACAACGATGACTCGCGCCGCCCCGGCCGCCCAGCACGAACTGGCGATAGTAGAGACTAGAGAAGCTATTCACATTGGGCAGCATCGTCAACATTAGCGTCTGATCCGTGCGGTTAGTCTGCCCTCCGGTTTACGGGCTGGAGGGTAATCGTCGGATCGTCTGCTCCGTAAGGCTTTAAACAGCTCGCAGGGCTGTCCTGGACATGGAAGCACGTCAAGCTCTGAGCGATACTACGTCGTGAGCGATACTACGTCGTCAAAGTAGTTCATCGGTGTAATTTATGTAAACGCCGATCGATGCCGATCACGGCCAGTTGTCGACGGAAGTTTAAGGCTTCCGGGGTAGTCTGGAGCTAACACGTTCATAACATTTTAGTGTCGTTTACACACGCAGACTCGCGACTGAAACCAGCTAGATGTGAACGAGATAAGCGCAAAGTGTTCCCAGTCGGGATGCTAACTCGCACAGACTGGTCCCATGACATTACGATGCTCATAGGGCCACCCAGAAATGGTGCGATGCTCATAAGGCAGCTGCATAGGGTGCCATTGACAATCATCTCTATCGCCGATCTTTGCCTTGCGCGCTGCTCATCATTTTTATGACCTTCCGGGGCCCAGTAAACGGGCTCCCGGATGTCATTGTCATTGCGAACTGTGGATCTCGCCTCGCGGAATCCACCCTTTGGCTATCTACACCCTCGCAGCCCGCTTCTCCTCCCGCTGAGGCATCATCTCCCTTCAATTACAGGTTAGACGAACCCTCGGGCGTTGTTTCAGCTCTTCTCGAAAAGGGAGACGCCATCTCATGCGTGGCTCAACGGGGTAGTTGCTGCCGCCCACCTTAAAGCATTCTCTATACCCCAATAAAATTGTTTCAATTTCCAATCTGACACTGTTTCCGAGGATTGCGGCGCATTGCGGATGGCACGATTCTCCAACGTCGCTCTTTCAAATACTACCATATTCACTTCTTACGCTCCTTTGCTTGCTGCGACATCATGAAGTGGCGCCATCTTTTGTCTATTCTGCCCTGCCTCGGGAGTGGCGTGCTTGGCTTCCCAGCCCATTCCCACGCCCCCATTACTCCCGAGGTGGCTGCGCGACTGTCAGTAGCTCTCGCCGGGGTTGTTCAAGAATCGCACGACAAGAGGGTCCTCTTCGACCCATTGACTACTCCGATCGAGGTCACCGGCGACCACAAGTTCATTGCGCCCGACTTCAAGAATGGTGCTCAGCGAGGACCCTGCCCTGGCCTGAATGCCTTGGCGAACCATGGGTACATCAGCCGGAAGGGTGTGACGAGCCTGACTGAGGTTACGGGGGCCATCAACAAAGTTCTCGGAATGGGGTTGGAACTCGCGACTATCCTGGCCGTCATGGGCACCGTCTTCGTGGGGAATCCTCTGTCCCTTAACCCAGGTTTCTCCATTGGAGATACCTCCAGCGGCGCTCAGAACATCTTGGGAAATGTCCTTGGGCTTGTGGGCACACCAAGAGGCCTCAATGGCTCGCACAACATCATTGAGGGAGACTCATCCAACACCCGCGCCGACCTCTACATGACCGGAGATGCCTCCACCATGGTCATGGAGCAATTCCAGTCTCTTTACGACATGTCGTCTGGCGAGGGTGACTACAACTTTGAGCTCTTCACCAAGCGGGCCGGGACACGCTTCCATGAATCGGTAGCGACCAACCCGAACTTTTACTACGGACCATTCACTGGCATGGTGGCTCGGAATGCAGGCTACCTCTTCGCCTGCCGCATGTTTGCCAACCACTCTGCCGAAAATCCCACCGGTCTCTTGAGTGAGTAACTCCAGTACTAGAAGGGTTTCAATGCTGACTTTTTACAGACAAGGCAACCCTGAAGAGCTTCTTTGCCGTCCAAGGTGAAGAGGGCAAGCTCACCTACAAGCGAGGCTGGGAGAGGATCCCAGAGAATTGGTATCGCACTCCTGTCGACTACGGGTTGGTCCAGCTCAACCTCGACATTCTTGCCTTCATTGCCGAGTACCCTGAGCTTGGAAGGTATGTTGATGTGGTACTATAAAGCGGTGAAACAATAACTAACATATTCTAGCATCGGAGGCAACCTGGGAGCAGTCAACACCTATGCCGGCGTCGACCCGAGCGACGTGACCGGTGGAGTGTTGAACCTGACGAAGCTTCTAGAAAGCAACAATCTTCTGTGCTTCGTCTTCGAGATCGTCAAGACCGTATCGCCGAATTCCTTGTCTACCCTCTTCTCCATCATCCAGGTGCCTCTCGATCTCATCACGGACGCTCTTGGAGCATCCATCTTGAACCTCGGATGCCCGGCGTTTAATGACATGACTGTCGGCGGAAAGAGTTTCGACAAAGGTATCAAGAGCCAGTTCCCTGGCGCAAAGTGGTCCGGGAATGTCCTCTAATATACCACGCTTCAACACCTCCGGCAACAGACATTTAATATTCACCGAAGGGGTCAAATTAGACATGTACCGCCACTGTAGCGTGGTCAAGTGTACCATTAATCTGTAAATTATTATAAACAACTTCATGCTCCCCATTCTCTACGTAGTCTGTGAATGAGCTTATCGAGGCGCCATCCTGCTGTCTTGACATTTTCTAAGCATGCGAGCAACTCCCTTTGCTGGGTCTGGTGCGTCATACGCCGTGCTGCAAAGAAGAAGGCCGCGATCATACACGGGTCCCAACACTGCGCGTACTGTTCCTTTCCAGTTAATGCAATGCCACAAACTCGTCGCGAGTGCCAGAGAGGTGACGTGTTTGCGGCTTCGGCCCGATCCTGATCCAGCTCGTGGGCGTGGTGTGGCATGGCTCGTGGCTTATGACTCAACAGGAGGTGCATAGCCATGTGGTAGATGACATTGGCGGACATGCCGGCGCTGCTGGTAAATAGCACGGTTGGGAATACAGTCTCTTGGTTTTCAAGCTCGGCCAGAGATCGAAGTTCGGGAGGGCGACCGTCGTACCACCCTTGCAGCTCAGCAAGGACGGCTTTCCATCTGTCAAGGCGGGACCCACGAGGATGCGCTGGCTCTGCGGCCTGGGTAGTAGTGCTGTGTTCAGAGGGCTCGAAGCATAGGCCCATGACCTCTCCCAGTAGAGAAAGACAGTGGAGAGATGTGTTCAGAACTCGTTGGAAGTCATCGCTCCCGGATGACTTCAATATGATATCGCGGAGAACTTCCGGGGCCCAGGTCGGAGCGACTTCGTGCATCAGGCAGTAGGCGATTTCTTAATCACGATATCGTGGTCAGTCATCAAACACATACCCAAATGAGGAGAGATTGAGGTAAAGCACAGGCTGGCATTGGCGAGAGACTAGGAGGAGGAGACAACATACCTAGTCTTGACATTAAAGAGACGGTACCGTGCCACATCCTCTGGTGGCTAGTGTCTGTGAAATGGTACATGGAAAATTCCGGTTGAGCCCCCCCTCCCACGAATATGGGTTCCCATGCGTCTGGGACGGCCTCGATGAAGCTCCCGATTATCGACAGCACGAAGCTAAGTAATATCTGGAGGGCCACGAAGGATGGTATTTCGCTGGGAGAGAGGGACGCATGCTGCAGAAGCACAGAGCCCATATTCCGTTGGGCTGCCTCATTCGGCCTGGACCCAGAGGAAATGACGGACAGTTGCAAAACTGCGTCTAGCACGGGCGGCGAAGTCATGGCGAGCTGTGGGACTAGCAATCCGAAGGTCCGACCTAGGTCAAAGATGTCTAACTGTGTATCGAAGTCAGCAGGCGGAGTGAATTTTAACTAAATCAAGTAAAAATATTTCTGATGGCAGGCTGGATGAAAAAGGATGGAGCTTACCCAGGGGGAGACATTGGTCTCGTAGTGCTTCAAGAGGTAGATTGTGTGACTTGTCATCGAGGGTCCTGGCGTTGGGGCCCTCAACTGAGCTATATCTGAACTGGGTGGGTAGTTTGAGGCCCCAAGTAACGGCTCCTCATCCCCGAGGAGCGATTCCTGCGAGGACTTTCCTGGGTGCTCTCTTCCAGCCAGGTGGCCTAACGAGACCAAACCGTTGGGGACTCCATTTCCCCCATCGGCGATCTGCCTCGGCTGCAGGGAACCGAGGGCAGGAGAAGTACAAGTCGGAAGAAGGTCCCTAGCTGACGCTTGATCGTAAACGAACTGAATCCCGGGCATCGATATTAGTAGGCAAGGCAAAAGCATGTCTCGTGAATGAGACGTAGGGTAGTGATTACCTGTATAGCAGAGTACTTAGGTCTTTCCGAGGCCGTTGCCAGCGTCTGGGAGTTCCTCTCGAGAAATGACAGTCGGGTGAGATACTGGCACACGACCCCGGCATCTAAACAGCGCCCGCACCGCGGTTTGCTTTCGTCACCTGAGCAACTCTCTACATATTAGCTAGAGTCACGGAACTTTCTGTCGTGTTCCTTGGAATGGTGTGCGAAGCTCACATTTGCGACGTCTCGCGCGGCATCGCTCGCAGCCGGTACGGGTTCGCGTGTGTCGGATCACATGCTGCTTCTGAGTATCCCCTTTACCAAGAGCGTCGGTATGTCTGGAGTCTTCTCTGACCATGAGAAAGGTGTATGAGTCAATTGGATGAGTTTAGGGCGTGCGGTGTGAGCTCTATTCGCTGGGTAGGAACGATTGCAGGATAAGAAATGGGAATCCGCATCCGCCCCAGGCGCAAAAGAGGAATACATATCCACCTCAGATGCGAGCTAGTGGATAATTTGCAGATGCTGATTCGACAATTTCTGCTTGCTCAGCCAGGAGGTGGATGGGATTCCCCTTCTCGGCCATGGACAGGCGGATGCAAATGGCGTTACCCTTTTAGGAAATGGACAGGCGGATGGGTAAACTCGATTGAGCTGCTGTGTAATAATTCAACTCCATGGCCTCTTCGATTCCTTCACGGCTTACATATCTTGCCGGCTCAGCAATTCTTTCTCCATGAGAAATGGCATGGCACCGACCTTAAAAGGAATACTCGGTCGTTCGTCTTTTTGTTGGAGGGAACTTCACTCTACACCTTGACTCTTCATCCTTCACTTTAATCCTCCACTCTTTTTTCGCCGCGCCAATCCCCCATCCAACCGCAAACCGTGCAAGAAAATAAATGGCAGCACTACCAAAAACCATGAAGGCTTGGGTCATCAAGCGAACTGGCCAACCCAAGGATGTCCTCGAGTTGAGACCCGACTGGCCCACCCCAGCATCCCCCAAAGGCGGAGACATCATGGTCAGAGTCTCCCACGTCGCCCTGAACCCTCTTGATCTCGTTATGATGCGTATGCCAAGACCTTTCATGGGAAATGCCATTCCTGGGGCGGACTTTGTTGGCCAGGTTGTTCAGACTGGGCCGTCTATACCCTCCTGTTCCAATGTGCGCGTGGGCATGACTGTCTGTGGCACCATTCCCACCATGCAGATCTTCTCTGGCGGTGGCACGCTGGCCGAATATCTCATCCTGCCGGCGCACATGGTTGTGGAGAAGCCACTGACCCTGGAAGACGGCGCCGCGGCTGCTCTTGTGGGGGTTCCCGGGCAGACGACCGCCATCGTGATGCGTGCCACCGAGTTCCGCAAGGGGGACAGGGTTCTTGTGAAGGGTGCTAGCGGGGGTGTGGGTAGCGTTCTGGTGCAGGTGCTTCGATCAACCGGCGTTCATGTCACTGCAATATGTTCTGGCAAGAATGAGGCCATGGTCCGGCGGCTCGGCGCTGAAGAGGTACTGTTATCTGACTTAGTCCCAGCAGCGATACATTACTAGAAGAAGACTTACTAATTAATCTGCCCCGTAGGTCATCGACTACACCGCCCACAAGTCACTATACGACCATCTGATTACGACATACAAAGATAATCCCTTCGACACTATCATTGACTGCATCGGAGACGAGACCCTCTACAAGAAATGCCCCGGATACCTCAAGCCAGACGGCAAATTCCTCTCCATCGCCGGCGGTCTGATGACTGGCATAAAATTCAAAATGCTTCCAGCTATGCTTGGGGGTACGAAACGAACCTACTTGCACGTCATGAACGCACCATCTGGCACGGGTGCGAAGGAGGTTGCGGGCTGGGTTGACAAGGGGTGGATCAAGCAGGTTACGATCGACTCGACTTTTGACATGGAAAATGCCATAGAGGCAAGTTTACTCTTCCCGTCTCGTCTACTTCTTCGCAGAAATGCAGTTGAGCTAACGTATCCAGGCATATGAGAAACTAGCATCGAAGCGCGCAGCAGGCAAAATCCTTATCAAGGTTGGAAACTAACCGACACAGTTAGCGTCGTGATTATTAGAGAGTTGGTTGAGGTGTGCGAGTAGCTGGACTTTGGGAAATGACTTTGGGAAATGGGTTTAATAATTCATGTTACACTACTAGAATAACTAAAGGTCCAGTCAGATGATAGTTGAGCTATATACGCTAATCTTCGGGTGCGTTCTACTCAGAACCGCTCCTCTATTTCCCCTTCCAATGGCTCAGCATCTCCTTCACAGTGGTGACCTTGATGTCCGGGAACTTCTTGTTCAGGGCCTTTTCATCGGGGAAATCGAAGACGCTTTCCGTGACCCAGTATCCAAAGACCGAGAACAGGCCCTGCACCCACTTCTTAGGGAAATACGAGTAAGCAGCGACCTGACCTGGCAGTTCGGTGATTTCGCCACTCTTCAGCTTCTCCACGCTGTCGTACGTGACGGTGAACTTTTCGCCTGCGTTGGGGTTGGCATATGTTAGCGTATCTCTTCATTTGGCAATTTAATAAACTTAGAAGCAAGGCGGCGAACATACCTCGAGCCTCTTCAGCGAGCTTCACAAATTCCTCCCAAGTCATCTTGTCTCCAATGACGATAGTGTCCCGGTCCCATTTCGGTAGGTCGAGCGCTGCGATGACGAACTTGGCGACATCAAGAGAGTATGTAAAGGTCATCTTCTGCTTGCCATCACCCGGAATCGAAGCACTCTTGCCAGCCATGTCGACCACGAAAGTAGTTTGCTGGATATATGTCTTGACGTGCGGCATGCCGAAGTACTCCAAGAACCACCCGATGTTGAAGGCGGTCCACTCCAGGTTGGTCTTCTCGAGTTCTGCGTAGGCGGCTACATGCTGGTATCCATGAGGCAGCATCTTGACATAGCTTGATGCCGAGTTAGCCTATGCTTCCATATTCAGAAATAGGGCCAGGTGCTACTCACTGCTCGGCAGCTCGGACAGCCCATGAACTGGCCACGAAACGCTTCGTGACTGACGACTTATCGGCCGCCCTGATGAGTTTGAGCTGGGCCTCTCCTACACCGTGGATATGGAGAGCGAGCGTAGAGATGACCGTGTTGATATTGTGCTTTTCCAAGACCTCAGTGAGGCTATCGACGCTTTCGTAGTCGACCTCGACGATGGGCAGTCCGAGATCCTCTGCGCCCGTAGACTACACATGGATTTAGTTATTTGGAGTAAAAGCATGAGAATTTGATTGAATACCTTGCGGGATAACACGACTGCAGTGTGTCTCGGGTCATTTTTAATGGCTTCGACGATGGCGCGACCGACACCGCCCGTGCCACCAGCGATTGCGACGTTGACCATTTTCGTTTGTGGATGGTGTTGAGTATGGAAGTCTAGGGTGGATGTGTGAAGGATGCATCTTGTAAAAATCGGCCGTCTTCATGTCTTAAATCATTCTCCTTGTTTCTTCAATCCCCCAAATCGAAGAAGCGCAACCAGAAGAGTAGAGATCGTCCAGCATGCCGGAGCTTGGTCTAGCCGAGTAAAAGCGCCGGTCGGCGAAATTGACTATACTCCTCTGTGTTTATGAGAAATCAGGCGACACTATTCTCCGACGGAGTGATTAGAAAGGCATTGCCAAGGACGCCGACAGTGCTATTCGATATGCCGGCCGCGATGAAGGTCTCACTCTCCACTGTATGGACTGTAGTGGGGAATATCACGGACGCCGAACGGACGAAACCAGCGGACGAACGACGGACGACGGATGGACGACGGTCGTTACACGTAAATTCTCCGAGCCAATAGTGGATTAATACACCGCCGCGTTTAAGGTGCATTGACGACGTATCTGCAAGCTTGGGAATATATATGATATTCATGGAACCCTTTCAGATTTGAGGATCCTAATACCAAAATTGTTTTACCATCTTCACCCCGCATTCCAAAAATATGGTTACCATTGCAGTTGCAGGAGGCACTCGCGGTATTGGCCGCACGATAGCCGAGACTATCAAGGGCCAAGGTAAACATGACGTGAAGATATTCAGCCGAGCGGTAAGTGTCGCATATGAAATGCCATGGGCAGCCCTGTGAACTGACTGGAGAAGGCGAACCCTACTCTCGAAGCCGAAAGCGGCTGCGAGGTCATTGCGGTCGACTACGACAACGTCGAGGCTTTGACCAAAGTCCTCGTCGACAATAAGATTGACACGGTGATATCGACCCTCTTTCTCACAACCACAGGCTTACCACAAGTCAACCTCGTTCGGGCCTCCGAGGCATCCCAATACACCAGGCGGTTTATCCCAAGCATTTGGGGAATTCCATACACGATGGAGTGAGTCGAACGATCCTCTCTCTGCTCTCTCAATCCTAGGTCGGGTTCTCAGTGAGATCAGAATTCGGTATTAATCTTGTGAAATAGCCAGCTTAGGGACTTTGAAATTGGCCGAGCCAAGCTCGAGGCCCTGGAAGAGCTCCAGGTGAGCACACTTGAGTACACCCTCTTCTACGTCGGATACTTTCTCGACTTTTGGGGCCACCCGCGCGTGAAGACGAATCAGTTACCCAACATCATTGCCGTCGACATTGAGCACAACGTGGCTGCAATTCCGGGCTCCGGTGATGTGCCCGTGACATTTACACACACCCGCGACGTTGCCAAGTTCGTTGCAGCCAGTCTGGAGCTCCCGAAATGGGACCGGGAGAGCTATGTCATTGGCGACACCGTGACGTGGAATGAGTTTGTGCGGATCGCAGAAGAGGTCAAGGGTGAGTGCTCGGTACACTTGTACGTAGGGCTTGGCTAACAAATGTCGGCATCAGGCGTGGAATTCGAAGTCAGCTATGACTCTGTCGAACTTCTCCGAACTGGAAAGGTGACGAAGCTTCCCTCTCACCCTCCGCTGTACGCGCACATGACCAAGGAGCAGATTCAGTCCATCTTTTCTGTTTTTGGGATCTGGTTCGAGCAGGGGATGTTTGAGCTGAAGCCTCCGAAGGGAACGCTTAATGAAGTGTTCCCGGATATCAAGGCTTGGACGGTGAAGGAGCTGCTGGAGCTGGGCTGGGGGCAGGAATAGCGGTGTCAAGGGATATGAAATGGAGGGTTCAATTCAAAATGTCTGGAGAATTTCCTCATGCGAATATCCCATAATGGCGGTGAGCGTTCAATACAACTCTCGTCTGCTGCTTTGAGGGCCACGTCTCCGAAATTGACGGACCCTGATGAACTAAATCGAAGCTGACGTACGCCAGACAGTGTCCACTGGTGAACTAAAGATGGTGTAGACGCCACTGTGGCTCAACCCCGACTTAGAGTCGGAATGCTCCATGCGTCCATGCAGGAGGTGAGCGTACGACGTAGTATAACCGGTATACCGCCTCCCCGTGGGCACATCTAGTGGCCATGGCGATAACCCCGCACGGCGCATTCAGGAGACGCTCAATCCAGCTTTCCAATGCTTCAGTCGGAATCTCGGCAGCGCGTAGTCGGTCGCCTCAGCTCCCATTGCGCGTAAGTCTCCATCTGCTAGCGTCTCGGACATCAGCCGGCTGGGTGGAGACGTGCCGAGATTCCGGATTGACCATCGGACGGCGAAGTCATTGGTCAGACACGGCGCTGCTCTTCCGGAACTCCGCCCGCTTCAGTCGCAACGTGTTTGTGATGTTCAGGGAAAGCGGCCATTCTGATACTTGGGATGACGATGGATGGTGATATTGAGGGGCAATAATTGCTCGTAAACCATGCCGAGTGTTTAAAATAACAACAGATGCATTGACGCCATGTAAAGTGACGAGCCACATATGACGTACTCGTATCATGCCTCTGTTTCGTCGACGTCGTCTAGCACGGCACATGCAAGCTGAAAGTAATTCGATGGAGCCGCATTAGGTTCAACTCACAGGGGAAAGTGAGGGGTAGACTGGCTATATAAATGCAACCGACACTCCCACTTCAACTCTACTACAACAACAACAACAACAACAACAACAACAACAACAACAACAACAACAACAACAACAACAACAACAACAACAACAACAACAACAACAACAACAACAACAACAACCATCCAATACTCCCAATCACACCTTATTCATTTATCAACATGTTCGAATTCGGTCGGCATACCTCTCTCCTGACTTTTGAATTGATTCTCACACATTGTAGACGAGGGCCGTGAGCAGCGCGACGAGGTGTACAACGGTGAGCACCAGAGCCACTTCACCCATGAGCTCATTGGTGGTGGTGCCGCCTTTGAGGCCATGAAGCTGTTCGAGGACAGCCAGCGCAAGAAGGGTCAGCTCGCACTCTGTTCCTGCCTTTGCCTTGACTGACACATCCAGGCGAGACTGTCAACCATGGCTTTGCCAAGGAGGTCCTTGCTGGCCTTGCTGGTGCCGAAGTCGACAAGCTGTTCGAGACCAAGGGACTCGACTTTGTCGACAAGGAGAAGGCCAAGCACCACGCCAAGAGGCAAGCCGAGCAGCTGTACGACCAGCAGTATGGTCAAGACGATCAGTACGACCCGTAAGTGACAATACCGGAAAATAAAAGGGATAGCTCTAATGGATGCAGCAACCAATCTCGCCGCCACGAGTCTATGGACTACTAGAGCAGGACTCATGCATATGTCAAGCAGAGTGTTGGATTAAGTAAATGAAATACAAAGTGGAATAAATCATCATCTCATTTCTTCTGTGCCTGATTCTACGCCGGTATCTGCGGCTAGAAAGCGAATGTGTGTGAGGCCATCTTCAACTTGGCCAACTAGTAGTTGTGACCCACCGATGTCAATAAGACACCTGCTTAGAACTATGGTTCGAATTGATCGACGTAGATATGCTTGCGGCAGATACGGATGTACAGCCCCATTGCGGACCTCGCTGACATTTGACGAGGTCGTGGACGGTAGTGAGGAGATGAATTATGTTTATCTGGGAACTATAAAACCCTGAATTAAATTAAAATATGCATAAAAGTCTTAGTCTACCCAAGTGGAAGATGTAAACACCAATTCAGCCTCTCTGGTACCTTTTTATTTCGTTTATCCCAAGCATGTATTAGCATTAAATGCCGAGATGCTATCCAACAAACATCAACAGCAACAGCACCGATGCACTGAAATGGAAACCGCGCTGTCTAATATCCATCATGATGCACAATGTCGATATCACTTTTAATCATTTCGTACCTACTGTCCAACAGTCATGGGCGCCAGGCCGATAGCGTTTCCCTTTTGAGTTGAACCAACATAGACCTCGAACGTGCAAGTCCCCGAGACAAAATTTTGATTTGTCCCAAGGCATAGTTCGCCATGAGCTTATAATGTTTACTGGTTTCGAAGTTGAGAACATTTTGGCTGACCAAGGCAGAAATAGTTGTTCCCAAAGATGCAATGGGAAGGTAATTGCCTGTCAGCGATGACGAATAACACCGGAGAAAGAGGGTATGTGTGTTGTAAGGCTGAGGCTGAGCTTGCAAGTACTTGACTTGATTCTCTGCAGCAATATCTCCATTTGTTGGCCCGATTGCACCTTGGAAGTTACTCCAGGACGTGAAGTCATCCCCGAGGCTACGGTGGTTAACCGGGCTGGTCGGGACACAGGTGCCAGTGGTGGTCGTTATAGAAGCAATATATTCTATGGTAGTGGTAGTGGCGATTCCGAAGAGCTAGGAGTAAACGTAGGAGTTGTCGCGAGAGAGGTAGCTGAACTGAGTTTGCACGGAGCTGCGGCTTGGACGCCCAAGGCCGAGAAGACCAAGGTAGTCTGGAGACCATTGTTGATTTCCCTGAGCGGGACCAAAAAAAAGCTGCCAAGCAACGAGAAAACGAGAGAGCGCGCCGCGATGAACAATGGTGACCAGAGGCTCATGCGATACCACCGCCTTATAAAAATCACATCTTCCTCATCAAGGACGTCGTTCATAGAAAGAGAAACTCTTGGCCTGCAGATGATATATATCATTGGGCCGTTGCATTAACCTCGAAAAGGTCTAGAATTATGAAAACTATATACCAAGTGCCTCCTTGAGATTTTCAACAGAAATCTTGTGCATGTATTCCCGCTGCTCCCACTCATTTGTCCCTGGCTCACACCCTTTATCGAACGCATGATGAGTACCCTTGAGATTTATGTTGATAACCTTTCGCTGCCCATCGTCCAACTTCTCTGCTAGAGCGATGCCCTCTGGTGCCAGTGTATCTCCTTCGCAAGTGAACATGGCGACTGTGGCTGGGAACAATGCCGGCTCCGCGTACGTGGGAGAAATCCGGGGGTCGGCTCGCAGCTCGACTTCGGGCACGTAGCAGTCGTTGAAAATGGCAGCCACGCTGGCAGGGATCGGCCTTTTAGGATTGGGGACCGTTTTTGACGCAGCATCAACGGCTAGATTCGTCGGAGGATAAGCGGCAACGACAATCGGTATTTGGATTTGTGGCAACTGCTTCCTCAGAGTCGAAGCCGCAACCAACGCGAGATTAGCACCGGCACTGAATCCAGAAACAGCGACGCGGTCGAGGTCAAACTGCTCCGGCTGGCTTGCAACCCATTTGAGCGTGTCCTCTACATCGTAGACGGCTGCCGGGAACGGGTCCTCCGGGCCCTTGCGATAATCGGCATCGAGAACCACAGCTCCGGTCTCGCGCGCAACATGGCTGCAGAAGGCAACGTCTTGGCCAAAACTAGGGATGAGGAAGCCGCTTCCGTGCCAGTTGATGACGACCGGTTTCTTGGTCTGTGGCGTGGTGGAGTCGGGTGGTGAATAGAGCCAAGCCTTGATGGATCGGCCTGGATCACGCGATGGAATGTACACAATCTTTCGTTGATGAACAGATCTCGCTAAATCCTTGGTGAGTCCCGGGCCTGCCATCCGGCCGACCACGAAGCGGATGAAGATTGCGGCGACCTTGAGTCGGATATACTCGAAGAAGCCGTGTCGTTGCGCCATGTTGCCGGCTGTGAGAAATAAGTATGGGAACGAGATTTCGGTACGTGAGGAATAGCGACTGTATAATGGGAATGGCACGGGTGAGTATTTATTGTTCATTGCCGCAGCTCATGAAATGCGGAGATGGGCCGAGCCGAGGCGAACAAACCCCACGCAACACGACGAAAGGAGGGGCACGCTGCGAAACTAATCCTCATAGAGCTAGCAAATGTGGGAGCTACAGCGGCATGATTCTTGATTCTACACGGGACGATGTCTTGGCTGTTTAAGAAATTGCAATGAAGGCGGTTTGTTGACTTGGTAATGTAATAGGATTATGGCTGACAGCTTACAGCTCATCTTTTCACGTTCGCCTTCAGTGCATCTAACAAGCAACCAATGATACCACATTACAGTATCATCTACTAAAACTGGAGCTTAGCCGGTTTGGAACACGGCCTCGAACATCGGCATGTGGCCTCCAGCATCGGGTCTTCCGGGTCCGGATCCGGGTCTTCCGTATCGGGGCTGTCTACGTCCCATAAGTTACGCCTTTACATTTTTATCCCTAAAGCTACACTAAGATAGCAAGCCAATACTTTCTTGTCCTCATTCCCCATCAATCAATGTCAAACGACGGGGCCCTCATCACGCTATGGCCTCGCCTTGGCGCGGGGAGTGGAGTGGAGTGGCGAATTGAATTCCTAGAGGATTGGCAAGTCGCATGATCAAAAGAACGGAGCACAACTGCGACGATAGTCGCTAGATGGCTGTGCGGTTGTATTATAATTGACGGCAATGTGCTGCGTCTAATCTAACAGGTCGGCTTGTATTTTATACCCGTACAGTCGCAAGACCGCCGCACATTCCTCAACCCTTGTTGGAAGGGAGACTTCTAGGGCATTTGTGGCGTTATCCTCGACACAATCACAAAATGCAACCAAGACACTTAGGTCGAAAGCCTATTGACGCCGCTTGATTCAGATCTCCGGGGTCCTAAGCTTAAATAGAATTTAGATGCAATTTAACCACTCAGCATCCAGCGACCACCTTTCCCCTTCCCAACCGTCATGCCGAGGCGAGTTGTGAAGCCAAAAACCGGCTTGGAGATGCCGCGATAGGTGCACACGTCCAGCGCCCAAGGCCAACGATCAAGCAACCCAGGGTCTATCTGTCTGCCGTGGCGAAATCCGCGTCGCTCCCGGCATTGATACTCCCGCCATGGCGGCCGCAACCAGTTTGCAGATTTCAGCGCCGGCGACTCCTCTGGCGACTCCTCAACCGACTGTGGTGCTTGGGGAACCAGTGGGCCTATTCTCGCACACCGGTGGTCGCAGCGACACGGTGTTCTACCTGGCTGTGATCTTCCCCGTCGTCTCTGTGCCTATAATACTATTGCGACTGTGGGCGAGTAAATTCATCGTCAAGAAATGGCATATCGACGATAGTAAGTACCTCTACTCCAGACCTTTCTCACTACTAACGCCAAACAGCTCTCACTGTTATAGCGACTGTACGTTCAAGACATGAATTCACGCATACAATTACTAAATCGTGCCAGATTTTCGCCGTCTTGCAATCAGTAGCTGTTGCTGTCGGTATGGCCTTTTCCGAAGTCACCCCAAAGATCACGATGCTAATGTTTGGCGTTAAGAGGCACGACTCGGTGCGGGGGATCACATCATCACTATGACGCCAGAGGGAATATCCCTTCTGTTAAAGGTACGTGCATCAGGGGAGCATTAGAGTGCCGGGACACGAAAGCTAATAGCGTGGCAGATTGGAAAATGGGCGGGAGTTCCACTGTATAACCTAACGACTCTATTCATCAAAGCCTCCGTCTTGATGTTCTACTTGCGATTCTTTGTCGATGCCACGTTCCGCATGGTCACATACGGCGTCCTCTTTGTGGTTATTGCCTACAGCATGGTCAACGTCATCGCCACCTTTGCACTAAACTGCGAAAACAATGCCGCCTGCGACCAGCTCTTCAGAGTGTACATAACCTGTGCAGCCGTCAACGTCGCGACGGATTTCGCCATCCTGCTACTTCCGTTTTGGCTTCTGCGGCCCATGAAAGTTCCCTTTGCTCGCAAGGTTGGAATTGCGGTTGTTCTGATGGGCGGCGGATTGTGAGTATGAGCCAAGATCGTACAGCACCTCGACTTTTACTTACTCTAGTATCCTTGAGCGTCACTGGTGTGAGCATTTACCGCCTTGTGATTACGATCAGGGTCGATAGCGAGGCAGATGTAACCTACGGATGGGGCGAGAGTGTCAAATGGAGGTATCCACGCATTGTTCACTCATCTGTGACAGTCGCTAACGAAGCTGCAGTCTCATCGAATCCTGGTCCGGGATTATCTGCGCCTCATTACCATGTCTCAAGACTGTCTTTTCTCGATACCTCCCCAACTTTCCTCTATGGCGGCGACTCAGTGACGCGAGTGCGTCTCTTGCACATCGACGACTCGCTACCATCAGTGGTCAACCCGCGCCAGAGACCCGTGAGATTCCGGCCGCGTAGTCTTGTCATCAGCGTATTGTTTTAGGCCTCAGTGAAAAGTGAGGTGAAAAATTGATAGACTATAAAATGGGTATTTATACGTAATACAAGACATCCTGTCGGAATCGGCAGCTGGCTCACATCTCCGACTCCGCGTTCCGTCAACGACACGTATGTGCGACTCCGTCCGGGACCGGTAATTAAAGCCCACGCCGGAGTGGTCCGCACTTTTGCTGAAAGCGCCGTGTCCGGCCGAGGGAGTAATTTGCTTGACAAGCTTGCAAGGCTCGATGATTGCAGCATCCGTAGAGAAGAAACAACAACATGCATCTGGTTTGTCTCACCGTCTGTCCATTCCACGAAAAAAATCACGATGCGGCCTCGCCCGGACTTGCAGTATCAATCGCCGGCCCGTTCTATCACTACAAAAGCAGCAATACGGATAGGTCTTAACAAATAGACACAGCTTCTAGATAGCACTCATGAGACTCACGCGCCTGACGCAAAGCTTCTCCAACTCTATCTGGTCGTATATGCACATCTCGACATCACCTGTTTACCGCATCCAACAACGCGCAGCATTCCACCACTGCCCGTCTCTCGCAATGAAGGCCGCTCGCGTCACATCCTGGGGCTCACCACCTGAGTACGTCACGGTCCCAGACCTTCCGGCGCCATCGGCCAACGAGCTGCAGCTCAAGGTCCTCGCCGTGGGCATCCCGCGTGTAGTCAGAGGCCGCGCGGCGGGCAAGCACCCCAGCGCTTTCAAGGCCTCGCTGCCGTATGATCCCAGCATCGACGGCGTCGGCCTGGACGAGGCTACAAACGAGCGCTACTTCATCACCGTTTCCCCCGCGCCGCTGCTTGCTGAGCGCGTCAACATCAATCGTAGCCAGCTTGTCAAGCTCGACGCAGCCGCCGACGCCGTCACCGTAGCGGCCCTCGCCAATCCTGCGGCGAGCAGCTGGTTAGCTCTGCGATGCCGAGCTGTCGGGGGCTGCGTCGACCGCACTGTCGCCATCATCGGCGCCACGAGTGCCAGTGGCCGCATCGCGGTATCAGTGGCTCGCTCGCTGGGTGCTGCCCGAGTGGTTGGTCTGGCACGCAACGAGGAAGCTCTCGCAGCCGTCGAGGGCCTGGACGAGCGCGTCGTCCTGACAAGCCCGCTTGTTCTGCCTCAGAGTGTTGGACCCGTAGACATTGTAATTGACTACGTGGGCGGTCCTACCGCCGTCGAGCTCCTCCAGGCCGCTGAGATTAAGCGTGGCGAGAACTTGCAGTACATCCAAGTCGGCGGCCTGGCAGGCTGCGAGAATCACGTCTTGCCAGCGCGCCTCATCAATCTCAAGCCAATCCGCATCATGGGGTCCGGCCTGGGGAGCGTCAACAGGGAGGAGATAGAGCGGGAGACGCCTGAGCTGCTGGCCCTGATAAGCAAGATGAAGCCGCCCTTTGAGATCATCTCTGCGCCGCTAGCTGACGTGGGGTCGATCTGGGAATCGGAGGATGCCAAGGAGAAGAGGCTTGTGCTGGTTCCGTGAAGTTCCTGGGGTTCTCTAAGTAGTTAGTATATGCGCAATCGCATCGTGGTCTTGCTCCATTCAGCATCTATTGCCGCGTGCCTTCATAGTGTGTGCGACCATCGACCCTCCACAAGCCACCCCCTGAGAAGTCGGATCACGCTTTCGCTGTGATGCCATCAATTGCTCCGCTGCCCATCTCTTTAATCTGCCTGACTCGTGTCTCTCTGGGCTGTTTATGGTTTGTTTCTCCTCTCAATCAAGAAGCTTTGGTGGCGCTGACCATCCCAGGAGCCAGGGCCAAAGCGTACCACCCCCCATGTACGCTTGAACCTCCTGGTCGGCGATCACTCGTGCTGCATGTGAGCGCGAGTGCACTGAGCTTAGGGCGTAAGTGCGCTATAATTCAGGAAATGCGCAGAAATTAGGTGCTAAGGGCGCTAGGAATTACACCAGAACATCCATCATCTCAGCTCTGTCTTTATTTGCACCAGCTCAACATCGCTCGCGTTGCTCTTCTTCCCACTCCACGGGTCATCGTCGAAGCCATTCGAGTTAGATGACGGAGCCACAGAGGCGGCCGTCCTAATATTCTGCTCACGGTAGGGTTCATTGATTACCTTGAAGCCAGCCTCTGAGGGTCGGGTTATAGTCGTGGCCTTGGCGTAGGATGGATAATCCGATCCTCGCATACCTCGGAGATATGGTCGTAGAGATGGCAAGCAGGCAATTACAAGGCCAATATTGCAATCAAGGGTGCTCCATAGGGCTACAGAGATCAATCATACATCAGTTAGTGCTAGCGGTTGAAAAGGGAAGGGTACCTACAAATCAGACTGACAGGGACTGCATCATTTACCAACGAGGTTTGGATGGTGACAAAACGGACGAGGCAGAACGTGATGTTCACTAAACCCAACAGGAACGTGCAGTATACTCCGGTTTTCATCATCGTCTTCATCTGGAGTCCAGGTACGATGAGCCAGGGGATGGCAAAAACTGTCCGTAGCGTGAGCACGATCCACTTGCCACCAGCACACGAGAGTTTTACCTAGAAGATCTCCCGAGAAGTGCAAGGCCCAGCCAACCTGAAAGACCAATCCAACAGATTTTGGCGGGCATGCTGTTTTCGAGTCCAGAGACCTGGCCGGGTTAGCTCACAGATCCTGTTTGGTAGAATGGCGATAGCACGAACCAATTTGATTTAATCGGTAGGCAAACGCAAAGGACCATTAAGATACTGGTGATGTACGAGATGACGACAAAGCCCACAGTTCCCCATAGGAAAGTCCGCCGTTTCCGCATCGACTTGGGGAAAACTTGCAGATACACGGCAAGTAGCGCACCCTTGCAGAGGTAAAGAGCCGTAAAGAATGGGATGCTGCAAACCCAGAACATCTAAAGAAGACTGATGTTAGTTCCCATCGTTACATCCCACAAAATTCGGCATAGTGCCTACCTTGAGGACAAAGGCAAGCTCCTCAGAGCTCCCCTCGAAGCCCTCAAATGTCGACTTGACCTTTGGATCCAGGGCGTTTGACTGGGCCAATTTGATGGTAAATGCTTCAGTGACGACAGAGGCAACCCACGCCAGGGACATGAGAATGTCGCTGCTCAATAGGCGTCGCTTTTGGATCCCAAGGCGGAGATACAAACGAGCTCCGATGGCTACAGCCGCGATGAAGATGAGAGTGCCACCCGTTGCCTGTCGGTATTTTGTCAGCGGGCGGGCAAATGGATTTCTTGGAGTGAAGAACAAACCAGCACTGCGGCGGGGGTTGGAGCCGGAAAGGCCATGGCTGCCGGGCAATGCGCAATTCAGATAATGAGTGTGAAGCTCAGGACACGGTAAAATCATCTACGTAGGGCAGATAAAGCAACCGCAGAGGTCATGTCGGACCGCGTCACACTCAATGCCAACGCGTCGTCATTCACTTCCTCGAGTACAGAGCATGGCATCTATATACCCGACACGACAAAGTCAAGCCCCGGGTGGCTTTCTTAGAGCATTCACAGCACTCAGCCGGGCGCATCAAGCTGCTACTAATGGATGCTTTCATCCCCGGCCCTTGTAATCTGCACTAACGAATGCGCTGCAGCCCCCGGACGTCCGGGATCGCCTCCCGCGAGGGCCTGTCTTGGATTGACGCCTTTCGATCATCTTGCGATCTATCTAATCAAGGGGGAGCAGAAAACAGGGCCTAGAGCACGAAACCATACGAAGCTTGGCCCGATAAGTCATAGACGGGATTATGTCTCCAGCGCCGCTAGGCTATTTCTAGGGGTTGCATGCGCTCAATCGTGGCCCGCCATCCTCACCCCGGAATTCTTATCTGTCATTTTCCCCAGGTGAATTTTAAACGGTGCGACTAGATACAATAACTATCCCATCCCTATCCGAAACTAGTCTGGCCTCCCTAATTATGCGAATTACCCTTTTGGGCTGGCGGGAAATCTGTTTGACAGGTCTAGGGTAAACATCGAGTTTGTTCCATCCATTGAGAAGCCCTCTTTCGTCGGATACAGCTCCTTGTACATGACCAGGAATCAACCCTGGATTGAGTCTTAGGCCGGCCAAAATACTTCTAACCGCCATGGTTGATGTTGGAAAGAACACTTGGTTTACTATGATGACCCTGTTCGGAACAGTTACCACCACAGCCGACATGCTGATTCTAGTTGGTGATAAATACCAACTAATTAATCCTGCTTTACTGGACAATTTGGGATAAATACAATTATGGCAAATAGTATAGCTATTCTGCAAGTAAGAATAATATATGAATATAATCAGGCTACCTCTAACCTCTCTTCTTCTAGACTGGTTTGATATCTTCTTACTAAAAGCTGAAGATTAGTGTATCAAATAATTGTGTAAATCTCGTGTGAATTTAACATTTATTGAATCAGGCTGCAATATGTACTTTATGTTTATTATTCTATATCAGCTACACAGCGCAGTCGGCGGACTCCTTTAGTGGTCTGACGCAACAACATCTCCGCGGATGCATGCATACTGAATAATTTCCTTCCTGTGCTGATTTCATTATGCACACATACCGCTTGCAGAAAACAATGCACTCATGCCCCTTTCCCAATACAGTTTCCATCTTCCTCAGAATGCTAGTCCATGCATCATGGGCTGTTTCTTGCTGACCTTATTCCAGGCGAATCAAACCTAGATTGTATATATTGGTCACGGTAGAAATACTGGACGGAGTAGAACTTTGGGACATTGCTGTTCGCCTTGAAATAAGAGGTTGATTGATTGAAATATAATAGACCATGTTGAATGGCTGACTGCTGTACAAAAAATCCACTTCTAAAGCATCCACTATACCAACATTGTCCGAGTGTGATACAAACGGCCAATTACTAACACTTCACCACGGGCACGCACTATCTCCACGGCTGAGGAATTGGCGGCAGCAGTTATGGAAAGAGTCACCATCGATGTTGTTTTTCAGACACTATAAATTTACATCCCTCTGTCAGTCGGAGCAAATCACTCGAAGCGGAGCAAGACTTACATATTCGCCTGCGAAGCGGACTTTCCCGCTGGTAGAAAGATAGGTGGATGTTCCTCCAAATCTCTGGCAGCAGGTTTGCGTAGCATCCGTGTCGATTGCCCCATCAGAGTTGATTTGGCAGCCGCATGCACCATGCGAGTCAGCGTTGGCGCCCCTAAGGAGGGTTAGTAATTCCCTGTTAATGTTAGAACGTGACTTACAGGAGGAGGCCACTGAGGGCAACGAGAATTGCGACGGCCTTCATATTGGTAGGTGAAATAGTGGTGGACTGAAGTAGAATGTGGTGTAGAGGTTTGCTGCTGGAAGTTGAATCATGGAAGAGCAGTACATACTTATACAATGCAACAACAATTGACCTTAATAAAATCAGGAGATGTAGGGAAATTTCTTCCGGAAGATTCGGATAACCCTTTTTTGGTATAAACCTTGCCTTCATCAAAGCGCTGAATTCTAACAAACTAATACATATGTGACCGGTAGGCCCATGTGGGGCTTAAGCAGTCGCTTGCGCTTCAATAGACGTATAGGGAGCGGTTCATCGTCAGGGAAATACTTAGATCATTCGATATTGCTAATATTTGCAAGGACCTGGCATACACGAGAAAGTGAACAACTGCTGAGGCATGTTCCGAAGTAAGTGCCGAGAGAGATTCCGGAGCGGGTGCCGAAATATGGTCATTGACAAGGGGCTTGAACATACGAGAAAGCTAATTAATGTAAGAATGGAGCGGTCAAGAGAGACTGGAGAACTCAAGAGCCCACCTGGAAGACAGACTGGTAGGGACTGTGTTGGCACTGCATATGCAATAGCAAGAAAGGCAGAGACTGAAGGTAGGGGAAATGAAAAACAGACAAAGCAAACAGCTACTACTCTCAGTACTGTCTGACCAAGTAATCCACTAATTATACGACAAGATCTAGCTAAAATACTGATAATGCTATAAGATGATAATAATACTTGCTGGCAAGAGTGGACAGTCCATCTCGCTGTACCCGAAGACCTCCCCATCAAGATCCGAGACCGACTGATGGAATTGAACTAACAGCCCAAAGGCAAAGCGGAACTTCCCGTTAATGCGAGCCAGACCTAATGATGACTCTGGATCGGCAAAGCAGGGAGTCTGACCTCGCTCTGTATCCCTGACACACTAATAGTCAGAATATCCAATACTATTGCCATTTACAAGGGCCTTACATAAACGAGCAAGTAAGTAAGTGCCGAATGATCCGACAGAATAAACATTTACAAGGTCTTTGCATACACGGGAAAGGAAGTAAGTGTCGAATGACTCGAGAGAATAAACATTTACAAGGGCCTTGCATAAACGAGAAAGGAAGTGAGTGTCGAATGATTCGAGAGAACAAGCATTGACAAGGGATTTGCTCGTGTAAGGAAGTAAGTATACCAAAGAACCCAATAGTATGAATACCTAGTTATTTAAACAGAACCGCCATCCAACTTTAGATAAATCACCCCGATCTGTCTCAAGCAATTCTCTACTTCTTCAACCTCACATCTTTCGTTATCTTAACTTACACAATTCGTCTGAAATCCAACTCCTTTATCATGAAGGTCGCCACTACTCTTCTCGTGAGCGCTTGGCTCCTCTTTGCGTACGTACTTTACTCCCAAAAGCTTCGACAGTGCCTGTATGAGCTAACGAGACACTTGCGGTAGCCCTGTTCTCGGCGATGGGCATTCCTTGTGCGCCTGCCAGTCGAGATCGAATGGGCCTACCGTCGATTCGGCAACTCAGGCTTGCTGCAGCAGAGTCGGAGCACAGTTGAGTATGAACGCCTGAAGCTTTGTCGAAAGTTAGAATCTAAATATTGCAGCTCAGGACCGCCTGCCAGCCTCGGGGGGGATCAAATACGCCGGCCAATACGTGAGTCATGTAGTATCCTCGTATTTTTAACCAAAGCCTAACACAGTCTTCTTAGTGCCAGGGCAAGGATATAAGCGGAGACCAATTTTACGATTGCTGTCGAAACAATGGCGGTGGAGATTCTACTTGTCCATTCTAGGACGCATCAGGACAGACCCTTAGCCGAGTACCAATATTTGCTATGAGGCTGGACAATCCCTTAGACTAGTTTGGCGTACTAGCCCATGTTCAAACCATCTCATAGGGGTGGGTAGCGAAGACTTTTATTTAGCTGCGTAGCCATTCAACATGGCGTTTATCAATTTGACTGCTGTTTTAAATTTATTATGCACTGCAGTTGTGCGGGTATAGCGGAGGCCTCTTGCATGATATTCTGAGACTTAGGCAAATTGTAAAGATACGAGGTCTGCGGCATGTGTCCCTTGCTAGGACACATGGAAGTTACGGCACAGCTCAAAGTAACGCTCGTAAGGAGAGCAAAACTAGACAGAAGAGTCTCGCCACCGACTTACTACGGAAAGATTCCCTCACCAAGGTTCGCTGTCCTGCCGGACCCGCTCTCTCGGCTGGCAATTCCGGCTTGAAGTCGACCGGGAGGTCCTTCGTCGTGACGGCACTAGCATGGGCCGTATGCCAGCAACACGAATAGATCTTGGATATATGCTATTGGTTCTGCCGTGTGTCCAATATTGCATCCTCCTCCACTATGCGTAATAATATGTAACTAGGCAGTAGTTAGAAGCGTTACATCGCTCCAGTTCGACGTTACCAAATAATTGCGAACCCTAAACAAGAGCAGATCACTGTTGTTTTATGCCGTCGTAAGTTTACGAACCTTGTACAAGGGTCCTTGGATAGCACAGTAGGACTCGGAGAAAACAAGCGCCAAAATGAGTTTGTAGATACTTCAGTCAGATGTGGTTCGAAATATCATAGGCCCTCCTTCGTTGGCAAGTATCCTCGTGTCCGTTCTCGTGTAGCCATCGTTCGGATGTCAGTCGATTCTAACAAATATGCATAGTGTTACAACGGTACCCCAATCCTAGAATAGAGTAGTGCTAAACGCTAATGCTCCTGCAGCGTCGCATTGTATTTACGAACAACAGACATAAAGTTTAATTTCGTAAAATAATGCTTCAAACACGAGCCCTTTGTTCAAACCATTCCGATGATTCCGAATAATAATCAGTCGGAATGATCGAAGATGAAATAAATAATGCCCGACGCCTCCAGCATCACTTTATTAAACAATACTCTAACAACTAGCTTCTTCAAACCCAAACTATTGTACAGCGACACTGTGATATCAATCCTCTTTCACGATGAAGTTCTTTGCTCTTCTTTCTGGACTGGCTTTAGCCGCCGCCCTCCCTTCCCAGCCTGACTCAGAGGCGCTCAGGTACGAGTCTTTAACTTATTGCATTGGAAGTCGTGAGAAGTGTGACTAATTTGCTACTTCAGCCTCCGATCCGAGCCAAGCATTCTCCATGACCTTGTTTTGAATGTCACCTCTTTCCCTGAGCAGAATGAGGTCCTCATTGACTACTTGTACAAACCGGGAGTCGACTTCTATCAAGAGATGGGGTTTTCGGCCGATACCTCCCTCGCTCGACGCACTGATGTCAATATTCCTGGCATCGGCGAACGCATTTCTGTCGCATTTCGAATTGCCACCGTTACGATTATTCGTGCAGCTGCGGATGTTCTCCGTGTTGAAATCGACAATCTGGTGAACTATACTATCACTGTCACTCTGAACTGGGCTACTGGCACTGAGGAAGAGAAGGTTCCCGGCAGTGCTACGGTGAAAGAAAGTATCACTATTCCTGACCGAAACGGTCAGATTAGGGTTACTGCATCCAGGTTTTCCTAAATTATTTCAGGAGCTATTTGGCGTCACATCAGTATGTCGACCTTGCGCACAGAAGGTGGTCACAACTGGTATAATCCTTGAATTCTACGCTTGGTGTGGCGCCAAACCTGACCGGTGGACCGGAAATTCACTTCTTTTCATTCAGACTCACTACTGAGCCAGCACAATTTTACTGAGATTTACCTTATCTATAAAACACTTGCGCATTCCAATACGCGTTCATGACTGCCTATGACCTGTCAAATTACATCCACACGTACCCGCCCAAGACTCGTATATTGCTTTATGTTTAGCAACCTTATTATCTACCAAGGAATTCTTTCTAGATCAATAAAAACAAATAGGCCCAGTCTGACTTGACCTGCCATTCAATCGTTGCCCTAAAATAATTCTCCATAGTTGCTGAACTCGTTGTTCTAGTTTCCAAAAGTGTATTGTGAAACAGAGAGTGAATCGCAAGGGCTGCGGGGAATATGAACTGCCTAAATCCTGTCACGATTTTGAAACAACTGTATATTCTGGATGCCAAATCTCTTGTGAAATTCAATCTTTGTCACACTGGCCATGAAGTGGTTGTGCAGATCTTCCTTTTGCCTGCTACGTAGGCGACTGGGGCTAGGAAGACACTTCGCCTGAAGACGCCCACTTTTCAACCATCAAATCACAGACGGTGAATTCGATTCCGTTGCCTGAGGCTTAGACGTATCAACAGTCGAGTTATTATTATTGCTTAGATGTATGTACCTGCGTAACTTATCTTCCGGTCATGTTGCCCGATATTTGGAGCTTCGAGAACATGACCAACTTAAAATATCGTGATGGGCGCTATTTTTCTATCCACAAAAATGGAGTAAAAGTTTATGTTTCCAAAAAATACATGCGAATAAGGTTGCTATCTTTATCTTGGTGTAAATTAATCGAGCGATAGCCGAGCGATTTGTCGCAAATGATTGAATCCCCTCCATCGCTATCAGGCATCTTGGCGAGCGCATCCACCATGATCCACCATGGAGCCACTTTCATGTCGCCATAGCTTCGCCGAAAGCAAGGGTAAATGATCCGCGACTTGCACGGGCTCAAGTCGGAATTCTGGAACTACCATCCGCGATCAACAGTGGATGAATACGACTTATGTGACGGAGCAGGAGCTTCAGAAGAATAGCTCAACGCTTCTCGAAGCCATATCATCCCCCAAAGATATCAAGGCAACAGGGAAAAGTCATTACCGGAAGGTTTCTGGTGGTGAAATGCGACTCTTCATTCGTCTAATACCAAGGAAAATGGAGGGAATTCGGATGTCTGAAGTTTAGCTGATAGGACCATGGCCGACCTCCTTCTTTCGCTTTATTACTTTCCTCATACAGCGAATTTTATTCAGACTGTTCATTTCAACTCTCGTTGGAGGAGGGCGTTTGGAGCTAGTCACGTTCGAACCTAATCTGTCGTGGTCAGAATGGCCATGAAAGAGAACATTTAGGCGGTCCTGCGTTCATATTTCCCTACCTCCACTGTTATATAACCTTCCCACGTCTCGTCGCCAATAGAGCATATTGGTAATAACCAGATTCAAATGGTTCGATCTTAACTAGGTATCGGGAAACCACAAGTAATGACATTCAAGAAACGAGAAAAAGTCTCCGCGACAAGTCAAGAAATCAACAATTTGGCCAGCCCTACTTCTGCGTAAGCTCAATCTCCGCCTTCGCACCGCTGACATGGTAAGAAACAATCCAAGAATACGGCATGATCTTGAAGAGGATGTTTCGCAACCAGTACCAGAATCTGTTCTTGGGGATATACATGGCTGCCATCTTGCGACTCCGAAGTTGCAGGCTGTCGATCGGTGGACGGAGTTTCTTCTCATGATTTGCAAGAGCTTGCAGGACATCCTTGGTGGCCATCAGCTCTTTGCCTAGGATCTCGGCAGAAGCGATGGCCATGCCGGCGCCCTGACCGGACATCAATGTGAGGCAGTGCGCTGCGTCGCCCAGGAGGAGGATACGGCCTTTGGACCAATGCTGGAGGTTGACCATGGTCAAGCTGTCGATGAGGGGCGAAGCGTCGGCTTTCTCAGCCAGATCGATGACCTCTGTGACTAACTCGGCACCTCCAGAAGTGACTCCTCGCAGGGTTTCAAACCGCTGGTTCCGATCTTGAAGTTTCGTGTGGTCGTCTCGCCAAATGTGCAAGGCTGCAAGGCGGTTGTTGCGCAGAGCGTAGAGCATATCAAGATGCCCCGGGCTGTTGAAGGAGACGCACTTGGCTTCAAGCTCCTTCTTTTGCTCGACGTCGTATACGGCGTACGAATAGCCGAGATCTTCGAGGCAATCTTCGCCTTTCCAGAACATGCTGCGAACGGAGGACCGAATGCCGTCGGCACCGATCAGAAGATCTGCCTCGATCGTCTGGCCGCTTTTGAGAGTAGCTTTGACCTTGTCCCCGTCTTCGACAGCGGCTTCCAACGTCTCGCCAAAATGAATCGCCGCAGTTTCTGGCAGCACCTTGGCGAGGATACGCGCAAGGTCATCTCGGCCAACCGAGTGATTATCCACTGCACCATGGACATCTTCGTATGCAACCCGCAGCAGCTCTCGGCCTTGTGAGTCTCTGATGACATTGTAGTCGAACGTGTAAGATATAGCCTTGAGTTGTTCTTCGATGTCCATCTCCTTGATGGTGTTGATACACAGTCCCGAAAGGCCGACAATGAAGCCACCATCTCGAATGCTGGGGGCCTTGTCGATCAGGATTGACGTCCAGCCGGCCCTGTCCAGCCACCAAGCCGCGGCAAGCCCAGCAATTCCCGCACCGACGATGAGAGCTTTCGGTCTTGATTCCTCCATTGGTGTCTCGGGGGATATAACCAGAAGAAATGCTTAAATACCTGGTGCTTCGAAAATGCGACAATGGCTTGAGGCTATCATAGGAGAAAGATTGTCTGCGCGCACAGATATCCGGTGGGCAGACTGGTTTGTCGTCAGCTCAGGCGCCTCCGGGCTCGGCCTTTTAGTTGGGCCAAAATCGCGCGTACACCTCAAAAGGTGTAGTTTGACTGTGAAAGTGGCACGAGAGTTATCGCTGAATGACCGAGCAATTCTAGCTTTCACTCACCAGATCTCTTGGTCAGTACCCTCATCAATTGCAGCAGTGTACCTATACAGTTCACACTTTGCGGCAGGTTTGGGTCTTGAATATAGCCATACAATAGGCCAGCTTTTGCTGAAATAATGGCACCGCCTCCGTGGTCAGGTCGGACCTCCATCTGACCTTGCACTTGCTTCCATCCAAGCTCGCATCCACTCGGACAATGCCCAGGCCTACTAGACATCTTCCAGCTAATTTAAAACCCTGACTCTCGGCCGGAAAACAGTAGGAGGTTCATTGCAAGTAGGCATTCAACACGACGGTGCGTCAAAGTAGACTATTGCCTCATGTTGTTGGCACCTGCATCAGGGCCACATTCACTCAAGGGCATCCGATATCGCATTGAAGCCCTGCTTCCGACCTTGTCCTAAGACCCGATTTTCTTCCATTTCATTAGTAACAGCTGAACTGTTCTCAAACCTAGAGGCCCACAGGACCCCAGTCTGTTGCCCAGCGATATCGGACTTTGATGATGACAGACTTTGGGCCTGTCCCTTCGCTAGAAATCAAGATACTTTATCCCTACTGCTTTTATGTATCGATTGCAACAATTGAGAAAGGAAATTGGCACTCTGCCGGCTTCTGTCGAGCAATGGCAAGGTGACGCTTGGAATTCTCGTTGTCCGTGATGGCTACAAAATCGTTGCCAAGCAGAGGTAGTATGGAACGTGCTCTAACTAGCAAATTCAATTAGCTTGATGGCAGAACTTGCATTTTAAGATAGAGATTCTATCATATTTGTTGCAACATCATTAATGGCAGTGTGGGCGGCCGAGTAGCCGGATATCTTGTCTTGGGAGCCTCAGGAGGTCCGGGACAAAATGCGTCCTTTATCGAGAGCAACACCATTTTCGGCCACCTACTTCCCGACGTTGGTCTGCGTGAATTTCGCCATGAAACTCTACATATACAACGCTTGAGAATTTAAAGAACTGAGTTTCCTGTTATGCAACCTGTAACTACGAATTGCTTAATGCCAACATCCTAATCCTCTGGCATTCTACTTACCCCACACTAACCTCTAAGATACACCTAATTGTCATAATGATTTCGCGAGACTATAAAACCTCGGGTTGTTACATACTGGGAATCTTATTCAACAACTTCAGCTCGTGAATTCTTATACATGTTCAGTTGACTAATTTTCCAGAACTTAACTATGACTTGATCTATTCTCACCCTCATCACCGCACGTCTAACCTACCTGATGTGCCGATCCTGTTTAAGCTAGAGGCACTCCTGGGTTTAGACACGATCGTTGCATGAAGCTCCGGCATAGAATGAGATGACGCAGATGGAGAGGCCATGTATCATTCCATCAGGAGCGAAGATGAAAACCCCCCGTACTACCAACGAGCGGCCGAGGTCGGAGTACTCACCGCCACCGAGGAGTAAGGCGTCCAGGCTGTTAGCCTCGGCACCACCTGAATCTTCGGTGAAGGGACGGGTTTGTTCAACAAGCAAGGGCTCGTCGTGTCGTGCACCCTGATGTACGTGGTCCAGCACGGATACGGCTTCAGGCTGAGCGACACATGCAACCTTGACTAGATAGGTTCACGTTGAGGACCGCGCCGATTTCTACGTGCTGTTGATGCGTAAAATTCTGCAACGAGAAAACATAGGCGTGGGATACATCCCCTTCGGCAAGAAGGGCATCATATTCCCCGCCGTTGAGGGGATTAAACACTCGGAAATTATGCAAAAGTGCCTCGATGCTGCTTTTGAGGCTGGCGTGCTCCCACGGGCTGATACCCCAAAGGAGACAAAGATCCGACAGGTCGGTTTGGGAGAAATTGCGAACGAGGCGATGGCCGGGGACATGCAGACAGCCGAGCAAGGCTTAGCGGGACACAAAGGCCGAAAGGTAACAATCGCAAAAGAAATACTGGGACGGAAGCCGAGTCGATTGCGGGACGCATGGCACAAGGATTCTGCCGATTCGCTAAAGTTGTTGACAGAGGGGTGGAAAGGTTGGACAATGGAAAGCTGCATTGGAGTAGCGGGTCCTCCAGCAGCGTGGTTTCTATACATGTGTCGACTTGCAGTAGATAACAGCTAAGGCCGGGCAGAAGAGAGATCTTAGAAATATTTCTGGTAATACCGTGAGGTTGATCGCTGGCCTCAATTTCCGGAGTGTCACACTTGGGCCCCATCCAAGGTTACCATTTACCAATTATGAGTTGCCACAGCCAAAAGTCTGAAACTGCCGTACTACAAGCTCCTTCGTGCTACGGCACTAGTAACGATGCTGTCGTCCCGTCTCGAGTGATGATGGGCGAGGACCTTGGGCTGTGTCGTTAGGATTCTTGTAGAACTCTCCTCTCCATTTTATCTAGCAACCTCTCAGCCACCTTGGGTTTGGATTGCTACGCGATATCACCAACCTTCGCAACTTCCTATTGCTCTTGAATGACAAAATGAGACTGATCCATACTTCGACACTCCAACTCGAATCGTTCCTCGGCCAGGATATCCCTCCCTATGCCATCCTCTCCCACACCTGGGGCGAGGATGAGGTTTCTTACGACCACGTCCGCCGCGGTATCCAATACAACCTAAAGAAGCCCTCCAGAGGTCTTTGTAAAGTACTCAACACATGCGCGCAAGCCCGGCAGGACAATCTGCACTACGCGTGGATTGATACGTGCTGCATCGACAAAACCAACAGCACCGAGCTGTTCGAGGCTATCAACTCCATGTTCAAGTGGTATAAAAACTCGGCTGCCTGTTACGTGTATATGGAGGACGTCATCCTGGAACTGGATGGGACGGTCACAAACTTCGAGACCAGCAGGTGGTTTACTCGAGGATGGACGTTACAGGAACTGATTGCACCACATGGCCTCACCTTCTTTGACTGCAACTGGAGCTACTTGAAAAGCAGACACGAGATTTCAGAGCCGCTCGCAGAAATCACCGGCATCTACCAGCATATACTCCTGCGACGTCACTCGTACTCGCCCGGGCCGCCTCGTCCTGACATCGACTGCCGCGCCTGTACAAGTTACGACTGCCTGCAGTCCGCTTTAGACGACGCTTCAATTGCGGGAAGGATGAAGTGGGCTGCTAAGCGAGTGACGACTCGTGAAGAGGACATGGCTTATTGCCTGATGGGGCTGTTTGGGGTCACAATGCCACTGCTGTACGGGGAAGGGAAAACAGCTTTCCAGCGCCTTCAACAAGAGATTCTGAGGATCAGCCCCGACCAAACCATTTTGGCCTGGACAGCACCTCCGTTTGAGATGACATCTCGTCGCTCACACACATCTTACCTGCCAGACAAGCCGTCTGCTTTCCAACTCGAGGCATTCCACCACAAAGACTGGCAGCTTGGGCCTAGTGACATCGCCGCAACTACACAGGGACTGGAGGTCGAGGTTGTCCTCGGGCCCTGCGCTGTAGCAGCTCGAGATTCCGACGGCAAGACAATCATGGCATATGATTTGTGGTTGGCAGCGCTTGGTTGCACTGTGGAGGCCGACTACCTCACGCGGGTTGCCATCTTCGTCCACCCTCTTCGCGGAAATTCGCCTCAACGAGGCTATATCAGAGATCACACCAACTCGCTGGTGATTTTAAAGCCAGACGCCAATCCACAGGTTATCGGCAACCTGTCGATCTTCTCCAGTGAACTGGATCCACTAGTCAAGACAGTTTCGGGTACGTGTTGTGCGTATTTCTCAGGAATCTGCTGTTGAAGTATATTCGCCGCTGTACATTGCTGATGCTACTACTATTAGTCGATTATAACATTAAAAAGTTTAAGCCCCAGCGAATTCTTCTTTCGTCTGGGCCATTCGGCCGAAATAATTACGATGAGCCCCCACAGTTGACACTGACTGTACGAGGATCTAATGGCTGGCGTCTACAGTCGGCACAGCCGTCATTAACTGATGGCAGGATCCTTCCTTTCGAAAACCTTTTCCCAGATATCAATCCCACGATTGATGGTGTGACGGTCTTTGACACTCTATGTTTCAGCAACGGCAGATCTTGTTTCTTTGTACTCTGGGGCGTGAAGAATTCTGGGTTCTGGGGGCCAACGTCTACGCAATGCAAATTCGTGAGTTGGATTGAGGATTGGGACTCATTCAGACCTGAAGATCCTCTGAGAATGACAGCGGGCAACGTTACACCTGAGATTCTTAAAAGGTCTCGTGCTCACTACGCCAGACACTTCGAGGAACATCCTTTCACCGATCCTGGACCAGAGCTTTCTGGCCCGGATTTCCGAGCCAGTGCGCAAATTTCGAGGGTCGACTTCATGGGAAGGAGAAGCTACACTCTCAGTGTTGAAATCGAGAGTTTGACTGATGAGGAGCACAAAGCGGTGGAAGGTGTGTTTCCGGGCACCAATCTTGAAACAATGTTGATGCTAACGACCATCAAGTGATTGAATAGCTTTGATTGGAGACGAGCGAGGGATCGTGCACATATCACGCCAATCTAGGTTGAAATAGTCAAGTAAACATGCTACTGTAGTCATGACATTGTTTCACATTGATAGTGTAATACTGGGTGTTAAAACGCATTAAATGATTGTAGGGGTACTCCGTAGAATTCTTTAGAAAGTTCTACTTGGCGAGACTGCTGCTTCTTCTCTTTGGAGAAGTGTTTTGTATCTCGACTGATGAAAAGGACGCTTCGGCGTCGTATCAGAAGGCAATTGCTTGGCAGTTTCCCACACCCAGCATGACTTTTGTCAATATAGCCATAATAGGGCTATACGAGGGACAAATATCCGATTTGCAGGATTGTACAAGGATCAAGATACACTATCAATCACCTACCTTAACAAGAGACACCGCCCGATAGACCTTTGTCAAATTGTAAAGCCTAGTATAGGGCCGATAGGGGCTTGCCAAATTCCCCTGGCCAGACCCTTGCTTGTCGCAGACCAGTAGGGCGCGAAGGACAACACGATCGGAACTAGAGTTACCAACCCAGTTTCAAGGCACATATGGTCTCATTTTGAGTAAAGTCGCCTTAGTGGATGATTTAATCGTCCCTTTTTCGTTCCTTTCACATGTGATGCTGGTCCTTTGACTGCACATGCCGCGAAGAAGTTCCTTGCCTTGTCTTGCACAAGAGACAGGTGACTCCTGCATTTTAAGTATTCACCGCCCGAGCCAGACTCGTCTTCGCTAGATGTAGCCCATAGCCCTCGATGTCTGCTCGGATGATCAATTTAGACCCCTCTATGAGGGGCTCGGCGATTTACAAAGGAAGGTTTCATGGAAGCACCCGATCGTGCATGAATACCACCCCCTGACCCCTGCACAAATTTTAGCGTCCGATCCTGTCTTTAGCCAGCTAGGATTCCAGTAAGAATCCTGCTCTGCGGGGAAAGCCATATGGAGGAAGACCTCCGTCTATCCTGAAAGATCATCCACCGGTGTGGTTACATATTGAGTTGAGGATGGCGTGCCTCGGCAACTTCCCGGCATTGCATGTCGGCAAATATTACATGCACAGGATGATATTAGGCGTGATGATATATAATACTGGCATGAAACGGACAGAAAAGATCGAACCGACTCGAATGCTCCAAGGCATTCTATCACTCGCTATTCCACAATGACTTCTTTTCGTGTTCTGGCCATGAGCCTTGCGGTCGCTAGCTTTGTCTCGGCCAATGAGCTTCAAACAGTGATAGACTTTGGACCGGTCTATAATACGTCGTTGAAGATGCAAATCTATGTTCCCGAGACTCTTGCATCTAGTCCACCCATCGTTCTTGCCGTAAGCTCTCTGGTTGAACTAAACTCCATATATGCCTTTTTAGGAACTGATCTTTTGGATAGCTTCACGGCTGCTTTGGGAGCGGCGACCAATACTTTGCGCAGGCTGGATATGACACATACGCCGAGTCTCTGGGTGCTCTCCTTATTTTTCCGACATCCCAAAAGGATTCCAATTGCTGGGATGTCTCAAGCGATACGGTGCTTTCCCATGACAAACACGCGGACAATGAGGTCCTCGTCAACATGATCAACTATACCATCAAGACGTACAACGCTGACCCGTCTCGCGTCTTCGTCACTGGCACTAGCAGCGGCTGCATGATGACGAATGTTCTCTGTGCCACTTATCCGGAAGTTTTTGCTGCTGCTACATGCTACTCCGGCGTTGCTGCTGGCTGTTTTGCTGGCTCGCCTGGTTCCAGTCCAATCAGCTCCAACCGATCCTGCGCGAACGGCGACGTTCAAAAGACGGGTGAAGAGTGGGCAGCTCAGGTTCATGCTATGTATCCTAGTTACTCTGGCGACTATCCCAGCTTGAAAACTTGGCACGGCACTGCCGATAGCCTTGTTTTCTACCAGAACCTCAAGGAACAGATCAAGCTATGGACTACTATTAATGGGCTGGATTTCTCGTATAATGAGACTTCAACACCACAGGCCGATTACACAACTATGGTATTTGGTGATGGAACAAAATTTGAGGCAGTTTCCGCTGTAGGCGTTGGCCACACTGTACCCATTCATCAGGAGTTGGATTTCAAGTGGTTCGGTCTTCTATGAGTAGCATGAGCCAATAATAACCTGACTGGTCGGTTGATATATCTGATGTACTTTGTTACTGAGCTTTACTACACTATCAGAGAAAGACAGTGGTGGATGGTTCTGCGATGGAGCTTGTCGCTGTAGACGACATTTTCTTTGAAGATGTCGTTTTCTTGATTGTCGACGTCGGCAAGGTAGTTGACGTCACTGTTGTTGACTCCGGCATCTGCTAAAGCGTTCTGCAACTGTCTTTATCACTAGCTGGTGTTGCGTCATTGCGCTGGTGTATGTTCCGGATTGCTGCGCATTCTGCAGGTGCAGCCGTTACTCCGCCGCGTACGTGACACGTCCAACAGAGTCTCTTATATTGGCCGTTGAAGCACTTTTCCATATTTGGCAACGTATTAACTTTGCATTTGTTGGTCGACATTCTTTTCCAGGTTTATCTGCGACAAGTCACCGCTGGCGGGTGAATGGAAAACTCAGCCGGGCAAGCGAGACACAAGGTTTCAATTGAGAAGAGTCATTGATCCATGTTTCGTTAATACACTACACAGGAACGGTACCGATTTTTCGTTCCTGCGTCTATTGAAAGCAATTCAGCGGAGCCCGCCCGGATCCATGAAGCATGACCAATACGATCGGCTTTCGAAAGAGACCACAGGCTCGAGTTCAGAAACCCTCATCACATTTTCCGAAGACGCCCTACAAGACACGCGAAATCCATCGTCGAGGTCGAGGTTGCCGAGTCTCCTCGAGCGCATCGGCGCCCGGAAAAGTGATTTGATCTCCCTACGTCCAGGACATCAACGTTCAAAGTTCTTTTGAAGCGCAGCCGATGTCGGGAGCTGCCAGGAACGTCCAATCTCTCGTTGTCGGAAAAATGTTCAGCGGCATCTGGGCACTGCGCTCCAGGACCTGCGGTGGCTTCATATTGACGGAGTCGGACTGTCTGAGGTAGCAGTAGCTGGGCTTGAGTAATGGGTCTATGCTTTAGCATGACGGAGGTTGGTACAGGTCCCGCCGTTCCCAAATTGACCGCCGAAACCAGGTAGGCTTTGACTAGTGCCAAGGGCTCAATGGAATAATTTGGATGGATTCGCACATATTGAACTAATGTTGCATTGGAGAGTGTCCATAGACAAATTTAAGGCAATATAAGGTAGCCAGGCTGCGCATGGCCATGCAGTACCGTGCATGGAGCCCAGTACGGATTCTTCGGCAAGTGTGTTGGTGGGTGTAGAAAATGCCGGTTCTTAACAGCTGAATGGACTTGAATTACTAGCTGAGTCAAGTAAAGCAAAAGAAGGGTATAGCTTCAATACTAAGTACAACAGAATAGAAGACTACGTGAGAAACTGCACTTAGTAAATGACAGGCCAGCCATTCTCATACTTGATAAGGTTGATGCCCAGTCGTGCAGCTCCAGCGTCGTTGTAGTAATGGTAAACCAGCACGTCACCATCGCCATCAGTGAAGACGGCGTTATGACCGGGCCCGTGAATCGAGCCGTGGCTTGCGATCATCTCGGTGCCACCGCCCTGCATCATAGACACGCCGTTGCGGTCGACGTACGGGCCTGTGACGCTGGTGGATCGGCCGACCATGATGCGGTAGGTGCTGGCAGCGCCCTTGCAGCAGCTGTCAAAGGACACCCAAAGGTAGTAGTAGCTGCCATGGCGGATGATGTAGGGCGCTTCAACGGCGCCGCCATTGTTGGGGCGAGCGGCGATGGCGACCATGCTGGTGCCAGAGCGTTTGCCGGTGCTGGAGTCTAGCGCGATGATCTTCAGGCCCGACCAGAACGAGCCGAAAGATAGCCACCACTTGCCCTGGGCATCGACAATCAGGTTGGGGTCAATGGCATTATAGCCGCTTGTGGCGGTCGACTCGACCACCAAGCCCTGGTTGGTCCAGGAGCCAGACGCGCCGGTGGAGCTCGTCGCGAGAAAGATGGCCGACTTGGACGTTCCAAAGGACGAGGCCGAGTAGTAGAGATAGTATTTGCCGTTATGGTACGAGAGATCCGGAGCCCAGAGGTTCTTCGCGCCGCCAGTGTAGGCCGTGGTCCAGGGCGCGCCATTCGGGAACGCGGAACCAGCATCGCGCCACACGGTGCGGTCGGTAGATGTTTTGAGTCCGACGTTGTCTGCCGTGAACGCAGCCAGATAACTGCCGCTCGGCGTCTTGACCACGGTTGGGTCGTGGATGAAGGTGTCGCCAGAGACGGGGCCTGGTTGGCCAACGAACCCTCTGGCAACAATCGCCGCCATGGTAGTGACAGCCAGCATGCTGCCAATGGTGAATTTGCGTAGGGACATCATCTTGGGCTTTTCTGATCTCGGGCGCCTGTGAGCCTTTGCAGCTTGCTTGCAATGATATCGTCGCAGGTGGCGCCTTATATATTAACCTCTATCGTACTCATTCACAATGCCTCCTTTTGCACCAAGTCCGTCCATATCCACACTCTACGGCGGTGTATGTAAATTCTTCCAATTGGTTCCTATAGCTAGCTAGAGCTGCATCGCACCCCTGCCGCGAATTAAGCTTGTATATCCTCTCGGTCTTCTCGGTCTCTTTACCCTCAACATGAAACTTCCAGCCTTAAATCCCGTAAGCGGATGCCAGAAACCCGTTTACATTACGCTTTCCGGCTTAGTGCTCGCATGCGTGGCTCCGCCTACTACCTTGTGACGTCTAAATGGCACAGGCGCCCCAATAACTTGGCCTCCTTGAAACCGCCAAGCAACTTAAGTGCTCGTACAAAGTACACGGAGTTTTTCATTCCGAGGATGATTCTCCACAACACCTAATCCCCATGCGGCGCGGCTTTGAGTTCCGAACGGTAACCTTAGATAATCATACCGCGTTTACTCGAGGTTTAGCTGATCAGGGGCCTATAGCACGTGAGAGAATGTGGCCAGAGCATTATGTTACGTGGCAGTAGCTAGTGCGTAATTTGGCAATGCGAGTAGATCCTATACAGATTGAAGGGGTGGTTAAACCCGTTAATTATCAGCTGTATCATTATCGGGGTTGCAGCTTTAAAAGGTACTGTGCTAAGAGCATTCAACCACACAACTAAAACATCACTCTAATGCTTTGGTCTAATAGGCCCTCAAAATACAAAGATAAACTCATCGTTCATCAAATCGGTCAAGTCATCAAACGCGCGTGCACCAACACCAGATCCCGTCCCATCCCTGGCATTTTCCACATGCTCCGCCCCAATCGCCTTAACCCTGCGCAGCCGATCTGCTTCTTCTGGCGAGTACAAGCTGTAATCAACTATAAGAGCATCCTTTCCAGCCAGAACCCGGCGGCGACTATGATCGCGGTTGAGATAGGCGAGATACATGGTCGTGACGCCGACGAGGACTATGATGGCGCAGTATAGTAACAGGTTCCAGTATAAACCAGTATAATACTCAGGCGCCTCTGATGGTTTGTATAACAGAGGGCCAATGATGTTTCCAAGAGATTGGCCGACGAAAAGGACAGACGAGTTGCATTTGCTCTTGGTATCGCCAGCTGTATTGGAGGCCGACCACGAGTATATCAAGGGAACTAATACGGATATCAGCCATTTGTATTGGAGTAGCAGTAAGTCATTCATACCTATGCCCGGGAACACTGAGATCATGTAGTAGCCGCACAGCAATGTTGCCTTAGTGTCAGGCGTGTGAGGCGTTGCCAGCATGATCATGCACCCAGCAATGGGGAATATGGTCAAAAAAGCGATGACAGGACCTTTCTTGTGGTATTTTGTAGCCATGTACGACCCGCCAACGGTGGATATTAGCTGCACGATGCCGAATGGGGCATTGAACAGAATGGCGTGAAATGAGTCGAAACCGAATGACTTGACAAGCAGAGGACCGAAAGATGCGACACCGCCGGAAGGGACACTATACAAAAATCGAAATGGTAAGCGGTGTCGAACAAAAATAGATTGAAGATGAGAATTGCGTACGAAATGCTAAAGATGAGTGCGAACCAAAGCCAAGTCTTGACGTCTCGGATCATCTCCCAGAGGTGATCCCATCGCCATTCACGCGACATGACGCCGGTCTGGTTCATCCTCAATCGCTCAATGGCGATGAGTTTGTCATGCTTGCCGAGAAATTTGGCCTCGGCAGGAGAATCGGGCATGTACGAGAATAGGATGGATGAGAAGCAGACGGTGATGATTCCAAAGAAGATGAATATTGTCTATTCGAGTAGTCAAAAGTCTGTCCTTAGGGGTCTAGGAGACAACACTGGGTGCTCACTTGGTATGGTTTAAGTCCGAATGGCAACTGCGCAAGTCCCCATGTGATCAGGCTGCCGAACTATATCGCATCAGTTCCAGGCTATGCGCGAATGTCGCTTGGAAAGGTACGACCTACCACGTTGGTAAAGCCGTTCATGGCGTACCAATAAGACATACGCAGAGGCTGCTCCCTGCGACGCCAGAACATTTGCGTAATGGCGATGAAGCTAGGAGCGATACTTGCCTCGAAAGCACCCAGCCAGAACCGAGCCACAAGTAGGCTTTCAAAAGAATGTGCCCCAGCCATGAGCGCAAGGGTCAGGCCCCAGAGCGTAACCATACAACTAGTGAATTTTCCGATTGGCAGCTTCACAAGTAGCCACGCAAGAGGGAATTGCGCTATGAGCTGAGCGACGTAGACTATGGAGCCTAGCCAGGAGAATTGGTCGCCTTTGAGGCCGGTGTCTTCGATGAGGCCGAAGATGGACGCGTAGGCGATTGTGGCCTTGTCGAGACCTGCAACCATGTCAGCTGCAAACGTTGGGAAGATAATAAAAAAGGGTCAATCCACCTTGCAAAAAGTAGACAGCCAGCATCAAGGGCAGAACGACAGAGTCGACACGATGTAGCACGCGAGCATCATCCTCGGCTGTCACCTTGATGCGTCGCTCGGGCGAAACCCCAAGCCTCCTCATCAGGTCCGCTGCAGGGGTATTTTTGCCGCTATCTTTACGGTTAATTGGCCTGCCGCGTCTCCCGTCCATGCCATCGTCGATGTTCTCCTGCCCATCTACGAGCTGTAATAGGGGATATTGATCAGAGGATGACGTCACGTCTGCGTCTGGAGAGGGAGAGGCAGAGCCATGACCACGACGGCCACCATGGTCTGAAGCAGACATGACAGTTTCGGTGCTTGGTGGATGTTTGCCGCAAGGGGGAAACCAAAGTGTCGGACGATATGCCGTCTGGTGTAGCTTAGTTGACCGAGGCTGGGGACGGGTTCATGATGGGAAATGGCCAGTCAAGGGATAAGTTGACGAATGGCGGCCTTGGCCAATCAAGGATGCACTGCCGAGATTAGATAAGCCCTTGTCGTCGCCACGCTGGACTAAATGAATGTGTGAGCGTGAAGTTACCAGTGCATGGGGAAGCAAAGAAAGACGTAATAATAATGGATAAGTACAGTTTTGGGCATAATTAGCTTCCTATTTTACTAAGCATGAAAATGTGGTCAGGCGCAGCTACAGCGCCTATAGCACCCTAATCTTCCAGCAGCTACAGCGCCTACAGCACCCTAATCTTTCAGCAGCTATAGCACCTATAGTATCTTTATCTTTTAACAGCTATAATATTATATATACTAAAAAAAATATGTAGATACTATAGCTTTAAGAAGATTAAGATATTATGGATATTATAGCTGCTAAAAAATTAAAATACTATTGAGTCGGGGCTTTCCGGTCTTCGGGGATAAAGGTCATCTGATCGGATGCTTGCAGCCACTAGGGCTAGGATTGGTGGGTTCCTTCAACAGGAAATACCGTACCGGGTAGAGACCAGTAGCCAGACCTATTGGAGCCATAAATTGGGAAGGTCTCAGACAGGACCTTCAGGACAGCATCATCCTTCTAGCATCTCATTCAATTGATAGGTATTTGACTTACCCTTTGGGGGCCTATTGAAGGTCCATTTGATCAAACGGTATCAACTGAAAAGGCTGTCTATTTTACCCAGCTGTGTAATTTATCCGGACCCCAAACCTGACCCTATCCGACCTTTCCACCAAAACACTATCGCAGTCATCACAGCTCTGCCTCTGGGTGGGTTGTGTGTTCTTAGTGTCCTCTGCTCACTCTCTCACTCAGTACAATCGGATGGGTTATAATCTTAGGTTATATCTAGAGCTACACTCTTACACTACTTCTCTTTATAATTACTCATTTGTAAATTGATAAGATTTTGTAGTTAATACTGGATGAAATGCCAGTATTCTAACGATATTATGATGTTCACGTGATCGCCTGGCATAGAAAACTATGGAAGGCGTTAGAAGGAGCGCACGGCCACGGAAAGTTAAGGACAGGTGTCCTTTGTCCCGCGTTGGTAGAGAGCGAACGTTGAAGCGGCAAGGCAGACACATCCCTTGCAAGCATTTGAATCCTTCAACACTATCCCCTGAAAGGCAATAGCCGAGACGAAAATCATACCACCTGTCAGCGCTTGGAATTCAGCAGACTCGAGACAGGTCTGCAATCACAACACATAATAAGTAAATGGTCCGTGTAACACTTGTTAGGCACCAATTTAATCCTCGAATTTCCGAGAATATTTAACATCAGCTGTCTCTGGTTCATCACCCTTATTACTCAACACCTTCTCAAGACAAAACAACCTCAATCCAAATCCCAGACCGCTTTCAACAATGCAGACCAAGGCCTTCATCACCGCTCTTCTCGCTGCGCTTCCCGCCATCCAAGCCTTCAAGTTCACAGGCCCCGATCCCTCCAAAGTCCTCGACGTCAGCAAGGAGATCATCATCACTTGGAGCGGTGGCGTCCCCGATAATCTCCCACGCAAGCTTGATTTCGGCTGGCATTGTGAGCCTGACCAGCTCAATACTCTCGAATCAGATATCAGCCAAATGCGGGATGACATCTATCTGTCCGACGGCGAGTACAAGATCAAATTCGGCGACAACTTCCACCGCATGCTTGACGAATTTGCCGACAAACTAGCTAAAGACAAGCTGTTCACTTTCCAGGCTATCTTCAATGATCGAACAGATGACCGTGTTGTTTACTGGAGCCAGAACTACACTCTTAGTGGTCTAGACAAGGGAGCTGGTTCGGAGCCTGAGGTTGAGCTATAGGGAAATGATATGTTGGTCTTGAGGCTGGTATCGACGAGTTGCAATGCCATAGGTCTTTCGCTACGATTGTTTCTTTCATAGTGGAAAGTCAGGCTTTTGCTTCTATAGAACTGAAGTAATTAGTTTGGAAATGTCTTGACGGGCGAATTACGAGTCACAAAAAGTCATTTGTATTAAGTTTAATTATCAAGCTATTATCAGCTCTATGAACTACTAGGTGAATATCTATATATCAAACTATATAAGCTCCCAACTCTTCTCTAAGTATTCGACGCTAATTGAGTAGAGGAAGTCTTAAGCCTTATGTTATTCAACTGTTACTCGTAGTGTTATCGCGAGTGTTGGTATAGTTAGCCTAGTCCTTGTCTTTGACCAAATTTACCCTATTTACAATTCTTTCGACTGCTTGAATCTTAGTGCAAATGATGCGGAAAGCCCTTACCTTGGCCTCACAGCCAGGGAATGGGCTTGATGCCTCAGGCCTCGGGCCTGCGGGTCGGAACCTTACGGCTCCGACCGTAGCTAGCTAGCTGTAGAGATCATCAATCCTTCATCACACACATTTAGACCTACGGTCCCATCCCATCTCGTATCAGCTAACCTATTTTAGTGAGTGGTAACGGAATCGTCATTAAGAAGAAAGGAGAACTATAGCCGCAAGAATAATACGTTGCTTTTTACTATAAATAAGCCAGATTTACTTACAGACTAGATCAGCTTTTGCCACCGACGCCGGGATCCCGTAGCGCCGCTCTCTGGGGCCTAGGTGGGTCAGGGTAGGTCTCCACTCTCGGCATGCTACGGTTATCACGAAAGGGCTAATAGAGGAACGAACCAAGCAAGATACAGATCGCGCTAGACTATGCGTATCGACGATGCGACGCCGACGACGACTGCTGCGTCTTCTGGGTGCACGCCGATAACGAAGCGACTTTTTTGGCCGATTATAAGACGATCAGCAAGAAGCTCGGGGTCGACGCGCGGCTTGACGGGTCAGACCTGCTTGATGCGGTACGCAACGAGATCGAAGCTCGATCGAAATAGATAATAATTCTTGGCAACGCGGATGACTTGAGGTTGTTCGGAGTTGGTCAACAAGCAAAAGCAGAAGAAATGAGCGAGCATCAGAACCAGAACCTCCACAAATACGTGCCTTGCACATCACAAGGGACGGTGCTACGGACGAGTCGAGACGCGCACATTCTTGGCCCCCTTGTTGGATCTCGTCGCGGCATCAAAGTGCGGTCTATGGCGATGAACGAGGCAACAACACTTCTTGCGAGGACCCGAGATGAGCCATCGACTGCAGAAGAGGCATTGGGGGAGACAGGAGTGGATGCTCAGCTGGAAGAGCTACAACGTCTCCCGCTAGCGATCTCGCAAGCCGGGGCATATATGCGGCGCATGTCGATGACGGCCGAGCAGTACCTGAGCCTCCTCAGACAAGGCAAGACTCGATGGGAGGTGCTGAAGGTGACCGACGCTGACCGACGTCGACGGCTCGAGGTATCGAACAGCGTGCTTGAGACGTGGAGGATCTCGACAGAGCGGATCCGAGCGGAGAGCGAGATATCTTACTAGATATTGCATGTAATTATATATATGGACAGTTAAGATATACTGCATAAGCTAGTAGCAGAGGCGGCTTGTCGATATGATGAAGACGATAAAGACTCAACCAGGCAAGCCTTGGAGCTTAAGGTCCTGGAGGCTGTTGCACAACTGAAAGAGTTTTCTTTCCTCAGTCTGTATGAGACAGAGGATAGTAGCCGAAGGTACGAGATGCACAAGCTTATGCAAGAGGCTATACGATATAGGCTAAGGGTAAGAAGCTCTGCAGCAACGACCGTTAGTAAGGTATCAGGGGTAAATAATAGGCCAAAAGAGGATAAGGAATTCTACAGTGGCAGGGCGTTGCAGGTAGTAGATGACCTCTTCCCGTCATCGGAACCTGCCGCATAGGCACGATGCGAGCGCTACCTGATATATGCCATTCGAGTAGGGGAGTGGGCGGAGGTAGGCGAGACAGAGACGGAGACAGCAAACTTACTTCAGAGAGTATCATACTTTCTATACAAGCAAGGTCGATAGAAAGAGAAGGAGCCGGTAGACAGTCGCGCTTGGGGTCTCCGGCGGGAGGTGCTTGGGGAGAAGTATCCAGATACAATCAGCAGCATGGCGGACCTCGCGGCGATGTATCATGCTCAGGGCCGATATGACGAAGCCGAAGGCATCTACCAGCAAGTACTGAAAGTCAGACAGAAAGTGCCTGAAGAGAAGCATCCAGATACGATCAGCAGCATGGCATCCCTCGCGACGACGTACCATCAGCAGGGTCGATATGCTGAGGCAGAACAGCTCCACCAGACCGCTCTAGACCTCCGTCGACGTGTTCTGGGAGAAAGTCATCCCGCCACAATACAGAGTATAGAGTACCTCGCCTTGACGCAAGAGGCATTACAACAATTTCCGTCTCACAGAATCTCTGCAATCTTTGACAGTAACGCAAGTAGGCAATTCGAAAGGACGGGAGAAGCTAGGGCAAGGATCTTTGTGGGAGACTATACGCAGAAAAGCTGATAATTTCTGCAAATTGAGGTTTTCTCGAACACAAGGGCCTCGATGAAGCTGTATTTCTACATGTGCGAATCTATCTGTTTCTACTCGATTGTCTGGCATAGTAATCAACGAACGTTTTCGGTGCTTACTATATATAGAATTAAGTGTGCGGGTGTCATTTTTTTGGGTAATCGTAGCTTTCGGCCAGAAGGCGACCATGGGACAATTATGGATAGTGTTCAGAGAGATACATGACAAGACGTTGGCAGCTGTTGGGTTGTTTACTTGTTTGCTGGTATGTGACACAGTCACTTCTAAGAACCGCACCCTCTCCATCACGTGGCCTGGCGAAGTGCCCTGTCACGTGACGCTCACAGCTACTCTGTGCAATCTCAAGACATCGTACCTTCATCATCTTTTTAAAGTAACAGGCATCCCGCTCTGCTTCACTGGTTAACCTAGGCTACCACATAAGCTCATGTCAATATATTTCTTATCTTTCTCAATGGATGCATTGGTAGTCCTATATTCGGTGTTCCAATCCCAGATTTGCTTTCCACATCCTCGGTTCAGGTTGACTTAGTCTTTCTACCACTCTGCTAGCGACAACCTCCTTCTGTTTCGGGTTCTATAATGACTTATTAATAAACAAATTTCCGTGTCTCTGGAACAAAACAAGGGCCCCAAAGTGAGGGGCCAATTAACAGGATCTCAATCGTGACTCCATCTCGGAATTAGCGCTTATTCCGGCGCCTGCAATCATCATCGGCGATGAGTCATTAGAATCCTTCTGTCAATAAAAAGTTACAACCAGTCTCCAATCATTTTTCTCCAGTACTCGACTTTGAACGTTGTGTGTTTGAGCTATTTGCTAACATGGCGACAACTCAGACACAGGCCATCTCGGTCCCTTATTCTGCCAATGCATTCTCTCCAGAATCCAATGCATCGCCGACTCCACTCCCGGGAATTCTGTTGGATTCGTTCCAGGATGATCAAGTGCCCGTAATGCCCCAAACCTCGGCCAAGACATCCCGCCTACAGAATGCCATTCTGGTAGTTCTTATGTCCGGAATCACTTTCACTGGATCCCTCATCAATGGCCTCGTCACGGTTGGTTTACCCGCAATTACAGCAGATCTGAAGATCCCTCCATCATTGGCCTTCTGGCCCGCTTCCGTCTCCAGCCTTGCTACCGCGTCCACTTTGCTGCTAGCTGGATCTGTTGCAGATGTTCTGGGTCCTCGACGAGTTGATCTCGTTGGATCTTTCGCGAGTGGTGCTCTGATGATTGCCGCTGGTGCTTCCCGTCAAGGCTCCGAGCTGATTGCCTTGCGAGCACTCCAAGGTGTAGGCCTTTCCTTGCACCTTGCATCATCCGTATCGATCATCACGAAAGCCCTTCCTCAAGGTAGAGGCCGCAATCTGGCTTTCTCATGCCTTGGTTTGAGCCAGCCACTGGGTCTGTCGGTTGGCCTTGTCTTGGGTGGTGTTTTTGTGGACACAATTGGTTGGCGGGCAGGTTGGTATCTATCAGGCGGCTTGACCCTCCTGCTTGCGAGTATTGCTATTTGGGCTTTGCCTAGGAGCAATGATCTAAGAAGCATGAAGAATATCTGGCACGACATGAAGATAAAAGTGGATTGGGTCGGTGCCATGCTAGCATCCGCTTTCATGACGCTGTTGTGCTACCTTCTGGCGTAAGTTCGGCCAATTCTCCAAGCTAGCAGTTTTCAATGATGCTAACTTGATATTCTAGTATCTTGAGTGCGGATGTGACTCGGATTAAGGAACCCTTGAGTAGTGCATTTCTCTGCCTAAGTGTAGTTGCATTGATGACATTCATTTACTGGATGCACATCCAGGTCAAGGCAAACAGGCCAGCACTTATCCCCAACTCTCTCTGGAGAAATACAACATTCTCGGGGGTTTGTATGACTATTGCCCTCTCTAACGCCGTCATTAACTCGATGGAACTATTTTGTAGTCTATTGTAAGTTTGATATACGAAGGGCCCGAGGATTCCGTCCAGCATTCTAATATTTCACAGTTTCCAAGATATACAGCTACTTCCTGCCCTCCAAGCTTCCATCCGCATATTACCCTCGACGACGGTCGGAATAATTATGAACTTTACGGTCGGTCTCTTTGTACACAAAGTCCCTGTGGTCTGGATCGTCATGTCTACTTCAATCCTCTGCGCTGGCGCGTCGCTATTAATGGCCGTCATCCAACCGTCGTGGCCATACTGGGGCAATGCATTCGTTGCTCAGCTGTTGATGCCTCTAAGCTGTGACGCCTTGTTTACGGTGGGGCTTATTATCATCTCGGATGTTTTCCCTGATGATACGCAAGCACTTGCTGGAGCTGTATTCAACACAGCCGCTCAATTTGGAGGTGCCCTTGGCCTTGCAATTTTGCAAGTCATATCCACAACAGTTACAGAAAAGCAGACTGGAATGGAGATGATCTCGGCACTTATGGAAGGATATCGAGCCAGTTTTTGGACGATGTTCGCATTTATGATCTTGTGTGCAGCTATCGGTACATTGGGGCTGAAAAACACTGGAAAGATTGGGCTCAAGAAAGACTAAACTCAATAGCCCGGTGCCTGAGCGTAGGTACCAAAAACAAATAGGCTTTCGCAAAGGTATCAAAAGAGAGACTACTTCCATACAGCCGAAAAAATATACCGTACATTGCCGATTTGTTACATCAATATCCTTTCCGCCGCGCCCATTCAAAAACTCCTACGTGCGCGACCTCGACCTGTTGGTTATGCCCAGCCGAGCTGGATGGGAAGATGCAACAACATATCACCCGCCGCATTCTTTGAAGGCATCTTCCCAGCTCTGATATTAAGCTGGAGGGATTGGTGGAGCAGTCGTGGAGCGGCAAGGTTGGCGTCGCGCTCCGTGCGCCACTGCACGAATTCCGCCTCGGGGACCTGATCTTTTAGATGCTTGTTGGCTTGATTTTGCTCGGAAACCGTAGTCACGGCAAGAGGATCGGCGCGACCGTCGGCGCCGCCTGGGGGGTAGTCATGGCCGGTCCAGATTTTGAACTTCTCTGGCAAGCTGAGCATCTTCCTCACCGAGGCGTATAGGGTGGAGGCATCACCGCCTGGGAAGTCGCAGCGGGCTGAGCCAACGTCAGGGTTGAAAAGAGAGTCGCCGCAGAATACGTTTTCTATGAGCCAAAACAAGTTAGCTGGGATATCGTCTTCTGTTATTGATGATACATACCTCCGATAACGTAGCCAAGATGGTCGGGTGTGTGTCCAGGCAGGTGGATTGCCTTGGCTTCAAGCTCCCCGATGGAAAAGACTTCGTCGTCGTCCAGGAGATGATCAAACGCGTCCTTGTACTCGCTTTCGGGAATTCCATATCGCTGGCCGAAACGATCTTGCGTCTGCCCGACGCGCTTACCAATGCAAATGTCGGGGCGCAGATCTTGAGACGCGGTAAGTTTCAGTTGCAGATAGTTCGAAGAGGTGATGTGATCGGCGTGCACGTGAGTTTCCAGCACCCTCACGACGATGTACTCATTTGCCTTGGCCAAGGAGATCAGCGCATCCGCGCTTTCAGTGGTTAGAGCATTCTTGACGGGGTCAAAGTCGAGCACGGGATCGATGATGACGGCATGCTTTGTCTTGGGATCGGCCACGATATACTGCCAAGTGGAAGTCTTGGGCTCGAAGATGTTGTGAATGATGGGCTCGACAGGCATTTTGTTTCGGGTAGTGTTGCGTTGCGAGGGTGGCTGCATGGACGGCGTTGGATGTGGAAAACCGATTTAGAGAGCTTGCAAGTGCATCTTATAGCACCATCTCACCTTCATTTCTACGCATTGACAGATAATAGACGTCTCTTTAACCAGTGTCCTCACTAATCGCCGTTGCCAAAGTCCCCGAGCACGGCGACCTCCCGCTACGATAACTAAGTTTTGGTGGTGACGACTGGTCGCCGAAATGGTGGGTCCTCCGGGGAAGTGGGGTCCGAGCCTCCGAGGCAGGTCGCCGAGGCGGCCACACGCTTCATCATGATGTCACTGTTCGCCGGGGATGTATCCATCAAACCTTGCATGGAGTTTTGGATTGTAATTTCAAGGCTAATTATAATTTAGAGAGCCTGGTAAATCACGGACCGACACCCGAGGGCCCACGTCCTGGCTAGCGAAAGCTGTTGGTCCGCGTCTCTGAGATTGTGGGATGTCTCAGATATCTTCTTAAGCTTAAACATGCATGATCTCCATAATAATTGCTTCTATTCACCTGAACGAGCACAACCAACCAACCAACCAACCAACCAACCACGTTCTAGACTCTCCGGGAATGTGTAGCCGAGCAACCATGTCTTGCCAAGGCCCTCCCTTGACCGTAAGTAAGCAAATGGGAGCCGTCTCTCCGGGGGGTTCTCTCCATGATCCTCCTCATGGAAGTAGGGAGAGAAATTGACGCTGCAGGTCAGGCTCTCCTCAAATGCATGTCTCTTTCGTTAAATGATGTGGCGATATTCTTTTCCCACCACGCCGACGCAAGGGGCCGGGAAATGAACTCCTAGTACACACCGCTTCTACCATCCTTTTTACTCTCAGCCTATGAAGCTTCCGTTGGCTTGCAGCGTTTAATTAGATTGGCAGCAATAGCCGCGTTCCGTTGGCAATGAGGCGCAAATCGGATCGCGTGAAATGTCTCAACGGACCGCCTCGCCACAGACACGCGGATAAGACAGCGTGCTTTTAAACATCATTTCGTTAATTATAAGCGAATATTCAATAGTGCATTCTCGACTGGACATGTGGCTGGCTGGAGGACGAAAAGGGAACTGAACCAGCTGTTGCGGCCTGTACAACCAACAGGTGTGGACCGCAGAGTGGGCATTCCTCAGAGACAGTGAGCAGATATAAGTTATCCATGAACACCATTTCGTCATTATGGAAATCAATTGGTAGACATCACAACACGACTCGAATACACCATGGTTCCAAAACCCAGCTGGCATACGCTGCTAGTACTCGCGTCCCTCGCAATCACACCCATCACGGCACACGGCACACATCATGTCGGCACTCAAATCAGCGAACTTCTGTCTCGAAACGATCTTGACAGTGATGGCTGCGCCCACCCGAACCTCTGCGTATGGGGCAACTGCACCGATGTCACAATCGGAATCGACCCAATGAACTGCGGACGAGCCGGAAACGCTTGCAGCTCTGGAGAGTTGTGTGTCGGAGGAGCTTGCTTGCCTCTCAAATTCGAACCCACCCTTCCTTGTGGTGCTTCGGGAGACAACTGCCTCCCTGGACAATGGTGCTATAAGGGTGCATGCACACCCATCCAAGTCGTCACAAACCCCCGTCATTGCGGCCTGTCTCCAGTGGAATGCAACGCCGGCGAGCTCTGTGTCAACGTTGTGTGCATCAAGATCGACATCGGATCCGATCCCTCCTCCTGTGGCAAGTCTCAGACAGCCTGTAACCCCGGAAACTGGTGCATGGATGGTATCTGCACGCCATTCGTCCTTGGAACGTCTGCTTCAACATGCTCATCCGACAAAAGCTGTTCTCTTGGAGCTCCGTGCCATGATGGCGTCTGTCAATCTTACAATACTGGCACCGATCCTTGGAATTGCGGTGCCGATCGTCGCCAATGCTCCGCCGGAGAGCTCTGTGTGTCTGGGAGCTGCAAGCCACTCAACATCACGACCAACCCCAAATCTGAAAAGTGTCATCCAGGCAGCCTAGAATACGACAGGCACTGTTTGCCTATACACATCAGCACCTTCCTGTCCGCGTGCGGGTACAATAGCCAAGGATGCAAAAATGGAGAGGTGTGTGTATCTGGAGTGTGTGTAAGCGGACTGGAACATACTGAGGACATTGCGATTATCGGCTGCAGCAAAGGCCCTGGAGAGCCTGACTCGCCTAGTCATTACGTTCAGTCCGCTGGATACAGCAACAGTGGAAGTACAAGTATCGAAGGTACACACAGTGGCAGCGAGAGCGGCGGAAGCAAAGGAAATGGACACAAAAGCAGTGCAGGCAAAAGCCATGGAAGCGAAACTTCTGGAAGCAAACACAGTGAAAGCACCAACAGTGGAGGCTCAATCAACAATGGCCATTCATGGAACAGCCACGGAAAAGGGGACACTCTCCATTCATCCAGCAGTGGCAACGGTACTCGGCGACAAAGCTACGGTTGCCCAGCAGGACAAGTCTGTGGTGCCGGCCTTTCCTTCGACATCTTTGGCGACTCTCAGAACTGCGCAGGTCCAGGAGACGTCTGCCCTGGGAACAACCTGTGCTGCAATGACACTTGTCTCCCCGTCGACATTAGCACGAACGCACACCTCTCGGACTGCAAGAACAATAAATGCAAGGCCGGATGCATTTGCAAAGTTGACCAGACATGCCGCTCTGTTGTGATTGAGTTGTTGTCCTCCGCTTGCGAACCAGTGTGTCGCACTGGTGAGATATGTGTCTCCGGCACTTGCATCAACATCGCTGGTGATGCTACAGGCTGTGGTATATCTGGATACGCCTGTCCTGCAAACCATTTTTGCATTCTAGGGACGTGTATCCCAGTCGACACCGGTAGCGACCCTAAAAACTGCGGTACTGGGGGACTTACTTGTCCTGCTGGCACGCTTTGCTTCGCCGGAGCCTGCATCCCCATTGAGGAGAATGCGGAGGAGAAGCCTGCCGTCTGCGATCCAGTCTGCGCCAAAGACCAAATCTGTGTTAAGGGATCATGTCTTGCCATTCAAGATCCGGCTTCATGCAAGGTTCCCAGTGGCGGCTTGTCCAGTCGACAGGACGTCAGTGGATGCCTCGTCGGTACAATCTGTGTCGGCGATCAATGTGTCATCGTCGAACCTGCCCTGAACTGCGGAGATCCCGGGAACGATTGCCCTGCCGGTAGTGTCTGCATCATGCGAGCCTGCGTGCCGACGGAGGATCCCTCAGGTTGCGGAGTAGGAGGCGCCGTCTGTGAGGTGGATGAACTCTGCATAGGCGGTTTCTGCACTCCTATTCAGACCGCCGGTGATTGCTATAATGTCACCTGCGAAGACGGGGAAGTTTGTGACGACGGCATTTGCGTTCCGGAGACCAAGCTTGGGTGCACCAAAGATTCCGATTGCGTTGGCGAAGAGGTTTGCCAGGACAGTTTCTGCGTGGTTGAGGCCACGTTCCAGCGCCAAGAATATGCGGACTGCGAGGAAGGAGAGCTCTGCCAGGACAATTTCTGCGTCTTATCCACGGCATTTGAATGCACGAGGGACTCGGAGTGCGTTGATGGAGAGGTTTGCCAGCAGGGTGTCTGCGTGCCAGATTCTCCGTCCGAGTGTATAAAGGACTCTGACTGCCTCGACGGGGAGGTGTGCGAAAAGAGTGTCTGCGCCTTGGATGCCACGGTCGAATGCGCAAAGGACTCGGACTGTCTTGACAACACGATCTGCCGGGAGAGTATCTGCGTGGTGGCTCCCACGTTGTTCGAGTGCACAAAAGACTCGGACTGCCTCGGCGAAGAGATGTGCCAGAAGAATGTGTGCGTGGTAGCTCCGGAGTCATCTGAGTGCACCAAAGATTCAGACTGCATTAGGGGACAGTTGTGTGAGAAAGGCTTCTGCGTGGTAGCTCCCACATCTCTCGAATGCGAGAAAGATTCAGACTGCCTCGACGGAGAGGTGTGCGAGGAGAGTGTCTGCGTAGTAGCCCCCACGTCATCTGAGTGCACCAAAGACTCAGATTGCACTGATGGAGAGGTGTGCGAGAAAGGGTTCCGTGTTCTCGTTCCCACGTCGCTCCCATGCACACAAGATGCTGACTGTCTTGACGGGGAGACATGTCAAGACAGCGTCTGTGTGATAAATGTTGAATGCGGAAAGGATTCAGACTGCACTGATGGTGAGGTGTGTGAGAAAGGCTTTTGCGCTCTCGCTCCCAGTGTCAAGTGCACAACCGACTCCGAATGTGATACGGGAGAAGTTTGCGATAAAGGTCTCTGCGTGCTCGCTCCAGTACCAAATGCACAGCTGACTCTCAGTGTGCTACGGGAGAGGTCTGCGAGAAAGGATCCTGCGTACCAGCTCCACGTATCCCATGCACATCAGATCCCGACTGCCCCAGCGGCGAACAGTGTGTGGATGGAGTGTGCTCTCCAGAGGCTTGCGGGTGCGCTTCTGATTCCGACTGCGCTGTAGGCGACTATTGCGACTATTGCATTTGCCTACACTCTACCAAGTAGTGTGTCATTGACCTGGATTGCATCGGTGTTGAGCGCTGTCAGGGGAGAGTATGCACTTGCGTCGCGGAAACCTGCATCGCCTCAGAGGAAATCGGTTGCACCAGCGACGACGACTGCGACTCTGGCAGCACTTGTACTGATGAGATCTGCGTGCCGATTACGGGATGTTCCAACGACGACGATTGCCCGGATTCTAGTACTTGCAATCAATCGACAGGCCAATGCGAACCTGGGACACCCGAGACGCCTGACTGTACGGCGGATGCCCAATGCCAGCAAGAGCTTGTTTGCAAGTCTGGTAAATGCGTTCCGGAATGTATCAGCGATTCCGATTGCTCTGGCGGTCTTTCTTGTGTCGACAACAGATGCAGCGATCCTGTTCCAGATTGTTGTGAAACGGATAGCGAATGTGCCGCTGGCTTTTTCTGTCGAGTGCACCAGCGATACCGATTGCTCTGATGGTCTTTCTTGCATCGACAGTAGATGCAGCGCCCCGGATCCGCAAATTTGCTCAACCGACAGCGACTGTGATGCTGGCTATACCTGTGTTAACAGCGCATGTATAGTCTCTGATTCAGCGAGTTGTTCGACTGACGGCGACTGTGATGCTGGCCTTTCTTGCATCGATAGTAGATGCAGCACCCCGGATCCGCAAAGTTGCTCGACCGATAGCGACTGTGATACTGGCTTTACCTGTGTCGACAGCAGATGCATCGCCACTGATTCGGGAAGCTGTTCAACCGATAGTGATTGTGATACTGGCCTCAACTGTGTCGACGGTACGTGTATCGTCCCCGATTCAGAAGATTGTTCGACCGATAGCGACTGTAACGCCGGCTTCAACTGTGTCGACAACACATGCATCATCCCTGATCCAGGCACTTGTTCCGCCGACAGTGACTGTCAACCTGGATCTACTTGCGTCGGCAACACATGCATTCTTTCCAATTCACCTTGCTCAATTGACACCGACTGTCAGGCTGGATTTAATTGTATCAGCGACGTATGCCTTGCGTCTAGTTCGGGGTGTTCAGCTGACAGCGACTGCGATTCTGGCTCTATTTGCGAGAACAGCTCATGTGTTCCGGAGCCGCAGTCCTGTTCCCTCGACTCCGACTGCGGTCCAAGTACTTTCTGTCAGAACGGCGTCTGTACCCCTGATCCAAACAGTTGCTCAGCTGACAGCGACTGTCAAGTTGGATCTACTTGCGTCGGCAACACATGCATTGTTTCTGATCCACCTTGTTCAGCTGACAGCGACTGCGGTACAGGTGATGTCTGTCAAAACGGCGTTTGTACCACACCCGATCCGAACAGTTGTTCAATTGACTTCAACTGCGGCGTTGGAGCCTTCTGTCTTCGGGTCCATTGCTACGTCACCGGTGTTGAAGCGTGTAGCGCGGACAACGACTGCGTGTCTGGTTCTATTTGCACCAGCAACACATGCTTCGATCCAGTAAATTGCTCCACGAATAACGACTGTCCTTCCCGCTCTATTTGCTACAACAGGAGATGCACCGCCCCTATTCCGGATTGTTTAGAGGACGCCGACTGCCTTGATGGCGGCGAGTGTGATGGCGGCGAGTGCGTCTCGCAACCTTGATACTTGTCTGGCGGCCGCACTCTGCAATATCTGCGCCTCAACTGCGTGTTTGGCCCGAATATTGTTATCTTCCGGGCTCCAAGCGTCTTCCGGCGAGTGCTTTTGCATTCAGGGTTGTTTACAAGAGCGGGTGTCGGGCTAAATATTCCTTGCAGTCTGCGATAGTAACAGTGCATGGGCAGACCGAGCGTGTGCAACTTCATAGTACTTGAATCTATTTGACGATTGTCAGGAGGGTTCTCTTGCAACGAGCCAATATATATATGGGTTATTTGTGATCGAGTAAGAGGCAAAGTAGATAGCTAGAGACGGTATGCGATGATCACTTTCGGGGATTCAAAGGATCAGCAAGTCCTTAGCTCCGGAAAAGGAGCGTTTTAATTACACGATTTGCATCTCGATGTGCCATATTTCCTTTCTCACGAGATCCCAAGCTGGTGCCGCGTTACCCTGAGGTGCGAGTGAGCGATTCCCCTTTCCCAATTTCAGTTGCAGGACATAAATCAAGACAATGTTGTGTTTCACTATCAACTATACAAAAGTCATTCTCCGTAGCTGCCTTCCATCCCAACCTTGATACAACCCAGAAATGCATGATTCAGTGCTCAATCAATATCCCTGGCCGCTCTCTCCACCCACTCATACGAGGGATCATAACCAATGTGTATACCCATTTGCATGGTTCTCGTAATATCCTGGTAAAACACCTCGCGCGCTCCATCACCCTCGCTACTTATCTTTTGCGGCTTCACCATGCGCTTCTTGGCCTTTCCGAAATTTGACCCAACGTCCCATGCCCGGTAGCTGACAGACACGCGTTTGAGCCTGGAGTGGTCCTCCCAGTTGAATTTCCCACTGCCACTGCCACTGCCGCCATCACGAGACAAGACACCTTGTACGATGCCGTTTAGGATGGTGAAACCGGGCTCAGCTGGTTGAGGATAACCTGCCCAGCTGTCATGGGGGAAGCAAGTGATGGTGGTCAGGTTAGTGCCACGGGCAAGTGCTTTTCCGATTTCATCCTATCAATTCAGGTCAGTAATGCTTGGTAGAATTGGGTACGAGTGATGGAAACTGCCTACAATTTCCGCTTCCTCTGGTGCAAACTCGAATTCTTCCAATTCAGGGAGCGCATCAATGATGGTTGCCACAGTTGCTGCTGATAGGTACGGGATCCTGCGGTCGCTGATGATTCCCCGATAAGATAATTTCAAGCTTCTCAACTTTTTATGCTTGATAATAGCTTGCAACAGCATGGTCGGTAGTCCAGGGTTTGTGGCGATCTCTCTCGGATACTGGTTGTAATCCGGGAGTAGCAGGGTCGTCAGAGTGTCAAACGAAGAAATGAAACGACACTTAGCCTCGAGGTCCCCCGGGTTCTCTGTAGCAGCCCGTGTGTAGCCTTCATTTGTCATGCCCAAGCGCAAGGTCCGCAAGCTTATATCTGCTCCTGAGCTTTGAGCGGAAGAAGTCAAGCTCGTCAGATGGTCAAGGAAGAGGTGCTGGCCCTCTGACAAAAGACCCAGTGAAAGCTGAGTCAACCCGATGAAGTCAATAGCCCTGTCTAACGCCTTGATGAAAGCTGCATCAAATGAGACGCCGGAAAGACTAAATAACTCCAGTGCGGTAAGATCGTGGTTTTGACTGCGAGTGGTACCTCCAGCAGAGATCTTCTTCTCCCAATCTTTCAAAAAGTTGGGCGCGTATGGGTTTGTCTCCACAGCCAGAGTCTGAAGTGTCGACAGCGAGTTTAGAAGTATAGACCGGACGACGTTATTTTCGTCGTCAAGCTCAGATACATAGCTGTGATCTTGCAAACTAAAGTGCTTCAAATTCTTGATTTTGACCAGTGGTTTCAGAGCTCCAGCTTCGAAATCGGTCGAGAATAGGGACAAGGCTTGCAGGTTCTTCAGTGATGCAATGCTCTGTCCCATTGACCTATGAATAGCGTCAACATGCTACAACATGATGTGTGCAAATGGGAAGGGTGCCATGAATTACTTACTTTGTAAGCACCCGCGTCTCCACAATCTCCAGATTGCTCAAATTCTTGAATGCCTCGTCCAAGTATCTGTGGACAATATACTGATGCTTTCGTCCCGGATCTGAGACCCCAACAACTATCTGGCGCACATAGTCTGCACAAGCTGGCTTCAAGTTTTCGTCGAGGTGGCTTGGATACCGTTCCTGTTGACCTTTGTATTTGCCGTCCTTCTTCAACTGCTTCTTCTGTGCGATTGTAAGATATGGTTCGAGGGCACGGATGACCTTTTGGATGTGCGCGTGAAACATGGCCGCAACAGCAATGCGCTTGTGAAGCCGTGGCATCATGACCGAATAGTAGCTTTTGCATGTTCGCCCCAGTTTGCCCATGGTTGATGGGGAGTCGATCTGGTGTACATGAGCATAGTTGCGACACAATACCTTGGGTTTGTTTACTTACGCTGTTAAGAATCATGTGCAGTATTTCCGGGGGCAAGGACGATAAATCGTCGTTCGATGAGGGGAGCTGGGTTCGAGCAGGTGGTTCTTTGCTCTTATCTTTACCCTTTCCTTTCGCCTTGCCGGTTGTTAATTTCGGTGCTTTTTTCTTGCTTTTGTCGGTGGCATCTGGTTCAGCTGCTGGTGCTTTCCGCTTCTTGCTTGGGACAACTTCAATAGGGGCAGGTTGCTGGATCTCGACTGGTTCTTGAGCCACCTGCTTTTGAAGCCTGGAGCTTCTCCTTGTTGCCATTTTGTTCGCTTCAGAGACTGGGTCGGACACGATGCAAAGAGCGAGTGTCTTGGCAAAGATGATTCTCAGGAGTTCAATCTCACGCGACGTGGTGTGCCTAGAAGGGACCGGGACTGTGTCAGAACACGTCGCGGTATCACGTGATATCGTGCTGAGAATGTAAGCACTAATCGCCTTTGCTGCCTACAAAACTGGGCCACTAAGAGTGGAGATAACAATTGAGAGAGTCAGAGAGTATAGGTGAAAAACAGTAAACACCTAGAGCCGTTACTGGAAGCGAGAATATGCTGAAGGAGCAATATTCAAGATCTGGGTTCCATGCCAGTTTAATTTATTTAGGGATACACCACAATTGTCATTTAGTCTTATATTCCCGTGAGATCCCCAAAATGGCAGCGTCAAACTTGGCTTGCTCCAGGGTAAGTTAAGAGCTAATATTTTACCAAACCAAGATTCCAGGTTCTTCAACGTAGTTATTAGGTTTATAGCTAAAGTATTCACCGATGAAATAAAAAAATGCGCATTCGGTATTCGTCAAGTAAAATGTCAGAACTGATTTACTTCTGTAGGTCAATTGCAGGCGAGTAGCTCCTCCAGTATGCCAATTGACACAGACAATACTCTACGCAGAAGGCTATTACAACTACGAGATTTGCTCATAGCACCACTAAATTTAGGTAGAGACTAACAGGGCTTAAGTATATAGACTAAATATACTTTTCTTCAGAAGTCTTTCCCGAGAGATGCTCACATTACTTGAATATCCATGGCAAAAGCCTCCCTGTCTTGGAATGCCACTCCTCCCACTCAACGCCAAATCTAGCCTTCAACATACGTTCTTCCTGCCTCACACGAGTCCATACGCCAAACAAGAAGATACCCACTCCAACGGGGGCAGATACCCAGCCCAAGAAAGAGACGGCTTGGTACCACGAAGGCGGGATCCAGCAGCTCAGAACGCCGTCGGTGCGACATAGCAACGACAAGTTCGAGAGAAAAAGCACCACCAGCCCGGTATAACTGGGATGCTGCACGTAGCTGTACATGCCGCCCTTCTCTAGCCGGTCGGGTGGCGCAAGCGCAAAAGTGAAGTTCTTGCCGAGGGAGGCATATGAAGCCAGGCGCAGGGGAACGCCAGCACAGAGAATGAGTGCGAGCGGGACGGCTGTTGCTGTTGACCACGTGACAAGGCCAACCTCCAAGCCGTTCTCAGCGCCGTGATGGAGGAGGAATGAGGGTATATTCGGGCTGGTGTAGGCGAGACTGGAGGTGTGCAGCGCCAAGAGACCCAATGGGGCGAGTACCACCTTGGTTGTGTGCTTGCTAGTGAGACTTAAGCGGCTGATCGAGTCGGAGACCTCGGAGGAAGAGCGAGGATTCGGGCTGGGATTGGGAGGGGAGAGGGCAATATAGGTCCCGATAGTAGACGCGAGAATGGTTGCAGCTAGGGAGGCTTGCGAGAGGGAGGCTGAGAGCACCATGTTTGTTGCTTCTGGTGTGTATGCGTTGTATGTAGAGATGAGATGCCAGGCTCAAATCAATCTGAGTTGGTGATTGTAAACAACTGCCCTTTGGCGCCACCAGCGTGGTATTGGCGATGTGGTTGCTGGTGTTGTGGTGGGAATGTTGTTGAATGGTGGACGGCTGGTCCGGCACAGCCCGGTGAGTCCTTTTTCGCCACATCGGTCAAGGCGAGGGGTCCAGCGACGATCCTAGCCTGAAACCGATCGATTGCCTCATATAGCGCTGTGGAGTCCCTGGAGCCTCACCGCCTGAACGCCAATGTACAGTGTGGCGGCGGTGCTGAGCAAGAAAAACCGCCTGTTCCAACCATATCTACGACAAACATCAGGGGGTAGTTTCCTATGCCTTCGGCAACCGCGCACGCCTAGCGGCTTTTGCGAGTGCCAAGCGCTCTTCTCGCCCTTGAGAGTGACGTGAACCTCATCGGGCCCAATTATCGGGTGAGTATGGATATTGTGGAGGGAATCCGCTCCCAAAAAACAGCCATTGGAATGCTGTTGAGGGTCTCCTTGTACCACCGTTCTTTGCTGGCGACCGATTCCAGGGATAAGATCTACGGCTTTCTTGGGCTATGCACACACGAAATAGTCTAGGATGACGACCGTTTAGCTCTGCGAGAATTATACAAGCTGTTGATAAAGAAATACTTCTTTAAGGATAGTAAGCTCCAAGCCGTTACGGCCCCAAGCGATCCCGTCTCTCGAGAACCCGACTCGTTGCCCAGCTGGGTGCCAAATTGTACAGGTGCATTTTAGTTATCATTCTTATCAAGTCTTTCTCCTGACGTCAAGCGCCTATTCCCGACAACACATATCTTTCCAGTGGTAGAAAAACGGTTGAAACCAAATAACTCTTCCAGCAAGTTAGCTATATGAATATTATCTTCCTGGAAGCTGGAAGACTTTCACGTTTGGCACATTTCTTTATCTAGGTTGGCGTCTCGCTGTGAGGGTCAGTTGGAGGTTTGCGATCTTGGTTCTAGAATTCTTGCCGTGGAAATTTGTCTTGACTCAAGTACTCATCCCTAATTAAGCCACGGGTACATTTCTTCATTATCCTTGTCCTGCAAAAAGTTGGAAAACTTCCTTAGCTGTATATATCGCTGGCTGTTTGGGTCGCTCTCATTGCCTTGGTTGGAAATATTATTCAACATGGCTTCGACAAACTGCTTTTTCGAATAATACTCAACCCCGTTGACTCCGAAAGTTTCCTCTGGGAATTGCATGCGACGGCACGAGAGCATGAGCGACGAGACCCCGGCCACTATAGCGGTAGCAACGGAGCTTCCAGATATGCTGTCATTGGACTCCAAGTACGGCACTGCACCGGCCGAGATGTCAGTACCGTGGACCTTGTAGTCATACTGTCCTACATGGCGATCGGAAAAATTGCCAAACTCGTTGCATGCCACGATGACCTTGGTTTCACTGCAGCTGGCGGGCCACGAGTCCTTCACATTCCAGCCTTCATCATGGTGGCTGCAGTACTGAATGATGCCCTTGTGGTCCGCCTCCGTGACCGCCTTCCGAAGCATGTTGGAATATTGGTTGTTGTTGGTAAAATCCGGAATAGAAAAGCTCATGGAAATAATGTCCACGTCTCTGCTGATCGCCCAGTTTATAGCCTGTTCAAGTCAGAATGACGCGGGAGCTGGAGAAAGTTTAGACGCCTTACCTCGGCAACATTGTCAGGCAAAATGCCCTGTCTGCCTTCAACGACCTTCGCAACATATAATTCGCAATGTGGGTCAATTGCACATATCAGATTTGCCATTTGGGTGCCATGGGGATCGGATGCGAATAGCCATGATCCCAACCGGCTTGCATCGTCGACAAACGAGTGCCCATCCTCTATGCGCGGCCACAGCCCTTTGTGATTCTGACTCCCTCGCCGCGGAGGTATGTTCAGAATTCCATTGTCCAGGATTGCAATACGAGTCGGTCGGACCTGTTTGCCTATGTTCAGGGATTCCGAGACCCAGCTGCTGTAACGTGTGATGTAGGCAAAGAGGTCTGGCACTGCTCTTTCGGCACTGGGCGCGGGTTAGTTCTAGTTGCGCCCTGAGGGATGGTGACTGGTAGTTTCCTTACATTTCCGAGAGGTTCTTGGTATTATTAGGTGGCAAGGAATTCCACATCTGAACCACCATGGTGAATTGAAAACCCTTCCGGCGGCTTTTCAGCTCCCTGAGTACCGGAGCAATTTTTGCTTTTAACCTTGTGCAACATTCTGGTGTCATCAAATCCTGGTGACAGATGTTAGCTATTGTATGTGGAATTGGTAGGGATGATAAAAATTACTTGGATAAAGTGGATTTTGACCGACTTGAGCTGTGAAATAGGCATGTTAGACAGGAGAATATTAGAGAGAGGGGGGGAGACAGAGAGCATCAGCGACAATCCTTGCCTAACTTACCTTTTCCAAGGACTTAATCCCATCCGCGCTTAACCAATGATCCACGACTGCCATCTTGCCGCTCGAATACAGGTGAAGCTCAGTTAGACGCTTCTTGGTCTTGGGCTTAAAGCATGAGATTGCGATATCCAGGTGTCTCCAGTCCAACGACAACACCCCAAGCTCCTCTACTTCCTCGCCAATCTTCTCCTCATCGTGGGGATTGTACATTCGGTCTAGGACTTTGAGCTTCATGACCTTACGCACGCCCTTCCGCTTTAGCCAACGCAGGGTTTCGAAGACCTCGCTATGTACATGCACGCACCGTTCCGGGCCCTTTTCCCAAACGTCGAGGTCCAAGGCGGGAAAATCGGCATATCGGAGCACCTCTTCGAACTTGAGGTGGTGTTTGGTCTCTTCAACTGAGAGAGCTTTGAGGGATTGTACAAACTCGTCAACCGAATATAGCCTCGACGCAAAGCGCGAGAGGTCAAAGCAGACCTGGCCAACTATAGCAGAAATTTTATTAGAGAGCTCAATGGATTTTACGTTTTCGGGTAGCATGCAAGATGCGGAATGAACTTACCAGACTCTTCATTCGGTGTTAGCTAGGTTTCTAGAACGGGAACAGCGGTGATTAAACTCATAAACACGAAGCAGGAGACACTCACCATCCGACTCACGAAATATCTTGGCTATCGTCTTCATTCCATCTGCATGTTCAATAGTGGCGTGGACCAATAACTGGCGGATTTCTGCACCAGGATCCGCCTCCGCTTTGGCTTTCGGCTTGTTGTCTGGGCTTGGAGCCGTTCCTGGCGCAACCCTTGATGACTTTGATGGAAATTTAGGCGATGGGCTCCTCAACTCGATCGCCGAGTCCATAGAAGCTGTATCGGTACCGACAGTGGGGATTGATGTTTCGATACCAGGTGATGTAGAGGCCCTGCGGTTGGCCTTACCGTCAATAGCGACGAAGTTCAGATGCCAGAGAGGATATGCATCCAGATCCGCAATCCCCTTCACCGGAACCGCTTTCATCACTGAGTTTGGATCCTCTTCCAGGAGCTGCTTCACAAGTTCAACCTTCTGGTGCTGGACAGCGATATGGAGCATGCAGCGGTCATGTTCCTTCTCGTTGATCTCTTTCCAGCGAGCCTGGACAGAACTAAGCTTCCAGATGTCCAAGTGACCGCATTTCACAATTTCGCTCATGAGCTCAAAGTCAAGTATGCGATGGAACTGAGGAGCACCCGCAATGTTTTGCAAAAAGCACAAGTCCTTGTCCAGCTTGAGGGCGGTGTGAAAGAGTGCTTTGGCTGTTGGGCCGTCCGCCATCAGGCGCTCAACTGCGCGCTGGATCGGTGCCAGTAACCACACGAAGACGAGGTCGTGTTCCATGATCAGCTGCAAAACTTCTTCATCGACTATGAGCTCTGCGTCAGTGGTGAAAATCTCGACGAGTTGGGCTCTTGTCCGCTCCATCTCCTTTTCGGCGTTTAATCTGAAGTTGCGGTCCCGTCCTGGGAATTTGCTGTTGGCCCATGATGATTTATAATTCAACACGCCCAGAATGGCGTCCTTTGTCTTGAGGTCACCTCTGTACCGGAGCATCATCTTGACAACGGGCAAAACGTGATTGTCGTCCGCGTTGGAGCCTGGGTCACTTTGCCCGTCGTCGCTCGTCATGTCGTCCTCAGGAAATACAATGCGTCTATCATCAACCATTCTGATGGCCATAAATGTCTGTTGAACGACCTGACCGAGTATGATCTCATCTGCGAGATAACCAACTGTGACATCATCATCTAGCTTGAGAAGTATCTCTATCACCTTGAGTTGCTTCTCATTGTGGTTCTGCATGTAATTGCTGACCGCGCGCTGGAGTACTGTGGATTGCGGATTGCTCTCTTTCATGACCCTAGCTAGGTACTTGGTCGGGCTAGATATGCCTCGAAGCAAAGGAGACCGGTCGGCAGTCTTTTTAGCGCCATCCATGATGAACTTGCGGCACTCGCCGATCATGAATTCCATAAGCTCGGTTTCTCCCTTGTCCATTGCGTGGGAGAAGGCAGGTGTTCCTTTGACCTTGTTTGTTTGATGCTCCTTTGGCTCCTGGCAATGAATTTTTAAGAATCCTGCAGGCAGCCGAAATGCTAGCATTGGGTGGACGCCGATAAGGACTTTGCTGAGCATGTAATACGCATCGCGGGAAGTAACCAAGGGACGACTGGACGACTGAGAATAGCGACTGTCCCTAGATTGGAGTGCTGGGAAGAATTGATGAGAGGGAGGGGGAGGAAATGGCATGCTGATCCCCTCATCGTCGCTGCCATCGTCGTGACAGTTGGCGTTTGGCATGAGCTGCACCGCATCCCTCATCATGCACCATAAAACACAAGCATCAACTCCGTCGGGAGGTTGTTGGATAAATCGGCGAACTTCTTGCGCGACATCGTCGTCCCAAAAGAAGTCCTGCTGGCGCTGTTCCGATGTGGCTGCTTCTGGTCGCTCCTCTCCAAGACCTGCAACCCTGGCATTCTGTTCCATCTGGTTCATAATGACCAAGTGTAAGGTATCGAGGAGAGTGGCTGCCTTAACGCCAACGTTGATGACTCTGAATTCGTCCATCCTCCCTCGCCATGCGTTTATTTTCTCCCGCAGCGTTTCCTCAAGCGTGTCATTATGAGGATTCAATGGTGTTGCAGGGGCTTTGGTGCTCGTTGCTGGGTCGCTGTGGAGTTCCAACGCAGGAAGTCGCTGGATTGTAGTGACATGCTGGCTTGTTTGAGTCATTGTCGCAACACTGGTTTGCATAGTGACGGCCTAGATGTTTTCCAGTTGGATCTCAACTATCATGAAATGCGAGAAAATTCTACAAAAGTCTGCCGAGACGGACAAAGCGTGGCATTTCACGAACCCACATATGCAGAGTAAAGCAGGTGTCAGACACCTTCGGCTCATACAGCGGGCTCTCCGGGAATGGAACCAGAGCCTCATCTTCCTCAATGTATCCCCCACACTGTGAACCACATTGTTAGCCGAGCTGAAAAATGTTGCATTTCGTGCAAGGGTGATGATTGGTTCTGGCTGGCACTGCCTTGTCGCACTCCAAGACTAGCCTGAACGGTCCGTCCGATGCTTGACAAGTCAGTATTCAATATGCAAGAATGAGCACTACGCAATGTGTTTTCAGCCTCATTTCCGGAAACCGACCTCCGCGTCATCCGGTTGGCCACCGAAAGGGTCCCATGACAAATGAAAGGGCAAATTATCTCACGCTCCTCTCTGTGGCTGCTTCTCAAGCCAATGAAGCAACTATGAGTTATCGTCGCGTCACTAGTGTTGGACTCATGCGGCCAGGTTCGAAGATGACAATGCATGACCGGCAGACCTGCCCCGGCGGGCGCTGGATTGCGGGGAGAATGAGGCTCCCGGGGTATCGTCTCGAGAGTGCGTCAATTAGAAATTGGATGGCCCGTATGTGGATAAAGGTTTGGGATGTTGAGCGTCCGATTTTAGAGCATCATCCAGTCCAGGATAGTTCGCGCTACGACAAGCCTGCAATACGAATCTCACACCCATCTCGCTACCATGGCCGAAGAGTGGGATAACGACTACGCGGACTTCGACGACGATACTGAAGTTGAACTCTTCGAAACCAAAGATCGAACAACACAGGACCATGGTGGCCTCAAATCCTTCAAGACTAAGGATGGTGGGCTTGTCTACTATTCTGACGATCCGTCTGGATTTACTGTGAGCACAGAGAGGCTCTTGCAGGTCGATGGCTTCGAGGACGATACGGAACAGCAGCGAATGACTCTCATTATCCTGAAAGTGGTCCTGGCTTCCAACGATGGTGAGCAGAGGATCCGACATGTCACATTTAGCATGGAGCTACAAGACCAAAAGCTCCCAGAGAAAGCCGAGCCAAGGCTCGTCGCCTGGGCGCCGTTCGACTCCATGGTTCGGTCTAATATGACAAAGGTCGACGTGGAGAAAACAGTCAATACCGGGTCAAAGGTCGGCGGCGGAGGTGGAGGCGTCACTGCAGAGGCCTCTTTGGGCTACGAAAAGAAGATTTCGTGGTCCCAGACCTACTTCAACTCAGGCCACGCGTACCCCATCATGGACAAAAAGACCCAGGAACGCAACGGGGTGCGCTGGGTTCTGGCGTCGAACCCCAAAGAGGTCACTGGGGTACCGCCAGGAATCACAGTGGCGATACTACTGTCTCGTTCGACGGACAAGCCGTACCTTGCTGATTTCAACATCTCGGTCACTGGAGGAACAATGCATAACCTGAAAAGGAACATCAAGACGGTGCTGGGCATGAAGCCTGGAACAACGAGGCCGTACAAAATTACCCCGTCTAAAACGCCAATCAAGCGCGGGGAGGGGGAGAGCCTGTTCAAGTTGGCCCAAATCCAGCCGAACAGACTGGGTAGACTGAGGGAGGGAGGGGAGCTAACCAATTTGACTCTCGTGTGGGGTGACGACGTGCAGACGAAGGAGGAGGAGACGGGAGAGTAGAGGTAGAAAATGCCCTCTAGACGGATAGCTCCGTGGTGTAATGCATGCTTTTGTAGGGCTCACTTTGTAATGAGTACCATTTTAGATTAGTTGGATACATTTTAACTTGCTTTTAAATGACGTGCTATTCAGGACGGGGAAACTTCACTTGCATGTTGGTCAAATCCACGGGGAATACCGGCTGCTTACGCCCTCAGCTTTGAGATGGCTGAGCTGAGCAACCATTACGACGTGCCCAGCCTGAAGAGACGAATGAGATCAGTATATCGCTGGCATTCTGCTACCCCACTTGGAAAGTAACACTGGGAATCAGCTAGAGCGTCTGCAGGCCACACGGCATTGCATATTGACTAGGGCATCTATGGATAAGTCCGGACATCAGGTTCCGCGGCTCTCTTTGGACGCCACGAAGTCCAGCCTGATGCTCGAGTAGCCATTGTTGGGATCCCAACTCAGTCAAGCCCAGGCCGGCCCCTCCTGCGTAATCGATCCTCCGAGAGATATTGCTTTGCGTCGCCCAAACTCAATGGCATCCTTAATGACAGGCTTCATTCGGCTACCACGCCGAGAAAGCGGCACCTTCGACCAAAGTCACGACCAGTCTCGCAGATATGACACAGAAAGCCCCGGTGCTCCCCTCGCTGACGAGCCCCAGAGCCCCAGCGATCGTTCAAGACAAGCTTCCGATCGAGATTGTGCTTCCCCACCAGACTCTCATGTGAACCTCAGACATATCACGACGTTCATCAATAGTGCCGTTAGCAAAGTTCAACATGCTATTAGTACTCTGCTCAGGTCCCTTAGAGAGGAGGGGAAGGGACCTGATGGCCGAGGTATGCGTGCCGCCATGCTGTCTCTGCAGCAGATGAAGCTCCAGGGAGTTGCTCTGCAGGAACGTCTGTCGCAGGATCCCGCAAGCTTTGAAAGCGTAGCTCCTCACGCTCTGACATTATCTTCTTACATGGGGGATCTCGAAAACACAGTGCATGGCCTCCTGCGGCGACGAACAAACAGCTGGCTAAACCTGGCTGTTTCTCCCCGGCAGCGTTCCGATAGCGAGCACATGAGCGATGTTAGGTTGGAACAAGAACTTCAACGCTTCAAAGACACATTGGAATGGGCGATGCCAGTGGTCAGAGAATTCAGCAATATGGCCAAGGCCGGAGCCTACCTGGAAAGGCAGTCGATGGCTGCTCAGAACTCACGGTGCCACCCCATGTCCATACTAGATGCCAGTTCAGTTCTAACATGAATAGCAGCACGAAAAACTGGCAACAGATGAGATCTCGACAATCTAGAGAAGATTCTATACCACCCTTTCATGAGAGGATAAGGGAACTTGCGACTCGCGTATATCATCCCTCAAAGCCACATCGCGATGTCCCGGGCGCCTCCCCCAAGCGACACCTCCGTATCAAATCCTCCAGAGTCATGGGGTCTGCTATATGGTTCATTGAAAACGCCCAATTTGTTAGTTGGCTATATGGCCCGAACTATACAGTGTTCGAATGCCATGGTCCGGAGGGCGTAGGCAAAAGCGTACTTGTGTGAGTATTTTGAATTGGAACTGTAACCTTCACCGTCCCGAAGCTGATATCAACAAGATCAAAAGCAATCGATCTCTTTGAGAAGATTGAAATCACGCATGCATACTTTTACCTGGGGCGTGGCAAGGTGCAGACGGCCATGGGTGTGACTCACGCGCTACTTGAGCAACTTTGCCTCTTTGCAGGAGATATTTCGTTTTCCTCAGGGATCAATGGTCTCCGAAGGACCTACTCGACAAAATCTCAAGCCAGTGATTGGAGCATATCGACTAACCAGTCCAAACGACCGAAAGCTCCGCAGCGACGGCTGTCAGTTTCCCTCGGGAAGGCCATCGTCCCACCGTCCATCTCACAGGACTTGGGCGCGGGCACTATCAGCACTGTTGAGAAAAGCGCCACGACATGTCTCTACAAATTGAACTCAGGGCAGCAGCCACCAGACCACCAGCAGGTCCCGGAACAAAGTTCTTTGCATGTGCAGAGAGATCCAGCAGTCAACAGGCAGACTCTATCCGACAACTCAGTATCACCGATGGCCCCCCAGAGTTTGAGAGGTCCTGCAGACATCTCAGAACCATCTTATTCGAGCACAGCACAGTCGCCAGTCACTTTAATGCAGCTCATTGATAAGATGAATCTTTCCCAGGATCCACCCGCCATGACGGCCTTGTTCGACGTGTTGCGCAAAACGCTCGAAAAGTTTGATGACCAGGTCGTCATTATCTTGGACGGATGGGATGAGGACAACATGGTGGATCCGCCGGCGTTTGCAGACCTCCTGCAGACTTTGCTAAACTTGAAGTGCAAGATATTCATCACGAGTCACTCTACACAGGACTTCCAGGCAGATGACATGATCTTGCGGATGGACTTGTCTCCAAACTTAGACCACCGAGGCCGATGGAGTGATGTTCAGATGTTTGTTGAAGATCTACTTCAGAAGGGCCAACATCACCAGAGCTTCAAGTTATCTCCGGATTTCATTTCCATTTGCGCAAAGAGGGTAGCAGATATGTCAAGCGGAATGTGGGTTGCATAGTCACTCATTATTTGATCACGTTAATTTACTCTACACAGGTTCATCAAAGCGAGATTATACACTATGATACTGCTACGACAGCAGCACTTGACCCGAGAAAGCCCGCGGATCTTGGAAGAATTGCTTGAAATGCGGCAACCTCTCGCCACCTATGGGTTGAGGCAATTCCGCAACGACTCGACGCCGGTGGCTGCTGCATCTCTGGCGTTGGTGATGTGGCTACAGCTATCTGGGAAATACCCGCTCTCAACGGAATACGAGGACGCGTTTCAGGCAATCCTCGACTATTTCATGGGACCTTCAGCACAGAAAGTAGAATACGGGGACGTTTTGGAGAAGGTCGAGCCTTTTGTGACGGTGGACCATGGTAACAACCTCCTCCACTTTACTTCGCCAGAGGTAGCGACGTTGGTCCAACGCGAATCCAACGACACAGAACAGAGCATGAAAATGCAAGTTGCTATTGCGAAAGCTTACTTGGACTATCTGCAACAGATCGACTTCAATGTGGGTTGCTGTGATACCGAATCAGCGCTCATGGAATTGCTCAGAAAATACAAATTTGTTGAAACCGCAGCGCGTTGGGGAAGCCATTGCCGAAGCATTCTGCAAAGATCCCCGCAAGATCATGCCTTTCAGGAACATATCATGGACTTCCTTCACACACCAAATTGTAGTTTGGCAATGCAAATTTTACTCTACACGAACCTGGAACATCTGGACCGACGTTTCGAAACTTGGGACTCCTTTGCTGAATGGATCACTACCCTACCCAAACTTCACATCTTGTTACATCTCGGATTGGAAGATTCTGTGGAAACTCTGTTGCAGAGAAACGAGGACCACATAAAGGAGCGGGACGTTCATGAGTCAACAGCCCTTCACGAAGCTGCCAAACGAGGTTTTGCGAGTGCAGTGAGGATTCTCTTGATACGAGATCCTGAACTTGCCGCCACCTTGGACAAGTGGGGCAAGTCGCCGCTTTTCTATGCTTGGAAGAATCACCATACAGATGCGTTTGTGCGGCTCTTCGAAGCCCAGGGGAATGATCTCTGGTCTACCGACGGTTTTGTCCCTGGCAACATCTGCCTCGATGACATGGTTAGAGAATACTGCTTGGTCAAAAGCGGCTTGCCAGCAGAGTCGAACCTCGACGCGACCAGCATTTCATTACTCAAGGCAATACAAAACAGTCAGCCCAAAGTCACAGAATTATTAATGAGATTCCAAGCGAATCTAGACATTGTGTTTCAGGATACATCGCTGCTATATGCTGCTGTCGAACGGAAGCAAGATAACATAGCCGCTCAATTGGTTGTGGCAGGCGCCAACCCATCACTCGAAATCACGGACAGTAACGGGCTCAAAGATCCAATCCTGCATCTGGTTATAAGAAAGTCACTCAGGAAGACATTTGTTGTTTTGATGGATTCGGGCCGTTTGGATGTCAACGTCGTCGATGCGTCTGGAAAGACGGCACTTTTCGCTGCGCTGGATGGGGACGATGAGAAAGAGTCATCTCGACTGGCAAGACGCTTGATTAGGCATGGCATAGACGTCAATAAAGTTGACGCTGAAGGTTCACATGTCCTACATATTGCGGCAAGAAAGGGATTTGTTTCCATCATCTCAGATATCATTTTCTCATCTCAACTCACGACAGCACCCAAGGATGCAAAGGGCTTCACACCAGCGCATTATGCATCCGAATGTGGTCACTACCAAGGTGCAGTGATTCTTCTAGCTGCATATGGGGAATGAAGGGGACCGTAGCTTAGTAACTTTCTCTGGTCCAGAATATACAATGTGTCTTGTTGATTATTACCAGCTAGCTAGGCGGCCAGGGAATTGGAGCATGTTCGAAGTTCCGGCGGCTTGAGGCTAAGGTTGTTATTGGTGGATGTGGGTTTTGTAATATTACAAAGAGCAACATTCTGATTGGCTGAGCAGCCCTTCCTCCTCAATGAGCGATTTTCCGTAGAAGGAACAAGGCATTCAACCTCTACTTTCTACGCTCTACTGCGACCTATCTGCGCGAGTTGTGTCATCATACAATAAGGGAACCTATGAATTGGGTGCCAATTCACGGCTTCGCAAATATATCCACCGTTTGTTCTATTTTCCAGTGCCAACTTTACGTTTTCCTCAGCAATCGCGAGACACACCAAGTCAGCGTGAGAGACAGGATACACATCGTAATATGAGTCCGTCGATGTTGGATAGTATTCCCGGGGAGATCCACACTATGATACTCAAGTTGGTAAGAGACAACGCAAAGCCAATGAGTTTTATCAACTGACCGGATCTCAGTTAGATGATCGGCGAGACATCAACAACTTGTGCCAGGTTTCCAAGATACTATACGAAAAGACTGTGCCTTATCTATACCGATCAATCTCCCTGTATGCACTTGAGGACGACCTCGAGGATATCTTCGATTCAGGTCTCGACGAGGCTGGAGAGAGAGGCCTCCTTCGCCACACTCGGGACATCAAACTCTGGTCTCACTTCTATGAAAAACATTTTTTCGATGCATGCATACGCGTCAGGAGAAGTATGACATTTACACTAGCCAGTTCAAAGAGGGAGTCGAAGATGTGGCAGAACGACTGGGGATTTTGCTCGGTTTCTGTGAAACTGGCGCAATCCGATCACTTAGGTGAGCCTGTCATTCCCTTGATATATGGTCTTTTGTCTCCCAGTCGCCAAACCACTGACTTGCTCGACTCGACAGTTGGAACTTGGGAACCTGTGTGCCCCAGGCACTTCTAGAACCTCCTGGCTACTTCCCCTTAAAACAACAAAATCTCGAGAGTATTCGCTTAGTGACGGATGCCAGGTGCGAGTGGAACGTAGGACGCATGGATTATTTGGCCTTATCGGCATTCCCACACCTCAAGCGCCTCTCTTGGACAGGGCTGACGTCGCCAACTGACCTCGAATCCCTCGCCGATGTACTCGAGGAGAGGTCACACCAGCTTGAGGAGCTCGAGATCGATCTAACACACCATCAGGATATGTTGTCCGACATTGACTCTGATGACGAAAAAGAGCATGATGAGTTCGCAGTGCAGATCCTGAAGCTGCCCAGGCATAGGTCCATGAGATTTCCAGTTTTGAAAAAAAAAAATGGCTCTAGCCGCCGTTTCGGTCGCCCCCGGGAGCTCAAGGGCTGTCAGTCAGCAAGTCCTCGAGTATATTCACGATGTCTTCGACTTCGGTTCTCTTCAGTCGCTGAAGTTACGGCACTACCATGGCTGGCAAGACCTGATTATACTGATCTGTAAAGGCGCGGAGCCTCTCAAATTGAGATCTCTCGAGATTCAGTGGTCATTCAAAGATAACCTAACTAAACCATATGAGTCGATTTCGGCACTTCTTGACAAGATTCAGGGGCTCGAGGAGTTGTTCCTCTACACCACCGCCGCTGAATATTCACTTGGGCCCTGGCGAGCGCTGCTACGTCACCGTACTTCACTTCGGAGATTTGTCCATCACCAACGAAGCCTCGACCTGCGCGACGATGACTACCTTTTTGGGAAAGTGTGCGATACACCGGAGCCGATTTTTATGAGTCCCGAAGACGAAGACGACAGTCCAGGTGGCTCTTTAGGGAAATTAAACCTAACCTGCCTCGGAATCGCTTGCATTCCTGAGTTTATGGTAAGAATCGTCTCCAGCACGTAAAAGACACAAGTGCGGCTAACGTTCCAAATAGGGAAGTTTCGTGTCTGGGTTGGCTTCGAAATCATCCTTGCAAGTCTTGCATATGAGGCAATCAGGCGGGGACCTGATAAGGTACTATTTAGGTTGGGACAAACCACTCGAGCGGGACGTTGAGCTCTTCGATTTTTTCGGCATCGACCTTCCCGTCGAGCGTTTCCCCATGGTAGGAGATGCTTTCATCGACTTTGCTCAATGGGTATTCGGGCCTACCGGAATTCGTTCATTGCGACTGCTAGCCTACGGCGACTTCTCTTACGAGGGACGCTTCGGGCAATCCACGCTGCTGCTGTGCCGACGGGATCCTTCTTGCGGTACTGAATATTCTGCTGGTGAAGAAGCTAGTCAAGTTCTTCGTTTCCGAGAGGTCAAAAAAGGCGAGGACGCGGAATTGTGGGGATTATTCGAACGCGAGAAGCACGTACTCACAGCCTGTCCCTGCGATACTATTTTCCATGTGTAATGTACCGGCGCAGCTGTCCCGTAGAACTCAGGTAAAAGGATGTTATGGCGCAGAGTGGTCCTCTAGCAATAATCACAGTTCTGTTCCCTTGAGTCATGAATGCTCCTTCATGTACTGTGGGAGCAACGTCGTCCAACTTACCGCAGCTAAAAAATCGATACTTTTCACACAAGGATACTCTCTTTGGACTATGGTATCGCGACGCTGGCTGGAGTTTTGCACAGGGGATGGGCAAAGATGTGGCTACGCTCCGATAGACACCGGAGCTCTCTGGCAAGATACCTGAGGCTCACAGCAGACATGAGCTTTCGCCAGCTGAGCGGTATATCCGACATATAATAGGGCGAAGGGACACTACTAGTAGAAATACGGGGACGATGCTAGAACCTGATGAACTGCGTGATGCTACGTGTGACAGACGGGTGTGTCCTGGGGACGATCACCTCTGTCCCGTAAGCCTAACATCTCAGGCGTAAAACGAGACAAGTCGGAACAAGGATCCGACCTCGGGTCCACCAACAACTACTTCTTCCCTCCGAGATAAGCCTTTTCCCTCCCATTGGCCACAGCCGTCAGCAAGCGAAAATAACGGCCTGATCATGATGCCATTAATCTCTGATTGGATTACAACATATTCAGCGAGCAACGAGTGCCTCCGGTTTGCAGCAGAACCCGGCAATTGCAAAGTAATCCCTGTGGGGGCCAGTCACTCACTAGGCATCACTTTCGCTTTGCTTGGGGAGTAGCAGTTCCTCTTGGATCTGGCTCAGTGCTAATCACGACAATGTTATGGGATCGTTCTAACAGAGGGGTGTCCTGAAAGTTTTCCGGATTAATATTAGCTTAATATTGATTCTATTAGCTATTTATTAAATATCACGGTACTAAATTTCTCTACATTTAAGGCAGGCAGTGTTACTAAGAAAAACCCCCACAATGGATGGAAGCTGTGCGCGGGAAGTTGTGCGCATATGCGCACAACTTCGGCAGTCAAATGACACGGAGCAAATGCATCTGATTGGCCAATAGATGCAACTCTCCATTTATTTAAGGGTGGCACGCCCCAAACCAATTTATTTCGTCCCCATCGCTTTATTGACTGTCAATTATTGGACACTGATTGAGGTGGATTGAGCACATGTACAGCTCCACCCGCAGTTATGTTGTCCGTACAGCAAGCATTGGCACACAATACTTCTTCAGATGGGTTGCACAATTTTTCTGTATGGTTTTTGTCACGCTGGGGATCGTAAGAAACCCTATCACTCAGGAATTTGGCTAATATCTCCAGGGACTCACGAGCCATGCTCATCATGTACAGGCACTTGGACTTGTTGAAGAAATGGGCCAGGTGGCAAAGGAGCAGGGTTATCTGGCCGGTTCCTCCAGCCATGGGAACGGCAATACAAATGCGATGGATTCTCCCTTGCAACTGAAGCCGAGATTCAGTAAGAATGAGGTTGAGCTGCTGGAAACCGAATTTTGTCGAAACCCGAAGCCAAGTACCGGCAGGAAGCGCGAAATCGCAGAAAGTTTCCAGGTTGATACTTCAAGAATCAATGTCAGTCTTTGCCCTTCACCTCGCTAGATATCTGGCTCATTGCTGAAGACGCCACAGAATTGGTTTCAAAACCGACGAGCCAGGGCCAAAAAGATGCGAAACTTGAAAGAATATGAACAGAGGCGAAAAGGTGAAATCGGAGACCTAAACTCTCCCGGTCTTGAGGCCTCTCCGACACCTGAGTTGCGTGCGCTTAGTCCGGAGAGGCAAAGGCGCTCATATGTCGCCGCAGCGTTCCCACCCACATCGGAATTGAAGGGTCCCAGTGCACACGCCCCAAATACGTGGGTCGATATTGAAGCCGCTCCGCGGTTTCGACAAGAGTCAGACGACCACAAATTTCTTACAGACTACTCTACACTTCCAAGGTGGAAGAAAGATGAGCAGGGAAAAGCTATCCTTGCTCGACTAATGGGTTACCTCTATTTCCTCATTGGGTGTTGGTACTTCAAGAAGCGGGCGTCAGCCATCAACGGTTTCAGAACCGTGCCGCAATATGGAAGCTCTGATAATTATTCAAATGGCACCAGAGAGAGTTCAGGCCCCAGCATGTCAAATGGACATCAACCTAGAGAAAGAAATGCTCGCCCATCCATGAAGCGGCGATTTCAAAGGCAGGAAGATGACGACTCACAAGAGGAAAATGACCCCAAGCAACAAAAGTTGGTCGAAAGGGATGTTACATCCCAGAGAAGATTTGCTTGTCCATTCTTCAAAAAGAACCCACTCCATTTTCGGGAATGGCGCTCCTGTCCAGGACCGGGTTGGGGGACGACACATCGGGTAAAGTATGTCAATGTTCCAGTGTCTAACGGCTTCATCGGTTACTTGATCGTGGCTAATCGTCATCTACAGGGAACATCTTTACAGAAGTCATTTGCTACCAATCACTTGTCCCCGGTGCCATGAGGCGTTTGAATCGGAGAAAACACAATTGGAGCACCTAACTGCTGAGAAGCCCTGCCAGAAACGTGAGAAGCCGAAGCTGGAAGGCGTCGACTCGTCTACAGAAAAATTTCTGCGAAGCCGCAAGCATATGCAAAAGCACAATAACGAGGAGGATCGGTGGAGAGAGATCTATGTCATTTTATTTCCCGGTACTAATGCGGAGAGCATACCCAACCCTTGTAAGTCGTCAACAGCTTGGTTATGTCTACTTCAGTTAACTGCAAATGCCCACACAATGAACCAAGTATCAACAGTACTAACAAATATCTTTGTCTAGATTATGAATACCACAAAAGCGCACACAGCGAGCAGCCAGACGCGGTTGAGTCAGAATTTGCCAAATATGAGCAATTTCTTGGCGCCGAGCTGCCATCGCGAGTTCGTCAACAGCTTGAGATTCGAATCGAAGCGGCTCTCAATCCGCTGGATGAGTTTAAAACACTGAAGGGTCAAATCATTGATATCGTTCGGGATACTCAATTGCAACTGTTCAAGTTGTACAAGACAGGAAGCTCAAATCCGCCCACGGAAACGGACTCCACCCCAGGAGAGCAAGGAGGTATTTCAGATGTGCCAAATCTAAGGAGCTCCAACCCCAGCACGCCAAGTGATAACAATCTTGAGATTATGGACCCCGAACTTCACGGCACTAGCGGCAAGCAGGATTTGGGCATGGATTTTGACTTTGGGTTGTTTGATGGCGTTATTTTTGACCTAACTGATATCACGGGGAGTGATCAAGTGTCTGCAACGGGGCTGTATGATTGGAATGATCCCGTCTTTACCTGACAAGCTGAAGCCTTACCGCGTTTGCTACAGGTGAAGTGTTATCCAGCCTAGTTAACTTCAATCGATTCACATCTCTGAGAGACAACATAATATAACTCTTAGATACCTTTGCAATATGGAGAGCTATCGGGGCGATTTTATAGTTTCTAATCCGATTGCCAGAATCCTGTCCGAACCACGTAGAACTGGCGTTCGTGTGAACTACCAAGCAATTTTGAGGTACGGACTAGCAAAGCCAAGTCTTTTAACACTGCCTCGCGGTACAGAACCGTCAGGGATACGAGCGATATCCCCAAGTGGATAGCAATCATGGTAATACTGATTTCGTTGCACTTGTTCACGTTGTTCGGATGGGTTGGATCGCTGCCTTGCACGAGGCAGCTCTCTATCCAGATATTGTCTGTGGAATCCCCGGCTTGGCCAAGGCCATCTGCAGTGATGGCGTACAGAGTATACCGAACGAGATTCGAAAGTTCTTCCCTTGGAATTCGGGCTCAACGCCTACTTTCCCCCCACAGCATTATTACACGGGGACCAGGATTCATACGTCAATGTTGCGCAGAGTGTCCTGGCAGCGGAAAAGCTAAAAAGTGCCTGAATCAAGACCTGTCTTGAGGTCGTTCCGGGTAAAGACCACGGGTTCGACGCTATGGAAGTGGCGGCCGGTGTTATCTTTGAAGCAGAGGGGGTGGTTGCTGGCTATCTAAAATCCATCATGAGCTTCCTCGAAGAAGCCATCGGCCGATAGATTAAAATAAATATACATGTGTTATGAATAGAGGAGCCTTACATTCTGTTACATAACCATTGCAGTAGATTTATGAGAGCTTATGTATTACGCGGCTTGGCGTGTGTAGATTTTATAGCTTAAATGTCAAGAAACTAACCAGAGCGACGGTTGTCGAGACCCCACAAGTCTCTAGCGGAATACCGACATTCACCTGGCTTCGGAAGACAGGAGATCACACAGTTTACCCAGCCTAGCTACAGTTCGCCTTGCCGGCTCTCTTGCTGATGCTCCCAGTATCAGAATCATAGCATACATTAGCCTCTTTGCATGTGTTGTCGCAAACGTGTAAGCGACAAAAGTATATGGCAATAGTAACTTCAGGGAGGATTAAAAACGACAGTGGTATTTGACATGACTAATTTGCCTCATGTGAACTTGTACTCATTCGTAAAATACCAAGCATCTCACTTCGATACTCTGGCGACCTTTTGCGTCTGCCGGTGTTGCAGGGTCAATAAACGCGGTATGTGGTGTCAACACGGCAAGCCCTTCCTTGCCACCTGGTTGCCCCTGGCCCCTTGAGTCGTAGCACTTGATGAACATGGCTTCATCAGGAGTCATGTCCTTGGCATAGTAGAATTTATGGTTTTCATTTGGTGCAATCGCCCAGAGTTCACCTATTACACGGGTCAGTTGTATTTCGTATTAGAAACGCAATTTCCACTAACCTTTCACCTCGTATCCTTCCGCCGACTGCGCAGACTGAGGATCAGGGCGCACCTCCTTTCCCCGGTCATCATCATCTGCTCCATCCTCCCGCTTGGGGTACAGCAAGTCCACTTTGACCAGGTCCTTTGGCACCGTCGACCGCCAGTCAATCACAGCCAGCGGGAAGTCTGTTGCAGGGTGCGAGATGGGCCTCCACACGTTGATGATTTGATAGCGGCCCTTGAGCAGTTCCTCAGCCTCATTTGCAGGAACATGACGCCTCACGCGAACTTCAGCGGCGCGAGGTGTTTGATCGACATGGACTTGCTGCACCGGCTGGCGCGGCGACGACGCCTCACGCCGACGGATGGTGTGGTCGAAGATGACGACCTTTTTTATTCCAGGGAGCTTGGCCCGAAGCAATTCCTCGACCTCGGTGTAATACCCGGTCCGCACAGCTGCATCATCGGTGAAGCTCTTCTCGTTGGCCGGGGAGTTGTAGACAGCGAAGCCGGAAATGTCAGTGCCAAAGTCGAGGCTGGATGTGCGGATGTCGGCAACCGAGCGGCGACGCTCGCTGCGGCTGTAGGAGCTCACGTCAGTGTCGACTTTGGTCCAAGCTGCGGATCCGACCTTGTTGAGGCTCGTAGGATCAAGGTATTGGAAAACACCCGTCGTCATTGTGGTCGGAGTTTTCAGGTTGAATGTTGGTTTTGGTGTGCGGGGTGAAGATCAAGAAGAAAACGCTGTGGGGGGGATTAGAGCTACCAGCACAATGGAGATGTTATTAGAAGTCTTACTAGATATATTAACCAAGGTTACGCTAACACATTAATCAGCCGGCTTGCAATTAGTAATCGAAGCTTGCATTTCTAATGCTTCATGTCGTATTGTGTGCCTGCAACTCTTACGAAGGGCGTGAGTTTGAGGGAACCCCCGCACTTGTGTGCAGTCTTTAACACCTCATTTCCACCTCTGACCAACAGAATTTTGCTTGATTACGTGGGACGTCGCCGAAATACTGGGAACAACTCGGGGACCACATTCAAACTAGAAACAAGGTGTGGACGTGTTGGATTCATCGTGGATGGATTCATTGACAAAGCTATAGGGTAGCAGCAAGAAAGTTATGACGTCAGTTTATTGTCGAGGATAGCAGGTTGCCTGGTCAACACAAGATCACATGACCGCAGCGCTACTTAAATTTTTTGCCACGGCTCGCCTTCCAAACTAGCCATCTTCCCGACATGAACGACGTCAACCGGCACCATCGCCCTTCGGCCTCAGCATGTTTCCAGACATTGCCTCGTGCCTGCGCGATGCTGATGACGATCCAGCCTGATCCCAGGAGCTTGCTGTGTTAGGGCGGAAGCGCACTCGATCGCCCGACGACCTTCGTACGCTCAAGCCCACCGGTCTGTCCTCGAGGCATTGAGTTGCATCCAGCATCCCGTGTCAATTCCCCAGCATCTCTCCACGACTCGTTGCCTCCCTGCAAGACCGGGAGGCCATCCTCGAAAGCAGAAACCTGAGCTGGACACCTTCGACGCGTCCCTCTACCGAAGAAGATGGTGGTGAGGTGCTAGAAGAGAGGGCTCGCGCCTCTTTGCAGCCGCCACGCAAAGACGATTGCTCCAAGCCGATGCAATATGCCCGTGGCCAGGGAATTATGGGAGCACCCGCCCGGGACTCTACTGACTCCTGGCTTGCTACATCTGGACTTCAAACTTTTGGGGTCCGACCCCAGCTCAGACTTGTCGTCGCAACGAGTCTGGACTGACGCTGACACAACCTGTCGGCCTTCTAGCAAAGGTTAGTCCAATTACACGGTTTCCTTCTTCGCCATCCGGATGATTATAGAAATGATCAAGAGCTTTTTAACCCTGATCTACTTGAAGACACACACATCACCACCCTATGACGGATTTACTTTGAACCACAAGTTGCAAGTTGCTTTGGAAGAGTGTCAAGGCTAACATTCAAGGCATTACAGGTTGATATAGCTGTCTCGTAAAGCCCCCCACAAAGTTGGCCAAAACATAGTATCCAATTCGTTGCAAGGTTAGTCGCACACACGTTTTTCTTCTCTCCGGATGATTATACAAATGATCAAGAGCTTTTTAACCCTGATCTTTCTTGATGACACACATCACCACCCTATGACGGACCACACACAATGCCATGCGTTTGAAGTTGGTTTGGGAACATCAAGCTAACTAGGCATCACAGATCCCTTTCCTAGCTGACGATCCCACTGAACTGATGCAAACCAGACGGCTCACAACCATTCCGCCCAATGCCACTTTCCATCGTAGCCTTGCTGGTACTGAGATGCCTCGTAGATTGATCCACAACCACACAACCAGTGACACATCACATTTGAGCCCTGGTATTTATGAGCGTTGGTGTTGGATTATCAAGTTGACTTAGAGCGCGTACTTTGACACTGGGGAATTTCCACAATGAGTTTCTGGTTGATATTATAGCACTAAACAGTTGAATCTAACGATATCCTAACCACCACCCAGTTGCCTGTGCCCTTGTCTGTGTCCTCGTAGCATACAGTGGCGAAGCCTCGCATAAATAAATCACTGCACATTTAGTCCTTACTCTACCCATTTATAATCCTCCAGCTTGTACTTATCACTGCTCGCAAAAGAATTGGCAAAGTGCTTCTGGACGAATTGTATAACCCCGCTCCAGCAAATGAAGCCGAAAATGTTGTTTCGTAGCCATATCCCCCAGGCCGTCTGCGGCGCAAGGATGGTATGCACGAGCGGTGGGATCTTTTGCAAGTCGCGGATGATGGGCCGCATTTGCTCCTCGTAACCCTTGAGGCCAGCGGCTAGATCGCCTTTGTGCTTGGTGACTTCGCCCGCCAGTATGTAGGCGCCGGTGATGGCGAGGCTTGTGCCAGTGCCCGTAGGGCCCGGTGCGTAGCCTGCGTCGCCAACAAACACCAGGCGTCCTTTGTACAGGCTTGGAATCTTGACCTGAACAATCTCGTTGGCGTAGAAGTCTTGGGATTTCATCATGCCCTTGATGGCCTCATCGCACTTCCAGCCGGCACCCTGGTAGTGCTGGGCCACGTGTTGCTTGAGCGCGTCGTCTCCTTGCTTCATGGCTTCACGGAATGGCGCCGTGGCGTCGGCATTGCCGCGTGGTTGAATGCCCATGAACACGACTCGGCTCACGCCTGCTGGGTCGAGTCCGGCGGCGATGAAGCGGCCACCAAGAGCGCTGTACGCTTGTCCCATTTTGCTCCCCCCGACGAGATCTTGGTCAACGGAGAAGTAGGCGGCCCATGAGTTGGTCGGTTCCATGTGGTCTCGGACACTGCAGCCAAAAGCCATCGCTCGAGTCTTGGAGGTTGTGCCATCACAGGCGACGACGAGGTCGAATTCCGCAGTCGGCAAGCCGTTGGCGAACTCGACTGTGATGGGCCCGTCATCCTGTTTTTGATGCTGCATTGAAGCGATCTGCTCGCCAAAAACATAATTGATGTTTTCGTTGTCCTTGGTCAGATCGAACAGAATCTTGGACAACTCGCCGCGGTAGATCTCGTACTCAGAGACAAGCGACTGCTGGTCTGGGTTCCCAGTGGCCGTGATGGTCCCATATGGTCTTCCGTCAGCGCGCACGAAGCTGATGCCTTCCATGGGCGTTATCCTCGCCCTCACGGCGGCCTCCATGCCCGGTATCTTGCGCATGATGGTGACGCCGGTGGTGCGGATATCGACGTTTTGGCCGTTGGTGCGTAGTTGGGGGAAACGCTCGATGACGGTGACGCTTGCTCCGGCTTTGGCGAACCAGTACGCTGTGGTTGGGCCTGCGATGGATGCACCGACAACGAGAACTTTGAGCTTGGACATTGTAATGAAGTGTTTGTATGAAGGGAGATGCTTGCTGTAAGTTGAACTGGAGGACGAGCAGTACGTCGATTATATAGTAGGTCCTGGAGCTTACACCAAGCATCACGGCCGAGACAGCTGGATGTTGATTGGTCGACTCATCTTCACCGGGTCCTCAAACCCGACTGCTCGGCCGCTGAGGACCCGAGGATCTGACCAATCACAGGATGTTACAGTCTCAGTCTAAACCTGCGTCTGATTGTCCTGGATTAATTGATCCCAGAACATCCAGTCTGCGGCATCGAGGCTGAACTCGTCGCCCGTGTCGAGGCCCATGCCGTCAGGGAGGCTGCTCGATGATGCATTTGCGTCGCTGGAAGGCGAGGGGAAAATCGACAACAAATCCGTCATCGTGTCAAGAGTGCTGGTATTTGCGCTGTCGACCTGCTTCTTTCCCTTCCGCAGAGACTCCAAAGTGGTGATGAAGGCCGGCTCTGGCACGCCGCCGCTTCGCGGGTGCGCATTCCAGGCCTTCAGAGTGAGACGTCCAAACGCGACATACAGCGCTCGCTTCGACTGGAGCAGCTCGTAGTGGTCCTGGTAGAGCTGCTGCACCCTGTTCCACGCGGCGTCAGTTTCCGCGGGCGAGAGCAGGTCGCTCCTAGTCCACAGCGTCGTCAGGACGAAGATCATCGAGTCCCACGTCCCCCACAGGAAGAACGGCTTCACATGCCACTGGTATTTCTTCAGGCCTGCGTGAGCGCACGCTGCTGCATCGGTATCTAAGATCTTCTGCGCGAGCTGCAATAATTCTCGCCTCTCCGCGTCGGTGGCCGTCTGGTTGCGGACTTTGAGGAGCCGGATCCGGAGGCGCATGGCTGTGATGCCCGACCTGGCGAGGCCGACACTCAGGAAATGCAGCGGATTGACAATGTCGCAGTAGCGAATGTACTTCTCCTCGACCTCGCTTTCGGCCTCGTTGATGGCCCGCTCGGCTTCGAGGTAGTCTTTGAACTGCGACGAGCCTGCGCCGCTGGGTGGTTTTCCGGCCCTGGCGAAGAATCTCCCGATGCACGAGCGCGACAGACAGAAGATCATGTCCGTGGCACCCTTCTTTTCTTCCGGCGTCTCCGTCATGCCTGGCCAAATCTGGTCGTCATTGATGTTGAGCGGTTGCTTGGTGTCCCAGGCTTCTGGTATGATCGATATGCCGCTGCCCGACAGTTGGCTCGCATTGCCATCCAGTGGCAGAAGTTGGTAGAATAGCCGTCGTCTCATCTGCACGTCAAACGGTGGCAGGCCGAGCTTCTCTCCATCCCGATGAAGCCCTAAACGCTGCGCTATTCGGACGGCAACCCCCGTCAGGATCCAGTACGTGTGTGAGTCGTAAGAATACCGGCACGGCATGAGGAACAGCACGAGGGCTTGCAGCACTGATATCTCGGTGGTCTTGAGAAACGATGCATTGACGAGGGCTTGCCGCGTCGCAAAGTGGTATCGCTGCAAGAGTGTAGCTCGGGAGTGGCCCAATTTCTCGCTGCATTCCTCCTCCGTCATGGAGAAGACGGCAAAGTGGTATATGGCAAATAGTAGGCACTCGTAGGTCCTGGATGCCATTTCAGGCTGTTGCGAAGCCGTCTCGACCATCTTGGCGGTTGATGGAATGTGCAAGATTTTGCAGATGGGTTCCACAGCTTCGACGTGCGTCTCCCAAAGCACCATGGCTTTCGCGTGGGTTGGGTGATATTGGAGTATGCTCTGCTGATATCCCATGAATGCGCCCGTCAAAGGATCCGAAGCGATATCCCCGGTGTCCAATTGGTCTTCTTCATCATCGGACACGCGCTGCATCTCACCATCGTCGAGGGTACGCCAGAGATTGCTGTCGATGTATCTGGACTTGCCCTGACCTGCAAGAAGCTTGCCCTTTCCCGACGGTTCAGGCTCGTTCCAATACATCGATATTGGTTCTTGGGATGTCTCTCCCGCAGAAGGCGACGTGTCAGCATCCAACAAGCCGTGTTCGTGGAGAATGCGCTCGTACCGAGCGAGTCTTTCGAGGATGTCGCCGCTAAACTTTCTCTTCCGCCATCGCGGCTGGGGCGCTTGATACACGCAATCGAGCTTGGTCTTGCGACAGCTGGAACACGTTGGAACTGCCTTGTCACACTTTACCTTGCGCTTCGCACAGGTCTGGCAAGTATATGTCATGGCTGGCCGAGACGAGTCACTCTTGGCGCCACCATTAGGCGCTGGGGCAATGGCTACTGGCCTGTTACGTGTTTGGCCGTCGGTTGATGCCATTTGTGCGTCCAACGCCCATTGAAAAGACGCCGGTGTTACTCTGATTGTTCGAGGTCGTAAGCTTCAACGACGTCTTTTCGTCTCCACTCGTCGACACAAGTGCTTATCATCACGTGCTAGAATTACACAGCATAGTGGTATCAGGTATTATTTATCAAGAGTATTTCTTACTCTCTCTCTAGTAAAATAGTATCTATTCAACAGGGACGGAGTTGTTGGTTTTTTTTTATGGCGCGAAGCAGAAATGCGCCACGCTATTGGCCGCAATACCAGCTGCGGGAATGGGAGACCGGGGTGATCAGATGTGGAAGATAAATGGATTGTCCAAGTGTTGCGATACTGGTGTCAGCGCGCCAGCATTCAATCGAAGATGTCCACAATACTTTGTAATCAGCTGCCATGCTGTTTTCCCACGACCTTGACCGTCCATCCAAGGATGAGATTCTGTCCTCCAACTCCCAGGCTGAGTTTTCGTCCAGGGGTGTTCTTTTCGGCAGGTGATTGCCCTTTAACATAACCCATTGCCAACTACCAAAGTCCTCCTTTTTAGAACACGGCGTTGTTGGTAGCAAGTGAAGATGGTAATAGCAGCGGCAAATTCTGCAATCATGAAAACGTTCTGCCACAAGAAGGAAATCACCTGGACATCCCAGCCGTGCCATGATGATCCGGGATGGTGCGTGAAGAATGAGTACTTTGCCGAAGCATATAGCTCGTGCGGAATAACGCGCACTGTTCCTTCGATGGACGAGGATGCAGGAACCGCAACGTTACTTTGGTTCTGCTTGGTTCGTAGAAAATTGGCCAGCTGCTGAGTGACAAATACCGGGCCAGTCGACCACATAACCGTCGGGTACTTTGTGCCAACTCGGTAACTGTGTCCCTTCAGCTCTGTTATAAGTTGCTTGAAGAACACATGTCCCTTAAACGCGGCCATCATGTCGTTGCTGACCCCAAATGGCTGCGTCTTGGGGAAAATCGCGTCGAATTGTTGGAAGGGCTCGAGTGGTTTCCGGCAGCCTATGTCGAGATCGAGGTAGAATCCACCGAAATGGTAGATGACGAAATAGCGGATTGCATCGACGCGTTGGATGGCGTAAGGATAGCTATCGTAGGTTGGAAGAAACCAGGGATAAGACTCCTCGATCAAATTCCTTGCCGTATCATCAGTCCACAGCACATGCGTCCAGGTGCTATCGTTGTGAACTTGTTGGCATGACCTGTAGGCTGGCAGCCATTTCTCGGGAATCTGATTGTTGATGTATGTTTGATGTATGATTCGAGGTATTATTTCGGCCGTTTTCTCTCCGTGATGATTCTGTTCGACTGAGGTTCGGTGGTCGTCAAGGTTGAGAAGATAGTCCCTTAGGACGTCGTCATCGCGTTCGAATTGATAGATGATGTACAACGGAATGGTAGAGATGAGGAGAAGAAGACTCATAGAGATGATGATAGGATGGCAAAGCCATCTTCGAAACCGCCGGATAGACATGTTGTTTTGTTGATATGGGAATCGGAGGAGGCAACTTGGCTGTTTGTTTCTCTTTGTTTTTGGGCAAGGCATTGTTGATCTGTGAAGTAACAACTGGGAGACGTAATGATGTTTTTATTGACGGACAAATGCTTTACTGTCTTTGTTCTCTGAGTCTCTCGTCTGTAATTGTTAGATGCACTTGTCCCTGGTACATGCCCGGCGCCAACCATCCGACCTAACATGCCAACTGAGCGCCGTCGGCGTTTACACAATCCGGGCAACCAGCATCAAGTTGCGGTCATTGCCGCCCCTCCAAACAACCTCGTATTCAGGGACATAAGCTTTTCCCAGTCAATATGGGGGCGCGCCATCGCGTCGCGTGGGAAACATCTAAGCCTCGTCGTCGAGTGGGACCGCGTGGTAAGGAGGCATCTAAGCCTCGATTGCATGTGGTCCGTGACCCACCAGCGAAGAACCTTTTGTCTAGCGGATATCCACGGCGTAGTGGTTGTTCTCGTATTCAGATTAAGGAGGTTTTTGAATCAACGTGTGTCCGTTTCATCTTGGACTGTTGCACGAAGCCTCCATGTCTAAGCCTCCTCAGTTTGAGAGACATGGTCCACTGACGATGTTTTCACTCAGCATGAGTGTTTCACGTTGGAGATACACAAACAACTCCTCAAGGGTTCTAAAACAGACACTGATCGACGTTTTGTTGGATGAGACGAAAAGCCTGTTTGTACCAGGGGTTTCTTGGAGCACAACATGCATACAACCATGACAAATAATGGAGAATAAAGGGTTGGTTAGCGTTCATGGCCACCTTTTACGGTTAAAGGTGATATTTCTCAATGCTTGAATAATCGCGCGGTCCGGTCCTGCAATTAGTGGAAACGCCTCTCAGCTGGACGCTACAGAAATCCAAGCGAGCACCGTGAAGTCGGTACTGCTAAGCGATAGGCTCGCCCTGTGAGGCTATCCGGCATAGCCTTGGCTGTAGCTTTCCACAAAAAGCCGTCTAAAACAATCTAGGGACGGAAACGGGTAGGCTATGCTGTGGATGTGGGCGTAGTGACAGCCCTTAACGGAATGCGGGCGGAACACATCCGACTTCAGTCTTCTGCAGCTCGCGATCCTTACTCCCCAGTAAAACCATCCAACCACACATACCATTATCCGACCTAGGCTTCATCTGGAAAACTACTGTAAGGGGCAGAACCTAACGAGGCTCACGCGACAGCCGACGCTCTGACTACCCCTGCATAGCTCGAACCACAATCAAGATTAAGTGATGACCTACTGGTGATGGCTTTGCCTCAGCCTAACTAGGCTAAAGGTCCGTAAATCAGAGTAGGCCTCCAGCCTGTGACAGCTACTGATAGGTGAATGCTGGATCACAGCTGAACGTCACCGTTTTAGAAGTTGCGGCATATTTTCATCCTAGAAAAGGCTGAACACAGCCACATGCCTCGTCATGCCTTGAGTTCATCGACGAGTCTGGAACAATGTAACAGGGTCCCTTTGTAATGCCACCAACGCAACGTTTCTCCAGAGAGTCGGCCCTGAAAAGGAGGCTGTGTGATGATGTATGGCGGCATGTCGCGTGCCAGTGCTATCTCATTAAGCCGTATCACGTTCTAGAACATACATGGATCTCATAGTGTCATGATTGAGCCGGCACGGAATCATATTCGGTACACTTGGATAAATGTGCATCCGAAAGGCCTGTCGATGAGGGGATCGGCCCGGCCGACAGCAAGGGGGCTTTGATCACGCCAGGTTCAAAGGAGTCACGGTCAATCAAGGCCAAATGAATGTAACGGACGGCTTAGATAAGTGCCATCTGTATTTAGTGATGGGATTGGACCACACCCATCTGCTTGCTTTCCGAAAAGTCCATACTTAATTCATCACACGCCCAGGCCACGAGCATCAGGGGCTGAGCACTCGAGAAAAAAAGATTAGCCATCCCCGGAATTCATCAAATGGTGGGAATCCGCCATGCTACTTGGGTCCCGATTGAACGTCTTTCCGTGGCTAGCGTCAGGGAAATCAGCGCAACGGAAAACGTAAGTAGGTACTGTCAAGGCTGTCTTGTACTCGATGTAGACATTTCATGCGCGTGATCTAAAGAGAAGAACATTCACGTACTTCTAAATACACTCTAATCGTAGCAGACATCATGTTAGTTAGCCCGGTAACCCTGGAGACATTCACCGTTCACCCAACACCCCGCTCTCCTAACTTCCAGCGTCACCCCGTGGTCTACAGAAATGACTTGAACGAAAAAAGCCCGGAGCTCATTCTCAAACTCTTCCACACGAGCGGCGACTGGGCTAAAGGAGGCTACTGGAAGCTTGCAAACGAAGATCTGGCTACCAGGCCGCATTTCCTGTCCGATACACATGAGTGCTACACCGTCTTGCAAAGAAGGGGTACTCACCAGCTTGGCTAGTCCCCCCTGGATGCTGAGGTTGACGGGGATGGCAATTGGCAAACCTTTGGGCGTGCTATTCGTTGCTTATGCTGAGGCGTATTCGTGTTTGTGGTAAGGCCCACTAGAGCTAATGGAATCACGAATGCTAATTTGATGCAGTCGAGCGTTATCCACAACGGTGTCAAGGCAGAAGAAGGCTACGAGATTCCCAGATTTCACCCCCTATCATGTCTCTTGTGTCAAATGGGGACCAATTCCGTTTTATAACGAGAATAAACCCGTGGAAGGACTATTTGACAGGCAGGATGAGTTAGATTCGGTTGAAGAAACCAACGTGCTTTGTGAAAGATGTGACGCATTCGCAGTCCCTGAGAAGAATCCTTGTGTGGCCTAGGTGGACCGCTGTGGAGACTTTGAAAGTAGGAATGAGAATGTTCTAAAACCTGATACGAAAACTTTAGGTGGGGATGAACTTCTCCTTGGTCAGAAATCTATGGGAGATAAGATGATAGGCTCTTTAGGGCATGATGCGTGTACTGTAGGGTGCCACGTTATCCGATCGGATCCTTGATCCGTGAGACACAAACATCCATGTGGCTAATTATATCGCCGCCGTGCATCCGAGTGGGAGTGGGCTTTGTCTCTTGGCATCAGCCTAGAACGGGGTCCACCAGAGAGAGTCTGAACAGGGGGATTTGGGAAGTCTTCCGTAGCAACGTAACATTTGTTGTAAATCTTTAGTCAATAATAACTAGGGTGCGTAATCAGAAATTTATAAGCATGTTTGAGAATGAGAGGATAATGATGGATATATGTATACCTTAGTAGTGCATATGTGGGATTTAAATATTCTGAGGAATCCGAAATTCATGCGTTTGATCTAATGAGGTCAATTTATCGCAAAAAATACGGAGTTATCTGGCTACAACGGGTCCCATCCCACAGCCTCATCAAAAGAGCTCCTGTTTCGAAGTACAAAATATCCCCTCAACAAGTTCCTCACACAGACCCACTAACTCAACGGCTCGTCAAGGAAATTCGTCCCGTTCAAGTACCAAGTCAATTCCTCCTTGCTGTTACTAGGATCCCCATCAGCCACAGTCAGCCCATTGCCAAACCAACCAAAGTCGTTGCCATCAGAGGCCTCCATGTCGAAATCCTCCCATCGGACTGAACTAAACGCATGAAGTGCATGAACGCTACTTCCTGGCCAGAGCGCACTCACCCTAGCCGCTTTTCGCTCGTTGTTTGTGGTGCCGGCAGGTGATGATTTGTACCAACTGACACAATCGGTGACGTAGACGGTTTGCTTGAAGTACTCGTCACAGAAATTGGTGAAGTTGTCAACCTGTTTGCGTTTGGGCTCAATGGTCAAGATATTCCCATGTGCGAGACGATGGAGAATCTTGGCCATATAAAGATGGGCGTGTTCTATGGTGATGAGAAGACTGCCAGCGCCCTGGAAGCCGTTTGGACCCAGGGATTGGAAGAAGTTTGGAAAGTTATCGGTGCAGAGACTCAAGTACGTTCGAGGCCGAGTCTTGTACTTGTCTCGCAAATTGATTCCATCTCGACCATAGATTGGAAAACCCTTGCCTGGATTCGTCTCAAATCCGGTAGCACAAATAATGGCATCAACCGGCCTTCTGACTCCGTCTGCCGTAATAACGGCATCGGAATCGATGCGAACTACCGCCTCAGATATGACGTTGACGTGAGGCTCCGTGAGAGCTTCCAGATACCCCGGACCAGGGGTCAACCGCTTGCAAAGGGGCGGAAAACTCGGGATAAGTTGATCCATTAGTTCGGGCTTGGCAACGAGTCGTTCTTTCATGTACTTTTCATACGAGACCCTCGCATTAGCGTGCTGCGGGGTGTTCAGATGCGTGATCTTGACCATGCTCTGCAGATCAAGCTCCAGCGTCTTGCGATATGCGATGTAAGATGCAGCATCTCCCTTCCAGGCTTCCTTCTCCTTTATGTCGTAATCGAAGTTGGTCGACTTATTATCGGCTGTTCTCTGCTTGAGCGCGCCCTCACTCTGTTGATTGGAGATCCAGGTTTTCCCACGAACGTAGTGATCCATTGCCTTCACTTTGGAGACCAATGCTGGAACAACCTGGATACCACTGCTCCCCGCTCCAATAACTGCAACTGTTTTGTCCTACAAATTGATTAGTCGGAAGGATCGAATTCGCATGGGGAAGTTTACCGTTGCGTCCCATTTCTGGTTCCAGTTTGCGGTATGGAGTAGCTCCCCTTTGAAAGAGTGGAGGCCGTCAATCGCAGGCCACTTCCATTCGTTCAATAGCCCTGTACCCGTAATGAATACATCGGCTTCATCATGTATGAGAGTGGGAGGGTTCGTATCCAATCGCTCAATCTTCACAGTCCATTTGGACCTTCTTTCGTCCCACGATGCTTCGATGCACTTGTGGTTGAAGCGGACATCCTTCTTAACGTTGTATTTGTTGGCAACCCGATTCCAGTACTCCCATATCTCTGGACCAGTAGCATAGAACTGGCCCCATTCAGTCCATGATTCAAAGCTCAGCTGGTAGGAATGAGAGGGAATATCTGGCTTAGGTTAGCTCAACTTCTCTAGGCCTGCATTGCCATCTTGTCACATACCACATGCCACGCCGGGGTATCTTCAAAAAACAATTAGAATACTTTTCAATTGTAGTGGTCTTTGACAGGTCTTACACATTCTCATACCATGTACCGCCAATCTCGGGGTTCTTTTCGTAAATGGCCAAATCTATCGAGGGCACAAGCTTCCGGAACTGGATGGCGGCGATGATCCCCGATACCCCTGCCCCAATATAAATGACCTTCAAGGGTCGTGGGGCATTGATGGGTCTGTCAGAGATAATGCGTTGCGTGGGCTGCGGCGACATCTTGGTCATGGTTGCGGATTTGGCAATTGAATGATAATGATTGTTGATGAGTACTGTGAGACGACAGAGAGTGCGTAAGATGTTCTTTTCATGGCTTCTACTCGAGCCATCACATCAATAAGCCATGATACTTGAGTCGGATGACCCCGCTGATTGCTAGTAGATCGGATAACACTCCGAGTCGTGACTCAAGCCACAAATCGGATGTGCTATCCGATGTGGCATTGACAGTGTCACACGACGCAAGTTGCTTGTCAGTCAATGCGGGGGACATATCCGATTAGGCACGAATGGGTGGGTATGATCATGTCAAATAGCCGACTTCATTCCCATGGCGATAAGCTGCCATCTTGTGCGCATTCTCTATTCAGGTTTGCCTTATTCACGGCTGGTTTTCCCCGTGCTCTGGTTGCCAGTCATTGGATTCGGTCTCGCCTGCTCTTTTGGGCAAGTTAACTTCAGCTACCTAGATTGTGGGCTTTGTAGATTCGGATCATACAGGCTAGGGGGATAGTCTATTCCTGAACACTCAAAGGGACTCTAGTACTGGAAAGCGAGAGCGACCCAATAGGATGATGTCCATTAGCCGTAGTTTCACCAGGTACACACTAAATACATGAGGTAAGCCATATTCAGCCCCTCACCAGAAGCGGAGCTGGCGGCATCGGAGCTAAACATCTCCCCACTTGAGAATGATAACCACTGTAACCCAACTTTCCTCACATCACTCAACACAAGATGCAGACCAACCAAGGCAGATTGAGAAAGCGGGTCGTAAATGCGTGCCAGCGCTGCCGCAAGCACAAGATTAAATGTTCTGGCGCAAGTCCCTGCAGGACGTGTCACCTTCGGGGGCTCGAGTGTCAGTTCAGTTCAGATGATAAGAAAGTTGTCATCTCCGAGAGGTAAGCAAACAAGACTATTGAAATTGTGTCACGGTCGTCACTCATCCGGGATCTAGCGTTCTTAAGAATCTTCGGAGAAGGCTTGCAGAGTTAGAGAGGCAACAGAAGAGTCAAGAACCACGAGAGCAAAGCCAACCTCCTTCTCGAGAGGACGAAACGCATCACACTCCAAGTCAATATTCGCAGCGTCAAGATTTGACCGAGACGCAATATATTACTCCGAGAGAATCACAAGAAACGCATTTGTCATATGAGTCGCCGAGTCTTGAGGATGCGGCCGTGGAAAATCCTCTCGTCCCTGAGAAACCTGCCTATTTCTCCGAGGCCTCAGGAAGACTAAGATACATGGGTCACTCGTCGACTTGGTCTTTTAGCCGCCAGGTTCTCGACATGGCGTACCAGAGCCCGAGTGCAGAACACTCTCCTTCGGCCTCAAGTCGCCTCGATGGAGAAATATATAGGATTCTCCCCGAGCCAGGACCCATATTCAACTCCTGGAGCTTTGAGGGCCTTCCTTCACTAGATCTGTCTCTATACTACCTTCATACCGTCAAATTCCGAACCCACCCTTTTTTTCACCTATTCGACGAATCCGAGTTTACCAGCAGACTACACCAATTTTATCAGGAGCCCGAAACTTTCGCCCAAACGAATAGACTGTGGTACGTCCACTATCTGCTTATCATGGCCTTTGGGAAGTCATTTATCTCTCAAGGCAATGCCCAAAGTGGGCCTGCGGGCTCAGAGCTTTTTGCGAGGGCTATGGGTGTGCTTCCTGATACTACCCAGCTTTGCTCTGATCCTGTCAAAGCAACAGAGATATTCTGTTGCATCGCGCTCTTTCTCCAATCTGTTGACCACCGCGTTGCAGCTCATTTATATGTAAGTGCTGTTCCTCTATGAACCTACCTTATCTGACTCTTGACAAAGGTTGGCCAGGCAATCAGAATGGCTCAGATTCATGGGTTACATACTGATATGCAACCAAATGATGTCGGGGCGCAATTAGTACACCGAGGTCGCTGTATATGGTGGACCGTATATGCCCTGGACCGGAGACTCTCATCAATAATGGGTGTTCCAGACTCCATACGGGACGAAGAAATCACGGCGAAATTCCCACTCATCGAGGATGACACCACAATGACAGCACTCTTAATTCATTTTAGAATTAGTCGCTTATTCGGGAATGTCATTAGCAGTAAGTGCACCATGGTGGAAACGATGCATTACTAACCGCTCAGTGCAGCTGTTTACAGTTCTCATCAGGAGGTGAAAAAGGCATTTGTGGCAACAACAAGAACCGTGCTCACGGGCATCGGCGACCTTGCTGAAGAGCTAATTCCTTTTTCCGATCGCGGTTTCGGAGAGATTTCCCGCGTTTCCGCACATCTGAACCTGGCCTACCATCAAGTAAGCTCCTGTTTGTTGATCTTGCCTCGAGTATCCGCTGACAAGTCAGTGTATCATACTCACGAGTAGACCGGTTCTCTTTTATCTGCTTAAACAACGGATGGAAAACGCATCTGAATCCCAGAACCTTCCACTCTCATCGTCAATTAGGGGGCTCTTGCAGGTTTGCATCGATTCTGCAGTCCAGATGGCCACTATCTTGGCACAATTACAACAATGCGACCTCCTAGGTGATTTTCCGCATGAAGAAGAAATTCAAAACATAGGCTAACACTGTATAGACGCTTTTCTGCCCTTTGACCTTGAGAGCGCCTTTTCTGCTGCTTTTGTGTTGGTTATGGCTTCGAGCATTCACAGCAAGCTTTTACCACAACATGACTGGCTTGTGGATCTCGGAAGGGTTTTTGATTACATTTCTTTAAAGGGTAACATCTTGGCAGGGATGTGTAAGTCAGAGGTAGAAGAGCTGACCCAAGCACTGAGTGGAATTGACCCGCGTCTCTTTGCATCCGCCGAGCAACCGGCCACGACACCATTATTCGATCAAATGAGCACATCAGTCCTGGGAGACCCTTTCTTTGAAGACTGGAACACTACTAATGGATTGTCTGGAGCCCAAATTCTTGACCTGGCCGAAGCGCTAGAAGTTGGCGGGTTGGAGGATATCTGGAGTGTGTAAAACATTCAAAGACCACGGATATGTATATTTGAGCTGCAATAGTATATCCCATCGAGTCAAGGCCGTAAATATATCAGTCTTGGCGTATCACTGAACAAAACCAAGATCCCCCAGTGCTGACAGCGCAGATTCGACCGCCGCTACTACGCCATATACCCAAGCCTAGAAGCTTTCCACCGACGACATGATATGTGCCAACAATTGCATACCGCGTCCTATCCCCTGACGCCTTCAACACAACATCGTACAACCGCGGTACAATGAGGCGTTGCACCACGCAGGTCGTAGCAGAGACCACACCAGGCACTCGAAGACCATCCAAAGCACGCACCCACTCATCCGTACTTAATTCATCACCGAATAGAATTCCAGCCCCTTTACCGCCACGAATCGGTTTCAAGATGTACTTGTTCTTCAACTCGGGGCAGTCCTTTGAGTCTCTGACGAATTGCTGTAGCTCTTGTGAAGCAGGAAGTATCGTGTCCACAATTCCTCTGTCAAGAGCCTCTGCCTGTGCCAAGGTGAGCACTTCACGTGTAACCAGTGACTGAAGTTCCTGCTTCACAATACCGAGCATGCGCTTGTCGTGGACCAATAGAATAGTACGCATGTCGTTGAAACAGCGGAGACTAATCTGGCGCAGCATCTCCGGGGCCAATGCGAGCAACTCACGCTGATGCAACTCAAGACCGACTTGGTGGATCTCTTCCACGACTTCTCCCTCACTAGTCATGAAGGCAGAAGTGAGAGGAGTCAGGCCACCATTATTCTTGACGATAGCGAACAGCCGGAACTTGCTCTTACTTTGAGGGTCAGGGATTAATCTGAGCTCTGTTGGGGTTATGAGCTTCGGCGTGACTCCCAGGCGACGTCGAACGACGTCTATGAACATGTGGATGTCGATCCCACGTTCCTCGCCCTTGAGAAGAAACAACGGCATGCTCGGATCAAAGAGAGTGAATAGACCTTCAAGGAGCTGCCGTTTATTAGGATGTGGTTACCGAGAGATGGACATGGTGGCTTACCTTTTCTGAATCTGTTGCATTGGCCAGGTTGGCACCCACGCCTACATCATCCAGAGCTTGCTGCCCGTAGGCCTGGTGCATGAACCCGTTGAATGAGAAGCGGGCGTTGATTTCGGTGATGCGGAAATTCTCCACAATGGCGCCGTCCTCACTGTCCTCGACCAAAAAGTCAGGCCTCCATGAACCCAAGCACTCCGTGAACTTTTTCAGATTTCCACACGAGACTTGGTCTTCTAACCACTATGGAAGATATTAATGTCAGCTCAGATGATGTTAGAACTTTGATGGGAGGACAATTCACCCGTAGGAGCTCCTCTTCTCTCTCCTCTAGAGGCATGCGCGCCGGGAATCGCGCGTCCCTGTCAGTCCACCATCGCTGAACAATGTCAGTGATGGCAGACGTCAATGCTTCTTGAAGGTCTTGTAACTGCTGCTGGTGATGCTTGCTGATCAGGATTGGTCGAGGACAAGCCGTTGTATAGGAGTCATGGGGCCACAAATGGGCAGGGCATCTGTCCAGGAGACTGGCTTCTAGCTTGTCATGCTCTTCCGCGTAGGTGGTACTCTGGGTCTCGTATTGCGCCACAGGCTCATAGCCATGAGGGCTCAACCCAATGTGGATTTGCTGCAGGGGCGCGGTGATTGAAGTCATCGTAGACTTTCCTGTCTGTTCAATGGAAAGGGCGGTAAGATGATCGACGGTGGCATGAACTCAGAGCGGACAGGCACACCTCTGTACTTATAAGACACACAGGTACATTTTGGGACAAGGGGCTTCCAAACCAGGCATACGTCTCACACGTAATTGTCAAGTCCCCGGGAAGCAGGCCCGAGGACAGGCCGCAGTGGCGCGGCTAAAACCCCTCGCTCGCGCTCGCTCACACGGGACGGGTTACCGGGTCACAATGTCTCGCATTAACCAGCAAACAAGACACTTGCACGTATGTACGCGATGGCACTAAGCGTGCCGTAATTGCATGTTTAACATCCCGTCCGGATGCCTCCCGGGGAGTGCGTTGGGCCGAGGGCGTGTGAGACAGACCACCAGGCTGCAGGGGGGAGGCGGGAGGCGGGATGTGCAACCCATCACATAGTGGCACCGGCATCGTGGGCTATTGTTGAGTCTCATAGGTCCTGCGTAATCTAGGCAGCTTTGATGCTTAATAAGGTCAGAGTCCAGTCAGGAGAATCTGGAGATGAGTGGGAATTCTTGTCTGTGCCGATTCCATTCATTCTTACTACCACGCTTCTCAATAGCCTCCCAACATTGTCAATCATGAATCTAGTTTCCCGCCTCGCTCGCAAGGCCGTTTCCGCACATATCCCTACCCGAAATCCATCCGCTACGTCAAGTCTTTTGCGGTTTTCAGGATGCAATCGCCATGGCGCCCGCTTCCTTGCCACTCATGCCTCACAAATGGTGCCTCATATTGAGGCTCCCGATCTGAGCTATGCCAGAGAGGCTCACCATGTTCGCCGAGTCGCCGATCAGCTCCAGCAAAGCGGCATACTCAAAGTCAGCCTCCAGTTCCCGGACGACAAAAGCGAGTACCTTCAGCAATTGCTACTCAGTCTGAATAAGAACCACAACCACCAGCTACCCATCTCGCACAGCGCAACGCGGGGCTGGTTCTGGGACGTCCGCCCCAGTACCACGGACTTCCAGACTGGGAATCATCAGGCTCGGTCAGAAACCATGGAAGAGTTCCCTTGGCACACAGATTGCAGCTATGAGAACCCACCCCCGAGGTACTTTGCTCTCCAAGTGCTCCAGCATGATCGATTCGGCGGTGGAACGCTGTCCGTCATGAACGTCGAGCGACTGAGCCAGCTTCTGTCCCCAACAACCCGGGCCGCTCTGGTAAACCCCGACTACCGGATCACCATTCCTCCCGAATTCATCAAAGATGCTGCCCAGCAAGACATTGTTGGTAGCGTGTTGGTGGCTGACGCAGAAGACCGATCCACTATGATGCGATTTAGGGAAGATATCCTTACACCACTGAGCGACAAGGCATCGGGAGCGCTCAATGAACTTAAGCAAGCCCTGCAGAGCGCCGAGGCTCAATCACATTCAACAGTGCATCTGACAGCCGACGACTTGCCGCAGAGGAGCATCATTCTCGTGGACAATCGTCGATGGCTGCACGCGCGGAATGATGTCAAGGACCCAGAGCGCCATCTCCGCCGGGTACGATGGGATGCTGTCCCGTTCAGCGGGTCCAATTAGGTGGCATTTTTTGTATTTGAGATTTCATCTTTCGGAGGCGCAAGTTTGGCGGATTCGCCGATGCACACGGGTATGCAAAGGGATGGATTAAAATTGTGAGACTTTGTACGTAATAGGACCTCGCTTAAGGTAGCTGTTGAATTTAATTTCAGGTGCGTCTGTATTGCGTTGAGCTGAACTCGGTGAATAAGCACTACGTGCCGTGCCGTCCATGGCTGAGACAATAACTATGCAATGCATCGTTAGTGACCAACATCGAGTTGTCGTTATTACAAGCAAGTGATTGGCATCTCCTGCTTCTTTTTCAGTGATCCACCTCGTGTAACACGTAGGTCTGTCCATAAAGCTTGTGGCTGGCTGACTAGGGCAATTCTTAGGGGTGTTGTACAACCAAGACGTCCCGCGGCATCTAGCGGGCGATCCCCCGGACAAGAAGCATCTGGACCCTCCTCGGTATCTGCGAGTATCTATGATGTATCATATTTTTCTGTTGTTGGGAGAAACAAGATGCCGATGCTACGCCACACACGGGCGTATGCATTGGAGAATCAGATTCGCCATTGACTGCAGTTAATACCATGCCGCCGCTATACGAACGCCGAGTCCCACCCCAACCTATCAGGCACTCATCCAAATATATTAGCATGCGGGATGTAAATTGCTCAAAGGCGGGACACGATTGATCGTCACAGGTGTTTCCGGTTACAGTCCTGTGCCGCCAATTGTCTCAGAATACGGGCCAGCTTTTGCAACGCCTCACCGCTGGGGCGCAGAAGAAGACGGCTGGGAATGGCGGGCCGCGGCAGGAAAGATCCACTACGGGCCGTAATTTACTTGCATAAGTACAGGCGGTGACCGGACGGGCCGCAGCCACACAATGCAGATCTGCCGATTAAGCTGGCGGCATGCTGAAATCCGGGTTGCCAGAACCAATGAAGCACCTCAACATTCCGGGAGGTAAGGGGGCCAGCTGAAGGAGCCGATGCTAGTGCTTGTAATTCTCAGTTGAGGGGAAAGGGAAGCAATGACTGAAATGCTGGCGTGCCATCTCGCTACACCTCTCCCGGATTCAGATCCGCTTGGTCACATCGCCGGGCTCTAGTCTGTGGCACTGATGTCTATCATGCTCGGCTATTGGCTAGTCTATTGTGACGATATGAGGAAAAGCAAGCCGGCTCAATTACAAGGATGCTGCAGCTGTGTTCCCACCTCACAGCAGAACTGATTTCTGGGGTCTCGGACATAAGCCCCGCAGATGGTATTGTTGACATGCTGGCATATGTGATCTAGACCAAGTCCATGCGCAAATTTCGCGGTGTAACCAGCGCCTCCACGTCATCTCAGACATTAGAGTAATACGATTTATAATACCATGAGAGATTAGATTGTCGAGGCCTTCAGAGAAAGCAAATACCTCATCAGTGAGTTTGTAGCCGTAAATCACTCCTTGTCCCATTTGAGAGATCTCCTGATAACCCCCAGCCCTAACCTCCGTATCTGTGATGCTTCTTGAATCTCCAACGATGATACCCAACTCCAATTACTCCTTGGCCGATGTCCTTTCTGTTGCCAAAATTCACCCCTTCTACGTCACCGATGCCCAATACCCGCCTGATGCACGCACCATTCAAGCAGCCAGGGAACAGGCCCCAAAAGAGCCAATTGAAGCAAACTTGAGGGCACAACCATTGCTCCGCAAGAAGGATCTGTAAGAGTACCGAGTTACTCGATACATGAAATGACACTCATCCTCCCTAGCTATACAACCATCGAGCGGCTGATCAACGACACTGACCCACGAAATGCCTATCGCCACAGCGTCTACGCGAGCGTCACAGGAGGTGGCTTTGGGTCAAAGCCTCTGTTCTTCGCCACAGACGTACATGAGAACCGCCGGCACAGGGCCAACTTTGGCAGCTTCATTCAGAACATGGGAATCATCAAACATGGGGACTGGGTTCTAACTATGCACACTGCGGGGGAGCTTTACAGGTAAGTCATCTACAGTCTTGACAGGGAACAACGACAGCTAACATGTTAGATCCCTGGATCTCATTTTAGAGCTCCTTGAAAACGCCGGAGCCTCCGTCCTCGGCGCAGGACACTTAATGTCGCCTGCTGATGTTGTTCGGCTGTTGGTGGACTACCATGTCAACATCTTATGCGGTGATAGTAGCCAGATGGCTCAGACTGTGCACTACATTTCAACACTACCTCAGGAAGAACGAGCAAAGCTCCACATTGATCAGATCATCTACACCTCAGAGACACTCACCGCAGCTCAAAGGGCGCATATCAGTGCAGTTCTTGGTCCAGTCAAAATCTGCTCCATCATGGGTAGCGCGGAAGCCGGTCCTTACGCAGTCAGTAATCCCGACCTCACTGGAAAGAATGCGGCTGCTGGCTATGAAGACTTTATCTATGACACGCGCGACACTTTGTTTGAGATTCTTCCTCCCTCGTTCTCCGAGAATGGTTCTGATCCTGTTCCGATGCTTGAAGGAGAACAGGGGATTATTGCCCAAACCTCCCTTGCCCGCCTGCGAAATCCCCTCGTGCGGTATATTACTGGAGATGTTGGATCACTCCATCCTCTACCTGAGCAGGCTCGGGGTCTGATCCCAGACATTGATTGGCCGCATTTGCGTGTTCTTCGTCTCCAAGGACGCGATCGTCGATTCAGCTTCGACTGGGACGGGGAGTACATCGAGTTCCATCACCTAACCACTTTGCTGAACAACGAGGAGTGCGGAGTTCTTCAGTGGCAGGTCATCTTGGACAAGATGGAAGGTTCCCCAGAGTCATCACTTGAAATCCGCCTGCTTTGCTCCCCGCGCGATAGGGACCTGATTTCTGAACAGGCACTCATCGATCGCATTAGGACATTTTTTCATGCTTATTCCGGGAATGAATATCGTTTCCGTCTCACCTTGTTGAAAGATTTGAGCGGATTTCAAAGGAGCAGCACTGGGAGGAAGGTGATCAAGTTTATAGATCGCTTTAATTGAGCTAAACTAGAGGCTGTCATGTTACCGCAAAGGGTCAGTCTCATAATCGAGCAAGAGCAAAGGGGGACTTGTTTCATCTCTAGATCAGTTCTCGGGTGTTGTAAATAATGGCACCAATTTACAGTGGTGATACTCACCATCGTCCGTTTTAGCTGCATATGTTTAATTTACGATGTATTCTGGTTACTGCTACCGGAATAGTTCCATGCTCAACCATAAGCTTCCACCTGGTTCTCAACGTGGCTGATTGATACAACTTTGTGAGACACCCCTGATTAAGTACGCTCTGCATCAATGTCAAGGCTTAAAATAGCTCAGTTCCGACTATCCTCGTACTCAAATACAGTTACTTGATCAACATCTGGTCGGAATGGAAACAGTTCGGGACCCGGATGGTAAGTGAAGAGCCATATTGACAGAGCGAGTGCAATTCTACGACATAGCATAATAATGGTCTTCAGAGTTGCAGATGCTACTGCTACAGTCTCGTTAGATACTGCATGTCACTGACCTTGGATTAAACCGGCGGAGGCGAGCACGACGCCGAGTCTCTCGCACTTTATGCCAATTCTTGTATTATGCTCTCTACTAATTCTGGAATCAGGTGTTTTGCTGCAGACTTCCATTCAAAGGCGAGGTGGGCATTGCTATAGCATATGTGGATTGCAACTTCAATTCCCCTAATCATTTCGCCCTGTCCACGGACTCAACGCATCCAAAAACTTCGTATGCGTCTCAGCGTCTCCGCTCCTCGTTAGCACTTCTTGATACTCTTCATCGCCCAGGCACTTGAAGAAAAGCAAGATAGCGGCCCATATAAAATCAGTGTAGCTGACAACATCGCCCAAAAAGTACGGCCCCGAGGAAGTCTCGTTCAGCAGCGCCGTCATCTCACGCGCAAATGGCTCGGCTCGTTCAAACGCCCCAGGACCCTGCAGCTTCCCATATTCGAATAGTGGCATGCCTACATCCTTGTGACGCGTGGTGAGGAAGAAGTCGAGGCTCTCGTCGCCGAGGATGCGCTGCGCTACTCCCGGGACGTAGATTGGTGTGAGCTCTCCCATGAATTTTATCATGATATCTCTAAACCTGGCCTGCAATGGCGCGTTCAGAGGCAAGCTTGGCTCTGGGTGCTTTTCCTCAATGATACCGGCAATCTTGTAGGAGTCCATGACGTAGGAGCCGTCGGGCATTTGTACTGCTGGGAGTGTAAAGTTGGGTTCACTTTCATTGGGAGGGACACTAATATTACCACTTCGTCAATAATGTTCCCACTGTTCTTGAAATCTAGCCTTTACTTACTGCTGATTGAGCCGCGGCCCGATCTCAGGATATTCAACCTGCCAGGGTTAGGGTTGATGGCCCAGTTCACATGGTTCTAACTCACCCATTCTGTTTTGTAGTCGAGACCCTTGTAGTTCAAAAGCAATCTCGCTTCATCTTGTTTAGCATTTATTTATGCGAATTTGACTGAGCGGACTTACTCCTCCAGGTGTTCATCGACCAGCACACCCGTGGTGCCTTGGTGGGGATGTCGAATAATGTGTAACTGCCAGACGACATATTGCTGGCTGGTGCCCTTGAGATTTCTAAATGGAAGATGCAAAAGAAGAATTTCGCAAGTGTAGCAAAGCGAGGCTTATGTTGACAGAAAGGAGGAGAGATAGATGGTCGATAAGACCCCATCTGCATAGCCACAAATTAATCAGCTGATTACTCCGTAGATGCAGGCCAATCATGCACCGTTATCCCACATTCCCACCATGACCGAGCAGGGATTCCGATTGTGACCTGCTGTTTGCTGCTTAGCGGGTTGCTATGCCCCTCACTCCAAATGTCCACAGGTCTGCCTCGTTCCGTACTCTCTTTGGAATTCAACACGATATGTTCGAGCTAATTCCGACCTTTGCTAGCCTGGTAAGGTTTACCATACAATCCAGGGAATATCGTGAACAAACGGTGAATTCAGGAGCTATTAAGTTAGTCCATGAGGGCGTAAAGTGGGGTGTTATAGGGTAAGTGTGGGCTGACTTGGAGCTGCACCCAGATCCTTCTGCATCCATGGGGTCAGAGTCTCAAGGATCGGTGGTTTATATTGGAAAATCTTGGGGAATGACCCCCTATAAATACAGCGCGTAGGTGATGGGGACAAGGAGACTTAACGCACGCCATAATTGGAATGAACTTGAGGGCTAGTACGATGACCTAGTGGTCATAACTAGACTTTCGAGTTTCACCACGATGGTCGGACGAACGAGGTTGAGACTTCAAGCCGGAGAGCCCGGGCATTAAGGGTGGTCTACATCTTCCGCAGCGCCAATCTCAGCTCCGAGGCATCATCCTTCCTCGGGTCCTCCACGCAGTAATCTCGGTGCTACGCGGCAACGGTAAACGCAAGTCATGAAGAAACTGCACCAGGAAGAATTTCCTTGTTGGCTGAGCTTTTATCACCTAGGACAGAGCCAGATTATCTACCTTAGATTTGATGCTTAACATTACTGAATCATATGTTTGTCCAACTCTTTTGCCGATTCTTTACCCGCTGTAACAATCCCTGTCGTCTCTTCCCCGCCATCGCCAGAAGAAGAATGGTTACCCCGGACCTCCGCGATCTTGGCCCCGCAATCTGAGACGTCTCCTCTTTTCCACCGCGCGTTGTCCTTGCTTCCTCTGATCGACAACGCGACACGAAGGCCCTCTATCAGCGAACAGGATTATCGCTACGTGGTTTTGTCTACGGTCAGCAGCAACTAGAGACATGCCCGGCACGCGCCGCCAAGGGTCTCAGCGGAGCCCTGCCTCTCCGCCAGCCGCTGAACGATCCACGTCTGGTGGTACCAGGGGGCTGCAGAATGCAAGAGCACGTAACGCATGCATGCGATGTTACAAGCAAAAGTTAAAGGCAAGTTTATTTCCATCTTTTGGTAGCCGAAATCGAGGGAGATGGCGACTAACAACCAGTCATGGGGCACAGTGTGATAATGAGAGGCCATGTGCGCTTTGTACTCGTTCCAACATGGAATGCAAAGAAAACAACACAAGAAGAAAGTAAGTCATGACATATGTAGTGGACAAGAACATTGCTCACTGTATCCATATTCAAGGCGGCATCGCAAAGCCACGTCCCCTGCAGATACCCATCGCCCATCCCCTCAGCCTGCACCCGTTCAAACCTTCCAGACTATCCGAGACGCCATACATAGCCCAGACGTCCCTGCAAGCGATATTGGCCCACCGTCTCCTGTGTCTGAAGCACAGACTAGCACCCGAGTTGTGACTCAGGAGACTCCAAACTCATACCGACTATATTTCCATGTAGGTAGCCAACTCATTATCCTTGGCCGCCCCTTCCTAGCTCACGGGATATTCTTAGATATATGACCACTGGCATTCCCCTTCAAGCGCCATTGAAAACACTGAATCGACTTACAAACCCACTCCGCACCCATCCACCTCCTCTCGCACGCAGGAGAGGGTTCCAGTTGTGGACTTGGTCGACATGCAGTTGCCACCATCGGAAATTGCTTCCTTACTCCTGGATTCATACATCCACAACACCCATTGGTATCAACTCGTAGTTCACGAGCCGTCATTCAGGTTAGAATTCAACGAGATGATCCGATGTGGGTCTATTCAACCCCATCGCTTCTCATTCCTCGTACTTTCTATGGTCGTTCTTGCCATGGGCTGTACCTTTGCCAACGAAAGAGCCATCGATCAAATTCGTCCCGGCTTTGACCTGAAGGCGCTCCAGAAGAAGATGATTCGCAAGGTTGAAGCAAACTTCCTTGAGATATTTGAAATCCCGACGATTGAGTCTGCACAGGTGGGAACTCTGCTGACGACATATTTGGGCTTCCACGATAACAGACCAAGACGTGCTTACGTCGTCCTTGGGGCGGCGTTGAAAGCGGCCTTATCTATTGGATTGCACAATGAATCATCCTGGAGAGAAATAGACCCGACTCAAAGAGAAATACGCAAGAGATGCTGGCTGACACTCTGCATTTCAGAGACGTATGGATGCCTGGCTATCCAACGGAAATTTGCTAATACTCGTTAGTTTCATTGCTGTCAATTGTGGAAGACCTTCTCTCATCAACCAAACACACTGGGAGACGAAAATGCTGCGAAATATCGATGACACGCAGATAAGATGCCCAGGATTCGACTCTACCGAGCTTTTGGAGGACGGCTCCCGCCAAGACGTAACAATCCTATCCTATCAGATGCACAAGTTCAACATCTACAAGATCATGTTTGACATTATGGAAATATTCTATCGTCAAAAGGCCACACCCATCCAGCACATTGTTGATCAAGCCAAGTCCATCAGAGAGCGATTAGCTGCATGGAAAAGGAACATTCCGCCTGAACTGATAGTGTCATCTTTCAAACCAGATCGTCTTGAACCAGAAGTCAACGGAATGATTGAGGTCTTCAAAGTCCAAGCTCTTTCACTCGAATTGCATTACTACAACGCTCAGATCATCCTATACCGTCCGTTTCTGACGTACAATTCAGCTCGTCACATGGACATGAACAAACCGAGCACACCAATCCATTCGTCTGAAATACCGCGTGCGGTAGAGGGTACGGCCGTGAAAGAGATTGATCTGGAATTTTATCAGATGTGCAGAAGTGAGTGTTGGGAAGCAGCCATGAAGACGACAAAAATCCGCGATTATCAAGATATCCTCAGGTGGGCTGGAAGAACGCCCGTGGCTCCGTTCATTGGGATCCATTGCTTCACTGCGGGAGCGGTATTGTGCTTGTTTGCACTTTCATGTCCCTTGACAGCAACTGCGCAAGAGTCAAAACGAGCTTTGGGCAAGCTTGTTACAATGCCGCAGCTCTTGAACTCGCCGACAACTTTGTCCAAGCAGTCGGCAAACATCATGAAGGACCTCTTGCAACTGATCCTTACAGAAGAGATGAAGGTTTTGACGTCTGGAAGATTGGACCATATGGACAGTCCTGAGCTCAGTCGAGAGTCCGCCGAGACTATCGCCCAATCTTCGCAGTCGTTAGATGTGCTTGCGGCTTCTCGGCCTAGGGAAAGCCCATACCCGACGCAGAGCAGCAGAAACGCTACCAACGACGGCAGGGTGTCATCCTCGATTACTGCGACGGAGGATATAACGGGTGCCAATCGGACCAGAAACGAAGGTCATGTGCCTCCACAGCATCGTCCCATAATGGGTACGGATACCTTCGATGACGCTGTAACGGCTTTACAAAGTGGTATGGATTCCTAAGACCTCTGCTTGTGTTAACGTGACCAATCTGATGTCTTGCAGTGTTTCGAGATGGAAGAATGAGATCCAATCCACCACAGCCACCTCTGCAAGGCCGAACGCAGCATCAAGACGAGTGGCAAACCTCCGACATCGCTCGCGGGTCTGTGGACTCAGCGGCATCTCCGGGATATCCAAGTTTTGGGGACATGGAACTTTCACTGGATGGCGCAACACAAATGTGGATCTGGGACAACACGTTCAATTTCTGATAGAGGGCTATTTCTTAACGAAGCCATTCTCTACAACTTAGACTGGATAGTCTCCGCCTCTTGCTTAGCCTTGTCTACCAAAACACGCCTCAAAATCTTGCCAGCAGCGCTTTTAGGCACCACGTCGACGAATCTAACGCCGCCCCTCAATTGCTTGTGAGCCGCGACTCTAGCACTCAACCATTGAACAATGCTATTTGCAGTCTCCGGTGTCGCTTCAACTCCTCGTCTTGGCACAATGTATGCCCTTGGAACCTCGGTAGCACGCGCCTTGTCGTAGACCCCAATGACTGCCACGTCGTCAATATCGTGATGGCTGAGAAGGAGCCCTTCAAGCTCAGCTGGCGCGACTTGGAAGCCCTTGTACTTGATCAACTCCTTGATACGGTCGGTGATGTAGAAGTCCCCGTTCTCGTCCTGGTGCCCAACATCTCCAGTCCTGAAGTAGCCATCTTCCGTGAGGGCATTCTTTGTCCCGGCAGGGTTGTTGAGATACCCCAGGAAGATATTGGGACCTTTCAGCCAAAGCTCGCCAGTCTGTCCAGCCGGAACTTCTTTTTCGTCGGAAGACATGTACTTGGCTACCATGTTTGGAAGCAATGGCCCTACAGAACCGATGGTGCTTTGCCATTGATCCCACATCTGGACGTGAGTTGCTGGAGAAGTCTCAGAGAGGCCGTACCCTTGCTTGACAGGCACCTTGATCCTCTGGTAAACAGTGTCGACAAGCTCCTTTGTCAATGGAGCCGCCCCAGAGCTCAACATTCGTAGTGAGCTTAGGTCGTAGTTTTCCACGATCGGATGCTTTCCGAGTAAGAGCAGGACTGGGGGGACAACAGGTGCAATGGTGATCTTCATCGTCTGCACATAGGAACAAAACTTGTCTAGCTCGAACTTTGGCATGACAACCAGTTCAAAACCAGTGTACATGGAGAGATGCATAAGACATACCAAACCTGTCTCGAAATCAGTGACTATCATCTTGAAACATGAAGTTTCGACGTACCATATATGTGATAGAAGGGGAGGAATGCCAACATCCGGTCGCCAGAATTGTTGAAACCGCCACTCCAGGTCAAGTTTTGGCCTTCAGTAGAGTTGAGCATTAGAATATTGGAGACGATGTTTGTATGCGACAGCATAACTCCTTTGGGAAGGCCAGTAGTACCACTACTGTATGCCAAAAACGAGAGGTCAGTTTTGGGGGCCTTTGAGAGTGTTCGTTGATGTCGTGAGTCCCCCTGCGTCACCCACAGCTCCTTGAAGTGCAAGAACGATTTCTTCTCGTCCTTGGCATCCCCAACTAGCACGATGCGGTCCTTTGGAATACCGGCAATCTTTGCCGCTGCGCACGCTACTTCCAGAAATTCGAACTGCGTCACCAAGACTCTGGCTTGCGAGTCTTTCAACTGGAACGCGAGCTCGTCAGCCGTGTAGGCCGGATTCGCTGGGGACACTACTCCACCCGCCCAGTGAGTTCCCCAGACGATGGAAGGAACGTCGATGCAGTTTGGGGTAAAGGTCGCCAAGACATCGCCTCGTTTCCATTGCCATATCGACTTCAACGTCTTGCCAAAGTTGATGGATGTTTTCTTCACTTGAGCAAAAGTGTACGCGCGCTGCGTCTCAGCATCTCGGAGAACAACTATTTGTCGTTAGCTAACCTTTGTTCAGGGAGGAGACAAGTAACAACTCACCTTTGCTGTCGGGGAATGGTCGATCGGTTCTCTCAAACAACAAATCCCAGATATCAATGTCAGGGATGTGGATGTCGGGAAAGCTAGATCCTGTTAGCGAGGCGGCAATTATCTGAACCTTGGAAGCGGTACTGTACCTAGATTTCGTAGGCATCTTGTCGATGTTTGATACAGAGTCAGTAGAACAATTCAGCGAGGCATACGCAGATGGCTCATCTGAGGATACCATCATCCAGAGTACCATATATACCCCCCTCAAACGCGGGGAATACCCATACCCCAGTGTCTTTACCCCAGACTTGATGGGGTCAATCCACAACACCAACCATTCATGGACCTTCATAGGACAGATTTGCTTGTTGAGGGCTTCAAGGATGCCGAGTACCGAGGCTCGTCGGTCGCCCCACTTCTTTCGACTCTGCAGACGCCGGCATTTCAGGACAACTCAACTCTTCACTCTCATGACCACTGTGCCTGAGAACCGGATTCCCTTTTATAGACGCTTAAATATCCTCCAGCCATCAATGAAGAGATATATTCACTTATCAGTGTTCGGGCGGCCCTTGTTTGAATCGCACGACTGCGTGTTCTGGTTGAGCATTGTGGTGCATGCAGTAGCGCCATGGAGACTCTGGGGTTGATGGGTATAACCTATTTCCAGCGCGCTGAATCAGGCGACTTGGCCACTAACGAAGTCCGCTAAAATCCAGTGAGAAATGTGTAGATCGGTGAATGTCATTGGGACGAGTCGTCCCAGCCACCAACAGGGGCCAGGAGTGTCCGGAATCTTCGCCTCAACGAGGTGGCATCAAGTGTCTCAACGCCCTTCTTTTGAAGGGAGGAGTGAATGAGCGCATAGAAAGAGTGGGATGAAAAGACATGCCGCCCATAAGACCGAATGGCTCAATTAATCATCGTCTGCAGAAATTCTCGCGACAATCTCAGCACCTAGTCGAAGGATGAAGCGGAAAGAACATTGATGCCAGCTTTTAACCAAGCTGCCACGCGTCAATGCTTGCACACCATAATTTACACAATTCCAGGCTCTCCCAATATACGAAATACTCAACCGGTGAGCTGAAAAAGCCTTCGGACTTTCGGGCTGCCGGGGAGCGTTTCAAATCTCCGGTGGCTTTGACCGGCCCGGTTTCGTGCAGCCACCGGCTTTTGAGAATTTGGGCCGGTGGCCGTCGTCTAGCGGCATACGGAATCCCCATGGGGTCGAGTTACAATCTCCGGTGGCATTTCTTTACGGCACATCCCAGCTGCACCAGCTCAGAAATCCCTTTTTGTGGCTGGAGGCAGTGCCCAACCATGCAAATTCCCCACGCGACATGACTCCTTGGGCTATTAAAAGATGGGCTCAGATCTACTGTCTTTCGAGGCGCCCGCCAGTCGTCAAAGGGGGATTGCCGGATTTTGTGGAGCATATACCGTTGGACTTCCTCGAGGGCCTAACAATATGCAAAGGCGATGCTTGATTATAGTGTGAAGGCGTAAGTTTGATGGTTTTAATCCTAGCGCTCAGGATCTAAAACATCCAGGGACTACGTCTTCTTCTTTCCTATATACAAGTCTAGACGGAGCCTAGTACTTCTATGGGCGAATGTAGAGGGAGGAAATGGGGAAATTAGCCGAATCGTGGGGTTCCATGGGTGGTCTACCCATCTTAATCTCGACCGTGTCCACACTGGCATCAATTCTAGATACGCTCTGTAGATTGCAAGTAGGGGATGTTCATTGTTAAAACCGCTAAAAGTACAGCCATCACAGGCTTTTGTGTAGCACAAAGAGGTCACGTAAGAGAGGAAGTTGAAAATTAATAGATGCCAGCTCGGAGTACACCGTAAACACAGTGACATTTACGAGGCGTCTCCAGCCAGCTAACTTCAAGGCCCTGGAAAATTGAAACGTTGCACCCCAACGTGGCCTAGTTTAATACGCCGCACTGCCTCCTCGCGGTCGCCGAGAACCCCGAGCATCCGTACTGCGTCGCGTCGCAGGTTTTCCACCGGAACATCCGACGGACGCCACACGAAGGGAAATCATCCGACGGACACGCACCAGAGGAAAAGGAGACGCGAGTTGCTCCGCGGAGGCTGACTTAGGGGAGGCGCTATTTCCCGCTCCCCTACTTTATGCAGCTTGCTGGATTGAAATCGCCTCATTGTGCTGCATCTTGTTCCCTGAGTGGCACATATTAAGCCTGGCAACGCCCCCGTAGCCCCGTTACATCCGGAGGTTTTGCCACACCGCTTCACCACATCAACGACGATCATCAATAGGAATATTTTATCTTAACCCGACATCTGTATTTGTTCTCATTATTGGGAAACATTACTACTCCCACATAGAATTCCCCCGACTGGGCGACCATTCTCACATTCAAAATGACGACCCAGACCCGGCGTCCCATCACCCCACACCCATACCTAGTCCCTCATGTCGGCTCACCCGCCTCAGTCCGCAACTATCTCTCCGCTTCCATTGAAGCAGGAAGGGAATATTTGAGCGGCCCCAAATTGACAGCCAATGCGCGCACACACACAAAAACCAAAGACATATCTTCACCCTTCACCCTGCCGAGAACAGAATTACCGCAGCGCAATGGCTCAAGGCGCCGAGCTGTCGCTGCCTGCCTGCGCTGCCGGGCTCGCAGGCTGCGTTGCAACAAGATGGAAGGTGCTCCATGCGCTAGATGTCGGTGGGATAACACCGAGTGCATCTTGAAAAAAGGCACTCAATCCAAGTGAGTTATTTTGTTCCCTGAAATTCCGTCACTGGACCCTCATGAAGGGGGTTTGCCTTCAAGTCCACACCACAGGCGTGATCTGGTGCAAGATAGCATGCTAATTATATCATGAATTTAAGGAATGTCGTCTCGCCTGATTCAAAGCTCACAGAGCACATAAAGGCTGAACCGGAGCCTGCTATTGTGTCCCAAACGGCCATCGAAAAGGACATCGGAATTGGTTGGCGTATGACTACCCCGTTTCCCAACACACCCTCTACTGGTAACCTCCCTGCCTTCATACAGCCTCTCTCTCCACGAATAGCTGGAGAAGACATCACCTATCTCTACGACAAAGGAGCTTTGACTCTTCCTCCCCTCCCACTACGGAATGCCCTCCTTCATGCCTACACCAACTACGTCCACCCTTACATGCCACTGTTGGACATGCACAATTTCATAGCAGTCATCAATGCTTGCGACCAGAATTTTGGCCAGACGAGCCTCTTGTTGTTCCAAGCTGTAATGTTCACCGCCGCAGCGTTTGTCGATGTCGACCATCTCTACAACGCTGGCTACTCAGACAGGAAGTCTGCGAGACAAGCTCTCTTTCAGAAGACAAAGCTACTCTACGAGTTTGACTCCGAATCAGACCGCCTCGTCGTGGTCCAGAGCCTCCTGCTGATGACATATTGGCAAAAAGGACTCGACGACAGCAAGGACATGTGGCATTGGGCAGGAATCGCCATTTCTGTGGCTCAAACCATTGGATTGCACCGAGATCCCTCTACTTTGGGAGAGTATCCTCGCCAACAGAAATTAAGACGACGGATATGGTGGTGCTGCGTCATGCGCGACCACTTGATTGCCTTGGGAATGCGCCAGCCAAGTCGGATCCAAGCTCAAGAATGCGAAGTTCCGATGCTCCAGCTATCCGATTTCGATATTGAGCTGTTGCCAAACGATATCACTATTCTTCCAGCTGAAGGTGTTTGTCTGCGAGACATCGCTGTACAGCAAGAGTTGGCGGCCCTTTGCATCGCCAAGGCCAAGCTCTGTATCTGCATTGGCAGCATGCTCGCGGCTCAGTATCCCCCTGTTGTACGACATAAGGAAATGGGCCAAAATACCGTCGAGAGCACCATGAAATTGTGCCCTAAGACGGGGTTGGAGAACTCTGAGAGCGTAATGATGTTGGACACTCAGCTATCCACTTGGGCGGAATCTTTGTCCTCGGAATGTCAGTACCAACCATTGACGACCCTTGATGCAACGAATGGGAGAGAACCCATCGCTCTTCACCGCACGTTGCTGCACATGCTATACTACACGACAATCTCAGCGCTACACAGGCCTAACCTACTTCTCCCTGAAACCCATACATCGACAGCACAAGGTCAAATGCGGGAGCTATCCCTACTACGAGTTCGAATGGCAGCCCTGAATGTGACCAAAATGGCCACCGAGCTTCATGAGCTTCGCCTCGACAAATATCTCCCAACCACCGGAGTCACCGTGATGCTCTTTGCCATGGTCGTCAACGTTCAAGATATGAAGAACTTGACCGAGGATTTGCGCGACAATGGCAAGCGCTGCTTCTACGAATGCATGCGGGTTCTAGAGAAGCTCCGATACATCTACGATTCTGCCGATTGGGCGACCGTCTTGCTAGATACAGCGATGCGCACGCTGGGCGTCCACAGCAATCCTCTTCCGGTGTCAATCCAGCAGGGCGTTACAGCATCTAAATCCTTCAACACCAGCCCAGCTGGTTCATCAGGCTCAACTGAGGACAACATCTTCACTGTCCCGCCAGCTTCAGACAATGAACCCCTTTGGTTAATCGATCCAGCTGCTCAGGATTTGACAGGATCAGAGACCGGGAGCTTGGCTTATAATGCAGGATGGACGATGCCAGACCCTTGCGCGGACGGTCAACAGTTATGCCCACAAGGCCTCGAGCACCCACAAGATTTCGAGGATATCGATTGGAGTGCTGTCTTGGAGGACATGGTGGACACCAGCAAGGATATTGAGTTGCTGGATGCCTTTAACCAGATGTGTTAGATAAGAGCATAATATAAAGTGTCAAATTCCATTCGGCAGTCCCAGACCTACATGCTTCTAAACCTTTTGTTGAGACTTTTGGCCTTCTACGGTTTCGCCCTGCTCGCCATATAACTACTGTGTTGTCAAATAGAGTTTGTACTACCGTTACCAACGCCAGCCTTTTCCAGGTTTGTAGTTGTGCATTTGCCCTTCGCCTGGCCTGACGGCTCCCGGGGTCAAGGAGATGACGCTGGAGTCCCTAACTTGGGGCTCGAGTGACCAGGCCGGCCGACCAGGCCCGGAATCTCTCTTTCTCCTATATCTTTCTAAAAAGAAAAAGGGTTAAACAATTTCAGTGCATTTATTACATTGCGAACTTCTTAAATAAAGTCTCAATTTCTTTTATCAAGAAATTGACGTAGCCTTTATCAAGAGGTTAGGGTGTCCTAGTACACACATACCCAGAGGGGGGACTAGAAGCTCAACAATAAAAAAGAAACACCAACAATAGAATCAACAATACAGAATACATACCCAGTCTATTCAAAGGTCAACAGTTTACTCAGACTAAGGTTTCTAATCCAATGCAGCAACAGCGACGTAGCCTTTATAAATAAGTAATTGAGTGAACCAACTATATAAATGAGTAGTTTATCGTATTCTCATCCCATATGTAAAGAGCGAAATCGAGCGTCTCTAAGATCTGGTGCTTCAGAGCCATCCCGTAGCCAATTCACATTAAATGCGTTGGGCTTGGGATCATAAGTTTTGTAACCAGACGGGATACCACTTTTCCAATCACTAGTTGGAAGGTGGTATTCGCCAAGGTTCGGCCATATATACCCCAAGTTTTGTCTATCCAAAACGCCCTGACGACAAAGCCAGCGACCCTGTTGGTGAACCCGTTAGTATGATGAGCAATTCAACCTTGATGTAATATATATATGAAGCAAGACGGCGCAAGTAATACCTACAAACTCATTTAACACTTTATAAAAATCTCGAGGCCTATAAACATCTTGACGTTCTTGAACCCTTCGGCCTGAACCAGGAAACCACCGCAACTTCTCATCCCAATGACAGTCAAGTGCTTTAAGCCGAGGTATGTCCCTATATTCAATCAGTCTTTAAGTAATACAGCCAAGGGCGAGGAATGAATGATGTATGATCAAATGCGAAGTGCGCAGAGAATGACTTACTTGTGCGTAGGCTGCCAATGAGCGTGGTACCCAGCGCGGCAACCAGCGCTGCGTTGAGAGTGGCAATTGGCCGGACATTTGGCGTGACAGTCATCGGGGCAATCATTTGAACAACTCAAATGGAAAGGATACGGTAGAGGCTGGTGAACGGTGTTGGTGTCAAATATGGTGACACCAGTGACACCCACGAGCCAGTCGACGGAATTATCGTTAGAAGATGGTGCAGCAAAGGTACTCTGATCCAAGGGGATGTGCAGATGCACAACAGTCATGTCGCCGGGATAATTGGTGCAATGGTTGAAATTGCGGTTCGCGTGGGGCAATGCTGTCAAAAGCGGCAGGCTGTCGTGAGAGGGTTCTGTAAAGAATACCAGCTCCAGGATGACTTGACCGTACTTGGACACACGATTGCTGTCGGAGTGTATCCAACGACAACAATAAAACTTGTTCTCAGGCTAAGACATTGACAATTATTTCTGCAACGTTGCGAGTAGGACAGACATGACCTGGCTTACCATTCTCGAAATACCCCTGAGGACAAGCATTATAGACGCAGAGTCATCGACCGATGGAGTTGAACGAGCCATGACGAGAGTGAGGCAGGGGGTAGTGTCCAGAGACACAGATGTTTCATAGATCAAAAGAAGAACCTAGTGTCTCACATAGATGGGAAGGCAAACGGGGAGGGGGCTTTATACGGATCAGTTCGGCGAGAGCCGAGAGGTGAGCAGTGGTAAGGGACATATCTGTGTGGGGTGTGAGGCCACCGATCCCCTTGGCTTGGTAGATTATGGAGTAAGCCTTGCAATCGGTACGACGTGGAGACGGTACGACGAGCGATGCGAGCCGTTCGGGCCATGTGAGACCTGCACGGCCTCTCAACGCAGCTCTGCAGCAGCTGAGAGCAGAGTGACGACTCATTGTGGACGTTGGGACATGAAATGAGACGCAAGCCTCACTCTCGCCTCTCATTCTGCTCTCACTCTCATCCCTTTCTCCTTTCTTTAGTCTCCCTCCTCTCCCGATCTAGATGTTTTTCATCCCCCGTTGCGGTTCATCGTGTCACTCGCACTCGAGCTGCTGTAACATAGAACATGCATGTTGGCTCGTGACCGCGGTCGTCGAGCCCGAAAGGAGTGCGATAGCCGACAGAGGTGTGGCAAACAACCAAACGCGTGAATCAAGTACGCTGTAAAGAGCGTGAGTCGTCGCGGTTGGGATGCTGCAGTGAGTGACTCAGAGACTCGGAGTAAGCAGTCGCACAATAATCCGACAGTGATGCTGGTGCAATTGATCATACAGTCAAAGCTACGTTTCCCGTTCTTCTCGTTGCTACCCGACTACGGAGGCCGCCGAGTCCATGGATGGGTTGCGTGTAACGATGCGGCGATGGCTGTGTTTCCGGCAAGCAAGAGTCACCGCCATGATTTGAAGGCGGAGCACTGATTCTTTGATATATCGCCGAGCATGTGATGCTGAACATCGACGTGATTCAGACGTCTTCGGCTCTCCGGCATTGCAAGTGTGTACACGTACATGCATCAGCAGAACCAAGTGCTGAATCAGTCAACTCTTTGCGGTGAGTCTTTGTCTGAATGAGCGTCGACACCAGCTGTAGCCTTGAATCAAACCCCTTTGGCCTCAACAATATACCATCATATGGTATCATCATGATTCAATGACCTGTCACAACGCCTCGACACAGATTTGTGCGCATCAGCTCCAATCAACAAGGAGAAGCATTATCCGGGCGATATCGACGACATAGACGTCACGAATTCAAGACGCTAACATGGTCCTCAGCTCACATGTATCCTCTTACCCATATCACGCCTAAACGGTACGCACCCTTTTCCCCTCCGCCTTATCCGTACATCTCCTTGCTGAATTCCCCAAATCACATCACACCATCTAACATTGCAATGTAGGGGGTTTCAAGCCCGCCGCTCGTACACCTGTAGTTGGGGCCATGACATGCCTGCTGCCTCGATCAGCTAGTCCTTTATGTAGGGACTGAAGACTGGCCACAAAAAGAGTGAGATACTTTTTGTTGGGAACTCGATGTCGCGCTTTCCTGTAGGGAAAGTGGCAGCTACGCAACGTTTACGGCAGATATTGGCTTCAAATATTATTGATACTATTCTTCGTTTTTCTTTTTACTGTTGAGCTTCTAGTCTCCCCTCTGGGTATGTGTGTACTAGGGCACCCTAACCTCTTGATTAACTTCAATACTAGTAGAGGCAGCAAGTTTGAGCTTTAGTATAACCTCGGACTACACACTGCTATGCCTGGCCTTAGTTGTTGGTGCTCGGTGAAGGCATACCCAAGATAAATCACCACGAGGGTCAGACACGTAAACTTCAACAGTGACTTTCATAAAGGTATGTACTACACGGCTTGATAAGAGCCGATTGTATATAATTAACTAGCGAAATAAACTTCCAGCACGATACTGAAAGTAAAGTTTTTTGTACAATCTCAAGAGCCATCTGGACAAAGCAGTCCATCCTACTGCCAGGATGATATACCAATTTTACCAGGATCTTTCACTCCAACTATATCACCGTCTCCTCCAGGTAAGTCCACTTCAGAAGTCTTGCTCAGACAAAGAGAGCCATTCCCTGCGCCCTGTTGCTAGCACCCAAGCCTTTGAGGTCAAAGTGCTGTACCTGGACTTTCTTCATCGCGTCGACCACTGTCACGGCCGGGTGTGTCTTGCCAACACCAGGGGCCAGGGCGTAAACATACTTTCCAGTTGCCTTGAGGTCAATCATACCAGGGTCGCCGTTAGCGCTGAGATCAATCTCGGCGATGATGGATGCGTCGTTCAGAGACATCTCAACAAGTCTGTTAACGGCCACATCGGTCACGAAGGCGGTGTTGGTCGCCGGGGAGATGGTAGCCCAGCAGGTAGCCTTCTGGCCGGCGACAGTACTCTTCCCCTTGACGCTTGCCACCCCAGCAGAGTTGAAAGAGAGCACAGCACCGCCGAATGAGGCATCGGTAACGAAGAGGTTGCTTGAACCCCGAATGGGCGACGAGCCGAAGAGCACCGCAGTGCCTGTCGGGGAAGAAAACGTGCCTTTGTGGCTGACAACGGGCCCTTTGCTGGTCGTCTTGACGGCGTAGGAAACGAGGAATCCCATCTTCTTCGTGGCCGGATCGCCCTTGACCGTTGCATATAGCGTGTTCTCGTCTTCAGAGAAGAACACCTCAGAGACAGTGTTGGTAGGTCCCATCGGTGGGGTCGTCTGCTTCAGGTCAAATGGTCGGAGAGCATCCATGGTTCCCACAGCATGCTTGGTAAACGAGCTGCATGATATTCCGGCAACTGCACCGGTAGTGCCAACACAAACAATTTTGTGCTTTCGCGATGCCGCGACGGTGTTGGGGAACTGTCCCGGGACTGCCACTGGCTTGCCAACCATCTTCAATTTCGTGGCATCATTCGAATCAATCGACAGCATGGAAACAGTATTGGAGCCGGCATTTACTGCAAACAGTTTCTGAAAACGAGTTAGTAATCTCTCCATGTGCTGAAATCTCCACTTCGCAAATGAAAATTACTTACGTGACCAGCTACAGTCAGACAGGACTGAGAAACCAGACCATCTGATAGAGGGGGCATGTGGGTTGCTCCGTCAATCGTGGTGGCACCCATTCCGCCCGTTGCCGTACAAGTACCACCGTAGAGTTTGCCGTCCATGCCAATTGGCACAGCGATGACGCTATTCGCCGGCTCATTGGACATGATATAGATCGATTTCTTGGGTTGCGGCGGGGGCTGGTACCGCGACGGTCGCGCTGCGCCCTCCTGGACGAGCAACGCCGATAAGATGAAAGAGGCAGAGACACGCATCTTGGCAGATGTAAGTATGAGTACAAAGAGGTGAGAGTTGTGCCAAATTAGGTGATGTGTGGGTGGGAGAGAGATGTGAGACAGCAATGAGAATAACAAGTAAGTTTGCCAAGGATTGAAAGATGTGGGTGAATGGTGAGTGAATGGTAGACTGAAGGTGAGAGTTGGGTGGCAGAAACTCTCCTTCGAAGCTACAAAGGGTCTTTATACTTAACAAGTCGTCTCTGTTGCTTCTCGGCATCAAGCTTCGGGTGAGTATGGTCTGCTAGTAAGCTGATTGTCGAGGGAATAATGTATAAGCCTCCATCTTGACGACCAGATTTCTGGTAATCAGAATTTCCTCTTTTGGACGCAGAGGCTTGGAAGCGATGATGTCAACACAGCCAATTACAAGGATATAAATGGGACGTGTGGATCTGTACGAACTCGCCTGTTTTCGCGCGTAATCAGAATTTCCTATTTAGGATAAGTCCCTGCTACAACGGAGGAGCCGCCAGGATTGGCGCTGGTCAAGGCCGCCCTGGCCGGCACTGTTTCATCCGCACAGATTGTTGAGCATAGCAATTTTCCCTAATGTGACCTGTTGATACGTACAAGAGCGTTTTGGTACCGAGGCTGGGTTCAAAAAGTACAATTAACTATGGCAATAGCCCCTTGGATCAGATGGGAGATGAGCTCGATTTTAGCCGTATACAGCAGGAGTATTATGTTGTGAGGCGAGACTGAGACAGCAATCGGTGTGCCTCTTGCAGACATTTGACGGTACATGCATTTTTGCGATCACTTGCTTCGCATCCTTCAGGTTTTTATTTTAACGACCTTCTCTCACGGTTCATGCTGAATGTGCCACTTGGTCTCTCTAAACGCCTATGATTGTTTCTTCTTTTCTCCCCGCACTCCAATGGCAATCCTCGGCTCAGCTCGCCCGATCAATGTGTCGATTATAAATAAGGATTCAATACCCGTCTGTTCCGGCCTTGGGTAAATGGCCAATTACACACGAGATGCGCAAAGAACAATCTCGTTCAGGCTGCTTGATAGGCCAATTCTGCAAGGAGGGCGTCTAGTCAGGTCCGGCAAGCCGGCAAGGTAATTAAGTTCTCGGTTAACGTCTAGATGACATTTGTCCCGCGCTTGAAACCTGAATACCTTCCCATTGGGTAGCTGAATGATCCGCAGCATAGTCGACTGGCACAAGCAGCTTGAAGTCTGCCCAGCCACCGGAAGTAGCCAGAACATACAGCCCCACTGGGACCTGGGATGTTCGAAACGTGAACAGAAGCAATCTACGGCGCTGAAACAGTCACTGAACCTGCGTAGACGCTTTAGGCCTAGCGAAGTCGCCACGATTTGGCATCACCATTCAAGGGGGAAGCGGCGGAGCGGGGAAACTCACAACCTAGCGCTTATGTGGTCTCATCGCCCTGGTGGCGCGGAATGTGATCCCGTGAGAATCCCCGGTTAACATTGCTCCTCGCCTTTCCCTTGCGGTTCGATCTTGATTGCCTGTGAACCGCAAACGACCGACCTTCCATCCCCTGGCTTTCCACCTCCCGCCATTTCCCGCTATATCGCGATGGCGCCTCCCATCTTCCGCATTTTCAATCCCGCAGGTAAGCTAGTGACGCCAGAGCTTCCTCATTCCCAGTGGGCCAAGTCTTCGTCGCGAAGCTTGCAACTAAACCATACGTGGCACGCCCGTTGACTGTGTGTGATATCAGCGCCGAAGGAGGATCCTGCAGAGAAGCGACGCGCTCAATTGCGACAGGCCCAGCAGTAAGAAAATCTCAATTCGCTCATCGCAATCGTATCTCGAGGTTGTAAATTTGACACTAGACCAACAGGTCGTATCGCAAACGTAAAAGCAGATATGCAAAGGGCCTTGAAGATGATCTTGCCGCCTCAAAAACGCATACGGTCCATCTGATGCTCAAGAACGAGGAGCTGAGCAATACTGTCCAAGCCCTTCTACAGATTCTTGCGCAGAATGGCATCGATATTCCAGATGACTCGTGCATCAACATTCCCGTTTACCAGGATACCAATCGCCTCCAACAAAAATCTTTCATCCTGCCGCCGGACAACATCCACACTGGTGATCATGAGGTGAGATATGACGCGAGATCGAACCGCGCTCCTCCTCAACTAGGCCGGGGCGATTACACCACCTCGGTGCAGCAGTTGGCCTCGCCCGAGTCACTCAACGACTATGAGGTCCTAGAGCCTCAGAGAGCGCCGCAACATCAGACATCGAATGGCGGTGAAGTGGATGAGTGGCCTCAATTCAGCCAAGACCTCCAAACACCGCCGAGCGCTGGCATAAGAGTCTGCGATGTGGATCAGATTACAGTTGGGATGGAATTTGTCTTGAAGTAAGTCACTGACTTTCCAACACGAGATATCCGACCGACGAGCAGGAGACCGGATCACAAGAACTCTCACTGACGGTTGCAGAATTGAAGAACCTTGCCTGGGCCATGTTCATGGCGACCCAAAACAACCGCAAGAGCCGTCTGGACATGCGTTAACCGCCACGTCGCAATTGCACTATCTCTGTCCAACACCTCGTCATATCCAAAGCCCTCCGTCATTCCAAGACACACCGGCAGAAATACTAGAACGGCTTTTAGCTCTTACCCCGGAGGTCGCCTCAGATGGAGAAATGACTCCAATCCAAGCGTGGAATAGCCTTCGAAAGCGGCCGGTTTTCGCTGGACTGCAACTCAAATCCCTGATGATTCTGGCTGAGAGGTTGCGCGACGCAGTGAGCTGTCACGGGTATGTCAACACAACACAAGACGTCTTGGGCACCTAATTATCCCATTGCAAACCTTGAATCATTTGGCTGATATGACATAGTTTTGGAGCGGTAGTCAAGCACGAGGTCTTCGAGACCATGGTATTTGAATCCGTAATGCTTAAAGGTGCGGTGTAGCCTGACTAGGTAGGTTAAATAGGTTTCGGCACACAGGAGAATGTGCAAGGTTTCGGAAAGTCTGATGTGGGTGGCATGGATAAGACATCGTGGCATGTTTCATTGTATGCCAGGGAAGAGTTCCAGTATCGAAAACACGACCATTGGGCTCAAATGCTACAATTTTTTGTGGGATAAGAGAATCGAATCACTACAGCCTAGCGGCGTCTGGGTAGGGCACCGATAAAAACCATTTACAAGCGGGGAACTTTACGTTCGATATGGAGGACAATTATGAATAGGGACATTATTTAATGCTATAGACTTGTGTTTCTGTATTTCTACTTTGCAATGACTCCGCAAGCTTCTCTCGCTATCTGTTCTATAGTTATTATCCCATGCTCCAATGACGTTCTACAGTGTACATCATGCTGTAGCCTAAAACAAGTGACTAAGAACATGGCCCCACGATCTATACGCTCAGAGAGGTTGAACGTTGGGGAAAATAATTTGCCTAGCTCTCCGTTCCAGTCACCTCTTGAGTTGCAAGCGGATGGTGCAGAAGATATCTCGAGCGGTTTCGAAGGGAGGGAAAGAGCAGGGAGCAATGGTATTATGTGGGATTCCTTCAAATGCTGGCGTGGTTGTGTTCGAGACTTTCCAACCGGCGTTTGCTGCACCGCCTTCGGATCGGTTCAAACGTCCTTGAGCCAAAATACGTCTTAATCTGTTAGGATGATGTGCTCAGGGGAGTTAACTGCTATAATTACTTTAATTAAGCGTTTTTAATGCAATATAAAATCACGGGTTGAATGAATTTAGTGTGCTAGAGTTTCTTCTCCGACTTATGTGGTTTACAGACCACGTCATGTCTAGAGATGCCACAAATTGCTGCGCCGCACAGGTTGCATCATCCCATAGTTACATCAGAGGAAGTCGCGTGACACCCCGCGTCTGACAGAAACGTCCCCGCGTTTCACGGCCAAGTTACTTCTTGCTCAGTGTCATCCCTCACATTACACCACTGTTCTAGAACAAGCCAGGCTTGGGAGCCTTGTACTGCGAGCATCGCAGACGTTATTCATCCAACAGATTCGAGCCATCTAGCAGCTCGAAACGACCACGTGCAATATCGGCACCCTGTCAGACGAAAGACATGAACACTATCTCAACGCCGCCACCGTCCGTTCTCTGGAGAATCCAGCAGGCATTGAAAGGAACGAATGCTACGCTTTTAACAAACAGCGAGGTTCCAGAGAAAGACTTGACAGGCAAGTGGATTATAATCACGGGAGCCAACAACGGTATCGGGTTCGAAGCAGCCAAGACATTTGCTAAATGGGGCGCAAACCTGATCATGGCTTGCCGTGAGCCTCCAGAATGGGAAACTCACCCATCAGTGGCCGAAAAAGAGTGCAAGACCTTGGCAGAATCGGCGGGCCACGCCTCAAGAATCGAGTGGTGGGAGCTTGACTTGACGGATCTTGGTAGCATTGACCGTTTCGCAACAAAATGGGTAGATGCAAATCGTCCGCTACATATTCTCTGCAACAATGCCGGGGTTACCGCGACGCCAGGTGCCGAGACGATCTACACCAAGGACGGATTTGAATACACGCACCAGGTAAGTGGTACGCCTCGCATCGGGGCGTCCAACCAGCACTAACAAGTCAGATCAACTTTCTGTCCCACGTCTACCTGACGTTTCGGCTGCTTCCATCCTTAGCACAAAGTTCCGAGCCAAGAGTTGTCTGTACCACATCGTGCCACCACTTTCTCGGCACATTTGACTTGGAGCATTTCAACGGCGGCCCGGGCATGCGGGGAGAGCCATACGGGAACAACAAACTGTACTACCAAGTGTGGGTAACCGAGCTCCAGAAGCGCTTGCTCCGCAGCGAGAAGCTGAAGCACATCACCGTGAATGGCATCAACCCCGGATACGTGAACTCGGGGATTTGGAACAACCCTCGGCCAGACATAAGGCAATCATTTTTGGAGGCACGCAGAATGAAATTATTCCAGTTCTTAGCACGCAAGTTGGCAATCACTCCCGAGCAAGGTAGTATCGCCATCGTCAACGCCGCTACCAGTCCCACACTTGGTCCAGATCCAGAGATTCAAGGTGTCGGAGCTCCGGGCGGAAAGGGCGGAGGGCACTATATCAATCGTATTTGGTTGGCTGAGCCGATGCCCTACTGCGCTGACGAGAACGCAAGGCGAGAGGTTTGGGAGAGAGTCGGCGAGGAACTACGTTTGGCGGAGCGAGGGCTATATGACGTGTTCGATAATTGAGAGAAGATCATTTAGTCAATGATCGCACGGGAGAGGGAATGTCAGTATATTGGTGGATTTTATCGGGCGTTGCATCAGTCTCTATCAACCCCAGTGAAATATTCCCAAAGTACCATGCCATACCATTGCCTTCAAAGCTTTCAAAATTGACTGAATCCAGAACTGACCATAGCATTATGCAGGTTCATTGATATATCTTCTCAATTTGTAGAAAATGCCTTTAGTAAGAATGTTGCGTCAATATCTGGTCCAAAACCCCCTGCTACCCTACCCTACGGCTTGTTTGTTAGTCGGGTTTCTGATAAGTGACCAGGATTCCCCGCCATCTGTTAGACTACCGGTACAAATTCCCTCCAGAGCAGATAAAGGACATGTACACGCGCTGTACTATGGATCCACTACCCCTCATCTACGCCGCTTCGTGAATCTCCACTTCGCATCATCCATCCGACCATCTCCATGCTGAACCCTGACAGAAAGCTGCCGGTATCAAAGGATCCGTCTAAGAGAAACCAAGCTCCGGGTCATCAAAAGATCTGTCTACAGGGAAACCAAGCTCAAACTCTTAGTCCTCACTCCTTGTTCACTCACGTGTCCTCCGCCTCGAAATGCCGCGGAAGAGGGCAACTGCCAAGCCACTATCCCAGCGGAGCCACCACGGCTGTCAGCGATGCCGCCTGCATAAGATCCGCTGCGATGAGGTCAAGCCAAGCTGTGGGTCCTGTACCTCTCGCGGCTATGTCGACTGTGCCTTTCTGGTCGTGCTCAAGTGGGAGGCCGACTACAGACACGTAGGCCGCGCCTTCGGGAGGACCGGAGTGTGGTCTAAGGCTGGGAGGACCATGGCCCAGCAGTCGCCGGTTATCTGTCGGTCTGGCTTAAGCCGAGTCCCTTATATTCACCAATCTGGCTTTTTGAACCTGGCTCTAAGTGACTTTGAAGACGGGAAGAAGGTAGGCGATGAGGAACACCTGTTCTCACTCACCGCTTCATCAACTCGAGGCTCGCTCAGCCCTGGCAAGGCAGCTCCTCAGAATATCACCATACGGCCAGGTCCCATACCCCGGAATCCACATGATCCTCTCTTGGAGAACTTACACCTGGCGGATCCGCCTCTTGTGTCTTACTATCTACACCGGGTGTGCGCTCTTAGTGTTCCGTCCGCCGACTACACTACCGGATCACCCTTTTCGGCCTTGCTGCTCCCCTTTGCCCTCTCATCCTCTTCTCCAGCTCTGCTGCATGCTTTGTTGGGTCTTGCTGCCTCCCATCGGGCCCGCTTCGACAGCTCATTCACTCCAACCGCCCTCAGCTTCTCAAGTTTGGCATTGCGCTCATTACGAACATTACTGGCTTCCAAGACATCCCTCGAAATCGCGGTGGACCCGGAGACCCTGGTCCTGATGATGCTTCTCTGTCAGACTGAACTCATCAAAGACGGTGACAGCCATTGGGTCATCCATCTTCGTGGCGCCCGGAACCTCATGTCCTTTCGAAGGCGGCAGCAGCAGCTTTCCTTGGCCGAATCAACACGTCAACAAGAGCATCCGTGGGAACCCGTAGTCACATTCGCCGAGCGGTTCTTTGCCTTTTGCGATGTCATGGGAAGGACAGCCTGCGGAGAGGAGCCGATCTTTGGAAACGACTTTTGGAGTATCCAGGAAAGTAAGGTGGATCTTTGGATGGGATGCTCGCCACATCTCGTCAGTATCATCAGCACCATTGCCGAGCTGAGCTGGAAGTACCACGGCCGAAGTCCATCACACGACGAGCAAGAGGAGCTTGAACGCCAACGCAACCAGCTGCAAGACCTCCTCCAGCAACCAGATCTAGGCCTGATTGCCGCTGAAGCAGGCGACGACGGCATTCTTCAGCGCTGCGTTGAGTTGAAGCGACTCACTGTGGACTTGTACCTACACGCAGCCTTGGCGAACACAACACCGGTTACATCGACCATTCGACAAAGAGTACAGAAGATTCTACGCCTCGTCTACGACTTGCTGCACCTGGGCGTAAAGTCTGGACTGGCCTGGCCACTATTCATGGCGGCTTGTCAGCTTGACCCGGAGGAAGAGCTAGAATGGACAACAGGTGAGGGCGAGCGGAAGGACGACGTTCCTACCTACGCTCGCCCATTTATCCTTTATGCTCTAGAAAAGCTTTCGGAATCTCTTTTCAACGTCGACCGGACGAGGGCAGTAATCGAGAAAGTCTGGATGAAGAGAGAGTCCTCACGTTTGTTGAGAGGCCAAAACCGCCCGCTGGTGTCGGGTGCCTTTAACGACTGGGCTCGTTTTGTGGCGCCGCTCTGTCATAATATTAGTCTGGCCTGAGAGCTGTTACTGAAGATTTACTGTTCTATTGTTCTTGGGAAGGGCTTGAAAATAAAGATGCAGGGACTGCATAAGAATGAGGCTACTCGATGTGTGCTGCATGCCGTCTTTGCGCTCTTAAACGCCTGCTGGCGATTTGAACTGTGGTTGGTGGTTTGGTTGGAGATCCATTCTCATAATGATTTCATGACATCGTGTTACATCTAGCAGATGGAAATGACTATATGTGCGAAAAGCTCTCGATATCCTTCCCATCTAACGACGGACCTTGGGTCAGGCTTACAGACTAGAGTAAAAAAGTTTCACTGCCGTAACTTCCGTTCACGACCAAGTTGCCGGACCAAACGTGCCGTTCTCAGGGAGGGCCTTGAGAGGAATGCCTTGACCGTCAACAGTGGTTCCCTGGACGTTGTTACCCCACCAACTTAGGCTAACCCCTGGGAACACCAAAGCAAAGAAGATGACGATGGCGGAGATGGCAAGGCCGGAATCAAGAGCGGCCGAGAGAACGTAGTTGTACTGTCATGCAGTGGTCAGCAACAATACTAGACTTGTGCATCAATAAAGAGAAATATTACCTTGGCCCACCAATGAGGGTACTTGCTCTTGATCCATTTATTAAAAATAAACGAAACTGCAAAGGCGGACGTGTAGTTGAGACCTGTTGCAGGGGGCACGTTGCCCGTTCCCGCAAAGAACAGCGGCCAATGCAAGTAAGCCAGGTACTTGTTATCCGGGAACCTCCTCTTGAGAAAAAACGTCACGACGGGCAGCAGCGCACCCAGCCAGAATAGATGCAGCAGCCCGGAGTAGATCTTGCCGATGCTGTACAGCCGCGCGGGACCGACGGCTCCCCATACGACGCTGGACGAGAAGTTCACTCGCCCTTGAGGACAGGTGTAGCCGTTGGCCTGGTCTGTCTCGCAGATGTCGTCGACGTGGTGGAGCATCCAGAGGACTACGGCGTTCTGCGTCAGCGAACCGACGACACACGACGTCAACTGCGCGGCGAACAGCGTCCGCCGCGGGATCTTCATGTACAGGCCCAGCTTCATGTCCGAGGCGAAGATCATGGCTTGGCTGAGGCCGGTGTAGGCGTAGAACTTGAAGATGAGCATGACGATGGGTTTGCCTGGGATGAGGTAGCCGGAGATGATCTCGCCGAGGACCGTCAGCACGTTGCTGTTGAGGTTGGCGACGGCGAACACGCTGCCGGTGGGAATGAGGTAGAACAGTGCCAGTCCGAAGGCGATCACCACGCCCCAGGCGGGCATCTGCGTGTGGTATACCTCCTGCACCATGATGGTGAGGCCGAAAACCACAGCGCTCAGAAGAGCATACCACCACCAGGGAATGTCCTTGTACCGCTCAATCATGCGGGCGTGAATGTCCTTCTTGCGGCTCGGGTTAAAGGCGCCAATAATCTCCCTCCAGTGGTTGAGGAAGATGTACGTGGGCACGCAGCTCATGACGGCGAAGGAGATGCCGTAGCTCAGAGCGAAGGTGACGGGCATGAAGATGGGGCTGTACTTGCGGTACTCGTCCACCAGGAAGTTGCCGTGCTTGTCGACGACGCGCGTGGCGTTGTAGATGCTGCCCGTGTTGTCGTACGTGTCGGCTCCGGAGAAGGGGAGGTACGCCGTGTTCCAGGTGTTGGTGTAGTACAGGATGGGCGTGACGACGGCGAAGACGATGACCCAGCCTGCAAAGACATTTGCTTGAGCCCAGAAGGGGACCACCAGCGGGGAGCCGTTGTAAGCTATTTGGGACCAGTCGAAGGTGACAGGGAGATAGGCCAGCCCGGTGGTCATGCCGAAGAGATTATTGACGATTTTGTTGTCTATCTCGGGTGTTAGTCTTGACTGTATCTGACATTCAGAATTCCCTTGGTAGTTGCTACGCCAAGAGTTGTCCAGACTTACTTGGTGCTGCCCAACAGATAAAGGCAAAAGTGCTGAGTCCCGTAAAGAGAAACCCAGGGAGCCAGTACTGCCATCATTAGCACAACCGAACATGCGGCACGTTGGGTAGAAAATCAGGAACTCACCCAAACCCAGGCGCCCACAAAGACGTATACGAAGAAACGATATCGGGAAATGTTCCACCCATCCGCACTGGGATTCGCCTTGCTGTGCAGCGTCTGGAAAAGCGCAGCGTTGGCAAGCGTCGACGGCCAAATCATGTGCGGCGGCTCCACGATGAACCTGTACGCCAGTCCGGCCAACCCGAGGCCAAAGAGCTGCATCGTCAGCGCAAGGAGGAACTGGTAGCCGATGGGCGTGTCCAGCGCGTAGAACGCCGTGGCCTTTTGCGCCTGGATGATGTCGGTGGCCCACGACGGGCCGAAGGAGAGGTTGGACATGATGGTGATGACGGCGTGCTCCTTAATGTTGAAGTAGTGGTCCGGGTTGAGCACGATGTCTCGCCCGAAGAAGCGCACTTTCATGATGGGCAGCAGATGGGCTACGGCGCGGCCGATGGGGAACGCGACGAGCTGGGCCACCAGCGACGAGATGCTGACGCTGGGGTACCGCATGGAGAAGAACTGGTTGATGCCGGTGCCGACGATGGTGAAGAGAATGCCAATGGCCCACATGCGCAGCGTGTTGACGGGCATGGACGGGTCGTCGACGTTGGGAACGTTGGCGCGGACTTCCGGGCACGGCGAGTTGTCCGAGTCAATGTCGAACTGCTCCTCAATAGTGCCAATCGCGAAGTCGATGGCCTTGTCAGGGCTCTGGAAGTCATCGAGGCCCTCCTCGTTGGCCTCTCTCGGGGGGTCGGCATGGCTGGCTTTGGACGGCGCCATCTCCAACTACCTCTGGGTGGATGAGGAAACTTGGGAGTAAGTGAGCCAACGACTGGATGAAGAGGAAGCCAGCCAGCTCGTAAATGACGGGCTCAATTGGCCATCTTCACCGTCTATTATATACACCACTTTGCTGTCTGCTTATCGTGGAAGTTGACATACGGTGAACATGTCCCCCGCATTCCCGACCAGCTCGCGTGGGCCAGAGGCGATTTGGGAGCTGGTGCGAACCTACATTTGCAGCAAGGAAGGTCCAAGACTGTCTGACAGGGATACACAATGTCAAACTTGGGAATTGTACCGCTATCTTCAGGGGGTTGCGAAATCACGCCAGCGTCATGCCACGAGGGCGCGAGGCTATTGGCCCGCGTGGGAGCGCTAGATAGACGGAGTAGCAGAGTTCGAAGCTGTCACTATCTCGACCGAGTCATGCCGGTGCGGGGTGAATACCAAGGTGGGTCAAGGTGAGGAGTAATTCGAGCAGAGGGAAGGTCCAGCACGATGGATCCGCCTTAGTTAGTCTGGATATTACCGGCTGAAAGTGGAGGCCGGATTGAGCTATCGCGAGAGTGCTGTAATCGAGTTGTGACGATATTGACACTTGTTTGTTGGTTTTAATCTTTCACTTTCCCTTATCGATGGCCTCAGGTTGTCCATCCGCTATTTTATGCTACAACACCAAGTTGGTTGGTCCCCTCCTCAGTGTCAGCCCGACATCTAACCCTCACACACTATTATCCTTAATACCACCCAACCATGGCAGCCAACCAACTTCCTTTGAGCAAAGACTCCAGCATTCTCATCATCGGCGCGTACGTACAAGCAACTTCTCAATTTCATCCAAGCCTCGCCCTTAATCCGTTCATCTAGCGGGACTTTTGGCATCAGTACTGCGTACCACCTGGCCAAACGCGGCTACTCCAATGTCACTTGCATTGACCGAAATCCATTCCCGAGCGTGGACTCTGCCGGCAATGACCTCAACAAGATCATCCGGACTGAGTATGAGGAGCCTCTGTATGTCGAGCTGGCACTGCAGGCACTCGATGCCTGGAGGAGACCTGAGTGGGAAGGTATTTTCCATGAAACAGTGCGTGTTCTCGTCACTCTCTAATTGATGCATTACTCCTTACCACCCCATTCCTGCTTTCCAACTAACCGTGTTTAATACAGGGCCGATTGGTCATTACAACAGGCAACGACCAGGCCGAGAAACATCTGCATGAATCATACGAAAATCTCTCCAAGGTAGGCCAGGCTGGGAAAATCGAGTTCGTGCAAGGCAAGGAGCAGATCTTGCGCCACGTGCCTCAGCTGCGAGGCGCGCCAGGCATTGAAAACTGGAAAGGCTCGTTCAACAGCCAAGGCGGCTGGGCCCATGCAAGGAAAGCCCTGGAGAAATGGGGAGCCGAGGCCCAGCAACTGGGAGTCAACTTTGTGTCAGGTCCGCAAGGCGCCATGACTGGGCTGCAGGTTGATGGCTCGGGGGCTCTCAGCGGGATCCGCGTTGCTTCGGGTGACCTTCTCCATGCGGATCGGTACATCTTGAGCACAGGCGCGGCGTCTCCTGAAGTTCTCCCAGAATTGGCGCAGGAGCTGTGGTCTAAATGCTGGCCGTTGGCTCACGTCGAGCTGACAGAAGATGAGCTGGCGGAGTGGAAGGGGATTCCTGTCGTCGACCATTTTGAACTGGGATTCACATTTGAGCCCGACCCCGAGACAAGTACGCGAAGCCCTACTCCAGCGACCAGAGCGTGTTAACAGATGAACAGGGTTGATGAAAATCTGCGATAATTGTCCTGGCTATCAGTACCAGGTTGGGTCTTCCACCGACGATGCTGGGGAGGTCTCGTCCTACTCGATCCCAAGGTATGCAAGCTCCAACCCAGACGATGGCATCCCAGCGGAAGCTACGTCCGCCATCAAACGCTTCATTGATGCCGTCATGCCCCAATTTTCTGGGAGACCCCTTATCGACGCGAAAGTGTGCTGGTGTACCGACTCCCCGGACAGTCACTGGCTAATAGATGCGCATCCCAAGCATCGGGATTTGCTGTTGGCAACTGGAGACTCTGGCCATGCCTTCAAAATGTTTCCAATCATTGGTGGCTTCATTGCAGATGCACTAGAGGGCCGTGCGAACGGCTTGAGGCCAGAGTGGAAGTATGGGAATAGGAAGGCTGCGCCCGCTGCTACCAGACTGGGCACTGAGGTAAAGGACTTGCGAGACGTCTCTGCCTTGTCATAGATGAGACTACGGGGAATAAAAGCGTCACTGTTGCCTTGTTCATTCTTTACCGATTGCTTCGTAATTCCTCCTCGTGTGGCTTGCCGTTTGATCTCTACTCTTTACCACCCAATACGATAAACGAACCATTTTTTACCTGAAGGATATCAAGATCCCTGTGGAGATGGTGCGAAAGCGAGTTCTCAGTTCCTCACTAACTCACAATGCTTGGGGGAGAATGAGCCAGGGGGCCGTTGCGATGACGTGAGGTTGTCATGTTTAGGCCAACTTTGCCGCATAATATTCTGAAGCCTTCCTCTCGCATTCTACACAGATCCTGGGCGTCTTTACGCACACGGCTGATTGATTCGCAGGATTAATGGGGGTCATATGACTTTAACTCCAATGCGGGAGGAGTATCCACACGCGACTAGGTTCAATGGTGCTAGGGTGGTCTGATCCGGCGTCTGATATATGGGCTTTGGGCATGCGATATATGCTCCTTGCATACATTAGGAATGAATGATCAGACAAGATGTTGTTGACACACCTACCGGCATCATCGATCAAATTATTCACATATGATAGCCACATTAGTGGACTGAAAATGCTATTGATTGAACATTGTGTAGGAGATGCCTGCTTATAAAGGTGGACAAATGAGAATCTATTCTAGTAATGATAGTGATACGAATAAGAAATACAAAGGAAAGATACAATCTACTAAACAAGTCCCCCTTGCTCTTCTCATTCTCCCTTACACAGGCCTAACTCGAACCGTACCTTTCTCTAGCCTCCCACCTCGCGTTAAACCACAACCATTCAGCTGGGTTTGTGTCTAAACCTCCCATTTGGCAATGTACCAATCTAGTTTCTGTGTCTGCGCTGGCTCATTGCCTACAGTCTTAGCCAAAGCTTTCATCTCCCGTCTTGCCTCGACGCATGCGGTTTCTGTAGCTTGAATAAGACTGTCAGGCCCTGAGCTGTACACCCAAGCTGAATTTCCGGCACCTTGAGTAGCTTCAGTTCCAGATAAGCCAGCAGCCTTCTCAGTGAGCCCAAGATGCTGCCGAAGATGGACCGATGGGTCCAGCCTGCCGTCTTCAGAGCTGACATGTGCCATGATCTTCATGTTTGAAGTTGACCTAGCAATGTCTCCAAGTTCATGCCACTCCTTGATATTGACCATATCTCGGTTTCGTACGGTCCATATGAGAGTGAACTTGGTATTCGCCTCCATAGAACGCGCCTTGAGCCACCAGAATGCGAGACTACAAGCGCCTGTAATTCCGGTGCCGCCGACCACACAAATGATGTGAGAGGCCGACTTGAATCGTACGTCACGAGGTTGGTATGGCCCTTCCACCCGAACCTTCAGCCCGGATTCTCTCCCAAAGCCGGAAAGCTTGGTCGCTAGCTTCCAGGTCCACTCTTTGTTAAGAGCTTTTCCGTTCTTGCGTTGTGCTCGTTGGAAGAGAAAGACTGGGCCGGAATCGGCTGACGCGGGGATGGCTGCGGTGAAGGCATGGTTTTGGATCCTGCTGATAGTGGGGACGATTAAGTAGTAATAGGCGAGAGGAGAACACAGTGGCGCAGCTTTCTCAATCGCTTCCAAATCAGAGTGCTGGTCGGAGGCAGTCTTTGACATGGTTGGAAGCGAAATCCTGTACCAGCCGTTACCAGCGTCCTCGCCAGTTGCCACCAGCGACGAATGCAACCCTTTAGTATCTCCTCCAAAGAGGCGCATTCCCCAATCAACAATCCACAGGAATAGACCTGGCAAAAGCAGGTAGAAATCGGTGCTGGCGTGGATGCTTGCTCCCACAAAAACGCAGATACTTGTCACAATGTGACAGTAGTAAAACACATTATAAAAGCGACGTCGTATGTATGGAAGTGCTGTGAGTGTGATGACGATCATAAAGACGATTGTGCCCGCGCCAGTATATGTAGTATATGTATACCAAGTACTTCGTTCTTCGCTTTCGGCGAGGGTCATGCCGGGGTTGCCAGTGGCGAATGCCTCCTCTTTCTCGTGGCTTCCCTCACTGCTAGGGTCGAGAGCATAGGCCTATAGCTTGGTTAACGAAATGGAGATCGCCGTTGAAATGAGAAGGTAACTTACGGCATAGGCACCGCCATGTGCCAACCCAGCGAGCAGGAATAGGTAGGCGACGAGCTTATGCGCATATAGCAAAGTGCTGTGATGCAGCTCAAACACTCGTCCCATCAAACTGTTTCGCGACACCGGAATAATCAACAAACCGAGGAGAATGTCGGCGTAATGCCCCGTCACACCGGTGATTGTGAGTGTGATTTTAGCAGAAGTCCAGTCAAGTGGATCTGTTCTCTCTCCCCAAAAGTCGAGCTGGGCTGGAAGCCAGAAGGCGGCGGTCGCAAGCGTGGCCAAGATAATCGAGATTGAAATAGTCAGGCCTCCGAAGGTTATTCGTTTGCCGAAAATAGGCAGTTTTGGTGAAATGTGACGTCCGCTTAGCGAGCGTACAGACTCGCTCGAGGCCCTCAGGAGAAGCATGCAGGTCGTGATTGCGAGCAAGCCAAAGAATGCCCCCAAATGTAGTCTTGTCTCCAGTGGGAAGTAATCCTCCGGGCACAGCGTGGCATAGCAAGGCAAGTATGTCAACCCCAAAACCAAGCCGCCAGATACAGCCAGGAATAGAAAAATAGCCGCAGCTCTAAGAGGTTCTTTCATTGCGAAGGACTGGAAAAGGGTCCAAAAATAAATGTTGTAAAATAATTTCAGTTGTCAAAGTCTTAACTGAGCAGATGTTTGTAGACGAGTGGCACTGATCCTATGTATTTTGAAGATACAGAGCAAATCTATTTAATGTTCTTGATGTAGTAAACCACTTCTTGCCAAGAAATCTCAATACGAATTTGCCAAGCTAAGCCACACACTCAGTCGAGCCGATCGCACGACAGCCTCTTGGAAGCATTAAGCTTACGTAGAAAGCATATGTTAGAAGCTTATTGAGTGGGTTTCTAATTTAGGGATCTCACTATTCAGGCGTCATTGCTTCAAGGATAAAGCTAAATTATGAACGACGGCATATGATCAGGCCGACGGAGTCCTACTTGAGACTGACTCCGCATTCATTGTAGAGGCCATCATCAGTTGAAGTGGCTATAAAATGCAAGCTATGCCTCATTCGGAAATGATCCGAAGACTGATAGTTCCTCCGGCAGGGTAAAGCTTGGGCGCAGCTTGGACGAGAGTGCGCCCTGTTCCAGATTGTAGATTCATTTAGTCGCAGGTCGAAATCCGCCAAGCTGCCACTGCCCAATCCAAAACCAGCATTTGCATTAGGTGCTCAGTCCACTCCAGTCCAGGACCATTCTAGGGGTTCTAGGCACGGGCAGTGCACTGACGTGGAACACAGACGAGAGTGTGGAGGGGATATGGGTTTTAGGGGGCCGGAGGGAATAATGTAAGCCGAGGAGCGAAAAAGACGGAGAAGAAGATGCCGAGGCGCGAGCGAGGCGTGAGAGACAGACAGGGTAGAACTTGTACTTGGCGGAGGCGGTGGAGAGCCCGCGAAGAGTAGGAAGTTGGAGGTTAGGAAGATGGGCGCGTTTATCAGTAGGTCAGGGGAAAGTACAGAGGGCTTTCGAAATTGAATAGACCATACAAAAGTGATACCGTACTATCGCTCCAGTGGTCATATTTCTTTTATTAAGTACAGGCACTGGGTAATGGGACTGCGTCAACTGTTGGAGCAAGAATCAAGCATTGCATTATCGTACAGCGTTTTACAACCTTTCTTCCAGCAACGGTTCAAAAGGCAAGACCAGAACAAAATACACTAAATTACATACTCGACACACTAAAACTTCTCTTCGTCGATATCGTAAGCAAGAGGCTGCTGACCGAACCCAAATTTCTCCAACCCTGCCATTTTGTAAACCCACAGACCTCCAGAAATTGCCAGCTCGGTGGCCCAGAGCTTCAAAGGCGTCTTCTTTTGACGCACCGTGCCATTCTGCTCTGCCGTCTTGAGCATCTTCTCCGTCCTGGCCTTTCGCTTCTCCTCGTACGCCTTTAACCCAACGTCGATCTGGTCACAGCCGCTTTCGAGCAGTTTCGAAAAGAGGAACACGTCCTCGAGCGCCATGGAAATGCCCTGGCTGGCGTGCGGGGGCATAGCGTGGGCTGCATCTCCAATGATGAGGCAGCGTCCCTTGGACCAGGGACGCCCAAGAGGGACCTTGTAAATGGGGTAGAAGTGGATGGCCTCTGTTTTGTGGAGGACCTCGCGTAGGAAATCCATCCAGTCACTGTCGTCGTCGCCGAGTAGGTGCAGCAAGTTGCTCTTTAGGTTGTCGATTTCCTTCTTGCTCTGCTCTGCCCAACCCTCACGAACGTCGCCAGTCGTTGGCATTGGAATTTCTCTAGAGAAGAACCAGTAAAGTAGATCTCGAGCGGGGGTAACAGGTGAGATCCCGAACAGGCCATCAGACGTCAGTGTCATGTTGAGGTTATCCAATGACGGGGCGGAAGCTGGGAAGTCGGTGACCGGAATGAGGGAGTACATGTTTGAGATGCCCGAATATTCCGGAACACATTCGGGGTCAACGTAGAGCTTTCGCACAGCGGAGTGAATTCCGTCGCAGCCAAGAAGGAAATCGGCAGTATCATGAGTGCCGTCAGAGAAAGACGCGGTAACAATGGCATCCATTTCCTCAATGCCGACAAGACGCTTGCCGTAGAGAACCGGAATACCAGCTTTCTCCACGGCATCAAGCAGGACGTCCATGACATCAGTTCTTCTGATTCTCACGTATCCGAAGCCGGTTTGCTCCTTGCTCCAGGATACCATGGACATCTCGCCCATGGTCTTTCCATTTACAGAATGGAGAACAAGGTTGCATGTCTCAGTGCCCTTGGCAAGAAACCCATCGTGAATCCCGAGACGGTTCAATAGTCGAAGACCATTGGAGGGAATGCCAATCGCTCCGCCAATGGTGGTGGGTTCGGTGCGGATTTCGTAAATAACTGGCGATATTCCATGGCTCTGCTTGAGCCGCAGAGCTGCGAGTAACCCGGCCGGGCCACCTCCGATAATAATGACCTACTCAGGTCAGCACAGAACAAATGAAAAAGGGGCGGAACATATTACCTTCTTAATGTCGTTCATTTTGTCAAGTCGCTCGAGATAACACCTACAATGAATGCCAAGGACGGCTTGATTTGCTTGGCCGCAGTCGCTGCATTTATTGGCATTCAATTAGTGAAGTGAACGAGTCTTTGTCAGCGGCCCCCGGAGCTCATCGCCGACATTGGAATTGCCGTCGCGAGCGCGAAGTGGCTTTTCGCAAGTACATCTTGGCGCAAGGCCAAGCTACGGACCGGAGTTTCACTCTATTCTCCGGTCCGATGCTACTACGTCAGCTGCTGAGGCGGCGCCGTCTCATTTCGTACGACGGCGCGTTTCACTCGGATGCGGGAACTTGGTCGTATTTCCAGCGGACTTTTCAGGCCGTGGTTTTCGACCGGCGTGAAATGACCAAAAAGACTGAAGAATAACCCGAAGCACTCTGACAGACAAGCAATCGACGAGTTGATGGCGATGATGTTTAAGATTGCGTGTATCATATTTTGTACCCTAGGGTGGCTCATTGAAGCTCCCGCTGTCCCAGGACTGGACACTATCTCCAATCTCAAATGCATTCCCAAATTCAAAGACATTCCCGAATTCAAAGATATTGCCCAGTTCATAATTATTCCCAAATTCAAGGTTGTGAGTTGGTGGACATGCTTCGCCAGTACCTGCCACCACAACAGATGGCGAATTGGTTGAGACTGACAATTTGCTAGGTCCAATCATGGCAAATTTTGGAGGTACGAGAGAAAGGAAAGTCAGCCACTTCTGATGCAGTGGGCCGTTGAACTGATCCGTGACCTGCTTGATATCTTCAGGCTGTAAAGGCTCGACGATTTTGTGTACCAGCGCATCGTAACAGTCTATGAATCAAATAGTCAGAAATCGGAGGTCTCGCTCATTGTTTGAGAGAAGATAACCACGTACCAAGGAGAAATTGAGGTAGAGTCCAGTGTCTGGCGTAGTTATGTAGAAAAAGTCTGACGATATTCTTTCGCCTGACAACTTGTTCGCGCAGCTGTGGCCTGGACACGCCACTGGATAGTCCATGCAAATGCAACAGCATGAGAAGAGATAGGCAGATGAAGCACACGGCTGGGTCGATGGATGGGGGACACGGCGAATCCCACTGTTGGATAACCTCGACCATGCGGTAGCAAACCTCGAGATTTTCCTGCCATCGAGCATCCCACTCAGATGGGTTGAGAGAATGACACGGAAGACGGATGATGAGACGTGCGCTGTGGACTTTCAGCAACGTTAGCAGCCGCCAATGGAAGTGGGCATCTGATTCTCCGTGAAGGATGTCACGCGTCTGCCGCATATAGTTGGTTGGCAACGCCAGCTGCACGGCGCTCAAATGGTCTTCCAACGCCGACATCCGCTCCCCAAGCGAGGTACATGGGTTTTGGCCATACAAGCGGTGCGTGGTTACGACTTCTTTGAGCAGGATGCTGACAACCAGATGAAGGCTGGAAGCCTTGTCGCCTTCGGATCGCGAGATGTCCTGGACAAGCGTCCACAAACCTGCCGCATCTGGCGGTAGGAAAAGCTTTTGCGGTGTGAGGTTCTGGTTAGGATCGAGCTGCGGTGTGCTTCCCACGAGCGCTGTCCGTATGCTCTGCGTCTCAACTTGGTGTGGTGTTGCCGTCGAGAAGCTGGCGTAGCAGTCCAGAATATACACGCACCACCAGATATGGCGCCAATCTTCCAACATCGGCTCGCTCATCTTGTCCCAACCGAACGAAACTCGGTTTTGGACACTGTCGATCTGGTGCAGTCCACATTGGTACGCCTTCTGGGTTAGAACGGCAATGCGAATTGCCTCAGCCTTCCCCGGGGTCTGGTGAAAACAATACCACGCGAGAAGACAGGCTGTGCGCCATTGATTGAGGGCGAGCGGTTCGACGACACTATCCACATCGACCGTCGTAGAGTCAGCCAAGCTCGATAGCGCCGCATGTACATCCACATTGCCGCACCAGAAGTCTGTCTCCATGGCTTTTGTAGACAGCGCGTATATGACAGACGGCAAGGGATCAACTATCGCGCCATTCTCGACCTGCTCCAAGAGTGTTCCCTGCCGGAATAAAGGAAAAACAGCGTTTATAGTGCAGTCAAAACGCTGACCCCTAGACTTGGCATTAGTTTCGTTTACGGCCTCCTTTCGATTCATGACTGACAATTCAAAGACCTGGCTCGGGAAAAGGACTGAACAGTATAATGCTAGTGTCTCTGTGGCATCAAATGAGAGATGCGGTGTGATGGGCTGGGTCTGGTCGGGAGAAGTAGACGGTTGATCTGCTCCCGGCGGCGTAAAATTCGGCGTCGCTTTGTCAGTGATTTGACGAGCTGTCGTGTGGTCTATGTCAGAGTCAATAAACGAAGTCATCTCGTCTTCGAGCCAACGCACCATCTTCAGGGGTCTGTTGCAGCTTCCGAGAAACTTTCACAGTTCTACGTGAGCCTTTGGTAGGCCCTGGTCTCTTCCGCACGTGCGAATAAGTGCAAGGTTCTCCAGCATCGCTGCAGTTTAAGCAGCTTGGTTGCGTCAAGTCGCCTACATACGTTCACCGCCAGCGATCAGTAAAAGCGCCGGCGTCCTCTGTCGCATCCGAGCACCTACACTTGATCTTTTTCCTAGCTCAAGTCAGTAGAGGGAATATATGGGGACGGTGAGCCAATGCTTACAAGATACAACGGTCACACACCCGATTCAGTTGAGCAGGTCGGTCGGAGTGGGCCACGCTCGATGCCCATCGGATTGGACCGCCGGGGTTTGGTGGAGACGGCTTCGCCCCGGACATGGTGGAGGAGGTGTGATGGATGGTCTTTCAGGCTGGGAACGGCTAACGGCAGGTCTGCAGCTGCGTAACGAGGTGTAGAGTGTTGACTAGTCAATCCTGCCACAGTCGGTGTGATGCTCTCGGGATGCTTGATCAAGCTTCTGATTCGGACTGCCAACAAGTCAGCATTCCAGAGTCGACGGTCGACAGAGCACGAGACGAGAGTGGGCGAGCAAGGGAAGCCGAGTTTAAATTCAGGGGCGAAAACACAGAGCGCACCAAATGGCTTGTGCAATTCGAAACGCGTCATTGGGCTGTGCGTCTGCGTCTGCGCCGTGCTGACATTCGAATTCCGGCTGCTCCGCCGACTCCAATGAAGCCGCGGATCGACGGATCCACTACCGGTGAATTAGTACTACTACCGGTATTTAGACATACCTTAGTACAGTACTACTCAGACACGCGTCCAGCCTCGTTAAGAATAGCAAAGTGTGGAGATTGAAGAGCTATATAGACCGGCTCGAGTGCTTGAGGCTATGTAAGATGGAGCAACCATCATGAGATGACAGTTTTGTATCGATACATGAACATCTACGGACACCGAGGCAGTTTCAGCCAGATTCACTACCAAACCAACTGCCAAGCTGGCTACCCTATACCTCTAGTGAAATCGGTCTCCGCGGGGTGGCGGATACCTATCCCTTCATTAGGCGGCGAGACGGAACTAGGTAACGACGAGGGGTCAGTAAGGATTGTAAAAGCAGGGGAGATATCCAGAGGTGTCAGGAAATGAGGAGTTTTAAGTATTTGGTAAGGGTCTGTTATGTTTTCTCAATCTTTGCATGAGCTTTGCCAAGCAAATGCGCCAAAAGACGGCATAGGGCAGATGCGGACGCAAAGGAAAGCCACGAACATGTCGCTCTGTTGCAGGTATCGGTACAGAAATATACTTTTTCCCATATATCTTTATGCTCTGTTTTCTTGCTGAAAAATTCTGGATTATTCCGTACAACTTGAACAACCCCATCGTCCGGCGCCCTGAGATGCTCATGGAGTGGCAGATAGCATACACCGTAAATGTATCATTTCGTGGCGCTGTTCTCGGACGAATCAAAGCGTTTGATATGAATGTCTGTCCGTGTTCATCTTAGTGTATCTGCATATATTGAGAGCTTTTCAGACATTTAATGCGGAGGCGTATAGTGCCCGAGGAGGATTTGCGTGCTACTATATAAAGACGATTGTCTGGCAAGGGTCACCGCTGCTCACACAGGTATCAGAGAGACTGCTCGTCCTGCTGCTGCCGTTGAACTCATTTTGAAATGGTAGCCTTGGCCTCAACCATCAAAAGCTTGGAGCTGAATCCAGCTCGAAAAGTAAACTTTCCATCGGGAATTACCCACCTCTTTTCAGTCGCAGCCCAGAAGCTCAAATCCCTTCTCATAAGTTCAAACGATACCTTCTTCTTTTCCCCACGCTTAAGATGCACTTTCTCGAAGCCCCTAAGCACTTTGACAGGCGTGTTTTCAGGAGTGGTGTCCTTGGGGAAGGAGACATATAGTTGAGGCACAGCGTAGCCTGCAGAGCTTCCCACGTTGCTTATCTCGACTGTAACATTTGCGACAGTCGCCCAAAGATCTTTAAGTCCTCCAGGAGCAATACCCTTGGATTTATCTGCGAGACTGGATACCCCAGACTTGACCTTGATCTGAAGATCACGCCCCATCTGGAACTTTGTGTAAGAAAGCCCGAACCCGAACTCATACGCCGGGTCGATACCTTCAGCATCGAAGTGCCGGTAATCGATCATCTGCCCCTCGTTGAAATCTGCATTCCATGCATCGGGACTGATGTCTGAAGACGTCAGGTTGACTATAGCTGGGCCGTAGTCTGACTGGTTCTTGGGAATCGAATATGGGAGACGGCCCGATGGCTCAACGTCGCCCCAGAGAAGATCGACGATAGAATTGCCAGACTGCTCTCCTGGGTAGTGGGCCAACAAGATGGCTGTGACATTCTCGTTGTCCGCCCATGGCATCGAAATAACCCCAGGGGCGTGTACGACGACAATCGTGTTTGTACATATAGATGCTGTACTCTCCACAACTGCCGTGGCGTTCCACTCGAGGTCAATTGACTGCCTGTCATGACCTTCTCCAGCGTATGCCTTGAGGAAGACAAGACAGACTTCAGGAGTCGGATAAATCGTCCTGAATCGGCCATCCATTATCTCGTTGTTGTCAAGGAGGACCTGCACCCGACCGCCGAGGGCATCGACACGCTTCTGAATAGCCTCCAGAGGTGTCACAAGCTTCGTATGTCGAACGGTTCCTGACCCGCCGCCAATATCGACCGTGCCCATCTCAAAGCCTTCTGTTTGGCTACCGAGGAAGACCGAGCCAATAGTCGGATACGAAGCGTCGTTTCCGAAAACGCCGAATTGCTTCTCCCCTGTCAAGGGCAGAGTTCCGTTCAGATTCTTAAGCAGGACTGTTCCCGCAGCGCCAACTTCGCGGATCAGCTTCGCGTGGTCACGGCGAACATCGCGGGCGGGGACTTCTGGGTAGTACGCGGCAAGGCTGGAACCATGGCCGTACTGGTAGGTCAACATGGCAGCCCCGTTGGCAGGATCCAAGGAAGGAAAGTTCTTGTCTTGGCGCAAAGCGAAATATGGTGTGAGAACTCTTTCAGCCATGTTGCTGAGGCGGGCTTTCGATACAGTGCCGTTGTTGACGGCCTCGAGAAGCAACTCGCCAAAATACGCTGGACCCGCGAGCGCGCTCACATTGCCTGGCATTTCAACATCCAGCCCAGCATTGGCAAAGTCCGTCGTTCCATGGGTGGCGTACCAGTCAGATACGACATATCCTGGAAACGCCAGCTCGTCCTTCAGGATCGACAGCGTCTCCGGGTTAGCGCAGGAGTAGGTTCCGTTGACGCGATTATAGGAGCACATAACAGTTGCCGTCCCCGCCTGGACGGCATTTGCAAAGGGCCACAGATATAGTTCGTGGAGTGTGCGATCGTCAATGTTGGCAGAAATGGCTTCTATGACAGTTCCGTCATCCTGGGTGGTTTGAGTTCGCTGGGTTTCTTGTTCGTTTCCAATGTAGTGTTTGGAGCATGCCTGAACACTGACGGACTGGATACCAGATACTGAAGCAGCCATGGCAATGCCTGCGAGGTATGGATCCGGACCAAAGCTTTCCCAGTTTCTTCCTCCCAGCGCATGGCGACCTATTGGCCCCGACGAAGGTCTGTGTAATGGTTAATTGATGTTGTCAAGTTGCAACACGAATTCCAGGTATAACTTGCCCTAGATGAACGTGAGAGCCTTTGTCTCTGAACTCGGTTCCAATGGCGACAGCGCGCTGGTACATGAGTTGTCTGTCCCAAGTCGCTGCCACAGTGATTCCAGACGGGAACACGCTAACGCCATCTGAGCGAGCATAACCACTCGGCCCATCTGAGAAGCATATCCCCTCGAAACCAAGGCGTTCAATAGCTCCAATTGCCCCGACGCAAGCCAGGCTTTTGCTAAGGTAGCCTCCGGAGACGAGGCCGACCTTCTCGGACGTGTCAAGTTGGGACACAAAACGGCTGGCCTTTTCAGATGCCGCCTTCCAGGCTGTATCAAAACAAGTCAGAAGCTGCTTCGTGCGTAAACTGTCTAGGTGGGGACTTACAAAGCGGCGATCCCGGGGACGATGCAGCTGCTGAGTCTAGCTGCAACAGCACAGCGGTGGCCACGAGGGCCCAAGTGTCACGAAAACGCATGGGAGAGAAGTAGTTGGGACAAGTCGAGTATAGGATGGAGGATAATGTTTCCTTCTTTTCTTCAAGACTCGACGGCTCTTAGACAGATATTTAAACTACGGATCACGAACTATCGTTATGGGGTACCCGAGGCAATGGGTCTGCTGCCGCCATACTCCATCATTCACCTCTGGAGCCGGTAGCGAAATATGGGGTAAAGAACGGGCCGAATAGAATAGACCGGAACCCTAGTCTAACTGGGACCGGGGAATGCGCACGCTAAGGTGTGTCTCCAGTTGGCACTTGACAGCGAACAAACTGGGGAAGAGACTGGCTGAATCGATCCCCGCTGAATACGTCGTATTCACGTATTAATGCGTATTCGCGTCCCCCTGCGTTCTCGTAGCCTGGGTTCTACCAAACTTGAGCCGGTGAGACGTGGATGCAACTGATCCACAGGCAATCCGAGCCTCTCTCGTAGCCGATACGTGAATGCGATGGACACAGCCTTGATCAGATCCACCAACCGGCCGACAAAATGGCCCAGTACTCATGCATTGAATAATCTCAAGGGAGGTCAATTTGAGACAACTCAGAGGCAGCCGTGCAGGACAAAATGAAGATATAAATTATCTTTTCTCAGGTGTCTCGCTCTCATCCATCCGGTTTCCCTATACTCTCTTCGATACGCTCTTTTCTACAGCCGACTCTGGTATTTTTCCATCGATTTGACAAACAAGTCGCCATGTCTTCAGATTCCGACGCGAGTGCCGACACCGGGTTCAAATTATATCACTATGACCCTTCCGTTGCCGGGGCGGTTATTTTCGCTCTTTTCTTTGGCGCCGCCTCGTTCCGTCATATCCAGCTCATCATCAAGACGAGGACTTGGTCTTTCATCCCCTTCTTCGTAGGATGCCTATGTAAGATTGCTAGAGACTGGTGCTTTTGACGTTCTTGCTCGCCTTTTGCTGACGCTGTTCTTGGCTCAAGTCGAAACCATCGGATACGCCGCGCGCGCGTACTCCGCCAAACAAACTCCCGACTGGAGCCTGGTTCCGTACATCATTCAGAGCATGTTGATCCTTCTCGGTCCGGCCTTTTTCGCCGCATCCATCTATATGGTCCTCGGTCGTCTTATTCGAAACCTCGATGGGCAAGATTATTCTTTAATCCGGGTAAATTGGCTCACGAAGTTCTTCCTCCTGGGAGATATTCTGTCATTATTTGGACAATCTGGAGGTATGTCACCACTTGATGCCAGGAAGAATATTTCCAGATGCATCTCAAATCGCCAATAGTTTAATCGTCTATATCGGGAACCACTAGATGATCTGACAAACTCATAGGTGGCGGTTTACTCGCAATGGCCGACTCCGAATCATCCATTAACACCGGTAACAATGTCATCCTGCTTGGCCTGGCTATCCAACTCATCTTTTTTGGCTTTTTCATTATTGTCACTGCTGTATTCCACGTCAGAATCTCGAGACGCCCGACTATAAAATCACAGACCACCAGCAGCCCATGGAGGAAGTTCATCTTGGTGCTCTATTTCGCCAGCCTGCTTATCAGCGTGCGTTCCGTATTCCGCATGATAGAGTATGCGCAGGGGAACAACGGCAGCTTGATGCAGAAGGAGGTCTATTCCTACGTCTTGGATGCCCTGCTGATGCTTGCCGTTACGGCAGTGTTCGCCGTGTTCCATCCAAGCACTATTCTTGTGGAACATAAGATTTTAGATAGCGGTGTGGATTTTGAGGGAGTCCCCGACAGTTACCCTATGGCACCAGGACGTGGCGGCTACATGAGGAGTTGATTAAAATATCGGCGGCTCGGGGCAGAAGGTTAGAGGCTCTCAGTGATGGGTCAACAGGGCAACATTTTGGTAGATTGAATGCATTGGCTGCAATTAGAGTGTTCATATTTGGTATATGAGATTTCCTACAATATCGATTCATTTGTTACTAAACCACGTATCTCAAGTGAATGCGGGTTCTAACAGCTTATGACTTTGACTATAACGTACAAGAGACCAAGATAACAAGTAGCTCCACGTCACAGAAATCACAGCGTTGCATACTACACACCGCCTGCTTTCTTATCCTCTAGTAGCCATAACTCCATGAAGAGGTGGCGCGAATATTTTCGTCTACTCTCTCCCGCATTTGCTTCACCTGTTGTTGACGATTAGTCAGTACGAGACCGTGGATTGAGGTCTGGAAACTGCGCCGGTAACACCAAAGGATCGCAATGCGAAAACTCCCAGTTTACAGAGTGATGTCAATAATTCCAATTAACTTTGCTGCTTGGCATCTCTAATGGCTGCTATTTCACCGCCGATACGCGTATGCAATTAGACTTGCCAGACGTGATACGATCACCCACAGGTGAGTTTCGTCTGAGCGCTGTACGACAGACACGAACAAATGGATTGGGTGGAGCTTGTAATTCAGGCCGACAATATTGGTTTAAACCGCGTATTCGGTACCTTGGCAAGATTTTCTGCCGATCTGCCGGCTTTGGCCCTACCCCTTAACTAGGTTGCCATATATTTTCGAATACATGGCCAAGTATATAATACCCCTTCAAGCCTCGTAGTAAGATTTCAACTACACCAACAATCCGTCATGTGCAAACCAGCCTTCCTTGCGAGCTCGCTACTTTTTGGCTCTACCTACGGAGCTGTTTCTTGCAAGACCACTCCTTTCGACCCGACCTGGCCAAGCACTGAGTAATGGAATGCTTTGAACCAATCGGTCGGAGGTGAGTTGATCAAGACTCGACCGGTAGCATCATCATGCCTTGACGATAACCCCTTTGACTCGACTGTCAGCTGCGACACGGTGCAGGAAAACTGGTTCCACTCTGCTTTTCATGCCAGGCTCCCTGAGTCAATCGATTATTCCTACTGGGCCAACAGCTCCTGCGTGCCTCCAAACGACTACGCTTACAGCGAGCAGACATGTGAGATTGGTGGTCTGCCGCAGTACATCCTCAATGCGTCCACGGCGGAGACTATAGCAACAACAACGGCGTGGGCGAGCTCGCGGAACATCCGGCTCGTCATCAAAGGAACCGGACATGATCTCAACGGCAGGTGAGTGGATATGCTAGCCAGCCTAAATTCCTGGGGCAAAAGGTTGACGTGTTTAAAGGTCGAGCGGGGCATACGCGTTGTCAATTTGGACCCACCAGCTCAAGGAGATCGAGTTCGATGCACAATGGGCCCGTCCTCTCGGTAATGGAACAGAGCACGCAGCAATCATTGGGAGCGGTAGCAACTGGGGTGAAGTCCTCCAGGCTGCAGTTGCAATTGGTAGGACTGTGATAAGTGGACAGGACTCAACAGTTGGCCTCGGGGGCTTCATCGGGGGCGGTGGCCACGGTCCTCTTTCGAGTCACTACGGCCTCGCCGCCGACCAAGTCTTGCAGGCTACCGTTGTCACCACAGAGGGACAGGTCCTGGTAGCCAACGAGGCCCAGAACCAAGACTTGCTATGGGCCATCAGAGGCGGTGGGCCGGGTGTATTTGGCGTCGTAACCGAGTACGTGCTGCGTACATACCCTGTCCCCAGAAACGTTGTCATGAGCACCTTGTCTATTTCAATAATGGACAACTCGACGGAAGCTGCAAATGCATCTTGGGACGCTTTGGCATTATTCTACCGGTCTCTGCCGGATCTGATGGACCTTGGCATGACAGGGAACGGTAGGGCAACGACGGTCAACATGCCGCGGTCCGGCGAGGCCTTCGAGCGGGGAGTCGAGCTGTCGATGACCTTCTTTGCCTTCAACATCACTGCGGCTGCCTTTAAGTCGCTTCTGGAGCCCCTAAACCAAGAGATTCTTTCAGATGGGAGGAATCAGTCGTTGTCGGTCCAGCTTTCGGACCCAACCACCTTCTCCAGTTATATGTCCTTTTTCGCCGACCTGAACTCGTCTCCCAGTCGTGGAGGAGACATTAGCTTGGTTTCGAGCCGCTTGCTTGGTCGCCGGGAGCTGTCCTTCATCGAATTTCCCAGCTTGCGATCATACCTTCAAAAGATCACGCGGTCGCAGGTAGAAGGACGGACTTCTATGTTGGTCTTTGGCCTCCAAGGCGGACTTGGGCCTAAGGGAGTCGAGCCCGCCATGCGAGGCGCCTTAAACCCAGCCTGGAGGGAGGCCTACGTGCACCTCATCAGTACCGGAGCCAATATAAACATGACGGATTCTGCGCCGCACGACGCTTTGGCTGTTGCAGCTACATGGGTAGAGGAGAACAAGGAGGCTGTGTGGCGCGAGTGGGCGCCGAAGTCTGGCTCTTACATCGACGAGGCCAATCCTTTCAACGGAAACTTCCAATACGACTATTTCGGAGGAAATTACGATCGCTTGGTCCGTATCAAGGAGAAGTACGACCCCACTGCTAGCCTGTTTGCACTCTCCGGTGTGGGCAGTCACTTGTGGGATTACAACCTGAACAGCGGAAAACTCTGTCGAAAGTAGTGGAGTCTATTCACCTTGCATATCATGTGGAAATTTTGGGGCAGTGGAAGTAGACTATGCGCTGTAAGGGTGCTGGGGATGAATGGGTAGTATCTTTGGGCCCATACAGTTTTAACATTCTGACCGATAGCTAGCCTGGTTAGTGCTTGAAGTGGTGGTGCTACTTCTTATATAGAGATCACGCTTTTTTTTCTTTCTTAAAATAGACAAACCCTTTTATCTTGGCTCTGTTTCCATGGCCAAGGTGTCACAACAGCTCATGTCGTTGTACCGTACCTATCGACGGTAAATTGACGCGGAATCCTTCCCCCACTTATTGCCTTCGGGCTTTTGTATAACCAATGATTTAGGAAATCTAAACCTCATACAGCTTAGCTTTTGCCCATAAAAACCGCGTCAGTTTACCGAGTCGATACTTTGTTCTATCGAGGTGCATGCAAAAGCACTGTACCTAGGATTCCACAATGTCATATGTGCATCCTTGATCTGTAAATCCTTCCTAACTTCCTCTTTCCATTACATGTTGCTGCGGACGACGTCCTCCTCTGTCGGGTGGGTTTGGTCTTCACTAAGTCATCTCTCATCAGCAGAGCGCGCTACAATGTTCGAGTCAGGGATGATATGTGCCTCTACATTCAAGACTTCGCCACTAGTTGAAGTCAACATCGGAATTTGTCTTTCGTCCAAGCTACCATGAATTAAGATGTGGATGGTCGAAGGGCACCCTGTCTATTCAGGGGCTAACCTCAAGGCAGGTCTAGATTATGCAACATTGATCAGCCTTTCGGCTGTGAAAAGCTAGCGGTGAGATCAAGGAGGCTGCTGTAAGGGGCGAGCGCGGATCGCCGCTAGTTGGCACAGCCCGGAAGCGCGAAGGTTGGCTAGCGTAGCAGAATACTTGAATACGACGTATCCGTACCACGTATCAGCTAAGGTATGTTACATGTATCAAGATCGTCACCCCCAGAAATAAATATAGACTTGCGAAGTGGAAACGACTGGTGCAAATATAAAGCCACTTGGCACAAAGGACGCGTAGGTAATCTTAAAGAACCCTAGAACACTAGATAGGCTATTTGGCATCTTGAATTCGGTGTCTTTCTCCATTTCATTGCATGAGGAATCACGATTCTTTACCTCAACTCCCACCCCAGTCAGTCTGGCCATCTTCTACCAGATCTTTGCTTGCGATTGACACGCCAACCCCTCGACATCCGATTTTAATGTCTGTCCCAGACATGGCCGACAACAAAGCTGTTGATCTCGACTTCGTTGTGCCAGGAGACTTGCTCACCAAGCAGCCTGCAGTTAAAGGTTTGGGAACTCCAAGAATCACGACTCCATCACGCGCTTAGGGTTATTTGTATCTAAACGAAGTCATGAACAGATGATGGACGCCTCGATGTCGACCTGGATTCGCGCGTCGTCAAGTCTCTCTCGCTTTTCCTTCCAAACCTCAAGGGCATCCCAACACAAGATTACGAAGACGACTCCGAAGCGCCGCCCTACGAATATATAACCCCCCGAAATCCCGACTCGGAGCCGTTTCGAATCAAGCTCAACATCGTCATTCAGGTGGTCGGCAGTCGTGGCGACGTCCAACCATTCATCGCACTCGGCACGGAACTTCAAAAGCATGGACATCGAGTGCGGTTGGCGACGCACAATGTTTTCGACTCTTTTGTCCGCACGGCTGGACTAGAGTTCTTTCCTATTGGCGGCGACCCGGCCGAGTTGATGGCATATATGGTGCGCAATCCTGGATTAATCCCTAGTATGCAGAGTCTACGAGATGGCGATATCCAGAAGAAACGGAAAATGATGTCAGAAATGCTCAAAGGCTTCTGGCGATCCTGCATCGAATCTGATCCGATATCATCAGCCCCCTTCGTTGCGGATGCAATTATCGCTAACCCTCCGAGTTTTGCTCATCTGCACTGCGCGCAAGCTCTTGGCATACCCGTTCACCTGATGTTTACAATGCCGTGGACGAGCACCAGGGCGTTTCCCCATCCGTTGGCGAATATTAAGATTGGCAAAGGCTCTGGGACTGAACCTCTGACTGCCAATTATATATCCTACGCGGTTGTTGAATTTCTGACTTGGCAAGGGTACGTCACATGCATCCCCTTTGGAAATGCCAGGGTGAATAACTGATGTATTAATGATAGCCTCGGCGATATAATCAACGAGTGGAGGGAGGATATTGATTTAGAGCCGGTGGCCTTCTCAGAAGGGCCACGTCTTGCGGAAACATTACGGGTCCCCTTCACCTATTGCTGGTCTCCTGCACTGGTGCCCAAGCCAGCAGATTGGGGATCACATATTGGTAAGTCCCAGAATCAATCCAGGAACTTCATCACTTCTAACTAGAGGAGATGTTTGCGGATTCTTCTTTCGCGAGCCACCCAACTATACACCTCCGACCGATCTCGACGAATTCCTTCAACGCGGCCCACCGCCTGTCTACATTGGGTTCGGCAGTATTGTCATCGATGATCCGCAAAAGATGTCCGCGATGATAAACGAAGCTGTTCGCGTTACCGGAACACGGGCGCTTATCTCGAGGGGCTGGAGCAAGCTTGACGGTCCCGAGTCGGAGAACGTCATGTACCTAGGCGACTGCCCCCATGAGTGGCTATTCCAGCATGTGGCAGCCGTTGTCCATCACGGCGGTGCAGGCACAACCGCGTGTGGGCTTCTGAACGGACGGCCGACCACTATTGTCCCCTTCTTCGGAGAGTCAGTTTCCTAGTCCTCGAGTTACGCAACTCCCCGCCGTCAAGAACCAACTGACAATGGAATAGTCAGCCGTTCTGGGGCGACATGGTCGCCGCCGCAGGGGCTGGTCCGAAGCCTATCCCTCAAAAGTCTCTGACTGTTGAGACTCTTGCCGCAGCCATTCGTTTCTGTCTGACGCCAGAGGCTGCTGATGCGGCCCAGGAAATCGCAGCGAAGATGAAGACAGAGTCAGGAGTGAAAGCAGCCGTGTCGTCCTTCCACGCAAACCTTCCTACAAGGTACCTCGAATGCGACATTCTCAAGGGCTATCCAGCCGCGTGGGCCTTCAAGAAAGGACGAACTCGGATTACTCTATCCAAAGTTGCGGCCGAGATTCTCTCTACTCATCTCAAGATCGAGTTCAGTCGCATCCAGCTGTAAGGCGCCTCAAACTTCGAGACTGAAAACCCAAGGCTGACACTTTCTAGCAATGAAAGCCATCGAACCATCATCGAGACTCGCCGGTGGGACCCCATCACAGGTACCGTGTCCGCCGCAATGGGTGTGAGTTCCAGCTTGATAAAGGCTGCCACGGATGTTGTCGCGAGACCAGTGCAGGCATATCAAGATCAAAGAAAGAGCGGACCTGAGGATTCGAATATTTTACAGCCTACCACACATGTGAGTTTACCGCCTGCATTACCCGGGGTCCAGATGTCCGTAATCCCGAGAACGAAGCAGAATACAAGAGGATGTGTTGACCCTACGGCTGTGATGACGGCCGCTTCGTCTAGCATGGGAACTTTCTTGAAGCACTATGCTAGCGGTCTAATCATCATACCCTTCGCCTTTACCGAGGGCTTTCGAAGCATGCCGCTGCTGTACGGCGAAGAGGTCCGAGATTACGGGGAGATTCACGACTGGAGGTCTGGAGCTGTCGTTGGCGCCAAGTCTGTCTTCTACGGCGTTGTAGACGGAGTAGGGGGGCTTTTCATCCTTCCATATCGAGGTGCCCAGAGACAAGGTCCACTTGGGGCCGTGAAAGGCGTCGGTAAGGGATTTGCCGGTCTTTTTAGTAAGCTCTTTACTGGTAAGTCATCGTCCTCCATGGCCATAGCGATTGGATACTACATCAGTGTATAATCTAATGCGGATGTAATCAACAGCTACAATGGGGATGGCCGTGTATCCGCTCCAGGGCATTTACAAAAGCGTGTGGGCTACTGCCAATTCCAGAACTCGTCGTTCGATTCAGCTAGCAAAGCGTATAGAGGGTCGATACTTGACAGATAAGGCCCGAAAGGAGGGTGTTGAGGATAAAGTAGTGATGGATATATTTGACGCAATGAGAAAGGGAGAGTTGCCTGCTTGAGATTTTGGTATTTGACTTCGATTTGGGTAAATGAGGTCGACTCTTCAAATCGCAAGGATTCACCACAGGAGTTAACAATTATGTCATACTTAGTTCTTCCAAAGACAAGCCCATGCGCTTAAGAGGAAAGTTGATTAATTAAAAACACGTTCTTAATGAATTGATCTCCCAGCATCTTACTACCTATTTACACGTACGGAGGTCTCTCCACTCTCCCATCTCTTGTTTCCATCTCAACCTCACTCGTCTCCTCAAGACGAAAGTTACCAGGGAATCTCCACGCAAACGCCACGACAACCCCAAACATCAAAACTGCGTCAAAGACATAAAGAGTCCACTCGTTACGCAGTGGATAGCCATCATACCCCATTATATACTCCACAACGCGGAAAATCGAACGTACCATGATCAAGGCGCTGACAACGTAAAGCATCAACATTGTGCTCTTCCAGGTGGACTTTTCATCAAGAGATGCTGCCGAGGGCTGCCGCCGGATCCTGACGTGGAACATGGCCGCTGTTGTGGCGAATAGCCCAAACATGATGATTTGGACAAATAGTCCCCCCAGGATAATGTTCTCCCCCATCTTCATTGAATCAGCGGTAACCAAGACCCCAGCGCCACTGGCTTGAACAACAAAAGATAGAATGTCGCCGCTGACAAAGATCTTGGTGAGCCACTTCAAGGGAACGATGGATAGCGATTCAGCGCCGACACTCCGAATCACGCGAGCCAAAACCATGTATACCGACGCGGCGAAAAGGGCTGGTGCGACGAGGATGAAGGTGCTCTGGATGACATAAGGCATGAGCTTCTCGGTTTGGTCTCTGGCCGTTGCCCGAGCGGCGTAGCCGACGAGCTCAACTGAAGGGACTCGAATCAGAAACAGATACAACGCGCGAGCATTTTGGGGAAGGACGAGACGAACGGAGGCCACCGATAACAAAGGCGGTGCAGAACCATGCACGGCTCTTGAACATGCGCCATGCTATGTAGGCGGTTCCCAAGGCGAACAAGGCTGTGAATATGCCTGCAGCTGGTGTCGATGGGATGTAACGCCAGAGGTAATAATCCCCTCTGTAAGGCTTCAATTCTGGCATCTTGGGTCGTAGGTGGAGTATCCTCGGCGGGGAACGGCAGCAATTCGACGAGATGGAGGGTTCGGTCGGTAATACAGGCAGGCCAGTGGCGCGAGAGTAACGAGAGGGTTGTTCCAATGCGAGGGGAGGCAGAGGCTAAAATAGCAAGAAGATGTTTACAACCTGACCCAGCTGCGGGGTAGAGGAGCATGATATATAAACAATGATATCTTAATCCTTGACACTGAGCCCATAATTAAAGTGACAACGGTTGACGCGTAAAAGATCTCATTCGCTCGTATAAAGCGAGAGAGATACGGTCTTGTTAGCTTGAGCTAGTCTACTCGGCGGATCAACCCGATTTGCCCATTTCCGGCACGAAAGTACTTCTACCTGCATCGCAGTAGCGCCATCCTCGAAATACGAGTATTCAGATACGAGTATATACGTATACGTATTCAATACGGTGATGGAACAAGCTAGTTCGTGCGGGGCGACTGCTCATCCACAGTGCGTCCGGGGTTGAGACGAAGCCAAGCAGAACTCCCTTGGGTGGCCATTAGTAGCCAGAGCCCTCTATTTTCCCCTTTCAATATTCCCATCCATCTCCGCTGTACGACGTATTCGTTCCATTTCGGCCGCCGGAACGAGATGACACCCCCAGAATCCGCGCAAATCAAGTCCCGTCGACCGCACCGAAAATCAAGGCGCGGGTGCGCCGTGTGCAAGAAACGTCGTATCAAATGCGATGAGCGCCATCCGCAGTGCGGCAACTGCGTCGTCACCCATCGCGTGTGCTCGTACCTGGAGCAAAGCGCCGGGAATGGCTCCGGCGCCTCCACGGGAGCGGTCACGGCCGCACCCAGAAGCTCCGGGGCGAGTCCGGGGCCAAGCCTGAGCAGCGGCGCCGGCGAAGGCGGACGACGATCGGCCGGGCCTATAGATTTGGGCGCGGTTTTCGATGCTCCCGGCGGAGGACCTACCTTCACAGTCATTCATATGGCTCTGCTTCACCATGCTGAGGTTAATATGGCCGAATACATGGCGCTCCAGGGCGTCATTCGGCCCATCATCGACGCCGCTATCCACAACGCCGTCACGGCACCCTACCTTCTCGACCAGCTCCTCGCCCTCTCCGCGCTGCATCTATCAACCCAAGACTTGACCAAGGCATCGAACTACCGGCAACAAGCTACCGAACTGCAGACTCGTGCCCTGGGTATGTTCAACCAGATACGAGAGGATATATCCGAGTGCAACTACATGCCTACATTTCTCTTTGCCACGCTCCTTGGTATCCACGTGCTGCGAGAGACCTTGGCTGATCACCACCTCGCGCTGAGCGATTTCGTCGGTGCCTTTGTTGGATATGCACGCCTCCATCGCGGGGTCCGGGCTGTCACAAACGTATACTGGGAATCCATCGTCCATTCAGACTTGAAGCCACTGCTTTACATCACGAACTGGACCGATCTGGCCGAGAATCGGACCCCAGGGCTTGAGACTGCCGACTTAAAAGGGTTCCTTGAATCGTCAGATCTTGCACCCTCGTCTATCAAGGCTTGTATCGGCGCGTTAGATTGGGTCCAGTGGGTAATAGACATGATCGCAATGGAGCCCTCCAGGTTTGATCTGGCGGTGCATGCAACCATGGCATGGCCTTTGATGATCCCGGACGAGTACATCGACGGTGTATATCAACACCGGCCAGAGGCTCTCGTTGTGCTAGCCTACTATGCTGCGATTCTTCATCAACACCGACGTTATTGGGTTTTTGGGAATGCTGGATCAAGTTTGATACAATTTATAACCTTGCATGTTGGCGGCTTCTGGGCTGATGTATTGACTTGGCCACAAAATGTCATTTCCTCAGAGAGGTCTTTGTCAGAATAAAGCTTGAGTACTGATGACCAGAATGTACGTATATGCAAAATAAGTTTAGCTTCAAGTTCATATTCTTGTCCCTGGGGCGGTGGAAGTGACAACTCGATCAATACTGTCATACTTCAAAATGCAGCACATATTAATTTATAATTTAATTGTTCGTCTCTATTCACTGGGTTCGCGAGCTAACCTCGTGCAATATAGAAGCGACGCAAGACAATAGCATTTAAAAACGAAACGTGTAATTAAGGGTCAATCTCCACAACCGATGAGCACCCCAGGGATTATGAGTTGCACGCAGCATGCTGTAGCCAATCCAAAGCTTAAAATCTACCCGTTTAGGTCTAAGTCCTTTCGTCAGGCTGCTTCTATCAGTGGCTGGCGCACTGGTTGCGAGACCGTTTGCGTTGAAACAGGGCCCCTGATCTGACGCTTTTGCAACAGGCATGTAACCGGATGCCAACATAACCGTGCCCAGGTGTCTAAATAGGCATTCTGTGCGAAGGAGTCTCTCACGCGTCAAATGTTTTATTCTCAACCAGCCGCCAAATGCGATGAACGCGGATGGCCCGGAAGTCCGATGTCAGCCTCTCGAAAATGGTGCTGACATTGCCAGCGATTGAATGTGTGGAGAACTCAGGTCCACATCGTCTTGTGCATCACTCAATCAACCTCTGAGTCTTAGTAGTGGGGATATTTAACAGGGAATGATGGCTCGGCCACGAACTATAGGTGAGGGTTATTAATCTGTAGGGCGGGCATCAATCGTTGGGATTATGGCTGTCCTCGGAGCGAGCAATGAAATGGCAAGTTATATTTATCCCTGCAGAGACTTAGCCACAGGCCATAGCCTCGGGCCGGTCTGACTAGCTTACAGCACCATCCGATAAGCTGGTTATTTCATCGGGCGTCAGAATGACGCGAATGAAGACGAAGATGGACGAGGACGGGAGGAATCACTATGACATGATGCTCATCGCAATAGCAAATCCAGTAGGATGGAATCGATAGCCATCAACCCAGATTTTACTCGATTCTTCGCATGTTCAATTACTAATCCCTGCGATATTCATCTCGCGTGCGTCGATGCTTTTCTGCGACGACGAGAACAAGGCTGAATCGGACGCGCCCCGGTAAAAGCGGCGGAGTAAGGCGGTGTTGTGTCGATCCCACAGGGCACAATTCTATGAGAGTTTACCAGGATACAGGGGAAATTAGCTGCACGCGACCTGCTTGCCCGAGCCTGTGCTGAAGCTCATTCTGACCCAGCAACTGAATCGTCAGCTTCTTCGAATCTGCACGCGGCGGTCCGGGAGCTAATATACGGGTATCCCCCGTCCTTCCCTCCCACGGAATCACAGAAAAGACCGAGAAATGAGAAAAACAACACGCCATCACGGCCGTTATCTCCGGGGGCTGAGGGCGCTGGCCGAGCTACAGTCTGTGCTGAAGCGACGGTGCGATTCAAGGATGGCCTGTGGGGGCCGAAGGAGCGGCAAGCATGTCGCACTATCACCAGGCCGGCGTAGGGCTTACAATCCCTGCTATTATTGGACAAGACGAGGCTTTTACTGGAGTCTCTAGACGCATTCCCAGCCTTGGATTGAGGCTTACGCAGCCATATGCGCCGTTTCCCCTGTCCAAGACGGAGCTGGCCACCAACCGGAGGCTGGCAACTCCAGACTTATATTGCCGCCGATCCGTTTCTCCACAGTGACAACTAGCCTCCGAAACGTACAAGGGACGAACAGCCCCCAGCCTGAAAACCGGACGGGCTTCTCTCGTCCGATCTTCAGTCCTGCTGCTGGCCTGGACACGCTCGTTTTCCCTCGGGTCGACCACGACGGCTGCTTTTCTGGCTTCAATCACCAATTTTCGCCATGTTCTCTCCGGTGCTCTTCGGCGGGCTGCTCGTCGCTCTCATCACGGGCGTACACTCACAGAGCGCCTTCGTCCTGCCTCCCAACGCCGGCCCCGCCAACAACTATCAGGACAATCCTTCTTACCAAGTAGGCAAAACGATCAATGTGGAATGGAGCGCCGACCTCTCCAGCATGGATGTTGTCATCTGGCAGCAGTATCCCACCTCTAGTGACTCGGACGGCTTCGTGCGACTGGTTGGTAAGCGGACTCATGCCTAGCTCTCCGTGGCTTTAGGTCGAGGCTAATTGAGATGCAGACCACACGACACTACTTTCTATCGACTGGAAAGTCAGCTTAAAGGGCTTCCAGACAAACGTTTCCGAAGGCGAACAAGTCATCCTCTACATGGGACTATACGAGACCGGGCAAACGAACCTGAACGCGAGCAGTCATTACTTCAACGTTACTGTCCCGAGCTCGTACACCACATTATCAACGTCAACAACAGCGTCAGCGACCTCAACAGGCACCGCCGACGCGGTATCAACGACTACAGAAGCCACCACCACAGCAGCAACGACAGAAGCGACAAAGAACTCAGATTCGAATTTATCGACAGGAGCGGTCGCGGGCATTGGCGTCGGCTCAGCGCTCGGTGGCATTCTGCTACTCGGCGGTGTCGGATTCTTTTTCTGGAAGCGATCTCGCAAAGGAGACGCCAGCGGCGCATACACACAGAGCCAACAATCGCCACCGCCCGAGGAGGTCAAGCACGAGCTGGCAGAGGGAAGTTGGAACCATCCGCCACCCCAGAGACCAGCAGTCGGCCCTGGAGGACTATATGAGGCTCCGTAAAGTGTTACGGAAGATATTAGAAGGGAATAGGACACGGACGCTGAGGCAGGATGTGCCGTCCTATTGATATAATCAGCCTGGCATATACACGTATAAAACAAGGGGAGGGGCTTGGTGTTCCCAATGGATTTGCGAGCGGGGAATGGAGTAAGTTAGGCGCAGACTTCTGATTGATATGTTTAGATACCCCCAAATCACAATTCATCATTGGACATGTGACTTAACTTATGCTGCTATACCCGAATTCCGACGCAATACCCACCACTTCATGATATCTTCTCGGCATCCCTCACCCAGCATTCCCAAAACACATGAAGCCTCTGAATGGAGAGATGCTCAGTCCGTTGTTGATAGGCAAGCGTCCTTCACAACGGCTCCGTGTACTAAAAGGAGCTGAATAGTAGCTTCTTGTCCTGGAAATTCCCCATGATATGCCCGTTAACCAAAGACACACCCGAGAAAGATTGTACCCGAGTGGGGAAGTGCTCGGTCCGTCGTCGATAAGCAAATGTTCCGAAGAGGCTCTGGACCTTGCGAAGTCAAATCAGTGGGTCATCTCAAACATAGGTATACCCCAGAAAGATATATTTAGTTATCACATTGTATCTAATGTCGTATCTAATGTCAATCGTCTACGTGGTTTAAATAACACGGTTCCTGCTTCCTCGACTCCGCTTTCTCCGCTGCGGCGAAAAGAATATCACATTGTTGCTGAACAGGTATAATCGTTTGATACTGAATTCTTTAACAATTTCTTCCTCCAAATATACAGTTACCGTTTGCGGAAAGGCCCTCAGAGTCGACTTAATCGACGGAACATATGTCGGGGAGCACTATGCGAAACTCGACGAAGACATCGAAGACTACCCTATGCGCAGCCGCCTGTGGAAATCTGCGCTTTGAGATTCCCCACTCTCTGAAGAGCAGCTGTAAAGGGGTCAAGAAAGCGACGAGGTTTTCTCCTACTCGGGCAACGCCTGCAGAGGGGGCTTGGGTGTCTCCGAAGATTGCTTGACCCTCAATGTCGTCCGTCCGAGCGGCTTCGTCCCGGGCAACGAGCTACCGGTGGTGATTTGGATTTATGGAGGCGGCCTCCGAGCTGGAGGTAGCTCCCTAGCCTCGTATAACCAATCGTGGATTGTCCACCAATCTATCCGACGGAAAACTCCAATCATTGCAGTGAGCATCAACTATAGCCTGGCTGCGTTCGGATGGCTCTGGAGAAAAGAAATGGAAGCCACTAGAGCATCGAACTTGGGACTGAAGGATCAGAGGTTGGCGATGAAATGGGTACAGGAGAATATTGCTGCGTTTGTAGGTGACCCTAAGAAAGGTATACCCAAGAGGAGGTCGTTCTTTCTCTCACCGGTGCTAACGCATTCCACAAGTCACCATTCAAGATGAAAGCGCTGGGGCCGTTAGAGTTGGATACCATCTTTTCGTCTACATTGGCCGCGACGATGGTCTCTTTCGCGGTGCAATTGCCGAAAGTGGCACACCCGCCAGTTACAAGTATTGTGAAGACGCAGCACCTTGGCAGCCCTTCTTTGACAATTTCACCCAGGCTACAAACTGTTCTTCCGCAGCGAGCAGACTTTATTGTCTCAAGACGATCCCGGTGTTGACACTCAGCGCTGGCTTCATTGAATATGCTCCAAACGAGAACCCCTACCCTCCCTTCATTGATGGCGACATGATCACACAATCATCGACCACCAGCCTAAAGGAGGAAAGGCCTTTGAAGGTTCCACTCATTTGCGGAACCAGTTTTGACGAGGGTACTGCGTTTGGTGCTAGAAACAGTGCGGGCATGTCCAGTGTTCAATGGCCCGACTATGAGTTGGACAATCCACAAAACCTGGTTTCGAGGCGAATGCCACTGATTTAGCATATATAGATGAATATTTTTGCGCTGTGGCAATTAATTTTCTTATCGATAATTATGAAGTCTATTAGGGGCGGTAGAAGGTAGAACCGATCGGGGTTGTGAGAGGCTAAGGAAAATGGTATTATCTCTTTCGACCCACCTTCCCGGATTGAGGCAGCAATGGTATAAGCGCATGCAGGAAAAGTAAATTGATGTTTGAAGGGTTGGACTAGATTCTCCGACGCTACTAGCGTATTTATTGACCCATTTTCGGGGTTTCTTTTCGTTAAAGCTAGAGATCCGCTCGATGCGGGCATGGGAAGAGGCCGGGTCTGCTCCAGCCAAGGGTCATTATCACCAATCGAGAATAGGATGTGGATTATTCAAGTCCAAACGCTGCGTGTATTTTCAAACTATATGCATACTATGTCTACCGGTCTAATATTCATGACTCATCATTACATAACTAAAGGAAAAAGGCAATAACAGCAAGAGCTGCGGTCATCAATTCAAAGCCACCAGCGACACGACCAGCGGTGCCAGTGACTGGAACGGGGTTTGTAGCGGTAGAGGAAGGAGCGTACTTGACCGCACTGGAGCTTGTGTCAACGACGGCAGCAGCCTGGACAGCATAGTCTTCAATGGGTACAAGGTAGGTGGGCTTAGAGCCAGCCTCCGAGACCGGGGTAGTCGGGATGGGCTGTTCGTAAGTCTTAGTGGTTGTGGTGGGCAGCGCGTAGACAGCCGTGGTCGAGACAGACTCTTCCGGAACCAACTTGGTTGTGCTCGTCTCCCTGACATAGGTCAAAGTAGAGTTCTTTCCGGTGGCGGACTCGGTGATGGTGACAATAGTGTCCGAGGTAGGTCGGACCACAGAGCTCCACTGGGAAATGCAAGTCGTGGCAGTGGGATACACGGTAGTTGTAACCTGACCGACTGAGCAGCTATGCTTCTCGGGAGCGCAGCTTGTGACGGTGTAGGACTGGGTGGTGTAGAGCGTCGAGGTCACGCTAACAGGCACAGGAGCAGTCGTCTCAGTGACTGGGCAAACGGTAGTCGAGATACCAATAGTCTCGGTCGTCACATAAGGACCGTTCGAGCAAGGAATGTTAGGTCCACAGTAAGTGACAGTGCGGATCTGGGTAGTGTAGATCGTAGACGTGGTGTACTTGGTAGTCGACTCGGCGAACCGGGTAGTGTTGCCGTAATACGGGACGTTGATGGTCTTCGTAGTGTGCGGGACAACAGGAGGCTGGGTGTAAACCTTGGTAGTAACGGGAGGAGCCACCGTAGTAACAGGAGGAATCACCACGGTGGTAACGGGGCAAACAGTAGTCGAGACGGGAATGGTAACCGTGACTACCTTGCTTCCATGGGGGCAATCGGGGACCTCGGGACCGCAAGAGGTGATGGTGTGGTAGGATGTCGTATAGATGGTCGAGGTGGAATACTTAGTGGTCTGATGGTAAGGCGGCTTAGTAACCGTTTCAACTGCCTTGGTGGTAGTAAACCCAGCCTGTGTCTCGGAGCCCTTGGCAGTCGTCTCAGGCGTCTCGGTGACAGGGCACACGGTGGTTGAGATGGCAATAGTCTCAGTAGTAACATGAGGCTTGCCGGGCTTGCCAGGGCAGTTGGTGACCTCGGGGGCGCAAGACGTGATGGTGCGGACCTGAGTTGTGTAGATAGTCGAGGTCGTCCATACACTGGTGGAGGGCTTGTGGGACTCGTGCTTTGTCGAGGTCTTGGAAGCCAACTCCGAGACAGAAGTATGCTTGACAGGGGCGGTAGTCTCGGGGGTCTCCGTGACGGGGCAGACTGTGGTTGAGATGGCGATGGTCTCGGTGGTGACATGGGGCTTGCCAGGCTTTCCGGGGCAGTTGGTGACCTCGGGGGCGCAGGAAGTGATGGTGCGGACCGTGGTGGTGTAAATGGTCGAGGTAGTCCACGAGCTAGTAGAGGCCGGGTGAGATGCGCTAATGGTCGAGGTCACGGAGGCGAGCCCGGATGAGACCACAGAAGTGTGCGGGACAGAGACTGTCTCGGGAGTCTCCGTGACGGGGCAGACGGTAGTTGAGATAGCAATGGTCTCGGTGGTAACGTGAGGCTTTCCAGGCTTTCCGGGGCAGTTGGTGACCTCAGGGGCGCAGGAAGTGATGGTTCGCACTGTCGTGGTATAGATAGTGGATGTTGTCCACGAGCTAGTGGACGCGGTACCAGGTGTGGTCTCAGCCGTCTCAGTGGTCTTGGTGATCAGAGTAGTCGTGGGCGCTCCGGCACTCTCAGTTGTCTTAATAGTCTCGGTGCTCTTCGGGGTCTCAGTCTCCTTGGTCTCGGTCGTCTTTACAGTGTAGAAGGTCGACAAGGTGGTGGAGTGAGAAGCACTGGGGGTCTCATAAACCTTGGTTGATAGAGAGGCGCTTGGGGTCTCATAAACCTTCGATGTAGTGGAATGAGAGGCACTTGGAGTCTCATAAACCTTGGTTGACAGAGAGGCGCTTGGGGTCTCATAAACCTTCGATGTGGTTGACAGAGAGGACACTGGAGTCTCAGATGTCTTGGTCTCTACAGTGGTCTGGGTAGATGCTGAGTTTTCAGCTGTCTCAGTGACAGGGCAGACGGTGGTCGAGATTGCAATGGTCTCGGTAGTGACATGAGGCCTGTTGGGGCAGTTTGTCACCTCGGGAGCGCAAGAGGTGATGGTGCGGACCTGGGTTGTGTAGACGGTTGAAGTGGTCAGCTTCTGCGTGGTGGTTCCCGATGCGGACTCAAAAGTCGAGGTCTCGGAGTTGACGGGCGTCGTGGAAGTCTCCACCACCTTAGTGGTGGTTGTGGCTGCCGATTGGGACTCAAAGGTCGAGGTCTCGGTGTTGCCAGGCGCGGTGGAAGTCTCCGTCACCTTAGTGCTGGTGGTGGTTACCTCAGCCTCAGTGACAGGGCAAACAGTGGTTGAGATGGCGATGGTCTCGGTAGTAACATGGGGCCTGTTGGGGCAGTTTGTGACTTCAGGAGCACACGAAGTGATGGTGCGGACTTGAGTGGTGTAGACAGTTGAGGTCGTCAGCTTCTCGGTGGTGGCCGTGAGTGCGGTCGTAGTGAGAGATGTTGGTGTGTTGTGAGGAGTCTCGTACACGTGCGATGACGAGGCTGACACTGAAGGGGTGTTCTGGGGAGTCTCATACACGTGCGATGTAGAGGGTGACACAGATGGCGTGTTCTGGGGAGTCGAATACACGTCCGATGTAGAGACGTCCGGGACTGTTTCAGACGTCGTGGGGATCTCAACAGTGGATCCAGCCTCAGTAACGGGACAGACAGTGGTGGAGATGGCGATGGTCTCGGTGACGACATGAGGCCTGTTGGGGCAGTTTGTCACCTCGGGAGCACAAGAAGTGACGGTTCGGATTTGCGTGGTGTAGACGGTCGAAGTAGTCATCTGCTGAGTAGTGGCAGACTCAGTCGCAGTAGAGGCAGACTCGGCTTCGGTTGAGAGAGACTCGGCTGCGGTCGATGTTCCTCCAACTGGGTACCCGGGTGTAGTGGTGGAGAGAGACTCGACTGCAGTTGATGTTGTGCCAATGTTGGGGTATCCGACGCTAGTCGAGGTAGATTCGGCTGCGGTGGATGATGTTTCGACTTCAGTGGTGGAGAGAGACTCGACTGCAGTAGATGTTGTGCCAATATCAGGGTATCCGGGGCCAGTAGAGATAGACTCGGCGGCGGTGGATGATGTTACGGCTTCGGTTGAGAGAGACTCGACTGCAGTGGATGTTGTGCCGATAACTGGGTATCCAGGGCCAGTGGAGATGGACTCAACTGCAGTTGATGTTTCTCCCACAACCGGGTATGTGGCTTCGGTAGAGAGAGACTCGACTGCAGTAGATGTTTCTCCCACAACTGGGTATGTGGCTTCAGTAGGAATAGACTCTACCGCAGTGGTTGTTTCTCCCTGTCCCGGAACTGGGTAGTACATTGCGGAGGCGTTGGCCACGGCCGCAGCGAATGCGGAAAAGACCAGAAGGCCCTTCATGGTAGCGAACAGTGAAGTGTGAGCGAATGTGGGTTGAAGCTATCAGCGAGTGTAAGTTCAAGGGTGTGCAAGTGCCAAGAAAAAGAAGAGTGGTGCGGAATGAATTGTTTCAAAACCGTCGGAACAAAGGCGTTTATAACAAAGAAAATGAACAAGATGTCGATCTGGTTGCTCTCCCAGCCGCCTACCATGGCGTCGATCAAAATTGGGCCTGGCGATACGAAGCTCTGCAAATAGTCATCTGGTGTTGGCAACATGTTGTTAAGCGCTAGCGGCAAATACGAGCGGCGGGTCGAAAAGTGGTCGCCATGCAGCTTTCGCCCGCAACCAACCAACGCCGGCGACCGGGATATGGCCACGATACGAAGAGGGCTGCCGAGCAAGGGCTGCCAACTTGGGCGCTGGCAGAGTGCTTATACGGGCCGGCGCTAGACGCTGGGAGCGTGAGGTTTGCTGGTATTTCTAGATCGTGGCTCCACGCTCTTGCTTAAGTGTTGCTCGTACATGCACGCGGTACGGGCAGAGGAGAGGGCACGTCATGGAAAACCCTTGATGGGATGGATGCATTGCGAGCCGAGTCGTATCAACAACTTGCACAGAAACGGCTTCTCGTAAAAGTGGTAGGAAAATCTGTGCCCGTACTTGGAGGACAGCTCACGACCCAACTTCGGCGCGTACTGAATCAAAGCGTAGACGCCCATCGCTAAATTAGCTTGGGCACTGGTGATCCTCAACTTACGCGCGCGCTCAGTGCGATCGTCGCCAAAAAGAGGCGTCCAACTTCAACTTCAACAACCGCCGTCAATCGCCCTCCGCTGCGCTACTGTTTGACGTTCCCCAGAACAACCGCCAGGGCGAGCGAAGCCCGAGTCGCGGGTTTTCGGGAGCGGCGTCCCCCCACCAAAGTCCAAATTTAGAGGCTCGAAATAGACGGGACGGTGAGCGAGATATGCGCCCTTCACGATGGAATCCGCCCTCCCTATTGGTCACCGGCTAGACGGGCGCCAAGGCGTCCTATATTTAGGCCGTTTGTCTGCACGTCGCCCCGCTGTTCGCTCGTTTCGCTGCACGTCGCGTCGTATTGGAGAGAACCAGGAGTGAGCCGAGTCCCGAAGAACCCATCTGGGCCAATTATCTCCAGATTGGGGCAAGGCGGTGGCCTGAGTTGCCGCTGAATCAACCGTTTTCAGGTGGTGAAACACTGACATGCTGCATTTGCACCATTTCGGCCGAGACCTTTTCAGCTGGCATGGCCGTGGCCCTGGCAATATCTCGTTCATGCACCAAGTTGTGCGCCGCTGGTACCAGGATCGCGCCATCTCGATTCAGGTGTTTACCATTGAAGATGAGAGTCGCACATCTTCCGGGGATGCAAGGCACATGGGAGCTGCCAGTACCACCTTGACCACGTCGGCCCTTGCACGTTCGGTGACATTGCATCAAGTCCACGAGTTCAATATGCTCCCATGACGTCTGAAACCACATGTCTGTGCTACTGAAATGCTGAATGCGGCTCGTTGTGTGCTCTCCATCCGCATGGTTTGAGCATCCCACGATGATGCCAGTGCAACAGTGCGGGGAAGCGCTTCCAGTAAATCTTGTGGTGGTGAGGGTGCACTCTGAAAAACCCCACGCAGGCAGATGCGCTTACCCTAGAGGCAGATAGAGAGCGCTGCGGGAAAGGGTCCAAGAAGGGAAAGGAGGCAATCTAATCAGATAGATTGAAATAAATAATTCAAAGGAACAATTAAGAATTGGATATTAGCTAATACTGGGAGGATGTCGGATATTCCATGGGCTGTTAAAATTGAAATTGTTGGTGATGGTGAGTGGTCTGCCCCACCATAGCAGCTTGGGTTATGGGTTAACCGGAAAGTGAACTTGGCTTCACTCATTGATCTAGCCATCGGACTTAAAGCACTGGCATCCAAGCTGATGACTTATTAGGCAGTAGAGCCGTACCTATTACAAAACCCAGAAGGTCGGAACTTAGCATCCGGGGTTCTTGAAGTGATGACGTACCTGGTGGAATCATTCTTTTGTGACAACATGAGATGCCGGCTAGGGCCAACCAGGCCCAGACCGCCGCTGACTAACGTTGGCCTAAATTTAGCGCCCACGGGCTTTCGTCCACCAGCCAACCACATCATACGAGCTCGTTGAGATTGTTCTTTGCGCCCAAGCTGACCTGACACGCGCTGTGGACGCGTAATTCCGCAACGAGTTTGCTGATAAAAGCCCGCGCTCCATCCATCTATATTGGGCAATATGCGGTGTTTGAGTGTTGCAGAAGTTGACCATCTCCGGACTTTTGGACCTACGGAGTCCGGACAGTGGAGAGATCTGCTTCGTGGACGCTGCGTTTGGATTGCAAAACCCCACTGGATAGGCGTGCCATCGCGGCGGAAACGTCATCGGCGTTAGGGGCGCAGCCTTAATCCGCCGAGCCAACGGCATTTTGCTGATATACAAGTTCTTGCCTGTCATGTTTGGACGTGAATCCCTGATCGATACGATTCAGGAACCCTTGGTCCTTTCGTAGAAGACAGATTAAGTGAAAAGGAGGCCAAAGCTAACTGCCTCTGTACCACCGGTCCGACGGGGGATTTATCTCTGAATGAAGAGTAACAACTGCAATTGCACCGACTTGTGCTTGTTCTGTCCGCCGAGAAAACCAGTGACTACGGTGTAGAAGGTGCAAACTACCCCGAAGGAACCTATAGGACGTTTTGGCTACTGGACAGTTCTCGGTGACGTAACGCGTCGGGGCAATTCTCGCATGCATCAGACAATTGAAAGGCACGAATAGATAATTTATCAAATCGGCCACCAAGGCTGCCGTGCTTTACATGCCCGCTGAACAATCTCAAAGCTCCACACGTCACACAACACATGCATGATTTGCACCATGGAGTCCTCTCGCAAGTTCTGTTGTCCGATTCATGCACCCTCTGCTCCGCCAAGGACACCGGCGCTTTGTCCGTGCGACATGCAGCATCGCGACGTCGATCCCGGACTTTTGGGTGTCCGATCATGCTGTTTCAATTGTCATTTGGGACTCGCCTGATTGGTCACCTTGTGGGCATGGTGAACATTGACGCAGAGGCCGATGCAACTACCACCAACTGTCGTTGCAGATCATCTGCCGGGAATGAGGCCAAAAGTCCGACAGTCCGACATGTTCAATATGATGGCCATAAATGAGTTAATCTAGTTCCCTTGGATTCTCAAACAAAAGAACACCCATTCCTCACTTTCCGCATCAAACCCTCAATCATTCTCCTGTCTAACGTTACCGAAATGGCGACATCAACCAACGACCCTCTCGCAAACATAGCCTTTGACTATGAGATCACTCAAACGGCAGCCCCGTACATTGCGGCCGTTGGGCTGATTCTGCTCGGATTCCTTCTGTTTAGGGACAAAGGCACCAAGCTCCCATACGTCAACCCAAAAAGCCCGTTTGAATTGTCCGATAAAAGAGCAGTCTCGGAATTCATTTACGCCTCGAAACACATGCTTTACAACGTGGCGAGATCATTCATGGGAAAGCCCTATCGGGTCCTGAGCGATCTCGGCGACGTCATCATCCTCCCGCCTCACATTGGCGACGAAATTCGCAATGACAAGCGTTTCAGCTTCTCCGAAGGACCTGTGGAGGTTCGCACAGCCCATACCCTCGTCGCTTCTGTCCGCTGGATTCTAACCCTTGGCTATCCAGGATTTCCAAGGCCGTTATGCTGGGTTTGATGCTTACAAGGAAGCCTGCCATCCATCTCAGAGATTGCAGAACGTTGTCAAGCTACGGCTGACCAAGACCCTCGGTACACTCTTTGAAGTCTACTTCGTTACCAATTACATGACCCTGACATTGTTATCTGTAGCGAAAATCACTCAACCACTGTCGGAGGAATGCGAAATCATGATGCGTGAGACTTTACGGACAACAAAGGTAAAGTATGATGGTTTACGAATGATCGCAAGCTGACCGAGGTTAGAATGGCACACCGTTGTCCTACAGGAGGGTATTCTCTCAATTGTCGCACGATTGTCATCCCGCATCTCCGTCGGCAAGGAGCTCGGCTGTGACCCGAAGTGGCTGTCGACTATCATGGGATACGCTGAGCTTAGTATCCAAGCTATGCAGCCGCTGCGACTCTGGCCTAAGATCCCGCGGCCACTTGTTGTTTGGTTCTTGCGCGACCCTACCAGACTTAGAGCCTACATCAGAGACGCCGACGCCCTCGTTCTTGCCGAAATCCGCAGGCGAGGTGCCGAGAGCCAAGAACGCGAGTTGACCGATGTCATCGACTGGTTTCAGGAGATTGCCAAAGGGGAGAGGGACAATACTGGGCTGTCACAGCTGATTCTTGCGACGGTCGCCATTCACACTACATCGGACCTTATCACTCAAACAATGTACGACATTATGGGAAATCCCGAGCTTGTTGATGACCTGCGCAAAGAGATCGTCACTGTTATTGGAGAGGGAGGCTGGAGGAAGACTTCGCTGTACAATCTGAAGTTGATGGACAGTGTCCTGAAAGAGAGTCAGGGCTTGAAGCCCAACCAAATCGGTAGATTGCAACTTTTGACGTCTTTTTGGATGAAGATACCTAACTAGAATGACTTAGTGGGCACGTATCGCCGAGTTATGGAGGATGTAGTGCTTTCGGACGGCAAGTACATCGCCCGCGGAAGTGCCATGGCCGTATCATCAGAGAAGATGTGGGATCCCAGCATCTACCCGGACCCAAACAAGTTTGTCGGCTACCGATTCTACCGAGGACGATAGAACGGCGCCGATGCTGCTAATCAGCTTGTCACTACCAGCACCAACCAAATGGGCTTCGGACATGGCATGCACTCTTGCCCAGGCAGATTCTTCGCGTCCAACGAAGCAAAAGTCGCGCTCTGCCACCTCTTGATGAAGTATGACTTCAAGCTCGCGCCCGGGGAGAAGCCCAAGGTTTCCCAGTTTGGGTTCACCTTTGAGGCGGATGCTGCAGTCAAGGTTTTGATCCGCAGACGCAAGGAAGAGATTGAACTGTCTGCCAAGGTCACGGAAAACTAGTTTGAACACGTGGAAGCCATTGAGGTTTTGTGCAGTTCCATATTAGAGGGCAACCAGAGGGCGCGAGAAAAGTTGGACTTAGGAGTCGATACTTAGGCGCATTATGACAGTGGTATCCGCCACCGTTTATTTTGAGTATTCATGTCTGCTACTTTCAGACCTAGCCTGCTTTCGGCACCTACTGAAAAGAACACATCAATATGCTAGCTTGACGACATTTGCTGTGAGTAACGAATTCGGTTTCTGTAGGCCTCATTAACCTGTGTGTACGGCCATTTCCGCTAAGGGAAGTCGCAAGACACTAAGAACAGAAAAGACAAGCTCTAAATTCGTGATCCGCTTCAATTGATTCCTGGGTGTGGGCTTGCATTGGCACATAGATGGGCTCACGACGGCATATCACAGTGGCATCTAATTATCTGGTTCATACAGAGGTCCATCAAAATGTCAACGCTGGAATATGACAATCGATCATTCGAGTCAATTGTGGCTATCAACAAACTAGATGCTAACGATACAGCTGGAAATGAGGAATTCGATATCAAGACGGCACAGCCAGTCCCTCATGTTGCTGTCGTAGTTGGCTTGTGAACTTAATACACGTAGTAATTTGTGACCTCGTCATCACTGGCCCGCAGCTGCTTGTTGCGCCTGAGCATAATGATCTTTGCCACCCAAGCCAAGGCAGCCGTAGCGATACTAAAGGCAGCGCTGCTAGCCATGGCCGTGACATATCGAGGCTCATCGCTCTTGGGCCACAGGTATGGGGTCCAGATGAAGCTGATGTTCATAATCATGGTCACCATGCTGATAGCAACAGCCTTCTTCTCCTTTGTCTGACCGCAAACACTGGAGCACCAGCCAAGAATCAGGCTGTTCACTCCGTATGTGCCGATGGTGAATACTACCATGGAGGCATATCGGCCGGCTGTGCTCGAGGTGCCTGCTGCAGCGGCAAAGCCGACGACAGCTACGGCCTTGGAAATGGTAATGTGCCACGTTCGCTCGTTGAACTTGCCAGATGACCAGGACACAAGAATGGTGATGGCTCCAGCAACAAGGTAAGGCGGGCAAGTGAGAACAAGGGTGATGGTGGTGTTGAAGCCGAGCGTCTTGACAACGGAAGGAAACTGCGAATACACTATTAGTGAGAGCTTTGGAGTGAAATTTCAGGAATCCTTACAAAGTTCTTGAAGCCGTTGGCAGCGAGATGCATGTGGGCCATAGCGCAGAAGAGCCACACCGTAGGGTCGCTGGCGGCCTGCTTGAGACCCTGCATGGTGCTGGTTTCACCCTTGTTGGCGACGGTATCGAGCTCCATTCGGTTGTAGGCGAGGTCCCGCTCGTCCTGTGTGAGCCACCAAGTGGTCAAGGGGAAGTCGGGCAGCAGGAAAAAGCCGGCAACGGCGATGACAAATGTGACAGCGCCCTGGAGGATGAAGAGCCACTTCCAGCCTGCGATGCCGGCGACGTTATCCATGCCGTGGAAGATGCCGGCAGCGATGAGGCCGGCGAAAGCAGTAGCCAGAATGTTACCGGTGTAGAGAATCGCGATTCGGGTAGCGACCTCCTTGCGCGTGTAGAAGATGGAGAGGATGTAGACGGCGCCGGGGTAATAGGGCGCTTCTGTGAGCCCCAGGAAGAAGCGAGTGAGGAGGAGGCCTTTGAAGTCCTTGGCCACAGCCGTGAGAGCGCTCACAACAGCCCAGAGCATCATCATGGCACCCTATTGGGAATATGAGCACAATGTCACGATTTGACCATTTGTGGATTGAGACTAACCATGTAGCGGCTTGGGCGAGTGCGGGTGAGGAACATGTTGGATGGGATCTGTCCAAGAATGTAGCCGACGAAAAGGATCGAGACACAGGTCTGGTACTCTGCAAGTGAGGCTCGTTAGCGGATGCTTTGGATTACTTTTCTGGGAGCTGGGACTTACGATTGCCTGTGAGCTTGAGATCCTCCTCAAGGTCGTTGAGACGGGCCAAAGCAATGGCATTTCGATCAAGGTAATTGAGCCAGTACATGCTCCAGAGCATGGGCTGTGGATGTCAGCAACGGATGATTGATTCAATAGCCGAAAGGTGGAACTGACCATGATCCATTTATCCAGCTTCCTCACGAGGGCAATTTCCTTGGGGTCAGTTTTCTCATGAGCACCCGAGTAGTCGGTCTTTTCGACAATGGGGACCTGTTTCTGGGGGTTCTCATCCTGGAAGACCCGAGGCTCCGACTGGGCCTTGGTGACGTCCATGATTGCAGATGAGGTTGGAAAGAAGTGGGCTGAAGGTAGATTGAGAAGTAGAGTAGTGTGCACCCAGGCGTGAGTGTCTTGATCCACGACGAGCAAGATGGAGAGAATCTGGGGAAGTGTCGATGCCTTATATGTGTTCCTCCCACGACGGCGAGGCGACGGCCGCAAAGCTGACCTTAGTGGCAACTCCGCATTTACTACTGCCAAGCCCCCACGATGGAGAGGCAACGGCCGCATGGTTGTCCTAGTGGCGACTCCGCATTTACTATTGCCAAGCTACGCAAGTGGCGCCTTGATCCCTCCAGGTTGATGGTCGGTAAGGGCATCTCCGGTCAGTCCCGACCTCCACGATGAGCGGCAGCAATCCAGCCATCCACGGCCAGCGGCTAGCGATCCAGCTATCCACGTTGAGTAGCCAGCACGCTTACAATTGGATGACTAGAGGGCACTTGGTGTAGTCCCATGAGATGGAAGGCTGGAGGAATCAGCGCTAGAAGCCAGGATCTCTCCCCTTCCGGAGCCAAGACGAACAGATTTCGGGAGGCTGACGATGCTCACACATTGATACGAACCATTCCCCGCGTCAGGTTGCATGGTCGCATGGATGGCCATGGAGATTAAGGTTCGGTCTGGCGCGGCTTCCCCGCGTCGACTAGATGGAAGAGGAAGGTCTCAACTGCGCGGTGACGATGATTGGACAGAGCATTCGAGGTGGTGATCTTCCCCGCATGGAGTCGTAGCTGGAGTCGCAGCGGGGGAGGGTCTAGGCGGGCCTGGAACCGTGGAATCCTGGCCAAGCGAAGGCCAAGATGAGGCCAAGACAAGACCAAGCGCACGCCAAGCGGAGCGGTGTCAACTTAAAGTCAAGCTTATTCGGCTCTCGAACGCCACTATGGGTCAGAACGGTGGCCGGGCTGGTATTAGTGCTTGGCGACTATCACGACCCAACAGACTAGTCGTCGTCAACGGGCTGAACATGATTCAAGTAACGCTGACAGAGGCCACACAGACCACATGGTGCCAATTGCGTCTTCCCTTTCCCTGCTCCTCCCTGCTTTCCCTCCTTTTCTCCCGGCACTTTTCTCGGGGGTTATCGGGTGACAGATATTCAGCACGGCTGGGGAATGCCTTCCCCCCCATGACCTGAGACGCTCTAGAGCGAGGTTTAGCCAGCTCATTGCCCGACCGTAGTGAAGAGCTAGACGAGGCATCAACCCAAATCGTCCTTATCTGCGGCGCTAGAGTCTTAGACTTGGGGAAAGCGGGGGAACTCGGGTCACTGAGGCAGACTACAAGGCAATGCGGAGATACACGTCTTGGATGGGGAAAGACTTGGCTTGCCAAGATAGCACTTGGGGTTCTAATGTGTTGCCTATTGTCGTAATGGGAACTTGTGCAGATGCTATTGGACGCTGCCACGCATTGTTGGCTTCCCCCTCTGTTGGAACCGCCCGCCAAGCAGCGTCATCGGTTTCGGTCTCCGCGACACGAGGCATTTTGTTCGTCTGCTGAGTAACGCAAGCGATGGCGTTTGAGGCATAATCCTGCCAAGGGCTGAGATGTGATGAAGCTGTAGCGCGGTGCAGTCTTGCGGGCGGAATCGAGGTCCAATCGGGTTCCAGCCTGAGAGTTCACTCAGAAACCTGGAGCGTGATATGCCATGGGTCGGGTGTGCTAGGAGATTGCGACTATATCCCGCTATACTGCCTTGTTCTGAGGAAGATGTCGGTTGACTTGGCCGGTTCATTATCGCCACGTAGTTCGGTGCTTACCATATTCTCTTCACGGTGAGTGTTGGAGGTAGCTCTACATGTTAGATATCCGGGTACAATAAACCTCCGGTGAGATATCGAGGGGCCAAAACTTGCTGCCTCCGCCAAGAAAGCTGATCCGTTCTCTGGCTGAGCCCTTCGTTGGTCGAATCACAGGTACTGTGCTGGCGCTGAAGAGCACACCGGTGCTTTGATGACCGGTGGACCGGCCCACTGGCATGAAGTACTGCTACTTGACATGACTGTACGACGGAAGCAATTGAATGAACATGCCTTGTCACTCGTTTAAATATGACTATACTTTCATCATCTTGCTTCGTCACTTTGACAAAACACGTCAGGGCAGCTTGTGTCGCATTTCCCTCTTTATTTCTTGCAGGTTGTACCAAAGGGCAGTTAAACAAGTGTACGGAAATCCTAGACTGCCTCTTCTCCTCTCGTCACGGCCTGGATTTTTCTTCCTGTCTGTCTGGCAGGTTGTACCGAAAGAAATTTTTGCAAGTGCTGGGAAGCCTCAGTCTGCTTCTTCCCTCCCTCCTCTCTCGTCACGACCTGGACTCCTTTTCCTCTCCTGTTGGCTGTACCGAGACGTTGTGGATCAACTGCGAGAAAGCCCAGTCTTGTATCTTCTCCTCTCCAGTCACAACCTGGATCCCCTTCCGTTTTTTGTAACTTGTAACAAATGACACAAGTACCAAGGAAGCCCAGTCTAACTCCCCCTCTCAAGTCAAGATCTGGATCCCTCTTCCTCTCGTGGATTGTTCCGAGAGCCATTGGACCAACTGCCGAAAGAGTCCACTCTGCCTGGTCCCCTCTCTAGCCACGACCCAGATCCGTTTCTCTCTCTTCTAGATTTTACCAAGAGGCATGTGATGGAGTACGACGAAAGTTTAATATGCCTGGTCAGGGCCTGGATCCCCCTTTTCCACATTTCCTTTCTGGATCTTATCAGCCCCTGCCTCAGCTGGTCTGCACTAAGTGTATTTGCCACCACCAAAGCACTCATGAAGAACAAATGGTGCTCAATGCATAGCACATAGCTCGTGCAAGAAAGCTACTTGTGCCTTAGGGAATACAGAGGCTTGGGTAGTGTGCTGACCTGACACTGGAGGATGAGAATGCCACCTTTGGGATGCCCCTGAATCTAGACTCCATTGATACCAAACGAAATGAACTCATAAATAGAGCAGTAAAATCACGCAAACGGCGATGGCTAAACATAAGCCAGTAAAAGTAATAGATCGATCAAAATTGTCCCGTCTGCCATCTGCCGTGTCGACGGATGATGCTTAGGCGGCCACGTTAAGCTGAAAGTATGCGCAGACCATCATGCACTAACTAAAGCATAACTTGCGTCCGATCGAGCTACTTCTCTCACATCACGCTGTACTTCATGCCGGTCCGCAGAAACGCCATCCCCACATCATGATGCAGCTACTCGGTCCCATGCCAACGCCAGCAGGTCTCGTGGAGCCTTCCTGGCCACTCGAGCAACACCACCAAGTCAAGCACAGTGTGAGAATACCTGTGAGACTTCTCCGGAAGCTGTGTACCCAAGCCCGGTGACGATAGGAAGTGACTGCCGACGCCACCGCTGCCCCATCCAAATTAGTGTCTCCTGAGTACGAGGGCACTCACTTGCTTATCTTGCAGAGACCTTCTCCTTTGAAGTTAGTCTCTTCCAGCCGTTCTCACTTGCAGCTGCGGCCGACACGCATTGTTCCGCTGTTTCCGCGCTTTGGAAATCTCTCTTTACGGCTCCGTGACACCACCAGGCTTTAGAGCCCCCCCAGATTGTGAATACAAGCACACCCGGATATGCAGACTACAGCCCATGACTATACCGTGCCGTTTCCATCATGTCATAGATATCCCATCGAGCCACGTCTCGTGGGTGATAGGCGTGTTGGCCAGGGTTGATGGATGGTTTGCGCATGCGTGTTTGGGTGGACCGGCACCGGACTTGGCGCTGTTACCGGTGTGGGAATATTATAAGTGGCTTGCTGACTGACTGCGCCTTCTGATGGTTGCAAGAGTTCGGCCGTTCTAGCCCTCTCACTCTCCCTTCCCACGGTCCTGCCGGCTCCCCCGTGGTCCTCCTGTTTGCCAACACATCGTTCATCTTGCGAGACCCCGCTTTTAATCACTATTCGGACCTCGCTTTTAGTTCAGTCTCATCTGATTGACCTAATCTTGTTACCGTTTATTACCTTGAAGTGTCTAGGCCCATTGTCTTAAGCTCAGTCAAGGTTCAGCGCCATGGCAGACGAGAAAGGGGTCGCGAGATCAACCCGCAGGTATTCTCAGCGAAGATATCACACCCGACAATCCTCTGGGCGCCGTGGACGTCATGGGGGATCAAGACGCCAATCTGGCGTCTTTTCAGCCCCAGAATTCCCTCGGCCTCCCACACCAGCCCCCGATGAACCACTCCCATCTCCAGATCTTTCGCAACCAGGCGATAAACTTGTTTCAAGGCTTTTTCAATCCACCGTTAGGTTTTGGAACTTGATCCTTCAGGAAGAGGATTGGCCGCTTAGACTTGCTCCGGGTGGCATTACCCCAGCCTTGCCATCTCCGCCCGCTGATAAGAGTCTCCCATTCGCCACCGACGACGAGAGCAACATCGTCGATGGGACAACGATTAGTGACAGCGAGGCGCCAGAGCCCAGCGACGAACCGAACAGCCCTGAAAGTGCCGACCGACAGGAGGGCGAGACTACGACTCCGACGATTGACCAGGGCAGGAACTGGAAGGAGTTGGTGCTTGCGCGCCTCGTCCTACAAGAGGAATTGAGTCGACTGCGTTTATGGAAGATCACTTTCACTGATGACGACTTGGATCTTTTGTCCAAATCAAGACATGAAATTTTTCATGCTATTTTAAAATGCCTCGTCAATGTTTCGAACACGTTGATCGAGGAATACGGTAGGTACCATTTATTGTCCCAATGTTCTTCGCTAACGCGGTTGATTTTCCAATAGCCGGCCCACTAAACCCACCGCGAAAACAACTCGATGACGAAGAAGATGTCCTGACGGAGCTTGCGAAGCAGGTTGGGGGATTGATTGAACAGGTGCCATACGAGGACGATTTTATGACAACAGAGGGCGACTGCTCTGAGACACACGGATCCAACACCACTGCTGGAGGTCAGACATTTCTCAAGAACCTTACAGAGAATATTGATCGCTTACATAGACTGTCGCATTCAATGTGTCTTGTGCTGGATGATATTAAAGGTAGGTTCACGTGAAACTCGTTCACAGGCTATAGGCTGATCAAACAGGATAACAAACGTTACCTGGATGTTCAGGGCGTGCACTCATTAGGAAGGGATGGCTGATTCAAAAGAGATTTCCAGGCGATCAGTGGCAGAAATGACTTAGCTGTGGTGCATTGAATGTGCTCTGTAGTGAGATGGTGAGAATCCGTACCGTCATCGCCCGCTAGTAATCTAAGGAAGCATGTCAATTGGGGTACTGCATCAGTGAAATATATGATGAATTAATTCTACCATTGTGCCACTATAACTTCAAGACGGACGTAGAATTGCCTCCCTTGTACAAGCCATTACAACGATGCCAACTTCTTCAAAGGACTGACCACCTTCTGGTAAAAAGTCTCCTGGAAAGATCCATCCTCCAAACCTCCATCTCCAGTGCCCGGAAACTGCAAACAATACTGTACGACCTCTTGGTAATGGGCCCCTGATTTCTTCAACAGCCTGGTCAGATATTGTTGGATAAGATCTTGGTCAAAAATTCCCGGTTGTTTGAGTCCCTTGAGCTCTTCCCACAGGCCGACTTCGAGTAGGACGATGCCGAGACAAAACAGGGAATTCCCGTGATCAATGCAACCTCGGTCGCCCATTTGAATCTTCAGAAAAGGAAGCAAGTCATTGCCGACGGGATAAAAGACGACGTTGCCGCTGTCCCATGTCTCCCCCAGCCACTCACTCCATCCGTACCGCAGAGTGGCCTCTGCAATTCTGGTGGCCATCTCGAACCTGATTGCCTTGAGCGTGTGACTCTGCTTGAACAGATTTATTTCACCCCCAGGTTGGCCCTGTTCAATGATGTGGGAAAGTAGCAGGGGTTTTGACTCGACTTTGGGACGTCGATTTTCGCGCAAGTAGAATATTTGATGTCTGCAGCTCTCTTGGTCGCCCATGTACATGGCTAAGTGGCCGTCTCCCTGAGCTAAGCTTCCAGGGCAGACTTGTATCTGCTCATTGGTTCCCATGTTGCTGTTGCGTCGGGAAGCGCTGAAATCCTCCTTGGACGTGGAATACCCAGAATCTCGCCTCGACCGCAATTCCGTCAGAACGGAGGGTGAAGCTCCGCAGCTGCCGTCAATGACATCTTTGGGCGTGCAAGGGATCTGCAACATTGAGTTCGCTTCGAACCAAATGAGTCCTTTGTCCAGGGTAGACTCGATGGCGATAAGGTGCGCTATTAAAGCCGTTGCGTTTGGCTCTATGGACAAGGGCTCCTTGTCGGGGACGAGACACAGCAACGCGCTATGACGATCATGGTCTTGTCCACGTCCGGACAGTGGGCACGCCCTGCAGAGACAGCGATACAGTGTCCTCGTGGCCAGACTGGCAATAAAGAGTCTGGCGAATCCATGCGTTGACTCAAGAGGCCGTCGAGTAGCTGAATGCTGGAAGACTTGACTCTCGAGAGAGGTGATGCAGTTTTGAACCTTGTTGATACTCTCCTCAATTGCCTTGAAGTTGGGCGATTTTTTGACAGGCTGCCTGTGAGATCTGTCCTGTTACGTGCGCATGTCAGGAAGATCGAAGCCTCTCTTGCGCGAGTTAACTCACCAGGCAATATTCCCTGAGACCAGACACTTGATTCACGGCCATCTTTAGCATTTTGGAGATGGAGTCAAGGTTCTTCTGGATACAGTCTCTCCTTGAGCGAATGGTTTCGTTGCATGAAGAGTTTGCTTGGGAACGCCCCGGAATTTCCTCAGGCCACCGCGAAATAGTCTCGATGTGACGCGCAATCGATAACCTTTGGTCATTGACGGTACCTCTCAATTGAATCACGCATCGGCTTCGTAGCCGTTTGGACTCCTTGATGATACAGTCATACTGACCCTGAATCGTATTTCCAGTGGTATGAATGACGCGCTTTTCTGACAGGGACATGGTCGGTGGGATGGTAGAGACAGGAGCAGGATCAGCAGCTTCATTTGGTTCGCTGTCTGGTGGTATGATGGACCCAAAACTGAAGCCGTAGTCTGGCAACGGCGGTCTCGGGGCCACACTTGGCGTCACTGGGGATGGGAGGTAGGTTATCGTCGTCTTTTGTTCTCCAATGTTGACCTGGTGTGACCCATGGTTGCTCTGACAGCCGTGGATTCCATTCATCTTGTCGACCTTGCTACAGATGAACAAACTAGCTGAGGATGAATTGCATAAATCCGGTAAGATCGGGGAGTGCCTCAGAACTTGTTAAAATTGCCACAAAGCGAGGCAACCAACCGAGGAGTAGTTGAGCCGCAATCTCTCCCACTGTGATGCTGCTCCCCCACGCTGACCAATACGCAACGTCTCACCCTGCACACCGTCATCTATCACGCATATGCATGCGAGTATGCATGCTCGAACTTGCCAGACAAGTGCATCAAGTACACAGTGCAAAGATGCAGGCTGACCAGATGCAGCCTGAGGAGGCTGAATAGGTGCATTCTCCGATATTCAGCGGCCCACGCAAAACCAATCGGACTGCTCATCACCCTTGTTGGTGGGTTGCGGTATTTTGCGGCCCACACACGCATCACGCAAGCTGAATAGTTGCGAATGCAGAGCCACATCAGCTGTGATAGAGAGCGGATCCTATTCGCAGAGTTGTTGCCAATGGTTGACGTCGGGGTCCAAAACGAGCAGATTATCTATCGATGCACCCTCACACTCGAGCGGATGGCCATACAGGATGCAGCTGGCACGTCAGCGACACAAGAGTCAGACCACGCTCGCAGCGAGTTGCAGCAAGATTACTGCAGGCTGCTACGTGCTGGAATCAGCTGCAGGCGAAACTCAACTTTCAGTTGAAGGGTGTGTGACGCTGTTGTACTTTAGGTAGTGATCTAAGTAGCCAGCATTTCCCTCGCGATACTCCTTAGTTACTCACTTCGAGCAGCTGCAGGTCCGTCCGCACTTACTAACACCATTCAGTTGCATCCAAGTCTTTGACTATAAACATGGTAAGCTGTTGATTCTCAACAATTTCTCTTGAATGATTCTGATAACATTCTCCTGCCATAGGCCGACCCAATCTCGGTCGCTGCTGCTGGCACAGAAGCCGTCAAGTTGTGCTTGGAATTGGTGCATCGGGTCTCCACGGCAATAGACCTCCAGAAAACAGGGAACGCCAAACTCGAGACCATTTCTGATGATCTCACCAGTGTCAGCGATGTCATCAAACTGGTAAATGCGCAAGAAGAACTGAAAACGAAAGGCGTCCTCAAGGCTGTGACCAACATTCAGAAGATCACCATCAATGTGCACAAATACGTTGAGCGCGTGAAAGAAAAATCGACGACTGGGTCCAAGGCTCGCCAAATTACTTACCAGTTCATGAAGGGTCCTGGTGAGTGGGAGACGCTGAGCGTAATGATGATCCATCTCACTGCAGCCAAGGCCACTCTGAGTTTGCACATCCAAATGGCCCATGTTGGATTGACGGCAGCCCAAGGGCCTCAAGCCGTTAATGTGGTGAACATCAATGTTCTAGGAGATGTCAATCAGAAAGTCGAGAAGAAGCTGGGTCGAGGGTTGTTAATCGCCCAAGTGTTCAAAGACAAAAAGCCAGATCGTAAGAATCCGGTTTCTAACGTCATCTGTACCAGAACTGATTCAAAACAGACAAGGGGATGATATACCTTACCAGCGACGAATGCGATGCTCTTCCATTCGCCGAGGCAGATCCCGTTGAAGGGATCCTCGCAGCAGGTATGCCCCGGACTCCACTGGCCTGCATTGAATCCACCTTTAAGACTAACTGAACGACAAGGGACTCTCCAAGTTCTAAACAACAGAACCTTCGACCAAGCTCTGCAGATCAACGGCATGGTTGGTATGGAGACGTGGAGCAAGTTCAGCCAGAATCTCATCATCGAAAACAACGAGGCCAGAGGGTTCAGCACGCAGATCAATGTTCCGATTAAGGATGACACGTACAGAGATGCTCTACAGAACCGGTTGGAACTTGCAAAGGCAATGGCAGGAGCGGGGACAGGGTGGCAACCTCCGCCGTACGGACAACATTGGGGGTATCCAGCTCCGCCAATGCCTAGCACACAGATGTATGGCCAGCCGCCGCAGATGTGGATGAATCCGGCGCTTCCCCCTGGGCAAGGCGGGCTGGAGAAGGGAGAAACTCCTAGGTCGTTAATGTCTTCGTACGAACAGCAACAGCTACCTAACTACGGACTGTATTCCGGATACCCGTATCGGGTCGACACGCCAGCTCAACAAGGGAGCCCAAACACAAAGATGGATACCGCAGATTAGCAAGTAGTTGGGTATCAAATAGTAATAGTTCTCTTATTACCGTTTTCTTAACCTAATAATAACATGTAATCTTTGCGTTCAACTACAAGGCAGTATAGATCCTCCATAGTCTTCGTTTTTGCAACGGACAGTGATAAGGGGCTGGCTCCACAGAAATGTACACCAGAATCAATAAACATGATGCCTAAAGTAGTAATACACCATTCAGACACCTTAACCTCAATTCCTCTGGAGAATACCCTTTATGTACGGAAGAAGCACAAATGTGTCGGAAACTCTCTTTGGCTCCGTTGTCACTAGTCAGCTCGGTAGGAATCCAATAAGACTCCGGAACGGGGGCTGGGAGATCTTTTGTTGGAGAAGAGACTCTGGTTAGAAAGATTAATCTTCAATGGGATGACGAGCGCGTTGCCTCACCTTTTCTTTTTGCAGTCGAATCCCACGCTGTCGATACCGGTGAAGAATTACTACCAAGTACGTTTTTGGGAGTCGTAATGTTTGCCTTGTCTTCCGGTTCAATCTTTACTCCGCTGCCAGTAGTACCTCCTCCCTGCACATAGCTGCCGAATGGCTGTACGCTAGTAGCCCAGAATGGCTTATTGTCGCTGTTTGAACCAGTTACGGACATTCTGCCAAAGGCATTACCGACAGAGGCGCTGAAGGCAGATGAACCAGGGGCGAAGCTGCTTCTGCCAGAGAGGCTATCTGTCTTATCACCACTCATGGAGTCTTTTTTCGAATCGAATCCGCTCCAGCTACTTCCAAATACGCTTCTGCCAGTCGGTAAGCTCGCTTTCTCGTCGCTCTTTACTTCAGTTTTAGGATCTGCGTCGCTACTGTCGACAAGCCTCAGCGGACCACTTCCAACAGACTTGGTACCGCTGTTGCTGAGAGTACTCCGAGGTTGATTCGAAACAGACTTGTTTGCTACAGATTCCAGAAGCGGAAGGTATATCGGAGTAAACTGGGAATCCTTAGGTGCTGCAACAGCCGATAAATCGCTTAGCGCTGTGGAAAGAGGTTTCAGCGCATCGCGTGTCGTGGGAGTACTCTGGGTTGCCGAACGTATCGGAGTAACCTGGAATGCTGCATTTTATGAGTAAATTTAGCCTGCCTCAGTTTAATGAATGATATGGCAATTGGAATAACTAACCTGTAGACTTGCGCGGCTGATATTTCTTACAGATCGCCAGGCCTGATTTAAGGACGGCAATGTCATTTTCCAAGTCGGACCTCTCGCACCGGATCTCCGAGGATTCAGCAGCCAATCTCGAAAGGGTTTCGTCGTCCATTCCAAGCACCATCATCGGAGTAAAAAGAGTCGACATTTTCGAAATGAGACAGTTCTCAACGGCAAGAATCATGACGTTGTCCGTAAAGGTTCTCAGCGACATCTAGAAGGCGGTCAGTACATTGTTGTCATTGAGAACTCTGTTCATCAAACCTCATAGTATGTGATCATCATATCGAAAACCCCTTCAAGCCCAAACTCGCTGACTTGGCCATCTGGCGCGTTCGCGATGGCCTCTTTAACGTCGGCAGCGGTAATTTCCCCAACCGAATTAGGGCGGTCAGACAGTAAGAGTTGCTGGACCTGATTACCTAGGCGTGGTTTTGTCTGAAAAGACAACCGCAGGCGAAACTCCTCCTCTAGACAGACAGCATCACCCTCTTGATAATGGATCAGCAATTCGTCCAACTTCTCCTCTAGCGCGCTGGACCTTTCGTCGAAGAACGGTACGACGTATTCTGCAAATATTGCGTCTCGGGTGTTTTCGTCGGCCAGGATGACGTGTTGCAATATCAACTCAACAAATGCTTTCGCAGCATCGATGGCAAGTTCGATGTATGTCTTGGCGATGTCCTTCCACCTTTGTGACTGCTCCCGGAACAACTCTAAGGCGAGCCTGTCATTTGCGGATCCTGGAAACTGAGTACCTTGGTTGTTCGAGGCTTGCAGTTCTAGCCTAGCCCTCAGATCAGTCCAGGATACTGTTACTGGCTCCTCGACTTGGAATTGATCAACCCAGCCCCTCAGGGATTCCGATACAGTACGATCTTGTTCGTTGCCAAATTGGATGTCGTCATTCCCGACTATGCGCATCTTTGAACCGCGTACCGAAATCACGGTGTCGAATGCTCGGTTCAGGTTTCTGATGACGGCACGGAGCTTTCGTTGGTCACTAGAAATCTGCCCTTGCTCCAAGTCGTTCATGTGAAGGTCGGTAAAGAACTTTCCATCGTACGTGCCTCTCACCGCAATGCGAGTGAGATCTCGTACGCGTTCGGCAATGTCAACTAGGTACTGACGAATTTCTAACGTGTTAGATCGCGCCTTGCCGAGACTCTGAAGTCTCTCTTGCTGGGCCTCCAGTTTGTTCTCGATGTCCTCGATCACGCCCGGCAGACTGAGGTGGATGTGCTTGGTGAGCACTTTGCTCAATTTGTGTCTCAATGACCCAACGCCCTTGTTGTTGGATGAATAGTTTGCCCAGACGCCAGAGTCAAAGAACTTTTTTTCCGCATTGTCCCTTGATTCATTTGACGTCCTTTCAGCTCCTGCGTTTCTCTCGTCGCTTTCTTGGCCATCTCTGTTCCGAAGGACGTGCCACCCATGCTTGAAAATGTGAGAGCTCTCTTGATTTTTCGCAAGTTGGACGTATTTTTCCTCTTCGAGAGACCCAGGAGTAAGTGTGTCGGGCTTTGTGACTATGCCCATGGTGCGTTCCCTCAAAGGGTCATGCCTTTGTACTTCGCCCAATACCTTTTGCTGCACAATTTCGTTTTTGGCGGAAACGACGGCGAGGATAATGCTATTCTTCTGTTTCATGTACCTTTCCACGAGGCGCAAGACGGTGGATATCCCCTCTGGAGACTGGTCGGATGTCCCGGCATGGTAGAAGCCTGGCAAGTCGACGAGGGTGAGGGGCTCTAGGTCAGGGCCGGAGACCTCGACGCGGAGCGTGTCCTCGGAAAAGCTGGAAGCATCGTCGCCGATACCCATTAGCTTCTTGGCCTGTTCGATGATTTCTGGCAAATCATGCTTGCTGAATCGCCTCTCGTTGAAGTCGGGCTGTCGGTCGGGGTTGCTGGCTCTGATTTTGACGACAAGTTCTTCCTTTGGTTTCTTGCGAAGCACCAGCTCCGTAGCAAAGCGGGTGCACAATCCACCTTTAACAGGGAAGCGCACGCGCGAGATGGCCTCGAGAACGGAGCTTTTGCCAGACGATTGGTCACCCACAACAATGATCTGTGGGAGGTTCACCAGTTTGCCGACACCTAGACTGCGCAGGCTGTCGATGCAGTCTAGTAAAACCTTTTGGTCGCGACTCAGTTGGCCCAGGGCCTCGGAGTCTAAAGACACGTCTGTCATGGTGATTTGACGATACCTTGCGATTGAATGGATGGTCGCACCTCAAGTGGGCTAGATGATGGAAGGACGCGGAAGGGAGATGTGACGGGAATGATCAGTTGCAGAGGAAATGAGCCCATGGGACGTGCATAAATAACACGAGAGTTGCACAACCAGCCGCACTAAATATGCTCCTCCTATTGGTTGATGCGTGTGATAGTGATAGCCGGCGGGTGGGCTGTCAATTCATTGGCAGATATCGACACAGCTGACTCTGAAACAATAAACTTTACAGGCTTTCAATACCCTGGACCTGTTGATGTTGAGACGCAAATCTGACATTTAGGAAAGGCTGAGCAGCAAGCTTGTACCGGATGGGGAGTAACTGAATAATGAAACAGTTCGGCAGTGGGTTATCGCTGTTGTGAATATCTAGAGTTCGCTCAAGTCACTGCCGGACGCTTATCGTTCGCCCATCGTTATCGTCCTTCTTGGTGTTGAGGTTGTCATTCAACGGGGGGACATCAGTAGCAAGTGAGGCAAGATAAAGAAGACCAAATTAGTAGATTCCTATTAAGATTAATCGCTAATATTTATCTGTACATAGTATAACTTCGGGCGAGTTTTGTCTAAGCCTTGTACTACTCTATCTTTCCCTTCGCTTCGCCCACAGTGAAAATATACAAGATAGGCTGCTTGCCGGCACGTAATACAGACGGCACTATTTATTCAATGACGACCACATATATCCCCATATGCCTTCGTATTTCGTTTCCTAACCATAAAAATCCCCAAAATACTGCCCTTAGCGCTTTTGGGAACATCGGAGCGATATTCCAACCGCCAATCTAGTGCTTGGAGAGTGGTCTCCGACAAGCCATCCACTGGGTCTCAAGCGAGGTGTCCCACCAATTGGTGGAAGCAGAGACGTACCTGGTGATAATATTGGCTACCTCGAAATCCAGAACAAGAAAAAAAACCCTTTCTTGTTCATTGGGGAGGATGGAATCGAGTCAGTGGATCTCGTGTTAAGCCTCTCAAGATTAGGCGGGTGGTCTCTCGCTATCAAGATCGGTGAAATCGGACCTTCGAGTGGTAGAGTGTACAAGGCTTAATAGACGCGATCTGCAACCGGAGGGCTTCGAACTTCCCTCCTTGCTCCCTCCAGTGGACCGTTGTCGTCAGAATTCTGAAGTACTTCTCATTATCCATCACTTAGCCAAGCGCAGCCAGGCTCAGTGAAGGATGCCATCATGGACCAAACCACACCTCTAAACCACTTGAACAGGTCCCAATCTGCAAATCGGTCCACCGATACAGAGTCTGTCTGATCGTGACATAATGGCTATTCGACATCGTCGATGACGCGGCCTGAATGCCAGTTCCTCGATGGTTGGCAAGCGTCGTGAGCAGGCTCCAGTCCGCAATTAAGTGGAAGGAAAAAAGAAAATGGACAGGCGACGGGGTTTGAGGGTTTTTTCAGCTTCCGATCCAGGTATCAGATTGCCATCAATGGGAATAAGGTTCGTGTTCGGCCGCTGGGACATGACTCTCGTCAGAGCATTTGATTCATCAACGAGAAGGTGACATGTGCTGGTGCGCAGGTTAACCACTGGTCCTGAGGTGCAATTTTGTATTCCAAGTACAGCATTCGCTCCTTTCGTTGGCCAGCAAGTGGCGTGGGTTCGGTATAATTCTCCTCCTCATCGATTTTCCCGTTCGTGAGTAATATCCCAGGATTGTGGTCCTCCGGGTGAATGAGGCCTCGCATGGTGTAGTCCTCTGGTAGAGGCCTAGGGACTTCGTACTTCTCCGGACTTGGGAACTTTCCGCCCATTTCTCGTTTGTACTCAAACGACGCTGGCATGACGATGACCAACTTCCACGAAAACGGCGTCTGCGGTATCATATCATAATTGGATATTGTGCCATCTTAGACATGAATACCGGTATTGTATGAACTGGCGACAGAGTGTATATATCCACCTAGCGACGAGTGGCGATGATGTAAGCCGGGGCAGAGGCTTCAAAGCAGCCGTCTGGGTCCAAGACTTACCCAGTGGCGGTAGTATCCCGAAGGGGTCCATGGAAGGAGTGGATACCATGCGTCCACATCCGTGCAGGCATGGCGTATTTGGCAGCGAGTCGGCGAAGTGAGGCGCTAGGTGAGGGTTGTTGGCTTGCAAGGAAGAAGTCGTGGTGTTCGTGTAGGTGTGTGCGGTGAAGAGCAATGGCTTGGAATTGGGGTTGATAGTGTCATGATTCGCATCAGATTGGGCATTGTCGACTTCTATGCACTTCTTCTATACCATGACTAGCCCGGCATAGATGCCTTTAACTTCGGCTACCAGTTGATCTTGAGAAATCGGCTGCATCTCAGGCTGACATATTAACGAGTAAGAGATATATCCCTCGCTGATCTGAGGGCATTTGAATACCTAAATCGCCTTGTCGCATGAGTTCGTGGGAGGAGCGAAGAGGTTAAGGCGCCGGTCGGGAGAAGTTGTGAATGATGGCTTGGCAGATACTTGGCCCATTTCGTAGTTAACTTCCTTCTAGTGATTGGGGAAGGGGACGTAGCGCATTTTCCAATTGTCGTAGTACACTTTCCAAATAAAGGTCTCCTTCCTGCTGCGACCCTCGATTGTGATACCAACTTAGGCACAGAGCCGAGATTACGATGGAGATTGGAATGAGGAGAATCGCGTCGGTTAGCGATGGCTGCAGGGCTGTGATCATGATTGACCACATCGGGGGGATTCCGAGAATCATCCAAGTAGGATTCCTAGAAAAGCGTTAGACCAGCCATAAATCGTCGCGACGGTAACGAGACAAACGTACGCGAGAAGCGTCTGTTCGTGGATGACGAGGAGAGCAAAGACCGTCACTACCCACGCAAGCAATGATCTGTAGTGCATTAGAAATACAGAAAAATAGAACGGAGGGGATAGTCTTACATGCCTATCGCTACGGATGCGCCCGCAAGGTGGTCCTGCTGGCTCCTGGCCAAGAGTACCATGACGGCGGAGCAAAGATTGCTTGCGACGAGGCATTCTTTCCACCGCATGACAGACTTGAGCTGTGATTTCCAGTGGTGCCGCAGAATGAAGTCGTGAAATTCGGATATAAACAATCGCACTGTAGTCGCAATATTGTCGTCGAGTAAACAATGCAGTGTTGCGCAAGAGACCCGGAGTGAAGTTGGCCGATGCGGATGGATGGCATGGATTCAATCCCGGATCTGGGGTGTGATTTATGACAGCGGGCAAGCGCCATGGCAACTTGGACTTTGCGAACTGAAGGCGAACCACAACAGGGATCTTCTCATCTCGGCCCGTTTGCCCTGGTGCAATGGGTGGCGAAGACGCGTATCATGTTGACGCTATGAGGCTTGAGGCTACACCGCTAGGATGGAGGACAGGTCGTAGGCGAACCATTGCGAACCAGCTGTGGCTTAAAGCATTATTACGAAGTAATTGCGTGCTGTGATCTGGTTGGCTGGTGCCGCTATTCCCCCTCTTTGCCTAGTTCTGCCTGCTGATCCTTTACGATGGGCCTTTATTTCAGCACATTTTGATGCTGTGTTCGGCTGGGCCGGCGATATAATTTATCTGCATCGACAGCTAGATTCGACAGAAATCTGTTGCAATGTCACCATATAATCAAATTTCATCTTTTGCGAACCATCAGTGAAAGCCATCGGCCAACATCTGGCTGTAGACGAAAGACGACTGCGTTGTCAACCGCTTCACCAACATGGTCAGGCAAAGCCAGCCGGAAGATGCGAAAGCCATTTTACCAGTCACGGCGAAAGCTGGTATGCTCTGTCCGGTACCAGAGCAAGATGGAGAGACCCGCCATCCACGACACGCCCTGCTCGCGTCTTTCGCAGCTTGCGGCTGCACCGTCGTCTTAAACACTGTCCCAATTTACTTCAACCATGGCTCGACTGACCAAGAATGCGGGGGCAAATTTCCAGTAGGACTACCATCGCATTCTTCTCATGTTAGAATTGTGCTAATCAATTGCAACTATATAGGCGTGCGACCCGCAAACCCTCCAGCCCCCGTCGCGATTACCACATGTCCTCCAACAATACTTCACCTGCCATACTCTGCTTTTCATCTTGGCTCTGTCAACCTTTATACACTGGATATTGATATTCAATCTGTTCCAACAAGGACGGTGGAAGGACTCGTATCTCAATGTGGTTTTGTGCACTACGATGGTGTGTCTTATCCCAGCAGCCTTCTTTGCCCAGGACCCTGCCACCACCTTCGTCCAGATTTTGCCCATTATCACAGATGTCTGTGTGGCTGGGTGTCTTTTCAGAGAACATCTGCTCACGAAGAGACCATGGACGGAAAAATAAGTCTCGTTATGAAGGTGAAAGTTTGGGAGGGGGGAATGGTGGCCAACCGATCGGCCGACGGGGAGGGTGCTACCCATAGTGTTGCCGAATGTCAAAATCATAGTCATGTAATTAGTTTCTTTAATTTGGTTCTGAAAGAATATTTTATGCTGTTTTACTTGACATCCATTACTCGGATGATGGAATGGGGTTGAATTTATGGACTTTGTTTTAAAAGATGGTCTGGTTCAGATCCAACACAACTGATCTTAGCGCCTCGCAATCTTGAAGCTGTTCCACGTAGCTCCATCTCTCCAGCATTTAGCCTCGTTTGTCAACTTGAAACTGGACTCGGTTCCAGAGCAGTCCTTTCCAGTGTATGCGTATACGCGGATGTTCCGGCCAAACATGCCTGATCCTACAGCCTCATAGAAACCCTGGAAGGGACTGCTAGCGTTGTGGCAGGTGTTGAGGTTTCCGATCTTGGTGGTCTGGACGGCCGAACAGCAGTTTGAATCGGTGAAGAGTCTGAGATTGACCGTATAGTCGGAGGAGATGCTGGGAATGGTAGCGCAGGTCGGGTTGTCGGTGTATTCTGGACCGGCTGGGTTTGTCGAGGTTGACTGGGTTGCGTGGGGAATTTCAGTTCCGCTTGGCAGAGTCACAAAAGTCGAGCTTGGTTGAGCTAGCTCGGTAGAGGTAGACTCCGATACTTCGGTAGAGCTGAATTGTACGTCTTTGGTGGAGGTGGGCTGAGTTGCAACAATCGAGCTGCTTCCGTCCTCATCACTCTCCGTGTGAGACACTCGTATCTCGAAGAAATGCACTTCAGTTGGCCCGTCGCCCTGGTTGTAGTTGCCAGCCTTAAAATAGCTGTCGGGTGCATCCAACTCAAAGGTGTCGAGAGTTTTAAAGGTCCCCCCATTGATGCTGACGGACAGCTCGTTGCTCTCATACCGAATCTCGTAAGTGAACCTTTCGCCCTTGGGTACGTTGCTGATGTCGAAACGCTCCTGGGAGCAGGTACGGCAAGTTTGCACTCCCATGGTCAAGGCACCACTGGAACTGTAATAGAGCTCGGCCACAGGCTTTGATGAGATGGAGTCGTCAATGTGGATTTGCCCAATGCAGACGGAGCCATCGTTCTCCGTCACAACCAAGTCAGCGAAGAGGCGGTTGTATGACCCCAACGGACTCCACGAGTCTGGATCATCCTCGCGAAATTCGGTGCGACAATGTTTGCTGTTCGGTGTCGTGACACAATCAGAAGTATCAGGGCCTCCGGGAACCTTCATTACCAAAGCGCCGTCGGCTTCGTTGGTATAAAAGTACTCGGAGTCCTTGAAGCCGCTGCAGCCCTGGAGCTCAGAGCTGGAGATTGTATCTGGGCTTCCTTGGCTACCTGTAGGCATCTGCAGCCTCCATTTTGACAGGTCAAAGTTGCCACCAGGAGCACAACTGGAATCGAGGGCCGCCACGCAAGATATGCTCCTTAGAAAGAGCGGAGACATTATAGTTGACTGAACGAGATGCTTAATCGACATGGTGAAAGTCGTGGTTCGGATTCGCTTCTTGTTTCAACTCGGTGTAAGGCAGTGCGTCTACTGGAACAGAAATTACTGCCTGCGGTCATCTCAAGACTTTAAGTAGACATCCCGAACCATTGTGGATTGCGTTCAGATGAAATCACAACCACTGTAATCCTTGAAACGGCTGTTTATTAGACATGCCGTCAATCACAATCCCGAACACTCTGTGTCTGACGATGTTAATCGACGTCCATCATGCGATGCATCCCATGGCATGAAGAAGTATAGCACCAATTAAATGCCCCTCCTGGACCATCCCTTACGCTGGTAACAGGTCGGACGTAACTTTTCAACTGAAGGATTGGCGAAGTGTTTCAATTCATAAACCTCTTTCCTAATTCATTGTTGGCCCGGAACTGCGGCCGATCCCTGTGCTTGACGGATGTTTCGACGGCACGGATCGGCCGCCAGGGAAAGGCATAATCCCTGCTCTCTGCACGGAGATTTTTATTCTCCAGTGCCATGTTGAGTTTATTTACCCAAGCATTTTCTCCGCGTGGTCAGGAATTTCGCCATATCTTCCGATTCAACGATCCTTCGAGGAGTTAAGGCCTACTCCTGTCTTTCAGCTCCGAGGTATCAAACTCTGCATGGGCAATGTTTACTGTGTACATGTTGACATCTGAGAAAGTTGACGCTAGTTGCATGTGTAAATTAGGTGTTAAAGCTGGAGTGAAAGCTATGACAGCCTTCCTCTCAGCCTGTCTAGCAAATGTGGATCATGACTGGAAACATGTTTTAGATCTGCTGGAGAGATTCGAAATGACAATCAGCAGGACGATGTGGGACAACGTGGGACTGTGAGGATTTTTGGCCTGCCGCATAAATCTGACAGACCACTAAGACTAACCCCTGAATCCTGTCCCCCATTGTAACCCCATCATCTGTATCATCCTCACCATGCCTGCCAATGAAGAGTAAATAGACATTGACAGAATATGCAATCATATCGTCCCCCATGCGATGACATCCTCCCGCACTTGCTTGACCAACACCTCATTGTACCCATCAGCATCCTCATTAAACGCCTCCTGAAGACTCTTTACATGTTCGGGCACTTCCTCCAGACGATTGTATGCGCTCGGGATAGGCTCAAGCATGTGTTCCACCATCGGAATATACCCCGACCACACGTTCGCCATTACCTCAGCATCCTCAACATCCTCCTTGTCATCTGCTGGCGGCCCTGCGCGGACCTTTGCACTGCCGCTGGTGACTCGCACCCGCAGGATCTGCGTCTGCACGAGCTCGACCTTGTTCGGTGGCTGGCGGACCTGGTCCCATCTGCCGGGGATGATCTTGTTGGTGAGCAGCTCCAGCGCCCACAGCTTCTCCGCGTCATCGGTCACGAGACTTGCGTGGCCGAATAGGACTGCTGAGCGGTAGTTGCACGAGTGTGTGAATGCGCTCAAGGCCAGGACGAGGCCGTCTACCTTTGCGACGGAGACGCAGACGGGTAAGCCTGGCAGGCCGTCGTCCATTGCCTTTCTCGCCAAGTTGGTCATCCGGGCCGAGATGTAGCCGTGGATGTAGCAGTCCTGCGGTTCGTTCAGGCTGGCACTTGGGTAGTCGAAGTTCCCCATGGCGCCGAGCATGGGGATGGTGGTTGGGAATGGGTCTTCAGCGTCGGGCTGGAACGAGATGTGGAAGACTAGCGATCGGTTCATGATATCATGGACTGTTTCAAGATCGTACGCCGCTCGTTTTTCGGCCAGCCGATGCACTGTGTTGTGCTGGCCGGCTGGGTATCGCAATGGATTTCTCATGTTTGGTTGTAGGCGTGAAGGTGAAAGAAAGAGACAGAGGAAGCAATAAAGAAGTTGATTTGGAAGTACGAGATTGAGAAGCTCATTCTTCATTATTTGTACAATTGTACAAGACCCTGACAGGCCATTTGTCGGCTTTTTCGGACTTCATCACGTCCAATGAGTGAAGGAGCATCTGGAAGCTGTGGGGCTGAAAAGCCGATAGTCTCCGAAACGAGGGGCGCGTCGGAGTTTGTAAGTTAGACCAACAAAGGTGCAACCTTTCCAACACCATCGCAATTGATCGGACGAAACGGCCTTCCCTCGCACCAACGCGCGCCATGCATCCAGATCAAAGCTCAGCAGCGGGTTCTACACAGCCCAAAAAGCCGAGACTCCGGCGGAAGAAAGCAACGGCATGCCAACGATGCAGAGCAAGAAAGCAGCGCTGCGAGGGCCAAGGCCGGGGTGTTTGTCAAAATTGCACGGCTGCACAAGCTGGTAAAATCTCATTATTGGCTTTCCGTCTCATCACAGCTGAGCTCTGACACCTTGCAGAATGTATACCTGCTAGCCATGACCCTACAGATACCTACTCCGTCTCGTATGTGAAGGACCTTGAACAGCAGGTCGCGCATCTTCAGGGACGTCTCTCCGAAGTGACTGACCCCTTGGTCCGAAACGCGCAAGCAGATGTCGGTCCGGATTTACAGAGCTTCACCCATCTTGCGGACCCGCTCTACCTGCCTCCGATATCCTCAGAGAACACGACTTTCGACTTTCTGTCATATCAAGACGACAACTTGTTCTCTATCACCCAGCCGCCACCTACCCAGATGACCAACCCGGTAGACCCAGGGAGCTACTCGGCAGATGCTACGTACTCTCTAGATCCCTCAGCAGACGCTAGCGTGGCCGACATCTCAGCCTGTGAAGGCGCCTCCTTCTTCCAGACGTACTTTGAGATTATCCACCCTCGTTATCCATTCCTCGACGTCGAGGAGTGCAGCACCGCGTATCTCAAGTGGAAGACGGGCGAGATAGACACCTGCAATGACAAAAGCTGGTCCTTGTGCCTTCTGAAACTGGTACGCATCAGATCCGTCACTCGCAACCCTCTCATTAACATGTACAGATCTTTGCCAATGGTGCAATCCTGCAGCATGCGTGGCTGGATCATATACCCCGCCGACAGCGCCAGGAACTAACCCTTCACGAACAAAGCATCATGGCCGACACCACCTTTAAACCGCTTTCTCGAGTCCGGGAAATGCTTCTCCACGCCTTCCACGCGCTCCACGGGGAGAACACAGCCCGAGTTGTGCGCATTACTGGGATGGCAATGCGCTTTGCAATCATGCATGGCTTTCATAATTTGACTGACGATGGTACTGTTGAAACAGACATGAAGATCAAAGCGTGGTGGTGCATTTACTGGTAAGTTTAGAATCTTGCCCTCTTGACGAATCTAGTTAACAGTGCTCAGCTTAGATAAAGTCGTCGCAATAACACTCCGAATCCCTCCCTACCCGCCAGATGAGTTGATTGAAACACCTGCATATCAACCCAAGCCCGAACCTCAGTTCTTCATGCCCTGGGCGGCTGATGTCCCCGGTTCTTCGGAAGGCGTGCTGTACAGTTTTGACCTACGATATTTTGCATACATGTGCAAGATCAGGCGGCTTCACTCAGAGATACTCGCCACCACGCCAAGGGTACAGTCTGGCTCGATAGATCAACGTCTTCGGGAGCTGCGGGCAGAGATCGATAGATGGACCAAGCCCGAGGAGGTGTTTTCGAATGGGCAAGTCTAATCTTATTACTTGGACGCGATTTGCTTGGCTAATGAGCTGAATAGTCTTCGGAATAGCGAAGGCTACGTCAGCCCTCTTGGCATGATGTACGTCGCAAACATGACTCGAGTCGTGCTGTATAGCTCGATCCCTTTCGAAACGGCTTCAGAAACCACGGACGAGCTCCTCCAAGCGTGTTGTGATTCCTGCGCAACATTTCGAGCACTCCAAAAGAGAAAGCATCTGCCGAAGCACTGGTTTGATGTAAGTGCCAAAGCACTGGTCATGCTCTTTGCTAATCTGCCAAAGATGCTATTCATTTTCCAAGTAGGCGTGACGATGATATACATCGTTTGGCGCCGGGCCATCCCCATAGTGAGAGCCGTCGACCGCGCCATTAGGGATTGCACCACGATACTTTCCATCTTTGCGGACCGGTCACGGAATGCGGACGTGTACCGCGATTGTATGGATCTCCTGGCAAGCAGCATATCTAGAGCAGCTCCATCTGGGAACATTGACACAGAATCGAAGCAAGAACTTGCGACCTTGGTTAGTCAGATGGAGGAAAACCGGCTTGCTAAGCATACTCATGCCAAGTTATTGGAAATGTCGAGGACAACGTGGCACGGAGAAAATAATCACACCACCAATTGATATTATCAGCATCTAGACTCAATTACAACCTCCCTCACATGCCCTCACCTCTAGCGAAGTCACATTACTTTATAATAATCCCGCTCTCCAGAACCATACTCCCCCGTTGACTACAACAAAGTAGCCCCCCTCCCTAACTGACTAATTATCTTAATACGACCTAAGTACCACAGGCATAACAGCAGCCTCGTGTCACAGCCAGGGCCGACCAACCCACGACCTACGCCGTGGGCCTGCTTTTTCGGGATGGAACAACGCATCCACTGTCTCGGAAATCCCGTTCCTGTGGTGATTCTTTGAAATGAGTGGACAAGGGCAGTTTTGCCCGGCGACAAAGGACTGCCTCTTCGAGATTGGGAACAAAGAGACGAAAAAAAAAGAAGAAGAAATGACTGTGGGTGGTCCTACTGTTATTAAACTCCAGAGTGCCGGTCACCACCATCACAGCACGCCAAAAAAGGCGGCGACGGAGAACCTCCGTTTGTCGCAGACACACCACCGCACGGTTCTCAGTCCCAAGAGTATTCCCCCAACCCCGGGTGGATAGTAATTGTAATTTATGCATATAAATGATATCAATATCAGACCGCCATTGTATCCTGTACTCAAGCTCTGATGTCGGAGGCGGAAGTTGGAGCTTTCGCTCGTTCTACAGCTTTTGACGACTTGGATTGAGAAAAATATCTTAGATAATTGGGACGACTTGGGTTGGTCGCTCAATGCCTAGTGACCAGTTTCCCTGCAGAGGAGTGCTTCAAGTCTCTAATAATAACCACTTTGATTCAGGCATAGCCACTGTCGATCAATCGCCAAGGCGCCTTTCCAGTCAGCATACTGCTGATTGGTTTGCGGCACTCAGTGCGATCACCGCTGTACGCGGAGCAACGGTGGCTATGCGAGCCGCTATCGCCAATTGGTAACTTCTGCATCAGTTGCGGCCCCCAACACGGCAAAGACGGCAACGAGCGCAACAGGATGCACCATGACATAATGAAGGATGCTTATTGCTGATGCGGAATATGAGACCGTTGTCGAAATAAAACGCTTTGCTTCTCCACTGTTCTTGTTATCTTATTGATCTCGCCCTCTCGTCATATCACAAAATTGCCTCAAAGCCCTTCCTCGGCCAGGGTAATAGTGATACATTTATGACCTTGCCCGTACCTACTGCATCAACCTTTCAGTTATCCCATTCAAATGCATCCAAAACACCACACAATGCACGCCTCCACGTTTTCATACAATATAAGCAGACCATATCCGTTTGTATGGTTTACTCCAGTCGTTGTGGTGGGGGGGTTGGTGGCAGGAGCCTTGACGGCATTTCTCAGCGTCGCGACTCAGGGCTACGAAATGTCTACCGTATACTCGCCCAACCCCAATTCAACGAACCCGGATGGGAATGTCTTCGCTCGCTGGCCTTCGTTCCTCACGGCAAATACAAAAACTCTCTGCTCTTCCACCACGATACCAGTCGGCACCGATTTCTACACAAACAACACTGCGCTTCAATACAAACTGTCGAGTATTTGGCAGGGCGATAATGGTATGAACCCGCAGAGTTTGTTTGGCTCGCTGCCATATCACAACAATCAGCTGGAAAATTGCTCTGTTGGTGCCATGACAATCACCTTTGAGGGACTCGACCGCAGTGCATTGCAGATTGCCGAACAACAATGGGGAGCAGACTTGACAGCGTTGGTCAACTGCGGCGTAGCCACCCCGGACGGTGTGATGAATGTGAATTTAACCACAACATACAACTTCAACCCAACTGAGAGGTGGTTTGGCGTCAACTCGGCTCGATTTCCTGGCAGAAACAAAACTACCAAGGCGAGCCTGTGGTGGGGAGAATCATTGCTGGCCTGGTATTCAATCGCCTTAACCGACGACATGAACGTCGCAAACGGCAAGTTGGAGCAAGAGCTCAAGCCTGTCTTCAAGGGCTACGCGACTTTTGTTCGCAACGGTACTGGCAAGCCTCTTGGCTCGGAGATCAAATCCCTCGAATTCTTCAACGCAGGCTGCTTCTTTGTCCCGTTTAGCGACAATGGTATTGAGTCGCCCGTTTACTTCTGTCACCGCGAGGGGATGGGCAACTTTGACCTCATCGACAACCTGGTGCATGCCGGCGACAGCGATGCAAACGCGCCACTTCCTGGAATCTGGATTTCAGCGGATAGTTTGTCCAAGGCTTTCTACTTTACGGTTCTGGCGGATCTTGGCCAAACCACTCCGGGTCCTAACATCCTTGCGGACCCAGGATTGCTTGAGTTCTTTTCAAGAAACATCACCGATATCAAAACCAAATCCATGGCTTGGGGGGATAATCTCGGACTTCGAGACATCGCCGACCTCGCCACGTCTCCGTTTAAAGAATCATCGAACTCATCGCTTGGCATCAATTCGTCTGTTATTGCAGCCTCATATCTTTGCCAAGTGCCGCGGCTCAAGAGCGCTCCCTCGCTAGCTGTATCAGTCCTGGTTAACAGCTTCGTGTTACTCTCAGCCTTATGGACATTCTACAAATGGTGCACGGATTCTCTTTTGGCACGCAGGCACCCAGAATTAGCGAATTCTTGCGAGGGCTGCTTGGCGAGGCTGTCTGACAAGGCTAGCCAGAGTTATGATTCTCTACAAAAGCCATCTGGGGACGGACATTCCAGGTCTGTTAGTTATACGGATGAGACTTCTGACGAGGCACATTTTAACTCCCTTCCACGACATGGTTACCATGTAGTTCAACAAGTAGACTAGGGTAGATTTACGGTGTGTGATAATTGGCATGGGAGCAAATAATTACTTTCTGGGATAAATAACAGCTATATGCAAGGTTCCAAAGAAGAAATATCTCAACCAAAATTCTCCATCACTTTGTGGCATCATGAGGCTGGGTGTCCTGACAGGGAATATCAACTTGCAAGCATATAAAACTTAATACAATAGGCCAGTAGCTTAAGCAGATCGCCACAGGATAGATTTAAACTTCTATGTTTTGCCCTAATTTAAGCAACGTGATATTATCACTTTCAAACTAGAGTGAGAATAATATAGAGTGACAGGATAGAAACTGTCGCCCCTGAATGAACAGAGATTATTTTCAGGACAATAGGACGTCGACGACCGTAAGTGCCCTTCAAGGAGCGAGATATGAGATATGACAATTCCACCACCAGCCTTCCACATCGCGATAACCGCGCGCCTTCAGCGCACCCATTAAGGGATACAGAACTAGGAACTAGATCCGTGTCCAAGCCAGGGGTGCCGAAGAAGGTCATTTGCGGAAAGGCGGGCTTCTGGGTCAATCTTCATGAGTGCGTGAAGAAATGATACAAACTTCTGCCGTGGTTCCTCTGAAAGATCCTCCATAAACTCATCTGAGCTTAGGGTTGGCCGGTCCATAGGAGGGGCATCCTTGATGTTGCCAGTTGCGTCAAAGTAAGCAGTAATCTCAGGACTGCCCTTGTTAAGAAGCGCTCGGGGGAATGGACCAAAGAAATCTACAATCTCTCGCAAATGCTCCTTCACCTCATAATGTCCATCGGGATCAACGCGGCCGCTAAACATGCGTACCGCTCGAAATACCTCGAGAATTACTGCACCAAGGTTCCACCAGTCCGTGGTCTGATCCCACGGTGCTCCAATAAGCACCTCCGGGGACCGGAGTGCAACGGGCTGGATCAAGTAGGTCAGATGGTTTTTCGCCCAGCTGGAAACGCCCCAATCTCCCAAGGCAACATCAAAACCCATCGGTGAGTCGGTCGGGTTGAAGTAAAACCCGTTGAGAGGCTGTGAAGGGACTATAGTATACGTGTCGCCGTTCTTGTCTTTCTCGGGTACCGGGACTTGTTTCAAGTATCCTGTTTCGATCAATGAAGGGTCCCTGAATTTGACAAAGATGTTATCCGGTTTGATGTCTATCAGGATTAGAAAATTGACATGTTTAATAGCGATTGATGATGGTCCATTACCTGTATGAATGACGTTGCTGTCGTGGGCGTAATCCAGTGCAGCGAGAAGTTGGATTGTGAATTTTTTCATGACTGGGTTTGGTATCATGTCCCCCTTGAATAATGTACCAAAGCTGCTCAGTGTTTCGCCCATGAGATCAAAGACAAGGCAGACATGAATCCCATTGGTCCCGCGATGTTCAAAGTCATCCACAAGGTGGCAGATGTACTTGTATCCACGATTCAATTTGTTGCTGTCCCGGAGATGCTTCAGGATCTCCCTCTCTTGTATTGGCTTTTCCGAGTGATAAGCCTCGGCGCTTAGAACTTTGAGTGCGAAGTACTCGCAATAATCGGCATTGGCATCGGCATCTCTACTACAAGACAGTTTGAGGTATTATTCCGGAAGGAAACAATGGGCAGTCACTCACAGAGTAGATATATCCTTAACTAGCCATACTGTCGAGTATTGGCCATAACCGATTTTGTTCAATACTTGATACCTGTCGTGATAGACGTCGCCGATATAAACGGGATGGAAGTGACCAGGGCGATATGACGATATACCCTCCTCAATGTCCTGAGCTTCCTCATCATCATCCTGCGCAACTTCGGCTGCTGCCCCTTGGCTTGTCATCTGAGTTTCCCCCTCTGGGCTCAGGTCTGTACCGGATGTTTGCTCATTGGCCGGATAGAAAATGCCAGGTTGAGGGTTGATAATTGCGCTTGCCTCATTGCCTGTCACGTCATGTGTGGATGCCATAATTTTGCCGTTGGACGTGTGCGTCTGAAATGCGGATGAGTTCAAATCTGAGTCGCGGTGATGGACACTGAGTTGCGAAGCACAAAAATCAACATGTCTCCGGCAAAGACGGATAAACACGTCGTATTCCAAGTCGATTAAGATGGACATGCTTCCGCAGTATCCTTCTTCCGGCGCGGCTCCACAGCAACTTCATGGCCTCATTGGGCAACGTGCAAATGTGCAAATTCAAGTTCTTGTCATTCAGAGCTTCACTCCAAAACTACCTCAACCAGCTGCGACGGGTCTTCGATTGTTGATTCCCCATGCATAATCCCAAAAACAAAAGCCTCTCCAATAAACCGAAACGATTCTGACTCTCCCTTCCTTATGATCATTGGAACATCAGCTCCATCCAACGCCCAAATTTCGTCCGTTTCAAGCAAAGACTGAGGGCCTACGCCGATGCGACCATCCTCGGTGACGAACAACCGTCTGGAGTCCAACTTCATTCCGATGGCCGCCTTGAATCTATCAATACGGGCCCGTATATTTTTGACACCTGGGCCGTCTACGCGGAGAGGGTCGAGTTTATCAGCTGTAACACGGATTCGCTCAGCATTTGGGAAAATATCGTCTTGGGCAAGTTGCGACAGCCGGATAAGCGCAGTTTCCAACTTCTTCGCCGTCTTGACGTCGTCCTTTATACGCTTCTCCTGGTTGTATTTCTCTATTGAGTCAAACCACAGTTCTGGGGTCGGTAGGGAATCTTCCAGTGAATCTTTACTGCTTTCCAATACACCAAGGCTGTTTCTGCCAAATGCCATGATGTCGAATTTTTTGTCGTCCATGCGATATGCCATCTGTATAGTCTCTGCCATCCATCCGTCTTCATAGTTGGTATTAGGATTTCGAAGCGATGAGAGTAGCGAGATGCACCAGTCACCAAATTCTTCGTCCAAGTCAACGGTAGAAGCACCTTTCCCAGAGGATGGATCGGTAGATGTAATCAGGGTTCTCCACAGGGCTTCACCGAGCTTGAAAGGGCCGGTTTTGACATCAGACAACCCACTCATGAAGTCAAAGAGCTGGAACCATTCATCACTCTCCGACAAAATGTTGAATGGCACCGCACAGTGCGTAATGCCGCAGATTCTTTGGCCATGTACACGAAGTGAGCTGCCGTCAATGGATGGTGGCTTCTTTGATGGCGCATTTCCTCTCACTCTCCAAGGGCTAGAGGCCTTGCCATGGGTGACGCCGGCATCGAGTGGCAATGGCAGCAGGGGAGCTGCCGGGTCTGGGAGCCATGACGGAAAATCTTGATTCCCTGGTGTCCGGTTCGCTGAATCTTCAACTTGGGAGAGGATGTTTAAGGACCCTGAAGTTCGAAGGTAGTACTTGGCGAAGTCAAGGGCCACCTCTTGAAGACTTCGACCATAGTCGATTGTTGGAAAATTGGTCAAGCCAGAGATTTTGAGTCGAAGTTGGGCTAGTCCAACCATGGCGTAAAATTTGTCCACGGTCACCGTGGCATCAAACTGCCGGCCGACAAGTAGCAGAGTTTCGGAGGATGCAGAGACGTCCTTGATTGTGTCCCGGGCCTTCAAGACTGCTGAAAGCTGCCCACCAAAGCGGACATGTGACCTTAACCTGTTCGAGCTCATCTGATCTTTGACAGGCCCAAAAACAATAGCAAAGCGTGACAACATCGTCCAAGCTCTGGACTCTTCCAGAATTCGGGAGCAGTGAACGAGATCATCCCAGGGAATTGCGAAGTCTCCGCAAACAACAATAAGCTCATTTGCCATCGCTATCTCCTGCACTATCCATGCTCGTTTGAAGTATGGTCTTGAAAGAAGAGCTCCAAGAGCAACCCAGTCGTGGTTCGACGTGTTCTTGACAAACTGAGCAACGTCAAAGTCGGGCCGTGTGATCAAGCTTTGAGGGATGCTGCGCAGGCTATTCAGGACAGTGACAGCTTTGTTTGTTTGTATGTCGGACTCCCCAAGCCAAGACACCACACTCCGAGCCTGCGAATAGACTCGATTCATCATCGACACTTGAGCCGCTTTCTCTGTGTCGTCCGATTGATTGACGCAAAGCTGGTCAATCCAAATGCGGGTATCTTTGACATTCCACAATGGCCCGCTTGGTAATGCAGCAGTCAGTCGCCTGAGGAAGCAGAAGAGATTATAGGTAACCCGTTTCTTGCGGCCGTTGCAGATGATGTGGAAGATTTGCTCGGCGCGCTTGCTGTTGTACTTTTGGTTGACGGGAGGCCGATGATCTCCCCAGACATAAGAAAGAGCGTTGAAAACGGGATTCTGGTTCAAGTCGACATGTTCAAGGTGTACGAAAATGTAGTTCTGGTTGGTTTCTGTGCTGGGCGTGTTCACGAATGTCAGCAGCCGGATCGTGGTTCCCGTTTCGAGGCCCTGGTACTGGAAATCGTAAATGGAGCTGAGGTCCGGTAGATACTGTTGCTCGAATGCGGAGTGGAACTGTTCCATCAAGGTAGGGTCAAGCACTTGGTCAAGGAACTGTTTCATGCCAGGAATATCGATCTGAGGGACGAAGCTAATTGCTTCGCGGATGCCATCTTGGCAGGATGCCATGGCCGACGCCAACTCTGAGGTATTCATTTTCTCTAGTTGGTCATCCGAAATCGCGTCAGGGTCTTGCTCTGGGCCACTAGCGAAGGCATGTAAAGCTTTGATTGCACCCAGGATGCCATCCAGCACCTTCTTCTCTTCATCGTTGAAATGAACATTTTGCATTTGATTCAAAAGGGTTTGAAGAGTCGCGTCGAAGTCGCTCGAAAGAGTGTCATTGTAAAACTCCTGTGTCAAATTGTCTGCTTGTGGCGAGTGTTGCTTCGCTGCTGCCTTAGACCGCCCGGGGATGGTTGAGTCTTCTGTCAGGAATTCGTCGAGACCAACTGTGTCGGGATCCTGGGATCCGGAAGGTGGCGAATTTGAGGTGAAGAATGCAGTTCTCATCGCTTCCTCGAGCCGTACCAATGTGGCATCTTCTTCGCCATCGTGCGAGGCTTGTCGGCCCGTCATGGTTTGGTGATTTCGTTCAGTAAAGGCTCTATTCCTTATCGCGAAATGAAAAGCCAACAACAGCCTTTGGATCGGAGATGGGGGCGGGATGATGTGACATTTCTAGAAGTGAATATTTATTGGGCATAAATTGAGGCCTCCAACGCCAGTCTCAGTTGGGAACCCTAGTGCGACTCAAGTAGCCCGAATGAAACTGGATAATGGGCGATGAGGCGCTGAGGCGTTTCTCGTGCAAATGTGTGACATTATCGCAGCTGAATCTGCCTCGCCTAAGGTAGTGGCTGCATGCCAAGTTACCCTAGAGGCATCCAGATTCGCTCAGAGATAACCGACGATGCAGCTGCAACTTTCGTCATGCACCATGGTATCTATTGACGGCCGCACTGGAGTAACTTATTAAATTGATAACTGCGTCTGTCCACATCCTCAATGACACCATATGAGACACCAGGCGGTATCAAGACGAAGAGCAAAACCTGCCTCCTTCCACCCGAAATCCAGACACGATTAAAAAACTCATCGTAGAATACAAGATATTCAAGGTTCTAAAACATTAACACTTCTTAATACTTCTTAATACAAATCACCAAATTCGAAGTATACCACTGTCAAAGTTAGTTCACAACACCCACAACCATGAGTGGGCCAAATACGTTGATGCTCACCCACAGCCCGATCTCGTGTCTTTCCACTGGTCGGAGTTTAGTGTAGAATTCTTTCAAAAAATTGGAAATCTAACAATCGAATGGATTGAGTATATTGATAGCCACCTAAAATTAGATGCTGAAGGTTGATAAGTCAGTGTGTTTTGGTTTGGGTTCGTAGTGGAGGCCTGCCATATCTTTCCTTCAGTTCAACTAAGCTCTGAATAGTCAATGCCGGTGACATTAGCATCTTGATTCACTCAAGTGTAGGATGTAGAAAATGCGATACGGCATTCTGCTATGAAAAGCTCTCCGAAAGCGGGATATTTCTGGAACTTTGCGACACTTACTCGATCGATGGTGTTCAGATCTCGCCAGGAAACGGATGGTATGGATTTAGTCCAGTATGGCCGTCTAACGCCGGGGCTTCGCCAGTGTCCTACAAAATTCCACATGATTTCGAGAAGTCTACGAACTGTATCTTGTCGATGTTTCTGGGTCCTGTAAGGGAATCTGGGTCCAAGGGTTGACCCAATCGCGATGGCGAGCTTGGGGGTATGCACCTGCATCTCCAGGCAGCAGGAAATGGTCGTCATTGACAGGGCATTTATTCCCTCGTCGTAGCTGATGTCAAGATTCCAACCCCACACCATACAACTTGCTATTATTGTGGCCATAACTTTCCAGCCAATTTTTGTCCCCATTTAAATCAGAGAACTGTCATCGATATTTTTCGTCATCATGAGCATTGTTACACCAGGTTTACTCCGCATGCACTACGATGAAGCGCACCGGGAAATGATTGAGGGCCCCAATAACCAAGACAACAAATCCTGGGAGTTCTGGCAGCAACTTGTAATCTCGGCCTTTCACGAAGTCAACAGGAGCTCAATAATTGCCGGATCTTCGTCTAGAACATCCATTCGACAGACTGAAATTGTGGTACGGCGATACGATGAGGAGAGTGACGGGTTGTTCTCTGCCATGTGCGTTCGTTGCCGGCGCCCTGACATCAGCCTGGGAAAGATTGAGCAAATGGCCCTCGACGCAGCGAGAAGTCACATTGACAAAGAGAAGCTTGAATGGATCTGGGCCATGACCACCTTCGGTGTCTCGTTCCGCGTGTGGTTCGTCGACAAAGACGCCGTCCGGCTGATTCCGATGCACGGGACGGCCACTGACGGCGACGAAGGGCAATACATCGACGTGGCCTCGCCTGAAGCTAGCGTTATCTCCAATGTCGCTCAGCTTATTAGAGAGGGGTTGCCACTTGATGCAGCTTCTATTCCCACCCCGGGGACTGATTGAGGGGAATGAGGTGCCGGGAGATGATGGCAAAAGCATGTATTGACATCTCAGGCGGAATACTCCAGCTAAACCTAACTAATAATCTATTTGCTCGCAACAATCTACTCGCTGTGATACAGCAAGGAGACTCTCAGGCCGAGGTAACTACTCCCGTATCTATGGTGAAATCTAAAGTCGCCAAGAACCTAAAGGCCGAACAGGAAAATCTGAATTCTAAGAAGCCTGGGCCCGCTACGTCTGAGAACCTCTAGGATAATAAAACTTTTAATTTCGGAATGCCTGAGCCTATTAAATAGAGAATAATCATCTGGACTGATAAGAAACGGTAAGCTCTGGATGGCGAGCCAGAATCAGAAGTAGAGCCAGCGTCAAAAAAAAAAAAGAGGTAACTGTCAAATCTAAAGCCTACCCTCAAGGTAAAGCCTAACGTCAAGTTAAAGCCTAACCAAAATTATAGCCTGACTAAAAGTTAAAGCCTGTCCCCAAGAATCCACTGCCGCCTCCTTTAGGTCATAAGTCTATAACTAAGTTAGAAGCCAGGCCGCCCAACAGCATAGGCATACGCAGCAGACCGAGGATAATACTAACAAACCATAATATACATTTAAGGATATAGAGCAGACCGAGGCTGATGCCGACAAAACACCCGAAGATGCGCCCAAAGACGAGATGGCCAAGGCCGATAACACCACCGCCGCCGGGGCAAGTTAAGTCAATCAAGGACACACCACCCTGTTGGCGAGCCATCCATTGTTCATATTCCGTCTTGGGAAGACGGGTGATATATTCCTTCAGGTCGTCGACATGGACTCTCTGCTCTCTTTTCACCGTCAGTCCATGCAATGGCCCATGATCTGCTCCTAGCGTCGGTGGACTGCGTCGCGGGGGGTACGGCCGCCACGTGCGACAAAACCAAGGCACTAGGCTACCAGGGCACCTCCCATGAGGCGAGCTGAGAGACGCGCCGAGAGGGGGCCAGCGACGGCTGAGAACCGGGTTGGGGAGGAGACGGGGCCGGGGACGCGCTGGTGGAGACAGCAGCGGAGACAGACCGAGAGGTAGGGCCGGAGCCGGAGCTAGAGCGAGAGCCAGAGCCAGGACCGACGGCAGAACCGGAGACGGGGACGGAGCCGGAGACCGGGGGACCAGAGACGAGGCGTATCCCGGTGTCGATCTTCTGGCGGGAACGGTAGCGGGAGCGGCCATTGTGTGTGCGTGTGTGTGTCTGCGGGTGGTTCGTCGCCGTGGCTGTCAAGAACAACACTCAGTTTCGGAGCTGAGGAACATAGGGAAGGAACGGCCCCTCAAAACCTGTGTAGACAGTCCCAATAGAGCCGTGACGACCGACGTGACTACTGCCCGCGCCAAGGCCTAGGTGCGATTGTCAGTAGTGATCGTCCAGCGCCTTCCCATATCCCAGGTTCTTCCACGAAGTAAGAACCACCGCGACAGACCCGTCCAGGAGATTCCGGTGACCAACCGCGACGTCGGTATAGCACACCGAACAAGATTGGACGGACCTTAGATGTCTACCTACTGCATCTGGGCAGAATCGACTTGGCGCTAGATGCCAGCAGCTTATCCTGTGTGTCCAGAGGCACTGGTGTTTGGCCCGAGATGCACCGCCCGACTCGAAGATGAAGTCGTGCACGTCATGCCACTTGAGATGTGCGCGGCAGTCTTCAAATCGTGGGTGTTTTCTCATCAACTGTCACAGATGGCTGACTCGGCGAAGCGACTGAGATCGCTCGATCATGGGTACAGTGCCGTTTCAGTCTTGAGGAGAAAGCGCCCGTCGTCAACTCGAACTGAGGTTCAATCCACGTGCGGATGGTTATTATTTTCAGTCTTGTTGAGTATTGCAGAAAGAGAAAATGCGATATGTTGTGGTGAAGAGAAAACTGGGGTAGCGATGGTCTGATGGTCTCGTTTAAATGTAGTTTGGTATAAATTAAGCTGTTTTGGGACGCCGCAAAAGCGTAGATGGCCGAAACCCAAAAACTGATAAACCGCAGTACATTTCATTCCAGTTCATCTCGACGGATCAGTGCTTAATCTGTCATTCCCCTAATATTCAGTGGATTCAGCCCTTGATCCCCTAAGATACTCACTACCTAACCTTTAGGTTAGGACTACAGTTACCCTCAGTTATTATCAGGGGACCACCTACATTGATTCTTTAGTACACTTAGTTTCTGCTCCTTCTCGCCAGTGCTGAACTTGCTGGACTTGTCTGGCCCACTTGTTAACTGCGTCTTCACTGATCTAATCGATATGGGCTATGTTTTAGCCTACGTCTGCTGTCCAATGTGATTTTGGCCTAAAAAAAATCGATTGCATGTAAGAGGCACTACATACCGAACCCATTTAAGGAAGGAACCTTTTGAACATTGAGTTATGCATCAACGTTGGATGGTCTTTTGATGGCAACTCATTTACGTTTCTTAGTCATGCGAAGAACGGAATGTTTAAGATTTGGAAACTATCTAGAATAGATCTCAACTGCCAAGAAGAGATCTCCTCTTACATCGACAAGCCAGCACCGATAATGACAAAACAAGAAGCCCAAGTAACAAATCAGGCAAAACCACATTTAGCAAGCTGGGCCAATCCACTGTCAGAAATTTCCTCAGCAAGAGCCAGCGCACTAGACGTAAAAGTCGGGGGAGATCTGGGTCTGAACCTGTAGCGGCGTATCGGCATGCTTCGATTGGTGATATCTGACGAGGTCATTTTCTCTAAAGTAGCCCTTGGCCCCAATCCTGTCGCAACCAGGGACCAAGCATGGAAAGTGAGACAGGTTGTGGACGGATCTCATGTGTTTGTGGTAGTCTGCGTTCTTGGCAAACGGCCTCGTCTGTTCCTGGACCTCTTCAGGCAGGAGGAAGAAGTCATGTCCCCGGTAATGGGTGCAATCAAGGGCCGGGCAAGGCGGGACGAAGGTAAAGCCCGATCGGCGCCGTGAAGGCGCAACGTCCAGAACAACTTCGTCCGGGTCGCATTTGTGGTATTCCACGAGGTGCTGGCGGAGGTGATCCGCGCGATAGAAGGCGCTTTGCCCCCGACGCTTGCTGCATAGTGGGCAATGATGGTCGGGTTCTCCATTTTCGGCCTTCAAGTGACGAGAGAGGTTGTCAGATCTGGCAAACCTTTGGCCGCAGGTGCAGGCAAAGGGCTGGTGGAGGTATGATCCATGACGATCTAGAGCTGTCTTGGTTTGTAGGACTTCTCCACAAGAAATGCATTGGCGGCTGTCTCGAACAACAGCGGCATGCGTGATGATTGTGCGTGTTGTGCTGCTCGGAACCCCATTGGATAGTTAGTAAAAAAAAAAAATACCTGGGTTGGGCCGCGTGGTTCGTAATCAGCTCGTGGAGATTGGGTCGAATGGGAGCTAGGTCCTCATCAGGAAGACCGGGAACGAATAGTGTCTGATTGGCCTCGAGGCCATGCATGAGCTCGTTGTCATTCTGGTGAGACATGGTGGCGTTGTGCGTTGTCTTGAAAGCGGCGTTGTCTTGAAAGCGGCGGTGTCTTGAAAGCGGCGATGTAGGCTGATTGGTTGTTGTCGGGTGTGGTGCTGATGAAACAGACCGTTAGAGTGAGTGCATCTGAAGGGGGAGCACGCTACTATTGACTCTGCGTCTGGTGTCGCTCTCGCTGCTTTAACGAAACACATCAGCATAATAGGGCGGACAACATGCAGCTGCAAGTCTCACGTCCGAGCCTCCTTATAGGTGGCCCAGAGACCTAGCCACGTCAGAAGACGTCCGCCCTATTCTGCTTATTGGCCAATCCGACAACAGCCCTGCGTTGCCTCGTTGCCTTCTTTTCACGCGTGCGTGCCCAATCCAATTGTTCGCATGGGATGTAGCATTCTGTATGATGACGTTGCTATTTTCTGTAGTTGCAACGACCACCAGACTCCGCGTGGGAAGTACGTGTCAAATCACACGTCCTGACACTGATGAGACGTGGCACCCACAGCATCTTGAATTTCAAGACAAGAGGGTATTTCGAGTTAGCGCATTCGATTCCTCGGTCTTTGAAGTTTCTTTTATGCATACTTCTTGCCACTATAATGTTTGACATCCTCGACGTGGATTCAGGTATTCGAAACCACGCTCACAGGCTAACGGGTTGCAATTTGGTACTACTCACGCCGATACATTAAATTCGAAGAATTCGCGTAGCTTATTCACTCTTGTTTTATGTCATCGAAACCACGGGTCATATTTATCTTTGTGTATTTCATTTTCTCCAGACTGAATCGGCACATCTAAATTGATTCGCTCTCTCTAACCAAAAAATGAATAGATGAACCGCCGACCGAAATGCCTCACGCAGTATATAGATGCACGATACGAATGCTTCCAACCACGTCCTTTACTTTCAATCAATTCCACTAGTAACTCAGTAATTAGCTAGCTCGTGGCTTCTTCGATCGCTGTTATTTCTTCCCCTCAGGCTAGCATCACCTTCCATGTCCTACTGTTTCAGGTATGATGGAGTGCAGCTGCTGACTGCATCTAAACCGAATGATGAAACCAACGAATAGACATCTGCCACGAGGTAAGACCCACCACAGTAAATATCTCCAATTTCTCCATCTTGGAACCAGCAAAACCCAAGATCATTTTCTGAGCAACCTGAACACCGACACGATGGACAGCCAAGCTATTGTCCAGTACATGGATGAACGTATTGAAGTTCTCCAACAGACGAATCCTACCTTTCACAGAACTTCATTTACCTTTGAAAACCCACACACTTGCCAGCATTGCCAGCAGGAAGCCATCCAAATTGAGACGCGCTCTAACACAAACCTCTGCTTTGAGTGCATGTGGAGTGGGGTGGGAAAGGCAGCAGAGGATGAGCGACATAGAAGATGCGGAGGATGCAGCAGACTTCTTGAAAATCCCGACATGAGAGTGTACTCGGCAACTCTAAGCTACAGTCCATCTCAGGCCATCGGCGCTTCTCAGTCCGGTTGTGCTTTCTACGAATTACTGGTAGACGACCTCCTCTTGTCTCAAAAGATGTTCGGGTGGACGAGGGCCAAACCCATCTTCTCAAACGATTCAAACAGATTCATGTTATCTTTTTCCTCCTCTGCTTCCGATCCACATCCTACGTGTACGCTTTCAGTTCGGTTTGGACCGGCCGACGGCACAGCAACCGGATTCAACTCCATAGATTCCAGACAACTAGAGGCATGGACAACGGCGACTAGCAAGGCTTCGAGATACATTTCATCCCGGCCGTACGAACGAGATGTTACGTCCTCTGCATCGATAAACTTCGCTCAAAAATGTCTAAAATCCTGCTTGGAAACACACTATCGATGTCGCGGACGGCTAACAGAGGAATCCGACCGTCAAGCACGTCGTCCCGACTACGTAATGGCTACAGAGTCAGTTGAGATCGCTGATATCCCATCACGTCTTCTGCATATCCCCCCCGACATTAGTCAAACTCGTGCCAAGCTGGTACAGGTCCGCGATCTCCCCCACGAAGAGAAACTCGAAATATCGCAGTCGGGTTTTGCTGTTCTGTCGTACTGTTGGGGAGGTAGCCAGCCCGTCATGTTGACTACGGCGAACTTGCTACACCTCACCTCTGGGTTTGATGCATCTGAAATGGCACAAACAATTCGAGATGCTATGTGGGTGGCCCAGGAGATCGGTCAGAAGTACTTATGGGTTGATGCACTCTGCATTCTGCAAGATGATGGACGGGACAAGGAGCGCGAGATTGCTCGGATGGGAAAATACTACGGCGGCGCCACAGTTACCATTTGTGCGGCTTCTGCTTCAACTGCCCGAGAAGGGTTTCTCTCCAAGCGAGAGGCGCGTTCATACGCAGCGGGGCCAATTCGTCTACCACTACGAAGCAAAAATGGCGATGGGGAGGGAGAGGTCTTCGTGCTCACGGAGGATCTGGATGTGGAAGAACCAACGACAACCAGAGGGTGGACTCTGCAAGAGTCTCTCCTATCTCGGCGTATTTTGATCTTCACGCAGAAGCAAATCTACTGGTGTTGTGTCAACTCATACGCCGGCTGCGGCGGCATGCATGTGAGCCTTGTGGACCGATTTGTGGGAGGCAAAGAATCGCTAGTTGAGAACATTTATCCCATGGGTTCTATGCTGGACAGGGATATGCTTTCTCGCTGGATCCTCCTCGTCGAGCAATACACCAAACGTCGCCTAGGATTCGAGGGAGACAAGCTCCTGGCATTCTCAGCTGTTGCTGCTGATTCTGTGGATGTTTACAAAGGCCGTGGCAAGGATGTCATATACCTAGCCGGCCTGCTTGTGGAGCACAAAAACCAGATGTCTTGGCTAGATCAGCTCCTTTGGTATCCTTTTCCGGATATTGCAAATTCAACACGGGCAAAGGGTTATCGAGCTCCATCGTGGTCCTGGGTAGCACTGGATGGCCGTATCGCTGTTGGATCGAATCTAATAACGGAAACAGAGACACACTTCGAGATGGCCGCAAGGGTAGAGGCCCATCATATTGACCTCTCCGATCCAAAAGCTCCGTACGGCAGCGTTCTAGGAGGACATCTCACGCTGTGGGCGAAAGTGCTACCAGTACGCGACTGCATGAAGCTATCGCTCCCAATTGAGGTTGTGGCCGATTGGACTACTGTGGCTTCTGTCGGATCGTTTTTTGCCGATCCTAAGGATGGCTTACCAGCCAGGATTGAGCTATTCCCCGATACGAAGGAAGATCAGCAAATCATCGAGGAACAGAGTATTGATCCAAAGTCTCCATCCCATGACAAAATTCAGCTTGTTTGTCTCTTTGAGGCCGATGCTGAAATGGGAGGGGTACAGAGGGTAGGCGATGCTGGTCTTATAGTAGCAGTTTGTCCTGGTCCTGCGGAGGATACGTTTTCACGCATCGGTCTCTTCCGAATTCGCAGAGATCTGAAGTCGTTAGAGTCCAGCACGGGGGGTATCTCAGGACGTAATGGTCGAAGCGTTTTCGATGGGGTTCAAAATCGATTGATACAGATTGTCTAGTAATGAGAGCCATGGACGTTTGAGGATGACGGTGATTAAAATCTAGTCGGTCCGACCCAGCAGTGCTAAACCAGGCGGAATCATGTACCACTGAATTGGTGTGCGCCCTATCAAGGGCCAACCCCCATTTCTTTTTCCTAGATTTTGGCATTTTCTTTCCCAAATTCCAAATATTTTCCAGCTGCATCAGAGACGGAAAAGCCTCACCAAGTATGCCTGCAGCACCGCCCCAGCTTGGCGCTACACAGCCTCACCAAGGCTCTCCACTAGGCTTTCTCAGCCGCTCAAGATCTCAAAAGACATGGCGTATCGCTGTCTCCATGCCCTGCTAACCTTTCTTACTCAACCCGCTGCTAACGAAAGTCCATTGATGGCATGTCAAAGAGATGGATCCCCTTAGCGTCGTGGCTAGCATCTTCGCGGTGGTCCAGATCGCTGACAGGGTCATATCGCTGTGCAAGTATTACCTCGAACTTTCGCGCGACGCTCCCACCGATCTTCGAGCCATCTTGATCGAGACGTCAGCTCTGCGGACAATATTGGATAACATACAATTCCTCGCCTCTAGTGGACATGGACCGACCACTTTGAACACCCTAACTAGAGATGACGGTCCTATCGAGGGCTGTCGCAAAACCCTCAACCAGCTGGACGGACTATTCTCGTCTGATTACCTGCATCAGACGTCAGGCAACAGGTCCAAGAGACGCAAAGTGAAGGCCACCTTGACAACTCTGGCCTGGCCCTTCAAAGAAAACACGGCAAGGAAACTGCTGGTAGAGGTGGTGCAACACAAGACTACGCTTAATCTTGCTCTTACAGTTGACATGTGGTGCGAAATCAAGCGTGCCATAGGTACTTCGCGTACAATGGTGTCGGATACTAATATTGGATGTAGTCATGACATCAAAATCATCAAATCCCAAGCAAGCGAAATACAGGCAACTCTCACAGGTATGACAGCTTTTAGGCACATTTGCCTTCCAAGTCCATGGTTTCTTGCTAATAATTCTCCTCATTCAAGAGTTTCAACGCCACGAGGTTTACAAGTGGCTTGGTGACATAAATACATCACCTATCCACCATCGAGCTTGCAGTCAGTACGAATCCGGCACTGGAGACTGGGTACTTCGCTCCGATGATTGGAAGTCATGGATCTCAGGTCAGAAACGCTCACTGTGGATCCACGGAATTCCAGGTGCTGGTAAAACGATTCTTACGTCCCATTTGGTTGAGACTGTTAAGACACACTGCAATGCTAGCGGTTCCAAGAGCGCATACGTCTACTACTACTGCTACTTTGGACATAACACAGACGAAGCCTCACCCTTCTTAAAATGGACAATCAGTCAACTATGTCGGAAGGCAGACATCGTGCCAACTAGCTTGTACAAGCTCTACAAGTGTGGTGAAGAATTGAGCTTAGCCAATCTGCTGAGTGTGCTCGAGGCAATCCTCCAGGAGTTTGACTGCGTTTATGTCATCCTTGACGCTATCGATGAGAGCATTCCGAGGACTGGCCTACTTCACGTCCTTCAAAATCTCATCAGCGACTTGAGATTCTCAAAGATACGCACCTTAGCCACCAGTCGAGAGTACATCGACATTGAAGAGATGATGGAGGGTATTTCGGTACCGATTTCTATGAGAAACCCTTTACTCGACGAAGACATACGACTTTTTGTCCAATCACAGCTTGGGACTCACCCAAAGCTCAAGCGCTGGCCAGCTAGCGTACGAGACCGCGCTTTGGAAGCACTGTCCACAAAAGCCAAAGGAATGTGAGTGATACTTTATTCCTCGTCGCCACCATGTTCTAAACACGTAAAAAGGTTCCGCTGGGTTGTCTGTCAAATTGATGTACTGCAGCATCTGAAACCCGACGGCGATATCATTGAGAAAGCACTTGCAGGATTGCCGCGAACTCTGGACGAAACATATGAGCAAATATTTCTTCGAGTCCCCGATGAAGCCCGGCTGGTCGTTCACCACGCATTGAAGTGGATTTATGCCCACAATGCATTGCACCGGGGCAACATACCTCTCTCTAATCTCGTCCAAGCCTTGCAGAAATGCGCTGATAGAGGCGACTCAAGTGAATTTGAGTATGACTACAACGAAGCCCTCCTCCGCGAGTTCTGTGGATGCTTGATTTGGGTGTCACCGCAAGCTTGCAGGCCCAGCACGGGCGAGCACTTGCAGCCCAGGGCTGTCGTATCTATTGCGCATTACACAGTCTTGGAGTTTTTGGAGTCCGCGAGGATACGAAATGGACCTGCTTCTCTCTTCGCCATCGATAAGGAGATTGCCAAACTCGAGTTTGCTAAGATTGTCATGGACGAAGCTCTGAACAGTAAAGAGAACGAGCTCTGGGAACCAGACCCCGATAATTTGGGAGAAAGAATTGAGGATGCCATAGAACAAGATTTCAATTTGTTCAGCATCGTATCATCTATACTTGCTGTGCATGCTTGGGGACCCATGCTCTCAAGAGACATCACACTGTCCGACTTGGCGTTGGCGATGTTCGACCCACTGAATCAGCATTTCCAGCACTTCAAAAAGGCCGCAATTTATATCGGAAATTATACCGACACCTTCTTAGACCACAGCCTCCCTAATTCTGAACAATTCTGGGATCCAGAGTGGACTCAGCGCGCATCGAATGACAATGTGGAAACACTCCTCAACTTACTGTTAGCCGATAAAAGCGGTAGACTCGGACGGAGTTTCCTCCAAAAAGTCCCCCCAGAGGTCTGGCTACGAGATAGCTTTGGTCTGAAATTCGAGGCATGGGATCTACATAATAGTGATGATTTGGATGCTTATAACTTTCAAGGAACAATCGTCGAGTTCTTTGCCCAGTTGGCCAAGATATGGCCAAGTCATCTTAGATTATTTCTTGACCATGCAGTTGGGTTTTTCGACCCTTCGAGGATTCTTGTGACATCGGTTGCCTGGAATCATCACGACGGAAAACGGTACTGCAAAAACCACTGTCTGGTAGCGCGACTTATTCAACTAGGAGCAGACCCTAACGGTCATGGGTATGGGGTTTGTCCGTTGCAAATCGCAGCCGGAGCGTGGGACTTGGAAGGAGTGAAAGTCTTGCTTGAAGCCGGCGCAGATCCAAACAACACTGGAGATCGAAGTGGAATCGTCTGGGAAGATGGCACTATCCCCGCTCTCTTCAACGGTTACCAGGATCGCAGTCCTCTCAACATCGTGCAAACTGTGGTTGGCGAAGACGACGATCGCGTTGAGCAGCAAAGAGAAGAAAAACGGTCTAAGATAATAGCAGTACTGCGTCAGTATGGGGGGAGGGATTTTACGATGTCGGAGACGCAATACCGTCATCAGCAACGGATGCTACGGTATCGGAAGACTTACCATTAGGAAGTGAGTTGTGCAGGTAGATATTAAGTATCAGGGTCCGAGATGGAGACTCTGAAGACGATTGGAGCAAATTAATAGTTGCACAAAGCAAGTCTCATCACGGCCGCCTTGCTGTGTAATTATGGCTCGTGCAGTGTGCGTTGAGGAAGGAAAGGTCTCTATGCTCTCACTCTCCCTAGTTCGGAGCATCCACGAGACTGAGACACCAAACTTGGGCTAATTTAAACGGGGATCGCACGAGCAACGGATTTTTAAATGTAAATATCTAGCAATTTCCAAATTACCGGGACCAACCTCATTCCTCAAGGCTCTTCAGGCAAACCGCTTGTGGTCTGCATCACCCGTGTGGTGTTCTAGTTTGATTTGAGTAAGTAGTCTCGGTCTACAGCTTCGCACTGTCCACGAAATAGATTGCGTAGTCCTTTTAGTTAACGAGAACCCCCTAAAGTTTACTCCTCGTGATGCGACCCTGCTCAGGTCCCGTATCCAGCCCACTCCACCCGGTCTGGCTGAAGCGTTCCAACCCCGTCGTATATCAACACGCACATCGTGACGCAGCATCCGGAAATTGCCAAGTGAATTATATTCTGAATCCAGAAATTTAAATGAAGGTACTACCTCTACTGACTAATTTGAGGCAGGCCTTGGGAGCCCGCCAGCTAAAGGAGAGAAAAATTATCAGTGCTATTACTATCACATAATAGAGGGCAGTGAATATGCTCTACGGACAAGGCAGATTAAACTTTTGAAAGGTGTCAGGATCTTTTCTCTATGCGTGCAGATTCTCAGGTTGAATGCCATATTGCTATCATCCATATCTCTGTCATGACAGTCGCGGATGCATCAGACTCTATGTTGGAAGTCAGAGCCTCGGTTGGCTGATTGTCCTATGAAACCACTTTGTTATTTTCTGAGAGGCAATTAGAGACTCTGCAACCTGCGTGAAATTTTGGTTAGCCGATGGCTCGTCTGGCTGCATCAGGATGATAAACTGGAGGCACAAGTACGGATCAGCAAAACCGAGGCAGAGCGCTAACACCGGCGCTGCCCCCTCCACGACGCAAGTCTTGAGCAGGACGAACAGGGACAGTAGTCGTGGTGTTGAATAACCGACCGGACTGATACCCCGACTGAGACGTGATTATGCGAACAATGTCTGTGGTTGCCTTGCCACTATGGCGTCGGTAGTTGGAACCCCGATAGATCATGCAAGCCGCGCAGAACCCTCGTAGGCTCCGCACCTTGAGAAGAACAGCTAGTACAAGGAGGGATATCACAATGCACTCATAGATCCCGTAGACTGGTACCAGACGCCAGAACCAGGGCCCAGGCCTGCGGTAGAGCAGAGAGCCCCGGGGCTGTGTGAGCAGTGTCAACCAAGCGCCGAAGATGGTTGCGAAGGCAGTCGACTTGAGAAAAAGGTTGTTCACATCTCGGACGAAATCTTGCTCCGATTGCTTTGGGTCATTTTTTACGCCCATTCCCTGCGGACGAGGGCGGCTTCTTCCGTCTCCAACCCCTTGGTCAAGTTTGCGAGGAAACGGCCGCCCGTCCTGGTCAACGTCCGGACTCCGATGCCACAGGAGAGCTGCAGGCCAGGGTTCGTCGGCAGCAATTCAGTGCTTCTGCGACGACTGTGAGCCTAGATCGGACAGGTCGTCGGCTCTAAAGCTGGCATGGCAAACGCTTAAAACATCACCATTCGTGGTCCATTCGGAGGTATCGCTCAGCCACATGACGGTACCGCTTGGTATGACTCGATGGAGTTCCAACCCAGAAGGGAAATTTCTGCTCGGCGACGCTATTATGTCGACATGTTCCTAAACCGCCGAAAGTCGTGGCTATTGGTGTACTCTAATAACCCCTATCCTGTGCATTTATCGGAGAGGTCCATACCCTATACCTCCAGGAAGTCTTGCTGCTGGCCCCCTTGGTAAGGATGGAGACACCACACCAAGCCACATAATGGCTCGTCTAGTTCAGCTATGAAAGCAAAGGCCGAAGTGTCAATGTACATTCTAGATTGGCCAAGTAGGCCGACAATGTAGATAGAGGGATACCTGCAGGTATCCCACGACACCGTGCTGATTTCAACCGCGGCACAAAATCGCTCACCTTGAGGGAGCAGACAGATGTTAGATTAGAGCAGGCGCTGAGCAATAAAATCGGTCAAACTCTTTGGTGTTACTCGTCGCTGTAGAAGTTAGGATGCTCTCCCAACACCGGAGGCCTCGCGGTTCTAGATTCAGAGAGCTGCTTACTTTCATCGCCACAACCACAGCTTGAAACTCGGCCACGCTACAGATGTCTTGATTGTCGGACCCGTGAACATGGCGATCGAAGGACAGTCCCGATACAGGGATACATGCCCTGGATGAGGGCCAAATAGGCTTTCTCAATCGAAGGGAAGTGCAACAACATTCCAATGTGATGATACTGCGTTGTTGATCTCCGAATACGCACCTTCACAATAGCCCTCGGATTGTACTGGGCAATAGAAGAAACGATCGCGCCCGACGCAACAAGCGACGGTAGAATCATAGAGCGTCTGACATCTCTCCCGCATTAGGTCCTCATGGCGGGGGCGGGACACGAGGTGAATCATGCAGACAGGGGTCTACGAACACTAGCTAGTCATCGCGAGCCGTTTGTTCCGGTACAGATGGATATAATCAGCTCTACATTTTGGAGTGTTCCCTGGCGCAACAGCAATGAGTTAGGGAAATTACTTAGTATAAGTCTTTGCAAGACCTGCGACTGTTACTCGTCCTTTGTTCGATGATACCTATTCAAGAAAAGGATCAGTATTCCAGTATGGATTTCGCAGTTTTCATTCAACCTGAAGGGGTGTGATGCAGTACGTAATGTACATATTCAGCTCTGCATTTTGGTTACCCCGAACCGGTCAATTTCGCCTAGCCTCTGTCAGGATGTCTCCTAGCGCGTTCTGGCGAGCAATCCATCCTCCATGACTCGGCTTGTGGCGCTGCTTAGTGGGACTCAAACGCATTCAGCTTCAGCCACTTCGTAGTCGAGAATGTTCTCGCTTGCCGGATGCGCCCGTTCCTGTCACACTAGCTGTATTTTGCATCAAACACCGCGGAGTCTCGGTGGTATTTAGTCAACGAGATGTCACGCAGATTACAAAATCGACTGAATCTAATTTCTACTGGCTCTGCACTCGTCGTTGATATTTCTTTAGCAAATCCAGGGAGGGAATCTAGACAGGCACATGGCAAAGTAAATACTACCAAGATGCAGCATCTTCGGTAACGAGGGTACGCATCCATTAACTTCATTATGTCAGGCCCTGTGAAAAAAACACAAGGTCTCTTGGCGTTTCCCTTTACTGAGGGAGTGCTCAAGGTCACCGATCCACATTCTCCTCGGCAAAGTTGATCTCCTGACGTTTTGGTCCCGCTTCAGCCTCAACCTGCCCCCCGACTCAACGGTCGATAGCTCCTTTTCAAGTTTCATTTTCACGATTCATGGAGGGGTGACATCCGGGAGCTACGGTATTGGTACGGCAACGCCAGGCCCGAAGCCCTGCTTGATTTGGAACGGATTTATCAGCGTTCTTGCCCTTTCTAGCCTTTCCTCAGACGGGTAAATCACTGCATTGCCCCGCTGCGCCCGCACTACGCGGCGCTATGTATGCACACTGTTGGGCTTCTTTGCGGGGTTGGAGGTTTGACGGGAGAGTAATATTTCCCCGGAATTCTCTCCGCAATCATTCAGGGGTAAAAGCTTTCCTGACCCATACAGTGTCAAATGAACAATGGATGAAAGTGCTTCAGAGATCTTATCTGGGTGCCATAATGCCTTAAGTAGTTGGCTTATGCCGCTCCCACTCTCGTAGATCCCACATCCAACATTACCCCAGCCCCTACAAGCATAGCCCCCGATGTACGAATATGACTCTTCCTTCACACGTGAACCTCATCATCGCAACCGCTACGATATGCACCATCCTTATCATCACCCGCTGCAGCTATCGCCTGTTCTTCCCATGCAAGCAACACCCCGAGTGCCACCGACGATGGCGTGTTGACGATAGTTATATGGCCTTTGCCCTACTACCGCTCATTGTACGCACGGTACTGATGACCTGGAGCTTCTCCCTTGACCCAGAGACTTCACACGACCCGGCGACACTAAGAGAGGCACATGCCTTAGGGAAGACTGTGGACGAGATCGACGCGGACCGCAAGCTGGCGTTGATACTCCTAATGCCTGTCCGTATCACCTACGCTCTCTTGTACGTCCCGTATATGCACACAATATCGCACGCCACTCACCCGTGCTCAGTCTATGGTCATTGAAGCTTTGCCTGCTCTCGTTTTACTCACGCTTTGTGAGTCACCTAAAATGGGGAAAGGTGGCTACCATTACGCTGTGGTGGACAATCATGTTTACTTTCGTTGGCGTCTTGATCACCACTCTGGCAGAGTGCCGGCCGCTCCATTTGTTGGTAGCTTCAATCACTTTTGGTCGACAGCATACTGATACATGTATAGGAATTGGGATATTGTGCCCGAGAACGAGCGTACGTAGATGTCTATGAGCAGCAGAGACAATGGAGTTAACTTCGTTATATAGGTGACTCTTGTAGTCAAGGAGTAGCGAACCTCTTGGTCATGGCGGTTTCCAACGCCGTGACAGACATTGCGCTTCTCATTCTTCCCTTTCCTATGCTGTACAATACACAGCTTGATCGCAAACAGTATGATGATTCCAGCATTATACAAATATCTTGAGAATGCTGACGTACCATTCAGCAAAGGCCAGCTTTCGGTTCTTTTCGGAATCGGTATCATTGTTGTCGCCATCACTATTGTCCGAATCCCCCTTATCTTCATGTCTTCCGTCACACAAAGCTCCCGCTCCCTGGTACGTCATGTCGAATCTTGGTCGGTATCGTAGCTAACATACTCTCAACAGTGGGCTTCGATTGAGATCCTCTGCGCTTGTGTCGTGGCTAACGCAGCCTTTTTCTACGCAATTGTCAAAGACCTCCAGAGTCGCAGCCATTCTCACGGCAGCTCTAACAACATGCCCAGCAATGATTTCTACCTTCAGAGTCTCCAGTCCACCTCTCGAGCCCCTAATGAGCGTAAGAGAGGAGAGGTAGTCGAGCAGATTGACTTAGAGGAGTCTCGGCCTCCAACTGGAAACGGATCTGATCATTCGCTTTGGACTGGGTTACATTCTGGGAACAATAAGTCATAGGGTTTTTTAATTGCTTGTTAGATATCATTAATATCGGGGAAAATAGGGTACATAGGAAAGAACCTTTGCTTTTTTATCATAAAGAAGTCTACACCAGGACTACAACTCTCCTTTCTCCAAGTTTGGTGACAAACTTCAATCACCGTGACCGAACCCAGCGCTCCAAAACGGCCTGAATTCTATCACTGTTTTTCTCCATAAACATCATGTGTCCATTGCCATGGATACCAGCTGCTCCAAGCTCAATGTGCTTGGTCTTGGAACAGCCAGCCTGACGCAGGAACTGGGCCACGCAGTAATCATATGGCATATGGTAGGAAGCTTCCCTAGTGACAATCAGGATGGGCTTGCCCTGTAGGTTAATCAAGCGGCGCGGCGTGGGTTCGTCGGCTTGAAGAACACACTGCACAAAGTCCTCGCCTCGGTTGGGCTGAATCTTTTGGACAAGGTCGGCAGCAGGGTTGACAACGGCAGGACTGTAGGTGATGGGGATATCGGTCAAGCCCCAAGCTCGAGCGGCTCTGGTGCTGAAGACGGCGTCTCGGAATGGAGGGCCGGAGGGTTCAAGAAGGATAAGGCCCTTGGTGAGCTTAGGGCGTGCGTCTGCGATAAGGATAGGCATGATCCCACCTTGACTGTGGCCGAGAAGGATGACAGGCTTGCCAATCTTTTCAAGCAGTGCAGCACCAGCAGCCTGCACAGTCTCTTGCTGATATGTGGTATTATTAATAAATTGGACGTTGGAGCTATAAAAGGCATCAAAGACCGGGTCACCTCGCAGACCAGTACCAGGCCACTGGGTGTGGTTGACTGCCTGCGGCCAGAGGCTGAAGTCCTGGCCAGCAGTGAAGCGCTGTTCGATGATCTCGGCCGAGTAGGTCGAGGGCGTGATGGCTCCGTCGGCTGGCATCCATGCTGATCGGCCTCGCAAGGTTTGATCGACGATGTAGACTATGTATCCTTGGCTAATGAACTGTGATGCCCAACCACGGCCGCCGTCGGGCTTGTTTAGGAAGTTCTATTAAAAGTTGAGCCTCTGAGTAAGCTTGAAATGGTTGTTTTCTTCAGCAAACGGGCAAACTTACGCTGCCTGTCTGCCCCTGGCCATGGATAAAGACAATCGGGGTTCGTTGCTTGGCACCACCGACTGGTACCAGCTTCTCGACGTACATCTGGTCGCGGAAGATGTTCCCTCCCGCTCCGTCACTGACATAGCCTCCACCTACATAAAAGTAGGAGCGGGTGGAAGGGACTTCGCCCTGGGAGCCACTAGGTTGGCCGTGGGAGGTAGCGGCACATTGGGTGATTGTCGCAGCCGCAAAAGCGACTAGTGTGGAGAAGCGCATGGCAAGCAAATGAAGGGATCCGGGATCTCGAATGTGACGACGTGGCAGATCGTTTTGGAAAAGAGGAGAACGAGTGCAATAGTCATGCAGCGAAGAGGGGGTTGTGACGGATTGGGCCACAATGGGCTGCAACAAGTATTTGTCCGTTGCGACAGAAGACTAAAATCCAGGGGCTATACACCCTCACCCCGGCAGAATGGTATTTATCCTGCTACTCTCGCCCGTCACCTTCGCCAATAAGAGGATGCGTCTCAATTGCCCTAAGTGTATCGCATGCCTGAGGGAATTGACCCATGTCGCGCGATAAACGCCCGACCACTACTGACCCATACGCCACTCTTTTTAACCTTTTCCCCCATGAGCTTGATCGTCTCTTGGCATTTCAGCTTTTGACACGGAATGAACTCTATTTTCCATACCCCGGCTTTTGGGCCAGCGTTAAAATGGGCGACCGGCGGAAACCGGGGACGTCTTTGGGCGCAGGTTCACAGGGGACACGCCACGTGCTGCGTGCTCACGACCAACAAATGACACAAGAATCCTTCGTGTGATGGAGCGAGCTAAAGAGCGGTGGCACTGACGGTCCTGACTTGAAGCCGGATTTTGGTGGTATGGCGAGGGATTTTGGTTGAAGATGATGAGTGGTCTACCGGTATTATGATAAGTGAACGTTTTCTCATTTTCCCCCATCTTTGTTGTTGTTTTCCTCGGCATTGCAATGGATGGCGTGACGCTTCTCTGACTCTTCAGCTGTCTGTCTCTCCTCGCTATGGGGTTGAGATTGGCCTGGAGGAAGTTTACCAAGGAGCCAATCAACCTAGGCGACTACCTGACCAACGTCTGGCGTGTCTGTACTGCATGGTCCGGCTTGCATTGATCCACGTCGTGTTACTGTCGGGAACCAACACTGTGCCAGCAGCGGTACCGCAGACAATGAATTAAAAACGCGGAAATTTATCGGCCAAAAATCGGGAGTAAATTTGCCAACCACAACTTCTATAATTTGGTGTCAATTTTTGTTGCCCTAGCCGTTACCGCTGGAATGTATCGTGTTAAATGAAGTTAATCTTCTTTAATCCCCTGGTTGCAGAAAATCTGCCTTCTTGATATCTATTGGCGCCTACTTTTAAACTTGAAGTGCAAGAAGATCGTCATCATTTCTTTCCTCGTCGTCTTCATCGCGCACGTCGTGGTGCAGGTGGTCACCTCTAGCGGATGCAATCCCTTCCATCTGTACTGCCAAGTAGCTTCCGATCCCAGTGAGTTCCAAAATTCGATCATTGGTGCTTGGCCGGCGGTATCTAGATCCTGCGCGAAGGCGCAGCTGCAACTTGTCGTTGGCGTCCTGAACATCGTCACCGACGTCATAGTCCTTGCCGTCCCGATAACTTTATCTGTTTGATTGAAGACCTCTTAAAAGCGCAAGCTGCGAGTATACGTCCTGTATGCTCTAGGCGTCTTCATCGTAACCACCACGATCATTCGACTACCAATCAACTCGATGTACAAGAACAGCCAAGTCAACCAAACAACACACACAAGCGCCGAGCCTCTCGCGGCTACAATAGTCGTCAATGCCCCAACGATTTACAGTCTCTGGAATAAGAAAGCCAGGACTCAACTTACCGCCACTCTTACGAAACTGGGCAACCAAGCCACCTCAGCCGGAAGAACGAGACAATTCCGCGCTCCTCCAACGATGATCTCAGGACAAAAGCCTATCCTTCTAGCTCTATGAACTACAAACGAGATTCGTCGCTTGGTCGAATTTTGCAAACGCAGGAGATCACTGTCACCGAGTATATCGGGCCGAAGGAAAATGCGAAGGGATGGTCGAGGCAGCTAGATGATGTTGAGGTTATGTCTAACTCAAGTCAACGAGGGATACTGAGAGACTAAGAAATCGCGTTTTAAGATCATCTATACAGTTACGGTGACATACTTTGTGACTTCTGATGGCCTTAAATCTCACTTTGCTAAATGAGGCCCACTCTTCCCACTTTTATACTCGAAAGATTATTAGAAGGCATAACCGAATACAGCGAAGCAGGAATGGACAAGGCCGTGTTTGGTATAGTGATAACAGTGATAAGCCTTAACCTTTGCCGGAAATAGAGGAATGAGAAGAGAGTGTCGGCGCCGATGCTGGAGCCCCCAAGTCGTGCGTCGCCGCATCCACTTCCTACTAGAGGAGCTCCTTGCCCCACACGAAAGTAATGAGATTGAAGAGTGCCCAGTAGTTCTACTGTGCCATCCAAAACTCCAGGACAGGGATAAATAAGGATCAGATCACAAGACTGCATGCAAATCGTAGGTAACATCTAAGCACTAACGAAGGCAGAAGGCAAATAGGCAAAAAGAAGACATACAACAGCGAGGATTCCCCGGTCGTCACCGACCCGAGTACTAATTCGCCGCTTCTCAGCTTGACTAAGGGAGAGCGGACGGGATCCCGTATTTTCTAAGAGCTATGGTCGTATGTGGTGGTGACGGCTTCAAACACAGCTTATGTGCAAGACTGGTTGAGGCGGAATACAAAAAACCGGCGCTCGTAGAAATACGACCTGAAATTGCCAGCGATTCCATAGCAATTCGGTAAATAGATGACTATCGACTTCTCTGAAAATTTTAATAGCACTCTCTCGTCCCGTCGTAATAAAAAGGTCTGCCTCTATCGCAGTGGTTGGTTTCTGCAGGCGGCGTCGACAGCGCTAACACCTGGGATAATATATAATGAAGATCGATAGAGAATCTTGCACTTGCTTAACCTGGTCTAAGAAGTGCCTTTCCACTTAAGGTAGTCACCGAAATATGTTTAGCTTCCTTGTGCATTATTTTAAACATCGAGATTATTGGCTTAGATGCAGAACAACTAACCCTCCTCGCTAAGACGGATGACTTCAACTGTTATCAACCGATGGAGACAAGACATACCTAAAATATATCTTACATACATGAGCCTCAGATGAAAAAAATCGTAGTGTTCAACCCCCGGACCAAATAAGATAATCGTCTTTTCTTTTTACTCACCGGCCAAATTTTCGATGCGTCCAGGGTAGGTGGAGATGAGTTCAGCCAAAACCCCACTTTTTAGCTTCAAATGAAATAGAAGCAACACTCTGCTTAGGTACTTTCGCACATGAGATTTAATATTTTCAAGGTAGATATACTAGGCTTGTAATGTTATTGAGAAGGTGGATCTCACCTAACTGTCTAACTTCAGATATCCGCTCAACTTCTCTCGGTCTTTCCACGGTTTTGTCACTGTTTTAGACGTTAGTAAACCTTGTTCATCAACCTCTACGAGAACTTCATAATGTTCTTCTAGAGTTGCTCGCATGAGCTCACAAGCCTTTCGTAGCGACTGGTTCTCTGAGCGCAGATTTGAGTTTCGCTGTTTGAGCCTGCATGGGCCGCACAGTTTTGAAGAGGAAGTGCAGCCGCAGGAAGTTGCCAAGGTGGTTTCCGCTTCAAAGACGTTGTCCGGGATGGTACGGGACATGGGCGGATCAAAAAGGGTCGTGACTGATTTGAGACGAATTTCTTCAGATGGGAAGTTCTTTCCGACGCAAAATCCGCCTTGTATCACTGAGTGGCGAGAAGGGGTGTTCCAACTTGGATATGGTGGCTTCCTCGTGTTGAGCTTCAAGTGGATCTACCATATCTATAATATACGAATTATTCTCGTTTGATAAAAAACCTGTCATTGAGCCGAACGCACTGTTCAGTGTTTGAAGCGATTCAGGGGGTAACAACGAAGGGTTCTCCACCATTGATGCGCATCCACTGCGAGGCGTTCCGATAGGGGAAACCGAGGCCGGAGATGAAGCCGTGGTTGGAGTTTGGGTCCACGGTGGTAAGGGGGGGCCAGGGGAAGGCACAGCTTCGGAGAAGTTGGCCCAGCCCGTTTGATCTTTGGGTGGTGCATGGAATGATTGGCCATGGGGTGGGCCCATATGGATTGGCTTAGCACTGCAGGGATACATGTTGACAAGGTTACCTTTGATGCCTGCATGGTGTAGAAGAAGTGGCCTTATCTTCGGAGAAATGTTGGGCTGGTTGATGTAACAACAGCAATGGCTGTCTGAGTGAGTTGATCGCTGTGTGGCATAATGCAACTCCTCGCCTGTAATCGGAGGCTGAGAGTCCAACCGGGCGGCGAGCTGAGATCCTATACGTGAACTGGAGCCATCCATGATACTCGACATTGACGGGAATTATTGAGCTGCTTCGTAGCAATCGAGAGGTCCGACAAAGTCAGGAGGCGGTATCCATGCTTGGCTGAGCTTGGACGAGGGAATGCTTTCGGTTTGTCTCCGGCGCTGTCTCGTGAAGTCGAGTCGACACTGTTTCAGTCGCTGGAACTTTCCAGGATCTGAGCGGCGAGAGGTAACAAAATCAGCTGGATGCTCTATCACGGTCGCCTTCTCTTCTGGGCTAGCGTACCTGGTATTTTCCTCGAGCTGTGTACTGTTGGTATCATTTGCTACCGCTAGGCTAGGGTGTTTGATGAAGGGAAAGTCGGTGGATAGTCAATTTGGATGACAGGACTCACCTCCCGACGAGGCATCGAGGGAGTTAGCTGAGGGAAAAAAGAAGGTGAGTGAATGGAACCATCGGAGGCAACATTCGCAGCCGGTCCTCGTGTCATGTGTGAATGCCAGAGCTTGATAATCCATATGCGCACACTAAAACAGGTGTGGACGGAGCGTGGTAACAAGGCACGGCGTCTTTCAGCGAGCCGACGTATGCACATATGGGTGATAAGTCAGATGAGTCCAGCCACGGGCGCACATATGATAATGCGCGCAAAGAGTCATCTGAAACAGCGACATGTGCGTCCTAAACAGGCCAGAAGCTTGAGTAATTGTAGCAGAACAGCGACCTGAACCTGACTTGCAACCAATATTAGGCAGAAATGCATGCAGGTTGCCAGGCTGCACAGCCCCATGACTACACGCTGGAGAGGCATAAAATGTTAGATATAGCGGTAATGCTAAAAAACGAGTAAGCATGTCTCGGCATCCTCAAGCGACACCCAATCGCTTTGCCAGGCAAAAGGCGGAGCGGGCAGTCCACGTTGGCAATGTTACGGGGATGGCTAGCAGCTGACATGAGGGGAAAGCCGCCTGCATTTTCGGAACAAGGTCCCGTTCTACAATTGGATCAGCGAATCTCCAAATTATTCACGCCATGTTAGCTTATCCAATGATGGCGACCTTATGACGCCTGCTCCGAGTTGAGGCGGGGATTTGTACAACAGGCAGACGCCGTCGAAAGGTATTAAGACCATCATGTCCCCTGCTCGCATCTGCTTTTGCTCCTGGTTGTAAGGGACTGATCTCGAGAGTACAACGTCATCACCATGTCCCAACACGACATCTTCACGCGCATCCGACTGCTTGGAGTATTCTCTCTGGCTGCCCTTTTTGGCGGCGGCCTGATCTTGGTTCTTGCTGGCCTCACCGCTTTCCTCCCTCCCACGCCTGCAGACATCCAAGAAGTGGAATCACCTCTCATCGACGGCTCCCAGCGCGTGTTTCTTGTTTTTGCTCATCTCAGTATTCGCGTTTGGTTCGCCACCCTCGCTGTTAGCTGTGCACTTCTTTGGTATGGGTTCCATCAAGCATACGTCCACCTGTCCGCCTGCCGGTGCGGTAACACATCGACGAGGGGGCCTGGACTCGACGATAACCGACACGCCGATTCGATCGCCCGAACACCGATGCTACTCATCGTGCGATACCTATTTCCAATACTGTGTATTGTTGCTGCCGTCGGATACGAGTTTGGCCTTGTCCAAATTGATGTTTTCGTCAACAGTGTCATCGACAGGGGGATGTTGAAGTTCTCTCTGCCCCCGCCACTTGGGTCTAATGATACCGTCATAAGCCCCTGGACTCCAGATGGGGCGTGGACTTTTGAAGACCAACTTTACTTCCATGAAATGGATCCGGTGCAAGAACCAGGAGAACCCCCGTCAGCTGTCGTGGTGTCCGGTGTATTGGATTGCCAAAGTGTTTTGCGCCCTTTGGCCCTGGATATGGGAGTACTCACCACACGCGAAATCGTCATGGTTGCCAATCTGACAAACGACGACGGGTCTTTCGAGATGACGCGGGATCATAATGGCTGGATGCGGACGCGTACTTCAAACAAGGACTGGTTCGATGAAGAAACGAGCCAGGATCGCGCTGTTGTCGACTACCGCATTGTGGAGCCGGGCAAGGTCCAGATTCAGTGGGCGCGAGACGGACCTTGGTTTAGCGACGACCCGAATGCCAAGAGGATCTCGGAGGGCTCCGCCGTTGCTCGTCGCATAACCTACGATGTTCACTACGCAGTCGCGTTAGTTGGAAGAGACGTCAATGATATAGACGAGGGCTGTACCGCAGGACTCGACGTGGACCTCTTGGTCCACGATAGCAACCCACCTGACACAGAGTTCAAGAATGGATCTCTGCCACATATATGGGATTGGGTGGGCGCGATGCTTGAGTCAGAAGACTCGGATGTGGACGAAGGAGTACGGTCTTTCCTTCATGCCGTCATGGCGGGGTGGGGATCTACAGCACTGGACAAAGCCCATGGCCCGAAGCTCAGGTTTCTCCGAGACGACGAGGAGCCTTTTGGCCCCGAGCAAAATGCTACCTGGAAGATTCCGGGGGAACCATACTACAGCGGGACACGTAAGGGCATGTACAGGGGGTGCTACTTGAATGCAGGTTGCGTCTATTTGGTTGTGGGATGTCTCGCCATCATTATTGGACTGGCGCGGATTGAGAGCGGGCCATGCGACCTTCCCCTGGAAATCGGACAGGATGGGTATATGCCTATAAGTGGTGAACAGTTGATCAAAGAGAAGGTAGATGGTACGACCGTGGAATTCACGGATGATGATGAATGATTTGGGTCGTGAGGATGGTTTAGTACGGGGCCTGGTTGGACAGACGGGTTACTCTGTCGATTTGGGCACAATTTGTCAACTACTATTCTGGGGGAAAGTCTGTCACTGGCTGTTGATTTAAAAATCACTTACGTTACTAGTATCACTAAATACTCAGAACAATCACCTGGAGATGTGTCACGATCTATCTTCAATCTATTCGCACACAGTTTATATTGCGATATTGTTTAAAACCCCTCTCAGTACCTAGAACTAGAAGCCTTCAGTGCGTCGATAAAACAACAAGCTGATTGCAAAATGGAGATTTATCAACCCGCTACTCATGCGGAGCTAGAAAGCCTAAAGCACCCCCAAATGCATTCTTTACTGCCAACATGTGCTCTTTGTAGCGAAGTGATACCTTGACGTGGAATGGCATTGGACTGGCCAGGACCGATGAAGTGTAGGCTATGGAATCCAGAGGATGCTCTGTGTTCTCCTGTATGTCAAATGCCCATATCAATTTGGCAGTCATGCGCCAATTGTTTCGCTCCGTGAGGCATATCTCGGGGCACATTCGGCGGCCTGAGCTATAGCCATAATGATACATTCTGCGCTATTAGTTTGTTTTCCAATTAGATGAAGCAAACGTTTTTGGATGTTACTTGGATTATTTACTTCTATTATTGTACTCTGGTGAGATGGCGTATTCATGGGCGAGCTTAGTATGCCTGGAATACTCATCAGGGCTGAAACTGTTAAGTAATAAAATCAGTTAAAAGCACTTCCAATTTTCTTTTTAGCTTTACTTAATATCATCAGATAGATTAAAGCCATAAAATATTCTTAAATAGTAGAAATAAACAGCAAATACTCCCTCGATGAAGGAACCGAATATTTAAACTTACTCTATTTTCCTTATGTATATTACAGTTGCTAAGGCCTAAGTTTGGGTTTTAAGCTACTTTTTTCTTCTCTGCTGGAATCCTGTCTAACCTTTTCGACCTGTAGCCATTCTAAACGTAATGTATGCACTAACAATTCCTACGACCCGACCTAACGCCCAAGGTCAGAAGGGAAGTTGGTCTCTTGACGATGGAAGACGCCTTCCTTATATCCTATTACTCGGAATAAGGTTACTATCTCAAGATTATTAACTGCAGACAGCAAGGTCGTTAACTGCAGATAATAGAGTTGTTAACTGACCCTATTATCTATAGATAGCAGGGTTGAAGTTAGAAGAGTTAAATAGAAGCTTTAGGCAGAGACTAGTGGGTAATAATCTTATTATTCAGCTACTATTTCTTCTGGTACTAGATATAGTACTTATTATTTATTTCTACTATTTAAGATTACTATATAGCTTTAATCTATCTAGTAATATTAAGTAGGGCTGAAAAAAAATAGTAAATACTATACCCAGTACTAGAAGAAATAGTAGCTAAATAATAAAGTTATTACTTACTAGTCTCTATTAAAAGCTTTAATTTAACTCTTATAATTTTAACCCTACTATAAAAAAGTAAGATAGGATTCTAGTAGAAGAAAATAAAAGCAGCTTTAAATCCAAATTTAAGCTAACATACTTAATAAGTAAGTAAGCCAGATAAGTAAGTAAGCTACTTTTCCTTATCCCTCTAGATAGATATTATAATAAAAGCACTATAAGCTATTTAATTAATTAAAACTACTTACTATACTCTTCTCTAAATATCTTAATTACTACCTAATAGATTCTTATATTATAGCCGGGCTTACTATAAATACTATAATATTAAATACCTAGTCTAACTAACCTTCCTTAATTATTACTCCTTAATAATTTAATTACTACCTATATATTTATATTTATTTAATTAATTACTTACCTTCTCTCTTTTATTATTATAACTTCTTTTTTCTATAATTTAGTTTTTTTTACTCTTTAATATTAGCTTAATATCTTATTTACCTTTTAAAAGTTTTTATTCTTAGCTATTAATAAGATAATTTTATATATAACTATTTTTATTCTCTTTATAAGAAACTATATAGCTTTAAGAATTAACTCTAAAAAGCTACTCTTATATCTTTTAATTTATCTTTTAAGAAATTAAAATTAAAATTTAGTTTTAATAACTATCTTTAGGATTCTTAATATTTAAGGGGTTAATAATTTAGCTACCTTCTTAGTAGGTATTAGAGTTTATAGCTATATATTAAGCTTTAAGATTATAGCTTCTAGGTTAAGAAAAATAAAACTAGCTTCTTTAAAAGCTCTCTTAATATTTCTTTTTATTATAGTAGTCTTATATTGTGATGGTGCTGACAGACACACGGGAGTTTAATAGCAGTGGGTCTAGCCTGTAAGACTAGATACTACTTAAAGGACAAGCTCATCCTCTACAAGGAAGGGCATGCTTTTTCCCTTTTTCAATTTTAAACTTTTGAAGACAATCTTTGTCGCTTGACTTGCTATTTGACCAGCTGTCGCAGCAGCTCTTATCCCTTCCTGATTGATTATTCTATCCTATTCCATTCAGAAGCACTTGATCAAGTGCTTGACATCTCTTCTATGCCGATTTCCCTCCGCTAGTCTTAGCTGCAGGACCTTCTTGTCCCTGAACTGTAGGGTATCTCTGACTCTTACTGTGCAGGCCCTGTCCGCACTAAGTGCATCTCCCACCAACAAAATAGGTATTCTACTAGCTAGTTTCTTATAAGGTTATTGTATATTTATTGCGTTTATTTGCTGTGCTATATGTATTATATTAAGCTTTAAATAATATAAGGGGATAGATTTATTGATATTATATAAAGGGAAATGCTATATATTAATTATCTATTTAAAGCTATTAAAAAAGAAGAGTCTTACTTATAATTTTAAAGCAAGCTTTTATCTAGGTAGCTATAAGAATAGTATATTCTAGTAGTAGGTTTCTCTCTAACTAAATATAGTATAGCTATATTCTTTAATTTAAGGCTTTAGCTTGTAATATCAGCTAAGTTATATAATATGCCTATTTCTATTTAAATAAATATAATATTAATATTAGTAGCTTAACTTCTTTATAAATTAGCTTTATTTCTATTATTAAGAAATAGACTATATCTAAAAATAACTAATATAATTCTTTAATTTCTATTTAGGTATTTTAAATAGTATAGTAAGAGGTCTAGGAGGTTTCTTTTTTTAAGGAATTTTAAATAGTTATTTAATTTGTATCTTTCTCTTTTATCTTAAAGATTCTAATAGAATTCTATACTATATTAGAATCTAGATTTATATTCCTAATATATAGAGATATATATAATAAGAGCCTTATAATTAATAGTTAATATAATAATAAGTTATTTAAATAAAATTTATTAAGATAGGATAAGTATTAGAAGAAAAGTTAATCTCTTAATAATAGGAGATATTAGTCTTTCTTATATTCTATTACTTAAAATAAGATTACTATCTTAAGGTTATTAACTATAGATAGTAAGATTATTAACTATAGATAGTAAGGTTATTAACTATAAATAATAAAATTAAAGTTAGAGGGGTTAAATAGAAGTTTTAAGTAGAGACTAATAGGTAATAATCTTATTATTTAGCTACTATTTCTTTTAATACTAGGTATAGTTCTTATTATTTATTTCTACTATTTAAGATTATTATATAGCTTTAATTTATTTAATAATATTAAATAAAGCTAAAAAAACTAAATAATTATATCTATAAAAAAACTAGTTTTATTAAAATTATAAATATTATTTAATTAAATATTATACTTTATAATTATATTTATTATAAATTAAAATTAATTATAAATAATAATTAGATTTTTATATTTAGCTTTTTAATAATTATACTTATAAATTTTTTTTTTTTAAAATTTAAATATTATTTAATAAAGTTATAAGTTTAATATATACTAACTAATAGTATATTATAATTAATAAGTAATTAATTAGCTATTTTTTTTATATTATATAGCTATAGGAAAAATTCTTATAAATTTAAGTTAAGAATAAAATAAATAAAAGTCTCTTCTTTTAAATTAAATAGCTTATATAAATTTAAAATAGTATTATATTAAAATTAAATACTGTAACAGGCGGTTAGGGACACTTGGGCTAGCTAGTCGCTAGCGGGGATGTCTCTAGGGTGACCCAGATGGGGTTAAAAGGGGAGGTCAGTGCCGTTACTGGGGGAAATCATCGTTTTTCCTTTCATCAGAGATTCTTCCTAGAAGTCAGAGAGGCCGAAAGGGCTCGAGGCTGCTAGGGAGTCTATTAATTGATTGCCTTCATTTTTGAGAGATTTATTTGAGCCTTCTTGCCGTCACTACGTTCCCTGTCCAACTTCCGTCTTCGACCTCCCTCAGATATCGGGCTGCCGCAGGCCCCATTGATGCCTTGCCAGCGAACCTTCCTGCGACCGACCCGATATTCTATCTCATGAGATGCTTCCCTATCAGGAGACATAAGCCTCAGACTGGCCCGACCTCATACGCGTAATCTGGTGCAGCTTCGGGCTGACCGGCCAAGACGCCTGTGTGACGACTCTCTGTGCATTTCCCCTAGGGTAAGTTAATGAGTTGGGTGTTGTTTTCCGTCCCTTCCTGCTGCTAAAATACTCTTTTACTAGCAACTTAAAGTATAATAATTAACTATATAAATCTCTATAGTATATTAAATATATAAGTTTAGGTTATTTTAAAGAGCCTAAAGAGTAAGAAGTATTCTAGCTTTATAATTAAACTATAATATATTAAGTAGTTAAGAATTAATTAATTAAATAGAGATAATATAGGTTAAGGGATTTTTAGCTTACTTACTTATCTAGCTTACTCACTTATTAAGTACATTATAGTAACTATAATATATAAAAAGAAAATAACGTGCATGATAAGCGAGTGCCGCAGACAAGCAAGTGCCGCAAAAATCCTAGGATCACTTCTTATTTCATTAAATCAATTATTTCTCAACCACCAAATATGTCACAATCAAATAATGAGGCAAGAATTCTTCTTGCTCTTCAAGCCCTTCAAAATAACCCAAAGCTAAGCATCCGACGCGCCGCAACGATCTATACAGTGCCCGAATGGATGATACGTCGCCGACAAAATGGCATGCTTTCTCGACGCGATATTATCCCTAAGTCACGGAAGCTCTCTGATCTAGAGGAACAGATTATTGTTCAGTTTATTCTCGACCTAGATTCGCGAGGATTTCCCCCGCGACTGCGTGGTGTTGAAGAAATGGCCAACCGACTGCTCGCCGACCGCGACGCGTCACCTGTCGGCAAGCGCTGGGCTTCCAACTTCATCAGGCGACAACCAGAGCTTAAGACGCGTTTTTTTCGTAAATACGACTATCAGAGGGCCAAATGCGAAGATCCAACCATTATTCGAAATTGGTTCCGGCTCGTGGAGAACACAATCGCGAAATATAATATCAACCTAGCCGATATCTACAACTTTAATGAGACCGGCTTTATGATGGGCATAATCGCAAGCGGAATGGTCATCACAGGCGCAGATAGGCGTGGAAACCCGAAATCAGTGCAGCCTGGAAACCGGGAATGGGTTACAGTCATTCAGGCGATTAATGCGGAAGGCTGGGCGATCCAGCCGTTTATCGTGGTTGCGGGCCAATATCACCTCGCCAACTGGTACCGGGAAAGCAACCTCCCGGGCGATTGGGCTATTGCGACGACTCAAAATGGCTGGACCGACAATAAGACAGGTCTTGAGTGGCTCAAGCACTTTGACCGGCACACAAAGAATCGATCAACCGGTCGCTATCGTCTTCTGATCCTCGACGGGCACGAAAGTCACCACTCAGTCGACTTTGAGAAATATTGTGAAGAGAACGACATTATTACGCTTTGTATGCCGCCTCATTCGTCTCACCTACTTCAGCCTCTTAATATCGGGTGCTTTGGGCCGCTCAAAAAGGCATACGGTCGAGAAATAGAGCATCTAATCAGGTACTCGATAACTCATGTTTCAAAGATTGAGTTCTTTCCGGCCTTTTATGCCGCCTACCAAGCCGCTATAACGGAAAGTAACATCAAAGGGGGTTTTAGAGGGGCCGGGCTTATTCCTTTAGATCCGGAAACTGTGATATCTAAGCTTGATGTGCAGCTGCGGACTCCAACACCGGTTGAGGAGGAGGCTAGCCTCCCCGACCCTTGGGTCTCAAAGACGCCAAAGACGGTGCTTGAGGCTACCTCTCAGTCTGAATACCTCAAAAGACGGGTTAGAAGGCACCAAAGCAGCTCTCCGACATCTATTCTTGAGGCGCTTGAGTCTTTTTCTAAGGGAACAAAGGCAATAATGCATGAGATGGCATTAATGAAGTCTGAGATCCAGATCCTTCAACAGGCAAATGAGACTCTTAGCAAACAGCGCAGAGCAAAAAGAACTCGACTACAGAATAGAGGGAAGATGACTGTAGATGAGGGAAGGGATGCAATTGATCAGAAAGACATTGATGCGCAGGTGGTGGCCGAATTGTCAAGAAGTGGTGGTCAAGGAAGATCAGCGCCGGTGAGAGAAAGGCGCTGTGGAACATGCGGCAAGACCGGTCATAATATAAGAACATGCCAGATAGTTGTTAATATGTCGGAGGAAGAGTATAGTAATTGATTTTAATTGATTAGATATTTAGTTGCTTTTTTATTTGAGTTTTTATTTTGAAGGTTGAGAAAAGTGCGGCACTCACTTGTCTGCGGCACTCGCTTATCATATACGTTAGAGTAAGTTTAAATATTTAGTTTCTTTACCGAGAGAGTACTTCTAAATATAATTATAGCTAATATAATTAATAAGATAAATAAAGAAGAGATTAAAATAATAAGCTAGAATAAAATATAGTTATTGGATCTATTAGAGCTGTCAAAGAAGACTTAAGAGTTGCCTGCTTTATAAGTTTTTTAGAGGGTGGAGGGTTTCTTTATTAAGAGCTTGGAGATGAAGGTTTGGGGGACAGGAGCGGGTCATCATATAATAAACCTTTCTTCAATTTACCTTGTTGAGCAACACAATAGTTCTCGTGAACAGCTTAGGCTGTGGATGTCTCGCGACTCTTCCTTGGACCTCCTTTCCAATTTATGGAAAAGTATCGAAATTATCCCCATCATCATCTACAATGCGGAAGATCCTACCTCCAAACGTCGCTGCCATCAGACTGTGAGTAAAGCGGCTTAGCATGCCGCCCCCTAGTCTCCAGTGACCCACGAGTAATTTCAGTCGTAATTGGGCCTGAGCATTCGAACTGCTCATTGACTACAAAGGACTAGGTATGTTTCCCAATTTAATGGCCATCTTCAACATCACACACTCCCATTTCTGAACTATATAGTAGTCAGACCCGTCACCCACTGAGTCTGTGAAGTGCATGAAGATAACCCCACGACCTCCATCTCATGGCAGTTCAACCACGCCTATCACCAGCCTTCAATCTCATCACTAGCGAAATATACAGCGACAAAATAGATTTCTTCACATAATAAAAGCTTTGCGCCGAGTAAGTTCGGCCGGCCTGCAAACAATGCACTGAAATGAGAGAACAAATGCAACGCACCACCTCCAAGGCGACAGCAATTGCGGTGCTCTGACTCCATCTGCCATGGTCACCTCCTCGATGGTGTGGAGTCGGCCACTTACGCTGCCAATATAGGTGGCTGATCTAAATGAACCCGAATGAGACGCAAGAGATGGGATAGTCAGTTTAGCAGCCGAAAATGACGCATACTAACATCCAACTTATTAAATTACCCATAGGGAGATGTACAGAAACTCGTCACACAGGCGTCTTATAAGGTCAGCCCGAGGCTGCACCAGACTACGCGTATATAGTCAGATAGATCTGAGGCTTATATCTCCCAATAGGAAAGCATCTGATATGATAGACAATGAGGTCGGTTGCAGGAAGTTTCCCTGGTAAGGCCTCAATAAGGCCTGCAGCAACTCGAGATGTAGTAAGGTAGAAGATGGAGGTTGAATAAAGATCGTAGCGTCAGTCGTAAATAGACTGAAATATATCACTGAAAATAAAAGCAATAAATTTATTAACTCTGACAATAAGTCTCTCGAACCTTATCGTTGACTTTGAGGGAAAAGTCTCTAGAAAACAAAACACGACCATCCTCCCCTCTGTCTGCTGGTACCTCCCCTTTTTAGCCCCTGTGGTGTCTCTGCTTGCGGCCGACTAGCCTAGAAGTCTTTGAACGTTCGCTACATTAGTTGGCTTAGTCAGGATGCAGTGAAGGGAATGTGCTGCCTCAGCGTTCCAGGGCAAGTTGCCAACGCTTCGAGGATTGCTAGTCATCCCCGACATAAAGACTTTTGTAAAAGAGATGGGGAATGAACCTCTGACGGAAGATGGGATACACTCTTAGATCGACTAAGATTCCCGGCGGCCTTTCTCATAAATATAGCGGAGAAGATAGCTAATATAGTCGGCCTTGAATCCGACAGCGTCAAATTGGACCAGTTGTGAATGCTTCTTGGAGATCTCGGCATACCCCAGATTCTTAGGATGAGCTGGTGAACTTCCGGTTGATGCGGAAGTTGGCCCTGGACAGTGTTTATGAAGAACTGTGTCCGCGGCTGTACCCTGAACGTGTGTTGGTACAGTCCGTCGTAAAATTATTTGACACATACCTCAGATGCCGTCTGCGACACATATCCCTGGTGGAAGCAAAACATTTTGTCATCCCATCTGGGTGTGACGCCTTTTCTGAACATCGTTTCTCGCGCCTCTGCAAGTGCTTGGGAGAACCCATCCGATGTGGTGAGTTGAATTGGAATATCCGTGTCAGATTGTTGCAGTTGCTTGTCCTCGTCGCTGTGAGGGAACCCAAAAGAAATGACTCCAGATAGCTTCAGCACCGCGTGCAAACCCACCACCCTTTGCAGCCGAAACTCCAATCCCCTAAGTAAGAGCCCACCAAGACCGTGACTAATAAGGAGGAATTTGTCGTGTTTGCGGCGGAATATGGGAAGCCAGAGAAGTTCATCCAAAATCTCCGCGGCAATATTTTTCACGTCAGATGAACTCGAGCTGTGACGTTGCAAGCGTTTGTAGCCAAAGATCAGGACGGTCGCTGTTGGAATTTCTAGTGGTAGGCTGTCGCTCAGCCACATATGCCCGTCTTGCGGGTTCATGAAGGATTCAAACGGATGGTTGCCGAAATCTGCAAAGACAATGACAATTGTTTCGTGAGGAGGTTGGAAAGATCTAGGGGAGGAAAACACAATGGTGTGGCCATTAAAATGCTGGTCAATTGTGGAAACAAAATGAGGTGACATGTTGATTTTCAACTCATCGGATATGTCGAGCGTGGCGAGCTTCTCTGGGAGTCTTTGAAAGCGGACAGTGGCATGCGGATGCCGTCCAATATTTGCCAATGTGTGCACAAATGCACCGTTGTCGTCTTCTGGGAGGGCGTTGGCGACTTGAAGATCTGGGTGATGCCGAAGAGCATCTGTCAATTCTTTCTTAGTCCAAGAACGTGGCACATGACGTATCCTCCACGTCCTTTGACCGATACACATTTCGCTTGTTGACTGTTCACTGGCCGACGCGTCTTCGTTTTCCGACACAGGTTTATCAAACGATAGATTTCCCATCTGATCTTCAATCTCTCGAAAAGAAGCATTGGAGGTGTCGCTTCGCGACTCCTGGGTCTCCGGCAAGTCATCCATCGGTTGATCTTTTTCAGCCTCTGGTGGCTGCCTCTCGACGCGAGCGTCCGACTTCCCTGACTCACCAAGCTCAGATTCGGTATCGGATTCTGATTCGGTGGACGAAATTTCTGGGACACTGGACCCGGATTCGAACTCTACGGGTCGCGGGTCACGGCCAAGACCTCTTATCGAGAGAAATGCCAACTCTTCCAGGTGTCTACCGACATGTCTGGCAAGCTTTCGACGCTTGGCGGAAACTAGCTTGGCCTGACGTTGAGCTTCTGCATCATCAATCCGATAGGACTCTATGCATTCATCGCTATCAGAGGCTGACAACTCTTCAGAGTCTTCGACTTCGACTCTCTGTTGTGACTCGGGGGCATTCTCCCGTTCCTTACCCTTATTCGGCTTCTTCAGATATTGTGACCCAGCTTTAAGGCCAGTGAAAATGTCCCTGTTGCATATAGGACAGTAGTCTGGCCCCCGTAGACGGGTTAGAAAATTCCACCCAAGCTTCAGGCTCATTTGAGCATCCGTGAGCTCGTGAGAATGCCAATCATTCATATGTTGAACGAAATTATTCCTGTTAGTGAAGTTGATATAGCCACACGAGGGCATGTTGCAAAAGTAACTGAGTGGATAGACCTCTTCGGACCAGCTAGGTCGGTGAGCTTTCTTCATATGCTTATACCACTCGGAAAAGGTTTTGAAGTAGACAGTCGGATTACAGCAATCGTGGGAGATGCAGACGTATATATCCAAGTCGTTTTCGACATGTTTCCTTGCTATGTCAGTACCGCGAAATTCACAATAATATGGGTGTCACAAACCTCCACCATCCGGGTGTGTTGAGATCAGTCTCGTCGAGTATCTCAGGACACCAAGGGCAACGGCAGGAATGCTCGCCATTTATAAGCCTCGGCGGTTGAGGGAAAACATAATCCAGGCCGAAGGAAGTCGGACAGGCATCGTCTTCTTCACCTGAAGAATCGGTCTCATCAATATCACTAGGAGTGTCGTCACTCGTATGAGTCGACCCATCCTTGGTTGTAGAAGTGATAGTGGCTTCGACTTCGGCTGTTGAGGGGAGGTCCAGTGGTGATGCGTTGGATTCAGGTTCGGCTGGAGTATTTAGTGCCGCATCTAGTACTGCATATAGGTCGAACACCGGGAGCGGTACATAGGGCCGGGATTGCAGTTTCTGATTATGAGTTGTTTCGTAAAGAAGCCGGATTCTCCGGAACGTGATTCCCATTGTCAGCCGATCTGCAAGCGTGTCCTCAATTCCAGGAGCATACTGGTTGACCAATTGCAGCGTTTCCTTCTCAAAACTGGTGATTTCAGAAGGATGTACATTGAGACCAAATGTTTCGGCTTTGGCGGCTAATGTGCTTGTGTCGGACTCATGCATTATATCAGCTTGACCCAATAGTCCGTCAATCGCGTTGTGTATTCGCTTGAGGGCTCTGGCCAATGGCTTTCGCTTGTACCGGAACTCAACATCCTCAGGTGAAGTGGGAGTTTTGAACCAGAAGGCTGTTTCGCGGTTAGTACTCCATCAAAGGCGCTCCATAACTTGCTTTGATCATACTCACACTGGTTAAGACTACTCTTTAGGCTGCTAAGATTCGCCGATACCACGCCATATGCACCGGGATAGTCCTCTAGGCGGCTGTCCAAAGAAACCGTACTATCAGAAAAGACACAGAGCCTACGAGCCCACAGGGTGAACTTCTGATGGTATTCCTTGATCTCTTGATTAAGATTCTCCTGAACACTCATATTACTGACAACAACCAAGAGCCTCTGGAAGTCCTCTTCGCAAGCCAATGCCTCGTCGTGCACTGGGCGGTCATCCTTTTGAATAGGGATGTATATCGACATGGTGGTGAGGGCTTGGATCTTTTAAGGTGGCTGGATGTTTCAATACTCTGCAATATGTTGCACGATAGAATGGGCGTTGTGGGATTGTCGTAATGAATCACACACGAGGGAGGGATCAAGATATAAGGATGGGTGGGAAGCAAGCGGACCCCCTCTTCGCTTCGCCATCCTCCTCTCAGCTACTTGGGTACCTGGCAAGCCTCACCACTCGTTGGTCCTTGCTTGGACCCCCAAAGGATTCGACGTGGTGGCGCTATTGCGGGCGCATCACAAGGCCCGATTTATGCTGTGTGACCACCACTACCATTGACCGCTTTTCCAGCCCCAAAGCCACTTTAGGGAGGCCGGGTCACCTGGTTGAAGTACAAAGGACGCTGGTCCCCAGTGTAGCTTTACAGCCACCTTCTGCCCTTTGCGTAGGCTTGGGTCATGTCATGAGATCTTGTCCGTCATTATTTCTTTGTTTCCTGCAATAACAAACCCTATAACTGAATCCAGGTAGCGATGGTTAAGCTTCTGGTTTCGACTGCCCCGGAATACCGCATTCTCATGGCCGTCCAGCCCATCTTTGATGGTGATCTGCATTGGTCCGGTAATGTCACGCCCAGAAGCCACCACGAAATCGACAAATCGGACTCATCCTCTAGCGAGAGTGATGAATCCTCACACGAAGCGTCAGAAAGTTGCGAAATAGGCCAAATAAGGGACGACTTTCAGAACGTAATGAATTTGGTGCGACAGAACCTCAACCGTATCCCTGATATAGGCGTGAGTGAGCGGAAGTTTCAGAACTGCGTCCAAAAAATGTCGGAGCTTCTTAAGTTTCTGAATAGTCTTGTTAAGGGCGACATTCTTAAGCATAATTCGACATCGACCGGAACATATTCAAGTCACCCACAGCACAGTGTGTCTTCAACTGTCCCAACGAGCCCACCTTTCCAGTCTAGGATTGCCACTGCCCCACCTCGAAAACCAGTTCGCACGCATCGGTACAAGAGGCTTGAAGCCATGGAAATGATTTTGGTCGCGCTCAACCAGACCGGACAAGACTCGACCCAAATCTGCCGCGACTATATTTGCCTGTCTCAATCATCAAAGTATCTCAATAAGGGCATTGCCAAGGCGCAGAGGGTCAATCTGTTCCTGGACGAAGTTGTGGAGAAGCCGAAACGCTCTCCGATAAGAGTTCCAGAAACCCAGGAGATACCAGTGACGATTTGGGAAAACAAGTTTGCCTGGAAGTTGTCCAATTTGCTCTTTAAGAGACTAAGCGGGACTTTTTGCGAGGAACGGATGCATACGGTCAAGTTCCAGCTGGATGGTTTAAGACTGGGCAAGTCGTCTAACCACCCCCTGGTTTTCGACATGTTCTTGTCTCCATGTGAACCCACAAACCACTGGCAAGAAACGCGCTGTACATCCGCCAAAGAATGCAAGTAAGTGACTAACCGGAGTTAACCTTCAACGAAAAGCGACCCGTGCTTACACTAGGTAAATCTAGGATGGTAATAGGGAGCCCATATTCTTTTGACGTTGTGGTTGATTTGTGCGAAAAGCGTCAACAAATTTCACACCTGCCCCAAACAACGCTCTTGTATTTACAATTTAACAAGAGTTACCTGTCTTACCCCCACGAGAGCTCCGAATCTTCACGCTACTCCGATGGCTCGTTCATGGTCTCCTTGGATCGTTTGATGGACGGCGACTTTCTTCGGGGTAGTGTTGGTTTTAATGCGAACGACAAAACCATACTTTCTCTGTCTCTGGCTACAGCCTTGCTGCACATGTTGGGAGGTACTTGGCTGCAACAGCGGTGGACTGCGAAGAATATTCAATTCCTCAGCAACTCAGAGAAGCTTCTCGACCTCTACCGTCCTTTTATTACTTGCGCAGTCGAGAAGTCCGAACATGCCAAGAAAAGGCTGGACTCTAGTACGGACAGTCTTGAGTCCATCATGTTGTCATTTGCGCAACTGATTCTCGAAATTGAAATTGGTGAAAGGATTTCCGTGGTGGCCGCCTCCACGCCCAGGAATATGGAAACTACCATCCTATCTGTGTTGAAGCAAAGAAACAGAGATAATGCCGGAGGGGCTTACACTTTTGCCGTGATGGGATGCTTGACCTTCCTCGAACCTCAAGATCGACCACTGGAAGATGTCGCAAACAGTGACGATGCTCGGCTGCAACGAATACGATCGGACTTCTACCAATTCGTTATCAAACCTCTCGAGGCAAGCTTTGCCCTGATCCCGGAAGTTTCCATGTCGCTGAAGTCGAGGACAATGCCACTTAATCGCGTTCTCCTGGACCCTTCGCTCGACCATGCTTTATATGGAACGGGAGCATTGGATGATAGACTCAGGACTGTTCCAGCCGCAAGCATGGAAACCTTGCCGGGGATTATCATCGAAGGCGACGAGCCAACCAACACCGCAGCGTATGTCTTGTTTGAGCCATTGCCATCCGTCCACGCCAGTAAAAGTATTCTAAATTATTCACAGGATGCAAGAAAACACGAAATTTTCCAAGGGCTTTTGGAAGAATCTCGAGGAGTTTCAGAATCGCATCATTGTCCCCAAGATGCCAAAGAGTATCGACGAACAGAGCCGCATTAAGATTGCCATCTTGGACACGGGCATCTCGACACAGGACACGACTTTGAGCGGAGTGTGTGAGATGATCAAGGAATCTCGCGAAAAGGAACAGTACCCCGAACCCTTTTGGAATCCTATTAGAGCTGTTGAATCATTCATCGACGGCGATGGCGACGACACCGTTGGGCATGGAACCCACGTTGCCTTAATGGCCCTCAAGGCTGCCCCCCATGCAGATTTCTACATTGCGAAGATTTCCAATGGTTTGGCTTTTGATAACATAGACTCAATTGCAAAGGTACGTAGGATATCTCTTCCACCTCGAGCTATACTTTTACTGCACCTCTGCCACTGGTGCCAAATACTTGACTCATGCACCACAGGCGATTGACTGGGCCGTACGCAAAAACGTCCATATTATCAACATGTCCTTTGGGTTTGAGAATTACAATGCCAAAGTGCACCAGGCCATTGCAGAAGCGATGAAGACAACACGACCACCCATTTTCTTCGCAGCGGCATCTAATGGAGGCTTCAACAATGAACCGTTGTATCCAGCCATCCACGAAGATGTAATCGCTATGCACTCGCTCGACGGAAATGGAAACGATAGTGGAGGACAGAATCCGCCGGCACACGAAATGCTTGGCAACTTCGGCACTTTGGGAATCGGGATAACGCTGTTGTGGAAGGGAAAGTCTGCGGTCAAGTCGGGAAGTTCGTATGCGTCGCCGATTGCCGCGGGCATCGCGGCCAACTGCTTGCAGTGGCTTGAGTGGGCGAAGGAACAGGGGAAGCTAGATAACGATGATTACTTGAGGCTAAGGACTGGCAAGGGCATGCGATATATGTTCAAGAAGCAAGCGAAGAGCAGAAAAATCCCCGGCGGTATCAAGTATGTCGCTCCATGGAACCTATGGAGAGGCAAACTGACAGACGGGGATGTCTGCGGAGTGCTCAAAGAGAAGATAGACACAGTCCAACCACGAGAGATGTGAGAGTGTGTATTGAATTTCACAATTACGAGCTGCTAAGTGCATAACCACGAAGCCTAGTGATCTGATCTAGGATCTCTTACCTCCACCACTCCAAAGCTATCATCAACCACACACGGCGACTTACCACATGACGAAAAAGACTGGCCGCGATTTTTGTGTAACCAAAAAAATCCGATCCAACCCTGATTGACTGTGTCACTTGAAGGTACATGCGAAGGAAGTAGCTATCGGGTTGCATTTTCGCCAAGCATTTGAGGCCGAGCCAGCCGATGGGAGCAGTCACTCAACGACACCGCTCGAGTGAAACTAATGAGCTACTACACACATCTAAACCGAATCTGATGGGCTGTGTCACCGAGATTGCGCAATTTACCATCCATTGGATTGTCGGTGAGTAGCTGAGCCTCTTCCAGCCGGTGAATGCCGTGGCATAACGTCACGACTTGGAGGCAGCTGACACACGTCCACAGAGATCTAGACCAGCTCCGGTGTGCTGTGTCACCCAAGACCGATAAGGTAGCTATTCTAGTCAATGTTAAGCGAGTGGCTGATCTCGTATAAGCACGTTCCCATACACCTGAGACGAACAAAATACGCCTCGCCGCATCCCAAGTGGTCGCCGGTGGTCTGTCCGCCAGCCTCACTTTTCGTGCCAAGAGAAAGAACCCGAGAGACGAAAACAACTGCCGAGCCTGACCGTTCTTGTATTATTTTGGTTGAAGCAAATAGACTAGGTCTCTCCACTTGTCTTATTTGTTCTTCCCAGTCCCCAATCATGACACTGCCACCCACACCATCTCTTCAACAAAGGATTCTTTCAGCACCGCGTCTTTGCCACACAACTTCTTCCCAGCACACCCTCTTTTCAACCGATCCGCCGCGATGACAAAGACCTACATCATAGCCCCCAACTTTTCAACCCAGCCAGACGCCCTGCGTCTCGGCGACATTCTCAAGGATCCGTTGGGAGGGGACCTGGACCCGCTCAACGGGGAGTGTCGGGTCGACATTGACCCTAAGCACTTGAACGCTGTTAGCATCGATAGCAGTTTCTCAGCCACACGGAAGGCGCTGTTGAGCGGGCGTTTTGGGCTCTGGTCAACCTTCTTAGCCACAATCGGGATGCCCGTTGGTGTTGACGTTGGCCTCTTCCTCGAGCGCAACTCGACGGATATCATCAAGGCTGACATCCTTGAGACGCACACATTCAGGGTCACCGACAAGTACGTCAATGACGTTGTCCAAAGCCCCAATGTCAAGGCCTACCTCGAATGCCGCAAGTATGAGAAGCCCATCTACATGGTCACGGGCCTGAAGGTCACAAAGGGTGCGTCGGTCAACGTGGAACGAGATACCACCGCAGACGTCAAGGTCGGGCCACATGGCCCCGTAAATGTTCATCCCATCTTCCAATGCATTCGGAAGCTCAGCGAAAATATCTCTTTCGATTCTCAAACACCTTTCATCCTCGCCTTTCGCGTCCGACGCATCACCTTTGTTCAGCAGAAGCCAACCCACAAGCTCTCTCTAAAGGCTGCAACCATGCTGGATGGCGACGGGGAATCCAGTGACGAGCCACAGCCAATTCAGGGAGACGACATGTCGTATGCCGAGGTCAAAGAGGTTGCTAAAATATCCCGTGTCAATTTCCTTGTCGCCAAAGATGAGGAAGAGGAGGATGAGGAGGAGGGGGTGGAGTGGATTGTGATGAATGGCAAGTCGCCATCCAGCCAGTAAAGATTGCTGTCTGAATCTGCCTTTCGGTTTTAAAGACTACTGTCTCAAGCGATAGCATCCTTCAGCACGGCTTTTTTCACTGACACGGGATCCGTCTCCTTGGAACCTGACACTGTGGATGAATTAAACAGGGGAGTTTGGATAGAGATAGTGGCAGATTATGCATAAACATACATGGTATTAAACACCACTCGGATTAGCATTGGCAGTCTGTCACTAGCATCGTTTAAACCACCCCTAAGATGACGACCTCACTCATACCCAACCCTCCCAACTCCAGCCAGCCCACGGGGCACAATTAGGTTTGGCATTCTCCAGTCTGGCGTTTGACTTCCCCGATAGCCGAGGCTATGGCATCAGAGTGGCAGTGGCAGTACTACTGCGTGCTAAGTTCTAGAACACGCCTCCGCCTTTTTACGGTTTCGGCCGATTTGAGTTCGTAGTCACTGGATGTCTCACTTCCCCTTACAAGACACCCTCTTCGCAAGCAATGACGACCCTTTCATGACTGGTCATCCCTCTTGTCATGTCGCTGAGGGCGAAACCGCGATAGCTTGGCCATTGTGTATTCTGGTCCTTGAGCCACTAACAGTGCGTCCAGTTCAGGCTAATTGTTCTCATTTTGCAAGCTTGCGACCAAATCTGCATTCACCGTGCGCCTACCGTACGTACGATTAACGCCATCTCAGATCCAAGGTAGTCCGGCGGGAAGTTAACCCAGAGTGTGATGACTACGACTGTGGCAAGTTCAAACACACGTATCGTTCTTATGCGACCCCCTGTCTACTATTGCGCCGCCACATGTCTCTCTCCAAGTTTTGCTTCGCGAACAATCCTAGACCTATGAATAGGGCCGGACAGCCAAGTCAACTCCATCCGATGATTCAGACTCATTACATCTCGGAAGGACTCCTCCATATAGATGAGGGTGTCTTGTGTCCCTTGGAAGTGTCCGCCCTCCCATCGATGGTTTCGGTTGTGCCGTCCACTCATGGGACAAGGGTTTGCTCCAATTGCTGCCAAGAAAACTGGTGTCGACATATGGAACCTGCGACAGTCAATGAGAAATAAATCCATCAGACGATTGGAAAAGTCTAGACCTACAAGTCATATGAGCACAACCACCGTTCTTCTCCACCGGAGCATTGCATCCTGGACATGGCTTGGTATGCTGCAGTAGCCAATCACGAGTCTTCGTATAGTAGTCATCGCTCTCTGCGCATAGGACATCAAGCTGGTTACAAGTGTAGCTTTCGTGCCAGGGTGTTTGGTGGTTGAAACACATCTTGAAGTTGCATTTTGTGCAGGAAACACACGGGTTCGTTGATCTGTTCTCGTAGATCTCACCGTTTGAGCATCCTGGCTGAAGACACCATCGGAAGTTGGAACATCCGCTTAGAAACTGTAGTGCAAGGTGAGTGTCGTATCTGCGCGTAGAGTAAGTATTCAGCCAAGGTACCTCCCCATGACACCAACTAACCTTGCAAACGTATCTTGGTCGGCATAAAGTCGGATTTCGTCGAAAGTGAGAACACGATTGCATTCAAACGATGGGCAAGCTATCTTTTCGCAGCAACTTCTCCCACGTTGATGCACTTGACTAGCCAGGTATTTTTTAAGGCAAGATGAGCATACATCGATTTCGTGAGAGCATCGAGCCCCAAGCTTCTCCGGGAATTTTAAGATCGTCCACATACCCCGGCCGTGAAAACCATCCCAGAGCCCAAGCCATTCTTCCAAAGAGTGGTATTGCAGATCATGAATTGACTCGGTGCAAATCGAGCACTCTCTCGCCTTTGTATTGTGGTGGATGAGCCCCATGAAAATTGGAACACTCACTGTAGTACCTTCTTCACCATCCACATCGCAAAGTTCGACCGGTCCATTTTCAATACTTTGAGTTCGTCTGTGCCCAAAACTGCCTCTCTTCACTGGGTCGAAAAATGAGCGCATTTTGCCTCTGGTTATCATTCGCGTGTGTAAAGCAGCGGCTATTTCCAACGCCTTTGGTCCTGGTCGAGTATCTAACGCCCGCAATTGGGTACGCATGGCCATTACGGTGTCATATCTGGAGTGTATTGAGTCATAGCAACTTTGAAATTCGGGCAGTCAATCTAGCGACTTACTCAGCTAGTGTTATCCTCTTTGCCTCGGCAGGCATGTGCTGGAATACCTCGCGCCACTGATGACGATGATAAATCACCATGTATCCATTTAAACAGTCTCCCAGACACTTCAGCCGCAGATGTGATGTACTGCAATCCCACAATCCTGTATTAAGTGATGACGCGAGATGATCCACTAGGCATTCTGAGCAAAAAAACTTGGAACAACATGAGGTTGGTGACGAAAGGTCGGGAAATTCAGCAATCGTTCGATAGGAAATCATTGAGGATTGCCGGAATTTTCCTCTCTGACACCCGTCACATGTTTGAATCAAAGTCTGCTCCAGAAGGTTGGCCTGGTTCCGGTGTGGGCCAATCTCCTGAGACAACCGTAGACTGATTTCCGGGCTCAAAGCAACATCGAACAAGTTAGGCGTGAGAATTGGAACTAGTGGCAACCGTGTCCTGAGTCGTATGGACTTGTTGAATTCCAATACGTCATGTTCTTCCTCGTTCCTCTTCGCTAAATATTGATGAGATAAAATCTTGCCCATCAGGATCAGTCGTGGAGTCAAATCAGTGCCGAACGTCGATTGGAACTGGGCCAGCTCTGCCTCCACCTTTTGTAAATCTTTCCGCATCGATATGCATTCCTCTAGGTATTGACGCTTGCACTCGCGCTCATGGAGCAGCTCTTTCTCCAACTGTTCGAGCTTGGCTTCGAGAGTGCACGTCGCTTGAGACAAGTCTGTTGATGGAGTCCGAGGGCTTGTCGGATTTTCCTCGTTTTGAAGTTCTTCGTCCCTCGCCTTAAACAGAGCTTGCATGTTTGCCAGCCCGTTGAACGCGGTTCGGCGAAGTGCATCATTGGCATCTAGCAGTCTTTCGAGTTCTGTTCCCTGCCTTCGCATTGTTTCTCCCAACCGCTCAATCGTATCTAGCGAGGTGCCTGGATCTCCATCCAGATTTTCGGTTCGGTTCGGTAGCGTTGACATGGTGGGTTCTCTAACTTCTAGCCGTTGGCCATGAATAACATGGTTCGTGTCAGACTCAGGTTCAAACTGCCGCCGTCGGGCCTTGGTCGAGCATGTCGGTTTATCCCGTTGTTTGGATGATTTGTGAACGTACATCTGAGCGAGATTTTGTGATTAATCCTTGGTAACGGGAACTTTGCTGTCATTGAAACTGATGAGGGGGTGAAAGATGACTCAAAGGGTGGTGGGCCTCCCGCAGTTGTATTTTGTCATTATTACGCACCCGTGTATTTACACTTCGCGATGAGAAGACAAGTTATTGGTCGCCCGTTGCGACCAAAAGCAGCCGCCGGCATATCTTCGAGGCGGAATCAACTCCACATCCATTGGTCACTCGCATCTCCTCCAACAAGGAGCCACTGCTATTAGTGACGGGGCCATGGCATGAATTAATCGTTGACCACGTGCCAGTGCTTGGTTTGGGTTTGTGAGGGGCTCAATTATAACAAATCTGTCAGAGAGTACAGGTCGCCTTTTCAACTTTGAAGGAAAACATAGTTGCATCATAGTCGAGGCTTCCCTGGACGAATTGGTAAAGAAAAAGCGACTGGAAATTATAGCTTCACCAGTGTTTAATTAAATACTCAACAGAGTAATGCACAAAAATGAAATGAATCAGTGTTGAATAGAATGCCCTAGTACAAATACTCACCTCTAGCCTATGTACTTGGTAGATTCTTACCACCTACCACCCGACAGTGCACCTACACGTAATGCCAACCTTCTTGAATGCCTCCTTGATAGGTTCCCTCTCGTTCCTATCCAGATCGCAAAACTCGACGAGGCGCAGGTTTGGAAACATTTCAGGTGCAGCGTCTGCCAGGTTCAGAATATCCTGCTTATTACCTCGCTGACGGGATGTGAGTTTGAATACGCGGATAGTCTTTGGTAGAAGGTCTACCAATCGATTCCCGTCAGTGGGCATTTCATCCTCCCTCTCCCAATGGATGGCTTGGCTGTCGACAGAAAGATGTGTAAGTTTACTCCAGTTGAACGCCGACATCGTTTCCCTATCTTCCCCATCATCAAGCCTCATCCCCATTCCAACCCCGATACTGATATCAAGGTGTCGAAGCGTATTACGACGGATCTAAATAGCCTGTTCGATATCTGTAGGTTCGGCCTCATCATCAACAACAATGGCTGCGTCACCGGATTGGAAAGTAAATGACTGAAGCTGAGGGAACGCTCTCATGAGTCTTTCGAAGTCTTCGGCTGCCATGGCACTGAACAACAACTTCAGGGTCTTGAGGTTCTGAAGGATGGGGACATTCGGCGCTGAGCAGATCCGGGATGCTGTGATGGATCGGAGATTCGGTGCTGCTTCAAGAATGTTTTGGGCAACATCCAACGAGAGCTCGGATGTATCAGGGGTAGGTTTCAGCGTGAAGTGCGCAAGGTGAGACAGATGATCCTTCTTGATGAACGGGATCCTGGCGGTGTCCAGGCAAACCTCGAGCCGCTCCAGGTTCGGCGCCAGTGCAATGGCAAACCCGAGCTGAATCAGCTCGAGATTGCAATTGAGGGAGGTTTTCCACGGTTGTTGGATCCAATCTGCGCGTATCTTAAGGCGGCGGCCCAAGCGATCAACATGGAATTCCTCCCTCAATTCGTTGAACAGGGCGAAATCACGATGACGAACACGGTCGGATGACCAGTATCCAACGATGGAGGTGATTTCTCTGATGTTGGGGGCAAGGACCGGGTTCTTGGAGAGCGTTCCCAACAAGAAAATGACACTACGATCTTTCGCCGCGGGTGCACGATATAAATACGGGGTGGCAACCCCTTGCAATGTCTTGCAAGACCGTGCAAAGGCCCGCGAGGCCAGCAAGACGAGGAGGATCCAAGTGATCGCGACTCCACGACTCGTTGGGCGTGTGGTATGGGCACAGGTGCTGGCAGATACGGGCCAGCACGCTGTTGGGGAGATGGACGAGTGAGGGCATCATGGAATGCGGGCGTGAGCAGGTGGAGATGGCTTCAAGCGATTGCAAAAAAAAGTTAAGAAACAAGAGAATTGGACATTTTCCAAAAGGTTGTGCGTTCAATTTTACGCAAATGCATCACATGGGCGCGCGGTATTGCTTTTGCCCTAAGTTCCGTCTCTCGGGCCGTGAATTGTTCCATTGTCTGCAAAGTGGCATTTTGGCTGTTATTTTGGAGCTATGTGTTGGGTGCTCGAAAACTGGTCTTCTCGAGCGTGTGTTAAGGTCAAACGAGAGTTGAGAAACGATCGCATTTCGAGCACAATTACATCAAAGCGGGGCAGTAGGTTTAGCCAATTACAGCGCTTTTAGAGCCCCACCTAGGGAGAATTAAGCCAATAGGCGTTGATTATGTGCTTATCTAATCCACAAAAGGGTCAGTGCGCCATAGAGAACAATCGATGTCGGTCAAAGTCAACCAAAGTCAACAACGGAAGACGGTGAGTTTTTGCTGACTCAGCCAACTGAATTATCAACAAGCGCTCTATTTCCATCACTCTTGTCACGGGCTGATGTTATTTAGGGAACAAGTATACAAGAAAAATCGTGTTACTCTAAGTATAGCAATCATATAGTCCAAATGCAGAAGAGAATTCCGTGTCTCCCGTATCAATCTGTCGTTAATCCCTTCCACACCCCTCCAGAGCCCGAATCACAATCTCAAAAACAACGAGCATGTTAGAATCGGCGTGTTCACGTTTGAAGGCATTAATAATGTCTGAAAATCGAGCCAGAACAACCTGGAATCTCTCTTCGTCGCCAACGGAGATATCCCTGTCAACAATCAGACCGGGCATTTGCAACGAAATCCTCAGCCATGAAAAGTCACAATGAAGAGGAACCTCTTCAACCAGCCGCCGCAGGGACATTTGACTGAGCCCAATTCTTGGTACCCAGTTACTGTTCCTACCTCCTGGGCTAGTCACACTGAAATCAAGGTGTGTCTTCAGCAATTTCACTGCCGTTGGTGGCCGAGAGTCGCGAGACAATGCACACTCAAACGAACCAGGTCCTGGCCACTCTGCTGTGCCTGCAGGATAAATGTTTCTCTCTGTTCCTTGCTGAGAAGGCCCTGGGTCGCGCAAAGGGACAAGTTGCGACTGCTGGGAAGAAGATGCACTCGAGAGTCCTCCTTGCATGTTGTTTCCACATCCTCCCGCTAAGCCCTCGAGACGTTGTCGTGACACCGGCAGAGTGCACAGTAGGCCACCACTCGTTTTTGGCCCCTGATTTGGCTTCACGGTCTGGTTTGGGTTAACAAGCAATGGTCGATCTGCATTGACTCGGCTTGGTTCGCCTCTACCACTGTTGAGTGATCCTCGCCGCTGTCCGAACTGTCGTCTAGATCGAGAACCAAGGACTGTGTGACCATTAGATTGACGTGCATCATGCGAAAGGTCACCAAAGCGACCATTGAATCCACCGTAGATGGGCTGCTTGCCCTTTTGGCGTTTCGTAGGACGGTTCTGTGCACCCTCTGGGTATTGAGCAGGCCGCTTGCTGTTGTTTTGGCTCTGTCCACGATCAGCGTTGGACTCGGTTGGGAACGGAGCATTAGTGCGAGGGCTGGCGACGGGGGCTAATTCGTCCGGACTGGAGTTTCGATCTCGTGGATCATTGGTCACGTTCGTAGACTGGCAAAAGAACTCGTCAAGTGCATCCTCCACAGATGCCCTTGGTGGGCGCCGAAGGGGGACTCTATCAGCTGCCTCCGTTCTATCCCGAGCTGTGAGTGAGTACACTGTGCAGGTTCGAGTGGTCTGAACTTACAATGTATATTCCTCAGGTCCAGTTTCATTGTTGTGGGAGAGACTGTCCAAGTTGATGGGATCATCAATCGCGCCCTCTCTATTAACATTGATATGGACAGGGCCCAGAGGATAAACGTGATCTGGACCTTCTTGCCTTGGAGCCTGTTCTGGTTCGGGAATTGGAGGATTGGCATCTCCCGCTTCCACGTTACTAGTTGGAGCCATCGCTGGAGTGTGGTCGTTAGGGGATTCGTCTGTTATCTGAAAAAACAGCTGAAGCATTGTCTGTAGAATTCTACCGTAGTGGTATCAGAATCATAGTCATGTTTGAAGGCCGGAATCGCAAGCTCGACTTACATGCGGGAGTCTTTTACGTATTGATGCCGACGACCGTAGTCTTCATGCTCTGCATCATCAGGCCAATAGAACATTCCTCTGCCCTCGGCGTTTAAGAAGCTCGTCGTCATCTCAATTAAGAGATCCTGGTGATTCGAGTTAGTCCATCGAAGGGGTCGTGTGTGAGGCATTTTGGTTGTGGTCATAAAGCCCGCGCTGTATCTCTCGACGTCGTTGTAGAACTCCACATGCTGGCGTTGTTCGGAACATTCGTAGTCGAGCTGTTTGCAGAGAGCGCGAATGTCTGGGATTGACGAGGCCTTGATATTTTTGAAGAAAGCGCGGGAAAGTGCTTTTTTTGGGCGTCCGCGTCGACGTCCACTCCCACGAGGCGGGTTCACAATAGCAGACGGCATGGTCAAAGAAAGAGTGTGAGTAAAATTGCAGTCGTCGTGGGAGTCGATGCGAAGATTCTCGCCTATCCAAGTGCTGCTCCTATGTTGAACTAAGTACCCCCAAACCCAACTTTCCGGCGTGGGAGGTCCGTACGTCACCAGGCAGATTCGCAAGGCAGCAAAGGCCGATGACGACTATGCATGTTTCAGCTCACTGCGTTGTTGACTAAATAACAGGGGTATATGCAGTAGATGCCAGGGAAAAATAGTTGCTGTGCCGCATTCGTTAGCCATGATCCCAGTTGGTTGGGAGGCCGCCAAATGCAAGGGAGTCAATCAGGCAGCGCGCAGTCACTGTTACTCTGTGCCACATGCAGTGTTAAGGGGCGACTAGGCAGATTTTGCGCATACGCCGCGAAACCAAGGTAGGAAGACTTCAGCTGGTTTCTATTCTGTGAGAGGCCTCATTCAATCCATTAACTTCGCACCCCAACATATCGGCAAAACTGTAGACACCTGTGATGTAGTATTGGACATAATAGGTAGTCGGATATTTAGTAGCTTACTAGAGGCGAGTTTACCAGGGAGTTGTCTTAAAACTAGGATAAAACTAGGAAAGTCTGCATCTGTAGATTGAGACTATCTCTAATAACATTATAGGATAAGGCGCATCTGTTGATATAGAGGAAGGTCATCCTTGAGCGGTGCGGCTTCCAGATCAAACTTCACTCGGCCTTTTTTGTCAAGCCAGGCTCCATCGTCGAAACTCGGGAGCACCTCTCTCGTAAGAGCAATCTCTCGTTGACTCACAAGAGCCTCATCGCGGGGAATCCATAGCTTTGGTTTCAGAAGCCAAACCTCCGGAGGCAGGTAACGTTGGGATTCGTACTCGGCAGGGAATTCTTCCTCCGCAGGTGTGTGGGAAACTAGGCGTTGCAACACTTCGAAACTCTCAAAAGCCAGGGGCCGGAACCACTTCTTGTATGTACTGCTTTTGCTTGGCTGTGGCGGTTGCTGGCTTAGAAAAGCTTCGTCTAAGGTTGCTGGCGTGACATCCCATGGGGGATTCGCGGCCTCCATGTCGACAGGCAGCTCTCCCGCGGAAACATCAGTGTTGACGCCACGACGACGAAGGAAGCCCGATTCTGCCGCGCTCTCTCTGTTCTCTTGCGGCGCTGCATGCTCATCGTCATGGCTCAGCGTCCTAGGGAAGTTGTCAAGAAGAGGATTGATAGCGTTTCTGATGGAGATGTGCAAAAACACAGTCGAGAAGGACAGCAATACCATCAGAGCCAGCTGCCCCCATGCAGAGAGCAGAACAAAATAGCAAATAAAAAATATTTGGGCCAGGTATGGCCCTGCTATGATGTGCATAACAGCCCGAGGGTAGAACAGGCCCGTCGTTTCCAGCGTCCTTGTGTCGTACACGTACATCAGGTTGTACTTGTAGACAAAGTACACAAAGGCAAGCCCCGTTGCTGCAAATACGAGGATGAGAGGTGCAATGCAAGCGTAGCAAACGGCTGTATTTGAGGCTCAGTGATCTTAAGTCTAACGGAAGTTCAAATTTGAATACTCACCGATTACTCCGATATTCGTAAAAACGGGATACACACCACCCCAGTGGATAACACTTAGATCATACCACCTCTTGTAGCCAGCCTGTGGGGTTCCGGAGAACTTACCTTTGATTTGGTGCCGAAACAACTCCCAGAGTTGCGTCAGTTCCCAAGCACCAGCCGAAAAGCACCGCACTAGAATATACGTGAAATACAAGTTGGACGCCCTCGGCACATTGATCGAAAGGATAGACCTGGGGTCTCTTGTGATGTCCGGCATCAGCGTCGGGGCCAAGAATATCTGGAGAACCTGGAAGACAAAGTATCTGCTTTGGACGAACAACTCGACGGCGGAGAGAGTTGGCGATCCTGTGAATTTGGCGCATGTTCTCAAGAAAAAAGGGACAGTCTCTAGCAAGAGCCATAAAAGGATCGCTCGTCCCAAGCCAGAAATGATGTTCGTGGCCAGTTGCGGAAATCTGTTGATGTCGGGCATTTGCTGCTCGAGAAAGGCGGGGCTCGCCACTATGCTCACGAGCGTTTGCGGAATCCACCAAATGATAACGCACGCGATGATGATGAGCACAACGACGTACTCGCGTATGAGTCGCTGCCACTGCGGGATTCGAAGAGAATCCCAGACAATCTCCCCCGGCCTCATGCCGATGACTGTTTCAGACATTTGAAACGGCTGGTGGTGCGTAGGCGTTTGGTAAGCTGCTTGTGCATTGGCAGAGGAGTCGAACTCAACGAAAACCGCATTCATTGGCTTTCCTTTGCCAGCATGGATTTTCTGGCGCAGCTCTTCGATCTGTTCATTTAGCAGCTTCAAGTGCGATCTGGCCCAATTGATCGTGTCGACGCTGCGGCCAAATTTGCTGACTGGCCGGTGACTCGGCCTTGCATAAGCTGCGATCTTCTGCGATTCCAGAGATAGCTTTTGACCTGGAAAGTCCGAATCGTGGACGCAAAGGTGGCTGTGCTCTGAGTATGTCGATACCGACTCCGTGCTGTGGCCATCCAAAGTTTTGGCTTGAAGTTCGGTGACTGTTGGTGATTGATGATTCTTTCCCCAACTAGTTCCACGCTCTGGGTCTTGGAATTCGGATTTTGGTGTCTTCATCCAGTCCCAATGGGTCATGCTGAATTGCGGATGGCCTTTGCTTGGTGAATTGGCCCTCTTGATGAGCGTGATTTCAGCCTCCTCCAATTTAACTGCTGTCTTTTCCCTTTCTCGTAAAAGCTTCTTCAACTTTCCTGTCATCCTAGGTATCCAGAAGTTGACTACAGAATCTCCAAACAGCTTGCGTAACTTTCCGTCATCCAGATACTGGGCTGGAACGGCGGTAAAGAGGACGGTTTTGGAAGAACTGCGGCTTGTGTAGTTGGGTGACAAAAGATAGGCATGTCGTATGTTGATGTAGTAGAGACATTCGCGCCATATCATGAACAAGATAAAACCTTTGCTCCAATTAGTCACGTCGTCTGGGAGACGGCGAATAACTCACCAGTAAACACCCAGGATACTGCAACGTGGGCATAGAGTTTATTTGAATCGTCCAGATTAAGAATTGTCAGAGATCCTGGAGGCGAGAGCGATTTGCCCCCTATTCCGTGGATGGGGAGAAGGATCGGCAACACGAAAAAGATACCGCCGAGGCAGATGATGCAGAGAACCCTGAGGTGACGGAGAAAAAGAAAACCGTCCAGAGAGCACCTTTCCAGAATATATGTGTCCTGAATTTGGAAAAACGGCTTTATCCAGTCGGTCCATCCAGCCGGCAGTTCTGGGCTGCGTGCTCTGCAGTCTATTAGCCCCATAGCTCCATATTCAAGAAAATGGATGCTTACTGTTGGGACTGAATTCCTGACAGGCTCTTTGGAGCGTATAGCCTGGGTATCTTTCGACGGAGAGCAAGGAATAGGATACAACACACTACCGTGTAGATGATCGTGGGGCCAGCGGCTACGAGGACGGGTCCAAAAGGAGTATTTAGAAGAGCTGATGGGATAGAAGAGCCATCGCTGGAGAGGGTGCCATTTCCTTCTTCCCCTACTCTGATGTCTTTGATCCTCGGGTCATTCTCTTCAACTGTTGGCTACTGGATAATTAGCAACGCTTTTGGCTGGGATCGAGATGACGATGCTCTTTGCCCTCATTCAAAAATACTCACTTCAAGCCTTGCTCCTAAACCACGCATCGTAGCCGTTATCTTATCACTGATGCTGCAATCGCCCGTGATGGAAACGACATCTTGCACAAGAAGAGCAATTATGACTGTTAATATACGGGCAATGATCTGTGTGAGTGTAACTTGATACCCCCTGCATTATGCCGGCCGCTCCTTGCGATGTCTTGCGGCATGCGCTTATGCCTTGCGCTGTGGCCAGTTTTCATGCGTACATGCATTAGCTCTGTCGTGATCCCTGAACAGCTGAAGTTGAGTGATCGGCAATTGATTAGGGGGATTACTATTCGTCCAACCCTTTCTCGCTATTTATACAACCTTGATCATGTAGTCCCACTTTCACTCCTACAGCAGCAGCGACACGACAGCGCCCGTTGCGCTAAAATTACACAATATCCCTCGGATTGCCGTAAGGCAACACATGGGTCGCGAGCAGGGGGCTTCAGCCAACCAAGTAGGAATCAATACAAAGTACCTCTTTGCCAAGCTAAAATCGATGATTATAAATGTGGCTCCAGTCCCAGTGGGGATGTCATACTGATAATTTTTCTTACCGTGTTTGACCATGCTCCTTCTGATGAACTTGCTTTTGTTGAAGAATACTCGCCACTGATAAGCAAAGGTTTCTGAGCCAGTTGGAGCACGATAATTTATGTAAGTGTTGCCTTGTCACAGTCAAAGGATTGGATACCTAACTGAGGGAGCGCTCTGAACTACATGTTGAAATTCCCTGCAGCCAGCCAGCCTTCACGCAAGAGCGCTCACTAACGCCCACTAATACACACCGACACGCACCAACACAAGCCAGAGCAGCTGTTGCAGCTTTTAACAGCACAATTCCATTGTCTTTGCATGTCCCTTTCCTTCCACAATCGCTGCAGCTCTGTATCTCGAGGTCCGAGATAACAGATACTAGTACTCCGCTATGAGCGTCCAATTGCACTTCTGTAAGAATAGTATACGAATTAAAGCACTTAAACTACGTGAGATAATCGTCGTCTTGTACCTCTATAGAACACTTTCTTAACCAAGGGCCGTGTTAAAAAACAACTGTATTTCGACGCTCGAATATGTCTTGGTACATCAGTTGAAGTGAGCTCCGGGTTCGCCAATTGTTGTTGTCAGCTTGCAGAGGCCATTATACACGGCTGTTCAGATTCTATCTGACCATTCTCAAGCAGCTTGGGAATGTGATGGACCAAGTCACGAGTCCCCGTGTTATAATGGATGGTAGAATCCAGGATATGATCCTTTCAGACTTCCATACTTTGAATAGCGTGGGTCGAAATTTAGACCGCAGAGAAGATTCAACCTAGAGGCAGGCGACACATTTTTCTGAGTGCCCCAAGAGAAACGCTGGTGTTCTGTGATAGAAGATGGAAGGTAGGTCTCTCGAACTCTTGTAATACTCGGAGAGGTCTGTAACGGAATTTTATGAGTGTCGCCCTGATCAAAGAATTGATTGAGGAAATTTGTATTGGCGAAGCCGCAGTCGAAAATGCGGTGAGAATGGTTCTCGTCGCTGGCTGCTGCGCTCTGCGGGCTAGTCGTAAAGCATGCCGCATCCGTAGTTGGTAATCATACCGCTACTGTTTGCTAGGGCTGGGGCCGTTTTTGCCACCGCCTGTGCCGTTCACAGTCGGTAACCTTGAAGCTAGATTCACATCGCACTGTCCGATTATGTCGACGATATGGAATGATGGGTTTGAACTTAATTCATTTTTACAACGTAAGTTTACGACGCCGTGGGACTTTCAAGCACTCTGAGAAGATATTTTGTGCTCATTCACACGCAAAATTAATGACGTTCCTTCATTCTTCATGCTACCCAGGGCGGCAGTCTTTCGACCTCGTTAAGTAGTGGGTGATGCAAAACCGGTGCTCTTAAAATAGACACTAAGTATTTAACCATAAGCCGAACACTAGCGTTGGGTTTCGGCAAATGTAACGGGCCGAGACTGGTCTCTGATGGTTTAAGTGGCTGGCAGACAGTGAGGCTGACACCCTCTCGTGTGACGTGCAGAAAGCTCATCTGACAATGAATCATCAGGGTGGGGTACACTTCTATTCTACAACTGCACTGTGAACAGAGGGATTTGACGTCTGTTGGATTCTGTTGAACCCCCTCGACCATCTCAGGACATACCAATCATGTCTAGGGTGAAGGGCAGCACAAGGGAAATCGTCGGGAGTCCTCAGTGGCCTGCGACAGAGACTATCGGTGAGTGCGGCCTAACCACCTCGCAGCACTGGTGACATCTTGCTGACAAAAGCGATTGCAAAGAAGAGTCGGAAATTCTGGATGAGGCCGACCTCGTACCCAGTGCCCTGGACCAAACACCACCCAGTGCAGATGAGCAGCGATGGACTCGATTGCCTGTCGCTGTGTTTGCGGCCCTGATTTACTGGCCAATCATCAAACCTCTGGACGCCATCTTGTCAAACCCGGTTCTTTTCGTGCTCCTCTTGATCGTCTTTCTTTATGGCTGTCTGCCGTTTATGATTACCTCGGGCTTTCTGTCCAGTGTCTTGGTTGGAAGGGAGACTAAGATCCGTCCTCTTTGAATCACCCGGTTTAGCTCTAGCTATACGTGGCACATACGATGAGTGAAGAAACGAAGGAACGCGGCGGATTATTCTTATTTTAGGTGTCTGAGAAAACCGTTGATACCTCTTAGCCAAGTGCATGAGGAGAACAAGATTCTTTCAATGCACTACCTAACAACGTCTGAATTTCTGCAAGCTGTGATATCCATGCTTTCGGCGAAACCAACATATTGTACTCGCCCAACGAGGTTGGCAATATCTTACCGAACCTCCATCAGTGTAACTCCGTTCATTTGAATGTCTTAAATTTTGCTGAAAAGGTTACCTGCATCTTGTGTACGTTGATTGATCTTGTTTGCTTCCGGTCGAGTACCTTCAGGCTGGCTGGCGAGGCTGTAAGTAACCCTGGGTCTAAGTATGCTCCACGGGCGAGGCGGGCTTCTTGTAGTTAGCCGGAGAGCCAGGTTTGATCTTAGGCCTGTGTACACTCTTTACCCTAGCTGGTTTGAGTGGTGTCTTCTTGGCTTCCCGAGGGTCGGCTCCTGCTCTCGCGAGGCGATCTGCCTGCAGGTTTCCTTCAATGCCCTTATGCGCTGGGACCCAATGGAACTCAATCTGGGATTTCGGGAATTTCCGCCGTAATTCTGGGAATACATGCTGAGATTTAGCGGAGACTTCGTTAAGCAGCTGTTGAATAAGCGAGGTACTGTCAATGCAGGCGTGGATTCGGGCGCTTTGATCAATACAGCAGGCATGATAGAGCCCGCGTCGGGTGCCCTCAGCCTCTCCGTCAATGACTTCTGCAAGACCAAGTCGACCCTCCCCTTCTGCAATCTTCCTGCGATCTCGATGGATAACGTAGCCCCAGCCGACAGTCCCCGTAAGATTCTTTGATCCATCCGAGTAGACTATTAAGTCGTTATCCGGTACTGTGTTCAGCCAGGCTCTGAAACTCTTAGCTCTTTCCTTCTTTGTCTCTTTCTCTGCTTGCATTACTGGATGTGGTTGATGGCTCTTCAGTGGGAGTTTTGCTTGGGAGAGCCCAGATAACGTCCTTTTTGTCGTTGTCCGCTCAAACGATTGGGACAGAATGCGGGCCGAGGAAAACATCGTTCTTGTTGAAACACTTCAATTTGTAGAAGTGGCAGGTGATAAGTTGAAAGTAGAGCAGAGTATCTCGATAGGCCTTCTGGGAATGGAAGAGAACGTGATGAGGGAGGATGAGTGAGCCGATGGAAATCCGTGGCAATAAATACTGCTACGGTCAGGACAAGGTTATTGTCTACAGATAGCAAGGTTATTTTCTGCAGTCAACAAGGTCGAAGACAGAAGGGTTAGATTGAAAGCTTGAGGTAAGGCCAATTTGCAATAATCTTAATGTCAAACTGCTGTATCTTTTAGTCCTAAGCGTAGTGCCAAGAGTGCTTCTATTATTTGCAAGTACTGTATAACTTTAATCTATCTGGTTGTGTTAAATAAAGCAAGAAGAAAAACCTAAATAAATGCTGCGACTATCGTTGACACTATTGTGGGTGTTTTTTCTTTACTGTTGAGCTTCTAGTCCCCCGTCTGGGTATGTCTGTACTGGGGCACCCTAACCTCTTGAAATGCTGCTACATCATCACCCGCTCTCTTTATCCTATGACTACAACCCTTGAGAAGGTTTGTCCAAGCTAATTTTAGTTCGTCACCTCTGTGGCAGCATACCTTGCACGGAAAAGCAAGAAACACAAGGCGCTGCGCGGGTATTCCAGCATCACGTGGTGCAGGCGAATTGGCGTCACAACCAAGGCAATCTGATGCATTTTAGATCAAAAGCAAATATCGCAAGTAGAGTAAGAGACGTTAATTTCGGGAGTATTCTTTAATGAAGGTTCCCCTTCTCCACTCGTTGATTGTATGCTACTTCAGAGTTTGAGCTCGTTAGTTTCTTAAGCAATTTGAGATGATGGCGAGCGAGCACAATATTTACTGACTGAAGAAGAAGTAGTAGATCATCACGTAATTCCATAATTCAGTGTAGGTAATAAATAACTAGTACGAATAGTTTCCAAATTCTTAGAGAATCATTACCACTCACTGAAAAGACGACCAATTATCGATCAGCGGCTCTGGAATTCAGTTCCCGATGAGTGGTGTCACTGCTTTTATCTCATCATCATTTCACATTCCAGTGCACAACCAAGTTGAAATACACTGGCCTGTCAGGCTTATCATTCAATACGTCAGTATGCGGCAGAATTATGATCACCGTTGTTGTCATGGTGCACAGCACTAAGCGCAACTAGCAATTGAGAATGCTCAATAATTCCAGACTTCTGACGGACATTATATCCAATGATAGAGGGCAGAACTATTAAGCCTCCAACTAAGCCATAGGTTCCAAGCTTTGTGCTACTTTAGATACAATAGATAATCAGATAAAGTAAAAGGATCAAAGGTAGTAAACACATAAACTGGTCTATTACCGCGTTTTATGATGGGTGTCTTAAATATCTATCAGACTTTAAACTTTTTGACTTTGTTCCCTGACTCATAACCCTTGAGTGACGCCATGGGTCGTTCCACTTTGATCTCTTTCATTGTGAGATCAGAGATCAGCATTGGCATTCCACGCTTGCTCGCCACACATCCCTTTCCATTCCCAACCGCAAATCGGACCCACACCAAGGTGATTTATTTCTTCTATTATTTGCCAGAGCCTATTTCTGTACTCCATTTGTTCGAAGTTCTCTGACACCGAACATGATATTCACTGGTGCCTGATGTCCGTTGGTATTGAGCCACGGAAACGGGGAGGCACTGCGTCATTCTTTAGTCGCGCCGAGATAATCACTTTGAGTTTGAATTCCGGCCCATATGCCCGTTGATTATTATAAATTATCGCGGAACTCCTCTACATCTTCTTTTTTGTTCTCGCTCCTAACTACCTAACAAGCACCAGAAAGACTCACCTTGGTTTTGACATTATACCTGACAACCTACTCTTACATCCGACCTTGACAATGAAATCGGTTCTCGTTGCCTTTGTTTTTCTTATTAACACCGGCATTTCTGCTCCATTGCCGACCAATACTCCTGCTCTAGTTGCCGACCCAGATGGTCCGTTCGGGCACATCCCGGGTCCTCCAGTTATTCCTCCTACAATACCGGTTCCGCCTCACGAGCCCCTGATTCCGGCTCCTCTACCTACTCCTCCTATCCAGTCTCCGTACCCTTCACCCATCCCGGCTCCTCCACCCGGTACTCCAACCTCGGGTCTTCCGCTTCTTCCTCCCATACCTACCCCGATCCTGGATCCCTTCGATCCTCCAAGACGCCTTGTCAGAAACCTGAAGGAAAGAGACGACATGGGTAGCATATTTAATGCTACCGAACTTGGTATCTCCGTTTCTGGAAAGATTCGCGAGACGAAGATTCATATCCGTGATGAGAGATCGGAGAAACGCCAGCTGGCAACGACACATTGACCGTATCATTTTGGAACAGTTACTCTCCGCTTTCGATTGGAAATGAGAAGTATCATTGTTGAGAGCAAAAATTAGAGCACTTGACATCTTTTCCATGCCTTGGAGCCGGAGAACCTTTGTCTGTCAGGGTGACAGCACTGAAAATGTTTTTCCCAAGCGAACCTTCGATGAATTAGTCTGAATTTTGTGGGATCTTGTTACCAAATGGTTTGAAAATTTAAGAATGCAGGAGTATTTTCCGATTATGACGGAGATTTAGCACGAAGAGGTCGAGACGGAGTAGCTGTTTGGGAGAATTGGGAACTTGAGAAATTATTTACATTGGTCGCGTCTTATGTAGACAAGAATGCCAATGGCACTAAAATATTTATTGGTCAATCGCCGGAAGTATTGTCACCAATTAGACTGATATCATTCGCCCTTGCATTTTGTAAGTCGAGGTGGCAGCTGCCTGTGAGGAATTTTGTAGCAAGAAAATAGATCCTGCTCGACAAATGACCCCACATCCCTTCAGGGGATAAATTCAATTGTTGCTATAGGGTGAATTAGCAGGTAAGGGGAAAAGGTTGAAGCTACTTTTTTCCGTCTGCCGAAATCCTGTAAACTTCGTTGAGTTGAAGCTCAAGGCAAAGACAAGAGCTCAACAACTGTCTCTTCTAGTCCTAATGTAGCACGTGCGGTTTGTCTCTATTGTTAGAAAATATTATTTGGTTTTTTTAGCTCTACTCAATATCATCAGATAGATCACAACCTTACAGTATTCTCAAACAGTAGAAATAAATAATAAGTACTACACCCAGCACCAGATGAAACAGTAGCTGAACAATAAGGTTGTTACACACTGGTCTCTGTCTGAAGCTTCCATTCAACCCCTCTGACTTCAACCCTGCTGTCTGCAGTCAACGACCTTGAAGTATTGATATATATTGTACTTTCCTTAGCACGGTTTATTGATTCAATAGTTGCACGCAAATAACCGAGAATATTGATCAGGTTAGACAGACGGGGCCAGTTTGGTAGCATTACTCCTGGCGTTGACTTCGGGAAGCGGCCCCCTGGCATTCCGTTACTCGAGCCGCCCTTGGGTATCAATCTACAGCATGTGGTTAATGCTGAGCACTCTACGGACAATTGGAACTGGAACCAACTCTCAGATGTAACCGTGTCTCAGGTAAAGCTCTAAATTCAACACTCCGCCTAAATCGCCACGTGTTTCGGACTTTCAAACACAATGCATAGCCCATCAACCTCCACTATTTGGGCCCCTGGTAGTTCCTGCAGATCCTCCAAGCTAATCTGCTCAGTCTCACCCTCAACTTCCTTGTGTTTCTTCTCCTCGGCCGCAAGGAAGGCTTGATAGTGCTGGTACTCCATTGTCGCGAACTTCTTCTCTTTCGTCCAACCTTTGGGCTTAATCTTCATCACCTGGTATGCGAAGATAATATCACCATCAGCCTCGAAACCAGTTCCAACTCTCCTCTGTTCCAAACTACCTGTCCCAGCCCCAGCGCTAACTTCCGGGGCCACTTCAGTGCGAATATTGCTCTCAAAACCATCACTCACAGCAGCCTGGCCTTCAAATTTGAAGCCTTTGGCGATTTTCACACCAGTGACCATGTAGACAGGACTGCATAAAATGCTATCGAGTTTCATGTATTCTCGCACCTCCGGCTGGTTGCAGCGACTTTTGATCTCTTCCGCTGTTGGGTCCTCCGAGAGGTACTTGGTGTCGAGAGAAGTTATTGAGAACTGGCCGTTTTTTACTCGCTCTCGGTTGGCTATGTTCTTAAGAGAGAGTTTCTCAAGGAATGCCCCCCAAATACTGAGGTGTTTGTTGTTCTTTGTGTCGAGGGAAAGACGGAAATTGATTTCCGTTGAGACATTGATACTGAGCTTGTTTTGGTCCGCCTTGGAGATTGGAAGGTGGGGTTTCAGCGGATTTCTGATAATGTTGCCAATTGCAATCCTGCCATTTGGGGGGAATGTCCAGTTTGGCGCAAGGAAATACGTCGGATTCTGGACGTTACTCATGACTGGTAGCGTTCTTGAAGGTCATTGAATCCAGACAAGAAATGAAATCCGGGATCCTCAGACCAGATGGTATAATCTACACTTGTCATTTAATCCACTTGTCATTTAATCCCCTCAACCGTAATCCGATTACCCCGCTCGAGGCAATGCAGTCTGCATGATATCTACGTGTCGGATTGGTCACCGAGGTTGAAAGAAGGCGCGTCTGCAGGCATAGCCTCAGCCTGATTGATATAAGGCGAACCACCCGGTAAGCTACAATTTTGGTTCGCAAAATTGGGCCAAGACATTATTTTCTCTCGGCTAAGCCGCAGTTATCTGTGGTAGTAGAGACAGCGCATATTCGACCAGACTCCGTGGAGACTGATTGTTCTTGAACAGTTGCCATGGCGCCAAATAGACTCTTCGGCTCCTTTCAGGTTGTCCATCAGCCATATGATTGAAAACAGACAGCATTCCCCGCCTGGTCCGAATGAGATTTCTGTGGTGTATTAGGTGCGTTTCCTGTTCCACGAATGATATCAGTCCAGCCGCTATCGCAACCATTATAGGTGTTGCTACCGAGCAGCCTGATTTCATGAAACTCTCGTCTTGCACCCACCCCCAGTACACATCGCGTGCTAGCGTGCCGCAGTGTGACCCCTCCTTGTGGCCCCATGTTTTGGGATCATACTGTGCAATAAATGACCCGTCATAGTTTGTGCCTCGAACAGAGATGACGGATTCATAGAGTGCGGGGAACATTTCGGGTCCGTTTAGCCCGTCGTTGTTGGCAGCCGCGAAAAATAGCAACCTACCCTCTTTTATCCTCTTAGCCTGTTCCATCGCATCGACAATTGACATGACTTGATCGCTAAAGCCAAATGACATGGAGATGATATCAACATCCCACTCTCGAACAGCATGCAATATAGCCTGAGAACATATTATTAGCCCAAAGTAGCTAGAAGCGAATGTAGAATGGTAATGAGATTGACCCGCCTTTGCTACAATTTCTCTGGCCACTGAAAGGCCATCGGAATCTCTTGCAACACGAGCAACAAAGATAGTAGCGTCGGGAGCTAGTCGCAGTAACAAGCATGTAAGAGCTGTGCCGTGTTGTTCTTGGTCTTCGTCAACTGGTTCAAGAGTTCCGTCTACGAAGTCAATCCACCTCACAGTTGGATCGGCGCGGTAAATCCCGGGACCTGCGAAAAAAGGATCGTCCATGTTGCAGCCAGTGTCGAGAATGGCAATTTTGACTGGATGTGACTGGTTGCAGTTGGCGAAACTCGCCAGTTGTCTGTTGGCAATATCAAATCTTTCTAGCCAGGACCAACTGTCAGTAGTCTGTACGGTGTCCAATAAAAGAGGCCGGTTGCTTGTTGTTGCGATTTGCATCGTTGGTGTCGGAGCTGAGAGGACCGTAGCAGAAGAGGTGTTAGACCCAGTGAGCACGGTCGTCTGAAGAGTCCTTGGAGCGGTGGTTGAAGACATTCTGTGTTCATAGTTGCAGAGATATATCTTTGGTCAAGCTGTTGCCTCTCGCTAAAATGAGATTTCAACGAGGGAGATGGTACCGGTCTTGAAACCACTCCCTTGGTGTTGGTAATCCGAGGCTGGTAAGACTTCAGACACTCGCGCAGCGGCTTGAAGATTGTGATGTATAGATTGGTGCGAAGTTTTTCGTTATCCAACTCATCCTCACTGTATGCATTAAGACAGTTGGAAATGATGTCCAGCCACGGCACGTTATCTCCAGCGCATGTCCGGCGCACCTTGTTCATTTCACGATTCAGCGCATTGAAGAGTGGTAACGTTTCGTCCTCTTCGTCGGCCTCTTCGTCATCTTCAGTCACGTTGATTTTCTGTGCATAAAATGATTCCCAGAGCAGCAAACCGAGGTCGAGTATAACGGATCTTTTGCTGGAGGGAGAGGTCAACTTCCCAAGAGCGTTGGTCTGTACCTCTTCCAACATGTAGATTTTCTTTTGCTCGTCATCGGCTTCCGTGGTGTTCTTCGAAAACAATATGTCTGCTGATTTCCAGGCTCCTTGGAGGAATGGACTACCGATCAGACAGAGCAGTGATCTCACCACTTTTACTGAAAGATCTAGTCGGTCCGCCGTCTCGAGCAATACGGCCTCTGCAGTTAGGACCTCCTGCAAGGCGGTGTTAGGACAAATTGCATAGCTGGCCATACGATCCATCGGTTCCGGAGGTAGTCGCTTCCAAGAGCCGCTGGGATAGACTTCGATACGGAGGCGAGTCTTTGGTGGTCTTGACCTGGTCACATGCTCGCAGATTGTCGGTGTTGGGTTTCGAGATGCCTCATTCTCCGATCCTTGCTTGGGACTGCGTATCCACCTAACAGGATGCCATTTTGGTATATTGCTTGGGCGACACACCGTCATGATTGTATCGATTTTGCCTTCATGAAACCCATTCAACTGTAGCAGAACAGTATGTGGATTCTGACAAGACGGGTTTGCAATGTGCCGCAAGGCTGCATCCGCAAGCTTCCTCGCGACATGAATCTCAGCCAAGTCATTTTCCTCCTCCTCTAGCCTATGTTCGCTATCAAATCGGTCTTCATGAAAGACTTGCTTCACTTGACTATCCATATCGACCATGTAGTATGAGAAAATGGACTCCATTGCGGCATTGAATCGCTTCGCTTCTCGGGCTGATTGGCGATATTGAACAGCCACTGGTTTCCCTGGCTTGGCGTAAGATATACACCTAAGGGCCTCGGGCGGGATCTGCAATGACCCATCCGGATCCCTGAGGTCACAGTTGAGGATGATCTGTTGAAGGGCCTCAAGTTTAGAGAAATAAGCACACTGACATAAATAAATCGTGAGCTTCTTCTGGAACTAAGCAGGAGGTTTTGTATACACTAACAGGTTGAACATCAATCAGATACAGAATGCTATCGTCAATTAGATCATCAAGGATGTTGAAAAGTTCCTGAAGGTGTCGAGTGGCCCCGCGGTTGTCATCACCCGGTATGTCGAACTCGGCGCGCTCCTTTGTCAAAGTCTGACGTAGAACTTTTATTTCAAATATCAAGGCTCTCAGGGAATTTAATAACTCAAGGCTATCATAATCCACCGTTTCCTTACTCCGGCTAGGAGCAGATGGAAGGCATGCGACAAAAGCAGGGATAGTAACGAGGAAGAGATTCGTTTGGTGGTGGTCAAGTTTCATTATCGCGAGTCATCAAAGCAATCCAGCTCCTTGAACCTGCTGAAGCTTTTAGGCGGTCGATCGGTGAGGAACGTTGTTGATATCGGGTTGTGAAATGGCGCGTTTGGGACCAGGCTGAGGCTTTGTTGTAGGAGTGTACATTGCTGCCTGAGCCTCCAGGCTCAGATCATACTCCCGAGCGGGGTCACTGCCAGCACATCATTTGAATGCCAGGTCAGACGAGCCATTTTCTATTATTTTAGATATGATATCCATGTTCCGTTGAAAAAGCACGAGGAGCAGCTGCTTGATCAATGTCTGAATTCTAATATGAAGACTTCACTATTTATTCCCACGAACTAACTCACAAATCCGGAGATGGATCAGACGCCGAGCGAAGACCAGGAGCCGATCTATTCAGACTCACGACGATGTTCAGAGCTTTTTGACAAGTTTCTTGATAAGTCGAGCATCCCGAAAGAAACATACTCGATTCTCCTTGAGCTACGGAGCCATTTCACTCAGTGGGCGTCGTACGCTGGTGCTTTTGCTATGCCAAGGGCATCTTTAGATGCACGACTATCGCCACATGAGGATATCAAGGGCATGGTCCTTGACCTATTAAACATGCTGGAGCTTAATTTGAATTGGGGTTTGTGACATTTGTCAACATTAAACCGGCTATGACTCTAACAGGGGAGACAGCGATGAACAATGTTCTTGACAAGCAAGACCCAGAAGCTCCTGTTGGACTTCCCGTGGTCGAGTCTACAATAGACCGACTATTTTTCCTTGCAGTTGGGATACGACGGTCCTCGCGGAAAGGGCATAAACTGAGAGGGGAGAGTCAAGCCGGGAACTTGAGCTCCCTTTTACTGTACGTCGAGACACGGTTCCCTATGGCCAGGAAGAGTTTGCAAACTCAGCTGGCCAATTCCATCCACGTGAGAGGAACATCTCTCCAATATCTCCAGTCACACAGTTTGAAGCTTGCCTGCCACCGAGAGGACCAGAACCTACCTGCGATGGAGGTCACCAAGGGACCAGGAACGGCGGCATCGGTATTATCACCCTCCGAAATTGTTCAGTTTCATCACGCAGTCCTGGGGAAGCCGAGGCGATCTCCTTCCATCATAAGCACAGCCTCGACGATTGCAGATGAAACGGAAGACGAGTTTCTGTACCCTCCAATGCCAAAGGAAGAGTATGGAACAAAATATTCTCCCTGCACTATTTGTGCCGAGCCGCTTGAAATCGGCAAGCTGACGCAAAAGAAATGGGAGTAAGCTTAACCATGAATAATTTTAAGAATTGTCTGACCATCTATCAGGAAGCATGTCATCAGAGATCTGGAGCCCTTCGTTTGCATCTCCGATGAATGCAGAGAGCCCCTTCAATTCTTCCATCGCAGCCGAGATTGGATCAACCATATGCAAAGTCGACACACGATGGATTGGTCGCAGAAGATTCATACGTATCGTTGGCGCTGTGAGCTGGATCATAAAAAGGCCCAGTATTACGAAGAAAAGGAAGAGTTTATCTCTCATTTGAGAACAGACCATGGGCACCGACTCACATCCTCGCAGCTGCATGGCCGAGCTCTACGCAATAGGATACTCGACGCAAGAGACCCCTTCGTTTGCCCTCTGTGCGGATGTGTCCCAGACGAACTCGCAGGTCGAGTAGCTGAAAGACCTTACAAGTTGCTGTCCAATCATGTTGGTCGACACCTGAAGCTCTTGTCTTTCCAGTCAATATCCTACCTCGACATTGATATTGCGTCCAATGGGAGCACTGGTGACTCGAAAATTTCGTGCCCATCGGAAGAAGCCGACAGGTCTGACTTCTGTGAAGATGGGCTGGACCCTCTAAATGCATCATCTCACACGGCCGAGCAAAGCCCTTCACTGTCGAGTCCGGAATATCGTGCTTTCGAAAATGGACTTGAGATCCTGAGAAACTCGACAGGAGCTACAGAGGCGTTTCTCACTGCAAGCCCGTCGCTCACCGGACAAGGAGTCCAATCTAACAACAACGAGGACGATGAAAATTATAAAGACCAGATGCACGACCCACGAAGTGAGACATCAACGGCCCGTCCTCCGACTTACTGCGTAGTACGTCAACTCACGGATGAGGACTTTGAAGACACTTACGTATACTGCTTCTACTATCTCTTTAATCCCTATAAGTACATACAAAAACCCTTCCTCTCCTGTCATAAACCGCATGCCGAAATCTCGCACCTCATAAGACACGTTATCAGTAATCACGGTCTGATCAGAGGTCGTCACTCGACACGCAAAGTCCAGCGTTACCTAACGCAGTGCGCGAGCGATAACATTGATATCCAGGGTAAATCGACATGCACCCATTGCAAGGACGTGGAGCTCTGGACAGGGGAAGACCTGGCAAACGATGCCCATGCCGGCAAGGCCGTTTGTATTCGATGCTATACGCAGCTTCTCACTAAGGCCGATCTTTTTAAGCACTTACATGAAGACACAATCTGCCAATATAACGAGGATTGGAATTGGCGGACAAAGTCGAGAATTTTGTACAGTGTCTTCTGTGCACCAGATCAAGTGCCAAAATTCCAGCCTCCAACACGCCCAATATTAGTTAGTACACGTCGACAAAACGTTCGGGGCGCCAGGCTACGCAACATGGTCTCCACGCACCCTGTACAAGCATCATCATCTGATGAACCGGCCTCATCGCTTACAGCCATCTCAGAAGGGTTAGGTGAAACTGAATCAGGGAGCTAATGCCCCCCCGCGAATCCTATTAACGATGCGGGAGGTTGGCAATAAGCGGCCCAAGACTCTGGACAACACACTAAGGATATACAAACCAGTTCTATGCTACGCCAGGATCTCCTAAATTCGGACGGGTGGAATCAAGTGCTGGATTCTCAGTCTCTGCCCGGCTCTTACGAGGGAGAGCACGGTGGACAACGCAAGACATATAAGAAGGTCGATTTATGGAGGATACAGTGCGATAGCAAGCTCGCAATTAACAGACGGACATCAAAGTAGTTATTTTGAACTCAACGATTAGGAGTCAGACTCTGGTTTTGGAAGCGTCTGCCAACATCACTGGTTACCTACCTATGGACAACAGGATGAGAAGCTGAACCCAAAATGAGATCGGGGAACTTCAACTACGTCATCGTTTATCACGTGACTCAACAGTCCTTCCGGTCCGGGGCAAGTATGAGCCTAAATGCAAAGGAGAATCGCACGATGCGTCTGTGAATTCTATTTGCCTGGATTCCATTGAAAATATCCCTTGCATCCCTATCGAATTTTAATTTTTAAGATTTATGTCTTTGTTAACCCTGACCGACTCCTTTGTCTGCAACTGTTGCTGACAACAGGCAGTTGACGGTGAACGGTGAACGGTGAGCGGTGAGGTACCGACGCTAGTGTCGGTACGTACCCCGTATCTCAGAAAAACTCAGTTGCCCCACTTTATTTTCAGATGGAATGCACGTCAGATCTGGTCTTTGAGATATCAGAATTGCTGCGACAACACACACAGTCACCATCACGCAACACCAAGCATCATCCGCAACACACACTCAAGAGTCCACGCAACTCATCACACACCTTCCTTCAGATGGACAAGCAGCAGCGCCGGCCCGACCGTCGCCGTGGCGCAGGCAGACGCGGCCCCGGGCGAGGAGGAGCCAAACCTCAGCATGAGAATGAGCATGCATCCCACAGCGCATCAAACGGATCAAATGGAGGCCCTCACCGCGCTCCCTTCGCCTCGTCCGCTCCGGCCGACCTGTCGCAGGCCCTGGACCAGACGGCCGCTCCCCCGCTGAGCGAGCCCATCCCCATGGACACGCCCCGGTTCGCCGAGCTGGCGGGCTCCAACCTGGTGCATCCCACCATCATCCAGACCATCACCGACGACCTCAAGTTTGACCACATGACGCCCGTCCAGGCCGCCACGCTCACGCAGCTGCTGCCGCCCAACCGCAGCGACTGCCTCGTCCAGGCCAAGACCGGAACCGGCAAGACCGTCGCCTTCCTGCTGCCCGCCCTGCAGACCATGATCACCCAGAGCCGCGGTGCGGATTCTGGCGTCTCGCTGCTCGTCATCTCGCCCACGCGCGAGCTGGCCATGCAGATCGCCAAGGAGGCCACTAACCTGCTACAGCGCCTGCCGCAGTACCGCGTGCGCATCGCCATCGGCGGCACCAACAAGGACCGCGAGGAGAAGCAGATCCTGGGCGGCTGCGACATCCTCATCGCCACGCCGGGCCGCCTTATCGACCACATGTCCAACGAAGACATCATCTACTCGCTGCGTCGGCTGGACACGCTCGTCCTCGATGAGGCCGACCGTCTGCTCGACATGGGCTTCATGAAGGCCCTACGCGACATTGTCGGCCATCTGCCCGACAAGAAGAGCACCAACCGCCAGGGCATGCTCTTCTCCGCCACCATGGCCCCCCACGTCGAGCAGGTCGCTGGTCTTGTGCTCTCGCCTGGCTACAAGTTCATCTCCACCATCCCGGTCGGCGAGGTCAACACCCACCAGCGCGTTCCCCAGCTCCTCGTCAAGGTGCCCAACTTCTCCTCTGTGACGCCCGCCATGGTCGGCTGCATCCGCGAGGAGGCCCCTCAGCACGCCGCCTTCAAGGCCATCATCTTCGCTCCTACCGCTGCCCTGGCCGACTTTTACGGACACATTCTCTCCAACATGTCCGGCCTCCCTCCCGTCTCCATCCTGCACAGCCGCATCTCCCAGAGCAAGCGTACCAAGGTCACCAACGACTTCCGCGATGCTAGCACTGCCATCCTCGTCGCCACCGACGTCGTTGCCCGAGGCATGGATTTCCCTGGCGTCACCACCGTATTCCAGGTCGGCATCCCTCTCGACAAGCAGAGCTACATCCACCGTCTGGGTCGAACCGCCCGTGCGGAAGCCGACGGCCGGGGCATCTTCATCGTCACCGAGGCCGAGGCCTGGTTCCCCAAGTGGTCCCTCAAGGAGATCACCTTCATCCAGCACAACGCCAACATCTCGTCGGCCGCCGAGGTCCACAGCATCGCCGAGCGCATGGAGGACAGCGACAAGGCCAAGATCTACCAGGCCTGGCTGGGCTACTACAACAACCACCTGAAGAACCTGAAGTGGGACAAGGAGGACCTGGTGGCCGAAGGCAACGTCTATGCACGCGAGGGTCTGGGTTCTCCCGACACGCCGCCCATCGCGAAGACGACGGCCGGCAAGATGGGTCTGCGCGGAACCAAGGGTCTGGTGATCGTCCCTGACCCGCCCAAGCAGGGGCGCGGCCGGGGCGGTGGTGGCGGAGGCGGAGGTGGAGGTGGTGGAGGACGTGGCGGCCGAGGAGGAGGTCGCGGTCGACGCGGTGGCTTTTAACGGTTGTCTTTTTGCTCTTGAACGGCTTCGGAAAACTAGACTTTTGGCTGACCATGGCGTCTCTTGACCATGTGTTATGATACCCGATTTTCATGCTTGATGCAGGCTGACGACCTGATACGGTACACGAATACCCCCGGGCAACTACAGATAGATGAGAGGTGGACATGCCCAACCAATCAGACAGTATCATGACTTTGAACTTAGACTTACTCTGTGTTTCGGACACTACTTAATTGCCAGATACTACCGTTCGTGATAGTCCTTCAGATCCACCTTGTTGTGAAATGCCTCTACTCTCAACCACGGCGTCAAATCGACCTCGACACCCTCTGTGCCATTCGTCACAAGCACATCCTTCGTCGTCCATCCATTTCCCAACCACCCAAACCTATTCCCCTGCGCATTCCAGTACGTATACTCGAAATCCTCCCACCGCGGCTCCTTTCTCACCAGATCGACATGCGCACCGCTGCCCGGCCACAACCCGTGGATCCGCCCGCCTTTGATCCCCCCGTTGTACCACGAGCTGCAGTGGTGGCTCATGACGGTCCGCGGGAAGAAGGCCTCGCAGTACGCGCGGAAGTCGCGCGTCGCCGCCGCCGAGGGCGCCATGCTGCGGATGCCCTGCCCGGCCGCCTTGCGCAGCACCTTGGCCACGTACGTGACCTGGTTCTCGACCGCGTGGCAGAGCGTGCCTGCTGGGCCGGTGGAGTTGGGCCCGAGGAGCATCAGGAAGTTGGGGACGGTGGGCGCGGCGACGCCGAGGTATGTGTCGGGGAAGCCGGGGCTGCCGCCGGGGCGCCAGGCGGTCTGGAGGTTGATGCCGTTGTGGATTACGGGGAATTGCGTGCTGAAGGTGATGTCGTGGCCGGTGCTGCAGATGATGCCGTCGACTTCGCGGTGCGTGCCTGTCTCGGTCAGCTTCATCGTGAACTGGAGGAAGGCCACATACCGTCAACAGTCCGAATCCCCGTCTCTGTGAACTCGGCGATATGGTCCGTCACATACGTCACATTCTCCGCCGTCAACGCTTCCAAGTATCCCGGCCCCGGCGTCAACCGACGACAATTCGGCGGAAACTCAGGAATAATATCTTTCGCAAGCGCTGCGTCTCCGCCCAGCCGCGCAGTCATCAGCTTCCGAATCGCCGCTTCGGCTGCTTTGTTCTTGCCGCCTTCTTTAAAGATGCCACCGAAGCGGCTGAACAGCCGCGCCTCCAGCGTCTTGCGGAACGCGAGGTATTCGTCGGGGCTGGTTCGCGCCCGGTCGATGTTGTCGGCGACGAGCTGGGCGAGGTCCTCGCCGCCAATGGGCGCGGCGACCCAGGTCTTGTTGCGGGCGTAGTGGTCGATGTGTGCGGCTACCTTTTGCAGTTGGGGGAGGACTTGGATTCCGGATGCGCCGTTGCCGATGACGGCGATGCGTTTGCCCGCGGGCTCAAAGTTCGGATCCCAGTTGGACGTGTGGCGGAGATGGCCTTTGAAGTCGCCGAGTCCAGGATAATCCGGCAGTCTTGGATCGCTAAAGTGACCCGTAGCCGTCACGAGGAAGTTGGCCTCGTCTACAAACTCGCCGTCGGTGGACTGAATCGTAATCCGCCATTTGCCCTTCTCCTCAGACCACTCAGCAGAGACTATGCGACACCCAGTCCGGATGTACTTGCGCACGTCGTAGTCCCTAGCCACCTTTTTCCAGTACGCGTTGATTTCAGGACCCGTGGCATATGCCTCTGTCCACGAGTCTGACGGCGCAAAGGTGGCCTGGTACGCGTGCGCTGGGACGTCGCACCGAACACCGGGGTAGACGTTCGAATGCCAGACGCCTCCCTATGTTTATTAGCAGAGGATATACAGCGATTGAAGCGTGCTCACGATGTCGTCGTTTCTCTCGTAAATGACAAGATCGAGGCCGGGGACTTTGGCGGGTAATAGAATGCCTGCAATGAGGCCGCTTATGCCTGCGCCGACGACTACGACGCGGATGGGAGCGTGTTCATCGACGGGGTGGTCTTCGAGTTCCAGTCCAGGCAGAACCGTCTTCAGAACCGAGCCTTTCAAACCGGCGTCCGCCTTTGTCGGCTCGTTCTCGTGAATAAGCGCACCTGGTGTCATCTTCTGGTGTGAGGGGCTTGGTTACACGGAGAAAAGGGTCTCTGGTCGCATGTAGTTCGCTGGCGGTATTATACATCAGAGCCCATGGCGTGCGATATCGGGATGCAACCCGAGATAACAGGTCAAAGGATCCGTGGACATTAATAATACGCGAGAGCCAATCTATGTTGCATATTGCGAAGCACATAATTGTCGTCAGTCGTTGCGAATTGCTTGGTATCGCGATAACCGGGGCGGCCCGTATCACGCAATGCGGGGATAATTGCCGTGTCTTCGGCCCATCCCGCACCCTCACTACGCTGCTTCTCGAGGTATTGTGGTACAATCGCTTGTCTCTTACTTATCTAACGTACTTGCATTGCCAGTTTCTGTACCGGGGAAACGTCAACGCCTCATTCACCGACAAATATGGCCAACATGATGTCTACAAGGTTGTGCTCAGCCCACGATCCACGCAACGTGCCAGTACTCCATGGACTATCCAGCAGTAGTGTTTTTGTCGCGAGGATGATGGGATATCTCAATAAAACTCCCACGCGATGCATCACCCATGGCGGCCGTCACGAGAAGCCTGGAGTTTATCTTCAAGCGAGTACAAGTACAAGCTACAAGTGGCTGTTCATCGTTGCAAGGCGATTCTCAACCCTGGGTCATTTGAGAAAGAGCCGATTTAGTGGGATATTACTAGTTCGCTCAAGGAGTCGACAGCCAGGGCAGTGTGTCGAATGGTGAATTTGTTGCTAGTATGCGCTGACTTGATGCGGGTTGGATGCCGTTCGTAGAGCGCGACCGCAGGTACCAGATTGCCGACGAGTTCGTTGAGGTGCGGTACAAGTAAGCTCCTACATCTCCGAAATCGAATGTGGACTTGCGTTTTGGAATCCGGGATGGTTCTTGGGCCGACGATGTGCCCCGAGAGGACGCCCAACATGATGTATACGCAGAATCTAAGCGTATCCGCTAGATCAACCACAACAGCGCGAACTTCAGTGTTGGTGCGCCGCGTGTCCTAGACCCCTCAACCCAACGCACTCGGTTTCTGCTGCAAACTGGAATAAAGTACCAACTTCAAGGTCTTTGGATTTCTTCAAGCAATAGACCAAAACGACTGGCTTCACCGTAAGCCATGTCGTCATTACCGGTAGTTTCGATGACTTGGTCGACCTGGTCGTGCTCGAGCTGCGTCACAGGGGCGTGTATGCCCCTCGCAGAGGAGCGGTCAATTCCAGAGAGAATATACAGGCCTGGGCAGACGCAACTACCCACGATCATGTGGCAGTCGCTTCAAGTACGATACTTATCCAGACGAATTGAACTGCCCGGCCAAGTGAGTAAACGCGCATCCCGGAAGTCGGCTCATCTCGTCCAAGATGTGATAATCCTCGGCCTAGAGATGGTGATGCAGGTACAAGCCGTTGCGGTAATTAACCACAAGTTGCATGATATTGATCTGCAGGCAAATATCCCATCTTGCCAATTAATCGCCATTCTCGTCGATAGCCAGGGTCGCCTGCGCCGGAGCATCGCCTCAGCTCAACAGGCATGCGAAATCAACCACACCAGCTGAATGATTGACAGTTACGCATGTGGCGTATATGAATAGCTGTATTTTATTGGTCGATTTGCCTTGTTTTCTGTGATCTTGGCTGGGGTACTTTGAAATGAGGAGTCTGAGGCCGTTAATGCTACGAGGTCACATCGCCAAATATCGTGTGGGGTTACATTCGGTCAATTGGCCAACGTCATCGATTCTTGATGTTTCGACTTCCTCGTCATACATTTTGCAGGCTGGCCAAGTTCAATTGTACGGCAGTCTTTGCGAGGCCATTCCAATGACAGATTCCCCGTGTCCCATTTAATTTGTCAACTATGTCCTACTGCAATTGGATTAATTCTCATGCTTCGCTTGAACGAGCCTTCATTCATGTGCCTTACCCGCTCTCCTGCATCGCGTACCTGCTGGACAACATGATGGATGCATGCAAAAGCAATGCCGTCGTGCCTTCCCCTGAAGATATATCGATTTGCCACTTATTTCCCGTTTCGCCCCTTGACTAGTGTTCTGGAAAACAGACGATCCAAATCCTTGTCAAACGTCCCATCAGCTGAAGCGTGGCAAGATCGTCCCCTCCATGTTGTATTCATAGATTGCTGTAGCAAGATTTCCCCTTCTACTCTTGGACTCAATGCTACATCCAATTGGACCTTTGTAGCTGTAATTTTAGAAGTGATGTAAATCGGCAAATACGCTGTAATCCTTGGAGAAGAATGATAGGAAACTGCCGCTGCAGAGCCGATCCCTACTCCCTTCAGATAGGTCAAGTTGATTGGTCGACCGATACATGGGTTGTGTGATATATCCTTCACTGAAGAACAAACCGAGTTGGTTTTGTGTTCGTCTTATTGACATGGTCCTCAATTAAGACGCATAATTCTCAGCTGGCCCACGATGAGAGTTACATCGCGTGCAAGAGCCAAGGAGACAGAGGCAAACCTAGGATGACGATGGTTGCGTTTCTTGCGGCGTAGATTTACGGAATAGGCCTCCAGATGGCCCAACAATCAGCTATAAATACAGCTCACATCACCGTGATCCTTTATCTCCTACTTCATACTCATCACCAGCAGTTCCAGAACACAAGCTTCTTTGACACTACCCCAATACCTTCACCACTTCAAAATCACCGCCAATATGCAGTTCACCGTCGCCGTTGTTGCCCTCTTCGCTGGCCTTGCTGCTGCTGTTCCCATGGGGGAGAAGCGCCAGACCTATATCCCATGCTCTGGACTCTATGGTACTTCTCAGTGCTGTGCCACTGATGTTCTTGGAGTTGCGGACCTCGATTGCGGAACTCGTAAGTCGGACGACTTGAATCCTTTACTCCTTGAGCCATGCTAACTTCAACAGCTTCTGACGTTCCCGTAAGCGCTGACAACTTTAGCGCCATCTGCGCGGAGATTGGCCAGCGAGCACGATGTTGTGTGCTTCCGATTGTGAGTTTCACCCGAAATGCCACAGGTCATGTCGCTGATTATTGTCGTAGCTCGAGCAAGGAATCCTGTGCAACACCCCCTCAGGTGTCCAAGATTAGGAGTCTGGCCAGGATTAATCACTGGAAAGGTGGTTTCACCAGACAATTACGGACAGTATCTATATTCTAAAGAAATTTTGCAACAATGTCAAACGAGTGGGAATCAGGAGGAGTTGAGTTTATGTGTGCTTGTACATAAGGATTGCAAATTGGAGGATACATACACGCGCCTACAAAATGAAACCCGTTAAATCAGTATATTAATCATGCATGGTTCAAAGGTGAATTCACTTATCTCATTATTTAATGCCGTTGTTGTCATCGATTCTTCGTCTCAATGGCATGGCTCCAGGGTAAGCGACTTTCCACTGCGTCTATTCCACGAATCTCAACGAGTCTTGGGGATCCAATGATTTGTCTACCTTTGAGGATATAAACTTCCGGCTTGTGGGTTGCCGGAAGCGTCATTCTTGGTTGCTCTCGGCTACTGTTAACTTTGACCTGAGCCAAATCCGGTCGACTGGAATGTTGTTGGCTTTCGCATACCAATGGGATGACGGACCCTTCCGATAGCCTCATTTATACCAAGAACCTCATAGCGAATGAAATATGAGAAGAGCGGTATTAAATGAATAGATCAAACAATTTGTATATATAATTTTTAAAACAAGAGTCATTCATTTACTTGAGATCGGCTCTGTCATCGTGGTCTGGCCCGACATCGCGTCACGGAAATCCAGCCTCGCCTCATTTGAGATCCCGTAAGGTCTGAGCCTCGGCTAGGATCAAGGCTGAAAGTATACCACTACTGGCTCTGATATTAAGAAAGTCAATAGCCGATCGTAATGTGGGGGCATCTGCTTGCGGTGCGATGCGGGCGTGTTTAACCTGGGCGGGCCGCAGATTAACGACGATTCAATCGACGCCACCCGAAATCGACAAAGATCTAACTTTTAACTTTTAAATCTCCTACCTGCCCTCAGCATTCTTACTCACCATATCTACCTCCAGTGCTCCTGTCAGTAAAACCAGAATACGCAAACCCTCCTTCTATCCTGATCGCTCTTCGAAGTTGAACGGCCTCCCGTGAGCTAGTCGGCCTGGCAATTCTTCCCTCCCTACGCATCCCATGGATCTGATCACATCTCCCATGAGCCTCGAAAAATCATGAGAGATTATGCCTGGAACACTCATACCCCCGTGGTATCAATCCATCACCCCGGTATGCAGTGATTTCGTCATTGTGAGCCTCGTCTGGGGCATCTCGCTAGGACTGAGCGGCTTTGCCGTCATCCGCATCGCGGACCAGACACGTAACCAATACAGACGCCGGAAAAAGGTCACATCGTACATGGTCTTCATATGGCTGGAGTTAATCGCAAGCACCGTCTTCGGCGGCGTGGGGTGGGGGTATGTAACCGGGACAATTCCACCCAGGTAAGTCTCCCAAAGGCTAGGTGATGTGATCTTCATTGGAGCTCCACTGACAAGTTACTCCATAGTTTCGAGTTTTTCTTCGGGATAAGTATGCGATTCTCGCCAACCGTCCTTTGAAATTATACCAACTCATCTCGCAGTTATCATTTGGATAGTTCAGGTCCACTGTATCATGCAAATCATCATTAATCGCATTGCTCTCCTTGCCGTCTCCGAAGTCACTGTCCGTCGCCTGCGGTGGACGGTCTTTTCGATTCTCGTCCTTAACAACATTGCAGTCAGCTGCATCTGGATACCAGCTCGGTTACAAATCAACCAGGAATGGATCCACCTCAACAAGATCTTCGATCGCTCCCAAAAGGGCATATTTCTTCTTATCGATGCTGGCCTTAATTCCTACTTCGTATATCTGGTTCGGTCGTCACTCATTGCATATGGCCTCAAGAAGTACGTCTTCTTGTATTGGTTTAACATAGCCATGATCTTGTTGTCAGTCTCAATGGATGTGAGTTGCCGATTCCCTTTATCCATTCGTCAACACTAATCTTCGGCTGTAGATCTTGATCATTGGGATGATGTTTCTTCCCGATAACTTCGTGTATGTTGAAGTTCTTATGCCCTGTACTATTTCACCATTCACTAATATAATGTCATAGATACATCATCTTCCACCCCTTAGCATACCTGGTTAAACTTCACATCGAGCTTTGCATGTCTGACCTAATCGCCAAGCTCGTAAAGAGCACCGGTAATCAATCTACGTGTGACTGTTCTTGCCACGTCGACAACCCCTACTTTCTCGGCCAAGACCTTGACTTGGCAAACCACACCGCACCTGCCGTGGTTCAGAGGGGTCACTATGTCCGTGGCCGTAGAAGACACATCCGCAACGCCTCTTGGCGTAGAACTATGCGATTCTTCAGCGTTCAGGAGGCCCGATGGCAACAGGATCCTGAAATGCAGAGGGGAAGCGTTTCCACAGCAGGAGAGACGCTATGTTCCAGAAGGCCGGCGTATACGGAACGCTCAAAGTCCTGGGCTGGGCCGCAACCTACCCGCAAGGACTTGGGATTTTGCCCTTCAAGCTTTGCAAGCATGAACCGGAGTAATGACTATGACGAAGAAAACCAAGATCAATAGCGACAGAATCTTATTTAGTTCTACGGCAATATTGTCTAGTAGTTTAACACCGACATCTACAAGTTCAGTCCCTGCAATCGTCTAGGAAACCTTAAGTCGTTGTATCCTATGGAGCAACGGGAAAGCGATTCTGAGGACCTCCAGTTCTTCAGATGTAAAGCTACTCTGAGTGACGAATTATACGTCTTCAGTAGCAGGAGAATTGATGCAGCGAGGTTATGTTAACCCAATTGCGAAGCCGGTCCATATGGCGGTCTGTAAAATAAAAACGTTTTGATACATAACGCTTGTCTTTTCATCGCATTCCCTAGGATCCTCAGGTGTCTCATGAACAGTCTGTTTTACTTTCGGAAATAATTTTGGTCAGATATCGAATATGATGAAAGAAGCGGTGGGCGGAGCGGTGAATGTTCGAACAATGCTTGTGTCTCCCAGTCGAAGGTCTATTATTTACTAACTCACAAGACTAACATTATCTATGGAACAGAACATTGCGACCCAAATGAGTTGAGAATGGCGAAGTATATCGTATGTGGACCCGACGAATACATCTCAACTGCGAAGTCGGGGTTCATCTCGAATGTGCGAGACACGCGCGTCCATTCCCCCCCCAGTCGACTCGATGCCAGGCCAACTCCAAAACCCCATATGATAATCGAGGTTTACGCCGAGAACTCATCCGTCTGTAATAGCTACCGATAAGCTTATAGTGTATGTGTGCCTTGCACACAGGATAACGTCCTGTGCTAGCGCAGGGCCATACCAATAACCCGGTCCACCTCGAACAGCGAACACTACCTCGCCCGATCCGGAATTTCCGGCTTCAAGGCCCCAAGAAACTTCCCCAGTCACAAATTGGGTGTCTACGCGCCAAGGTGCCATGTCCGTATTTGACGCTTCGAAGTCGGTGTTTTGAAATACCTCGGCCGGGGTAGGGCAGGTGTAGGATATGACTGTCGTCGTCACAACCTGAGTAGTGGCTTTTGTCTCGGTACTGGTCTCGGTTTTTGTCTCGGTGCCAGACACTGAAGTAATGGTCGATGTGATAGTCTTTGTTTGGACTTCCGTAGCTCCAGTGGTGATTGTGATTGTTGTTGTTCCCTTAGGGACAGAAACGGTCGATGTTTTGGTAACGGTTGGGCATTTGGTGTGGGTAGTCGTGGCAGTAGAGATCTTAGTGATATTACGAGTAGTCTTTACCGTACGGGGTGGCAAAGTCTTTGTGATCGTAGAAACGATCTGCTTGGTAATGAAGACCGATTTGGTTCGGCATTTCGTTCGGGTAGATGTGATAGTGGTCGTCTTTGGAATACAGTAATTGTTTGCAGCTGCTAAAGCAGTAGATATCAGCATCAATAATAGAAAGAACAAAGATAGGCATGCCATGTTAAGATTTTGGGCGGATGCCGAGTCTGAGGAATTGACAAGAGCTTGGTTGGGAAATTGCTCTTCTTTATCCCCAAGGCGTACTGAGTATCCAACAGTACCCATTCAGACTGCTTATCGAATGTGTCAAGATCTGCAGCGGTAGTGGCATGCGGATTATTACATCCGTAGTGTTAGATCGCACACTGATTCGTGCTTTCGTTAAATGAATCTGGCCTGTGGCGTATCGCTTGGACCAGTGCAACCAACCTGTTGGCTCATTCTGGGCTGGTGGGTGGTATTCGGGGATCTCAATCTCAGCTTCGTTATTTACCCGCACACCGCTCGTATTTCAATGCGTCATTTGACAGAGTCGCCTACGATTCGTGATTGATCGGTGGAATTTGACCTTCATGCTATTTACTGTCAGGTTGCATCACGAGAATATATAGAAATGATATAAAGGGTGTACATCATCGATCTAAAGGAGGCATTAGCTGATTGTCAGGTAAGGTTGACCAAGTTGAGGGCTCCCCAACTTGAGAAAATGCAATGTGATGTTTGCCCCATGTACGGACAACGCAGCAACAGCTGTTACAAGAGCGGGGGGTCAGCACACTGTGGTGTGACGAGTCAACCACCATTTCCTCTTTCAGCATTGCCAAGCGCCCAAAAAGGTAACGAGCATAACTCGTCTGACGGGCTGACCATTGGGAAGAGTATGCTTATTTGCAGGCACTCAAAGGATGCTTACGGTGTTATCATTTCGGCCTAGACATGGCTAGCTGACCTGATCCGGGACCTCGAGATTGCGTTCGAGACCTACAAGCCTTGCAATATGAAATAAATGTCTTGGACAAGTTTTCACAACGCAGTCCCGCTCTAGCCCCGGTTGATCTGAGCTACTTTAACGAGAGTAGGCAGACAAGAGCCACATTCATTAGCAGTGGACCAGGGCTGGTCCGGGCTTATTACATTTCCTCTCATCGCGCATGGAAGCACACGGATTAAGTCTTGTTCTCTCATCCAAAGACGGAGCCTCGGGGTTCGATAAACCCAGAAAACCGGCACCCGGTGGTTCTAACACCAAAGACCCCGCATCACCATTTCCGTCTTCTTCCAAATGCAGTGTTTAATCCGATTAGGGATATTGCCTTAAGTTGATTCATCGTGAGAGCGCTCCTCGTTATCTTCATTGAGACTAAAAGTGTGAAGAATCTGCTACAGCCGTGCAACAAATATGTCATGGTTGAATCCTCGACAATTATAATGACTCAAGATATTCAGTGGAATGTCAAGTCAGCTTGGGCGACCAACTTCTTGCATAGATGCTCGGAGAAGTCCAAAGGGAGCACAGAATATGACGCAATATCAGTGATATTCCACTTAGCGAATCGAATAATATCGATTTAAGTGCCTCATAATGCTGTTCTTCCTCATCAGCCGACGCGGCTACGACTTATTACTAAAAAAGATGCAGCCTCGCATAGTTTACTTGCGTGTTGAAATCGCTACAGAGTAGCATGATAGGTAGGTTGAGTAATGATGCGCTCTCTCGACACTTCGCTGTTGCTCCCTGGCCCTGAATTGATCTTATCTCGGATACTAGGCCTTCAAGCTATTGAATTGAGCCTTTTAGCATTCAGAGACATCAAAGGCTTCGGTACGGAAGCATGATCGATGGTTTGACGTGAACTTGATTTGTCGAATTATCGTGAGGCCGACTTCTCCTCATGGTATCAGACTAGGTCTAAGTAATTCACTCTTCACATAACTAAGCGTAAGGCTGCTAATCGTGATGTCTAACGGGTATTACGATGTAGTTGTTTGGATTTCTCATAAACTTCGTGTGGTACAAGGGATACATGCGATCCCAACTGAAGTTGGTCGAGTTTACTCGCGTCCATTTCTCCTTGATTTGCTACTCAATGCACTTCGATTCTCAATTCGCAAATCTTCAATGCCGATATTGTCAACGTCATCCTCTTGGAGACCTCCAACTATCCTTTCGGCCAACGGCGAAAGAGAGCAACCCTACCGACACCTCTATTTGCGCCGTATAATCGTTGGTTCGTATAAGATACGAAAATAAAACGGGTTGAGCTGCTTGCAGATTACCCCTCTCGGTCCGCAGATCCGTCGGTCCGCCACTCGGATGTGTTGCAGCCACGTCAGCGGTCTATTCATAAATAAATGGTACCATTATTGAATCATCAACTCGCACAGCTGTCCGCATCCGGATGCCAAACCCCTCTATTGTCAAGATTATAAACAGGAAGATACGAGGATGTTTCTGGACAAAATGTATTTGGGATTCAAGCTAACAGCAATTTCACTCATCACAAGCTTTTTGCATTTCTCAAGCCCAAGTTCTCGCAACATCTATGGCCTCTTCACCTCCACCATCTGGCCATTTGGAGAATGCTAACGACTCAGATACACGGCGCCTAGCTCCTCCGCCCTACGATGACTATGAACCTCGAGTAATCGACGAACGGGATGAAGCCGAGCTCAATGAGGCCTTCTACGCATTGGATCTATGCTCTTCACCAACAGAACCTACGGTCGACACGTGCTTGGCGCATCTCAAGCTACTTTTCGCATTCGAAGAGCTGAAGATCAAGATTGGCAACACTGATGGTCTATGGGATATATGGGACTCTCGAGCCATCAGTCCGTCCGGGGGATCATCTGTGAATCCGACCGACATCCTCTCAAGCTGCGCGAGAAGAGATGGGCAGTGTATGTGGCGAGGGCAATTGATCGATATGAGGCTTGGTGGGCCAGCTTTGTACCAGATATGCTTCGGGTCGCGAACATGTTGACTGCAGCTGAAGATGATGATGCATTTCACTATGAAAGCTTTACATCTCAGAGTCAGCCGATCAAATGGACACCCGATAGCCTTCCACCATTGGGTATGATGGAGTCCATTGCATTGCTCAAATCGTGGTTTTAGTTAAGCTGAGTTCGCGTCGGTAGATGTCCTCCTTGTTTGGCATGCTCACATGCTAAACCCCAGAAATTTTCTCGAGGTTAGAAAAAAGCCTCCCCAAGATTTAGCTGCTAATATCTGGAACAGGACTGCCTGCGCCATGGCTACGGTTCATTTTGGTCAGCAGGGATGCCGTGGGCTCTTTTGAACAGATCAATTGACCCACAGTTCCAGTACTGTGTTGCTGATGGATGCAAAGACGCCTGGAAGATCCGAACTGGCCGCGACTGGGTTAATGAGGTAGGCCCAGCCACAAAACAAATCCAGTGCCCGGCGTGTTCTGCTAAAAACGAGATACCCTGGACCACTTGCGGCCAGGGTCAAGACGCGAAAGGTAGTCGGTAAGTTGAAAATCGCAGAAAATGGTGTTTGGCTTCCATCTTGCTGATTTGCTGGGAAAAGGCCTGGTCTCGTGGGGACAGGATACGGGGATGGAAAGCTATCCTGGATCTGCAACAGCTGCAAAATGTCCATTGACCATGAAGTCCATCGATTCACGAAATTTAGGAACGACGTCAAGAATCTAGTCAAAAACGACTATCCAATGCCTGGCACCATTATCGACGCAGAAAATGGATTGGTGACGAAGATCGCCGTGGACAGCGACCAGCTCTTCCCGAATCGCCTTGTCCGACAAGGCCTCCTCGTCGAAGTCTTGGAAACCATAAAGCCAGGGTCTTCCGAGAAACCAAGCATGGAAAAGATTCGAGATACGATTGAGGACATCACCAGGCAAACAAAGATCCGCCACAGCAGCACAGAACTCAAGAAGATCGACAAGGGCATTTCTGGCCTTGCAACTCTTGGGAAGCACCATCTTTCCCTTTCGGCTCGCCTCCATACTAGGAGAATGATGTCTCGATACTGGGAGAATTCTTCCATATTTTCCATCGATCTTTGCGGTTGCGTGATGCGCCAGGGAGTTTTCACGAACAAAATGTTCAAGGTGGGTGAAGAGTCCCACTAGATTTAGGATCACACAAGATAACCAGAAGCCAGATTGATTGGTTGCACACTAGTACGGCACGGGAGACAATGCTGAAGCTCCTCAGCAAGTATGAGCGGTTCATCGAGATCATCGCCACACATCCAAACAAGGTGGTAGTGCCAACACTCGACATTGACTTAGCATGGCATACGCATCAACTCAGCCCTCAAGTTTACTTCAACTTCACCGTCAACAAAACTTCGTCCTTTATCGACCATAATGACAAAGTTGACGAAGATCAACTAGCTATATCTTTTGAGTGGATGAGCAAGATTTACCAGGAGACGTACGGAGAAGATTATGCACAATGCACCTGTTGGTTTTGTGAAAGTGCGACACCTTCCAACCCCATCACAGAAGCCAAGTCCCATCCTCTGCGCTAACAAAACACAAGGTATTCGAACTATGAATCCCACGAGCAGCAAATCGGCTGAAAGTGGGAAGCCAAAGCCCGGTAAGTTCTTTCTTAATGAAAGCGGGTTTTATCGGACACATTCGTTTCTGGCTGTTGAATAATAGCAGAGTAACTGACCTGATATATCATCTCCAAAGCAGTCATCCAACAACCACCTCCCAGTGAGCCAGCACACATATCCTCTCACCCTGCAATGCAAGTCGAAAGGGAAACAAACAGTCATCGCCGCACTCAAAAGTTTCTGTTTCACAATAAATTGAGCGAATCCTATGACAAAGCACGAGGTCGTACGCAGAAAGGCTTCAGGTCTTTATTCAGTCAGACCGCTCGCTCAGGCCCATCCGGCAACCCGAGGACAATTGGTCCTCGTGGTGAAGACTCATGCGAGCACTGGGGCAAGACCATTCCAATATCCGGTCCGTGGACTTCTCAGACGCTGGCTACGTTGACTGCTGAGATGTATGCAACGTCGCCGGGGACATTTCATACCCAGCATGGAAAGCCTGGTGCCTGCGCGGCCGGTACCTGCGGAGGACAAGGGCGTTGTGCATCAGGAGCTGTGTCTGTTTGTGGGGCTGGATGTACCGGGGTAAGACAACAAGAATGTTCTTACATTTTGTTCTTTGCTAACATAGTCATAGACCGCAAGAGATGGGCTCACTGCTGCGTGATATGGTGGCGGCTAGGTATATAAAGTTGGTCATTAGACTTCGTTCATATCCAACTAAGATTGTTGGTGTTACGTAGGGATTGTTTCAGCCGGCGAATCCTTTCTCGCTGTCTACTATGGGTCAAAACATCAGTCCAAGTTCGTGGGTCTCTGAACTTTCGAAGCCATATTCATGCCAGGATCAAGAACTGAAGAGAATAGTGCAGATCAGGTCATCGCTATCGCTTCGTGACCGCAGAAGCTACATTGGGTTAGATGTAACCTGGTCTACCTACGATAAGATAATGCAACACAAGGGGATAACAAGTCAACTTATCTTAGATGGCTCACATTTCGATCTCATTTGTATATCTTCCCGCAATAAAAAGAGACATTGGCGACAAACTCAATCTATAAGCCGATTTCTTACACCCCCCCATCTTCTCGAATCTTGCAAATTCGCCACCGGACTCGCTCTGATCTGAGTCTGCTACTACTGTCCTCGGGTAATGTCTTCTTCTTTACAGCCACAACTTGCTCCATCAGATGCTCTGCCTCCTGTATCCTCCTGGTCTGCTCATATGCACTTGCAAGACTGTGCTGTGATCGTAGTCGACCGGGATGCTCCGGTGCTAGTGTAATTGCCCGTATCGATACCACATGCTCAAGCAGCTTGACTGCCTCCTCTATCCGTCCGGTCTTCGCATATGCTCTTGCAAGCTTGTGCTGTGATATTAGTCGATCGGGATTCTCCGGTGCTAGTATATTTTCCCGTATCGATACCTCATACTCAAGCAGCTTGACTGCCTCTTCTATCCGTCCAGTCATTTCGTATGCTTTTGCAAGCTGGTGCTGTGATGCTAGTCGATAAGGATTCTCTGTTGCGGTTGTATTTGCCCATTTCGATACCACATCTTCAAGCAGCTTGACTGCCTCTTCTATCCGTCCAATCTTTGTATACACTACTGCAAGCTGGTGCTGTGATGCTAGTCGATCAGGATGCTCCGTTGATAGCGTATTTTCCTCAATCAATGCTATATCCTCAAGCAATTTGACTGCCTCTTCCATTTGCCCGTTTTTTGCATATGCACTTGCAAGATGGCGCTGTAATTTGAGCCGATCACGATGCTTCGTTGCTGGTGTATTTGCCTGTATCGATACCACATCCTCAAGTAGCTGAATCGCTCTTTTCGCTTGCCTATCCTCTTTGTATGCCACTGCGAGTTCGTACTTGGGGTCTAGTTGATCACCGTATTTTGGTTTCAAGGTGCTGTCCCAATCCACTACACGCTCTAGGATATTGACTGCTTCTTTCATCCGCCTATCCACGCGTAAACAACGACCCACATAGATCCCGAGAGAGCACAAAGTAACATCGTCGGTCTTCTCACTTGCTTGGAGCACTCGAAGAGCATGAGGTAGACACTGCTGCCATAACTCACGATTTCGCCAGTCATATGATGGGAATACTTTCGCAAGCTGTTTGGCTGCATCTTGCGCGGTTGATTTTGTAGTACTTTGTGTATCGGTCCATACCCGCGTCGCTAAATGAACAAGCCGATGCATCTCAAACGTCTCGCCGTCTTCTCGTCTGTTTAGGAACCCATATCCACAGAGTGTACCGATGGCTTTTGTTAATTGCTGTTCCGACTCCATGGTGGGTAGAATCCATCGAGGGATGGCCTTTGGCTCGATATGTGATATAAATGAAAGTAGAGTTGCAGCAGACTTGTTATTGTTGTGAATCTGAGCGAACGATATACTCCACGTAGTCGCTACTGCATTTTGACTGCTGTTGTAGTGGGTACTATCGTGGAATTTGCTGCTCAGCAGCTCAATCATGTCTTCGTTTGTGTTTTGACAAAGTCGAAGGTATTCGCTGATGGGAACCTTGTTGATACTCATATAAGCTGCCGCCTGAGCAATCGCTAGTGGAAGGTAAGTGAGTTCCTCTAAGAGCTTGGTGACAGCCTCTTCATCCTGGAGTCGATTCTTGTGGAAGAGTGCCTTTTCCAAGACAGACTTCGATTCTGCTCGGCTCATTTCTTGCAGTTCAATGACATCACCTGCTGCAACACTGACGGCTACCTCCTGGGATCTTGTTGTAAATAGAACCCGCCCATGCTCGCTTTGTGGGAGATAGTGATGTATTCCAAACGGCTGCTGTGATGAGCCATAGAGGACATCCATGTCATCAGCATTGTCGATAATAAGGAGCCATTTCCCTGCATTCTCTAAGCTCAGGTGCCTTCGGACAGCCTCTTTAGGCTCTTCATCGACGTTGGGAATGGCGAGCTTCTTCTTTATCTCGGTGCATGCCTGTTCAAAGCTCGCGTTGCTCAAAGCTGGCACCCATAGCACAGAATGGTCTGGTTTGTTTTCTTTCACCCAATGCGCAAATTGTAAGGCGACTTGAGTTTTGCCCATGCCACCAAGGCCAACGATGGCGACGCGCCGGGTGTCAGTCTGTGTGAACAGCAATTGGGTCAGCTTGTCAGTCACTTTCTTGCGCCCAACAAAACTAGTATTTTTGTCGAAAGGAATGTGGTGAACGACACGATCTTGTGTGTTGTTAGCTCTAACAATTCTCAGTCCGTAATCCAGCCTCTACTGACTTGTTTCTATGCTCAATTCCACTACCCGTTGCGTCGAGGGATTGACAGGTGCGATACCGGAAAAGGCATCCACAAATTTCCGTATCTCCATCTCGTTTTCGCGCAAGTAGTTTGACGTATGTGAGGAGATGGTACTCGACTTCTCCCAGTCTGACAATGTGATGTCTTTCAAGCCAACATCGACATTAAACCGGTAGTATTGGTTGGTATCACCAAATCTGCTCTTCAGATTGAACGCCACCTTCTTGGATGATGTTGCCATTTTCTTCAGTGCCTTGAGGATAGATTTTCGCGTGTTGTCGATGGTGACAACATCTCCAAGGCCGGTTCCAATGCTAAGGATTTGCAAGTCTGTGCGATTTGGAAATTGTCTCTGAGCCTCCTGAATGAGAACATCGCAGGGGTTATTGTGCCCGAATCCAGCGTCAATGTATTCAATTCCATCTCGTCCGATCTTGATCGACTTGAAGAATGTTGTCGCTGCCGATGTCGCTCGTGCTACCTGCCAGATTTTGGACCCATTGAGGCGGGCAGATTGGTCGTATGTCGTGAAGAGGGTCGGCGGGGCATCAACGTTGTCCTTTGTGATAGCCAACACAACACTAAAATGGTCAGAAACTAGTGTTGGAGAGAGGTTGAGGGACATACGTCTTAGTGCATGAACCATCGCGAAAGTCCAACTCGTCATGTTCGCAAGTGTCGATAGTTGGCCGACCTTGTTCCCTTTGAGCAACACAGCCTGGAGCTGTACAGAATTCCCGGACCGTCTGTTTGATAGCTGCTTCTAGTGCTTTTGCAGAGAAGTTTCCGGATGGTGGCGCCGGGAGAATCGAGGTTCGCTTCGGGGTAAAAGCCTTCTGGGCCACGTTTATGTATGCTTGAATGCATTGGTCAACAGTCATGCCCAGTCTCCCAAGCATAATCGCGATGATTCTGCACAATCGTCAATAGGATGAGCAGTTGGATGGTTAGGAAAGCATACCCTCCAGTGCTTGTGCCGCCAATCAAGTCGAAGTGGTCGCATGGTCTGGGTACTCGATCGAGGCCACGTTTCTCGCGCAACTTCTCCATAACGTCCTCTAGAATCAGGAGGCTGGATACCCCTCGGATACCCCCTCCATCTGAAGCAGTTAGCAATAGGACCATCTCAAGGGTTGAGTCACACTACCAAGAGAGAGGACCCTCAGTGGCCCGGCGGAGTGATCCATTGTCGTCGCTCGGCTTATCCTCTGAGGAAGAGGCTAAGATTGGACCGGGGATGGAAGGAACGAAGTACTATCCCGCTGTGGGCGATGGCAATCAAGGTACTCGACGGATAGTCTATCGCTGATCACTTCGACAGCCAGATCTGACAGACGCGAGTGGAAATTAATTGATCGAAATGTGAAGATGATTGCCCATGAACCTCATGTGCGGGGTTGGGTCGCGACTCCAGAGGAATTTCAAGGCGAACAGTCCCGTGACAAGGCAGCAATGGATTCATCGTTGGGGGCCATGCATGTAGGCAATTAATTGCCTCTATCGAGATGTAATTGTAATTTGAACAAGAAGTAAGGCTGGCTGTGCTCACGTGTTGGCTTGCAGACGCGACATTTTGCGCGAGGATGAATCTAGAAGTATTTACCTAGTTTGGGGAAAACAAATTCAATTTGAAGCCGTAACCCAGTCCTGAGAATTTAATACAGACTGATTCATCGCGATGGTTTTTCTACTACCAGGCTTGGCAAGAAATCTGAAATGGCTCTTCTCATTCTTGGTGGCTCGACTGCTCGCCAAATCGCAACGAGACGTCATCACATTAAATGCTGTGACATGGATTGATCTCGAATTTGAAATTCGCCGAGACCAATCAGTGATACACATTATTAATGACGACAATTTTTCTACTCATCAGTGCTCGCGCTGATGACGATTTCGTGTCGCGAGTCTGACCCGAATCGGGCCAACTTCTCCCCCGTCAGCCAAACTTGTAGCCAATGGTAACGCTGTAGTGGGCAAGTCAGCAACTCCCGGAGCCGAAAATGGGTCGGTCAATTCACTCGGCCGATTGTAAGCTCTCGGGATTTTGAACGGAGCCGAACAGGATGAGACGGCTTATGTGCTCCGTCACCAATCTTGATGGTTGTCTGTCAGTTAGAATTAAGTATAAGTAGCGGTAATCCTCCAGGAATAGTGAGAAAAGAACAAATCATCACTCCCAACTAAACCAACAAACCAACAATCCTCATCAGACTCCCATACCTTCAACCTCATCTCCACCAACATGGCCTCCACAAATCCCATCGCAATTATCGGTGCCGGTCTCTCGGGACTCAGCTTAGCTCTAGCTCTCCACAACCAGAACATCTCATCCGTCCTCTACGAAACTCAATCCGCTCCCCTCGACATCGGAGGCGCCATCATGCTCTCCCCCAACGCCCTACGCATCCTGGACCGCTTGGGCGTGCTTCAGCTTCTAGAGCCGCGCGGGTACAAGTTCGAGCAGCTCTATTTCCGCTCCGGAGACGATAAACTTGTCGATGAGTTCGAGTTTGGCTCGGCCGAGAAATACGGCTACTCTGCACTCCGTGTCTATCGATACGAGCTGATCAACGTCTTACTGGATTTGGTCAAACAGGCTGACATCCGCATCGAGTACGGCAAGAAGTTTGACCACGTCATCAGCGAAACCGATGAGAGCGTCACCTGGCAGTTCGCCGACGGCTCTGAGGGCAATGCTCCCTTGCTAGTCGGCGCCGACGGCATCCACTCCCGCGTGCGCCAGCATCTCTACCCAGGCTTGGTCGCCAAGTTCACCAACATGCTCGGCATCACGGCCGCCATCCCCACGGCACAGCTCCAAGCCGACGACGATTATCCTATTCCAGTCACCATCATGAACCCCAAGCACGGCGCCTTTGTCATTGCGCCACAGTTAACTGACGGCTCCGAGGTCTTGATTGGCAAGCAGTATCGCTTCACCGGCCCTGAGCCAGACCGCGAGGGGTGGAAGAAGATCACCTCAGACAAGCAATGGGCGGTCGACTTCCTTCGCCAGGGCCACGAAGACTTTCCAGCCATTGTGCACCGCGCCACCTCCTCCGTCTCTGAGGCAAAGGTCAATGTGTGGCCCTTCTACCTGCTCCCTAAGCTCGACACCTGGGCTTCTGAGAAGCACGCCCGAGTGGTTATCCTCGGTGACGCAGCGCATGCCATTCCTCCCACGGCAGGACAAGGCGTGAACCAAGCTTTTGAGGATATCTACATCTTCGCCGGTGTCATTGCCAAACTAAGAAATGAGTCGCAACCAGGAGCACCTGAAAAGTTGAAGACCGCGCTGAGGAACTGGCAGAACGGCCGCCAAGCTCGTATCGACCGGGTGCTTCAGGTGAACGATCAAATTAACGAGAGGAGAATGCCTTCAAATGAGAATGTCGAGTTCAAACCGTTTGACCTCGAGTGGCTCTATTCTGCCGATTTCGATAAGATGGTTGCTGAGTATGCCGGAAGCTTGGAGTGATGCGGGCAACCTCCAGCGTCTTTTCTTTCGTTATCAATATTTCTTTTTACCGTGTATAAAAACAATCGCCAGTGACGAATGGAAGGCGGTTTCTCACACCTATTGTATCAGCTAGCCAATGTCTGTCATTTATGCACACAAACCACATTAATTCCACCAAGTTCTCAAATTCGCACGTCGTCACGCAGAATGGATTCGAAGAGAATCAACCCAGATAGGATATGCATGACGGAGCTCCGTGTTCACGCCTCATTGTCACATTAATCCGCAAACTACGACAATACAGAAAGGAGAGTGTTTAATTCCCTGAAGTTATCGTACATCGAGTCTACTACCATCACTATAATACATAAACTTTTAACGTGGATTCCATCATTTATTTACATGCAGACAATAACTTTTCCCACCCGTGTTCGGTATCTCTTACTTAATCCAATAGTACTGTGTCTGCTCCCTAGACCTTGATAGGTCAAGTTCCGAGCTCGCATTCTCGGGCAAATTTGGCCCCAGGCTCGTTCCAAGTCTCCGTTCAGTCTCGTCGTCGAGTCTGATTTCCTGAAATATCCGCACCTCGATGTCCCTTCGAATCCTATGTTGCTGATTGAGGTTATCAGTGCTTCCATCAAATACGCTGTCTCTCCTAACAGGGCATGATGACAGTGTTTTCAGTATCGTGTCTGTTCTTCTTCGCAGGTACCCGTTATCCGATGGAGGGTGATCCTCGAGGCGAACAGGATCAGGTTGATGAACTCCACTGCGTTTTGGAGAGTATGCCTCCCAGGTGTTCAAAATCATTCGCTGCAGTGGAGGAAATACAATGGGAAAGTTGGTTGTTATGATGGCAACAAATGATTCTCGACACGCCCAGCTGCCTGATTCCTCAGCGCCTCGGATTGGATGCTGTCACGATGCTGTCAGTTCGAGTTGTGGATTGACAAGAGTACGATGAATGTCAATTTTACGCACCTTCAAAATAAGAACGCATCGCCAGACACCAGCCATGGTCACAAAAATGCCACCCGAGAAGACTGCAGTCAGAGCCAGCTTCCTACGAAGAGGCATCCGTGCAGCCCACAGCATCGGCATCGGAATAATGAGCAGGTATAGATCGGTCCCACCATTAAGCGTTACCATGGTGAATAAATTAACCTTGGAAACTGCCGGTTGGCAAACATCTAGAGATGTTCTGGTCAGAACAGGGTCTCTGGGGGAAAGAATAGACGTACTGCCTGGGTTGGGATTGATCTGCCAATTCTTCTCAAATGGCCGACACGCAAATAGAATGCAACATATCACGGTAACCCAAGTGATGAAAATCAGGAAATACCCGACATAAATACGCGTTCGGTAGCCATCCAGTCCGTCTGTGAGCCTCATATACACAGTACACATCGCCGCTTTGAGGCACCACAGGACACACGCGTAGGCTGACCAGCTCCTTACCTGGGTTTTTGATCCTTCCACCCTCCATCGGTATTCATCACTATTGGGATCGAGCAATGTTCTTTCCACATCGGACATGGTATTATTAGCTAATCCGTGGGCGAGAGCACCGACGTTGTAACCTTGTATTGTCTCAATACTGTACGAGAGCTTGGTTTCAAATTGTTAACCACGCGTGAAGGGAAGCGTCATACGGCTTCTAGGGGACTCACCACTACTAATACCATCAGGAAGTCATCTGCCTGCAGGCCGCGAAACCCAACGGCGTTGATCCGCACTATCCATCGCAGGATGATGAAGGCGATGCCGACGCCTAGCAACGTAAAGGCTTCCGTCGTAAAAGACATCTTGACGACCGGATTGCAAGGCGAGAAATGCGGCAGTTGGGCATGGCTGGCTTTCGCAAAAGATGAAGCCAGGGGGTGGTTTATGTAGTAAAGGATCAATCCAAGAACTGAAATGGTGGCGGTTTGGCGATCAGACCTTAGTCCCGCCACACACACCGTTGAATGTTGATGAGAGAACAGCTAAATATCAGACTAACGATTCTGCATTGCCTAACATCTTATCTCACCCGAGGAAACAATATCGGAAAGGGACTCGTGCATTGGGCTGAACTTTGCCTCACTCTCAGCTCCCCAAAGTTAGGTGACAAGACACACGGCTCTGAATTCTGAGTCTCCATGTGGCTAGTCCACGCTGAAGAGGCTAGTCTTGTTGCCTCCGCCGCTTTGTTGAGGCGTCGATCGGGTATATCAACGTTGGGACATGATACCACCTCCTTTGTTATATGCATCGCTCGGGCCTCTTAACGTGGCCGTCATAAGGCAAACTAGCTGCTGAACTTTCCAAGCGATTGGTACCGGCGAGAACCGCGGGTCATCCGCCGTATCCTTAGCGTCAGAGGCTGCTGCGTTAGCCAGGGGGGATGCTGCATCTGGCCAAATGGAGGGAAGAGTGCGGCGTAGCATGGGATGAAAATTCTGCATTCGGATTGAATCCTCCGAGTCTGTATTGATCTACTCTTCATCCGGCTAGATGCAGACTGGGACCATGATCTTGACGCCTCGGGGTCCACGTTGGTGTACCCGTGATAAGAGGCTATTCTCGGCTGATGGAAAGATAATTAAGAACTTTTTGCACCGCGTTATTCGACTGTTCGCTACATTAGTATTGATTCGCGTCTATCAGGCAAGATGTAGAGGTGAGTTGTCTCTACCGACTGATGGATTCCAAGAACACCCACCACATGCGCATTCGTAGACACAGCCTTCGAGCAGAACATAAACTTTGTGGCTGATTGAGGCAACAAGCCTAAGGCGGGCCCCGGCCCTGACAGAAGCCGCAGTTTACCGACAGGATGGTCTGAAAACTGTTTCGTGCGTCGTTAGGCCGGAGTTTATGTCAGATTGCTCGCATCTGAGCTTGAGATCGCCACGGAGATGCCTAACACGCCGGTTCCTGTCACACGCTAAAGATAACCAAGGCCCCCTTGTGGCTCTGTGTTACACAGAAACATAGGATAACTGATGGTGGAAGGGTCTCGTCATATGCAGACAGATACTTGCGTCAGTGGCCACGCGTCTCCAGAGCCCGCCAATGAAGCCAAGTGTGTTCCAAATGCTGACAATAAACCTTGTCACCAGAGTATGGTGTAGTTATGACGTTGTCGTATTCATGCATGATTTCTAGCCATTTCAGGGGCGTTTCGCTCCCCGATAAGTTGATGGGACGAAAATTTCCACCTTAGGAAGTATCAGCTCACAAACTAACGTCTCGTGGTCCAGACCCACGGCTACTACTTCGTTACCCAAGCCACATGGTTCCGGCTGCCCTAGACCATCCCCAGATTTCGGGCGTCTGGTTCTCACGTCCCTGGAGCAGGTTAGCTTGTGCAGGTACACGGGTAGAAATCCCCGGAAAGCGGACTGTCAAGCCCCTGCACCGTGGAAGTGAGAATGGACGATCATAAAACTGTAAAGGCACTGTTGTCCTTCTCCCCGGAATTTCTGTCGCTCATCCTAATGTTAAACTCGACGGAATAATCGAGCTGCAATTAAAAAAGATTGCGATTAATCCTTTTCAGGCGTCAACGAATGTGGCTTCATGTTTCCGGCCAGTTTTGAGACCTCGGCATCATTTCCAATTTGAAGAAGGAATGGATTTTCAGAGGTCGTCTGCAATGATGAGACTCGGGCTCCTTATTTCATCAAGATATTTCGAGTATAAATTAGTTGCACGTTTCGCGCAGTGATGGTCTGTTACGTTGCCAGTTGGCATAAGGCGGCCATTGAACGACGCCATCTCGCCGTCCTTGAGCGCTGGATTTTCGACTGGTCTTGCCTTGCCAAACATGTCAGTGTTTGCCCAGATTCCAGGTGGCACTTCCGGCACCCTTCCAAACTTGTCCATCAACCACAGTATGGACTCTCGGCCGAGCCACAATGAGCAGCCTGGATGTGTCCCGCCCGTAACCTTTTCACCGTTAAGCTCAGCTACCCAACGAATAGATAGCATGGCCCATGGAAATACCGGGAATCTCAGCTTTGTCTGATCCAAAGCCCTCCCTAAATCCGCATTGATGTGGCGCTAGCTGCATGCCAAGGGCAGTTAGTAAACACGGGGCTGGCTGAACTATTGAAGGACGAGACCAAGCACACGCCAAAAGAGGACCAAGCGTGAATATGTAGTGAGGCTATTGAGCTGTGGGGACGTCCAGAACGTGGGATCTAGTCCATTCTGAACGCCGGTTTTCAATTTATGGTCCAGATGCGGCCGAGGTACAAGTCTAGGCAAGAATAGATCTCGTACAATGTCCCCATGATGCCATGTTCATGGTTAGCGCTGGGGCTGAAGGCGTCTAGTGCGGACGATCTGCCCAGTGCCCAGCTTATCCAGATTCCAGACCATCACGCGGTATTTAGTGAGGAGTAGAATAGCGCGGGGATGCCAACTGAAGTTCTCACTGCCCGTGTGTATTTTGAACGATAATAATCCCAATGGCAGGAGAATTCCACTGACACCTCACACTGTACGATTTTGATAGATGGTTATAGTGTATGCGTCTACAATTTATCCTCTTCAGCCGCGGGGGGCCGAGAGGTGGGCCGCTAGCAGTTGTCGCTGCTGAGCCACAGCGGTCATCCACTGCACCACAGCGGTCGTCCACTAAAACCTGAGCGCATATCAGGGGATCCGCAACTCGTGAGGCGTGGAACATATTCACACTCCCCATATCGCAGCATGAGCGTCTCCGCCAAGCGACCCATCCGGTGTCATGCGGCGCGTCGGTCCTCAGCTGAAGTCAAGTTGTATGCAGATAATACAATAGTTCAGCTGCGTTGCATAGGTCGCTCTAGGAATGCCAATAGTCTCTGCTACATCAGGTCTAGAACCAATAGCTCAGCTAGCCACCATCCACGACTGCCACTATTGAACAGGTCTCGATTCAGATGCGCAGTATAAAGCCCAGCTTCAAAGCCACCAACGTGTCATGGTCCAGATAATCATCTACTACATCGTCTTCATTCTCCATTCTACATCATGTCTTCCAGCAACGTCGCAGATTTTGTCAGCTCGATTGAGGTGCCCCTTTCTCACCTCTACTCGAGCGATGCATCCAACTGACATCCAACAGGTTCTCTACGACGACGACCAGCCCGCCAACACCGTCGGTGAAATCAATGGCAACTCTGCTGATATCAACAAAGGCCAAGGCGGCAGGTACGTGTTTCTCCTTCACCCTATGCCATCTTCCTTCGTCTTACCGTCATGACGTTGTTAACTCCTGTGCTTAGTTACGTCTGGCTTCGTGTCCATCGGGCCAACTCCCCAGCAGCTACTGTGAACAACATCTGGGTCGAGATTCGCGGCGACGATGACGGCGTTAGCAAGGATCTAGCCAAGGGAGCTGGTGGTCACTATCGCTTTCTCAAGTGGTCTAACAACGAGGCGGACCGCACGTAAGACTCTCCCATTTTCCCGCAGCTTTTCCAGAACTAAACTTATATCCACGATAGAAAAATCACAGACGTTGCTCTTTGGAGATCTGATGACAAACAATCCGACCCTCCTAATGGCTGGAATGGCATGACCACAGATATTAACAATGGTCGAGGTGGTGATTATCTCTACCTTGTTTGGAAAACCAAGCGGTTCCTGTAGAGATGAGATACTCTAGCCTCAATGCATATTCTATTATATTGATGTCAGACAACGTTCAACTCATGATGCCTCTTACTGTCATACCCGCAGAATCCTGCTCACTCCCGCAATACGAGCTGTTCACAGGGGGACGTATGCCTCTGAACTACCAACCTCTTGAGTGTCCAGTTGTACAATGTGTGCAACCTCCAGCTATTCAACCGTTCTATGGCACTTCCATGCGTGATTGAACGCTACCTCATCATAATGGTCAATAGTTTCCAAATTGAGAAGACACAAGAGCATCCTTGACGCTAGTCTGGGGATATGGAATGCCTTCAATCCTCCTGTGATGCAAACCAGACAGCCAGACTTACCGATATTTACTCTTTGGTGAGGGAAAAGTCGCTGTGGTGTCAAAATGCAAGGTTTTGTCAATGCGACACCGCAAGTCTCAGCTGAATCTTCATGCGGTGTCAAAACGTAGCACAATGTCAACTAAGGCAGCCCAGTAAATGCCAGCGATTCTAGTGGCTCAATAGTCCAAAATTGACTGCTCGGCTTTTCAAGTCGTTGAAATGTTCATCAGATTATGTTGTCGCCTTTGTTCTAGATAAGCGATATATCACATTACATCTTCGATAGCCTGACCACCCATGCATCTTCAGTATTCATCCTATCATCAGGGTCCCCTGGCATCACCAAGCCTTTCCCATGGTTCGAGTAATTACTGCCCTTGCTCCTAAACTAAGGAGATATTTAGCTAACAATGTATAGGTCATCTATACTAAAGACGTAACAAACCGCGCGATACCATTTCCCAAATCAACGATGAATCAAGTGATATCAAGGGATTCGGCAGAGGGTGAGTGTTTCTAACTCGATATCATATCCTCTCTCTCCATATCATTGTCCAAAGTTGCAAACTTTTTTTTTCTGGCGTTGTTTGAGCTATGTTTAGCCTCATGTTCACCGAGCCTCTCAGTCATCAATCATGGTGAACGCCTTCCGAGTACTCTCCCAGAACAGACCCCTTCTCGGTTCGAATGAAAAGGGCTGGCGGTATTTTACGATATATTTTATGGGAATTGCGATAGAAACTCCAACAAGGCCAAGGCTGCTCAACCCCAACTTGCAACACACCAAGCAACTCTCAGGCTGCTCTCTGGCAGACCAGTGAAAATCTCAAGCTAATACGGTGTTTGTATTCAAGACTTTCTAGGCTAGCTATTGGTCCTGCAGGTTCCAGGTGGACCAGTGAAAATAAGAGAGGCCGACCGGATGGGTGGGATTGCAGGACTGGCGGTATCAATATTGGCCGCTGTGCTCTATCTTGTTTGCGGAATCAAGCAGTACGTTCTACCTAAGTGAAAGTCGGAGGCGTTACTAGCCAAAGCTATCCGAGCTGTTCGGTATCAATACCTCGATATTTTGATACACATCTATTGAAATGTTGCATTGATGGATTAATTTTAAGAGGAGAATGGAGACACGGTTCCTGTTAAATAAAGGCGTCGTATATCTCGTATATCTACGTTGCTCTGAGCAGTGTGTTGACGAGAAATTAGGACATAGTTTTGTATTTCGTGACGACCATGCTTTCCTCCCTATCAATCTGAACCTGAAAACTCGTTACCCTCATCCACATCTCTCCGACCTTACAATCCCTCATCCGAGGACTCGGCGCCTTCTTCTTCAGACTCGTCTGGAGATTCCCAATGCATAGTTTCAAGTATGGAAAACGGAGGATAGCCCAGGTTCGGCAGCCTCGGCAGATCCAGCCTCATTTTTTCCGCATCGAAGATGTCGTTTTCGGCAAAGTTTCTGGCCACGTCGTCGATCCTTCCGCCGCGTCGTTCAATTTCGGGCTCCGGCCGAAACCTTACGGACAAGATGTAGTACTGGATCTTGCCGGGCTCCGTCTCATCCCGGGTCCATCTGTTCTTTTGCCAACAGCTCGACCCAGTCCAGATGTCTCCTGTTATGCTTCCGCCAGTCGCCTCGGGGTACAGGACGACGCCGTCTGTTCTCTTGAAGGACCAGCGTTCAATCATCTGCGTTGCGATGGCGTTGATCTGGATCTTCTTCCGCAGGACGGATTCAATCTCAATGCATACCTCCCGCACGCTGGGACGCAGTGTTTCATTAACAGCCTTAATCCACTGGCCCTCGAAGCGCAACGGCTCGTCGTTCTCCCACCACCACCAGTCGGCGTGGCGGATGGTAAGCGTCACGGTGCGAGGGTTCAGATGGGGAAGCTTCAGCACATCGGCGAGGCCTCCCTGCTCCAGCTTCCACATCTGCGCAAACACCCGTAGCCTTTCAACCTCAATGTCTTTACCGCCCTGCTGCTCGACGATCTGCTTGAGCGTCTCAGTAAACTTATTGATGGCCTGGTCCGCTTGGTAGTGGGGTGGGGCGCGGTCTTCATGGCCGATCCAGTGCGTGTGCTCCTTGAGAACAAAGGGCATGAACCAACACTCGCGATAGACGGCGCGGCAGGTTCGCAGCAGTCGGGTATCATTCATGCGCGGCGCAGAGTATGTTGGCCTCTTATAGATGGTCCAATCCTTGTAGCGCTTTTTTGGCGAGGGATCCGGGTAGTCCATGAGTGCGTAGGAGAAAATCTGGCTGCGCACCTCTGGGGGCAAGAGGCTGAAGAGTGGCGAGTTGTCTTGCGGTGCTTCAGGGCCCGAGAGGATCTGGTTGGAGGGTTCTGGTGACGACATGTTGGTGGATGCTGTCTGATGGATGCTGTCTGATGGATGCTGTCTGATGGATGCTGTCTGATGGATGCTGTCTGATGGATCTGGTCTGATAGAGATGAATGAATGACGCAGTTGAAAGTATTCACGTCACAACTTGCATCTTAAAGGTAGTTTCATCCTGAGGATTTAGGCAGAAGTGCGGGGTCGATATCTATGCTCGAATGTTCGAAAGGCTGTTGGTTGTTGATTGATGGTTGGTCGCCTGATGAATATAGTACATGTCAGTTCAAGCGTGCGTGAATCTTTCAGTGAAGGTTGTGTGTGACTGTGACATTTTTTTTGGCTGGCGGTATTTCATTCATCGTCAGCGATTTTAAAGAATATGTACACGTCAAATATTATTCATCACGTCTCATTCTACGGCTGCAGTCTTCACTTCAAACCGGGATGCTGGTGGTGATAGTCTTCGTGCTGTATGGTTGCAAAGTAAAAGCATCCCATTTTACCATTGCGGTTAAAAAGGCAGCTTGGAACGGTATAGTCACAAAATCCGTCGGATAATTATTGATACAGGGTAGGTGATTTCCGGTGCACGACGCATGAGGCTAGCTTGCGCGACTCAGCAAAAAACTTAGCTCGTTTCGCAATTTCCCCTTTCCAGACCAGCTCAACGGCGAGTTTCGGGGCTAGAAGACAGTCATTTCCGCAATATTGCCCCCCCTATTTGCCACCGACAGTTGGTTGAGGTTCGGCGGCACCTTGACGCCAATGTCGGCTCACCGTGCCTAGCGTTAGTACGTGGTGAGGACGCCGTACGCGACGGCCACAGCAGTCCTTTGGCCGTGTACCTAATTGCTGTCCCCACAGTGGTCGCAGTGGTCACAGCGGTCGCAGTGCGTGCTGCTCAGGGGATCGACTCCACTGTGCTAGACGGCATTTGTCCCCTGGGCCTTGTGAGGCTGCGCCCCCTACAGCCTGCGATTCCCCAGATTGTCCAAGATAGCCGTGAGATCCGTTGGTTGTGGAGACTAGATTGCTACGTAGTACGGATACTTCGACTGCGAATGGCTGGTTTAGCTTGGGAAGAAGGACAATCACGGTGAGATTCTCTCCCCCCAAACACGCCATTGACTGGTTGGATCATCTTAGGGCTACTCATCAGCTGACATTCAGTCTGGCCCGACAATAACCATCTGCACTTCTACTGGACCTCGTCGCGAGGAAGCGACATGGAGTCACCTGAGAACTGCGTTAACCACGGAACAGTTCCGTCGCCAAAATGAATGAATGATACGTTGAGACAGGCCCAATGAGCCTCACCGTAATGTCAGCTGCCAGCTCAAGGCTTGGCCTCGTGGTGGACGACCGCGGCGGGTAGTGCCTTTATTGTCCGGCGGGAGAGACCGTAAGTTAACCGCCCAGCTCAGAAGCGCAGCCCTATTCTTGGCGTGGGCGATACGCTAGGGTCGGCCTGGGAATTGGGCTCTATAGATAGAATTGGAAGCCTCATGGCCAATTGTCAATACCATGATGATGATGGCTATTGTCCCCTTGAGTGATGCTCGGTAGCGACGGTTGCTTGCTGCTGTCATCGTATACAGAGATTACGTTGTTTCATGCCCTTGCGATTGAGCATGGGTTGCGCTGCGACTGTGCGGTACGATGTCGCATTTTTCCTCGCTCTCGGAATGGAGAGAGCACCGCTTGTAGTGCATATTCACCGCATCATGCTTGAGCAAATAGGTTACAAATAAGCTTCAAAATGGGCCGACGGTCAGTGTGTGTAAGCGGGCTCCGCGGATCAAGTCATGATGGAAAGATTAGATTCAGGCTGCTTGCAACCTCGATTCAATAGGTCGTGAGAAGCCGCAACATGTCGTCATCCGTCACGATGCGGGGCTGCAGCCAATGGCGCCGGGTCATGGGCCTACTCAGCCTCAGAAACACCACAAAGAAGTGCAAGCTGAGGGCATCGTATTGGGCGGCCGTTTTGCACGAGTGGGTGGCAATCATGCGCGGATGTGAACGCCACGAACCCGTTTGGCCTAAAAAAAACCAGTTCTGTTTAAGCTTACGAGCTGACTCAATGGCTTTTGCGCAGTCGACGACGTCGTTGGGCATGAAGGCGTGAGGAGGTGCATCTCGTGCGTGCATCTCTCGTCTTGCAGTAGGGCGAGCAATCAATCAATAGAACGGCGACTTCCTTTTGTTTCGACAAAGCCGGTTGGATGGGCCATGGCGGAGCTGCAGCTGAAAATAAAACCAAACGCCATAGACCAGGATTGATCCACTGCCGGACCTGCTGATGTCTGTCGATCCTGGGGATTGTGTGAGTGCGACTGGTGAGCAATTGCTCTGGGCGGCCCCGGTTGACCCGAGAGCCAAGAGGCCAAGAGGCCAAGAGCCAAGAGGCTCGGATACGACAGTTGGCAAACCATGACAATGACAATGACAATGACAGAATCCTCCCCCCCGCCGCCCCCTCCGGGTCGTGCTTCAGGTCGTGCTCACTTCTTCTGAGTCGTGAACCAGTTCGACCCTGAAGTGCGGCGGCGCGGCTGCTGCGGTGCCGTGTCTTACGGTGGACGGACGCAGGAGAACTTGCTTGGGCCGCTCAGGTACCCGATGCAGCGAGCGCGTGTCTTGGGTTAATTTGCTTGCTTGTTCTGTTTCCTCCGTCAAAGGGATGACATACGGATGGATACACGGCCGCACCCATAGAGCAAACAGATCGTCATAGGTACCTTTGCAAGTCCCCGTTCATCCAGAGCACGTCGCACATGGCGTCCGTCAACTTTCGTCCGTGTGCTGCTTCGCATGGCTTCACACATATTGACGCTCGCCGTGGCACCGCTGCCACCTCACGCCTGCATTTCAGCTTGATTGGCGTCTGCTAGCTCCGATCCCATGGCACCAGGCGCTGGATTGATCGCCGCTGCCCAGCCCTTTGGTGTCGTTGCGAGCCGGGATTGAAAGACATGCCGTGCTGACACCCTCCAGCAGATGGATGGTCGGTCTGTTGGGCACCCGCCGTGACAAGTCCATTACATCAACCGTTATTGTTTTTGCTCCGGGGGGAACCGCTAGAATCAACCTGGTCTCGGTTCTCGGCTTCAAGGTGCAAATCCAACCCTGTTCCTCCTGTCCCTCCGGTCCCCGCTAGGTTATTTTAAGGGAAGCCCTGGGTCGTCTGGCTGCGCCGGGCGTGTCTTAGCGAAGCGCTAGCAGGCGTGTGGCTTCTAGACCTCCGTAATTTCCATGTCATCTTCTTCGTATCCCGGAAAAGACCCAATGCTTGAAAGCCCTCCTCCACCCCCTCCCCCTGGCAGCCCTTTTCATCTCGTATTCTGCCTGCAGTTTTGTGTTGTCGCTGCAGCGCGGGGGGAGCCAAGCATAACTTTTACTTTATGCCCCCGTGGCGTCCCGGTGCGTGTGGAAAGGGCTGACGGGCTTGGACGCGAGCACCACTCAGGGCTTCGTCCGCAGCCGCTGATCACTCAGGGGCCGGAGTCTATGTGTCACGGTAATGCCCAAATTGGCTGGCCGCCTTGCCGGGGTGCTGGAAGAGGGCTTTGGCCTTTTGGAGGCTTTGCCCAATTTGGTGCGAATTGTGCCATCAACACCACGCCGCCAACACGTCGTGGCGTCTGTGTCCGGGGGGGAGGCGCCTAGGGCAAGGGGAGCTGACCCAACAGAGCAGCGCCGAGAAGGAATTATGCAGCCTTACACGCGCCGGAGCTGACCGGCCGCTTGTTGTGTGGCCCATTGTCCTGTCGTGTGGATGTGGCTGCTCCCTCTTTTCTCCCTCTCCTCTCCCACCCCCTTCCCCTTGGCAAGTCATGTATGGTTAAACGTAAATGCAACTATTGCTGTGCCCTCCACAACGGGCTCCAGTCGCTCGTCCACTCCCATCCAGTCCCGTCTGGCTCCAGATTGGGCCCCGGACTACCCGCCCACTCGGGACTGGGCGTTCTCGTTGTCGCCCCGTCCAGGAAATGCACCGTATGGCTGACCCCCCTCGTCCCCGGCCAGGGGGGGCCATGCATAGCGTTACGAGGGGCAAGGAAGATGCCTACCCGTGTGCTAAATTTACTGACAGGGCGCTCACTGGGTCCCCGGCAGTCTGTGCTGCGCAGCTAGGAGGTTAGGAGGCACCAGGCCGATGATCCCGCGTTGGTATAACTTCTGCTGCCCTCCCCCCGCCTCGATGGTGTTCCTCACAGCGGTAGCAACCACTGCAACAATTTATCAAAGACACTCGTTTGGTTGCGCAGCTGCACACAACACTCACCATGTTGTTCCGTTTCTCCCTTCTGGTCTCGGCCCTTGCCGGTCTGTCCATGGTCGCCGGCCAAAAGTACCCCATCACCGGAGTCAAGGTCGGAGTCAGCAGCACCAACGTGCCCATTCGCAAGAACATCAACGACCTCCAGTCCGCTGGCGGCCCGCAATGGTAAGACAGGGCGCTCTGCCTCTTCCGCGTATTGTGCTCACTCGTCCGCAGGTCTCTTTACATTCGCTCTCTCATTAATATGTACAAGGAGGATGCTTCCAACCAGCTCTCCTTCTTCCAGGTTGCCGGTATGTGCCCTTCTAATTGCAGTAATTGTTCGATGTCTAACACTCTTCCCAGGTATTCACGGCAAGCCCTACGTTGAGTGGAACGGTGCCGGCAAGAGCACCTCCAATGGCTGGATGGGATACTGCCCTCACGGCGTAAGTACTCTGACATCTGCCTCTCGTCCAACAACGCTAACAACATGACAGGAGAACCTCTTCCTGCCGTGGCACCGACCTTATCTTGCTCTGTACGAGGTACGTCGGCTTCACCCAACAAATCCCGAGCTCCTCAACTAACTCCCATACAGCAACGCCTAGTCGCTACCGCTGTCAAGCTCGCCAATGGATATCCCGCCAACGTCCGCGCCACCTGGGTCAAGGCTGCTCAGACCCTCCGCGCTCCCTACTGGGACTGGGCTCTTCAGGACTCGGTTCCCACCGCCACTGTCACCAAGAGACTGACCATCACCATCCCCAACGGCTCGACCGGCACCAAGCAGTACACCGTCGACAACCCTCTGGCCGCCTACTACTTCCCCAAGAAGGCCCTCGATGGAACCTTTGGCAACTTCGACCAGCCCGCCAACCGACCTCAGATCTACCGTTGCCGTAGCCCGCAGAGCTACCCCGGATCGGCCAACTCCGCCATGCGTGCCCGTCCCTACAAGTCGTGGGTGGTGAGTAGCCATTGTCTGATGCTGATGAAATCTATGCTGACTTGAATAGTACGATGCCTTCACTTCCTCCACCACCTTTGACCAGTTTGCCTCCACTGGCAGCACCGGTGTGAGTCTGGAGCAGATTCACAACGCCATCCACTGGGACGGAGCTTGCGGTTACCAGTTCCTCGACGCCGACTTCTCCGCCTTCGACCCTCTTTTCATGCTGCACCACGCCAACGTCGACCGACTCTGGACCTACTGGCAGTTCATCCGACCCAACCAGGCCATCTTCAAGGGCAGCTACAAGGGCGGTGCTCGCTTCAACAACCGCGACGGCGCCACCATCACCCCCGACTCGCCTCTCCAGCCCTTCTACCAGTCCAACGGCAAGTTCCACACCCCCAACTCGGTCACCAGCATCCGCAACTTCGGCTACACCTACGAGGGTCTCGAGTACTGGCGTAAGTCGTCCGACACCTTGAAGAAGGACGCCACTGCCATCATCAACCGCCTGTACGGATCAGGCAGCTCCAAGAAGGCCAAGCGCGACGACGCCACCCTCACTCGTTACTTTGCCCAGATCCAGGTCGACGTTGAGCAGCTCGACCGCCCTTGCGCCATTGGCCTTTTCGTCAACACCACCAGCGTTGGCAACTTCATCGTGCTCAAGCAGCCCGCCAACGGTCTTTTCTACGGAAAGTTCTCTCTGGACCGCGCCGCCGACCCCGTCGATCTTGCGGATTCCAAGACCACCGTTGTTGTCAAGGACATCCTCGCCGGCCTCAGAGTCGAGATCAAGAACGTAAGTTTACCCCACACATGCTGCATTCGTCAAGTCAGAAACTAATTGCATCATTTTATAGCACGCTGGAGAGATCATTGACCTCGCCACCGTTCCCAGCTTGAAGATCGAGCTGGAGAACGCCGACATTGTTCCTCCGGACAACACGGAACAGCTGCCCGAGTACACCGACGCCGAGAAGCGTCCTGCACCCAAGAAGCAGAAGCAACCGCCTGTCAAGGCTTAATATGTTTACTTATAGTCAAGTTCGATTCGTCTAAAATCTATTCGTCGCAAGTCGACACTGTAGTATATATAACTTCTGCTACGAATTATTGGCATCCTCCTGCCTTGGTGAATGTTACTTGTACTTGCCGCTTGAGAAGCCGTGCATGATGCTCAAGTTGGTCTGAACTAGAACCATCCAGCACAACGTAACCGGACGTGTGAATATCGCGCCTGTAGGTTTACAGTGAGATAAATTTGACCCCCAATAGGTCCTGATGTCTGGATCTTACAGCGCACTCTAGCGCAGTTGGGGATGGATTGAACAACATTAGTGGGGTAGGACCGGATATTCCAATCCGCATTTTTACAGCAACCACTCGGAAAGCAAAGTTCCTGGTGGCAAAGTGCCGCGGTTCGCGCAAGCAAGGGACAGCGACTGAGACTCCCGTGGACGTGGTTGCGCTGATTGTGAGACAGCACCAGAGGGAGGGTGCAGGAGTGCTTTAAGGGAGACCGGCGCTGGCACTACCCACAGTTCACGGTTGACCGGACAAATTTCGAGAGGATGGATTATTCATTTGGAGATGGCGTGCTAGGAATTGAGATCAGGATGGGTATCAAGGTGGCAGAACCAACATAGGAGGGGCTGAGCGCCGAAGATTGTCGACACGGGAGCGGTCCCAGCCCATCCATCCAGGGCTAATTTGATTCAGAATAAACCCGAAAATTTAGTGGAAGGTTGGGAAGCGAGACATTGTACCAATGTGTCCCCACTGCCAGCTCAGGCTGTTCCGTTCCGTCTCATCTGATTGCCCGTGAAATCGCCGACTGGCTTCACCGCAAATGTCTCTTAATCCCACCGCTAGAGCTGGATGTGACGATCGAAATGATAGACTCGGCTAACACGAATCAGGCTTCAATAGACCTTGGCATCCAATGGAGGGTCATTACAGTACTGTCTCAAACACCTATCTTGCAACCACATCCGCAGCAGGCTAAAATATTGCTATCAATACACCAGTCTTTCAAATAGTTCCTCAAAAAACGGCATAGCGTAGGGCGGATGAAATGAATAAGAAAAAAGTCAACACAAATGCCCCAACAGCAAAACCTCCTTGAACGTCATTTTTAAGGACTGTCCAGAGGATCGACGCCAAGAGACACAGTGCAAACCCAAGACAGCCGCAAATGAAGATTGCGTATCCGTTGAGTGACTCGACGAACTGGACTCCCCAACCAACGGAATAGCCCTTTTGGGAGCAGGCCTGAAGTCTGCGTAGTTTCTTCTTGGGGAACCGGCGGAATAATATGGGAAGTACGTCTGCGTGATCAGGATTTTCAAAGAGGTGGAGGAGCATGTTCGTTCCGATCGGAGGATCAGTGTCGGATGGTTCATACTCATACTCGGCTTGAGCTTGGGCTCCGGGCATTGAAGCTGATGAGCAGATATTGACGAGCTCATTGCGAAATATCTCGAACTAGACAGTTCAATTAGTCTGCATCTTCCACGCTCGACGATATTGCGGAGGTACCTGGACAAAGTGCATCGATGAGACGCGTCTCAAACCCTTCCACCGATGCGATACATTGTGTTCGGAGTGGGTAGCTCTGAGAAGCCTGAAGAACTCCCTATCGGAACGAACGCGACACACGTCCGGCTGGTGAGCCTTGATGCCCCATCGCATAAAGGGGATGCAAAGAATGAGAAAGTTGTGATTTGGGCCTTGTCCTGCCCCTTCCAACGTGGATGAGCAACCAAAAATATCATGACCAGAGCCTCTGGGTTCCTCATTGGGTAGCTTGCCAGGTCTCTGAGCTTGAAAGGCATTTTTTATTGCCCGCAGCATCTCTGAAACGATGAATCGGTTGCGTTGCGGATTTGGGTCGGAGTTTTGACTCTCGTCATCATCGACCTGAAGGGGATCTTTCATCGGGCTCATTGATAGATTAGGAGAGCGGTAGTTGTCAATGAAGTTTTTTAGATCCTTGACAGAGTCAGGTCTCGTTTCAGTGAAATCGTCATATATATTCCGACCACAACCCTAAGGGAGGATGTTAGATGGGCATGATTTAGATTGAGTGGTTGCTTCATACACAAGTCCACCGAATTCGCGTGAGCTTTGGGGTTTTGGGTGGTTCCGAAAACTTATCATATAGGTTGCGAAAGTGAGTTTGAGAACTGTTAATCATGCTTGTGAACACTGAGGTGTAACTCTCAATAAGGCTCGATGACGCCACAACAAGCTTGATACTAGCCTTGAAGTTTTGGAACGAGATTGAGCAGAAGAGAAACTCGTGAATCTCTGGGTATAAAACACCCCTCCCTTCATCTTCGTCATCTTCCGCTTCTGTTTCTTCGTCTTCTTCTACTTCTGCTTCGGTTGGTTGTTCGGCGACGTCATCTGAAACTTGGGTTTCCGGAGCCTCAGGTTTGATGGAGGCTTCCCTAATCTCAGCTTCGTGGCGATTGACGATGTGTCTAGCAATCTGGTATCGACGAGACCGGATGAATCTCGAAGCTTTGACTTTAAGAACTGACTGCCCCTCTTGCCGCAGATCTTGGGAGTAGAGTCGAAGTAAATTCGCGATGATCCTTCGTGCTAGGTACTTTGTCCCCGAAAAGCCCACAAGTTGGGGCCACAGATATTGGAGGTCAGGTTCAACTAGAAGATCGTGCAACAGGGTCTCGACGGTGTCTTCTTTGATGCCCTCCGGTATGGTGAGTTCTGTGGAGACTGTGGACGCCGCGGAGGAGTCAGTCTCACGGCCAGTATCGATGTCACTGTCGGTATTGATGTCCGAATTTATATATAAATCCACGTCGCAGGGCCCTGAATGGCTGGAGCATGCATAGCCGACATAGATGGTCCTCTGTTGAACCTTGTGTCCAGGCCGACCGTACGCTGAGCACCTGTCGATCGCGCTCTGATAGTAGAGACATCGGCATGCGGAGTAGAGCTCAACAAATTGGTAGCACATTCTGAACGTCTAAGCTGAAAGAGGTGGTCATAAAAAAACAGGATTGAATAGTTGGGATCAAAACTGTGATTCATGTTGATTGAGCGATTTAAGTGCGGGTCAGCCTTGCTTAGGCAGAAATGTAACACCGTTGCTACTGTCCAAAATGGCATGTTGATCGCATGCACTGCCTCTCCCCTTGGATACTTAAATCGCATCCTCATATCAATTCAATATATTGTGACAAGGCGAGGGTCAAACTCTTCCATATTCCTTGCGGGCTTCCTGCGTTAGTGGTCAGAATGACTCTGGCCACGGCGGCTCTGGGCTGGACGGAGCGGTTTCGCGACATGGAACCGCTGTCCCATGAGGAAGCAATACACACTCCTAATTAGATGACACTAGCAAAATCCACGGCGAAAGCGATCATGTGGAACTTGTACCGGATTCTTCACGGGTTATTTCCGGAATCACCCTGCTTTTTGAATACGTCAGCCCAGTAGTTCGGCGTCTGAGAGACTGGAGGAGTTCTATATCGGGTGTGACGACGCCATGTTGTACATCGTGCAAGTAAAGGTTCACATACATCGTACACAAATTTATTTATGTCTGTATTTGAAACAGATGGTCGATCTCCGTTACTTGATCATCGTCCTTGCATCTTTGCGGCTGATCTTGAGGCAGTATGACGCGTGGCTCCAATCGATTTTGGATCACTGCAACGCGACACACATGCGATATCAATATTGGCCGATTGTTGACGAATCTGCCAGCTGGTGACACGGCTCAGATGCACTGCATGCACCATGCACCACGGACCACACATTGGGCTGATGGTTGCGCTTTGTGGTTCGGAGAGCACGATATTGTACATGGTGGATATATATGCATTCTGCAAGCTCCGTTTTTGTATAGCAACTGGCTGTAGATTGCACTGGATCCACTCATTATGTTGTCCATAGCCGTGAACTAATCCCATGTCGGAGCTAACACGCGTTCAAAAGTCGGCATTTGTCGCTCATTACTTACTTTGTTTTCTATTTTCTTACATGCAGCACATCCCCAGCAATCCCATTGGCCTCACAACCTGCGTCAAGCAACCAGGCCTTCTCAGCTGCTCAAAGTCTCCTCGCACATAAATCTCGCAACGATGTCGCCAGTCATCAGCCATCGTCCATCGGAGAAGGAAATATTTGCTGACATCGCCATGACACGCAAGAAAGCCAAGGTCTTCTAGAAGCAGCCATAATGGTGCGTAGCTGGGCCAAGAAATTTGAGGAGTCCTGGGAAACGGGCCATGCCACCATCCTTCAACCGCTCTTTTATCGAGGGCACTACTATATCTGGTTATAGCACCTGATTTTCATGCTTCGATACTGAGGGCACCCTCCACGATCGGTACCAGTAACCAGTTTGCGAGCTTAGTCGGAATAGTAAAAGCGGTAGTCGCTGTCGTCGATGATATCCCTACAACTGGTGGGGCCGTCATCATAGTAGTCCACATCATCGCCATCTCCAACCATATCCTCTGCAAGATCCTCTATTCTCCAACCCTCCCACTCTTCGAGTATATTATCCGACGACCTGACATGGTTCCCAGTCCCTGACCCCCAAGGTCCCAGCGTTCTCGTGGCCGGCCGAGTCTCGTATGTAGGAGAGCAAGCTTCGCCTACCCGGCGCGAACTCTCCTCCTTTGCTCTCCCAAGCCAATCAGCACTAATGCGCCTCAAGTAGAGGGCATGCAGGTCCGGTAGATGGATAACATCATTAGTGCAGTACTGCGCCGTCTTAGCCTCTACTGGCCGGATTGCGAAGATGTTAGTGGGCATGAGACGCTTAATCTCCTTTTTAGAGCGGAGCCAACGATCGAGCTCCGCAAACTTGAGCTTCAGGTCGAACTGGATGGCTTTATCCAACCCGTAGAGGTATGTTTTATTGCCAATACGAGACGCATTCTCTAGAAGTTGGATGTCAATAACATTGGCAAGGCCGACTTGGTAGAGAGCCCAAAGCGCATCGGCGTCGTTCCGCACGTCCCAGAGGCATTTTGGGATGTCCGGATCTTCGAGAATGGATTTGAGAGACTTTCCGTCTTTCGATGTCGTGTTGAAGGCCGATTTCCCCAGAGATAACACGTCAATAAGTCTCACCACTCCCTGTGGATGGAGGAGAATAGTGATGAGGGAGATGGTTCCATGCCGACAGAGGCAGTTTCCTTCTAGATCCAAGTAAAGTGTGCTAGAAGGCGGGATGGAAGAAAGAAATGCCTCGAGTTCCGCCGTAGAAGAGATGAGAGTCGTGGCCGCTGTAGGCATAGCCATATTGGGTGTAAAACAGACTTATAAAGGTGGAATGGCCGTGATAATGGGTAGTAGGTCGCAATTCGGCGGCAGCTGCTAGGGACATTATGCACTTGAGTGCGCCTTGATATCATGGAGCTTCTTTATGAGAAGAATTTCAATGGCTTGCGGAGGTCGGCTCGCCGCTGTCGAAAGTCAATGTATTGGATTTTCAAGCTAGGCAAAGCTGTACGGTGGGGAATGAAAGGTGATAGGTGCTAACACACGGTAGAAGGCACTGGATCTCAAATTAGTGCGTGACACGATATCATCATGACGACACAACAATAGATGACAAAACGGTAGGTGTGGGTCAAAGCATCAAACGCTAGTATTAGGTTCAATGCGGGCTGGATTTATTTCGGATACTGTTGGATATACAATTTGATATATGCGGAGTTGTTGATCAAGTGATGTCAATTGAGAAGGCTATTCCTTTATCAATTGAGTGTTATAAGGCCCCTATTTTATACTAATAGGGATCTAGATTAGGATGCCAAGCATATTGACTTACCACATCCAGCATTCCGCATCCGGCAGTCCGGATCAGCCATATTATGCTGCCACACGAGGTCTCAATCTGACAGATACTATAAGTGGAAGATCAGCTCCTCCAGTCAAGTGGTATACTCAACAGCAAAGATTGCATCCGCATAAATCGAATGGTAGCATAACGAACGCATACCGCAAAGCCAATAATCCACTCCGAGGAATACTAGAGCTTGATTGTTGGTACTGTGGCCAATAATCGCGTGCGTGTATCAACCAGATTGAGTATGTCAGTGGGACTTTGGCATCCCATAGTGGTCGCTTCTGTTATGGCCTTCAGGCGATGCAAACGTTTAATATTGCTCCTTTGAGTTTGCGCTGTTTCGCCAAGCGTGATGGTTAATTGAGCGCTTGCCCGATATGCCCAACGAAGTAGACCTTGACAGCGCCTCTGCCACTAGCCCAACCTAATGAACTCATGGTGTTGAGCTTAATCATCAGTGATATTTCACTCATCGTATAAATGGCTATCGGGTCTCCATCTGGTACACCATCAACCATATTGATTTTTAAGGATGCGCATTTCCGTGTGGCTTCCTCGTACACCGACCGCCGAGATTCAGTACGCGGCTACCCTGGCCGCCGCAATCTCCCAATGGATGTCCACTCCAGGCCTGTGATCAGTTGCAAGAAGTGGATTATGTCGCTTCTTTGTCACAAATCTAGTTCAATCTTCAATTGCCCGAGTCAATGATTCAATCTCAATATAAGCCATGCAGATACACTGCCAAGCTCATATTTCATTTCCTACTCTTTAGTACTGTGCCGGGAATACGGTCTGGCCGGGTTTGTCAAATGACTGGACCCGGCTACTTCGCAGGACGCGCGATAGTTCTTCTATTGACAGTAGGCAATAGGCGCGTACTAAATGCGATATCGGCCGAAAGGCATCAATTAATAGCGATTCATAGCCACATAGCCCGCCCAATTCCCGAACCTAGCAACTTCCTCGCGGAGCGGGTCAAAGATCCAGGGTGATGCATGATTGTGCCCTGTCATATTGGCAGGCATTACTCCGGACAAAGGAGCACCATTGGCCGATCTCCCTTACTTAATCTTAGACTCAATTCCCACCGTTTAACTGGGGTTTGATACGGACAATGCTTGATCTAATTTCATAGAGACGCGCTCGCGGAGCCGATGAGGTCACCGTGTCCTTCGACCAGTATGCAGACTCGGGGCATACTATTAAGACTTGCGCCTCCTCCAAGTTGACATTGTTTTATTTTCTGACAGTATTAGTATTAGTTCACATGGTATGCATGTGATTGAGCGAGGAGTGACCTGCCGAGGTCTAGTTGAACCTGGCCCTGCTGCTGTGCCGTCCCGTCCTATTCCCTCTGGGCCATGAGTGCGGAGAAGTTTCTAAAAGTAGAGGCACACAACTTTCCGTCAACTATCTCTCGGAGGGCCGAACCTCCGCCGCTCCGAGTCCAATACGTAGTCTGCACCCACCCACTGAGATTGGGTCTCCTCGAGATTCCGGATCTAACGCATTTCGCCAAGGAGAAAATAAGCTAAGACAAGAAGGGGGGCCTTCACCGTGGAATATGGTTATGTCATGCCGGTAATCATGTTGAATGGTCTTGACTTGCCGAGGCATTTGTGGGGTAGAGCCACACGGCCGGGACGCATCCGGATTGTGGAGCAGGACCGCCGGCCTAACAATTAACCCGATAATTCTGGCGTCGTTTTCCATAAAACTATCCATCACTCGCACCGTCATTTTCGCATTGGTCGTTTCTATCTAGTTCCATATTTCCGATTTAGAAACCACAAATGGGCGAAAATTACGCCCAAGAGATACCAGTCAAAATGAAGTACACCTCCGAGTCCCTTGTCGATGAGGTAAAGCCATCCCTGATAATAAATCCCCGATTGACCATCCACAGCCCTGTCCCGATCGTACACGCCAGAGGCTCACTCTCTACTTCTTAGGCTTACCTCACGACATCTGAAACCTTCGCCTCCCATCGCACCAAGCCTCTTAGCTGGCGCATTGACCAGCTGCGAAAGACATGGTGGATGATCGAGGACAACAAAGAGCGGATTGCAGAGGCGCTTTACAAAGACATGAATAAGCACAAGCAAGATTCCCTGTCCGTTGATGCAGGCGGAATTCAAACCGCCTGTCTCGAGGCGCTGAAGCACCTCAAAGAATGGACCGCGGACGACAAACCCAACAGGACCGAGCCCCTCAACTTCCTTGGCGGCGCAAGAATCCGCAAGGAGCCCAAAGGCGTCGCCCTCATCATATCGGCGTGGAACTACCCCTTCATGGAGCTACTTGAGCCCATGATATGTGCCATCGCTGCAGGGTGCACCATGGTCCTCAAGCCGAGCGAACTGGCAGTGGCCTCCCAAGACTTGATCGCGGAGATTGTGCCCACGTACCTGGACCAAGACGCCATCAGAGTCGTCACTGCCGGACCTGAAGGGATGAACCACATTCTGGACAAGAAGTGGGACCACATCTTCTTCACTGGCTCGACTCCTGTTGGCAAAATCATCTACGCCAAAGCCGCTGTTCACTTAACCACGGTGACACTTGAGTTGGGTGGAAGGGGCCCGGCAATCGTTACTCCCAAGGCCAATATCGATCTGGCTGCAAAGAGAATCGCTTCAGCTAAAATCATGAATGCTGGACAGGTATGAGCCCACTCCTAAACCAGGACGCGTCAGACGCTAACTCTCGCAGGTGTGCCTAAGCGTGAACCACGTATTCGTCGATCCCTCGATCAAGGAGGAATTCGTGAAAGCCCTACTCAAATACTTCAATTTATTCCTTTCCGAGACGTCTGAGCAACCGACTTATTACAGCTCGATCATCAACGAGCGCAACTTCGATCGTCTAGAACGTCTCCTTCAGCAAAGTTCTGGCAAGATCATTTACGGCGGCAATCTCGATAAGAAGACGCGGTACTTCTCTCCAACAATTGTCGACGGCGTTTTACCATCGGACTCACTCATGACGGAGGAGCTATTCGGGCCTATCCTTCCCATCTTGGAGGGTACTTTGGATGAAGCCATCGCGTACACCAACAAGTTCGATCATCCGTTAGCACTGTACGGATTCACCGACTCTCAAGAAGAGAAGAACAAAATCCTCAGCCAGACGTCCTCCGGAGGTGTGACTTTGAATGACTGCATTCTGCACATGACGATCAAGGGTGCGCCATTCGGAGGTGTCGGGGGCTCCGGAATTGGATCCTATCACGGACCATACGGCTTCAAGGAATTCACGCACTTGAGAACGGTGGTCAACGTTCCAGGCTGGATGGAATTTCTATTCAAGTTCAGATACCCACCCTACACCGATGAGACGGCGGCGGCAATGATCAAGTTCTCGGCGCCCGTGACAAAGGTACCGTTTGACAGGCACGGCAAGGATACGACGTCTTGGCTTAGCCGGGCAGTCAAATTCTTGACAAAGGGCGCGGTAGCTGTACTCCTACTTGCTTTTCTGAAATTGAAAGGATGGGCATCGTTGGACATGCTGAAGGGCCTGAGGAAAAGTTAGCAATCTGGATGGTAAGGTTTTGTGAAACGGCCTGTATGACTATTAAAATACAGCCAAGTGTATCGATATTTGAGAATTAATTTGCCTCTGAAGAGATAGCAAGATATGAGAAAAGTTTGTTAGTCAATTCCTTCATCGAAACAGACATGTCTCTAAATTTGTGCACACTAACACGTAGTCAGAGAGAAGTGTCGCCGGTAAATTGGGTGAATTGTCTTATTTTATTTCAATAATAAACTCTTATCGAGCTATTAAAAATCTTTATAAGAGTATAAATCACTATCTTAAACGTGCCAAACGTCTAATTGTTCATACATGATGTGATTCAAGACCAGCGACTAGATCTACCCTATACCTTAAACTTCTTCAAGCGAGGTTGGTTGTCGAGGAGATTGTTCCCGTCCCAAGTGTGCTCCTGCCAACAACTGATGTTGGATCATCGTGCGTATACTCCATTCTCCCAACGTTTGAGGAAGAATATTGAGCACTATGCGTATATTCACTCTGGTTTCAACCTCAGTGAGGACTTTGGTGAACAGTCACGTGAAGCTTTAGTCATGGTGATAATAGACTGACGCCGCTGAAGCATGTATACCTCAGGCATGAACAATCATCTCAGCCGCAAGTCGCCCCCAAACTGAGGGGATTCAAGATGTATCGTGTCTCGTCTTTCGTCCGCAAGAGCGATGGATCCGCTATCAATCGCAGCGAGCGCCGCGGGACTCGCTTCCGGCTGTGCAGGCATCATCGGTATTCTGTACACCTGGATCGATGACACCATCGACGTCGACGAGAATGTCTCTGGCTTGGTCGAAGAGGTCACGGCGCTCTCACGTGTGCTGGAGTCTGTCAGCAATGCCTCTACCAAGGCGCGGAAAGTCGTTGTTGCCGAGATCGACCCGGACGGAAACCTGTGGATCAGCGTGAGGGATACGTTGGGAGATATCAGCAGCACTCTTGAGAAGCTCAAGGTGCTACTCGCTGACGTCCAGAAGAGCAGCACCAGCGTCTTCAGTCGTGGGTTCCTCAGGAAGCCAACCAAGCAGATCAAATTCAGTCTGCGATTAAAGGATATCAACAATTTCAAGGAGCGTATCAAGTCTTATAACACCGCCATGACCAGTGCCCTTCAGATGATCAACGTGTACGTGACCCCCTTGCCACTGCTGTGTTGCTACTGACGAGAAACATTAGCTGCCTCTTAATCCAAAACAACTCATCTCAAGAGTACGTCGTCCAGGTTCTCTCCGGCCTGAAATCCCAAGTCAGGCGAGTCGAATTTGCCCTGCAAGCCGGAAATCCTCTTGGCGCTGGCCCAGTTGAGGCGAGGGAAGAAAACGATCGCATCTCGCGAAACATGCGAAAACTCGTCCGCGTAGCCGAAGATTTCCATTCTAGTGCAAGCACCATCGTCATGGACGGACCCCGGTCGACAGTGTACGGCGGCAGCATTATGGGAGACCCCTTGACAGACGAGCAAGTCTCAGGCATCCACAACTGGATACCTCCGCCTATTGAGGAGGAACCCGTTCCTGGGGATCATCCACAAAGTGACGGAACCTCAACCACAGCCGTTGAAGTAGGCCGCCTCTCGGATTCCGATGACGACATCGACAAGGAGCTTGCCAAGAGGCTCGAAGAGCTCGCCATGACAAACCAAAAGGCCGGAGAGTATCAAAAGGCCGAGAACTTTTACCGCAGAGCGATTGATAGTGGAGAAACCAGCCACAGATCTTCCCAAGACCTTGCAATGATGAAGACGAATCTAGCATACGTCTGCGTGCGTCAAGAAAAGTGGTCCGAGGCCAAGGAAATTGTTGATCCGTTGGCATTTGAGAAGAAAGTGCACGATGTACTGGTGTACCATAGCATACATGCTCTGGCCATGGTGTCGGCCAAGAATTCGGAACTTGACGCTGCTTATCGGTACGGCATGCGGGCGCTCTGGGGAAAGCGAAAAGTCATGGGCAAGTCACATCCGTCATGTTGGGATACGTCGGCTCTGCTTTCAAGAATATGCTTCGCAAGGGGCGATGTTGTCGACGCGGAAGTCCATAAGAGTTTCATCCCATCTTCGTCTTTCCAAGAAGGACATCAGAGGAATTCCATCTACTCTCCGTCTCGAGAACTTTCGGATCTCGATGCTCTGGCGTACCTGGACCGCGCCGTGTTGACAGAACAAGCTGTCTCACCACCAGTTGATGCCAGCGATGCCGGATCGTCATTTACAACTGGAACTCCAGACCTAGGGCAGATGCAGCGGCCTGGATCATCGAATCGACTTGTGCCTCCCACCTCAGCTGCAGCAATGATGCGACGCTTGGCGGCTCCCCAACTTAGACCGACCGAAGCGGGATCTGGCCAAACTTTGCCAGCACAACAGACTCCGCCAGTGATAACACCAGTTCCACCACGTCCAACTCCTCCTTCAAACATCCTCACTAGGATTTTGGGCAAGCAACAAGCTACTCAGAGTTTAGCACAGAATCCGCCCCAGCAACTGCCTCACTATCCAGGGTTAGCTGGTAGGATCAACGACGATCAACAGCCTACTCAAAATTCACAACAGAACTTCCCTCAACATTCAAATTTTCCCGGTAGAGTTGTGCACGAACAGCAACATATCCAGAATTCACCACAGTATCCCTCTCTGCCTCAGAGTTGGGCTCAGCAGACATCTCCCCAGAACACACCCCAATATCTTCCAGCGACGAGTCCCGCCAAACATCTGGCTCGAACCACACCTCAATACCCTCCAGCGACGAATCTAGCCCCTACCCAGTCTGAGAACGTCCAGCAGTATGTATCTCCAAGACAGAGTTGGGTTAACAATCCTCCTCTACAGCAGCAACCCGAATATTTATCCTACACCAACTACACTGCACCACCGCAACAATCGCCAGTTCCATCCCCAAGGTTTCAAAATATTCCAGAAACTCCTTCTAAGGCGCGCCTTGTTATTGGTGTTAGATTTGGGACGGTACATTCCGCTGTCGCCTTCGCCTTTGTTAACGGTATGGATGCTAGGGAAGATGTTATTACTGAGTGGCCCGGCGCTGGGATGAGGACTGAACCCACGGTTGGTCTATATAATCCTTTCACTGTTAAAATTGTGAGTCTAATGCACCATAGGTTCCGTCCGTACTATATTACGACCCATACGAAAAGGTGGTTGGTTGGGGCCATGATATCGCAGACGCGCTGGCCCCTACCGGTTATCCGAAACCAGGAATACAAAAGGTCGAGTGGTTCAAATTATACCTGATGCTGGGGGGAAATCAACATGTGAATGCCAAAGAATTTCCTCCTCTTCCTATCGGCAAAGACGCTAGAGATATTTCAGCAGACTATCTCTTTCATCTCCGTCAAGCTATTCGGCTAGACTTACAGAAACAACTGGGTGACGTCTTCAACCGCGAGGAAAGAAACATCCATTGGAGCTTTACAATACCCGCAGCTTGCAACGAGAGTGGGAAAACCGCCCTCCGAACCGCAATTGAACGAGCTGGCTATCTCAGAGATGAGCATGACCCACGCCTTTCATTCGTCACGCAGTCTGAGGCTGCGATCCTGTTCACTTCCAGAACGGGACTCATAAATGTTAAGAAACACGATGCAATTCTTGTAATTGACTGCGGCAAGGGGACGGTGGATATGATGGCCCACGAGGTGGAGGACGCGGATCCCTTGAGAGTGTCAGACCTTACTGCTTCATCTGGGGACAGCTGTGGGTAAGTCACCCCGATTCCTCTTTTCATCATCAGATCTAACCTGTCTCCAGGTCGACTGCTTTAAATCGAAACTTCGGCGATCTTGTGCGGAGGAAACTCAAAACGATGCGGCTACCCGAGGGATCAAAAACAGTCGGTCGTGTGTATGCCAAAGCAATTATGGACTTTGACAAACGGATCAAGGATGAGTTCCGCAATAACGGTCAAGAGTGGGCCGTCGATGTCGGCATCGAATCTGTGTGGCCGGAAGCAGGTATTGACGAAGGATATATGGTTTTCACAAATGACGAGATTCAAAAATGTTTTGAGCCCGTCATCGGGCGTATCCTGGAGTTGATGAAGAATCAGGTCCTCGCGGTGCAAAGTCAATACAAGACCCTGGGGGTAAGGACTACCGAGGCATTCTCCTTGGGCATTACAACACTGACTAGGTGTATATTTAGGCCGTTCTCCTCATTGGCGAATTTGGGATGTCCGAGTATCTATTTCAACAAGTTAAGATGCAGGTACTCCCTAGGTTCCAAGTCGATGTCTTTCGGCCGATGGACGCCAGGTGGGTTGTTGTTAAAGGGGCCATCATAGCGGGCATGCACCGCCTTACTAGTGGAAGATGAGCGAGACCGTAATTATTGGAAACTAGTAGTGAGGAATATATGACTCTTCCTTATGCTTTAGTATTGTGTGAGGAAGAAGTGAGGACATGATCGTCCTCCTTCGTGTATGGTTGTGCCGTTCGCAGGTGCCTAAGTAACATTCTAAACACGAAAGAAAACGACGAAATACCACACAGTTGAATGATATTTTCAGGTCGTAATTGTATGGCGGGAAAATCATCAAGGCGTGAAGTAGGGTCCCGGAAGACCAAGTATGTAAAGCAAGGTACAATCACGCTTCCCCAGGGATGCATTTCCCACCCCAGTGTTTAAAGCTCCGGACTTTGCTCTTAATTTATTCCAGGTAGTATAAGATGCGATTCACCTACGTTCCACTCCTTCTCACCCGTCGTGATTAAGGCCTCGGTCAAGGAATCGGCTAAGGGTCTGCCAGAGCCTGACTGTGGCGTGGATGATCCCTACGGGTTTGAGAATAAACTAGACGGTCTGATAAGTCTCGTTCAGGGAAGGGCTTGCCCTAAGGAGTACCCTCGACTGCACTCTATCAGCAACCTGATTTGTTGCAAGACGACGAAGTTCTGCAAGAAAGGGTGCGGTACGAACATTTCAAAGTACTGTGTCAAGGGTCAGAGTTACGCATAACTGTACGAGTGCAAACGCATTATTGTCTGGTCAGCGGTTGGGGATTTCTCTTCTCTTGGCTGATTTCGTGACGAATTGCTAACCTTGGTAGAAACTAAATTGATATCCAAATATCGGGACAGATAAGTTATTCCTCATCGTTAGTAAACCAATCGGGTCGACACCGTAAGAAAGAAAAAGAATGACATGTGAGTTTCTAAAGTGATTTTATGAACCACCCTATTACAGGAACGAACCAACGACTTATTAAATATGGAAATATATTAATTATGTGCTTTTATTAAACTAGTACGGGTCACTGTCTCGTTTCTACTTCGACCACTGACAGCGCTAATAAAGCTCTGTCCCGAACTCCACCACGAGGCCGATCTCCACTCCCAAGCACCACAGGTCAAAATTAGATGCAAAAAAAGCCCCCAAAAAAAAAAACATACAACAGCGAGGATTCCCCGGTCGTCACCGACCCGAGTACTAATTCGCCGCTTCTCAGCTTGACTAAGGGAGAGCGGACGGGATCCCGTATTTTCTAAGAGCTATGGTCGTATGTGCTCGATTTGGGCGTTGGCTGGCTGATCTACGAAAGGATGCCATCGTGATGAGGGAGTCGAAAAGAGGAAGGAGAAACACAGCAGGGAGGATTTAATATTATGAGTGGAACGACCCGTTCTCGACAGATAGCTGGGAAGCGTGGCAAGTTGCCTCCACAGCCCCTCCTGCTTTGGTTTGCAGTTTGGAGAAGGGGAGCCGTAGAACAAAGCTTTCACCGCGGACTGGAGCATATGTTGATACTCAAGGCATTAGTCTCAAACATAAGCGTCTTCCCAATATTACATTTCCGGCAATTGATACCGTAAAACATCTCAATTGCCGAGTTTGAAGACCTAAGGGGCATAGTGGCTCACACACCGGAGTGGGGACGACAGTATGTATAGTGCAAAATAAAAAGTGGTAAAAAAAAGAATAATACTAATGCTAGATATCGAATACCTAGTTACTGGATGAACAGTTCTTACCAAGTCATAATGAACCACGTTAATCAAATATAACACTCAAGTCATTACTTATAAACTCATATCTGACATTCATGCTATAGGTACGCAGACAAAACTCATCCTTCAATACCCCACTCAACCCTATAAGAACCCGGGATGAGATCGGAGGTCCGATGTAAACTTAGGTCTTGTATTGGCGAAGATTCATCGCCTTTTTGACTCTCTTGCTTGTGGATTCCGTTTGTCATCGGCGTTTCATCCGTTGGCCACGAGCTTGTGACTCTCAAAATACCATGAATGTGGTCAACGGAGACTACGCTCTCCGACTCCTTGACAATTGCCCGAGCGCAACCAACAATATTTTTGATCTGAGGTTGTTCTATTAGCAGACTCAACTTATATAGAGTGCAAATCAGCATTAACCCTACCTGTCTGCCGTTCACTGGTATCTGTGCCAGGCGTGACACATCTTCGTCGCTCACATTCACCGCAACACTCGTGCCAGCTTTCATGAGGAACGTCTTCCAGATGACCTCTCTGGCTCGCTCATCGAGCTCCGGGTACGAGACTTTGACATGGATTCTACTGTTGAAGGCCATGTCGCACTGGACAATCCGATTTGTCGTCAAAATGAGGATTCCCTGGAAGTACTCCAACTGTCGTAGGAAGATGCTAACAATGGCGTTCCTCCCGATGTCATTCTGGGTTCGCTGCTCGAGAAAGACATCGGCCTCATCAATGAGGAGTACGGCATTCCAGTTTTCCGTCATATTCAGGATGCGACTCAAGTTTTCGTCAACGTCATATGCGTCAACGCCTAAGTCGCCGGCTGAAACGCTGTACAGTGGTCGTTTGGTTACCTCAGCTACAGCCTCGGCCGTCAGCGTCTTACCGCAGCCTGGCGGTCCGCTGAATAAGCAAATCATTCCCTTGCCTTTTCCCATGATGATGTCATCAAATTCATCGTCCTGGGCAGAATGTTGCTTGACCAAGGAGTGGATTATCTTCTTCCTCTCCTCGTCCATCACAAGATCTTGAAAAGCTTGCATATTCCAGGTGATATCCACGAGCCGGGCCATAGCAAAGCCACCTAGCAATAGGAAACAGAGTAAGTATAGGAGGACAAATAGAAAGCAGAGCTGAATACTCACCCCATTTTTTGTCGCCGAAGCTGAAACCCAAAATAACTGGCGTGCAAATAACGAGCTGCTCATCGGTAAGACCAGTCCGAGGAAAGTTCCTGTGGACTTTATATGTGAAGGCAGTGTTGGAGTTGAAGTAGCGGAATCCAGGAGGGTCGACGATGACCCTCCCGTGAGACATGAATTTGTAGCAGTGTGGCTTCCAACCTCCATCGCGCTTCTCGCTCATGGCTGAACCACTAGTCTTCATAATCCGTGGCTTGCTAAGATCTGCAAACCGGCGACCTCGCTCTAGGGCCTCTTTGTGTAGCTGAGCGGCATTGGCCTTGAAACTGAGTGGATAAAGAGGCAGATCCGAGATCTTGCGCGTCCCGACGAATTCGTCGATCTCCATGCCGTAGTATTCGTCAGCAAGGCCAAATTTGGCGCCATCATCGGCAACTACATGGCAGCTCAGGTCCCAATATCTCGACTTATCGTAACGCGTCGCCATACTCATCGTTCGAAACTTCATGATCTGGTCCTGCTCGACGAGGTTGTGATATCTGTACACCAGGACATTAGGCGGGAAGATAGTCCACATATCTTCCCAGGTGATTTCGCCTTCTGCGTGTAGAGGCTCAAGCCGAGCTTTGTGCTCGCCATACTCTTCTTCCACAAATTTGTTGACCTCCACGAGGTCCAAAACCATGCTTTCATTCACTGGCACAGCGTTTTTGGCCTCGTCCAGCTTCTCCTGGAGTATCAGTCTGTTGTGGTAGAACAGTTCCAACGGTACCTTATTTAAATCAGTCATAGTTCAGGAGTCTCTTGAAACAAGGCTTGTGCTCCGTACCACGGGCGGATTTGTCAGAAGCGAGATCCCCTCCACATCCGCGTTGATATCTCGCATGAGTTGAGCAACCGACTCAGATTTGATATCGACTTCTGTCCCAGTGTGTAGGCCTTTTCCGTCTATCTGTCTGCGAACGACGAGGAATTTCATTTGACTTTTCTGCTTTTTGCGGGCTGACTTGACTGATGGAATGAGCCGTGTCTGGCTCGCATTCCTTGAGGTAATGTTAGCTACTCATCCTTACCTAAGCGGTGACCATGTCGGGCTTTCTATACTTACACATCAAAGCTGATGGATATGGCTCAGTAATTAGTCATAAAACCTTCTTCTTCTTCTTCAAATTGGGTGTTTTAACTTACACCTCATCAAAGCGCAAGATCTTACGCGTTCTTTTTGACTCCGCTTTCGAGTCGTCCTTGTTGTTGTCCACATGGTCCATCGGCAAAATATTTTACAGGCTTGAAATTTGCGTTTCCGTTGCAGGTGTGGGGTGAAAGAGGTTTGATGCTACCTGTGAGGGTGGTTGTCCAACTCTTCCTCTATACAGCGACTGAAGGCGTGTTGCACGCACACAGGAGTTTAATAGAGGTTTCAGACGATGGGAGTGCACACTACCGCACAGAATGGACGCTCGACACGAATTCGTATTATGCCTACCTACTTAAGTTCGGTTGCCTTTCTGCGCCTGCCTGTCTTAGGCAGATTATTTCAAGGCAATCGATCCACAGACCAATCAAAAACCGAAGCCTGAACTTTTGTTTTGCACTTCTTGATAGCCTGGCGGCCTCAACATGCAGTCAGCAGCAGTCACCATTGCGGTCGTTCTCACAAGCGAACGAATCAAGTCATACCACATTACCAAGTAGTTTCAAGCAATGCATATGCAGCACGCAATAAGTCATGCCTCAGCGCCACGTCGTCAGTTAGCCTGTCTTCCTTACTATACTGCGATAGCGGTCGCTGATGCCTGTTGCGAACCAACGAATGAAGCATAGCCACGTAAGCTCAGGTATTGCACAATCAGTATGCCTCAAACTAAACCTCGGCATTACGACACTAGTTAGCCTGTCAGCCCCAACATAGGTAGGTACAACGAATAGCAGTCTCTCAAAGCCCATGCTTGGTTAATGTTTGTTTAGTAATCTGAGGCCGATTCAGCATGCCGGAACACGTATGATTCGCATGGCTCTGTCCAAAAAGATTCAGTATGGGCCCTCTGCACCTCCTCAGACCAAGCCTTACTATTATTACTGGTCATAGTCTTCTGTTCTTAAATATTGGGCTCTCCCACGACTAGCGATGATAGTCATCGCCAACAAGGCTTTTTTGCGGTGCGCGACAACTCCACATCATACCTTACCTTGGTAGGTAGGTCACGATATAATGGACCCATTCAGCCTCATAGCGGGCACGGCCGGCCTTTTGCAAGGAATAGCTGCATGTGTCAAGCTAGCCAAGAAGCACGTCGGACCCTCCCAGCTCCCAGTCGCCGAGGCAGAGAGTCTTTCTCAAACTCTGTCCGAGTTTCACATGGTGATGAGCAACTTCAGGTCGTACCTAGAGCTTCGTGACGATGATGAGGTGCACATGTCATCTCTCGGATACCTTCAGCCCATCATAATCAGATCCCAGAGCGCAGCCAAGATTATCAGGGACTACCTCGACAGCAAGCCTATCTCTAAACTACTTCGAGGGTCAAAGTTTGACAAGGAGTTGAAGCCCTCGCTCAGGTTGCTTGAGATTACTAGACAGCATTTCAATACGATACTCCTTGCAGATTCCCAGTAAGTACTTTGACTATCCTGGTTCCTCGCAAGACTTGTCGGCTAAGTTTCAGAAAATCTCTACTCAATGTCCATAAGCACGTCAAGGAATTGAGTGAGGATCTTCAGGGACTTCGAACAACACAACTAAGAACCGAGAAAGGTAGACTACCGATAATAAGAAGTTGTGGGAAGGTTTCTCGATTCTAATCTAGCTCTACAGATAATAGGTACCGGGACGTAAGAAGATGGCTTGGCGCAGAGCGAGACAACAACAGGAATAGCGCTCTACACTCTGAGCATCTCTCAACCCGACACTTGGGCAGTGGCGAGTGGCTGCTAAAACATTCCGACTTCCAAAATTGGTTGAATTCAACACATGAGCAGGCTTCTCCAAATTTGTGGTTGAAAGGTTCACCAGCATTTGGGAAATCATATCTCTGCTCCACGGCCATTGATCACATCGCCAACGAACAGAAAAGAGTCTGCGTCTACTACTTCTACCGCTTCGACGATCAAGTGGTGGTCGACTCGGCGAGTAAAGAGTCTGGACTCTACGGTGTCCGATTAACAGCCATCCTTGTCGACCAGCTTTTCACACATTTTCAGAGACGAGACAGCCGCGTCGCCGACCGCATTGCCGCTTATATCGAGACCGCTGAGATGAACATTTCAAGTCTTACGGAAGTCACTCACCTCCTTCTCGAACATGGACACCGCAATTCACAAGAACATGGGATGATATCAGCTACAGATCGAATCAGCCTCTATGTGTTCCTCGATGGGTTCGGCGAGTCCAAATCACTGAAAGCGGTGGAAAAGATCTGGAGATTATTCAGTGTTCTTGGAAAGAATTCCCTAGTTGAGCTGAAGATCTGGATCAGCTCTCAAGATGCCGATGGCTTGAGGCGGCTCCTAGACCTCAATCAGACCCTAGTCATCAACGCTGATGATCATAACAAACCAGACGTCAACGGCTATTTGGAAGAGCGGTTGTCAAATTTGGGAGACGAGACCGAGAGAAACCAAGAAGTTGACGGAAAGCCATGTGAGAGCCCAATCCAACTTCTTCAGGCAAGGTCAGATCACTTTTGACTTGGATTCGCTAACCAGCGTAGTCGGCCAGTGGGCTTTAGAGAATTTACAAGAGAAGTCCAACGGCAACTTCCTGTACGCCAAACTGATGGCCGAGAAATTGACAGCCGGCGTCTTTAGTGTCTATGACATTAAGCGGCTCATCACATCCATGATTCCCAACGACTTGGCTGAATTATACCGGCGCATTTACCTACAGTATCCAGAGGACCAGCGCGAATACATCAGGTATGCGATATGAAAGGACATTACGATAGTCTTCAGTCACTAGTCTAACATTCTCACAGCCTTTTGTTCTCTATTATTGCTTTCGCCCGCAGACCTCTTCATCTCGACGAGATTCGAGAAGCCATGACAAGTGAATTATCAGGTCCGGCCAAGGCATTGGACCCGATGAGAACCCCGAAGAACTTGCATCGACTCTTTGCCCCGCTGGTTAAAGTGGAATATGATCCAAACAGCCCTGAGAGTCCACTACACCGCCTCTGTCACTCGACTGTCAAAGACTTCGTCACAAATAACCCGAATGTGCTGTGTACAGATGCACGAGGCCAATCGGAATATGTATTCACCATCTCTCCAGCTAAAGTGGGAGAACTCGGCCTCCGCTACCTATCTCGAAGCAGATACTCGGCTCTGCAACCAGTGCCTAAAAATTTCAGCTATGTGCCTCCGTCTCGCCAACATGACGACGCCCAGCAAGACGCTCTATTGACGTACTGCGCGAAATACTGGTGCCATCATTTAGATGACCTAGAAGCATCGCCCGAGCTACAAGCGAGATTATGTGACTTCCTCCAATCGCCAAACTTTCAAACTCTTCTGCAGACGCAGAGTTTGTACGTCGAACACCAGTTTTCGCAATTTTGGCAAATTTCAGCCATGGAGGCCGGAATTGCCCGTTCGCGATTTATGTTCCGCCGAGCCTTCCCCAAGTGGCTCACCGTGCTTCAAGGGCTGGAGACCACTGAGGACGAGGCAGCGGAGACTTGGGAGTATAGAAGTTGCTACCGACACTTTGTTAGCGAGTGGGGTTATCTCCTGAGCCAAGGTACCAAAACCTGCACTGTGGACGGGTGCAAGAAGCTCGCGGGTGACTATTTTCGAGGAGAAGTTGATCGCTGCTTGTCTGGGCTCCTTGGCCCAAATAACTTCATGAGAAATATGAAAGAGAGGTACCGGAGTTTTATGCTGACTCAAAACTCATTTGATTATCATCTCAACAAGGAGTTCTTCATTGGTGAAGCGATTTCGTCGTCTAACTTACAGTTTATGGTTATAAGTTCAAGGTGCGTGAATAATGGTTCTTCGAAGAGCCTTGTTGATCCTACCTACATCATACATGGGATATCATTAACAGGCTTGCTTCTTTAGTAATCAGGATGAAATCCATCTGCAAACATGGGATCTCAGCCATCCAGCTCCCTTTGAGGTTGTATCGACTGCCGTTCTGCCTGGCTCCAACATTGACTTTCGTTCCAATGCGGCAAAATCTGTTGCCTTCTCGAGCGAGTTGGGCAGTTTCAGGTTTGGGAACACAATACTTAGTACACTGGACACAACTGGCACGCCAATTTTGCTGGACCAAACCTCAAGCGAGCAAGACGTGGACAGACTTTCAGCAGACTTGGATCAAAGGCAAGACATTATCATCATCACCAGTCGCGACGTCCGTAAGCAGGCGAAAAAGATATCGAAGAAAAAATTGTCATTGAGGATGCGTAAACCTGGAGTCTCCACCAGTCTTGCAGACGGCTCAGGCAGCGATGGGTCAGGTTACAGCAGCAGCAGCAGCAGCAGTGATGATTTGAACCATGAGGATCTTGCCGACTCTGAAGAAGAGAACTCGGCTTACGAGTATTATAGCGATGGGTCGACTGAACTTGACACGGAAGATTTTGGCTCTGATGGCTTAGATAAGCCATCGTCGTCCGAGAGTGAGGATACAACTTCAGCAGATGAATCGGACGACGACATCGACACAGCTTCTGAAAACTCGGACAGCGATTCAGGCGACGAAGAAAAAACTCAACCAAGACAAAAGGTTGTCGTGAACTCCAGCAAACTAGTGGGCGACAAGGATGAGATCGAGGGCGACTTTTTCCAGCCAAAGAGTGACCGTCCAAGATATCCTGGCACGCCAGGGCGGTTCATGGACCCGAGAGACCAGATCACGGCGAGGGTTGCAATCTACAGGGTCAGCACGGGTCCTCCAGAGCGTCTTTTTTACTACAAGCACCCAATTCCTACTATGTTGTACCACTCACCCCCGCTGCTACATCCCACAGAGCCGTTGGCAGTTTGGCCGTTGGGTGGCGGCGAGGTACTTTTTGCCGACTACGAGCAGAACACATATTTCATCCGGGCAATGACTCCCACCACGCCTCAGAGTAAGTCGCCGTCTTGAGCCCGACACGAGTTGATCCATGTACTAAGATAGACGTTGCAGCTCGACAGATTTGCGTGAAGCCTCGATTCTCCCCAGACGGACGACATCTCCACATTGCCAGCCTCGAGGGGCAGATGGAATCCGTCTCGAACCGGTGCACCTCAGCAGAGTGCAGATCCAGTGCCTCCAAAGAGTTTATTCTCTCGCTTTTAGTCACCACACACCGCCTGTCTGAACAAAAAACAACCCGAAGTCCTCCCCAGCTCATACATAAAGCCAAAATCACCCTCGGCGCAGTCACCGGGCTTTCATTAGCCAAGCTCCCCTTCACATTTACGTGGACCGCAGACCACTTGCTGTTCTGCCCTAGTGGCACCCAACTGAAAGTCTTTCGATTCGAGCTCTTCCGGCCTGCCCAGGGTATGCCGGCCATTCTCGTTCCACAGCTCCCCGTGATGCTCCCCCGGTCCGCATCGTGCCGGCAAGTTCACTATCTCCCACGCGGAGACGGCATGGGAGATGACCGTCGAGGGGGCATTGTCCTCATTGGGAGTTACGGTGGCCATTTCCAGATACAGCTACGACACAGCAACACTCGGCTCCTCTTGCTTGGCATGGGCAGCGGTGAGCTGGAGGCGGAGGACGATCCACCACTAAACTACCCATGCCCAGCTGTAGGCTTCTTCGTTGATGAGGACCTCGACCTGGGTGGTTGGTGCGCTCCGAGCGAGGAGGCAGTCGTCACACACGCTATGCAGACAATCAATCCGTTCTACGAGGGACGTCTTGTGCGGAAGATGGAATACTTTAACACCCAAGATGACGTTGACCTAGAGGGTATATGTGATTGGTGCAATGGCTTTCTGACTTTCAGACCAGGCAAATAGGAGTTCGGCATTAGTATGTAAAGTTCAGGGTAATGCTATGAATTTGTGATCTATTCATCATTCACTGATTGAAGGTCTATTCAGATCATCCGTATACAGAATGAAGAATATCTCATTGGTGTTAATTTGAAGTATATTAGCATTGTGAGATGAAACTCAAGCGACACGTAGAATTAGGACATCTGACCCCTTTCACGGTCTCTTTTCTCAACTCCTCTCAGTCCCCCGTTGACCCCATATCTGCTCTGTTCAACCTTTTTTAGTTGAGTAAGAGTCTAGCAGCTGCTCTCGTCCCCGTTTTTTGATACTCAAGCTCGCGATCATGTCCGAGTCGTCTAGCCTTTACGAACAACCCCAGGCGCGAAGTCAACCTCGGGTGTTTTATAGGTCCCAGATCCTCGTTTCCAGCCCTTTAACGAAAGTCCTAGAACTGAACCATAATTAGATTGTTCTATATCTAGGAGCAATAGTACTGGGAAGTAGACGGGATCACAGCGTGTTAGGTGATTAGGTGGTCACGGCAGATCTAGTTGCACACGTTCGGTCATAAGGCAGCTGAAATGATATTAGTACCCATGGATTCTCGCATCTCCACGCTCGATCATGTGCACCCAGCACTGTGTTAGGAGCGGGGCAGCCGTCTTTGGAGCAGCCGAGGTATGAGCGCGGATACGCGAGAATCCACGGGCTCCCCAAGACAGTGATGGGTGCAGTGCCTGGATACGTGAGAATCTGAGGTCGTGACTTGCTGGGTTCTCCTCTTTTTGATGGGGGCTTTAAAGGTACGGAAAATGCGCGCTTTGCTCCAGGCGCTCCCGTTGGAACTCTCCTGCGGCCCAAATCCACTTGTACGAATCCGTAAGAAGGCCACCTTGGGTATCCTTGATATGCGTCTTGTCGTCGAGGGATTCAATCAATCGGAGGTCTACAAGGCATCGATTTCGGTTTGGTTCGTTGTATCTGAGGTTGTCGGTGGTAAGAGATACTGGCGGTCCGGAATTGGGCTCGACAGCCCTTGTGCGAACCATTGAGGTGGGCGCTTAGAAACCTTTATTGCATGGATTTCTGGTCCAAGGGTTGGATTAAACGCCTCCGAAACTAGGGGCCTTGAGACTCCGTTTTTGGAGGCGTGGGATTCAAAAAGTAGAGGCACATCGTTAGCAGACCAGAATTTGACGGGATCCCGTATTTTCTAAGAGCTATGGTCGTATGCGTTGGTATTGGTTCAGCACGAGGTGATATACACTCAATATGGATCTGTGCTGAACGATGCAAAGTGAAAACTGAAGAAAAACACAAAGAGAGCGAGTGAACAAAGACCTATCTGAACATTAGTCCGCCCTTCTTCTTACAATTCCTTTCAAGGTTTCGCTTAAATAAGAATAGCAGCGATATAGTTGTATCTCTAATAGTCCAGCCTCTATAGGGTACTAACGTCGATTGGCTCCATATTGGGTTATCTGAGCCTTGTAATGTCAACAAGAACTGAGTTCGGAGATTAGCAATGTTGGAAGTAGCGTTCCTCCATACATTCTCAGTGTAGATGCAGATGGAAAAGGAGACTCCCCTCGTGAAGTAATGGACTTAGTCTTAGCAATAGCTCCAGGCCAGATGTCAAAAGCAATATCGGGATTGATTAGACAAAACCTCAATGTCTTAATAAGATTAGAATAGAAATTGGTGGAAAAGCTGCTATAACTGGAGCCGGACGACGAAAAGGTAGTATGAGATGAATGGTAGGAATAGTTTTAAATCAACTGTGGGGGCCTTATAAGTCTTGAGCTTGGTTGGGAGACACGAGTGGGGTTTCCGTACATGTACCTTGTCAAGAGGCCGGGGGCATTGGAAGACTAAAGGCAAATCACTCTTCACTTGACGATTTGATACAACCTTGAAGTGAACATAATTTTCTAAAAGTTAGCCCAGTCGTTACAAGATCGGGAATGAAGTGTGTCGGAAGTATGTAGTACGAGTCTTGCGTGTCGGCCCTAAGTGATTGGCATAACCTCCCTCTCGGTGAAAGTCCAAGCGAACAGCTTCATCTCGATTGTCTAAAAACTAGTGGCTTCATGATGAGTTAGTCTAAGTCAAGTGGAAATATTTAGCTATCAAAATCAATTTAATCTGTTCCTTTTGTTCTCGCCAATGTGTAGCTACTGTTCGGTGGGTTTCTTCATTCTAAGAAACCCATGAAGTGATCCACGAAAGTACAGATTGTTTACTTCCATTCTTCTCGATGAGCTGTTTGATTTGTCCCGTCTGATATGTTGACAAGCCGAGTCTGTCTACGATATCCGTAATGTCGACAACTGTACCGTCATCAAGCTTAAGAGAGCAGGGCGTCTTTGCCCCATGTGATATCATCAGCTGAATGGTTGCCCCGATGTCCTCGATATTGTTATCAATGTCAAGTCCACTTCCCGCATGTTGGAAACAAGCCTCCAAGAAGAGCTCCCAGGCAGTCTTCCCGTCATAGACATAGACACTGTGATTCGGGTCTGCCTTGAAATCCAACAGCAGTTTCACAATGCGTAATTCGGGGCCTTCTTCTAGACTGAGAACTCTCAGTGGGGTAACCATAGTCGGGCGAAGTGCGTAATCAAGTAGAGGGCGGCCGCGCTTTTGTCGGAGCTGTGTCAAATTTTGACGAAGCCGCTCTTCGACATACATGAACAACCTGCTTTGTATGGCGCTGGCAAGGAATGTCTTTTTTCCATACTCTTGGAACATTCCTTTTGGTGAATCCTTCAAATTCGTCCAGTGGAAGCCGAACTGCTTCAACAGTTCCGAGTTCGACCTGTCTAGCTCATCTAGGATGTTGAAAGCTTCGGTAGGGCGAGATTGATCTTGTTGATTCTCTCCATCCTGTGAAGACTGTAGGCAGTTCTTCTCGATTTGCCAAGCATAATACATTAAGCTGTCCGCAAGAATGAATATGTGGTTGAAGACTTCAGAATGGGTGTTGTTGACATCAAGAGTCTTGCTTAGTGCTAGCATCATCTTGCAGAGAGACAAATGTGGATTGAATTGGCGAGTAGGTCTTTGCCTGAAAATTTCGTCGATGACGTTGGTATCCAGGAAGAAATCCCTGACGGTTCGATGCAAAAAGTCGACTTGGAAACTGAGTAGCCCCACTTCCCCGGCTTCATCATGGACATATAGCAAGTCCCGACAACGAGCATTGAGACGTTTCTTCAATCTCTGCCAAATGATCGCGATCGCTTTTGCTGATAGCGGTCGCGTCTCCATTCTGATCGCGTATCCAGGATCGACCATTTCCTGTTCCAAGAATTCGAAGCCGAGAAGGGGTAGAGATTGCTCAGCTTCGATGGCGACTCTGAAGATCCTCGTGGTTTGATCCCAGTATACTGTTTCGATGGATTGCAGCATGTGTCTGAAGTATTCCTCAAGGTCGTCTGGGAGCTGGTTCAGCCTTTGCTGAAGATCCGAGTAGTTGTCCTCATCAGAGAGACCCCTTTTGAGCGAGAGAACAACGAGATAGACCCAAAGAAACACTCCTTGAGCTCGTGTGACGATGGTGTCTGGAATTTGAGTACATCGACTGTCCCTCAGTGCCAGATGTTGAAAGTGTGGGTCGCTAGTTAGTTCATCTTGCACGTATCGTCTGATATCCTCTTTGGTAACACTTTCGAGCTGAAGATTCCAGTTTCCCTGGCCAAACGAATCGTTAAAGGCATTCCAGGGCCGACTAGATATACAAATCTTGATCGAGTCAGAAGAACTGATTGCTTTCAAGACTTCGATCAGCTCGCTGAACGTGCCATGGTAGCGCTTCGCCCCTGCGGTATACTCATCGAGCCCATCAATGAAGAAGCAAAACTTGAGCGAAGACAGATTCTGATGGGAAAGTTCGTTGAAGGCCGAAAGCAGTTCCGCATCGTCCCAAGGGTCGGAATGTGTAGACTCAAAGGTTTTCCAGCGAGAATCACAGACGACTTCAATCAGTTCGGGGCACTCTTTTAGAACCTGATAGAGCAGGGTTTGCAAGAGTCCTGTGAGTGACTTTTGCATTGCGTTTCCAGCGCTCCAGAAAAAATGACTAGCCATGACAACCCGCCGTGGCCCACCCCAGGTTTGAAGTTTAGCCTGAGTGTCGTTGTGAGTGGCAAGGAATTTCATGAGAGTTGATTTGCCGCTTCCAGCTTTTCCACTAATCCAGAAGAAGCCATCGCCGTGTTCCAACCACTCGCAGAACCGTGTCTTGTTGGCAGTAAAGATCCAATGGAACGTAGCTTTGTGATGCTCTTGAATAGCGATGTGCCTCTGTTTGATCTTCGAGAATAGCAGACTTGACAGAATCTTTTGTTGTCTCTGGACGCTGCGTACTTCGGCTGCCAACTGATCAAGGTGTGAGATGATCTCGACAGATCTGTTTGCATCGGATGCCTGAGTATTTTGCAATAGCGATTGGATAGACTCTAGCTTGGTCATGGTTTTGGCCTCCAATTTTTCATTCTGGCTTTTAAGATTCTGCACCACTGTCAGGGTGACAGATTGTCGGTTGCTGCAATGAATTAGCCGGCTTGTTGCGCATAAGCGTGTTGCAAAAGCAACCTACCTAGAAGTGGTGACAAGATGAAGAATGAGATTTTCCCTCAAATTTCTCAGTCGTCCTTCCCTTTTCTCAATCTCTGTTTTCTTGAACTCTTGACGGAGTGCTTTGCGGAAACTTTCCCATCGACGGTTGCGCCCCGTTCCGACGCCTAGTTCGTCAAGAGTGTCGATGAGAGCGGTGGCGACAACATCACAAGACCTGGCGATTTCGTACAAATGAACCTCAATGAGCTGCTTGTCTGGAATGGAATTCCCTTCGTGTATGAGGCGCGCTAGAGACCGAACGCGCTGTGTGTCTGTAATGAGCTCCTCGTCCTCTTCACTAATTCCTGAAACCGACTGGTACTTTGCCCGGCCCTTGGAATAGAGTTTTATTCCAAGTTCTAGGAATTGAAGGATATTGCTTGCGAGGCCGATCGCGGCCAGCTCGGCCATCCTGTCAGGTTATAGAACGAGCCGCGAGGAGGAGAAACCGACGTATCGACTGAGAAGGAAACACGGGCTTTGCAACAAGATTGACAATAGCGGCGGCAAAGGGCCAGGCTCGTTGAGAGAATGGGTTATGATGAACCGTGGGTATTGAAAGAGAGGCAGCAGTCGTTTATTTCGGATGATCAGCCGCAGTCATCAACACGTCAGATGTCACCTGACTACCCCGCGTTGTTATTGTACGCCGAATTTCGCGTCGAGTTTAGCAGCAATAAACTTAACCTGAACGAACTAAAATACTCACCATCATCTGTCTATTGAACTATACTCAACCGGATTTTCCACTACTCATCCAAGCTTTGGCCTTTGCTACCCTGCTAGAATAATGTTCAGGGCAAAAGGCAGTACAAGAGCAGTTCTAGGCGGTCTTCGGTGGCCTAGGCAAATCGCTGGTAAGCACGCTGCACAGCCTCGTTTTCTGAACACCGCAGGAGCTTCGCTGACTAAACAATCGTTGAAAGAGGAATCGGGCTTTTCGAATGAAAATCGGGCAATAAGTGGCGAGCTTGCGACTGTGCCACTCACCAAGGACGAGCGGCCATGGATTCGTTGGCCCGTCTCAGCCTTCATGATTCTCGTCTACCGGCCTCTATTAAAACCCCTCGGCCTTTTTTTCTCGGACCCAAGGTTCTTTGTATTTTTCTTGATGACCTTTTTGTTTGTCGGTCTTCCCTTGATGATCACCTCTGGCTTTTTGACTAGGTTGTTTGGTCCTGCCAAGTCTCCACAGGTCATACCGACCAGGTGAGCTCGGGAACGAACCAGGTCTTAGGCCCACTGTTGCAAATTAAGCCACCGCATTTGTACTGGGTGGTCGTTGGAAAGGAGCTCTAAGTGTTAAAATGCACAGTATATATTGTATCACTAGGATTTTGTCTGCAGCTAAAGAGGGTTGGGTTTCAATTTTGTAAAAAGAAATGACCTTGGTGTCTGTCTAAGTACTCTGTTACAGCGTTCCGAACCATGTGCAGCAAATGAAATCAGTCTAATTAATTTGATATTCTGTATCACAGGTCTTTGGGGACAACAGAAATCGCAGAAACAAAACCTTCTTGGAAATGCCACCGAGACATTTCGAGGACAGCCGCTTCTCATCGCTCCATGTACCTTACTTCATTCGCAGCCTTCAATCTGATTTGAGTAGCGCGCGGAAAAGGATCGCCTCAGTTAGCCTGACGTGCCTCGGCAGCCTAACTTGCATGTCGCAGTCAGCCTAACCTCGAATATGATAGCTGAGTAAAGAGTAGATAGGCACCGACGCTCGCTACCCCGCACACATCCGAACACGATATGTTCATCTACAAGCTGTTTCCTATTATATCAAGTTAACAAAACCTCCGAAACTTCCTGTCCATCACGGCCCCGCCCACCATGTCAGGTTTTCACTATCATCCTCTCGCCCAAAACAAAAAGCAGATACGTCTCTTGACGGTGAAGCCGGCCCTACTAGGCTCAGACGTCGAATGCGATCTGCAGGCCGTGGATTTAGACGAGTCAATTTCCTACGACGCCTTGTCGTACGTTTGGGGCGACAACACTCCTCCAGGAAGAATTCTCCTCCAGGGTACTGAGCACAGAGTCACACCAAATCTTGAGTCAGCTTTACGGCATCTGAGATACGAAAATCGTCCTCGACTACTCTGGGTAGACGCCGTCTGCATTAACCAGAATGACATTGCGGAGCGAACCGCTCAGGTGCAGATGATGGCCAATATCTACTCTAAGGCTAAGACGACTGTATCATGGCTTGGAGAGGCAGCCAACGAGAGTGATGGTGCGGTGGAGCTCATCCGTAAACTCGGGGACTGGGTACGAGAACATGAAGGCGAGATACTCGAGGGTGAGGGCGAGGAACCACCAAGCGATGGGTCTATCCAAACCGCTGCAGACTTCATTGAATGGCTTGGATTTCCGCTACGTAGCCAGAACTGGCCAGCCCTGTGGCGCTTTCTCGAACGGCCCTATTGGACCAGAGTCTGGATAATACAAGAACTTGCGGTTCGAGGACGATTTACCAAGGCATCTGGCATATTCTACTGTGGAACGACGCGGTTTGAGAGGACCCAGTTCGACCACTTTTGTGGCTTGATTTTGTTCATGATCACCAACACATCGGGCAAGACTTTTCGGACCGACACTCACGAGCTGGACGAGCCACTTAGGTCTATGCTCACTAACGGGCACCCACCGGGGCTTACTATGTCTCAGACGCTGGCTGCCTGCACTGGCGGGGAGAATCGAAATACAGACTGGCTGTTGCGCGTCACTGCAAGATTCAAGGCAACCGACCCGCGAGACAAGCTTTATGCGTTGCTTGGTATGGCCCAGGACGGCAACATCCTTAAGCCGGATTATTCTACGAGCTACGAGCAAGTGCTTATGAGTTTCGTGTCATCGCATATTGAGAGATATAAATCCTTGAGGGTGCTGTTGGGCAATCGGTGTAGAGAAATGCCGACCAATCCTTCTTGGGTTCCGGACTTACTTGACGTCGATTTTCACGGCGGCCAAGGGTTGATACCGGCCATGGAAAACGATTACTTCCAAGCAGCAGGCACTAGAGCCGCAGTCGTATCAATTAATGCCACGCTCAACTCCTTGTCGTCGCTCGGTGTATTTGTTGGAGAAATCGACAAGGTGATTGGTCCTTTGATGGTAGCAGAGAAGCAATTTGATCCGGCGTCTCAGAACATCCAGAGCATATCCACGTCACTTGGCCAGGACAAGTTTTTCGAAGCTCTCAGGGATCTTTACAAAGGCCTGCCTGAGTCTGACAGGGAAACGTTTTGGCGGACCTTGTGTTTGAACGGCGACTGGACTGGGGAAGACACGATTTTCCCTGCCCCAGCCGACTTCGCATTGAAGCAACAGGTGGCATTTGGGTTCAAGTCTATACCAGTGGATTTCATGGCGGGAGAGCCCGAAGGTACAAGATATACCGCATTTGTGGGGCCATTCATTGCAAGCTTGCAGACGGCCATGTCAAACCGCACCTTCATTACAACACAAGATGGTAGGATGGGGGTCGGACCCTTTTTGACACGGGCAGGAGATGTTATTGTCGTCATGTTTGGAGCTCCCTTCTGCTTGATTCTGCGTCCTGTGGGCCATCAGTATCAATTGGTGGGCGATGCATATGTCCACGGCATCATGCATGGAGAACTTGTCGAGGGCCTCGAGCAGGACAACGGCCAGATGTTTGAGATCATATGAATTCTTAGCTTCCGCGTTATTAGTACTCAGAAATGTGCTACAAGAATTAGTCAGACTGTTGGCTCTATCTGGAATCCTCACTTCTTGGCGAACGGGACGAAGAATGAGAATAAACACCTCCTCAGAGGTATGAGATATCTCTTAACCATCCCACAGTATGAACCAAGGGGCAAGGCTTTAAGCGAGCTGGGTTTACTATCAACAACAAGGAGCAGTCCCTGTTGCGTGGAGTGCAAGGCTTGACAGGTTTCTCTCCAGGCCGAAACTCTGCAACGCAATAGTGCTGCTCCAAGCCATTCCTTGCAAGCGAAACAGTCACGCTGCAACGGGTTAGCATCCATCTCTTTTCCTAATGCACACCAGGGGGGATGGAGCTAGTAGGCGAGATTTATTAGAGAAACCCTGTTCCGACTGTGCGTAAGACATTCGACCTGTGAACCAAACGCCGCTGGAGCGTTGCTACTGGTACCAAAGGCGCTCTCTGCTTTTGCACCTAACAACTTCGTCCAAATAAACGTCTGAATTGTAAGTACGTGCAATTTATGCACGCTGTGAGTTAGTGAAATTTGTATTCGGTGCAGCTAGTGCATGCAGGCGTTGTGCGAATTTGTTGCCGACTGCCCGAAGTGGGTGGTTGGCTGTAGCTTACATAAAGACTACAAAAAGACGGACAAGATACTATATGTAATACTACCTCTACATATGGTAGGATAATTTATCTCACATTTTGTATAATACTGTAAAGTCTTATACTCCGGAGCGGAAGAGATAGATGGAACATGGGGCTTAGTAGGATTGGAGTAAAGAGGAAGTGAATGCTATTTAGAGAAGGATTAGGCTAAAGGCTAGAAGCTAAAAGCTTAAGGTTAAAGCCAATTGCTTAATCAATATCCATCCCTCCCCCTGAGCTTAAGTAGGGAGCCATCACGTTTAAGTCCAGCACTGTCCAGAACCAGGTCCGGGCTGGCACTGGGTCCGGCCCCCATTGCATGACCAGCAGCCATAGGCACCAGCACACTGACATTTTCCAGGCGAACAGTCCGCATGGGGCGAGTAGCATGGGAAACAGTCGCAACGAGCTTCGAGGTGGCGCTTGGTCAAGATTCCCTAAAGCGATGGCAATGTTAGTGCCTTGTAGCACCTAAGCTGTAGAAAGACGAATCTGAAAGATGGGAGCTGATGGATTGGTGACCGCCTTGGCGACGGGCTCCAATATCAGATAGGCTAGGAGCTTACTTTGTCGATACCCGTGTAGGTAAATTCACCTTCGGTGATCACCACATTGTCGGGCTCGGGCATGGCGGAAACGCCAAAGGCCAAGAGAAAAGTGGCGAAAAAGGCGGCCTTCATGATGTATAGAAAATCCGTTTGGATTATGTGGTGTTTTCTGGTAGTGATGTGGAGTTGAATGTAGACTTGTGGTGCAAGATTGCTGACTTGAATTTCATGGAAGACGAACAACTCCTGTGCTTATTATACCCATTTCAAAGTCAGACACGCTGCCTGTTCAGTCGATGTCTGCCCAGTTACAACTCTGTGCCATGAGTTTACCCAGGGAGCCGGAGGATTCAGCAAAGGTCCCTTCCATACGGTTAATCTCGTATCAATGCATGCATTCGCGCCGCTGGGCTGTGAATCCTTGGATAACTAGACCGATGCAGCTTGCCGGTTGCATTGCAGTGTTTCTGTCGCCTAGCTCGATACTCCCATAGCAGTGGCGAGGTGTGGAAGCCCACAATTCAGTCCGGGAAGCCCTTTTTCTTCTGAGACTCCTTACTCCCGTCGCCTCTCTTTGAATTCAATCACCTGTTTTCAGTCTCTCAGACAAGCAAGCAGACTACTTAACTCTCCATAGAAGAAGCAAAATAAGAAAATGGCGATGTTCTTTGTTGTCGTCATTCCCAAGTCGTAGCTGCATAGAGTACGGCTCGTCGCCCGACCATCCGTACAGGGAAGGTCGCAGTGAACCTTCGCCTCTTGCATGTGCATTCGAATGAAGGAGATTCGGTCCCGATTCGGTCCCGGCGGAAGCATTGGCACACTCCCGCAGGTTTAAAAATTGCCAGCCGATGTTTATTTATTTACTAATGTAAAATGGGAGATACGATCTTGCCATTCCTTTCTAATCTCCAGAAGTTTGCCTTGTGGGGTTAATGCGACAAAAAGCATCAAATCACGCTGGCAGTCTGACGCGCATCAACATATCGAACTTCGGCCCAATCGAAGACAGCCACGAGTACATTCTCTGCCATTTTGAAGTAGCAATAATCTATATGAGGCAAATAAAATTCTTCTCGCGATCCCATGGCCGATTGAGAGTATTTCCACCTGCTTCCGCAAGCCCTTGACCTTGCCCCATCTTGTCGAATCCATCTGTCTTTGCAGCTGAGGGAAAAAAGAATCACCATCACCACACAAACATAAGCTGCCTAGTCATCTTTAGGTATGGAAATAAAATGTGACCGATAGCTTAGGTAGATCGAGGGGCTCCCAGTTTGTTACATCGGAATCGATCGGTTGCTTCCGAACAGGCCGAGGTGGCTCGTATAATCCCAGCATTCTCGGGGGGACTTTTGGCCATGCATACCCTTGTAAAACACTCAGGCCATTCGAGGATAGGAGCCCAAAATATAGCCCGATCTCAAACCGGTGGAACATATTGCTGGTGATGGACTTTTCGGCCGTCACCATTAACCGTTTCAACCGAGGGCCGAGCTGCCGAGCAGGTTCCCACACAACCTCGACAACAGAGAGCAAGAGAGGGAGACGGGTGCATTGAACGTGGAAGCGAACGTGAGATGCTGTAGTCTCCCTGGGGGCAGGTGGCGTGCAGAAGACTGTCGAACGGCTAGTGACTAGCATCACCGTATGATGTCCTGCACATCTGGCCTTTTACCTACGAAATTCGCAACTAGCTCATGGGATTCTTCATTCGAACTCATGTTCCATCTATGGACTGGTGGGGGAGTCCTCAAGTTAAGTTCCAGGTTTGTCGAATCTATCAAGTGCTCCTAGAGCTCCTAGGAGGGATATTGCAGTGATCTGTTGGCATAGATATTGTAAGAAAACAGGAAAACTGTCTTCAGGCACGGAGTGGCCTTAGAAAAGAATGCATGGTCTGCAGGGCTAGCTCTTAGGTGCAGCCAAGAGTTTTAGTGTCTTGGGCATACGATTATCCCTTGGCTGTTATGCCTACTAAGTCATCGTGAATAATATACCCTCGAGCCTGAAGCCCTCCGCATTAAGCGCGTTGGTTATTTTTGTGTTTGGACTGGTAATGAGAGTAGTCGAAGTCCACAAAGCCTGACCTCTAACATTACCTACTGCTGTTTGAAATGATTGCACTTCTCAAACAATTGGCCGACATGCCTTTTGCTTCTTTAGTTTGAAGTGTACAATTCTTGTAACTCCGAACAAGCTGTCGCAGCCTGTACGCATTTTCCACCCCCTTGTACATTGTACGGAAAGACATTTGATGTCTGAAATATTCAATTTGCATGTTCCCCTTCCTGGCCACGACCTAAATCCCTCTCGCTCAGATTCCCTTGCTGGATCTCATCCGCTCTCTCTCTTCGGCCCGATCTACACTAAGTGGGTCTCCCACAATAACATCCATGAGAAGGTCTTGATATGCGAGTCATTTTGTTTTGATTCTTCGGGTACTCAACATATTGCCATCCTTGCTTGTTGCCCGCAATTCCCTCTTATAGTTAGATCCCATTCAGAGTTTTGAAGGAATGAGGGGGAGTTGAGGAGCGAGACAGCGATTTCTGGGACCCCGCTTCCTGAGCATGACAATGGAATACGTGTTACATTATCCGACGTTACATGAGCAGTGCGCGGGACTTTAAAGGAGACCCTAGGGGTGTAGTTCAGACAGAATTTCTGACTGGGGGAGGGGGGTGAGCGTTAGCGCTTATAATACGAGGCGCATCGATTCCTTTTAACTCGGGAGAGTGCATCCGTGCCGAATAAGATATGCTTTTCTGCGGTTGAAGCTCATGGTGGAGTAGTATGCTTGTTTGCGGCGGCTAGCCGGGTGTGCGGAAGAGGATCCGGGCGTCCCGAAGCAGAAGTGGAATCCGATTAGGAAAGCGCCGTAACATCCAGCCCGTCTTCCACGTTCTAATTCAGACTTCGTGACTGGGTTATGGTAGATCATTGTTGTTGCTTGGGCAGGGGTTAAAAAGTAACAATAAAAAAAGGTCCAGACCTGTCCCAGCCCATAGTGACTCGACCGACTGCCAGTTCTCTCGATTTCTTTGCCTTTTACAACATTATCCATGGTTCTCCTTCGCCCGCTATGCACATGCGACACATTATTAAACCATACACTCTCAGCACCTGCAGGGCTTATCGATTTCTTCAGGTGTAGTCTTTGGGTCATGGTGCAACGGCTTATCATAATTAATGTCTTTGTTGGAAAAGGGCAACCTACTATCCAGGCAGCCAGCTGCTTCTGGGCTGTAGGTGATGAAATAAACGCTTTGCAATATGCTCTGCTCCATTATTTCACTTAAAACACGGCTCCTTCTATATCAGGTCAGCAATTGAAAACTTTTCCATCTCTTTTCGATTACCATAACCACAGTGCCCTCTCTTTCTTTCAAATGATTACCCCCCCACACCAGGAATCTTGTTGATAATTTTGGGTTGACGCTCCTTGGTTCTCTTCCTGGTTTAGAGTCGTGCCAACGATAGTATCAATGTTCGTCGATACTATAGCGAAAGCTTGTTTGTCACTCAGACCCGCGCACTTGACCGCCCATCGACCCTTTGCACTAGGCTGAGGATCTTGGTAACAAGATTATTATTTAGGCTCCCTGTTGCTAAGTTGTGGTTACACGCCTGATTGGCACTTTTGGACGAGTCCTCCCAGGAGAAACGCCGCTTCCCTCGGAGGCAAGGAACTCAGTATGGAGATAGATAGTGTCGTCCGCAGTGCGCATAAAGAATCCCACTATCCTGCCACGTATCTCAAAGCCACGCATGCTGGTATGCACAGATGCCTTTGGCTCCGTCGAAGTATCTCGCACTCTCATCTCGTCAGGCGGCAGCCCAGGGCGCAAAGCCGGAGCCGACGGCCGGTCAGACTCGTCCAAGAGCACGTCGTGCTCAATCTCGATAACCCGCCGACCAACGCCGTGCGTGGTGCTCACCTCCCAGAGGTTCTCGCGGGCAATGCCAAGGATCTTCATCAGACGCAGGGCTTCTAGTCGCGTGTCCAAGCAGCGACACTTGATCGCAATGAAGAATAACATGGGGATGACGCCCGTCTCGAAAATGAACTTGGCGGATTTGGTCGTCATTCGGTACGCGTCTGGGACGGTGGTGTTGAGAGTCTGGGCCCGGGCAATCAGCCAGCGGAAACTATCGAGGTACGCATCGTAGCCGGTTTCGTCAGCGCTAAAGGCCATTTCCGACCAGATCCGGCAGATCTCGTGGCGCATGAGTAGAAAGCCTCGTAGCATCTCTTTGATGAAGTCTTCGCCAAGCTTGAAGTGTTTCGTTGCTGTGGTTAGTGACGTTAGGCCGACGTCAAAGTCTGCGGATAAAAGCTGCCACTGCTCCAAGAGAGTCCTGATCCTCTCCTGTTCTGCTAGTAGTCCGGCCGAGGCCGGCTGATATCTCGAGATTCGACAGATTTCATGGCGCATAAGGAGAAATCCTCGTATCATCTCTTTAATACAATCGTCTCCAAGCTTGAAATGGTGGATAACGGGTATACCTGTCGAAGCAAGTCCGGCCTCGAAGTTTGCGAGCATTATCAACCACTGCTCCAAGAGGGACCTTATCTTCTCTTGTTCCGCCAGCAGTTCTAACGAAACTGGCTGGTGTCTCAAATTTCCGATCCGATGTGCATCGCCCCATCGCACAAGGCGCACCGTCCGGCAAAAGATGTCGTCCATCATAGTTTGCGCATCGGAGAATGAGCAGAATTCAATCGGAACAGATTCATCCCATGCAATGAGATTGGGAACATCGTCACTACTATTTCCAAAGAAGAAAGGAAGCATGCTCAACCGTCTAAAAATGGGCCGCAGGTGTTCTTTCGCCCATGAGGGGACAGACGTGGCATTTTCCATAATGGCAATACCGGACTTGCAATGTGTGATGGCGGCTTCTCGGTTGGACTGGAGGCACTCAATACAGGTGAACAGAATGCAGACGAGCAGCACCACGGCCGGACTATCCATGGTTTTCAGTTCGTGGATCGCAGCATTATAGTGTCGCAGCGCCAGAGGATTGTCCCGCAGCCGAACATCCCCCTCGGCTTCAGCGTTGAACTGCTCATACAGGGCGCTGATGGCCACGACGGAATGCCTCACGGCGGGCTCGTAGCAGCTAAACTGCATCACCAGCCGCGTCCAGAACTGCGGGTCCGTCGCGCCCGACAGAAACGGCCCGGCCGTCTCGCGAAAGAACTGCAGGGCCCGTCGCTCGCTTGCGGCGTGGATTCCGGGGAGCGCTTGGCGCGGGCGGTAGATGGCGAGCGCGGTGTAGATGGTGGGCGGCGCGTAGCCGTCGCATTTGCGGTGTCCCGACGTGCAGCGCTCGCAGATCGGTTTGCGCTCGTCGCATTTCACCTTGCGGATCCTGGCTATGGTTAGTACGGGCGATGTGAGGCTCGGTGAGGTTGCGTGCGGGAGACTTGCTTGCACGTCAAACAGCCGGTCCTGACCTTGCGGCTTCCTCGTCGCGCCATTGATTCCCGGGGCGATGGAGCTTGAAAATCCCAGCGGAAGTGGTGTTTGCGTTGTAGGCTTCAGGTTTCCCCTTACAATTCGATTTGTAAGATAAAATCCCAACACCAAGATTCTACCTGAGCTCCGGCATCAAGGGGAACTGACATCATCTTCAAGCCTGGATCCTTCCACTCAAACGGGTTAGACGCGCATTGAGACGAACTGGAGACAAGTCCGAGCCGGCCAATACGAGCTTCCCCCTTTTGAGGCGCAGCAGTTCTGCAGCGAATGTCATTGGTGGCTCCGAGAATCCCTCTTCCCATCGCTTCGACAATTGGCTTCTCGCCCTGCACTCTGCTGTACCTAGTACAGTGATGTGATGTGATCCTTCGTGGGTATTCTCGAGTATCCGTAGTGCACTCGTCTATCGGGTTTAATATCTTCAGGGTCGGTCGCTAGAGGGCTTGGCAAACGTACTCTATCTCACTAGACCGACCCGACTTGGGGGCTGACTGCGGATTGGTCCGATGTCTCGCAGACTAAATCCTTCAAGCCATGTCCCTGCTGACGGCTTTCGACTACATGTCTTGAAATGTTGAAACCAAACAACACTTGCTTGCTTCGTGTGTGAGAGAAACCGTCTAAGCCATTCGCGACTCAGGCTGCACGACCGTACCCACACTATGTCTCACACTTCCATCCCGGTGCGAGATGTCTCACCTGCAAATGAATTCTCCGGGCCTGTTTCTCCTCAGCTGTTTCTCCTTGGGATGACAGGCGCCCAACGTCTTAATGTACCTGATTCAGGGTCACAAGTGTACTGACTTAAGCAGCTTCACATTGGCCCATGGCACTTCGGCAACGGCACGTCGGCACGCTATCCACCAGTTACACGGAGTGGATCACCGCCTAAGGTGCCGGTAGCCGTCACCCTTTCGCACCAAATAACCCCGGTCTGGACAACTCCACTTGCGGGAAGGGAATCCAGGGTACTTGAACTTATTAATTTCTAACACTAACTATACACACAGGTCTCGCTAATGACCCGTGATTAAACGTGCAAATCTAAGGGGTATGATTCTTGGTGGGCGTCCAGGTAGTACTCGTCCTTCTCGGCGTGGAAGTTGCTATGCATCCGGCGCATGAACAAGTCCAGCACGGCCTCCTTCAGGTTCCGCACCGTCAGGTGCTTGTGGAACCAGTGATGGCGGATAAAGACGCCGCCGCACTTCTTGTCGCCAATGTACGGCGCGCCGTTGCCGTCCATGCACGAAATCACCCGCAGCTCGTCCGTCGCGTTGTAGTCGTACCGCACGTGGTTGCTGAAGGCTGCCTGCTCGTGCGCCCAGTCCTTGTCCCAGTGGCCGCACTCCTTGTAGCGCTCGCCCGTCGGGCACTTGTCCCACACGTCGAAGAGTTCCTGCGTGCGGTTGCTCTGCTGCGCGATGATGAAGCCCGTGTTCCACATGACCCAGCCGTTGTGGTCGCGGTTGCGCCCGGCGTTGGGATCCTCGGCCATGGCGACGAGGGTTTCCGTCGTGACGTTCCACATGCTCATCAGCCACTCGAAGGGCATGTGCGGGTACATGAAGACGGCGTCGGCGTCGAGGAAGACGACAAAGTCGTGCGTCTTGAGGGCTTCCTTGATCATCGGGACCTTGACCCAGGTGCCGTGACGGCCCTCGTAGGTGGGCGCGCGGACGAGGCGGTAGTCGTATCCGTGGATCATGGCTGCGCAGAGTTAGTCTCGTGTCGAGAGTCAAGCCCAGGCGTGGAAACAGCCGGAGACGGTAGGCGAGAGCATACCGTAGAGTTGGTGGTTCATCCAGCCGCCAGTCCTTCCCGTCATGTTCTTGTAATTCATCGGGTGTGTGTTCATCAAGTCACCGTCCTTTTCCTCCATGCGAGTGTCGACGTCGAGGATGAGCAACTTCTTGCCCAGCCCCGACCAGCGGTGGACACCCTCTGGGAGATCGTATCGGTAGCCCTCGTCGGTGACAAAGTGCGTGTCGTTCATGGGGTGCAGCGTCGGCTTCCATAATTGCGCTATCAGGCCCGGGAAGTCTTTGGGGATGTTGTCCGGCTGCATCCCTTCATTGTACACCCTGTGCGCCGAGATGATGTGTCAGTGACAGATGGCCTTTTACACCTTGGTGGAGGGGCTCGACTCACCGATGCGGCAAAGCGTTCTCCGTTGCCGCGGCCAGGTAGAACTTCTGGGTGTAAAAGACGAGCCCGAAGACCAGCAGAGTGCCGACGCTCATCAGCGCGCATTTCCGCTGGTTCTGCGGGCTTTGTAGTGATGATAGAATCATGGCTGTGTGTGAGGGGAGGCGCGGGGCCGAGGCGAGAGGACGGTCCAAAGGAGTGGATGGAGGGAGTCGTTTTTTTTCCCGCTTCCCTTGGAGGACGGCAGACAGAAGAAGAGCAGCGCAAAGTGAGGCGATCCAAGGCCCTTTTACTGCTGTTGCGGTGTACACAACTCCGGGAGGGACTATCTCATATTGCAGGGCGGTGATGCGATACGAGACGATGGTAAACGAGGACCGAAAAAGCTCTAGAGGATTGAAAGGAGGAAGAATGCGGCAATGCAGCACCAGGTCGGTCTAGGTTTGGAGAGAGCGGAGCTGTATAATTTACTCCATCTCGTATTTTAATTCTCGGTTGCTTGTTCGATTCGACCCCCCCTCCCCTTTGCGGGCTCTGCGGGCTGTGCGCGCCTCGTATTGGCCTCTGTCTCTTGTCTCTCTCTCTCGTGCTGCGCAGTTTCAGCACCACGGCCTTTTCCACAGCAGCGACGCCCCCGGGTGCCGGCACAGTGGATATCGTATCAGGTATTCAGGGAGCCGCCAAACCCGTGGGCTGGAACGGGGCCAGTCGAGGACCCTTTGACGGGGCCCACCCGGGCGAAGTTTTGCTGTTACGACGGGACCAACAAGAACGCCCAGGAGCGGAAGCACGCCCCCTGTGGGTCGATATCGATGGGGTCTAGATCGGGAAGGGTCTGCGGCTTTGCTAGGGGGGGGGGAAAGCTTAGTAGGGGAGGTAAAGGGACAGGCTGCGATTGTGACTGGGGGGGGGGGGGGGAGGACCGAGAAAACAAGCCAGTCAAAGCAGGACGCCGCAGCCGAGGGGCAAAAGGAGCGTCGTCGTCATGGTGTCTCTCTGCTCTAGACATGGTGTCACTCACTACGGGGACTCCGTCTTAACCGTGCTCTCTCTCTGTGTGCTATGTATAGCTGGACGATTGAGCCGTAGGGCTAGAATGACATGACCCCCTCGTACTCAAGCTCGCCACGTCTCCAGACGAACCCCGTCCGCCCCAGGCCTTCGTCTCATCTCCTTGCTCCTCTTGCCTCTTGGCAATCAATCGGCATTGTCCGCGTCGTAAAACCTAATCTTTCTCGACGGTTGCGTGCCTGGCTGTCCTCGCGACAGTCCTGTAGGGTAGCCACGCGTCTCCACTGCTACACTGCCCCCGGCCGTCTGCAGCCACGGCCAATCTGGGTTCGTCTGTGACAGGTGGTCGCATCACATCATGTTTATCGTGCGAAGAGGTTTAGTGGTCGGGTTGATTCCGCAGCGGACAGTTTGAGTATTCGCCGAACCCACCGAACCGGATTTGCTTTTGCTTTTGCTTTTGTTCTGTAGGCACCTGTGTTTGTGTTTGACACTTGACGGTTCACCAGCCACTACAGCTTACTGCGGGTGCCTTGCGCTGCCTCGCCGTCTCGCAAACTGGCCGCAATTGATTTGCTGCACCGTAGAATTCATTCTCCGTTAATCCCCCCCCGTCGTTTTCTTTGCTACACCACCCTGTCCATAAGCCCTCCCATACTTTAAACATGTCCTGGGATTTTAAGCTTGTTGATTAGCTCACGCATCCACGACGCGTCCGCATCCGTCAAAATCGGTCCGGACGACGATACAGACGCCTTCTGGAATGACGCGTGCTTGGAAATATACCGACAATCTGGACAGGATCGATTGTGGCTTGGCGAGAGCGTCGAATAAGCTTTGTTTCAGGCACAGTAACAGGGCACAGTAACAGGGCACAGTACGGATAACAGGCACAGTAACAGGCACAGCAGCAAGGACAACAATCCCGGTTCGTGATGCTGTCATTACTCACCCGTGATTTGGCATGGCGCACTTCAGTTGAAACAACTCCATGCATCCGTCACCAGCATTCACACCGACCCGACTGAGCTCGGCCCTGGCCGTTGGACCACCTAAATTGGCATTAATCAGGGCATGCACGCACCCTGGTTTCAGCTGCACAATACCGGCCCCGTTTCCGCCAAATCACACGCGACTCGCGAGGGCCACCAGCGCATTAATACGAGGTGCTCCGTCCACGGCCAGCTCAGTGACACGACAAGCAAGACCCAGATCTTTTTAGCGCCTGCAGGTACATCAATCCACACACGACAGCCCCGATTCTTCTCTCGTATAAAGAAAGGCGCTGAAGGGATAAAACATCGTTGGCCGCCCTTTCTCCCCGCCCCTCGACTCTGAGCACAATTTTGAGCGCGGAACTCTGCCGGTTCGAATCGTGTAAAGATGATAAGGAGTCGATTCGACCGAGGAAATTGGCCTGCGACAGTCCGCGCCAACCCGTATCCTGATATATCACGAGCGCTTAGTCGAAGGTTACGACATAGAGTTGACAAGGTGTTGGGATACGAGACGATGAGCACGGCTGGTGCAAAACGGCCACCACAGTCACCACAACCGAGGCACTTCGATGCTAGTTCTCTCGAGAGACTGCCTTCCGCCTCGCCTCAACCGACGACCGGAAAATATCGAGCGCTGCCTCGTCTCGGCCTCGATTGCCATCGTCCATCTCCCAGCCTCCACCTTCCCTCCGAGGTTCGAGAAAGTCTGCCGACTCATCATCCTCTACCATTTCTCGTTCGTACTCAGTCCCATTGACATACGTTTCGCAATCCATCCACTCGTTTTCCGTGTAGTACGCATATTCCAATCCAGCCTCGGCCGATTCAGACATGCCAGTTCTGTACCGAAATACATCTTGGCCAGAGATTTCTGGCGAAGGGCAATCGAAGTAACGGAAGTCGTTCCATATAACCCCGTGGCTTCTGGTCGCCCCGATCATCTGATTGTAAGGATTGCCAGCATATCCGGAACCGTCAACGGTAGCCGGATAATCCCATCTCGTAGAACCCATCTTGAAGACTCTCAAGTTCGTCATTGAGCCGGTCCAGTGAGAAAAGAGGCGGTGCCATCGTAGTGTCCCAACAAAAGTCTCCACAGGTCCTTCGGAACTCGGGTTGGCATAGTATCCCTCGTGCGAGATGATGACCTCTTCTCCGTTGGCTTGACGAACAGCCGACGTTCCATGATTGAGTTCGACCCCCAGCGCATGTGCCAAGATGGCGCAGGTATCCAAGTACAACTCTTCCAGGCCTCGAGACCCAAACCACTCAATTTGCCATTCGTGACTGAAGATGAAATTGCGAAGCGCTAAAACCCTCAAATTGGGCATGCCGCAACCAACAAGCCGGAAGTCCATTTTGGGATACCAGCCCCACGGTGCGTGGGAATGCAGCGAGAGCACCTTGAGGTTGGCGGCGACTGGCGAGGACAACCATGTGTAGGGTATACTCTCGAAAAAGTCGTGGCCTGTGGCGCTGGGCACTCCATACGCGCCGCGAGTTTGTCTTGCGATGAGTAGTCTCAAGTCGGTCAGGCGCTCGGAGCCAAGGATTGTTTTGAAAGCATCCGAACCTACTAGTCGGGATTCAAGACGAGCCTCCAAGTTGGAAATTGTGATGCATTTAAGGACAATGGGGCCTTGCGACATGCCAACCGGATACTTCTTCATCTCGTACTTGTACACCTCCTCTATGTTAAGCCCGGCGTCCACATTTTGCTGGCTCTCCTTGGACCATGATCCTGCCAGGGTATTGAAGACGGTGTGAAGAATCCGATAGCGAAAGTCGGAGGATTCTTCGGGAAACGAGTCATCTCCACACTCGGGGGGAAATCGTAGATGAAGAGCGCTGAGCTGGCGGAAGCAGGACAAGAACGCCAACGCATCAAAAAAGCTCGACGGGATCTCATAGTGCCACCCTGAGCGATAACGGAAGTGGGAACCGATCCAAGGATCGCAAGTGACTTCTCTCACAAACCCACGTAGCTTTTCCGACTCGGCAATCTCCATAAACCGCTCTGGATCATCGCCGGTGGCCTGGAGGCGGATACTGCGAAACACAGCGGGCGTCGCAATGGAGACCAAGTCGCGGCTGGTACGTCGCAGGCTGCTGGCAGAAAATCTAGGCAGAAGGGATACTATCTGGCCGAGGATCTCCGGCGGAAGCGAGGTGAGTTGTGAGGCGTCGCGAGACATGTTGTCGGATTGGCGGCCCTGGGGGTCCGGGTATTCTCGACTGTAGCCTGTCCCTAGAAGATGTTGGCCGAGTGTGCTCGCAAACAAGACGTATTAGCGGGGAGGCTGAGTAGGGTCGCATTATGTACACAAGTTTGGTAGAGTCCAACCCTTGTTCCGGCTGCCACCCCATTCGAGTAGCGCGATCTAGTGACTCATGCGCAATGGGCTGACAAGGGGCTATGCAGGCTAGAGCCCGTATTAATTCTTACACTATTCTGTGACTCTAATGTTTAATCTGCTCTTAATTCGGGGTCGAATAAACGAATCCTAACATTTTAAACTGGCTTATGAATCAAGGCGTATTTGTTGTTCTATATTCCTGGAACCAAGATATCTCATCCTCAATATCCTCTCACTGCTGCTGCTATCGTCAGTACCGCGCTGCGCAGGGGCTTAAAATCCACGCATTGCACTGAGAAACGCGAATACTGTCTTCAAATGCTCGATATGTCGGTCGAGAATAATGGCGTTTCTCTCGGTGTAGAGTTGGTTTAAGAAAACCGGACCAGCTAAGAACAAAGAATATCCAAGAAATGGGGGCTGTTGAGAGAGAACCTGTCAGCAAGAGAGCCCTGTTGTTGGGTATTTCTTGAATAATATGGACATGCAATTAGGACATTATGACTTATAATGTTCTCACAAATCATGGTTATACTTCGTGCACTGCGAATGCAAGCCGCGGATCGCTCTTTCAGGAAAAGAGCTGGAGCACGGGGGAATTGTACTGTTCTTGCTGATAATGAGGCACGACGCCTGTTGACACTGGAATACTCGGTATCATCGTCACTAACTTCGTTATGCTGAGCTTCCCCACTGTCAGAGTCGGAGGTGCTGGTAGCAACGCCGATTGGTAAGGAGACGTGATTTAGTAGCATTTGTAGACGGTGTGATATGAGGGAGAGAATATATTTTCCGTGGTCACTTTCTTGATTTGTGGGCAACTCAAACCTTTCGATGTCAAATTGGAGCTGTTTCTACGCCCTGCAGAACCTGGCATCCACCTCCCCTCTCTCTATTGTGCGGAACTATTTATATCCAAGGAAAAAAAGCTCATGAAAGGTGGATTTCCCTTATCTCTGATTCTGGTGCCATTAATTGCACTGGCCTCTGTGAACTGACCCGCCCCAGTCTCTCTTTTCCCCTGACGGAATGCAGGCTTGGAAGACGCTCGGCGCCAGGGCGTAGTTGGAGTCGTTGACCAGCCATGGAGGGGGAGTGCCACAGTGCCTTGATGGGCCTGGCTTGGCTGGGCTGGGCTTGGCTCCAGAACCGGAGCCAGGTTGGCCAGGTCGGGGCTAAGCAGACCTAAAGCCAACGAAGGACCTCTCGGTGGGTCCCTCCTCCGACCTTGACCAACGCCAACCCCCAGGTCTACTGGCCAAACCCCCCCCCAAAAAGACTGACCGGGTGGTCAACGAAGCTCTTAAGATGTGTCGCGAGGTCCTCTCCCCTTATCTCCACCACGGATTCGAAGCTTGTCTCCTTCTATCCCATCACCCCACTGCCTTCAAGCACGCCGCCACCGTCATGCTGCGCAAGGCAGGGAAAAAGAGTCACCATGTCCCCAAAAGTTGGAGACCCATCGCATTGCTGCCAGTCGTTGGAAAGGTCCTGGAAAAGATCGTCACAAACCGCCTCAAGGCTCTTGTCGTCGAACACAATCTTCTTCCCAATACCCAGTTTGGCGTCCCTGGCAAATGCACAACCAAAGCTCTCCAGTTTCTTCTTAATCCAATATACACCGCCTGGACACGCAGCCCTGCAAAGAAAGCAACATTGATGGGCATTGATATTCTGGGTGCCTTTAACCACGTCGATCGCGAAAAACTCCTCGAAGTCTTGGCCGAGTGTGGCATACCTGACTGGATTATCTACTTCATCTCATCTTTTCTATCAAGTCGCAGCACTTACCTCGAGACACCAGGCCATACCTCGAGCCAATTCTGGGTCGATATTGGCATTCCACAAGGTAGTCCTTTGTCACCCCTCCTCTTTCTCTTCTTTTCATCACCCATCCTGAGAACGATTCCCATCGTGTTGGATATGCAAGTCAAAATATTTGCCTTTGCTTACATCGACGACACCTACATCCTAGTTACGTCAAATTCCTACGCCAAGAACTGCAAAACATTGGAAATGTGTCACAAAAAGCTCATGGACTGGGCTACAACATCCGGCGTTACCTTTGAGCCCTCCAAGTACGCCATTATGCATTTCAAACGTCCCTACAGCAGGGATGCTGATTGTCAGCTGCTACCTAATATCAACGGACTCGAACGTGGAAAAGACGACGATAAACAACCCAAGACGCAACTTCGCATACTCGGCGTATTAGTGGACCATGGGTTACGATAGACTGGACACGTGGAAGAGGTGAGAGTATATCTTCCATTGGTACCTTTGTATCAGCTAACAAGGTTTATCATGTAGGTACAGGCCAAAGTCAGGAAACAGATGCAATATCTGAAACGTATTTCTGGGTCTATCTGGGGACCGTCATTGTGCAAGATGCGACAGCTTTACGTTACAAAGATTCGACCCATCATCTCATACGCATGTCCCGCGTGGTTCATGCACATCGATGGCGTCAAGTTGAAATATGGCATCACGGAAGGGCTGATCGAGCAACTGGAGTCTCTCCAGTATCAATGTCTTGTTCAAATTTCGGGAGCAATGCAACGCACCTCGCGGCAGGTTCTTGAGAAAGAACTAAACGTTGAAAGCATTCGAGTTTTTCTCTGTCGTCTAGGGGCATCTCAGCGAGCCCGAGCCCTCTCAGACCCCGACCACGGAATGATCCTTCAAATCACAATACCGCCGAGTTGGGAGCCGCTGTCCCCAGCTGTTCACCCATACCGGGTACTTGAAAACACCTCGCAGCTCTTGAAAGCCGAAACACTCCGGAAACTGTACGAGCTGAACGAGAAGTCCGAGGTGCTTAAGATTTGGTCCGACCCAACGAGACAGAAGAAGGCCATCAACAGCCATGTTGCACACAAGTCGCAGGAGTGGAGTGCGAAGTTGTGGACCACTTACCAGCGGAAGCGTGCCCAAGAGAGGAAGCATCGGACTGAAGCTACCGACGATGCTTGGGGCCCAATGGCCTTGAGCTATTACAAACCCCTCACACGGGCCCAGAGCACCATGCTGCTGCATTGTCGAACTGGGGTCATCGGTCTCAACTACTACTTGTTTTCAATTGGTTCGCTACCGGATAGAGTACGTTCCCAAGCTCGCAATGACATCTACTTTGACTGACAGGTACTACAGGAAGCCTCCAGGTGCCCATGCGGAACTGGGGAACACACGGCCGAGCATTTATTCCTTCATTGTCCTGACCTGCGGAAGGCAAGGTCAAAGCTGAGATTCAAGCTGAGCTACATCGACATGCACAGTTTGTTGACACGCAACGCTGCCGTCGCTGCCGATTGGGCCCTGACATACTTTGGAATCGAACAATTCCAATCGGCAAAGGCGGATTCCCAGTTCCAAGACCCCAACAAGCTCGAATGGTTCATGAGGGAACACCAGTTCGAGCATCCCAAAAAGCAACCCCATTCCCTCGATGAGGGAACCTAGTGTTTGAATTTACTGCATTTTGTAAGTAGGCCCATGCTCGAAGATATCATGGAGACGCCGGCTGACATTTCGGTGGGTTTAAGCGTTGCGCGCACGTCACAGTTGCCAAGGCCCAAGTTTTGGGTTTCAAGCTGCTTTTTTCTTCTCTGCCGGAATCCTGTCTAACTTTTTCGACGTAAGAATATTGGAACCGTTTTTATATGGGTCAAGTTGCTGACGTGTATTGAGAAGCCAGTCTAACCTTGATGAATGTAAGTAAACCCATTCTGGGTGATGCGTCACCTTTGTTGTGTTCGTATACTTATCAAGAAAGGCACTGAAAACTCCCACGACCCGACCTGTGAGTATGTCTCCAGTAACAAAAGCAGATTGATAACTTTCTGATACTAAGGAAGCTAGAACGCCCCGAGATCCGTAAGTTGCCCTGCCAGAACGCCCTGAAGTCGTACCTGATCGTCTCGAAGCCAACGCCCATGATGTCCCGTTTGTATTCCAACCCACTGTCGGAGTTGCAGAATGTGATCGCTAATTAATTGCAAGAAGTCATTCGAATCCCCCTCCGTAGGCATTCCAAAATACTAATCTAGGGTTATTGCTAATCATGTTAGAGCCAGCACCCTAGGTGGCTAGCATCCGTACCAGCCCGACGCAGCACAATAACTCCTGGAACCAGGGGTTGTATTTTTCGTAAGTGGGGTGTTTGAATTACCAGACTTCATTCTAATCTATCTGTAGACGGCCAATTTCTGCGAGGAACTTTTGGCCCCTGTCGTCGTCGGTGTTTTCGATATCATCGGCCAGGTCATACAATGCGCCCATTTCTATCCGGATGAATGTAATGTCGATGCCGGTGGCCTGACTTCCCTGCGGATTGGCTCTGTTCCTATCGTCAAGAAACAGACCGCATCCGAAAATGGCTAACGGTATATTCAGAGAATTTATAATTCCATGTTCTATTGCTAACAGTCTCTCTCTAGCAATCCTTTGGTTTCTATCCAGGCGTTCTGGGTGGTGTGGTGAGAGGTCTAGGAGGTTCCTTTCTCTAAGGAATTTTAGATGGTTATCCAGCTTGCGTCTTTCCCTTTCGTCTCGAAGATTCCAATGGAATCCTGTGCTGTGCCGGAATCCAGATTCGTATCCCTGATGCGCAGGGATATATGTAACAAGGGCCTTGCGATTGATGGGTAAGTATTAATTCTATATTCTTAGAATACCGGACTAACTGCAATTGGTAAAAGCAGTCGACATGGTGACAAGTTATTCAGATGAAATTTATTGAGATGGGATGAGTGTCAGAAGGGAAGTTGGTCCCTTGACGATGGGAGACGGTTAGTATATATATTCCCTGAACAGTTTGGAGACTAATGTGTGATATATAAGTCAGTCTCCCTTATATCCTATTGCTCGGAATAAGGTTACTATCTCAAGGTTGTTGACTGCAGACAGCAAGGTCGTTGACTGCAGACAGCAAGGTCGTTGACTGCAGACAATAGGGTTGAAGTCAGAGGGGTTGAATGGAAGCTTCAGGCAGAGACCGGTGGGCAACAACCTTATTGTTCAGCTACTGTTTCTTCTGGTGCTGGGTGTAGCCCTTATTGTTTATTCCTACTGTTTGAGATTACTGTATGGCTTTGATCTATCTGATGATATTGAGTAAAGCTAAAAAAACCAAATAAATCGCGACACTCCCGCAAACCAAGTTCCACGTATTTCCTACTACAACTGTGAGATGATAATTATATGGCTCGGGTTGCCCGCCTGGCATCGAATATGTCGTTGGAACTGTACAAGTAATTATAAGGTTATTAATGACGTCATCTATCTCCAGCCTCTGCACTGCTGCCTGAAGGTTGTGTTCCAGATGCTTCAGAGCGGGGCAACCTTTGTGGACGTGTCTGACGGATAAAACCCGGCCGTGATCCCTCCTCATTCCAACTTCATTCTTCGCCATCCACCATCATCTCACACATTCCATCATCAACCTCGAGTTGCATCTCCCTCCCACATCACAGTCATTTGATCTTTCTCGCAACGCTGCTTGCCTCCATCTATCTCTATCTCGGCCAGCGTCGTCCCTCTTTCACGCACCTCAACGACACTTTCACGCACCTCAACGTCGCTTTCACGCACCTCAACGTCACTTTCACGCACCTCAACGCCATGTCTTCACGTCCCTCCATCTTGAAGCTTCCTGCCGAGCTCCGAAACAAAATCTACCAGGAATACTTTACCGTCCAAGGTGGCTACGTCTTCAACTTCGACTCGCGAAAACTGGTGGCGGCTAATGGTCGCCCCATCGACCTCGCCCTAATGTACACCTGCCGGCTTATTGCAGAGGATACAAAACACATTCCGATCACTCTGAATACCATCACCTTCTCCACGGCCAACTCTGAAAACTGGGTTGAGGAAGCAGCTTTCTTTCATAATGCGTTAAACCAATTATGCTACTCTGAGAAAGTTCGTCTGGAGCAGGCCCGACACCTGTTGGCCCCAGACATCGTCTCTCAAATCACGCAGAAGTTCCCTGATTTTGCTCCATGCATGCGTCAGATATTGTCCCCGGGCCTTCCTCATGACCTAATAACTTCTCGTTACGATAAATCACCCACCTATCACCGAAGAGCTTTTTTGTATTCGTTACAGCTTCTTGATCGTCAAAATTGGGGCTATGACTATATCGAAGAACTTGGCAGCCTGGCCGTCTCCCCTAGGTCTACCATATTTCAGTGTATTGACGGATTAAGTCTTCCTCGTGTGCCGTGGGCTTTTGTCGATGACGACCGCCTTACAAGACTGTGTCATCGTTTTGCACATAGGGTCTTACAACCCATTGACGGTCTGCAATACCGGTATTCCGCAGCTGCTGTTGCAATCCGCTTTCTGGACTCCATCCCTGCTAGCATGCGCCTTAAGATACGGAATATCGTGTTACACGAAGATCGTCGAGCCATTGCTTTCCCTGAGTCTCACGCCCGCGGCCTGATCCCGTTCTGCCAAGAAAACCCACTCCTTCGCATTGAACGACGCGTTGACCTGTGGAGAACCATTTTCCAGGCAGAAGAGATGAATATGCTGGAAAAATCTAGAGGCCGGGTGCGAGAAAAGGATGGAAAGTTTTCAACTAACGGGCTTTGTGGCTCGTTAGCTGATTGGCTCATTGAAGCTGCTGAGCTACCCCAGGATGGAATGCCTCCCAATTCTTTCTCCCTCGTCTTGGACGGTGATCCAGCAACCGACCTATGTGCTGAGATTTTTCAAACACTCGTTCATCCACATGTCGCCTTCGGTAAAGTTTTTGAGGCGCTACGCTATCAAGGTATACATCCAATCACATTTGAGTCGAACGACTTGCCGAAGCGCCGGTCCACTTTTACCAAGGAGCTACGCCATCTTGTTAACCAAACCTCCAATGTGCGATGCAACTTCGATCCCGGCCAAAGTTGCGATTTTGGAAAAATTCTCCTGGAGGGTTTTGGATGGGACAATGATCAATGGAGGAGAACCTACTACCAACGCATGCCATCTGATTTCGACATAACCCCGATCCTCCCAAAGTGGCATGACCTACTACTTGAGAATTTCGACAGGAGGGATATGGATCTTTCGAAGCTACGAAGAGCACGCCCCGGCGCGGAACTCAGCTCGTAGGATGACTATTAGTATCAAACAGACGATTAGTGTAAATCCTAGAACTACTGCGAAGTGTTCAAGGATCTCTATTTCGGGTCACACCGAACCAATTAGCGGCATCAATTTGCGTCTTCTATAAGCAGTCCTGTTCGAGTTAGATATGAATTATGAGATAATGATTGGAGACTCTCTTTGGGAAATCTGGTAGTATTAATGAGAAGGATTTGGGCAAAGATACTAAATTAACCCACAGGCCCACGTCCTTTTTTATTACGATAGAAATGCCCGGGTTTTGTTTAATCCCCAGAGTCCATGCAATTTTCCCCTCCAAGGTGAAATTCCTCCCATCTAATAATGTCTGTTAACTGTGCCAGGGAAGTATTATCCCAACAAGAAATATTCTTTGCTTGCATGCTAATACTATGAGAGCGTAAAGACAATTACGGGGCCGAAGTTTGCTCTGAAACCACATGAGCCAGTCCATTCAGCCAGGGTAACCAGTCCACCAGCATGCCAAACCCCTTGCCAACTCTACAACTCAACTTCTATACAGCTAGTCTGTGACCAGTCGAGTTCGAATAAAACAACCTAGTCCACTTCTGAGACTCATCGTAAATGTGGTCCAGGGTGGCAGCCATACGACGCCGGCAGCTTCTCCCCCCCAGAACCTCAACATGCCCATCACCGCCTGAACGGAAAAATTCTCAGTTTGGCGGTGGGATGAATGCTCTTGTCGGATGCAGCACTACTGCCAAGATTTGACAGACGCAGGAATATCTGAGGGAAGACCCCCCTAGTAATTACACCCCACACTGTACGTGGATCATGCGCGACCCAGCTCGTAACCACGGCCAAAAAAATGCATGTTAGTAATTGTCATTCATGCAAGTTCCGGTATTGAAATGAAAGTTCTCAAAAGCAGGACACACGAATTACTCCTGTATTGAGCTTCTAGAACGTTTCTAAGGAATACGAAATCTTGGTGCTAGGTCCGGAATATTGAAAACCCGGTTCCGGCTGATCTTGGAGACACATTTTCGCATGGGCCAAAGCCAGTTCCGACAATTCATCAGATGTTCATCCATTGGCCACTTTAGTATCTGAGCCCTCCACTGTTCGTTCCGACGGAATAAATGGAGTCGCATAGAGAATGCGGTTAAACCTACCCCTGGGAGTATTCTCAAGCCGTATCCATTCAGCGCACCACCCCGATCACTTCACCCAGATTGAAGACCTCAAGAACCGAAATAATCTGATTAACGTTGCCTTTCATGGAGAACAACGTACCCGACTCGCCGTCGGCTAGTCCGTCTGACAGCATAGGAAAGGCATCGACCTCAGCCTCTCAGCCTCGCAACCGGGCTCTAGCCAAAGCTTCGCGGCGAAATCATTCCAAGACGAGGACGGGGTGTTATACCTGCAAGAGACGCAAGATAAAGGTTTGTCCTATTTCTCTCAAACAAGCTTGAATGTGGTGTTCTTGAGCGGTATCCAACCTACCCATATCCCGAACAATGCGCTTACTCTCTGCTAGTGCGACGAGCAACGACCGTCCTGTAAGAACTGCGTTAAACACGGAGTTACTTGTGACTTTGCACAGGCGACTCAGACCACCCTTCGCCAAAATCCCAGCGCAGATTCCGAGTTAAACCTACTGGACCTCGAACTTCTGCACAACTTCACCACCTTGACTTATTCGACCCTCACTCATGACCCTGCTATCCAAAATCTTTGGAAGTTTGGTATTATTCGCTTGGCTGTCGGCTGCGACTATCTCATGCGGAGTATTCTCGCCGTTTCGGCCCTCCATATAGCCCAGCACCGCCCAGAGCAGAAGGACTTCTACGTCTCTAATGCCATTATATACCATCAAATTGCAAGCCGCACTGCGATAAGGCTGATGGCGGAAGCTAAGCCCGAGAATAGCGAGTGCCTCTGGGCCTTTAGTATCTCAACAATATATTTCGGTAAGCCTCTCATCCCATATCCTCTAACCTCTCTTGTTTCATCCTTAACAATACCGGTGTCAGCTATGGGAAGCCCGAGGGATAACAATACTTCACTCTTGATCGGAGAGTCTTCGTTTCCAGACTGGCTTTTCCTGTTGGACGGAGTGCGTCACATTCTGAATAGTCTTCAGACCACGTCCTATACTGGAGTCCTTTCACCGATGATTGCCGACGGTGCGAAGAGATGGATCGCCTCTCACGAGCCTCAACACGTGAAATCCAACATCCTGGACAACCTCGAAACCCAAATCAGATCAAATGTGACCGACCCGGCTCTCATGTCAATTTACGGCGTAGCTATCGACGAGCTACGACCCCAACTGAGCTTTGCGTTTTCTCCGGAATGCCAGAACCTGGATATAATGGACGCCTTTGTGTGGCAGTTTGCCGTAGTAGAGAACTTTATGCCTCTATTGAAGGTGCCAACGCAAGAGGCGGTGGTTATTTTCGCTCACCATTGCTTGATCCTCAATAAACTGCAGAGCATTTGGTGGTTGCGAGGCTGGGACAAGTTTATCATGTCAAGAGCGTGGGAGATTCTGGATCAGGAACACAGGTTGTGGATTCAGTGGCCTATAGAGGAGATAGGCTGGGTTCCACCCTGATCTTTGACTCTGTATCCATAATTGGTCGCATATATAGTGTCGTGTCCGGTCAATTTGTTTTTAAATGCCACGGCTTAATGTTAAGTTCTTGTTGACCTAACACTCAAAATCACCATTGCCCCATCCAATTGTCCATCTGTTCGTCTCAAATTGGGCCTAGTGTTGCTTAAACGTCCGAGATAAAGTGGCAGTATCATTTGCCTGTAGAAGGTTTGTTTCAGAGGTGCTATTGACTAACCTTCAAATAAGCTAATGATCTTAATTGCTGGATTATATGCCATCTCTTCAAACCTGGAGACACTTCCCACCACCGCCTCCAAGCACGTCTCAAGCGGCACAATCTCGATATCCCTCGCAGTACTAAGAGGTCGCATGATAACAGCTATGAGAGTTTCTCAACTAAAGGGTTTACCGTATGAAAGACAGCAGCACCAGCCTGATCCAAGCTCTGTGAGTTGGTCGCAAGCTCACCAATGCTGTGGCCAAGCATCAACTGGAATGCAATTGACCGTATCATGTGACCTGGAGACTCTGGCAGCTTACCCAAGTACTTTGAGCTCGCAATGAGGCTGAGAAGCCATACTTACTTTGGCCACATGCCAGCTGCAGTGGCTAGGCCAGCGATTTGGCCCACGCGGCAAATGATGCAAAGGATATCCGCTTCCCTTGCCGCTGTGTCTGGCAGACAATTTAAAACGAAGTTTGACCGCTAGTAGCCCATATCTTGAGGAACATTCCAGTCTTCGTAGACTTGCTCGAGGACTGTACCTCTAAGTCCCGCAACAGTGCTGATACTAGATATAAAGGGTCAGACAGCCTGATAAGATCCGTGCCGTAGCTGCCGTTGAAATTTAGTCTGTTACATTTTGGGACGATTATATAATATCTGAAACGGCTTCCAAACGGGCTGCTAGAAATCCAGTCTAAACTACCTAGGTTTTAGAGCTTCAGCTCGAGGGTCTGTCAGTTTTAGAGCTCTAGCAGGTGGGCCTTTAAAGTTAAGACTTCTGAACTTGAAGCCTGAAGGCTGTTAGAGGCCGATTTCATCTTTATCTATAAATTAATCTCGAGCTTTTTAATAAATAGACAAGTTAAATAATCCTATTATTATTAAAGTAATTTTGGGTTATTTATTTTCAATTGAATAATTATAAGCGGTTTTCGTTTTAGCTTTACTCAACATTATCAGATAGATTAAAACCATATAGTAATCTCAAACAGTAGAGACAAAGAGTAACTGCTATGCTCAGCACCAGAAGATATAGTAGCTGAACAATAATAGATAATAAAGGTATTTAGTGGGGACCTCACCTTAATCTGACTGGCAGTTGCAGCATCTCACTTGCCCTAAGCAGCAACAGAGACATCCCTGCCCTGGCCACGACTCCAGCATTTCACTCGTCCAAGTCATCAGCCGATTCATTGTGTTTATCGCTACCAATTTTATCGTTGATCTCCGCCCGAAGAGCAAAGTCTGAATCGCGGTCTTGAGCTCATTGGGTGGAATGGCATTATGGAACGGTAGGAATCGATATGGCCCAGCCGGGTAAACAGACCACTCCAAGTCACGGTTGTTATGCCTGAGGCGGATAGTTAAAAGATGGTGAAATTCACCAACTCTGTCGCAAGATGCTCAATGGGAATACATGCAAGGTCTGCTGAGTAAAGAATAAGAGGTAGTCTTGGGCGCATTCGATCACAAAATTTACTGTTGAAAATAAATATCAAGATCGCATTAGTGCGATTCATTGTTTTGGCTGCGCTTTAAATCCTGTGCCGTAGGCTGCTAGAATTCACTGCTAGGTTCAAGGCGCACAGATGACCCAATGAGAGTTGCATTCGTGCCAAATTTTTGCCTCATTGGGCGAAAATTGTTCGTCCAAAGGGCCTCTTGGGGGTGGGGGTGGGGGAGGGTGGAAGCATCTTTTGGACACGATGGATCCACTGGTAGGATTGCTAAAGATGATCGACCTTAATTTCTATTACTTGTATAGCGCAAAGAAGGCCGTTGCTGAGCTCATGAAAGAGGGGCAGTCAGTCCAAGACAGATCGGCAAGTAAATCCTTGACCAATATTCTAGCCAGGTGGGGGAGACGTCCCTATGTCGCCCATTCTCTTCCTCTTCTTCTTCGCCATGCTAAAAACGATCGAGGCCAGTACGTAGCAGAACCAGAGATGCTCCCCTCGGCGGTCCTTTAAGTTGGTTCTTGGGAAAAGTGATATCAAACCAGATCTATAGTCTACACTCTATTTTACAGAATTGTGAACAAAATCGTATTGATGACCAGAAGCTCTCAGTGTTTCGAGGTACGAGTGACCAGGTATTCTAGGCAAACTCCAACCCTGGATCAGATGCCCGACGTCGACCGCCTGAACTGCCTTTGGACGCGAATGCCTTGCAAAGGAATTTCGTCGCCGCTCTCGTCACCTCTGTCGGTATTTGACTTGTAACTCTTGACGGTAAACTCGTAGCCCTTGATATCCGGCCTCAGGTCATCGACGACTGGCGACAACGCCGAGTTTGCTTTTTTCACCGTGCCATCCGACTCCGTGTCGTCCGGCAGTCGATAAAACGCATCCCCCCTTCCATTGGGCTCAGCGTTTGGCGCGGGTCGTGCCTCGGCGTCCTCCCGGGATGTGCCCTTGCTGAATGCCGATCGGTCGGCCTTGGACCGGGATGCTGAGCCGCGCACAGTCCCGACCAGGGACTGGAGACCGGTGTACCGTGCAAATAGCCGCAGAACGGGCAACATGGTGGGGAGGTTGGCGGAGACGATGCCGGCTGACATTTCAATGGCTGTCCAGCCGACCGTCGGGGCGAGGCTGTAAGTCGGGTCGGTGGCAGTGTAGGTAAACAGGACGCTCGTTCGGTATGCAGAAGCGAATACGACGCTGCGGAGAATTAACGTCAGCATTTAAAGCCGCGAGGGATCAGCAGAGGTAAAACTTACAAGAATCCAAGGCCGAATGCAACCATGAGACCGAACTTCTCGCCCTTGCCCAGCTGCAGTCTCCAGATTGGCCGCAGCGGCAGCAGCAAGATGATGAAGTCGGTCAAGATGGTCGAGGCGGCATTGGCAATCCACGTGCCAACCTGGTTGATGCAGTGCCCCGGCAGGTGAGGGTACCAAAGCTTCTCGACCGGGATGCAGATGAAGACGAAGAGGAAGGTGATTGTGACGACCCAGGCCATGACGAAGGTGCCGACGATCCACGCCATCTTCTTGAAGTAAGGCACGCGGAAGATGCGGTAGTACATGAGCAGCAGGCTCAGCTTGGTCCAGCCGAGGTTGAAGGCGTACAGGATCTCGGCCACGACGAGCCACTTCGCCATCATGACAATGTCCTTTGGGTCGACCAGGTCGGCGTGGATGCCCATGCCGCACGAGTACATGGCGAAGATGAAGCCGACGACGACCAGATTCCAGCCCTAGCACGCACCGCAAAGTCAGCGCCGCCGCAAAACCTACGACGGAGGAAAACGCCCCAACTCACCGCGGAGAACAGAATGACCCAGTCATCCCACCACAGCTGCTGGCCCTTGAGATGGCGGCTCAGGAGGCGCAGGGCGACGGACGTCAGCGACAGCACCGTCATGGAGACGACGACCTGCATGGTCCATGGCTGGAGGTCGTGCGGGTCGTAGCCCGGCAGGCCGGGGAGCTGGGACTCAGAGGACGACGGCATTGGGGTCACGACGTGCAACTATCGACGGCGGGAGCGCAGCAAGCATCGAGAGTTGAGTTCGCAGCTGGCCGGCAGCGGAGTTCGTCAACGTCAACGGGAGCAGGAGGGAAAAAATGGATGTGCACTATTTTCAGTCAGGGTGGCCAGAGCCTCTTTACGACGTCGTACCCAGGCCCTCAGGTCCCGACAAAAGCATTCCACTCGGGACAAATGGGTAGCAAATGCCGATCATTATTGTGGGCTCTGCGGTGCGCCGGCAGGGATAGAACTGGGCCTGAAAGGGGTACGATGTAACTCGGGTCAACTTAGTTTGACGGTATAAACCCACAAGTGCTACGCAAAAACCCACAGCAGCCAGGGCAAGGGGGTTGTCGGCGAACAGCCGCGAGCGACCCCGGTTGAAGCCAGTTACCCAGGAAATGCCTCGGTTACGGTTAAGCCCCTGTTGCGCTCGTGGTGATCTGAGGTTTGTTTCAGCGATGTCGTGCTTGTAACATAGTGCAAAGCATATATATATCCTGCAAGGTTCCCCAGTCTCGTCGACTGTCCTCGGGCCTGATAGACGACGGCATCTCTGCAACTCAACCTCCCAGACTAGCTGATCTCGCTGCCCAACACCACCCACCGGGTCGGTCCGGCAGCCACACGACGGACGATGCTTAAATCATGAGACGGCCAATTACCAACACCGGGCGTTTCGAAAACCGCCCCTGTGGCGAGCGTAGCCGCGTCCGCTTGTCAGTTCCGCGGCGGCCCCTTTCCGGATGCGGTTCACGTCAACGCTGCAGACCAGGGCCGCCTGCGTTAGTCCACCAGTCCGTCGGCGCCACTCGGTCGTTTTGTCCTGTTGCGGGCTTGATCGCCGTGCGATGTCACCTTGATTTGGCTCCGGCATCCACTTGGTCGCCGGCGGCTCCACTGCGCTGGTGCCAGACGTGACACTATCGCGGACGCGGGCTGCGCGGAACATCGTCGAACGCTCCGGTGCGTCATGCGTTACGCTCCACAGCGGGAGTCGTCCGTTTACTTAGGGAGTCGGCTCGCGTTGACGCCGGCCGCGTCTCTCCATTTCCCCTCGCTCTCTCTTCTCGCTGGTTGTGCCGCCATTGCCTTGCACAAACTGTACCGTCTTTCCACAGCTCGCTAGTCCGTAATACAATCCAACCCTCTCACCGAACGCTCGAAATGGCAGCCACCACGACAATCAAGGTTCCCCACCTCGGCGGCATCACTGCCGGCTACCGACTCTCCGGTGACGCTGTCGATGCCAGCAAGCCCACCGTTGTCCTCGTCAACTCTATGTGCACCACGTCTTCACTCTTCAACGCCCAGTTCGAGAGCAAGACGCTCACCGATGCCGTCAACCTCCTCGCGATTGAGCCGCTCGGCCATGGCGCCACCAGCTGCCCCCAGGAGCACTTCACCTACTGGGACTCGGCCCTAATGTCGCTCCAGGTCATGGAGGCATTGGGTGTCCAGAAGGCATTCGCGTTGGGCACCAGCCAGGGAGGCTGGATCGTCACTCGCATGGCCCTGTTGGCCCCGGAAAGGGTACTATCCACCGTCACCGCAACGCTTGCCGATCAATTGCGCACGCAAATGCTATCAATTAACCCCTGCTAACCTTTATCTACCCAGATCCTTGGTCTCCTGCCCCTCGGCACCTCAATGGACTACGAGTCGGCCGCATCTCGCGAGAAGGGCTGCTGGGATCCCAAGACCCAGCTCATCTCCTTCTACGAGAGCTGGGGCAGCGCGGAGCCGACGCCGGACTTTGTTGTCGACGAGATCTGGCGAGGCCTGGTCGCTTCGGTCGGCTTCGGCAGCACCGTCACCCCCGAGACGCTGGCATTCTGGCACGCCACTCTGAAGGACGTTTACAAGGGCGACGAGGGCCGAAAGAAGCTGCGGGTAGCCGTGGCCTGTCTTTTGGAGCGAGACGGACTGATGCTTCGTGTACGAGACATCAAGTGCCCGGTTTACTGGCTCCAGGTGAGTGTCTTCTAAATCACAAGTCCGTAACGTGAGTGTATGCTAATATCTGGTTTCCAGGGCACCGAGGATCCCGTTTTCGGCGTGACTGTGCCAGCTGAGCATATCAAGCTGTTCACGTCGTCCCCCGAGGCCACGTTGACTTTTGTCGAGGGCGGTGGTCACTATTTGAGTGCGACCAGCCCTAAAGAGATTGAGGAGGCGCTGTTGAAGATAGTTGCTAAGTATGCTTGATATCTACAACGCTTTGGGTGGCATTTTTCAAGCGAATCAGACAATACTCAGGATAGATATTGATCATTGCGATTTTGAGCACTACAGCACCCTTATTTATTCTCTTGTCCCTTGTTCCCTTGGAATCATCTGAATGATATCCCGATCATTCTTTGTAGTTGTGTTCGGCCAAAAGTTCAAGGCCAAGTATAGCACTCATCGACTTGGAGCAATGCCCATTCTTTTCAAGCCCATCCAATTGGTGTAAGTACCCAGGCTCTTGTCGTTTCTTTTGCAACATGTGATACTGTGGGGGTGGCGCTCGACAGGGCAGTTTATTCGCGAATGCAACCCTCGATCTGCCGGTACTCAAGTCGAATGACAGGTGTCAGTAGCCAACGTCTCACGCCGGAACATGTTTCGACCTATCTAGATAACTTCGATTGGTCGAGCTCGTCGTTTCTGGTCAATTTTGGACGAGATGGACAACCCTGAAGCAGATCCGATGGCAATAAATAGGTTGACTGCGGGGTCTCTCCCATCCCACTCGGTTGCTTTCTTTTATCCGCCCCAACCAGATCCTCTGTGAATAGTTTACAATTCCGCACCAGGGCAAACTCTCCGCTCGAACTCTCTTCCTTCCACCACCGTGCCCATCGTCAGAAAAATATTGCCGGTGCGAGAAAAGGAATATTGGGAATCTCTTGACCCAAATGACGTAGCCGAAGTAACAGAGGCAGTCCAGAAAGCTACGGAGGCAAGGAAAGGGGGCATTTTAATCCCTGCTAGTACTGCCGGTCGGAACCCGCGGCCGACATTCACTACTTTGGAAACGGAGCACCAATCACATCGCCCACTTCCGTCAGAGTGTCTGTCGGGTGTTATTATCTCCGCGATTGTGCCATTTTCCTGCTTCGGGGCCAGTTCGCCGTTGAGGGGCAGGCATGGGCAGCTGAGGCCGGCTTTGCATATGCCGTCAAACCGTCAAAGACGAGGAAAAGATGAAACTGGTCGGCGGTTGCATTGTCTTGGTCATAGAGGAGGGAGACATAAAAGGAGTATGTCGCAAGAAGACGGAACAAAATCAAAACGCCTATTGGAGCGGGAATGGTTCTTGGAATCGGTCCTTATTGGCACATGGCTTTCTACACAATCACCCCGCCCTATGAATACGAGCTGATGTGATGCCAGATCGCATCGCATTTGGCCAAGTATGGTGGTTATTCGGAGCTTCGGCTCCATTAGGAACTGTCAGATTCCCTTTCTTCCGTGTCGTTTGTAGAGTTTGTAGCCGCGTAACCAATCGAAACATGTCATCAGACGTGTTGCTCCATAATCACGTTGCGAAAGCGAGCGGGGGTAAATAACCGGATGAAACTCTGGAGATTTAGAGTTTTTACTGGCTTGAGGAGGCAAAGGAGTGCTGATATTGGGATTGATTATCTTTACTACCAAGTGATGATATGGCATATTCCATAACAATCGTACATTGATGCCTCGATTGGCGGAATTTACGCTACAGGGTAGGACAATTCGGCCGCGCGTTGGATAATTAGAGGGCTGAGATTCCCCACACGTTGGCTGAGCATGAAACAACCCAACGGTGAGGACTAGCACCATGGCGACAACACTCATTGGAGCAAAAATAACAATCCCAGCAATGTGCCCCTAATATGGCGTTGGGAATTGATGAATTTGTAAGTCACGACATCTATTAAGAGCCGCAGCTCCCGGCTTTAGTTCTGTACACTTGATCTATCCAACATCTTACACTCCTCCCATAAGCGACTCCGGCTGGTCCAAATCATCGCCATTCAAGATGCTGGCATCATTTGTTTCCTCCGTCCTCCTCCTGACGTCGGCCGTCTCGGCGACCCTGTCGTACCGCGGCGTCGACTGGTCGTCCACCCTGCTTGAAGAAGACGCCGGCATCTCGTACACCAGCGGCGGCACGAAGCAGTCGCTCGAGAAGATCCTCGTCGCCAACAACGTCAACTCGGTCCGCCAGCGCGTCTGGGTGAACCCGTCCAATGGCGACTACAACCTCGACTACAACCTGGAGCTCGCTAAGCGGGCCAAGGCGGCTGGCTTGAGCGTCTACCTCACGATGCACTTCAGCGACACCTGGGCCGACCCGGCCAACCAGAAGATCCCGTCTGGCTGGCCTACCGACATTGAAAACCTCGCGTGGAAGCTGTACAACTACACGCTCGCCGTGTCCAACTCGTTCCAGGCCGCTGGCGTGCAGCCCGCCATCATCTCCATCGGCAACGAGATCACCTCGGGCCTGCTCTTCCCGACCGGATCGACCAAGTCGTACGCCAACATCGCGCGCCTGCTCAACTCTGCGGCGTGGGGCATCAAGGACTCTAAGCTCAGCCCTAAGCCTAAGATCATGATCCACCTGGACCGCGGCTGGAGCTGGGACGTCCAGGAGTACTTCTACACTACCGTCCTGGCCCAGGGCTACATCACCACCAGCGACTTCGACATGATGGGCGTCTCGTACTACCCCTTCTACGGCAGCGGCGCTACTCTGGCCGCCCTCAAGTCGACGTTGACCAACATGGCCAACAAGTGGGGAAAGCAGATTGTCGTCAGCGAGCTGGACTGGCCGACGTCGTGCCCGTCGCCTGCCTACGCGTTCCCTAGCGATCTGAAGGATATTCCGTTCAGTGCTGCCGGCCAAACCGAGTTCATCAAACGGGTTGCCGCTGTCGTCGCGGGCGTGAGCAAGGGTGTTGGACTGTACTACTGGGAGCCGGCGTGGGTGAACAACCAGGCGCTCGGGTCGTCTTGCAGCTCCAACACGCTGTTCTCGTGGCCGGGTACCGCGCTTTCCAGTGTTTCTGCCTTCAAGTCCATTTGATCTACAGGAGGGCAGCGTGCTTCTTGCACATATTAGTCAATCATACGTATATATGGGAATAAAGAGTGTTTGAAATCGAGAACTATCTGATCGCGTTTTGAATCATGATGCAAACTGGGAAGTCGGAGAAAGCCCGTCAATTTCCTGGCCTGTGTAATTGCTTTCGCTATCTCAGTTTGAATTGCGGTGGCTTTCGCCAGAACCCCAAATTCCTAGTGTGCCCGTCTCGTGTATTCCCTGGAAACCACTTACCCACCTATTGATGCTTTGACTGCTTAGATATTGGCAGCAGCACTTATCCATAGAGGCGGCGAACATTTGCAAAAAGTTATTGAAACTGAAAGGTTGGTCATTGGTGGTCGCACCTCTATAGAATAGAATTCCTAGTTTAAAGAGATTTCCGGCGTTTTGAGGGGTTTGACGATCGATAACAGTGCTAACAAGTAGATAGCACACACCTGCCAACTTTCACCTTCGGGGATCTCCATAAGCACATTTTAGGCTGGTCGTCTTGAAGACATGCTTCTGCAACATCAATACTATATCATCAACTACGTCTGACGAATTCCTTTTGAAAAAGACTTCTTTCAAATCATGTCATTTTTCCCACCTTGTTTTATGAACTGGAATTCCTTACCTTTTGCTACATATATAAAGCTTTTTGACCATGATTTCGAGGACCGGAACCCACATGTCCTGACTTCCGGCCGGTGACACAGCCTGCCTGAGATTACAGCATCCAGCAGCCGCTGCCGTCTTCATGTATGAAAGTCGGGCTTCAAGCCATAGCAATCAAGAGTATAATACTATATTGTAGTCACTAGATGTGACCCTGTTCTCGTGAATGAAATACGTTAGTAAGAATAATGAAGTCGTATTGAAACGCGACAACAGGCATGCGAAAATGCTCATAAAATCTATCTTATATCTCCTCAAGCCATGTGTTCAGACAAGCCAGAGAACTCTTAGTACCGGGATGGTCTGAGCCCAATCTTTGTTGCCGAATAGAAAGGCACTCCTGCAACAAGGTTATAACATCGTTTGTTCTGCCACCATCCTTCCATGTGCGAGCGAGTTGCTGCATCATGATTACCGTCTGGAGATGATCCTCTCCCCAAAGTCGCTTGCCCATCTCTATTCCCTGCACCAGCAGCTCCTCAGACTCCTTCAGCCGGCCTTGCATGTAAAATATCCTGGCTAGGTGGCCTGTATGCTTGATTGTACGACGATGCTCCAGTCCTCGAACTCGCTTTGATAACTCCAGTGCTTGTGTCCCTAGCTCCTCAGCTTCCTTCAATTGACCTTGGTCCATAAGTATCTTAGCCAGATTGCCTATACTAGTCAGTGTATTAGGGTGCTCATCTCCATTTACTCGCTTTCTTGTCTCCAATACTCGTACCTCCAGCTCCTCAGCCTCCTTTCTTCGGCCTTGCTTGCGAATTGCACAAGCTAGCATGCTTGTTGCTTTGAGTGTAAGATTATGCTCCTGTCCGTTAATTCGAATTGACGCCGTCATTACTTGTATCTCTAGCTCTTCACACTTCTTCCATCGGCCTTGGTTATCAAATATACGAGCCAGACGGTGTTTGTTGTGCAGGGTCGTAGGATGTTCCTCTCCTTTGGACACTTCAAGAAGTGCTATGGCTTGAGTTTGGTGCTGTTCAGCCTCCTTCACATATCCTTCCTGTGACAAATAGTGCACCATGGAACCCAACAGTATAGCTCGTGCAGTGCTTGCACCATTTGCGCGGGTACCATCCTGACTCAGTACAGAATTCGCATGCGGTAGATATTTAAGACACAACAGTCGACTGCCGGAGGTTCTTTTTGGGTATTCGTCCGCCACCGTTTTGAGGGCATGCTGTGCGAAACCGACCATGGCACCCTTAACCAGCAGCCACTTGCGTGTTACCAATTGAACCAGCCGATGCATGTCCACGGTCTCATTCTTCTCTTTCGTGATGAAAGAAAATGCTTTGAGTAGACCGAGGGACTTGGTTAGCTTGGCAGCATCGATGGCATTAAGTCCCTGAGGCTGGGCATGGAAACAATAAATGGTAATAAACTCCTTTGGGATAGCCTGGCGATCAAGAAGGCTGATGAAGGACAGGATGTTACTTGTGAATGAATCTTGCTGTTCGATCATTTCAAATGAAATAATCCAAGTTGCTGTGAGTGAACGCGGCGTTTCGGAGTCTCTCCCGACTGTGTTGAATGGTTCGCTCAGGCGATCCACTAACGCCACGTCGCTGTCATCCAAGAGTTTGATGTATTCTCCGATTGTGATGGAGTTTCCTTGGATGAATGCTGCAGCCTGCGCCAGTGCAAGGGGTAGCTTTTCCAGCCGCGATGCAAGGACCGTTGTCTCTCCAATATTGACTTCCTGATCATCCATCAATGCACGCATGAGCATGTTTGCCTCTGCATCAGTTAACTTGTCGACTTCAATTGGAGGTTTTCCTTGAGCCAACTTCAATCCCACTTGTTTGTTCCTGGTTGTGACAAGGATCGATCCATGAGCACACTCGGGCACATAGCGTCCTAGGCTCGCTCCTTTATTGACAGTGGAATTGGATGGAGTGATCTCATCACTTCCTTCCTGCGATCCAAAGAATAGCTCTATGTCGTCGGCATTATCGATAACCATGAGCCAGCGCTGCTGATAATTCTTTTCAAGCCAAGTCTTGACGAGCGATAACACGTCGATTTGTGGGTCATCACGTCCTGGGATGTTGAGTTCCTGAGCGATGGAGGAATATCCCCCGCGGAAGCGTTCAGCGTTGCCTCCGTGAACCCAAAATACCGAAATACCAGGATGTGTTTGTCGTAGCCAGTAGACATAGGCTATGGCAATCTGGGTTTTCCTATGAAATGTCAGGCTGTATTCCGCCGTCACCGTAATCTAGCTTACCCAACACCACCAAGACCGTATAGTGAGATCCTTGATCGTAGCTTGACAGCTCTCTGGGGCTGACCTATGCTAAGCCGTTCTTCCAGATCACGGAGGATTTCAGATCGCCCTACAAAGTCTTCGTTTTGATTGTATGGAACCAGAACTAACTCTATTAGTAGGTGCTGTCACGGTGACTCTCTTTACATACAATTTGCAGTTGAGCGTTGAAAGCGATTGCGCGATGATAGCGCCCGTCGGGTGAGGCCCTTAAGCCTCTCGCATGCTTTCTCATACTCGTGATCCTGAGGCCCAAATTTCACCATCAGAGAGTGGGTACGGGCGATGGCGCAGATGTACTCCGGTCGATTTTCCCAAGGGCGGCAGACAGTAGCGGAAGATTTAGTGACTAGGACTTTAGGTGGTCCATTCATCTTCCAGTTACCATGTTCATCCTGTTCGTTGTTAAGAGTGTATGTTTATGAGAGTGGGAGACAAATACCTTTTGTGCTGTCGGTGACTCAACTGTTTCGTAGAAGCAGATAATCTCGGCCTCACCTTCTTCACCCAGAGCCTTATAAAATCCTCGTTGTTGCATGGTAAGGATTTGGGAATTGATACGGTTGATAGATTCAATCAGGAAACGATTCGGTCCGTCCCCAGCCATAGGGATTAGCGAGCTAATATCCATTCCGTCGTTGGGAACCCCAAAGAAGGCGATTCCACGTACAGCTTGAAGAAGGTTAATATCGTCCTCTACAGTAGATTTTGACAGGGATATCAGGGTCTGTTTTGAATTAGCTTTCGTCAAGTACACTAAATGTACAGAGCTTACCTGCTTGATGATCAACCCTCCCAAGCTATGAGCAACGAAGATGATCAGTCGCATCGTCGACTTGCTGGCCAATGCGAGCAAACTTGTGTGTAATGCAGTTGCGAGGTCCTCCAAGTTTTGCATATTCTCGCTTTGTGAGACTTTCGATTCATAACCGTAAATCATAGTCCGCGTCATTGGTATGTCGGTGTCTGGGAGGATAAGATCGTAGGGCAAAGAATCCCGCAGCCACATGTAGTCCCCGCCCTTCTCTTTGAATGACCCGAATGCATGGCCACCAAGACCAGATATGGCAATGACGCTTGAACCATTAGCACGAGCTTCGTGGAGTGCTCTACCCTTGCAACCTTACTCAGCCTTGTGATCCTTTGGAGGAGGTGTGTACAGCGTAGTGATGCCGAAGAAGTCATGGTCAAGGGTGAGATATTCGTCTCGGCTGGGTAGATTTTCGTTTGTCTTTGGGAGTCGAAAGCTTCGACTCCCTCCGGCGCGCAGTTCTCGGAGCGGAGGGAGGAGGTTTTGAAATGTGACAGTCGCCGTCTTCGTCCGGCCGTTGATTTCGTTTGCAAGAGACCGTATAGTCATACCTGTGGAGTTCTCATGGTCTGTGAGGAACGACTCTAGTCGGGCGGGGTCCCATGAGTCAGGTACGCCGCGGACGCGGAACGTCCTAATATCTCCCGGTGCTAGAGTGCCAGCCTGACTTCGAATAGGCGGCTCCATTTTGGGTGAAGTGGGATGTGCAGTCTAATCGGTGACGACGCTTGCTGAACCTGTCCGAGTAGACATCGGTGGGTCGCGCCCAATTTCCAGAGCTGTTGACCTAGTCGATACGTTTATCGTGTGTGAAATAGAAGCCTGTTGTGAGGAGGTAGAAGCTGAGAGAGAAAACAATCCAAGGGATTTGCGGCTGAGGGAAGCGTGAAGTAAGCATTGAAAAGTGGCGGACGCTGGGAGCCTCAGGCATCAGAGGCTTGCAGTACTCTTGGCCTCTCAACAGCCAGCCTTCACTTTACGCGGTAACCAACTAATACAGATCAGGCTGTGGCGCCGAAAATGCATGGCCCAACAAACACGGTGGCTATTTTCCTGCACAGATACAAGCCTGTTGACGGTAGCCTAGACAAACTAAAATACCCAGGTAACATGTAAGTAAGAGGGCGTATTCTCAATTAAGCATTCCATGTTATTTCGTATCTGTATATCTCTTTGAGTGCTGTGAGGCTTCCCGCAGACAGCCTGCAGAGATCTCAACCAATAAGAGAGTAAAGACTTAGGGATGCTTGAAATCAGGTATTAGGTGAGCTGAGACAGAAGTCTTTGAATCCTGACTGATTCCTACTAGTGCAGAAGGGGGTGTGAATCTCGTAATCTAAGAGAAATTTATAGCAATTAAAGAGATACAAGTTCATTATGCTAACTATCAACGAATAGGTATTTTCCCGTTGCTATTAATATAATATCCAGCCTTATAAATAAATAGAATGCCCATAACAAAATAGTTACCAGAGAATAAGACTGCAGCGATCAAACCCGAGTGACATAGCCCTCATTGCGTTGCTCGAGGTTAAGATAAACCCCACACAGCGACTGAATACCGCCAGCCAGGAGAGCGGCCTCAAGTATTGCTGCGCCCCCGAGTCATTCAAGCAGCAGGAATTACTGGGACGCGTCGTACGAAGAAGAGGCAGGCAATGCGGAAATGCCACGCGTCGTTCCGACGTTTGTCGAGATGAATTGTGTCTCGAGGGCAGTGCACGGGCTCAGTGGTGAGCGATACTATACCCGACTAGGGGTGCTTGTACTTGAACAGCCCGAGGATATGAAAGCGCTATGGGATGCGTTGGAGAAATTTGATCAGCTCAACCCGGGAACTCGGTCAGGATCTATCATTTGCGATGGGATCCCGCGACCTGTAGGTGGGCGGGAGTATGTGGAGATGGATGGAACCTCGCAGCGTGTTATTTGTATTCAGTGAGATGAGCTCAAATAGTTCATGATTCGTGTCCCTAATAGAACGCTAGGATATCTTGGATGCAATAGAACACCGCTAGGCTATGATAAAACATTCGACACAGTTTAAACACTTCTCGTCCCTCAACCCGTTGATTAGGTTCTTCCATCCCCTCTGCCAGATATAGCAGGGTCCGGCAAATCATAAACATGCATAAATCAAGTCATGCTAACAAAGAGTAAACTCCACTTGGCTCTAGCTATCAGCGTTCTGTGGCCCGGATTGCAAAAGTCTATATGCTCATAAACACATCTATGTCTAGTTCAGGTCTCGCGACCACGATTCAGGGTTGACGTCCGTCTCGGCTTCCGGTTGGACTTGCTCCTCGGACAACCGTGGATTTCGCAGTGCCAGGGCGAATCCAATCATGGGAATGCAAAGGCACATGCCAGCAATGCAGAGCAGCTTCTGCACATGTGAATAGCTGGCGATGATGGCGTCTCGGATTTCTCCTCCGACGGGATAGTTGGGTACCACGGAAAAGGGGGAGTCGTAGATGGCCTGAGCCAGCGTGGCGTTGGGTTGGAATGCGAGGTTGGCTTGTAGAGTGCCGTAGAGTGTCTGGGTCCAGATTGCACCGGACAAGCACGTTCCGAAGGCGCTACCGACGTTGTAAAATGACAAGTACAAACCAGTCAGAATGGCCATGTGTTCGCGCGAGGCGGAGGCTTGGATAGACGCCTGGGTGGGATACGCAAACAAGCCGCCGGCCACGCCCAACAGGACCTGTGCGCCGATGATGCCAGTTCTGGAGGCCTCGGAAGCACCACCGGGGTGCAAAATCAAAAGGCCAAAGGCCAGCATGAAGAGACAAGTGCCTCCGACGATGATGAACTTGAGGCGGCGAATCTTGAAGATGACCAGACCAGCTGCCATGCCGCTGAGGACGCCGAAGAAAGAAAAGAAGGAGAGAATGCGGGTAGCACTCTCGACGGAAAAGTCAAATGCGACGACGAGGACAGTAAAGAGGTAGTTGCCCTGGGTGTACCACGCAAAGTTGAGCATGCTGCGGACGGCCAATGCAGACCAGACACCTCGATCGCGCAGAAGATGGAAAGGGACGAGAGGGTTCTTGGCGCCGCGCTTCTCCCAGAGGACGAAGAGAGGGACGAGGAAGAGGCCCAAGGTCAGGGGAACAATGACCTGCCAGTTGCCCCAATGGCTGACCTTGCCACCGGCTGCTGTTAGCGGTGCGAGGACGAGGGAGAATGCTGCGATGAGGGTGACGAGGCCGACCATGTCCAGCTGCTCCAAGAGGTCAGAGTTGAACCATTTCTTGGGCGAATGGTGGCGCGACTCGGGTCGAAAGGCCTCGATCTTCTTCGCACGGCGTTCAACGGTGTACAGGAAGGTGAGCAGCGGCAGCGAAGCAATCGGGTAGATGATGGCCCACATGCCCAGACCCCATCGCCAAGTGGTCGCCTCCAGGACGGCCGACGTAATGATGCCGCTAATCCAGGTGTTGACGAGGAAGGGAATGGCGGGGATGTAGCTGAAGAAGACACGGGCTCGCATGGACGAAAAGTCGGCAATCAGGACCTCCATCAGCAGCACAATGCACGTGTAGCCGGCCTGGTAGATGATGCTCCCGGTGCAAAATGCCTCAACCGACTGGGCACTCGCCTCGATGGCGATGCCGGCCGTGTACAGCAGCGTGGACGCGGCGATGACCTCGAAGCGGCCCAGCACGTCGGCGACCTTGGCGGCAGTGGGCTGGACGGCGACGGCGACGACGCTGCGGAAGACGTTGATGGTCGAGAGGTACGAGTGCAGCGAGAAGCTGGAGGTTGCGTAGGGCTGGTAGGCGGAGCGCACCTGGCTCTCGAGGCCGTAGGCGTAGCCGACGAGGAAGATGGCGACGAACAGCCACACGCGGTCGGCGGTCGAGAAGCTGGCGGACACGGCGGCCATGCGCTCGACGCCCGAGGAGCGAAGCGATGGTTTCTGCGTCGAGTCGTCGTAGCTGGTCGAGATGCTGCGGGTCGAGCTGCTGCTGGAGGCGAGCAGCACCTGGCGGTCGGACACCCGTCGTAGGGCAGCCACAGCGCCAGACGCGTTGTCGCTGGCTCCCAAAAGGGGCGCTCGCTCGTCGGTGCGGTCCATGGCGATGCGATGCGATGCGATGGATGCGACTGTGCGAAGCGGCGAGAGCGTGGTTTCGTTGGTGGTGTAGGTTCCAGGCCACAGGCTGCTAGAGCATGCAGCTGCGGGATGGCACCTCAGGCAGGCCACGCTGTAGGTATTTGTCACGCCGCACTTCGCAGGTCACGCGGGACAGGCGTCACGCTGTGTACCTACATAGAGCACAACGTACTGTGTACTTTACAATTCAGGAGGATCAGATAAGATAAATGTCCAATAGCGGCGGTTCTAGCCGGGGCTAATGTGCCCGCTGTGGATATTACTTTCCGCTTTACCCGCCATGAACCAGCTAGATGATCCGTCTGTGCTGGAATGCTACTATACTGTACTCCCGCTATCGGCCTGGAAATGACGCCTAAGATCCATCAGACAGGGATCCGCCATGCGGGAAATGCGGGAAATGCGGCCCAAGCATCGTCCATTGACAATCGGTTTTCGGTTATTTGCCGAAATCCCATCGTACAGAGTACAAGCGGGAGGATGTGTCTGAGATACCCTGCCGAAACTCCATCCCAGGGTGTCTATTTTCTCGAGATCTCAGGGATGGAGCATTAAAACATGTGGGAATTATTTATTCTACCAGTACTCCAGCGTCCATCTACTACTTCATGCTCTACCCTGGTATCTGGAATTGTTAAACGGCCGCCTCCCGTCAATCCAAACTCTATCTCGCCAAGACGCAACGCAGCGCCTTTGATCTAAACCGAAACAGTCTGGATGCAAAAGTATACCGATAAAAATACGCCCGCTAGTGATGTCCAACTGGACCCTGATTTCCAACTGGACCCTGATTTCCAACTGGACCCTGATTTCCTAGTCCCTGATTTCCTGGACCTTGCTGGCCGGATCCAAATCCTCCTCCTCCTCCTCCCACCGCTGCGAGATTGCCCTGCTGGAATTGTCCAGACTCTTGTTGACCCGATGCCACGTACATGTCCTGGATGCCCTGATTAAACCACGTAGGACTGCGACGCGGCTGTGGCATTGCTTCCCCATCTCCTTGTCCAAACCCAAACTGCGATCCCTGCAAGGAACCGCCCGGAACATTTGAAGATGCAATATTCGCACCTTGGCTGCCGGGGAATTGCTGTCCTTGTATCGCCATCTGGGTTGCACCGCCGTAACCTGGCTGGGGTGCGCTAATATTTGGATGGTTTTGCGGCTGCTGTTCCTGCATTCCTCCACCGGGTTGCTGGAAACCTTGCTGCTGCTGTTGCTGCTGGAAATGCTGGTTCTGCTGAAACCCTTGCTGCTGGACAGCTTGCGGTTGTTGGAATCCTTGATTCTGCTGGAACCCTTGGTTTTGTTGGAACCCCTGATTCTGTTGATAGCCTTGCGGTTGCTGATAATTCTGCTGTTGGAAGCCTTGTTGCGGGAATCCTCCCGGCTGAGAACTCGACCGCAACGCACGCGCAAACGCAGCTTTCCTATCAACACCAGCCCCTCCAACAATCCGATCATTCTCATCTATCCAAATAGCCCGCAACTTGGCCTCCTTCGCCCGCCGCGCCGTATTGGACCCGTACAAATCATTCATGTACCTGTTGAACTCGAGATACACGTTGCGCACCGTGTCGAAGTGCCCGACCGTCAGCTTCACCACGGCGTCGGGCTTGAGGATCGCCTGGTGGCTGTTGCCCTGGGCCTCGAACTCGGCGAGCGCCAGCGCCGTCTGGCAGGCGTTGCGGATCTGGCGCCCGTTCCACCGCGCGTGCGGGTGCTCGGCGAAGTGCTTGGCCGCGAAGCTGCCGATGCCCATCTTGTCGATGTCGATGCGGCGCTGCTTGTGCGTGAAGCGCTCCTCGATCATCTCCATGTTGATTTTGAATACTTCGACTGTCTTTTCGGCGTTGAGCTCGGGGTAGTATAGGCTGATGTGAATGCGGGATGTGAAAGCTTCGTCAAAGTCGCCGACTCGGTTGGTTGTCAGGAAGAGGATGCCGGAATAGTACTCTAGGACGCGGAGGAAGGCTGCAGAGCTTCATTAGCACCATGAATACGGCAGAGTGCTCCGTGTATGTGCTCACCTGCAACGAGTCCATTTCGCTTGAAATCCTCCTTGGTTCTCTCAGCGAGGAAAACGTCTGCCTCGTCAAGCAGAAGAATACATCCCCACCTACTAGCGAGAGTGAAGTTCGTCTCTAGTGTCTGCTCGACCTCTTTTGCCGTGGTTCCTAAATCGCCTGTACCAACCTATGTTAGGAGCTATCGTCGAACGCCAGGTAAGTAACACTTACCACATGTGATCTGGAGCAGTGGCTTTTTAAATAACTCCGCCACGCCCTCTATTTAAAGATTATCAGCAAGACAGAGCATGACAGTAAATCCTGCTAAAGGTGAGTAGTGCGTACCCGCTGTAGATGTTTTTCCTACTCCTGGAGCACCGTGGAGAAGCAAGATTAGGCCCTTTCCTATAGTCAAAGTCAGCCATGCGCCTCACCTCAATTCAAATTATATCCCACCTTTTCCCTTGACAATATCAACTTGCTCCGTTTGGCCTCCCTTGGACTCTTTGTCTCGGAAGTGCTGGGCGATGAGAGACACAATCATTGGCTTGTGCCCCTGCTCGAGAACTAGGCGGTCAAAGGCTGCGACGGGGTCCTTCTTGTCACTCCCTTCCCCTTCTCTCTCACCTTTTGCCTGGTCTTCTCCGGTCGTTCCAGTGGGAATATTGTCAGAGGTTTGAACATCTGAAAGATAAGTGAGATCTAATTGGGCTACATAAAGACAATATGGTTAGCATGCTATCGGCCGACGGATGGGGAATCAAAGAAAGAAAACTCGCCCCATTTCCGGCTCCGCAGAACGAATCCAAAGACGCGGTACGACATGATGACGAGCTCATCGTCCGCCATGACTGGGCGGTTTCCAGGCCCGGTCTGGATCTCCTTCAAGGGCCGAGGAATGATGGCAACCGATGGGACATCCTGCGAGGGCGTGTTGGGCAGCAGTCCGTTAACGTACTCGGTGCGCTGGTTGTCGTCGACGTATGAGTCGTTGTGAACAAATAGCTCTCCCCGACAGCAAGCGCCCCTGCAAGGCTCGTCCACGCCCTCATCCTCCCCGTCGCCGGCCGATGGAATATTTCCGACGAGAACCTCCAGGTCAGGTTTCTTCAGATGCTCCTTGGGGGTGTCCTCGAAGGAAAAGGCAGTCTCAAAGTCCACCACCACTTGGCTTTCGACTTCTTCACGTACCTCCAACGTCGGCCCGTCATAGTACATGTGCTTTACGCCGCGGCGGATGAGTTTCTGCCTGAAGCGTTGTTCGACTGGGTACTGTTGGAGCTCCTTCCACTCCGCCTCGCTCGTGTCAGCTCGGCTGAGACGGTGGTAGCGCAGAGGGTAGACCTCGAGAGAAGTCACGTCCCTCTGGCCCTCGAAGCGCTTGATATCAAAGGTGCGCGTCACAGGCCCCAGTTGCTTCCCGTCAAAGTCAACGTACACACAAGTGATGCTGAAGGCTGCCTTGACTCGCTTCTTCCCCTGGTTTGGGCCGCTGTACCAGCTCTGCCAGGCCGGTACCACGCGGTGTGGCGCGCTCGTGACGTGGACGACGCGGTATGCTTGCTTGCCATCGGGACGAACCACCTCCATGCCCGGGCGGAAAAAGTGCCAGAGGTCTGAGAAGAAGACGGTGCGGCAGTCGTCACTGCGGACGTAAGCGATTTTGCCAGAGATATTGGTGTCCATGAACTCAATGAGACATTTCAGGTGCTCCAGAGCCTTCTCTGACTTCGTTATGTGGCTCACGCGAGATGATGAAGTCGAAGAGCCAGAATCTTGTGAGCTGACCGAAGTCACTGAGCCGGCATCATCATCTTCTTTCCCCGTATCCTCCTTTTTTTCACTTGCTTCAGGCTTATCGTCGTTTGCACTTGTGTCGATATGATGTTCTTTAATTTCCTCTTTTGTGACCACTGAGTTGTTTGCAAGCGGCGACGCGTCAGAATCAAGGCTAGACGTTGAGATGTGTTTTGATTCTGTCCCCGCTGGTTCTGTTGATCTCGAATCATCCTCCTCCATAATTTCGTCTGGCGGTGAGCTGCCTCTGGCGGTAGCCGTGGTGTCCTCATTTGATTTCAATGTGGCCTTGTTGAACTTCTTCTCCAGTCCCGCGCACCAGTCTCTCAGCCTTTGTTCGCAGTAGATGAGTGCTTTGAACGGCCGAATGAGGAGAACCGACTCCCGACCGGTTGCCTCCAGCTTCAAGTCAGTTGATCCAAGAATCTTGGAAAGAATCATCAGGATCGCCCCCGAGTTGATTCGGATCCTCTCAGGGAGCGGATTTTGTCCCAACACCATTGCCGTCGTCTTGCGAGTCTGAGGATTCTCTGTTTCACCGAGCCGGCTCGAGTGGCCATACCAGGTTCGAAAGCCCACAATGTCATTGTCGAAGATAGGCTCGCCATCGAGAACGTTGATGACAGACGAACGCGTCAGGTCCACACCGGCGAGATGCTTAAAAGTAATCCAGTCGATGTATTTAATGCCTGGCTGGGGGAACTGGGACAACGACGGTGGCGGCGGTGGTACACTGCGGCCTATGTCGCCTGCAGCATCTCTCCCATTACCCCTGTGAGTGCCCCATTTGGCGGTGCTTGCTTCCCTCAGGCGCTGTTCCTTGTCTTCTTTCACCTTCGTACGCCTCCGAATACCCGTTTCCTCGGCCAAGTAAAGGCGGTCCATCTCCCATTCGAATGTCTTGCGAAGTCGGTCTCGGCGGTTGCCAAAATCGATGGTGCGGTCATATTCGTCCGGAACGTCTTGTCTGGCATCCTCATGATCGCTTCCACATTGGTGAGCCGGGTCAAACGGATCTGGTCGATGGTAGGGGGGATGGTAGTCATAAGACGTTATATCCCAATTAAACAGCCACGGACCGTGGGGAAAGCCGTACTCGAGAGGTACGTTTCGGACATCCATTCCCATGCTAAATCTTTCTATGGGAGATTTTGCGTTCCACTCCTTTCGGTGTTTGTACAGGCAAGCTTCCATTCGTCTATATTCCTCCATCTTATCGACCAACGGCAGGTTCTGTTTGTCTTGGCCCTGGCTAGCTTGAACGGATTCGGCTTGCTGCTCGAGTTCAAGGATCTTCCTCTTCAGGGCCTGAAGCTCATCGGTAAAGCCCATAGCGCGAGCCGCTTGATTCTGGCCATCCAGGCGTAGGGCGCCTGGCAGACTGTTCCCAGGCGAACCAAAGCCGGGCGGGCTCGAAGGCGTATTATCTTGTTGAGATGATGTCTGTGGAGTTGACAGTCCGCCGCTGAAGGGTTTCGGGCCACCGGACTCCAAATTCACAGCGTCTGACACCATCGTCGCAGCTTCTTTGGCTTCGGCCAAGCAAGGCTGTGCCTTCCACGCTGCAGAGAAAGGAAGAGTCGACACAATATGCGTTAAGGGGGAAAATAGGAAACACTTTAGGATGCAGAAGCGGTCAGATGTTTGGTGAGTAGGAGAACAATTTTACGATGCGGGAGGTGGAGTGATGGCTATCAGCGCAGAATATGCATGTTACCCAGGCTCGCCGCACAATTTCCCGTGATCAATTCGGCCCCCAGCGTAGGGTCTTAATAGCCGCGGCCTTGAGAGTGACCTCAATCTCTCGTTAAAAGCCGCAAGTATGGTTCCATCACGCGCCCAACCCCTGCAGCCCTGTCACCCGAGTGTGCTGTACGATGCTAGGCTGAGTGTCTTGTGCGTCCTAGCTGCGTGTTCACTGCAGACACGAGAGCTGAACGACGTGTTTCACTGGCTGCGTTTCAGTAGTCAATTGTTGATAGGTTCGGCTTAAGGTGGATGGCTTATTAGGCCGGCTCATGGTGCATTGATATGCACATTGCCTCGACAAGGCCTCAAGTGTGGTCCGATTGATCGGAGAACCATGCCGCTTCGAAGCCACGGCGCGTATTATTTGAGGGGCCGTTTTCACATCACGCATAAGGCAGTCATCCCCCCGCAGCAGCATATTCGCAATTCGACGCTGCTTGCGACCGGACGATCAGCTCTGGAATAGACAAAACGACTGATATTGATCGTGTGGGTGATTTAGGAGATTCTTCGCTAATATTGACACCGAGCCTCACTCTTTTCCAGCATTCCCATCATGGCTGATCCAAACTCGGCCGTGCCGAGGCTCCAACTTCAGCCCCCAGCCGTTGACTTCATGGACAATCGCTTGCCACAGCACCACCAAATGTTTTTGAATCCGCCTACTTACTATGATCCCTCGTCGGGTAATTATGTACCGAGCAGCCAGGCGTTAGTGCCGCGTCCAAACAACAGCGCGCTGGCACCTCCAGGGGCCCATTCTATGACTCCGCCAACAGCCCTGCCAGCGCTGATGAGTGACGACTCGTTCCCTTCCAGGCCGGCTTGGACAGATACCAAGGCCATGAAGTTTTGGAACGGCATATTTCCTGAGGCGTTAGAAAAATTCAAGACGACGACAGAACCCAAAGGTCGGTCCAAAACTGACTTCAGTATCCGCAATGAGGACGACTGGGACGCCATCTACGACAAACTAGAAAAGGCCCGGGCCAAGTATCAGAACGAAGGAGGAAAGGTTGGATGGCTTCGAAAAGTACGGCGGAAGGCCGCAGACCACGTCACCCCAGTGGCGGAATCAGCAAAAAACATCGGAAAGCTTGTCCCAGATAGCCCGTATTCGACTCCCGTCGCAGGAGCTGTACAACTTCTCCTAGATGTAGGTTGCATGGTGACGTGAGGTAGAGCAGTTTTACGGGCTAACGAGTTATGTATCTAGGCTGTCAACACTGCGGCAAGTGTGCGCGGCCAGGCGCTCCAGGGCTTTGATGGTTTAATCCCAATATTCTCTGACGTGGAGGTGTTCCTGGGGACGTTTCCCAAGGATGTGGGTATCCAGAACGCCTCTGTAGAATTGCTGGTCACAACACTGGACGCTATTGAACGAGCTATTGGATTCTTCATCAGCAATGAGGGTGGGTCTTTCTCCCTCTGCTTCTCCGATCCACAGACTATAAAGAGCTAACCAGCGTGATATCGGAATTGCAGTGCTGAGGAGTCTTAAAGCTGTGAGTATGGGAACTGTCTATGAGTCTAAACTAGTTGGGAGCTTGGGAGCAATCGACCAAAAGAGCAAGAGCCTCATGGAAGAAGCCACAAAGTCACACATATTCGAGTTCCACATGTGTAAGTGTGTTCCTATCACTGAATCAAACCGGGCTGACCCTTCCATGAAGACTCACAGGAGACGCGGAAATTTGCGCAAGAGATGCTCAATCAACAGCAGAAGCTAGGAAATCAACAACAGAAGCTAAGCACCGACTTTACCAACATGATGGATTTGTTGACAGACCATGTTCAAGAAAGAGATCGTAAGCATAACCCTGTGTGGTCCTGATGCAGACAATTTGTTTCTAACTCCTCGTGATTCACTACAGGACAGTTCGCAATAGAAAGGGAAAGACACCGACGTAAGTCACTCAATCACCAACACGTGGTGACGGTCTTGCTAATATTTAAACTCCTTACCCGTCTGCAGAAGAAATCAAAACTGCTCAACAAGAGATTGTCTTCCTCCAGATTGAGAACGGCCGGCTGCGCAGTGTATCGCCTACACCTCAAAGCATGTGGCCTGCACCGCCACCTCAACACCTTCCTGCGCTGGAATGGCACGTCGATCAACGAATGCTGCGACAGATGATCAATAGCGGCGACATTGACTTCGCAGACGCTGCGTTTGCCTTAGACAAGAAGGAGCAACTCCCAGCCCGGGAACGAAGTCAGGCCGAGCAGATCGCCAATGCGCAGCTGTTCAAGACGTGGATCACGTCGACCTCCTCGGCCAAGCTCCTGGTGCACTGGGACCGGACGCCGCCCCGAACAATCGCCAATATTTCGCCTCTGTCAATCTTCTGCGTCTCGATGTCACAGATGGTGCAAGCTCACGGCCGCTTTGTTACAGCAATGTGGCTCTGCGGGCGGCATATCGATCCAACCGAGAGCGCTGTCGGTGGCCGCTCGATGCTTGCGAGTCTGACCGATCAACTGCTACGCCAGCACGCCTTCGACACACGCTCGCTCGCGGCAGATGGCTTCGACTTTGAACGTTTGCGGCTTGGCAACCTTGAGGAGTTGGTTCGACTACTGGAATGGCTGGTGCGAAGACTACCTGGAACAATTACATTTGTGTGCCTCATTGATGGCGTCATCCTTTACGAGCGCGAGGAAATGGAGGCATTGGATTCCTTGGCATGCCTGATCAGACTGGCTACAGATCATAACATCCGTGCCGCCGTCAAATTGCTCTTTACGAGCACGCCCGGGACTGACATCGTTAGAGGCGCGTTTGAGGAAGAAGACTTGATCATGAACGTGGATACACTACCGAAGTTCGTGTGGGCGCCAAGCGACGAGCGTGTAGTGAGAGAGCTAGGGAGGGACCTGAGTGGAGTCTGAAAGGAAAGATAGAGAATATATGTATTAATCTTTCTATCTTTAAACAGTTGTTCCTTCCATATTTGGCCTTCTTGATGAACCTCGACCTTGCCATCAGAACACAATAAGAGGGCGCCTCCGGTGCTCAGGGAAAAATAGGCACAGTGGCATTTATGGCGATCGGGGCATTGCCAGGCAACAAGAAGCATTCTATTAAGCACGACGTCGAGTCATTCTTCTGGGTGCTGTTCTGGATATGTATTCACTATAAAAAGCACGGCAAATGTTGGTAGATAGAGGCTATAGCATATGAAAAACCCATGAAATGCATGGGGTCCCATACTTTTGACAGCAAAGATCTTGGACGAACTGGATCTGAGAGCTGGAACTATGAGGATGACTGGGAACTTGCTTGTTCGAAGCTTGGCACTATAGGTGACAAAGGTATGTTTCTTAATATTGCGAGAGAGAAATTTTCGGCTCTTCATCTACCATTAATCCCGTGTGTCAATAGATTGCGGAGTCTAGTTTTCCCAAATGGTGAGAGGTGGAAGAAAGAAGATTCAGACCTATATTTAAAAATGAAGTAGGTATTGCAGGAAGCACGGGAGACAAAGGAATCAAGCCTCTGATCTTTTTTGGGACTAATCTGCGACATTTGCAAATTGGAGCCTGCTTTTTCGCCTACCAGCAACTCAACCTTAATGAAGCAGCCAGCAATACCTAGTAACTCTGTATAGACTTAGCAACACCATCTGTATATGCCTTTCACTTACTACTCTCGTCAGCTCGGCCCCCTACTCAGTACAGAAGTAGTGGTTTATGAAACTCAAAAGGGATAGGAAGCTGGTACTCTGGAGGAGATGTGATGCTGTACAAAGTTGATGTCATCGTTACAAGGGGCGGAGGGCCTCTCCGCAGCTGTGATGGAACCCAACATCGGCCGTTGGTACTTGTTATGCGAAATGTTGTCGACTTGACCACTTATGAAGTAAACCAGCATGTTCATGCCCCGAAAGTGATATGCCATTGACTGCTTAGTCCAAGTTCGGTATGCCGTCCAGTTTTGCGTCAAGTTCTTTATGTTCCGAACTGATAAATAGATCAACAGTAGTCTGAGCTGATCATTTCGAGTCGCGAACGCTTCGATGAAGGCCTGGACGCCACAGATCTGAACATGCAACACAAGGAGGTAAATTGGCGAATCAGTCGCATTCATATATTCGTAGGCTGTGCAGCTCTGTGGCTTTTCAGACATGGCTCCATTTGCTGCACATTGGCAGGTGGCGGAGGCTGTACAACGGCGGCATCGGCCCTATAAGCCATTCGCCCCCCTCTCTAGACACGTCTCTCTTTTGTCCTTCATTTTATTTCTATAATTCTTTAAAATATATGCGTCTAACCTCTCGTTGAAACATCATCGCCATCCCCATGAAACGCCAACTATATGAACTTGTTCGGTTGCGTAAGACAAATCGCTTTGGCATCTCGCGCGAACTCCCTAGTTAACGTCTATTGTTATTAGCTGGAGATGGAAACATACGGTCAAGCAACACATCGGCTTGGCCGCCAAACCCCCGCGAACTGCCGAAATCCCCGATAGCCTCCCTCATGCGCGCCGCGGCCTTCTTGCCGCTTCTTGGGTTTGCAATACCGTTCACAGGTAAAACCACTGTAGCCTTCGCGGATTGATCCTGTTGCTGACCTTGATCACGTTTTGACTGTCTTTATGAGTCGTTTAGATGGTCAGCCCATTTCGTCACATGGTACCAACGTTTTTGAAACCATGGGGCTGGCCTCGACGCTCTGGCCTATTGCCTTCGCCGCCGTTCTTGGGTCCCTGGCTCGAGCAATAGCGCTCTATAAAGCTGAGAAAGGAACAAAGCTTGGTGTAAGAATATCTATTTTTCCTTTTCATCCAATTATGGACCCAGAGTCCCTACTGAATACGATGCCGGTATAGACAATTGGGGTGCTCCTTGGTAGCCAAACTCTCATGAACACACTGACCAATGCCGTATCTCTTCGAATCCTTTCTCTTTGGGTTTTACTATTGTCTATTTTATGGACGTTTAGCCCGGCTGGCGGTCAAGCGGTCCTCCGAGCCATCCGTGTTACGTCCGTTGCCGAAGTCCGAGACTATGACTTGATGTACAGTCCTAGGGCCGACATTGGGATCCCCTTTAACGATGCTCTCTGGGTAAGCATTGGTATTCGAAGCCCCCGGCTCAGCCATATCTACCCCATATTCGGCGCAGCGCTCTCTGCACCGGGCTCTTTAGGCCAGGCTGCGAACGGAACGAGTGCTGTCTTCAATGACGCAGTGCAGCAGCTTGGTGGGGCGGAAGCCGCGAGCTTATTGGCAACAAGAGATCTTTGGGGAAATATGCGGGTTCCTCAGATTACTTCTCTGCCAGGGTACCATTTAGCAAAACCATATGAATGGGTAGATGTTCCGAGAGATCAGCTGGTGACCTACGAGTCTCTAATTGGTATCCCGATCCGGGGTTTGCCTTTAGGGTCGCCTGGAAACTTGACTGTACAAATATCAGCCACGTATGTCGCCCTCGAGGTATGTTGTGGCCTTGTGTAAGACATTCTGCAAGTCTAGTAGCTGACCCCGATAAGTGCTCTCCCTGGTTCAACACAACCGAGTGGCTACTAGCTATTCCTGGTGGATTGTATATGGACAAAAGAACCCCGAAAAACTTATCCAGCAGCAGTCTTTATGAGATGAGGAATGGTAGGGCTCATTTTTATATGGACGTACCCGCTCCTGATAGTGGCTTCAACTTTTCCGCCAAAGCTATCACCAGTAGAGGGCCCATAACACGAGGAACCCTGGTTTTTGGAAATAACCATAACAGCACCGTCTGCGATATCAACCACATCCATGTTGACGTCGACGCTGTATGTGAACGATCAAACAACTTTGAGCGAATGGTGTGCAGAGCCAACAGAATCCGCCATTCTCCATCTCAACCGATTTCAAAACCCGATGACCAGCTATTGCCAGATTTCAGCCATGGCCCAGCTGTATTCATCTCGGATCTTCCATCGCTTGCGCCTACTTGGTATGTTGGACGCTTTTCGCCTTTGGAGAGTTATCTTGCCGATCCGGCGCAGGGCATTACCCTCACCGCCGATTATATTACCGATCAATTTACCAAGCTACCATTAGCCGTGTTCTCTGAACGCCTATCCCTACTCATTAATACTGCCCTGTGGGCTTCTTGGTCTACTGCTTCGGTGTTGAACATCGACATGGCAAATATCACATCTGAGACAGAATTACTGGGGAACGTGTACGGGAACACAACGGGCCAGTTTACCTCGACCATGGAAGTCTACCAGATTCAAAAAGCGTGGATGGTATTATTCATCTTGTCTCTGGCAATCATGTTCGCAGCTGCAGCAGGTACTATCGCCTTGAGACTGATGATTCGGGCACCAGATTTTCTCACACATGTCGCCGCTTTGACACGAGATTCTAAGCACATGAGCATGACGCCGGGAGGAAGCACACTGAGTGGCGAAGAAAGAGCGCGGCTACTGAAAGACGTGCCGTTAAAGATCAGAGACGTACAGCCAGACGAATCTGTTGGGTATATTGCTCTTTCAGATGAGCTTGATGAAGGGGCTGCTGGTGGACTGGGCCAAGATGGCAGAGTATACAAGTAAGAAGTTATTTATTGGTATCAGTTTGATAGATAGATGGGGAAGAGAATGCTAAAAATACGAGCATTTATAAAAAGTTAAATCTGTATAGTTGAATCTTGGGACTAGGCAATTGGACCACTGTTGATCTATTGTTGATTTTTCTAACTGCTCAGCCTCGATTCCCTCATCCGTGTGCGTGTACTGCTAGAGCTACTTAGCCTTGTGACAACCCTCAAGTTACGCAAGTTGCTTTCACGATGAACGACATTCGGAATTATAAACGTAGATACACTACCGAAGCTCGCATAGGCGCCAAGCAACGAGCGTGTATGTAGTGACAGAGTTGGGGAGAGACGTTGGCGGGCTCTAAAAAAAAAGGTAGGGAATATATATTAATCTCTCTATCTTTACAAAGTCAATCCTTCCATATTTGGCCTTCGAAACGGGAGTATTGAACTTGGTATTGAACGGGGTTGGGGGATTGAACCTGAGTCCTGGAAAGTGCTGAGTAGAAAGCCTTTCACTTTATCAGCATCAATAACGGGTGTTCCGGAGCCCGTCTCTCCCTGTGTCGCTTTGATGCGGTCGCACTCGCTCAGTAGATCGGCCATTTCAAACACGCCAAGTCGAGCGAAGGATTTCCAGAGTTCTTGCCACTTGATCTCCCGACCTTTGTCATAATGATGATCCCACTCATCTCTCTGGACATTTGCGCCTACTATGCGTGGCTTGCAGCTAAGCATGGCAGCAACAACCAACCATTCTCTCGTCGTGCCATGAAACCTAGGGTCGAGTAGGGGATCAGCACCATTTAGATGATCTCTGTAATGGCACATCAACAGAGGCAATATGATCGGCATTGGCCCTTTCTCCTCGGTTTCAATCACAAACATGTGAGAGTTGCCGTACCAGTAGGTCTGGTCTCTATGAGGATCTGACCCGTTGTCGAGTAGGAGCTTCATACTAGCCAAGTCTCGGTTGTCGATGCAGATTTTTATCGGAGCAAATGATTTCGCATGATACGACCAGTTTACCGGGGTCGAATGAGTGAATACCCGGAACGGCTGTTTCATGTCCCCTTTCTTTATGAAGTTCGGCGCCGTTGTGGGTTGGCGACAGGAGAGAATGGCCTCAACAACAGCACCGTCCTTATGGTGGCAGGCTTCTCGAAGAGCAGACTCGATGACGCCCAGTTTGCCTACCCAATCAATCTTGCGTAGGCCTTCTTCTTCGCCCTCTTCTTGGGGAAAGCAATGCTCGATCAACTCGCGGGAGATGTCTGCATATCCTGAGCAAACTGCGCTCAAGATGAGCGAAGTGATATCTGCCCTCTGTCTGATTCGCCGCTGTACGAGTATCTCTATGGCGTCGGACTCGCCGGAGTAAATAGCAAGGTGAAGAAAATGGCCGTCGTAGAAGGGCTTTCTCGCCTTCTTTACCTCTCCGCCCTTGACCTTCTTTCTGGACGGGGTCATGTCAATATCATTCCTCAAGAGAAAAGATATGAGGTCCAGGTTTCGTGTCCTAATAGCAGCCTCAAGGAAGCAACCGAAAAGCGGCTTGTCCCTTTTGTGCTTTTCGTTGAAGGTGGATAATGGCCGTGGGCCCTTATCCAACAAGAGCGACCGAAGCTTTGTTACGGTATCAGGCCGTTTGAGATAAATCTGCGCCAGGATGACGTGTGTTTCGAAGCTAGCCTCTGTGATGGTCGCTCGGGTTGGGAAAATGAGAGAGAAACCCCGTGGTGAGAATAGGTCCCACATGCCAAAATCACGGCTCTGGTGTCCTTGGGTGATCGGCAGGGCGTTCTGACAAATCTCGAAGAGGTAATTGTATCGCTCTGGAGCGTCAACCTCGAGGCCATCTTCTGACATGATGTTGTCAACAACAGCGTTGATAACCGTGAACATGGTGGCGTTCCATGCTGCCGCCCTATCTCGAGGTTGCATGACCATGTAACGTGCCAAGAAAGCGGCTGCGTTGCCCTTGAGAGACGCAACACACTGTTTCGATTTTCTCTCCCGCTCGATGGCCGCTTGACGAAGTTGCGTGAGTGAGCGGCCTCGCTTCATTTTCCAAAACAGGCCAGTGAGGCATATTAGATGCATCACCTCGATGTCAAAGGTCCCTTCACAAATGAGACAAGGCCTTCGTTCTGGGTGGCGTGGACTTACGGCAGACAAGTCGAAGGCGAATGAGTGGACACAGATCGACAGGGCCTTCTTCTTCGTACTCTACACATCGCTCGACGATAAGGCGAATGCAATCCGCTGGGAGCATCTGTGACAGAGACACATTCGCCGAGTCCAGCGAATCATCTGAGGGCATTTTGGCCGACATTTTTAGCGAAGATGCGCAGTGATGCGATGATCAAATGAAGTTGATTAATAAAAGGCTTCGGGCTAATCGTCAACTTTTATTCTACATCTCTTATTAGCTTACAGTCGGTGACTCACAATATTGCAGTCACGGCCCTGGTCATTTACTCAGCCCCCGTTGCAACCACACACCACTAACGAAGACCGGTTTCACGCCATGGCAGCCCGCTAATTGGAGCGCAGGTCTTAGCGTCATCGTATTCATTTCAGCTGCGTCTGCTGCCTGGAGAATGCACATGGTGCAACAAGAAGTAATTCATGTGTCTAAAACCTATTGCTTGCTAAAAACGTTTCTTTTTCTAATGGCATGGGTGCATGAAAGAATGTCGTCTTGAAATGTCACCTTGTAGTATTTTTTGTTCGCTCAGCCTTCCACATTTTCCGCCCTCTTTAAATACCGTCCCGCTTCGTGATGTCATACTCATGGTGAGCTCATTGTCAGCGATTAAACTGATGTCTTCGGTGAATAAAACTATTAGAAAGACGAGTTGTCGCCACAAGAAAAGGCCCCCTTAACTTTGCTGCTGTCGCTCTCGAAAATGCTGATGAGCTCGGTAATTGACGACCACAGGCCACCCGCGTTCATAAACAGGGACTGGATAATAAGCAGCGAGTTCAGAATTGTGAGAAGAATCATCTTCCAGTCATTGAACAAAGAGCCCTTGTTCAGGTGGAACCAAAACACCGCACTGAGTCCAAACGTAAACCAGGCGATCGTCGTGGCGGAGGAAATGGCGAGGATGGAGTCGAATACGGGGATGGCGTTGGAGATGACCCAGACGATGATCCAGTAAAGGGTGACGCATGCAATCCAAGTGCTCCAAGACTTGGCGCTGCGGTCGGTGACCTGATGCGTCGCCTTCATCCATCGCATGGCCACCACATACATGTACTTGATACCAGTGTGGCCAAAGGCCATGGCAGTGGCGAAAACGGCTGGAAGCACGATGCCATACGCGACCTTCGCGGCAATGTGAGGTGCTGAGCCCAAAGCGGGAGAAGTAGTGTACTGGCCAGCGAGGCAATAGATGGCGATAGCAACGACGGTGTAGATGCTGATGGAGAAAACCTCGAGGCAGGCCAACGCCATGGGGAAATCCTTGGTGGGGTTTCTCATCTCAGCCATATATGAAACCTAATCGTTTATGTCAGTGTCGATCCAACCGAAGTCTTGTCATGGATTTGGTCTTACGAAGCTAATGTTTCCAGCGTAGGCGTAGCAAATCTTGAGACAGGCATTCACTCCCTCACGGAAGGTAGGGTTGCCAATAACCTGGATCTCTTTGTCCCAGCCAGGAGGCGCCTGAGTAGGCTTACCCACACCCAAGCTAATCATGACAATCATGGCAGCTGCGAGAATGCTGATGGTGGACGGGATTCCACTTTGGGACACAAACTTGACCGTTCTTGGGAGGCAAAGAACCCAGCAGGCGATGATGGCGATTGTGATGAAGGCAACGGTGCAGAAGGCGTGGTTACTGAGCGTGTTGAAAGAGACCGATAGTGTCACACTTGCGGAAGCGCAAGTCATCATGACCTTGACCATCAATCCAATTCCGGCAATGATTTCAAGTGGCCTACCACCAATGATGCCGCACATGTCAACAACGTTGACGACATGAGGGTAGCGTCGATAGAACTGGAGGAGCTGGTAGGCAGTGTATGCAGATAGGGAACCAAGACCGATGATGGCGATGATTCCGGGGACGACACCAAGAACCTTCAGACAGGAAGGCAAGGATAGGATTCCCAAGCCAACTTGGTTGGTAACCAGGACTTTTGTCACGAGTTAGTATCCAGGGTGAAGCATTGATTAGGATAGAATTGGATACTTACCGAAAACGGTGTCCCATCGACTGAGTGTACGGTAATTCTTGCCACCTTGGCTGAATATATTTTCGACAGGTTCAGTCTCACCGGGCTTAGTGTCGTTCAGTTCAATATCATCCTCTGCAGTCACAATCTGGTCGTCTTGGTGTCGCAAGGAGTCTTGAGTGGGCTGGTGCTTCTCGGCCGCGACGGACCGGCTGTTGACATTTGTAGTCTCGCCCGCGGGTACCGCAATGTTATCCGTCGCCATTGTTGTTCACGATTGTATTTAGGAAGTTGGCACTCAAGTTCGGAAGTCGATTCCTGAGAAGTGCAGACGGTCACGCAGGTGGTACTACAGTCGTCGGAGAACCTTGAGGAAGGTATGTAAAAGGAAGAAAAGTTTGAGAAAACTGCATGGGAAGAGACGAGGGTTTTAGGGAACAATAGACTCGCTGTCAAACCTTTTCAAGCGGATCCTTGGGCCGGCTACGTAGGTCCATAGATGGAGTCGCCCACAAAGGTCATCCCATCTCCACCATCAAACGCCGACGATCCAACAGCGCTTCCATTTAACCCCGCGACGAGTTTTCCATTCCTGCGGACTCTCCTGCGGAGTTGGCCTCATTCTTTGGCAAGGATACGATCCGGATTGACCAGAGAAACTGCTGCCATGCCCACTATTCCTCGCAGTGGAACCCCGTAGCAAAACCCGTCGTGGAGCCCCACGGGACTCGGTGCTTGGCGGAGGACCCGTTCAGGATGCAGATCCCACTGCGGCGCTGTCACGTAAAATTTAGCAAATGGAATCCTCTCCATGACCTAAATATCAAGTCATCACTCCCCATATTAACGGGGCCGCACGTTATTGCTGCTCCATATTGCGAGAGAATGGGTCGTGAACGGACGCTGGATTATGAAACAATGGAACGCACATCTACCTTGACGACTCCCATTTAACACTATTACGAAGCATCTCGCTGATCTTGGTTGATGCTTCTCCTCAAAACTGGGGGTTCGTGAGGGGAATCTTGGGGTATAATCCCCATCTCTCCTCATGCGACCCCAGATCAAGGGTATGGGGAAATGTGAGAAGTACAGAAGAGGTTCTTGGCATTAGGAAGACCCAATAATGTCATCGTAGTCGGATAGGACGGCCACCTCCGACTCATTTGCTAGCAGGGATCTGTCATATCTAGAGGGTTGATGACTCGGTAACGCGTGTCTAGGCCGGCAAAATGAACATTTACGTATTCTGGCAACTAAGTGACGGTTATCGCGCAATCAGAGAGATATTGATTGCACGCTGATTCACCCCGGAATTGAGGCCAATTGGACTGCTTTTCGGGTGAGCCTGGCGGCCATTGAGATATCAACAGTGGTGACGATAAACTGGCGAATTTGGATCAAATATTATAGTGATTTATTCGTATCTGAAATACTATAATTTTGCGAACAGTTCAAGAATCCCGTGTCTTTCTTGCGTCAATTGCACTATTTGCTGAGCAGAACGGAATGCGTTCCGTGTCACATGACCTTTCCCGCCCCACGTGACCGGAAATTCTTATCTTGCACCGAACCAAGAGGTTAGAATAGCAGCCGTCCATTTCAATGCCCCTTCCAGTGACACATTTTGAGGAGAAGGGTGTGTTTATACCGGAACTGATCTACTGCTTCTGAGCGAAAGCAGATACATGGTATTTCTGCCTCTCTCTTCTCGCATAGACGCCTCATCAATACCGTTGCGGGGATGGCCACCCCTCAAAAGCATAAAGATCCAGCAAAAGGTAGATACGTGTTCATCATCAACTTAAGTGGCGCGTTTGGCGCTGATACTATACAGGCTGTAAAGTTTGCGACCGTCGGCGCATTCGCTGTGATCTTGAACGTCCCTTCTGCCAAAAATGCCAAAAGAAAGGACTCAAGTGCCCAGGGTACGGTCCTCAACTGAAATGGATCGGTGGTGTTGCAGCACGAGGTCGATTGAAAGGTCTGAACACGCCGGGTTATCAAGGTGTTTCTCCAGGAAAGTCTCAGGCTTCGACGAGACCGCTTGTCTTGCCCACAGCAGACCTCGAGAGCGCTGGATACAGCCCACACAGACTCGACCTCCTAACTGCCGGTGCTGATTTTCAATCTTTCACATCTGGGCTTCTCGAATACTACAGCAAAAGCATCGCGGGACTTATGGTGTGGTTAGACACAGACCAGAACGACTACCGAAGACGCGTGCTCCCCTTGGCCAAGAATGAACCCGGCCTCCGTCTCGCAGTCGCAGCGATATCTGCACAGCATGGGTCCGCCCTCTTTCCCCACAGCCCACCCGAATTTCCTGAGTTGGCTCGAGACGCATGTTTGGGATTCATACAGCGTAGCGCTGAGGAAATGACTCATAGACTCACTACAGGATCTGTACTGGATTCATGTACAGATCTGGTCACTGCAGAGTGGATGCTGGCGTCCATCCTCATCATGATCTGCTTCGAGATGGTGCAGTCTCGGCTTGAAGCCGCTGAGTGTCACCTGAAAGCCGCTCGAAGGCTTATAAATATCTTCAGTTCAACCAATGCTGGTACTAGCGAGCTGTTCGGCTTCCTCCAGAACCAATTGTCCATCCACGACGTACTTGCCTCGACAACATCGTTTAATTTGCAAGACCTGGAGAACACCATAACACCACCGCCCAATACTAAGATGACCATATTTTCCGAGTACCTTACGTTACTACACCGCGTAACTCTAACATCTCGACAAGCCGCATGCCGCTCAGACACCGATTCGTCAACTCTGCCACAGCAGTTGAGTGCCAATTTTGTTCGATCTCAGTTTGAGCAAGCAAGGGGCGCCACCTTGTTAACAGCGGGCAAGCTGCATCTTGAGCACTCAACACCACGCCATGACCTAGTTCACCTTGTTGAGACCTACCACAACGCTGCCCTGCTTTATTCGTATCGATGCGTAGGTCTCGAAAAATTGGATCCTGCAACGCGTCTAGAGCAGCAATTATTGTCTTTACGACTCCTGGATCAACTTCTGCAGTTTGACGACCAGAAATTGCACCTCCAGAATCTTCCCTGGCCTGCCCTGATTGCGGGCACGGAATGTCACGGGAATGTAGACCAGCAAGGCAAAGTCGTCAAAGTCTTTCTCGATATTTACGAGTCGACAAAGTTTAAACACTATCTGGAGATACTTGAATTTCTTCAAACTTTCTGGAATGGCACACAAACTGACTGGCGGATCCTCGCCCAGGATTGGGAGGCCGCTGGGCGTCGCATCCTGGCTGTCTAGGCCAGGGCACCGTTATCCAACCGACACGCTCATAACCCACTACCTCCGAACTGTTTCCTCGTCAATAACGCCAAATATCTGTTCCATTGGATCCTTGTATTTGTATAGACCAAGTGCGGGTGGACAAATTCCATAGCCAAGCAATCGTAACAGCTGTGGCGAAAAGTTTCTAGCTCGGGCGACATCAGGAGGTAGTTCAAGATACTGGTTTTCCTCTTGGCGGAGAGTTCCCTTGCACAAGAAAACTCCGATAGTCTCGCGCGCCTCGTTCCTGTGGAGTGTCTCAATCAGCAATCGCATTCATTGACCGTGTTGACATCTCGCATCATACTTGGTTGTATTAGAGCCTCCGGCATGATACACATTGCCGAAGAAGATCATCGAATCGCCTACTTCGAGCTCCCCTGCGATAGCTTCATGATCCAAGGGGCACCGATCAGGTCCCCAGAGGTGACTCTTGGGAATGACGATGGTGGCGCCGTTTTCCTTGGTCGTTTTCGTCAATGCCTATTCCCGATCATTAGCATGGCACTATCAAATGTTATCAAGAAGGATGCTTCCTACCGTCACGCAACCAAGCATCACCGGCATATCGCAGTTTCTCGTGTGGTAGTCGGCGTCATCTCGGTGAAGAGCTTGTTGGGTACCTCCAGGTTGAACACGAAACCCAACAATGCTAGCGATCTGCGGCTTTCCCACGACACTCAACTGCTTTTGGCCTTCCCAGTAGGTATACTTACTATCCAGAACTCGACTTGCGACCGACTGGAATAGAGGATTGACGACAAGTTCAGCGCAAGCATCAGAGTAGGCGAGAATACCGGTAGCTCGCTTCGTTGTTGAAGGGAAGAAGCCTGCAGCGTCGCTTCGATCAGTGTCGAAGTGCGGCTTCAAATCTTCCTTCAGCTGCTTGCAGAGCTCCTGCGACACCAGAGACTTGACAATGACGGCCCCGTCGCGGTTCAAAATGGACTCGAGCAACGTGGCGTTGACTTCCTGGTCGGTTGCAGAAACCGTCGTGAGAGTTGTCCCGGCTTCCGTAGGGAAGGTATGGGTTGGATCATGTTCCGAACACGGCATTTTGACAGCAATTGAGTTGAAGATAAAGTGCTAGAAAGGTCCAACTGACAATCTACTTGGCGTGAAAATGAGGAGAGGCTGAATGCCAGCACAGGGTCAGGGTCTGAGTTTTAATTATGCCCGGAGGAGTCGTGTCTCTTATAATAATGGACTCCATTGAAATGGTGAGAACGTCACCGGATTTCTCGAGATAATAACCAAACTGGGAATAGCAATCGTCTCAAGAGTTGAGGCCTCGACGTTTCTCTTCCTAGTTCCCCGAAACGGATTAGCTAACGTCAATCATCGTGTATGCCCCACTTGCTAAGACTCAACAATAGCTTGTCACTAGTCTAGACCTAGACTTTATTAGCGTCTCCAGGTATATACCAATTTGAGTTAGCCAGGTCAAATATGGAGATCAGCGATGGAACCTGCTTCTCTATTGTGGCTCACTCGGACTGATGCGTTTCCTCGAGAAGTGCCACCCAATCGCACAGATGTTACTATCTCTTGATGTTACAATGTGATGAGGTACTTTTGCATTTCCCTCTGGATTTCCGAAACACCAGTGGGATGCACCAGGTTCACTATGGAGAACGTCGCTAACCCGAACCATTTAAGACCAAATGTGATCTGGCGACAAAACAACTTGTGACGTCAACCTCCAATTCTTAACCCGACATTCTGTCTGCTTGAGGATACCTCGAAGGTTCTCTCATGTGTGGAGGCATACCCAGTGGCTGAATTCCTTCTTCGCCGTAACGTCGGTGGGCCACTTTTCGGTTACAATTCTTGCTACGGGAACAATACCAATCAGCGATCATGGTTCAAATTCAGGAGCTGAATTAATCTGCTTCACCAAAGACAGTGTTCGAGAGCTTGTTACACCATGTTCCGAAGCGGTTCCTTCCATCTTGGCAACCGCACCGCGCTGAAAAGCCCAAACATCAATCTTACTTCTGTCTTTATCCACAGTACAAGCATTTCTTACCCAATGCCACCACAATGACCAAATATCAAGCTTTTTTACTTGAAAAAGTTAAACCTCGTATGAATATATAAGCTGTAGTTCGCTCAGGAAGACTGGAGATGGCTCGGTGTTCGACTATATGGGTCTTCCGGGGGCAGAGGGTTTCTGGGTCGAAGATTTACAGGCGAAGGCTTTGGTGGCCTTCGTTCGTCAACCTTCGACCAAACCCTCCGCCCCTGGAAGACCCATTCCTGGCCCCGAATCTTCTCCAGCAGCTTTAGCGGCTCTAACAGCCACGCCCTGTTCCGGCCTATCCTATCCAGCACTTCTTCGTCTGTTTCAGTAGTCGTATTGCTTGTAACTGTATCTTAGAGGGCTTTGAGCCTGCTCTGTTATTTGCGGTAAATCTGTTTAGATTTATATTAGTAGCCATGATAAAAATTAATCAGCTTAGAATCAGACAAGGTCTGGAGGGGGGAGGGGGCCAAACCTAGTGGTGGGAGTTGCAACACGTAAGCGCCGGATGGAGTCTAGAAGGCCAATGAATTCAATAAGTGATTTTCTTCAGTTTCTTTCATTACTCATTGTATCAGCGCTTTCAGGTATTACATCCCTCGTAGACATAAACCCCACAGAGTATCAGAACACTGCCTATCGGATACTAATATTCAGTGGGGAGTTCGGCTCGACTAGCCACTTTGGCTCATCTAAATCCGTTGTCGGATGTATCGCACTCGCTGATTCATTTTCCAACGCCATAACCACAAAATTGCGGCCGGCTCTCCGAAATATTTCCTTCTTTTCCGGAGTTATGGAAATCTCCTGCGGATGACCCCACTGACGTCGTGTCAAATCTCGGAGACCGAAGGAGCTGTTGACGGCATCACCAGAATTAGCGGAGCGCACCAGCGAAATTCACATCATGCCACTCGCGGGCAATTAATTTTCTTGTCAAATGCCGAGCGTCATGCAGCCAACGGCAAATCGAAATACGGTGATTTGCTAAATGGCTAGCTACAAATATGCTGTCAGCCCATATCGGTCAGTGAAAATTAGCAGAGCAACCAACTGATCAACAATCTTTCCTTCAGCCGTGTCTCATTACCACATCTCTCATTTTACTTTCGATCTCTCAAATCCCATTACTATAGCTTCCAAACCACCTGTACCAGGAAGTCATCATGGGACCACCAATGGAAGAAGCCTTTTCTGTCGAAGAGTTGGGTCGACGACGGTTCCGACATCCCGAATGGGACGGCCGGCGAAAGTCTTTCATTATCCCCAAGGTAATGATGGGCGCCATAATTCTCGTCATGTTCCTAGCAATCATGTCCAATTTCTTTGGAACAGCCTTCAGACAGACTGGCCGAATCAAGGCCCTCAAGATTCTCGCCATTGACTACGACGGAGGCAACATCGGCGAAGCTACCCAGAAAGCCTACTCTGAACTGCAACGCGACTCCTTCCCGACCGTCGAATTCCGATCAGCAACTGACTACCCTGACTCTGCTTCCGTCTGCCGTGCTGTCTGCAGTGGCCACTACTGGGCCGGCATATACACTCATTCGAACGCTTCTTCTCGATTATCAGCTGCCCTCGACGGTGGCATTGCAGCATCTTCGTACAATTCGACCGACACGTTCACATACATTTACAACCAAGCACGTTATCCAACTGTGGCAGACGGCCAAATCCGCACTGGCATTGAGGAATTGATAGAAGGTGCCCGGAGCGCCTACTACTTGTCCACGGGCGGGAAAAATGGGTTTTCTTCTATCAACAGTTCCGACGAAAAGGCCGTCATCGCATATCTCAACCCTTTCAGTGCCACTATCGACCTTATCATGCCCACTACCCAAGGCACCCGTGTCTATTATAACACGGCATTTATGGTGGTGCCGATTCTAGCGCAGTTCTTTCTCGTCCTCGCTATGAATGGCATTAGCTCGCAGCATCAAGTCTTCACGCATGCTAGTATTCGGGATGTTTGGCTGATCCGTTTCGCAATCGGAAAGGTCTACTCCTTTGTCGGCGCCTTGGTTATGGCTGGGTACTTGTGGGCGTTTCGCGAGGACTGGAACGTTACTGGACGACAATTTGTCTTGACTTGGCTCGTGATGTGGCTTCATACTGAGGTCAACTGGGTGTTAATGGAGTCCCTTATTGCGAGCTACATTCCGCTGCAATTCATTTCTCTCTTCGTTGTCAGCTGGGTGATGGTCAATGTCGCCAGTTCCATCTTTCCCTTTGAGCTAAGTCCTGGCTGGTATCGTTGGGGGTATGCACTACCCGCCCATGAGACATACGAGATGCTTGTGTATGTTTGGTCTGGCTGCGCAAACCCAATGCGAGTGGCTCTTCCTGTTATGTTTAGTTGGCTGGTTCTTGGGCATGTCATCGCCTGGTTCTCAATTCGAAAGCGATGTCTTGATGCCGAGCGAGAGTTGAAAATGGCCAACGGCAGTCGTGACAATTCTGAGTCCAACTAGAACCTAGAATAATGCATTGATACACATAGACATAGACTGATCTATACCGTATCACCAAACTCCAGACAATGTGTGATTCCACACGGTCAACTTTCTTTCGTGTATTGGATTCAACCCGATCTAGTCATTGTGACTCAACCCTGAAACTTGGCAAGATTGATGATTTTACACCTAATACAGATGACTCTTGGCGGAGATCCTACGCTCCAGGCTTACAGATAATCCCAAAACTGCCTAAATTTACCTAGCGTAGGATGTCCAGATTATCAATCCTCGAGTCGAGCAGCTCATTGCGGGCCGGATTAGTCCGACACCGGTAGGTCTGACTCACAATTGCCAACGAACGATAAGAAACCCAGAATTAAAAGCACGAGGCCTAAGTGCACTACGAAGACCTTCCAAATTGTTTTCTCGTGCATGACTAGAGAATCGCCCGCTTGGTTGTCATATCAGGTGCCATCAACTTTCGCAACCAAAAAAATGTCCGAAATCCGCCCGCCGATCGAAGGTGTTACCATCACGAAAGCCAAAACTGAAGATATAGCAGCTGTCAAGGCTATAGTCAAAGATGCGTACTCGAAATATGTCGAGCGCATAGGCAAGGAGCCCGCTCCAATGACAACAGACTACTACGAACTCATGGACACGCATGATATCTTTGTCCTCAAAACCGACATCAACGACACCGTCGTCGGTTCGATCGTGCTTGCTACGGATAGCGAGTCAGCTTCAATCAAAATCAACAACTTAGCTGTTGATACTGCGGCCCAAGGTCGCGGGTACGGACGCGTTCTGATGAACTACGCCGAAGACTTGGCACGATCTCAGGGCATTTCCGCTCTCACGTTATTTACAAACATCAAGATGTATGAGAATCTCAGTCTCTACGCGAAGATGGGCTTCATTGAGACTGGAAGGAAGACTGAGTCGGGCTACGAACGCATGTACTTTCGCAAGGAATTGTAACAAAAGGCACTCGATGCTTCAGCACTCAGGAGATCCATTTCGATAGTGAACAGGCATCAATTTGCAGGGAATGGAATTTTGACCGCCTGAGGCATCAGTACCATTATGATGTTAAATGTGACTAAATGCAAGCACAGCAATTGCTAGGAACAAACTTCCAAAGACCCAAGGCTCATGACTAGCTGCAAGACTAGCCATCAGATCGACCGTGTTGTAACAATCGTAATACTCGGCCAAAACACCGGTTTTGTTTAATTCGTCAAAGGGTGCGCAATTGAAATCCAATACAAGGGCTGGATTTACAGAGAACCTTTGGAGGACTTTGGGGATTTTCGAGTTGGTCTCATTGTATCTCTCTCGGAAACTTTTGCTGTAGGTAGATTAGTAAAGGATAATAAGTCTCGCGTAAAGTCCAGTCATCCTGAAGCGTTGATAGGGAAATGAAAACTTGAAACTTACAAGAACTCATTAGCCGTGGGGGTGGAATCAATGTTGATGAGTGTGATATTGTTTGGCCAATACCAGCTTTTCTCATTCTCGCCATCGCTATTGATGTGATATTCGGAACTGAGATTTAGATTCAAACACGATCTGATGTGTAGTCTAAAGTCTTCCTAGTCGATAGCCTTGGGGGGAACCTGCGAAGTCTTGAGGCCATCGCACTGATTGATCTCCAGGGTGGACAACTGATCGAAAGACACATTTAAGTGTGTCATGTCAAAGTTGTCTTTGACTATTAGCTGCCCGACAGTAAGATTTGTGAACACGTCTCCTTGAGCCAAGTCGGTGATGTTGCCTAGAAGTGAGAGAATGCCAATATCCATGGACGTGGTATTTTCCGTGCCAAGGGTGACGCCGAGGTTGTCTCCCTTGATGGTGACTTGTTTCACCCTAGGCCATCCAATATTAATGTGTCTGATGTTAGGGAGCTCGTAGACATCTATGAACGACTGGGAATCGGAGGCGTCCTCTGCGATTTCAATTGGATAGTTGAAGAAACTGTCCACTGAGTCGACACCAGCAGCCCATAAAGTGACTGAACCAGCGTTGTTCGTAAATGATTTTAAGCTCTCATGCTCCAAGGTCGTCATGTTCGGCGCTTCGAGTAAGATGCTGCCAACGTGCGAGAGCTTTGTGATGTCAAGTCGCTCGAGATCATAGAGGTGGAACAGAGTAATGGCGCCCTCTACAGTCGTGAGATTCGGGAATCGAAGCTCCTTTAGTCCATTAAAAAACTTAAGGGATACAGTACCCTTTACAGTCGTGAGGGTGGAACCAGAGATGGAGAACGGTGACGGTGACGGGCAATCTGATGTTTCAGGAAATGCCCTGCAACCAGAGTGATAAATTCCTCCTTGTATTTCTTCAACCCCATCGAGATTGATGGTGCTGTTGAAATCATAGGTGAAGTCGAGGTCTCCACTGATTACAGTGCAGGTGCTCCTGATTTCAGCTGCATCGGCGGCGCTAGAAATCGTGACGTTGCCGCATGGCACGGCCTGGGTGATTCCTAAGAATTGTATGAGCGTGGAATTTTTGACTCGATGTATGCTACTTACCAAAATAAAGCGGCAGCCCAAGGCCCATAAAACGGCGTAGTCGCATCATAGAGTAGCCTTCACTAGGGAAAGTCGTAAAGGTTGTGGCATTGTTGTTGGTAACGACAGCGAAGGGATGTGGGCTGTTTTATAAACTCCAACCAACACAGTCCTCTCGTAGGTCACGCCAGAGGAAATGTGGCGCAAGAGGTGAGGGTTTTACCATCCTGGTATAGTTACGTGAACTGCCTGGGGTATACCCCCATGCAATATAGATACCCACCAACCGAAGTTGGATAATCCAAGAGCCAAGAAATTGTCAAGTGGTGCGAACGGTGAGCGGCCTGATCGCAACCAACACCGCCAGGAACTCCAATAGCAATCTGGAATGCTCGCAATTGCCCCACAGATCACAAACAGCCTTGTCAGTCTAAACCCAACCAACAAACAATCATGTATTTAAGCCTATCCATGTCAAATGCATCATTTTCACGTGACTTCGTCATCGTGGAGATCCATGCTGAAAGGGCGCTAGTGCTGATGTGAGGTCATCGCGATGGAATGTAAAAGCTCCAAATATTTGCCCAACATCCAATCTCCCTCTTCAAAAAACTTCATTTTCAGGTTGGCACGCGCAAAATGACGAACCCCACTCCTATCATTCTATGCGGCAAGACTGAACAGATTGGCAAAGGTGTTATCGAAGGCCTCAAGCCTGAGTATGAAGGCACGTACCAACCCTGACTCGCCAGTAACAATGGCCAGTTGCCTAATTCGATCACACAGTCGTGCACTTTGTCCTCACCCCGGAAGCGGGGGCCAAAGAAATCCCCCAGGTATTGCAAGGAATAATGCCCGAAGTCAAGAGCAGCGACATCGGGTCCGGGAACCTAGACCGCGGCGTCAAGGCAGTCGTCCTCGGAGCAGCATATCACCACAAAGGAATAGATGCGATGAAGGAGGCAGCGTCTTCGGTCGCCAACATCCCCTGGGTCAAACAGGATATAACTCTGCCTACACCGCCGCTGGGACCAGAGTATGGTAAGGCGATGGTCGCGAGGGTAAAAGAGTCCCTCGGTAAACTTGAGGCATCGGGGAAGCTCGGAGCGGGTGAAGGAGGCATATTTTGGTACTGAATAAAGTTGAGTAAATATCAAGCCTTATTGTTGAGCGCAGCGTACATGTCATAGGAGATAAAGTATACACAAGTGTTTTCATTGCATCATTAATCACCAGAGCAAGGAGGAGCAACGAGTTGCCAAACATGGTGAGACAAATGCGTCTACCCTACACCTAAATAAAATATTTATAATTTACCCGTTAAAATGGATTGGTGTAGGAAAGGGCATTTAAGTTCAATAATTATAGAATATCTTAATGGAAATGGAAAATGCATTTCCTCGCTGATCACGGAGGTCTGAGCCCTTATATCACGACCTTTCGTTTTGTATGTATGATCTTGATGTTGAGATATAGCTGTTACTTAGGACCATGAGATAGTCTTTGTGGCCTTCATCATTGACAACCAGCACCAATATGTAGGACCGAAGTGATCTTGACGACATGGGCTAAAATATTGGCGCAACACACCAATCTTTCTGCTATCTGGTTATCTGGTGAGGCTTCAGCTGTTGAAAATCCTGTCCATGCCATAGGCTAACGACTTATCTCGTACCCACTAGATTGTCACCAAAATCGGCTACCTCTAGCCAATCAAAACTGATGATACTAAGCATCGCTATACCAGACCGCGTTAGCACGCTTTCCCCGCATTCCACGTCTTGTTTAAGAGGTCAACCCTCGCCATTCAAGTCCATGCCGGGCCATCTCCGAACTGACCGACGACTCGGGAAATGGCCACACGCATGCCCTCTCTGCAAAAAAAGCTGCGACACCAAAAAAGAATCGCCCAATGGACGATTCAAGAGCGATGAGACGGGCGCATCAGGCGTGCGAGCCTTGTCGGTGCGCATTATATAATGAATGCGGAATACATTGGCAGATCTGACCTTGGTGAAATAGGAGAAAAAAGTCAAAATGTCCGGGAGAACGACCGATATGCTCTTATTGCCAGCGACTGGGACAGCAATGCATCTACAGTGCAGCCGAGGCCGACTCCAGTCAATTCAGACACAACCGGAAGATTGTAAGTTCGAATCTTTAAAGATCAAAACTTGCAAGACTTTTTGAGTAACACCAGCTGCTATCAAGGAATACCGGATGGAAGCCCTGGAAGGAAAGCTGGACCGTTTGATCGAGAATTTAAGGTAAGTGAGCAATATTAAATGATAGGATATCCTTTACTCTGACGACTGCTGACCTGTCTCATCGTAGCCCTACGACTACAACATCACGTCCCATAGCGCCGTCATGTCGGCAGGCTCCGACGCCTCAATCTCAGATCATATCCGACGAGCTGTGGAACAACCAAAACCAACCAAGAGTTCAACCTCTATAGTTAGTGATACCAAACGCCGTTTTCTACCGTCTCAGCGCTGATAATGTTTCTTGATAGCGATGCCGCCGTGACTGATCAAACCCTGGTCGAGACGGGCCAGCTCTACCTAACTTGGTGCCATAACCAGCCTATCGCTCTCTTTAGGGAGGAAAACTTCCTCGACTCTTTGAAAAGTCGGGACCGCGAAGTTCTCCTTGCTGTCAAGTCCCTGAGCTTGCGATTCCCCCCTGGCACTCTAACCCCCCAGAAGCGGGAACGACTGCAGGTTATGGCCAAGGCTTCTCGGAGGCTAGTCATGGATCGTATCGCAGACGGCCACGTTAGACTGTCGACATTGCAGACTTTGTGTTTGCTGAGCCAGCTAGATTTCGTAGGTACGTACGGCTTTAACCCGAGTGAACCTGTTGCAGCATGCTAAATCCAGGATAATAGACGGAAACGTTGTACAAGCTGGCTTGAATCTCAGCATGGCAACCCATCTTGTTCACAGTATCCCGCCGAGAACATCCCTTGGGGATGTGACAGAATGCAATTACTGCACTCAGGGTATTATGACGCTACAGAACATCCATGGGTCTCTCACCTCACTATCGGCCCCACCGCATGTAGCGATTCCCTCGCAAAGCCAAAGAACCTCTCCCATGCTTGCCAGCCGCGTTACTGGCCAACAAGCCCAAGACTCAACACTCCCGAACGAACTTGCTCAAAAAAACCAGCCGGGGTCCGTTATTGTTGCCTACGCAGCTGAGCTGACAGACGCTTGGCGGATGGCTAGGGCGTACGCGGCCTCCTATGTGAGCTCGGATGCGCCGCCGCCTTGGAATCCGGACTCCGATTACTCGTCCGTCATGCTGCGACATCTTGAGGTCGATTGCAAAGTACCGCTCAAGTACCGATTCGCGGCAAACGATTTCGCCGGGCACGACATAGAAACGCTGCAGAGCCAGCGAAGTTACTGGGGACCATGGCTATTCCTCCAGATCATGTACGCAGCTATCCCGTGCCTTCTGAACCATCCTTTCCTACTATCTATGCGCCTCCGGAACTTCCGCTACACGATGCCGCAGTCTTTCATCCAGCAATCATTTGACCAGATTACACGGCACGCGGGCTGGATCATCTACTTCCTTGACCAGCTGGAGAAGAAGGACTTTCAAGCATCGGACCCAGTGCTCGCGCATTGTGTAGCTATAGTGGCTACAATTCACCTGCAGCATAGCTTCGTGAAGGAGTACACGCTTCGAGACAAGGCCCAGGCTGGTTTTGAGACGTGCATGCGATTTCTGCAGCGAATGGGCTCGGTCTGGCCGAGCGTCTCGCTTATGGTGCGTTTCATGAGATCTTTTGTCCAGATTGGAGCTGACTGGACAATCTACAGGCCCAGAATTTGCGAAAGTTGCAAGAAAGCATCGTCTTCGTCCCATCACCGAGACCAGAATCGGCAGAAAATGAAGATAACCAAGAGTCATGGTCAATCGACGCGCAATTACTTTGGGACATCCTGATCTACGAGAAAGCGGGATGTGAAGGCGCAGCTCGGGACTGTTCCATCTTCGAAGACGCACTCACAGCCGGACCGGAGAACCGAAGGCAAGATGTGGCCGAGTTCGACTTGGTAGGCTCTGCTGGCATCTTCGGCCACAAGACAGCTCCAAAAGAAGTACCTGTTTATGCACCGGATGAGGACACGAGCCCGACTCAAAGGTCCAACACTCGCGCAACACGCGCGCTGACGGAGACGGCTGGATTTAATGAAGATCGAGCTTACGAAAGGTTCGTGGGATTGAATGAACAAGATGCGTTGTTTCTACAGCCAAATGACTTTGGGAGGGCAATTGATAATTGGTTTAATTTTGACTTGGTGTAAATAATTCACATACAATTTATTGGATCATTACTTGGAAAAATCTTTTCACTAAGTCTGGAAACTACCATGCTAACTCCGCTGGCCCGTTTCCAGAAGCACAGTCAAGACTCTTGCAGAAATCGATCTCTTCCTTGTTCTTCTCTGACACAAGGTGTTTTGGGGTAGCTGGCCAGATCTCCTGTCCAGCAGCTTCCTCTTGTTCACGATGCTTCATGACCAGCCCTCGTGTGAGATCCTGGAAGAACAACGGGCCCTAAGAGGCAGTAAGTTAGCGTTGGGACTTGAATAGGAGATGGCGGTGACAACCTTTTCAACTCGAGGGTGGAGTTCGCCATTGGTGAAGATTCCAGCGTTGAGATTCTTCTGAGCGGCGTTGCACAAATCTTTGTCCTCTTTCAACACCTGCTTGAACATTTCGTTGATGTAGGTAAACTTCTCATCTGAAGCGTCGTTGTGACGATACACCTCGTATTCCATCTTCGTTTGCGAAGAGGAGATTGGGATGCAGCGCATGATGTAGAAGAACACCGGCCTGTTTGATGTTAGTGACCGACGAGCCAAGTGCATAGCTGCTGATGGACTCACGAGATCGTGATGGAGGCATTTGGGTAGTAGAACGTGCTATATATGCCTGGTGTCGCGTCTTCGGAAATTCCTTCTTTGTCGACATTGAAATGCTGTATGTGACCACCTGTCGTTTCGACCCAGTACTTGGTCATGTCGGAGATGGTATTGAGGGCCGGGTGGCCCGTAGGACAGTGATAGCACTTCGTGGTCGGTAAGTTAGCTTCTCTGGCAAAGCACCAACAGATGCTGGTGAACAAACCTCGTTGTAATTATCTGCGAGTGTCTTCCAATTGTAATCGCCAACCATTCCCCACTGATGATCGAAGTGGTACTGACTCATGTCGAATTTCTGCAGCCGATCTTGCCGATCAACAGAGGAGAAGTACTCTGACCAGGACACCGTCGGCTCAGGTTCTGAATCGAGGTTAATCCAGACGAAACCGAGATGGTCAACATGAACATGGATCTGAAATAGCCCATTGGCAGACTTGTCGAAGGTCGGGAGCTCTTGGTACTTGGGAGCCTTGGCGAGCTTCCCATCGAAGCCGTACGACCACCCTAGACACTATGAGAACTGCGTTCCTCCCAGCAGCATGATAGGTGAGTCAACATACCATGGTACTTGCACGCTAGGATTGACACCTTGCCAGACTCCTTCTCCACCAAGGGATACGCGCGATGACGGCAGACGTTATGGTGGGCTCTGATGTTCCCTTGGCGGTCTTTGATGAGAAAGAAGGCAAAGCCGGCCTCGGTGATTTGCACAAAGTCGCCGGCGTTCACAAACCTCGCCTTGTGGGACACGACAATCCAGTGCTTGGAAAAAATGGACCGTCTCTCCAGCTGGTACATGGCCTCGGAGCGATACCATGATGCTGGCAGGGCTCGCACGACCCCGTCTCCGCTCTTGTCATTGTTGGCAGTTTTGCCGAATCCGAACCAGGAGCTCATCTTGCAGATTGGGTCTGTTGATAAAATGGAATGGGATGGAATGAGATTGTGTTAATCTCTAATGCTTGGGGTATGGTTTACTATCCGAACTGATCTTTTGCTATCCCGGCCTTCATTCTATTCCCCTTATACCCATTATCTGGCCGGCCCCGTGACACTCAATCCTCATGTATCTGAACTCGGTATCACAACTGACTAGCTGTGAAGCTAAGAAGTGGGGACGGAGCGTGCGGAGTTGGCGTGGATAAGAGGATGGGTCCGGGCCGCCCTCCGTACCCACAGCGATAGATAGTTGTAAGCGAGGCCGGCGGAGCTTCCGGGTTGGATTGTGACGGTGGGAGTAGACGCTCGTGTGTGTAGGTAGTCGGCGAATGACATGTCTATGACTTCAAGTGACCCGATTCCAATGCCAAACTGCTTGGTTCAACGACATTTCCTCTCTCTGATTTCAATTTCCCTGCACTGGAATACCCTACTACTCTCAACAACACCAATCATGACCACACGAAACCCCATCGCCAAGAGCGACTCCATCGTCATTATCGGGGCTGGAGTCTTTGGCCTTTCCACCGCATTGGAACTCAAGAAGCGCGGATTCCAAAACATTACCGTGCTGGACCGCTACCAGCCGCCCGTGGCTGACGGCAGTAGTGTTGACATTTCTCGAGTCATCCGAGTTGAGTATGCCGACGAGCTGTACGCCAAGATGGCTCGTGAGGCGCTCCAGGGATGGACGACGCAGTTCAAAAAACACTACTTCTCCTCGGGCTTCGTCATGTTGGCGAGCAAGTCGGGAAACTCCTATCTCGAGAGCTCCAAGACTATTAACAAGTCTCTTGGTGGTGAGCTCACTGAGTATAGTGAGGCGTCAGAGGTCCTCAAAAAGTACCCGAGTATCCCCTCTAATCTGGAAGGACTGACAGCCTCTGTCAATGACAAAGGAGGATGGGCAGATGCCGAAAAGAGCATCAATCAGTTGAGCCAGGAATGCAGTCTTGCAGGCGTCAGTTTCATCACAGGACCTCGGGGCATGGTTCTCTCGCTTCGTTATAGTGGAAAACGTGTCGTTGGAGTGAATGTGGCTCAAGGAGACCCCATTCTCGCATCCCAAGTCATTATAGCTACCGGTGCTTGGTCTAATCGATTGTTATCAATGGGTCATGCTTCCACCGCATCCGGACAACCAGTTGGCTTCATTCAGCTTACTCCAGAGGAGGCGGAACCGTTGAGGAAGATGCCAGTCATCATCAATCTCAGCACTGGCATTTTTTGCTTCCCTCCTACTCCGGATACAAATATTCTCAAAATCGCCCGACATGGTTATGGCTTTGCCACTCGGGTTCCCATTGAGGACAGTCCCCGGTTCGTGTCATCACCAAAGCGAGATGGAAACAATGCGGAAGCTTCATTTCTACCGGAAGATGCCGACCAAGGACTGAGGGATGGACTACGCCAGTTGTTGCCGGCCTTTGCAAACTCCCCATGGATGGATCGTCGCCTCTGCTGGTACTCCGACACTCCAGAAGGCCATTTCGTCGTCGACTACCACCCGCAAGCTGATGGGCTTTTTGTGGCTACTGGAGGGGCTGGACAGTACGTTTTATGCCCCGTATTGACAATTGTATCATTCTTTGCTAACCCGTGGAACACAACAGCGCCTTCAAGTTCTTGCCCGTTCTGGGGCGGTACATCGCCGACTGCTTCGAGAACAAGGCTTCTTCAGAGGTTCGCCAAAAGTGGAGGTTTCGCCTGCCAAACGGAAAGGAGGGGATGGTCAAGTTCGGTGACGGGAGCCGCGGCGGTCCACCACTTCGAACTTTGGCTGGACATGAGCAGGCCAAGTTGTAGAAGCCGCCATGCCGGTAGCGCCGGACTCATAGAGTCAGATTTAGATACAAATGTAGCTACGTATTCAAAACCGCTTTAGTGCTAGCCATTCTAAGTTACATGAAATCGTGTATATGATCTTCTTAAGTTCTTGAATCTACGGCGAGTGGGAATGTCTGCCGCACAGTCTTGAAGAGTTCCGTAGTAATCTAAGATTGAAACAACCCGCCCGCACCTTATCTTTTGAGAACTGTCTATCGCTTGCAACCGGCATCTCTCCAATGCATTTAGCGTATGTAATGAGCGTAATACTGATTCGCGGATCACTTGATACGGGTGGTAGTCTGGTGCGATCTATAATTGTGTTGCCCGGAGGCCGCTCATTGCACGTCCGTCCCCACTCCGGCCCCAGATCCGGGTTACCTCCCCGCCGCCACCGTTGATAGGGAATGTGGAATGATGGTCAGCTGTGCGGATACCGCCTGATAGGCAATCGGCGCACTATTGGCCTGCGTCCGGGCCGCTTCCGGGCCATACTGGCGACCAAATCTAAGACATCTTGAGCAACTAATACCACCAATACATCTCAGCCAGTCTTGAGAAGTAATCGCAATCAGTCCGAACACCCAATTCAACGACTTCTAGCCCCTGAAGATGAACGGTACCTTTCACTCCGAGCCCCGGAGGCTCCGCTGCACGATCATTGGCGCAGGGTGAGTGTGCAAACCATCACTAGAATAATTGTGTTTGGGCTCCTAGCTGACTTGCTGTTCTTAGCGTGTCTGGTCTACTGATGGGTAAGAAGGAATAGGCAAGATCTTGGGGACTTACCGCTCACAGTTTATTAGCATATAAGCTACGGAAGAATTTGGCAGATTATGTCGACTTCACCATCTACGAAAAATCCGCAGACCTAGGCGGAACCTGGCACGAGAACGTTTATCCAGGTGAGTAATGCACCAAATTATGCAAAAGATTACTAATTGGAAACTTAGGGTGTGCCTGCGATGTTCCCAGTCACTGCTACCAATATTCATTTGCACCAAACCCAGCCTGGTCTAAGTTGTAAGTAATTCACTCCAATTTTAACATTGCTTGCTCATCAGGTTACCAGCTATGCCTCCTCGGGAGAGATCAAGAACTATCTCAAAGGCGTGGCAAATCACTTTGGACTGGAGCAATTCATCCGCTACAATAGCAAAATTGTTTGCGCTCGATGGTCAACCGCGAAAAGCACATGGACCATTGAGATCCAGGGGGGGAAAGTTGTGGAGTCTGAGGTCCTGGTAAATGCAGGCGGAATCTTAAACAACCCTCAAATGCCAGACATCAAGGGACTCGACGGATTCTCCGGGCCATTGCTACACACTGCCGCTTGGGATTCGTCAGTTGACTTGAAGGGTAAGCGCATTGCTGTCATCGGATCTGGAGCCAGTTCAGTTCAGTTGCTTCCGCAGCTGCAACCGCTGGCAAAGAAAATCCAGGTCTACATCCGGACGCCCTCTTGGATTTGCCCGCCAATCGCGCTACCAAAACCGGATGTAACCAACTACGATTACACCGAGAATGAGAAGGACAAGTTTAGATGGAACGACGAAAGCTACCTGAAGACCCGGAAAGACCTCGAGAGCCAATTCAACGCCATGTTTCGCGCATTCTTCAAGAATAGCCCGGAGCAAAACGACATTCGGCGCAAGTTCCAAGAACGCATGGAGAGCTTGATTCCCGATGAGAATTTGCGGAAACACCTGATACCCTCCTTCGAGGCTGGTTGTCGACGCATCAACCCAGGAGAAGATTTTCTCATCGCGTTGCAGAAACCAAATGTCAAACCCGTTTTTGACCCAATTGAGAGAATAACTGCGAATGGCATTGTTGCTGGTGGTGAAGAATTCGAAGCCGACGTCCTTGTGACAGCAACGGGATTCAACACCACGTTTAAACCTCGATTTCCCATCTATGGCGCCAGTGGCTTCAACCTACAGGACCTGTGGTCTGACAGCCCAGTTTCTTATATGGGAACTGGCGTCTCTGGTTTTCCGAATTATTTCATATTTCTCGGGCCTAACACACCGATCTCCAACGGAAGCCTGATGGGTAAGTCTCGGGTTCAAGTCTGATCACAGAAGCGCTAACATGATAAATAGGACCCGTGGAAGCAACTGGAGATTACTTCATCAGAATTATGCGCAAGATGATCCGCCAGCGCATTCTCTCTTTTGATGTGCGAAGTGAGGCCCAAAGCGACTTCGATGCACACACGCAATCTCGTATGAAGGACATGGTTTGGACTGGCACATGCCGCAGCTGGTGTAAGTTTCCCACTATTCACATTATTCTCGAGGAATTTGTTGACAGGATAATTACAGTCAAGCGTGGAACCAACGGCAAGGTGACTGCCCTGTGGCCGGGCAGTTCACTTCATTACATACAAGTCCTTGCCGAGAATAGGTGGGAAGACTACAACTGGGCGTATGAAGGAGAACGCTATGCATACTGGGGCCACGGCATCTCATGGGTCGAGAGCCCTGAGCTTGACCCCCTCGGAGTCGAGGAGCAGGAAAGTCTCAAGCACAGCACCACGATACCTGGAAAGGACTCTGATTTGAGCTTTTATCTCTGGAAGAGCACTCCACTGCCACAGAACTTCGTGGCTTTCGGAGAGACGAACGAGTCACATTCCGAGTCCAGCACAGAGCCGGGACTCGGTAAAACTAATGGAGTGGTGAATGGGATTGAGAACGGCGTGAAGAAGTTGGCCGTCGATAAAGCTGAGAGCGGAGTTGGGAACGGATTCGTGAATGGGATTGTAAATGGAGTCTCGGGTGCTGGACTGAGCGAGAAATGTAACGGGCATGCGGCCGTTGTTGCAATTCCGGTATAGGTTGATAGTTTATCATGGTTTAGTCATTTTCCGCGAACTTATTTCTTATTGAAGGCTATCTTCACATGCAAACGTCAGGAAAGCAATTATATTTAAATAATCCTAGCTAAATATTTTGAAGCATAGATGTAACAAAAATTGCCGACAGACCAAGAGTTGAAACCAGAGGCTTACAAATTCCTATGCGATGCAGAAAAACACCAGCAACTGTACCTATGAGATTGCCATCTATTCTAGCTAGGTATAATTCTTGATCCCCGAATCCCTGAGCAGGGGTTACTGGTGATTAGGCCATAGTATACTGCCACCACAGCATTTACCATTGGTTGAACAAAGACTCATGCTAATTCATGAAGTCTTGACCAAGAAATATTTGACCAGTCACTACATGGTCCATCAATAACGAGAGCATTGGCTACTTGTAGGAGCGTTGTGGAAACCATGTCAATAATTTAGCACTATCGAAGCAGAGATAAAGGTCACCTATGGAATCTAGATAGACGACTATTGTAAAGTAGTTTGTTGTATCTACATTCCACTCAATGCAACAGTATGTATAAGTTCAGTGGAAAGTCGCCGTGTCCACCGGAAGGGCAAGCGCAACAAGTCCAATAGCAACGTAACAACCGCAGGACACCCAGATCGGGGCAGAGCTAGTCACATCCGAAAAGGTAGCGATGAAGGGTGCGCTCAGGGAGGACATTCGACCGACAGCCATCAAAAAGCCAGCCCCCAGTCCGCGATGTTCTACATTCAAAGCGAGTGGGGTGTATCTGTGATGTGAATATTAGCAATCATGGTATTCTAAAACGTTACAAGTTATGACTCACGAGTAGATGATAGCGTAGAGCCCATTGAGAGAGAAGTTGATCATCGACGAGAACCCAAGATTCTGCCCGGCAGTTCTGACTGTGGTGAAGGCGCCAGAAAAGGCCGTACAAACGCAGGCCATGACAAAGAGTGATCTCTTGGACCGGAACCACTTCAGCGACACCATGTACATGGACACGAAAGGGCCGACAACTCCTACGGCGGAGGAGACCGTCCAATCACGGTATGCTGTGTAGGTGCTTCCGTCACCTAGATCAGCTCCATGAGCAGCAAGATAGTATGGCAAGAAGATGGTGTATAGTGGGTATCTGCATTCGTTAGTTCAAAGACGATCGGGTTGATGGAAATAAACGTACGCAATGCCAATGAGGATCCACATCAAGATCAGGCAAAGCATCAGGCGAAGTTGTTTTGGCCCGGAGAACAGTTTCCCCGCCCTTCGTAAGTTGTCGTGGATAGACACGGTCTCATTCTGGCTTCGTTCAGGGACCGGAATGAACTGGTCGGCGGACACAGTGTAGTTGGATCCATTCGTGGAGCTGATCGCATTGAGCACGTCAACTGCCTCGGGAATTCTTCCGCAAGCAATGAGCCATCTCGGTGATTCTTGGGACCTCAAAACGAAAGAGCGTATGAGTGACATGATGAGGCACAGTCCTCCGAGAACAATGTACAGGTATCTCCAACCCATGTTGTCGCTCTTGGAGCAAGTTTCAGGCGTCGAGCCACTGGCACAGCCAAAGTTGACCAACAGTGGCCATGCTAGAGTCGTCAGCATGGGGGAATCACTACAGTCGAAGACAGCTATAAGACTTACCGATGAGGCCAGTGAATACATTCCCGACTCCCCAGACGCCGGCAAGTCCAGGAAGCACGAATGACCATCTTCTAGGGATGCTTTCAGCCAGAATAGCCAAGTCAATCGCGACTGTAAAAAGAGTCATGATCAGTACCTGTACATTCATTTTAAAAAGCACCATTACTTACGATTGCCACCACCAAAGAGACCACAGATCATCAAAAAGACGTTCAGTGAAGCCCAATTGGGGGAACTTGCGGCCACCATGGTAAAAATGGAGATTCCAAAGATGGAAACCTGCCACACAAGCCTGCGTCCGATATTGTCTGCTAGCATGCCAAGTGCGACAGCGCCCACAAGCAAGCCAGCGTAGTTCGATGCCGACAGAAGGGTCGGGTACTTGGGACCGAATTCCATGGCAGCTTGGGGGGTGACCAAACTAATGGACACGAGAAGCATCTATTTGCACAAGTGTCAGTGTCAAGTTCACAGCAAGTTGAGATGCATGACGAACCTGGTCTACGAGGAAACCAAAGCCACACGAGAAGGTGAGCTGCCACTGAAACTTGCCGAAGCCAATGGCCTCGATGGTTTCGTCGACAATGACATTGTTGGTTACGAGATCCCCATGAGCGTCGTGAACAGGACTGATGCTGCCCTGGTCTTGGCTCGTCGTGCGCTCAATTGGTTTGACCATGGAGTTCCTCTTCTCCAAGTTGGATTCGTCAGACGCCATTGCGTCAGGGATTTATCCCAAGGGAGGATTATTGTTGAAATGAATAAGGTAAAAATTGGTAGTAAGGTGACACTCAGGCAGGCTGAGGGCTATTGTAGAGCCAATGGTGAATGAAGCATTGGGGAGGGGCTCCAGCGATCAATATATAGCATACTTTCAACTGTACGTTGTGATGTACATGTGCCACGACTATCTCAACAGTCAGGCCGCATACTTGCAACTGATAGCGCCGCGGACTATGAGTAGCCCAATGGTAATCTTGAAGGTTGATGGATGTTCCTTGAGAACAATGCTAACGAGAATTCCGGGGGATATCTCAAGGAGCGGGCGCTCACGGGCCGGGTGCTCCGGCGACGCGGTGCCAGCGCTGATAGCTGCTAGCGGGAGACTACGTTGCGGGGGCGGGCAGTTTCTAGCCGTCTCGGGCTGTCTATCTTTGATAGCGTTGGAAATACGTAGATAAGCACGCACGAGGGACTGGTCTAGATCATCCGCTGATTAGGAGCTGCTCATGTGGTCCGGAGGCGGGCCGTGATGGCCGTGTCTCGCCGTGCCCCTCGATAGGCGGGCGACACGGAATCCTCCCGCCCTGGCATCGCTCTCAAGATCACCCAAGACTACAATCTACGAAATGAAAGTACATGTGTGCAGCACCATTATGAAAGATACGTGCACCAATTCTTTCAGCTTGACGTTCCCCGATTCACACATACCAATTTCACTGCTCACATTTGACAATGGCGCAGACCGTTCAATGCTACTTCCTAAGCGGGAGTCCTGATGTCCCGAACAACAGGCTGCCTGTATTACACTACCGTGGTGTATTGCCAGAGCCATACACAGAAGAAACTGCCACACAATTTTTAACCTCAAATAAATGGGAGAAACGGGTGCGTAAATCTACTGCCTCGATGAACTGCTGTATTTATCACGTGGCAACAGGGTACTTGGGGTCATATTGGAATTCGCCATTTTCACCCTAATAGTCATGAATGTTATGGTGAGCGATTCATTCACTAGTTAAAAGAAATCCCGGCTGACATTTTCAAGGGGTATTTAGAGGTCACTCGACGATGCTTTTGGGTCAAATTTCCCCCACTGGAGGAAACGGCATTGAGATCAACGTCAACACTGGCGATGTCATCGTTCTACCCGCAGGCACAGCCCACTCCTCGCTTCGGAGTTCCTCAGACTATCGCTACATTGGTGTATACCCAGAGGTAATTGAATCACTCCTTGAAGTGAAAACGAGAAGCTAAATTAAGCAGGGTTGTCCTCGATGGAGAAACGAGACTGGTAAAAAGCCGGCCACAAACTTCACACAGGATATTAAAGCAGTAGGAATGCCAGAGATGGATCCTGTCTATGGTTCTGAGGGTCCACTGATGAAACTCTGGGAGAAGCCCGTTCTTTCTAAACTGTAAGGAGAAAAATATGCCTACCAATTTATAGGATTTGAGCGACTTAGTGGATGAGACCTTACTTTCATGCCACTATCCAAGTTGCTGAGCAGCACGCCTAAGATTAATTCTTCGAATTGAGGTTAGTAAGTATAAGCTATTGTGTTTCTTGGCCTAAATCTTTCATCCTCCTGCACCAGCAACAGCCTGGCAGAAACCCTGATAGAGGCTCCGTTGACTTTCCAACAAGAACTTGTTGATTCTATCCACCCAGTCGCTTCCCAGCGTCGGACTCGTCTTCCCGCTGTGGCATGGGAACTAAGCCATACCGCTCGCCGAAGTCATTCGTAAAGAACTCGGTGATAGTCACGCCAATGGTTATTGTAGCTGTCTGAGGGAATGGTGGGTGCAATATTCCGATATCAAAACCCCATACTAACACGACATTACCATCAGGTGTCCGACCGCTCTCCTCGACGTCTCTTGGAGCTTTCAGATAAGAAAGACATAGCTTGGCTCTCCAAGCGTCAAATCTAAGCATCAATCTGCACATTGGTGTTCTGCCGTAAGCCTACAAGGTAACCCATTTCAGTCCAGAATCCCACCGCTGGCGTCGTGAATAGAGTTCTCGTAGGACTCAATGATGGGCCGTTCCCAAACTAGATCAACGTTGCTGGGCGTGATATATCGGGCCTTCTTGATAAACTTCCATCCAAAGAACAGACAAAGAGCCAGTATCTGCATGGTATAGTTGGCGAAAAAGTCGGAGACGCTCCAGGGAGTAAAAGAGCTATATCCATAAGCAAAGAGAATTATGGTCTAAGAGACAAGAGCTATCCAGGCACAATAAGGTTGAAAGTAACCAAAATAGGGCATGGTCGTTCGGTCGATTCCTTGGGACTGACAGGCTCGATAGTAATTGAGGAATGTAATCGAAATAACGATGAAAGTAATCACGCCGCCACCTGTCACAAGGGTAATCAGCCAGGTCAAGACCTTGGCTGATCCGTTGCTGAGCTGCAAGAACGAAAGAAGAGGGAAAAGCATGACTACCACGAAACAATAGATCGGAACGCCGCTGCGATTGCAGTAGCGTAGGAACCGAGGAGCTCGCCATTCAAGCGCCAAGGCGTACAACGTCCGCGTTGCACAGTAGGTGTATGTGTTTCCGGCCGAGAAGATAGAGGTCAGGATCAAGGCATTAACCAGATGCGGCAGTGCGCCGATGTCCAGAGTTTCCATGGCAATAACGTACGGCGAGGCTGCTGCAGTGCCGCCTCCACCGCTTCCGAAGTAGATTTCGACAAGGGTTGGGTGGTTGTAGGGAACAACGATTCCGACAGCCAGCGCACCGACGATAAAGAAAATACAGAATCGATAGTAAACCGTCTGAAAGGCTGACTTGATGTAGATACTGGGGCGCTTGGCCTCAGCCGCGACCATGGAGATGTATTCAGGGCCGACGATCGTGAAGGCAGCGCTCCAAATAGCAGCAAGGAAGCCCTCAAATCGGCCAAGATCACCCTGAGTGTGATATTCTGCAAATGGTCCTGGGTGTGACCAGTATCGAAAGCCGTATGCATCGTGTTGGGGGTTGCCTCCAACCATCGTAATAAAGGTAAATGCGAAGAGCATGAAGATCAAGACGAGTTTCCCTCCAGAGAGCCAAAATTCGGCTTCTCCGTAGAATCGCACTGCCACTATGTTGAGAATTCTGTACGCGTCCAAGTCAGTACATATTTAATACTCAGGGATGCTGATTCGTTTTGAAGGCAGGGAGTGTTGGGTACAATGATGATGGCAATATGTCATCTAAAAGTAAAGTCCTTACCCATAGCAATTAATAACACCAGCGCAGACACCCGCTGTTGGGCCTGGATTCGTCATATCTGCGTTCCAAAATGACAAAACCAAGTTCAGAGCAGTAATCTCGAATGGGATGAGCAGGGCTTCGTAGAGGAAGAAATTCCAGCCAGCGAGGAAGCCCAGCGCATCATCAACCCAGTAGCCTGCCAAGCGGACGAAGCCACCTACAGTGGGCATGTATGTATTCATTTCGGCAATCGAGTTGTTGACAAGGGCGAGGATAATGGAGTAGATGGTGTAAGCGATGAGTAGGCTGCCCGGGCCACCCTTGGCGAGAGCACCACCAATGCTGATAAAAAGGGCTGTTCCAATGGAACCGCCAGCTGCGATGAGTTGGATCTGGCGATTGCCAAGCCGACGGTGCAGACCGCCCACGATGGCATTGCTTTGCTGGTATCGTAAGCCATTGGCATCATCAATGCTACCTACGTAGACTGAGCGAGAAGGCTCAAGTTTGGCATTTTCCTTTTCGTCTGACGCCATCTTGCTTGGCCCAGAAAGGTGCGAGAATTGTTGAATGGCGTTCAGTAACTCAGTTGAAGGACTTGTTCACGTGAGATATTAAGGGTTAAGCTGATTGAGATGACCGTAGAAACAGGGACAAGACAATAGAATGGTAAAGGACAGAAGAGTTGTGTTTTCAAGGTGGAGTAGTGTTGTTGAGAGGAGCACCTTGTGTAATAGAAGGTAAAATCATGGATAGGATGGAACTATTTATTACATTTGAGGCCCTTGGGGATAGATACCCAACGACTTCTTGTTCGAATCATTTCATCTGGGTAGGCAATCACCATAGCCTCTAGTCGACAGGCGCCAACAAGGTAAGGTGGGCAGGGAGAGGAAGACTAACCGAGGTTATCTGTGAGATAGTCCAGCGTCCATGAGTATACCTTACACTATTTTCGACCCCAATGAGTCGTGTCTCATTGAGTATTCTGAAATATCCTAGTATCCTGACTGCTCTCATAGCCGGCCTCATGCACCCCGCGTCTGGGGAAGTGCGGGGGTAACTGGGACTCCGCTCATGGCGTTGCGTCACGCCATCCATTGGTGGTCCAGGAAATCCACGACACCATCGTTAATGTTTCCCCAGCTTCCCCCAGGAAACCCTGCCTCTTTTTGGATTAGCCCCATCACTCGTCTGTCCTTAGTACGTCCCGGGGCTTGGTCTTGGGTCTGGATTTAGATGCTTGACTCGAGCTCAAGAAGGGGGCGGAGGAGGCAAGTTCATCAAAATTCCATCAATACAGAGAGTCACTGTGTCAAAATACAGGATCAAGATGAAATTCCGGCCAATATCTTGTGCGGGAGTGTACATTACCTAGGTAGAGATCGTCAGCAAGAGATGTCGAAGTGTCCAGCTCGACGATACTAACTTTTGCATATCGTTAGGTTCCAACCCCGCATTTCGAAACTAGAACGATGGTTAAATTCGAAATGTCTACTTCCTCGGCTTTCCTTTGCTCCCTTTGTCCATTTCTTGCTCCGCGGTTATGATGCTTGGTAGCGTATCATCAGCTTCACGGCGCCAGTGCCTCATCGGGATACTGTTATGAGAGCAAGACGTAACCTGTGGGTCGACTAGCTTTAGCTTGCTTGTTCGAATCTTAGCAACCAATGAGCAGGGTAACGTCCCCAATCTTACTCCGCACTATGGTGGCACATCAGCCAGAGTCGTTCTCCGACTACCGCTCTACGGGGATTATCTCAGCCCGGCTTACTCTACACGGCAGGCATCTTGAATAGGGAAGCAGATTCGCTATTTCGTTGACAGTGAATCAAGAACATCCGCATTCTAGACACTTTTTTGACTGCATCTAACAAGTACGGGCCCATTGTGACATTGATCGCGTTGTTAGAACTGGAATGTGCAAATTATGTACTCCGGATGCCCAACTATCACCATTCCCGTCGGGCAGGTCTTGAAACATTGTTCATTCAAGCCTTTCGCAAAATACGGTGTGGAGCATTCAAGTAGGGCTCCAGCTTCAACAGGCTAATATTAGACAGCGCTTGGTCGATTTCAAGGTTTGTCCCATTGCCACTTGCGGGGAAACGTGGCGTCAGATCTGTCGCAATAACCGCTACGGCAAAAGGGAATGATCACTCCTCTTACCGGTAGCGTTATTGTGGTCCATATCTTCCGTCTGACAAGATCCAGATCCACCCAGTCCAATAAGGATAGCTTGATGCTTCCTTCGATGCAAGATACTGTGAATATCAGTCAAGGCAATTAATAACAAAGCTCGCTCTCGCACTCGTACTCGGTTCTATCAAGGGGCCTTTCTCTAGCTATTTCGGTATGGACGAACCCCTTCACCTAGCGGCTTTTAACACGCCAGATCTCGTGATATTGACCGAAATGTTTCTAAGAGCTTGTAGCTCATCTATCTAATATTAGGCTTTTATTTTCTCAGATTCTGATAGATATAATTCATTGTCAGTAAGAACACAGAGCCCAAACTTTGAATAACTGTTGTTTTGGGGAATCCATCTCGATTATATAACTAGCAGGTGATTTATATAGTCTGCAAGGTAATAGCTTTATGCTAAATTAAATTTAACATGGGCGTTGCCCAAGAAGCTGCGTCAACTTCCTTACCCTTCAACACCCCAGGTTAAAAAGCTACTCGCAGCCCACCCATTAACAGAATCATATTCACCATACTCCGAAGTTCCGTGCAAGACCTCGTATCTCCTCATCTCTCCCGTGGGGACGTTGCCACGCAAGTTGGCTCCAAGGAGGCCGGCGATACGGAGGCCAACTTCCCGTCCCTCAAACCAGGCACCGTGCAAGAAGCCGTAATATTGGGCCGAGTTTGCCTCGCCGGCAAACCACAGCCGGTCGACATTGGCCCGGAGATTTTGGTGCTTCTCGAGCGTCATACCAACAGGCCAGTTAGAGTATGAGCCGAAGGACATCCTATAGAATGTGTTAGAAGTGTCAAGAAACATCAAATGGAAGAAAATCATCACTCACTCTTCTTCACTCCATCTGGGATACATAAATGCAGTCGGCTCAGGGATATCCTTGTCGGGGAACATGGACTTGAGGACTTTCATCATTTCGGCCTTGGTCTCTTCGTCCGACTGTTGCTCAATGCGATGGGCTTCTGAGTCAACCACAGTAGCGAAGATGATGTGCGAACCCTCAATGAAACCCTTGGTATCCAGCGATTGCCACACGGGGTAATAGCCGCGAGTAGTTGGGTCGGCGTACAGGAAGTACTGCTTGTCAGTTCCCCAGAAGGTTTCATTGAACTGCATGAAGATTTTGGTGTAGGTGCCCATCTGGAACTGCTCGATAGCATCGGTTTTCCAGCCAGGCAGAGCAGGACTAAACTTAACGGCCTCATTTTGAAGCACACCGACTGAAAAAGTGCAAATGGCATACTCAGCCTTGATGCACTCGTCATCATCCATGTGAACCGTCACACCCTCGTCCGTATATGCGATCGACTTCACTGTTGTGTTCAACAGAAGACGGCGGTCATTCTTCTTGAGGTATTGATTGGCCTCCCCGATCACGAAACGGTTGAAACCACGCTGATCGGTGACAAAATTGTTTTCGTCACTGAACTGGTAGAAAGTGAGGTTGTAGCCAGTAATTCCGAACTGGAATCCAGACTGCTGAGGAGGGTATGACGTCTCCCAGTCCCAATTCCACCACTCCACTGCTTGGGCCAGCATGTTCTTCTTGGGCTTCCAGTCTGCTGCGGAGAGACCAGCGCGCATACTGGTATCTTGGAGGTTTTCTAGAAGAGCATTCCCGGCAATCTCGGCTGCGACATCGTACTTTGTAGAAAAGTCGTCCAAGATATCGGTATAGTCGTTGTAGCCGTTTTCGTCAAATGTTGAGATCGAATCGTAGTTAGAATATGTGTTCTTAATGCCATACTTCTTCCCCAGCGTCCAGATGGGGTTTTCGGGACCGCCGGGCGACCCGAGACCCTGGATCCAGTTGGCACCGAGCTCGACCAGATAGGGCGAGCCGTCGGGTTTTGAGCCGAATGAGGTGTGTTTTACACGGCCCCCAACGTAGTCATTGCGCTCCACAATGATGAAGTCGGAGATGGATGAATTTGAAAGGGCTTGGGCTGCAGTAATGCCAGCCACACCGGCTCCAAGGACGGCCACTTTGGTCTTGCGGCATGTTTTTCCACTTGCGCTGCGTGGGAGGGCTGCCGCATCCGACGTGGTAAGCAGGACGCTACAGGCCCCAACGACGAGAGGTTTTGATGAGAGCTTCATGTTTGCTGATGCTAGCAGGGAATAAATAGAAGAGTATGAGGAGTAAAGGGTCAAAGGGCGCCTTAGGGAGTATCCGGGAGTCAATTGGTCTAGTACGAGGGCGACATGCCGGTTTATATACCCATCAAGCACAAGTAGCCAACCAACAATCTCACGACGATTTCAACGCTTCCCAACTCAGATGCTATCTTGCAATCTGCATCTTAAGGTACATTCCCCCCCCTACGCCGGAAGGTGGCGGCAGGATGTCCTGGGGAGATCCCAGCCAATTTCCAGGATCAATTCGAAACACTGGGGTCATCTCGACGGGATCCCCGCGCCGATGAGGATTTAGGTCGACGGCGGGAAGAAACTCAACTGCTTCCGGAAGGTAGAATGGGCTCGCAGCTAACGGTCTGGGCACGAGGCATCAATTTATATACGACATGAGCGTCATGGCTCAGGGAATGGACGCGCTAGCACTTTTGCAACCACAATAGGCATAGGCTCCGGTGAGGTTAATAAGTTCCACGGGTGGGGACGGCAGTTGGGCCAGAGCTCTTATCGGCCTGTGTAGTAACTTATCGCTGTGTCATTTTATCTCTCTGGTTACTCCGTAAGTATACGACGAAGGATTCCAGGAGCAGGGGCACGAACTTATCCCAGATACCCCGCCTACCTCGAGCACCACCGCTCGGCCGCCGACGGTCCCGGCAGGACTCGTGTCAATTAAGTTAGATATTATCATTACTACTGAGTAATCAATCGATACGATAAGCATATAAGCTTACGATCAAAAACTCCGTGACAGAGCTGTGGAATGAACTCGGGCCCACATGAGCTAGCTATCCGCGAGAGCCGAACGATTCGTCATGATGTGTGAAATGCGATGACAAATATTACACAGCCAGCCATTCAAACTAGCTATCATTTATTGTAAATAAACTGCAGGAAAATGGCTCTTAGCTTTCTTCCCTTTCCTTTCCCTCTCTTTGTGCTAATTGTCACAAGACTGGTTGCCCTTATTTTCGGTGGTGCCCCCTAACCTGGCTCCTCCATGGTAAAGAGCGAATCGTGATTTTCATTGCTCTCATGACGAGACACATAATCAAACTTCCGAGTCCCTCTTGCGGATGGATTGCATTGCTTAGAGGCCATGCTAAATAGATATCCCTGCGGTGCTCCCATCCGGAATCGTTGGGATGAGCCAAGATGCGGGGCCTACCCTAAAGCCAACAAGGTCGAAGCGGAGGCATCGGCCTTCGGTATGCGAATACCGGCCGGGTTGAGATGTTCACCTGTTTATCTGAATGCAATCCGATTGGCCGGCCTTGATCAGGTGCCGCAAGTTTTGAGCTTCCCTTGCACTGCGAGAGGATAATCCGGGGAAAGGTTGCATCCATTTGGGAGCTTCGGCCGGTTGATACGGCTATCCTAGAGCTCGACTCAACCCTCCAATCTATATAAAATACGGCTTGGATTTCCACAAGTCTCAAACGTCAGAGTTTCAAGAATCATTTATTGCAAAAATTGTGCAACCATCTCTTTATTCTCCACTTAAATACCGCTTTGGTGAGGTAGTTTCTGCCAACGAGAAATCTCACATATTCTCTGAGAGCTGTCCTGCCTCAGTTTGTGCTCCGAGCACCTCTTAACCACAATAATGGAATTGTCTGCATTGCCCCTACTGGCGGCCGTAATTGCTATCGTCTATGGCGTGCTTTACGTTGTGTACGGCTACATCAAAGTCCTCTACCTGAGGCGTCGCATGCCTCCCGGACCCTTTCCGTTTCCGGTGTTTGGCAATATCTTCCAAATCGTTCCTATTAGGCACTGGATGCAATTTGAGAACTGGTCTCATACCTACAACAGTCCGATCATCACCGTTTGGGAGGGTCGCAAGCCAACTGTTATCTGCAACGACTCGTAGTCCATGTCTGAGCTGTGCGACAAGCGGGCCAACCTCTATTCCTCCAGAGCCATCAAAAATGTTTCTGGCAAGATTTTTGGCCTGCACAAGTTAAACCAGGCAGGCCTTCCGTACGGAGAGCAGTGGAAAGTGTATCGTCGCTTGACGGTTGGTCAATTCTTCTTCTAGACTTGTCCAACGGAAAGGTCATTGCTAATGTCGCGAACGCATTGTAGCATGCTGCCGCCAACGCTCAGGTTGTCCAGACCTACCGCCCCGTGCAAAAATGGGAAGCCAAAATCCTCCCGTACGATTGTATGCGTAATCCTGAGATGTTGGCCGATAACCTGCTGCGGCTCACCATCTCTCTTGCCTCGATTGTTGCCTGGGGTCGACGAACCAAGGGCTATGATGCAGTCCTGAAGGTTGCACGAGAGTTTTTTTGGAAGCGCTAATCTCGGGTTCCCTGGAAAAACATACACCGAAGCTATCCCAGAACTGATGTATCTTCCGTCGTGGCTCAACCCTCTGCCCAGCATTGTCAGGGGCCTTGCTGTCACGTCCAATAAGTACTTATATGCTCTGTGCGTTGAGGCGCAGGAGAGCACCCAAGACAACTTTACCAAGCGGCTTCTGCGCGAGAAAAAAGAGCAGGGCCTTACCAAGATCGAGATTGCCAACCTGACCGGCAACTTTATCGGAGGCGGCGTTGATACAACCACTAGTACCATCCTGAGCTTCATTTTAGCCATGGTTCTGCACCCGGACACTAAAAAGAGGGCGCAGAAGGAAACCGACGCCGTGGTTGGCCCAGATCAATCCCCGACATAGGCGCATCATAGTGAACTTCCATGCTGATGGTTATTCTGACAGAAACGCTGAGATGGCGTCCCGCATTCCCTCTTGGTGGCCCGCCTCACGCACCCATCGTGGATGATGTCTATCAGCAGTATCTCATTCTCAAGGGCATTTCGGTGATTGGGAATTTGTACGCAATCTCACGAAACCCATGGCAGTATCCGCAGCCATAGCGATTCTGGCCGGATCGCTTCCTTGACGACTTCGATAAGCCACCATACCCCAATAAAAGAGGCCACCACACATTTGGCTGTGGCCGACGAGTGTGTAGCGGCGAGCCGTTGGTGCACCAGAGCATGTACATCATTACTGTCAACTTCCTCTGGGCCTTCAACATCCGACCTGGGTTGGACGACAAGGTTAGTTCCGTGCAAAGTCTACAGGATCCCATCAAAAATTTGCTAAAAATGAGTTAAGGCCAAGAGACACGGTCAGACTCTGAAGCCTATGGCGTGTCCCAGGTTAGCAGTCCGCTCCCGTTCCGAGTCAGGCTTGAGCCGAGGAGCGAGGCCATTCGGGATATGTTGGGTGAAACGGCTGTGGCTGGTGCTTCGGGTCTCCAAGCATATGACGGAGAGACGCATGTTACATTTGAGAGTGCTCAATCGGTTTCTTTTGACATGCCAGTTGCACCAGCCGAAGCTTGAATGCATGTTGGAGTTTTGCAGCTAAGTTTGTGGGACTGGGATGGGCATTATTCTCATGCATTAGACATATCTACTGAAGCTCCTCATTCTTCATCGTGATTGAGGAGTGTAGCTACGACTCAAGATTAAGTTATTCTGCCCCTTCAAGTGAGGAATTGATGATCTGTTGTTTCTATCTAAATTCCTGTTGCTGCCGATGACTGTGTACACTCTTGCGGATGGTCGGAGACTCGGCCGAGCGCGGCCGTCGGGAAAACATGTCGCTCATTTTGCCCCATGGACGAGTCGAGAAGCCAAGATATGCCCGCATTCCATGCCGTCTGCAAGCCGATTGCTAAAGCATTATTTCGTTCTTGTCACTTCCTCTCCAGTAAACACAATTTGCTGTTCCAAAATCTCTAGAGGCCAACTCATCGCGCCCTGCCATTCCACAGGCATAACCTCCGCGATTGCGTGAACCTCACGTTGCCCGACATCTCCCACCCACCAAAAACAGCGCAGCATCGCGAGAAGTGCAAAGTAATGTGCTAAAATCGCCAACGCTCGCGGCCTCTGCTCTTCAACCAGGTCGATAAAACGCTTGTTGACTAGCATCGGGAAAATGACGAGTCTTCTGGCAACTCCCGCCGGTGGCTCGTGGTCGTTCATTGCGATCCAGATGCCACCAATATAGCTCAGAGTCGACTCGTACGCTTCCTGCACTTCCGCGTCCCAACTCTCAGCTAACTCGTGGCTTTCCTGGCGCCGCAGCAAATGCAGCAAGCCTCGGCGATTTTCTTCTCCCGTCCTAGCTTCCACGTCTCTAATGACAGGGGTGTACGTGATCATCTGGAAGGCAATTGAATCGGGATTGTCTTTAACCATGGGCCAGGCCTGGCGAAATATCGCGGAACTGCTTCCAGTAGCTCTCATCCACTCTGTTGGTGGTCGATATGGTTGCAAAGAGCGTTCTTGAAGTGTGAGGAAGTAGTATATACGGAGCATGCTCGATGTGAGGCACAGTGCGTCCACATTTTCCTTGCTGAGCTGCGACACCTCTTTTGCGTGTTCCCGCACAGTCATGTCAAGGTACGTGTGGCAGATGCTCATGTGGTGATCTTTCTTCGCCTCGTCTTGACTTGCCGAGTGAAGAGCCGCCAGGGAGAACATTGAGTACAGCAAAGCATCGGACTGCAGTGCTAAGCGGGGAAGAGGAGCTACCCATAAGTCGTACGATGCTTTGTCGACGGCAAGTGATGGGCCCGTTTCAGTTGTATAGTGATAGAAGAGTTGTAGTTCAAGTTTGCGCCGGTCTCGGGATTCGGGAGGATCGCCCATGGTTTCTGTTCTGGCCGATGAACTCGTCGCCGCATTGTTGCCTAGTCGTTGGCGGTCATAAACGCAGGTCAATTCAAGTCGTTGGCAACCACCGCAGATGGGCTTTGCTTCATTACACTGCATAGATCGTGAGCTGTTTGGTTCTCGTCACACCCAGTGCGCCGTCTCAGGCTGGGCCATAGGGCTGATTCTGCGGGGCTTACCTTGACGCGGCGGGCTCTGCATTGTTGGCACCCGTTCCTTGACTTTTTATGGAACAGTTTGGCTGGCCGCTTTCGCTCTGGTTCAGTTGGCTCATGGCCGTCGTGGTCTATTCCATCCATGGACTCGTAGCTGGCCATTTCTTCTTGTTACGGGATATGTTGACCTGAAAGTTGAATCTGGTCAGCACGGGGGAGGATTCCATGGCGCTGAATTATGCAATTAGGGAGGGTGGCTATCAAGTTGGTGCCGTCTTATCCGAGCGTTGTCGGCCTTTGATGAGCGAACCTTACGGGTGGATCCCCAGTTCTTCCCAAGATCGACATCGGACTGACTAACTTAATCCATCCAATAACTTAATATTCCCTAGTCCTTGGGCCACGCGACCGCTGCGACTATATTTGACTCGAGAATGATAAGCCACTGTATGTTGAACTTGTTGCTCGACCGGCTTGAGTTTGTGGTGTGTCAGCTTGATCGTTCAGGACCTGAAGAAAGAATCGCCGATGTCGAGGTATTTACCAACAATGATCTTGAGCAAATATGGGAATATAGGTCGAGGTTTACAGAGAGTGAGTCAAAGTCAAGGAAGTCGAAAGTTAGATCTAGGAGCGCATGATAGATGAGATTGTGGCCGTCGTTGGAGCCATTATTTATCAAGAGATAGAAAGTGACTGGAGTTCGTTTTAAATTTGGGTCTTACTTTAACGGCAGAAATGGACAGGAACAACACCCAACTCATTGACTTACCCTAGGGGAGATACACACACAGGCGTCTTAGCTGGTCAGCCAAAAGCTGCACCAGAGTATGCATATAGGGTCGGATAGGTCTGAGGCTTATACTTCCTCATAGGGAAGTATCTAATGAGATAGAATATCAGGTCCGTCGCAGGAAAGTCTGTTAGCAAGGCATTAATGGTACCCGCGGCAGCCCGATATTCAGGGGAGGTGGGAGACAGAGGTCGGACAAGAAGTCAAGAACTGAAGTGACGAACAAAATAGGCTCAAATAAATCTCTCAAAATTAAAGGCAGCAAATTAAGAGACTTTCTAGTCCTCTTGAGACCTTCCGGTCTCTTTGACTCTCAGGAAGAATCTTTGAAGAATTAAAAACTGATGTCCCTCCCTCCATACGGCTCCGGCCGTCCCTTTTAACCTTGTCCGGACCACCCTAGAGACAGCCCTGCTAGCAACCAGCTAGCCCAAGTGTCTCTAATCGCCTGTCACATTACGTAGCCAGAAGATTCAACTAAGCGCCAAAGTGAACGTAGGGGATCCAGTGCGTGCTCACAGGTCCTTGCCGCTGCGCCTCCGAACCCAATTGCTCGGGATTCCTTGTGTACCCATCACGTAGCGTCCGGAGAGTTCGATGGAGTGCTCGACAAACAGTCATACCGGTAATGCACTCGTCAAATAGCGTTTCGTAAAACACCCTCGCTACTTCAACACGGTGCTCATCCGATACATTCCAAAGTGTCCCAACAACATGTCGAAAACCCATCAGCTGGAACGCACTGACTAGATGGATTCCTTCGCCAGAGAGTCTCAGGTTTTTGTTTGACACTGTCGAGCAGGCAGAGAGATACGCAAAGGAAGGGCGGTTCTCTTGCATTTGGCTCTGGCAGAGATTTTGCACAGTCAGCGGGTTGAGCTCCCAGTCCCTGAGGAGTAAGAAGCTCCGTGAAGGTTCCCTTGGGTTTGACAGTGCGTTACCTGCGAAATGAAACACTGTCCACCTTTGTAGGCGCTCAAGAACGTCGCCTTTCAATGGACGTGGCGTGATTGGATCTAGCCCGATCGGAGGACACAGGTTTCTCAACATATCCACTTCATCGCCAGCGTACGGGAGTGGTCTACTCCATGGTGTTTCTTGCATGGCAACCAGAAGGGCAGACGGTATCGGGGACTTTCCCATTAAGTTTTCATCTTGTCGACGTCCATGAAGCAATGACTTGATGGACACCGCGTACGATGACATGGTCCTATCCAGGACTGTCTCTGTCGACCCCTGGCCGTGGTACCCAGCTGCATGAAGCGGCATCTGACTAAGTACGCCGGTGGGAATCCACCAGACGTGAGGCCAATTGTCATCTGACACTGCGGACGTCAATTGAAGAGCGTTCAAACAGGGGCGGCAGATAGCGTGCCAGAGCCATTCCAGCAGAGGCGTCAGATCATCAGACGCCGACAAAACATTGGCAGCCCATTCCTCGGCTTTCTTTTGTGACAAGGCAGCTCTACCACCTGAATTCCGGTGCGGTCGATGATGAACGCGTCGCATCGGTAGAAGCTCATGTTGACGACAATGATGGGATCTGGACTCGCCGCTGCTATCAGCTCCGCCTCGGTGGGCGACTGCAGAAAGGATTGGAAATCGGGCTTTGTGCGGATCGTTTCAATAAGCTCATTCAATTCCTGATCCACTGCGTAATATCGCTCTCGTCGTAGTTCCCAGTTTAACGATTCAATCGCTGACGAGGTGGTACGAGGGCCATCGTCCACGGGCCGGTCGAGTTCATCCCGGAGCGAGACAAATCTTTTTGCCAGGTCAGGGTACGCCTGCTCAAGATCCGAGACGTCGTTGCGTATATCCATGAGGAAACCTGGAATCAAACCACGGCCTGATTCAAGAAGCCGCAAGGCATTGTACGGTCCTTTGTTTGCGCTGAGAGCCGTGGCAGCGGCCATCGAGGCCATGGCATACAGCCGAGCGAGTAAATCTTGCTGGTCCGTGTGTGTCTTATATCGTGGGCTCATTTTCGGAAGAAGGTTCACGGCCTTTTCCAGCAGCAAACTGGCACTCTCCCACAGTTCGTCCAGCGCAATCACATTGGCAGCAGACCCAGCAGACCGGATCCAAATGGACGGAGGAGTAGCTTTGCAATACAATGCCGCAGTATACGCAATAAGCTGCTGATCCAAATCGATCTCTGCATTCGCTCTCTCGAATCGCTTGCCGAGCCAGTTCCCGAGGTTGTTGAACAAAGAAGGGCAACTAGGATGATCATCAGGTATTGTGCCCACTGCCCAACCGACATTCTCAACACCACGATCCAAATCCTCCATGGAGCCCGTCTTTTCGAATCGCCTACCAAACTGATTTCCGAGATTATTCATGTAGATAGCGCGGTCGGGGTGGTCAGGGGGTGTCATGTCTACCGCTTTGGTTATGACTTTGATTGCATGATCGATATCGTCTTGGGCACCCGTCTTCTCGAACTGCTTGCCAAGCAAGAGTCCTAGGGCATTTAAATAGCTACCGGGAATGTAACCACCCTGAGGTGAGGCATTTGCAGCGTTGGTCATGTTTTCGATAGCATCCTGTAGATCGTCTAATGCACCTGTCCTTTCGAATCGTAGGCCTAGCGTATCTCCGTAGTTGCTGAGGAACGTAGGGAGGTAAGTATTATCTGGAGGCGTGATAGCTACCGATTCCTTCGTAGCATCGACGGCACGATCTAGGTCCTCCATTACGCCTGTACTCTTGAATCGATCCTTGAGCCTGTCGGAGAGGTTGTACAAACGGATGGCTAACTGGGGATCGTCCTCGGGTGTTGCGCGCACCGCTCCAGTTGAAGCGACGATGGCATGATCCAGGTCTTCCATGACTCCCATCCTTTGGGATCGTAGCGCTAAAGCGACGCTAAGGTTGTCCGAGAAGTGAGCAAAACCTGTGGTATCATCGGATGCCGCATCCACCGCTTTGGAAGCAGCATCAACTGCACGATCCAGGTCTTCTTTTGAGACTGTTCTATTGTATCGTCTATTAAGACTGCAATGGAGGGTGTTTAAGCATTTTGCGCGTTGGGGATGATCTTGAGGTATCAAGTCCACCGTGCTGCTCGCAAGATTGATTGTGCAATTCAAGTCCTCCATTGCACCCGTCTCGTCAAAACGGATCGCAAGCCATGCTCCCAGGTTATTCAAGTAATTTATCAACCTGGCATCGCCCTGAGGTGTGGATAACATCGCTGTATACGTAGCATCGACGGCTCGATCTAGATCCTCCACTGCGCCCGTCGTCTCGAATCGTTTGCCGAATTTTTGGCCGAGAATGTTTAGGTAGCCATCGAGATTCGGGTCGCACTGACGTGTGACATCCACTGCTTGGGTCGGAGCGTCGATGGCACGAGCTATACCCTCCATTACGCCCGTTCGATGAAATTGCCTCTGGAACATCACCACAAGGTCGTTCCACAGTTCAGGCTCGTTGTAGCGATTGTTCTCATGCACTAGCTGTGCCACGATTCCAATGGCCTTGTCATAGTCCTCAATGTGGTTGTACTGCATGTAATCAAACAACAGCTTGGCTACTCGATCTATGAAAAGCTTTCTGCGAAAGCCCATGTCATCAGACGGCGATTCATGATCCATCCTAAAGGTATTGCCAAGTTAGCAATTTGCTATTTCTGTACCATAATATTGGGCTTCCAGCCACATCCTCAGTGATTGTGTGCTAGAAGCACCCTTACGATTGCACCGGGATGGAGAAGGTGTAACTCACAGCTGCCCTAATGGCGCAGGAGAGACGACTTCTTCCAAGTGCTCACACTGGCACATCCGGGCCAAAAGCATGCCTAGAATGTCGAATCGCCTGTCGCGGTCCGGATGATGCAAAAATGATGCCGCAATCCATCCCTCAGTCCAATGGATGGCTCGCTCCAAGTGTTGTTTCGAGGCTGACTTCTCGAAGATGAGGTAGAGGGCACAGATACGCATTTCGGTCTGTTCGTCATTTTCAGGGCATTCTTGCCCTTCCGCAACAGAACGCAGTATGGCTTCGGGTATGTCGTGAAGAAAGGCAGTGAGCTTTGACTCAAATTTGGGTCGCGCCATCTTGATGGTCGGGATGGCTGGCGGCTGCGATTTGCCTGGTGGGACACCGTCTTCTTCGGGTTACTGAGGAACGTATTTAGATCCGAACGTGCTCGCCTGGGTGCCAGAGAGTTATTATGTGGCGCAGCGTATGGAGAGTCTCCCTTTTGAAAACTCTGATGTTGGTCTGGCTGTGCTTTTTCCTGGATCAATCATGGTGTGCGCCACATTGCTGGGCATGCAAGGGAGTGCTGGGCGAGCAAGTGAGAAGAGGAAGATAGGATTGGGCGTGCATTAGGCGTCAATAATGTTTCACTGCTACATAAGCGAGCACTGCCACCGCCATCTTAACTAATTTCCTTCAAATGGGTTAGATTATGCCCAAGTTGGACATCTATGGCTTCACCTACTCCGGGTGCTGAACGTGGAAATGGGCGAAGAAGAGACGGGCGTCTGCCACAATGTTGGCTCCAAATAGCTACCAAACACGTTCTGTCTCTCACGCACCAATCGTCTCAAGGCCAAACGTAAATCGTGAAGAAAGAATGCACATACTTCTCTACATTTACTCTTGGAAAGTGGTGGTGGCTCACGAAAGGGTTATGAATTGAGGTGCGGGTTTATGCAGCATCATCCAGTGCCGTTATATCCGCACCAGCCTCGCAGACGTGGACTAACGCAAACAAGCATGTTGTCTCCACCCGTCGTTCTCGCTTAAGGGCGATCCTGCTTGTAAGCTTAACTTACCTTGTACTAGGGAGACCCAAAAGCGTCCCCCCGTGCGTATTGTTCTCTGGAACGAGTGCAAGGGGGTCCTGTTTTGAGGCCCCCCTAGTCCTGCAATTTACTGGCTGTGCACGCCGTAAGTAGCTGACAGCGTCGTTCTCGTTCTCGTTCATCGAAACCACAAGGACGCCGAAATGATGCCTACAGCGCCGTATATTCTCCTCCTCATGGGGTTCATTAGACGACGGTTGACATATATATTGTCCCATCATTCCCCGTAATCAACATGTTTTGCTCATTCAGACAGACATCAAACACTCACACGCACAAGCCTCCAAATTTTCCTGCCCAACATCTCTTTCTCTCGTCATACCGCCAACCGCATCCTTCAACATGTCCAATGAAGGCCTCGATCCACTCAAGCGATTTATCGTCAAAGGTATCGCCGGAGGAATTGGCCTAGCTTCTGAGAGCATTTCGTCCTACCAGGCGCGGCGAAAAGCGTCTCCCAAAGACGCAAGCACTCCAAGTAAATCCGCTTCGGAAACCGAGTCAGCAACATTAAACGACGGTTTCCATCCACTGGAGGGAGGTATTCCTGGCAATGGTATCTCACATACTCGGGATGAAGAGTCCCAATGGAGGCTAGATGAGACCCAGGACCAGCTCCTACCCCCCCGTTCACTCGAAAAAGACCAGGCTGTTCAGCTCGATGAACATCTAGCCCGGCTCCGGGTAGATGACTTGAACGATTCACTCGCCCGTCGATATCCTCCGCCACTCGATGTCAAGAGCATACCAAAATTATCTATGCCCGTCATCTTGCCCCAAAGGAGGCCCAAGAGTCGACAGCGCGGCTTCATTCGCGCCTATGCACCTATCCTCGACAGTGCCACCATCTCTCAGGACATGTTCCTTGATTTCCTCGAAACATTCCACAAGTCCAGTCAAGCATCCCCATGGTTTGCTGCGATCAATCTGGCAGCCATGGGGCTGACTTTCATCCCGCATCTACCCATGATTGTCGGTATTGCTATCCAGGCCTCGGTGATGATTGCAGAGGACGTGCAAACCAGGACCAGGACCAATTCCTTCTTGGACAAGGCCAACGCTGACTTCTTTCGCCCCCGCGGCCTCTATTGCCTCATCATGACGTACAATCCCGACTCGGCAGAGGGAAACGCAATCGACCAAGCACAACTGTCGTCGACCATCACCTCAACACTCAACCCTTCTGGCTTGCAGAAGTACAAGCAGAAGCTCCGCTCTTCGAGCGGCGAAATAGAATTTCCAGAGGCTGCGCCACTCGTGTTTCCAGGTCTTGATAATTTGGATGACCAGCAATGGGATGAAACCACAGGGAAGAAAGAGAAGTCTGGAGCTAAGCAGTACATCGATGAGTATTACGACAAGAGGGCACAGGCCAAATTCGCCGGCAAACATCCCGACAGTGTCCTGGCCCAAGGTCCTCAGCCAACTTTCACGTCTCGGTACGCAGATCCGAACCACCCTGCTAGCAGTGGATCATTCCGATCACTCATCACCGGGGGGTATATTAATCCCCCATCGATGTCAAGCCATCAATTAGGTGGCTTTGACAGGTCTCAACAAGGAGGTTTTCTCGGGTCAGATACGCTTCGACGTGCTGCATCTACCAAAGGCGAGGAGCAGAGTAGGTTTGGTGCAAGGAGGGAAGTGGTGAATGACCGGGGTCAAGGCGGCCTCTTGGGGCTCCCAAGTCTTAGTGCGGTGATGAAGAAGGCACTGAAGAAGGTGAGATATCCAAAATGATGGATCCATGCCAACAAACGCTAACGAAGATACAGAATGTCCTCTACCTGATGGTTGTGAACATGCCCTCCGAGGAGGAACTTGCGGATGCAATGGCCGAAATTCAGCGGCAGCGGGAGGGGGGGTTCAAGCTGCCAGGGTTCCTTGCTAAGTTTTAGGAGGCAGTGGCCATGAAGAATGATGGCAAAGGCGCCAAAGTCCTCGCATCACATGCTTCTTCTTGTTCATCCAGGGGATGATTACCCACGTTTTCTAGAAACCTTGACCTGTTCGAAGGTGTGTGAATGAGCGTCGTTGTGTGCGAATAGTAAGATGGTCAAATTCCAGAAGCATCGCTCCCGGTCTTTAAATAACCTGTATTCCAAGATAAATCAAGGCAGAGACAGGGGTTTGACCAGTTATAACCAGAGAATCATCCGATTGCCCACTCTAATTTGCATGGGTCTTTTTGCTACGATCTAAGCGCCGCAAAGCACAGAGCCGGCCCCATCGACTAACTTAGCTTCTCTCGGTGCAGAATTAGGCCTGCTCGGAGTTTTTATATAAATATTTAGCACAAAAGCCTCACATTTGTCATCGGGAACAATCGGCTTCGGACCAACGTCGCCACAGGGGCTCCGATCCAACCCAAACCCAAATGAGCCCAGAGCTGTGATTCCATACTAACTCCGTCGCCGTCTGATTATCAAAAATTCCGCCATCAACTGCAAGTGGACACTTGGCCGTTATCGATGCCGTCATGCAGGTCAACGGACGCCGCACACCTCTAGAGTGCGGAGTATGACTAGTATCATCCGGCAACACCACGTAAATCTGTCCATAGCAATGCGCGTGCACGTTTGTAAGCTGCATTCGGAGGCCATGTGCATTGTAGAAAACATGTAGTTCGAATGGCATGCCGTGACCCTATAAAGAAGAGAATCTTCCCTCGACTTTCAATCTCGTCGTTATCAACAGCCACTCATCCTTCAATCCACTCAGCATCAACAACCGTCCAGAAATAAATCTCCACATCATTCATCATGAGCTCACCCCAGACTATTCTGGTCACCGGAGCCAACCGTGGCATTGGCCAGGGCATCGTGACGGCTCTCCTCCTGAAGCCCTCCACCACTGTCATTGCCGCCGTCCGTGATACTTCCAAAGAATCTTCCATCGCACTGGCCAACCTCCCCAAGGCCGCCGATTCTCGCCTTATCACTGTCAAGCTGGACTCGAGTGTGGAGTCCGACCCTGCGGCCGCAGTGGAGACCCTACGAAAAGAACACGGCATCCAGTCTCTGGACGTTGTCGTTGCGAACGCAGGCATTGCCCATTCCGGCGGTACCGTGCTCCAAGGCTCTCCCAGTGTCATCACCGAGCACCTGGCCGTCAACGCCGTCGGGCCCGTGGTTCTCCTCCAGGCCACTGCGCCACTGCTCAAGGCTGCCAAGAACCCTCGCTTCATCTCTATCTCGACTATGATTGGGAGCCTCAACGGAATGCAGATGGTCGTCGGGCTGTTCGCCGAGGCCCCTCCCACCGCCAGCCCGTACGGAGGAAGTAAGGCTGCTCTCAACTGGTTCATGCAACGGGTCCACTTTGAGGAGCCTTGGTTGACCAGCTTGATCCTGCACCCGGGCTTGGTCCTGACCGACATGGCCAACATCATGTTCGAAAAGGCGGGAGTGGACCCCAAGACTAAGGGTGCCATTACGGTCGAGGAGAGTGCCGCTGGCATCGTTGAGAGACTCATCACGGCCGACAGATCGGTCAGTGGTACGTTCCAAAACTACGACGGCAAGCCCCTTCCGTGGTAAGCCGGTGGGCAGGTCTAGAGGGAATTCGTATTCTAGAATGTATTGAACCTATGTAGTCATGACTTTATTTTTTACATTTTACTTCACACGCATTCTCAATTATGTGAATTGCACAATGCTTTGCTCCCAGGCGGTCGGTCGCCTTCCGAAAAGCCGCCAGCCTGCCTACCAGGGTCGGGGGAATCCTAGAGATGATTCCAGGTGGATCATGCCAAAACACAACAACCGATTTTTCTCGTACTAAAATGCTTATCGTATTTGATGTAATATTCTATAACTCCAAGTATGTGAGCTACGATTCTATTTATTCTTCTTTTCAACGCCCAAATACATCCATAGTACATTTATTTGCTCCATGTGGGGCTGTCGCCGATTTGTGGTCCCGCAGCTAAAATCTCAAGCCTCTGCCACCCAGCGCCGTTCCACCCCGATGCAATCAAAGCCTCCAACCCTCCAGCGCAGTGGCATTGTTGAAAGAAGCTAGGTCGACGTAGTGAAGCTGGCGTTGTCCGCTACGGCCGAATTGTTCGCTGGTGATATTGAGCAAAGTGGCCGACGTCTGGGATGTCTTTGAGAGGAGGTTGGGGAAGGCAGAATTGATCTTCTTGTATATCTGCTGAGGGGTGAAGAAATCCTCTCCCTTGGCCTCGATCTTGTTCTTAAAGTACGTGACGTACTTTTGGGTATGTTCCAGATCGATGTGAGATCCAAACTTCTTGGTGAGGGAGTGGCCGGGGATGATTTTCTGGGGCTTGAGAGACTGAATGAACTCCAGGGTGGACAGCCAAGCCTCCGTCAGGGAAGGCGACAGAAGATCCGCAAGCCAGAGATGCATGGTGTGGCTGTAAACCGCGTCGCCGGCAATCAACGTAGAGATTGAGGGAATCCAGAACATGGTCTCATCGATGGTGTCGCCAACAAGAGGGCTCACGAGGTGAATGGGAGTGCTCTCGTCCCCCGGCAAGGTGAAGAAGGAAAAGTCATAAGAAGTAGGAATAGTGACATTCTCTACCACGACGTCATCTCCGAGTATGCCTCTCCAGAATTTGGCCTTGAATAAAGTTAGCAAGGAGATGTAGCGAGTCTTGGAAGCTCCAATGGCGTACCTTTATCGGTGCTTCGTTCTTGATAAGTGTCACAGCCTCAGAGCTGGCGTAGTACTTGGTATCCGGGAAGCGAGCGAGAAACGCGGTGCTACCTAAGTAGTGGTCGGGGTGGGAATGTGTAGAAAAAGCAGCCACGAGCGGCTTATCCGTGGTCTTAGATATCCAATTAGCGAGGGCCTCGGCCTGGGGAATGCCCAGTGGTAGGTCGATAATCACGGCTGCTTCGGAACCAATGATCAAGGATGACACCATGTCGAGCGATGGGCCGGAGCTGATAAAAGTCTCAACGCAGAGAGCCTTATTGTAAGATGGACGCGCTGCCACGGTAGCAAAGGCGGCCCCGAGGGTGACAAAGATGTTCAACTTCATGGTGAAGGCGGGTTTAAAACGATTGTTTAGACTTGTGTGCTTTGGCTGCGGTGCTTGCGTGTAGGTTGCTGCGAAAGGCAAGATCCTGGACACATGGCAATAATGTGACTTTATATGTAGAAGTCAATGCCATGAGACTTCCAGATTACCGATCACTGCCTCCAATAGTAGGTAATCTTATTCTTACCAAGACCTCGGCATTCTGCTGCTTATTCTACAATGGGGCTATACGATGAGCGCTCATTACCAGAGTTTCAGTGAAATTGGGCTAGGCGCCTCGAAAACACCGCCCGATGATCCCGCTGCCATTCAACAAGGCCATCCCACTCGGCCATCCCACTCTATCCCACCGTGGCCCACTAGCGCATCCCTCACGCAGCTGTCATCCCACAGGCACTCTTCTTTTCATGGCTGAACGAATGACCAAGAGATGACTGAAATCTAAGTTTGATTTAGCCATCATGTAACTGGCGTGGCTTGGCTTAGAGATAGATGACGTTTCTACAGTATATCTTGAACTGGAGTTGAAGCATGGCAAATTTGGTGTTTTTCTGTCGCACCAGCAGTGACCATCGAGAATTAACAGTCATAATTACGATGTAGACATTTGAGCATTTGAAGCTCTGCAACGGCCAAACAGTCTATTAGACCTTATTTTACACCACAAATACTTCCCCCATGACCTTGTTCGAGTGCAAAATGCATCAAGGGTCGTGTGCCGCTGTTCCATCCTGTGTGCGCCCCCAGCTCGGGCCGACGCTGAAAGCCCAGTGGCATATCCGTGAGCCACCAGAAGGAGAAGGATTACTAGTTTCAAACGCGACATACAATTTAAATTTAAACTCTGGCAGGGAGGGATGCAAGTGCTGCCTTGACCAACTATCTTCATTTGCTCAATCCCTTACTAGACTTTTTTCCGCAAGTACCTGTTCGCTCAAATGTCATCGCAGGGTTCCCTATTTTGATGGTTGGAGAGTTCTTTAGTGCAGACCACACCCGTCTGTAGGGTAGGGGCCAGCGGGGATAAGGGATGAGGAAAAGCAGAAGAAAAGCAATCTCCTAAGGACAAGAGATACTAAGAGCAATTGATCAATTGCCCCCGAATCTCAAGAAGAAGAAGCGAAATGAAAATGTCGTCATGAGCTGCTGCGACAGCTATAGTAAAATGAGTGTGCTGAGACGAAAGGTGTCATATCAATTGAAGAAGGGAAAAAGCGTTCCTCTTCTTTTTCTAGCAGACTTATTAACGCCTTAAAGGATAGAAAGTAACCCAACAGCAACAGGTCTCTATTTCTCTTACATAACTCAAGTTTTCCCAGCAGCCCTGCTATCTAAGCCCACTTCTCCTTAAACGACTCGGCAAATTCCTTCCATGTGATTGGCTTCTCGCTCAGGAGGCTCAAGCTCTCCTTCAAATCAGCTCCTCCATAGTAACCAGGGTCCTCTAGGAGCTTCATGTTCTCAAGCAGCTCCTGGGCCGCGTGCGGAGGCAAAAACGACTTGAACACGTCGTCGGGGATCTGAATTGATACAGCAGGCTTTCCAATCACGGTGGAGAAGTCAGCTGCAATCTGCGCTGGCGAGTAGTAATCCGTAGCCGCATAAATTCTCTGGCCGAGGGACTTTGGGTAGTGTCGAATTGCAGCAGCCACAAATTTGCCTATGCAAGTTAGTATTTTAGAATACACTGGTTGATATTATGGCTTACCAGTATCTCCGCTCGCATCGAGGAGAGGAACCTGGGCCTTCTCGGGAGAGACAGGAAGGGCCATGGTGTAGCCACCCTGGTCGTTCTTCTTGAACCATTCGAAGAGGTTGGACATGAACAGGCCAGGCAGAACAAAAGAGGCCGGGACACCACTGCTGCGGATGTACTCCTCGACCTTGGCCTTGGAGTCGAAATGAGAGATGTTGGGGAGTTTGCCTCCGCTGATTTCTGTGGTGTTGAGAAGGGAAGAGAAGATGAGATGCTTCACGCCGGCGGCCTTGGAGGCATCGGTGACAGCTTTTCCTTGAGCGATTTCGGTATCCGCAGAAAAGGTTTCCCAGAAGTTGGTGACCCCGAAGACGGTGTGCGCGCCGCTAACCGCCGGACCGAGTGCATCAGCGGAAGACATGTCGGCCTAAGTCCGATGGTCAGTATTTGTCGGCCGCGGCGAGATTATTGGCTTGTACTCACTGCAACGACCTCGATACCCTTGGCAGCAAGTGCCTGGGCCGATGGCTTGTTCACATCTCGGGTAATAGCCCGGATCTTGAATTCCTTGGAGAGGACGGCATCGTTGAGAATGGCTTTGATAACTGAGCCACCCTGGTTGCCGGTAGCGCCAAAGACAGTGATGAGCTTGGACATGATTGCGATGGAGGAGTGTTGATTGATTAGTGGGTGGATTCAGTGTGATGCGTGTGTGTTCAAGTGTTGTGTTGAAGAGTTGATGTATGTGATGAATGAAGGAACTATCTATTGAACCTACGAAAACATGGTCGTCTTTTATTTATAAATTATTTCTAGTCTTGTATGACGGTTAACGCAAGACACTTACAAATTGCGTTCGGCGGACGATTGGAACGCGAGCGGCAAATGCCAAGACTTCCGAAAGGCGGGGATCACGGAAGCATCCAAAAAGACGCTAAAAATTCGTCCAAAAGACGCTAGGAAAACGCCAAGACTCCCGAAGTCGCGAGCGGAGAAGATGCCATCGCCATCGTCATCTTCTATTGGCTGCCTTTTTCTGCCGAGTTCTGGGAGCAGCATCAAACTTACGTCATTATTCTTATTCATCAGAGCCGACTCGCGGTCGCGCCAAGCCTCGGGACGCGAAGCTTTCCCCGGTTGGTTGAAGTCGGAGCATCGCGAAAAAGGGTCTCCACAGCCAAATCCCATCAACGCCACCACCTCCACGGGATTATTCACACCAGATTATTCACTCGAGATTATTCACTCGGTGTTCATACGTTTCCCGAGTTACATACTCGCTGACTACGGGGGATTCAACTCCTACTTGCGGTTCATACAAAATATATAAAATAACAGAGTTCTAAATAATTGAAGCTATTCTCACTATCACACACTAATTCCACTCCTCCTCCTACACACTTGTCAAAATGGCCGTCATCAACATTGCCTTTACTTCCCCAATCAATGCACCAGACGCTTCGCCCATCCTTACTCAGGAACAAGTCTGGACTGGACTCAAGCGCAAAGTTCGCCGCGCTTATGAATTCGTCCCTGTCATTACCGCCTGCGAGGTGATATCCGAGGAGGGTCCCGAAGATGGCTACAAAGTAGTGCGACGAGCCACCTTTGCGCCTGGCATCCGAGAAGTCGATACAGCCGTAGAGACCTGCATTCATTACCCGCCGAATCGTGTCGATTTCCATCAGGAGGATGGAAGCCACGTCGCCAATATTGTGAGCAAGGGCCCCGATGGGGAGCTGCTCATGACGTACTCTTTCGGATGGCGACATCCAGATATCGCACAGGACAGTGAAGAGGCTCATAAAATAGAGGAGAATTATTGGAAGGTAAGACGCCGAGCAGCGATGTGGAAACATTCCGTATCATACACCTACATGATGTATTACGTACGATGTGCTAACAACCCGATTGATAGATGTCCAAGATAGCTGTTGAAGGGAGCATCAACACCATCCGCCGGCTTGTTACAGAGGGAGAGATATAATCGGAGCCATGTAACAATAAATGGCGACATGTATCCTACGTCAGCGTTTACGTATGGTCCTGATTAAACGATGCCATGCACACATGGACAAATGGGGGAAATGTTCAACGGGATTCATAATTGTTGTATTCATACGAAGTGTTAAAATTAGCAAGTTGATTGCATACCGGTCTAATATCTATTAATAGTATTCGTGAGGTAAACAAAAGAAAGAAACGGTAGTTCTCATATGATGTCTGTGCAATCAAACATCCTCCACCTTGAGAACAGACTTAGGTCCGAACAGTCTTGAAAACCTATTCTGGGGTACGTTGGGAGATTTTGGCAAGTCCGCAAACTGAACACTGATCCCCCTACCGCTCTTACTGGAACGTTTGGCTCTAGCTTGGCTTCCAGTAAGTAGCGGGACCGGGATATTCATGTCGTTTCCTGAGACGCTCATCCTGGTAATGACAGTTGTCACGCTCATCTTGCGACCTTGGAATGGAAGACCTGGCGTTTGTAGCATTTTCTGGTCCGTGGCATCTTCAAGACGGAGAACAATCTCGACCGTGTTCTCGTCTTCGATAACCTTGGGCTGGCGATTGGCAAAGCATCTGGCATGTTTGAAGATGGCACAGTAGCAGCTGACAACGTCGATGGCTGTGAGCATAATCTTATACGGCATCTGGAGCTGGATTAGTATACGGAATATCAGATCGAAACGCTCAACTACTTACATAATAGAAGATGAGAACTATGTAGCTAACACGCTCTTTTTTGAGGCGCAGATGGAGTTCGTTGAAGATGATGCAATTGACGACGTATAGGCCAACCGTGCCCGCAACGAGGCAGCCACAGAGTTCCGGCTGGACGATGAGTGAAATTGGAAGAACGAATGGAGTGAGGAGATATGAGATTGTCTCATATACCTGTGCCAGATTGTTAGCCTCATGATTGTGAGATGATTCACGACGTGCTTACCTCCTGGAAGACAAATAACTTCGTACCGAGCTCCGACCAACCCAGGTTCCAGCTGGTGACGATGTAGGACATATTGTACCAGATTCGGCTGATCAAGAACATATTCCATCTCGAGAATCGCTGTTGGAACACCGTCATCTCGCCGACACCACCACGGCCACCACCAGGGTTGTAGAAGACAGCGGGCGGCGTTTCAGTCGCGACAAAGACGGCAGAGCACATCTCGATGCGACCACCGAGACGACGACAGCTATGTCCAAAGAACCAATCCTCAGACACGGAGAAGCCGGGGTGATCGTGGAACACGCGAATGAGAAACTCGCGGTCCCAGAGCGAGATGGCGCCGTGCGGGAAGGTCGCGCTGCCGATGAAGCCCGCAAAAGCACGGTGGATGCCGGAAATCTTGTACTCGAAATCCTGCGCCTGCTGGCAGTAGTTGCCCTTTGACCCGTCGGCGGCGACGCTCTTGATGGTGTATCCGATTGACTTGACCTTGCCCACCAGCCGGTCGCCGGCGATGGGGAAATCCGCGGGCAGCGTGCAGTCATCGTCGATGAGCAAGACGTGCTGGAAGTCCTTGGCGGCGTAGCAACCGACGAACTGCGCGACAATCTTGGAGCCGATGGGAGACCAGAGGTGTGTGACGCCGTACTGCGAACAGATGTCCTCGGTGTCGTCCAGCGGCGTTGGGGAATTGCCATTTGCGACGACGAAGATGTGAGACGCCGGGAATATCTTCAAGGCTGCTTCGAGAGTTGCTCCGATGATGGATGCTGATCTGCAGCAGGGAATGAGGAGTGCAGTGTTTTGCGCGGTGTAGTCCTTGGTTGCGTCGTAATGCGGGTTGTGGTTGGGCGTCGGGTCGCGTTCGAATAGCATGAGCAGCGGGACGCAGGCGTATCTGGGATAATAAAGTCAGTCAAGTTCGATCGGGGTTTGTATGAGGGGAGAATCTCAAATCCGGTGCACTTACAATGCCGCAATGCCAAAGACGACGACGAATGCCACCGTCACGGCGAACTTGTGCTGGAACGCCCAGTATAGCCACCACACTGCACCTTCCCAGAGGGGAATGCCGACGAACACAAAGTAAGTAAATGCCAGCAAGAAGACGTAGAAGGTGTATTCAAAAAGGAGCTGCGCCCATCGCTTTCGATGCAGCTCCCCGCCCCTGAACGTGGCCTTGTCATCGACCTCGTAAGGGGTGCTCCCGAGAACGGCCTGGCTCAGTCTCCGCCCAACCCTCTGCATGATAGGAGGCGCTGCACTTCCCGCTCGATGGCGCCTCGTAGCCTGCGGCGGCTCAATGGGGGCAACGGCGGACCCGCGTGGATTGTACGAGGCACCACGCGGCAGAGCGAAGCCGCTATCGCGCGCGGAAGCCTTGCTACGAGGAAACCATGAGGTCCGTGGAAACCACGAGTTTCGTGCATGCGGGTCTCTCTCGGTAAAGTCCTGGGGCGCTCCGGAGCCCTCGGAGCTGATTGTGTAGGCGTTCAGATCGCGGAACAGGTTCGTAACAGGAGAGTGCGGCTCCTCGGCGAAGCGGACGGTGCACTTCTTCTCCTCGGCTGCCCACTCGGCTTCCTCGAAATTGGCCGTGGCAATTTGGCTGTTTTTGCGAAAGCGTACCCCGTCGTCTCGGGCTTCATCGTCGTCGATTACAATATGGCTGTTCTTCCGAAAACGTACTCCGTCCTCCCCATCGTTGGGGCCTACTTCGGGACGGGAAATGGCGATGTTGACTGTCCTATTGTACTCTCCGTGTTGGACTTGATTGAGATGTGCATCGACGGCTTGCTGGACGGGGCCCTTCTTGGCAGGAGCAGCGTCAACTCCATTGATTCGGTAATCGCGATTACGCTTGGATTTCGTGGGTGCCCACAGTAGCCTTTCGGGAATGACAATGTCCGTAATCACCTGCTCCCTAGGCGCCTCGTTTTCCATTTTGAGGATGTGACCAGCCGAGGATGGCTGTGCGGCAACGGGTGTATGAAGAAGGGGAAGATGCTAGGCATATGGCACTGATCAAGTATGAACTTCAAGTAATTATAATGACACTGTGGCAAAGCTCAAAATTTGAATGGTGACGCGAAGATCGCTGAATGTTGGGTTAGCATTCCAGGAAGCATTCCAAGCGACGGACCCGGTTGAAGCTAAGAACGGATCGCATCGAGACCGTTCGTGGCATTAAAGTGGACTGGCAAGCTAAGTCAATCGGCGGATCTGGAATTTGCAAGAGCTCAAGCTCTAGACCCTTCTTGACCGAGATAAGCCTCGTGTCGTTCTCGGGGGCTTAACGATCGGACATCATCGTAGCTAGAGTTTGAGGGATTCCGGTTATTTGTATCTAGAATATTCGAGGAAAGCTTATATTAAGGGGGACTCAAAAGCGTCCCCCATGTCACTCGTTCCTCATAGGGAACGAGTCCAAGGGGGCCGGTTCCGAGGCCCCCCCCCCCTAGTAGTGGAAGAGGCCTGCCCATCCAGAAGCCACAACCTGCCAACTCGCAGATGTACCAGTAATGAGTATCAATGTAGATCTTTCGATGCTGTTTTCACAGGTGACACCGCCCCAACGCCCCCATGTGCAAGGAGAGGAAACAGAGCGAGCGTGGGGTAGCTGAGTTCAACTTCTTGATAGATACATCCGACTGGGCAGGGCAGGTGAGACGTGCCTAGTTTTAGGACAGATCGACGGATGCGTGGAATGCTTGTTTCCGGGACATCCACAACAGCCATCGACTAACGGATGAAGCGAGACTAGCACTCTGCATAAAGGCATTGTTCTTTCTATTTCCGGGTGAAGATAGTGGAATGTCTTGCACTACTTCGCATTCATAGCCCACTCTCATTGCCACGGTCTAGAAAGTTCTTTTCGTACGGTAGCGAAACCTGGCCTTTGTGAGACGCCGCCATTTCTTTCAAATACAGATCGATGTCTCGCCATTCAGCTTCGCGCCGAGCTGCTGAAGCTCACCCACCACGTCCTCCAAAAACTTCCGCTGCAGCTCCTCATTATCAAGGTCCGTCTCTCCCAGTCCAAAGTCACATCCCAAGCATTTTCGGATAACTCTCGGGTACGTCAATCCCATCTGGCGCACCAGTAGCTGCGCGAGCTTCTCTGCAATCTCATAGTTGGAGGGCTCATCGCCGTCAATAGTCTTCAAGATGTTGCCTTTCAGCACTGACCATGGCCGTCCAAAACCTATTTCGAGTAGGAGTATGCCAAAGTTGAACAGTAGGTCGTTTCTCGCACCAAAGAATGGAGCGCATGACGGCTCGATGGCCTTGTTGCGCCCCAACGGTACCACGGCCCTCTCCTTTCCCTTCGAAGGACGCTCGAGTTTAACCATGAAATGGGGACTCTTCAGCTGGATCGCCGCGCTCGGAGCAGCCAACGCTTCGAAGAACCTAACGCTCTCACCTAAGCCCGATTTCGGTAACCAAGGCGTCGAGTAGAATTGCATTATTCCGTCTGCCAATGTGCCCGCAAGTCTGATTATGCACGGTCGTGGTATGCATCTAAGCACGGGTTCCTCGGCGACCCAGGCGATGATATCTGCCAAAGAATGAGAGCCACAGGAAGCGACACTGATAGGGGATGAGTAAAATCGTTGAAGGTGAGCATCTCTCAGAAAGCCTAGATATAACCTGTCTGTGGAACTCAGTTGCAAGTGTTGGAAATAATGGCAAAAGTCCTCGACCAGGTGAAGGTCTTTATCTGGCCCAGAAACCGTCTGCAAAGTGTTTTTGGTACAAGGCGCGATGCTTTGTATTGTTGGTTGGGTTTGTTGAATCTGGTCGAATCTCACACTCTTTCGAGGCTTGGAGTTGCTAGCCGGAGCTTTCAGAGAAAATGGCTCTGTACTGGACTCGAGTAAATTGGTAAGCTCCTCAATGGCTGCTTTGCTCTTTTCATCTAGAGATATTGATGGTTGGGGCTCTTCGTCGTATTGTTCGATCTTAAGCCAGATCGGGTGCTGGTTCTCAGGCACGTCCTGCTCATGCGATATAGCTATTTCGAAGGAGACATGCTGGGTAGCTCTAGTGTTGACAGGAGTGTCGTCTTCTCCGTGTGCTAGACAAAGATTGGCGATGTGACCAAGATGTGATGAACATGCCCATTGCATTGTCAATGTAGAATAAAGTCTCAAAGACGCGGTGCGAATTTGGTGGCATCTTTGTAAACTGTTGATAGTCTTGGTAGACTTCGGTAGAGCAATGGACTGCTGACTCTTCGTGTTGAGCAATTGAAGAGCGTTGATAATGTGGTTGGTGATTAAACAGAAGTCTGTATTGAAGTCCCGAAGTTCTCCTATAGCCTTTTCAATTTGAGGCTTGTTCAGACTCAATTTGAAGCGGGTGCGAACTTGCTTCAGTCTTTCTGCAACAGTTGGCGTCTGGAATAAAGAGTCAGGTTGCCCAGTATGACGCAGAGCAAGTAGCTTACACTCGTGGTCGTAGAGCCTCCACCTTGATTCCGGTTCAAATCCCCATGAAAAGCCTGAGCTTCGGTGTAAAGAAGATTCAATGAGTTTTTGATCTGCACCAAAGTTTGCTGGCAGCTCATAAATGAATCCTTGAGTGAGTCAACGCGATTGCGATACAAGGTGCTCAACGTCAGCCCTCGCTTGGCTTCTTCTGATGAGGGCTGACACATGAGGTCCTGAACCTTTTGAGGGTCATTTGTAATAGTCATAAGGAGGTTGATCGCATGGTTGCGGAAAATAGTCCGTTGGGCACCCAGCTTGGCGTCGAGTTTGACCACTTCGCGAGGGTATTGTTTGAACACCGAAAAGACTTCAAAGACGCGCTCGGAATGGTCGTAGGCTTCTATGGCGAGTGGTATCACAGCCAGAACGGCCGAAAGAATGAACTCGACCCCACTCATCCTCGTTTGCTTGAGAGGAGAGGTAATGGTAGAATTCAAACTGCCCGTGGTGTTTTTCCAGCCTGATCCTGAGGGGCTCAGGTGATCTGGTCATCCCAGTCAGCCTGCATATCAGCATCACAAACCAATCATCGCTTCAGATACACGAATACCCCGCATGAGGCCTTTATCTACCACATCCGGATTTCTAAGGCTAACTTAGATAAGGATGGGAACGTTCCTGGCTTGTGCCAAAATCTCCTCCACTTTTCAGACTCCCCGACTCATCGACATGACTCCCCCCCAGGTCGACCTTGAATCGAATACTTCTTGTTCAGTTTCTAACACATGTCAAGTCTCCGCAGATGTCTCATCTAACTCGTCAAGATGTTGAATCATGGCTGCCGGATCCATCTTCGACGAAAAGCGTTGGGCTTGTCGGCCAACTATTCACAACGATAAGCGCCATCCTCTCAGATCTGCCAGAACAGCTTTATGCAAAGGAAAGTGGTTCAGCGAGCCAAAGCTATCAAAACGAAAGAGAGCGGCTCTTCCTCTGGGGTCAAGGTCTCTCCGCGGAGAGCGGGTCCCTGGATGAGCGGCTTGACACATCGACTGAACTTCGGTCGCGCGTCCTCTCTCTTCTTTTTAGCCTCGGACATGCAGTTTACCAAGCCAGCTTGCGGGGAAATAGTCCCCTGCCTGAGAGACTTGTCGAAAAATGCAGTAACCTGCGAAGGCAGCTGGACGCCACACAGACGCTTCTCCAAGACTTCTCTCAAATAACTACAGATTTAGATGCTCTGTCGGACTCAGACATGTCTGAATATGACCACGAAGACTTTCTAGATGACCTCATGACATACATAGATTGTCTCCTAGACCTGGCGCCCGCTCTAGAACGACCTGCCCTTGACTTCAATCGAGAGGATCCGCCGCCGATAAATGTGGAATTCTTCTCAACCAGCGATCCGCAAGCCTTGGTTTTTTGTCGGAAGATTCGAGATAGATTCCCACACCTACCCCAGTTTCTTGTCGAACGACTCGCAGACGCGAATGCTGTCAGGGCGAACGAGATTCTTCGTGCACATGCTGCCCATGCGGACTCTACCGCGATCGATGATCACGAGGCTGTAACTTCTGGAAGTCGACTGCAAGTTTCCGACACGACGTACTCACATTTTCAGTCCGATTCTGTCTTCGACAAGGCGATTACCATTCTAAAACCAGACGAACCTTTTGATGAAGCAGATGACGCCGATACCAGATCTGACGCGACATTTGCTTCGTTTTGCACCACAAAATCTACTATCGAACACGGACGACCTCGTGTTCCGCCTATCCCCGATCCTATCAACAGGTTTCGCTGCCCAGTATGCTCTGAGTTGATGTCTGGAATATCCACGAGGAAAGCATGGAAGTAAATAATAATTCAATGTTGACCCATCTCGAAATATTTAACTAATCATGACAGGGAACATGTTTTCAACGATCTCAAGCCCTATGTTTGCACCGTTGAAGGCTGCACTCAGCCAGCTACTCGCTATGCACGTAGCCAAGCATGGGCGCAGCATGAAACTATCCATAAAATCCAGGGAGCGACAACAGGAACATGTCACTTCTGCACAAAAGTGTGTTCGTGGGCGTCTCCTGACTACTTCAATCATGTTTCTGCTCATCTCCGAGAGATTTCTCTTTCCGTTCTGCCCCCGCGGGGAGATGACGAAGAGGACAAATCTGACTCGTCTAACGGATCTGAAATTAGTGATGATAGCCTTTCAAATCTCGCAGCAGCATGTAAACTGCTCGCCGCGGAAGTGGGATTTGCTGAGGTCAATGATGGTTCCCAAATCCCGGATTTCGTCTGGAATTCCTACAAACCTCTGATTAACAGGTTGGGGAAGACACACAAACTGGAAGGTATCATGGACTATATGAAAAGGGAGTGCGGGTTTACCGCTAGGTATGTCAAGATATTTCCAACTCATTTGTCTCATTTATTTATCTAATCACTCTGAAAGTCGCGTTCAATACAATCATCGCTTGGGAATCTGGAGCTTGGACGAAGGGTCTTTGGATCAAAAACAGAGCATGGGAGAGGATATCACGAGGGAGCAACTGACCCAGGAGCACCCAATTGCAGTTGCTCAACACCAGGATAAAATTTCCCAACCTCCAGATGAGAAAGCTCCCTCCACTACCAAGGGCACCGAGAAGGCCGGCCTCAAAACTATCTTCAAGGCTTTCTCCTCAGACAAGTCTGCAAAGATTACCGCCACAACGGAGCCCCACCACCGCTTCGCCCTTGTTCCCGACGCACCAGGCGGCCATGAGCACTATCTGAAATCGAGTCACCGGCAAGAGAAACTCTCTGACATGTGGAGATCCCTCTTAGGCCGGAAGCAGAAGCCAGAGGCCGATCAGGACCTTTCGCTTGTCTCCAACTGGGTCGATTCACTAAAACTCGAGAATGAATTGGCCGGCGATAAGAAGGGTGGACCTAATGCGTCGTCCACCCTAGTCGAGAAGTACGGAACATGCCAGGAAGTGGTCGGCCGCGGCGCCTTTGGCATCGTCCGAATTGCGCACAAAAAGGTGGGTGGCAACGTCGACCAGCTCTTCGCTGTTAAGGAGTTCCGTCGCCGACCCGACGAGACAGAGAAGAAGTACAGTAAACGCCTTATTTCTGAGTACTGTATATCATCTTCTCTTCGACACCCGAATATTGTCCATTCCCTCGACCTACTGAAAGATAGTAAAGGTGACTACTGCGAAGTTATGGAGTTCTGTGCTGGTGGTGATTTATATACCCTCATTCTCTCAAGTGGCAAGCTGGAGGTTGAGGAGTCCGACTGCTTCTTTAAACAACTAATACGAGGCCTGGAGTATATGCATGAGATGGGCGTTACACACCGCGACCTCAAACCAGAGAATCTCCTGCTCACCACCCACGGCAATCTTAAGATCAGCGGCTTTGCCAATGCAGAGTGCTTCCGAATGGCCTGGGAGACGGATGCTCATATGGTCTCGGGCCTGTGTGGCTCCGCGCCGTACATTTCTCCCGAGGAGTATACGGACAAGGAGTTCGATCCTAGAGCCGTCGATGCCTGGGCCTGTGGCGTCATCTATATGGCTATGCGAACAGGTCGCCATCTCTGGCGCCAAGCCAAGAAGGATGAGGATGAATTCTACGCTCGCTATCTAGAAGGTCGAAGGGATGAGGAGGGCTACGGACCTATAGAGTCCCTACATCGGGTATGGCTCATGCTCTTGAAGAAGATATGAGGACTTGCTGACATGGAACAGGCACGATGTCGAAACGTCATCTACTCGGTTCTGGACCCTCATCCTACCCGTCGCTTGACAGCTACCCAAGTCCTCAAGTCGGAATGGGTTCGTGGAATCAAGCTATGCAGGGCTGGTGAAGAGGCTCTGTAACGAATCAGCCTTATAGTAGCAGGTCTTGGGAAGAATGGTATGAGATACTCAATCGCCAACAATATGAATTGGAAAGATTTATAGAAGGTGTCAGGGTCATATGTGTTCGGTTGCGATAAACTTAATTCATCTGGAATTCATGTACTCACATCCGCTTGTCTATTTCATGAGTGTTTTCTTATACACCAGAAGAACGTCATGGGACAAGTAAAGTAATCGAATTTCCAATACTAAAGAGACTAGACCTTCGTTCTATCTATTACTGAAGACAAAACGCAGATTCCTCAGATATCTCAAACGACACCCCGCTAGCTTCCATCGCATCCTTCACGGGCTTAACAGCATGAGAGGGAAATTTCCAGTCAAATCGTGTCTCCTTGACAGTCTTGAGGAAGGGGAATTTCTGGTTTCGCACCTCCGATGCCAATGCGAGGAGAGGGTTGTAGAGTCCGGTGTAATTACCCTCGATGATGAGGGTCTCGATTGAAGGTGGAAGAAGGTCAACGAAGGAGACCGCAACTTCCGACTGGTCGCCGGGCGTACCATGAAGGATCATGCTGGCATCGAGCAACCCCACACAATCACCTGTCAAGATGAGGGTTTTCAACGATCCAAACTCCTTCAGTGAAACAATCGAATAATTTGGCACGACTTGTCCGGCACTCCGATCGACGAAGTGAATCTCCAAATGCCGCAGGGTGTCCTTGCATGGAAGAACTCCTTCCGCGAATGCTCGGGGGGTGCAGTGATCAACATCGTCTAACGTGGCGTTCCGATTATGAGAGATGAAAGTCTCTAGATTCGGGCAGCTTTCAGCTAGAGTGTGCACATGCTCCCGGAAAAGCATGCAATCTACCAACTTGAGCCATCTCACGGTTCCAAGATCCAAGCGTCTACCGATCGAAGTGCACAATGTAAGTTGGAGGCGTTCAAGGTTGGCGGGTTTCGTTAACAGGCCAGCGCATGTCTCGAGATGAAACCCGTTAATACCCTTGGTCTCCAGCTGGATGGCTTTCAGAGCTGACAACAAAGTTGGCGATTGCGGCAGTAGTGCGCCATATGGAGAATAACTGAGTATGCTCAGATGAAGCTGTGTCATGTTGGGCAGCGTGGAAAGGATCAAATCCACACATAGCTCGGACCACGTGTTATGGATTGTACAATCTTCCCTAGACTCATCTATATTCGCCATGTACAACTTTCCGTCAAAACCCGGTGGGAGCACAAGGTTGTCCCTGATTAACTGGCCTTGGATACTTAGAGAACTCGGTTCCTCGAAGTCTTTTGAAGCCAAGGATAGACGCTGGACAAGGGCAGCTAGGTCGGGCCGCTCCAAAATGGTACGAAAGAAGCCAGCCACATGTGATGTTTTCCATTGTTCAGATACATACTCGTGATAGACAACTGGCCTCGCGATTGGGTATAGCTTGCGACAAGTTTGACTCAGAGCGATCAAAGCCTTGGTGTCGTTCTTTGGTCTCGATACATCTGGAAGGGATGGGGAGCCCGTTTCAAGTCGCTTGGGGGGCGTGAAGTCGGATCCTGAGGTGCAGTGGGCACATAGTTGCTGACAGATTGCCTGGAGGATCTCGACTGGAAGATCCAGTAGTTGAGGGGGAGCCATTTGACAGTCCTGCGTTTCGAGTGTTAGAAAAAGCAAATATCGAGTGAACTCGAGTGCTGGGAGACACGCTGACTTCCGTTCAAACGTCGAGGGTGTAAGGCGGGGTAGGGTTCGGGGAGACCAACTTGGATACTCGTGCAGCCTGAGAAACGCCGGTTTAGGCGGTGACCAATTGCAAAGCCACACGGCACTTGAATGGTGGAAGATGCAAGTTGGGGATGGAAATGAAAGATTGCAGCGCCCAACAGATCAAGCATGCCGGAATAATTGTGACTCCGAGAGCGGGTGTGTTACACAACTCTTCATGCCTGAGGCTTTGTGCCTTATGCACCCTCCTCTTACTCAGCTCTCTTTAGTCATCATGGCGAGTAGGAAACGATTGATCACTAGGTAGGTAGAGCGGCTCCGGAATCAGTCCTTGGAAAGATTCAAAGAAATATGCTGAAATACGAGGAGATTTCCCGAAGCATACATCGCATACGTCATAAATCCTTGCTTATTTATATTCCCCTCGCCCCATCAAAATTATTCAATTCGATAATCTGAAATGATAATGTCTGCATTTGTATCTATGATGATAGGTCCAAGAAATTGCGGCCTGATGAGGCGTCCGTTGCAGCCCAATAAGGCGAACCGTTGCCGCCAGACAAGGCAAAATCGTGCAGCCCAAAGACTACCTTCGTATCTCGACAACATTATTCGCAATGCGCTTCTCGCGAATACATTTAAGAAATCATCAGGGTAGCTGGACCATCTACGAAGAACGCACATCGTGGTCACATTACATTACGCCGCGGTATCATCTGGAACTGGTGTGATCGCTCTCCACTTGGGGCCTGGATGCTGGCGCGGATGTTCTCAAGTGCTGAAGCAACAGCAATCTGGCTTCAGCTCGTTGACTGTAGGCTGAAAGAGCTTGAGGAGAAGTCAGACCCGACCAAAGTGCATGGCATCACAGCCCTCTACACGGCAGAACATGGTCGACAAATTATGAGAGACAACTTGGCCCGGTGGGATGCGAGCGCGCGTGCATGGTTTCAGGCCGCTAACCAGGTAAAGCTGTCTGAAGAGGCGCAAATGAGAATCATTGTAAAGAATTCCATCGGAATCTGCACGCAGATGGCGAGGAAAATCCCTCGTCAATCAGACATTCATGCTTGAGTAGTGGAATTGAAGAAAAGCACAACCATCAGAGTCGTCGTGTAAGAGGGGACTTTGGGAATAAGGACACCACTGTAACGCTGACGTCTGATCCCGTCCCTGCTGTGCATTAAGTTTAGTTCGCCTAGCCATGATAGGCGCCCACCTCCAGGCAACTGCACTACGAGATGCCTTCATACAGCTCTAACGCCTTATAATTGGATCTCGTCGCATAAACCCGCATGCGATCCTGGCTCGGCTGTAACTTAATACACTTCACGCTGAACAAGGTAAACACGAGAGGTGCCCACTCGCCTACTCCGCAATCCGTGAATACCTAGGCACCAAAGGCCCGTGCCATCAACACCTGTGCTATTTAAGTCTGCACCGCTGCCAGCAGATCAACGCCGCTGCACAAAACATCTTCATCAATATACTCACCAACAATGACTGAACCCGTCACCACTCTTAAAAGGACTTCATCTGAAATCTCCTTCGTCACCATGACGATCGGGGACATGGACGTCGCCGACGGCAATCAGATGGTCACGCGACTCCCCGACCCGCCCAAACCGCCCAAGAACGATCTGCTCCTCGATTGCAAAGACGACGAGGAGAGCCGCACGCCGCTGTCGTACGCTGCTGAACTGGGGCACTACGATGTTGCGAAGCTACTCCTAGAAACCGGGAACGTCGACATCAATGCGCAAGACAAGAATGGCAAAACTCCACTTATCTGGGCAGTGAAGAGGGGTCACGGCGAGTTGGTACAGCTGTTCCTCGCGATGAAGAATGTCGACATTGAATTGGCGGATACTTACTACGGCCAATCTCCGCTATCCTGGGCTTGTGAGTATGGCCGTGAGGACGTGGTACGGTTGCTTCTCGCCACGGGTGAAGTTGACATTCACTCAACCGACATCAAGTCCCGGACACCTTTCTTATGGGCTTGTATGGAAGGCCACAAAGATGTCGCCAAACTGCTCCTCGAAGCTAGAGAACCCGACATCAACCACAAGGATTCCCAGCACTACCAATCACCGCTTTCATGGGCTGCTGAGAATGACCATCGTGACGTGGTTGAGCTCTTGCTACAGACTGGCAAAGCCGACATCAACTCGAAGGATGAGAGGGGTCGAACACCCCTTTGGTGGGCCGTCGAACGTGGCCGAACAGCTATGGTCGAGATCTTGTTGAAGGTGGATGGCATAGATGTCGACGCAAAGGATACTGAGGATGACGAGACGACGCTGTTATCCGCTGCGAAGAATGGCCACACAGATATCGTCAGATTGCTCCTGGACACGAACCGGGTTGACATTAATGCGAAGAAAGTCAGGGGGAATACAGCTTTGCTTTATGCTGCAAAGGCTGGCAACAGCAGCATCGTCGAATTGTTGCTCCGTCACTCTAATTGAGATCCCGATAGCTCTAGGGCGTATGATCAAACAATACTTGCTATCCTGTTTGCTAGCTATCAAAATGGCATCATTCTATTTTGACAAGACTTAGTTAAATCCAGGCCGTTATTGATTTCTTCCCTACACGCCGCCCCTTCGGTGACTGCACTGTAGAGAAATTTTCTTCAATCATAAGAAGCGGAACAGGGCTCTGTGGGATATTGTAGTCCTTCGGGTGAATCAGTGTGTCCGTGCCGGTAATTAATACTAATCATGACTTGATGTATCTCTGGTCTTGGCCGGAGTGGCTCAGCAACCGCCTCCCAGGCCGAGACAGGTCCCTTCTACTATACCGTCATCCACTCGTTTTCGACATTGTCACGCTGCCTGATCTTGCACAGAGATTTGTTTCAACAGAACGAATAGTATTCGTTACTGATCCAAGTCGGTGCTGCCCCCATGTCGCCTTTGTCATCGTACCACAGCCCGCTAGCAATGTGCTTGTCTCGTTCAGATAAAACATGGTCGATCCCGCTCTTAGCTACCAAGTCTTGGACCAAGGGTGTAGGATCCCACAGCTTGACGTGATCAAGGCGCCATCGAGCCGCCTCGGCCTGGGCAGCCTGAATCACGGCCTTCAGGTAGCCCGCCTGGTGGCCAGAGTCAGTCGTCTCGGCCAGTGGTTTCCCTCTGCTCTCATCACCCTCGACAACCAGTCGTAGAATGTAGAGGACGTTTCTGGTAGATGGCCAGTCTGGATGTCCGTAGTAGCGATAGTACCAGATTGCCCAAACCTGACTTCCTAGGGGCCCCGCGATGGCTCCCTTCACTGTCGGTATTTTCCCAAAGATGTGTTGGGTAGTGAAGTCTTCCTTTCTGATGTGGAAGAGCATGTGTTCAAGAGTTGGGACGATTGTCAAACGCCTCTGCACCCGAGCCGGTGTAGCCATGGCCTTTCGAACAATCCCTTCGTCTCTTTCACAGAGACGAGCCAAATCGTCTTCCACGACCTCCTGGGCTGAGCTTGACGCCGGAGCCGGAATGGATGGGAAAACAAGCTGCGCGTTGTTGGGGTGAGGCAGCCATCCCAGCCTAGTGTAGTAAATCTTCCCAATGTCTGAGTAGAGGATAGATCCAACACATTTGCCTTGGTCCGGCTTCCATCTGTAGAGGGCCTTGGCCATCTCCCGCATGTGCCGTGCCGCATAGCCACGACGACGGTACTCCTCGGGGCAGAAGACACTAGCGATGCCGTGGACAATGTTATCGTCCGTATTGCCGTCGGCATCGCTCGTGATGGTGCGCTTGACAAAACTTTCGCAGGAGCATAGGATCGGTCGCTCATTTGGTGGCAGGTTCTTGTCGACGAGAATCCATATGGTCATGCCGCCTTCCTTGGCAAGTGGCACAGTTGTGAGATACTTGGATTCCTCAAGAAATACAGGAACGGTGAAAGAATCTTTCCACGAGGCCGCGACATTGGTCCAGATTTCGACACGTTCTTCCGGGGTTGGGTGAGCAAGCCCCAGGTCGGGAGAGTTGGAGTCTGGCAAGTCGGAGCCCATTGGAAGCAATATCCTGCTGAAGTTCAATGGCAACAGTAGTGATTGTGAATGTGCTGAAAAGTCAATATTGCTCGGTAATTTTGAGTGTGAGTATAAAATTTGAGACTGAGTTTCGGAAGGCTGGGCAACAGTTCCAACCCAGAAACGATACGTATTACATTGGCGAGAACCCATCTGCCTCGAATATTACAAAAGTGATAAACCTAATAGGCGACATTTTTCAGCTTCGTCGGAAGAGGTGCTTGAACGGATCGGTCCATCAGGTATCTGCATCCGTCATTAAGACGGCCCTGGAGAGTTCGACCGCTACCATCAACAACCTAGGGGATCGCTTATCACAGATATCTATCTCTAGCATTTCAGCAGTACGCCGGGCGCGATGGGTTCAGAGTGCATCGACTGTCACTAAACTTCATGGTCGGCTGAAGGACAGACCCTCATGCTTCGAACCTTTCTAGCCATCACCCATGCGTTGGCAGCCGTTTCCCGTTGTTTGCCAACTTAACTTTGTCAGGTATTTGGCTTAAATTGGTCTGCTTGGGATTTTGTAGGACGGCGATAATTACCTTCAGCGTGTGGGAGCAGGTACAGGAATCGTTGACAGCCGGCTCTGTCCTCCTGTCCATAATTCCCGATATTGAGAACTAGGAAACTCCTCAACCTCTTACCTGCATGATCTAGTACGATTTCATATTATTATACGGCTACATTTTATCCTTTTTGTGGCCTATTCTAAATTGCCAGTGAGTGAAATCTGGGAGTAGTTATTTTGGGATCGGTCTCGTCGGCTCTGCCATCGCCAGATTGCGGGGTTATGCATACAGTTGTCGGATAACCAGTTAGCTACTGCACCATAAAATGGGTTTGCTATAATATAGTATTATATTGGCTCTTATTTGACTAGGGTCCTCTTATCATAGTGATCTCACCAAGAGGGAGTGTTATCAGGTCGTATGTATCTCTGATTGTGCGTAGCAATCACCCAGTGACCCAGCATCATCTCCCATGGCTATCGCCGGTTGCCGTCGGAGCAGCCCGCCCAAACCCCTCATTCATCGTCCTTCTCTAAAGAGACATGATGAAGGAAGTGCGGGGTTTGCACTAATTGAAATATGCTACTTGTCACGATTTGAGAGCGACTCTAGTATTCGAAGCCCTCATTTTCCTTTCCTTACCTGAACTTTGTGTCTCTTTTCTTTCTTGAGCTACCTTGTTACACGCAATAGCCACCATCTACCCCACTGGCTCAGCGCTCACATCAAATGGCTTTCAAGTCAGAGGCAATCGTCGCCAGAGGTCCGTTCTCGGAGGGAAAATGGGCCATTGAACCCGTTACCCTCCGAGAGGTTCGCGCGGACGAGGTTCTGGTTGAGATGGTTGCGTCTGGCATCTGTCACACGGATTTGCACTGCGGCAACACGGCCGAAGACTTGGGTGTTCCGGGCGTCTACTATCCACGCGTGCTTGGACATGAAGGTGAGCAAGTCTGTCCCCAATAGAGACCTCGGGTTCGTTGGCCAAGATGCTAAAGAACGGGTACCATAGGCTCTGGGTATGTGGTTCAAGTCGGCACCGGCGTCACCAAAGTAAAGCCCGGCGACGCCGTTCTGCTCTCCTTCTCCTACTGCGGCAAATGCTACGTCTGCAAGACAGGCCCGCCATCCCATTGCATCAACTTCTTCGACATCAACTTCATGGGCGAGCCGGTGTTTTCCGACGGCATTGGTGGACGCTTCTTTGGCCAGTCAAGCCTTGCCCGCCACTCGATCGTGAGTGACAAATCAGTCGTCAACGTGAGTGGCCTGGGCCTGAGTAGAGACGATCTCAAGGTACTAGCCCCCTTCGGGTGCGGGTTTCAGACAGGCAGCGGAACCGTTGTCAACGTTGCAAAGGCTGGGGCGGACGACTGTGTCGCTATTGCTGGTATGGGGGGCGTAGGGCTTGCGGCAGTCATTGCGGCAAAGAACAGGAACTGTGAAGCCGTTATTGGTATCGACCGTGTTGAGTCGCGACTGGAACTGGCAAAATCGCTCGGAGCGACGCACGTCATCAACACGACAGGTCTTGACATGGCACAAGTGACGGAGAAGATCAAACAGGTAACAGGCGGGCTGGGAGCAACAGTCTGCATCGACACGAGCGCGCATCCACCTCTGGTGGCCGCTCAGATCGACGGAACTCGGTACATGGGCAAGATTATCCAAGTCGGCACCGGCATGCCGGATGCCAACCTGTCGATTCACATGCAGAGCTTTATGGTCAGCGCGAAGCAGTACTTTGGGGCGGTCCAGGGACACTCCAGAACTGAGGAGTACATTCCTCAGATGGTTCAGTGGTGGAGAGATGGGGCCTTTCCAGTCGAAAAGCTGGTCAAGGTTTTTGAGTATTCGAATTTTGGACAAGCGGTTGAGGCTATGGGGAAAGGTGAAGTCGTCAAGCCTATTATTGCGTGGTAAACAAGTTAAATCACAGCTACGTTTGAGGCGCTTGATAAGATGTGAAAGCGAAGACCATGTGCTGACAGAATTCGATAAATTGTCGAGAATGATATGTATGACATGGGGTGAAATGTCATAGGCTCGAACTGATCAAGCTGCAGATCGTGAGACAGCTAAGAATAATCAAACCCTGGTTGATCTAGCGATTAAGAGCTCGTCCATAGAATTGTACATCCCCCTCTCTATCTTTACTCCTCATAATGTCTCTCAAACTGCCCCATTCATCATCACGGGCCACGGCATTGACGGCATCAAAGCAGCCGGGCTGGCACCTTCGCGACGGCCTTTACATCTCATGGATACGTCGCTGTTGCATTTGACTATCTCTATTTTCGCGAAAGCGGGGGTGAACCACGCATCATGGTGGACATTTCGCAAGATCTTCAAGACTTCGGAGACGTGGTAGCCTGGGTCCGGCATCAAGCCAAGAGATTCGATGTCGATCGCATCGTGACTTGGGGCACAAGTTTCGGAGGTTGCGCGTCTGGTGCTGTCACCGAATCGGGCGGCAGCGACAGATTGATGTACGCACGTCTAGACCAACCGTTTCGCTGAAGTCGATTCGCGCCAGGAGCCGGATGTGTCTACAAATATAGGTATTTATTAATTGGTGCAGTCTACCATAAAGGACGTGCAACACCGCCAAACTTGCAGTGAAATTCAGCACATTACTTCCGCGTAATTACGGTCATTTCTCACATCATCCAACTTGCTTCCTGCTCATCGTGCCAATCAACGCATCATATATCTTTTTATTCCCAAACTTCGGCCGCACACCACACGTCAGAGACATTGGGACTCTTCTAACTTAGGTGTGTGCTGCGAATACGACGGCGGGAAATATCGCTAATAGCTCCGTTTAAATGGGGCTGGGCCGGAGAATCTTACTTCCAGGACAGCGTGTTTCGTACCTGCGACGCGGCGCGTCGGAGAACTGATTGAAAGGTATTATCGTACGATAATTTTGTTTCTTCCCGTCGACAAGAGAGACCTCTGTCCCCAGTCGCCGATCTGCACTGTTTTGTTCTTCTTGGAATAATTTCTCGATTTCTTGTGACTGATGTCAAGACGACGCGCGCGCCTCTTCCCGTCTGCGTATCTCCAATTGGCAACCTCAACTTAGACACTGTGATTGCTGTGCTGATGGTCGCAAACAGAGCCCCTGGCGATGGGCATCACGAAACCGCCATAATGCTGGATTCTAGGTCATCCTCTGGTCGCGAAACCGAACCCCAGCTGGACTGGGCTTCAGATACTCGGAAAAACCAGCGTCGAAATAGGAGGCAGCTAACCTGGTCATGTTTCCTGACACTTTGCTGTCTTTCCACCCTGGCCTTAGCTGGCCTATTCTTTTTTCGGCTATCTCGCGAACAGGCGCAACTACCTAGACCTGAACACCACGAAATAAACACTGGAGCATCAATCATCTCATCGATTGCTGCACCATCTCAGACACAATCTCATGAGGACGAAAACAAACCAGAGACTGCGCTGGTGTCATCTGACCAACTCGACCTGAAGACAGGGTTCATAATTTCAGAAAAACCGACAATACGAGACTATGTGTTTAATATTACTCGTGAGCTTGCTGCCCCGGATGGATTCCAAAAGTCAATGATCCTTGTCAATGGCCAGTCTCCGGGGCCACTCATTGAGGCTAACACGGGCGATGTCATCCGCGTTATCGTCAACAACAAGATGCCAGAAGCCAGCACTACCATCCATTGGCACGGTATTGACCAGAGAAACACGGTGTGGATGGACGGCGTCCACGGCGTAACGCAGTGCGGTATACCCCCCGGAGAAAGCTTTACGTATGAGTTCAACGTAACCGACCAACGAGGAACCTTTTGGTATCACTCCCATTCATCAGTTCAATACACCGACGGTCTTTATGGCCCAATTGTGAGATACTCCTATCCTTAACCCATATGGTTGTTAGTATGCTGTCGCTTTTCTGACCACGACGCAGATAATACACAGTCCTGATGAGAATATTTCTCTGATAGATGACGATAAGATAGTTATGGTCGGAGATCTGTTCCATGAGCAGGCAGAACAAGTACGCATACGCCACGCGTAAACTACATCAATACAGGACTGTTAACTCGGTAAAACCATCTAGCTCTCATCCGAATACCTGGGTGAATCGCCGTCCTGGAATCCCGGAAGGCCGGGTATGGAGCCGCCTCCAGACAACATTATCATGAATGGCCAGCATGTTTTCAATTGCTCGATATTACAGAACACGGGGTCCAGCTCTAGACATTCTATGTCCACAGATTGCACCGGTGGCTCACTATATGCGACGCGCATCAAAACTGGACACCAAGTCCGTTTCAGACTGATCAGTCACAGTACCTCCACACCACTCTATTTCACGATTGACAACCACACTTTAATGATCATTGAGATTGACGGCGTGGAAATAGAACCAATTCCGACAACCCGAGTGTTCTTAAACCCTGGACAGCGCTACTCGGTATTGGTCACAGCCAACCAAACTGTCGGGAATTACATGATGCGCACGGCTGCGGCCACGGGGTGTTTTCACCTCGCCCACGCACACGACGGCACCCCGGGACTTGCTAGCATCCAATATGAGGCCACGGGGATCTTGTCATATGATGACACAGAAATCAGTGCCAAGCTCATCGGCTCGTCCTGGGAGTTAGGGGACATGTCCAATCCCGCCTTCGGCAGTGAACCTTGGCAACGCGCTTGCAGAGATTTACCTTTTGATATCCCTCGTCCGATGGAGAAAAAGAAGGCGTACGACGTTGGTGAGAGAAATCACCATTACTTTTCGTTTCATCAAGAAATGGTTGAAGGCGTGTACCGCACTTACGTCAATAAGGTTCCCAACTCATCCCTCCATTTTGGTGGGTTTCTTACTGACTCCTAGCAGACAATATTTGCTCCTTTGCAAGATGACGCGACCATCTGGAAAGTTCTCCAACCTGGTATGGAGTCCAAAGACATTCATGCCAAGGGGATGGGATGGGACTTTGGACCAAACCAACAAGTCCTTGTCTCCCAAGATGCAGATAAAGCCGCACAGATTGTCATCAACTCCGAGACTATGATGATTCATCCATGGCACCTTCAGTGAGTTATCTACTATAAGCCTAGCCCGTAACGGTCTACTAACCCAGTGAAACTAGCGGTATGTTTTTAAATCAACCACCTTTCTTAATACGCTCATGGTGGTACTGATATAAAGCTGCAGGTCAAAACTTTCAGGTCGTTGGGTGGGGTGATGGTGTGTTTGGAGAACGCGACACGACTTGGAACTACGACAACCCAATGAGACGAGACACAATCACCATTCCAGGCTTCTCTCATGTTGTTATTCGAATCGTGGCGGATAACCCGGGAGTTTGGGCATTCCACTGCCACATATTATGGCATGCCGAAGGTTGTTATATTTCCTAGTACCTACCCCATTACTCTGGATACTAGCTCACAATTCAATCTCAGGCGGTATGTTTATATCAATCGCCAGTCGATTAGAAGAGCTAGAGACTATGTTAAGCTCACTAGAAGGTTCTACCAACGGTGTCGGCATCAAGCAGAAATTTTGTTCCGCTGTCAATAATAATCAGACGATGAGAGACGAGTCATTTGAATAAAGCGACCATAAATGGCTTAGATTTATCAAGTGAGAGTTTTGGAGTAAGGCCATGTATCAGAATAAAGTATCAAAAAGTCTTTGTACCTTTCTTTCCAATCCCATGTGCGGCAGACGGTCGAATATTCTCTTTATCGATGTCAGGATTATCAGGATAGAGCCTTAAGCTCCTGCATAATGCGATTGAGCATCAGGCCCAATTTCTTTCGAAGGTCTTCGGCCCCCTCCCCTACGAACCAAAAGTTTCCAGGGGACATTAAGATGCGTCACAGTGGACTGGGCATACTGATATTTGTTGCGAATTAGACGAAATAATCCCCGTTTCGTCGATGGCGGACGGCGGAAAGACTACCGCAGGGCGCAGGGCGCAGGGCGCATGTGGAATCATCGTAATTATCAACCAGAGACGGAAGCATTTCGAAAGCCTCACATACATCGATACCGCCTTACTAAATACAAGTTCGGTTTGTCGGTGGGTGTATGGTGTTAGGTACCATAAGAGGAAGCTTGTGCGGCCAGATGAGAGACTGTTTAATTTGACTGGGGACCAGCCAGAGTCAGATCGACATGATACAAAGGTGGACAGCCAATAAAATGAATAACGTCTCTATGGCTTTCTATTTGTTCAACTTCATTTACTGGTACGTGTCATTGTTGCCTGTTTGCATGACATATCGCCAACCCCGCCTCCGCTGGTGCCTAATAGGTGCACATTGATCAAAACCTCTTTCAGACCTCCGTCGACGCAGCGAATTCTCCCTCACCTCGGATTTCAACGCCTTTGATCAACTTACTCTTCTAATTCGATCCAGAATGGCGTCTGTGTCGTCACGAATCCCACATATCCACCTGCTCTGCGTTGCAGACGAGTTCATCGTTGCATTTAAGAAAGCAGCTGCGGAGCATGGCGTGTATTCGCTGACATCAGTGGAAATTCACGACTGTGCACTCTCTACACTGCCGGCATCTGTCCAGTTCGATACCATTGTCTCACCGGCAAATTCTTATGGGAGACTTGACGGCGGATTCGACGACGCTATATCCCGGGCCTTCTCACCACGAGACGACTACCTAGCTCTCACCCGCGCGGCACAGACAGAGTTGTATGAGGAATGGCGTGGATTTGCACCTCCAGGAACATGCACGCTTCTACGAATACCTGAGAGCTTCCGCGACCGATCGAGGAACATTTGGGGAGCCAAGCATCTTGCGCTTTGTCCAACAATGCGCGTGCCCATGAATGTAACGTGGGATAGAGAGATCGTCTACGACACTATCTGGAGCTTGCTTTGTGCCATCGACAAGCACAATAGACTTGCGCAGGTTAATTCGCCAGATGAGAAGATATCGAGTATTCTCATGACCCCTATGGCTACGGGTACTGGATTTGTCAGTGCTGATCGGTGGGCTCACCAGACAGTTTTGGCCATCAAACACTTCATAGAGGCATTGGATGACCCCGCCAAATGGAGCGGCTTGACTTGGCACGATATATTTGACACCGCAAATGAGGTAGAGAAAACATGGTCGCCTTGATGAACTGGAATGCATGGCTTTGGGTGGTTTGAGAAGCTTGAAAGATGCACCTTGTCAAATTATACAGATATGCTTCGCAATGCAGACTTCATTGATGAAACTACTTTTGACGAAATTGTAATCATTTCACTCGGAGAGATAAGTAGTTGCAGCACATCTATGGAAGCAATCTGGAGTAGAAAGAATTGAGAGATATGATTCTATAAAGTAGTCTATGCCGAAGGAAGTAAAAAGAAAGATAATGCGATGCTATGCTGATACAAAAGGAATGTGGAACTGAAGTCTAATAAAAACGCCCGACCCAATGATCCATGCCCCAATCTCAGAAGACGGCCTAGGTCTTGTCTCACTTGTCTTCATGGTACTTGCCATCGTTGAACGGAGTGCCCTCACCCTCGTACTTGCCAGGGTGCCACGAACCGTCATCCTCCCTCTTGTCACCATGGTATTTACCATCGTCGAAAGGAGTGCCCTCACCCTCGTACTTGCCGGGGTGCCACGAGCCATCATCCTCCCTCTTAGCCTTGTCTCCGTGGTACTTGCCATCATCGAAGGGAGTGCCCTCACCCTCGTACTTCCCGGGGTGCCACGAACCGTCATCCTCCCTCTTGTCGCCATGGTATTTACCATCGTCGAAAGGGGTACCCTCACCCTCATACTTTCCAGGGTGCCACGAACCATCATCCTCTCTCTTGGCCTTGCCTCCATGGTACTTCCCGTCGTCGAAAGGGGTACCCTCGCCCTCGTACTTCCCGGGGTGCCAGCTTCCATCGTCTTCCCTCTTCACCTTGCCACCGTGGTACTTTCCGTCATCGAAAGGAGTTCCCTCGCCCTCGTATTTGCCAGGGCGCCAGGAACCGTCATCCTCTCGCTTGACCTTGCCGCCATGGTACTTTCCGTCGTCGAAAGGAGTTCCCTCGCCCTCGTACTTGCCAGGACGCCAGCTTCCATCATCGGCTCTCTTAGCCTTGCCGCCGTGGTACTTTCCGTCATCGAACGGGGTGCCCTCGCCTTCATACTTCCCGGGGTGCCAGCTTCCATCATCGGCTCGCTTAGCCTTGCCGCCCCGGTACTTTCCATCATTGAAAGGAGTGCCCTCACCCTCGTACTTTCCGGGATGCCATGAGCCGTCGTCCTCTCGCTTTGCCTTGTGGTCGTTTGTGCTAGGGTGCCACTTTCCATCGTCGAAGGGAGTGCCCTCACCCTCATATTTGCCTGGAGCCCAAGAGCCATCGTCGTTGGGCTTGGCTGTGGGAAGCGCCAAAGCTGTCACAGCAAAGGCGAGGAGAGTCAAGGAGTAACGCATTTTGAAGGTTTTGATGGATGACTAGGAAAGGTCGAATTTGATGGTGCGGATTGTTGAATGAGCTGAGTACTTTGGTTGAATGGTTTGATTGTATTGAAGTTGTTGTTAGGTGAGAATGATGATGAGGGGTAGAAGATGCTGTTGATGATAATGATAGAAACGAGAATTAAGAAGGCGCACCTTGGTATCCTATATACTTCCAAGTCGTCACCAAAAGATAATGTGCTCACGAGAATAACCAGCTGTTAGAACTGCACTTCATGAGCCTTGGAAGCATGGCGCAGCTTGTAGCTCCAAATCCTTTTTCGGTGTCTATTTCGATGGCACTGTGAAGTAATTCTTACCATGCCGCTTAGCTTAGGTGCTGCATTTAGCAGAAGGTCGCCGAACGGACTCGTATGCAGCTATTGGTGCTATTTTCAGGGCTGCCAAGCAAGCCGCAGCAAGCTGGACTCCTCCAAACGGAGAAGCCAATGAGCCACGCCTACAATCCTCCAGCTCAATTAGCAAGGCGTCCAGTAGGTCAGCACTAGCTCTTTGGGCATATTTTTATGTCGTGGTGGCTGAGCTCGGATTACATCCCGATCCCCTGTTAAAATCTCACCATGGTGCCGCATTGGGGCTAGGGTCGGCGATGCCAGAGCCCTCTCTCACAGAAATCACAGCCAGCATCGTGGCAATTGAGTGCTTAGCCACAATATTTGCTATAAGCTTAGATATGAGGTAAGACAGGTCGGCGATGGAGGCGGTTTTCTGACTGTACTGGGAGAAATAATAGCATAATTTGCTCGTATTGAACATATCATGATGCTCGCCGAGGCAATCCAGAGCACGCCATTCGGCGATTGATCAAAGACTTGCTCTCCAGCAAGGTTTCGGCGCGCTCTCGGCGTCACTGTGGGATAAATCTTGGAGGCCTACTTTCGCGGCAGTGTTGGACCAAAATAAAGGAGAAAAGGGTTCTAGGGGGTATGTGTGCTCTCTTTCCCACGAGGAAGTTCGGGCCCATCAGGTCTTCAATAGTTTCATGGGCACCCCAACTTCACTTCAGACTTTTTCCACATTTAAAACTTTGCTCTTGCCTCGGACGGGCTACAGCTAACTCACCCAAGCAGGCAGAAAGACCTTACAATTTAGGACTGCAATTTGCTGAGCTGAGTAACTACAAGTAACGTTTGCATTTTCTCATGGGGATGAAGAGGGTCATAGAGTAAGTAAAAGCTGTGGACTGGATATAGGCAACACTAGAAGAAGGCTTTCCTGATCTTAGACACAGGTAAACCTTTCACGATACTGAGTCTTCCAATTTCCGTGGGGTTGAAACGATGTCAATGTGTCTCTTTATGTAACCCCACCGTTCATTAGTGTGGGAAAAATCACTTTCGTTTCCGTGAGCGCAGGTAAGAAGCCACGTCTCAATAATCTCTGCAGTGCTAGCCATATAGGGGATCTAACGGGGGATGGATGTACTGGCCATCATTTAGATCGACTCCGGAGCGAAATACAAGTTAAATTAAGTATCTTGATGCTCCGGTAGCCGCTAGGAGTCCACCGGCAGCCTACTTTGCCCTGTGCCAATAAAACATGGGCGATGATTAGGATGGCCGTTGAACCGTATGGCCGCGCCCCTTGACGTCGGCAGTTGGTCAGCTTTTAGCCCAACACGAAAATATGAGCAAAATACATTTCAGTTCGAGGAGTTAGGCAAAGCTATTCGCATTCAACCGTTTCTCTAGCGTTACTCCTTCCATGGCATCATGTAGCTGCTAAGGAATACTCCACGACTCCTGGGCCTACCTCGTAGCCGGGTATTGGGCTGATTTGGAATGGTGGTCGATGTCCCCATGCCGCACTAGGAGGACCACTGCGGCAATATTAAGCGGAGGCCTACGATCGCATAAATTGCCCCTTGTAATAATGTTACAGGTCAGAGTGGTTTTGGTGTCCAATCTAGTCCAAAAGCTCATTCCAGACCTCCCACACATGGTCTGACAAGCACGAGATACGCCACAATTTCAAATAGCCTAATCTTAAGCATAGACCAGATTGAGTGGCATATTACCCCCGCTTTAGATCGTCGTCTTACAAGCGAGTTGTGCGTGCGCTTCGCGACGTAACGCAGCGAGTGCGACTGAAGTTTCCCGATGGCTGTAGGGTAGATTGGGACAATTAATCATATCTTGCGCGACAGCTTTAGCGACCGCTTACTGCGATTGCTGGGAGGAGAATATAGATCCATGCCGCGGATCGTCCTTTATGTATGCGTTAGAGCCTCATCATACCCATAGTCGAGGAAATCGTCCATACCCTGTCCAATTTCGCACGAGGCTAAGGGCGATCTTGCGAGATCCCAAGTACAACATACCCTGCCCCATATGGCTTCGAGTACAACAAAAGAAATTTCTGTGATTTTATTGGCCGATGATACCCAAATTTGAGACGTATTTTTGTCAATCTCTTTCGTGAACTGCCGTGCCATCCCATTTCTCCTGTCAAGGTGTTCCAAAAATGCAAAATGCTGGTGGTACTGATGTGGAGAGATGTGGAGAAATCTGGGGACCGGTTCACTGTGGCTGCAACGAGCAATTCTTCAAATTCACTGGCGAGGCAAAGCGTTTAATACTTCCAATTCCAGTCATTAATCCCAGTCATCAATCCCAGCATCTCCTTCAACTCCCCGGACGACGACCGAAACTGGGACTCGCGGTGTGTATTAGCCGGCATCACGACCAACTGCCATTCGGAGTTGCAGCTTATTGGCCAGCGAGTGGCCTTTTAACCGAAGCTCGGCAGCCACATTTCGGAACGATTGTCTATTGGCTAGATTCTTCAACTCCAAAACTGAGCGGAATCCGGAACCACCGTCCATTGGTTGGACTTAAAGTGTGGCCCGGTGATGAGGGGACAGCTCTCCAATTGCCTTGACGTCATGGGAGTACACCCGGGATCGCGAGTTTTCGGTTCTGATGCTCTAGATCTCTGGCCGATCTGTGATGGTTCTAGAGCGGGTTTGGCTGTCGCTTGGGCCATGAGGTGTGCCGGTTTTAGTAGCTGACTTGCTCGAAGGGCTTCAATCTTTGCGTCAAACGCAGACTCGTCATTCACCTGTCCAGTATATAGCGGGCATGTCTCCAATCGATACTGGATGCTTGAGGCGATTTATTGTAGCAATTAAGTCGGCATTTTTTTGCTCAAGGAAGTTCGTAAGTGGTAGCTGTATTAAGTCAATTAGAGGGACCGGAATGACATTCTGTTGATAGTTCATGCAAAGAAGCGCCAAGGTCTCGTGCGTCAACCACTCCAAGTCAAAGGCAAGCTCTCAAACCGCATGTATGGAAATGCGTCAAGGTACGGTTGTCCATTATTAGATCTGCACTGTGGAGCGTTCCCTTGTGTTGGCCGACTTGACAAAATGTCTTCCCGTTTGGATCAGCCGTGGCCGCAGGGGTGGTGCTTAAACGTGCCTCTCTCGTGCATCGCCCAACTTGCCGCACGTTTTACCGGCATTCCCCAACTGCCAAGGCGTCGTCTAACACCGACTAGGCGCATTTAATTCCGTCATATGATATCCCGGTCGTCTTCTTTCGGGGATACAGTGCCTACTCCTACCGAATTGGAAACAACCCATGTCCTGAGAACTCTGGTTCCGAGCTCTGCTTGCTTCCGGGCCCACACAAGTTCCGGGGTTGTGGGGGAACCCCATGGGCCTCACAGCTTGCTTGCGTGACATCGGGCCACCCGAGTTCGTTTGCGGGGAAACGGTCTAAAAAGTCGGCGAGTCAGTGCTCGTACCGGCTTCGCGGTGCGAGAAAATATAAGAAGCCAATGCGACCCTCGCCAAGTCGAGATCGCTACACCACAGCACCGGGATTCATCCATTGGCCCCTACAGCCGTTCTTCTCGATTAACATACACCGGTATCGACTCGCCCGTGCCGAGAAGATGGGGATCACCGCCGAGGCAAAGGCCAAAAATGACGTCTCTCAGTTGGAGGACACTGGCGCTGCGGCCTTCCACACGACGCCTGACCACGCCGAGGAGAAGCTGACGTTCCGCGATTTCTGGGAGCATCGACGCGTCTTGGGTTTCTGTAAGTCTCGCGGTGACGTTTCCGACTTTGCGCCGGGCTCTGAGTCTAACCGACACCTTGCTGCTAGGTTTCATCATCTATCTCCTCCCCATCAACTTCGGCTATGAGGTCTCCATGGTTGGAAAGCTCTTTGCCGTGACTCCCTTCGCCCAGCACTTCGGCTACGAGGTCGACGGAGTTTGGGTTGTCAAAGCCACCGACCAGCAACTCGTCAACGCCGCCAGCACCATTGGCCTCTTCACGTCCGCGTTTGCAACCGGCATCATCAGCGACTACATCGGCCGAAAGAAGACCATCGTCATGGCCTGCTTTATTTGCATCAGCGGCGTCATTCTCCAATACTTCAGCACCACCATTTACATGATCTTTGGCGGCAAGCTCCTGTCAACTCTGGGCTTTGGTCTCGGCCACTCGCTTGGTCCTGTGTTTGTTGCCGAGCTTGCCCCAACCAAGATGCGTGGTGTTTGCCTCGTCCTCATTGTAAGCAACTCCACTCTTCCGTCCTGAAAGACTAAAGTCTAACCATTTCCAGAATACCACGATTGTCATGGGACAATGGCTCAACTCGCTCGTCGTCTACTTTTGCAAGAACTACGAAGGCGACATGGCGTGGAGAATCCCCATCATCACCCAGGTCTGCCCCCCAGGCTTGCTGCTCCTCGCCCTCGCATTCCTTCCCGAATCGCCGACTTGGCTGCTCATCAATGGCCGTCATGAAGAGGCTGCCAAGTCTTACCGCCGCTTCAACGGAGCAAACTTCGATGTCGACGCCGCTGTCGAGGTGGCCACCGTTGCCATTGCGAAGGAGGAAGACGCCAGGAAAGAGCAGGAAGGTTCCAGCTGGTTGGAGTGCTTTAAGGGCACCAACCGCCGCAGGACGCTTATTATTGTGATGGTGTACATCTCACAGCAGTTCATTGGTGTCAACTTTATCAGTGGATATCTTACGTGAGTGCCTCTCCTTTTATCTGCTGGAGTTCTTCAGTCTCTAACAGAAAGATAGGTATTATTTCCGACTTGCCGGCGTCAACGACCCCCTTGCTCTTGGACAGATCGCAAATGCCATTCAGCTTTTCGGTAATATTTGCTCGTGGCCGCTGGTGGATCGTCTTGGAAGACGGCCCATGATTGTCGGCGGTTATACCATCATGTCCGGTCTGCTCCTCGTCATTGGCGGTATCAGCACTATTGGCACCTCCCCTTCTCTGTTGGCGCAGGTAGCTCTTATGTGCGTCTGGGGATTTTTGTATCAGGTAAGCCCGAAAATGGGTTCATAAACTCGTGAAACTTCGAACTGACCTTCTTCGTAGGCAACTCTCGGCGCTGTCGCATATGCCATCGGAGGAGAGACCGCCAGGTACGCTTCAGCACCCTTTCGTATTAGGTCTGTGATCAGTGACTAATTTAATTATAGTGTGCGCCTCCGACAAAAGACTTACAGCATCAACATTATGGTTGCCACAGCCTTCTCGTGCCTGATCACCCAGGTGATGCCCTACCTGCTCAACACCGACCAGGCCAACCTCGGCGGCAAGATCAGCTTCGTCTTCTTCGGCTTGTCGGTCCCCGTGTTGATCTACCTCTACTTCTGCCTTCCCGAGCTCAAGGGTCGTAACTACGCCGAGGTCCAGGAGATGTTCGAGAACAAGGTGCCGGCGAGAAAGTTCAAGACTTACAAGTGCGATTCGGCATTGTTGGAGCACAGCGAGACGAAGAAGGATCTGGAGCTGTGATTGGCGGGAGAAGCAACCGGTAGATGAACTAGTTAGTTGCTAGAGATAGTCAGAAATGCCTGTCCAAGACAAAGCCTGACTGCTAGTGGTGCAGCCCTACCTTCGCGAGCTTGTGTCACATAAAGATGCCGCTGATGTTAGAGTGTTTCAAGTATATCAGCTTCACCTCTGCTCATTGTGATGACGTCACAACTCATAGCTAACTAACCCTTCTTAGATGCCCACAATCGAGCTGTTCTAGACCGAACCATAAGGTTTCGCCACATGGGTCTGCGGGTGAATGACCAATCCTGTACGACGATAGTAAAATGAATCTCCACCAAAGCGGGGGATACCTTTTTCTGAAGCCGATCTCCTGGCCGCCGCCTCTTTTTGATCGCTTCCTATCTTCCAAGGCCCATTCTAGACGAGTATCTAAGGACGCAGAGGCAGGGTTGAGCGACACTCGTCGTGGTTAGAGCTGTCCTTGCTCCGAGCCGCGGGGCGATTGAGATAGCCTCAGCCACTCAGTCAACCTCCCCGCACAAACCACGCAGAAAGCGTGGCGATACAGTCCACCATGGACCAGGTGAAGCCGCTGAAGCAGGTTTCCGAGGGCATCCGCGAGCGGGAAACCTTTAGGTATGGTCCCTGCCTGCGCCGCCCACGCCGTCATCCGTTTATCAGGTCCATGTCGCAGGTATTACTCGTCTCTGCTCCGCGTCGCGAAGTTCAACAACACCGGCCGATCGCTTCCGAGCTCTGAGCTGTCGACCTCGGACGACTCGATCCTCACTGCCCTCGCCCAGCTCGGAACCTGCCAGACGGGGACCGAACGCGCCCTCGTATCCCTCTTCGATACCGACCGCCAATACATCATCGCCGAAGCCACGCCCTCAATATCTCTGCGCCCATCGCTCCGCAGCTCCGACTGCTGCAAGCCGCTCGGGTCATGCGGTACCGCTATTCCTCGCAGCCACGGCGCGTGCGAAATACCGCTTCTCGGCACTCCCTCCGCGCATGATATCACGGAAAACGAGGGCCATGATTCCACGCAGCTTCCACTCACCTTGTCGCAAGATCTTACCACCGATGCTCGATTTTCTTCCAAACGCAACTGCCAGCCAGGCGGCGCGACCCGATTCTACGCGGCAGTGCCGATCCGAACCCGACGAGGCATCAATATTGGCGTGTACTGTGTGATGAATTCGACGGCCGGGGGGAAATGGACTGGCGAATATACCCGCCGGCTGCGGGAGATATCGCAAACCATCATGGATCACCTCGAGTCGCAAAGACTGAAGGAGTCGAGCCGGCGAAGCGACCGCATGAATAAGGGCCTGGGATCCTTCATCGAGGGCAAGTCGGCTATATCTGATACGCAACTCGGTCGTGGGGATTTCTGGGAGCAGGAGGATGCTCTCACTCCGACGAAACCAGCATCACAGCACAGACAGGAGCCACAGACCATGCAAGCGCACGCTGCGACAGCTGAAATTCCGACAGAATTTCCAGCAGAGCCGTCTCGAAATGAAGATAGCCCGTCGGCTCACTCGTCAACATGGGAAGACATGGGTCATGAGTCGGGCGATGATGGGAATCCGACAGCTATCTTCTCAAAAGCCGCCAACATCATCCGGGAGTCGATTGACGTCGAAGGCTGCCTATTCCTTGATGCCACAATGAGCTCATATCGCCTCCTACGCACGGCACATGGCACAGGTGAAACGCTGGACCAGTCCTCCTCGGGCAGCAGCCATGATGAACCTCTAGATTCTGATTCTGGCGAGGAACTCTGGCCTCGTTGTCAGTTACTTGGGTCTTCCACGTCGGATTCGGTGAGCCTTGAACAAGGTGCTCCACGACAACCGAGCCCGAGGGTGGCGGAGCAGTTCCTTGCCAAACTCCTTCGGCGCTACCCAAAGGGCAAGATTTTTAACTTCGGCGCCGACGGGGCACTGCAGTCTTCCGACTCATCCGAAGACGATGGCGCCTTTTTGTCATCCTCTCTCGCCAGCCCGCCACCATTACAGAAAGGCCCCGGAGATTCGGCCTCGCTCTCATCCCGGCCCAGGCGTTCGAGAGACCCCTGGGCTAGGCAGCGGGAGGGAAGCGTCCTCCTCAAGGCATTCCCGGAGGCCCGGAGCGTGGCTTTCGTACCCATTTGGGACCCGAGAAAGGAACGGTGGTACGCGGGAGGCTTCATCTACACCAACTCTCCGAGCCGCAATTTTTCCCTCCAAGGAGAGCTGAACTACCTGATGGTATTTGGGATGCTTGCTATCGCCGAGGTCCTTCGCTTTAATACTCTACTCGAAAACAAAGCAAAGTCCGACGCTCTAGGGTCGCTCTCGCATGAGCTACGCTCTCCTCTGCACGGAGTGTTGCTGAGTGCCGAGCTCTTGATGGACACTGACCTCACCGTGTTTCAAGGCAACGCGGCTCATACCATCGAAACCTGCTCCCGAACACTCCTCGACACGATAGACCACCTTCTAGACTATTCTAAAATCAACAGCTTCGCAAAAGGGAATAATGCCTTTAAGAGCGCCCTGGCGGCCCCGGTAGCTGGCGCCCCGGTAGATTGGAGACACTTTGGCCAGAAGAGCTTGATTTGCAACTCTCGGCTTGACGGGCTCGTCGAGGAGGTCATGGAAAGTGTCTTCGCAGGCTTCCACTTCAAGCATCTGTCTGCCCAGCCACTCTCTGACGGACGACCAAGATCAAAAAGCAGCGACGTCAGAGCCAATCATCACTTGGACTTCCTACAGGCCAGAGAACAACTCGACCCCAGGCTGATCAACAGTTCAGAGCTGCAGTTAAACTTCGGACAAGTGTCGATATTTTTCTCCGTCGATCCATCTCGTAACTGGTCTTATTTAGTCCAGGTTGGAGCATTTCGCCGAATCATCATGAATCTTTTTGGCAATGCACTGAAATACACGCACAAGGGCAGGATCAAGGTATCGCTTACGCAAGAAACAATGTCACTAAGGCAACGTAAAAAGGAGAGCGTTGTCAAAGTGACAGTGCAAGACACGGGAAGGGGCATTGGCGCCGACTTTCTCAAGCAGGGCCTCTTTAAACCCTTCAGTCAAGAAGACAACCTAGCGCCAGGAACAGGCTTAGGTCTCAGTCTGGTAAAGCAGATTACGTCCCAGTTGGGCGGTCAAATCTCGGTGGAGAGCCAGGTTGGTGTTGGGACTACTGTCTCAGTTGCACTCCCGCTCGAGCAGGTACCACAACAACCAGGGGATGTCCAATCTCTCTCAGAGGAGGACCAAGAATTTGACGCGCGAGTCCGCGATCTAAAAGGCCTACGAGTCCGAATGATGTACCCTGGCCATGGTGATGGAACGGATCCCGACGGCCACAAAGACAAATTGGAAGGCGTATGCACTGGGTGGCTACGCATGGAACTCGTGTCGGATGCAGAATGCGGAGCGGTGGCGCCGGATCTCCTCATTTGGTCACAGGATGCGTTGCCAAAGAGTTCCAAGGAAATCGAGGCGCTGTCTTCAACTCCCAACATTGTCATATGTCCAAATTCCCTGGAAGCCTATGTTCAATCTCACTCTTTCGAGGCAGCTGGCCACACCGGAATCTTTGAGTTCCTTTCTCAACCGTAAGTTCCTCTTCAGTAACACTGAACTTTGTGTTCTCTCACTAACACCAAACCAGTATTGGCCCTCGCAAGCTTTCAAAGACACTACTTCTCGCGTATAAGCGATGGACAGGGCTACCGAAGTCTCGGGGTTCTGGCACAGCAAGTCCGCCGATCTTGGTCAAACGGCCGGCTGGACCCAACAGAACGCCGAGTTCATTTACCATACCCGACGTTAGCAAAGTGGAGCTAGTGCGTGTGCCATCGACGTCTGAGGGTGAAATCCCGCCTAACATGGAGGTCAAAGACGTTCCAACAGCCCCTCCTCCCGGAACCGAAACATTGATAAACGCAGATTTGTGTGAAAGTCCCTCAGATCTCGCGCTTCCCACACCCCGGACACAATTCTTGCTTGTCGACGATAATCACATCAACCTGAAGCTATTATCGGCGTTCATGACTAAACTTGGCCACCAATATCAGACAGCGATGAACGGAAAGGAAGCTGTCACTTGCTTCGTCAAAAACCCACGTTCATACTCGTGCGTATTGATGGACATATCAATGCCAGTCATGGACGGCTTCGAGGCTACCAGGCGCATTCGGGCTTATGAGTGCCAAGAGGAGCTGCAACCTGTGTCCATTATTGCGCTCTCCGGCCTAGCCTCGGAGGACGCGCAGCGAGAGGCGTTTGGCAGTGGGATGGATTTATTCCTCTCCAAGCCGGTGAAACTAAAATCTCTGGGGGCGTTACTTGAATCGAAGAGTCTTTTGAACGGTCAGTAGTGGATTGAAGCTCACGTTTTCATAGTGAAGAAAGGCCGAATTGGAGCGATGACTGACTGCGCTTGTTTCATGTGACAAGATTTCTTTCATAGTCCTCGATCTCCGAACTGACATGTAACCTAGATGATTTCTACAATGAGGCTCCGGGCCCAAATACACGTGAGGGCCATCTGGAGGGGAAATACATGGAAAATAGACATCACGGCGAACCCCATAGAAGTGATGTCGAGAATCGTACATCCTAAATCATGATAATTACTAGCCATGAATTCAAAACTACCTTCTGATCTTCTCTAGGCTCTCTGTATCACAATCCATTGTGAAGGCCAGACTCGAAAACCTTCCAAAATGCACCCGAGATTTATATAACGTTTTAACCGTGAGCCTCAATTTTTCTTTGAATTGGTCACCGCTCGCCCCAGGTATGCCAAAGTCGCTGGCTCTCGTACATCATAGATAAACGCCGCAATTTAGTCGCCGCAATTTAGTCGCCGCCTTCGTTGGCGCCACAGTCAAAGTCCGTTCGGGGGATGAGGCTTCACTAAAATATCTGGCTACGTAGGTACTAGATTAAGTCCCGGAACATGAAACTCTTCAAAAGCTTTCTCCATAAAGCCTTCCTTCCAGAATCTTGACTCTTGACTGCATCCGCGCGGGTACCAAAACTATATGTGAAGCCCCGTCGCGTTCCTCGATCGAGTAGCCCACGGGTTCGCACTTATCCAGCTCTCTACTCAGCTCGTCGTCCGAGTAGGCACATGTGTTCGCTCCTAGATCTCGCCTCACGCCCTCAGCTAAATCTAGCGACGCTCGGATCTCGCCGCCGCTGCGCCGGAACTTGACAAGCTGGCTGTTGACCTGCGCATCCAGCCACAAGGCCCAGCAGCCTATGGCCCAAATGGCCTCAAGTATTAGACCAAGCAGTGCCAAGACGGCCGATAAGCCCCATGCGTACCCCTGCCTTTGAACGCATCGGAGGTTGTCTGGAAGGAAAAATGTTTCCACGACCACTGGTACGAAGTTCGGAGCAGGGGGGGCTCAAAAGCGGTCCCGGTACATCCCCTCGCCATTTGTTTCACATAGACCTACTGCTCAGATTCAGGGCTCCACAGCAGGTGTCACGACCCAAATTTATTAGGGATGCTCGTAGTCCTGCGAGTGAGTTAACGCAAGTTTCATGCATGCCAATCCGAGCTCAGGAGGTCACTCAAGTAAGTGCTGGAATGGCCACCCAGAGAAAAAGAGCGCACATATTCTAGAATCAAATGCTTGTGCCCCTTCAATTTTTCAGGCTGTTTCTGGGCCACTGTTTGGATTAGTAGCATCTTTCCACGCCCTCCATGCAATCCAGACCTGAAGTCCTGAGAGCCCTAGCGAGAGGACCCCAACGATAATCGATATCACCAAAGCGCCAAGAGCCACAATAAAAGCATTGCTTTCAGAGGTTTGCCATTTGACCCATCTCTCAAACTTGTTTCGCGGCGGTCGGTTTATAACGAGATCATGCAACACCGCAAGCCGTTCGCCCCAATAGAGATATTCTAGGAGTGGTTCGGATCTCTTCTTTTCGGCGCAGTCTGCGTCAAACCCTTTCTTTTTAATCAACCCCTCTAAGAGTTTGACCGACTTTTCATCTCTCCAGTGAAATAAAATATCTTGTATGGAGTGAAGCGTTTCTGAAAGCAGCCGTGGCGGAAGAGAGCCCCTAGAGAGAGTGAGCTACTATATCTCCAGTCAAACTTCCTATGTGCTTACCTTTCAAGGCAGGATGCTAAGAGTTCCTCCTGGCCAATATTAGAGGCTTCGGAACGACGCAAATGTGCGTTGAGATATGAAGTGTGGTGGAATAAATAGAGCACTTTGTTGTCCGCATCGAGCAGCAAGTGTTTAGTAATGTTGTCGGTCCCCATGAACTTGATACCGAATCGAGATTTCAGCTTCCAAGCCTTGATTGATTTTATATCATCCAGTGCCGTTACCGAGGCCTTGGGAAGAGAATTCTGCACGAATTCCTGAAATGATTCGCTTGGCTGCCATGAAATGGGTCGATAATGGCCAATCCGGAATCCTTCTCCATGTGAATCGGCCACTGCTGGATCAAGCATAAACATCGCGCGAATAGCCATAAAGACGACGAATCTAGCTTGATGGCTTGGTTGGATATGTGTGAATCTCATCTGGAGATCAGTTGTGATTCGCTGGAGAGGCTTTTGCGGGTCACTTCGGACAAGTTGAGCGGCCGCAATGACATCGTGATCACTAGGCCGAGTGAAATCGCCCAGTTGGGGTTGTTCAATGTGAACAGCCCCGGCCATCAACCGATCGTAAACCTTAAAGTAAGAGAAAAAGGGGCGGCTGGTGGTACCGAGAAATTCATTTGCTATGAGCTTTTGGTAATCAGGGGTTGTGGCCATGGCGATGCGTTCTTGGTAGTCATGAGTAGTAGTCATGGCGATCCGCGACGGGCCTTGGGTTTCATGGCCAGCCCGAGTGACTCGAATATGGGGACAGATGTATAAGGAAATATCGGTCCTGTTGGTCCCTTAGAGTTGTGTGCAACGTTGGTTGCGTACAGGAAAACCCAGCTCCTGTTGGGAATTTAAATGATAGTAAGGCTGGGAAGTTGCATGTGACCTCACTTTGTAATTTCACAGGCTGACTGCATGAGGTCACACAGTTACGACTTAAAGAGGGGTAATGGAAGGTAGACCCTTGTTATACCCAATCAACTGCGCTCTGTCAAAGTGACATCTTGACAAATGTTCATAATTGGTTCGCCAGCACTGTCCGTCGGCTATCTCGCGCATCAGCAAGCATTCGAGTTTTCTCGTCCACACCTAGAGAAAACATACGCAAGATAGTCGTCGATGACTAGTCCTGTAGTCCTGAATCATGGGGCTGGGTGACCCTTACGATCTCTTTCGAACTCGCCGATCACGGTCATCTCTCTCCGACCGATAGATTGCTGATGGCTTTGCCTCTTGCACTCCAATCACTTATCTGCGAACGATCACCAGCGGGTCTGGAGGTGTGCAATATGGAAATGTGGAAGGGTAAAGCGCCTGACGTGGATTTGTCTGAAGAGGAACCGCGACATCAGCCACATGTTCTTCGACCTCTTTCACCGCCTCCAGACATGCCGGATTTTGCAACTACCAGCCCAGCCTCGAGCCGAACGAACGCATCTCAACAGCACCTTACAAGCCCCGCCAATCCTTCGCGAATCTTCAGTCCATCCTGGAGAAGTCCCGTACGGAGCCGCGTCCGATCTCCAACAGACAGCCTTCCATCTCCGAATGACCGCGGCGAATCTTCCAAAGCGATTGAATCCTTTAGAGATTATGCCGAGTCCTCACATGGGCATATTGAACCCTCGATAAAGCTCAACGAACCCTTGAAAACGACCGTCGAATCATCGAATACCTCTATCGAAGTTCGCACACAAGATGTTGAGGATTCAAGTCCTGCAGATCTGCCAATTACTGCAAATGTGAGGCCCACAGATCGCCTGGATGTGGAAGAAAACCCCTTTGCAAATCCTGAACCTGTTCCTGGTAGCAAATTCAAAAAGCAGGTTTATCCCCAGGCTCTAGTGAAATCAGACAATTGGAGTGAGCAGGAATATCAAGAGAGATTCCAGTTTGTCAAAGGGGAGTTGAAATCTGAAGTGGACCGCCATCCTGAGCTCCGCGACCTCGCAATCGTCTACGAGCTCCGTATGGTGGGAACAAGTCCAGAAAATGCAATTCCAAGCATCGTCATCAAGTGTCTCTGTGAACCAAAGGACATAAAATCTCTACAATCACTCTTCAAGAGCAGAGCACAAAAACAACTACATTGTGGTAAGAGTCCTTCCACAAGCTGGATTTTGAGTCCCTCTGCAAGTCGGTCTTGGAGTCCCTCGTCAAGCCGGACTTTGAACATACCGCCTTTCGCACTGGTATATTTCAGGTTAACGATATCTCCAATCAGACGTATGGGGTCAGGGAAACCTCTAATCGCGTTCTTTGACAACAATGCGACATATTGTGGTGGTCTCATACAATATCAGAATGTCTCGGCTACACTGGGCGTGTCCATTCAAATCGACAATATTGTCGCATACCTCACGGTCGATCATATATTCAGTCCAGATGAGGACCCGTTGTCCATGTCGACAAGCTTGACCAAGGAACCAGATTTGGATATCTCAGGTCCTTCTTCCAACACATCACACAACTGGGCCAAGCCGCAGGAGTTTCAAAAGCATGACGACGACTCAAGGGTTTCAACCGAACATTGGGAGAACGAAGATGACGAATTGGGGGATGCAAGTGAACTATGGAAGGACGACGACGACGAATATAACTACGAAGATGAGCCAGAAAGCGACAAGGAGTACCATATGTCTAGCACCATCCTCTCAGCATCCATACAGGCAGAGTCTACACATATTGAAACTTGGGAGAAGCTCATTCCTACAGTCAAGTTAGACCCCTTGTGTCCTTATTTGGACTGGAGCTTAGTTCGTCCCAAACCTGAGTACCAAAGAAAATGTCAACCAAACGTCTTCTTGCTAGACGATTTACATTCTGAACCAACAGTTCTGAGGCAGATACGGGATATACCCCGAGGCCACCTTGTTCGAGTCAAGTTGGTTTCCGCTATTCGGGGAGTACTCCTAGGTCGGATACTGTACGGTTCGAGCTTTTTGGGATCACCACTTGGATCGCCTTCTGGACGAGAGGATTGCGAGGTTCTGACAGTCTTCTTGGATAACCCCGAGGGTAAGAAAGTTGTATATCCTACATGAAGCCGCCCGCTAATGCAACAGCATGTCAGGGCTTCTTGAAGGCGAATGTGGATCAATTGTTGTTGACCAAGAAACCAATGAGGCATATGGCCATACTGTGGGATGCGATTCTCTCGGTAATCCTTTTATTGTGCCATTGGGGCACATCTTCAACCAAGTGAAGGCAAGCTTCGGGGCAATGCAGGTCGGACTTGCGCCTTTATCCCCGAATTCGAAAAAGATTACAGATCCAATTTCGAAACCAGCATTCGGACCAAAACCATTGGATCAGGCTCCAGCACTGAAAGATTTTACTTGGTACCAGGACATTTCGGCTACTTCCCGCGAACTCCAGGACAAGAACAGGGGACCTGAGTTTCAACAAAAGGAGCCGGAAATTCCAGAAAAGAAGCCATTGAAACAGCCAATGGAGTTGGCGATGCAACAAAAGGAGCTAGCACAACGACAGGCTAGGCTAGGCCCAGAGCACCCTGATACAGTAGCTAGCATGAACAAGCTTGCACTGATATTTGACAATCAGGGGAATTACAGAGAGGCCGAGCGGATGCACCGTCAGATACTCACGATCCTAGAAAAACGCTTGGGTGGTGAGCATACCGCCACGCTCACGAGTATGTTCAACCTCGCACTTGCGCTCGAAAGCCAGGGGATCAATGTTGAGGCAGAACGCATACACCGCCAAGTCCTTCAGCACCGAGAAAAGATACTAGGCAAGGAACATCCGGACTCATTTGCTAGCATGAATGAACTCGCCCTTGCGTTCTACAACCTGGGGAAATACGGAGAAGCGGAACAGCTGCATCGACACGTCTTGCAGCAACGAGAGAAAATACTTGGCGAAGAGCACACTGATACGCTCACTAGTATGAATAACCTTGCACTTGTTTTCGAGAGCCTGAACAAGTACACTGAAGCTGAAGAGTTACACCTGCGAACTCTTCGATTGCGACATCGCATATTCGGCGAAGAACATCCAAAGACACTCACCACCATGAGCAACCTCGCCGTCCTACTCGATAGCCGTGGAAGTCACGAAAATGCGATGCAGCTCAACCAGGAAATTTTGGCGGCTCGCAAAAAAGTGCTGGGCGAAACCCATCCTGACACACTCATAAGCATGAATAATCTCGCAATCGCACTCGATAACCTCGGGGAATACCATCAAGCGGCACGGTTACTGGAAGACACTGTCGCGCTACGAGCAAGGGTGCTAGGGATGCATCATCCTGACACTGTCGAGAGCAGAAATACCCTTGTTGCTGTGCTTGAGAGACTGAGGGGGAAGGAAATCGGTTTTTGAGGACGAACTGCTTGGTTCACAAGATCGATTAAAGTAATTACTATTTCCGTACTTGGCAGAAACATAATTTGGTTCATGATGCCCAATAACAAATGCGTGCCGCATAGTCGAGCCTTGTGAATATGCATGGTGTACGACCAGACGGCGTAAAATTTGTCCGAGCGAGCAAAACTTCTAAACAAGTCCGGGTTAAACAATCAGGCCATGACGATGTTGCAAGGGCCTTATTATTTATCGTAAGAGAATTTTCTCACTAGTCATTTATCATTCATTTTATCTCATCGTCAATGCCGCCGAATAGTTATTGCATCTTAACCGAGCAGGGTGCGGTCGAGTAATCCTTAAAATAACCTGAAGCACCAGTGACTCGAGCGATCTTCAGTTGCGTCAAGAGAATTGCATAATCGCAGAACGATCATGTCACGCCTATTCCCTCATCCTCCTTATGCTGAGGATCAACCTCTGCCTGGAACATTCATGACCGTTCACATTCTCACCCGAGCCGTTGTCTCCAGAAGCCTTCTTGCCAACAACTCATCCCTTCCTGACGCCGATCTCTCCCGCAATTCACATCGCGCTTGCTTCGCACCTCCCTCGCCACTTCATTGATCACCATGTGTCTATCAGAGGCATTTCTGTTGTTCCATATGCGGGACAGGGAGGAGATGGCAGGATCGCAGCTGGCGGCCTCTAGAAAGCGAGACGCAGCGGGGAATTGATGATTGGACATATGTAGGGATGGTTGCGGGACCGGCCATGGTGCTAGCAAGCAAGTTCACAGCGCTGGGCTTGGCTGCGACACTTGGTGCGAGCGGGTTGGGAGCGAACGTGGGAGTGACGGGATATCTAGCTTGGAAGTTTGGCATCCGTAGGCTTTTCGAGTCAAAGGAGACCGAGAAACCGTTTAAATCGTGATGACTGATAGAGGGCCCAGAGAAATTGGTATTGGGACTACATTGTACTCTAGAGAATAAGTGAATTAGGGCATGGGCATCCATCCACTTTACACATTGCTTGATGTATCCTTTTACTTATTCCTAGTAGTCACTAGTTACCTTTGCAACCACTCATCTCTTTAGTCAAAGACCTGCCATTCACTTGCATCCATAGCCTTCGTTCCGGATATTGAAATACTTGGTGAAATCGGCACCAATCTCGTGAATAGAAGTGCGTTCAAGAGCCATAACGGTCTGCGCTATTTGTGAGAAATCCATGAAAGAATTCATTGCCCAGCCACAACACGTCCCTCTGCCTTTCAGCCGCTTCACAGACAAAATCCAGCTAGTCCAGCAAATTTAATCGAGGTAGTAGCTGCAGCCGAGAGTGGCGTGGCACTGAGTCAGTTCTGTTGCACAAGCAACAACCAAGAACAGCCAGCTTTGGCACACCATGTTAAATAGGTAAATAGTTGAGATTCACTTTCAACTCGTATCATTTATCACCGATGGGACGAAACGCGCGAGCGAGGGGGACATGAACGGCGTGGTATACTCAGCATTCTGGTCGCTTCACTGTGCAGGCGAGTGCAGGTGCAAGTATCTAACCGTTTATCGCTGTACTCCACGGCCTAATTTTTTATGTATAGTATCTGAGAGGACATGAGACGGCATACAGAAGAGTCTTGAAGTTCGTTCAGATACGACTTGCTTTACTTCCTTGCTATCCAACAATCGCATAGCAAGCAAACCCGAGTATCGAGTCTACTACTCACCCGTGGAGCCATTGGCAGTTATTCAGTATTGGTGGCACAAGCCAGAGTCTTCTCTAGCTTGCGACTTGAAGAAATTAACGTCGGAGCTGATGAATGCTGGTAGAGAGCCAAAAAGATAGTGAGATCCCCAAGACCTGGCTCGAACAGGTGACCTTTCGGTAACGAAAGAAGCGGTTACAGCCGAACGCTCTTCCAGCTGAGCTACTCGGGGATTGTATATTGATTGTGGTGATGCATTGGTATATAGGTGAGGTTCTGATACGCTGACGTGAGGTAAGAATGCGGCGCGGGGTGGGGTTTCGGGCTTTACTATGCATTGTGATAGGATGTGGCGTGAGGAAGGTCCCCGAGATGAGGGGAAGAAGATGCAAAGGATTATACAAAAGGAATGAAGTAGAAAGAAAGGAAATTCACTGTGGTCGTGGTGAGGAGGTGGAGGTGAAATTGAGGACAGCATTGTGGGAAATAAATCACCAAACTAAACCACTTAGATCATAACGATAAATAGGACAGAGTCCCCTTGAAATGAGGCTGCTCTTTCGCCATGCGACATATTCTACGATGAAAAGTGCGAGACCTCAGAGCTTGTTAGCCGAGATGTGGTCATAGCAAGGAGGAGCGGATGCGGATCTTGCCTATTTCACTAGATTGAACTGGCCCTGTTCTATGGCGACAAGAAAGGAATACAATTTAGAGTCACGTTAGAAAAGCAAGACAGTAATTCTTTTCATCCTTTTATTTCGCTAGTCTAGAAGAGAACAAAGCCAGCAAGGGGATTCTCTTTGGATTTAGCTACACATCTCCGGCGGCTGGTTCAAAGAGGCCGAAAGGTGGAGTGTGCACGGAAGCATGGTGTGGAGCATTCGCAGCTGTGGCGTCGAGGCGTTTTCGGAAAATTTTCGCTCTTCAATCTCAACTGCGCCTCATTTCACAACACTCCTCCCATAATCATGAATCCCCTTGCGATCAAGTTAAAGGAGGAACCGATTCGTCACGCAGACTGTTGCCTCAGTCTATCTTCAAAGCTACTAGACACTTTAACGGCTATTTTCTCCGACAGAGGGCTTGCTGGCCACCCGCGAACTGTGCTTTCCATCGGCAGCGGCACAGGATTGCTGGAGACTTTGTGGCTCACACACATTGAATCACAGTCACGATCAGATGGTGCTTCAGAAGGTCTTGTCATAGAGGGCGTGGAGGTGCACCAGCTTGGTTCCAGGGCTCCTGCCAATAAATATCTACCAGAGCAGGCCATTAATACCGTTCGCGGAACGTGGGAGCTGTCATCGAGGCTGCAGGGTCAAGATATGTCAGGGTTGATGTTTACATATCCTCGTCAGCCTGCTTTGGTGGCACGGTACATCGAATCTGTTACTAAGACAAAGCTTAGCATTGGCTTTGTCATCTGGCTGGGTCCTCTGGCCGACTGGGATGAATTCGAGCCTTGTTTTCGGGTCAGTGGCGACGATGGGGAAGCATTCCGGTTGGAGGGCATAAAAAAAGGAGCCGAAGCTGGGCTGGGCGAGTACGAGATGATGGCTATATTTAAGCAGTAGGCATGATAGCCGCACGGACAACATGACAGGTCTTGAATTGTGTCCAAACGACAACCGGGCTGAACTTGATGCTGGTAGAAATGGGATAACGAGACTATTGATGCTGGCCATAATAATGAGTTTCACTCATATGATCTCGATGGCTGCTGGGACTTTCGGCTTCATAATTGGCTGGAATGACATTGGGATCAGTCCAGCTGCAAAAACCAGCCACCCAGGATCGAGGAACCTGCATTTTACAAAGTTTCCATCTTCCGAGAAATTGGTCCGTCAATGAATGTGATCATTCCACTTGGTACTCGTGGCAAATTCCATAATTTCTTGGTCTACAGGCAACCGCATTGGAGAAACACAAAATACGCGTCCCGTTGCGGCTCAGCCTACATGCACTTACTGTAGGTATCAGACAAATGCTGGGTTGGTTGAGACAGATTTTGTGACGATGGATGATCCTGTCTTTTGGTCTAGGAAGAAAGAAAGCTATCCATTTGTACCTATGGATCTGACTGATCCAGATGCCCTTGATCCGATGCCGGATGCCCTTGATCTGATGATGCCGTCAATAGCCGACGTTCTAAGTTTTTGAGGACATCTAGGTTCAAAGGAAACCGCGGTACGGATCCGGTCCTATGCAAAGCTGACTTTTCCCATCAGGGTGTTTGACAGTAGGAAGCAAGGCGGTTTAAGGTATAGGATCAACATGGGAGCCAATGAGCGAAGCTGAATACGGGAGGTTGCGGATATAAGCAAAATGGAGGAAAGGGATTGGTACTGAAGCGACTGGAGGATTAATCAGGTGGTCAGCAGCTCCAATCAGGCAACCAGCCCGAATGCGGCCTTACTGAGGTAGAATGATATTGCATAATCACTCGGAAACGTCGGCCATCCTCCCTCTGACAATAAAAGCTTGACCGCAGACACTCACCGCGAGCACTCCATCAATCTAGCTTCATCTCATCCAGTCCACATATCGGTCTCAGCGCCTCTACCCTGACAACGATGTGGAACCAAGACCCATACGAGTACCTTACCAGCGACACATTCTGGGCTCTGGGCATCTTCATTGCGGCAAACGCCGTTTGGATAGATCGGCAGAAGAAGCTCTTGGGCAAGCCTAAGAATGAGGATATCATCTTGGAAGAGCAAGCCTCGGTGACCGACAATGGCCCGGTCGGTAATGCTCCGGCCGACAACGTCTCTGTCGACAACACCTCTATCGAGAGCGCCCCTGTAGAGAACGTCCCTACAGACAATGAACCTACCAACAATACATCCAGCGTTAGTTCACCTCTAGCGAACGCGTCCACCCCGAGCCCCGAATATGCCTGGCTAGACCTGCACATCACCTCCCGCCCTCGCCAGATCATCGCCACTGCCGTCGCCACCCTTATCTTACCGCTGCTGCTTCTCGAAGGCGTATGGGCCATCATACTGGCATTTCTTGTAACGGTCGAAATGCTGAAGGCTACGTATCCCTCATTTAAGCCGCGAATCCTGGGCTTTGTTCTATACCTGCCTCTTACACTCATCATGCTACTCGTGTGGTTCATACTGTTGAATACGAGCTCGTACTTGGTCATTGCGCAGTGGAAATATATTCACATGCTGGTCCATTACAGGCCGAGTGCCGGTGACCGTTCAAGCCCTGAGGAGGAAGGTTTGATGGATTCTGATGGGGAATGGCGGGACCTTGAGAATGGGGAAGGGGTGCAGAGTGGAGAAAGGAGTGAGGGCGAGGAGAAGGCTAGCAAGTAGTGGCCAAACCATGGGAGATTGGCGCATAGGGATTCTTTCCTTTCTCCGAGATGTTTCATAACATGCAAACGTTCATGCTCTTTTGATACCACTACCGTTTCTTTACAGTAACAATTCAATCGGAAGAGCTTCAAGAATCAGGAACCTTTCGTCCCGTCCCAGGCGCCTATATATACGTGAGTGATCCTTCGATGGTCTTGGCAAGTTTTCTGAGTCCAATAGGCAATCAAACTGTAATGCACGGGCGTACGAGACTGGCTAGTGAAGCACATGGGTGACTATGAGTTTTCGTGTTGGTAACAAAATGGCTGCGCTAAGATCCTCCCGCTACGCCCCCATCTCATCTTACAACAGACTTTTCAGGGTTTTACGCAGAGCCACCACACACCCATGGGGTGCGGAAAATTGCCCTACATATTATGCAGGGAATATTACGGGATGGCAATTTCAGGCTTCAGTCATGGGAAAGTCATGTGCGAAAGACGCGAGAATATCAATATTGACAAGTACGTATCTATTATGTTCAAATACCCAACATGATGCTGGGGGATAAATAAAACTATAATAACATTGGCTGGCATTAGGTCAATAGGTGGACGTCTATGTACTTATTGCGCCTAAAGAAGCGAATAGTAACGAGCGTGATCGTGCATGCCATGAATTTTAAACGCGGCACAGGCGGCCGTTCTGGGTGGGAACACCATCGACCTGGCCGGTGATGTACCACTCGTCGCTGCCAACACCCTGGAGGGCGTAGAAGAGATCGGTAGGATCGACCTGGTTCTTGATGGAGAGCAGACGAGCGTACTTGTCAGTGCCGTAGAAGGACTGCTTGAAGTTGGGCTCGGTGACATCGGACTCGGAGGCGTAGGTGCCGCTGCCGGGGGTGGCATCGCGCCACGGCTGCATCCAGTCGTTGGTCAGGAGCTTGCTCTTCTGCGCAATGACATCCCACGAGCTGCCAGTGTCCCAGCTGATGACGGAGATGGCGAACATGGAGGCGTTGCGCCACGCGGGGTTGACAGCATTGTCAGGGTAGGGGCCAGGGCCACCAGTGATGCCGAAGGCAATGATGTTACCGCCCTTGTCAGAGAGGCCCTTGAAGGCGCTGAAGGAAGTCTCGAACTTGACGGGATCGGTAAGGGTGTCCTTGGGGAACAGACGACCGGCAGTCTTGGAGGTGGTGCCGCCGACAGACTCACGGGGGAAACCAGCCTTCCAGGCAGGGTAGTAGCTGGCATGCTCAGACTCAGTGACATCAAAAGTGATGCCGAGGCTGGCCCAAGTGTCAAAGAGAGGCTTGGCAAGAGTGTGCAGCTCAGCAAGGGTGTGGCCAGGCGCGAACCAAGGAACCATGGAGAAGGTCAGGGTGTTGGGGCCGGTGTGCCAGATGTTCCAGTACTCGTAGTTGCCAGCGGCGTTGAAGGTAGGGATGAGCTTCATGAAGGCCTTGACGGCAAGCCAGAAAGTATCGTAGGAGACGGAAGAGCTGGTGCTGAAGTTGAAGCTCATGACAGCAGTCTTGAGCTTGGGGTAGGCCTTGACGGTGTAGGAGGTGACGACACCGAAGGTGCTGCCGCCTCCACCGCGAAGGGCCCAGAAGAGATCAGTGTTCTGGGTGCCGCTGCAGGTGATGAAGCGACCATCAGGGGTGACAACCTCGAGGCTCAGGATCTGTAACGGTTCAGGTGGTTAGAAGACTGTGGAGTAAAGGATCAAGAGGAGAAAGACTTACCTGATCGGCACCCATGCCGTACAGGGGAGACAGAGGAGAGTGGCCACCACCAGCAAGGTAACCACCGGCATATCCAACACTCATACCCTCACCACCGACAACGGTGACACCGTAGTTCTCAGCGGCCTGGTAGACCTCCTGGCCAACAACACCAGCTCCGACCTTGATGGCAGCGCCGGTGTAAGAGCCAATCTGGATGGACTTGTAGTAGTTGATGCTCTTGAAGCGCTGGGTCCAGATGGACAGAGCGCCAGCACCGACGGAGCGACCATTGAAGTCGTGGCCGGTGTTCTTGACAACGAGACGCAGGTTCAGCGTACGGGCAAAGTTGACGGCCAGCTGGATATGGGCCACGTTCTTGGCGTCGACCACGTACGAGGGGAATCCTCCGAGGGTGCAGGTACCAGCGGGATCCTCTGAGGGCTGGCAGGTCAGACCCTGGTACAGGGGCGACATGGACGAGGTAGGGTCCGCAATGCTGTGGGCTGCGTCAGCTGCAGGTCTAGATCGGAGCGAGGGGGGTAGGGATCTGGCTTACTGCAGAGAGGAGTTGGTGAACTGGCTGATAACGAAGCTGCATCGGGTAGCGTCGTAATTGCCAAAGTCATCGTAGCAAGCAGCGCCAATGGGGACCGTCTTGATGAGCGAGCCGCCGGTGACGAGGTTCAGAACCTGCCAGATGATCTGGTTGGGCCAGAGGAAGTCGCCGGGGAAGGTCTTGCAGTTGGGCAGACTCCTGGCGGCGCGCTTCCGGCTGGCCTCGCCATCGTCAAAGTACAGGAGAGTGACATTGGTGAGCTCGAGATCGGTCAAGTTGGCCAAGACATCGGTGGTCAGCTGGATCTTCTCCTCAGGAAGGTAGTTTCCAGTGACGACCTCGGACGCCTCGTCAATGTTGCTCTCGGTGGCGTCTAATCGGAGTCAGTATTTTCAGCCCAGTGCTACCCCTCTCGGAAGGAAGCCGAGAGGCATGCGAGGTACGCGAGATCACTTACCAATCTCTTCACCGTCGACAACGATAGTCTGTGCCACCACGTGGGAAGCGCAGAAGGCGACGAGACCCCCGACCAAGAGGCGTCGGTTGAGCTGCATCTTGGCAGAATGGGTATGAAACACCGACTGATGGGTTTGCGGCGGACACGAGGAACCTTTGGCAACCTTCTGGCTGAATCGGTCAAGATCGACAACCGGCCGGGAGGATCAGGGTACGAGACAGGAACAGGCGTGAAAAGAGCGTGATAGGATGCGAGAAGCAGAGAGAAGAGGCTTGGTGTCGGGCGTATATAACATCCACGTGAGCCCCCCGTCGAAGAACGGGACCCAGTTCCAAGCTCAAATTGACGGCCAGTTGATTCATGCGAAGGCCGCTTCCTTCGATAGTTCCGGAAGCCAGGGCAGGTTGGATGCAAGTTGGGACCTGTCTAGGCAGCTCTGGGCACAGCATTGCGGTGGGGGAGATGGGCATCTCACTGCCTCATCCCGTCTTGGGCCATGTTGACGGCCACGTTCGGGCTAGAGGTATTGGATTCTTACCGTTTCCTCGCCTTTGCTGGTCTCCACATATGCCGCATCTGGGAAACTCTTGCGACGACGGCTCGCCACGATCCATGTCCTCGCTTTCGGATTGTAGGCCAGGGAGATGACTCGCCTGCTTACAGATCAGGCAAGATCGGCACCTGCAAGTGAGAAGGCCTGGCTTTACCACCAGCGCTCCATGCCGCCGTTGAGGGTACGATACCCCGGCGCCAAGTTCATCCCGTCTCCGGAGGCGTCAACCCAGTCTCCGGGACGCAGGAGCAGGCATCGGCCGTCCTCTAGCGGTAAGCTTATGATGTAGCGGGAGGTGGCGTCGACATCGCTTATGCCGCTGCCTGGCCCTGGCAGACGTATGGATGGATATTCCATGGCTGAGTCCTTGGCTGTTAGTGGCCCGGATCAGCGAGGACCGGGATGTGAGCCGTGTAGGTAATAAGTCAGGGGTTCCGACAACCACGTAGTGCCATGCGAGGCTCTCTTAGCAGGCCAAGTGCTGCAGAAGCACCTGACTAGTAGACTGTTAGTCGTTGATGCATACTAAATACTCTAGATATTACGTAGTCCCTTAAGTCCCCGGGCTAAATCCCCTGGTGGCGCCATTGTTTTTGCGGATCCGGGACGTTCCAGAATGGCCAACAAGGGCACTTGTGGATCCTCCCCCTCGTCTGCATGGGAATGCGAACAATTTCCCATGTCCTCGCAAATGCCGCACCCTAGCACAATTAACTACCGGCCGCTGGAGAGCCGTCCTTGTCTGTTCGGCGGGCCTACAAGCCATCGTGCGGGGAGAGAGAGGACCCGAAGACCCTTTGTGACCCTCTATTATCCTCGGCGACCCTCTATTACCCTCGATTACCCTCGGTGACCCTCTATTACCCTTGAGTACCCTCGCAGACCCTCGCTGATCTCTGACCCTCGCTGTGCGGGGGATCTGATCTGCCTTGTCAACACCACCAGACATGTTCACAGATGTCTTCATGCAGGCACGATTCGTTGCCAGGTTGATATAAGCCAGTGACCATCCCAGTGACAATTTAGCCCCCTTCGTCATCTCAACAGTTCGCCGCGATCCCACGCGACAAAACCTTCCTGTGTCGCCCCGGCGAACTCGGTTGGCGACCCTTGCCCCTGAGCGCACCTCAATCAGGCGCCGTTGCTGCTGGCAGCTTAGCCGAAGCAACACACTGCTTGCAATGCTTGGTGGCTTGCAAGGTTTGGCTGTCCAAAACCGCTCGTCTGCGCCGTGAGGCGAAAGCTTGTCGGGGCTTCGTTCTGCCAAAGGCCTACTGGTACTAACCGCCACCAGCCAAATGCCTAGCCAAGGAGCTAGAGCGTCGACTAACGCACAGACTGGACTGCCTGAGTGGCCCGGGAGGCCGGAAGATGAGGCCAAGACGACCGCCGGGGTTCTCATCCTTGCAGTAGCCCAGGTCTAGCGCCGGGGAGCGGATGTTCACGGCCTCGCGCCGGGGAAACTGGTTGCATCCGATTGCGTTCTGCAATCTCGGGCAACACGCTGGCCTCGAATCTGGGTACGGGACGCATGAGATAGCGTGCCTTGGCCCTCCTCTTCTTGATTCCTTTCTGGCCCTCCCCCGCGCGGAGCGCGCAGTGAAGCCAGTCTGTTCGCCGTCCCGTTGCGGCTGAGGGGCGGACCCAGAAGGCACAGTAGTCCCAGACGGTACTACGTAGTACTACGTAGCAAGTTAGTCAGTCCCAGAAGCCAATCCCGGAAGCCAGAAGCCAGTCCCAGAACCCAGAAGTCAAAACGCCGAAACTCCAGCGAGACACCACCATGGCTTGTCTTGTGGCGGCCACCAGCCAGTTGCGCGGCCACCATCCGCTAGAATCAGCTAGAGAAGACCGGGTTGGCTCGACGGGAGACCCGGGACGCTGGACCTGAGCAGCGAGGTCTCGCCTTTGGGGTCTGGCGCAGAAATTGTCGTGGTGTGTGGTATCGTCCAGTTCATATAGGAGCACGGAGTACGGAGCAGTAGCTCACACTCGCCTGCTAGCGACGATGCTAAGATGACACACTCACACTAATCCCAAGGAGTCGGTTCGTCGTAATAGTTCATGTACGCACAGTCGCATCGCTCTCTCTCACGCGCAACCTAGGTATATAGCATTTGCACGGCCCACTCCAGGCTTGGCTGCGCGGCGTGCACATCTTCTGGAAAAAAGGCTGCGAGGTTAAGACACACGACACATCCCGTGTTCTGTCCAAGGCTTTCTCCGGGTGCTGGGCTGGTGATTTACTCTCCGACGACTGTCGCGTCTCCCCTTCGGGCATCTCCTCTCCACTGCGTCCTCCTCGAGGCCTCGCCACTCCTTTGTAGAATCTCCCGCCATGATGCTGGGGACGAGAGACGAGCTGGGCGCCATCGGCATGGGCGTCGCGGCGGTAGACACGAGCATCAAGGCCCGCTACATCCCCGTCACTGAGCTGCCGACCACGCCCATGCAGCAGGGCGCCATCGCCATCATCTTCCTGATGACGTTTCTGGCATTTGCCATCTGGGGCGTCCGCGTCTACTCGCGTGTGTCGACGAAGCAGTTTGGTATCGGTACGTGCCTGACTCTCTCTCCCGACGATCAGTCCTGCTTTGGACCTGGTCATCACAGGGAATGCCCTTCGACTAACCTCGCGTGTGCCATCTAGATGACTGGCTTGTTACCGGCGCAATGGTTCGTTAAGGTTCTGTCATGTCGATTGCCGGAACGTGCGCTGATCAGGGTTCGTCCCTACCTTAGGCCTTTTCGTTGGCGTTGGTTGGTCCCAACTACATGTGTGAGTTCCGGAAGATTTCTGCAAGACAACCAACAGCATCCATGTCGCTAACAGCTCGCTTGCAGTCTTCAAATACGACTACGTCGGCTTCCGTACCAAGTCGCTGCCTGAGACTTACGACCTAGAGCCCGTGTTGTTCTGGAACTGGATTATGCAGGTCCTGTACAACCCGATCCTCGCTTTGGTCAAGTCGTCAATCCTCATCTTCCTGCTTCGCCTGGGAGGCCATCGCCGAAGCATCCGATGGTCGGTGTACGCGCTCAACGCGTTCAACATTGCGCTCGGTGTTGCCATCTTCCTCACAGTCATCTTCCAGACCATCCCCATCAACGCGTACTGGGATCTCAAAGTTGAGAAGAAGAGACAGATCGACGGTCCCATGTTCTACATATCGTCGGCCATCGTCACCATCTGCACCGACGTTCTCGTCCTCGTGATTCCCTTTTGGGTTTTCCTGGGCCTGCGAATGCGCCTCGCCGCCAAGATCGGCTTGCTGGTGGTGTTCCTCATGGGTGGAGTGTAAGTTGTGCCCACATGCAATCCATGATATTGTGCTAACTTGATGAATACAGTGTCACCGTTGTTGCGATTGTCCGTGTCAACGAACTCCGCAAGAAATTCTACGACCTCAATCCCAACTACGACGCGAGACACACACTCGGAGACACATACAGTAGTATCGAGGTCAACCTGGCCATCATCGCCTCGTGTGGTCCCGCACTCCGCCCCTTGTTCCGCAGAATGTTCCCTGGTCTGTTCTCCAACAAGAGCAGCAACGACAGAGACTACAACACGCCGAGCAACTATGGCACCGGCACTGCCAGACGACACACGAATATCACTGGAAACTTCCCTCTCAAGGAAATCAACGGTGGCAAGACACACACGGAGATCCGTGGCCATTCACCAAATGAGAGTGAGGAGGAGATTATGACATACAACGGTATCATCCGGAGTACAACTGTAAGGATTTCGTCTGACATCAAGTGTTGTATCTGCCTGCTAACCATGAATAGGTCAACATCAAGTACGACCAAGCGACGTTGGAAGGTGGGGACTCGACCCCAGACTTTGAGGAGCCTGTAAAGCCCCGGCACACATAATCAACATTATATACCATTAGAGCGAACATTCGTTGGGATTTTCTTTTTTTTAAGATTAAGATGTACGGAGCGTGTCAGGGGTAATTGTCCCCACATCGATCGATCTCATGTTACTTCGATGATCGAGCTTGGCTGCATTACAGCGACATGGGATGGCAATGTATGTAAATTATGACGAGTAAAATATTTGGGGATACCTGTCAATGGATATGACGATACTTAATAATAATTTTTCCCAATACCATGAAGATCGTTGGTTATTTGTGTATACCCCATATTTCTGGTGGAGTATTTTCTCTTGCGCGGGCCGTCTCCTAGCTCTAATTCCACGATTAAGCATGTATCCAACCCTCAACGCAATCTCAGCTAAATATCTTGCCATTCTAAGCCATATGCTTAATTACTAGTGCCCGTCATATAGTTGCACGGTCAAGCTTGTTGAATAGCATCACATGATGGCAAGCGAAGATGGCAAGCTCAACACCACATCGCATGAAACGCATTCAACAAATACTCAAACATAATAGAGAAAAATACATACCGGCTTTTTTGAATAGGATTATCCAACGATACCTAAGCTCTCGAGTGGAGCACTCCACTTTCAGCAGTTTGCAACTTTCTTTTCTTGCCCCATAGTATAGGGTATTTTTGTTCATGCACATGCACATTGCTCAGTACATGCTCCCAAAGACAGTTGAGAACAATGCACCTAATGAGCAGTTTGGGGAATGGCATTGGAGAAGATCAATTCTTAGTATTTGTTTCTCTCAGTGGTCTTTTTCTTTTCTATTTATCAGGTTAAATAGAGTACTGCTTCTAGAGTCTTGGCTTAAGAACTTCAACTGTGCGCATACCAGGTATGTTGGTTTTGCTTAGGCTTGGATGAAATAATTTGTGCCTGTGTGCAGGGAGCAGTATGCAAGCATATGAATAACCGCTCTTGATGTATGTTTCTAATCGGACTCCAGAGTGTTTCGGGACTGGGTTGCTTATCGTGACTTTTGTGGTGTTGATAGCTATTGATAGCATTTAAGCTTATCTGAGTAGACGAATGGGTGTGCCCTGAATCTATTTAACCTGCATGTTCTGGATGCACCCACCTAGATTTAGTTAAATACACCATACCCAAACTCCATTAATACTTTGATGATGTTTTCCAACCCATCCGGACCCTCAACACCAATCGGTGCTTTTCTTCCACCCTTCCGAGACCAGCTCTAGGGTAAGCTGCACAGCATGTCTTGGCACATCTCAGCTCCGGCTCGCTTAAAGGTCGGTATCTACGGAGTCGACTGAGTATCTGGAGTAACTGGGGCGTCATGTGGGCGGATAAGGCTTAATCAAGACACGAAGGCTTTATCTCTTGGCAACTCAGACCTCCCCGGCCTAGGGCGGAGCAGCGAATCTAGGGAGAGCAACTGATAAGCGGCGCAGGCCAGTCCCAGGCCGCCATTCGCAGATTGGGTGTCTGGTGCTTATCTCGACTCCTGTTTGCGCGTCGACACCGCGCTCCGGGCTCCGCAACTCATCGCCATTATTGGGCTGCGGGCCGTTTTTAGAGGAGCCGCCAAGACATGTGTCGTCGTAAGGGGAGTTGGGCGAGTTCGCGGAGGCCGTGGACGCGGGAGGCGAGCCCAGGTATAAGTATCCGCCTCCCTGCTTCGCCTTTGCTTGTTTCCGTCTGACAGCTTAAGTGGAATCGGTGCAAGTGGACTCTCCAGATATCCTCGGTCGACCAGACCCTCGAGCCAATTGCACGTGGCGAGGCTGAATACAGCACTTCATCAAGACAAGACATATCCCACCGCAGCCAAGCACCATGTCCGAGATCACACCCGTCACCGAGTGGCCCGACTATGCCGTCGACCCTCAGGGCGGCAACCCCATCACCCAGGATCTCAACGCCCCCTACGACAAGGTACGTGATGGTCGCGCTCACGATGCGAATACAGCTGACATCAAACAAGGGCGACCTCTGCTGGCTGCTAGTATGCACCATCCTGTGCTGGCAGATCACTCCGGCCATCGGCTTCCTGTACGCGGGCATGCACCGCCGCAAGTCCGCCATGACCATGATCCTGCAGTCGCTGTTCTGCGCCTGCGCGTGTGGCATCCAGTTCTGGGTGTACGGCTACTCCCTCTACCAGTCCCGAACCACCAACCCGATCTTGGGCGATCTCTCCCTGGCAGGGTTGCACAACGTCCTCGCCTCCCCGTCGCTCGCCAACACGGACATTCCGGACATTCTCTGTACGTCGGCATCTTCGGGAGCGCACACACACACCCATTCGCGTGGCTAACAATGATTCGTGTAGATGCTGCCTTTGGCTTCACCTTCGTCACTGCGACCGCCATGATCTTGGCCGGAGCCATGCTGGAGCGTGGCCGGCTCTGGCCTAGCATGGTGTTCCTCCTCTGCTGGACCACCTTTGTGTACTACATGTGAGTCGCGTCCATATCACACCTGAGACACGCATGCTGACCATCCATCACAGTCTCGCCTACTGGGAATGGAACCCCAGCGGCTGGCTGTACAAGCTCGGCCTCTACGACTTTGCAGGCTCGGGTCCCGTCCACATCGCCAGTGGCTTCGGCGCCCTCGCCTGGTCCTTCATGCTGGGTCCCCGTCTCACCGACAAGGCCGCTGAGGCCAAGAAGGGCGTGCACTACAAGCCGCACAACCCTCTGCTCATGTGCATCGGCACTGTCTTCATCTGGTTCGGATGGTTCGCCTTCAACGGCGCCAGCACGGCCAACCTCAGCCTGCGATCCATCTACGTCGTCGTCAACACCAACTTTGCGGCATGTGGTGGCGGTATTGGCTGGGTCCTTCTTGACTACATCTACACCAAGAAGTTCAGCTTGGTGGGCTTCTGCTCGGGCATCATCTCTGGTCTGGTCGGAATCACACCGGCTGCAGGTTTCGGTAAGCACTTCTCTGGTGTGACTCGGCGATTAGCCATTTATTGACTTTGGCATGCATAGTGGTCGTTGAGTGTTCTGCGCTCATTGGGTTTCTGACATCGATTGTCTGCTTCTACGCCGCCCGGTACAAGTACCTCCTCTCCGTTGACGACGGCCTCGACATCTTCGCCATCCACGGCGTTGGCGGCTACTTCGGCGACATTCTGACGGGACTCTTCGCCGCGCAATTCGTGCCCGCTCTCGACGGCGTCAGTGGCGACGCGTACGCAGGAGGCTGGTGGAACCACAACTGGCGTCAGCTTGGACTGCAGCTCGCGGGTGCCACGACATGCGCCGTGTGGTCGTTTGTCATCTCGTGCATCCTGCTATTCGTCATCAACAAGATTCCCGGCCTGCACATCCGCGCCAGCGAGGAGAGCGAGGTGCTCGGCCTGGACTTTGCGTATCTGTCGGAGATGGATTGGGAGGATGGGCTCATGAGTGATCAGAGCATGACGATGACCGAGGGCGTTCGCGGGTCTGGCTCTCTTAAGGGTGCTACACCGCCTGTGGTTGAGGAGACTAAGAAGGATTGAGTGCGTTGATTTTGAGACTCAAGGAAGGCGATTGCTTGTTTACTGATACTCTAGAGGGTTGTTTTGCTGCTGCGTATTCTAGCGGGGCATTGGCTGAAACAGCGCGTTTGAGAGACACAATTATAATTGTATCCTGATCTACGATCAATTACATTCTCAAATGCATCCCTGATGATTCGAATTTGATGTCTGGTGGCCGAATATGTGAATAGGTAGATGAGATCCTCGCGTGGTAGCAGGGGGCCGCGATGCTCAAACCTCCGAGAAGCCCGTAGCACACCAAGCTTGTTTTAGCTGCATAACGAAACCGGGATCCACCGAGCGCGGGATAGCTTAATCGAAGAATTTCCAGTATGAGGACTAATGAGTTGCTCTAACAGCGTCACATCCTCGAGATACGCCTGATCGGGCCGCGCTGTCAGCTTAGGCTCAGCGGCTCGGTAGTCCTCTTCCCTGAATAGATGGAATCCCGCCTGGAACGACCACGTATCACCGGCAACTTCGTCATCTTCACAGGCTATCCGAGGCTTCCAGCCCCTTATCCCGCGTCCTCATACGACTTGTTATCACTGCTTCCCCGAAGTGGGGGTGCTGCGACCCTCCAAGATTATCTGGATCTGGCTAGCGCACGCTGTTCGCGACGCAGGCTTGCAACCACGGCGACAATCTCGTGGCGCATCTTTATCTTCCCCACGGCCAATGAGCATCACCAAGATTTGCTGATCTGAGGTCATGTTTGGTACATCTTCCCCGCGTTTCGTCGTCTCCTAACCGGATCCAGGAATCTTTTCCTAACCCTGACGCTCCCGTGCCCCTCTTATCCTAACATGTCCACTTCCGGTCTTGATAGACGGGTCGCGCTGCAGAATGGCCAGGAATCGCGGCACCAGGTAGCCGTCCATCCATTCCTATCTACTCTGGTTGGCTCGCTCCAGTAATGAAGCCAGTATGCATAAAAAAGCTAGTTGCTGTCATCTCATGCGATTACGTTCCAGGAACCCATTCGCCTTATCTCTCCGCCCGCCATAGAGCACAAACCACCCTAGACCAGCATCAACCGCCATGCTTGTGCTCTCTGAAATTGCCCAACTCAGTTTGGGCCCTGCAATTCTTGGCGTTGTGATTTCTTTGGGTGCCTTCTCGGTCATCGTCCACACACTACTCCATAACCGGAAAGCCCTAAGTCGCATCTCTCAGTTGGCAGCGACACCGACGCCCGAAAAGTCCAAGAAATCTATTGAAGCAGAGTATGTGAAGGTATTCCCGCCTTCGCAGCGTACGACGCTCCAGGAAGTCAACCCGAAGCTTTGGCCCGCTCCCAAGGCATTCGACTTGTCGGTCGCACCACAGTCTTCAATTCTCAAGTTGGACGAGGACTACCGACTCGCCAAGCCTTCCAGCTATGTATTCAGTGGCTTCAGCGTTGGCGATATCCGGGGCCTAGGCAATTTCCCAAATTATGCCGCCATTTCTGGTGTTCCTTTGCCCTCGCCTGTCAAGAACTTCAATATCCAGAATGCTCTGGCACGGCCTTATCGGCCATTCCGATGGGCCTACCATCAAACCATGTGTATGTAACGGCCTCTGAACTCAAGACCATCGCTAATATATGTTTTTACGAGCAGCATACAAGAAGATGGACCCCGATTTTTGGATTGAACTCGAAAACACCTACGTAGAGCGAATCCGTCAGCGTCAAGAAATTTACGCAAAGCACGGCAAGGACGTGCTGGACTGGTTGCCAGGATCCGAACTCGCCTGCAAAGAACTTATGGAAATGGTTCTGCAATTCATCTGCGCCCGATACCCGAACCAATTCGAGCTGATTGGCAATACGTTTGTTAATCACATCCTCAACACCAAGCAGGATCTCAGCGCAATCGACCCTCTTCTCGTTCTCTTGAACAACGTACCTGAAGATTTCGCCATGACTCTGCGAGACCCCGAGACCGGTCGATACGTGTTGCGAGCTGGCGTTGTTTGCTCTTCTGTGGGATGGAACATTGGAGAGAAGATGGGTCTTGGGCTGCCTGCGATCCATCGCACCGTGCCCGATTACAAGGAGAAGATGGAATTCAGCATGGACCGGTAAGTTTTGAAACCAGACACGCATGAAATGATTGAAACTAACGTTGTTCCAGATTTTTTACCAAGATGCCGACCTCCAGCCCAATCCAGAGAGGATCGTGGGGCCTTGAAATCGGACAACCGCTCTACTTGCCATCTGACCATCCCGATTTCAGCCACCGAGAAACCCAGAACCCATCGCTGAAACCAGAGGATCTTCACCTACGTGTGGACTGGCAAACATTGCGCCGGCTCCCCCTCTCTGGCGCCATCGTGTTCAACTTCAAAGCGCTATTCACTCCTATTACTGAATTCCAAGACGAGCCGTACATTCCATCCATTGTTCTCAAGGTTCTCAACGAAGGAAAGGAGAACCTCATGAAGTACAAGGGTACTTGGCATGTGGAGCACGTTGCCAAGCCTACTATGGAGAAGTATGAGAAGCAGCAGATTGAGCAGGGTTTGATTGAGAAAGACTGGAAGGTGCAGACTTTGGACGAGAGTCCGTATTTTAAGGACTGGGAGAGGAAATGGAGATTGGAATGATACCTGCATGACTGGAACGACTTTAATGATGGCATGTTGAATTACATTGGCAGCATGCGAATAGCGTCTGATTGGAAATCATGTGCTTGAATGATTCAGTGCCGGCGATGGGTTCTTCTAGGTGCATCGTACACCGAGCCCAAGGTTGTTCGGTGGGGCATTGTGTTTGAGGGCCACGGGATGTCCGTCGCCAGGCTCGTTTTTATTGACGTGGCTTAGAAAGAAAAGTGGAAAGAACCTTTTCGAGATGATATTCAATACGTGGTAGGAGATGACTCGCACGAGGGGCTGCATGGTTTGGCTGAGAATGTTTTAAAGTCGCGTTAGCAGTAACACTCCATCGGCTACAAACCAATTGGCCAGGTCAAGAAACTTCTCTGGAAAGCAATGCCTTTCAGGGGGGGATGCGTCTAACTATCAGAACCGTTGTGTTTGGGACTCTGGACGATCTCCGTAGGCCCATGACAAGAAGCAACCTGTAATGTTGGTTGACTATTCAAATAACTGGCGTGTGTCAATATTTCAGGAACTTGATATTAAACATGGGAATTAGTTCACAATTACTACTTGTAGTTCTGGCCAAGGGTCTGCTAGCTTGCTTGCGAAACGCCCGATTCTTGTGGGGAGATAAGGTAAGTGGAATATCCATGGGTAACTTACCCGGTTTCATTACGGGTCTTAAGATGCTACCTATAGGTACCCATAGAAAATTATGGGCACGTAGATCTTGAGATCGTCACCCATGGGGTATATTAATGATCTGTATATAAATAGTACGGAATGATTTCATCACTATAACGACAAACTAATGGAGGTTCCCGCACTCATTTGCACGACAATTTAAATTTCAAAATTTCAACTACAGCCGTGTTATTGGGTTCTAGTTTATGGCATACCAAAATGAGGCATTGAATAAGTGCCACAGGTCTGATATTTGGGATTTCTGGTATTTCCGGTGTCGATTGCATCACCATCCCCAAGCCCCCGACCACACTAGATTCGTGGATCAACGTGCTATTGAACTTTGACGAGATGGCCGTCACCTCGAAATCAATAGCAGTATCGCCGCCGTAACTGCCTAACTTAATATACGTCTAGTAATCAACGAACGTGATTGATTTCGTAGAGAATTGATTGCACGTGGCACCAATATGTGAGAGAGATGGTTAATCAAGGGCGGACTTTCGCTTCACCTAGAAGACCAGTACATCATTTTTAAAGCAGCCCCTCTTATATTATAGAGTTTATAAGAAAGTTATTATCCCCAAATAGCAAGGGGTTTCCCTGTCGATAGCAACACCACAAGCTGGAGATAACAAGATTACTACCTGTCTTTAGCAAGTCGAAGACAGAAAGACCGAATTAAAAGCTTGAGGTAAAGATCAAGTGACAACCTTACTGTCAAGCTATTGTGTTTCTGGCACTAAGCGTACCGCTAAGTATGTGCTTCTATTATGCTTCTATTATTTGCATCTACTGTATGGCTTTGATCTATCGGACGGTATCGAGTAAAGCTAAAAGAAACCTAAATAAAGGGACTTTGAGAGTAAAGGTGCTAAGTTACGACTAGGTGGTAGTCTGGAACTAGGATCTGGATAATAGAAGAATACTCCGCCTCTTTCCAGCTACCCGGCGTTGGCAGACTCACTCATCCAGCCACACGATCGCCAATGGCCGCGCGTGTTGCAATTTCAACATGCATCCATGCCGCACCTAATACAGGAGAAAAACACTAACTAGACGAGACTATCACCTATCTACCGCTGGAGTGGAGAGTGTATTGATGGGAATTCGGCACCTCAACGCATGACTTGTTCTCCCAGATCCATCTTCGAGAGGCTTTTCAAGCGTGACCATTAGGCGTCAAACGCAACCATCTTGAAGGCCTGCATTTAGCTATGCGGAAAAGATGCAATCTAATTGTTAGATTAATAGACAAAACGTGCATCCAATCTTCCCATTCGCTGATGAGGGAAATCCTGGCTTCGGTGAACCAGATTATGAGAAACAAGATTCGGACTGTGCTTTTAGCCGAAGAATTGCGGAAAAAAGCGCCAAGGGACATTGCAGAAAATAATTGGAGGAGAAACCTATAAGAGTGGATTGAAGGGGCTTATTCAATGGTGCCGCGATGCTTACCAGAAGTCAACAATAGCGAATTTTGGCATTTGCCCTTTTGTCAATTTGAAAAGTGCGTTCATGCTTTGTGTACCTAGGTCAGCGAGGCGTGCCTCAATACGTTAGCTACTCCTAGCACGCCTAGGCTAACGAAGGTGCCTGGAGGAACTACGAAGTAAGTTCCGAAAGGTTCTTTAAGGGACCGCAAGGTGGCTGCGCCTGGAGGAAGAAGGAAGAAAAAACTTACTGCCTAGGCTTGACCAGACCCTATAAAAGCACAGACCACTCTTCCTTCCGTATTGGGCCATCACACGGTGTATTACATAGTGGGTGGCCTTTGCTTTTACTGTACTGCACTAGCTTGAACTTCATGGGTCCAAGCCACACAGCCACAAGAGGCTTGAAATGACGCAAAGCAGCGAACGCAAGCTGAATAGCTATGCGACATTATCGCCCTATCTGGCATTGATTGCTCGATCCTCTTCGCCCAAGTATTTCAGATATGTCCTTGACTCTCGCTCTCGCGGACTGCAGATAAGACGCCGCTTGCAACGGGATAGGTTACTTGCTTATATATTGATGAATCTATCTTGAATATACTATAATATTTAGTAAGCAGGAGTTAATAAATAGAAATTGGTTAAGCCCTTGGGCCTGTAGAAGGGCATGAGGGATGAACAGAAATAAGTAACTTGAAAATATGTGAATATGTTGGATACGCAATTTGCTGTATGCAATAGCAGGAGTAATTGATCAAAATGATGTAAATTGATGTGATTATCCTCCATTGACTGAGGGTCATAGGGGCCCTATTTTATACTCAAAGGGATCTAGATCAGGGTGTCAAAGGGAGACGGATCCGGCGTTGTCATGATGCCGGATCCGGCTTATTACCTGATCCGGCGTTCCGCATCCGGCGTTCCGGATCAGGCAGTCCGGATCAGGCATGTTATGCCGCCACACGAGGTCTCAATCCAACAGAATACTATACTCCTCGAATTATTCAAGCCAAGCTAGCAGTTCTGTTGAGCTAGCAGGAAGTTGACATCATCGATATCCTCTACCCCACATATTTGCACACCCGGTACACTAGGGTGCGGGTCCAGCGTCAGCAATCAATCATTGTAATTTTGCCAAAAAAGGCCAAAAATGGACCAGTGTGGCGCATACACAGTGCGTAGCTAGTGCGAATACACGCCCTGTCGTCTTCTAACAATAACAACATATAGGTGTTGAATAGTGGCAAGGAAGGCTGCTGGATGCCGTGGCGAATATCGCCACCAGTGGCAAGAGCTGATAAATCAAGCCATATATACTCCGTAGCATGCCTCAAATTCTCCAGCAGAAAACACACAGACATCATGAATACAAGCAATTCACATCTGACAGTATTCCCAATGGGGCAAACATCAATTTGAGTCGCCATTAAGTGGCATTAAAGGCTAGTCGCTCACTGCGCCTTTTAACATAGATGCAACTTAAATTCGTGAATAGTCAATAGTTAATTTGTTTCTTCGCAGTCGATGCTGGCTAAATTGCTAGCACTAGTCATTGTGATGCTCTCATGATCTGAAGTATAGAAAGAAGGTCGTGGAAGGCCATCGAATACTAGGGAGAGGTATGGATACGTGTCCATGGCTCACTGGTGCAAATTAGGTCACGTAACCACACATCCGCCCCGACACTCCCCTGCCGCAGCAACCCTCTTTCTTCAGAACATGTACTCATTTTTCCTACCCAACATTTCACATTGTCTTCATTTTAAGATTCTTTCCATCGAGTCATTGAGGTCTTCAGCAAAGGTGCTCGCTAAAACCTTGGCGCATAAGTACAAACAATCTACAGCCGAGATGACACCATGGGGCTCGCTTGTCCATCGCAGCGTGGAGGCCTGGGACCCACTCACTCAAACCGGGCACGCGATAGAAAAAGAAGTCTTGCAAAAGTGTACCAGTCTGGATGAATTTTTGTGTAAAGGGTCGGCAAATCCCATGTTTTGGTTTTTCCAACGAAGAGCGGCATTTCTATCTCAGAAAACGATGCCAAAATGGAGCAGTGATCGTTTAGACGATTATGTTCTTCTTCCTGCTTCTAACGGATTTGTCAAACGGACCGAATGCTTCTTTGTTAGTCACTTCTGGCAGACGAAAGATCACCCTGATCCTAACGGCGAATATCTACACCTTCTTCAAGAAAATCTCCGGCTACAAACCTGGTCATACATCTGGATTGACTGGACGTGCATACCCCAGTATCCCCGCAGTCAGAAAGAGGAGGCCTACTTCCTGCGAACGCTACAAACAATGTCGGGAATCATTCGAAATTCTGGATTTGTGTGGTTTTACCCGCCCTTCGAAGCACGCATGTGGATTTTGTACGAAGTTGCTGAATACACTCTGACATCCACAGGCGAGTTTCAGGTAACCACAGACATCAAGGAATTCGCAGACCATGTCAAGGAGATGTTACAGGGCGGAGTGCGCTCTACACTGAACAAGCACGGCTATACATGCACGTACGACCGCGACAAAGAATTCCTCACCTCATGGCTAGAAGTTCTTGTTCTTTTGAGAAGACTCCGCGTCAACATTTATGATGTCCGACGGTTGCTGGATTACCTCACGTGGCTTCCTAGTGCACGATCGATATTCATGTATACCATCGACGGCCCTGTGGAACTTCTCCGGTATGAAGGCACTTTAATTCTCGGCGGAGAGCGCTATACGTTCACGCCATTTCCCAAATGGGTAAGTTGTCTGTTCTGATAAATGGTCTCTATTAAGCCATATCAAATAGGAAGAAGGTAAATATTCTGCGAACGCTACGTCTGAAATCGCATAGAAGGAGGAAATCACTCTGCATTATACTGTACTGTACAGCAGAAAGCCGATTGTAGAATTACTACAGTACAAGAGCGTGAGGTTGGGGTAATCGCTATCTCCCTCCCATAGATCAGTGCCATACCTTACGAGATGGTTTGCGACTCTTGGGGCATCCCCAACAATGGACAAATGGAGATAGGTTATATATTTCATCTTAGGTAAAGGTGAAAAGCTAAGAGATCTTGTGTCAATTGAAACATCGTAAGGAAAAATGTTGCTGGCGAAAACCTGCCCATCCAACTTGATGCTGAACTTATGGTAAACGAGCCACTGTATCACATGTTGCGAGTAGTGTTTGATAGCAAGAAACAAACTTCACAATAACCGGTTCGAGTCGCAGGCGTTTGGCTGCTTCTTAAAAGCAAGATTTAAGAGCTCGTTAGAAGCCCAGCAGTGAGTAGAATGACCACAGCAACCAAGAGAAGTCAAATCTTGCCACCGGGTTAACTATTGTACGATCTCCAGCAATAGTTCCACCGGGAGGTCTGTGTTATGAGCCCTGTCTGACGGATTTCACAGTCTTGCCGAAGGGTAGAATTAGGGAGGTGCGAGGTACATCAATGGACTTATTAGCAGGTGTGGGGGCCTATGTTATGGATCGATTTACTCGGACTTGGTAATGTTGAATAGTGGCAAAAGGAAGCTCATAGAAATGGCTTGAAAGGCTGATAAATATTGTCATTAAAGATGACAGTTGCCACCTATTACTACAGGCTTAGCAAGCAGCTTCCAGTTGATTCCACATATAGTAGCACAGAAAAGGCAAATAGAGCTTGCTTTGAAGCCTCAAGCAGCAAGCAGGAAACAGACGAACATAAATTCACCCCAATATATGCCTGAATACTGAGGCACTCAATTTCTGTTACTGCTGGAGGGTAACCAAGGGCATACTCGCACTAGCCACACACTGTGCATGCGCCACGGTTGGTCCATTTTTGGCCATTTTTAGCCATTTTTGGAAAAGCTACAATGATAGATTACTGACGCTGAACCCGCACCCCATTGTACTACAAATCGGCAGTTGAATAACCAACTAGAAAGACCGCTATAAAGTTACGGCGAGAGACTAGCGAGTTACCAGAAGAGAGTGACAGATTAATGAACCTTATTATATAGGACCACTAAAGCGGGGCGGATTGGGCTGGTGCTGTGAAGGGTAGCTTAATGGCTAGGGCCTAAAGAGGCCTAGCTGTGGGGAGCCATTTTTGGCTAAAGAAGATCGGCATCGTCCTCTTCAACTGGCGATCTGTCAGACAGACTGATAGAAAAGTCAGCCATGTAGAGGACCATAACAAACTCTACTGTGACTTTTTACGGTGACGTAACACGTGCTTCCTTCAGTGTCAGGCCGGAAAATCGGTCCCGGACCGATGACTAAGGATGAGGAGCCTGACTCTGCTGATCGACTGGTCTTGGAATACTAATACCAGTTACTTTAATATTAGAAATCCAACTACCGAGATCATTTTTCTACTAGGTGGTCTTCGTCCTAGCAACCCATAGTGGTATGCTCATATGCAAGCCGAAGAGAACCTAAGTGCTCTGCTTGACTTCTACGACCCTATTCCTATGTCAACCCCTACGAATAAACATACGTCCTTTGCGGTGTAGATCACGTGATTTAGGAGCAGTGGTTTATCCGTTTCAAATTCATCCTCAGATGACTATCCCCCGCTTTTCTTCCAACCCCGCTCTTACCTAGCCTCCGCATTAAGCATCATCAGTTCGAGCCAGGGCCAAGAGATCGACTATTCCCGAGCTATCCGTTTCCCCACCTGACCTCTAAAGCATGACGACGAGACTCGACATTCCCCGATGGATGGACTCAGTGTTGCTGCCAACGTCATCGCAGTCGTTGAGTTGTCCGCCAATGTGATTAGGCATTGCGTGCAGTACGCCCAGGACATCAAACACGCCAAAGACGACAAAGCACGACTATCCCAAGAAGCAACCCGCCTACATTTAGCATTGAAGAATGCTGACGATTTACTAAATGGCCCGCAGGGCGCGAGGCTCAAGGGTTCCAGGGCACTCTCTGTCGCAACGGGAAACAGCGAGGCCCAACTTCGACGGCTGGACGAACTGCTTGCCTTTGGACAGACGACCAAGTCTGGGAAAAATGCAGGCTTAGTTGCCATGAAGTGGCCGTTTCAAAGCAAGGAGGTTGAAACGCTTATCCAAGGCCTCCAGCGGTGCACTGAGGCCATCTCTTCAGCCCTGCAAGTTGATCAGACGTCAGTATTAATATGCTCTCGTCCCTCTGACCGTCTGACGCACTAGGCTAATGAGATTGGAGTTCAGTACAATCATTCTTGACACCGACCAGAGGACCACTCTCGACCGACTCCCTGTCGCCGAAGGGGCAAGCTATGACTCTCGGGCTGAGGAATGTAACCCGACCTGCCTGCAAAATACCCGGGTCGACCTCCTCCGCCAAATACAGAAATGGGCCAAGGACCCTACTGCCAAGGCTATTTTTTGGCTCAACGGTATGGCTGGCACGGGAAAGTCTACAATATCCCGTACGGTTGCTCAGTCTTTTGCAAGCTCAGGCTGTCTCGGTGCGAGCTTCTTCTTCAAGAGAGGAGAGGCTGACCGTGGAAGCTTGGCCAAGTTCTTCACAACACTCGCAGCCCAGTTGGCAGAGAGAGAACCGGCCATCGCCCCACGCATCAAGGCTGCTATCGATGCTGATCCCCATATTGCTAGAAAGGCAGTACGAGAGCAATTTGAGAGGCTTATTATGCTGCCACTGGGAAATACCCCTCGAGATGCTCGGAGATCAGTTTCCTTAGTGATTATTATTGATGCTCTTGACGAGTGTGACCGGGATAAGGATATTAAACTTCTTATTAATCTTCTCTCTTCTACTATAGATCTACGGTTTCTAAAACTAAAGATCCTCGTTACAAGCAGACCAGAGCTGCCTATTTAACTTGGATTTCACGCTGTAAAGGGCATATACCAAGATCTTGTGCTTCATAAAATACCATCTGGTATTATTAAGTATGATATCTCTGTATTTTTCAACTATAAGCTTGTAAAAATCAAGACTGAGTATAACTTATCTATATCTAAAGATCAATATCTATTACTTAACTAGCCTGGAGAAGAAAATATTCAATATTTAGTAAAAATAGCTATTCCTCTTTTTATTTTTACTACTACAATCTGCCATTTTCTTTCCAATTGCAGATTTAGTAATCCCAATAAGTAATTAAGGGAAGTTTTATAACTTCAAGAAGAAAGCCAAACATCACAACTTAATACTATATATCTACCTATTCTTAACAAGCTAATTAATAGCGTAGAAAACTAGCAGCAGGATAATCTTATTAAGCAGTTTCAACATATCGTCGGCTTTATCATAGTTCTAGGGAACCCCCTCCCTATATCTACCCTTAGACGACTTCTTAACATCCAGAAAGAGACTATCGATAACCAATTAGACCTGCTTCATTCAGTCCTGAGTATCCCTCTATCAGCACAATCCCCTATCAGAATACTACATCTCTCCTTCCGCGACTTTCTAGTAGACCCTAGGAAGCATGGCGAGTATCTATTCTGGGTAGATAAGAAAAACATTCATAATTAATTAGCAGTATACTGCCTTGATATTATAAATAAATGCCTAAAAACGGATATATACGTGCTCGTACAGCCAGGAACAGAGCATACATCTATCAGCCCTCGGGAAATCGGTTTCTATATCCTTCTAGAGGTGCAATATACTTATCTTTACTGGGTTTATTATATACAACAAGCCAATATTTATATTAATAACAATAGACCAATCTACGAATTCTTATTATAACATTTTCTCCACTGGCTAGAAGTATTAACCCTAATTAGAAGGGCTTTAGAAAGCCTTACTATTATTAAGGACTTACAAGCAATTTATAAGGTAAGTGATATTAAGAAGTAGAGGACTAGGTATACTAATAATATTTTAGATAGAAGAGAGTGGGAAGCTAGGGGATTTTCTACAAGATGCACAGCGATTCATCCTAGCCAACATATTAACAATAGACTCAACGCCTCTTTAGATCTACTCCTCAGTTCTTGCCTTTACGCCCAAGAACAGTATTGTACGCAATGCTTTTTTCCAAGATCATTAGATTCCAAAGTGGATATCTCGTGCACTAGAACCAGACGACAATTGGGACCTCTGTCAACAGACCCTAGAGGGCCACACAAGCACAGTAACATCAGTAGCCTTCTCACATGACTCGACCATCGTGGCCTCCGCTTCTAGCGACAAGACGATCCGGCTCTGGCGTGTTGATGGTGGCACCTGCATCCAAGAGCTCAAGGGCCACGCACGTTCGGTAACATCAGCAGCCTTCTCGCACGACTTGACCCTCATAGCCTCAGCCTCTGATGATAGGACCATCCGGCTCTGGCGCATTGATGATGGCACATGCATCCAAGAGCTCAAGGGACATACGAACCGGGTAACGTCAGTAGCCTTCTCGCACGACTCGACCCTCGTAGCCTCAGCCTCTGACGATATGACCATCCGACTCTGGCGCATTAATGATAGCATATGCATCCAAGAGCTCAAGGGCCATATGGGCTGGGTAAGGTCAGTAGCCTTCTCGCATGACTCGACTATTGTAGCCTCTGCTTCTGGCGATAAGACGATCCGGCTCTGGCGCGTTAATGATGGAAACTGTATCCAAGAGCTTAAGGGCCACGCACGTTCGGTCAGGTCAGTAGCCTTCTCGCATGACTCAACTATCGTGGCCTCAGCCTCTCATGATAAGACCATCCGGCTCTGGCGCGTTGATAATGGCACATATATCCAAGAGCTCAAGGGCCACGCAGACTCAGTAACGTCAGTAGCCTTCTCGGACGACTCGACCCTCGTGGCCTCCGCTTCTGGCGATGAGACGATCCGGCTCTGGCGCGTTGATGATGGCACCTGCATCCAACAGCTCAAGGGCCACGCAGACTGGGTAAGGTCAGTAGCCTTCTCGCATGACTCAACCCTCGTGGCCTCTGCTTCTCATGATAAGACGATCCGGCTCTGGCATGTTGATGATAGTACCTCCATCCAAGAGCTCAAAGGCCACGCAGACTCAGTAACATCAGTAGCCTTCTCGCACGACTCAACCCTCGTGGCCTCTGCTTCTGACGACGAGACTATTCGGCTCTGGCGCGTTAATGATGGCACCTGCATCCAAGAGCTCAAGGGCCACGCAGACTCAATAACATCAGTAGCCTTCTCACATGACTCGACCCTCGTAGCCTCTGCTTCTAGCGATGAGACGATCCGGCTCTGGCGCGTTGATGATGGCACCTGCATCCAACAGCTTAAGGGCCACGCAGACTGGGTAAGGTCAGTAGCCTTCTCGCATGACTCAACCCTCGTGGCCTCTGCTTCTCATGATAAGACGATCCGGCTCTGGTATGTTGATGATGGCACATACATCCAAGAGCTCAAGGGCCACGCAGACTGGGTAACGTCAGTAGCCTTCTCGGACGACTCGACCATCGTGGCCTCCGCTTCTGACGACAAGACGATCCGGCTCTGGAGCATTGATAATGGCACATGCATCCAAGAGCTAGCTGGGATTTCCTCTTCTCAACTGCAATTTGACTCTAAGAATTCATGTCTCTTAACTGATGCTGGCCCTATCTCTATTAAGAGTCCGGTTTTACCACCTGGAAATATCACTATACCTTTTACCAACTGCCTCTCCGGCATTGGGATTAGTGAAGATAGGTGCTGGATTATGTGGCAGGAAAAGAGACTACTCTGGTTACCGACGTCATTTCGTCCTAGTTGTTCAACGGTATCTGGATTGTCTGTTATTATTGGCTGTTACTCGGGGAGGGTGGTTATTATGAGATTTGTTGATCTGTGGCTGCTAGACTAGTATTAGATTGACCCTCAGGTGCCGTGCTAGGGCCCGGATAGGCACATTCCTCTGATATATCAATATCCTGATCTTAGTTATAGGGTGTGAGATTGACCCAAAACCCCTCACACAAACAGGGGGGCTGGAAGCATCCTAGATCCTACAATAAACACAATCATCATCTTTGGTCTCCACAGTTAACCCTCTCTTGAAATCCCCGATCATCCTAGCCGTATTGGATCCATCACTAGACTAAAACGCGGACTCTCATCGTTGCTTATATTATGACACAACCTTTAAATCCGGCATCTTACTGATACTGTAATACCTGTTAATTACGCTAGAACAGTTCCTCCAGGCTCCTTTGGCGGGCCGCTTGCCGGACCGGTCCCTCCTGTATTATGCATTGATTGCCTGGGTGGCCTCGCTGGCCAGAATTCGCTTTTCAGCGACTCACAGCATGTACCAGAGGTACTTTAGCAAGGCGTTCCAGACGATGACGTTCTGGACCATGCCGGCATTTCCTATACGAGACTAGTCTTTATGCATGTTTCGCAATTCTTTCAGCTGTGGCTGGGCAAGCGGGCCGGGATGGATTGACATGGTTGTGAGTCGCTGGAAAGCGAATTCTGGCCATCATCACGTGTACGTACAGTGTGCCATCAGGCTGAGCTCTTGCTGATGCATAAATCAGGCCGTCACCTACTCCATTTCTCTCCATCAAAGAACTACGAAGTACTCCAACTACACCTTCAATCTAGTCTATTGCTTCATCGCTCTGGCCTATCCTACTGGACTTACTCGTTCTTATTCCTCATTGCCTACCTCTCACTCATCTGTTCAACACCATGTTTCGGGCACCACAGATCCCCGACGTCCTGTGGGACAGACACAAAGAGCGGATATGTGACCTTTATCTGAACAAAAACATGCAACTGAAAGTCATCATGGATTGTATGGCCAAAGAGCATGGATTCTCAGCCACATGAGTCACTTCCACGAGCACCTATCCTCCGAAGCCATCCAGCTCATGCTGGAATAGCAAGGCGCAATTCGTCCGCAAGCTAGAAGTTTGGGGAATAAAGAAAAATCACACCAAGGAAGCGTGGATCTATGCAGAAGCTATGCACCAAAAGCGAAAGCGGGAAGGCAAAGACAGCGAGGTGCTCATCGACGGCAAGCTGATTCCGCAGAAGAGAATGAAAAAGGAATTAGGCAGATATGGCAACTACAAAAATGTCTTCCAGACACTGCTGGGTAAGTTGAGAGCCTTAATTCCTAGGACCGAGGACTGACCATCTGCAAGCTACGGCGGAGCAAGCGCCTGAGGGCGTCATCGTTCGCACCCCACCCTCCACAGACAACGACCATGTTATATCATTTTGTATACCGTGGTTCCAGGTTCGCGACTGCATTGAGAAGATATGTACGTGAGGTAGATTATCTTCCTGAACGATGCAACGCTGATCCTCGATTATTTCAGTTGCCAGCCAGCTGGCTCTTCCGACCCAACCCTCAGCGTCCATTACTTCATCATCGCAGCAACAAGCCCTAAGCTTATTCAATGCCCTTTTTGGCCATGCATGTGGAAAAGATGAAATAAATCTTCCAAACCTCTATGGGGTGACATCCCTCCTCGAGGAAGAACTGCCACTGAAGCAGAAGAGTAATGCCAGTCTCCAGTCCAGGAATTCCATACGCTCAAGGCCTATCTCCACATTTCTAACGCATGCCATATATGAATCTTCTAATGCCAATCTCAGAACTTCCAAAACGGACAATTTCCTAAATTGGGTAGTTGAGAGTGAAACCGTTGGATTCATCATGCAGGTTACACGGCTCAAAGAACCATTAAGCCAGGCCTTCGCATCAAATATGCTATTAAGCGCCATTAGGACTGGAAATGAATCACTTGTTCGCATGCTCCTTGATCAAGGAGTCAGTCCGGAAAGCATAGGCTCGTCGACTGTCCCTCTTGTGTCAAAAAACCCCCTTCAAACAGCAGCGGATGCACAAAGGTCGGAAATTGTACAAGTTTTGCTAGACTGCGGGGCTGATCCGAATGGTACTGGAAACTCCAGATGCGCGCCTCTACAACTTGCTCTCGGAGGTGGTAAATGGGGAGGTGCTTCCATCAATGACATCATCGACAGAGGATCTTCGATCTGGGACCCGATAGACGAAGAAACCGCGATGATACTGATCAAAGCAGGAGCAGATGTGACCAAACTCTTCGACCTACTAGATAGATTCCCTCTCTCACAGGCCGCACGACACGGAAACATACATCTTGTGGAGGCAATTCTGAAGGCTACTCCAGAGGCACAGCGAAGCTCTGCCATGTTGGACCAGGCACTTCAAAGCGCCGCTTTCGGCAACAATCTTCCTGTGATCAAACTTCTCAGAGGAGCTGGAGCAAACACCAATTTTACCCTGGCACCCGATGATCTTGAGATGCGTGACTGGGCTCGCCGGAGATTGCTTGAGGGTGATACTCTATACCTGGAAGCATTTTCTCCACCAATTCAGATTGCAGCCCGGCAGCGGAACCAAGAGATGGTTCGGTACCTGATCGAACAGGGTGCAGATGTCAACGCAAGCACAGATTTCGGTTCCCGGTCAGAAGAGATCTTGGATTGGATTGTGTTGTACTGTGAAGGGGATAATCGAAAGATTATGGAGGTCTATTCGCTGACAGGATGCCTGACACCGTTGCAACAAGCTGTATACGACGGAAACTTCGCCATGGCCGATTATCTATTAAAAGAAGGAGCTTCTGTCGGCGAGGTTGGAATCACAGAGTGGACCGCCCTGCAAATGGCTTGCATGTCAAGATCCCCAACACGGATTGCGGTGGCCCAGCTACTGCTTGATTGGGGGGCTGATGTCAACGCACCTGCGAGTCATTGGTATGGAAGGACGGCTCTCCAGGCAGCAGCACACACTGAAGATGCCAACTTGGTCAGCCTCTTACTCAAGAATGATGCCGATGTCAACGCTCCTGCAGGCCAAAAAGGTGGCCGAACAGCCTTACAAGCCGCTAGCGAGACAGGAAACGAGGATCTGGTCACTCAACTATTTGTCCACGGAGGAGATGTCAACGCCGAGGCAGCTGAATCAAATGGGCTCACCTGTGTCCAAGCTGCAGTCTCCTCAGGAAACTTTCTCCTCGTTGACATGTTACTTATACTTGGGGCTGACATCAACGCGCAATCGAACGGAAAGACTATCTTACAAGTTGCTATTGAGAAAGGGTCTCAACCAGGAGTAGAACGACTACTCCAGGCCGGCGCACATATCAATCGGGTTGGAGGCGGAATAACTCCTCTTTGTACAGCAGTTTTGAACAAGGATCGCAGCATGTTGGACTTGCTACTGGAGAATGGAGCAGTGACTGACCATCCCGACTGCCTCGTCACTCCCCTTCTGGCGGCGATTGACATGGATTGGGTCGAAGGAGTGCAGCAGATTCTACGCCGTGGCGCGAACGTGGACAGTTGCTCGATGGTACCGATTGTGCAAGGATTATCCTCGTACATGGACCACAGAAATATTCCACCCTATCGTTTTGTATACGAAGTTAGGGTCTATCATGATAAGGCTTTTCATGATCTTCGCTCTAGAAAGGGTGGTAGTTCACCTCTCTACAGGGCAATCTGTCACCAAAACCCCGACATTGTTCGAGAACTCATTCAACATGGGGCTAACGTGGATACACCCTGCATACATAGGAGTCCGATTCACCTGGCCGCACTATACGGCGGTAAGAGGATAGTGCAGATGCTGCTCGATGCAAAAGTCGACATCAACGCACCGCCCTCTGACAGCTTACAGATGACAGCGCTCCAGTTAGCCATTAGCCAGGGGCACTGCGTCGTCGTGGATATGCTTATGGATGCTGGCGCAAGCGTGAATGCCCCGACAGGATCACAAACCGGGAGAACCGCCTTACAAGCCGCTGTCGAGAGACAAGATATTTCTCTCGTCGAAGATCTGATCTCACTAAGAGCTGATGTCAACGCACCGCCAGCTGGAAAGTATGGCGCAACCGCATTGCAGCTTGCGGCGGTTGGAGGAGCCTTCAACATTGCCGTTTTACTGCTCGAAGAAGGAGCACAGATCGACGCTGCACCGGCACGAATTGGAGGGTACACAGCACTTGAAGGTGCCGCAATGAATGGGCGCATCGATGTACTTCATCTGCTGCTACAGAACTACCAAGGCCTCAGCTCCTTTGAGATGCATCACCAGAAGGCTCTGGAGGTCGCGGAGTCGAACGGACAGGTAGTTGTTGCCGAGGTGCTTCGGAATTGGAAGTAGATATGAATGAGTATTTCTTAGGTAGAATATGCTGGAATTAGATTTTTATGAGACAACTTCTTCGAATATCCTCATCTAACAGAATAGTGCAAGAACAGAGTGGTAGCAGCTTCGAGCTTTGCTTCTTTAAGAAGGGTATTGCAGGTTTAGCTACTACAATTTTAAGTTACACTGCCTCCGTGCTATATGGAATCAAGCAGCAATTAGCTGCAACAGAAATTCTGGTATATGCAGCCTATAAAGAATATTTAAAAAATAATATGAATAGCGAGAGCTACTATATACATACTTTAATTATAAAGAAGGGAGGGGGGGAAGGGTTGTATACTAGTATCTAAATATTGCCAATGTAGGAATTAATATAGAAAAAAGAAATGAACAATGATTATGCACTTATCTACAATAATTGGTGTTATGGAATTTGACTTGTTATATGCTTCTATTATGACATTTATGGGTGTATTCCTTTTTCCCAGCTGTATTCAATATTATAAGATAGATTAAAGCCATGCAGTATTGCAAAAAATAGAGTGGGCTGTCATTATCGGGTATTTGATGCTGGACAACATGGCACTAGTAGCTGCCCATCCTGGCCGATGGGTCGAGACTTTCACGCCAGAATGAGGGTAATTTTGGTTTGGGAAAGGAGTTCGTGGAACTGTGACTACCTAAGAAAGAGGCTCTTCGTCACTTGATGGCGGCAAAACTTGCGCCGTTGTTATATTCCAGTCTAGAACATACGAAATCAAGGTAGTCTATAGGGGCTACAGGCTTGACATTTTATTCTCTCCGGGGATTCTGGTATCCGTCGCCCCAAGATACCCAAGCCCCTTACCACATCATATTGATGGATCAACATGCCATTGAACTTTTTTTTAGACAGCCTCCACCCCAAAATCAATAGCAGTATAGCCGCCGGGGCTGCCCGAGCCAATAAACGTGAAGTAACCTAAACCTGAAGCGTACCTGGTGAAAAATTGATTGAATGTGGCACCAGTCTGCGAGCAGAGCACGGTGGCCGTTCCAGGTATGGCGCCGCAGGAACCAGCTGGAGCAGTGCACGCAAGTTTGCCATCGCCTGTCTTCTCACAAGTGACGTACCAAGTGGCTGAGCTTTCGACTTCGCAGTTCGCAAGGACGGCAGGATTGCCTGCAGTGCCCCAGACCGCACACATGTATTTTCCATTGGCTTGGATGGCTCGGCCGGTGTCGGCCTCGATAGAAAAGGTAGTGACACTGAAGCCCGACAATCCTGGGTTGAAATATAGGATGCCCCCATTGTTTCCGTTGGATTGCAAGGACGCGCCGGATATGGCACCCGCGCCGGCGACGACATGGAAGTTGGTGATTTCCGGGGCGATTGAGGTGGTCGATGTAGTCGATTCAGTCGATGATGAGCTTACGGACTCGGAAGTCGTAGTCGAGTCAATTGAGGTTGATGATAGAGTCGAGGACGTAGTCGAGATGTCCGAAGTCGCAGAAGACGTAGTCGAGATAATCGGGGTGGAGGATGGAGTCGAGGATGGAGTCGAGGACGGCGTCAAGGTGTCCGATGTTGCTGAGGACGTAGTCGAAACGACCGATGTCGACGACGGCGTTGAGGATGGAGTCGAGATATACGATGTCACAGAAGACGCAGTAGAGGATGGTGTCGAGATGTCGGATGCCACAGAAGATGAACCTGGAAAAGGTTGGATCAGTAATAGACTACGACTTGTTATGCACCATGCCAGTGCCTAGATGGACTTACTGGATGGCCTGCATGGACCTGCAATGGCGGAGTCGGCCGCAATAAGGCCAATGGCCAAAGACAGCAGAAAGTTGGAATGCATGATGATTCAATGAGAGACTGTAGTTCAAAAGAGTAATCACGGACAAGCAACGAGCCAAACAGGAACATGGACATGTTGGACTGTGGGATGTTTATAAATGGATTTTGAGAGTACAGGGGCCAACTTAATTCCGCTCGTTACGCAGTAGTCTGGAACTAGAGACCTGACTGACAAGAGAATGCTCCATCTCTTTCCGGCTTCCCGACCTCGGTAGACTCACTCACTCATCTAGTCTCGCTTTGCTGACAGAGTATTGGTGGTACCTGCAGACCGTTGCAATTTTAACCTGCATCCGTCTATTGGCATCGCGTACAGAAGAGGACTAACCAGACGAGACTATTGACAATCTAGCGCCGCAGTGGAGTGCGTATTGATGGGAATTCGGGACCAAAGCATGGGTATGTCACCCTCGGATCCACCATCCTGTCAATCGTGACCGTTTGGCGTCAAACACAACCATGTCTAGGACCTGCATTCAGCCGCCTTGAAAATCTGCACTCTAACGGTTGGGTTAAGTGGCAAGAATCGTGACATTGATGCAAATTTTCCAATCGCCGATGAGGCCGATCATGGCTCTTTAGTTGGGCTCCATCATCCCTTGCCCAGATCCATTGGTTACCAATAACCATTTGACAAATCCACTGCAGCCTGGGCTAACTTATAAGGATGTACCGTAACCCTCGTATAATAACGGCGCAAGTACGACAAGTGTCAGGCCTCTGCGACAGAAAGGCGCTAACTGCAATACTGCGCGTCATCTGCGAGGCGATTGGTTTGTTTATATCGTTCAAGCATCAGATTTGACACAACATCCTATCACTCCTAATTCTTGCTGGGAACCCGCGCAAGAAATTTTCTCACCATGGGAGTATAAAAGGGTCATCTTTCTTCGACCCATCTTCGTACGGACCTACCTTGTTATGCCGAGTGATACTCCCTTCACAGGGACACGGCACCTAGATGAGGGGAAAGAGGCACCTGTGGCGGTCTGTGCAACAAAGGATGGCTGGGAAAAGTTCGATTTATGTCGCCTGGCTACGGAACTCCTGGATACTACGGAGGGCTCTTTCAAAAGTCTTGTCCAAGCGCTAGTAACATTATATCCATTTATCCCTGTCGGTTACCTGAGATACATGAAGCTGTCACAGTCTCGTTAAACGGCCGCTGTAACTTCAGGAGTAGTACGCTGCTGATCAGGATATAGCGGTTGCTGTGTGCTGTAGCCTGCTATCCCTTAGGGCCTATAGAAATCAGGAAGTACTTACTGTACTTATTATCTAACCTAATGATGAGGAATTACTTCTTCTGGATAAGACTTTTGAAAGGGCCCTCCGTAATGAGCTATGGGTAGAAGAGTAGGATTGGAGAGGGGTATACAAAGAAGCCCCTTATGGATTCGTCACCGCATCAGCATTCATTTTGCAAACAGCACAGCCCCAGCCTATAAGAAATATATTAACAAAAACGAATAGCTACGTTTTTGATGAAATGAGACTTCACTAAGTAATGGCCGAGTGAGCATCAAAGATGTGGATATATCTGCGGTCGTCGTAGAAGCTTACGCGCCCAGTAGCGGTTGAGCTGATGACCAAGAAAAGAATGTTGTAACGGCCCGATGACTAGGAAAAGAACCAAGGGGCCGATGTGGCAGTTCCAACGTGCAATGGGGCAAATAAGGAATGAAATATGCTCAAAGTTACGGGGTCATCCTCCCTCTCCTCGCCCTAACCCGGCCAAATGCGAAGGATACAAAAGACCGGAATCGTTCTTCCCAAACCCTCTCACACTGGATGATTTCCAAAGGCACGGCGCGTCGCCTTACTTCTTCCATTCCTTGACATCGTCAATGACCACGACCTTCATCCTGCTTCGATCCCAAAATCCTGCCTCGTCTGCCTCGATCTTGGCCTTAGCCTCCTCCGTCCCTAAGGCACCGCAAAACCTGCCCCAGGCAGCCTCGTCCTCGAAGACCATGGTCGCGATGGTGTCGTAGTACATATCTTCGGCATTTCCAGCCAGCAGGACCGGCTTGTCGTCCACTCCGGCGTGCTGGGGGTACCACCTCGTGTGCGAGAGGGGGGCCGCATCGCCACACAGCTCAGCCACCATGAGCATGTGCTGCTCGTAGCGGGTTTTGAATTCGGCATGGGTGATGCCAGCCTTACGGGGCGCAAAGATCATGAGACTGTACACCATTGTGTCTAGCGTGCGAGTATTTGCTTGGGCGGGATGGGTGTACGTGTTTGGCTAGGGTAACGAGGCCTTGCTTATCAAGGCGAAAAGTGTGTTGTTCAAGATTTGTTGTTATTGTTGCCAATGGCAATGCGAGCCTTGACTCGAGTATAGATATCGAGGAGCCAGATACAGGTTGTGGTGCTGGAACTGAGTGGCTAAACTCCTGGGACAATCGATCACTTATTCGTCGTGGCGGCGTGATTATATACCGGAACGTCGCATTCGGAGACTTATGGGATCCATGTATCTTCCACGGCCTTCGTGTGTCTTCCACGGCCGTCCTGCATCTTCCGTGGCCCTCTTGGCATTTTCGTGTGGCTTCTCGCACCTTCCAGTGGCTTGCTGCCTAACAGTGGCTGGCAAGGATCTGCTGGTCGCTCAAATAGGTCAGCTTACTGAGATTGCGACACAAATGGGTAAAAGGAATGACTGTGGCATTCAAAATTAGGTCTAATCATTGAAACTTTAGGGTAATTACACCTATAAGAGTACCTAAACAACAAAGGATTTAGTTCCAGACGGCAATTATCCACGCCGTAGCTTTCCTCATTCTTCACACTAATATAATGGGGCTAATGATGCGATCGGCATATCAATAGCCAATGAATTTCTAACTGCCTTGTTTGAATTCGAATTTATGTCAAGGATGAATTGGCAGATGCGACGCATTAACCCACAATGCAAGCCACGGTCGATGTACATGTTGACCACCTCGTCTGCGAGAGAGGTGACGTGTGACACCAAAGGTGCGGCAACTTCCATACGCTGATCTTCAGCCAGATATGGACGCCATCACGGCCGAGTTACCCCGCATCAGAGTTTGACGTGGTGAACATTCTAGATTTTGGTGTTGTCCGTAATCGCCGGCAACGCAAATTGGTTTGTACTGTGTCAGTGTCACACAGGAACAACTCTAATCCATCCCGCTTCAGTAGTCGCCCTAGACGAAAACTGATTTGCCATGTTGGTTTCGTCGCTATGAGAGAGGAAATTCGTAGACTATGACATATGGGGTAGCAACCATAAACGCAAACCAATCAGCCCCTATTTGATATCCACCAGAATCAGGACCATGCTTTTGCGATGTGCGAATCCTTCTCACAAATACGCGGTAACCATATCACGCGCAACAGGCCCAGATCACAGCCATGGGATCGGTCGATCATAAACTTCAAGACAAGAAGACCAGAGTGAAGTTGATTCCTTGCCCGATTTCTACAGAGTACAGTGGAATGTGGAGTTCAAGACAAACACACTGAAACTACAACAGACTTGGACCTGGTTACTACAAGATGGTTGATTGTGAACATTCTTGACAGGTATTCTAATCTAACTTCTGTCTGCTCCCTCAAGGTGAGCAAGTTGCCGGCACAAGGTCAAAAAACACAGTTTTATCCACAATTCAAGCATTTGTTACCCAATGCTGCCACGATGACCAAATATCAAGCTTTTCAGCTTGCTTGACAGGTATTCTTGATAGCCTAATACTCTACATACTGTATTAAGCCTTATTCAGGCGATTACCCTGGGTGCTTAATGTGACGTTTCAGGGGGTGATTAATTCTAGAGCCCTGTATCTTTTCCAGCGTGCTCTCGACTTGAAGCGTTTGTCGTTTTCACAATGATGGCCCCATTACCTAGTTTACTTGGCATAATACCCAAATTATACCACCTTGAAAAATCAGGTTCCCAGCTGGTCCTCTCCACCAAGCTTGAGCAAAATATTTCGTCCAAGTGACTCGATCAAGAATTATTCAATGCTGCGTGCAGCGGCCGGGGGCAGAACTTCTCATTTCTTTGGCGGGCCGAAGATAACCAGCGCCACACTGGATGCATGCGACACCGAACCAATGTTGACGATGACGATGATGATGATTGCGATACGAATTGGTGCCTGGGAGTGAACGAAAAGAGGCCATGACGTCTTGTACCTATATACGGCAAATGATTTAACTCCAAACACCAGTGCACCCGCGAACCTAGTTACATCTTATCCCATGATCGTTTCCCAGCCGTTCTCGATCATAATGTCAATCCAAAAGACCGAATCTTGAGCATCTTCTGAACATTCTGCACCAGGAATGACAGCAGACAGGGCATCCATCTTCTTCCAGATTTCCTTGACGACGGATATGCACTGCCTATGCGGCTTTGGCGCGAGAAGATGAGCCAACTGCTCCAGGCGTCCTAAAACCATACCGCGGGCGCGCAAGACCTCGACGGCCTTTAGAGATACCGCGGGCACAAAGTCGAGATTTTCACCGCATTGTGGCTTGAGCCCTGCAGCTATGCTGCCCTCGGGGGTTTTGGATTGCGGCACGCGTAGTTCACTCCCGCAAGCGACGAGCAAGAATGGTTGGAACGCGCGCGTTCCAGACTCAACGGGGATGTGACGGAATATCTCCAAGATATTCAGGGCAAATATGGTAAGCCAACTGCCCAGATCCTGCCGTGCCGGGTTGTGTGGCAGGTATCCTCGCTCGTTGTCCCAAGGGGTCGTGTGATGACCTAACTTTTCGAAGAATGGCCGGATGTCAGCGCTCAACTCGCTAGTTGGCGATTGCAGTCGTTGCCAAAGAATGTCGGGAAATATGCGGTAGAGCTGCAAAAGGCCGACCAGTCTGTATATCTGGGCCAAGTTGACCAGATGTTGGACAGGGGTGTTGACGTCCGCCGGGTTGATGATCTGATCTTCGGAGGGCAGCGTTAGCTGTAAGAGACGGCCCTCGAGCTCAAAAGCCTTTATGATGCTGTTTTGTAGTCGGTCTATGTGGCCCTGGGTTATCGTAACTGGCAATCGAGCGTGTTGCCGTTGTGATCGTACGAGGTGACCAATGTCGCAGAGGACTTTTTGCACTTCATGCCCCACGCCAGTCCAAGGATGGGGCGCCTGCATAGTTCCAGAAGGAAGTTGCACCGGTCCCAATCTACTTTATTAGTGAGTGATGAATAGCAGGCATAAGATGCAACTCACAGTGGACCCGCCCACATTTGATAGGATCCCATCCGAAAATCGTCGACGACGTATGAGAGTAGCATCTGCCAGTATATCAAGGACTCGTGGAAGAACCGGTAATTGTTGCTATTCTCCAAAAAGTACGCCCTCGCCGTTGCGCGTTGCATGCGATTCTGGAAAGAGTTGAACAAGGAAACGCCGCTGGCCGTTGGATCGTGCCAGCTGGAAGATGCTCCAATCATCAGGAGCGCCAACAACGACGTCTCATCGCAGTCGTCGTTTCCCATCAGAAGGGCAACAGTTTCACGCCGATATTCCTTTCCTATAGGCCCTAGAGAAGGATAAAGATTCTCCAGGCCTGTTGCGGCCATGCTTTGCATTGCGCAGTAGATGACGCGAGACTGGCTCCAGAGGCGACCAACTAATGATCGGAAGGGGTTCATTCCTCCGTCGTAGACTGAGAAACTCCTGGCAGTCTCTTGGAAGTAAAAGTCGGATAATAGAGTCGTGGAGTCGGTGAGGCTGGCCATTATTGAAGAGGCGAGAGGGGACACGAGGGTTTCTTCGTCATCTTGGGAGAGCTCCATAACCTGCGATGATTTGGGACTCTCTTCGAGAGGAAGGAGGTTGATTTCTCCATCGGATGGTTCTGGCTGAATGCCTTCTTCAAATTCATTGCTCGTTTCTGGGGGGAGCCACGGCATGGACGGGGAATGACTTTGTCCTCCGACGGTCAGTATTTGTTGAGGCCCAGCACTTGGGAAAGCAAAGGTCGCCAAGTCCCCAAGCCAGTCCGAGACATCGAAATTTGGGCCGCCGATTCGACTGTTATGCGACATCAAGTCGTTGGTCGCATCTTCGAGGCTATCCTCGGCGATGGATAGTAGAGTGCCGGGGTCTGTGGGAAGTATTGACGACCTCGATGGACTTAGAAGTTGGGTTTCTTGTTGAGTGGTTTCATCTTCGGAGTGAAACTCGTGTTTTCGGGACCATTTGATGACTTTTTGATATCCTGGACATGGCTTTTTGGCTCTGAGGCAGCGTCCACAAGAGGGCCGTTGCTCATCGCATTTCATCTATAAATGTTGTTAGAGATAGGTGTTATCGACAAAGCAAAAAGAAGAAAGCAAAAAAATCACTTGATTGCAAAATCAACATGCTATATTCATCTAATAATCAAGTGCAAAAGCAAAGATGCGATAATTACAGTACGTACGTGCTGGCCCTTGCATCGTGCACAACCACTTCGAGATCGCGATCCGCGGGGCATTCTGCAGGACCGTCGAATGATGTCATGGGCAAATTCCGAAAGGAGAAGAGGACGGATAGACGGGCGCGATGGGAGGACGAGCCCAGGCAAATACCAACGTCGAATGGCCGGGTTTGTCCAACCCTGGCTTCCTAGATAAGGGGGAGAGAGCAGGGCTGTGGGAGGGGGCAAGGGAGTTGAAGCAGCGAGACCGCAGCAGCGCGAGATAAGGAATTCTGCAGTTGTTGACACGGTCTCGCCCAATGTCGACGACGGCCACGATAATCCCCTGGCTTGTGACTGGCCCGGCTTGTCTCTGGCTGGCCGCTATCGCTTCCCCACAGAATGGCCCAGGATGTGACGGGCGAAGCTATTCCGCTTCAGGTCCGGGTTCCCGGCCGGTCTGAAAGAGTGGGCGGGGGGCCGGGGAAACAATCCCTGAGCTGCGATCGGGTACCCGTACATTGCCTTGCGCCATGTAATGTATCGGTATCGGTATCTTGATGACGCTGGATCGCGGCGGGTGCGCTGCAGGTTTCGAATATAAACGGCGGAGGGGGGCCGGGATTTGCATCTGGGGAAGCACTTTGTTCTTTTGCAACCTCCTCGATTGTCATGTTGCCGTTGCTGGCCTTGCTTCCAGCAGGATAGCACGCTGTATTGTCCTGTACTGCTCTGTAAGATATCATATCTGTTACAACCAACGACATCTCCCCCATTCTTCGGCAAGTCTACCTACGCAATCCTTCCCCGGTCCGTCGCGCTCAGGTCGCTGGCTGGCTCTTCCCCGCACCTACGTACCACCCTGTCTCCGGCTCAATCCTCCGGCTCACGCGTATGATGGTTGACTCGTTGACGGCTGTGTTGATGGCTGTGTAGGCGAGCCGGTTTGTCTGCTGACTTCTAGGTGTCTCGGAGCACCAGCATAGAGGGCCTCTGTGACTGTCTGTTCGAGATGCGAGCTAGAGAGGAGCAGCCAGTCCACGCGGGAATACAAACATAAACCTGCCCAAGTAACGGCTCCTCTCCCTCAGCTTCGTACCGCCTCGCACCATCAAAGGTGGTGGTCACAGCTTTAGACAAGCGACATGCCTGCCGATGGTTCCGATAAGGAGACGGTGAGATGGAAAAAGCCTTTTCCTTCCTTGACCCTGCAGCCAGTACGGAGTAGGCAGATATCTCGTTGTGTGTGGCGAGGAGGCTCCCACGTTTTCTATCTGGTATCGCGTGTTTCAGTGAGGGTGAGGGTGCTATCGTCGACACCCACATCCACACCTCGTTCATACTATGTATGTCTAGTAGACGGCGTGCAACCTGCAACCTGCAACCTGCAACCACAGCCTCAACGGCTGCAAGAGAACCGAAATTAGCTTCAAATCACGGCCCCAAAACACGGCGCCGGAAACACGGTGCCGCGGGCAACAAACCCCGTCCACCGTCCATCCGCGACGGATCCAAGCCTCATCCATGCCGGCGTCTCGGCGATATCTCGCCCTCAAGCGCCAACTGTCTCTCGTCGCCCGGGATTCGTGATTTCGGGGCCCTCACGTGGCCCATGGTCCAAGACGCCAGGTCTCGTTAGTGACATTAGCGCTGCTTTCCCTCGCCCTGGGAAGCAGAGGGCTGGCATCCACGAACCAGTCGTCTGCCGCTTATCAGTGCGACCCAAACCTTTTGACCCCCCTACGGCGGCTGGATCAGGAATGGACTTTGCACGCCGTGCAGCGCGTTTCCCCGCATTTCCAGCGCATCCGATGCCCGAGATCTCTTCGTCCTGGGTCCCCTGAGTCGTTATAAAGCGCCCTCCCATGGCTTGCTCCCTGCGACGCGTAAACATCACCCAAACTCCAGCTATTGACAGACAAACGCGGCTCTGTAAACGGCTTCTTTGCTCGTCTCTATTAATATACACGCTATTTCGTCTTCGTCGTCTTGTCCGCCATCGCCGCCTCGTAAAAATCTAGCCCTCCCAGTCCCACACCCACCGCCCCAAAGTCCCGTCCCAGGGCCCAATAATGGTCGCCAAACGACACTCCAAAGTCGACGACAGCCTCACTGCATTCAAGCCGCGGGCTGGCACCAACCCCCGATCGCGGGCGGGGTGTCTGACCTGCAAGGCCAAACACGTATGGCCATGGCCCTCTCCTCTGCTCCTGCTTGGTCGCTCGCCGTGACCGCCGCTGACTCTGCTCAAGACAAAATGCGACGAGACGAGGCCCGAATGCCTCCGGTGCACGCGCAAGGGCATCAAGTGCGGCGGCTACTGGCGGGAGTTCAAGTGGTCCTTCAAGCATCAGCCGGGCTCCAAGGACGCAGCGGTTGAAGGCCCCGATGCAAATCCCGATGAAAATCCCGCAGAGGGTGTGTTTCTTATCACGGAGCAGGGCGCGCCAGCCTCACTTCCTCGGCGGCCCCGTGATAGTGAATCTTTCTCGCCCGATAACACCTTAGCGTCAGTTTCAAGTGCAACAGACAACGAGAACAGCGAGGCCATCATTATCCCCGTCTCGGGAGGCTCCGGAGAGTCCGTCAGCCCCCGCCAGAAGACTGCGCGCCGGACATCCGTCCCACGGCCCGCTTCAAGGAGAGCGTCATCCTCGCGGTTCTGCCGAGACGCGGAGCACGATGTATCCACATCCAGCCTCATAACCTCGGACCGGTTTCCCGGGGGACCCACGTTTGTGCCAGCCTCCATCACGGACACTTCGTCGCTGCTCATAAGCAACTGGTTCGAACAGGTTTGTCCCGCTTGGTCGGGCTTCGACTCGGCTGCAAACCTCAATCGACGACTCGCCACAGAGCTGTGGCACGAGTCTCGTTCCGTCTTCAGCTCGCTCCAGAGCATGTCGGCCGCCTTCTTGTCCACACGGCTTCCGCACATGCGGCTGCCCGCCGTCAGATTCATGCAAACCGCAACCGAGTCCATCCAAGCCGAGGTCAAGGCAATCCGGGGCCGCGTTCACCTGGATACCATCCCCACTGGTCTTCTTTTCTCCTTGTTTTGCCTGGGCACCACTGTCTGCTGGATAGACGCGGCCCAGCTAGGCCTGCCCTTCTTCCGGGAGGCTAGATTGCTCCTGGACCGGTTGAACAGACGGCTGCCAGCTTTGTACGAGAAGGATGCCGAACTCTTGACCTTTTTCAACAAGAGCTTGACGTACTGTGAGATGCTTCTTGCAGTAGTAAGCGACGGCGAGCCCTCAACCAGGATTGATAATATGCAGACACAAGCCAGCATGGGAAAGGCCGGACCCGAACAACAGGTGAAGATGATCGACGTCTGCAGCCCGCACCCGTGGACCGGTATTTCAACACCCACCTCCCGCCTCTTCGCCCAGTCGATGCGGCTATGCCGAAGCTTTCGCCACAATATCAGGCAACAGAGACACTCGGGGAGGGATTTCCAAACTGCGTTGCTGGAGATACAAGAGGCGCAGAGCCTGGAGGAGCAACTGCTTGGACTCGAGTTCCCGTCGATACTCAATACGAATGACACCGGCGACCACCTAACACCCTATCTTCACCTGGCCAAGATTGCCGAAGCCTACCAGCTGGCATCGTTGCTACAGCTTTACCAGACGTTCCCCGATTTGGTCTCGCTACGACTGCCGATTAACTCTGCTATTTCGAGTGGCGGGCAGATTTCATGGGAGGAATGGATCATCCCTCTCAGTCTTCGCCTGGTCAGGGTTCTGGAGCACATTCCCCCATCGTCCGGGAGCCGTGCCATCCAGCCACTACTATATATTTCGGCGAGCACAGGACTCCGATACGACACCAAGGCTTCCATGGACACCCTTGATCTTGGGTGGAATCTAGACATGGAATCAATGGAGGTGCCATTCCAGCCTAGTTACGACGATGGCAGCAGCCCTCTCGATATTGAGCCAATCGACGCCTCCCAGATGACAGCAATGGGGCCGGCCTTGATATCACGAATGTCACTCGATATTAGCAACGCACGGCATTTCATCACGGGCCGGCTCAGCATGTTGGAAAATAGCCTACCGCCGAAGCCCATCATCATGGCCAAAACGCTTATTCAAGCGGTTTGGGACGCGTATGATAGCGAAATGCCGGGATCAACCACAGTTCACTGGGTTGACGTAATGGAAGACAATAATTTGCGTACCATGTTTGGATGACGCCCTGGTTGAAAAGAATTGTTTTAGCGTTGTCAAATTGAATCTTCATGAACACTACATTTGACAATTGGCCTTTTTCGCGACTTTTTAATCTCACGATGAAGCGAACAATGACGTATTAGCAATTTTTTTGTATTGCTATCTCGGAAAGCTAGTATATGCCCGATTCCTGAACCATTTCCATTGATTGAATTATCCATCTATTCCCATCCCTTATCCCCAGATGCATAGGTCATAACATTTAGAAGTCGCTCTCCTTTCGCTGGCCGACGTAGAACGCCAGGCCGTAGTCGGTAGTGGTGAAGGTAATGGTGGCGCCGGCGGGGAAGTAAAAGACATCGCCCTTGGTGGCGGTAACGCTCTGGCCAGTCTCGTCGGAGATGGTGTAGTCGCCCTCGAGGATGATCTTCATCTCGTCGTACTTGTAGGTGTAGGTCAGGGGCTCGCCCTTCTTGAGGCGGAAGAGGCCGGCCGAGATGGGCTTCTCGGGGTTGGTCTTGTCGCTGGAGAAGACGTCGCCGAGGAAGGCGTTGTCGCCAGCGAGGAGAGGGATCTGGAAGTCGGCCTGGGCCTTGGGGTGGTACTTCATAGCGGTGGCCATTGTGTAGGTTTGGTGGTTGTTTTTGGTGGAAAATGGTGAGTATTGGAGTAAACCTTGAGATGGATGATGGTAAAGAGTTTGAGATTGGATGATGAGAACTTGGTATGAATCGTGGCGACATTCACTCTCATATACTCATCCCTTGGACCTGTAAGCAGGAAGTCTTACCCGAGGCTTACTGTGACAACTTGGACACAATCCAATCGAGAATCTAATCGCTATCCCGCACGTCAGCTTAGCATCGCATTTCGATTCCCATTTCCGACAAGGTTCCCGGCCCTCATCGGATTTCCGAGACGAGCCTAGCCCGCCTGTCGCCGCCAACTACCGACGGTTAGCGGCGCGATGATCGTGACCCCCCCGCAGCGTCACTTATCGCGTTGCGTTCCCTATCTTGGAGATGGTTGCCGGTCCGTATCGCGAGAAACTGCGGGGTAAAACGACCTCGCGAGATGCGGCATGTATTGAGGGATGGGACCAATCGGGACTTGCCAATCGTCTATCTTGTCCGAGAGGAGCATAAGCCGGATGTGGCAAGGGAGATAGGGAAGGTGTCGAGCGAGGTAGATTGCTCCAGATGCAGCGCGGGCTTGGCCGGACGATTAAGAAGAAACCAATCGTCGATTGGCAAATGTCGTGATTAATAACTACCGCCTTAGCCACAAGATTTGAATCGCTTAACCAAATGAAACAAGCCGGTTCTTTCTCAGGTTGCCATCATTGATTCCAACTCATACGGCTTCTGCCATTTGATAACATTCTACTCCATTCCTCTACCTCTGACTGGCTCATGATGGACTTCTTCGTAGCCTCGGTCCCACACGTGGGCGTCGTTGTGCCCGCCATGGTGCTGATCATCATGTCCGGCGTCTTGTACTACCTGCGTCTACCCAGCAGCTTTCTGCGACGCATCACTGGGAACTCAAAGACGAAAAAGGTCAACGTCCCTTATCCCGCGAGCAAGCAGCCGGAGGCGTTCAAAACTCCGGTCCCGACACCGTTCCCCAACTGGTCGATCGAGACGACCAAGCCGATGCCTTATCGCGCGTTCCGATACGGACCCAAGTACAATGTCACCATGGGCCTTCGATCTATCCAGCCCGAGCAGTGGATTGAGCTCGACAATCAGTTCCCCAAGTACCACGCCGAGAAGAAGGCCCGAATCGCAGACCGAGGCCGTAAATGTGTCGACACCCACCCGGACGCTTATCCCGCAGCCATGGAGCTTCTCCAAGAGTTGGTCGATTACCTCCCCGGTCGATACCCTACATTGTTCAAGAGGACTGCGGTTGGCATTGACAACATCTGGTCTGGAGAGTCTTTCAACATCGTCGAGTCTCCGCTCGCCGAGGACCCCATGGCAATCTGTGCCCGCCTTGTGCAGGATGACTTGGCTCTGATGATTGAGCGACCAGATGGACAATACTACTTGCTCGCCGGTGCTATTCTCTTGGCAGGCTTCTGGAGGTTGTCGGACAAGTACGGCATGACGTTGTCGGACATTCACTACTCGGGCGACGTGCCTCATTACAAGGAGAAGTTGGAGACTGGCATGCTCAAGTTTTTCAAGCGCCTCAAGTGCGACACCTTCTTCACCCGCAACAACTACTTCATCCAAGTAGATGACTCTTTGTCCTGGAGCTGGAGTATCGGCAGCGAGGATGGCGAGACCGTCAGCTGGAGCACTGCCCAACGGGACAAGCCCGTCGAAAACCACTGGTTCCGCTCTGAGAGACAATCCCTCCGCAGACTGCCCAAGACCGGCGCCGTCTGCTTCACGGTTCGCACGTACTTCCTGCCTGTCACCGAGATGGCCCAGGAGGACTACGTGCCGGGTAGACTGGCGAGTGCTGTCCGCAGCTGGGATGGGCCGGTCTCTGTTTACAAGGGCAAGGAGAAGTACGGCAATGTCCTGCTTGACTACCTCGACAAGGAGCACGAGAAGCAAGTTGAGAACGGGTTGAAGCTGGAGGAGGAGGATGAAGTGAGAAAGTACCCGTGGTAATGATGCGACGTGAATAAGTAGTTACGAATTCCCTTTAGCGGTGGAGTCTATTTCTTTTGTACCTTCATCATACCTCTGAATCCCGACAGACTGTGCGGATAGGTGTCTGTGGAGCATTGGGACGATCCTTGGCCCGTCGTCATTCTACTCCTCGCGAAGCGAAATGGATATGGACGGAGTAAAAATCTGTTTAGTATCAATACCAACATTCAGCTTTGCATCATAAATAAATGTCCGCCGACCGTCTTCTCGAGGATATGCTAGCTGCCTGCTCCAAAAGTAGAGACGCTCCACAAGTTCTGGACACAGATTGACTAGTCCTCTACTGCATTACTTTATTAGGAATACTATGTATTTGTTAATCAACCCCAGGATAGACGTCAGCATTGAATGATGTAGCTCAGGGTATGACAGGGTTTTGCTATTCGCACATACCTACCTATGACTATTTGGACACGTAATGACCATCTTAATCCTAAAAGAGCAGGTAAGAAAATATCCTTTTCAAGACTAATTCTCAAATTAGTCTTTCACGGTATTATTAAAAATCTTTTTTATCAGGTATAATTTAACAAGGATAGCAAGCATTCACTACCCAGACATTTGACTACGTTACACATATAGTAGGTAGGCATCTTAGCCCAGCGGCGCTTTAATAAAGAAGCTTGTACCGGGTGCGAATAGCAATACTCTTTTCAAGTGTCATAATACCAGATAATGCTAGGATGGGCTAAATTCTCACTCGACCTCTCGCTACCCTACACTGTCGATGTAGATCTGGTGAAACCTAACCCTCCCACAGTCTACAAATGCCCTCAATTCAACAACATCGGTCTTTCTTCATTCTACAATATAATCAATCTTGAATCAGCATCTCATGACGTGATTTGAGCCACATACAATATGATACGGCCGCGCTCATTTATAATCATGATGTAGAGATTTCCCTTGCTAACAGCTGTTCAACTCAATAACCCCATGCCCGGAGCTCCTCAGCTCTCCTCCGGCAATCCAACCATCCTCAAGGAGTCCTTCCACAGTCTAGCCTCTTCCTTGGCATTGTAAGTGTGGCTCACATATGATCCTTTGGCAGGCACACCGTCATCTTCACCACGCTCCGCCTCAGCGCAATCGTTGAGGTAAACACCCCCGCGACCTTCCCACTCGTTGCCAATCGCAGCCCAAATCGTAGTCGCAGCTCCTTGCTCCGTAGATTTGATCACGGGGCCTAAATCTAGACTCATCTTTTCCACCACCTCTGCGGGGATGTACTTGACTAGGCCAGTGCCAATGACCCCGGGATGGAGACTTGTTGCGTGGAGCCCCAGACGACCGTAGTCGCGCTCGATCTGGTTGGCCATGTAGATGTTGGCCGTCTTCGAGCGCGCGTAGGCCATCCAAGGCACATATGTTGACCTTTGGAAATTGTAATCGTCCGAGTCGCCGATAGGGCTGATTCGATGAGCTGCGGCGGAGACTACGACAACCCGGGAATGGAAGTCGGGTGTAGTCGCTTTGAGCAGCGCTGGCTTCAGCAATTCGAAGAGGAGGAAATGAGAAAGGTGATTCACGGCGAATTGAGACTCGTAGCCATCTTTGCTCAGCTGAAGATCGGGGACAGCCATGATTCCAGCGTTGTTGACGAGGATGTTGACCTTGTCCGTCTTGGCCAGTATGATCTTTGCGGCGACTCGAACGCTCTCAAGCGAATTCTGGTCCATCTCGACAAGTTCCATCTTGTCCTCTTGCCATATACCAGCCAGGGCAGTCTTTGCCTTGGCCAAGTCCCTGGCGGTAAGGATGAGCCTTGCACCGGTCGCTGCGAGTGCTCGGGATGTCTCAATACCGAGGCCGGACGAAACTCCAGTAACGACGGCCGCTTTCCCAACCAGTTTGCCTTCCATGTCGTTGTCGCTGACAATTTGGAGAGCTGTAGGACGAGAATCGCCAGGACCCTGAGGGTTTGCATGGGCGGCGGCGTAGCGAGACATTGTAATTGATTGGAAATTCCGAGTTGATCAAGGTACGAACGAAGAAGAGGTGTGCTGTGCTGATGAGAATAAAAAGGCAATGAAGAGAGAGGAAGCTTTCCATTTTATACTGGATGTTCCGCCCATTCAATGCTGCCATGTTCTTCACTTGACCCCTTCTCAGCACACAGATCGCAGTGGGTCTGGTAAACTCCCGCCTTACCGGAGGTTGTCGGCCATAACGGAGTAACGAGAGGCGACGCTTCGTGCTTGGCCTGACATTTTTACCAATTCGGGGTTAGTTCGATCTAGGCGACTGATCACTCCACAATGACGAAAATAGCGAGGTGCCCATTTAACCTGACAATTTCGCCTCTTTCTGACTAGCAACTGCACACGTTCTGTTCCTACGAGGCAATCTTTGGCATCTTGACAAAGCGTCATTCGACGTCTCCCTTCTCGGCTTGAAAGTTCACCCTTTGTGCCGCCCTTGACGGATTTATCCTGCCATGCCGCTCCCTATGTCCGATTCAACATGTCTGCATGCTCCAGCAACGGATGCCGACGCTGCCGATACAACGGATGCCGGGGTTGCGGATACAACGAATCCCGACGAGAAATCACGGAAGAGACTCCAGAATCGGGTGTATCAAAGGACGCACAGTAAGTCTGATTGGCGAAGAGGGACACTTTGTTTGGGGTTTCTTATAGCACACCAGCTTGCTGACTCGTTGACAGGGGCCCGCATGAAGAACTCTGGCCCTGGTTCCAAAAAACGGCAGCGTCCATACGAAACTGATCGTTGGAGACTTGATGAAGTTGAAAATACTCCATCAGCTGCTTCGTTACCAGACTCAGTGACCCGTTGCGTGGACAATAGCATCAGAATCAGAGCCAGCAAGGTCAACAACAGCTGCTTCACTTCAAGGCTTGACGTGACACTCCAGACACTAGGAGAGGATGAGGTCGAGGTATATGGCCGACAGCTGCAAGTACTTTCCGTCTCGGTTGGGACAGAACCGTGCTTGTGGCCGCCGCCGCCACCTCTTGCGGATCATTTGTTGCACCTGGTCAATTACAACGTGTTTAGGGGATTCTTCACGAACAAGGCTGCTCTTTCGCGAGTCACTACACATATCATCCAGAGCCCTGACCGGAGCCACGTGGTGGACATTATGAAGACGCTACCGTGCCAAACCATAATCGTACCAACAGGGTCCAACATCCCTCGGCATCTCATTCCGACGGCACTGCAAACGCAGAAACCGCACGCTACGTGGATTGATTTTATCCCTTTCCCCAAGATACGAGATAATCTGATAGCGCAAGAGGACCGATTCGACCACCTGGACTTTATGGAGGACGTTGTTGGCGATGTACTCCAGAAATTATTGTTTTCAAACCGAAAATCAACAGTGGAGCCTCAAGGTTCTAGCCACTTGGTACCAAGCAAAGGCCTTGACGATGGAATGACGGCAAACCGAAAAGGGCTCGTCCTGTGGGGAGAACCGCACAATCCAGAAAACTGGGAGGCCACGCCTGAGTTCTTGCGGAAATGGGGGTGGACTGTAGATGGGTGTGATGAGTTGATAAAGTCCAGTAATCATTGGAGGATGCTGAGAGGGGAAGAGATGATGCAGTTTTCGACGTGAGAGCGATATAAAGAATGAGACAAATTACTGCTTCAAGTCAATGTCGTCTGAAGAGATGGTTTTGGATTTCGCCTCCCAGATTAGATGGTGGCAAAAGACGGGACGGGACGAACAGCCAACCCCACTTCATTGAGCCGCATTGTTTGTCATTTCAAGCCGCATCAAATTCAAGCAATCTTTCAGACTCAACTCTGAGCCATGAGGTGCAGCAAATTCCAGAACTTGTACGAAAATGACGCCGGAAAACAGGGTTGCAATCGTAGGGACAGGGATGCAGGTCGCCGACAAGCGGTGTGATTTCCACAACTGCGACCAGGTGAGAGCGGCATCGGTACGACGGCTCCCACCAGCCAAATCTCCCCGCGCTTACAACCTGTGTTGGCGAGGCTTCTGGTACATACGACCATAGCTCTTAGAAAATACGGGATCCCGTCCGCTCTCCCTTAGTCAAGCTGAGAAGCGGTGAATTAGTACTCGGGTCGGTGACGACCGGGGAATCCTCACTGTTGTATGTTCTTTTTGCCATTTCTTCCTGTTGTTTGTTGGCGATGAAAGTGGTGGTCGCTGGAAACGCAGGCGTCGGTCGTGTATCGCCTCGGTGAGGAATGAACGTAGCTCGAGATAAGCTTCAATCGAGCTTGGGCAAACTAAAGACGCCACGGGCTGCGGGTGTTCAGCTTCCACGTCTTCTTCTCATGTGGTAATGGATTCAGCTTCGTCTTATCGACGGCGAATTTGAAGGCGACGGCCGGCGATGATTGTGTCGAGGGAACTTCTCATCCCCCCCACATCTGGAGGCCTGGATGCGAAAAGCCACTGTGGGTGTGGCAGCCCAGCCGATCAGCGAGCTGGAGATGTGTAACGCGAAGGGCTGGGCCATGATAGAGACGAGCTGGATTGGATTGATTACCTCAAGCTTGTTAGTCATTTTGCAACGCAGAAAAAAAAACCTGTTGTCAATCAACCGGCGGCGCATATCCGGACAAGTCAGTATTATACAACCAGCGCGACGGCGACCCCATCGTTCGCGGGGCCTTTATCTCCGCGGTCGCAAGCCCGGCGGGGGGACTTCTACTACCAAGCTACGTAGTAATCGCCCGCGCGCCGGCACTTCCCCACGATTCCCCAGCGCCAGTGCGACGCGCGCCGCCAATGAGGTTACACGCAAGCATCGCCCGGCGGGGATTGCGCCGGCGGCCAGCGAGTCCCACGTAGCCTAATAAGGCGTGGCCTAATAAGGCGTGGAGGGAGGGAACCATGTCCCACAGCTAAGGAGTGGATGGAGCTATGTCCCACGTAGCTAGGGCCCTGCAGGGCAATGCTAGAACGCTCACACGCCATTGGGGACTCCGTTATCTCTGCGGTCGGACGGTGCAACAAGAAACTTCGGTGTCATGGTTCGGCGCGGCGGGGCAGCGCTGTGATAAGGCGGCGCCGGCTTGTGTGTAATGGAATGGCAGACGCAGACGGCACCACGGCTTATCACGACGCATGCGACGATCCTTTGTGAAAAATTTCAATTGCTACTCTACAGCACAGAAACAATTTTATACTTAAGCTCCGCCAAGATCCGGGGGCGACCTTGGCTGTTGCTCTGTGCTCCTCAGTCCCACTTGGCCCATCATCGCATCCACCATCTCCATCTCCATCACCAACGAACCGCACTTACACGCCCACTCGCGCGCATTGGCAATCCCGCCACAACCGTCTATCCACCATGGGGGCCACAGTCGCATTGGACCAGAGCTACGGCTACGGCATCGTGCTGGGCCTTGGCTTTGCCTTTGCCTTTGGTAGGCCAATTGCGACCCATTCTGTTTCCTCGCTAACACCCCGCAGCCATGATCCTGGTCACCTTCATCCTGCGCCGCTACAACTCGGAGCTGCAGACGTCGGAGCACTTCACCACGGCCGGCCGCACCGTCAAGTCGGGCCTCGTCGGCTCGGCCGTCGTCTCTTCGTGGACCTGGGCCGCGACTCTATTGCAATCCTCCGGCGTGTGCTATCGCTACGGCGTCAGCGGGCCGTTCTGGTATGCGTCGGGCGCCACCGTCCAGATCCTGCTGTTCGCGACGCTCGCCATTGAGCTCAAGCGCCGCGCGCCCAACGCCCACACCTTCCTCGAAGTCATCCGGGCGCGCTACGGCACCGTGGCGCATGTTGTGTTTATGGTGTTTGGCCTGGTGACCAATATCCTCGTCTCGCTGATGCTCATCGTCGGCGGCTCGGCCACCGTCTCGGCCTTGACCGGCATGCACACCATCGCCGCCATCTACTTGCTCCCGCTGGGCGTCGTCATGTACACGCTCGTCGGCGGGCTCAAGGCCACCTTCCTGACGGACTGGGCACACACGTTTATCCTGCTCATCATCATCATCATCTTTTCGCTGACCACGTATGCGACGTCCGACACCCTCGGCTCTCCGGCGGCCGTCTACGATGCCCTCGTCGCCGCGTCGGAGCGCCACCCCGTCTCCGGCAATGCGCACGGCAGCTACCTGACGATGCGGTCCAAGGAAGGCGCCATCTTCTTCGTCATCAACATCGTCGGCAACTTCGGCACCGTCTTCCTCGACAATGGCTACTACAACAAGGCCATTGCCGCGTCGCCGGTGCACGCGCTGCCCGGCTATCTGATCGGCGGCCTGTCTTGGTTCGCCATCCCCTGGTTGACCGCTACCACCATGGGACTGGCTGCTCTGTCTCTCGAGGACAACCCTCTCTTCCCGACGTACCCCGATCGCATGCCCGACGAGGCCGTCAGCGCCGGTCTCGTGCTGCCCTACGCCGCTGTCGCTCTCCTCGGCAAGGGCGGTGCCGTGGCGACGCTCCTCATCATCTTCATGGCCGTCACCAGCGCCACGTCGGCCGAGCTGATTGCCGTGTCGTCCATCTTCACCTACGACTTCTACCGCACGTACATCAAGCCCGACGCGCCGGGCAAGCAGCTCATTTACATTTCCCACTGCATCGTCTGCGCGTACGCCCTCTTCATCTCCAGCTTCTCCGTGGGTCTGTGGTACGCCGGCATTTCCATGGGATACCTGTATCTGATGATGGGATGCATTATTTCCTCCGCCGTCCTGCCGGCCACCTTGACATTGACGTGGACCAAGCAAAACAAGTGGGCTGCCAGTCTGTCGCCCATCTTGGGCCTCATCGTCGCTCTTATTGCGTGGCTGGTCACCGCCAAGAAGGAGTGCGGCTCCCTCAACGTCGCCTGCACCGGATCCAACGATGCTATGCTTGCGGGCAATGTTGTTGCTTTACTCTCGCCCATCGTTTTTATCCCCATCCTGACCTACGCCCTGGGCCCCCAAAACTACGACTGGAAGAGCATGATGGATATCCGCAAGGGCGATGATCACGATCTTGCCGCCGCAGCTGGTGTCGATTTGGAGAACACCTCCGATGACAACGCCGAGGCGGTAACCGCACACGCCGAGGAGCAGAGGAAGTTGCTCAGAGCTGGCAAAATTAGCAAGACGACGACAATTGTCATGGTAAGTCAAAACACACAAACCACATCTCCAATGCTAACATCTATTTAGACCATTGCCTTCCTTGTCCTTTGGCCTCTTCCCATGTACGGCACCGCCTACATATTTTCCAAGCCCTTCTTCACTGGTTGGGTTAGTGTTGGAATCATCTGGATTTTCTGCTCCTTCATCGCCGTCGGCCTGTTCCCCGTCTTCGAGGGCCGCAAGACTCTCGTGCGCACTGCCAAGTACATCTATCTTGATTTGACTGGTTCTCGGTCCTTCAAGACCGGTGGCACAACCGTTCACGAGGCAGAGGGGTCTGCAGCAAGTGGACAGGTCACCCCGAAGGTTGAAGAGAAGGGAGAATAAGATTGGTTGAAGGAGTAAATAGTCGATACCCAATGTCGTATATGGACACACTCGTTTTTAGTTGATGTTTTGGTAGTAATATATTACTACATGAACGCCCGCATCTAAGAAATTTCGATGCATACCTTCCCCTGGTGCTTACCCGACCACTGATACTCATAGGCCTCCCTGACCTGGTCCAGAGTAAAGACTGTAGGGTCAACCACAGGACGCAATTTGTCCAGGTTGGCCTGGATGGCTTGGCACATCTCCTCCATCTGGACCCGATTACCAACCCACACGCCACGAGCTGTGCACAGATTAATCCAACACTCGAGTAGACCAGGCTGTTCCTTGACCTCGCCCCCGACGGAGCCAATGATGCTGATGGTGCCGTCGAGTTTGAGACAGGCGATACTCTGCTTCATCGAGGTGCCAGCAACCTCGACCACGAGGTCAACACCAACTCCCCCCGTCAGCTTCTTGGCAACGGGGCCCCAATCGGCGGTCTCGCGATAGTTGATAATATGGTCAGCGCCTAGTTTCTCTAGAAGCTTGCCTTTCTCGGTGGAGCTTGTCGTGGCAATGACCCTCGCGCCGACGGCTTTGGCGAACTGGATGGCGAAGACGCTAACTCCTCCAGTTCCCTGAGTGAGCACCCATTGGCCCGCAGCAAGGCTTTTTCCAGCCAACCCAAAAAGAGCATTCCAGGCAGTCAATCCAGCGCAGCTAAGAGTTGCGGCTTCGGTGAAGCTCAAGCCCTTGGGCATCGCCACGAGGCCCTGCTCGTCGAAAGCGCCAACAGACCGCAGGGTGCCATCAACGGAGCCGCCAAGTCCGTATTTCAGGGAGTGAGGATTCATAGACCCTCCAATGTGCTGTGGGTTGATTATTGTGACCACGTTGTCGCCTGGTTGGAACCGAGTAACGTGTTTACCGACGGCCAGGACGGTTCCAGCTCCATCGGATCCAGGAACGACATTGGGTTTGAGGGCCCAGGGGTACTTTCCGTGTGGTATGATGAGGTCGCGATACTAATTTATCTTTAGTGAAAGCGGGAACGAATAGAGGCTGAGATGTACATTGATAGAGGCTCCTCGGACTGGAACCACGATTAGCTACGCTGCAGATGACGGCTTTTCCGTTGAAGAACTGGGAACTTACTTTTGATCAAGACTTGGTTATCGCCAAGTTCCGGTATAGGTTGCTCAGAATATTCGAGCGAATCAAACCCGTTATGGCCTACAACGCGCCACTGCTTGGTGGTCTTGGGAATCGATTGAGACATTGCCGGAATGCTATTGGAAATGATGTGGGACCACGATAAGGGCAATAGTCCATATAATTTACTGAGGTTTGCGTAGTACATAACTCTCAATATGGTAGTTAACCTGTTTTTATTTTATTTGGCTTATTTTTGCCGCATTGATTTGTAAGATCTTTGCAGTGTTGATTCATAAGTCATAACGTTATGCACCGACCCACTGAGCACATGGGCCAAAGTAGCATACCTACCCGCCCTCGCGATATTTAGAAACATGCGTGCTGATCTATTTCGGAACTCCGCACGTCCTCAATCCGCATTAATAATAGACGAGTGCAGGCCTAGTGCGGTCATTGACTCGTATGATCGACCACTGTGAACACTCCTCGATCAAACAGATAAGCGAGCGCGCAAAACAGCTGCCCCTATTGATTTCGAAACTCCAAGGTTGACCACTAAATTCAACGGGGCATAGAAGTTGGGGCTCAGAGAAACAAGACTAACGCTTTTACAACACAGTGGGAAACACGAAGTTTGCACCTGAATACTTTTACCGTGAGAGCTTGACTAAATATAGTAGGATGGTATGATGCCTTATATTAAGAGGTTAGGGTGCCCTAATACACACATACCCAGAGGGGGGACTAGACGCTTGACAGTATAAAAAAAAAACAATAATAGTATTAATAATACAGGCTATATATCTAGTCTATTTAAAGATTAATAGTATACTCAGAGACTATTGTTCCTAGTCCAACTCGGTACCCTTCCCAATACCTTAAACAATGCTTTATATGAGGTATAATTTTGCATAAAAAGGAAAAAAAAGAAAATGAAGGTAATAAAATAGACAAATAAAATACAGCGAAATAAAACCCTTTACCCTAATCTTGATCTGAAACTTTATAGTAATGAACTAAGCCCTAGTATAGACCAGTGTATTGTACAAGTAACTTAGGTCGGGTGTACCCTTTGTGCATCCTGATGTAAAAAAGCAGTGTCCGAGTCATATTAGAAAATATTATGACATTAGTCACAGATTCACAAGATTTATCATGGCTATTCGTCATGAAAGGATAATGGGACTGGAGTGTTTAGCTGATGATAAAGCACGCATTGTTATCCTGCCAGGGAAGCATATTCCAGGTCAATTTAATTACTGAATAACTATTTAGTTAACCACTTAGGTGACTAACAACATTACACCAATGGAATCGAAGATCGCCCATTTTCTAGCTCCTCCTATTAATTGAAGAAGAGTAAATACCCTTCCCGTCCTTGTACCTGTACGTTCGCTCCGAATGCTGTTTACTGAGCAGAGCCGAGACGAGTGGCGGCAACACCCTCGATCTCCTCGACAGCCGCGGTCAGCTTGGCGCTGGCACTCTTCAGCTCGGGGATCTGCTCAGCAAGAGCAGCGACCATGGTGCTGATGGCGCCGAGAGCACCGCCTAGATGTTGTTAGAGCGATTCTATTTGTTTGTGTCATGTTCACTTGCCCTCAGCAGCATCCGCCTCATCACGCTTGTTGGCAAGGGGCCGAAGAGAACCAGTGAGGGCACCGAGAAGACCGTCGGGGGATCCACCGAGGCCCTTGACAAGGCCGTCGACAAGACCGGTGACTCCTTTGAGGAGTCCGTTGACGACGGTGCCGCCAAGCTTGACGATCAGGTCGCTCTGCTCGCGCTCGACAAGCTCATCGTTGCGCTTGCTGATGTCGGCAACGAGCCTGTCGAAGAGGAGGACCTCGTCACGAGCAACGACTGCGTTTTTGGTCTCCTGGATAGCAGGTGCGGCCATGGCAACGGCGGCCAGGAGAGGAAGGGCGACAGAGATGAACTTCATTTTGAAGGTTGGGTTGTTTGAAAGACGGGAGTGAAGTGAAGAGTGTGAGTGTTGAGAGTGAGTTGTGGTTGTGATGATGGTTGTGATTGCAAGTGTGAGTGTGATGAAGAGAGTTAGTTCTTGGGGAAGGAATTCATGTTCCTTTATACTTGTTCAACTCCAGTGACGTCCTGATTGTTGCCGATCTGGCGACACTACTGTCTCGGTGCGTTCTCGGTGCCATTCTAGATAGCAAAGATGCTCAAGGTACGCAAGTATTGGCTACAAAACGTGTTTAACAAAGGTCTCTGAAAGAATGGGCTAAATAGCGGGTCCCGGTTCAAGGGAGCACTGGTCCTCTTGCTTCGCAAGATGGTAGGCAGCAGGACAACATGTCGCACTCTGAGAGGAAAGATCTACAGTTGGCGGGGACTGGAATGCAAATACTCCCACACTGAACACATTACAGCAAGGGAATATCCAATGTAACCAACCATCCTACTGCCGGAGCGCATCTTGAATGAAACAAAGAATTCGTAACTAACTTACTTGGGCAAAGGAGTCAGCCGGCTGCAGGCCGTATAATAAGGCCGGCTTGGCTACAGTCATCATGGACATTTTGGCGATCACTTCCTCAGATACTCGGCTGGAGCCAGCTTAGAGACAGCAGTTTGGGTCGCTCTAACTTAACCCGGAGCGAACCAAAGCGCAGAAACATAATTACGGCGGCTCTGATTTTGCAAAATGGGGCCAACATGCAGAAGCGGGACGCTGTCCGCATCAATGTCTCATACTTCGCTTCGGGAGTGGCTGGGTAGGCGTCACCGCTACACTTGCTCTTGCAACCGCCTCGTCTACTATTTTTATTGGACCTGAAATGAGGATATAAGAGCATGCATAGACGACTGTAGTTGTATATCGGTTGGCAAGCCTCCAGGGAGTAATAAAGGGCAGGTTCAAATCAATTGGCTACGCCAGCTCCCCCACAAGTCTTAGATATGGGGCGCTCCCGGCCACATCGCGCAAAGGGGGAACAGATCTATCGTTTTTTCAGCTGTACCCTGTTCAATTGGTTCATGTCTCGCATGCGCAACAAAAGGGCTGGTGTTAGTTGGACGATGCAGATCCGCGGAATAACCCCCGACGCGCATGGCGATTTCATGATCGCCATGCTGATCAAACATGCCAATTTCTGGCACAAAGAGCAAGGGGTGAGAGAGACGGGATAGATGTTGGCCAATTTTATCAAACGGCAGGCAATGACGGACTCGTCAAGCGCATACGTCACAAGGGAGACGAGAGAAATAGATGGTTGACGCAGTGTCAGAGAGAAATGGTTGGTGATTTTAATTGAGTTCTTTCATCTCAACAAATACGGGCCTTTACTTTGGCGGTTTCACCTCTCGTTATCCACCCTCAGTCATCTCCCATCTTATCCTTGCGTCCATCAATTTCTTGGCACCGTTTTGGGTGGTAAACATACGAAAATCTTCCCAGGTTGCATACGCGCATTTTGACATTCTGGAACCCATCTTGTCAGTCCCAAGCCAACATTGACAGCCGTCAACGCCGGGCATTTGCTTCAGCCTCACCGTCCTCGCGAGTTGTTTCGACAGGGAAACGACAGCCATTTGTGGATTATTAACTCCGGTTACAGGTGTTGCGACCCACCAAAGCCCTGCTGGCGTACGTGTCCCGGCCCTGGCGATGCGCTAAATCGACCCGCGAGAGCTGTTTTATATGGAGGCGATGGTTTCAACCCCCTGCATCTACCCATCACGAACCCATTATTGGGAAACGTCCCCTGTTATCGCGCTCCTTGGTCAGGTCATTGTTAATTAAAATGGCACCCATGTATGGCCGGATTGTCGGCATCGTCCCCCTACTATACCTGAACCAATGCTCGGGCACGTTCTATAAAAACAGTTGGCGGGCATGTCCCTTTCCGCGTTCGGTGTTTCTCACTATCTTCCATTCGTTTGTTTGTCCGCTCTTTTCGTCGTCAGTGTCGACGATTGTCCTATAGCCATCCATTCCTTCGTTTCTAATCCGATCGCTTACCGCTCTTTACCATGGCTCGATTCGGATTTTCGGCATTGATTGCCGCGGCGTTCAGCCTCCATGCTGCTGCGCAGCTGAGTGGCTCCGTTGGCCCCCTCACATCCCGAGCTGCCAAGGCGGCCATCAAGACGTGCAATATTATGGACTACGGCGGTGTGGCTTCTGCCACTACCGACAACAGCCAGGCCATCACGGACGCTTGGGATGCTTGCAAAGCCACAGGCGGCGAGGTCTACATCCCGGAAGGCGACTATGGCCTGTCCACCTGGCTGAAGCTGTCTGGAGACGCCATGTCTTTCCGCCTCGACGGCATCATCTACCGCATTGGGTGAGACTCAAACCTCTCCGTGTCTGCTGCTCGGCTAACACAGATTCAGTACTGATGGCGGTAATATGCTCTTCTTCCAGCACATGAAAGACTTTGAGTTTTACAGCAGCAACTCGAAGGGTGCCATCCAGGGTTATGGATATAAGTTCCATGAGAGTAAGATTGCATGTCTGTCTTGGTTGAACGTGCAATAAGGCTAAGATAATTCAGATGACGAGTACGGTCCTCGTATTCTCCGCTTCTACGACGTCAACGGCTTCTCGATCCACGATGTCGCCCTCGTTGACTGTAAGACTGCCCAGTCCATTCCTAGGATAATCTAACTCTGTTCAGCTCCCCAATTCCATTTCGCCATGGATACCTGCACGGACGGAGAGGTCTACAACATGGTCATCCACGGTGGAAACCGGGGTGGTCTGGACGGCATCAGCCTCTGGAGTACCAACATCTGGGTCCACGATGTCGAAGTCAGCAACAAGGACGAGTGCGTGACTGTCAAGAGCCCCGCCAACAACGTTTTGATCGAGAACATCTTCTGCAACTGGTCTGGCGGTTGTGCCATGGGATCCCTTGGCGCCGACACCGGTGAGTACAACGTTGACTTTATCATGTGCACTGCTAATTCCTGTTAGCTGTCTCCAACGTCATTTACAACAACGTCTACACCCAGAACTCCAACCAGATGTACATGTTCAAGTCGTACGGCGGCAGCGGAACCGTCGCCAACGTGCAGCTCAACAACTTCATTGGCCACTCCAACGCCTACACTTTTGATCTGGATGCCACCTGGTCATCCATGTCTCAGGTCAACGGTGATGGCATCCTTTACACCAACTTCACCGTCTCGGGCTGGGGTGGCACATGTCTCAACGGTCACCAGCGCGGACCTATCAAGTTCAACTGCCCTCCCGATGTTCCTTGCACTGAGATGGTTGTCGACGACTTCAACGTGTGGACCGAGGCTGGCGATTATGTTGAGCACTGGTGCAAGAACTCCTATGGCTCTGGTGCGTGCTTGGATGAGGGCAGCGGATCGTCCACCTTCACCACGACCCAGACTGTGACTGCGGTTACCGACTACGCCATCTCCACCATGGACAATGAGATCTCGACTGGCTTGGGTCTCACTGTCTCCATCGCGATCCCGACTCTTCGAGCTTCGTTCTACCCTGGTGTCGCTGCTTACAGCGCTCTAATGGCTGGTTCTGATTCTGCGGAATCTGCTGAGACAACTGCCGCCGCGGCCGCTTCTACCGCTGCAGTGGCTTCTTCAGCCGCCTCCTCGGCCGCAGCTGTAGTGGTTTCTTCCGCTGCTTCTTCGGCCGCCGCCGTGGTGCCTACCAGTGCTGCAGTGGAGAGTGACGTCCAGGCCACCACTCCGGTTGCCGTCTCCAACACTCCCACTTTGGATGGCCCGTCTTTTATCTCCATTATCACCACCACCCCTGCTGCGGTCCTCTCTGCCTCTGAAGTTCTCGAGGCTACCGAGTCTACCCCCGAGGCTGCACCCAGCTCCGTCGTTTCCGTGGCGCCCGTTGGTTCTTCCGCTTGCAAGGCGGCCAGAAGACGCCGCCATCTCTCGCACCACCTGTAAATAAATATCTTTCTCGGTGCATGTGAGGTGTGAAATGTTGAGAAGTGAGTCTCTCATATTGATCGACGGCGAAAGTTCTTTAGCAGTAGGATTTGCATAGAAATAGCTTTAATAGATGTAAATCACGGCATTGTCGATTCAATGCGAATATGAAGTTTTTTATCGACTTTGAAAGTACATAGTAAGGCAGCCAAGGATGAGGTTTATGATGCCTTGGTACCCGTAAAATGCCATAAAAACTATTTTCTCGGAATATTTTTGAAGTTGCATGAAACCCTCTGGGTGCCGTGAGGGCGTGTAATGTTTGTCCTATTGCTGGTGAACGCAGTTACCCTACAGCTAAAAAGAATACCATCTCACGGTGAGGGAATCATCAGTGACGAGAGGTTGAGGATTAGTAGAGCCCAATCCGACTGGAAAAATGAAGTAATCCCATATTTAAATACCGGTACCAAGCTAAATGTTCCAGGTTAGCCATTGTTATGTAAAATTAATATGTCTCAATCGTGGAAGACTAGCCACAATTCGCCTAAAGCCAGGAAACGGACATTGCCAAACGTCTGAGACTGATACGCCTGCCTTCCTCGACTATGGGCCATTCTGACCGTCAATCAAGTTCTAACCTAGTCTACATTACCTCGTATAGCAATTCAAGATATCTTTGCAGTTTTAGTAGGGCCTTGCGATAGACAATGATTGAGCGGCAGAGTCCATGTTTAGGCTACCTCGGTAGAGAACACGACAATTTGAGACAATATAAAGAAGTCATAAATCTATACACAAACCTTGAGCTTGATAGCAACTGCTGGTTGATGCCTCTTTTAGAATTGCATTGTTGAACCAAATGATGCAAAATGCCAAGCCAAACATATGACTTCGTTACTGAAGCCGCTGGCACCACAGTGGTTCTCATAATTTTGCCGTTCAGCGCGTAAACGTCAAAGTATTTGGAAAATGTGATGCGTTGTCGCGTTATACCGCGTGGATGAACAGGTGTCGTGCACTTTACACCCACTGCGATGCGATCAGCAAATATGCAAAGGAGACAAGACACGGCATGGTATGAGAAATTATAATTTTGATTAAGTTTCAGTTGAATTGGCCCAAGCCATGAATAAACTAACGCTTTCTATGTTATTGGAAGTGCTATGAGACATGCATCACTGTAGCGTCCTCCAACGCGTTACAATCAATCCGCAAATGTCATTGGCGGGGTAGTGTAACGCGACCTCGCGAAGTAGAACCAACTCAGTGTGCTTGCTACGATGAAAGCACCAAAGACAAAGCAAGTGAAGTCTACATGAGGTTAGGGATCATGTATCCGAATACAGAGGTAGATTGTAGCTTACTCATAGTCGTTGACAAATCAACCGTGGTTGACCATGGAAATTGGAAGAAAACAATCGCAATCAAGGTATATGCAATGGAGATGATATTGTAGGCTCATCCTATAGCATTGGGAACCTTGAATGGTCTGTCTTTCGGAAGGTACTTAGGGTCGCGCCGACGGTAGATGAGCATGGCGGAGGGAAAGGCAAGCGTGATCTGCTGCAAGACGACCGATATGTTCAAAATGGCGATAAAGGCTGATATTTGGTCAGTACTTGGTAGAGAAATGTGCCATGGGATCACGTTTACCAGTTGATGAGATCAGATAGAGACAACCAATGAGAAATATGAGGAATGCATTGAAAGTGAGAGCCATGAGGGGGACTCTAGTCTTGGGAGACACGCTGCTGAGGCGATCCGAAAAGAGCAGAGCTTTGTCATTGGCGAAACTCCAAGTCATTCTGGACACGATTTGGGCCGTGGTGAAAGTACCGGCTGGCACCATGACAAGAAGAAACACCATAAATGCGACGGCCCAAGCATTTGAGTTCATGGCTTGTCGCCAAATCTCAAAAGCAGGAAACCCAATTCTTGACGCGAGAGCGGTATCGAAGTTTGAGATGCAATAAGTTGTGGCAATCCCAAATGCAGTTGCTGACACGAACGATAAGACGAGTGCAGACATTATTGCTCTTGGGATAACGACCCTGGGCTTTTTGGTATCCTCAACCAGATGGACGACGCCATCAATAGGACAGTACATTACGGTCGGACCACTTAGAGTAATTAGGAATGCAATTTCAGATGGCCACCCAGTATTGTTTGTGAGAGTCGTCCAGACAAACTCGGACGATTGCTTTTCCTTTTGGCTGACAAGAATGGCGATGAGAATAGTAATGCAGGCGAACAAGCTGAAAATAACTAACGCCAGGAGATTTAGTGTGTGATGCGACTTGTGCAAATGGAGGATACTGACAGGACGCTTGAAGATCTTTGGCAAAAGAAAACTGCCAAATGCGTTGACCACGAAGCTAAGTAAGTTTGTGAATTGGAAGATGAGAAAGACGTGCCACTTTTTAATGACATAATCTGGATCGTACCACGATATCAAAGCAATCATGTAATTCCCCAGACTGCCCATACTTGCAGCAGCGAGGGTGACCCATGAGAACCAGCTGATGCTTCCACAAATATAGCTCTAATTGCCTAATTAGACAGCAGAAAACGCGTATAAGGACCTCACTCACGATGATTCGGCGGTGCTTTGGAGGAGCAAGAATACCTACCCAATGGTACTGGCCACCGATAGTGGGATACGCAGAAACCAGTTCGCATAGCGTGATGGAGATGGGAATGAAAATGAGCCCAACGAGGAGAATTCCCCAAACTGTGGCGGCCGGTCTTCCGTAGACGAAAGATACCAGCAGCGTCGACGGAAACGTATTCCACGTTGCCATGCAGTCAAAGGAAGCGGCGACAATGGACAGCCAGCCCATGTCCTTCTTGAAATGGGTAGCTTCCGAGTCGACGTATACTATATTGGCAAGCTCAGCCTGCACTGACTGGTCGTCGGTTGTGTCATTGTCCATTCCATTGGTCGCTGTTCATGTGATCAGGATACTGTATCATTATTTTGGGATGTGACATGAGGCTTACGAGGTGACTCCGCCTTTTCAGTGGAATCTTTGGTAGACATTTCCGTCGGGTTAATTCCAGGCCTGTTCACTCCGAATCTGTTGATGTAGGAGAGCGATATGAGATTTAGGGCTCATTAAGGCTTGAAAGGCTGTTTGGATCTCTGAAGGGACTATGGCTGAGTCTTATCACTCCCGGCTTGGTCGGAAAACAAGCGAGTCCGGGTTTTCTGTCTCTTGACCGTGTCGGAGGAAAGTGATTATCCGATTGGCTAAGGAATTGCGGTTGACCCCAAACCACACTGGAACTAGAATCAGCCATGTTGCCAAACCGATCAACGTATTTCCCGAATTCTAATCTGCTTAGCGAATTGCGGGGGAAATGTGTGGCGATGACGCTCCTCGCCAAATCCAGATAAGACGGTCCCCGCCACTTATTAGTCTCAGGCCTTTGGCTGGGATAGAAGCGAGGCATGGCAGACAGATGTCACTTGATATCATCTCTAGTTTTGTATTTGGCAATCTGTAATTAGTATCTGGACTGACTTAAATCGTATACAATAGCTACTGAATGTATTTGAATCATTAAACTGTTTGATTTCAGGATATGTAAGGGATTAATGGGACAGGTGTTGACGAGGGGCAAGGTGTGGATTGTAATTAAATCTTGGCTCGCTAAGCCAAGACGTCCAATTTGGCATATTTCCTGTGCAAAGACTGAGGAGCGAGGCGTTAGCATGGTGCTTGAGGGACTGGGGAGGCTGTACGCTAGTCGACCTCACTTCCGGACAATGAACGCCTGCGAAGAATTCATTTCCTCCGGTCCATCCGTACTGTTGCGCCAAGGTATTGTCACCTCCCGTCGTGACATGCGAGAAGCGGAAAATCTGGGGAACCGACCAAGTCGGAACACTCGGGGAACCGTTATGCGGCTGTTGCACGGAGGGACGGTATTGTCAGACTGTTGTCGAGTGGGTGCGGATCTCTTCATGGACCAAAACGTGTGGATTGAACCGGATATGCCGGCCACAATATCAAGCCTCGCAAGATAATATTTTCTTAGGAGAAGAGGGTGAGGACCATAGTGTGACCGTTGGGCGAATCTTCATTCACTGAGGCCTCTCGCTAAAATTACCGCTGCAGAACGAAACGATTAATTCATTCATAGTTTGCACACTTTCTCGGTACAAGCTTAATGGAGAATAAGCTTAATGGAGAGTAAGCTTAATGGAGAGTTATTGGGGCTGATGTTTATTAGCCGTAAGTTTGTGGTCGTTTGGAGAAGTGAGGGCAACAGGGTTAGATATGTGATGCTCAACGTAGGCCTCCTTTCACCGAGCCCCGAATCTGTTACCGATCTACTTCTTCTTGCTGCTACTATCACCCTAATCTAGGCTCCCAAAAATTAAGTATTTCGCACCCAACTGCATCACTGGTTTGCTCCCTCTAATTGGTGCTGCGCCTCGTACCTATTGCGTCTACAAGCGCAATTCGCGCTCCCCAAGCGGTCCTCTCCATCCATGCATTCAGCTCATAGCTTCATCAAGCATCCGAATGAGTCGTTAGTATACTGGACTTAAGCACTGGGGCAGTAGTCAGTCATTTCATCAATTGCTACGGCAGGATCGCGGAGCTGCATTAATCATGGCAACCACAAATAGTGTACAAAGAGGTTAATTCTCGCTTTATCACCCCTGGTATTATCCCTTCAATCCATGCCATCTTGCCTCCGAAAATCATGGCCTGACTCTTATTTACGTACTCATCCATCGAAGATTTCTCACCAGCCCTCTCTGAAATGTGTCAATTGGATTCAAGTGGCAAATCTCACTTCTTGGGGATGTGTATCAACTCAGGTGGAATAGTACTCAGACTCTGCATCTGTCCACTCTGGGTGATGGCTTTTGTAACTGGTGTTTGAGTCATCGGAACGGAGTGTGCGAATAGATGCCGCAGGCTTGTCACGTCCGAGACTGATTTGGTCAAACCCGGGGCTTGTGGCTGAGGGCTTGATGATGTGACTGGTGGAACCCAGGAAGATCCAGTGGAAGATGGCCTCGAAGAATGTTGTTGTTTTGGATGCGCTGAAGATAAAGTACTTTGTGGTTGGATGTTGGCTGGATATGTTGACAGTGATGCCCTATGTTGTCGGGGTTGCTTGTTAGATGTTACCGATGGTAAAGACGATTGGTGAGTCAACTTTGGCTGATGCCAACCGGGGGTTGGTTCTGTCAACTCATCCTTCGAGTCGGAATTTGTCAAGAGTTGATTTGATGTAGTCCGTCTCATAATTGATAAATCTGCAGCAAGTCGGCCTGACACTGGAGTCGATAGTGATGTCACTTGCTGAGCTGGTAGTGTGTAGTCTAGCGATATTTGAGACACTGAAGCGACTGATGCGGCATGAATTTGAGGAGAAGAGCAGGGTGTCACTTCAGTACCATCTCCAAACAAAAGTGATAGTCCGCTATTGTCGTTCGGGTTCAAGACTATGCGCTCGCCATCAGTCTTTTCTTGCCTGTCCTGCACAACCTCCTTCTCATCGTCGTATACTAGTATTGGAAATGCCGGCGGTGTCTGATTCAAGCTTGGGTTGAGGCCTTCAAGGGCTGGCTTGGACGAAGAGTCGTTTAGATCATGTCGCATAGATGATGAAGGCCAAGAAGACAGGGTCGTTTGGCTCAAGTTCAAACTAGCAAGGGGGGGCGGCGTCAGAGTTGCTGGTGCATTGTCGGGAGTGGAGATGGGGCTATGGTTGGACGCTGTAAAATATTAGAATGCATTCCGAAAGGGCAGTGAAACATGGAATAAAATTTTGACGTGCCTGATACGTCTCCCATGAGCTCTCCTAAGAGCGCAATATTTTCAAATACTGGCGGGCTCTTCTCAATACTCTGGCTTTGTTCTATCTTCTTCTGCTGCTCGGCAACGGGAGCCCAAAGTACAATTTGCCGCACAAAGATCAACTCTGCGAGCACCGAAGTATGATGGCGACTTATCACTGGCTCCTGATTTCGAAACAGCATCGAATCAACGAAGATCCATTTCATTCGGTTCCGAAACGGCGTCTTTCCCCGATGCGCCTCCGGTCGGCACTTTTCCACAATCTCGCAGACCTCGACAAGGCCCGTTTGGGCCGCCTCGATGATCTTATTGACCCGGTCGAGGGCCTCGGGTTGCTTCTCGAGAAGAACGAGATGTTCATTGCGGAGTTCAATGAGGCGCTGCAGGTCTTGATCACAGGTGCGAAGGAGCTCTAGGCAGCATCGGACTTCGTTCGGAACTTGGTCATACTCGACAGCCAAGGTGGCTAGGTGGCGGAGAGGATTCAGGGAGCCACGCATTGTGGCGTCATGGGACGTCTGTCAATTAAAACCGACTGAGCGTCCTTGACTAGTTCATTCAGTGGGGGAGACGATTCAGAATCTGAATGCCACCGTTGAAGGCACCCTGACTGTTAAGTCGTGTGGGAATACGGATTTCCGGGTTCAAAATAACTCGCATCAACTGAGGGTCAAATGCCTGAACAAGGAGCGAGGATGAAGAGGGGAGAAGAGGGCGACCTTCCCCATACGGCAGCCTTTCTAATTGGTATCCAGCGTTACGTCTACCGGCAAGCTGAGTCGGGCGGGACCATCCGTATGCGTAGTTGATGCACCAGTCTTGTTTGGATAGAATGTGTTGGTGGCTTGGTTTCACGGACGCTCAAGTGTGGGTCGGGGCTACTGCAAGAAGACGAGGAAACTCGGAGCCTGATTCAAATTGGGCTGAGCTGAATCCAAGGCGGGTCTAAAAAGGGGATCTCAGAGATCTGAAGGGTTAACCCACAAATCGTCCAGCTGACGATTGACTGAAAGAGGTAGGTGGTGCTCGCTTGGTGAGTTTCCCCAGGGTCCCCAGCCGAAAGATATCGACGGAAGACAAGAGTGGTAGAGAACTCTGACGATTCAACTGCAAATCTCAGGCGTTGCATTAGGAGGCCCATTCCAACCTGGTCATGCAGCTGTTGTGGGTCGAAGGATGATGCAAGAGTCAAAGACGCAACCAACAGCAACAGGCCCCCTGGTAGCTATTCAGGTGTCTAATTGGTCGCCTGGTCTGAACCAACAGAGACATACTAACCGCAACTTGTGAGCATGTTGGCTCTTGACTCTTAAGTGGGGTGCGGAAACAAAGAGAGACAACAAGGAACGGCGATAACGAATTACCAACCCGACAGGATGCAAGGGCGGGGGTTTTAAATTTCATTGTCTGACCAACAGCTGGGTATCTTAGACGGAAGTAACAAGGGGCTCCACAACTCGTCGCGGAGAGCTGTATCGCGTTCCATCCCCGTGGCCGAGTTTTTCCAATCCAGCGCAGACCACCACCGGCTGCTTCCTTGTACTTGCGCCGTCAGTTTCAAACACAAACTGCCAGTCACTCGGTTGCGAAAGCAGCACGTAGCCAAGCTTTGTACACTCGATGATGACCGCTTGCAAGTGGCTCGTCTGCTCGTCTGATGCGACGAAGTGGTGGAGGAAGGTGTTGAGAGCGTTTGCCAGGGCCAGAGCTTGAGGGCCTACCACGTCCTCGGAGACGGGAAGTGGGCTCCGTTCGACAGGGTTGGGGTGGAGAAGCAGGGCAGAGAGACTGCGCCATTTGGACAACGCAAGAGATGTAACTAGTGGTGTTGGTCGCATTAGGGGACTGGCACGATGACTGGGGCTTGTCTCACTAGGGTGCTTACCTAGAAGGTTGGTGTGCTGTTGCTCAGCTGGAGGGATCGACTGAAGAAAGGCCGCGAGAGGTGCAGGAAGCATGGAGAGAGAGCTTCGCGAGTTGAGGTCGATGCTCCTGAAGATGATGTGCGAGAGAACATGTCGTAAGCCGGCTTGACGCGATTCCGGTCGGATACACAAGGCAGCAAGGGCATTTGCACTCAGACCCGAGCCTTGTGTAAAACCGAGATTGACGAGGCTTTGCGACAGGACCGATGCGCTGGCGGGTGACGGTCCGAACTCGTAGTGGTTTTCGACGTGCTGGTGGATGAGGTCTCCTAGCGACTGTAATTCTGTCCCAATTTCCTTGTCGGGTGTTGCGATCAACAGGAACTGGTCGATTTGGGCTTCACTACCAGAGGGAGTGACGGAGACGCTCGCATAATCCTTTGACTCAGGGGTGGTAGCAATGGCAGCTACACCGTCCGGTCGGCCAGTATCGTTCTTCCTCCAACGACGGCGAAGGAGAAGCCAGGCGACGACAAACCCAAATATCAGTCCAGCGACTGCACAGCCGACCGCAGCCCCAGCAATGGCACCGGTGGAAACTCCCGATGAGGGGACGGATTGGACGATAGTCGGGGTTGTCTCTGAAGCAGCAGCTCCTCCCGTGGATGTAGTGCGTGTGCTCGAGACGATAGAATTGGAAGCTGTCGCCGTGATCTGCCTCGTAGTGGTTATTTCGATTGTTGTAAACACTGTTTCCTCTCCGGGGAGGATCACGAAGGTCATCCAAGCCACGGCGGACATCCCACTCGTGGTAGTCAACCCCGCGCATGAGTATGCCGTGGACAACGTCGTCGTGAATGCTGCCATTTTGAGAGAGAAGAGGACGATTCGAGCGGAGTAGAAGGGAAGATGAATTTACCCAGTCGACGGCGTTGAGTCGAGTGGAAAAAATGCAACGTGTACCAGGTGGTATATCTGGTGAGATCTTCACATCCTAATACCTGCGTTAACAAGCCGCTTTTAACGCCGCCGCGCCCTGGGTCACAGCCTGCAGTCAATCCTGATGATGGATCTCAAGCTAACCTTTCGCAATCGTAGCTCCGGACGTGCCGCAACATGATGATCAACCTGAAGACAAGGCTCTGGGCCCAGGGTTCCTGTTGTTGGTTGGGGCCATGCAAGTTGTTGTTGGCTGAGGTCCTACCGCAGCCAGCTAACGGCGGACCCTTGCTCGTTAGAACCAACACACAAAACCTAGCGTGCAGCTTGCATCTATGACGGGTGACTTGCATATTTTAATTTGAATTTCCGTTGCATCAGATAACGCTCTAATTTTACCCGGGCAACGTTCCTCAGGGGCTGGAGCCACAGCCTGGATAGGACTGAGCCCATTCAACATTGAGGGCCTGCGCGCACACCCTCGACGGAGTTCCACGGAGACATTACCACGAAATGAACAAGATGGACGACCAAGCAGATATCCTCGTATCTGTCGATCTGGGCACAACCTTTACAGGTAGGTGGCTTGACTTGATGCTGCATGGGACACAATCGTTGACATGTTTAGGTGTCGCCTGGATGACTCCACGAACGCCAATCCAGGTCATAAACGACTGGCCTGGCAGTGGGGACCGTGGAGAGCGCAAAGTCCCAACGACGCTCATCTACAATGAAGACGACACCTTGAACTCATGGGGCTTCATGTGTGCCGATGATGACGAATCTGTGCCAGGCAGGACACGGCGTGAGTTCTTCAAGATATTCATTGACGCAGACACCTTGGCCGCAGCGCAGCAACAGGGACTTTCAAGTGCGCCTAGAACCACTGCAGACGCCAGGCGATTTCTGACGGATTACTTGAAGCAAATCTACATTCACGTGAAGGAGAGCATTGAGATGCAGATCGGAAAACGCCACGTTGGAGGCTGGAAAGATATGGCTGTCAAGTTCCTGTTCAGTGTGCCCACAACATGGACGAACATGGGCATCATCAACACATTCAAGGGCATTGTTCGCGATGCTGGATTCGGTATTGAAGGACTCAAACATACAGCAGAGGTTGACTTGACTGAAGCGGAGGCTGCATCTGTGGCGACGCTCAAAACCAGCGCCATCAACTTCAACGTGGGCAGTCTGTTCCTAACTGTTGACGCGGGCGGCGGCACAACGGATCTCGCACTGATGCGCATCACTTCAAACAGTACAGCATTCCCGCAGATGTCACAGGTCGCAGCTGTGAGGGGTGTCGGCATAGGGTCTTCCCTCATCGATAGGGCCTTTATCCGCTTGGTTGCACAACGTCTGGCCGAGTACCCCGATGTCCAAGACAAACTTCCCGCCGACTTTGCGATGCGGATTTCGAGGAATCACCATTTCAAGACGGTTAAGCACAAATTTGGCGAGAAGGTATATATGCAGAAGGTCTTTAAGATCCAGATGGAGGGAGTGGCATACGACTTTAGCCATCCAGGTCTCCGGATTGAGGGTGGGCGGATGCTGTTTACCAAGTGAGTGGCCACCATGTCAATGGCATTGATTCAATACCACGACATGAAAGTACTAAGCTAAACAGGGAAGAAATCCAATCACTATTCGATCAGCAGATCGAAGGCATCATGAAACGGATAATAGAGCAATTAGACTGGATGAGCGAAAATGGACGCACTGAGCAAGTTGTGAGTCTTATCGCTGTCATCGATCGAAGTGCCTGCTAATATCTTCCAATAGGAGTATATGATTCTGGCCGGAGGACTTGGAAGTTCTGCCTACGTGCGAGAGACGATTCAGCAGCAACTCATGGCCTGCAACCATCCCAATGCACGCCAAGTTGTTGTCATCCCATGTCAGGAGCCTCAGCTAGTGGTCGTCCGCGGGCTCCTCCTCGATGAACAGCAGAAGATTGAAACGGGAAATATGGCAGTCCTGGCATCACGCATAGCCCGGGCGAGCTACGGCATTGTGATCAGGGAGCCGTACACACCGGCCATTCACTTTGATGAGGAGATTATTCAGGATCCTTTCAACCCTAAGCAGAAATGGGCTTTGAATCAAATCCAGTGGCTTATCCGTAAGGTGCGTATACGATCGTGTCATCGGGTATTTTCCTTCTCGGTTCAGTGCTGACATCTGGGATAGGGTGATGTGATCAACCCGGGCTCCCCACTGGCCAAGACTTTCGAGATTCAACTGGGTCCGGGAGACACAACAAGATCTTGGGACGCCGTGGTCGTCACCTCTCAAAATGAGCCTTCATTCCTTCCCCGAAGCTTAAAGCAAGGTTCGTCGCGGATTCAATAATCAATACTAGAAAGGAAAAGGCAACTGACTAAGCTTCACCCATGCGAAAACAGCTGGCGCAACGAAATTATGCTCGGTGAAGAGCAATCTTGCCGGTGTTCAACAGCATCAGATGGTTCTAAGGAAAAAGCGAAGATCCTGGTTCCGAAAGGGCAACTCATTTTACATTTGCCAATTCGACGTGCGGGTCATCGTCGCTCCTGCAGACCTGCGGTTTGAGCTGTGGTTTGGTGGCTACAAATTCTCCGGCAACCATGAGCCAATCGCTGTCAAATGGGACTAAGAAGGTCCGACTCTTCTTACAGTGGATAAGCAAGCCCGAAATCGAACTGAAAGAAGACCAAATATCAACTGAGAGACGGAATTGAAATAATGAAGAGGGGTAATTTGTCACAAGTAAATGTGTTGATATCAAGGAGTGGAGCTGAGATCTTTCCTATATACCCACGAGTCAAGACAGTGTAGAATGATAGACGGTCGGGTAGATAGCGTGAGTATCGTTTAATAGTATTAAATTTGCGAATGACACATAAATACGCCATGCGTTTCACATGTGGACTAGAATATAGGCAGATCTAAATCTTGCAAGTCCCAGTTTGTTCGAGTTCATGTTTGGTATCTAAACAGCAATTATAAGAAATAATTATTTGTCTCGAATTCAGTGACTAGTAATATCATATGAAACAAATTTCATGCCCAGTTGCCAAATTGGCCTATGTCTTTTTGCAGACTCCAGAGGATACTCCAGAGAGGCAAGCACAAATACACAGCGACCAGTGAAGGTGTGTCATTCAACCAAACGCCCGAAGTACGTAGGTGAGGTTCTATTAGAATGGGAAATACGGTATTCTTGCAATGCTACTGGTGCAGGAACGGGCATTGAACGTGGCGCAGCAAAACAGCCCTGCTGCATTGGTTTGGCGCACGCAATCTGCCCTCTCTTGTCGTCGCTCGTATTCTAATTCTCGTATTTAAGATGATGCCTCGAGTTTTAAGATCATGGGCACTGCCACCCCCTTGATCGATGGTCTCAATAATTTGCTCTTTGGAGGACTGTCGCTTTAAATCGTGTCTGGAAGTGTCCATTCAGTCACTACCGATTCCGAACACAAAACTTGAGACCCTTCATCTTGAAGTTTGAGATCTTACCTCGCCACCGTCAATCACTTACTTGACCTTTCCTGTCGTTATGATGTCAGAAAACATTGAAAAACATCCAGTGAGCAGTGCCAACAGCTACTTTACCCCCCGCAAAGCTCCCGACCGTGGCACTATTGGCAATGGCATCTCGGCCTCACTCTCCAAACTCGAGCACAGCCCTGCTGCCTCCATTCTTGCTTATTGCCTGAGCTCGATTAGTATGACTGTGGTCAACAAATACGTGGTTTCAGGGGTTGGCTGGAACTTGAATTTTCTCTACCTGGCTGTACAGTCGGTGGTCTGCACTATCACCGTCATGGCTTGCAAGAAAACCAGCTTGCTGGGGAACCTGACCCCTTTTGATTGGGGCAAGGCAAAAACATGCAAGTTATTCCATTCTGCCTGCTGAGAAGAAGATGTTGACTAATTAACTCAGGGTTCCCGATTTCCCTTCTTCTGGTTGGCATGATCTACACCTGCGTTAAAACCTTGCAATTCATATCAGTCCCAGTGTATACCATCCTCAAGAACCTGGCCATCATCGTCATAGCATATGGAGAGGTTTTCTTGTTTGGAAGCACTGTAAGTCCGCTAGCGTTGTTGGCTTTTGCACTGATGATCCTCAGCTCAGTTGTCGCTGGCTGGGCTGATATCCAGAGTGCCATCTCCGCGTCAGACCCTACCGCTCTTTCAACTCTAAACAGTGGCTACATCTGGATGGGATTGAATGTAATCTGCTCCGCTACCTACTCATTGGGGATGAACAAGGGAATCAAGATTACAGAGTTCAGTAACTGGGATGGTAGGTGGCTAGCCTCATCCTATAGTACATCACTGACTCGATCTAGTAATTTTCTACAACAACTTACTTTCCATTCCTATCCTGCTAGCTTCCTCATTGCTACTTGAGGGTTACTCCGCCCCGAATCTGGCAATAAACTTTCCAGTCGGGTCCCGCAATCACCTACTCATCGGCATGGTCTATTCTGGTATGGCAGCGCTCTTCATCTGCTATTCTACAGCTTGGTGCATTCGAAATACCTCCTCGACAACATATGCCATGACAGGCGCGTTGAATAAGCTTCCTCTGGCTATCAGTGGATTTGTGTTATTTTCAACTCCGGTCACCTGTGGTAATGTGTCTGCTATCGGTATTATGTTTCTTAGTGGCATAGTCTATGCTTTGGCAAAGATCAGACACGACCGATCAGCGAAGGAATCATCGCTGCCTATAGCTAACCAACCGGTCATGTCCGCTAATTCGCGGAGCGAGAAGAGAATGTAGACACAAAATCCAAGATGCACGATCTGCACACAGACATAGCAGGGCTTGAATCATGATTCGCAGTCTAACAAAAGAGAAATAATACAATTTTCTATATGACGCTGGGTCCTTGCGACCATGAACCTTGCCACAAAATATCTCGATGTCGATCTAAGAAGCCAGTGCGCGTGCAATAAGTGCGGTTAGCAATCATTCCTGAAACTCCTCAGCAATCTCTTCGAGTAGATCAAAAATCTTGTGGCGAAGCCGATGCTCCGCCTCCACAGCAATCCAACAAGTCAAAACAATGGCCTCTTCAGTAATATTTCCTGAATGCGAGCCTCCGGCATTCAAATTCTGGCTTTCTTTTCCCACTTCACCCATGTTCCAACAATGGGGCGCTTCTTGGTTCGCGACGATAGTGGTGCCACTGCCCTGTTTGAGCTGATCAGTCTCAGAAGCGGCTTCGGCGTAAGCTGCTGGATAAATGCGAAGCGTTCCAACGAGTGATTTCTTTTTGTTTGGAGGAACACCAGTCCTTTCGGATGGCCTGACGAATGCCCAGCGGTCCTTCTCGACTGTTGCAAGGACGCGCTTGTTTGAATCGACAAGCTGCGGGGACACATTTCGTTAGCATCATGCTACAAGTGAGTTAGGTCATATTTCGACATGGGGATATTACCTTCATATCATGCGATATGCCTTTCCAACGTCGTACGCCAGAAGGTAGAAACGTTCTCGTTCCCTTCCACCGATACTCTTCGCCTCCCAACTCCCATTTGAGCGTTCTCTTCAGAAAGCCAACTCTCCGCACACTCAGAGCCATAACAAAACCATTTACGTCTTTCTCATCCTCAAGTTCCTTTTTGGGGGGTTTTTCTTTCATTCGAAACCGCTTCCTGGTCCTTTGCTTGCGCTCGTAACTCTTCCTCTCCTTCACTCTCCTCTTATTCTCAAGAACCTCCTCGATGCCGTCTCCCAATTCGATCTGGAAAGAATTCCACATGCCGGTCCTCCGGATGCGAGCTATGGCCTTGCTCGTGGGCGTGTACTTGGGGTTATCTCCCCGATAGAAGACCGGTTTCCATGTGTTGGCATGCTTGTGTGGGACAGGGTTTTGAAGGAAATACTGGGCCTCCTCAGAACTTGACGGCGTGAATAAGTGCTTCCGACCGAATGCGATGCGCCGGTAAAGTTGCAGCGATTTTTGAGGCGGCGGCAGCGCAGGACAGAGGGTATCGTGTGGGTCGTTGGTGGGATCTAATGGAGAGGCTTGATCATTGCTGAATGCGGCCATTTTGTTGGTGTTCAATAGTTAAGTGATGTATTAGAGCAGGACAACATGTAATCCCCATCAACAGCGACGATATTTATCCTGCTCCGCCCGTGTCACCAGCACCGTCGTTTCGCTCGGGAAAAGCGAGAATACGAAATACGGATATTTGCACCCCTGATTTCAGCTTCAGCCGCTAATTAAGCATGGGGCACAAACTTGGAGCACGTGCTGTGAACTGCATGCAAAGATGAGGTTTTGACTGGACGAAGCATCCGTGACGCAAATTGCTGCTACGCCACACAACGCCAACCAAATGACATTCACGGGCTGAGTGGATTGTCTTACACCATGTTTCACAAGAGGCACTTTTCCATTAAGCTTACTGTCTTGATCGACAGCGCTATTTGTAATCGGTGAGTGAAATCTCGCTTGTTGCACATTCACGCGCCTGATCCCTGTAGCTTCTTGTCCTGCAAGATCTTGCGATCCTGTTCCTGCAGAGCAACTGTCTTTTTCGTGTACTTCCGCCGATCGATACTTGGAATCCAAAACGCAGCAATGCATCCGACAATGCCAAAAGCCATAGCGATCAGGTACGAAAGGTGTGCGCCGTCAAGATACGCAAGTTGATTGCCCCGTGTCGCGGCAGCCTGGACCTCTGCAGTGATACCGGGAACAGCAGCATATGCAGCGGGAGTATTGAGTCGAGCAGCTATGAGGAGTGCGGCTAGGTTCTCCTCATTGAAACCAAGCCCGCTGATCTCTTCCGGGACTCGGACGGGTAGAGAGGTTGCATAGCGGCCGTTGGTCACATTGCCAAAAATGGCGACAGCGATAGCACCGGCGATGAGGCGAGCTGTACCCGCAAGACCAGCAGCGGTTCCGCTTTGCAGAATGTTAATATTATTGCTGTAAATCGAGCAGGAGGCTGCGGGGGTTCAACTCACATGTCATTCTGGTCCACGATGCCAAAGCCAACTAGCACAAAGCAGTTCAGCATCACAAGCGCTGTGGTCATGGATACAATAACCGTCAGGACGATTGATTTGACCGGATTGTCGATTGTGGATGTTGATAGAGCTCCAACGCATCCTGTCTGAAGGGCGATGAAAAAGACAATTTGCCATCGTTGATGACCCAGTTTCTTACTGCCAAGAACCGCAAGGCCACCGACTAGAATGTTTGCTTATCAGAAAGAGCCCGTAGCAAGTCCAGGACATTGACACTCACGAATAGTTCCCAGAGGAACCACCTCGGCATAGAGCCCTTTCGAGATCTCATCCGTTGCGTAGAGAAGCTGAGACATTCTTGGCCAGAGTGTCGCGTTGGAGTAGTACTGCATGCCGACCACCGACATCACAACCATTGGCATGGTGAAGCTAGGGATATTAGTAGGAAGATAGAATGCTGGATGGGCAAAAGCTTACTGTCGAACCTGCTTGAAAAGGCGAGCTGGTAACAGAGGTTCCTGGATCTTCCCATATGCCTCGTAAAAGCCAAGAGCTACCAGAAGTAGCAGTCCGAGAATAATCGGGACAAGTGTGGCCGCGCTCGTCCAAGGATGGAGGGTTCCACCCCAGTTGACGCCAATGATGAAGAGAGTACAGCCGGTGATGAACATGCCCAAGCCAATCCAGTCAAATGACTTCAGCAAGTCCGTCTTAGTTCGAGCCGAGGTGCCGTGCTTGGTGCTGAAGGATGGTGGATGATAAAATGCATAGAGGAAGCCGGTGTTGAATACTTGAAAGGCAATCATCACGTAGTAGGCATTGCGCCATTGACCGGTATACTTGATGATGGCCCAAGAAATTATGGGCATTACTTGGGCAATGATTGACGATGCGTCGAATAAGCCAATGGTTACCATTCGCCACTCATTTGGCACGATCTCCTATCATCAAGTTAGCATTTACAACAAACCCCTGAAACTTTCATTCGATGCCGTACCTGCACAGCGCCAAACGCCATCTCCAACAGTCCAGCACCCGATCCGAAAATGGCACCAGACGCAATCATCTGGCCGATGCTCTGGCCGGTGGCGCCGACGATGGATCCGACGATGAGTGTTGCGGCACCGCAGATGAAGAACCAGCGACGCCCAAATATGTCCGATAATCGACCGCCAATTGTGACGAAAATGGCGCCGCCCAGGTTCCATGATATTGTTATCCACGTGTACGTGGTATCTGGGCCGAGCTCTGCATTGATGAAGCTTAGAATCGCTGGGGGGATGAGAAGAGTGAAGAGATAGGCATTATACGACATGGCCATTGACTACGCAAATCATCCCATATTAGTACCACTGCAATTTCGCAGACGGGTATACCAGGGCTGGGACTCACAGCGGCGGCCATGAAGCTCCTCCATGTCATGCCAACCTCTTCACCGGTATGCTGCAGGGCTGCCACAATATCATCTGGGCTACTGCCATCCTGCCCATCTTGATGAGTGTCAGGGCGATTGCTGTGGTGAGCGGCGGGTTCGATAAAATCAGTGTGCGTGACGCCAATTTTATCTTCACCTTCTGTAGCCATCTTTGTGTCTATTTGAAGAGCTTGAAAACAGATGAAACGAAGAATGAAAGGCAATAGTATTGTCAAAGGTGTGCCTCCTCACAGAACCAAATATGTTCTCTTTACGGTTTCCTAGGTGGCATCCGTATCTTAAAAATCACATGGTGATCGCTGTGGATAAAGGTAACCGTCATGCCGCCCTGCCTGAGAATTGCCTAACCATACCATGCAGACATTCGCCACCCCGCTTCATCGAACCGCAGGCACTCTGGCAAAACAAGTCCGCTGGGCTTTTTGGTCTTACTGGTTCCTTCAGGGCGACTTGTACTGGCATCGGGTCCTTGTTGATTCCCAACGCACTTATAGCCTGGGGTAGTGGGAATCAGAGCTATGAGGCAATAGTCGTAAATTGAGATAATGGTCCCCATCTTCTCTCGTAACCTGTGTATCCGGCAGTTTTGTTCTGTTTACAGGTGCCCATTGCGGGCACTATGATGTGATAGAGGTCAAATGAGACGACCCTGGGGGCTTTTTTGCAAGTCGTAGGATGATGAATCTGCGGGGTACAGATGAGTTGGTCAGCTTCGGCTTCGGCAAATCCTCAATAATTTTAGCTCGATGATAGGTCACTCTCACAAGGTAAAAGCGTGCAATTGCTTTTGGTGCATCTTCAAACCTCTAAGATTCCTGGCTGGATGACAGTACGTTGTACTGCGGGGGATGCTATGGCCCCATCCGCAACGGGACCGTTGATGCTTTACCAGGCCACCTCGTGCTGAGTGTGCCGGACTCTCATAGAGAGGGAATATAACCGTTATCTTCTTCCCTAGATCTTTCAAGTCTACGCTAGGGTACAAGCTATTTCGGTAGCTCGCACCATGGCGCGGAGCTTCAGGGACAGCCCGGTGACCTCAACGGCATCGCTGAGACCTGGTGATTAGTGTGCTTCACGAACTAAGGCCATCGCCAACGTTATGAATAATTATAGAATCACTAACCGCGATGAGAACCAGAAGTATGGAAATGATACAGCCTTAATCTGCCAATGCAACCCCCTAGGATTCGATTCATATGTACCTCTTCACCAGTTCAACGTGAAGGCACACACAGATAAAGCTGCAGGTTCACTTGGTGACGAAAATGGCTGGCAGCTTAGATCCATGTACACCCACCAAGAGCGTCAGTTTATCGAGCCAAACGCACGAAGGCGAGATCTATGACACCGCCTCATTCACTCGAAAAATGAGCTTCCGCATGATCCATGTGACGGTGTTTGCACTGTGTCTGCTTTGTCGGGATGCAGGTGCTGTTGTGAGCGGGTGTGTATTTCCGAAGCAAGGGGTCCAAGATGTACCCACCAGCCTCGGTTGGGTCGACCGCATATTGTATTCCAGTCCCATTAATAGCATTATTAAGTAGTTCAGGCCATCTAATCGGGAATGCTAAATTTTATGATGACGAGAAATTCCGCGCCACTCCTGCAGAGTAATGCTCTTGGTACACATAAACCACAGCAATGTGCAGACATAGAGTACATGCCTCGATGCTTCAAACGGGGATCAAGAACGCACACAATACAGTAACTTGGGAAATTTATTTTCATCGCTGCATTTGATAATATAGGTAAGCGTTTGGCCTAAGAACATAACCTTCACGCCGCGTAGATTGGTTTAGCTGGAGGGGAAGGTGAGACGGCGTATAGCTGTGTGGGAATGAGAAAGTTCATATGTGCAAATAGCAATACTCGGTATGTATTGTTTTTCTTTATAACCTTCTGGCCTGGTATAAACCCCGATGACCCCCGTCAACATTAATCAACCAGAACTCGAGCCGGTCGCCTCCTTGTCGCTATTTTGAGTTCGAGAGTCAAGGTCAGGTTCTTCAATTACAGGTGTGCCAGTCTTCAACCCCCGATAAACATTACGCAATTGTTGCCAGCCATCAATAATGGGGTAGAAACCCGCGATAAGCATCGTTATCCAGACCCAGATAATAGCCACGACGATCCAGGCCACGAAAAATCCCTTTCCAAACACATACTTGGAAGCGTACATGGGAAGAGGCCTAGTATCATAAGTTAGCTATTTTCGAAGGAACGTGGCGGTTGGAGGGAGACTTACCATAGAACCCAGTGCCCAAGAAATGTTGCCGCCGCCCAGACCGCCGCCAGTGTTCCCCAATTCTTTAGTCTTGCCTTGTCTGCAGTGTAGTTTGCAACCTTTTCCTCATGGGATACTGGCTCTTGGGAAGTCGCGGCTCCGGTCTGCTCAAATGCGAGACGTTCATTTCTGAGGTCCGCCCAGTTGTAATTGTCCGGCCTAATTAGAGAGATGATGATCGAGTAAACTCCTGGACTAAACGCAGACGCGACAGTTCCGTAAACACAAGGTAATGTCTGGCCAGTCGTGGCCACAGTGACGCCTCCGTACAGAGACGATGCGGACCCAATCCAGACAGCAATTCCAGTAGCCATTCCGAGCAATGGTGAGATCACAGCGGCGGCTTTGGACTGCTTCTTCCAAAGGATAGTGAAAACAGTAGGGAAAATACCAGGGCATGTTAAGACACCAAGCATATACAATGTCCAGCCGAGGTCGACGTTTCCATAGTACAGCGCGGTGGAAAATGCAGCTGAAAAGAGGCCAAAGAAGACAACTCCGATGTGACTCCACCGAATCGCATCGCTATCAGTCGCATTGCGGTTGAAGTACTGACGGTAGATGTCGAAGCTAATGATGGACGAGACTGAGATGACTTGGGCTGAGATGGTCGATGTCACAGCCATGAAGGTAATGAGAAGAACAGCTACTGCACCACCTTTACCTGCCAGGGCAATAGCTGCGTAGGGCAAGACGAGGCCATTTGAAATCTCAATCGTGTCCATTCGTCTAGGATACGTTGGGAAACGCTCGGTACCCTCCAAACCAAGTGCGGTAAAGCTCATCAGTGTTCCAAGACACCAGGGGATCGCGAAATACGCAATGCCGCCAACGATGTATCCTGGAACCACGGCCTGGGGAGCAGCACTGAAAGCCTTGGCGAAGAAGCCAGTGTCCATAATGACGAGACCGAAGTTGGCAAGGAGGTGGATGATGCCAAAAAGGATAGCCTGTTACATATTGAATGAGCATTAGAATTAGTTTAATTCGTTATGAGGGCCACTTACTCCTTTGCTGGTCATTGTCAAATATGAACCATCTTCATTACCCGCAACAGGATGCGCTTTTCCGGCCTCGACAATGAGATCAAAAAGACCAGCGGGGGACCCGATTTCTGGGACGGTGAAGGTCTTGATGGTGAAGAAGCAAATGATGATGGTGATGACGAAAGTATGGAAGTAATCTGTGAGGAAGGTGGCCTTGATGCCTCCAACGAAGGTGTATATAACCACTCCGACAGGGAGCAAGAATGTCGCAGCAATAATATGCATACCAGTTCTGTCTTGTTATTAGTCCATGGCAATTAAGATCGATGTATGACTTGTACTCACAGGGCGGTGATAGCGGCACTGGCACCCAGCAACATATTGGCAACGGCAATGATATTATTGATGAGGCAAAGTCCAATCCAGACAATGTGACCGGTTGTTCCATATCGGATCCGGACAATCTCAAGGAGAGTGTGCGCTTCTGGAACCCTCATCTTGCACGCAATGCCCAAAAGTGAGAAGAAAACAATCATGGGTGAGCAACTACCGATACATGTGAGCCATTGAGTTGCTTTGTTTCTTTCTCGCACGGGATGCTTACCCTGCTGCGAACCAAAACGGCCCAGCGACACCAAAGTTGTAGCCCACAAGAGTGCTTCCAAGCATGGCAGTACTCCATAGCCATGATGAGATGACGGCAGAGGCGGTAAGGCCAGTTCCAACACTTCTGTTTGCTGTCATGAACATTTCTGTGGTTTTGTTGTCCTCGCCAACTGTCTTCTTTAGGACACGGGTCGCAAAGATCATGATGAACGCGATCAAGAAGCCAATGGCAACAACGACGGCATAGCCGGCGGCCTGGGGGAGCGGTGGCTCGATGGAGCCATCGGCCCTTTTGTCTATCAACATGGCTGAACGTTTCAATGTCAAGTAGGAGCTCCGGTTGAGATTTAGAGAAGCACTGTCCAATTGCAATTTCTCCCTTTACAAGGCCTTTTTTCAGGCAGCGGGATGGTGTTTCTGGTTACCGGGTTGGTAGAACGGCCGGGAAAAAAGGGAGTGATCAGAATGGCGCTCAGCCGTGTATTCTGAAATTGAAGAACAGCGGAGACTCGAGGAACCGAATTATGTCAACCATCCGTACAATTCTGGGACGGGGTGCCAAGGGCCCCATTTATCGTTATCACGAATCTGGTCAAGCACGCAATATGTGTGTGTGTATCGCGCAAGTTTCGACACCCCGACCTGACAGGCCCAATCAGTATCACGCCATCGGTAACTATACAATCACAATGGAGCCAGCAGAGGACTTATCACTTAGCGTCAACTAGCGTCTCTAAAGACTGCAATACTTCATTGTACTTGTTGAAAGCCGTCTTGAGCATTTCATATTATCTCGCGTACGAAGTAGTCCTGATCTGGTGCTGCCTCTGAGTAGGTAGTAGCGTAGCTGCATGAGTCCAGGGCCGATGGATGCTGTAGAGGCGCCTTTTCTACCCCCCACGCGGTTAGAGTTGCCACTAACTTTCAACTAATAAGATGTAAACAGGGATGCAGTATTCATTTCTTGGTTCAAAGGCAGTTTTAGTGCCAACTGGAGCACGTTTATCTGGAAATCACGGCACATCTCCGTCCGCTGCTGAGAGAGAGCTTTTATCTTCCAGACATAAATGCACCTTCTTTCAAATCGCTCGACATAGAAGCTCTCGGTGACGCAATCCAAACAGGGCTGTTCAACTAACCCAACTCGACTTCTTGACCCGCATTCGCGGTGGCACTAGTGATGCAGTTCGCCTTTTGGCATCCTGAAACCTCAGCCAAAGTATTCAACCGACGGCAGAGACTTCAGTAAGATGAACTGGCCTTGATATAATTATTGAATAATCAACATATTCATAGTCTTCAAAATATTGTTAAAATCAATGAACGTAATATTTAGGGTTCATTTCATCTTAGGCTTCAGGCCGTATTTAATATCGTTACTCGAAAACTGTGACCCCTCTGCGTCCAAGTAGTTTGAGCCCCGAATTTTCTCAGTACTAAGTGCATTGTTCTAGGCTCTCACCAGATTCTAGATTGAAGACCCATGTCGCTTGTTGTGGCTGGCGCCTCGCTGTTAGCCACCAGGTTGACCGATGCCTAAACATGTCGACGATCCCAATGATCGGACGAAGCTAGCCTGGGCTGAAGCCGGACTATGCCCTATGCTTCTTACCGACGGCTGGAAAGTGACGCAACACAACGCACCTAAAGGTTTACCACGCTTGCTGAACGTACAAGAAGATGCCTGGAGGCAGCTCTCATGACGCTTACCATCAATTATCGCGGACCAATACATCTTGGGCTATGTACCACGGAGTGGTTGATTACGTTCAGCGGCATCATAGCCCTTGCCGGCACCCACTCGTGTCGTCATTGTGTACGACTTCTTGGATGCCGCGTGGGCAACGAGACACAAGTACACTCGCTGCCGGCAGTCACAGGTTGCACAGTTCTAATTCAGCTGAGAAGGTAATGCCATTCATTGAAAACACAAAGGGATATCAGTTTACATGAAGCAAGGGCATGAACGCTCTCTTAACCACAAGTCACACATGCCCTTGGCGGTGCCGAATAAAATTGAGGGAGAAGGTGTAAATATCCGATCAAGAAGCGAAAACAGATGAAAGGACCTATCAAGTCTACCAAGCTTGGACGCCCCCATTTCGACAGACAACCTTGCCGACATCCGCGTCTCTCTCCCCCTCAATCACCTGGCGCATCAGGTTCCCTCCAATCGACGGATCGCCCGCTCCCATCTTCTCCAAGCGGCTCTTGCTCCCACCGAGGTTCGTGGCCAATAAACCCGGGTTGATGCACCAAACCTTGACATTGTCGTCTTTGAGGATCGTCTGCCATGTCACCATGACCATGTTGAGGGCGACCTTGGCGCACCGATAGCCCTGGGCAAGCCAGAAACTTCCAATTCCCTTGGGCCACCCAGGCCCGAATGCGGACGCCTTGTCGTCGTACTCGGCCTCTTTGGCTAGGCTAGACCTGCCAGAGGTGTTGAAGAGAAGCCGGGGAGCCGACGACTTGACAAGCAGGGGGGCAAACGTGTAGGTGACGACTTGTGTCCCTGCCACGTTGACGTTGTATGTTTCGTTGAAAATCTTACGAAAGTTCTTGCCGTCATTCTCAAAGTGGTCGTCAAAGCACACACCTAACAATGGAAATTCGTGATCAGCATAGGGATGAATAGTTAGCATGGCCAGCTTACCCGCATTGTTAACGAGAACATCGACACGTCCAAACTTGTCCCGAACCATTTCGAAAGCTCGCTGGATCGAATCATCATCCGAAATGTCAATCTCCACTGGCTCAACGATGCTGTGGCTATTGTCTGTTTCCTCAGCAAGTTTTGCAATGGCTGCATTGCCTTTCAGCAAGGAGCGGCAGCCGAGGAGAATGTGGTAGGGCTTAGGAGACTGGAGGAGGCTCTTGACCGCCGCATATCCGATACCAGTATTGGCTCCAGTGATGAAGACGATTTCTTTGGTCGCCGGGATGGTCATGATGAAGCGTTGAATGAGATCAAGGTAGCTGATATCGTGGAAGGAAGAGTGCTGGTTTGCTCTTGATTCCCCGAGGTCTTTTGGTCCTTAAATACATGAATATAGAAAACCTTATTCATTGTATGTCCACGTGGATAAATCACATGCGCATGATACCTTATTTCGTCCATCACCACCTGGTCGGCAAATTCAGGGCCGCGATAGTCCGAATGACGTAAAAGTCGCATCACAGTGCTCCAATGCGACATACATTAAATAGATGCTTATCTGCTGCGGCTGAAGCTACGTGTCTATCGTCTGATCGACACTAACGGGATAATGAATCGCACCTAATGGAAACAATTTATGAACCCCGAAGATAGCCAGTCTTGAATTATGATGCCCGGAGATAAGGAGATGTTGGGCGTGGAGATATCGCCTCCGTTCCGACTGGCTCCACGGAGTGAACTTTGGACGCCCGTAGTTGATACACAGGTGCATATACGAGCGGCGGGTTTATGTGGGTGAGATATCCGATTATCAAGCACTGGCTCAGCTACGATGTGCGTTGGATGCAGCCCTATCGCATTCGAGCAAGTATAGCGCAAGTGCCGGAGGTGGATATTGAGGCAAACCCGAAGCTGAGACCCGAAGCCCGAGCGGCGCACACTTCCCATGCCGTGTATCCTGGTGTTTCTTTTGAAATCTCATGATCTAATTGAGCATCCTACGCATCATGTCACCTCTCAAATCCCGGAGGTGGATGTTCAACGCCAAGTCCGTAGCTGAAGCCCGAAGGCCGAAACCCAAAACACTGCCCACATGTAGTACAACATCTCATTTCGTATTAAATCCCCGTACAGAACCCAACCCAATTAGTTCTACTTCCGGTTTCAGGTCTGCAGATCTATTTTAGAGGATCGATGCAAGCCCAACAGCGCGGGTCAGCCAAGGCTCTCGAACTCGTTGGGGAGCTCACGTTGCGCGACCCAGGCCAGTATCCCCTGTGCAAAGAGCTCTGGGAGCTGCAGATTCCAGGGATGAAAGGCCTTCTTTACGACCACGGCTTTGCTCTCCGAACATCCAGCCCGGAGCGCGGCGCCCTGTAGTTGTGTTGCCCCAACATCATCCATTCGTCCACCGGCCACCACCAACGTTCGTACGGCCACTTTCTCCATCCCGTCAATTTGCACATGACCCAGGCTGGTAAATACCTCGACCGTCACCTCAGATGAGTGGTTTGCTGTCATATCTCGCCTCAATTCCTCTGGGACGGTCAAGCCTTGAGCTGACCATGCCATCTCGTCCAGCCACGCACCCAGCCTCTGGAGTAACCCCGTATGCATAATCGTGTTCATCGCTCCCAGCACCTGCGGGTGTTTTGCGGCCCACATTCGAAATCCCGAGAAGGGCGCAGCACCCGTGGCGAAGGCTGAACGTACGACGTGTGGATGCGTGCGAGCGAGTTCGACCGTCACAAACCCGCCCATCGACAGTCCAACAACATGCGCAGTGCCTCCATGGGCCTTTGCCTTGATCAGAACAGCAACGTGCTCAGCTTGGTCTGGGATTGTCGCCGGTCTGATGTGAGATGATGCGGAATGCCCGCACATGTCGACGGCGAGCACATGGTACGATGTGAGAAATGGCCAGACGAGCATCCATTCCCTATGCGATGTGCCCAGTCCATGCAGCATGACAATGGTCTCGTCGGCAGATTCATTCAGCGACAGACACCACAGCTGCTTGTGTGGGGCGTCGCTATTCGGTGTGATTGTTGTCTCGTCCATAGCTGCGAATTTCAATCTGTACTCCGTCAGCGTGAGAATATTAATTGATTGGAATTAAACATGCAATCAAGTTCCGCTCGGTAATAAACTGATGAAGATGGTAAAGGCGATGCAGTGCCCGGCCAATTGATCAGCCATCAAGCTACGGAGTACGTAGGTACGTGATAATAAGTACTCCTTGCCCCCGCCCTCCCAAGTGATCTTTGATTTAAGTGGCAGCCTGGTGAATTAGGCAACCATTTCTTAAGATTAGATGCGAAATCACTCGTAATAAGCCCGTAACAAAGCCCCTTGTTTTTCTATTGACAGCTGTCAAGGGTTTATCAAAATATCCAAGTAATGATGCGGAGTGGTGCTGTTGTAATAAAGAGTTACATGTGCTACATGCTCGAAAGGAGCACACTTTATTTCTCGATAAAGCACACACTCTCATTATATATGCCGCCGTATCTACATCATTTCTATCTATTTACGTTCGACCAAGTTGACAAAACGTGATAGATGTACCTCCAAGCCCACTACGCCTTTTGGCCCTCTCCTAGAACTCTCTGGCCGAGCTTCAAAATTTCCTCGTTGCGCAGTGTGTCTTTCTCAGCCCCAAAAAGCGCCATATTTATCAAGGCAGCTGCGATCTCATCTAGACCGATGACTGGGAGGCCGATAACAGTGCCACCAATAGCCCGTACAGTCCTGGTGAGTAGATTACCCCCGCCAGTCGCGTTGATCAGCCCAGGTTTGATGATGAATGATTCAACGCGACCTTCAGATTCTTTTGCGTAGTTGAGGACTTTGGACTCTGTCTCTCCCTATAACCCATTTATCAGTCAACTGTGCAAAATACGATCAGATGTTAAAGGCGGAAAAAGAGCTTACCCTCATCAAAGAGTATTCGCCGAGAATCAAGGGTTTCTTATTGGGATCCCGTTCTGCTCTGTCACCACTTGTGTAAATAAACCGCATTGGTCCAGCCGATCTGTCACCTGAGAGATGTGACAATGTCTCTATTCCTGTCACCGTGTAGTCAAGGCAGACCTTGCGCACCTCGTCCCAAGGCCTTGTCTTTGACTTTGATGGAGTTATGGCAATCAACCTGTGGCGGTGTTCAGTTTATCGAAAATATTTCTCCCAAGTTTAGATTCGTATTTAGATGGCAATGGTTGACGAGATTCGAACCAAGAGAATGCGTGACACGTACCAGATAACGGCATCAGCGCCTGTTAAGTCCCCCTTGATGCTCTCGGGGTAATTGCTGAAATCATCACAGACGACAGATTTGAACTTGGTGGTGTCGGCATCGGAGGCTACATTCGGAGGGATTGAAGTTGCCCGGCGTGCCAGCGCCACGAGTGAGGTAATTTGCTTGTTGGATAGAGCCTGGCGGATGACCTCCGTCGCCACGTAGCCCGTAGCGCCAGCAACAATTACCTTCATGGTAAACAGCAGACGAAGTAGTAGATGGAGATGAGAACCGAGACGTGTATATGGAATCCAGCAATCCTTTGTGCGCAGTATCGAGCTCGGAAGCTCGGACGCAGGAGATGCAAGGTGGAAATGAAACTCCACCTCGTGGATCAGTTGCCTGGAAGGATCAGTGGCATCACAGCGTGGTGCCAATTTACCGTTGCATTTGGCGTTTGCGTCTCAGAGTACTCCACTCATCCTTTTCAAATCTCCAATCCTTATGAGGAATGGGATGAAGGCCGCGTCAGATGACGTTTGATGATACACCACTCGGCTAGTGCTTACTGAGACCAACTGGGCTTAGTCGGGATGTAGGGGACGATGGAGGATGCCTTCCGAAGCCTCCGTTCGCCGTTGTATATTTATTTACAGTGATGAGGTGCTACAGAAGAACTAAGTAGATACCGTAAATGTCATGTTTCAATGCTAGGTTATTTCTCATCCATTTACCTCTGACTTCTTGATCGCATCATGAATGCCTTTGTAGCTCATGTTGAAATCCATCCTCGAAAATCTCTCATCAATCGACCTTGGTTTTTGGTATTCGGATGCTGTCAATTTTCTCAAGCACAGCAGGCACTTCATCGCGGGTGACATTGGAAGCAAGACGCCAAAAGCTCTCTCCATTCTCGACGGAATCATTACCTCCTTGGCCCTGTAGTACTGACATGGCATGCGCTGCATCACCGACGAGTAGAGTCCGTTTTTTCGTGGATGTAGGCAAGGGGTCAACGACAGCGTGCAAGTTTGGATGGGATTCAGGTTGAAGAGGACTTCTTTTAAAGCCGGCCCTCCGGCCTTATTGAACCTGGCACGAACAACTCGTACACGGTGATTCGTAGGCCTGTTTGTTCCGTGAGCCCAAAATGAGGTAACATGAGAGGCAAATTCGACTAAAGAAGGACCTATATCCGAGTATCCGGCTGTTTCTTTAATTTCCACGATTTTATTGGATGTGATGCGGGGTCTTCAATATCGGTCTACCTATACTGCCAGGGTTGCGATGTATTGGATACTTGTGTTTGGAAATCTAGCCTGTACTACAGTGAGCCGGTAGATTCATCTCGGCCGAATGGCCCAAGGAATTGAGCGAGTGGCAATTAATCGAATGAATATGCCGACTAAAATATCCAGTTTGAGATTGCATGGGACAGGTCAAAAGGCGCGTTTTCACATTGCTCACGTAATTATTAAATTCCATCACTTCTTCAGAATAGCGGCTTCTTGCTCCGAGTAGAGCCGAGCTTTAAAGTGTGTAACAAATGGAACCTGTTCTATGCTACCGACGAAACTCGATTATAATGTTAAGTTTAAACCGAACTACTGCCTCAAAATTGAAAATATACCATATCGCTCGCCAATAGCCTCTTACGCCTTCTTTGCCGCCAGTCGCTTTTCGGCCACCTTGTGGATGTTCTCAACAATCTGGGCGAGCTTCTGGCTATCAGCCTTGAGTTCGGGCATATCGTCGGCAATCTTGGCCACCATCCTGCTGACAACATTAAGCAGAGCACCTGTAGAATCGTAAGCATCATTTCATGGAGGTTATCAGTGTCAACGTACGATCATCCGACCGCTTAGTCGCGGGGGTATCAGAAACGACGGACTCGGAGATGTCGCGCTCCTCGAAGACGTCGTCGCGCTTGGCGGGGGTACAGATGCAGTTCTGTCCCTTCACAACGCTGATGAGGGCATTGACATCAATCTTCTTGCCCTTGGTCGCAGCACTGATCAGAGCATTGTTCAAGAGGCTGATATTGGCAAAACCACCCAGGGACGTAGTCAGATCGCCCAGGAGACCAGAGTTACTTCCACCTTGGCTCCCCTGGGTTGATCCAATGCTGCCGGAGCCACCAACCATAACAGTTCCCACGGCGCCAAGACTGCCAAGGTTACCCAGGTTTCCAGGAGTGCGTGAGCCGCCCTTGCCTCCGTCCAAGAGCGTTGTAGCCGTGTTGCCCGCATTGTTGACGGCCGTTCCTAGGCTGGTTCCCAGGTTGCCTGCTGTCGACCCGAGGTTTCCAGCTGTGTTTCCGAGGTTGCCGGCGGTAGTTCCCAAGCTTCCTGCTGCACTTCCGATAGTACCAGCTGCATTTCCCAGGCTGCCCGAGCCATCTTTGCCTCCATCCAAGAGCGTGGTCGCAGTGTTGCCCGCGTTGTTGGCAGCCGTTCCTAGGCTAGTTCCCAAGCTGCCTGCGCCACCCTTACCTCCGTTCAATAGATCAGTAGCTGTGTTACCCAGGTTGTTCACTGCAGTTCCCAGGCTGCCAGCTGTATTTCCGAGGTTTCCGGCGGTGCTTCCCAAGTTTCCTGCTGCACTTCCGATAGTGCCAGTTGCAGTTCCCAGGTTGCCCGAGCCGCCTTTGCCTCCATTCAAGAGATTGGTAGCCGTGTTACCCAGGTTGTTCGCTGCAGTTCCCAAGCTACCCGCTGTGTTTCCAAGATTGCCAGCGGTGTTTCCGAGGTTACCGGCGGTGGTTCCCAAGTTTCCTGCTGTGGTTCCGAGGCTGCCAGCTGCAGTTCCCAAGCCACCGGCAGTGTTTCCTATCGCGCTATTCACAGCACCACCCAACCCGCTCTGAGCGAGGCCGTTCAGTGTAGTGGACAACCCATCGATGATCTGACCCTGGTTGGCTTTCACACCTCCTCCTAGCAGGCCTCCCAGCAGCCCAGTGAGTAGACCACCGACGCCATTCAACAGGCCGCCTGTGACACCGGTTACAGCTACACCGACACCATTTAGAGTACCAGTCAGGGCACCGAGAAGCTGGTCGCTATTAATGTCAGTGCCGGCGGAAACGACCTTTCCGCCGGTACCAATGCTGCCAACGCCAGCTAGAAGGCCATCCAGGAGGTCGCCGACAGTATTGAGAATTCCGCAGAGGATGGCGCCAGTCTTATGAACCGCTTCCTCTCGCGCGGCAATGCTTGTTCCATCCCGCCTCTGATAAATGGCACTGAGATGGAAAGCCGACCGCCCAGCCTGCGCGAGCTCCGAGGGAAGCAAACTACCTGTCTCCTAAATGTTATGCCGTGTCAGTAGAATATCATTTAGGAAACATGGAAAGAGCTTGATTCTTCACGACATAATGAAGGGAGAATCGGAATCCAAGGTTGGAGGACTTTGGATTGGCAAAACATACCGTTGCCTTAACTGCGGTACCTTGAAGAACGGCATCCAGGACAGTGGCTTGGTCTCGAGCTTCCAAGGCCGCATAAGTGTTCCCAGCAGGAGCAGCGATAGTGTTGCTGAGAAGGAGGGCGAGCATAAGAGAGATGGACTTCATTTTGTCGGATAAAGGGTTGAAAGATATGTTGATCAAAGAAGATTGGAAAAAAAGGTGTAAGGAGTGTATGAAGGAGTGTGTGTGAAAGAGTGTTGAGAAGCTGATGATGCTGAAGATGGCAAGAACACTTTTCTGGATGAAATATCGCTGCTCCTTTATACTCACAAATCCCCCTTGTGGTGTTGTTTCTTGAATCCCTTCATATCGGCAGGACTCTTGCCGCAGTCTCAACATGTTGTATTCGGCCCGTTCTCACAATGCCGGAGTTGAGCTCGTGGCCGTCGGCTTCCAAGTGGCAAGCCATTGACGGCCCGCCATTCCACCATCGGCACCACGGAAGGTCCCTCGGCGGTAATGCTTCGAGAAGGACCCCGACCAAATAGGTGGGTTTGATGCTAAACAAAGCCCGTACGGCAAATATTTGATTTGGCTTGCCCTAAGAAGGGATTAGGACGTGAATGGCCTGCAGGGAGGAGTCTATATTGTTGGAATGAACGCGGGGATAATGTCTCAGGGTTCGGGAAAATTTACACAATGCATGTTTGCCCAGCGGTGGCGGACAAGCCACTGCTAGGTGGCATACCATGCCACCGGATAGCACAAAGCCGATCTACGAGTAGAATGTGGAAGGTAAGGTCTATGGAAACAAAGCGATCATCATATGCAACTACAAATCCCTGCATCGCGTGGTCTCCCGGACGAGTGGAGAATGTAAGGTTTTAGCATTAATCTACTGGCCGCTATTTGAGTGATATTTGTATATTGGCGATATTTGTTTGACTAATATCAGCTACTTAGCCATCGGCTAGTTTTGATGTGAGGGCTCGGTGAGGTAATGAGTACAGCCTCGGGAATGGTGTTTGAATTCCGCCACTGAACGAGCGTCCGATTTATACTCCTCTCCCTAGAATGAACAAAAATATCCTAAGATTCCTCATTTCGTGATGACCTAGGGTGTTATCGGATGGGAGTGATGTATAGCTTCATGCTTGAATTAGTTGGTCTCGAATGATAAAATTACCTGAGTGTTTATTAAATCCACCGGGCGAATCACCGGTGCCAGTTCTACCCTATACGGAAGCGACTGCTTCAAGGGGAAAACAAAGCACTATCTACGGTATCAATCTTGGCCTATCTACATGTCTATAATATTAAGCGAACTTTGCTATGCGGCAATCGATCACGATTTGTGTTGCGGGAAGGTAATTGTCTATAACTCACCGTAAAGGAGCAAATAATGGACCCATGGGCGGGTGGAGAGTATCTGAACAATATTAAGACTAGTCACAGAAAAGAAAATATTTTCCTCCCTTGCAGTTAATCCCCTCGATTATCCCTCTAGCAATATCTTTGCTTCTACTTGCTGCTTCCTTTTCTCGCTTGCTAAGGCCGACTTGTGCTCGCCTTTTGTTTTGGTTGAACAATCACGTGATACTATACCCCTCATGACAACATATTGATGACATTTCGAGATGAAATCTGAAGATTTTCCTCATCTCAAGTGAATCTTCTCGTCAACGGGCTGCCATTAATTACAATCACGGCCTTAAGAGCAACAGAGAACCAACCGTCACCATGGCCGCCGAAATCCCAACAAAGCCTGGGGTTTTGCTCATATCCCTCGAATACAAATCATTCTTTGATGAAATGTACGAGGCCCTCCTCGCTGTATTCCACTCAAAAGCAACCATACAACGCGTCAAGAAAGCAAATTCGACCATTTCTCAGCTTTCCAGACAGCAACAACCATCTGCCGTGCTCGTAACAGACGAGGGGCTAACTACGAATGAGAATTCACATGTGTGGGAGGCAGTTCTGCGGTATGTTCGGGATGGGGGCATATGTGTAGTCATGGGAAACTTCCCTGCCTTCGTCTTGCCGGACAGCATGAAGCCGTTCTTCGCCAAAGCTGGCCTCCCTTGGGAGAGTGGTCCATATCACCGCACGACACTGGTGCTCAACGCAGAGGCGACAGGTCAAGATTTGGCTACTCGCCTTCCTTCACAGTACAGCCAGAAGGCCTTGTTCGTTAAGAATGTCACGCCTGCTGATTCTTGGTACGTCACCAATGTGGACTCTGTGATTGAGTCGCGAGTCTTCCCTCCAGATAACGCCGATACCCCTGGAAAAACCCCCGTCGCATTTGCGCGAGTTGGAGATGGAAAGCTGGGCTATGTTGGTGACGTGAACGCAGAAAAAGGGTCAGACGCTGCGATCCTTGCCATGTGTGGGTTTTTGTGATAATGAAACTTGAGTAAATGTGATTCAATGCCAAGTGGACCGGAAGTTTATTGGGAGATAGTTAAAAGGAAGAAGATTTAACCTTTGAAGGATAGCCAGATGAAAGAAATGTGCGAAATTTCTCTTAGACACCTTGTTCTCCTTATTTCTCCCTTGGAACAGGTTCCCGTCTCGTGAAAACCTACGGAGTTGAGTTGTCACTTTGCACTGAGATAATGCGAGACAGTTTATGAGCGGCACAGTATTGCATTACATCTAGCATAAAGAGTGCAATATGTTTCACATAATCAGTTCACTATGTGGTGCTGCATGTTTCATTCCCCGTTCCCAAATTTGATTCCTTGCATTCCTATTCTTATTCTTCCTGTGTCTATTGATGCTAAACGGTCCACCACGTTATGTCCAGTGGCACGTGAATCCCAACAGCCCCTTAACCAATTCTTGAAATTGTGACAAGTTGTTCATAGGCCATCCTTCGTCTTTGAACTGGGTGGGATATCCATGTTGATGTCGATTTTGTCGTTTCCAAGGACAGCGCACTAATTAGAGGCAGGCATGTCGAGTGCCATCTGCTTTGAAAATCGGTGTCCCGCCGTTGTCTTCGCACTCCATGAGATCCTCGCAAACAGTGGGTTTGGGGCATCTCACCGGGGGGACATTCTGGCTCCTCACACTTGGACTTGGGGCAAACTGGTTGGGAGCATGTAGGGGCAAGGCAGGATTGAGCAGATCCGCCGCCTCCAAGATTCTAAGTGAGGAGAGGTAAAGGTTTAAGCAGAGGCAGTGGGATAGGCTTGAACAAGAAGCCTCCTCCTGAGGCGACAATGACGCCTCTGGCAACGTTCCATCCCACTCCTGCCCCCAGCACAACCTGAAGACATACAATGTGTAAGCTATCTGTCAGTCCATTTGCTAAAGGGGTGCTGAAATGTAGACAGCGGTGAAATTACCTACGAAATGCGGCCCCTGGCATTAACGGAGACGCTTGGTACCGGGTTACCTGCCCCAAAGTTCGGGCCACTGAAGCAAACAAGAAGCCCGAGATCACAAAGAGCCTTGTCTACCCTCAGAGTACGACTGCGGCTCACCATTCAATCTTTGACCAAGTCTCCAACACTTTCGGTAGATGACGGAAAGGTCTTTGAGGGATCTGACGGAACTTGGTAATATCTCCAGTGCTGCACTGACACCGACGGTGCCTCCATTCTTGGCCTCGAGACCGCCTCCAGCCACAACGATTGTCTTGAGAAGTGCGTCGCCAACAAGAAATGCAAGAGGTATGTGTACAAACCAACTTATGAACTGTACACGTTGCTAAAGTAATAAATCAGTGTCACCTACGCTGCTGGCGATGGTTCCACCCCAACTGCAAGCTGTATGGTCACGGCCTCTTTTCCCAGACTGCCATCGCGGGCGTGCACCACGCCTTCTTCACTGACCCTCCTACGGAAGAGCCCAAGGTTTCTGAGACCAAGTTGTGCTCTACGGAATGTCCTGCTGCTCATGGTCAGCTCTTCGTTAGCGCCACTGGCGAGGTGAGTAACTACAATATCAATTAGAGCATGGACATGAATGTGATTAGCTAACCTAAGTCTTAGAACTTCCAAATGTCCCGCGACAGGCGTCACGGCACTACCTACCTCAAGATTGATCGCCAGCTTTCCTTTGAGGCCTGCATGAGCTCCTGTGCTGCTATGCCCGCTTGCCACAGCGCTGAGTATGAGCCACGCACTAAGAAATGTTTCTACGGCAACAACCACAACCAACCCGCCATCGACGCGAAGGCCTTCCTCTCCGCTCACTCTCTCGGATGCGCCGGTGCTTGCTCCAGCTGCAAGAAGGGCTGTGACCAACTGAACTCGGCTGCCCTGTCCGCTGATGTCGCTGGCTGCGAGGCCGATCACGGAAAGCTCATCACTTCTGGTGGCGAGGACTTCCGCCTCCAGTGCAAACACTGCTACCGCAGCACCGCCTACTTCAAGCTGGAGGCCAAGACCATGGCTGAGTGTGCCAAGGCTTGTGCCGAGAACCCCAACTGCCATGGTGTCAACTGGATGGGTCCTGTGACTGGCTGTAGCGCTCACCCTGCTACCCAGCCTGGCGGAGCTGCCCCTGTCTTCTACCGAGATGCTCGCTGTGATGCCCTGATGCCTCAGGGCCGCAGCTTGCCTCACTATGATACCATTGGCGCGGACAGCCCCGAGATTACCGCTCGTGACTGGTAAATATTACGACGCTGCAATATGAAGGGGAGGCGTATGTGGCGGTTGTATTTAATGCGACAGTTCGCCCACATATAGATTATTGAGACAGGCTAAAGGTTGGAGGTGGTTGAGACACGGATGGAATTTGAAATATTGGGATGTTACCATACGAGAATAAAAAACGTTGGATAAACTCTGTTGCGATTACAGATTTATGGACGTGCTCCCAGCTTTTGTATCGAGGAAACCAGACACTCGTTGCGTCCTCTCCGTCAACATCTATGCTAAACAATAAGTCTCAAAGATTTGTCCGTGTCGAACGGCGAACTGGGAGGCTCCCTCGATGTTTAGTGGGATCACCACAACCGCGGGCTCCGTCCAGCTATTGTTGCTCAACAGCAGTCCCATCCCATCCAGCATAGCTCTTCCCCACGATTGGAAAACGCCATGGGGTTTCCTCTTCACTCGCAAGCAAGAAAGACGAGTAAATAAATATATAGAGCCAGGTATCTAGCCCCACGGGTATCAATGTCGTTACTTGGACAGGTCTGTCATGATGTGCACAAATTCGTTGTCTATTGTAATGTTAAACAGGCCGCATGGTTAATAGGAGTGGAAAGTCTCACAGTCTATCGTGCCGTTTCCATCTTTGTCAGCTACTTTAAGCATCTCGTTGATTTCTTCTTCGGTGAGCCTTTCGCCAAGAGAGAGCATGACTTGGCGAATTTCGTCGCGGGAAATGGTGCCGCTGCCGTCTTTATCGAATACCTGCATGGAGTTAGTGGCAAATTATGAACGGCATGTGGCGTTTCAGACTTTGAATGCATCAAGGAGGCCTTCTTGAATATCGTTGATATTTCTTTTCTTCGACATGATAGCTAGGAATTCTGAGCCAGTTAGCTTACAGAATTGAACGAATACGAGGCGAGTTCTTGGACGAACCGAAAAAGTCAATGGTGCCGTTCTTGTCGACATCGATCTCGTTGACCATGTCTTGCAACTCGGCGTCGGAGAGATTTTGACCCAAGGAGCGCATAACGGTGCCGATATCCTTGGCTGTGACCTGGCCTGGAGTTGTGTTAATGATATCCTTTGGGGATTGTGAGGGTCATCGCGATGCTATGGCTTGTGATTTTCAAGAAAGAGGGTCACGTACCATCCCCATTTGAGTCCTAGGTCGGGATGTCAGTTTGGTTGGTAAAATCAACGACCGAAGACTCACAAAAAGGGAGAAGGCTTGCCTGAACTCGGCGATCTGCTGGTCACTGAAGGAAACAGCCTGTACACGATAGACCACATTAGCCAGTTGTGTTCAAGGGGCATACATCCCTTCTGGGAGCGAGCGATCTAACCATGATGTCTGGATAGTTGTCAGGGAGTCGTTTGGAGCAGTTCTGAATGATTAAAGACGCAGGTTACGCGTCAGGCTGAGCATCGAGGGAGCAATGTGGGGTCATCTGCATTTGGCACTGCCATCGAGCGGTGTGGGAGGGCAGAATTAGGTAGAGCTGGAATGAAGGCATCGAGGAATTGGTATTGAGGCTGTTCTCGTCCATAGTATCGACATTTATCTTGTATCCGCCACTGATAGCTCAACGCCATACAACCGGGTCAATACTATATTTAGCCACTTCTCCATCTGCCGTGGCGTTCTTCTGCTTGCAGGTCGCCGATCTGACCCGGCCAATCAGTGCCACGGCCGTGTGGAGATGACAGGGGATGAGGCGCCGGTTGCAAAATAGCTCCAGATCTGGCCCTACTCTTGTCGTGTAAATCCAACTCGCTTCATCTGGCCCTGTCCGATTCTTTGTTGAATGGTCGCGATATTGTCGTGTCCGCTCTTCTTTAGAGCCTCGTAGGCTTTGCGATGCACTCGGACATTCTGTGAGAACAGCGACCGCTTGTCCGTCCACCCAATCGCTTGTCGGATCTTGTCGCTGCCAACCCACTGGCTGAAGCTGAGGACGGAGTGCAGCCCAGTAGGGAACGAAGCTGGAGCATCCGCGGCGAAAACAAACTCAACACCGCCCTCGAACCCGTACTCCTTGGCCAATGCCTCTGTCACTTCTTGCATCGTCTCGTAGCGGTGACCGGAAATGTTGAAAGCCTGTCCAGCCACTGCCTTTCTGTCCTCGTGCTGCGCCAGTTGCAAGTATGCCTCCGCACAATCGTCGACGTGCGTGGCATGCATGATGCTGTTCGGGTTGCCGGGAACCTTGAGCACCTTGGCACCGGATGCTGCTTCTTCGGACACGAAATCAAACATGGCTCCGTAGTAGCTGCTCGAGTATCCAAAAACGCATGTCGGCCGCAGGAGGATTGCGTCAAAGAGCTCAGGGTGGTCGAAGATGGTGACGCAGCTCTCTTGTCGTTCTCGGAGGAGTTCCGGGCCATTGAGCGGGGATTCTTCTGTTTGGGCAGACAGGCCTGGTGTTCCATGGGCACCTGTCATGCCGTAGTCCTTGCAGCCGGATGACCAAAGGACGAGCGGCCGCACGCCGTTTTCGTTGCTCTTGGCGGCAAGGACACGAACAAGGCCCATGACCTCTTGGAAATGGGCCCCATAGCCAGGGAATTGCTCAGTGCAGCTCACAATGGCATCGAAAGTCTGGGACTGTTCGTACAGGCCGTCGAGAAAACCATGGTCGGTAAATGTGCCCACCACTGGAATCGCCTCTGAGAGCGTCAACTCGGCCGTAGCTGAGGCCTTCCGAACTAGGCCAAATGTCTTCCAGCCGGCTCTGACAAAGGCTCGACAGATTGCGGAGCCGATGTAGCCATTGGCGCCCGTGACCAAGACTGTTCGAGTCCGGTTTGGCTGGGATTGGTCGTTTGTAGGTGCCATGTTGTTGTATTTCGCGTTGTGTGTAACAAACTGTAGGTTACACACTCGTTTTCAACTCGATGTTGCCATCTCCGCTTCGCAGTCCATTCGTCACCCTGTGGAGAACAGTAAAGATGGATGCACCGTGATTTGTAAGCCTCGGACAGACACCAAACCCGATTGCCTCTATGAGTGGACCAAAATACTACCGAGTAACTTAACGTTATTTTCATGCCTCGGCTCGGCTTTATAATTATCAATCTAACTCCACACGTCCTCGAACCAGCGATTTTCCTTCTTTCTGAGCGCCCTCCAGTTGAGAGCCTCGGTCTCGGACCACTCGCGGACCTCCATCGTTGCCTCAGTCAAGACACTACCAACCGCTTTTGCCATGGTCGCCGCGCCGCAGATATAGAATGCAGCATCGTCATCTCCAAGCATCCGGATGACGTCCATCCTTCGCGATTGGACCATGTCTTGCACATACGTCTTCTTGCCATCGGCGCGGGAAAAGGCCGTGACAATCTCAAGTTTCCCAGCCAGTGGGCCTGACCTCAACTCACCAAGCTCCTCCTCATACAAATAGTCAGCCTGGTTCTGACAGCCGAAGAACAGAATCATCGGGCCAATTTGTTTTCCAACGGAACTGAGGCGGGCTCGCTCGTGCAGAAATGCTCGAAATGGAGCGATTCCGGTTCCTGCAGCAACCATAACCAAAGGAATCGCAGAGTTTGTGGGGAGCTTGAATGTTGACTTGCGGATCTGAATATACATGCTCGGCGAGTCTGTCGAATTATTTTCAGACGGCTTCTTGGTTGAAAGGAAAGTGCTGGCCAGTCCTGGGATCATCACATCGGGATTCGCACGTAACGTCGATGGCTTGACTGAAACCGTAAGAGTCACGGCACGGGGAGATGTGACCCTCGAGCTGGCGATGGAGTAAAGGCGCGGCTGCATCGTCGGCAATGCATCAATGATAAAACAGAGTGGTAGCGAATCCCAAGAAATGGAAGGGTCGATGGCAACCGCGTAATCCAAAAGTCGGGAAAGCGTAAGATGATTGTTCTCCAGAAATGAGGCGTAGATTTCTCGGTTCTTGCTGATAGTTTCCAGAGCCTGTTTGACTTTGACGCTGGGAGACATCAGAGACAATGCTGAGACGGTCTCGCGAGGAACAGGACTGCAAACTTCTAGGTAAAACCGAAAGAGAGCCTCGACGGTGGTCAAACTTGGCACTTTGGCGTCGTCGTAGTCTGACTTTTGCATAATTTTGATAGGAATATCTCGTTTCGATTCGATTTTGAGAACACGAAGAAGACGGTCTACTTCTTCCGCAGAATTCTCAGGCCACACAGCGATATGGTCTCCAGTTTTATACTTGATCTGCGCATGGGCAGACAAGTCCACTGTCACCTCAATGCAAGCCCTGTCTTGGGTTGCATATCGCGTAAGCACCTTGTTCGAGACCACGGGGACTGAGACAATATCCATGCCCATGGTGTTCCGTGATCCCATCTTTTGGAAGGGACGTCCAAGGTGCAGTTGGTCTGCTGGTGTTGAGGGCTGTTCGATGACGTCGACCAGAGGTTCGTATGCGCTTTCTTGTTCCGAAAGACCAAGGTTAGAAGCCAAGGTAGAAAACAGCCTCTCCTTCCAGTCCATGAAATCCTCTTCCGTGGTACGAGTGGCTTCATTCCCTTTTCCAGTCGGGAGGATCTGGGTTGCGCCAAATTTAGCCATTGCCGTTACGACTTCGTCGACGGTTTTGTTGAAGTATCTGTAGTTGGAGTTTCCACACCCAAAGGCTGCGAACTTGACATGCTCTAGGGATGCTTTGGCCGTAGAATTCATCCAGGAGACAAAGTCCTGGGCATTGTCACTCGGGTCGCCCTCGCCGTATGTCGAGACGATAAAAACAACCAGGGTTTGTGCCGAGAGGCGAGCAACAGACTCGGCATCATACTCGGACAAGTCTGCCACCACTGGCTTCAACTTGAATCGCTGATGAGATTCCCGTGCCAGACGTTGGGCAAAACCCTCGGCTGTGCCAGATTGAGAACCCCAGAAGACCACCAGATCAGCATTGTTCTGGCTAACCAGGTCTGCAATGTTTCGCGACCGACTCTGGGTTTGGACGGCGATGCCTGAGGATTGCTGCGGCCGCTCAAAGAATTTGTACCGGTATGGATCCGACTTGGGAAAGATGCTTCCCCGATTGATGACATATACAGAGCCAAGGACAACTGCGGGAAGTAAGAAGAGGTCCACGGGGCTTAAAGTCTTGGACATTGACTGAACAACATCGTTCCAGATTTTGGGCTGAGAGTCTGAGAGGGCAAACGAATTAGCCATGTCGTCGACGCTACAAGGTATGTAATGAGAAAAAGAATGGTAAGCGCACCTGTGACACCATTTGGAGATAGAAAGTCAGCCTGCCTCTTGATATAGGAAATATACATTAGAGACGCCGGATTGCTTCACAGAAACTCGTTGAGCATCCCGAGAGTCAGTAGAATCCCAAACCAGAAGGCTTTCGCCGAAATACACCCAAACCAGAGGATGGCGAACCTCGCGAATTCGGCGACCGCTCTCGGGAATGTCTGCGATGCTCCTTTCCATTTTAGGAAAGTTTTCGCCGGGTCTTCGCTAGAGCAGAGCTGACTAGTGGTTGAGATTTGGTCTGGATGACCATGGCAGCCACATGGCAGACTTTATTTTGGAGGGATAATAGAGCCCGGATTGTCTTGAATTCGGCGACTGTTGTCCTTCTGGAGTTAGCCTGGCAGGTTTTGCACGGCTACGTCAATCTTACCCCACGTCCAAAAATAAGATGCAGATCTGAAAGGCGTCTCTTACGGCTTTCTTCCCCGCGGGGTTGTGCGAGCCTGTGTAAGGTGGCGGGATTTATTTCCTAAAGCGACTTCCAAGGCAATAACTCAAAATATTCTGATATCCAGTCTCCGTCTTAGATGTATAAGAACCCGTCCTAGAGGATTAGATGGTGTGTGCCAACCAAGCTTCTATCACCCTCCCTTGCCTTTTTGTCCTTCTTTCAAGATTTATCTACTTGAGATTTGAGACTTTTCCCGCCATGTTAGGCTACTTGGCTTTCGGCATCGTGGCCTTCGTCGCATTTGCCTACCTCATCGTCAAACCGATTGTCTACTACTTCTACGACCCCAAAGGTTTTCGAAAGTATCCCAACTATGCGCTACTGTCTGGCATTACAGACTTCAGGCACTGCTACTTGGCAGCACAGGGATTTCGATCCAGAGATCTAGCCGAAGCCCACAAGAAGACTGGGGAGCCAATTCTGCGGATTGGCCCCAACTCTCTGTCCTTTGGCGATGTTCGCGCCATCAAAGCAATCTACGGCCATGGCACCAAATGCCTCAAGGATAACAACTATGTGGTGATGGCTGGCACCCATCGGCACCTCTTCGATGTTGTGGATAGGGCCGACCACACTCGGAAGAGACGCCAACTATCCGCCGCATTTGCACTCAAGAACCTGGAGAACTGGGAGTACAAGGTTGCGTACACCGCGCAGAGGCTCTTCAAGGCGTTTGACCAGAAGTGCACACTCCCGTTGAAGGGTACAATCCCAGACCCAGCCGATGTCAACCTCGACTTCAACCACTGGATCAACTTGTGGACGATTGAAGCCATCAACTACATTACTCTGTCTACTGAAATGGACTTGCTCGACACAGGCACCGACGTCGTTGTTGCAGAGAGGCGCGACGGCACCCGCTACCAGGGTCGGTACCGCCATGCGATGAACCAGACCGCTATTGTCCAGGCCGTCCTCGTGTGGGATTTCAAACTCTGGCCATGGATCGAATGGCTCTCCAAGTCCATCCCAAGCAAGTACAAGAAGCTTTGGGACAATGGAGCGGCTTCGGAGGACATATTCTATCACCTGGCAGCCGAGCGTCTGCGGAGATATCAGGCTGGAGAGAAGTTGGATGACTTCTTCTCTTGCATGATGGAAGACAAAGCCGGTAACCCTACTGACATGGAATGGGGCGAGGTCGTGGCCGAGGTCGGCGCCATTATCAACGCCGGCTCCGACACGACTGCCATTGCTCTGACGCACATTCTGGAGCTTCTCATCAAACACCCGCAACACTTGGACAAGCTACGACAGGAAGTTGACAGCGTCCTTGAGGACGACGAAGTTATTGCTCCATACGACAAGGTCAAGGATCTGCCTTTTCTTCGCGCTTGCATCGACGAGGGTCTGCGAATCATTCCTCCCACATCTGCTGGCCTCCCTCGTCGAACACCTCCCGAAGGGGCACGCATTCTCGATGAATGGATCCCCGGCGACACCAGTGTCAACATGACTGCGTACGCCACGCACCACGACGCCAAGATTTTCCCAGACCCCGGCACCTTCAATCCCAACCGGTGGCTGGATGTCGAGGAACGAAAGCGCATGGAGCCCTTCTTCATCCCCTTCTCCACCGGAGGACGGGGTTGCATCGGGCGCAACATTTCCTATCTCGAGCAGGTTGTTGTTCTGTCTTCCTTGGTTCACCGCTACGAATTTGCGCTGCCCAGGCCGGATTTCGAGTTGGAGCGAATTGAGGCGTTCAACATTGTGTGTGGCGCGTTGCCAGTGAAGATCTGGAAACGGGAGATTATGTAGAGATGTCGAATATTGCACAACGGGCAGGTTACTTGTATGGCTATGATAGTGGGAAATGCTAGAATGTCTTGGTTAGACTTGGGTTGATGAAAATTCACTACACGTTGCTGATCATTGCTCTCTTACCATTTATCAGTAAGTGATATGAACTGAGTAGCGGGGTTGTTGATGTTCCATCTGAATAGAACCATGCAGTTTATGTCATTAAAATTAGTCGAAGTTATCAACACATTGTCCAACTTGATGGCTCTATGTGGGCTGTGATGCCTGTCGAAGAGCCATGGATGCTGTGGTCCCGTATTCCCAGTTTCAGGCATTCAGATAGAGACCAGTCGGCCCAACATTTCCTGTTGGAAGTTGGACGACCAACTCCGAGTTCCCGTACGGGCGAGATTCACCGAGGTGGTATCTCCTTTCCATCAGCTTGGGTATGAATCATGTCGAGCATGGGCCACTATCACCAGATCACAAGTCCACATTGGAAGCGTCCAGGCCTTATCCAAGACGAACCGTCTGAATTCAAGCCACCGCACTGGGTCACGGTCCAATAAAATGCCTCTAAAATGACGGCTCCAATCTTTCAGGCCAAGTCTAATGCAAAACCCCGCAGAAGAGACGCACGCCGTCTCCGCCTCTTGTCCAAAAGAGGCAATATTTCGCCGGATTGATGCCAAAACACACCGGCGAAACCACCGAGCTGCCCTCTCCCCGCGGGGAAGAGTGCCGGCGCGAGCTGAATAACCAATCAGGAATCTCAAAGTTCAGTCTCCCAGAGTAAGCAGATTGAGAACGAGGGGCCCGCAGCCAGCCTCTATCGAGAAGTCTCCAGATTCCCCGGGGCTTGGGAGAGCGCTAAGGCAAGGTATCCCCGTGGGGGATGCGGAGAAGGCAAACGCTTTCGCCTGTTCGTGGCGTGGCCGAAATCCGATGGCAAGGTGGCCATGCACACCTCATCCCTGAAGACTTGGATGACGTCCCTAGACAGAAAACTATTAAAGGACTGCAACACCATGCCTTTGACATTCCAACAATTCACAGCAGCTCGCAATCAGCACATCCAATCCCACTCTCATCTCCCCTCTCTTACCTCCTCCGCGACAGCCAACATGGAGACCAAGGAATCTCTGAACAATTCCCAAGCGGCCGACAGTCAGGTCGAGGACGCTGACGGTCCGATCCAGCATGGAACCGCCATCATCTCCTACGACTCCAATGGCCTGGGTGGCATTGTGCGCTCGCCATACGTGCTTGGAGCTGCCGCTCTGGCCTCGTTTGGCGGATTTTCCTTTGGATACGGTATGCAACAGTGAGACTCTGCGGTGGTTCCCGGGCTAACCTTGCACGTTGACAGACCAGGGAGTCATTTCCATCATCCTGGCTATGGAACAGTTCCACAAGTACTTCCCCGAAACCGCCCCGGGACATCCTGGCTACGGCTTCAACGTTGGTTTCATGACGGGCATGTTGGAGCTCGGAGCCTTTGTCGGATGTCTCTTTCTTCCCTACCTGGCTGATCGCATCTCTCGAAAGTGGTCGCTGACTGTGGCTACCGGCTTCTTCTGCGTCGGTGCCATCATCCAAACCGCCGCCAACAACTACGCCGCTCTCGTGGCCGGTCGCACTATTGGTGGCGTCGGTGTTGGAACCCTCGCCATGGGAGCACCCTTGTACATCTCTGAAATCGCTCCCCCAAACCTGAGAGGATCTCTTCTCGTGCTCGAGGCCATCAGCATCGTCATTGGCGCCATTATCGCCTACTGGATCACATACGGCACAAGAGAGATTGCTGGGGAATGGGCATTCCGTCTTCCATTCCTTCTCCAGATGGTCCCGGCGCTCTTGGTCGGTGGAGGAATTCACTTCTTCCCCTACTCCCCGCGATGGCTGGCAATGAGAGGCCGTGATGACGACAGCCTCCAGTCGCTCTCCAAGCTCCGCAGAGTGCCGCCCAATGATGATCGTGTGCAGGCAGAGTGGAAGGGCATTCTCTCTGAAGTTCGTTTCCAGGAGGAAATTCTCCGACTGGAACACCCAACCGACAATCGCTTCAAGGCCGAGTTGGCCCAGTGGGCTGACCTTTTCCGACCCAAGTATCTCAAGCGCACTGCCATCGCCCTGGGAATTCCCTTCTTCCAGCAATTCTCCGGCATCAACGCCTTCGTATACTATGCCCCTACGTTCTTCGCTGCACTCGGTCAGTCGAGCGAAATGGCACTGATCTTATCCGGAATGGTCAACATCTGCCAGCTCGTGGCCGGTATTCCCACCTTTCTCTTCCTCGACCAGTTTGGCCGCCGCAAGTTGGCCATTGGTGGAGGCATCGCCATGGCAATTCCCCACTTGATTATGGCCGGAGTTGTGGCCAAATTCCAGGGTAAATGGGATGATAACCAGGCCATGGGATGGTTCGGTGTTGCCCTGATCTGTAAGTTTCCTGTGATTTTCCTCAAGGGGGTTGAGTTCTCACTGACACAATGTCTTAACAGATATTTACGTTCTTTGCTACGCTGTCTCATATGGCCCTCTTGCATGGACTCTGCCCGCAGAAGTCTTCCCCAGCTCCAAGCGTGCAAAGGGTGTCGGTGCAGCCACTGCCATGATTTGGCTTGCCAACTTTATCATTGGTGTTGTAGTTCCTGAAATGATGATCAAGCTCGGTTGGGGCACATACCTGTTCTTTGGCGTCTTCTGTGTTGCTGCTGCCATCTTCTCCTTCTTCTTGGTTCCTGAGACATCGGGCAAGTCTCTAGAGCAGATTTCGGAACTTTTTGGCGATAACAACATTGTGGCAGAGGAGGAGATTCGTCGACGCATTGATCGGGAGATTTGGACTGATCCCAAGTACCAGGTTTCTGCTGTTGCTGCGCCTACTACGTCCATGTAGAGACATGGCCGTTGGATTGGGTTCAAGATATTTAACCACCACCATACATAAGGCTACCATAACAATTCCTAGTCTACTCTTCAATTCTTGGTGTTCATAACCATTTTCTCGATAATCAAGTAACCTTCTGTCCATGAATGAGCTTCTCGTATTGCCGTCAACAATATCTTCACTGTGCCCATAAGCTCTGGTCAGCACCCAACCCAATAATCCTTACCTATTTATCCTGAGACCATTTAGATACAGCGAATGAACAAAAGATCTGAAAATCCATTTCAACCTGCAACCTTGTGGCGTGCTTTCCCACGAGCAGCGGAGGACCCGAGTCCCACCACGACCAGTACATGAATCTAGCTCCGGACACTGTGCAATGCAACATGGCACTCTAACTCACTCTAGCTTTAGCGTGAGGACGCAAATTCTGAGGAGTTGACTAGTCTGTATCTGTGGGGAATTGTGGATCGGGTGGAAATCCGATGTGCCCGTCGACAGGCATTCAAAACACGAGCACCACCCATGTCGACATCTCGGCGAACTGCTTCCTTAATCGGCCATTTCTGGGGTCCTGCACCCTTACTTCTTCCTCACAATACTGCCATGGCTCCGCAACCCCGCAAACGTACTGTTCCTTGCGACAAATGCAGAGGTACGTCGTGTTCTGTCGAATGTTGAGCTCTTCCGTCATGGCAAGCTGACCGAGATTGCTTATCTCCAGAGAAACACCTGAAATGTGAGTTCATTCGTACCCACGCCATCCCGAGTGGGCTGACAATAAACAGGCGATGGCGGAACGCCGTGTTCCAACTGCAGCAAAGCATCCACGAGCTGTGTGCGGATGGTCAAGAAGTTTCGAGTAAAGAGGTTGATTACATCCCACGACAGCTTCAAGTTTGACCCGGATCAAACGTGGATCCAGACTGGAAGCCAAAGTAAATGTGGTTTGATACTTGACGCGACCGGATGGCTGACAAAACCCAGAGCAACAACACTCCCTCTCCATCATCGACGAATCCGACGGCGCCTCCAATCGCACGACCCTAAAACCTACCCCCCCGATAGATGAGCCAGAGGAAAGCTGCCTGAGTGCTGCCGCTGAAGTGCTGCAGTCCTTTTCCAGAAGTGGACAAGCAGGGCCATACGAAAACGCGACTTCACATTCTACACTCGATGAAGACGAATCTCTGGATACAAGTCCTCGCGATGGGCTCTTGGAACGATGCAATATCCAAGACACCGCCAGTACAGACGATAACGGAAGTCATTCTCAGTTTTCCACGCCCAGCACCTCTACCTACGATCAGACCCCAGTCCCCCCATATCTCGAGCCTAGTCGCGGTCTTCCCAATGATTTCCACTCGGTATGGCAGCATTCACATCCAGACAGTTCCTTGGCAGACTCTGTAGATCATGCGAGCTCTCACTCCGACTCCCCATATCAGACGAATTATCTGATCCATCAGCGCCTCCCCTCCCGTTCAGTTTCGGATTATGCCACTCCGGCATCAATCCCAGGTGTTTCCAACAGTGGCAATCCGCTAGCCTGGAACTTACAGGAGGCTTGTCTTGTGCGTTGCTTTATTGAGACGATAGCCACGTCTGTAAGTCCATCAAAACATCTTCGCGATACAATCGTCCCGAATTCGAACTAACTCCCCCACTTGACAGTTTGATACAAGTGACAGAGACCACCACTATCTTAACGTGGTGCCTATCCGCGCCATGTATAGTCCCTTGCTTCTAAATGCCATTTGTACTGCATCAGCGAGGTATCTCACCCAAATCTGGTCACGACGCGAGCCTCACAGCATCGTAAGTTACAACGGCACTGAGCTCCCAGGCCTCACTGAAGAATCGGTTATACACTATCACAACAAGTGTATATCAGAGCTCATGGATGTCTCTGCGGATCCCATTAATTCGTGCAGCGACGATGCCTTAACAGCCATCACCATTCTTCGCTACCACGAGCAGGTCGATAGTAAGGTCTTCTTCTTCCAGGCGTGGCAGATGCACCATTGACTCTTTTCAAGCGCACTTCACAGGCATCGATGGCGAAACATTTTCGATAGCAGTACAAGCTGTGTTTCAGGCCCAGCAAGACCGATCGCTCGGGCAATGGCGACTCACCCTCCAACCACCGCGGGATCGAGATATGTTTGCGGTATCTATGCCATCTCTACGACACTCGGCATGCTTAATCGCTCTTCGGCAGGAAATTTGGTCCGTTCTGATCCACCGTCGGCCATTCCGATTACCCATTTTAACCGTCGACGATTACGCCAACTTCGACGACACGAGTACGCTCGACGACCACGATTGGACAAATTGTGTTATATTCTGGTGTGCCCACGTCCTCAAGTTTTGTTTCAGTGATGAGGGCTTTCTCAGTGTTGAGAACAAGAGGACAAGATCAGAGCAGTGGAATGCACTCAAAGCATTTGAGAAGAACTGGGACGAGAGGCCACCGCCGCATTTCGCGCCCCTTTATTATGAAGAGAGAAACCCCAGTGAAGGTCGGTACTTTCCAACAATATGGCTCGCAAATCATTCTCAAGTCATGGCTCTGCAACATGTGGAGCTAGCTCGCATCGTCCTCGCGGTTCACGACTCAAAGCTGCAGCGGATCGGCATCGGTGCAAGCGCCGCCTATCAAGCTCTCGAAGAGGTACTGATGCAATCTACCAGGCGAATATGTGCCTTGGGTATGGGTGATCTGAAATTTCAGGCCACAATGGTCACGGCGGGTGTGGGTATATCCATGTGTGGGGAGTACTTCCATGACGCCGGGGAGCAAGCAGCGATAATAAACGTCCTGACCACGTTGGAAAGCCAGCATGCTTGGCCTACAAGCACAGCAGTTGATGCGCTTCAAACAGCATGGAATGAACATAGAGCACGGAATACTTGAAAAGGGTGAGTTGAGGAATATCAATAAATAAAACTCCACCACTCAAGTTTCGCACCCAGACTATAACGACCATCAATTCTTAAAATCATAGATCTAACCAATCGTACCACAACGCACATGTCTAAATCGGAGGTCTACTAATCCCAAATTATGAGAGCTACAAATAGTATGGGACATGTAGTCCATCGGTTCACAATTAGCGTCTCCTGTAAAGTTGAGATGTAAGACTCCCATCCTGAAAAAAAGAGGGGGAAAAGGCACTCGCCAACTGCAACTGGTACGATATATCTCAGACGTACAAATAATACCTACCTAGTGTACCACAGCAGCTTAGGATAACTCGGGCTGTCATTGACGTTCGAACTATTAAGAGATTCCAAATATTAGACAAATGGTAGGGAGGTAGGCTGTTTCGCTAGCTAGGCGTCCATAAGGCCCTGATCTGCTAGTTCTCAAACCGAGAACCGAAAAGTACAAAGGCACATTTCAAATGCATAAGCCGCCGTGCTATACCCGATGTACCTTTCCACCATTGGTCTCAAAATAAGAGTCCAAGTTAGAATATAATTACCCAGGCATAGCAGCTCTTTCTATACCGTTTTTCAATTTCTGCTGTAACAAAAGGCGAAGTTGCCTGGTCAGCCAAAACAACCACGCCCACCCACAGGATCCTTGTAGTGTAGAAGAATCACCTACTGCTCTGGAGGAACTGTCAAGTGCACTAATAGTGTAGCACCTAGAAACAGCTTGAGAAGAGTGAAAAGGGGCGTCATCATAGTCACTTACTCTGAGTAGATCGGCAAGAACGCGCAAAATACAATAGTAAAGTATTGGAAGGTTTGGATTGAGATCCAAAATTAGAAAGTAACTATAAGATATTTAAACAAACTTCAAGCCGCCTCTCATAGCCTCTACTGTCCAGTATTGTATGCAGTACGTTCTTACTGTAGACCCAGGCACCGGTCCGTACTGGAGGCTTCCGGAAGTCCCTCAGGGGTAGTCTGGGCTCTTGTAGAGAAGCACGGCTGAGCCCGAGAGGGCCTCGGTCCAAATTACCCTCATAGAGTTAATTGACAAGTTACAAGCGGAGCTGCTCGTCGGCCGATAGGATATTCACTTCCAGACTTCAGTAGAATAACAACCAACATCTTGAATGCAATAAGTTTAACCGAACCCTTCAGATCTGTTACAACGAGATTCCCAGCCGCGTCACCTCAGGTCATCCACCAGTCTATAAAAACTAGCAATCCCAGCCACGTCACCACGCGTCAGCCGTCTATCACAACAAATATCTCCACTGGAATACTGTTAAGCGAAACTTCAACCCTTGCTATCACAATATTCCCAGCCACGTCACCTCGGGCGATCCATTCGCCTATCACAGCCAACATGCCGTATGTAATAAGATTAAGCTAATCTTCCATTCCTGCTACCAACAAGAGTCCCAGGTACATCACCTCAGGCCGTCCGTCGTAATTCTAGAATAGAGAGGCTAACTGTCATACAACTATTATCCAACCTTTTCGAACATTCGCCAAGATTAATCGCTCCCGAAAGACAGTCTGAGGCATGCGTATCCCAGAGGATTTGGATTTATGCTTCACCGATGTATCCAACTGGAACTAGAATACCGACCTCGTACGAATCGCGCGGGACCGCGGCGCAGTACAGCGATATTTTGAGGCCCTCGACCAAGGCTTTCTTGGCCAAGCAATACGAGAGCGCTACGCCTTCGATGGCCAGGTCGGTCCGGACGGCATCGTTCAGGACACTGGAATGCGCATAGACGAACTTGTTATCAGCGACTTGCAAGAGTACCTAGACGAAGACGACGACCGCCTCGAGGCCACTAAAATGGTCCTGACTCAAGGACTTGCAAATATCCACGATCCCGGCATAGAGCTCGTGCGTACAATGATCAACATGATGGACGCCGACCCTCCCGCCGCTCGGCGCAAAAGATCAATCAGGGCCCAGTTGCTTGAATTTCTGGAGGAGCATGAGCTAGACCTTGGCAAAGTCGACCGTTTGGTCGACATCTTGTTCGAAGAGTGATAGAGGTGCTTCTCCAGGATCACCGAGAGTCCATAATTACGCCTGATTACTTTACTTGACAACTAGCGACACAGCCGGTCCCTTCCGAGAAAGCAGCACCACCGCTTTAGTTAGCAAGTCAGATCAATCGTACCACATGATTCCTGTGCTTCCTACCGCAGCCACAAGCGCGTAACCTACACGCCACCCCGTAAGACTGAAGCTCGCGCAGATCAATCAGGCTGCCAATATGCTTATAGGGAACTCGCGGCGAGTTCCGGCAGCGCTGACAGTAATTTTAGTAAATAGGGACACATGCTATATTCGGGCTTCTGGATCGACGACTGTGACATACAGGAACCTGGCATCAGAGGTGGGGATAATTCCCTTGAGGCACCTATGCGCCTTCAGTATCTTCAAAAAAAGAATGCCCAAAGTCATATTAGAAAGACATCAGGTTGTAGGAAGGGCTGCGTCCAGGTTAGTTCAGCTCATTGTCAGTATAATAAAGACACTAGTTTCTTTAGTGCAATTAGCAATAGTTTTAAATAGTTAGCTAAGGACTATTATTCTCTCCCCTCTAGCTATTATTTAATGCTACTTACGAGCTAGCTGATTCTTCGCTATCTGAATCAATTCTGTTTATGTAGTAGGGAATGGCGTGCTGGACAAGAATCCAGATGAAAACCTACCCTGTTTCGTAGCTACCACGTCTCTTCAACCCAGGACGTCTCTGCATACATCAGAAGATGTTATTTCCGTTTTACACTGGGTGTGTTCAACATGCGGGTAGCCCGATCCTATTTTCCCCTCTCTCTTTATGTTAGAATCTTCTTTCTTAAGCCGTCCAAAGGCCCGGTAGGGGCTGTTAGATATGCGGCGGTCCCCTAGAATGAGACTGGTTTCCAGTCGAAACCCGCGACAGCCAGCTATACCTCAAACATGAGCCCGTGCTGAGACCGGTGGTGCCATGATGCTGGGCTGATGTAACGTCCGGTCCTCTGCCGTCTCCGGCGAGTGTCCCGATTTATCAGCCATGAAATTTGTATGATTGATTTATGCTATTAGAAGTGTCTGATGAAACAGTTTTTCTTGTAGTAATATAAACCTTGCCAGAAGGAGGTGAGAATAGAGTGTCTGCCAAAAATAAAGCCGCTTCCAATAGTTCATGCTGATTGTAAAGATTATTTCACCCCAATATGCCCCATAATAAGCTTTGGGGAAGGAACCTGAAAGATTCAAGACCAGCTATGGAGTAAAAAGGAACAAAAAACATACAACAGCGAGGATTCCCCGGTCGTCACCGACCCGAGTACTAATTCGCCGCTTCTCAGCTTGACTAAGGGAGAGCGGACGGGATCCCGTATTTTCTAAGAGCTATGGTCGTATGTGCTTGGAGGAGGAGCACAACCTGATTTTAAGCCCGGGGTTTAGTATTGTACGCACCATAATCGTACAGGAGTAATTGCATGACCGAAGCGGCAGTTTCAAGTGCTGGAATTTATCAAAATCGAGCTAGGCAACTCTAGCAGTTTTATACAACTGAGCGGAGTGGATACCGGGGTGCTAGAGGATAAGTTAATTAGGTAGGTCGTAAGCTGACGAGTCGCAAGGCATGATGGGCGAAGACACCAAGCCTTCAAAGAGCGATTATAAATGAAAACTTGCACTAGAATGGAATAGTAACTTATAATGTTGTTGCATATGGAAAAGTAAGCGATTGTTGACCCTGAGACTGACTCCCTAAAGGCGGTATCGTGGACAATCCTAACCCTCACGTAATATCACACATCAGCACCTAATAAATAGGGTCCTTATATAAATAAACCTTATATCATAAAGCCAGCCAAACTATCTCTTGTTTATGTTTGGAGGCAACTCTACCAACGCTGACCCAGTTACTGTTGTGTTAATCTTAAGACGGTACGGCTGCCTCTTGGTAATCTGGACTCAATGGGAAAGCCTTCAGCTTGCAAGTTACAACTAACGTATATAAATAAGCGTTTCTCATTCATACTCAAAGCGCAGGTGAAGCCACCCTTGTGGCATTGGATAGTCTACTGACCAACTGTGTGAGGCCCGGAATTCGCAAAGTATCTCACACCCATCCATGGTCGCCCTGTAGCAGATTTTCTTGAACAATTGGTTTGTTTGCGCCAGAAGCTAAAACTACAACAGCACGATAAAAGGTTCAATCCCCAAATTCATGGTGCGATCATAGCTCATTACTTACCTGACATGTTTAGCAACAGCGTTCGCAGTTCCTTCACTCACACAATAGAGAGGACGTAAAGAACTGTTGATATTAACTAGTTGATGTGACCCTCCACAACCAAGGGAGGCGTGCAATTGGAACGAATATAACAAAAAGGTTGAATCAAATTCGGGCCGATCGAAACGAACCGACCTATTATTCGGCACGTGAGTCTCACTCAGCAACTGCATCTTACACCATCAAAACACAGCAGATGCAAACAACGGCTCCCACATCGAGGAAACAAAAAGAACTGTCGGTGGAGAGGCTCGAACTCTCGACCTTTGGATGTCCCTGACCTATGGCCAAGTCATATGTTCTATGAGACCAACGCTCTAACCAACTGAGCCACACCGACGAAGGCACTGGATGAAGTGCTAATCCCTTTCCGGATTTTCTGTCTACGCTAGTTTTTTCGACTGGCTTTATAGCTTCAGTCAGAATCTTCTACGCTGTTTCTAATTATACGCCTCTATCCCCACTAGATAATGCAAATCCTCCTTAAAGATGATACTCTTCGGACCTGTTCACCTTCACACCCCGCCTTTCCCAAACGCCGGTGATTCCCATGTCTGCTACTCCACTAAATTCGGTTAGTAATTTGTTTCAAGTTCATCCTTTCCAATTAAGGAACTTACTCGTCCCTCCAGGTGATAACAGGCTCCGTGGCGCCACTCTTGGTATCAGGGTTCCGGAAGATCATGTTCTTCGTCTGTTCACGCAATTAGTCTTTTATCTTTGTATGTTGTGAGAAACTTTTCTTACCAGGCCCAGGGTAAGATGAATAGCTGGAGGTGTCACGGTGATATGTTCGCTAGGTTGGCGGCCAGCAATCATGGCAAGAATGTTGTCAGCGACGACTCGGGCTTGTCCCGCACCGGGACGAGCGGCTTTATGAGCTCCGCTGTCGGCAATATCGCCGGCGGCAAAGAAGTTGGGGTACTTAGGGTCCTTGAACTGTAAAGTTGGGAGGACATTGATAAATCCATTCGTGGGGTTGATGAGTGAACTGTCAGGGGATGGCTCAAGTGTCTCCAGGAACTGGGTGTTCGGGGTCTGGCCTGTGGCAGCAATAACAAAGTCGGTCGGAACCTTGCGGCCGTCCTTCAATTCCAGCTCAAAGTTGGATCCATCGTTAGGGAAGCCACCCGGAGGGACAACTGCACGAGTGCCAGTGATCACGCTGGTATAGGCAGGTTAGTTCTATCGACATTGTAGACCGTTTCGACGATGCTTACCTCACTCCGAGCTCTGTGAAGCGGTCTCTGATAATTTGATCCATCTTAGGGTGATAGAGCTGCATTATTCGGTCTCGTGAGTGGACCAGAGTCACGCTCTTCTCTGGGTAGATTTCCTTCAGGTCTGTGGCCATTTGCACACCCACAGCTCCACCGCCCACAATGACAATGGCCTTGGCGTTCTTGACTCCTTGTTGATACGCCTTAAAGTAGTTGATCGATAAGGGCTTTTCGTCATGTTCCATGGAGCCAGGAGGCGAGAGACGCGTACCCGTCGTGACAACAGCATACTCGAATGGGACCTTGTTAGACCCTTGCCAGTCTCTGTCGAGGACAACATGGTCCGACGCGAGAGATATAGCGCGGGCCCGAATCACGGCATGCTGTGACGGGTCTGAGGCAGAGGCGAATGCCCCAGAATAGGGAATGAAGGCCTTGTGCTCATGGCTTGGCAAGATCGCAAATCGGGGCTGTGGGGTCAGTCAGAATGCATGCCAAGACTGCCTCATCAGAACGACCCACAAACGCGAACAGATGGTGGAAATGGCTGTGCGGCTCTACCAGGAGTACCTGTAGCTCAATATTAGAATTCCGTTTTAGTGAGTCCTGTATGGGTGATGAAATTACCCGATGAGTCTTGGGCAGAGCAGCCGTCAGCTCTTTCACCGCTGCCTGCAAATACTGGTTAGCGGTCGCACTGAAAATGGGGAATCTCAGAACCCACCAGCCCGACATACGAGCCGCCCAGAACAACGACATTTTTGAGTGGCACGGCCATGTTGATGTGTAAATTATCGTCTTTGTGGGGTAACGGGGTAGTTTGTCTTAATTTAACAAAATAAAACGACCAAAATCCCAAAAATAGAAGGATCCCAATGCAGCTTCTCCTGTAGTCGCTCTGTGGAGGCTTTTTATGTCCCCTGCGGATATCCGGATTTACGGATTTACGGAGGTCCGACACGGGGGCCGAGTTCGGTCTTTGCCGCGGTCGGCCCTTTGGTTGCTGTGTCTTTTGGACAGAAGATTCCGTCATTTTCGAGCATAATAAAATGTGAAATCATCGGGATATTTATAATTGTTTCTTCGATTGGTGATTAAATCCGATATTGCCGAGCCTGGTCTTCAGATGGTGCTCGTCCGATTTGCTGGTTATCACGGCATGACGCGCGTCAACTCAAGAATTTTAACGTCACAGCAAGATCGCGACGGAATTACACCATACTCCCTTTTCAGATTCCCTCTAATTTGACAACCATATCCTAAAATTTATACACATAATATTCGTTTCCCAGACTGGTCCTGCCAATTTATCCCCGCCTCAACTCCCGACCAAAGTGCCGGTGACTCTAGGGTAGCTTGAAATAGTGGTCCCGACTTCATCTGCCGAGCTGGTCGGAATGTGGAGGGCATTACAAATCATTCGCCTCAAGGAACGGCAAACCATTGAGGGGTTGAAAAGTCTCTGCTAAATTAAGCCACGTTTAGAACAAAGAGCGAGAACGGAGATGACAAAGCGATTGATTTTCCAACGAGCTCAAGTTGTGATCGCTAGCATTTGTTGGTCGACTGTCTAAAGACCTTTCACTCCGACCTTCAGCAGCCACGGGTCTGCCTCAAGCTCAGCCTTGATCTTGCTCGAAGCCAAGTCATTCACATCCCAGGTTGACCAAACAAAGCGGCCATGGAGAAACCGAGCCTCCGACGATGCGGCCCAGACAGCGAATTGACCAGGTAAGTTTTCTAATATATTTAGCAAAGCTGCACCTTACTAGGGTAGTGAGGCATACCATCAGTCCAAGGCAGAGTGTCCCTAGTGTACCCTGCTTTCGCTGCCGCTTCTGTGAATACAATAGAAGGATGGAAACTGAGCACTTGCATCGCATCCGATGGAGTGTCGCGTGCGATTTGTTGGAGTACACAGGTGAACGAGTTTTTGGTCAGCTGGTACCCCGGCATCTGGGGAGCGCTGTCCCAACAATGAATGTCTTGTGTTGAGACATATACGCAATACTAGGTCCATGGCGCCTACTGTCAGTCCTCAAGAAGTATACAAATGACCGCGTAGTAGCTGATCAGTGACGGTACCTTTTGTCCGGAGTGGTTGGGTTGCTTGTAAAACCTCTCGACCAAGTACAACGGAGCTCGTACGTTCGCCTCGAAGTCTTGCCAGAGCCTGTCAGTACCCTGATCCAGAATAGTTTTAAGCTCCGGCTGATGCACTGCATTCAAAATGAGGACATCGAAAGTGATGAAATCCTTTTCAAACTTGTCGTAGACGGCTTGCGCCTCCGCTCGGTTGAAGATGTCGCATGTTTGGCCGATAACTTCAGTATTGGGGTAAGCCTCGTGAAGTTTGGAAGCAGATTCCTGTAGAACCTCGGACCGGCGACCTAGGATGACGACCTTGGATGCACCAGCTTCACAAAAGTTTCTGGCAATGGCATGACCGATGCCGGTAGAGCCGCCGCAGACCAAGACCGTCTTTCCCGTCTGTGCCAACTCGGGCCGAAGGGGAGAAATGGCCTCATAGGGCTCACTGTGTAGCTTCTATTTACCAATTATTTAAGCACGGTATCCCGGGATAAGAGATCGGGCCGTAAACTCACCACCGAATGTCCGTTGAACATGGCTTCTGTGGTCGATGCTTGAACAAATGGTTGGAGGAAGTCTTTCTTAGAATAATGAAAGGGGCAAAGCTGATGTCTGACGCACAAATTGGCTGGATATCTTGAGCATTAAATAGCAATTTGACACCAGACTCTTATCCAACATGACGATGGCCTCGCCAATCCAGGATGCCGAGTATTCGTCCAAAAGAGGCCTAGTCTACTTCATGGTCCGTGTCTCTGACGTAGCAACCGGTGGGAGGTTTTTAGCGTCGACCGTCGACGATCCCCTGAAATTGAGAAATATCGCGTGTCCACCACCGCGTGTTCCCCAGATATTCAATCGGCCAGCGCCACCTTCTTCAAGACTCCGGCTATCCCGGCTCTTTAGTCTCCCTTGAATTGCTCACCGACTGAAAATGACGCTCAGTTCGTCCACACCAGCAGCAAGGGTCGCAGACGTGAGCGTGACGCTGAGGCCCCGAAAACCCTACTCCCGGAGTCGGACTGGATGTCTCACCTGCAGACAGAAACATCTTAAATGCGATGAGAATCGGCCTATCTGGTCCGTCAGCCCCGATATTTCCCTTTTTGGCCAAATAGCCGCCTTCCCTGCAGCCCATTCGTCTTGCGGGGGACGCAATCTTCAGCTGCCGTGGGGTGACGGATGTCGCTAACCGTCCTGCTCCTAGTGCCAATTGTGTGAATACAGACCGACCCTGCGAATATCCTATCATGGGGCTCCCTCTTCGCGAACGTCGGAAGAAGTGGCTACCAGGCGAGCAACAACCTTGGGCGGCGCCTCACACGTCAAGCATGCCCATTGTGCTGTCTTCTAAAGTGGACCCATTTCATTGCCTCCCAAACGGCATGCCGTTCAGGTCATCCGAGCTTTTGCAGTACTGTGAGTAACTACCTCTCTACGCGCAGGATCACAGAGTCGTTGATATTGTGCTCAATGTAGTTTCACAGTTGGAAAACCCAATTGGCCACGGCTTAACAAATAAACAGAGTCAATGGTACGTATTCTCTCTGCCCCCTCTCCTGGTAGGTTGTATTTGCTAACCACTTGATTCAGTCTATCCCTTGCGGTTCAAAGCCCAGATGCACTCCGTAATACTCTTCTCATTGCAGGATTGCATTATGCGTGGCACTCAGGCCAACTGCGAAACTATGAGTCGACATTCTTCTTCCACAAAGTTGAAGCCATGCGCCTTGTCAACGGATGGCTGAAATCCCTCCAACCGAAGATGGTTGCGGTGTGTATAAGAGAGATATCCACACTCGCATTTACAGAGGCAAGAACCACGCAATGATCTCAACTTTCAGAGTTATTAACACTGCGTAGTGCGGCCTGGGCGATCTGGCAACTGCTGAGACCCATCTTGACGGTCTCACAAGGTTCATGGACCTCCATAAGCCTGTTACTATCCGAAACCGGCCCGAACTTGGCGTTGAAGATGAACTTGCCCACAGATACTTCATGCTGTCAGCTGAATCTCCCCTTCTCACTACAGCCGCATTGATTGACTAAATTGACAGGTCATACACCTTTATACACGGCGTCAAAAGCCGACTGAAGGATATTATCGACACAATAGACCCCTTGGGAACTAACGCTAAGCTTGAACCCTTCGAGGTTGAGTCACTCATGCATAAGTGGCATTTGGAAGAGATTGGCGGTTTAGAAACGAGGCTGAAGGCGATGACTCTGTTCCCTGCCTTTTTCAGCCCGCCTCCGCCGCGAACGGTGTTCCAAGACATTGACGGACTTCCCATAATTGAGACTTTGCGGCAGATGACAAAAATGGTGGTTCTTAGTCGAAGACGAGACTGTGTCTCCCCGTCTGGAAATGGAGAGCCTCTGGATCAAGTTTGGCTCGAGGGCGCACCTACTAGAATGCTGCTTGCTTTTGTCAACTCACATTCGCAATCCATGTCCCACTCTGGCAAAATCATGATGGTATCCAATGCTTCAGACTACATGATGGCCTCCTGGTCGGGAGTATTTTCAGCCACAAGTCTTTATCTCCAGTCAGTACTGGTGTTGTGGAACGCTGGTCAGCCATTGGAACCCAGGCTTCATCGACGGGTGCTGCTCATTCTCAAGCACGACCTGGACCGACTCGACTACATGGAGGAGTCTGGAAATACAGTGGCCTCAGACTTCTGGCTTTGGAGGGCTTTCTTGGGAGCATTTAGCCTTGCGAGGCATCATAAATGCACACAAGAAATGGTGCAGACCCTCCAGCCGTATTTTGAACATTTGATCGGGACGTGGATCCTGAAAACGGGAGTTACTGCGTGGGCTAAAGCAAAAGAGCGATTGGCATCGATTGTCTGGCCTGATGGCTTCCGTCACGACGATGTGGCAGAGGCGGTTTGGAACCGCGCGGTCCTGCGATTAACGAGACGGTAAACTGAGCCAATTTTGTCGGAGTTGTTTTCAAATGTAAACGGCAGACAGTTTGGGTGGCTTCAAAATATAAAAATTACTCATCTAAGGACCCTATTTAATGAGCGCTCATGTCTGACGCTGTGCTATCTCATTGACTGCTATGGGAAAAGTTGGATGATCCATCAGCTAATACACATTGTAATGAAGGCCGGTATTACACATGACAGGCTCCCTAAAATCTGCTGCTTACAGGGCGCAAGGAAGCCTAATAAAGCTGACAAGGGCAACACTATGGCGGTGGATGCTCGCACATCCGCGGACTTGTCTCAGAGCTCGAACATCCGCGGACTTGTCTCGGAGCTCGAACATGCGAGCTAAATTAAATTTGTGATCAGTGGTTGACGCAGTGCCGTAGTTCCTCTACCCCCCTGTGATGGCTCTAAAACATCACCAAAGTCCGTCATGGGGTTAGGTTGTGTTCTTTAAGGCTAAGAATAAATGGACCAACTCGATGCGGCTGGTATTTTATTGTATTGGAGGACGGTGTCCGTAATCTCTTCCATTCTAGAGTGCTACTTGAACTAACCTACCCGTAGTCGTTCACTCCAATGACTAGTCGGGCATATACTTGCCGTACAGTGGGGATATAGGAGAAAACACCCTTGAACCAATATTAATAAAGAAACCCTGATATATTTCTCTGTACTTCTTGCAGAATTTGGGCTCTCCAAAGAATTGGACGACCGTGCATTGCCCAAGTGCCAAATGTAATCGCCGACATAAGACTCCGACACATGACTGAACGTTTAACCTTCTCCCCTAAACGTTAAAGTAAGCAATGACAGACCCACCCCGGGATCTGGGTCCTAGTGGGTTTTGACTTTCCGCGGTTTCTAGCAGTTCGGCAACCTTCCTGTGGCCCATCTGCTCAGCCCAGTCCCTAGCAGACCTCCCAACATTGTCTTTAATGGAGAGGTACATGTTCCCGTAAAAATTAGAATAGATGAGTTCCTGCACGGCGGTCGTGTTTCCCCCTTTTGCAGCAATATGCAAGCAAGTCTCGCCATTGAAATTCCGTCCAAATATATTCGCGCCAGCCTCAAGCAAGAGCTGCACCATCTCACATAGTTTGTGTTGGCCAGGTTTCTTAAAGGCGAGGTGCAGTGGCATCTCCTGAACCCTGCACTTGGTTCCGAATTCATGTCTTAAGAGAGAGGCACGGATTCTGTCAGTTGTCGGGGCTGTGTCTATCGCATTGGGATTCGCTCCTGCAGCGAGCAGTACTTTCATGCATCCGACGGCACTGTGGATAACAGCCAGATGTAACGCAGTCTGCCTGTTTTCATCTACAGCATCAACGTCTGCTCTGTGGCCCAAGAGAGCTGATACTATGTCTGCATTTCCCATTATAGCTGCCCAGTGTAGTGGATTTCGTTTTTGACAGTCAATTGCATCGACGCTGGCCCCGTTATCAAGGAGAAATGTGATGATCTCCGAGTTGCTAGGACTCTCCGCGATGGAATCATATCCTGCCCGAGTCGGTGTCAGGTTCTTTCCTCTCATGCCATTCCAGTAGTTGAGGAATCTCGTCGGTGCGGTGAGGTACTCTCTAGGAGGATCAGACCAGTCGCGGATGATTGCCCACATTAGCGGCGTTTGGCTGTTGCAATCTCTTGCATTGATGTCTCGCCGGCCATCGAGTTCGATCAAATGCCTGGCCATCCAGTAGTTCTCAGCGCCGCAGGCCGTGTGGAGAGCGGAAGCTCGCCGTTCTCCTACTTGTGCTGTTGATGCGTTGAGACGGAGAAGCTCCCTGCACGTCAGCTCCATCCCTGGACCTTTGCTAAGAATGGCTAGGTGCAGAGCGGTTCGCCCTATTTCGTCGCAGATATCAATGGGTACTCCCGTCTCGACAAGCTTTTGCAGAACAAAAGGTCTTTCCCTGTCCACAGCTAAATGCAAGACTGGTTCATCTTCATAACGTTCTTCAACTGCCCGAGCTCCCGCATTGAGAAGTAGAGGTGCTGCCTCTTCAAAGAAAGCATCATTGTCGCTGTTGATGACTTCAACAAGTGGCGGCCCTCTCATCTTCCACCTCCCTGGCAGCACATCAAGATTCGGATTAACACCGGCATCTAAGAGTAATCTGACCAGGTCTAAGTTCTGTGACGAGCAAGCCTTAGTCAGAGCGAGCCCTTCCAGTGGTGCCCCGGCGGATAGAAGCATCCCCACAATCGTAGTGTTGCAATGTGAAGGCCCGCACGCTACGGTAATCAGTTGTGAACCGCCGGGGGCTCTTAGAGATGTATCGGCCCCAGATTCAAGTAGACAGGCCACGATATCTGGGTTGCCAGCCCTGATTGCCCAGGCGAGAGGAGTCCCGAATTCAGAGTCCAATTCGTTCAAGTCGAGACCACTATCTATTTGTCCTTGGAGCTCTGTTAGGTCATTTTTTGAAATTGCACTGAAGAGGCCCCTTAGTGGTTTAGAAATAACAGGGCGGCGGCGCCAGGTCGTGATTACCGGAAGTCTTGGTTCTGTCAAGGACTCCCGTTGATCGTCGTTACTAGGCATTCTCTTCAGTTGTCCACCAAGGTTGATAAGGTATGGCCAATCTCCCTTGGGATCTTCGAGGTCCGGCGGTTGTCTTTGTCGTTTTGTCAGCAAACTTAGGATTTCGACATTTCTTGCAAGAACCGCTGCATCGAGAGCGGTAAGATGCTCGCGGTTGTGACCCTCAAAGTTTTCTTCATCCGGTAGTGAGCTGAACTCAATTGGGTTGACTTTCCCCTCCAAGAGAAATTTAACCATCGGCAAATTCTGTCCTTGGGCGGCGCACCCCAGAGGCGTTGGATATTGCTTATTTTGCACGGTGGATTTTGAAAGATCAAAGCCTAGGCCAACTAAAAACTCGGCGAAGGCCCTGTTTCCATCGCGAAACGTTTTGTTAAAGACGTTTAGCGTTACACATGTAGGTAAGTGTAGATTCTGCGGTGCATATGAAAACAGGCTGGCCAATATTGTGACATTGTCGCGTTCTACTGCGGCTTGGATGGCAGCGTTGATTGGCGATTTCTCACAAAATGTGAAACTCTTAGGTGCGGTCGTAGCAGCTGCGGACCACGCGATTGGAGCAAGGATAGAGACAATGCCAACGTGGAGGTTCCTGACGGCGATAGCTAACGGGATACGATGCTTCCCAGAGTTTCCGCATGACTCGTGATTGGCATTTGCATCAAGTAGAATTCGGACGACTGACTCCTGTCCAGCATCACAAGCTTTCTGAAGTGCTGTCTCGTAATTGGGTCCCTTCTTGTCTACATCAGCCCCATGTTCAAGGAGGTAGCTGACAGTGGCTGTGTGGCCCATCTCGGCCGCGTAATGGAGCGGAGGTCCGGACGCGGTCAAGTTAGGCGCATCGTTCCGTCGCAACTGTTGAGATAGCTCTCCGTCATTTGGATCCACTCCTAACCCAAGGAGAAGACTCAACACTTCGGTGAAGCCCCCTGCTGAGGCAAAGTGGGTAAGGGATAACCCACTTGAATCACGGCTAACTGGGCTTGCGCCAGCCTGCAGGAGCGTCTGGACGATTTCAAGGTCTCCAATTCGCACAGCACGATTGAGTGGAGTTCTTCCGTCACTGTCGTGGGCATCGACAGTTGCACCGTAGGTAATAAGAAGCTTCACAACGTCGTGGTGTTCATTTCGACATGCCCAGTGCAAGGAAGTCCAGGAGTTCTTGTCTGCCCCGTTGAGGTCTAGAAGGGCATGTTGGAGAAGATATTCGACAACGTTGGCATGTCCGTTTGCGGATGAGAGGAAAAGAGAATTTAGGGTCACACCGTTGTGAGACCTCGAAATTAGAGCAGTAAGACTTTGGATATCACCAATAGCCGCTGCACCATCTGCTGCATTGTACCCTGCGGGCGAGACGACACATACGTCGACGTCTTGTCTGAGCAGTTCGTTGATAACCGCAGTGTGACCGTGGGAGCAGGCGTGCATCAGAGCAGACCGACCAAACAAATCAATGGCATTGGCATCCCATCCCGTTTCAACAATCAGATACCGAACCACTGCATGGTGTCCATTTCGAGCAGCAACATGTAGTAGGAACTTGTCTTGTGTATTCCAACTTCCGCTGTCGCTGGCGCGCTGGTGGAATAAGCGTAGGATGTCTAGAGAACCTCTCGCAGCCGCAATCATCTCAGGAAATGATGAAGTAGAGTGTCTCGATGGACTTTGAATAATGGCCATCGCCCAAGAAGTGATGTTAAAATAGGCTGCAATCTCCAGGCATGAGGGAAGTCCATTCCTGTCTAGCAGAAACGTTTTTTGAAAAGCATAATCGAGTTTTGATCGTCTTGCAACCCAGTCTACGAACCACTTTTGCTCCGGAGCCATTGTTTCGAAAAGCGATGGTATGTCGACCAAGTCGTCTTGGTGAGACTCCGATAGGTGTTCCGGCCAATACTTAGTCGAGTAGTCTGAGAACGCCGAGCATGCATCTCCTGTCACGTCTGAAATTGACCATTCTGGGCCAAATCGCAGAAAATTAATGCATGCAAGTGCGATCTCCTGGCTAGCCTGCGTATGGGTGAGCAGAAGGGTCGAATCCTGCTCAGGATGGGCGTTCATGCCTGTATTTAGTATGTACGCAGCAACTGAACAGTGCACCAGTTGAGCGATACCACTTTCAGTAACCTCCAGCAATGGAAAACATATCGATCTGATCTGTTTCAGAGGATCCAAGAGGCGAGTCTCATCAACGTCGTCTTTTGTTGGACCTGCGACGCTAGGTATCCTGGATAAAGCTTGGCTTTGAAGTGCAACCAAAACGGTGTCAACATGCATCGGCTCGTGTGAGGTTGTGACCCATGCGAGCAGATTTCGGGCAAGCTCGCGAGTACTGTCAGTATTATTGCTGATTCGCCTGAAGACGGTCTCGTAGTAGTCATTTAAGGACCTCGGGAATTTTCCTAAACGAAGTCGAACTGCTCCAACAGATGATTCAATCTCCAATTCATCGAGCATGAGACGGACGTAGAGGAACATCCCCTCTGCTCGGGCAGTGACGTCTTTCTTGATCTGTTGGGCCACAGCTGGATGCCTCAGCTTGCTTGAACGTAGGATGCGACTGTCGATGTAGGTTTCAATGTCTCGAGCTGCTGCTGCATCTGGAATCTTAAACTCGGAAATAGCCTGAGACAAGCTACTGATCCCAGAAGACTTCTCAACCCATGCGACGATGTCTTCATCTGGCCGCCCGGTAATGAGAACACGGATAGATGGTGCAAGAGAGACAAGCCTTGCTAGTGAATCCAAAATGTCTTCCCGTTCATCCTGGTCAGCTTCGTCAATGGCGTCGACTATCAGGTAAACCGGTGTGTTGGCTAAACCGCGCGCAAGCTGGAACAACCCAGCCCACAATTTTGGGGGAGATTGTGCTTCCGACTTTCCACTGCTCGCCCGGAGGGAGTGAAGAGCCTCGAAAGTTGAAGAAGTGTTGATGTTTTTGTTGATCAGGAGCTGATACAGGATTGTCCTGACAAAAAGCAGATTACTGCGCCTAATTCCCTGCCCTTGCTTCGTGCTGAAGAGGTACTGGACGACATTGCAGTGGTCGCCGGCAAGAGTTTTCGCAATGAAGTGTGCCAGGAAGGTTTTCCCAGAGCCGACGCCTCCCCTAAGCCATAGAAACTTCAGGGCCCCGTCTCCATCTTGATTTTTGGTCCATCTGAGATATTCGGGCTGTTGCAAAATCCATTCGGAGGTACCTGGGACCCATTGCTTGGAGTAAACTGTGTTGTCGTGTTCAAGGTTGACAGGGGAAAGCCATTTAAGGCTTTTTTCACGTTGTTGGCCTATATTTGTTAGTTCAAAACAATATAATCGTAAAAATTGGTCAACACCCACTCTCTCGTTGAATAATGCCAGTGTCCTTCAATTCCGTTGTAATGTGCTTCACATCTTGCACATATAATAGTGACACGGCTGCCGCAGTGTTCTCAACTTCGTTCCGGTGTCTATCTATTGAAGCAAAGATGTCGAGAAACTGTCGATCAAATGAGCTTGACATTGATCTCAACAGGTTGACTATTGAGAGATTAGCCATCGACGGTCAACAACCAGTGTTCCTGTTGGAGCGCACCCAAGCCATCGCTCTCCCAATAACGCACAGCTGCGAAACAGAATTCAATGTAGCTGACGAATAGATTCCCCAAGGCCTTTTGGAGAATCGTGTTGTCCCGAAAGTATTGACCGTAAAGGTTGTATCGAGGCAGGGCATCGACCAGATGATTGAGCTTTTCGGCGAGTTTGTCAAAGCCGCGACCACGCTTCTCTAACACCAACAGGACGAGCTTCAAAGGTGCCCAGACTACAGAACTAGAAATATTGTCAGAGAGTTGCATGTCCGCAAGCCTTAATGCTCACTTACCCAATCCTTCCATCGATTTGGACCAGTACGTCGGCAACAGTTTGGAAGTCTCTGAGTGGGGCAGTGGCGCGATTAACCACATCTAGAAGCTTGTTAACCTTGCGATTGCTGGAGTTTCTTTGTGCTCGTTCTAGAATTGATACGATATCCTCCGGTGTTGTTACCGAGGAGAGAGTGTGTTGATGCTGAGGCGAGATCGAGGATAGGTGGGTCTGTAGAGCTATCTCCCACCCCGTATTCAATGTGATCGGTGATGCGCTCATGATTTTGGCGAAAGGTTTGTTGAAGATAGGGCAAACGGCGGGTGTTACGGTAGGTAGGTTTTGTATTCGTGGACGAAATCCGGTCAGCAAAACGCCCCCAGCACAGTTGCTGCAGCTATTGCCACATCCGCTACACTGAGTTTCAACCAAAAGTACCAGTTGAGACCGCTGTGGATGTGCTCCTCAATAGCAGGAAGGTGCTCTGGTGGCTCGGCAGAGACGCAATACGGTGGCGGTTATCAAGTTCCAAAGACACAGATTGAATTGTCGCTGTCAGGACCACGGAAGCAGTGCCCGGGTCGTGAACAGACACGAGCTTATTTATGATTTCTTAAATTGCCAAGAATTCATTCGCACAGCCTCAAATCCAAGTCACCAGATGACCCGAGCAAAACCAAAAGGGTACAAAACTCGGGGACTTACGTGCTTGTGCAGGTACTTGTGTCCCCGCACAGAGAAAAAATGCCTCACTGCGGCTGGCTTTTTTTCAACCGGACGCTTTTGTGTAACCTCATCGTCTGCCGAGTGCGTAGAGATGACGTGGCAGACTGTGGTGTGGAAGCGGTCTCACTAGTTTACCGCCAACAAGGCAGATTCCTGCCTACAAGAAGCAATGGAACAACGCCACAAAGAGATCGTCGCTGCCTTCCCTAATTAGACCATCCGGTTGCCTCGTAGGCTGAATACAGTACGTATGGTGTTACTAAATTATAATCTAACTACAACACTATTGCTAACTGCAAAACCTAAGATAGAGAATAGATGGATATTTTCAAGCTCTACAGTTGAGTGAATAATTATTACTCTACAGTTAATTGTGAAATTAATAGACAGAGAATAGATGGATATTTTCAAGCTCTACAGCTAAGTGAATAATTATTACTCTACAGTTAATTGTGAAATCAATAGATACTAATTATTTATCAATAATATTATTTTAAATTCCTTTTTTTTCCTTTTCACAATTACACATTAAGTCAAATTTTAGCCTGAATAATACCATCATATTACTAATTCACCAAAAAGAATCCAGGCTTCTAGCTGCTCCTCTCGGCAACACTCGAGCAAAAAAAAAAAAATTCAAAGGGCCTCGCTCCAAATTCATTTAATGCTGTGTCCAGCAACTGATCAAAACGATTCTCCACCACACAAGTTGCATTTGAGACAACCGAACTTGTTCATTTTAAATCTTTAATTTGCATCCATTTACTCTCGGCTACCGTTACCATTAAAAGTTTCTTGATGATGTCCATGGACACTTTCGCATAGCTTGTCCCTCTAAATCTTCCTGCCCTGCGCCCTCAGCCATGATTCTAAATCCAGCTCCATAGCCTCATCACAAAATTCACTGACATCTTCTTCTGAATCCGCTATCTCCATATCTAGTGGATATTGAAGTTCATAAAAATCACCGACATCTTCTTCTGAATCTGGTATCTCCATATCTCGTGGATATTGTAGTGTAGGTTGTGAAGTCGCAGGCTTTGAACTGTCGGCGCTCGTTTCCGAGTCCCGCTGTAATTGAGGAGCATTTGGGTCTTGAGAGCGGTGGTGGGATTCCATTGTCGTATCAACTTCCGCTGAGGAAGGCTCAATGCTTGAAATTATGACTGGAGGAGCACGGCGTGGAGGGCGAGGTTTTGGCGTCGATGGCCTCGCGGGTGATCGATCATTTTGCCTCTAGACGCAGGTTAGAATACTTGCTTAATATTTTAAAGACAAATAAAGTATCTCACGATGTGACTTGGAGTGTGGAGGTGGAGTTTCAGAGTACCAGTCTTTCTGTAGTCGTATTCGTAACCAGGTAAACTCACACGCGACAAGTATATTTTGGGTCGTCAAGATCCCAATCAATTTCGACATTTCCCAGATGCGCATAGAGGTAACCGATGTAAAATCGCAGCACAAACCTTTTTCATCAAGACGTTCATCTTCCTCTCGATGGAGGTTTTCCTCTGTATGAATGTTAGGATCTCTATATAAATATTAGGATCTCTGTATAAATATTAGGATCTATGTATGAATGTTAGGATGCAGTAGTTGTGATCAATTGAGAAACTTACAGTCGTCCGGTTGGACTTAAGTGGGCTGCAGTTGGGCTTCTACCAGAGACAAGGAAGATGGGAGGGGATGTGAAAATAGAGGAGCGGGTGCAGGCGGTAGAAAATCCGGCCACTTAATCTCTCGGGCTGGGTCGAATGCACCCTGATGCATGCCAAGATTGGAGGTGTGCTCTCGCGAGTCCATTTCCACGCCAACGGCAGCAGCCATGCATGGGATGGTATTCCTGGTGATGGTTAAGAAAAAGAAATCTGTCCATGGCAGACGGAGGAAAAACGTGTCATAGTAGCTAAGATAAAATGCAGTAGCTAGTTGTGAAAAGCACCCATACCGGGGGGTTCATCGTCGCAACTAGACGCTCGATCAATCCCCATTGTCATTACACCGTACTGGTCCGCTCGTTGTGCAAACTCCCGAAGGCCATAATCTCCATGCCCCAGACACTGCTTTCCTGATGTCGTACTCCAACCGCGACCGTATTAGTTCACATCGGTGAAGAAACTTCAAGTCGCGGAATGCATTCGATGGAAGCATCGGGAAGCCCCTTATTGTCCAGCTCAGGAAGTTCTTGCTTTTCCAGCTGAGTGGTGTCGACCGTAGGTGCGTTGATGTCAAGGGGATAGTCCTGGACAACGGGTGTTGTCTCTTTGGACGCACGGTGCTTCGGTTTGGGAAGAAACGAGGACAGTGGGCTAGGCATCTCCACTGTAACTGAAGTGTGAGATTCAGCATCAGCTCCATGTTCAAGGAGGTAGCTGACAGTAGTTGTGTGGTCCGTCGCGGCCGCGTGATGGAGCAGAAGTCCGGACACGGTCAAGTTAGGCGCATCGTCCCGTCGCGATTGTTGAGATAACTCCCCGTCATTTGCCGCAGAACATGAATGCATGCAAGTGTGATTTCCTACCTAACTTAAGGGGGGGCCATGGCGGGAATCCGAGGACAATGCACATCCATCCACAGTCATTCCCCTGTAGTTTGACAGGCATAATGAAATGTAGCAAGTAAATATTTTACTACAAACTATTTGGATTGGCCTTTTGTCCGATGTGATAATCCTACGTCCAGAGATGTGCTCGAGCTTTGTTGTTGTGATTGGTTGTGCTTAACTCGACGAGCTTACTCTTCCCCTCGCGCTTAGAAGCTGCGTTGACGCCGCATCTGATACATACGACCATAGCTCTTAGAAAATACGGGATCCCGTCCGCTCTCCCTTAGTCAAGCTGAGAAGCGGCGAATTAGTACTCGGGTCGGTGACGACCGGGGAATCCTCGCTGTTGTATGTTTTCTTTTTGCTCATTGTTACGCCTTCTTGCCCACCACCGAAGTCACCCAATCGAGCTCCGGGAACATATACGACCGTTCTTACATTTTTGACCCCACGAAGCAGCTTCGGTACCCAGCTGGCCTCCGAAGCTCTCTGCTTCTCATCTTTTTCTCGCTTTTCATCATGGCATTCCCTTGGAGGCATTAACTATACCAGTTCGGGTAATTGCTCCACCAGAAGCGAGATTTGGAATCGTGTTGGACGAGGAATCCCATGTCAACAAGGTCAAGGTCACAAAAACTACCGCTTTGGATGTTGATGAGAACTATGGACGTGAGACGCGCTGCATTAAAGGGAGCGAGTTGCACTTGCGTTTGTTGACGCGCAATTTGCTTCAGTCAGTCAGCCGACAGTATCCATATTACTTCAGTTATTTTGCTAGGTAAGAAGGTCCTTTAGTTCCTTCAGGTACTCCCACACTTTGTTCTGTCCCAGCCAAAAGTCGGAGGTTGTGTTATGTGGCTCCGGGAAAGTTGCCTCAACCAATTTCTTTTAATTGTGAATAAATGGGTGGCGGGGGGGGGGGGGGGGGGGGACTTGCAGCTTCCAAAATGTACACGATGTCAACCAAATAATTCTCCATTATTTGGGTCCTTCTCGAAACTGGTCAATTTTAGCATAAATCCGAATTTGGCACGGTTAGGCCTGCATTTCTAGAATCACCAAAAGTCGCGCCAACTGGATTTTGCTCGTGTCTTCATGCAAGTAGTCCGAAGTCGAGGCCCTCTGCAAAATAAATATCAGCTTACTCATAAAACTCATCCCTACGACAATTTGATCTTGTATGCTGTAATTTTCCATGCTCTTGTATCATCATTCTTCTTGGGGGCTTCCCTTGTCTGCCATATCTTTGTCATCTGGTTAACACGGAGTGTTAGAATAATTAGTGAACGTCGTTGTTGTCAACTTGAAGTCTTTTATTTTTATTAACGCGTACATTAAATCATGTTTCAAACACACCTTTTCTCCTCGCCGCTTGAAACCATGTTGCAAGAATTCGCCCTCCAGCCGCCCTTCAATCACATTGCTCAAAATCTCCTTTTATTCTGAAACCTTTGAAGCACTGAGCTGTTTTTCAGTGTCTCAATTTGTATTCAAGTCTTAATTACTCGTATAGTGAAGTTTTAATCTGAGAAGGATTCAATAGTCTGAATGCTTTTCAGCGTCTTAAATGGGACCTGGATCTTATCTACCTCTTATTTTGCATTTTTCTCATTAGAAAAAGATGTACCCGTGATTTGTACAAGTAAATACCTCGGATATAACCCTGTGACAGACAAGCGTCATATGCGGACCGACATGTTGATTATTCGAGGGTCGCGTGATTAGTAAATCAACCCTTGGTCAAGTTGCTCCTCAAATATCATGTCTGTTTCATTTGGCTAATATTGCAGTGTGACCAGTGAAAGTTAAACAGCTGGGGGGCACTCTCACTATTAACCTAACCCCTAAAGCTTTACGAGGGATGCCTAAGCCTCACAGAGCGTGAACGAGTGAGCACAATTCTCGGCCAAAAGGAAGTGGCATTTTAGCTCGAGGTGCTCAGCCTTTTACAGATGCCCTTTTTGGATATGCCCGGCTGGGACGTGTCAGGAATACGGAAATTGGCGGTCAAATCGGGTGCGCTCCATGATGGTGGTGATATTAGTGGCCGGAGCTTTTACGCCCAACTGGCTGCGTCGCTCAGATGCCTCGATTCGGTTTGGACAGCTCACTGCCAAGCGGCCAAAGGGCTGGCTTGGCTGCAGACTGGAACAGAAGTTCGCAAGGGTATGTCTTGGCGAAGCTTGCGCAGGGGTTGCCTTGAGTCGCTTACAAGGCTAATCAGCGGAGGGAATCAGCGTATCCTTGACCAATAGAATCAAATGAATGTCATAAAATAGGTCTAGTATGAAAAGCGTATCTCGGAACTTCACGATGTCCTACAGTCTTGCGACCATTCTTTTTGGCAACTGATTTGTGGTCGAGATATTGCTTTTGGTCGACGTGTCCTATCCCGCGAATTTCAGGAAATACGACGTATCTATTTTCCAATTGCCCTTCGCAACTAGGCCCGAAAGAGGCTGTTAGGCATGGTGTTGCTTGAGCCGTGGTGGTTCAGTGGCATGTTGGCCTGTTGGGAATACGAGGCTGACAGGCACCACTTAAAACCTCCTCAAACAGAGCCGACATACCCCGGACAACGATTGAAATCTCCATAATTAGAATACACGTACCAATTATAACTCTAGTCTCTCATCCTCGGAGCGACTGGCTTCCTTGGCTCGCTGACCTTTACAGTCCCGCGGCTCCTCGCACCCAATCGGCGCCTCTTGCCTCCGCCTCGCATACTGCGCTGCACCCCTGGCGCTCGCAAACACAGGGTCAATCACACCACCCTCGTCGCCAATAACTAACACTTGTCCTTCGTTGTCACCCAGAACATACTCGCTTTCCATCAGAGCCTCCCGGAGAGCGATGAGGAAGCCGGTATGCGTCGCCTTTTCTCCCGTGAGCAGGACCATCGTAAGCCTTATTGGGAGCTTCATCAGCAGTGTCTGGAGCTGACTGCGAACGTATGCCCAGTACGCTGTATGCGACTCAAAATTATCCATCGCATCCAGCCCAGCTGACAAGTCCACGAGCCTCTCCTCAACCCCTTGGTTCCAACCGAATGGGGCGCGAAGCCTTAACACCTCGGCCCGTAGGTCCCCTTTCGTAAAACCTACGACCATGAGCGCCTGCAGTTCCATCCGGTCCTCCTCCTCCATACAATCCCATAGATTTTGGTATTTCTCGCAAAGCCCCTGTCCATGGGCTGCAAAGACGGCGCGACCCTCTGTCAGTCCCTCTGGGTACAGCCCTGCTTCGGGCAACGGAGGCCAACCGATCTTCGGCCGGGGGAGGTTAGAGGCAAGCCAGGGCCGTAAACCGATGTGCTCGAGTGCGTCAGAAAGGTCGTACTCTGCGAGGCCGGGGATGGGCGGGTGCGTCACGGCGACCCGGTCAAGCGGGCTGGCGAGGGCGATGGTAGTAGCATCGCGGAGGGAGGCCAACATGCCGGCTAGTATTCCGACTTCCCGCGTTGCCGGCCATCCGAGCTTCTTATTGATAGAGCGGTGCCATTTGTTCCATTTGCTCAGTGATGAGGGCTTCGGCGAGGTGACAAGGCGGGTCATGAGCGCAACGTAGTCTGGCGACGCGGCAACGAGAGCGACATCCGCAATGGTGCCATTGTAGAGATGTGCGGCAGAAGTTCTGAGAGGCCAATTAGCTACCGTCTCTTTCAGTGGATTTACAGAGCCTCAAAGAGAAGAGTTGCCCACCCAGAGGAAAATGAGAGCCCGAATCCGATCCCAGGTGCATTATGAACGTTGGTGGGGAGACAAGCCTCGCATCTTGGGAAAGGCTCCTCGTAGATGACGGCGCGTACGCCCGCAAAAAGGAAATTGACGAGATAATGTGGTCGCATCGCTTAGAGAATAAAGACTTGGTGAAATGTCGGCCGTGCAAGCCCAAATGAACAGAATTGAGAATTGTTGAAGAATGGGAATAATGCGAGCAGTGACGTCAAGTACAAGTGAGGGACAGCGGGGTGAACAAACCCTCTTATAAGGCCTTGCTGCTTATCTACTTATTATTGCACCAAGGATTAAACTTCTTGCCGCGCTATCTAGGACTGGACTGGTCTGTAGCCAGATTCCCCTTGGCAGGGCATCCTTGCAGGCCGATGCTTGGCTGCATCCTTCGTATTCAGTCGAAAGACCCGAATAGCGAGCAGCGAATTACGCGGATTTTCGTGTCGCGCAGTTCGGGATGAGCGTAAACAATTCGTAGAATTTGTTAAGGTGCATTATGTCTCGGTGATTGCCATTTTTAGACGGGCGAAGGAAGTGTGGCCAGTTTGCGTACATGGACCAATTAATTCCTTTGGCGCAGACACGTGAGTCAGCTAAAAACCCATGTTAGAGAGAGCTTTGGACACTTCAGCTCGGCTCGGCTTTATCCCAGTCTCCTCCAAATCCTCTAAATGATGCCGCAATCAGCACCCCACAATCGGAGACGAGACAAGCCCATCTTGAGCTGCACCTTTTGCAGGGGACGCAAGTGAGTCTGTCCCTCTTCGTTATAGCACAGAGCGTATTAAACCCATGTAGACTTCGTTGCGATAGACAATCTCCATGTGGCGCTTGTGCGCGACGCAGAAAGCCCGCCGAATGCATCTTCACCTGCTCAGAGCAAGAGCGAAAAGATGCCATCGACTACAGGCCTGCCAGGAGCCAGCAGACTCGTCAGAGAATTGCCCGCCTTGAGAACCTCGTCACCGAGATGAGAGACATTGTGCAGAGCTCACGTCAGCCGTCGGGCGATAATGCGTCGCGAAGTGAAATGCCAGCGTACACTGAGCCACCGCTCAATCCTTCCGATGGCCGTGCAACAGATGACATGGGTAAATTGAGTCTCACTGATGACCATGCAGTCTACACCGGCAGTTCTCATTGGGTTACTATTTTGGAAGACGTACGTTATTTTGACGACAAGTATTGAGTAGCCCAATAATGATATTTCCAGATCCAATGCCTCAAGGATGAACTGTCCGAGGAGTACTCTAACCCAAACACAAGCCTCGAATCGACTCCATTTGATACCGGCTCCAGGAATGAATCGCCTCTCACTAGAATCTCTCTCCTCAACAGCTCACCCTGTCTTCCAAGGGAGCAAATTCTGGGCATGATCCCTCCACGCAAGGTAGTGGATAGACTCGTCTCCCAATTCTTCAATGCTTTCGATATGGCCCCTTGTGAGTCTTACAATCAATACTTGAACTTCATCGCGACCGTGGTTGGCTAACGCGGTGCTGGGAGTTACCAGTCATTCTACACCGAGGCAAGTTCCTCGCTGAGGTAAACGGTCTATTCCATCGCTCTTGGCTTATTTTCTCACCCTCCGTGTAGTACGCAAACTTCTGGGACAACCGTTCATCAGTTCCCATCATGTGGGTGGGCCTCCTATGCAGTGTCATGAGCATGTCCGCATTTCTTCAGCAGCAAGATGTCGCAGCTCTTGGGTTGTCCACCGCGGAATCACAGGACATGCTAGAAACCTATCGGACTCTTACCATCCATTGCTTGCTCGCCGGGGACTATCTCCAGCCGACCAGATACACCATAGAGACGCTGACTATACACTTTGGTGTTGACCAAAACGTGAACCTCGATGCGTCAATTGGCAACTGGGTCCTGATTGGCGTCGTCATCCGGATTGCCTTGCGCGTGGGACTGCACCGCGATCCCTCTCACTGGCCAGGTATTCGACCACTGCAAGCAGAACTTCGACGACGTCTCTGGATGACCCTATACCAGATGGATTTCTTTACCAGCACCCAAGTTGGATTGCCTCGTATCATTAAGGATTCCCAATCCGATACGCGTCCGCCCACGCACTTGTTTGCCAATGACATTGGCTTTGAGCATGACCAGATCCCACCCGAGCGGCCATTGACAGAACCTACTGCGCTTTTATTCGTCATCCAGAGGAATACCATCATCAAAGTCGCAGCAGAAATATACGATGCAACTGAAGCAGGACCGCCATCGTCGGCCACAACTGCTGCGCTAAGTGCCAAACTGGAAAAAGCTATCGATGGCATCCCTACATGGTTAAAGTATGGGTCGCTCGAGACATCAGTCGCAGACGACCCTGCTACGATATTGCATCAAATGTTCTTGGATATTCTAATACAAAAGGCCGTTTATCTTCTTCATCGACGGAGTTTCGTGAAAGATTCTGTTGGAGAAGAAAACACGAGATCCAACGAGCTTTGTATCAAAGCTGCCCTGGCGATTCTGGAACATCAACGAAAAATGAGCGAAGAGACTAAACCTGGAGGCCTTGTGTTTGGCATTCGCTGGAAAGTCGCTACGTCGCTCAACCACGAATTTCTACAAGCCACAATGATGCTCTGTTTCGCAATGAGCAGACTTAACGAGGGACATGTTGGCACGGCGAGTTATTGCGCTTTTGGCAGGCGAGATGACATATTGGAAGCTTTAACCATTGCAAAAGGGCTGTGGGAGAAGAATGCCGACCGGTCCGTGGAGGCGCGAAGAGCAGCAAAGGCCATCACAGCCGTGCTGCAGCAAGATTTGGACAAATCGGGCGCGGCCGCTTTGGCAGCTTCAGATGGTGAGCGAAATTTGAATTAGTCTTTAACACTCAGCTAATTGTGATCATTCGATAGGATTCTTTGATCAAATGCCAGGGGTGGAGGCACAAAGCTATTTCGGTAACTTCGACTACGGGCATGGCATGGCTTTGGACCCCTCCCTTTTGACTGTTGATGATGATATGGCAGTGTTTGGAAGCATGTTAGACCAGTTCGTGACTGAGGAGACCCAACTATAGCGTGTACGGTCTACCGGCAGTACGCTGGGTAGATCAAGCTTCGTATCGCGCCAGGGAAGCCATCACGTTTGGGACAAACATTGTGGCGCGTTATTGAATATCGTCTTTGGTTTAAGGAATTCGGAGTATCTCCACAATCTGAGTCATTGTATGTACAACTTCGACGACTCGCAACCTCCATTGAGAAGGTGTGTAATCAGGGACCAAAGAAAAGGTGAGCTCGAATTCATAGAAAGAAAAGGTGTGCTTTATCCAATAACTAGACGAAGCTATCACTGTAATTAAAGACAACATGATCTGTTGGTCCTACTTTACTAAACCCCGGATGTTCACTCGCGTATCACACTATCGTACACTTCTATCCTATCCCATTCTTTATAAATGAGCCGAAAAGACCGCAGACACCAGTATTCCTCAATGCGGGTCCTCGATTTGCACGAGTGTGATTATCCCGGATACGTTCTTCTCAAAACCCTGCATTCTTTCCAGTGGCTGCATCCTCACACTCATCTTTCTCCTGATCAAACGTAGCCCCGGTCAGATTAATCGAGAATGCATAGTTTGCGTCCTTCTCTTACTCATCTATTGGATCGCTCCAACTCTCTTGAATGCTTGATTGCTTTTAGGATTCTTGAGCGGATGAACTCTCCTTCTGCTTTTTCACACTTCGCCACTCCATGCCGAGTCCGCCAAGAATGCAAAGACAAGACACAACGAGAGCGACTTGGAAGCATACGCGCAGAGAATCATTGTAGGCCTCCAGGGCTATCGTGTGATGCTGAGGTGGGACAGTTTCCAAGATGCCGGTGACGCCAGCATTCTCAATTTGTTTGGGGGTGATGGTTGTAATGCCGGCGAGCCGTCTGCTGAGTTCACCGTCGAGGACGTTCTGGCCGATGGAGACAAAGATGGCACCGAAAAGGGTCTGAGCGAAAAGCATAAGTGAGGCCCCGATAGAAACTTCCTCGCGTGGTAGCACCGTTTGAGCAGCCATGTTAGGAGCCTGGATACAAGCGCCAAAGCCCCAGCCGTACAGGATCTGGTAACCGATCCACTGGCCCATCGTCGAGTCGATACCGAGGGTGGTGAGTAGACCGGCACCAACCGCTGTGACGCAAATGCCGAAGATCAAGAAGGGCGTGTAGTAGCCGACGCGGCCTGTTAGTACGCCAGTGAGGATGGACGCAACAACAAGAGCAAGCACCTGTGGCAGGAGGTGGATGCCGCTCTCGACGGCCGAGTCGCCCTTGATAGCCTGGAACCAGATGGGAAGATAGTAGACTGGTGTAGCATTAGCAAGTGGCGACAACTTTATCGAACCGGAGTAGACCTACGCAACAACGTCTGGTGCGCGCCAATGCAACAACTCACGAAGAAGCCGCTGGCAATGCTACGCTGGATAAAAATGCGTGGTGGGACCGTGGCTCGCTCCGGCTTCCAGATTTGGATCAAGACGAAGGTGATCAACAGTACGAAAGCAAGCACAAGCAATGCGATGATGCGTCCGTCGCTCCACTAAGCCTGGTCAGCCATGCCAGCCAACTGAAAGGGCAGCGCTAAAAACACACTCGGCACTTACACTGTAGGTGAAACCACCCCATTGTAGGGCCAGGCACAAGCAAATTACCCCGGGGATGAGAGCGATCAAGCCCTCGGCATTGAGCTGCTGAAGTTTGTGCTTCAGAGTGTTTGTGTTCTTGGAACGACTCGGGATATGCAGGAAGAGGAAGACAAATAGCATTACAACGCCTCCCAAAGGAAGGTTGATGTAAAAGCACCATCTCCAGGTGACGTTGGTGGTGAAGGCGCCGCCGACCAGAGGGCCTAGAACTGACGAGATACCATAAACAACACCAAAGAGGCCCTGGTATAGAGGCCGTTTCTCGAGCGGAACAGCGTAGACGATGATGGTGATCTAATATACCATGATGTGAGCAAGCTGGACAAGAAATACGAAACCAAAAGGTGAATGCTGATGGTTGGGCAATGGTTTAGTAAAAGAAGGAAGACATACGACGCCAGACTGAACGCCTCCAGCTCCCAGGCCCGCAATGGCCCTGCCAATAATAAAAGCGATTGAACTCGGCGCCGCGCCGCAGATGGCCGAGCCAATCTCAAATAGTAGGACCGCAGCCAGGAAAGTGGCTTTGACATCCAAGAAAGTGTATAGTTTTCCGAATACCAGTAGAAAGGCGCAGTTGGGCAGCAAGTAGGCCGTGCCGTACCAGCCGACATCATTCGCTGCGTGAAATTCGTTGGTTATGGCGGGTATCGCGGTCGTGATGATGAGTTTATCCTACAAAGAAGGGTCATCAGTTTGTGTGTTCTATATGTAGACGTGCTCCTGGTGGAATCTTATCCTTGCTCACGTACCAATGCCACGAGAAACATCCCGATGTAGATGGAGATTAGAAGGAGGGCGAGTTTAAAGCCTGAAGGGTAGAAGAAGTCGGTGGGGTCCGCGGGCTGCGTCGCATTGTCCGACGCAGGCGGAGCTGTCTTCTCATCGTCCTGTCGCTCATATTCATGACGTGGCTCCTTTTCCTTCGTAGCAGTGAACATGGCTATGAATGGGGGTGCTGGTGTGGATCAGGGTTTACATAAGCTTCTCGAAGAAGATCGGGATTGCAGTGCTAGGACTCTGTGTCAATGAAGTACGGTGTAGGAATAGGCATAGGATTGATGGGGAATAGAATAAATGAGGAAGAAAGAAAGTCGGATGTGTTTGTCAGAGGCTTCCAGGAGACCACACTTCGCTTGACTTTATCTACACCTCCCACGCCGCCCATTGTCACGGAGGGTGCTCAAAGCCATTACTATGCTAAGTATGCTGTCGCGGAGGGTGCTTTAAACACTCACTGTACACCAAGTCAACGAATGAGCTTCGTTGAACAGTGTTAGCGTCATCCGCTTCTGATGGTGACCGTCCGACCGTCCGCACTCCGACCCTCCATAATGCGGATCGGCGCGTGCGTCAAGCGGACGGTTCTTTAGCGCGTTCATGCAATATTTCACCATTTGAGCAGTGTTATGATGTGTAAGGTTACTCGAATTATATCTATTTGATCTTCAAAGTCTATGTCTAGCGACTTTTGACCCTGGGCGGGAGGAAAGCAAGTCTCAATCACCATCCTTTCTAGTGAGTTTGAAAGACCCCAAGGCTGACTTTTAATGCTACTGTGCTGCTTAAACTGATACTTGATTGTTTCAAAGTTCATAGCGTTAACTTTGCGTATCGCTTCCCTTTAACATCGAGAAAATCCCAAGAGTTCTCCATTCCGAACACAGGTGGCGATGCCATTTCCATAACGCTAGCCGTATACTTTTCTTTACTCGTCTCAATCACTTTGGGCTTCAAGTCCGACAGACATGTCCGTGACTGCTGAGGCAAAGGTGAGTTCGCCTCGACAAGAGAACATTCTAAACAATTAAAGGACATCAATATCCATAGAAATTAAGATACAATTGAGCTTTCAAATCATTCAACACTTGTAAGATACTCTTGGATCTCGGGAGCAACATTTAGGTGCGCCATTCTGGATGTCATTTATCTTCACTCTTGGTCTGCTCCTTCACTCCACTCTTGGTGACGACTTCCGCTTCGTCGCCATCTGTCGACTTGTTCTCATCAGATCTCTCCTCTTCGTCCTTGCTGAGGTCAACAGTCTTGAGTGCAAACATGATGAGAAGCATAGGAACCAGAGCTGCTGTAGCCGCAATCGCAAGCAGCTGCTGTGTCTCGCGGTATGCCTTATCAATTCCAGTTCGGACGACCGTGCCCTTCGCGTACTTCTGTGCAATGACAATCGATTTGTAAATAGCCATAGCTTGGTCCTTCGCGTTTTCAGGGAGATAATTGTTGAGCTTCTTGGGGAGGAGGTTGTTCCAAATTGCGCCGCTCACACTGTGAGGATGTTAGCATAAATGTTCATCCCTACCAGAAGTGAGATACCGACCTAGTGCCTATTGCACCACCGAAATTCATGGCGGCAAAATACACTCCAGTAACCACAGGGACATCCTCCCTTGAGACTAGAGCCTGGATAGAGACCTGGGCGGCGGTTTGGTAGAACGCACGACCAACACCGACAAGACTCTTTGCCGTAACAAACGAGGCCTCATTAGCGCTAGCACCATTCATGTTGACAAAGTAGATCTGGAGACCCTGTCCCAGAACCACAAGTGGCACGCCGATGAACACATAAACCTGAGAGCGCTTTGTGTATTTCATCAGAAGTCCAACAAAGACAGAGCCTATCTGGAAAGCCACTCGAAGGGCGTTACTGTGGTCCGTTTGTCAGCGTGCAGTATATGTTCAAGACCCAAATAAACTTACTCAATTCGGGTGGAGTGACCTGGAGCAAACCCGCCGGCGACTTGGAGGTAGCTGGGAAAGAAGATGGTGAAGCAAGAATAGTGAAAGAAATCGAGCATGGACAACATGCAAGCGGCGACGACGGTGCGCTCCTTGATCATTCGGAAGGGCATGAACGGAACTTGGGCATATTTGGCATCCCAGACGAAGAAAGCGCCCACAACCACCACACCAATGACGAGCATGGCAATGTAGGACCCTTGATCCCAACGGTCGCTATTTCTCGAGCCCGTCAGCGACAGAGGGATGAGCGCCAGTCCAAGGCCAACGACAAGGAGGACGGCGCCCAAGATGTCAAGGTCGATCCATAAAACGTTTACAAGGCGCTTGCCAAAGCTCTCGGACTTGTCTCCTGCAGCCCAGGACTTTTCTCTCTTGAATCCGTTCTTTCTGGCACGCCTCTGGAGAATATACAAGGTGGTAATCAGTGGTGCAGAACAGAACGGGATGATGAGAGCCCACATTCCGTAGCCCCACCGCCAGGTCGAGTGCTTTAGGACGCTATCTCCAACAATAGACCCTAGATAGAGTGTGGGGATCGAAGCAACCGACTCGGGGAGGGAGGACCAAAGACCTCGGTTGATCAGGCTGGTGGTGTCGGCAATGAAGACCTGTTGCATAATAGCGTATCCAGTATCTCCAATAGACTCAAAGATGCCTCCGGCCTATGGCGAATAACGTCAGCGCTGGTTACGAGTAGCCATTGGGAACAAACTCACAATGTAAGTGCCAATATCTTGGCAAGCGGCGTACATGATCTGGGAAAGAACCAAGCAAAAGATGGAAATAGTAAGACCCTCAGCTCGGCCGAACACCTAAATTCAATCAGCATGGAGCTTCTCAAGCGATTGCAAAATTCCTCTTGCGGTGGCGTACGTTGGCGAATTTAGCCATGATTGGATATGTGACGAGGCCGATGATGGTTCCCACAACATTAGCGGTTGTGAGAGCCGAGTGCTTCGCAAATGCGCTGGTAGCATAGGCATCGTAGACTTTGGTGGAATACTTCAAGAAGGAAATGATGAATGTTGTCGCAAACAACCTACACGGGAATGTTAGCAATCTGGGTTAACAACTAGAGATAGACTTACCCAGAAAAGGCAATGATCAGATCCTTGCGGGACCACGACTGTCGTAAAACTTCAGTGTTTTCTAACACGTGAGGGCTTTTATCCTGGGCCTTCTCGGCGTCGCCCGAGGTGCGAGGGTTGGAAACCTCGGGACTGATACTGGGATCTACAGTCGCCATATTTGGGTACTTGTCGTGTTGCTGCTGTGTTAAAATCATCTGCAACAGATATTCGAGCCCATCATCGTAGCTAGATGTCCTCGTGTTTATATCCTTTCCCCCTCATTGAAGACACGGGAATCGTTCCGCACCTCACAGGCACGAGGTCACGGTCCGAGATCGGTTGCGGCCGTCATACCACCCTGGGCCAAAATTCCTGCTTGCTGGATGGCAGTAAACGTGGGTATTGTACCATCTAATCTTATCAGATCCGCAAAAGCTAGTTCGTCAACGACACAAACGTGGACCCTGCGAGTGTGCCGACGTATGGCATCAACACGAGCATTGTCTCCATACCCGGCCCTCTGCATGGACGCTAAGGCCCTTGTCGCAACACTTTGGTGACACGCGTAGCGTCGGCCATTTGGCCCACATCAGGTGCTGTGGGCTGACTTTGCGACCAGTTTGCTAGAAGGAAGTCTTGGCCATGTGGATTAAACCGTGATCTTCACAAGCTACCCACAAGCGAAGAGCCGCTTCTCCCAGTTAGGAGTAGGGTGGAGCGGCACACGCGTACTGAATTCTTCTTTTCAACCTCGGTTGAGCCCCGTCCACGCTTGGCTCGTGAGAGTCCGTACCGGTAATATAAAGCCCATCCTTTGCCAAGACAAAACGGCCAGAGTTGTGGTGCTAGAGAGGCAACCTGCTTTGTGTTCAGACTGGGGTTTGCGAACCAAAACTCCACATGATTCAGGCCGGACCTTTGCTCACCCGATTTGACCAGATGCATCCGAGACCCCCACGATCTTATTACCGAAAACTGGTCTTTCAAGCAGACTGTAGGCGGTAAAATTCTCGGTCAGTTACAATAACAGCAGCTCATGGGCATTTTTGTAGTAATGGGCTCGGAATATGTCCACTGATGAGTTCTAGTGCAGTCGGTGAGGAAGAATGAATTAGTAATGCCAAGATCCAGTCCCCTTTGCTAGAAGAGAAATCATGGATCAGTCCAAAGCGTCCCAAGAACCATCCTCCGGGCTTTTACTTGCACGATCGGTGTTTTTGGACTTGATGGAATATGCCGCGGGGATCGCCACCAAAACACTCCAGGACACAGGGGTCCGGGCCCAATGATTTCGGGAACAATTCCATGCTAACAACCTGGGTGTCACTGGCCATACTCTATAAGCGCCCCCGACTTCCCGATGAAGATTTTGCCGGCCACAAGTTAAGCCGTAGCTGCCAAGTCGACTGGGGTCAGCATGACTCGACAGTGGTGGTGACGTGGCGTGAGAGCTCCCGAACGAACTCCGTCAATCTTATCAGATGAGCGAAGAAAACAGCTCAAGGACGTGGTTCATCATCCAATTCGCACCTGAAACAGTTCACGCTGGGTTGTCACGTCATCAGTTACCCTGCTAAGAGAATTGGCCCACTCGCACTTGATCCATCTGGTGAGGATCCATAATGACCAAGTCGTCGGTTCAGCTACGTCTCACAGGGCTGGTCACTGATGCGCCACGCAGAGGTTATTTCCTACTTGCTAACGCAGTTAACCAAATTGGAACACTTGAGCAAGTTTCTTGGAGGTGGTGATTTTGTGTTTCCTCGCTTGGCTTTTGCATGATGCCATAATTCCTCGCAGTATCCCCGGAATGAAAACCCTGTCTTTAAGGTGGTCCGAACACGATATCATCTTAAATCTAAGCCCTTGATCCTGCAGTAGGAAGCATAAAATCCTGATCGGAAATAATGTACTGCATTGCTCGCTTACTTGATATAGCTAGCGCACTTTGCCACTTTATTCTGTACTCTATTTAAGAAGTAGAATAAAATCACATGAATAATATAAAAAGAATAAAATGTCTACCTTATTATTTTATATATACTAAATCATTTCGTATACTTTAGGATCTAACGTAAAGATCTTTGTACTCACCCTCACCCTAACCCTTAAGATAGTAATACATTGTACCCTAATGCAGATTAGCAGTGCGTAACCCAGTGCCGTACTTTGGATCAGGACTTTGTGCTTCCCACAGTGGGCCTACTGCAAATTCTGACGCGACCACGGCGGATCATTTTCGCAACTTAAAGTTGAGCTTAGTGCTACTGATCCTTGCGCAAACTTTTCTTCACTACGCGAGCTCTAATTCCAAGAAAATAGAATGAAAATGTGTTCGTCTATGATTATGTAGTTATTGTACAAGGCTCTATATATGTATGAGTGATGGCTATTCCTGATGCTCCAATTTAAGATTTCCCCTGTATAAAAAAAACGCTTGAATGTCAAATATGCCACATATGCCCCTCTACCCCAAATTATCCGGGCTCATAGCACGAATCTTGGGGCCATAATAACGGAAGACGACAGGTACCGGCACTAAAACTAGTGAAAGGAATGCTAGCACGCTGTTTCCCCAACCCAATCCCAGACTGTTGTACATTGACAATCCAGCAAGGGGCAACATGGCACCCAAAAGGGATCGGAGGACAGTGACAGCGGCAATTACAGAGGCGGCGTAGGTGATGTAGACATCCATGAGGTAGATTTGAAGACACATCTTCAGGTATTGTCAGTTTTGGTAGCCACATCGAGATAGGGGTATTGCTCACCATGATGCCCATCAGGCCGAAACAGAACAATGCCACTCCAAACATGGGTACTATCCAATGAGTGTTGCTCTCCACCGACCATCCATACCAGAAGAGGGATACGACGATGAGTAATCCGCAAGGAAGAGTCAACCAAACCGGCACGCGGTCCTCGGGAACTGTGGCCTCCCCCTTGGCCATCTTCTTCTTGATGATGATATCCGTGAGGACACCGAAGACCATTGTTCCCAACAACATGCCCACGCCCGTGGGAATGTATGACAAGCCAATAATGCCGGTGCCGAACCCGTATTGTTGCGCGAAAACAAAGGTGAAGGTGCTGAACATGAGGTAGAGGATTCCGTACACCACCGCAATGTAGAGCGAGATGATAAAGACTGGCGGTTGCGTGAGCAGCATCTTAAGAGGGCGAACAATAGCATGCTCGAATTTCGTCTTGGTGGAAACTTTTCCCACGTCAAGGGCAGAGTATAAGTCGGCGTTGTTGGTTTCCTTCTTCAGGCGGTTGACCTTGGCCTGGAGTAAAGTGGGGTGGTACGTTTCGGTGACAACGAAGTAGCAAAGAACGGAGATGACGCCAGCCTAGCACGTTGTTAGTTCTGCGCGTCAAAGAAGAAACGTTTGAAAACTGGTAACACTTACGGCAATCGCAATGACCCAAAATGCCCATCTCCAGCCGACATCTTGGATCATGAAGCCTCCGGCCACAGGTCCAATGCACGGTCCCAAAAGTGGTCCCATGGCCCAGACTGCCATAGCTTTACCACGCTGCTCGACAGGGAACATGTCCGAAATGGTGCCACTGCCGTTGGTGACGGGCGTGGATCCGGCAAATCCCATGAAAAACCGGAAGGCAATCATCATGCCCATGTTCTGGCTGAGCGCAGTTGCCACGGTGAAGATGATGAAGAGGACGTTGGCAATGTTGAAGATCATGGCTCGGCCGTAGATCTCGCTGAGGGGTGCCGCGAGGAGAGGCCCGAAGGCGAAGCCGAGAACGTATACGGAGACGAGAAAGGTTGCGAGGTTTTCGTTGGATGATTTGAACTCGACCATGATATCGGGGACGCCAGGGGCGAACATCGACGAACCCTACGCGTGAGTTAGCAAACGAGACTTGGTGGGATTCCGAGAAAGGACTGACGAGGGGACTAAAGACCGGGTTAGCACAGTAAAATGGACCTAAAGGAGGTGGAACTTACGTCAAGAGAGTCATGAGTGATAGCGCGGCGATGTTTGACCACTTCCTCTTCGCAGGCCAGTTCATGGGGTTTTGAGGGTCGTCAGGACCATCCCATCCAATAGCATTCGGGTTGTCCCCCGCGCTGGATCCAGGAGATGTATTTCCCTTCTCTGGATCCTGGCTCGTAGCCTCTGCATCGGTCGTCTTTGGTCGGTCCGTACCGAGACTGGCGTCTGACATGGCGAGGGTGCGTTGGCTTTCCGGACGGGGCAAGTCGCCGAGCTGAATGTTCTTTGTTGACTCGTCCATGACGCTGTGGAAAGAAGAAAACCGGTGTTGGCAATAGCAGATGGTCAAATCTGTGGTGGGACATGGGGAATTTAAGGGAAAAGGCATCCTCCTCAACTACACCAAAATGGCTCCACCTGCAAGGCGCATGGGGAGCGAGAGCGAAAGCGAGGGCCCGAAAATGGCGTCGTGCAGCCAGCAAATTATCAAAATATGAACGCTACCGAGTGGAAATTGGAGAAGCCGAGCTCCAAGTTATGCTTAACCCCATATTCTAGCTCATCGGGTCCCTCGAAGACCCCGAAACCCGGGACATGGCGGCGATCCCGTGGCGTTCAGGAGGTCCGGCGCCGATTTTATGCGGGCCGCCTCCGGAAGCGATGCCTTCCGGACGGGTTTTATGCAAATGGTGCGATGGATGGTGTTGGCTGACGTGTCGATGGGTCCACTTTTCATAAGTTATGAATCCGTGGCGAAATTACCTACCCTACACTTTGGCGCGATTCGTCCCCCAAGGATGCCTTCCAGCCTCTAAATCGACCCAACGCTGTAATATTTTACTTACATTCAGCTAGAATGTATTGAACCTTATAGCTAGTACTCAAAAACACTGGGTAATGAACCATATAACTGCTTGGTAGCTGTTTTCCATTTCCATCTTGCGCGTCAATTATTCCCCACCTGCTTTACACTCCGAAATGGCTGCATCCTTTGCGGGGTAAGTTACCTCATGATCAGAATGATCATGGGATGACGTCGGGTCACAACCCTTACGTTGATTTCAATTCCAACTATCTCCCTTATTGGCTGATGCATATTGCATGAGATGGGGATTAACCAGATTGTTAAAGTCGATGCGGAGAATCGCACGCTGATTGTTAGAGAGTGTTCAGCCACCAATTTGAAGCAGTGTTTAGCGCTGCACTATCGCCATTAAGCGGGACGGCCCGATGGTGAACGCAACGGCGACTCTCCTGGCGATAGTGGCGTCTTTACCGTTGTGATTCTTAAAGACATGCGGCCACAACCCGACAAATGAGCATATTGGACACATGTGTGTTTGTATTGAGGACCTCTCAGTCTACAAAAGCTGTTACTGCGAACTTGCAATTGTGAATGCTGCTACAACTCGAGCTTCTTTCTGAGCCGACATGTCTGTCAATGCCAGGATACCCTTGACACTCAAGATGCGACTGAGGCGTGAAAGAATCATTTTGAGACACCCAACCAGCGACCGAAACTAATTCACCTGATCAATACGATCGACGAACAGGAGTCTTGGCAGGGTTCAGACCAACAGGGCTTCAGACCGCCTGCGATTAGTCAACCGCCAGAGTGGGAATCTCGCTTCTGCAATCGGACCGGGTGTCGAATTATCACGCACTGTGGCTCGCTTTTGCCCTACTACCCCTCCCTCCCCACAATCCCGCTCGTTTGGATCTCACCTTTTCATCAAGCTTGTTCCTAGCGACGTGATCGACAATGGCTGAACCGGAAGTACCCCACATCGAGGTTGATAACGGAGTGAGTCGTGTGAGGACATGCTTGGCTGCTGGATGCTCATTATTCGGACCATAGGGTGAATCCGATGCGGAATCTGGCATCGACAGCCGTTTGTATGAGATATCTCCGCTCCTCATTTAATCTGTGCTTTGTTGCTCACTGCCTCGGCCCTTAGGTCCACGTACACGGCATCTCTAACCTCGAGCGTTGTCGACTATCCGTACGAGCACGGTAGACGATACCATGCATTCCGTGGAGGCTGTATCTACCCTCAATCCATTTCATAGTCTCGCATGCGCTGATGTCGTCCAGCCTACATCTTACCAAATGACGAGGTACGTGGCAGAATTGGGTTCTTGGACCTCGGCTGATGCGCGGAACAGACGGAAATGGACCGGCTCGACCTAAACCACGCTTTGATGACAAAAGTAATCGGTGATCGTCTGTATCTTGCGCCGCTCGTTGAAAATGACCTCCACCGAGTTCTCGACATAGGAACTGGAACGGGCATTTGTACGCTGGATAACCATGACCATTGACTATTGACCACTCTTCCCCGCTGACACCCCGCTTTTAGGGGCTATTGAGATGGGCGATGCCCACCCGAACGCTCAAGTAAGTTCAGTGATGCCTATTGATTTGAGAGACAATTCCTTATTCCAATGGTAGATTCTTGGCAATGATTTGAGCCCCATCCAGCCCGCCTGGTATGTCGGAACCACCGGCATGGTGCAGTTGTGCGTGTTCTGACATGGCAATTATCATATAGGGTCCCACCAAACGTCAAATTTGAAGTTGACGACGCGGAGAGCCAATGGATGCATGAATCTCCATTCGATTTCATCTTTTGCCGATACATGGCTTGCTGTATTCTGGACTGGCCTAAACTGACCAAAAGCACTTACGAGTTGAGTTTCGTGAGAGCGCGTTGTAAATAAACATGTGCTAATGATGATTGTATAGTAACCTCAAGCCTGGCGGCTGGGTCGAGTTTCAAGACTACGATTTGCAGTACTACGCCGACGACGGGTCCCTGAAGGAGGAGCACAGCACGCTCACCTGGATCAACACCCTGCTCGACGCAGCGCGAACGCTGAAGCGCGAACCGTGCCCTGGCCCCAAGCAAGAGGAGTGGGTGAAGGCGGCCGGGTTCAAAAACGTCAAGCATCAGATGTTCAAGATCCCCATCGGCCCGTGGGCCAAAGACAAGAGGATGAAGGATCTGGGCATGTGCAACCTGGCGCAGACCTTGGAGGGACTCGAGGGCTTCTCGCTCCGCCTGTTCTGCGGGATTCTCAAGTGGCCCGAGGAAGAGGTTTTGCTTCTGCTGTCGAAGGTCAGGAGCGAGCTGAAGGGAAATGACTTTCACGCTATTTTCAACTTGTAAGCTGGATACCTTGATGGTAGTGCTCGAATCGCTAACTTGGACTACAGCCATGTTACTTACGGCCAGAAACCGTAAGCATGTCTCAGCTCTGACGTCGATAAACGCTAACGTTCACAGTGAGGAATAAGTATTAGGAACTCGCATAACAACTTGTGAAGTATTTCAAGTTCATGGCTTTGCTCGGTTGGAATTCTGGCAATATCTTGGGGGTAAAATATGGGTAGCTGCATTTCTTCTGGGAGGTGAAATTTGCCTTGTTTTAATTTCACCGAAGTTGCATCTGAGCGCACAGCTCTGCATTGCGAGATACGGCATGATGAATGATTTCTGCGTTGCCCATATGGTTTATTCTAGAGTATTCCTATTTGTACACACACCTATTTGGTACTTACACACAGAACTGCATGTCTCAATCGTACTGACTTGATTTAACCTCGGTCGTGCAATCGAAATGATATGTATAAACTAACCACTGGTTAGATTTGCCAACTCATCTGTCACGTAGAAAAAGGTGTGTGATTTACCCTTAACGTTTTCATGGTGTACTAATAGGTGAAAACCGATGTAATGCACCTTATCATTGCCAGTATAGCGGTAACTCCATTTTACGTCCCTACGTTTCTCTCCTAATGCTTTTGAGAAAGTAAAACAAGCCTCCGATCAATAACGCCTGTCTCCAAAAAGTTCACTATTCCAACCCTCCTGTTACTTGGTATGCGACTTCAGCTTATCCCCGACATCAATACGAAAAAGGCCCACCAATCTTGTATTTAGGTGGGCACCCAAGGATCCGCACCCCAGCTTTCAGGTGAAATATCCGGCCAATACAGCCCCTGGGATTCGTCTTGGTACATGGACGCATTGATGAATTGCAGGTCCAATACTGGCTGAGACAGCAGCTCTTGCAACGAGGGCTCTGACAATGCCATACCGGCTGTGGCCCCGGCAAAGGCCGCTCCTACGTCAAGAGCGCCGAGGGAAGAGCCATCCATCAGGGCGGGAGTACCGCCGGGCATCGAAAAGTCTCCCCTACGTGCCTGCGCAGCCGCCATGGTGACTTTCATGGCGTCGGTGTGCTGGCAGAACTCCCCTGCCGCAAAGTTGCCCGTCTCTCTGAGCTGCTCTAGGAACTGGACCGAGGACTCGAATTGCTCCCTGTCGTTTCGGCAATCCTTCCCATCTAACAAACTAGAGATGGCAAGAACAGTGGCGGCGGAGAATAGATACTGAGTGTAGAAGTAGTCAAAGGTGGCGAATGATCCGTCAATCCAGCACTCGATGAGAAGGCGGCAGGAATGTCGAGCGCATCTCACACACGCCTCGGCCAAGGTCATTGCAGAAGCCGGTACCTGTGGCTCTGAGATTGGTTGAGTGTCCCAGGTAGCTACATGTGTACGGAGCACATGGAGTAGGATAGGTCGAGTCGCACTAATCACACACTGGATACTGTAAGAATGGGAACAAACGAAGCCAGACAGGACTTACCTGGTTAAAGTAAAGGTGCAATGAGAGTGGCTTTGGACTTGGCTCAACAGTGTTGTCCTTGGGGTCGATGTGAAGGTGGTCCGGCAATTCCTCGACCCAATTGCGAAGATCTTTCAACGCTTCCTGTACCCGTTGGGATAATGAGGTTTCCTGGGGGTTTCTGTTATAAATAGAATAACCAATTCGCCCAGCCAGGCGTGCCAGCCGGACGCTAGCTACCAGATAGGCCGCGTCCTTGAAGTCATCCTGGTTACTTGCCAACACAGGGTCCGACGGAAGATCGACCTCAATGAACTCATCCTGTATGGCGACGGGATGCCCAAGCCTAGAAGCCCACATGCGATCGAAACTGTAGGCGGTCCACCAAACACGATTTCGGTGCTCTCTCACACTCGGGTCGCTGAGCTGGGATTCGGGGACGTTGAGATGCAAGCCCATGACGACGGACAGTCGCACGGAAGATCCGGCCAATGCGTACGCCGTATAGCGACGGTTCAATGCAAGTGAGTAGAAAGACTGCGAATAAATGATTAGTTGATACGACAAGGCATCGCGGGGAACATACGAGCAGCAGTCTAATCTCGACGGCGTCGATCCTCGGTCGCTCGCTAATGATTCGCAAAACCCGCGTCGCTCTTGCAAAGTATCCCATCCCCGGGAAATTCGATTCTGCCGCTGCGGTCCTGGTTGAATACATCTCGCCGATGGCAAACAGCGCCCACAGTTTGCTCTTTAGCAACGAGTCGCTGGAGTGGGGATTCTGAATCGTCTGCTCAAGTCCCTCCAAGATCTGACTCCTGCGCACAATATGATAGCAACGGGTAACATATTTGAGGGCGACATTGACCAGAAGCCGAGCTCGAGAAGGAAATGGCCAAGGGCAGTCAATGTCCGAGAGTGCAAGTAGACGTTCATCTGTTGGATAGTTAATTCTGGGAAGATGATTGTGTCGAGCAGACGAGATGGCTTGGCGGAAGCGCGTGGCAAACGCCGCATCTGAGGCCTCCCCGATTAGAATGGGAGTATGGGGAATGTTCATGTTGAAGAACCAAGGGTGGGTCTCCAATGAAGGCGCCTGAATCGCGGATGGAGCATCTGCAGAGCTTGTCCCAGAAACGACAACTGAGACATCCTTTTGGGTGGAGTCAGTTCTCGACCTACTGCTCCCTTCACGATTGCGAAGCCGTTGATTCTCGGCAACAAGGTCGTCGATGTACCTGGCTCATTAGACAAGCCGAGGAACGACGGGGAAATGCCAGCTCGGAACATACTGCTGGCTGACCTTGACGAGGCGATTCTTCCGAGGATACGAACACTCGGTGGGTTTGCCCGCGTGAGTGCAGTTCTCACAGGGGCTACCTCCGGAGCATTTCACCTTCCGGGAATGGCATCTGCGGCACCTGCGACGACAATCGAGTAAGTAGAGGCTCTACGCAAACCTGATCCGGCTCTCACTGACGCTGTTGACTTGGTCCTTCGCTGGGGCCCGCGGCGGCTGGGAGCTGACTGAGAGCCGACATCATCCTTGCCGTCTGGCTCTGAGGCGGTAACTGAACCACGAGGACTGGCATTGGGCGACGTCATTGCCGGCGGCGAGTTTGCCAGCGCCTATCTGGGTGGAGGAGAGGGACGGTGAGGAGATGTATTGGCCGGGGAAACGGAGCCCAGATACGAAAACCGGAGCTGGAACACGCTGGTCGTGTGACCGTTACGCAGTGTCTCAGAGATGAGCGAATGCGGCGTGCGGTCTTGTGCCGATTGGATCCTTGTCTACTGCGTAATACGGGCATCGGTGCAGAGTTCTTTGCGCCTTTGGCCGGCGTCCTCGGTCAAGACGGGCCGTTGACCGTGATGACTCAGCTCGGATTCCTCCGATCCGGCAAAGTCCTTTTTTCGCCGAGCCAATGGCCCTTGCGGCTCGGTTACTTCCAGGCATTCTAGTCGGCGTCTTGACTCGGGTTCCGGGAATAACCTCCTTTTGGAGTCACAATGTCGGGTTTTGCGCCCGACTTCGCAACAAAACCACCTGCGGTCCCACTAAACGAGTTCGTCATGATGCTAAGCGAAGAAAAAATTCATTTGCTCTTTGCGAGAGGGTTGTTCATATATATCTACTGGTGTCGGTTACGAAGCCGGTTATCCTACTTTGTGCTCCATCGTTAAACCTCGGCGTTGATGTAGTCGGCACGAATCATTCCTCAACTTCTCCTCCAGCCCCGCACCTCCTTTGTCCGATCCCTCCCCGACCGATTTAAACATGGCGGGTGAACCAAAAAACGCCGGGTTGGCATCACCGGCGTCGCAGCTGGAACCACTTCCTCCGGTGGGAGCCATCGATGATGAAGCGATTGAACTCCCCTCGTGGCGGAAATGGGTAATTCTCTTCGTTGTCTGCTGGATGCCGCTCCCAATGACATTTTGGAGCACGGCAATCATGCCGGCAACGAACGAGATTGCGTCCGGCTTTGGCGTCAGCATAACGAGTATTAACACGGCCAACGCCGGCGTCTTCGTTGCCATGGCACTCTCGGGGTTGATATGGTTGCCCATTAGCACCATCATTGGCCGTCGAACTACATACCTCGTTGCCAATGTTGTTTTGTGCTCGTGTTCTATTGGGGCGTCCTTGTCCCCCAACTTGGCCTGTTTTGCGGTCTTGTGGTTCATCGGCGGAACAACTGGGCCGTTCTTCTTGGTTGCTGGACAAACAATCCTAGCAGACATTTTCGAACCCGTCAGTTTCCCTCGCCACTGTTGCTTCTTGTATGGGTCTAACATATTACTAGACCGTCCGTGGCACCGCAGTGGGTTTCTTCCTCGGCAGTTGCGTCAGTGCAAACTCGATCGGTGAGTAGCAAATTCACCTCACCGCCAAACCGTACTGACCAGATGCCAGCACCCTTGGTGGGAAGTGTCATAGCTACCTTTACCAGCTGGAGAGTCATCTATGCCGTCGAGGCTGGCATGTCGATGGTCGGTCTGATTCTCGCTTACTTCTTCGTTCCAAGAGCGAGTGAAATTGGGAACCCCAAAACAATTGAGACCCCTCCACAGACCAAGAAAGAAATCATCGGGGCCTTTAACCCGATGGTTGTCTTTTGCCAATTCACCTACCCCAGGATTCTTCTCGCCGTACGTACTACCCAACAAGCACAAGCGAAGTTATTCTAACTCATCTCAGAACATCGCCTGTGGATTGTTGTCATTCAACCAGTACGGCCTCCTCAGTTCTGTGCGACGCATCATCAATCCTCGTTTTGGTCTCAGCTCTCCGCTGGAAAGCGGATTGTTCTACTTGGCGCCGGGCGCTGGCTTTCTGATCGGTAGCACGCTTGGGGGTAAGCTATCTGATCAGATCGTGAAGGTGTACATCCGGAAACGAAATGGTCTTCGACTGCCAGAGGATCGACTGAACAGCAGCCTTCCGGCCATCCTTGTGGTGTTGCCTTTTGGTACCCTCCTTTATGGATGGAGTGTGAAAAAAGAATTGGGTGGTATGGCTTTGCCCGTAGTAGCATCGTTCATTCAGGGAGTTGGACTCATGGCTTCATTTAGCGCCCTAAACACCTATGCAGCTGGTAAGCTTTCACTCCTGGATATCTGGAAATCGTTGCTAATTCCACAACAGAAGCTCGACCTGCACACAGAACTGCAGTAATAAGCGGTAAATACGTTATCCAGTACAGTTTCGCCGCTGGAAGTGTCGGTGGCGTCGTGCCGATGATCGACGGCATCGGCGTAGGTTGGGCCGTTACAATTTGTGAGTTCTTGAGGTAGACAAATCACAAGCGCACTTACTAACATGATTTAGCGGCCGCGGCAGCATTTATTGCGGGCATTATGGTGTTTTTAATTGCTCGAATGAGCAAAAATTGGAAGCATTGATACGACAAAGCAACAGAGCGATGGACTTTTACGATACACAATTGGGCCGTTATGAAATCGGTTCTGTGCATGGGTGGGCGACAAAAATAGCATGGCAACGGCGTTGGGGTTCTCTTGCATACACGGATGGAAAACTCGCTGGATGGATTGGGAAAATAAAGTAAAGATGATAGAATAAACCATTAAAGTTAGACATTTAGATTGATCCACGGTAATAATAATTGTCATCATTATTAATTGACAAGAGGCTGTGCATAGGTGCTCAGTTTATTGACGTTGACCAATTCTGCCTTTCATATTGACATATTAACCGACCACCTGCATCTATTGTATAAACGTGAAAGAAAGACATGCTGCATTTTAGCCATGTTCAACTCCTCTCAATGAGTGCCACCATGTACTCTGCTTCCAGAAAGGGCTATCCTTGCCCCCAACTACCATGCACCACTTCTGCAAGAACCACGGTGTTGCCTCCCAGCTTCTCATATCCCAGGGCTGGTAGCTGGTGCAAGTGGATGAGCTTTCTTGCCCTGATCGATCTTGTTGCCAGATTATAAGCCCACCTCGATGATAGATGTCGAATTTCAGTTCCCACATGTTGAAAGTCTCCGGCATCACGGCAGCTAACATAATGGCCCTCTCGCGAAGAAAAGGTAGCGGAATGAGATCTAAGCTGGCATCGTGCGGAATAAGGATTTGGGCCAAAGTCGGACGGAGGTGCACCGGGATGGTCCGGTTGCAGGTGTTGGAGCTGACCCTTGCAATAGCTGATGCAATCAAAGCTTCCGGGTCATTTTGAGGCGAGGCAAGAGGTTCGTAGAACGGTGAGATATAGTCACCGCGACATTCGGCTAACCTGGCCAGATCGTAGTTGAGTGAGAGAGCGTTTTCGAAGACGGCGGAGACGATGAAGGTTGGTACGAGTCGTAGAGAATTTCGTTTAAGGCATGGCAGCAACGGCGATACTTCGGAAGAGACAGTGTAGGAAAGAGATGATCCTCCAGCATCCAAGGGTGTGACATCGGTCGCCCAGACATCATCGTTCGTTGTGGTTGCTGAGCAGTGGCTGCTTGACCCGGCCAAGAGCTGCGCAGCGCAAAATGAGATTAAATCACCACTAGGGTAAGTGAGGTCCGCCAAAGGCTGTAATTCAATTGAAGTCAACGCTTTGGACTGGACACTGAGCTCTGTACAGTGGCCGTTCAGATTAGGTCCCTGAGATGGCCGCAAGTTGGCCTGATTGGCATCTTGCCGTTGACCATCGGAGTGACATGTACGGGCCAGATTAGTTGGTGACCCAGCTTCCCTTCTGATATCATTTTGGCCTTCGCCCCGAAATTGACAAATATCAGTTCCGGTTTCTTCACGTGGTCGCAACACTGGCAGTTTCTGGTCCCATTTCCGGGCATCAGCTCGGAGTGTCTGCCGACGTTCCCGCTGTCGTTGCCCTTTGAACCACTTAGTAAGTAAAAATACACGGTTAGGTTAGGACTTGGGATCTCACTGTACGCCTTTTGGGCGACGCGATTTTGTTCCTTTCGAGCGGCAGTCATGACTCGTTTGGGAGGCTGTCTAGCATGCTCGGTTGAGCTTGGGGGCTGTCCCGCAGACTCCGCCCCTGTCTCGCGGTCCGACATGATCCTGTGTACACAACGGTCTTGGAGTATGAGATGGCGAGAAGATAACTGGGTAAGCCTGTGTTGTCGGGACTTCGGAATTGAATGAGGTGTGATGTTGAATAAGCAGCCTCACAACGAGCCGCTGTGAGGTGACGTGCCCACATTAATCCCGTAATCACCAAAGTCCGCCAACCCAAAGGCGGAGCTGGCTTACGCCCGAGGTGGGATAGTGGCGTTGGCTTACGGCTTGAGGGCCAATCACAATGAGCAATAGGCGTAAGCCAGGTGTTCCTTCAATTGCGACTTCATCATGAGTTGTTAGATGTGATTATTGATGAAATGCAAGGAAATGGGTTGTACCATTACAATGGCAATAACTATGCGGACCTGCAGAATGAAGAATACACAAGAACTGGCTATAAATGGTCTTTTCCCACACAGCTATCCATAGAAGTAAGAATCAACATTCCATCCCATCATCCAGCAGAAAGCACTCAACACCCAATACGTCAACGACGCTCGCCACCTAAAAACAATTTTTACATTCTCCCATCCAAAGCACAATGGCTCCTTCAAAGATCATTGCAGTCGTTGGCGCGACGGGAAATCAAGGCTCCTCTGTCGCAAAGGTCTTTCTGAGCCTTCCCGGCTGGAATGTCCGCTGCGTCACTCGCCAGCCAAACTCGGACAAGGCGAAAGCTCTCGGCGCACTTGGCGCCGACCTCGTCCAAGCCGACCTCAAGGATATTGAATCGCTCTCACGCGCCTTCCAAGGTGTCAATGCCATCTTTGTCAACACGACCTTCTTGGAAATTACCCAGACCGCCCTAGAGGCTGGCAAGGACCAAATCACTGGTTCTCAGATCGCGCATGATGAGGAGCTGCAGTATGCTAAAAATGCAGCAATAGCTGCTTCTAAGATTCCAGGGCTTGAGATATACATCTACTCAGCCTTTGCTTCCATCAATGCAGCCTCGGGTGGGAAATACACTCGCGCTCTTCATTGGGAGTCCAAGGCCGCCGCCGTAGCCTTCATTGAAAAGGAACTACCTGAGCTTTCCAAGAAAGCGTCCTTCATCTACGTCGGGGGTTATTACGACAACCTCTTCCTTCACCCCCAGCTCAACCCAGAGAATGGAAAGTACTCACTGGTCCTCCCTACTCCGGCAGAGCTGCGGTTTGGGATCATCAATGCCGCGGAGTCTACTGGCTACTACGTGCGGGCGCTGGTTGAAGAGGAAGAGCCTGGTACCAAGCTTCTAGCATACGACGACGACATAAGCATTGACCAGGCTCTTGAAATCTGGACCAAAGTCTCAGGAACGGAGGCCGATTTTGCGCAGATGGATATGCAGACTATGCATGAACTGTTCGGTGTGCCGCTTGGGTACCTTGAAGCAGCGGCGTTTGTCGCCGACTACGGCTACACGGCTGGGATTGAAGGTGTCATCACTCCCGATCAGCTGAGGACCAAGGTGAAGAGGCCGAGCTACGAGGAATATCTTCTATCGCTGGGCGCTGAACATTTGCTGGGTCCCACAAAATAAAGGTGCAATTCAGACAGAATCTGGCCCCGCGATTCAGATGTCAAAATTTGCCGGTAGGGTCAAGTGTCTATTACGGTTATTGCTACAGGTCTAGCCTTTTCTATCTAGTGTTTTATACAGAATAGAATATACATGAATCTTGCCAAAGTTTCATACCTCTATTGATTAGTTTCGCTTAACGCCCTTTCCCTTGGGAACTCTGAAAACCCAGTACAGAGCAAGAGCGCCGGCGATGTTGGCGAGCACGTACACCCACAGCAGACCGAAATCTCTCCATCTATCATCATAAGAGATATCGAAGCGGGACAAGAACTCCTCAGTCGAGTTTAGGGCACAGTAGTTACATGCCTCAGTGGACGAAGGATTCAGGAGACGTCCACCAGCGTACTCGACAAATGGACCCAGAAATTCACTGCAGGTCATGTTCGCTGGGGGAGCCATGCTGAGAATCTCGTTATCGGCACATTTAACCTCTGAGCCGTAAACTGCCGTAGACATGATGCCGCCGATGAGATAGGTTCCGGGTGAGGTGCGGTACATGAAATGCCAGAATCCTGGAATGTCGCTAGGAGGAACACCGACGCTATGAACTTGTTAGCATTTTGAGTTCTAAAAGGTTCGTTAATGGGAGAACTTACCCGCAGAAGGCGATGCAAAGCATCCACAGCAATGTGGCCAACACTCCAGCCTCCTCAGCCGTCTCGATCCAAGTGATGGAAAAGTGGGAAAAGGTGCTGGTGAAGAGCATGAACATCAACAAGAAAAGGAAGATCAAGAATCCGCGGATTTGCTGATCGTCCGATGTCGTGTTTTGCACAAAGCCGACAGGGTAGTACCAACAAAAGTACATAATAGCAGCCATGAGAGTATTCCATGCCATTTCGACGAGAATGTTGGCCAAAATGAAGGCTGATTTAACTTGTTAGCAAATGTAAGATGTAGACTAGAAATCGGGGACTCACTATTCCATCGATAAATCTTGGACGGCCTTTCGCGGACTTCGTAAAGCGCCCGTTGGGGAACAAACATGGGCATGATTTGCTCATTGATGTTACCGAAAAGAACGAGATACATGAAGATGGCGTAAAGCTGGTTTTGCAATCCTTGGATGCTGTTGTTGGCGCTGAAGCTGAAGCCGAGGTACAAAGACTATATGTATTTGATTAGCTAGGAAGTCCTGTTGGGAAAAGTTGAGCTTACAGAAATGACAATGAGAATGGCCTTGGACCAGATATAGGCTGGGGACCTCCAGAAGTGCTTCCAGGTTCGGATGAGAACCTGCCAGAACTGAGTCGAGAACGATGTAACGAATTCCTGGTGCTGAGAACTTTCGCCTCCCATGGGATCGATATCCGCGGACTGCGTGACTGGAAGAGCGTTCAGACGAGAGAGTTCCTTCTTGACACCTTGGTATTCGGGGGAGTTGCGCCAAACTTCGTGCCAGTTGGTGGTTTCAGAGCCATCTGCCGGCGGCTGGATCATCTCGAGCATGTATTCCGCAGGATTAGCGTCTGGAGGACAGGGGGGAGCACCGTTTCGCTCAAAGTATTCGAGGAGGGTGCTTGACCCTTGACCCAAGTCTTGAACAAAGTTAGCGTGACACATTGTAGGGAATAGATAGAATACGTACCTCCAAAGTAGACGGTCTTGCCACCGGGTGCCAGGAGAAGGAGCCTGTCGAATCGCTGGAACAGAATGGCTGACGGCTGATGAATGGTGCAGAGGACAGCTTGGCCGCTTGCAGTCAACTTTTCAATCAGATCACAAATGGCCCATGAAGTTTGCGAATCCAGACCAGACGTAGGCTCGTCAAGAAAGACCAGAAGTTGAGGACGAGCAGCCAATTCAACACCGATGGTGAGTCGCTTTCGCTGCTCAACATTCAGGCCCTCACCGGGAACTCCAATAACAGCGTCCGAGAACTCTTGCATGTCAAGCATATCAATTACATGCTCGACATACTGAAGCTTCTCTTCTCGGGGGATCTCTGCGGATTGGCGAAGAATGGCACTAAACTCGAGTGCCTCTCGGACTGTCATGGTATTCAGGTGAAGATCTTGCTGCTGCACATAGCCGACTCTGTGTTGGAATGATGCATCCGTTGGCTTTCCATCAATGTGGGTATCTCCGCTGACGACTCCCATGGTGACTCGAGTTGCAAGGACATCCAGTAGGGTGGTTTTACCAGCGCCAGAGACTCCCTGTTCAAAATTAGTGAAGGTTCATTAGTGAGAAGGACTGATCATACCATGAGGGCTGTGGAAACACCGGGCTTGACCCAACCATCAACTTGATCCAAGATGCGACGGTCCTTGCCCTTGATTTGAATATCATAGCAGAGATCTTCCCAGTGGAAAACAGAGGCTCCTGCGGTTAGGCCACTCTGTCCCTTAGTGCCTCCGGTCTTTTCCGCAACAACAGGTCGGGTTCCCGGAGCTTCGACATCGATATTGCCACTACTCTCTGAGTTTAATGGCATCTTGCCCTTGCGGAATACTAGGACTTCGCCCTTGCTCTTCGGGGGCTTTGCGAACTCGGCTGACACAATGTAGGCGAAGAAGAAGGCTACCAAAAACAAACAGAGGATGCCAATGTTTCTGAATCCGAGTTAGTACAGGACTTGTATTAGCAACGCTTGCAGGGATTTGACTTACCTCCACTTGTGGGAGTTGTAATAGTTAAAGGACATGTTAATGTACCTGTCTCCATTTACCATCGATGATCCAACCTCGGCTCCAATGACTGAACAGATCTGAGATGCGGAGGGCAGAGAATCGTAGCCGGGGCCTTTGGGGATCATCTGCGCACAAGGGAATTCCCTTGCGTGAAACTCGTTTGCCATCAGCGACTCGAAGGCATAAGCAAGAGGGTTGAGGTAGTTCATCCAGCGAGACCAACCGAGCATGTAGTTGGTCGGGATCGTGAAGCCGGTGTAGATCATGAGCCCGAGACTGAGAATTGCTGCTGGCACCATGGCTTGGTGGGATGTCCGGGTGAGACAGGCCAGTGTGCGGTAGAGCAATGACATGACGAGTGTCGTGAGATACGTCGTCAAACAGAAGAAGAAGAAGGCACCAGGTTCTCGTCGTAGATTGGACATGAAGTATATCATAAGGTTGAAAACGAACATGTTGACGGTTTTGTACGGCAGATCGATGATGTAGCTTGCAATAGCCTGTGCAGATTGGTGGTAGAAGGCATACCGGTTATGCTTCTGAACGACGGGCCGTTCGATGTATACGGTCAAGACCTATGGCCTATTAGCGGTCTTCTCAATAGAATATCGATGTCCCTTACCTCAAGCTGACTAGCGAATGCGTTGAACAGCAAAGAGAAGAAGATCATGCCACCGCGGTAGTAAAAGCTCGAAGAGTCCGGTGTGAGATTGAAGAACAAGCTACCCAACACGACAGCCATGACGACATTGAACATAAGAGACGCAATGGTGAATCCGGGGTCAGCCAACAGTCTCCTCCAGCTGCGCCAGATGGTAAGCGACACCTGCCGGGAGTACGAGATGGTGTAGGGGGACTGCTCTCGCTGGCGCTTGAACTGCTCGGCACGGCGGGATTCCTTGTACTCCGCCAGTCGCTCTTGCGGGGGGTGATTCTTCTCGTAGTCGCCCAGTTCGCGCAGGAGAATCTTTCGCTGCTCGCTTGTCTGCCATCGATTCGCAAACTCGTCGGGGGTTCGGGGTGCGGTGGCCTCGAAGCCGGCGCGGACTTGACGTTCTTGGGGACTGGTCATGGAGGTTAAGAAGTCGGGCGTTGTCTGTCTGTCGGGGCCTATCTTGTGTCAGTTAAAGGGCCAAATGCATGTTTTGGAGTCGCTTACAATGGAAGCCCAGCTCCTCAAAGTATCGTCTGGCCTCGGTGGCCTTGCCGAAAAAGATCTGCCTGCCTTCGTACAGGACAGTAACGCGATCAAAGAGCTAGAAGATAATTAGCGGTTGTCTATAACGCACTGGCAAGGAACTCACGTCGTAAGCAGACTGCGGTGCCTGATAGATTGCCACCGCGCCTGCAACCCCGAGAAGATCGGCCTGCAGCCGCAAGTTCTTGCAGAAGTTGATGGCGTTGCCACTGTCCAGACCGCGAGTTGTGTTGTCCCAGCACTGCAACTTCGCTCCAGTCAGGGCGGCTTCGGCGATGGAGACGCGCTTGCGTTCTCCGCCGGACACGCCTCTCACAAAGTCATCGCCAACTCGCGTGTCCACGGTGTGACTGATGCCGAAGATGGCCATCATGACATTTCGCATCATCGTGTCGGCTTCCTCTCGGCTGACGCCGCCGGGAACATGGCGAACGGAATGGGCGCTGGCTGCGAAGGATAGGGTCTCGCCAACGGTCAGATGGGCGAGATGGCTGTCGACTTCGGCGTTGTAGAGGACGTCGCCGCGGAAGGTCTTTCGTATATGGCTGGCGTCGATACCTGCAGATGATTAGTGTTTCTTGTACAGCATAGGATAGGAAATGATATCCTACCTCGGAAGTTCATGTACGAGTCGGAGCTGACTTCAAGACCGGATGTCTCGCCTGCGATTGTCTTGAGGAGGGTTGAGCAGCCGGAACCTGGCGGCCCAAGGACAAGCAATAGCTCGCCCTTATCAACGACGCCCTCAAAGTTGCGGAGAATGTCAATTCGCCTCTTGTTTCGGTTGCCGCCGAACAAATCAACGAAGGAGGACACAATGTCCAAAGGGTAGTCGAGGACGCTTTTCTGGTGCTCAGCGCCGCTCCCCCATCCAAACACATCGAGCTTCTGGAAGGCAACGCCCAGGCTTCGAGGAGGCGCAGCGCCAGGATCCGATTCAGTTAGCTTGATCAGCGCCCTCACCCACTCGCGGGAGTCGAAGTTTGTCGATCCGGGGTCCAGTTGCGTGCCGGGCTGGGGATTGAAAGCGTGCAGCTCTGTGTCGAAGGCGGCAGAGGCGTGGGTGAGCTGCCGCGCAAGCGCCTCGATTTCGGTTTGCATCTCTGGCGGGTTGTTGTCGCCATTGTCGTTGGCCTGGGTGCTGGCGCGAGAGTACGAAGTCGAAGGCGGTTCGTTTTGATTGATTGTTTCTCGTTCAATTGCGTTTGTTGACATGTCGCCCGTCCCATTGTTTTGAGACGCGGCCATTTTGCCCAACAGTCTGGGCGTGGGTTTGGCGATGTCGTACTGCAAGGGGTTTTCGGATGCGAGAATAACAAGGCCGATGATTTCGACTTCGACAAAAGCCGTGAGAACAAGAGAACACTGCTGGTTTAGATGTCGGTTAAAACCATGAGACGCGATCTCTTAATAAGTAGCAGCATGTTCGCCAAACATCTCCGTAGTCCGCAACACAAATCCGCGACAAACAAACAAAGCCGCGGAGTTTGCAGCGCAGAACAGAAGAACTCATTGACAGCCTGACAGCCTGACAGATCCCTGGAACTCGGAGACGCGCGGGAAGGCTTGGCACACGTTGCCCCCTGTTCATGCGTCCTCGCCTTGGAATTGGCCCGACGGACACTCCTTACCACTCGCGTAAGGCTTTACGACGCCGACGGAGCAAACATTCTGTGTGGATCTGCCCCCACACTGACTCGACGGACGCCCGCGGACGCCCGGCTCGGTGATCCGCGGGAGGTGGGTTGCGTAAATCAACCAACAAAGAAAGACATGACAAGATCGGAGGCATTTAACATTGACAGACGCGTGGAAATCCTCCGATAGACGCTAAATCTCCGCCATTCTAGTGAACACGTCCCTGCGCCCATTCGCCAACTCGGCCTGTCCTTGTCCCGATCACGGACACTAGTCTTGCAGGAGATCACCAGCCAAGAACATGGCATCTCAGCCTGGCTGCATCCATCACGTGGTGGCCATCAGGCAATGACTGCCTGGTCCCTGATGTCCAGGCATTCCCCAGTTTTCTGCCTCGTGTTTTCTTTTTTCGCTTCCCTGGTGCGCATAACTTCGCTGGCGGCGCTCCAGGGCGGAACAACAGTGTCCCCCCTTCGACCACAACTCCGCCACTTTAACTCCGCGCGGCGTCGGCAAATTCCAGAATATCTCGGAGAAGCTGCTCGGGGTGGGACAGAACCAAGACTTTGCGGTTTATTAGTGAAATTAATCCGCAAGCACGGGGGAATTGACTCACCGTGTCCCCCGTCTTCATACACAATCACCTTGGCTCTGGGCACCAACTGCTTGACTCGATGAGCGCTTGCCTCGATTGGCACACCACCATCCATACCGCCATGGACCAGTAGAAGCGGAGCGTCGCTGCTGTTTGCGAACTGCGCCAACTGGTCTGTCAAGTTCTCCGAAGTATATATTTGGACGGCTCGCTCTATCGCCAGCCCATCCGCAGCATCAACAATCCGCTCGTAGAGTTCAATGTCCTTTTCTGAGACCTGCGTTGCCGAACCAACCCCCAGTGGTCCAGTAAAGCCTGTAGAGACAAACTGCGATCGATGGCTTCGCAGGGATGCGAGAACGGTATCCCACAGCTCTCTTGGTGGCGCGTTTGGAAAGTCTGTTGATAAGACAGGGTGTGGAAGCGAGGTACTAATCCACACAAATCCCTAGAGTCTTGTTCTAAATATGATGTCCAGTGATATACGCAATTCACAACTTACCTTGCACTGTGCTCTGACATATGAGCTGAGGGAATGGGCAAGCAGCGTCTCCCCAGTGCCCATGCTGGCACCCACAAATATGAATGGACCAGGTTTTATCTTTTCTAAGAGGTCAACAACGTCACTAGCGAACACATCATAGTTGATATCTCCATCCAGATTCAGGCCTGACCAATCACTCTGACCAAAACCACGCCTATCTGGGGCGATACAGCGGAACCGATAAGTCTCGCAGAGTTTCAGTAGCAATGGCTCATACATGCGAGATGACAGAGGCCACTGGTGGAGGAATACAAATGTCAGGTCCTGCTTGTTTCCGTATTGTTCATTTGCAGCGAAAGGTGGCGGTTGGCTAGCTGGAACAAGATCTCGATAAAATAACTGTGCGCCGTCGAAGGAGCTGTTGTATCGAGGCATCTTGGTGATTTGGGTTATGATCGTAAAACAGGAGTGTTCTGGAACAGAGTTGGGTAGGATGATTACAATTCCCAACAGCAACCTGGGCATTATTTAAGTCCTTAAATAATAGAATAATCATTTCCATCCTCGTTGATATTATCTACCCGGTATTCATCCTCGATTTCAGACGCCAAGGATCCTCGGCCGTAAAGCAACCACAACATTAGAGAAAAGGCCGACGGAGTTTATGCAATGCGAGCCCCACATCAAGCCGACCATCTAAACAATAGCCAACACACACAGAGCAGATAGAACAGATAATAGGCTTCGGAAAAACGTCATAATCGTGTCGGAGCATTAAATAAAACTGCCGCGCTTATTAATTACCTCGGCTAACAACTCAGAATGGGTGTGTGTAATCCAGGAGGGGAGGCTTTGGCTTTATGTAGCTCGGCGGGGCTCTCCAGGTTCACAGAAGGGACCAAACAGACCAACGACTCCTCACAATATCAAAGCATCAAGTAAAATCTTCTCTAGCTTTGAATCGCTTGTATCACCATCAGCAGCGTCAATATGGAGTATAAATCACCGCTCAGAGCCGATGTTTACGTGTCTTCACGGCTGCCAATTGCCATTCAGAGGAACGGCGAGCAGAGCCTATTCTCGCCGATATCGTGTACGTTGATCCATGGACCAACGGAAGCGGTCCTTGTCGATACACCTATCTCAATAGCCCAGACAGAAGATCTCATCGGTTGGATCAAAGAAATCATTGGGGACAAGCCGCTCAAGTACATTTACATTACGCATGGGCACGGAGACCATTTCTTTGGAATCACCGTTTTGAAAAAAAATTGGCCAGATGTCCGAGCCATTGCCACCCCAGGAACTGTTGCTCACATGAAGCAACAGCTCGAGCCCGAATGGTGGACTGGCGTGTGGCTCAAGTTCTTTCCAGGTGATCAGATTGCGACGCCTGTCACCATCGCTGATCCAATGGAGACCGACACGTTCTATGTAGACGGGCACCTTGTTCATGTTATCGAGGTCGGACATACGGATACGTTTAACACGACGATTTTGCACATTCCAGGTCTCGAGTTGGTAGTCGCGGGCGATGCAGTGTACGGAGATGTACACCAGTATTTCGGAGAGGCGGACACGAGTGAGAAGAGAATGGAATGGATCAAAGCCATTGAAAAGATTGAGGCTCTGAACCCCAAAGTTGTCATTGCAGGACATAAGAGGCCTGGGTCGGTCGACGGGGCGTATTATCTTCAGTCAACAAAGGAGTATATCAGAGTTTTTGAGGAGATAGTGAGAGCGTCAGATACTGCTGAGGAGATTGTATCCCAGATGGAAACCAGGTATCCAGACCGGATCAATCCTCATGCCATTCTCGCGGGAGCCTTTAGGGCAATCGAGGCGAGACAGATGTAGTTGGATAAATGGGATCAAAGCCGACTGGTTGTTTCAGCCCTCCATAAATAACCATGATAAAAGACAATTCATTCTCTTTTAATTTATCTTAAAGGTATACGAAGGCATACACCGGGATCTTGAACATAAATAAATATCATATTTTCTCAAGATATGAATATTTACTGAGCTTAATCATTAGCATGGATCCATCCTAATACATCTTTTCTGCTATTTATCCATATCGCCCTTTTTACACCCTCACTTAAGGCCCTAAGTCTGTCTTAAACTTATTATCATAAATCGCCACGTCGTCTTTGGAATCAGTTTCACTGAGTCTAGATAGAGGGCGAGAGTAGTCGTTGCTCACGTAGTCTAAATTGTAACAATCACTTAGATGGAAGAGAATTGATACCCGCATTTGGACGGCTGTGCCTACCCGTGCATTGCGCACACTCAGCAATCCATTCACTGGTAGCCTCCATTGTGAAGCGCCTGAGTGGGAAGAAATGACCCCATGACGTGCCCCAACTCCCATCCCCACCTCCAAATACTACCCCAGACACACACTCAAATGTGTCTTCATGTCGAGGCCTTGATTACACTGTCGGCAAGATGTGGGGCATACTCGGCCCAGTCTGCTGGGCTCGTTCGCTATGCATGTTCCCGCTTCCCCAGGTTTTACAGTTCTGGGCAACTCTCCGTCGGACTTATTTTTCGTGTTGACGGATCTATAGTCGTCGGGTATGGCATGTCATGACATGTCATGACACGTTCGGGATGTATAAAACGTTGATACTGTCTTCTTCAATTAGATGAAATAAGCTGCCAGATAGCGCCAATACAATTGCCTCTCTTTCATCTCACGCCAAGCAAACACTGCGAAAGATTTCACCATGGCATCTCAAGGCAATCACTCCTACCAAGTCATCATTACCTCTGAGGAAGACAAACCACAAGCCGAGAAGCGTCGGGCAATATACTTGAGGCCCTTCTTGCTCTTCTGGCTCAGCTCCTTCATCTTCGAGGTCACGATGCTGCTGATCAGTATCGTTGTCTTCTCAGGGTTCCGAGATTTCTTTCCCCGATTCATGTGGACAATCTTCTTCTGCCCTCTTGGTATGGGCGGGGCAATGGGGGGTCTTGTGAATTTCTTCATTGTCGACAAGCATTACGGCAGTAGGGCTGTTCATTTCTGCGCCATTATGAGTCTGCTTGTCCTGGGCACTTGCAACGATCTCTGCTACAACCTGGATCTTGTATTTGGTTGGTTCGGCGCTCACGATCATTTCTGGTGGTGGCAAGGACGCTATCCCCTCATTTATGGCGTCGGGTTTGGGATGGGGAAGCTTTTGTTCACCGACAGGGGACAAGAAACCCTGTCTCAGTGGGGAGTTTGAAGGCCGGACGCTACCTTTGTTTAATGCACGGGTTTATCAACGGCATGTTGGATAGCGTGCGATAGCCAGTGCTCTGGATACCAGCATCTCGGTGGCTATTGGTACTGGGTGGGTCTTGCGCCCCGGATCTGTGGAAGGGTGTGGAGACGGAGAAGTGGCGAACTCGAAGGGATCAGGAGATTAGCGAGAGGAATCCTTCCAAGATGGGCATGAGAGCTTATATACGTTATGAAATCTCTAAATTCCTCAGAGTATAACCTGTAAAGAAATTTCCTATCAATTATAAACCGCATTGTCCTCCTAGCACTGCCGTAGGTGAGCGTCTATGGCTGCTTGACCAACCAACACCTCGAGCTCTGAAGCTCAGCACTGTAAATACATTCAGGAATAGCATGATACCGAAAGTGCAAAAAAAGAAGATATAACCCCGGATTTAACATGACAATAACACCTACCTTATCGTCCCTGCGGCAGAATCAGTCCTGGCTGGTACCTTTCCATTCTTGGCGCCACCTCGAGAGATTGAACTAGCTCGCTTGGCAGGCTTCAGCCGAGGCAGGCCCATAAAATACTCATTCCCCGTTCCCCACGTGCCGAGGCGATGGTACAACCGTCCCTGATTAATAAACCGTGAACACTTGTCTCCCCTTTAAGAAGAACTGGTTGTCCGTGTTGTGCCATTAACCCTCCTCAACCATGACCGCCACCCTATCAGAGCAAGTTGCTGTCGAGCAGCTTGGGCCTGGAGAGTATGTCTCCAAACTGTGCCCAATCCGGATGGGCAACTCCATGCCCATTGCGTACGGAGGTTGCACCGCAGCTGTCGCTGTGAGCGCGGCTTGCTCAACCATCCCGGAAAACCTCTCGCTGTACTCAGTCCTCGGCCACTTTCTCGGACCTGCGTCAATCGATCAAAAACTTTACTGCAGTGTAACCAACACCAGAGACACCAGGTCATTCGCCACCCGACGCGTCCAAGTCAAGCAGAAACAACCCGACGGCCAGTTTCGCGTTTGTCTCGAGCTTATTGCCGACTTTCACGTCCAGGAACCGTCCTCGCTCACCTATTCGGCGCCTCCCGAGTCCACATGGCCTGGACCTGAAGATTGTCCAACCGCTCAGGCGCATGCGGAGGTTTTGAAGGCTAGAGGAGTAGTCACCGAGAGCCAGTACCAAGATTTCGTCAAATCTTTTGGGGTGTCGGAAAAGTTCTTTGAGACGAGACATTGCGTCAATGGAGTCGCTGGCCAGACCCTAGCCGGTGCTTCCAAGCACACCATTACGACGCAGGAAGCGCGACACATTACTGCCAAAACATCGGCAGAATGGCAGAGAGCTAGGGAATCGCTTTCATCACCTGCCCAGAACCTGGGGGCCCTGTCTTTCCTTATGGACGGGGGGCTTTCCTTTTTGCCTCTGACACACAATCATCTGTGGTTCGAAGACGTGGCGGCTTGCTCGACCCTGGATTTCGCCCTGCGTGTTTTTACCCCAGAGGTCAAGATGGATGCGTGGCATCTCAGAGAGAGGACAACATCCCGTGGCGGCAGCGGGCGAACATTCTCAGAAGGGAAGCTTTGGGATGAGCAGGGCAACATGGTTGCTTCCATGAGCCAGCAGTCGATTATGCGAATGAAGAAAGGATTTGAGTTATCCAAGTTGTAATCGGGTGGCGATCTTTTTCAGAGCCCGGGGCGGCGTCTCTCCAGGTGCTTATTTAGATCTTTGCAATGCGCGCCGGTTATTTGCTTCTTGTACACGGTTTGAGCTTTGGGACTTTAGAGTACGATGTAGACCATTAGATGAGATCACTAGAGGAGTAACGGTGATGTGATAATCGAACAATGTTACAATATTGATTTCGCTACCTAAATTGGTTTGAACGGAAAGTTTATCATTAAATTCGACGCTACCTCACCAGCCCTGTCCATGTCTCGCCAATATTGCAACGTCAATGCATCCTGTCATCTGGGAAACAAATTAAAAAAAGCATCTCGACGTCATCCCGTGATCATCTTAATCCACCCGTCTTTGTTCCGGGCCAGGTGACTTCTCCCCGCACCGCTCCGGAACCGATTCCGCATGTACCCCAATTGACCTCGTTCGTTAAAGGTTTCCCGCACTGCAACCTCTTCCTCGGCCCCTCAAGGTTAGCACCGGATGTCCTCGGTAGCTGACATCAGAGTCAATTGAGTTATCACGGACTGAAAAGGGACCACGTCCAGCTGAGTTGGCACAGAAATCAACACTCGCAGAGCAGCATTCAGAGAACAGTTAACATTCCCCAACCGTCTACATCAAACAAAATGGCAGATTACACTCTCTATACCTACTTCAGGTCATCCTGTTCCGCTCGCCTCCGCATCGCCATGAATCTAAAATCGATCCCGTACGAGATGGTACCTGTCAACATCCTCAAGAATGAGCAGCTGTCCGAGGAGCACAAGACTCTCAACCCGTCTGCATCCGTTCCGGTCCTCATATGCCGCCAATCGCAGGGCAACGCCTTCAAGATCGGACAGTCGGTGGCCGCACTCGAGTACCTGGAGGAGCGACACCCGGAGACGCCCCTGCTTCCCTCTGACCTGGAGGCACGATCTCTGGTACGCACACTGGTTGCAATTGTATGCTCGGATATCCAGCCGGTGACCAACCTTCGAATCATGCGCCGTGTGAGGGAACTGGGAGGAAACGCTGAGGAGTGGAACCGCGAGCTGATGACGAACGGCTTACGGGCTTACGAAACCGTCGCTGAAAGGTCTGCGGGGAAATATTCTGTCGCAGATGAGGTTTCTATGGCGGATGCGTGTCTCATGCCTGCAGTTTGGAATGCCGAAAGGTTTGGCGTCGACATTTCGCAGTTCCCGGCGGTGGAGCGGATTGCTGCGAACTTGAAGCAGCATCCAGCAGTGATTCGAGCTTCCTACTTCACTCAACCGGACACGCCAGAGGAGTTGAGGACGAAGTAGCTTGAAGATCAAATCAGTAGCATGCAGAATTCAAAACAAGAATAAGATTAGTAAATCAGTGCATTTCTTGTCTAGTTTTGGTAGAGTCAAGTCTATAGCTAGAATAGAGGAAGAGGGGCTTGAACCGTGCCTGAAACTTCGCCAAAGCCAATTATAGAATCACCGCTGCCGAAGGAGCCGCGGATGACCAGAGTATCACCGTCCTGGAGGAACTTGCGCTCCTCGCCACCCTCAAGCTTCAAAGGGATTTTGCCGCCCTTTGTCTGCTCTAGAATACTACCCTCCGTGCCTGGCTCTGTGCCTGAAATCGTTCCAGAGCCGAGTAAGTCACCAGGGCGCAGATTGCATCCGGTGATGGTGTGGTGCGCAATCATTTGCGGCCACGACCAGAGGAGGTTTCTGGAGCTTGTCCGGCTGATCGTCGTGGTTGCGCCCGCCGCGGCTGCGTGTCTTGATTAGTATGTCATGACGCAAACATCTGGCCTGAAAAGGTGGACTTACTGATGACGTCGACCTCTAGGTTGATCCCCAAGACATTGTCCTTCGCGTCCTGTCTTAAATAGGGCAGCAGCTCGGTGTCATTGGCGATACCTGGACCCTTTGATGCCTCGAGCGCATCGGCGAGCACCACCCAGGCACTGATGCTGGTGCCCATATTCTTGGCAGTGAAAGGACCGAGGGGAACATACTCCCAGGCCTGCACGTCTCGCGCACTCCAGTCATTCATCAACACGTAGCCAAAGATGTGATTCTCTGCCTCGTTGACCGGCACCGGGGCCCCAAGGCTGTTCTCGCGGCAGATGAACATTCCCATCTCCAGCTCGAGGTCCAGCTTCTCACACGGCGCCAGCGTAGGGGTCTTGTCGCCCGGTCGCAGAATCTGGCCCCAGGGACGTCGGATGGGAGTTCCGGATGTGACAACGCTGCTGGCTCGGCCATGATAGGCCACAGGCAAGTGTGTGTAATTAGGCTGCAGGGCATTGGCGGGGCCGCGGAAGAGGACTCCAACATTGTATGCGTGGTTCTTCCCCGCGTAGAAGTCTGTGTAATCACCGATCGCCAAGGGCAGGTGGTTCTGCACTTCCGAGCGTGGCAGAATTGCTGTGCTTCGAAGCTTTTCGTTGTCTTTGAGGAGCTCTGGGAACTTGGTGTCGGCGGCGAGCACAGCCTGGAGATAGCTGCGAGTGGCTTGGTGGAACGGACGGCCAAGGGCGGCGAAGGCATTCAGAGTGGTCGTCGCGAAGCAAGCCTCACGCTCCTGGACCGATGGGGAGCCAGAGAAGCCCCCGCCGCTGGCGAACGCGTGAAGATCGAGGACATTGTCGCCGATGGCGATTGCGGGTCTGGGGGTTTGGTTGGCGGCTGTGGAGATGATGCCGAAGGGGATGTTGGCGATGGAGAAATGGGAGCCGGTTGGGATTGGGAGCCAGGACATGATGACGGTCGGGATCAATCGGTCAATCTCGCTGAGACGTTCTTGGATACCACGAAGTTGTTACAATTGAGGGAGCAAGAGTATAATAAGCTGCGACGCACTGAAGACGTCACACTCACTTACAATTGTTCCCCAAGCCGCGGCAAGCCGAATCCACGGGCCAGGCCGAGTGAGGCCGAGTGGGGCCGGGCGGAAATCCACCCGCAGTCGGTTTCAATTAGACCTTACTCAGCCGAGCCGACATTTTCCAGCCGTCTTCGGCATAAAATCTACACTGTAAGAGACTAATGTGTCTCGGTTTAAGGGTTCAAGTATTTCTTAATGTTTTATTCCGCACTCAGGATGAAGAAGTTCTCACCAGCTATATTTCCCAACTGTAGCAAAAACCAAGACCGGTGGAGAATAAGACCTGCCATCGATTCCGTCTGAAGCCGATTCCGTCGTGTGCTCAACGATTCCGCGGGGCCCTCTTCGATTCCGTGTGCGTTTCGTTGATTCCGTCGGGTCTTGGCTGCGGAACATGAATAGCAGACGACTTAAGCAATGTTTTCTGTAACCGAGCCCGTAGAACAGTGAATTGTTGTTTGAGCCAGGTAATAATTTTGGATTCTTGATGTTAGCGCCTAATATCCAATTGATGTGGGAGCTCGCTCACGTTAGACTGTGGCGAGAATTCCTCTTTCGACATCTGTCATCCCCTGTGTAACCCACAGGTTTTACGTTGCAATAAAAAAATACCTAAACAGAAAATGACAAAAGATAACCAAGGCTTATAAAGTAAAGACGAAATTGATTTGGCTTAAGACAAGCTGGTTGATTCAACAGTAAATCCCTATGTTGATTTGCTGTGATGTGTGCTAAATAGTTCATTTTACAATGAAGTTGGGGTAGTAATAATATGGCAAGAGATAGCTCAGCTGACGCAAAACTACCCACTAAAGTGTGCGCGAAGACTAATTGACGCGACTGCAACCAGTGTGTCCCATGCAGTACATATCTGCCTAATAGTTTGCCATGACACGCCCTCCTAACACTGTTACTAGTAGCTAACTGCCTCACTACCTGCCTTATGGCTAAGCCTCAAAGATAGCGAATCGAACACGCATGTGCCGTCTGTCAGCAAAGACCTGCTGTTTGTAGACAATGACCCTATCTGGCAGTACCATTCAATTTCATAATCGTCAACCTCGGAGAATAACGTCCCGAAGCCACGGCCAGTACTCATCCTTGACCCACTGGCGTAGGACCTGCAGAATGTGAACGATCTGGTAGACCCCTCTGGCACTAGATGTGCCCCCAATTGCTACTTTTTGCCAGAACAACGTCTGCTCTCCCTCCAAAGTAGTGAAGTTGAGATACCACTCGTGGCCTTGAATTATTATGCCAGGAATAAACGGGGGCAATTTGGTTGGGCCATCAGTCTTCTCTCCCCCTTCTGCCTCCGCCTGAGCCTCGGCTGTCAGTCTCTCAGCCAGACATCGCAAGAAACTCCAGTGAGCCATCTGCCAAATACCAAGTTGCAACTTGGCGCTATCAAAGCCCTCGCTCGGCTTCACAGTCTCGATGCTGAAGGCAATGAGTTTCTTCTCGAGGGGGGGAAAGTCCGTGAAATTCAATATTCTATCAGGTAGAGTGTCGCGAAATGTCAGAATGGCTCGTTGAGTCAGAAATTCATCATTTTCTGGGTCGATATAGATACAAAAGTCGACGTTTTTCGAAGTAGATGGTTTGCCGTATGTCGGAGTGATGGCTGCTGTAGTGCTGGGTGAAGTCTTAGCTGGGGTTGGGTAACATAGATTCCACGAATGCCTTACCTGCCCGTAAAGTTGACGAGATGATTGAACGGCGCCTGATATGGTGGTCGAAACGCCAACTTGAGAACCGGCTGATGGACCTCAAGATTCCAGTTTGCTTCTGGGTGCCCATATGTGCTGCACTCAGCTGCCGCAGCCACAACACTGAGCACGTCTTCTAGAGATGGGGTATGACCGACATTGTCACGGGTTTCAGAGAAGTATTCGCTGCTTCTCAAAACCCATTTGAAGTCTGTGTGTGACTGTGCAGCAAGTTCAAGTTCCTCTCGAGCTGATGACGAAATGATGCCTCTTCCTTCCATGACGACGTCTACCACTTCAAGCAGCACTTCTAGGCTATGCGGCTTGTCCTCAAAGTAAGTTAGATCTCGAAATTTTATGCCATGAGGGCTGAGTCTGAGTATTTGCAAATGTTTCTGCGGCGAAAGTCGTCCCCATCGTTCTGACGACTGTCGTGACTGTCCTGACAGTGAGTACCCAGCCTCTGATCCGTGCGTTATTCGCGTGTAAGGGACCTGGGATGTTTCATCATCGATGGCTTTGGGGCGCATATCTGGACTCTCACCACCTTCATGAGACATGATGATGTCATTGTTGGCTGATTCTGGTGGTGTAAAGTTGAGGCGACGCCGCTTGCCCAACGGATGCGCTCTTTTTGAAATAGGGTCTGTGAGATCTTTGGGAATCTCGTCTAGCCAGGCAAAAATGTCCGTCGACATGTCGGCCTACTGCTTGAACGGCAGGATTTGATCCGATGCACTGGTTGACGATGGTGTTTTGGCCAGCTTTCGAGAACATTGGCGGGGTAACAATACAGTTGCCTATCACGTCAGTTTAGTAATCGCCTACCCTAGATTTTAGCATAGGCTTGGGCAAGGGAGCCCTCATTAGAGCAGGAACCCATCTACAGATGATCCAAACAAGTTGAATCCGCGAAACCATCAATGCCATGTTTTCCAATACAAGAGTGATACCTAGATCATATCACCAGTAAACCCGCTTAGTCCAATGCCCATCTTCGCTACACAGTCCTTCTCCAACCAAACAATTGAAGTTCTAGGGCCTGCTGGCGGAAAAGTAGTCACGTTGACCAGCGTCGTCTTTGCCTTACTACTATTACTGCATGAGCTCTTATGGTTTGTCAGGCAAACCACATCGAAACCTAGGACTTAAGATAAGATACTAAATATCTGAATGATGAGGCATGGCGATGATGAGGTTGCAGAATCGAGTCAGAAACTACGCACGGAACATGTTACTGGCTCTTGCGACATACTAAGAACTCAAGCAGAGGATAGCGCCGAAGATGAAGCCGAAGAACATAGGGCGCTGCTATTTGTTATTCCCTCTTTTGTGGAGAGTTTGTTTCATGATGGGCAATGAAGGCGATCGTCTACTCCATCTTGGTCATGACAGCCCGACGTTAAGTGAGATCCGTCGACTAACCACACTCTTGCACCGATTACAATAGCCTCGGTATCACAATGGACCCAGAATTTGTATCTCAATGCCTATTTAAAGGGCTAGCCATTGCACTTTGTGGGTATCTGGTGCTAAGTTTTGACCTTTCCCCTGTAGGATATAAGCCCCAATCTTGACTAGCAACATGGGCTCGGGCGACGATGAACACATCCCAGACTCTTCCTCTAGAGACGGCACCCGCTGCAGGATCACCCCCCAGTCCAAGCTTCTTGGCCCGCCGTAGCAGAGACATACGGCGTAAATATCTTCACCGCCCGGCCGGAATCCGTCAATCCACTCTTGTAGGTCGAAGTTGCCCACCACCACCTCCTCCTGGTTGGCATCTCCGAGAGCCATGATGGATGCCGTCAAACCGCAAGCGGGTGGGACGTGCAATGAGTTGTCGGAGACTCTAGCCGCGACAATGCCGACCTCGTCCATCTCCACTCATCCGTCTGGGCAGATCCTCCACCCGCTGACTGAGGGGTGGTCGTGATGTTCTTGGCCCCAAACGTGTGAGCCCCGCCGTCGGGCAGCATTCGACGAGAACGGCATCATGGAGCCTATCACTGTGTACCCGAACCTCCTGATGCTCCCACTATCGGAGACGCCGATGTCGGGATATTCAGGCGACAGGCTCACCGAACCAAAGAATGACGCGCCGAGCTGCTGTCGGATCTCATTGATAAACATGAGCGGGAACCTGCCCAACACCAACTCGGTCTCCGGCGGCGGCTCTCCGACTCTCTGCACGTGGTCGCGCCACCAAGCTGTAGCCCCAATCGCCGACATGACGGCACGCGCGCGGCTGTGATGGCAGTACCGCTGGTTGGTCATGCCTAGCACCTTCAGGGGGTTGATATCAAGGAGAAAATCGAGCTGGAACTCGTTGCTAAGCCGGAACAGCTCGGCCGGCCCTCGGGGGATCTCGACGCCGAGAAGAGGGTAATTCCGCGTGGTAAGTTGGAGGAGGACCCAGGATTCAAGAGCAAGCAGTCCATCCAGTGTCACGGTGTCGTCATTAACGAAGAGCGCCTTTCCCTCGCTGTTTAAGAATCCCATTTGAGGGCGGAGGCAGGTCTCTTGGAGCGTCCAGAGGGAGGAGAACCACCCCGAAGGCTCGGTTGCAGCGGTGTCGTCTCCAAATAGGCCGGTGGGTTTCTGCGCCTGGCCAGCGATCGAATCGATCTGGGTCGGGAGAAGGCTTCGGACGTTGGGATGAGAGAGCTCCAGACACTGCAGGCACAGCCACGAGATGGTCGCATTCAGTCCACTCCAGGAGTTGATGTCATTCAGCCAGATAACCCCTGAGTGGGCACTGGCAAATATGTCGGCCTGGCGATCAACTTCAGAGTTGTACACTACGGCCTGCTCCGGCTTGGATCTGTCCTGCGGAATGCAAAACAGGTCAACCCAGATATATCGCGTCGTGATATCCATGCGCCGCAGCATGTCTGGGAGCCCCTGGACATCGAACCGAGAATTCTGGGGAACGAGCCACGGCACGCCGTCGACCGTCACCGAGGGTTTCTGCGAGCGCCATCGGCCCCATGTGTGACTGACGACTGCGTAGAGAGGGCGGCGATCTAATTGTGCAGTTTCTACGGTACACCCGCCTTCTTTGTCCCACAAGTAGTATGGGAGATTGTTTCTGGTGCCTTGGTTGGAGATGTTGGTTTCTCGAAGCTTGAGCCAAGGGCATGGCTCGATGACCCAACTCATGCTCCGTGTTCGATACTCGACTGTTGGGTCGCCCCCCAGATTCGTTCCAGAGCTTGTTGCACCCGCGACTGCGGCTTCCGGCACTGGTATCTCCTCGCGCTCCAAGAATTGATGGAAGAGGCGCCAGGATGTCCGCTGGCAAGACGCCATCACTGCCGCATCGTGCCGGTGCCGTTGCAGCGTGGCGAGGTACTCAATATCGTCATTATCGTAGCCAGAGAGAAACTCAGCCTGCCAGAGCAAGAATAGCTCCTCGTGGTACTTGTACCTCGCGGCCACCTCCTGGCCCTGTCTCAGTGACTGGAGCAATTCCGGGTGCAAGGCCTGATTCGAGGGCAGCTTTTCGCGCATTGCGGACGTGGCGATGATGGTCTCGCCCACTTTGGACAGCACGGGGTTTTGGATCTTCGCAAACCACCACTCGGTGAGGAGGTGGCTGGAGAGAGCTTGTGATCCAGACATGGAATTGATGAAGTCGGGTCTGCGCGGGTTTGGCGCCGAGGAGAAGACAATTCTGAGGAGCTGAAGCCAGTTGCGAAACGCGCGAGAGTACCTCTGGTTGTCTCCCCGCTGACCCAAGAAGGTTTCAACAAAAACCCCAAGAGTCCCTGAGCCACGGCTCTGTCATTCCTCGAGGTGGTGCTCATTTTGTCGCGATTTGGACAGTTGCTTCGACTGCGTCAATTCTTCTGCAATTTGGGAGTCAATTCTGGAGAGCGCTTGCTCGCCAATTTGTACTGCGACAGCACATGCTTCCCCGCTCTAGACCTCCATAAGCCTTAGCATCTTTGTTACTAATTGTTATGTCGTGGCTGGTCCTTCAGCATGTGTTCGAAGGTGAATGGTGGGAGAGGCCATCACATGCGTCGATGAGTAGTTTGGGTAGGCAATTACCGTCAATCCACTGCCAAAGTCCTAGCAAGATCCTATCCCATACTGACCAATTCAGGTATGGTTAGAAGTGATGTTAGTCACACTTAGCACACACACACTCCTTAGGGAATCCAGTAGAATAAGGCGTATCGGACTCAGCCGCCGCCACTCAACCTACTTCAAGCCTCCCCATTCCGTAATGCAGGTTGAGCCACCACCAAAACGACTAACGGGTGGATGCCTAACTGCTTTACGGCATTATGACCTATGCGTGACGACAAACTGTTCTAATCCGCTTTCATATTTGACTTCTCTTTCCTTGCAACCTCCACTACAGAAACTTTCCCCACGCCATTCTTTCGATTTCGCTCAGTATTCCCAGAAGAGGGCAGCGGCTGATATCCTGCTAGTGGAACGGCTAGGAGCTAATCACTCTGACCCTACGCGAACATCTTGCCTAACCCCTCTATCTGTCCGCTCCAGCTTTCAGCGTCCTCAATCGAGAGCAAACCACTTTCTCTGATCATTCTTCTTAAGCATCATCGGCAACACAACGTGTCAAGACAAGCCATGTCGATCATAATTGGCGCCCTCGGCTCTATAATCGGCTACCTCGGCGCCGAAGCAGCGACAGAATCCTTCTTCGAACGCCTGCTCTGGCCTGAGCGCTTCTACAACGACACTCATCCATATGTCTTGTTCATACTCTCGATTTGCTTGCCCATGGCGGGCCCCCTCCACGGAGCGGCTCTCGAGTCCCTTGACACGTTCCGCAAGAATGGGCTATATCTTGGCATGCGACGAGGCAACATGCTTGGAACTACTTTTTTCCACGACACGGAGACTAAATACTATCAGCTGAAGGGACCGAATACAAATGAAAAAGGAGATGCGAAGGAATCGAGAAATGGTTTTTGGGTACAGGTTTTAAGAGAAGTGAAATGCCGGAACCGCGCTGCTCGATTGGCGCCGCAGGATCTGACAGATCCCGCGACGGATGAGATTCCGCCGTATCGTTCAATGCAGCTGGTACATCATCTCAGGTTACATTACGCAACAGATGCGGATCATGCTGGTGAGAATGCTATACAAATCACCGAGGCAAGTGTCACTTGGAGGACGGTCTTGGGTACTATCCTAAGCGAGCTTCCATCGACTGCTACGCGATCACGGCAGCGGTTGCAAAGCCTTTCAAAACATATTGGTTGACGTGCTATTTGCTCGTGCCATTGGTTCTGAAGCTTATAGCCCTGTTTGTACGAGTCCGTCGAGATTCGATCCTCGACGACAAAGAGAACACTGAGGGCCATCCAGAATCCGAAGACGAGCTGTACGAGATTGAGGATCCGACACACGGCTTTGCCATAATTCAAGGGCCCCCGAGCGTGGTCCTACAGTTCTTCAGGCATTATGGGCATCCAACAAGGGACAGCGGAGCAGCCGGTCGTAGAAATCGGGCGAGGGAGCTCCTGTCAATGATCCTCATTTACCTCTTCGTACTTTATTTCCCCGCGGGGTTGATCAGCTCTTTATGGATGCCGAGCAATGTGCAGCTTCTGTGGCTTAGCTTTCAGGTCTATTCAATTTTGGCGATGCACGTTGTTCGGATTGTTGGCTGGGACCAGTGTGGCAGGACCGAGGCGCGAGTCGCGAGGCATTTGGAGCAGAGGAGACGTGTCTGGCTGCGGCGTCCGGATGGGTTGGGAATAGTTGCTTGGCTGGAGACGATAGATGTTCCCAATGTCGACAGTGCGAAGCGAGAGGTGGATGCAATCGTTCGAGACCATTTTCGGAATCGACAAGCACCCTGGGGTCGCCTGCAGCAGTTGATGGAGAACATACGGCGAACCTCGTTGGGTATGAGCATTAGTATGCGTACAAACTTATCGGTTCTGGCTCATCGGTTCTGGCAGCCATCCAGTCATCGCCAGATCTTTAGATGTAGTATTGTCCAATAATGAAGGAACACAACGCCTTGATGGACGTAATAGGCGTGCTCTGAGACTAAACTATCAGAGAATGGGCCTCAAACTATCGAGCTTGGGCGCAACTTGGGCCAAAACTGGTTCAAATCTGTCAAAACCTGATTTACCAAGGCTCTCAGCCTGGGTAATCAAAGCGTGTTTCACTGCTCTTCTTAAAAAATATATAAACGAGCCATCAATACCCTCGAAGCAAATAGCTTTGAGCAATTTCGTTCAAGTATCAAGGTTTTGCCTTCTTGCGTCAAAGGGTAAGGGACTCTTCTCCCCACAAACTTGAAGATGGAAGGACTTTGGACTGACAATTTCGAGAATGACAGTAACAACTTCAATTACTCTGGCGATGTCTCTAATAACGAGCCAACTCTCGCCGAAACAGGTTTGTCTAGACACAACTGTCATTGCACCAGAACACAGCGCTCATTAACAATACAGGGTGGCCTAGTTCTTCCGAAAGCAATGCATTAGGTACTCTTTTATTCACCCTATGGTGCTTCACGTAATCTAATTGAGAGAACAGCTATAATACCCGGCAATTTGACGTTGTTTGACAACACTATCTATACAATCGGTACAAAGGAGCCTTCTCATTCCCTTTCTTGCTGAACTAACTTCATGTTCTTCCAGCAGCATCAAACAGTGATCTGGAGCAGTTGTGGGCACAAGCATCTATGTCCTTAATGGCGGCGGGTACAAACACTACGGGTGTTATTTTAGTAGACTGTTGTGTACTGACAGAAGCCACACAGATTCTGAACGAGTTCCCCAGGCTGGGAATCACCAGTTCTTAGCCGAACCCTCCGAAGAGACTCCATTACCTCAACTGTGAGTTTCAGACAATCGATGCGTCGAAACAAGTGCAATGAGATCAATAGACTGATAAATTCTCTTAGTTCGCAAGAAACCGATTTTCGGTCAACGATTCACGGCATAGGCGACATCCCTCCAGGAGATGGACAGGTCAATGCCGAAGGGTTATTCACCATTGACAAAGAACCAGAATTGCTCGATCATACTGTCCAGAGCGGCAATGAGAGGTCTGTCCCCCAATCCATCATCGCTGAAGTCAGTTTAAAAATGGTTCGCAATAATCCATTCTGATATTGCTACAGGAGTCCCAAAGACAAGCACACCCCTATATACTCATGCTTGTATTTATCCTGTTGCAACAAGAGTTTCGGTGACAAAGGCGGTCTCGACCGACATATGCGCGAGGTTCACAGCTCCCTGACATTCATTTGTCCAGTTGTGTCTTGCCCGCGCAATAAAAGGGGATTCAACAAGAAGTACAATCTGCTGGATCACCAGAAACGACGACACAAAAGGGAGATCTCAAGGTCTCTGCACGGCTCCGGTGTCTCGGAGGAACAACCCGAGCACCTGGATGGAGGTCAGACATTTCGATATGGAGACAATACCTCTGAGTCAAATCCAGATGATGCAGCCCATGCACTCATACCTAGTGAGAATGAAGGCGTATGCTTGCGGTCGAAATTAAAATCCCTCAGAGCGACAAGGGCGGAGATTGACAAGGACATCAAGTTATTAGAGAGAGCATTGAACATCATTAGCGACATGCATGAGTGATCCCCTCTTAGCACTTGCCGAGACATATTCAGAGTGCTCACACTCGGAATGCTATTTTATAAATATTCAATCAAGGGAGAACTTTTCTTTTGCTCGACTATGATCCTCGTCGTACCGATGTGTGTATCTCAGTCATGTTCCAGATGTGCTGGCGCCATTTTATTAGACAGCTGTCATGTCACTTGGCGCAACTAAGATGGCTTGGCTGAGAGGGCAAATGATCCCAATATCTGTGGGATCTCAATCAAAAGTGAACCGTCAAAACCAAGGACTTCTCGCCGCTCCTGTCATCTCTCATTCCGTGTCACAAATGAAAAGAAAAGTGACGCAAAAAAAGGACAGACTATCGCATTGACTGATGCGGGAAAAGTAGAATGAACACTGCGTTCATGCATAATGTAACAGACTTGTTCCTACTAAGTAAAGGCTCTTAATTTATTAAAAGTGGATCAAAAGATGAGCATGAGATTAATGTAGTGTTTGTAACGCCATGATTTGTTGGCCTGTTACTGCTGCGCACCGGCTTTGGCTGTCGTGGCTTGCTGGGTTATGAGACAACAAGTTTGAACGTGATGCAATGCTTGGTTCCGCGACGGAAAAGAGAGCCGCGTAGGTGTTCTGGTAAATGAAGGCATTGCCGTATCAGGACGTCGTTGGGCTACCATTGTGAACCAAAGATGCTAGAGTCGCAAGAGGCACTTCCAAGATATGCGGTGGAAGACAACTAGAGAGTCAGAGAATTCCTGGCTATTATAGCACGCAAAGAGGCAGTACTGGGGCCTAACCACATGGAGAAAACTGGGGACACTGCTTATATGCTTCTTTTGACGGCCTATGTTGCTTGCATAATGAGAAGGCTATCCTTATTCTAGTAGCTCAGAACTCAACTGTACCCATCCCAGTCGATCAAGAAAAGTCCTGGCCTGCTCCCTTTGATGCTCGCATGGGCTGTAGCAGCTAACAACCTCAATTGGGAAAACAAGCTGAATACATGAGCCAGCATTCAGCCGATCCTGCAGACTGCGAGTGAACAGACCATGTGCAAAGTCTAGGATAGACGAGCATCTCGCCATGGACTCATTTCTCATAAGTTGATTGCATTCTACCCCGGTAAGCATGAGATGATAGATCATAATCCAAACGGCATGGTACACTGTGGACGAGGTTGTGGAACAAAAGTCACCCCCTCCAAGCCAGAGCCTGTCATCAAGTTCTCCGGCTTCGCCCAAGCTGAGGGGAGGGCGATGCCCAAGAGTTTGCTTCGCTGACATCTCATCCCACAGCTTTTCACTCTGGAAAACAGCATCGATGAGCATTTGAATGCGGGCGGTCCATTCCGTCGGCTGCTCTATGTTAGATGGCTTCAGCATCGACGATAAGTTGTAAATGACGTCTAACAGAGTGTCTACTCCCGTCTTCTGGCATTGTGAGAACGGTACGATGCGCCATTCAGAAGAAGCAAAGCATGATGGAAGTCCAGACCGGATAGAGACGTGAGCCTAAACGTGATAAATGTTAGTACCAACACAATTTGTTTGGAACCAGAATTGTCAACTTAAGACTCACCATCAAGAGCCTCAGGGACCTGAACATGAGGTGGTATGAGCCTTGTTGACACTTCTCCGGTCCGCTCAGCATCAGGAGGGCAACAGTCCCTCTCATGTGTGTCATCCAGCTCCCAATGGCGGTTGGCTTGAGGAGCTCGTAGTACATCAACAGTAGCGACGCACAAATGTCTTGTTCAGTTGGCACATTTCTTGTGGCTTCCAAAGTATTTTGTGACGTCTGAGAATGTCTTCTGACGCAACTCTGCTGGATCTGAAGTGCACGGGCGTAACATTTATCAGCTTCTCTGCAAAACGCTTCATTATTCATCTTCTGCCCATAAAATAGGAGTGTAGTTGCGCGTATGGACCATGCTGCAGTCGGCGATGAGACCCACGCAGATAGATATTGTGTCCAGGATTGTGGGTTCGCTTGTCCTGGTGCGACTGCAAAAGATTCGATGAAGGTAGAGATGATGCTGTGTTCGAACAGGGGGGTCTCGGAGGGTTCGAACAGCCGGCAGGGATGAATACTAAGAGTCTCTGCGTCTTCGACACGCCTTGGTATTACCCTCCGTTCTTCCGAGGTATGAACTATGAACACCCCTGTGTATGCTCCGGGACATGGCTTTCCCACCCGCCCACAAGGGGAGCACACCGGTTGTCGCTCATCACACTAGCGAAAGTTAACACAGGAGTACTATTAATCAAGAATGCCTCGATGATTTACCTTGATTTTGCGTTGTAGACACCTACCGCATCCTCGACTTCGACTTACCGATCGAACCATCGTAGAATTGTCGTAGACGTTGATGACAAGGAGGAGGATGATGTGAGATGATGAGACAAAAGAGACGAAAAGTGGAACATCATTGATCCGACCATGGTCGCCAGATTCGCGCTACCAGAGGACTGCGCCTCTCCAATAAGTTCAATGTCACAAATAAGGCGGCCGCCACTTGTCCACAATTTAAATCAACACATGTTTCACCTTAAAGTAGTGTACAGAATACTGAAAATTGAATAAATAAAGTGGAACGATAAAAATGAAGTGACTAGTAACAGAGAAATGGTGTAACCTAAAAGTCTTTGCTCTGAGCAGCCGCTTCGATCGGAACCAGCCACGAGGCCCTCTCCGGAACATAGAACTCTGCATCCACCTTTCCATCCAATTTCTTCGCATCTGTCAATGTTCCCGCCTGTATCAGCTTCACACCTTTGAACTGCGCTGCCGTAGCCTCCTTCCACAAAGTGCATCCACAGTCAGGGCAGAAGAAAACAGTGAGCGTCATTCCATACTCATGCTCTGCTGCGTAAGACTTGGGTTGTCCCTTTGTGAGAGTGAACTTGTCCTCGGGAATGACGAAGTTGAGGGTATTGGTTGCACCGGAAATTTTGCGGCAAGGGGTACAATAACAGAGAGCCTGACTATGTGTAAGCTACCGCAAACAATCACTGGAGACATTTGGAGGATAATACCCTCATGACCGGCTCGTCGGTATAAGAGTAGGCAGAATTGCCGCAGAGGCAAGAACCAGAGGTTACAGCAGCCATGTCGAATGAAGTTGATTGAATATATGAGTGTGGGTTTCGAGTACGAACGGTCGAGTGATTGAGTACATATCGGCAACGGGGGAGCAGCGTTGATATAAATATTCATGAGATACTTCAAACTATGTCACTCAATTTGCCTCTAACACAGTCTGTTCTTTACACCAACCTCAAAAAACCACCAATTCAGTTAGCTTTCCGAGGTTGTCAGCCAGGTGTCACCGCTACCTTTTAGGCTTGGTGTTTGTCCGTCTTTGGGCGGAGTTACCCCGCGCAGCTGAGCGTCTGCTCCCACCGGATGACGACTCATTTATCTCACATAAGCAAGCCGATTGTCTTGGTGAAGATGATTGGAGCAATCAATAAATGGGTGAAGAGAACAGTGGAGCAAGCATGCCGAGACAGATTCCTCGGGCCAGTTACAAACGATCACAAACGATTGCTCTCCACGTCAACCTGTAGCTCGGAAAACTAACCTGATTTGGCTTTTTTTTGGACAAGTCCAATGGACTTATTCTTTACCACGGTGACAGCTTCCAATGTCCATTTAAAGTCCATTTATATCAAGTAGAAACCTTACTGCTTGAAGTGGCGATTTTCTTACCACCCTCCCTCTTCTGTCATCTGACACTTCACCATGGTCCTGCCTCCAACTAACACCGTGCTTGATGCCATTGGCAACACACCCTGCGTCAGCCTCAAACACATCGTCCCGGAAGGCTATGCCAATGTTTTTCTCAAGCTTGAGTATTTCAACCCGACCGGCTCATACAAAGACCGAATGGCAAAGGCCATGGTCGAGGAGGCTGAGAAAAGAGGCGACATCAAAGCGGGGATGACGGTGGTCGAAGCAAGCGGCGGAAGTACCGGGTCGTCATTGGCGCTTGTCTGCGCAGCCAAGGGCCACAAATGTCGTGTGGTAACTTCAAATGCCTTTGCCACTGAAAAGCTCCAGACGATGCGAGCTTTCGGCACCCAAGTCGACATCATCCAAAGTCCCTCCGGCAAAATCCACGCTGATCTCATCCCATCGATGATCCGACGAGTAACAGAATACTCGAAAGATCCTCAAGTTTACTGGACTGATCAGTTCAATAACCGCGATGCTTTCATGGGATACCGGGTGCTGGGCTCAGAGCTGACAGACCAATTCCCAAACGGGGTCGATGCATTCTGCGGCGCTGTTGGAACTGCCGGTATGGCTATGGGTGTCGCTGACGTTCTGAAAAGCCGTTGGCCTGAGTGTCGTGTCGCGATTCTCGAACCCGCATCGTCGCCTTGCATTTCTGAAGGTCGAGCTGGAACCCACCATATTGAGGGTATCGGAATCGGGATTGTCCCGCCACTTCTCAACGAGGATTTGTACGACGATGCTTGGGCTATCGAGGAAGAGGAAGCTAGGGTAATGTGCCGTCGGCTAGCCAGGGAGGAAGGTCTTTTGGTGGGAACTTCGACAGGGTTGAATGTTGTCGGCGCTCTTAGACTTGCCAAGGAATTGGGTTCGGGCAAGACGGTAATTACAGTTGCTTGCGATACAGGACTCAAGTACATGAATGGTGACTTGTTCGCTGAAACTTGAGACGGTCTAGGGTGGCCAGAATAACGGGTAACTTTCTCCTTATTGACGGGTCATGCGATCTCTGCTCTTCGCTGAATAGCACGTTATGACAATCTAGTAGCGAGAATTTAATAACGAATAATGTATATCCCTTCTTGATGAATGGCAATTTGATATGGCTCTACATAATAACACTATAGCAATAGTAAAAGCCATGTGCCAGACTAACCTGACTTGACTATGTAGTCCGACCAATTCACAAGCAGTCTAACAACGCTCTAGAAGTTAAGCACCACCTCTAAGATACTCTGAATAGAACCCGGAACTGTAACGACTGAGCGAATCTCAAAGTGTTCATCTGCCTCTTTGATCAATGCGTCCCACTGCTCTATCGTCCGCTCAAGGTTGTTAAAGACCGCCAACATTTGCAAGTCAAGGCAAGATGCCATTCGATGGGCCGTTACAGGCAGGATACGATTGCCTTCTTGATCGAAAGCTGCTGGCTGAACATTCTCACAGAGAAGAATAACAGCTCCTGGCTTGAGATTATGTTTCAAGTTCTGCAGGATTGAAATGGCTTGCTTGTTTGGCCAATCGTGCAGAATCATTTTCAACATATATACATCGGCTGATATAGGCTGTGGCGTAAAGAAGTCGTGTGTCTGAAAGGATATCCGCGATACCAAGTCTGCAGGTAGATTTGATTGGAATCTGGCTTCGTTTGCCGACTGATCTTGGACAATGAACTTGAGTGAAGGAAACGACATAGCCAAGTTCATTGCATCGTGCCCTGAGGAGCCTCCGACCTGATCAGGTTCAGTCATCATCGATCAACATGTTTTCTTGGAGTCAAGGATCAAAGGGACTGGATCTGAAATGAAATGGTAGCATCGAACTCACATCAACTACCGTTGCGTTTCCCAAGCGTGCCCAATCGTATGTACTCAAAAGATCCTCTGTCTTGACAGCTGAACTCAAAGCAGCTGCCTGCATCGCCTCTGCAAAACGATTAACGCGGTAATCTGATGGCATTCCCTCCGGTGTCCTCTCTAGATACTCCCAAAGCGACGAGGGATGGCCGACGCGGTCAAAATCAGCAATTGCGCAGCCAGACTGTAAGATATCATCGCTTGGCACATCCTTGCCTACACTGAACTTTTTGAGAGACTCTGGCAGATAAACGATCCCAGGTCGCATGTCCTCCATATTGTGTGCCACCCAGCTCCGCCAGATTGGGTTCTTAGACATAAACGCCGTAGTGGATGTGTGGACAATTTTACCTGAATAAGACGGCTTTTCGTCAAACAACCTCATGGTCATGGCGTGACGAAGGATTCGTCGCACAAGAGACTCTGGAAGCGTAGTTCGGGCAGCGATGTCGCTGTAAGTGGCGGATCCTCCAACCGGCACAGAGGTGAAGAAGCCAAATCGATTGAGAACATCGAGGATGGTCGTATCATGGTTCCACTGCATTTCATACAGTCAGTTGCATTCTTATTGGTATGGATAAATGCTTACAAAAAGCGGTTGCAAAAATCCCATGTCTGCTGGCCCAAGAGCCAAATGATACAAGTCTGAAGCCGCCTCAAGGAGCTGAAACCGGAGACCCGTCACCAATTCATTTTTGGGGTACTGCTCCAGGCCGCCTTCTTCAAATGATGGGGCAGAATGCCCATTCTGCTCCAAGTATGCTGTAAGGGCTTTGGCAGTCTCAGAGATAGCTTCTGCCAGGCAATTTATAGTTGCTTCCGATACAGCCATCCTGAAGCCAGTACACAAGTGGTGGTTAAGAATAAAATAGTGTGTCAAGTAGATGCAGGGAGAACAGAGCTTGTAGAGGTTTTCAATCACCGTGGCGAACCCCATTTAAACAAACTGCTTAGCAATCGAAGCCTCCGGTAACTATGGACCCCGTGCAGCAAACTATAGCGAGTGGTAATAAGGATCCTTATCTGTTTCGTACTGAATACGATGCCGTCATGCTATTCTGACATAACCTTGACCTCGCAATCTATTTAATTACTCAGCTCCTTCCTATTCCAGTGTCCCACTTGATAAGTTATACTTTTTGAGTGTCGGCCCAAATCCTGCAGATATCAGTTCATCATATGGGGACCGGTATTTGTAAACGTCGACGCCGAACAGCGACAAGACCTTGCTCGATAGGTACCTGGGAGCTCAAGCATCACACTAGCCACCACAATCGTTATCAATTTTGAGTCTCCAGTTCATTGACGCGGGAGCTAGGACTGTCAGAACATGCCCGGTGTATATTTTGCCTAATTGCCGAGGTCCACAAGACATGCCAGTATTTGGAATTTAGGCAGTTTCTTTGCTATTCGGCTGATTATTCACTCGGTAATAAGCACCAGCGGCCGCTTGAGTATTCGAGTCCCTCGGGTATCCTGCACTATCCCGCGGAGTTAGGGATCGGATACTCCAGACACCCTATCCCCGTCTATCCCGCGGGACAATTCCGTTCCGGCTGAAATTTTAGCCCTCTAGAGAGTAATACGAAACCATGTAGAAACTGCACCAGGCGATAAACTCCCACAATGGCTATGAAAACAGTGGTGATCTTGATTGATTGACGTGGTGAGGTCATATCACTGGCCACACGTTCGAAGAATGGGGCTATGGTGGTGCAATACACTCCCTTTGCAATAACGCCATGCTTGTGTGCGATTATATTGATTCCGATAAATATCTCCAGAACTACTCATCGGTTGAGCTCTGTGCCATGAAGATCAGGATGTGAGGGATACAGCTTCAGGACTGGGTATTCGCCACTCGACTCCTTGAGTTACACCCAGATTTGATGCTCAGTATCGCCATCTTCAAGTACATACGACCATAGCTCTTAGAAAATACGGGATCCCGTCCGCTCTCCCTTAGTCAAGCTGAGAAGCGGTGGATTAGTACTCGGGTCGGTGACGACCGGGGAATCCCCACTGTTGTATGTTTTTTTTTTGCGTCTTATGCTAATAGTCTTCTTTTTGTCAATGCTTCTCAACACCACCACCCGCATATGTGGTCACAGCTGTTGGAAAATCTGGAGTCCCGTCTGGTTTTTGTCTTCGGGACTTGATCTCCTCTCTCCTTACCTATGGGCCTCCAGAGAAAGAAAACCAGCTACCCTAAATTAGTTGGCGATTGATCCAGCCTTGAAATGAGTTAACTCGGCGGTGAACGTGTTCATAATCAGTTGCGGTTGCTCACTCGTCACGTGGCTCGTGAGGTTAGGCTTACTTGGGCTTACATGCTTCAGCCTCATACGTGCGGACCCCTCATCTGCAGGAATTGAGATCCAACCCTCTAACCAACTTTCAACAATATCCCTCAACGAAGCGGCCTGGTTCTCATTCAACAACGATGGAGGCAATCGGCGTCGCTGCCAACGTCATCGCAGTTGTTGATTTATCTGTCAAGGTCGCGTCACTCTGTTTGCAGTACGCCAAAGATGTCAGAAATGCCGCCGCCGACATCGAACGCCTTCGAGAAGAGGTGACCAATCTACGAAAGGTCTCCGAACAAGTCCGAGACTTACTGGATGGCCCAAACGGGGCGAGGCTCAAAAACTCCCAGAATCTAGATGATGTCCTGGGGCGCAGTGTCTCTCACCTTCTTGAGCTAGAACGGAACCTCAAGCCTAAAACCTCCAGCAAGGTCAAGCGAAGGCTAGGTCTGCGTGCATTCCAATGGCCCTTTCAACGTGAAGAACACGAGGCTTTAATTAAAAACCTTCGGCAACTCAGCCAGACAGTATCTCAGACTCTCCAAGTAGATCAAACGTAAGACCCTATTCACACCCTTCTTAATCACATTCTAATCAGCCTCTGATTTAGTGGAGTCCTCCTCGACGTCGACCAAAACGTCGTGCGAATTGACAAAAGTCTCCTCAACCTCGAACAAAAGACACTCCTTGGTACGCTGCCAGTAGCGACAGGGGCGTCTTTCGACTCTCGCGACGAGGAACATAATCCGACTTGTCTGCAAAACACGCGGGTTGATCTCCTACTCCGAATACATGAATGGGCGAATGACCCTGATGCGAAGCCTCTTTTTTGGCTTAATGGAATGGCTGGAACGGGGAAGTCTACCATATCTCGCACCGTCGCTCGGCAGTTTGCGCAGTCTAAACAACTCAGTGGAAGTTTCTTCTTCAAGAGAGGAGAGGCAGACCGGGGCAGCTTATCCAAGTTTTTCACCACCATTGCAGCCCAATTGGCAGAAAGACATCCTATCATTGCACCACACATCAAATCGGCTGTTGATGCCAACCCTTATGTCGCTGGAAAAGCCATACAAGACCAGTTTGATAAGCTGATTTTACAGCCGTTAGGCAGTATTCCCCCTAATACTTGGAGGGCGACTTCGCTGGTATTTGTCATTGATGCTCTTGACGAGTGCGATGAAGACAAAGATGTCAAGCTCATCATCAACCTCTTCTCACGTACGAAAGAACTACAACTTCCGAAGCTAAGATTCCTCATCACCAGTAGGCCAGAATTGCCTATTCGTCTCGGTTTTAATGCTGTGGAGGGTGCATACCAGGATCTGATTCTCCATGAAATACCACACGACATTATTGAGCACGACATTGCCGCCTTCTTGGAATATGAGCTCATTAAAATCAACAAAGAGTTCAATTCATCTGTATCCGCTGACCGGCAGCTCCCAACCGATTGGCCTGGAACGGAACAGATGCAAATTCTTATCAAGATGGCCATTCCGCTCTTCATATTTGCTGCGACAGTGTGTCGCTTCCTCGCCGATCGAAGAGGTGGCCGGAGTCCGAGCGAAAAGCTCCAAACTGTGCTACAATTACAAACTAGGAGCCAGAAATCCAAGCTGGATGCAACCTATCTACCAATTTTGGCCAACCTCATTGATGGATTGGATGGAGAAGACAAGGAATTTACGCTACGGCAATTTCGAGACATCGTCGGCCCTATTGTCATTTTAGAAAGTCCCCTGTCAACATCCGCGCTTGCCCGAATTCTCAAGGTGTCGAAAGATGCAGTCTATAGCCAACTAGACATGCTTCATTCAGTCCTAAGTATTCCCATGTCACCTGAGTCTCCCGTGAGACTGCTACATCTATCCTTCCGCGAGTTTCTAGTGGATCCTGAGAAACGGGAAAAGAACCCGTTTTGGGTGGATGAACGAGACACTCATAAGAAGATGGCTATAAATTGCCTGCGAGTTATGAATGAGCACTTGCGGACAGACATTTGCCGCCTTGGGAGACCGGGAAAACGACGCTTGTCTGTTGCGACTCAAGCTGCAGACTCATCCATGCCGCCAGAATTGCAATATTCATGTCTTTACTGGGTATATCACATACAACAAGCATCGCAACTTCTTGATGACAGCAGCGAGGTCTATGAGTTTCTGTTGAGCCATATTCTGCATTGGCTGGAGGCATTGGGACTTATGGGAAGGGCTTCAGAAGGCTTGAAGATTCTCAAGGCTTTGCCATCAGTTCTAAATGTAAGTGGTCATTAAATAGTAACGTTACAAATAAACTAACTCTTCAAAGCCAGAGGGGAGTGAAAAGCTAGGTGCCTTTTTGCAAGACGCTTTACGAATGGCTCTGGCGAATTTATCGACAATGGACTCTGCACCGCTTCAGATCTACTCTTCCATCCTTGCCTTTGCGCCGAAGAACAGTCTGGTACGACAAGTCTTTGAAAATCAGATCCCTGAGTGGATGACTCTTAGGCCAGAACCGGAGGACGATTGGGACCAATGTCAGCAGATCTTAGAAGGCCACGAGGAAATGGTAAAATCAGTGACATTTTCGCCTGATGGTACCCTCATAGCTTCGGCCTCAAATGATGAGACGGTTCGTATCTGGCGCAGCGACGATGGAGCCTGTGTGCAGGAGCTCAGGGGTCACGATTCCACGACGACTTCAGTGGCTTTTTCGCCCGATGGTACACTCCTGGCCTCGGCTTCAGACGATATGACAGTCCGGATCTGGCGCTGTGATGATGGAGTTTGTGTTCAAACACTCAAGGGCCATGATAATGCGGTCAGTTCAGTGGCTTTTTCGCCCGATGGCATGCTCTTAGCCACGGCTTCAGATGATAGGACAGTCCGGATGTGGCGCAGCAAGGATGGCGCCTGTGTGCAGGAGCTGAAGGGCCATACGGACTGGATAAGATCAGTGGCCTTTTCGCCTGATGGCTTGCTTATAGCCTCGGCCTCAGGTGATGAGACAATCCGGATCTGGCGCACCGAAGATGGAACATGTTTGCGGGAACTGAAGGGCCATTCTAACTGGATAAATTCAGTGACATTTTCGCCTGATGGCACACTCTTAGCTACGGCTTCGAGCGATGAGACAGTCCGCGTCTGGCGCAGCACAGATGGCGTCTGTGTGCAGGAGCTGAAGGGCTATGAAGCCCGGGTGACTTCAGTGGCCTTTTCGCCTGATGGCACACTCTTAGCTACGACTTCGAGCGATGAGACAGTCCGTGTCTTGCGCAGCAAGGATGGCACCTGCATACAAGAGCTCAAGAGCGGCAGTGCAATGACCTCGGTGGCCTTTTCGCCTGACGGCACATTCTTAGTCTCGGCTTCGGAAGATTCCACAGTCCGGATCTGGAGCTTCGATGACAGCGCCAGTGTGCAGAAGCCTAAGGGTCATGCAGACTGGATAGATTCAGTGACCTTTTCGCCTGATGGTACACTCATAGCGTCAGGTTCAAGCGATAAGACGATCCGGATCTGGCGCAGTGACGATGGTGTCTGTGTGCAGGAGCTTAAGGGCCATATAACCAGGGTGACTGAAGTGGCCTTTTCGCCTAATGGCACACTTATAGCTTCATCTGACGATAGGACGATCCGGATTTGGCGCAGCAATGACGGTGCCTGTATGCAGGAGCTCATCGGCCATATTGGCAAAATATCATCATTAGCCTTTGCGCCTGATAGTATGTCTGTAGCATCGGCTGCGCAAGATAAGACAGTCCGAATCTGGCGCACTGACGATGGTGCCATGCAAAATCTCGAGGGTCACAAGTCTGGGGTATATTCAGTCGTCTTTTCACCCGATGGTAGACAAATTGCCTCAACTTCAGGTGATAGGAGGGTCCGACTGTGGCTCAGCGAGAGTGGCGCCTGTGTGCAAGATCTAGAGGTGCCTATCAACGCCGTATCGGCATTCTTTTCGCCTGATAGTACACTCTTAGCCTCGGTTTCAGTCGATGACACGATGCGGATCTGGCGTACTAAGGATGGAACGTATTTAAAAATGCTAAAGGGCCACCCCCGGAGAACTCCAGTCCATTTTTCGTCTGATAGTACACTCGTGGCCTCAGCTCCAGACAGTACGACGCTCCGGGTCTGGCGCATCGAGGACGGCGTCCGAGTTCAGGACATCCGAGACACTTGGACTTCACGCCTTCAATTTGACCTTTCGGAGCCAAACATTCTTACTGACCAGAGCCCCATCACTCTTCGCGACACTGCTCCGTCCAGTCAGGTGGCTACTAGACCACTTTTCAAATGTCTCGATGATGTTTCGATTAGTCCGGATGGCTCTTGGATATTATGGCGGGGTGCTCAAATACTTTGGCTGCCTCCTCCATTTCGCGGTATGCGCTCAGAAGTCTACGGATCTACTGTGGTACTCGGCTGTTCGTCTGGGAGAGTGATTGTTATGAGATTTAAGGATCCAGGATTTTAGAATAAATGTTTACTGGGGTTGATTGTGGGCAAACCACCTGCCAACATTGTCCCGAATGCCAACGGGTATGCTCATTCGCCCCAATGTGACTTATTCGCACCGCAGCAGTAGGTCGCCCGGTACTCCGTATACAGCATTCTTGATGCTAAGGTTATTGAACACACTGTCATAAGCGAAGAAACATCACTGGTGTTATCTACCCGTAGATGCATGAGATTTACGAACCAATAGTAGGAACACAATGGATTGCATCCGGCACTGAAGCTTGCCGGACTGGAGAAACATCAATCTCGTGCACCAAGTGAACACAATAGCCGCAGGGCCAGCAAACTTCTGGGTGTCTAAGAGAAATGTCACTACCATGTCAACCCTTTAGAGACACAAGACGGCCGAAGCGGAGCAGCGAAGCAAAGGTGGCTACGGGTACTTCCTCTGGAGTGCTCGTGGCGCGTCACCCTTTTCGTGCGTGTTTTTGGGCCCAGCGACGGCAAATGGCCGCTCTATCATTTTTATATTCGTTCACTGAATCACTTCTATCATCTTAATGCATGATGACGGCTGTGACTCTTCCCTGGAATATCCTCTCGGGTTTCCCGATGACCTTCCACCATCCATCGTCAAGGATCCTGGAAGACCCCATCCAAGATTTGGAGAATCAGGGCATGGGTAATGAACGAGTTGCTCTTAGCATCTTGGGATAGTCAAGGTCATCCACCTGAGCGAGTGGCTGACGGTTCCTCACTCATGTGCTGAAGTGGCAACCAGTGCACGGTTCGATCCCGCAGCTCCTGTACGGTGGCGAGAGGATTCAGGGCGCTGTTGTCAGATTCGTCATTGCGGTCACTGACTCCGGTGAGACGGCCTTAGGGTCTAAATGAAGGCAGTTAAGGGGCCGAACTGTGGTGGCTTTTGGATCTCTAATCTCACATTGATGCGTACGGCCACCCAATCCCAAATTCCAGCATCAAACAGCCACATCAAACAACTCTCTTCACTTGAGCCGTCCTGCAAAAGACGCTGAGGTACTTTTGGTGACCTTGGCGAGAAATTAAATGACAATGCACCTCAGTTTAGTCGCAATGGGATCTAGAAGCGTCCTCGTCCTTTCTGAATGTCGAATTATCTTGTAACTGAATAGCTAGCCAAAGCACGATCCTATCTTGGACGCAAAACCCACAAGGCCAGAATTTGCCCAATCCAACTTCAATCAAATGGCTCATAGGCTAAAACGCCAAAGTTACTACAGCAGAGGTCGTACCTGTTCTTTTCGAGAAACTCGTTCAAGTAGTCACGGAGGTCCGGTAAGCAAGCCCAGCCCCACCCAAATTCAATGCTATCCCATGTAGAGTACCAGCCCTTATCGTAATCGGCGACTTCAACATATCTTCCAGAGCTGTTGTAGAAGACATGGCGTTTGTCTTCTTCGAACGGGACCTCAGGCCTCCGCTTTAAACGGGGGTCGATGAGCCATATGCGGAGCTCAGGAGATACAGAAAAAGCGGCTTCCTCGAAACAGTCAGTGACTTTTTTGCTGAATTCACCGTGAATGTAATAGTCTTCCTCAGGCATCGGTTGCGGGGCTGTAGGAAAGGGTGGCACATGGTAGTCGTGCTTTGGGTCGAACTCGATAGCAATGTGTTTGAGCTGGAACCCATGGCAATAGGAAAACAACTGTGCGGAGACCGAAATAGAAGACCATGTAACTGTGCTGAAGTTATATGGCTGGAGACAGAAGAGATCTCTTTTTGGAATAACCGTAAAGCATTGCGTCTCGCCGTTTGACGTAAAGATTCCCGTCGCTGGAGTGTCATGTCGTGGATCCTGAAAGTCCCAGCGGTAGTCAGCAGGGTCCTTTGGGCGATTGGCCCTCCAAGTGCGCGTGTCAAATCGCTTCTCCATGATGTCTCTAGATTCCTTGCACGCTGTCCACATGCCGCTATCGGTCAAATAGATTGAAGGATTGGACACGGTCCATGAAATTGTTTTAATGTCCGACTTGTTACTGCGAGGTGCCGCTAAGTCGCAATATTCCGGGACCTTGTGATGCATAGCATAGCTTTGCAAAGCGGATAACTCCTCCGCTTTTTGGGCGTTGAATATGGTAAAACAGTGAGCTGACGGCCGATCAGGGCGCAGAGCGAGAGTCCATATTTGCTCTCGCAGCTCGAATGGCAGCTCGCAGAACGAATGGAAGGTCGAGGCCGCCATTTTGTATGGCTGAAGGACCGAAGGACTCAGGAGTGTGTGAGGAGGGCCGTGGAAGATTTTGTGACACGCGAGCGAGAAAGTTTGGAAGGGTATTGTCGAGGAGTGAAAGTTGAATGGACGGCAAAGGGCGAGGGCAGTGGGATAAATACTTATTCGCCGACCTTACCTTGTTGGAGCGGAGGGGCGGGGAGACCTGGATGATTGAGTTTGCGCTGAGTAACGCAAGGGATTTGTGTTTGGGCATACCTTGTGGGCTCGAGAGGCATGGGTCCCAGTTGAAGGGGAGTGATGCCGAGACGTCACAATCTTGCTGCACATCCGCACTCAGTTAGGGCACTTGCCATGGGGCCTTTGCACGCTGCAAGCAACAAGAGAACTCACGTCTCGTTGATATGGAAACGGCCTATGTGAGATGAAATGACGCCTTTCAATGGCTACCTAGGCGTTGGGCCAAGAAGTATGGGTATTGATGCTTGAGTTCCTATTGTGGTTGCCAGTGTGTCGGTAGAGAAATTGGGTAAAGGTCTCAAGTAAGATGCACGAAGTTTGCAGCCGAAAGTCGTTCATCCAATGTGCCAGTTCGTATTAGGGTATGATTTATCGCCGATATCAGGGTCAAGGTAAAGATTATGGATGAGGGCAAGTACTTTTATATATCTTTTGTTGTTTATTCTTATTTTATTTTATATTTATTTCAAGACGACTTCTGCTAAGCCTGTAGTCTTAACTGAAATCAAGGCCCGTGTTGGTTCCATCAAGCATCATGACCATACCAGTAGTTGGTCTGGCAAACAGGGAGCAGGCAGCGCGCCACCACCCGCGGCTGCCCAGTCGGGTGACATCGATGGAGGCTTAGCAAGCTTGGGGAGGAGTGGGCCACCATCAACAGTGAAGGGCCCCAGGACAACTGATGTCCTCAGGCCCTGGCATGGAAACTGAGTGGGTGTGCGTAGGTTTCGACCTGGCGACGGGAGGAAGGTGCATCGCCCAGGCCCACGTGACTGGCCTCGACGACAATGCCTCGACGACAATGCCACGACTCAGTCCCTCCACCATCAACCCAGCCATCAAGTTAACCGCATCGTTTCAAAGATAACCAAAATCCCAACAAAGCTATTCCAACGCTCAAAACTTTCCAACTTGATATCATTCAGTTATCTCAAACGATTCACAATCTCAAGGCTTGACCCCACCTTGTTACAGTTACCATGGCTAATATGTCAGGTTCTTCGTCCTCCGATCGCTCCCCCCGTCTCTCCTCCCGTCTTGAGAGTCTCATCGAAGAGCTCCAGGCGATGAGCGACAAACCAGCGTCCAACAAGAAACTGGTCAGGGAGGCATTGAAGAATGCTGCGAAGCTCCGACGACGCCCCAAGCCGGATGTTACCCCAGTTGAGTTCGCTTGCAAGGTCCTTCGCAAACTTCGCAAGTCCCAGCAGTCGCATCGTCGTTGTCAGAACAAGCTACGTCGCAGCAAGAAAACGATTCGTCGCACCAGGGAAAGGCTCAATGCGTCCCAAGAGGAGCTGCACGAGGCCAAGTACTACCTGGACATTGGTGATTGGGCGGCTCATCTCTGCACCACGGTAAAGGGGAAAAACGGAGAGGCCATTGCCCAGCAAAGAACGCGCGTAGCCAAAGGGCTTCAACTAGCTGACCCAAATCTTAGCTAGAATCAAGCTTGGGAAAGCGAGTCGGCAACGCGCTGCCTCCAAAAGTCTTCGGGCTCGAGATGCGATGACATCCTGGCCAACCTCACCGCAGAGTTCGCCTTGGTGAAGGACTGGAGAGCCAACGGCGAGGACATCACTTCGGCGCCAGACACTCCTTGTTTTGACCGTTGTCAGACCCTGTGCACCCTAGCCGAATTGGACTTTGGGAACTATCTCCAAGCTCTGAGGACGAGTACCGACCGAAACGTGTTATGCCACCACCCTCCTCCCCGCATCGAAGACCACCTCAACGCAGACAATACTGTTAATTGGCGGAGTCTGTACGAAGCGGGCGAAGACTGCAGACGGAGGATCCAACGGGATCATCGCAGTGGTCGGTTGACGAATGATAGGTTTCACCTATTCTCGAACATGATCGACTGGTGGTTCGCAAGCTACGTCCGTGGCTGGGACCAACACAACAAAGCCATACCGACACACTCTTCGATCTCAGCTACAACCAGTGCTTTAAAAGCAGTCGCGAATAGGTTGACAGTAGCGGAAACGTCCCCCCCCCCAGAACCGTACGAGCCAGGGAAGTGGGATATCATCCCACACGATGAGTGATTTCGTCGTTGACCCTTGCGTTGCCATGCTGAAGTACGCGCGCTCCGGGAGAGAGACTGATGCGAATGCTGATGTCTCGGTCTGACCTGCCATCTGGTGGAAAGCTCGCTGCCGGGAGACTGGTATGCTTGTCGCTCGACTTTGGGGTTGGTACTTGGGTCTCACGCAAGACGTGATTCCCAGTTCGACGGCCGCTTGCGGTTACCATGAACTGTGTGGTTTAGAGCCCCAGTATCGTGTAGTCGGACGGGCAACAAAATCGGACTCTGCAACCTCCACGCGGTGTTGCCTGGGAACCTGGCCTCCGTGGCCAGAGCCAGTGCAGAGACGTACGCAATGTGCACGCCGAAATATCAGATGTGAGTACTCAGGTTTGATTGCAAGGTGACATGTCCCGAATGAAACACCTCTCTAACAGGGTTGTGCAGCCGACATATACTTCCGACAGTACGAGCTACCGAGTCGCAAACTTCGAGCCTACTTTGCCCTTTGATCCGCCAATCAAGTCCCCGGTATCTCATGCCTCCACCACCCTGTCGACAGGTCGAAACGCGCACCCGCTCAGTTTCCACGTCAGGGTTTGATGACACCACCTGTCCCGGGGCCCTTCACTCTTGATGGTGACCCAGTCCCCCCAAGCTTGCTAAGCCTCCATAGACGACACTGGGCAGCCGCGGGTGGTGGCGCGCGGGGTGCTACCTGTTTGCCAGACCAACTACTGATATAATCATGATGCTTGATTGAAACTAACGTGGGACTTGATTCCAGCCAAGACCACTGCCATCTTCCTGCTTTGCTCGTAGAACCTTGACCTAGTCCCTCTGCGGAGACACTGAACGCATAGCGCTGGTTCTGCCTGTCCCATTCCTTCCCATCTCAACATTCCATTTGTCCCATACCGTCCAGTCTTATACCCGCCTGACTTCCCAACCTTCGACTCTCTGGCACAGACTGACCTAGATCTGAACCATGTCCTCAGTAGCCTCATGCCCCCCTACCTCTCCCACACTACTCTAGCAACTGTATGCTATCCCGAGAATTCTCCCGTCTTCCATTACCAGGAATAACCCATCGCTTCATTGTGTACTCGTGCGACTGAATTTTCCTGCAGACTTTTTCGCGGGGCGCAAGCGGGTGCTGGGCCCTAAAGGCTGGGTGGTCACTCTATCGTCAGCATACCGGCCAGCACCATCGGATGGCATTTGTTCACATACTCGTCTTCATATCCTGGCTGGCAGGTATTGACATCTAGCATCTTGGAAGGTTATTCGTAGCTTTTGTCAGGTCAGCAAGGCCGTCTAGTTCACTGCGTAAACAGGGAACCTACTTGAAGCGGTTAGTGACATTTCTTGTCCAAAAAGATATGTTTGTGGCCTAGAAGCTGGGTGAGCGCATTATCCATGGTTGCATCGAATTCACCATCAGTATGTAAGCAATAATGCCAGGCGATAATCCACTCTCATTGGAGAGCGCTGCCGACGCGCACTACTCTTGGTAGTTACATAAATGATCTGCCTGAGGTTAGCGTGATCTTTTGATGAATGGGGCAAACCAGCAAACGAACTCTCGATTCCCCAAAGTGTTCCGCTGGGAACATGTTAGCATATGCCAGGAATCACAAGTAAAGACAAGAGAATTTACCAGCGGATCATGGCAGATGAGTTTGCTAGCAGGTGAGACGTTAGTGTCATCTGTCCAAAGTAGTGAGAATGAACAATGCTCACTTGGTATCCACAGACTTTTCACCCCAACTAATTAGCTGACATAAAGAATGAAACTGGAAGGCGAAATACTGACCTCATTCGGCAGGAGTAGTAGCAGCAGCCTCCTAGTTCACCTGTCAATTGTTTTCCACTGTCGCGAGCAAGACATGCGAACCTTCTCCTTGACACGTTTCTATGTACTGTCAGAATATCACTTGAGCAAAGGGCCGAGTAGTCACATACCTCCGCAAGCTCCTTGGCAAGAGACTGTTGACAATCGAGTAAGCAATGATCTATTTTTGATATTGGAAGTAGCAGACTCACCAGAATTTTGGCCTTGCCATCCTGTGAAAAGATATCAATTAGAACCTTCACGGACAGTCTAAATCAGTGAGTTTGGTACTTACGGCCATGGCGGGAGCGGCCTAGGAAATCGGTCAGAACCTATGAATATCTGAAAGGTAATAAAAAACTTACGGCAATCTCTTCTTGGAGATCCTATTCATTGTGTCGAGCGTCAGAATCTTCATGCATGACAAGTGGCGCATACATCAAAGCGTATACTCACGACAATCTCGTTCAGAGTTTTCTAAAATCAGCGAATTAGCCTGTGAAACAAGTGTCTAGGATCGGGGGAGGAGAGCGACTTACATCGGCAAGTTTGCCGAAGTGCTGCAATGATACGTAACTTAGCTCCAGTTCATCGCGTAAGGGCAGACACTCATGGTGTCTCAGTCACTTACGTCTCGTTGCTTGGCGTAGTGCTAATAAAGAATCATTAGTCAGTGCAACGTTACCCTCATGCAGAATAGTTGCTTCGCTTACGGCCGCCAACTCCACCTTTTTCTACAACTATGTAAGCAATTCTAGTTCACACAAGTTCCATGGAAGAGTCAGAACTTACCTCCAGCTTTTCTGCCAGAAACTGAAGATGCAAAATTTGTTAAACAATCATAAGCGACGGATAGGGGAAATTAGTCAACCAACCTCCTTGGTGCCAGGCTATATATAAAGAACAATAATGTTAGAGAAGATGACATCCAAGGAGTGGCGAAACTTACCACCGGATTGGGTTTGGCCTCGGAGGCCGGAGCCCCCGAGACCACGACAGCCATGGTCTCACTGGCCTATCATCGCGGATATGTTAGACACTGTCTGGGAGTGTACTGTGCTTTTCGCTTCTGAAAATGTGGAAAGTTGATGAACACCTACGACACGCTGGCCCCGTCGGCCAGAGGGAACTCTTCCACCCTTCAAGATGTTAGTAAACAACAATCCCGCTGGACACTGAGAGACTAGCTCTGGAAGATTGACGATTCTGTGGAGTTGGTCAATGGTATATCGTGTTTGAAACATGCGATGGGAACTCACGCCACGAATGGCCGGCTGCTGGGACTATCCAGGAGGCAGAGTATCAGTATACGGCCCTAGTATAATATCAAAGCTTGGATGTTGGTCAAGGAAGGTGTTCTCACGGAAATGCGGGCACCCTTGAAAGAAGTCAGCTTCAAACAGCGCAGAAAATGCCAAAGTAATTTCGTAGAGAAAACTGACCTTGCGAGCCATGTTGCCTGCACAGGAAGAAAGGACGTGTTAGCTGGGTCTTGTCCATCCACATGAGTATGAGATGGGAGCTCACAACGATTTGAACGTCTGTCTAGTGATGGTGTCCAGTCAGCGGCCCAATCCTGCACAAATCATCGACGATTGGAGTTTGGTTCACTACTTACAGGCGACGAAAAAAAAAAGGGGGGCTCAAGCTGTTCAGTATTGTTAGTCGTCAAATTCATGCGCGATGATTGACGCGAAGCGGAGTTTGGTTGTCGACTCACAGGTTCAAAGAACAGAATTCTGTCAAGGCCATGCCACCAAGTCAGTTCTCCAATCCATACACGAACGATGGATATCGACTGGGCTCGGACTTCTTACTTACTGATTAGAGAGAGAATCTATCCCAGTCATGGCGCCAAGTTAGTTATCGCTTTCATACAGGTAGTGCCAGGTCTGCACTCACGGATGGGCGAAAAGTCGAAAACTACTCAGAAGTGTCAGAGACGCCACGGATGCAACAGAAATGGGTTGGGACGGGACAATACTTGCCTGGTAGTATAACAATCTAGCTTCCGGGACCCTTGCCGTCAGTACTTGACCCAAAGAGTCTCGCCCTTCGGCTTGGAGTCCGGTTTTCACAAGAGGGGGGAGGGGCTTACCGAGACGTGATGGATTGCTTGCGTTGGGAGAGAGAAGGACGAGAGAAGTCGAGTTCACCTGGTCCACGAGGTGGTCCATGCGCTTCAGCACTGGCCTCTCATGCCCGGCCTCCGGCTCCGGAGAGCCGAGCCACCTCTTGGAAGTTGCGGCTTTGAGGGACCCACGTGACACGCCCCAGGACTCAGATGCAGGCTGCATTCGGTCTAACTGAGGTGTTACTGGTTCGCCCAAAGCTGTTGGTTTGAGATGCCGAAAAATGTCTTCAATTGACACTATGACACATTACAATCTCTTGTTGGAGACTATGCACACTGTTCCCTGCCTATTTCGCCTTGTTGAATGGACTGTAGAGAAGTACATCCCATGGGTGATTTCCATATCCACGAGACATCAGTTCTCTGTTGCTTGCGGGGTATGGATCGCTGAAGCATGCTGCAACAAGCGACCTTGGGCGCTCTTCCAATCGCTCGTTCCTGGGACGGGCTCAACGCGATGGGACACACCAACATTACAGCACTTCCGCACGCGCTCTGTCCTCGACAACCGTTCTCAGAATGCCCACAACCTTTGGTCTTGTGAGCCTGGGTAGCCTCAAGAGAGCCACTGAAGCGGCAGGACCGTGGGCGCACACGGGGTGCGACAAATGCGGCTTTGGCAAGAAGGGCATCGAGTGGGTGTCTGCCGCCTCCTATCGCCATCATCCCACTACCAAGACTGTTGTGCCCTTCGGCCGCGCCAAGCTGGGCGATCTGATAAGGCCGCCGAGACGACGACGCATGTCCCCACTCAAACTTCCCGAAGGCGAATCTGGCCTGGAGGGCCAGTGAGAGATTCTTCATGATGCATTGCACCAAGTTTTCGCATGGTGGGCTAGGACCAGGTTACGCTTTATATACTTAGCAGTCCCCCTCCAAGTCCCAGACAATTGTTTTATATACCAATCCACCGTTTTTAAAGGTGCTGAACGAGATCCAGGTGTGACTAACAAAGACAGCGACCCCTTTTAGGCGCAGGCCGCAGGCCTGCATCGACACTGAGATTCTTCTCGATCATTTGTTACAACCATACGAGCAGCTGATCTGGCAGGATTCCACGGACGCGGCGGGCGATGACAATCCCACGGGGGACGGGCAGCATCTTACCACGGGGTCGCACATTGGCGTTCGGTCTGGATTAGGTGTTTGAGCACCGCCGAGGAATATTGACATGAGCTGGATCGCCTTGCTTTCGAGCCCTGGATGCGCACTTTACTAGCTCAGATAGGCTGGCATGGGCTTTCTTTGATCACATGTTGCAAACCAGGACAGGAAAGCTCACCTGGGACAGGCTTCCTCTCCTATGGGATTCGCCAGTAGGTAGGCTACTTGTCCTTAGAGATGACGGCTGTGTCCGTCATTAATTGAATTCGTACGAGTCGGATCTTCTTCCACCGCGATTTGTCGTCATTTGCTAATTCCAAATACGATGTCACTTGGGCGTGGAAAACTTGAAATGCACACGAGAAGCTGTGCCTTATGGGGCCCGGAAATTAGGTGCTACTATAAATACGGAATGAGTAGTCTCATACTATGCTGTCGTCCCCTTTTCATCTCCATCCAATTTACCCAGTTCGACATGTTCTACTGTAGCCTCGATCTTCTCAGTCATCAGCTCCTTCACGCCCTTGAGACAAGCAACAGCGACAATGGCCAAGACAGCAAATGGGATGACGCTTGACCAAGCCAAGCGATAGGCGTATGCATATTGCCATCTGCTCTCCGATATAGCCGCATCCCAAACTGCGCTGTCGGCGCCCTGTACGTCGCTGGAGTCGATTAGGCCCGTGGCCAGGGCCTGCAGCAACGCCGGCACACTCTTTTCTGGCAACCCTGCAGCCATAGCAGACTTAGCCACGGCCGAGGCGTAATGCGATTTCAACCGGCCGTTAATTATGGCATCGATAATGGCTGACCCGAAGGCTCCTCCAATTGCTCGAACGGAAAATGCGAGTCCCGTGGCCGTAGACAGGTATGCGTGCGGAGCGGTGAATTGAACACAGGCGACCAGAAGTGTCAGAGGTGCTGACTGTCCGATGCCTGTAAGGACATTCAAAGCATGCTGGGCATTGTTCCACGAGGGTCGGATCGCCGCATAGCAGCTTGATCTGTCGGGCATGATTAGAGCGCGCCAAACAACAATCAACAAGCTGGTACTTACACGATAAGGAAGAAAGTGAAAGACACGATGAGAGGAGACTTGAGGTCCTTATACTTGGTGGAGTATAGCATAATAGGGACTGAAAGACCCAAGTTTACCAAGGTAAAGCCAAGGAGGCGGACAGAAATCCGCCACGGGTCCGTCTGGAACCCCAAGTTGAGAATTATCTGCGGCACAATGGAGTTGACAGCCGAGTAGAAGACCCAGCCCTCAACACCGAAGGCGAAGACAGAGAGGGCAAAGTTTGCGTTTTGCGAGAAGAAAATATGGGCCACAAGGCCATCTTCTCTTCCTTTCCACTCTAGAAGGAGTCAGCAACGTCAATATCAATCCAGTATGCCAGTCTCTTGGGAATGCTTACCGTATAGGCCGAACAAGACAAGCAAGACAAGACCAACAACCAACGGGGCGATGACATGGACATCGGACCAAGAATAGGTTCCTCCAGACCAGTTCAGGGCCAGGAGCATAAGCGAGACACTGCCGATGAAGAGGACGGATCCAATGGGGTCGCATGCCCAAAGAACCTCCTTGATGGACATCTTGGGAGACTCTGTTCGCTTCGGAGGCCAGTAAAAGATGAAGAGACCCAAAGAGGTGGCACCGTGAAATGCGGCCTGCATCCAAAAGATGTACCTCCATCCAGATGCATTGACATTCGTGACGGCTCCAGCCCCCAAAGAGCCAATGCTGCAAGCAAATCGTCAGCGTCGCGGCGCAGTGGACTGCCTAAAATGGAAGACTCACATTCCACCAAGAGAGCCGCCGATAAAGGCCAGCCCGTTTGCGATAGCTCGATACTTGAGCGGGAGAATTTCCGAGGGAATAGCCTGGACAATAGCAATCGTAGATAACGTCGTGCCAATCAGAATGCCGCCGCCAATGAGCATGCCCATGGAAGTCGCTTTAGCCGAGATAACAGCCCCGACGAAGGCAATGAGGGGCGGGACTGAAGCCAGATACTTGCGGTCGAGGACGTCAGAAAGGCGCCCGACAATGGGCGACAGCACGCTTTGCATCAGTAAGGGACCCTGCGACAGTCATGAGCGAGAATTCCAAAATCTTGCGGGGGCCAGAAGAGTTGGTAAATACCTGGATAATCCATCCTGCGACGGCCCCGTCACCAAGGTCGCGGATGATAAAGGCGATGACTGATCCGGCTGCTACCACAACGAACACCTGGGCCATGATACTGAACCGCTCGTTAGCTGGAGCCACGAAGGGATCGGGAGGCGACTAAAACGTACGCAAAACAGGTGCAAAAAACCACAATCTTTTTTTGCTACGTCAGCAACTTATCCGGCGTGTTGCTGGGATGCTCGCTTACCCACGATCTCCAACTGAGCTTGACATGATAGGCGTCCTCAACAGCGGCCTGCTGGATCGGCACGACGTCGAGTTCTTTGCGGTGCGGCTGCACAGGTGCCTCGCCCATGCTGACAGTGGGCTTGTCGTCAACGGAAGTCATTGTTGCGGATGGCTCCCGTTCAGGTTCATTACTCTTGTCGCAAGGGTTCGACGTCAAGACTGCACGCAGCTGCTGTTATGTATTCTGGCTGCATTTGGAGATAGGGGCTTGAAATATCCGAGGCATCCTACGCGGCAGATGTATTTCGACGCTACCCCTCCAACCGTCGAGTTAGTCCGCCCTGATAATTCCACATGACTCGCCAGATGTGCGCCTGGATTGGCCAGGATATGAACCGGTTTCGCCCAAGGCCCCTTTGAGTATGGGCTTGTCAATAGTGTGGTGGTGGTGGAAGCTCGACTAGCAGGGCATCGGCAGTTTCTTGCGGGGTTGCGTGCAGGGGATCCCCGCAGTTACTCCAGGTCGCGGACGCCCTCGCTTACAGCCTTTCTGCTGAGACACGTACGAGACGAGGAACGGTTCCGGGTCTGCGGTACTCCGTGAGTTAGCTGCTGGACTTTTGCTGGGGAGAGTTTCGCTCGGAGTAAATTAACCGAGATGGCGCGTTTCTTAAAGATGCTGCTCCCCCGCGCCCACGTTCTGGTCGGCGGCAACGGGCCGATGCAGCCTTTCCAACTGCGGGCGCTATTTCCAGCCTGACCTGATTGCGACGATATATCTATCATGTTTTTCCTTCAATCCGGCTGTCCCTTGAAATTTGTCTCTTCGGACCAATTACGTTGAGGGCCCGAATGCAGAGACTGTCCCGAGGGTCATCCTCCCGACCGAGCGTCAAGATGGACTGAAGCAGTCTGTAGATGGCGGTCTCAATGCATACACGATTCCGGCGCTTGTCGGGCACGACCAAGGCTACCAGTAGTATGTGTCCCGTCCACTTTCCGTTGCTCTTCGTATTTTTGCCCATCTCTTTCCCCGTAGAGCATTGCGACAGGACCTTCCACCTCTTCCAGATCCTTAGTATCTTCCCGATCCATATCATTATGTGAGTCTCATTTTGCAAGAACATGGCCGAGAAAAGAGACACCCCGTTCGAAATATTTTGCTAGCCTGTACCAGCTGTCAGCAAGCCTTCCACCATCTTGTCGGGTGGCCAGCGGTATGCCAAGGACGACTGGCCCCAGATGCCGGACTACTGCAGTTATTATGGCATGCAACAGCTCGACCTTGCCGGCAGAAAAAAAGCCTTTTCTACTATACCCGGGATGCAAAACTTCTTGTGCAGGAAATCGAAGACAATTTTGGTGCTAGGAGCGTTGACATTTCCCATGTCAGCAAAGGTCCAACAACTTCGCGTGTTTCCCGACACAACTCGTCTGCCTCTATGCCTCCAAGTAGAGGTTGCTGAACGTCATCGCTTTGCATCAGGGCTTCATTTGAAGCTATCAGATCGGCGGAATGTCCTGGTTCGCTTCGCTCGGGGCAACGTCAATATGCCCAACTAGGACTGGTCTGGCATGAGGTATATTTTCGAGAGCTTCATTTTGGAGCTGCTACATGCGCTTCCCTGAAAGGGAACCCAGCCATACCTGTTTCTCGACCTGTCTACTTCCGTATGCCTGCTCAGCACCCCGGACACAAAGTTAATGTCCCCACCAACACTGATGGCCGACGCGTCATAGTTTTTGAAAGGGTGGAGGGTAAGGATAAGGTCCAGGTTAGCCGGATCTGTATCTAACAGTACGAAAGTTTTCTTCAATTCTGCCCATCTCTATTCCTTCGCTTCATCCCGCGCGTACTCCCCGCTGCTAATGAAAATGCGAGGACTCCTTGTACCGCCTAGTCCTTGAGCATTGGGATTACGGCATACAACATGTCGATTGTAGTAGATACAGACCAAGAAACTCGACAGAGCCTCCGTATCACATCGCTTTACGACTGGAAAACTGGTTGCATTCTGCCTGCGCTCTTGGCTGACCCAGAAATGGCTGTCCACGTTGACCTCGCCGCAGATGACAAAGAAGAATCGTCGATCACATGGGTCCACGAAAGTGCAACCGGGGAATATGGCATCAAGTGTATGAAGCATGTGGAACGCTGCATACATTGTAGTACCAAGCAATAGCAGTGAGAAATATGACCAGAATAAGTTTATAGCAGTCAGTTCCGCATTTAGCAAGAGAAATTCAAGGTTTAGAGTCCATGGAAAGTGTGGCAAAGGCTAGCATAAGCATAAAACAAACCTGGCGCTGACAGGGAAGTAGTCCTTGGTGGTGGTGGTGGCGAGCTGATTTGCAATTGACCTACCCGTACTTCGGGACAAGTGCCTCAGACACATAACTCCTGGAACCGACACTGGTACAGTTGTCCAACCCCGTTGCTCTTGAATTTAGATATGCACGCAAATTGCTCATGCAAGCTAGTAGCTCAATCCTGCGAATTTGGTATCTGTGACGGCCCGCTTATTCTACCTGTGAGGTATAGGGTAGGCCAGGACGTTGGGAGTATGAGGGGTGGACGTGAGCAATGTATGTCACAGTTGATAATGTGTCAAAGGGAGTATGATATCAACAGGTATCTAAGTTGGTAGCTAAGGAGCGTAAGGCTTGGTTGCTGCGCATATAGTCTGTCTATTCGTCATGGTTTTGTTGAAGTTTCCACCTTTTGCCTTTGCGGCTACGTGTGATGCGAGGTCAAAGGAGATCGTGACCGCGCCTGCGTCTCGACTCATGTCGTTCGAGAGTCACGTACAAAAAGGAAAGAGATGCAAAAAGAGAAACATACAACAGCGAGGATTCCCCGGTCGTCACCGACCCGAGTACTAATTCGCCGCTTCTCAGCTTGACTAAGGGAGAGCGGACGGGATCCCGTATTTTCTAAGAGCTATGGTCGTATGTGCTATGTTGGCGAGCCATTGCCAGTTATCAAGGGGAGTCAGAAAGTACCGTGAGCTCACATCTGGCCTGGGGAATTGAAACCTCTTCCGCACACACGAGGGATTGTGAAGATTCGAAACACAGACCCCTTTCGACGGGCAGACCCGCCGGTCCGTACCATGCTCCACACCGCCCCAAATGGCAAAAATAAACCTGGGGGAACCTGTGGAAATGGTGGTTACGATGGTACGGCGAGACGTAGAGTGTAAATATTTGCAGCACACGAAAAATGAGACATCTGTTCAACTTAATAATGGAATTCGGCGCCGGTGTACATCTCTGCCTCTCAACTTCAATTGGCTGAAGTAGGCTTGGTTTGTACTGAAACATCTCCCATAAAAGAAAGACACGCTTTTAGAGTCGATATAGGCGTCGAATAAAGCCTCATATTTGATTAGACAATTTAATGAGATATGGTATGGCGCGAAGTAAATCGATAATCGTACGACGTTATCAGTCTGGTTGAAACGATTGTCTTATTTCAGAACCATCGCATTTGAAGACCGGAAGAGAATCCCACTGTCGTAGACTCTCAACATCCACTTTTTTTTTTGAGAAGAACAGGGCGTAGAAAAGTGGCTGACTTAAAATGAACAGAACCATTACTACGTGCTGGATCAATTGGAGTATGCGGTGCAGGCTGTTCGGTCAGGGCCTAGACGGCAGTTGGCGTTGATCCAACCACGATCTTGTGCGCCCTGGTTGGTTACTTGTCAATTTTATTAACACCGAGATCCGGATGATCAGGTAGCCGAGTCGATGGGGATGGTTTGCGAGCTGACTCACGGGAAGCCTAGCACTAGGTAATGCCGGGTACGAATATTTCAGTCCGTTAGCTTCGGATGCACAGATCAGCGGTGTCTCTTGCTTCCATACTAGACGACCATGGGGAGATTGCTTTGACCTAGCTCTGTCCTTATGTTCAGCTATCCAACTCTGTCTTAGTTTTAACAATGTCGTCAATTCATGCTCAGCCCGTCGAATGTTCCCCGAACCGATCGGTAATCACGGCACCCTAGTATGGGGGTATCAGGGGAGATTACTGTATTAGTCTTAGCATTGTGGATATTTGAGTCGCCGGTATTCTTTGCAATTAAAATATTAGCAGGCTAGTAACAGACTATTGGCTGGTAGGCCGACCTACCGGTTTTAGCTGTCCGCTCTCTTGAGTAAGGTTCAGATCGGCCCATGGATGGCTAACTTCGGAGTACATACTCCGTAGATGCGCGAGCATTTAAACAAGGCCTGATCCGCCCAGCTCCTTAGTGCCCTCTGTTCGAGAAGCAGTCCCTACACGTTTACTCCGCCAGTCTCTACCTTCATTATGCTTTCATTCAAGTCTCTCGTTTTTGCCTTTGCGGCCCTTAGTGTTGCGGGCGTCGAAGGAAGTCCTTGCCGCACTTGCGTCCCGACAAATATCGTTCAAGACTCGGATTTCGAAGGTGATGCCTCGCCATGGGCCTTGACTTCCGGCGTGGAAATCAGAGCCGACACCTCTGATGCGGCTTTGGCCCATTCACCAGATCACTACGTGTGAGCAATTTAGTTTTCTTCATCGCTGCTCTTTTCTAATCAAATCCATCTCCTAGATATGTGAACATTGCCAATCGAGACGATCGGACGAGATACGATATCTCACAACAGCTTTCGGGGCTCAGCGTGAACCAAGAGTACTCACTCAAGTACTTTTGGGCGGTCAACTACGCCGGCGGCATTTACGATGGCGGTTGTGAGATTGCAACCTACCTCGACGGCGTTCAAGTTGATTCCACACGCTTCAATGGGCGACCCGCCTTGAATATCTGGGCCGAGAAGGAGGTGCTCGTCACGCCGGCTTCAGCGAACCCAGTCCTGAAATTGTCCATGGGCTGTGGCGGAAACTACTTTTACGGTGCAGTACTCCTTTTGGATGATATCTCCATGGGCAAGACTTGCAGTACTGTACGTAGAAGCTGATAGGAATGAGTTTAAATTGCCGGGGTCTATTGAGGAGAGAAACGTATTTTTCCTGTATATTCGAGTAATTATCTCCACAATTAGAAAGTTGTATAATTTGTTACGGAAAAAAGATCACATTTATCCTTCCCTATGTAATCCAAATAACTACATCATGCGGAAACTACAAATGGTAGGTTAGTGGCAGGACCAGATAAAGTAGCAGGCCCACAAGCAACACAAGGCTGGCGAACAGATCATTTTGACACGGGAACAATAGAAAAAATGGATAGGCAACCTTGAATAGTTGAATAATATACCCCCTTGACCTGACGGTCGCCCCCTTAGCTGAGTTTGAGGAACCTCAAGCCAGTAGTTTGAAGGGAAAAGCTAAGTAAGGTTGTTCAAAGTGAATGTTCCATTAATCCACATCTTTACAGGGGCTGAACAATTTATCTCAATAGATTTGACATCTGCTGGGGTCTAGGTGTGACGCTGGTGGGTTTGACTGCTCAAAGTCAATCAGAAGGAACATCATATCAGACGCAAGCCTATGCTGGACTAAAATAAATGAACGAACAAAAAAGAACGCCTGAAGTCTCTTTACTTCGTCGCATTTTGACCAATTTACTGTTGCCAGGAAAGCCATGCAACACCCTAGAACTCGCGCAATTAGTGATGCAGGGTCGACCCTAAAGCAACTGCGCCTCAAAGGATTGACGTATTTGCCTAAAACAGGTATGACTCACAGTGTGTAAGCAACGTCGATGCGTTGTCTTCCCATGCTGACAGCCTCTTCACCAGCAACAAACTATCTCAATTTTATTCCAACTCACAGGAGTCTTAACCTACCATAATAACCACCCCCAGTGAACGATGGAAGGTACATCTTTTCGGCTATTTCGAGATCTTCCTCCTGAAATACAGGACGCCATTTGGGATGCCGCTGTTCGTCCAGCTACCAAAAGCCATGTTCACTCGTTCATCATCGCTGATCATCACTGCCAAACTTTCGATTCGGTTTCCGTTCCGGGGTTCTTCCTCCGATTCGGAGCCTACGGGAAAGTGAACGGGGGCTTCAAACTCGCCGTCCCACACGATGATCCAAATAGCGGCCCAAATAGCTCCGTGTATCTCTCGGATAGCGGGCTTTGGATGGCGTGCAAACAGTCTCGAGCTGCGATGAACCGACGTTTTCCGATGAATGAGTGGTGGTCAGAGATTCCCGGCAAAGGCCAGCCAGAGCGGAAGGCCCGAGCAGGAGAATGCTTTGGCCAACAAAATGTTGCCCACACCACTTCTTACATCGACTCAAATGCCCAGGTGCGGCACATCACCATCCAACCCGTCGAAGATCTGTTCTACTTCAGCCCTCTCCAACTAGACTCGATTAATTGGTTTCATCACTACGCATTCAACGATGTGCCGCTTATTGATTACCGAGGCTACAATACCGCATCGCCGGCGTCGAGTTTCCTGGGACTGCATGTGGCGTTGGACTATGATCCGCTGATGTTGGAGACGCTGGCTGGGCGGACGGTAAACTGCCCTCATCGGCGTGTTACATTCTCCACGACGTCCATAGTTGACATGGTGGATGTGTTCCATGAATCAGCGGCACGGACAATATGGTTCATCGACCACCGACTTAGACGCCTAGAGGGAACATTAGAAAATGATGCAAAGACCGACGCTCATTCTAGAATGGGTTTGCTAACGGCCTCTGCTTCTATTTCTCTCGGCGATACGCAAGATGGGCGGCGAGTCTTCTATTCCAACGATTGCGTGTTCACCGAAGTTCAGAGAGAGGACCACCTTTCCGAGTGGTTCATGGGCGAGGAAAATGGCCATGGTACTGTCTTTGCATTCTTTGACCTTCTTCATCAAGTTGCCGGTGGCCGGCTAGAGGTTGAAGGCTCTGCTAGAATGAAAGTCCTAGCATGTGAGGTAGCACCAGGTGCGGCCCCGAGGCCTGCGACGGCGAGAACGGGGAGCGTTGTGTGTGTGGCTTGTGCTGAGGAAAAGCAAGAGACGTTGTTTCGCAAAACGGACCGTTTGAGAGATGCTGAATCAGACGATGATGGGTTCAGTTTGGAGGACTTTGCTCATTTAAATCTGCTATAATTTTCGAAGATAAGCCGTTGCTGCGCTTTTCGTCTTTTGAGACGAGAATGGATCGCTGAAAACAATAGGACTGAGTTAACGCATTATCTGGCAGTGAATGGATGCAGCAAGCGATTCTCCGCGTCTCTCCTCTCAGTAAATCGGGCATGGTCGTTATCCTGGCCGCCATGCCGGTTCCGGTGGTTACCCTTTGCGGGCTAGTTGGCAATGAAGTCGGCTGTTGCGGCTTCAATGGCCAACGAACTGGTGGAGTATCTTGTCACGGAGATAATAAGCGACTGGGCGCAATTTAACTTGTAATCTGCCCCTTCATTCACGCTGCTATTTGCGACCGTGCTGCGACACCGCGACGGTGGTATTCCCATGTGTCGTGATCCTCCGCCCCGCTAATGCCTACCGCTGCCTAGACAACCCATCCCACTGTCGATTATAAAACTGATGAAGCAAGACTACAATTCCCATACTGCATCAGCAATTCATTTCAATCAAGCCCAAAATCTCCCAAGAATTATCAGCTCCAATCATGTTTACCTTTGAAAACATCCAGGACCACGAAGTGGTGCACCAGCGATGCGTTCTCATTTCGGGGCGATGCGAAACTGCTACAGAGGGCAGCGATAGCTTCGTTCAGATTGAAACCAAGGCGAATGGCGACAACATCTCTTTTCCAACGCAAAAATGGCCAATGTCACATGGCTGGTTCAAGGCTCTAGTTATTCTAACTCCAGGAGAGAATGCTATTAGCATCATCTCTGCAGAAAACGAGTCTCACTCAACTGTTGTAAGTCCCACGGTCGTGTGGTCAATTGTTTCTCAAGCATAGTTCTAATACTCGCAAGATCAACCTCCGGTATATTCCATTGCTGCAGACACCGCCTCTACACCTTGCCATTCTGGTTGCCACGGACTCGCCTCTTCTGATCGACTGTCCACCTCGCAAGTTTGGAGCGCTGTCGGGGGCCCACTCGAGCATCAACGCTGCCGTTGCGAAGTTCCGCTTGTCAGCATACATGTGGCAGGCTCTCACTGCCGAGGAGCTGCGCGCAAATGGACTCGGTCGGCGGTCGTTTCGTCTGGAAGAAGAGTGGGCTCCCGATACGCTGAGCCAGACCAGCGAACGTCAAGTCACAATGGATTCCACAGCCAAGGTCCATCTCATTCCAGCTGGCAAGACCGTTGCTGAACTCAGGAGCGCCCAATTTGCACAGCAGAATCCCAGAGCAGCCAAACCAAATGAGCTGCATGAGATCTTTTCCCGGGCTTTGAAGAACTACGGAGGACCGTTCGTTTCTGAAGCCAAACCAGTCGTTGCCGGGTTGATTCTCGATTCCACATACGATGTGAAGAACAATCTGATTCTTGCCCATGCGGCGCTCGGAGCTCACAACTCCAACGGACTGTCTCTAGGCATTATGGGCAGTCATTTGACATACTCATGGCCACGATTCATGGAGGAAGTCCCTGATTGTCTGTTGGACCAGTCACCTCCTGGTGACCAAGTTGGAAACGATAATGGGGAGTGCGTATCCATGTGGGAAGCCTGCTCTGTTGGCCAAGGAGCTTTCTTGCATGAAGTTGGACACGCCTTTTCCGCGCCACACACGACTGGTATCATGGCTAGAGGCTATTCGAAGGACTGGCCGAAATGCTTCCTCGCCAAGACTGCGTTCTCCGTTCACGCAGGGACTGAGGGTATTGAACCGGTCACACCTACCACGCCCAACAACTGCCATTGGGATATCCGCGACATCCTTCGCTTTGTCAACCTCCCCCATTTCCGCCACCCTCACGATACCACCCCCGACAAGAATTGTCCCGTTGTTGAAATCCAAGACGAGGAGGACATCTCAACACTGGCCATCACTTGCGAGGCCGGAATTGTCCAAGTCTTGTTCAATGGCGTCGCCGAAGACAGGGCCTCCCCTAATAACCCTCAAAAGTCCATTCGGTACACCCTGGACGAACTTGAGGATAGATTTGACTTCCAAAATGCCCTTGAAATTGAGGTACTCGCGATGAATGGTAAGCACATTACCAGGGACGTTGCAAAACTGTTCTCCAACCAGACATCGATCCGCGTCCCTGGAACTGGAATCCGCTTGCAGAAAAAGAGCGCCATGAGTGAATCTACACCAGCAGACAGCTGGTCCTGGGCTGTGATGCTGAAAAAGCGCGGTCGCGATGGTACTATCGTCCCGGCGTCCAAGATTGACCTGCGCGTTGGTTGCGTGCTTGACGGAGCCATCGTCTATTACAAAGACGGTTCGAGAGTCCCATGCGGTCCGCGCGGCAAAAATGGCAAAGACTTGGATATGGGTGGTCATCAAGCAAGGAAGATTGCGCTTCCGAGGAACGTTGATGTGGTCAAGGTTGCGGTGGCGAAGGATCACGAGGAGCTACGGGGTTTGAGAATCTGGCTGTCCAATGGAAAAGCTATGGGTGCGCTGAACAAGCGTGGGAGCGAGTCGGTGGAGATTCTCGGTACGTCGTTTTGTTCTCTTTATCCCTATCGTCCTTGTATATTTCTGCCACTGATCTGGCGTGTACTGGATTGCAACTAACGTTGAAACAGTTCCCGATAAGGGCCAAAGAATCATCGGGTTCTATGGTGGCAGCAATAATGGCGGATGGCAATCGATTCATGAGTTTGGCATCGTCACAGCTCCGGTGGATCAGCCAATCCCCGATTCTGTCTACGACATGCCCGAGCTACAAAACAACCCACATGTTGGAGTTGGAAGGCCGTCCAAGCGACGAAAATTGGTACGTGTATCGTCTAGATCTTACTGAATTCTCCGTGAATTATGCTAACCAGATCCTTAAATAGGACCAAGCTGAGACTGAGACTGAGGATGAGGGTACATCTGAGGATAATGACGATGGATATGATGACGATTCGGAGATTAGTGAGAATGAGGATTGACTAACCTGCCATCGTATAAAGAGGAAGTTTGGCATGGGGGGCGACGCAAAGCCCAGAGACAAACGTTTCTACTTTATGCTTCTGGGCTGGGCATGCTTCGGTCTCTTCCTTTTCCTCTTCGGTCACTGTCTCAACCCCTCAACCGCATTCTACTATCTGTCGCGTTCTCACTGTCGCCTTATATACTAAATTGATAATGAATCCATTGGGTGGCTATATGAAATTACCAGTGTACTTTATCGTAAAGGTGCCCGAGATTCTCTCCCATTTCATAGTTGATATCCGATGCCACTGAATAAAATACGGCCTGTTATGACTCAAAAGGACCACTACTCATAATCAATCACGCTAAAAACTAACCTCGAAGTATCTGAAGTGAATTTGTGAGTGATCTTTATTGTTGGGTCGTGTACTTGTGCGTGAATGATAGTAATACTCAAATTAATAGCTCAGAAGTTGCAAAATGGTGTCAATCAATATCTATTCCACATGAAAGAAAAGATACAACGCCCTAGCAACCATTGATAGTCTCAAACAACCTGGTACCCACTCCTACCATCGCCATTTTCGCACTCATAACCAAATGCGGACTGTCCACAATGTGTCCGATCAGCATTGCCGTCTGCAGCGTAACGAGGAACGTAAACGCAAACACTGCACCTGTCTCTTCGCCCTTTGCAGACTTCAACAAGACCCGCGCCTCTTGGAAAATATCGTCATTGCCAGCATATCTCTGAACCAGCTTGCCCAGAGCCTTACCGCAGGTATCGCGTACACAAAGCATGTTGCACCCCGCATCACCACCGGGTTCGTCATTCAGCACTATGTCGTAGTAACACCGCTTGAAATCTAGGTCAGTAAACTCCTCCCGGATTACCGGCAAACAAAATCCTTCGTGTGTGTAAGTGTTGCTCTTGCCCTGACTCGGCACACCGCGTTTGATAGTAGAGCGGCAAACGTACCGGCCTGCCACGCCCGCTATGTTATAGAGACTCGACAGCAGTTCCGTCCACCTTTTTTGATTGTAGAGGTCTCCCCCTCCATCACAGTAGCGGTCCCATGTCAAGGTCTCCAAAGCACTCTGCAACTTCCCGCTGTGTTTACGGAAAGCATGATATGTCTCTCGACTCAAAACACACCCGTACAAAATCTGATCTGAGCTCGCCTGTGGAGAGTCAGAAGTGATAGCCATGGCGATATCTCACTTCTTGTCTGCGTCTCGCCCAGCTTGTCGAGGTAATATAGAGCACCAGCTGGGTGCAGAGACGAAACCAAATGTGGATTTTCTTTGCGGATGCGGGTCGTGTGAGGTGTCGAGGTTTGTTTATTGCGGGTCCAAGTCGTCAATAAGTTAGTCTTGGCGATGAAGTATTGTCATTACCTTTACTACGACGCTACTGTGGTTTATAGACATCCGCCGCTCTATCTATGATTGTGTCAAATCGTTCATCTCCCGTTCATCGTCCATTGTTCCCGTCGCAATCTCAGAACCCCACTGAATTGTTCATCTCTTTCCATTCTATTCTATTCCACAGTGCTCGCGAATACCTAGGTTTTAGTCGACTCTCTTCTCGACTAGTGAGCGTGTTATTGTTGTAGGTGGAGCCAGATCTAGAAACATCAATTCGTTGTCTTTCAAAAGAGCCCGCAAGGTGATGAGTTGTGATGAACAGCAGTGACGGGCTCAACAAGAACATAAGGTGACAGATCCGAGGACACTGAGTTGTATGCAAATTGGGATTCTGTTTTGCAAAGCATTTAAAGCCAATAGCCCCCCAGAAAAATGACACTGTAGTCATGTCAAGCTGCAGAAGTCGACGTTGCACTGATACATCCCACTACGCACAACACAATTCGAAAGAGTTGGCTGAATCCACCCAGCCACCATGTGCCGCATTATCCGTTGGCGTTTCAATTGCGAGAATTGTTATGAGCATATACGGTCCGAATCTGAAGACGATGCATGCGACATTGCTTTGGGGTTAGTTGATGGCATTTGTATCCACTTGTTGGATCCGACAGGCAATCATAGAGCCCTACTTGATCGCTGTGTTCCTATGGAGCGGGAACAGTGCGCCACTTGTAAGGACTCTGGAAAAGAAGAGAAAAATGATATTGGCAACGATGAGAAAAAGGACACCGGAAAAGATGAGAAAAAGAACGCCGGCAAAGATGAGAAAAATGACAATGGGGAAGGAGAGAAACAGAACAACAGTGAGTGTCCCAAAGATACTCGCGCCTCCCTGAAGTCTTTGTGTGATTCATAGGGTCCCCGAACATAGGTTCAATTCAGTCCGTGCATGACTGTTCTTAGATCTCAACAATGATAAGTTCTCACGCGTCAAATCCAATGTAGGCTATCAGTTTTGCAAAGAGCGAAGCCTCCCACTTCCCTGAAAGTGATGTATGTAATTCCCCCGCGTTAGTCAATCCAATCCATGTCCTGAATGCCCCATCTCACGTCAGATGGATCAGCCACGGATGCCACTTCGGATGTTGCCGTCAGTAACATCATCTTTCGCCCAGTGGCCTCCAGTAGCTGCGCCTCTGAAGTGATTGCTCGCTTAAGTAGTCTTTGAACTAGCTTAGCCACATTGTCTTACAGCCTGGGCGACGTGCTAGCACCCGTTGGGCATCCATCAAACCATCTGCAGCCTGGCGATATCAATTCAATACACCCTGTAGATCACATCCTTAGGCCGTTGCACTTTCTATGACTCGCTCCAATGGTATCGATCATCATCGCCGACACTGCACACGATGGAGCTTTCGCATATGCCTCACAAGGCCCCATTGCAGACCGACCTGCTTCGGCGCTCCCCTTGCACCGCTGGATCACGGGGCGAGCCGTGGCGGCACCAGGCGGGTCTGGACCTGGCGATGAGGCTACAGAAGCGCTTGCCAAGAAGAGGCGCCTCCCCACGCTCTATATCCATGCTGTCCTTGATATCCACCATTAAATCACGCGACAGGAACACACGTGTAGATGCGCATCAAGTGCAGTGCATAGAAGCGCTTCGAAGTACGGACTCGCATTGCTAACCTCGTACAAATGTGATAACTAACCAGCATCAACTTCCACTCACCCCTCTGCGCCACTCTAGATCTAGACCGTCTTAGTGGACAGGCTAATGCTGTCAGTTTCAGTTGTGAAAAGACGACGATCTGCCCTGCCGCCATGGCCCTCCCGGACCTGTTTCCAAGCTTCAAATGCGTGCGAAGCCATTAACAGCAAAGCCTAGTATCAGTCTATATGTCACCAACGCGTACAACTCTTGAGAATTTTTTTCATTCTCATAGGCCTTTTACTTGTCTCAGTGTCGGACTCGGAAGTGGAATCAGGCTACGCTCAGCCGCAACCTAATATTTGCTTCTCCATGACTGCATACCAGCCCCCAAGCCACGCAGGGCGCCTCGAGACTAGGGTCTAGACTTGAGACAATACCATAGTCACTTGATACAAAGCCTCTTGGTAGCCTTTTAAGGACCCCGCGCCTTGCGCCGTCGTATCTCTCCTTCTACCCCTCTTGCCTCTAGCTCTTGGCCTTTACACACCCAAAACGATCCGATGCCTTCTCCCCCAGAATACTCAACGTTGCCAGAGGTCGTTGAAACTCCGAGGGACGGCCCCCCCAAACGCGACTGTCGTCCCCCAGTGCCACCGAAACCAAGTCACTTCAAGCGTCCCTCAGCGCCGTCTTTGCTCGTGCCGCCTCCGAAACCGCAGCTAGTGCAACCCCAGTCTCAAGTACCGACGCTCTGTTGTGTATGCAATTGTTCCAAAAAGGCCTGGAAATGTGTTCAATGCGATGACTTTTTTTGTGACGCCTGCTGGCCACTGGAACGACCTCATCGCGTTAGTACTATATTTTCCTTACATCTACTCAATGTTGTTCGGTTGCCGCCTCCCTTGTACACATATGTCGCCCTCAAAAACAGGCTTATAACGCTGCATCTGATCTCGACTGCTAACATGATGAATTGTAGCCAGGAAAAGTTGGGATCGATGGCCGTCAACACGAAAAGGTCGACGAGGAGGTCATCCATCGGCTGAAACAAATCTTTGGTCAGCCTACACAGGAAGAGCAGTATAGACGCCATGGGACCGATATCAACACTACTTGGTTTGGTGTGGTCAAGGAGGCCAACCAGCCGTACCTACACTATTCGAATCGGCTTGTCGACATCCTACGTGAGAGTCAGGTGGGGGTTCATTCGGATCGATTCCCACAGCTTGTCTCCTTTGTCGGACAGACCGGTATGTTCTCGTTTAACCCTTGAGCCGTCTGCCATAGCTTACCGTTTCCAATGTACAGGCGCTGGAAAGAGCACAGTAATCAAGATGCTGATCGATCGCGAGCAAGCCAGGACCGGAAACACTCACAACTATGCGGCGCCGGTTCCCGGCCTCGTTGGTGACAACATTCCCACGACAGGCGACGTACACCTATACGAGGACCCCGGGACCCACTACGCCCAGAAACCCATCCTGTACGCCGACTGCGAGGGCATGACTGGCGGAGAGAGCGCACCGCGAGGCTTGGCATGTCGAGAGAAGATGGAGAGCGCGAAACGGCCTGGAAAATTTATGGGGAAGAAACTCCGCAAGAAGCTCGCTTGGGCGGATAATCCCAAGATGCAGTCGCGGGAGTATGCAGTGAGGATCCTTTTCCCGAGGATCCTGTACACTTTCTCGGATGTCGTGGTCTTTGTGCTCCGCGAGGTTCGGTATGTTTTGCTTCCTCAAAGACAACCCATGATCGATCTAGTGCTGATTCAATCGCTGTGGCAGGACCTTCCAGACCGACGTCTTGACGCAGTTGGTCAATTGGGCAGCCATGTCTATCGACAAGTCTATCAACCAGCCAAGCCTGCCGCATATCGTCATCGTCCTCAACGCGACCGAGAGCCAAATCGACGAGAAACAATGGGATACAGAGACAGCCACACACGGACTCCTCGATGACTATCAGTACTCAGTACATCAAGTCCCGGCCCTGAGAGATACCCTTGCCAGACTGGCGGCGCTGGGAAAGGTCATCACGACCACCAAGCAGCTCCTGGAGTACTACTACTCTTCCGTCACAGTGGTGAGGATTCCCGCCAAAGGACGTTACATGCAGATAGATGAGCAGATCGGAAAGCTGTATGACATTATCGGTAGGAAATGTGCTTTGTCTCATGCCCAGAAAAAGAAGTTCCGCATGTTACTAAATGCAGAGGTGCTTCCGCAATACGTCAACGCAGCCTACGACCACTTTTCGAGACGACTAGATGAGCCGTTCGACTTCGTAGAAGAAGCTCGCCGTCATGCCCCATTGCCGCAGGACTTTGGCGGACACATACTAAATCTCATCCTGTCCATGTACAGAAACTACGACCGGCGCAGAGGTCGTGTGAGAGATCTCTTCATGAAACTTAGCCGTCCAATTGCCTCGTGTATCGCGCTGGCTGCTACGAGAGACAATACACAGGGTAACATGAGACTCCTCGCACTCCTAGTCGCGTAATTGATCAAAAGGTTAACATTTCTCAGGAACTTACTCGAATCTACTCCGCAACACCTACCTCGATCCCCTGCTTGCCGCCCTGCTAGAGTTCTGCAATCACTGGCTACGCTGTTCTTTTGAGCGAGATGGCGCAGAATGCCGTAATGTCAGAAACTCGCACAAGAAGGGCCACCAAGCTCACACAGGTAGGATACTGGCTCGCGGCCATTTCGAGTCAGCCTTCGTTGCCGACGAGTTTTTCCCGGTATGGATCGATGAAATAGACAGGCACATCAGAAACCTGGATGCACGCCTGGGACACTTCGATCGTGACGAGAGTGCTACTATTCCAAGGATACACATCGACATCATGGCCGACTTCTACAGAACTCTGGATCCCAACAAGCCCGCCGCGAGCTTTAGGAGCAATCTGACGTGTCTTTGCTGCGTAAGAAGCATCCCTGAGAACGTCCTTCCATGTGGCCATATTTTCTGCAAGGCTTGCATTCAGTCTTATGGGATAAATGCAGGACAAGGCTTGTTCAGACTACACTATTGCCCTCTTCACCCACGAGACACAGACTGGCCGGAGCCAGCCAAGATCAAATTCAAGCCAGACGAGGCTGGCGTGAGAATTCTTTGCCTGGATGGGTGAGTCACCTTGCCATATTTTTTAACTTAGTAGTTGACGTGATACTTAGGGGTGGAATACGAGCTATTGTCCAGCTTGAGATTTTGCGGGCGATCGAGGAGGCCCTTGGACGCCATATCCCTATTCAAAAATTCTTTGACCTCATAGTCGGGACGAGGTTCGTCATGTAACATCCAAGTACGCAATCAAATGACTGACAGCTACAGCACCGGTGGCATCGTTGCTTTAGGCCTAGGTGTCAAAGGCTGGAGCGTGTCGTATTGCAAGGAGCAATTCAAGACCATCTGCAGGCAGGCATTCACTCCGCGAGGCTTTAAACCCCTTGCAATGGTCAGTAACAAGAGCTATTACAAGACGAAACCACTGGAGAGGGCTTTGCAGTCCTCCTTTGACGACTACTCCCCCTTGTATGGCGGAACTAAGGTCGAAAAGTCCACTGCAACACGAGTTGCAGTCACTTCAACACTGGCAAGCGAAAATAGGCCAGTTATCTTCTCGAACTACAACACTGAAGGTGAACGTGATACTAGTGAGCGATCCTAAAAATATTCTAGGCTACAAACGTCAACTGATTGGTCGCTTAGTGCCGTACAAGTTCTTGAGGCCACAGGACCCCGCCATGGAGCTTATGATCTGGGAAGCTGCCCGAGCAACTGCCGCAACAGCCCCGTATTTCAAGTCATTCGTTCAAACGGAAACAATGGCTGCATATTCAGATGGTGCGATTCACCATAACTGCCCGGCTTTAGTCGCGGACTATGAGCGAAGACTGCTTTGGAAGGAGGTCAGCACCTGGGCCCCGGATATCTTCTTGTCGATTGGAACTGGCCTCAGCAACCCTCGAGTGTCACCTCAATCCCCAGGCATGTTCTCGTTGAGTCCTTCGGAAGGCTCGCGGCCTAAAGGGTCCCCACGTCAGCGGAACGTCGCTGGCCTAGGCTACATGTGGCGAGCTGCTCCTACCGACGACCAAGTGGACTGCGAGGAAGCTTGGAGTCAGTACCGTGCCATGGCTACAGCGCCAAACCAAATAAACCGGCCAGTGGGAGAAGAGAGCAGCGTGCGTATCAATGTCGAGTTCGAGGGTGAGCGACCCGAGCTTGATAAGGTTGAGGAGTTGGAAAATATGGAGCGGCATGCGATGAACATGATGAGGGACAACCCCGGGATCTACGAAGTCGCTCGTAAGCTTGTGGCGAGCTGTTTTTATTTTGAAAGAGCAGGTGGCCACACTCAGCATGGGGACACAGGGGAGTACATGTGTTCTGGTAAGTAAAGACTCACGCACCCGACGGCTTTAACAGTACTGACTTTGTACAGGAGACATCCGGTGTCGCTTCGATGAAGGTAGCCATGACCTCATAGGCCTTGGTCACATCCTGCGAGAATACATCCTTGGCAACACCTTCGTACCGTTTTTCTTGTTGGAAGAGAACTACGGCTCACTCAACCAAAGACAACAACAGGTGCCAATTCCCGTCCAAACCATCAACAGCATGTGCTACTCCGGCTGCTTCCAGCTTCCGACCCTCCGAATTGGCTCAGAGTTCCAGTTTAGTGTAACCTGTCTATCCTTATGTCTTCAACCGGGGAGCTACAGCCACAACGAGAAGCGCCCCTTCATCCAGGAGTGTGTAAGTGTACATACCCGCCGATTATTTTCCATCAGTGGTTTCCCCCGGAAGCTCGTCACTCAGGACAGCCCTCCGTTAAACAACGCCGAAGACGAGTCTGAGAGCGAAGGGGAAGGGCCTGTGGAACTCCCGGTGCCCGACACTGCGCCATCGTCACCGGAGGTTCAAAGATCGTGGGGCACAAGGCTGTTCAAGAGTCCTAGTCTGTACAAGACACTTTCGCAACGTTCCGCTACACCTAAGCCCAAGAGCTCGGGCGGTATGGCTACGGAGATCTATAGTAGCAGAGATACAAACTCGGTCGACCTATCCGGCCAAGCATCGAGCTCGAGGTTGGCGACGAGCAGCGGCGAGTCACGCTCCTCAGCTGAGACAGCTAATGGTCGTCTGGAGTCAGATTCTACATCTCGAGATGAAACGGACTATGCAAGATATAGATGGGCCTAGGCATTACAGTAGCCCCTTATCAGGAGTAAGAAGCATCCGGGCTCACGCCCGTTGCCCACAGCGACGCCAGCCAATATTGACCTTACTATTGCCATTTTTTGATCCAAATTTGACGTGAATAAATGTATCCTGTCGTTACCATCCCTCTATGAAGCGATGCAGATAGCTGATACAGTAAACAGAACAATGAATGGAAATACTACTGTCGTGCTTGATGTTCCAGCTTGACCAACATAAGAACACCTACAAGTAACCTAGGCATCTCACTAGGTATCTCCCAATTGAAATAAGAAGAATGAATAACAGCTTCGGCTTTTTGGCATAGTAACTACATCGGGTATACACAGAAGCGGGATGTCGCCGAGTCTCACCTACATATATCCGTCGTGCCATGCCATACCCAATCACTAATCAGAAATTCCTCACATAGGTCTATATGCGACCGACCCATGTGAATGACATCTCGTCTACCTGGGTAGGAAGCAGACCGCCTTCGCATTTTCTGCACTGTCTGACTGTCTTTCGAGGCCTCAAAGGCGGCAATATCATGCGTGCATAAATTTCTGGTACTTCATTTGATCGCCCTTTTCGTTAACATAAGTACATAGTAAGTAAGCGGTGAATATATGGGAGCGGTGGAACGTTTCCCCGACTACGTAATTATACATTTTAGCCTGAATTTGCAACTACATATGTCGTTGCTAATTAACAAGGCAAATATCAATCTTGCTCTTCAAGCCCCTAAGGATAACTCCACTATCTACCGCACTTGAAAGATCGACAAAGTCTCCGATACGACACTATATCGCCGTCAGAATAGCATTCCTTAAGTAAGCTTTACTAACCCTTGCGAATTCGGCAGTTTTCATTCCCCGAGACATGTTGATCGGCATTCATATCCATGCCGTCCAATGAAAGCTGATCGCGGGGAACATGTATCAAGCTTTCTAAGCACTTACTCTCCACGTTTAATATTACTACCTTCCTGTAATCGCTTAGAGCGGATTGCAGATCTTATTAAGTTCGAGGCGCACCTCCGCATCCCCGCATCTGATGACCTTGCTGGCATGTAGCAGGCATCCAAAGTATGCGGCCGTCGATGTGCGCCTCGGCATGGTTGGATCGTCAGCGAGAGGGGAAACAAAAGCCATTCCCATCCCCAGACTGTATTTAGGGTGCATTTTAACCCCAAAAACATCCATCTCCGCGGAGCCAACAGCTCACCGTCCGCTACATTCATCCATATAATTTTCCGTTTTCACCCTGGACCATGACGACCGATAGCAGCACAACACCACCGAATGACCTGGAGAAGCCCAGGACGGTAGATATTGAGAATGTGGCGCCCGAGAAGCAGTCGTCGTTATCTGGCATCGAGGCAGAACGTGCTGCGCTTCTAGCAGCCCTTCCCGACCCTGATGCTGGTAAAAGTGAAGAGGAACGCCGCGAAATCGTTAGTTGCCGTATATTTGACTACCCGTGGTGAAGCTATTACTAAGGCATCTCTAGGATCGAAAGTTGATGTGGAAGGTTGACCGATGGCTTATCCCTTGGCTTTCTCTGCTCTACCTGCTCTCATTCCTCGACCGAACCAACATCGGCAATGCGCGCCTCGAAAACATGGAAGGAGAGTTGGGCATGGTGCCAGGCAACTACAACATGGCTCTCACCATCTTCTTCATCAGCTATGCTCTGTTTGAGCCCATCACCAACGGCATCCTCAAGCGTCTGACACCTCGCATCTTCTTCACGGCGATTATCATTGCCTGGGGCACTGTTATGACTCTTATGGGACTATGCCACAACTACCCAGGCCTCCTTGCAGCTCGATGGTTCCTTGGTGTTGCCGAGGCGGGTTTGTACCCTGGAGTCAATTACTACCTCGGCTGCTGGTATAAGAGCTCTGAGATAGGCGCTCGCGCTGCTATTTTCTTCTCCGCGGCTGCCCTCGCCGGGTCATTTGGAGGTCTTCTGGCTGCTGCTATTGCACAAATGGATGGAGTGGGCGGCAAGTCTGGCTGGGCATGGATCTTCATCCTTGAAGGATTGGCGACTGTTTTCATCGGCATCTTTTGTTGGTGGATGGTTTTCGACTGGCCTGATACGGCCCGTTTCCTCAGCCAGGAGGACCGCATTCGCGTTCAGCGCCGCCTCATCATGGATCGTCAGGGCAGGACCGCCGAAGACTTCGACAAACGCCACATCTGGGCTGCGGCAAAAGACTGGAAGACATATGGGTATATGGTCATTTACATGGGCTGCCTGATGCCCTTGTACGCCTTCTCTCTCTTCCTTCCTACTATTTTGCGCGGCATGGGCCACGAGGGTACTCATGCACAGCTGCTCTCTGTTCCTCCGTATGCTTGTGCAGCAACGGCCACTGTCGTTGTCGGCTTCGTGGCAGACCGAACGCGGTGTCGAGGATACTGCAACATCGCAACTGTTTCTGTTGGAATTATCGGATTCATCATGCTCCTAGCATCTTCGAAGCCCAAGGTGCAATACGGCGCTGTCTTCCTGGGCGCAATGGGTACGTTTCTGATCCTGCCCCCTCACCTTGTAAACTACTCGCTAACTCTGAACAGGAATCTATCCCACGGTCTCTAATACTGTCTCTTGGGTCAACAACAATATCGAAGGCTCCCTAAAACGCGCCATCGTACTTGGGATGGTCGTCGGTTGGGGCAATCTCAACGGTGTTGTCTCGTCCAACATCTACCTCGACCGTGAGAAACCACGCTACCGGAGTGGTCATGCCACCGTTCTTTCATACCAGATTGTCTTCCTCCTTGGCGGTTCTATCTTTATGCACTTCGCGCTTCGCTGGGAGAACCGTGCTCGCATGAGCGGCAAGCGGGATGCGCGGTACGCTGCAATGACGGAGGAGCAGAAGTGGATTAGTGGCGACGTTCGCCCTGACTTTATTTATACCCTGTAATGGAGGTGGATCATTGTTAATTGGATGTTGGACACTGAGATCTGTGCCAGCTTGGTCAACATGCGATGGACTTGTTCTGCAAAAATAAAAGCGCATGTGGAAACATCGGCACTTGGATTGTTCCCTGGCATAGACAGACAAGACTAGCATAAATGGTTTACTCGCTCACTTGTCTCTTCTTCGCTTTCGTGGTTATCGTGCGTGGCCAGAGAGGGATAATGCCTACGGCAACGGCTCGTAAAGCTCGTCGCCCCTATCTCTCGTGACAATTCTCCACAGCATTTCCGTTTCTCACAACTAGAAAAAAATGCCAAGACTACACTGTAGAGCATAAGGTCAGTTATTTAAGCTCCTATTTCTAGGAAGTCGTCTGCAACAGACAAAACTCATGACTGACTAAACATAAGGGAATACTGGTACGAAGTCATCCAGAATATACAGTCAATGTGGTGGTTATTGGCTACAGAGGGCTAAAAGCTACTCAATTCAATCCACTGGCTACTAGAGTGGAGTGGGTAGATGCTCTTGTCAATCTCCGAGAAAGCAGCCACCATGTCGCCCCCGATCGAAGGAGATTCGTTGATATTAAGCTGTCCGTATCCTGCTGCACCAAATTGAACGAATTTTGGTCCTCGGCCAACACTAGCAAGTTCATGGTCATATACTTTGAGCGAACAGACATTCATCCCATCGAGCCTCTCTAGCCTGTTAGGTCTCATGTTCAAGGTCCAAAGAGAAGGGGTGTTCAGGGGAAGGAGTAGACGAGATCAACGAACACGCGCGAGGGAGATCATGGCATTGACGGTCCAAGTGCACATAAGCAGCAAAGCAAAGTATGTTGGTCTATGTAGAGTATTGTGAAAAACATGCGAAAAGAAGCCCACACCGCAACTTGGAAATTGCCCCAGTTCCCCTCACTTTACGTGATGAATTTGCTTCGTGGTCATTGGTCTTGAAGAGTCGGTTGTCAGTGTCGGTTATCGCAGTCTTTTAAACATGTTCTCGGACAATTGGCTACTTTGCCCTCCAAGTCCACGGCCAGTTTAGCACTTGCCGGGGCATTTGCTGCAACGAGCGAGACTAACGGACGAGTATTAGCAATGGCTGTGTGGCCGAGTCCGAGTTCGAGACTTACCAGTTGATGGTGCTGGGGAGGTTGTTCATGTGGCAGTACGGGTATCTGTCGTAGCACAGCTGGCAGTTGTCGAATCCACAGCCACGCTTCTGGAGGCTCTCGTCTCCGTCGAAGTCCTGGTAGGCACGGAGAAGCCCGAGAGTGATCTCGTCCGAGATGACTACGTCGCGCTCTTCGATAGCCATGCCGGTTACGGCGGCAGCGAGGGTAGCGGCGGCGGCGAAGAGTGTGGAGAAGCGCATGGTGGATGGTTGAGAGGTTCTTGTGTTTGAGATTGTGTTGATTGGAATGGAGATGCAGAGTGGAAAGAAACAAAGAGTGCTGTTATCCCTCTTTATATGCATGAGATGGCATGGCTTAGTCGATCATCGGTGGCTATGGCTTCTGAACAAATATCGCACCTCGTATACATGTGGAATTACGGGTCATCGGTAACTGCCTGAAGCAGCACTTGGATTCAACTAGGTGTGTTGTTGGTCAACCAGTCCCCCGGGATGTGCTGTTTTGGCGTCTGTTACACCTCCTGCCTTGTTCAGCTTCCTACTTGGATTCGGCTACGCTGTTGGCGCAACGTTACTTATTTCAAGCATGCTACCTCGGGCCTTTTCGTCCAACATCGTGCGACCTTGAGACATGTTGGTGGCTTATGTTGTTGGCTTGGCACGAAAATTTCTAACTCTCCTGCCTGAACAGTACAGGTTTTGATTCTGCACGTGCAATTCAGCTGTCGGGAAGGACTTCTCAACTCGCTGCTCATCTGGATTTCTCCAGACGTTGTTACATATTATTTGTAGTACCCTCTATTTACGTTCGGGGCTGAGGAGTTGGACCGCTGGAAGGGAGTCAAGATGAGAGACGCTGACAAGACATCTTGAAGGAACATCTTGCAACATGGCTGGTCTAAATTGCGGTTAAATCGATAGATCCTTCAAGTCTATTGGTGGCGAAGAGAAAATATGGAGCAAAATACCCCATAAAAGTCGCATAAATTTACGAATATTTTACGGTATTAGCCCAAGCGTACTACACAATTACGAATGTACCCCGAGGAACTTTTGGAGCCTGCCAGGGATATCTCACCAGTCTCCCCTTGTCCTTTTGTTAGCGCCTGCACAGGACGGCGGTGAAGACATGTCCGAAGCCCCTGCCCCAGTCGGCGATGTGACGTTATGTGCCCTTGTCGCTCACACGCTTAATTACACACACATTTTATGCATGGAGGAGCCGAAATCTCCAGACAAGAGGACTTCAACTTAACCCAAGTAGTACATTGGGGATATTATTTTGGAAACTTTTGTATATATTCCTAATATCTTTTTCAGGGTGCAGCTGTTACTGTAGCTCATGAAGTTATTGCACAAGGTAACCAGTTGGACTAGAAACCCTAGTCTGTCTGAGTAAACTGTTGACCTTTGAATGGACTGGGTATATGGTCTGTATTGTTGATGCTGCTGGGCTTTTTTTTTTTTTACTGTTGAGCTTCTAGTCCCCCCTCTGGGTATGTGTACTAGGGCACCCTACATCTTAATACCAGTCACTACCAAATAGAAAGAGTTGACTACGTATGAAATAAAGCTTTCCACGTTGTATGTGGTTCTCCATATGCCAGTAAAAAGGTTACTTATCTACTCTGCTCGCTTTCGGATGGGGTAATGAGGTCCCAGCACCGCCTGTGTGTATCAAACGGCTGCATGTACAAGCCCCAGCCGCGTATATCGCCAGAGAATTCTATCCATGCGCAATTCCTAAGCTTCAGGCTTCTTTGCGTAAACTGATCGGCTAACGGATTATCAGCATATTGAAAACAAAAATGGGGTGGCAGAGAATACATTGACCAGTAGGCATGGATTTTCGGATTGTTCAAATCCTTCCTGACGTCAACCAGGAAAACGCTGACCTCCTCAGCAGTCCAGCCAAGGCACCTTGTAAACAAAGCCATTGAAAGCCCCTCAAGAAGGCCGTCTGTGTTCAATTTGCTCCACTCTCCAAGCTCCTTGAACCTTTTCTCCTTGGGCCAGCGATTTATCGGCCATTTGAATGGCTTCTCCTTGATATCGACGAATCCGACCTCGGCCATAAGGGGTTTGAATCGATTGGTGTCTATGAAGGGAGTTCCGTGCTCTTTGGCCGCTTTGTCTAGAAGAATGCCCCATTTCCGAAGAGCATGATCTTCGGTAAGAGTGTTGTCGTCTGATCGCATGAATACATCGACGTCCTGGAGCTCAGCATAGCCACCCGGCGTAAGATTTCTGGTTAAGTCAGGAGTTGCCAACTTATTCGTCCAATTATAAAATAACTCACTCAAAAATCTTACGGAGATACTCTGGCCAGTTCTTGACTGAGACGTTCATCATTCTGCTGTGGATATAATCAAAAGGCTGAGAATAAGTCCAGTCCTCGTCGATGTCGTCGATCTCAAACCTTAGATTCGGGGGTATGCTGCTCGAGTTTAAGTTGTCATCCGTCTTCTATGTGGGAACTCATCTCATACAATTCCGGTTGAGTAGGAGACAGATCGACCCCTATAACCTATGTGGACTATTAGCCTTGCTCGCTCTTTGCTCTGAGATATCCTCTTACCTCAGTCTCGGGATGTTCGTCAGCAAAGTCGATCGCCCAAACGCCTGTACCGGTACCCAGGTCAAGAACTCGGCCGGTCTTAAACTCGGGAAGATTTGGCGGGGAGAGACCAAGCTTGTTGTCAAAAGTCAAGAGGAACAGATTATGCTGCAAGTCTGAAAAGATCTAGTGTGAGAATCTTGGACAGTTGAGGTGTGGTCTATATTACCTAGCCTGTTGTTTTCCGTTTCGTCGTTGGGCATATAGTATTCTATAGCAGGTGAGAAAGACTATAATTTCCACAAATATTAAATGGGAGAAGCATATTCAACTTACTTCCGTCCTTGTACGCATGGTATGTTCTCCCGTTTTCGACCCGATAATTGAGAATGGAGCTTGTTACGCTAGCAGTTGATGACGAATTGTCCTATATCGTTGTTTGTATCAGTGATATATTCTTTCACAGCACGTCAGGGTAGGCGAGATGCCATCCACGCATACATCTCCAATCGTCGAGTCTCGATCGTCGTCAACCTCAATTGAATGTTAGTTCACGTTTACATCGTACAGAGTTGTGGAGAAGAGGCTGTACATCAACGTCTATGACAGGTTCTGCTGGGGGTGCGGCCATTTCGCCAAGCATGAAACAGCTTCAGGTACTCGCTGAGGTCCTTCGTTGCTACGTGGGTGTTGAGATTGGAGGAGAGATTTGCCCTGGGATTATCCCTCAAGCATGGAGGGGGAGTAGGATTTAATACCGCGGTTGCCCCCCTGCTTGTCACCGGAAACAGGAGCCAATGATGCCTCATTTAGGTGTGGCGTTGTTGTCCCTCCTCTCGTCGGGAGGATATGCTCCACCAACAGTCACACCAGGATAGTGATCCCAGCCAATCAAGCGTTCTCTTCCTATGGAGACTACGGCCTTGACCAAACATTCAACCACTGTTGGAAGGTGACCCTGCATGAGGAAACATCTGATAGATTGATATTATGACCATAGTCAGGGGGGGTGCCAGAAAACCCCTCTTTGCTCGACCCGGTCAATCCGGGCCCAGGCAATCATGAACATCATCACCATCGCTTCGAACACTATTGCCTTGATCAAATTGACCGTGGCGGATCCACTAAGAAGCTTAAAATTAGTTTCCGCCGCTATTACCATATTTAGGGCACCTGTCTTCTATTTCAGTAGGCCAATCACATCTTGAGGGTGCCTTTAATGGCCACAAAAATGACCCCAAAAATGGGAGCCAAGAGAAGGACCCAGGGGACAAAACGAAGACGCCTATTCCCCTCGGGTTTCTGACATTCCCATGTCGATCGGGCTGGGACGTGATATAATTTAACAAAAATATCTATTTAACCTTACAGCTAACGTCTTAGCTACCATACAGCTATTGAGATTCATAGCAACAAACATAGTTATATTTATATCAATTAAGCACTCTTCCTTCGCTTTCTGATCTCGCAACGCCTTATCTCGCTAGAGCCGACCTTGGTATCATAATGGAAGCACCCACCGTTTCGGAGCCGAGCCTCTTACTCTCGCCCAAGACAATGTCAGGTAATCAACAAAGTTCTGACTCCAGATGGACTTGTCCAAACCTCATGTGATAAAATCCACGATTCCACTGATCGGTCAGATCATCTAAATCATTCGTCAACAATCAGATTATCATCGAATCATCCAGTGTATGAATCTGGCCTCCAAGTGGATAATCTCTACCTTCGGTGCCGCAGCGTTGTGACTTTAGCCTCGACAGGGAAACTTTACGGAGACCGTGATCCTTCTCTTGTCAAGATGGCATGGTGCGTGATTTCAAGCTCATCCAATATTGGTTGCTACTGACAAAGTTTCAGACCTTTGAACAGTCGATTCCATACTTCCTGCGCTCTGTTTTCCCCTTAATCACCATACCAAAGGCACATCGGGCTCGATCGAAGCTGCAGTTCATTATGGCAGAATACTTCACTCCTGAGCATGACCTGAACGACCCTAGCACGGCACAGCTTGTCATGAACCGTGCTAACGCTCCGCCCAAGCACTATTTCATGCGCGAATAAACCGGTCTCATTAACGCGATTCTGCCTACTGTAGCAGTAATTAATACAGTACCTGTCGCAGAGATAACCCCCAACGACGACGGCTATGCTAGCAGGACTGCAACTTTTAATATTACCGATTTTGACACCAAACCTCCCTTGCTCATTATTTGTTTCAGGGAAATATGACAGATCATTCCGTCAGCCCATCGTGAGTGATCTCATCGTCAATGGGTCCACTAGCAAACAGTACCTCCTCAAAAATAGCACAGATATCCAGCTCCCCTAAGGCGTCACACATGACGCAAGGTAAATTTGGGGAGACGATGTACCGGATTTCAATCCTAAGCGGGTTCTCAAGGGACCCGAGAGCAAGACACCGACATCCATGGAGGCAGATCGGAAAAGGAAGGACGCGTACTTTCCTTTCGGTGGAGGTCTTCATTTGTGTCCCGGATAGAATTTCGCCTTCGATTACATTCTAGGTATCACGTCACTCCTCCTGCTTGGTTATGACATCGAGCCAGTTGGAACGGGGCTTGGTGATATCGAGATGAGACTTGCCGTGCTAGTGAGCGGTGCTGTCAAGCCTAAGAATCGTGGAATTGGCCTTGGGGTAAAATATTGAGGAGAAAGGGATGAGAGGATGTCCAGTGGTATATTGAGTGTCGATAGGTTTAATAAAACTTCAGATTGCCCAGCAATACGAAAGTGGAGAGAAGTCGGGCTGCAGGAGCGTTGCGGTATATGTGAAATATCCAGGGAGCAAATCAAAATGAACAACATTTCCAATCCTAAGATAATTATCAATAATCACCCAATGTAGAAGTTGAAGAAAGTAAGTTTAATAACGCTAAACCTGAGGATTTGATTATCTGATTAATTAGGTTACTTAATTCGATTAGATTCAACAACACGGGAAGGCTTTCACTCTAAGAACGCACCCTTCGACTGCACGGATAAACTGTCACACAGGTACATACAAAGAATACTGATTGTGAGTCCATCGAGGCATTTGCAATGGGCCTTCCAATCACCTGGCTGTGAGCCGCAGATCTCTATTTTCACACCATCTAATCGGGGAGGTTGCCGCCCATATGGCCTCAATTTGATATCGACCGGTGAATTTTCACGTGTTTAAACAAAATGCACTTAATACCGCAGCGTTGGCTGAGAAGGCCACGAGTCCAAACTTCCTAGTTTCTCGGCTGACATGTTAAGTCCGCTCTCCCGAGAACTCCGGTCCGTGACGCAGCGATCTCAGCGCATCAATGCACCAATCCAAAGTGAGGATGACGTACCATCGAGGTGCGATTCGCGGCTCTATGCAGAAATGGCCGACTTCTAAAAGGTGTGATTACGCTTGGCTGCAGCGCCCCGCTGCTTCCGTTATTTCGACATGTGCCTTATGCGTCAGCTCTCGGAGATAACCAAGTAAAGGTGTTCGGTTCCCGATATCATATAATGAGAAGAGAAAATAAAACTATTGATCAGTCATATGACTGGTCAACCATTAATTTGGCGTAATGTTGTCATCTAGTACCCTTAGTTCAACTTGTATTTTGTAGATTTTAAGGGACAATTTCCCTCCTGTCCCATTAGCGAATCTAGGTCGTTTCAGCTGACAGATATTGACCCTATCACGGCAGGCATTCAGTTCCCGAAACGATTCATGAGCATTTTCATGATAATTTGATCCCAAAACATTTATTTTACCAACCCTCGATTTGGAGCCAATCGCCGAGAATACAATCGCGAGTGAGATCTAGACATCGAGCAAGGTTTACTCCATCTCCAAACGCCGAATAGATCGAAGTCTATGACGCCGACCCCCACATATCCCGGGACTACCGACGCGCGCGGAGTGATGACACCAATGCCATCCACGATACAGCGCCGAGCTATTTCACAGAGCTATCTCAATTCGGTAACGTCCGATTCCAGTTCCAAAGCTTTCCTTCTTCATTGTGCGGGCGTCGGATATCTGTCATGTCGTCATGTCCGCGCCATAGCGCGCTCCATGTACTCTAGATAATAAGGTGTTCCCGCTGGGGAATTATTCATGTCAGCTTCAAGGTCTGAAACACGTAACCAATAGATCAGATGGAGAGCGGAAGAGCTACTCCGCGGGACCAGGACATCCCAGGCGGCTACCCTGAGACGCCAAGCCTCCATACACCGAGCATTCACCCACTGAACCTCCACACACCAAGCGTACACACGCCAAGCGTCCACTCTCCCGGCCAGCCATCTGTGATTGCGAGCGATGAAAGAACGAATGACTATACGGGAGAATGTGTCGCTGACGCTGAAGGCTCATCGATAACAAGCACTGTGCCACAGTCGATCGTTTTGGGCTTCTCGCGTCAGAGTCGCTCTTCATCAAACACCATCCAGCCGACCAACGACAATGTCCAAGATGCTCCGCACGAGCACGAAAGGGACGCCGCGATAGACGATGCAACATCCATGTCCAGCGACTCTTCGTCATCAGCGAGCGGTACCCAAGCTACCGTGTTGAGATCTTCCACCAACGAAGACGGAAAACCCACGCTCGAACGGATAAGGACTCGCACCGAGGAGGATGTCTTCCGCGTCCTATCCCGGCGCCGGACGAATGCCACGGGCGTGTCCGGCGGCGAATTACAAGAGGAGCAGCAAGAGATTGAGCGTCTCATGTCTCGCATCTTCGGGCGTGCCCGCCAAGAACACAGTGAAGGAGAAAAGACTCGCCACAGCGGTGTCGTCTTCCGTGATCTCACCGTTCGCGGTGTAGGACTCGGCGCCAGTCTGCAAGCCACCGTCGGTGACTTTTTCCTTGGCCTCCCGCGGATGCTCACCAACCTCGTCACCAAGGGCCCTAAAGCGGCTATTGGAAAACCTCCTGTGCGGGAGCTCATCAGCCATTTTGACGGCTGTGTACGACCTGGCGAAATGCTGCTCGTGCTCGGTCGCCCTGGCGCTGGATGCACCACATTTCTCAAAGCCTTTTGCAATCAGCGCGCAGGATTCGAATCTATCGATGGACAGGTCACGTACGGCGGTGCTGATTCTCATACGATTGCACGCGACTTTCGCGGCGAGGTCATCTACAATCCTGAAGATGACCTGCACTACGCTACACTCTCCGTGCAGAGGACTCTCAAGTTTGCGCTTCAGACCCGCACTCCTGGAAAAGAGTCTAGACTCGAGGGCGAGACGCGCGCCCAATATGTCCAGGAGTTCCTGAGGGTCGTCACGAAGTTGTTCTGGATTGAGCACACACTAGGGACGAAAGTTGGCAATGAGTTCATCCGCGGTGTGTCTGGGGGCGAGCGAAAGAGAGTTAGTATCGCCGAGGCCATGATCACGCGTGCCTCAGTCCAGGGCTGGGACAATTCTAGCAAGGGTCTAGACGCCAGCACCGCGGTCGAGTACGTCAAGTCTATCCGCGCCATGACGAACATGGCCAACACGTCGACAGCCGTCTCCCTGTACCAGGCCGGTGAGACGCTGTATGAGTTGGTGGACAAGGTCCTCCTGATCGACAACGGAAAATGCCTATACTACGGCCCAGCCGAAAAGGCCAAGCAGTATTTCCTCGACCTCGGCTTCGACTGTCCCGAGCGCTGGACTACCGCAGACTTCCTCGTGTCGGTGACGGACGAACACGAGCGCAGCGTTCGCAAGGGCTGGGAGGACCGGATCCCGCGATCCCCTGAAGAATTCGGTGCCGCGTACCGTAGAAGCGATGCCTACAGGGGCAACCTCGCCGACATCGAAGACTTTGAGTCGCAGCTCGAGCGTCAAGCCGAAGAGCGCCGCCAGAACGCGTCGGACCGCACGCGCAAGAAGAACTACGAGATTCCCTTCCACTCCCAGGTCATTGCGTGCACCCACAGGCAGTTTCTCGTCATGACGGGCGACCGCGCGTCGCTTTTTGGCAAATGGGGTGGACTCTTGTTCCAAGGCCTCATTGTTGGCAGTCTCTTCTACAACCTCCCGCAGACCGCTCGGGGAGCATTTCCGCGCGGCGGAGCACTCTTCTTCCTGCTTTTGTTCAATGCGCTGTTGGCTCTGGCTGAGCAAACTGCCGCTTTTGTGTCGAAGCCGATCTTGCTCAAACATAAATCCTTCTCTTTCTACCGCCCTGCCGCATTCGCCATCGCGCAAACGGTTGTTGACGTGCCCTTGGTCTTTATCCAAGTCGTGCTCTTCAACGTCATCATTTACTTCATGGCAAACCTGGCCCGTACCGCTTCGCAATTCTTTATTGCGACCCTCATACTGTGGCTCGTGACCATGGTGACGTACGCGTTCTTCCGAGCCATTTCAGCTTGGTGCGGAACCCTAGATGTGGCAACGCGGTTCACCGGGGTGGCCATCCAGATACTCATCGTGTACACCGGCTACCTCATTCCTCCGGCTTCAATGCACCCTTGGTTCAGCTGGCTCAGGCGAATTAATTGGATTCAGTATGGCTTCGAATGTCTAATGTCCAATGAGTTCGCTGGGCTCACGCTTGAATGCGTACCTCCATACCTGATTCCTCAAGGACCCAATGCGTCGCGCCAGTATCAGGGTTGTTCTCTCGCTGGAGCCACGCTTGGCTCGACTTCTGTCAGTGGCGCAGCCTACATCCAAGCATCTTTCTCATACACCAGGTCGCATCTATGGCGCAACTTTGGCTTTCTGTGGGCATTTTTCCTATTCTTCGTCTTCCTGACAGCACTAGGGATGGAGCGGATGAAGCCCAACATGGGAGGTGGTGCCATCACTGTCTTCAAGAGAGGGCAGGTCCCGAAGGCCGTAGAGGAGTCCATTTCCACCGGTGGACGAACCGGGGAAGCAAAATCCGACGAAGAGGCTGGTCATATACCTCCGGTCGTGGAGAATGACACCTCAGAGACAAATGACAGCGAGAAAACCGCAAAGGTAGCCAAGAATGAGACCGTCTTCACATTCCAAAATGTGAACTACACCATTCCGTATGAGAAGGGGCATAAGCAGCTACTCCAGGATATCCAAGGATTTGTACGGCCAGGCAAGCTGACTGCATTGATGGGTGCCTCTGGTAAGTCCAACTCATCCACTAAGTCATTACGGCAGCTAATTCCACATTTCAGGCGCTGGGAAAACGACATTACTCAACGCCTTGGCCCAACGTCTCAAGTTTGGTACTGTCACCGGTGAATTCCTCGTCGACGGTCGCCCTCTGCCAAAATCGTTCCAAAGGGCAACAGGCTTCGCAGAACAGATGGACATCCATGAGCCTACCGCCACGGTGCGGGAGGCACTACAATTCTCAGCTCTTCTTCGACAACCCAGAGAGGTGCCAGTCAAAGAGAAGATGGACTACTGCGAGACTATTATCGATCTGTTGGAGATGAAATCCATCGCTGGTGCCATCATTGGCCAGGTTGGAGAAGGTCTCAATCAAGAACAGCGGAAACGTCTGACCATTGGCGTGGAACTAGCCTCCAAGCCTGAGCTTCTCATGTTTCTCGACGAGCCTACATCTGGTCTTGACTCTGGCGCTGCCTTCAACATTGTCCGATTTCTCCGCAAACTCGCCGATGCAGGACAGGCCGTCCTTTGCACCATCCACCAGCCGTCGGCAGTCCTGTTCGAACATTTCGACGAACTGCTGCTTCTCAAAAACGGGGGTCGTGTCGTCTATCATGGACCTCTTGGACATGATAGTCGAGAGTTGATCGAATACTTCGAGACCAATGGCGCGTCCAAGTGTCCACCAACGACAAACCCGGCCGAGTACATGCTTGATGCCATTGGAGCCGGCGATCCCAACTACGACGGACAAGACTGGGGCGACGTATGGGAAGGATCTCCTCAAAGAGAGTCTCGAACACAAGAAATCGAGGACATGATCTCTCAGCGCCGGACTCTCGAGCCCTCCAAAGCCTTCGCCGACGATCGTGAATACGCCGCACCAGTAAGGACACAAACCATCGCTCTCCTCAAGCGCTCCTTCACAGCTTATTGGCGCTCGCCCAACTACATCTTTGGCAAGATGATGCTGCATGTTATGACGGGTCTTTTCAACTGCTTCACATTCTACAAGCTGGGCACTTCGCGGATAGACTACCAGAACCGAGTATTCTCCATCTTCATGACCCTGACCATCAGCCCGCCATTGATCCAGCAGCTGCAACCCGTCTTCTTGCGTTCGCGCCAGATCTTTCAGTGGCGGGAGGATGGCGCCAAGATCTACAGCTGGTTTGCGTGGACAACCGCTGCAGTGGCTGCTGAGATCCCCTACGCCATCGTCGCGGGTGGTATCTACTTCAACTGCTGGTGGTGGGGAGTCTTTGGCTGGAACACGTCGGGCTTCACCTCGGGTTTTGCCTTCCTTCTCGTCCTTCTCTTCGAACTGTACTATGTCGGGTTCGGCCAAGCCATCGCCTCACTGGCGCCAAACGAGTTGTTGGCGTCACTGCTCGTACCAGTCTTCTTCCTTTTCGTGGTCAGCTTTTGCGGTGTGGTCGTGCCCGCCGCGAGTCTTCCGACATTCTGGCGCAGCTGGATGTACTGGCTCACACCCTTCCACTATCTGATTGAAGCTTTTCTGGGAGCTGCAATCCACGACCAACCTGTGAACTGCAAGCCAGGAGAATTTGCACGATTTAACCCGCCACCGAGCCAGACATGTGAGGAGTATGTTGCGCCGTATATCCAACAGGCTGGTGGGTATGTCCGGACTGGCGACAGGGGCGTCTGCGAGTTTTGTCAATATGCGACTGGGGATGAGTTTGGGATTGGGTTCAGCGTGCGCTACAGTAACATTTGGCGAGACTTCGGAATCTTTTGTGGATTTATCGTCTTCAATTACGCTGTAGTGTTTCTGGCAACTTGGTTGAGATTCCGATGGAGAAATCCGCTGAAGAGAAATCCGCTGAAGAGAAATCCGCTGAAGAGAAATCCGCTGAAGAGAAATCCGCTGAAGAGAAATCCGCTGAAGTGAGGAGTGTTCGCAAGACAAAATACTCGTACTAATAAGGAAGAAGGGAAGTATTAGTATTTATCAATAAACGCGTAATAATATGTCTTATCAGGACAATGGATGAAAATAAAAATAACCTTGTGATCCAAGGGACATTGCAATTGACAGCACGACCTCACATGCATCCTCGGCGTATTGGTGTGTTGTAGAGTATTAGTATATTTTGCCTACTTCACAATATCAAGTCTCCGAGCCATCAAAACCCCGTCCCCCCTCTTCTTATCCCCGACCTTGTCCTTGGACAACATGGTGTTTGGGAGCGCCGTCTGGAGCGCCGGGTGAGACGGCTTCGCAGTGCCGTCTGGGATGGCTTGATTATTGGGACATCTGGGTCGATATGGTAGCTGGAAGCGCCAGCTGGGGCTTGTTGGTAGTTTGATACGCCATGCATCATGACTTAGTAGGTCGTGCTTTAGGGCGTATCAAACTACCAACAAGCCCCAGCTGACGCAGCCAACTACCATATCGACCCAAGGCGCTCGTAACAACCAAGTCGTCCCGCTCTCATCCCGGGCTGTGCGGACACTCAATGGTACCACAGTCATGTTAACGGCTCTCGAACGCATTGGAATTAGTGACCTGTAGCCAGTGGAGGTGTGAGAATAGCGCGAAGGACAAGGGGTAGCAGAGCGATTCTCCAGCCAAACGGAGAGATGGGACTAGGCCAAGCCAGGGTACAAGAAACAACGGAATGGAATTGCACGTACCGCATCCGTCACGTAAACGGCATGTGAGCGTCGTTGAAGACGACTTGGTTGCTGTAAGACACCGGGCGGGCTGACGAGACGGTGTGGTAGTTGGGAGCGCCGGGAGAGATGTAATGGTAGTTGGGAGTGCTAGGCGAGACGGCATGGTAGTCCCAATGGGATCCTCTCTCGACCACCAGTTTCGTCTCGCCCAGCACTCCCAACTACCATCGTATCTCTCCCGGCGCCCCCAACTACCATGCCGTCCAGCCCCTGTCCCGGGCTGCGTGGACACTCCAGGACACGATGGCCTTCTGCTGGCACTATAAACACAAAGACGTTAGTGACCTGAAGGCAGTGGAGGTGTGAGAATAACGCAATGACCGGACAATGTGATAAGGGGTAGCAGAATGATTCTCCAGCCAAACGGAGACGGGACCAGGCCAAGCCAAGGCAGAAGAAATAACAGGTGGGGAACTGAACTTATCATGTAGCATCTGCCACAACCGCTGGGGCGGCGCCGACCGGAGACCGCCTCCTCCGCACCTAGGAGCAATCGAAATACTTCAATCTATACGTGAGTCAGCGATACTCTCATAGCACGGGTCGGATTACCCGGCGGCTCGTGCAATACATGCATGCCACATGATGCGTGTGGGGGAAATGGGGCCAGGGACACGCGTGGGGACGGGTGCGACGACATCGAGGAATGTGAAAGGGCTGATGTCACTGAAGCTTGCAAAGGCTCCAAGGCTGAGAGCGCCAAAGACTTACTCGGGACATGTTGAAGTTGCTCGGGACATGGCGAAGTTGCTTGGGACATGGCGAAGTTGAGGAGAGGAGGAAGAAAGTCAGGGAAACGAGGAGGAGCTATATTTTGTGCAGGCACTCGTATCACTTGCATAGTCACGTGTGTTGACCAACTCCTTCGATTTCCGTGGTCAACCGGCTGCGGGCTTGTGGTGCCTGCCTTAGGCACCTCCTGCGCCGTGATCTACTGCCTACCTGTACCTACCTACCTACCTATTGGAACTATGCCACACCATGGGGAGGTGCAGCCGAAGGGGTCCAGTGAGAATGTGGCACAGGAACAGAGGTGTCCCGGCCTACAGCACTTCAATGGCAAGTCACAAATGCGAGACGTAGATATGAGCCTGCTTCGGACGGGTTCGTCCTACGCCCAATAGGGTAGATTGGGTGACTGAACCCAAGGAAGTCACTGGGGGACGAGATTGTCACGACTTAGGTGAATATCTCCCCTGGTATCGTAGCCCCAGTCTCACTGGATACAACCTAGTGGCCGGAAATTTCCCGTGACAGCTGGTTGACAGCTGCCTGCCAGCAACCAGCCACCGCCAACCAGCAAACAGACAAAGGAAGAAAGCCTTATCATTCCTAATTCCTGCTGCTTATCATAATAACCTCTCTCGAGCCGACTGGACATACGGGATAGGGTTCGTCCCTAGGATTTCGGACCTTAAGCCCGGCAGGGGACCGTAGGTCCTCAGTTCGACGCCGCCAGGATGACGCTCGCCTCTTTTTTTGACCTTTTTATCGCGAGTATTATTGGACAGAGGCTAGACTCTGGAACCTGACTGAGTTCTTCTGTGTCTTTTTGACCTTCTTTTGCGCGGCGCAGCGGAGGATTTGTGTGCATGAGTTGTTCAGCGGTTGGTGAGGTGGAGACACAGCAATAACACTCAGTATCGATGCCTAACAAGACATCGACACCACTCAGAGAATGAAGGGATTTTGTTTGCACTGAAGAGTTCTTGGTCGAATTTACTCAGAGATTCTCACCTCTTATGGCTTCCGCTTCCCATATTGGGCCTGTGACCGCAGTGTTACCTTCCATCCGGGCTGAAACCGCATTCTTAACTCCTTTATTGGGATGAACCACTATTCCCATTATCTCCTGGATAGAGCCATGTTTGGATATGAGTTTGAAGAGGCCGGGAGGTACGTCTAGATTTGCACTCTTCAATACCATATCCCCGTTACCCTCGCGATTCAGTCAAAGGGGGGTGTTAATCTTTCACCTGCCCACCTTTGTTCACCCTGTCGTGAGTATCAGAAGTCGATGTGAGAGCGCATCGAACTACCTACAAAGAGGGTCAGAAACTCAGAGCAACGAAGTCACAGTCACGCGTCTGACAGTGATCCTTGACAAACAAAAATATCCCCTTCCCGCCACTCTCTACTGCATTTAAGCACTCACCATTCATCCAGCTTAAAGACCCCTTTTCTCAATTTCAGTCACTCTCCAGTCGCTCGATCATGGCTCAGCTAACGTTGCATTGTACAGTTCCAAGGAAGTGGAGTACGGAGTGCAAGGTGTACTCCAACGAGATCACGCACGACGAAGGGCCTTGCAGTCTTCCTCAGCGTCTCCGTCGAGTCATCTGCATCTGGAACTTCGAGCGCGATAGGACCGACAGAGTCCTTCACAGCTCTCGCCTGAGCTCTGAGAATGCTGCCAGGAGTGCTCGGACGAGTGAGCGACCATTTCGTTCAACAACCGTCCGTATGAACGCGGTCGCTCGGCTCCAAGGTGCGTCCGCTTGCGCTCAACTGCAGAGGTCCGATCGAAGTAGCGGCTGTGCCGGGTGGTAATGCGGGAGCGACTTTGATGCTGGGGTGCGCACCATGATGGTGTTCGTTGTTGGAGAAGTCGTCAGACGCTGATCTACTCCGACATTTCCAAGTCCTCGATAGCCCGATCGAGCCTCCATCTCGTTTATGTCAGGCAAACAGGCGTGATCATCTCCGGCCATCTCACTGGCAAAGCTGCCCTGTCAGTCCGGCCAGGATACAGCTGGGATTCCTCCGTCTCGTCCCTCTGCCTCGCTGTCGGGGCGCACGATAAATTTTAGCCCAGATTTTGAGAATCTTGCTAGGAACGACATCACCCTGCAGAGTGAATGGGAGGCTCTCTGAGACTCACCGGTTGGATATTTCAGTGAAAGGCAAACTCGCCAGTGATCGACCTCTTCCCTCCACGGAAAACGACAGGTTGGCACCAGCCAAGTTCGCACCCTTGAGCCAGAAGACGACTCAAGGGCGACAGCCCAAGATTGCAACGCGAAATCGAGTCTATGTCGTGACGCTGGCTTTTGTTTTGTGTTGATTTCTTGCGCTCCAATCGCTCTCTGTCGTGCCAAGGACGGCTGTTGCACTTCTAACGCAATGCTGAATGTGGCAGATCCATCTAGTCCGACGCACGTATCTAGGTTGAAACGCCGGAATCCAAGGAGATGCGGTTCCATCAGGTACTACCACATGTAATGCTTTAGCGGTGTGGTTTCACTGGGAGATTTGATCCTCAACAACTCACACTCTAGGTACCATGATGGTGATCTGGAAGTGGTACCAACATGAATGATGCTTCAAAAGTGCACCACTGATCAAGAGGGGGTTGAACTTTTGGAAGCCATGCTACATGACGACATCTGGGATACCTACGACCGGAATGACTCTCCTTGGTCCTATGTGTCGACGGAAAGGCGTGGCTAGACTTAGTGACAGCGGCGAAGGCAAGATGGGTAGACAGGATGGGTAGGCCAGATAGCGAATACAACCTTGGACTTGCCCACTCGATCGACACATCATCCACTGAGAGAGCATCAAAGGCAGAGCAGGTATCGGCGACAATGGTATCGAAACCTACCTTACTGTTGTGACCCAGCACAAAGTTGACGAACCTCGAATCATGAAAGTTGCTGGCCGCGAAACGGCCACCGGGCAGGGGAGAAATGCGATTCCTTCTATGAACAGACCTTGGATCTGACCTTAACCTGGCAGACCCCACCCCCCACCTCCGAGCCCTCAATCCGGCAGATCTTCAAGCCCTCAATCGGGCGGACCTTCGGAACTCTAGGTAATCACACCTTCAAGCTCCTGACTGACTGACTGACCGACTGAAAACAAGCGGACTACAGGCAGCCCCCGGCAGGGCCGCCGGAGGCAAAGATCAGGTCGGTATAAAGCAGAGTTACAGCTTTGCTTACCCCTATGGCAGCTTGCTGACATCGGACCTAGTACTCTGCTCTGCGAATCTCCCCGACACCCCCGACACGGCGAATTCAGCGATTTTACCCTGCTATGCAGAGCTCCCCGACACAGGGGAGAGTTCAGTGATTTTACTCTTCTCTGCTAGGGAAGGAGTTTAAGCTTCACGAGGTCGCTGTTTCTCCTCAGTCGACAGTCTACAGGTACTTAAAGGGCGTCTTGATGCAGCCGACTTCGGTGATCCAACTCTGCTTTGCCAGGGAAAGAGTTTCACCTTCGCAAGGCAGTTGGCTATCATTAGTTGCCCATACGGAGGCCTTCACTCTTCCCAGGACTCGCGGTGAGTTTCCGTTTTTAGCATCATGTCGTCAGAACATCTCTAAAATATTGCTAACTTTGCAAGGGGAGACGCAAACTGACATCGATGCTTTCGACACCGATGCTTCGCCACCAACACTGTTCGAAGAATGGTAGATTTCCTCTATACTAGCAATTGCCATGTTAAATTTTCAGAGGATGCTTCTCTCAACCCCGTTACTTGCGTGTTTGGAATGGCAAACATGCATCCTGGTAGCCTATTTGTCAATCGTTCTACGCCGAGCCTCATATTCAGCAATTTCAAGCCAGTCGAAAACACCCCATCCGTCATGGGTGAAATGAACGTAAGGAGAGCACGTGAAGGGCGGGCGGGAAGGAGCTGAACGGTAAAAGGTATTGTCTGGTGATTGGAAGGCCAACCCCAGAGATCGAAGTTATGCAAGAGAGGCTGGTCCACAGTCAAGAAATGCCCGTATGCAGATTGAGATGTGACTGCTACGGTGACTAAGGCGGGATAAGTCACACCACTCAAGGACCATTGCACTACAGTATTGTGGTTTTCGTGACTTAATCTTAGCCATGAATTGTTTCAAATAATAACCAAGTATGTGTATTGCGCGAGATGCGCCTCGTTCCCAGTGCCTTATCGCAATCCCTCTACGGCAAAAGAGAACGATTTCTTCACTTGTCGGTAGCGCTATTGTAGTCCATATCTCCGTCCGACATGCCATAGTCCATAGCCCCTAAAATCATATACACTCATATGTCGCTTCATGCTTCATGTCTTCTTTCGCTTGAGCAGGAAGGTTTCCCTGGCCTTTGCTTTCGACATAACCCTGGAGGTTCTTGATGTGCCCGTCAACCGCATCAATCAGTGGCCCATTCTTCTACACATCAAGAAAGGCCTTCATATAATAAAGGGCCTTCTTCGCCCACACGGTTGCCAGTCTCTGGTCTTGGAGGAACCAGTGGTAGACCATACCACCTTTGAGTCGAACCCAAGTACCTTCGATCTTGAAATATGCCTCCTCGTCTTTCATCTCAATAGCACCCTCCCTCTGTAGCAAAGCACCAACTCGTTCCTCAATCAGCTCAATAGTGTCTCTCAGCTGATGCAAATCGGAATAGCAGCTCTTTCTGGCAGATTTCAGGATCCCAATAACTGAGACAGCAGTTGGTGGCTTCGCTTCGATTGTCATCGTCACGCAATTGATCCAGAGCTCTCTTCCATGCGACATGTGTTAGGATGTCTCTGTCGGCAAGTGTTGAAATAATGCCGTGAAAGGGCTTATTGAACACTCGAACCTCTGGAACCACCTTTCGATTGGCAGGATCTTGCCATGCGCGTTTGAGAATACTTGGCAGGTTGGACGGTGGAATTAGATGGGCTCATCCTTCAATGGCATCCTATGAAAACCTGGAAGGCCATCTGTACCGCAGTGCATTTCCACCTTCCCCACGACCTCAAGGTGGTCCAGCCATTGAAGTCGGCGGTTCATCTTCTGAAACCAAATGCCTACCTGAAGAGGGTTGATGAAGTGGCTTGCGGGCAAGCTTGGATTCAAGGCTGGCGAGTAGACCCATACTCTCTCGTGAACATCCATTGGGTCGATATCTGGGCAAAATTCGTGAGACCAGATAGCCTTAGAAGTAGTGGCGTTTTGACCAAATTGTGAGGTAAGGCCGATAACTTTGACGTCTTGGAGGTGGGCTGATGCAGGATCAGCCATCGGGACTTCAAGCCCGTGAAAGCTGAGGCGAGCAATGGCTTGCGGGAGGGCTATCTGACGCTTGTGACCCGGCTTAGGGTAGAAAGAAGGAAGAAGGAAGGCCCAGGATTCGGAATGTCCTTCGTTCGGGATGGGGAGCGGCAAACTCGAGATGCTGACGGCGCACGCTGTTTGTCGCAATCTCGCTATGGCAAAAGGGAATGATCACTCCACTTGTTGGTAGCTTTATTGTGGTCCATATCTCCGTCTGACACTGTCAAGGGAAATGTCGGCCAAGCTATTTCCGACCGAGAATGGTTGGCGGGGGCGGAACTGTCAACTGAAATGGTCGGCGAAAGTCGATTTAGAGGGTGAGACATGATACAGTACAATCCGACAGAACAGAAGAAACGCTGAGGCTGAGGCTGAGAATCGCAGCGTGGGCCAAGGGGGTTCAGCCCGTGGATGAGGGCAGGCAATGGCGCAAGGTAAGCTGTAGAGGTCCAACATTAGCGAAAGCTTCTTTGAAGAGAACGGATAGTCAAGTACAGCACGGCTGGAGGGGAGAGGGCTCGCCATGTTGAGGTCAAGACAGTCGTGGAGCTCTCCGAGTCTTCTCTGGAGTATCGATGTAAAGGTAGGCGGAATGGCGGGCTTGCTCGCGTTAGGCGACAGAAACTTGACTGACCGAGGGTCCTTGCTGGCTGCAGGCCCTTTGCGATGGGCGGTGACTGCGCTCCCTGCGCTGGTGGTGCTTGTGAGGGCGCTCGAAATGTCATGAGTTGGAGTCGCGGTGGTGAAAATGAGTAAAATAATTTGATCACGAGTTTTCCTCTCAGAATTGTTTGTTAAGTTGCGCACCGCATTTTCCAACTTGCAGTGATTCACGTCTTACCGGTTGCCAAATGATTCGTCTTTTCTTAAAAATTCCCGCAGCTGGCCCATCATCCCCAAGAAGCTCTTCCCTCCAAGACTCTCCACCTGAGGGCCTCTTGCCACTCTTTATCATCCTCATCGTCCTCACCACCAATAAGTCTATTACCCAGAACCTCGTTATAAAAGTACAGCTTTTCTAGCCCGGCACTGAAGGGCCTTGGATTGATGCCGTTATTATTATTTTATTTATTATTTCTTACTACTTAAATAAGATAAACTGCCTGCTCTATTATATACTCTTATCTCGGTTAGATCTATGTTAAATGCAGTTTAATATAATACCTCTTCTTCCTCTTAGTATTTTTTTTTAAACTGGCTCTATTCTTAGGTGCTGTTCCTTCCGCCGGAGTATGCCCCCGCGAGAGCGCAGCTCTGCGTGCCAGGTAGGGCCGGACCGTGCCGATGCCGACCACAGTCAATATCCCAATGCGGCAATACCAATCCTCCAAGTTTACGAAGACCAAGTCACCGAATTGAGAATGGGAAATATACGCGGTCAATGTTTTCTTAAATAACTCGCTATTTGATGGTATCTACTTTAATCTGTTCATATTACAACGCCATGGCAACGCGCCATCTAAGCCCTCTCGGCGTCGTTGTCCGCGATCTTGTTCTCAAGAGCGTTGGGCTGGTTAGTACCCTTGTATGAAGACTTCTTGAGCATGTTCCATTTGTCTTCTTCCGAATCCAAGTGGCTGAAACAGAACCAAAACGCGATGCCGCCTACCAAGGAGATGCAGGCGACGACGGTGTAGTTCCACACCAGCAGAGGGTCGCTGGAGAGGGGAACGAAAGCCTGGCCAATGGCAGCGGAGACGGCACTCATGAACAAGTTCACACTCATGACGAGGGACTTCATGTTCTCGGGGGCCTTGGAGTAGGCGTACTCGTATGAGGTGACGTTGGTGAAGATCTCAGCGAGACCGATCAGGATGTAGGGCAGAGACTGAGCCCAGACGTTGATGGGAGCGGCCGCGCAGTCCGGGTCGTTTGCGTGCCAGCCGCAAGGGCCCATCTTGTAGATGTAGTACTGCATGACAGCAGAGGCAACCATGGACAAGGCAGCGATGATGAAACCGGTGGTCATACGCTTGATGGGGGTGAAGGCGATGCCGAACTTGCGGAGGGTGGGGTAGAGGACGTGGTCGATGATGGGGATCATGACCACAATAGAGATGGGGTTGAGGTTCTGAATGACGTCGTTGGGGGTTCCGTGCAACTGCATGGTAGAAGCCTGGGTGGTGAGGTTACCGGTCATCTGGTTGTAGGCAAGGAAGAAGACGGGGAGGAAGAGGAAGACCTTGCAGGCCTTGAGACCGCGGCGGACTTCGTCAACCCAGGCATCATCATAGGTCATCCAGTCAGGGCGTTCGCCAACGGGGACGTTAGAGGGCTTGGCCAGATCCCAGTTCAGCTTGAAAGGCTTGCACCGCTTCTGAACGAAGACAAACATGTGCAGGAACTTGGAGAGGACTGATCCGGTAGGTGGTGAGAGCTTATAGTTCTTCTTGTTGAGGGCGAGGACGATGGGCGCAATCAGGAACATGGCGGTAGGAATCAAGAAAGCGAGCCAGAATCCGACGTATTTCTCAACATAGACCTGATTTGAGCAGTTAGCAATGCTGTGGGGTTTTGGGGGGGATTTCTTGCGGGGTGGGCAGAGGGGAGAGAGAAGGGGGAGTGTCGATCTTTTTCATCGACATTTCTTGAACTTACCATTCCAATTTGACCAGCCAGGCTTCCCATATTAATGCAAAGATAAAAATAAAGAAAGATACGGGTATTAGTGACAGCAGGGTCGACAATAACTCGCTCGCCGGTTTTCTCTTCAATCCGAACGCGTATACGCGAATCCTCGTTCTGCTCTGCGAGCAGAGGCGAGACATTGGCCTTGAAGAAACCAGTACCAACGCAGAGAGTGAGGAGACCAATAATAAAGGCGGCAAATGCAGAATCAGCCTTGATAATGACGCCAGGGGCAGAGGCAGCGACGAGAATGACGTGGGCAATAGTCGAGATACCGATGGCGATGTGAATAGTCCAGAAACGACCGAGACGGGCATCAGCAACCCAGGCACTAGGCGAGTTGTTAGTTGGAGGAATCAATAACATAGAGCTCAAAAAACTTACCCAACGAGGGGCATCACGTAGGCAAAGAACTGGTTGAAAAGAGACAGGGCCTGAGCAGCCTGGGCGCCCATGTTGAGGGCACCGGCCTGAGCATCGGCGGCCGAGGGGTCCACCGGAGCACCGGTGGTGGAGCCCTCCGGGAGAGGCTGTGCGATGAAGTTGGTGTAAAGAACGGACGAGCCGTAGTAGGAGAATCGCTCGCACAACTCCACGAAGGCGATGGTGTACATGCTCCATTTGATGGCACCCGAGACACGGCGCAGAGTGCGCAGCTCCTCCTCGGTGGGCGTGTCATCGAAGTCGTCGCCGCTGACCGACTGCGAGTCCAGATGCATCTCCTTGTCCATAGAGCCATGGGCGGGGACCTGGGGGATGCCGCGGGTCTCGGGGTCGACGAGCCCGGACTGCGCAATGGCGTCGTTGTCGAGGTTGATGGTGGTGGTCATGATGGGCAATGGACTGCCTGTCAGGATTCGTCTGCTCTGGCCCGCAAAGGGGATTTGATAGCAGAGAAGATGAAGAGAGGAGGAGACCTGGGAGAGGGATGGAGACGAGAGGAACCAGAAACAGAGATGGGAGGATCCTAGGAGCAGATCTTATATCAATCTGTGGTCCAACGTTGTCTCCGTGCTACACGGCTAGACCGTCGCCACCGGTTCGCAGGAGCTGGCCTACAGCCGCAAATGATAATGCAACCATCGGCGGTGATCCCAGACCACCCCGGACAAGGCGCGGAGAAGGCAGTCTGGTTGCGCTAGAGTTAGGCAATGGCCTTATCGGGCAGGTCGCCCACGCAACTAAGACGGGACAGCCAGAAAAAGGCTGATTCGACTCTAGCCCCTGTGAACAAAAGTCCCGGCCCCGGTTCCCTCAGTTCAAACCCCCCCGAGCTGTATAGCTTCTATTGGAGATGGGAATACTACTACTGCCCAGGGAGGGGGGTGGGTCTGGAGGTGGCCCAACCGGCCGGGAACAGCAGCACGCACAGCACCGCGACAGGGGGCCCACTCCGGGGTGGGGCCCTGGACGGACGGCCGGGGTCGCCAAGACACCAAGCCAACAAGCGTCTTCGGTCCTACTCGGCGGCAGGGTTAGGCCGAAGAGGGAAGGTGGCAAGACATGAGGTTTTCGCCGCCAGGTCCCTGATGCTACGACGACAGATGCGGCGGGAAGGAGGCAACTTTGGTAAAGAGGCAATAGGCAATAGGCATTGGGTGTTGGATATCCCGGGCGGATGATTCGATCGATGGATGCAACAGAACGCCGCAGCGAGCACCACCTCCTTCGGGGACTTGTCAGATTGAGGGTGTCATGACACGCAGATCTCATCATGGCCGCTCAGCTGTTCCCTTCTGGAACCCCATCCGCCTCCGTCGATGAAACCTTGCCTCCCGGGATCGAAAGAACTGAGAGATAACGTAGGGCCGAAGCACGACGACCGACGAGGGTCATCCTGGCATACCAGGTGGTTGCGTCTACGTCCGCGTCTACACATATCCACCTCACGTCTGCTCACCCGAATCATGGCATCTCGGCCGTCAAGGTAGACGATACACGGCCTCGCTCTCTCATAGCCAGCACGCTACAAACAATACCATCGCTGATTATTCGTTCCTCGGCTGTCTCAGAGCCGCCCAAAACCGGCTGCATAAAAGTGATCGGGTGGCGCATCATATGCCGAGGCCTACCTCACCCGCCCTGCATTTCGCAACCGCCAGCGCCGCCGGAAATAGACTGGGGATGCACCCACCGGGGTGCCCAGATGGCCGGTCTTGCGGCGACGAAGAGGGTGTCATGGCCTGGTTTGCCGGGCTGCACGCCACGGGCATCGCCCGGCTCCGAGATTTGCAGCATCGCGATGCGACCCGGGGCGTGTGATTGGCTGCAGCCTCAAGTTTTGGGGGATCGGGCTAGCCGTGTGTGGCGGTGCTGTGGCAAAGGAACATTTCTTTGTGACGTTTCGAAGTTGCCTGTGTGGCTTGAAGCACGTTTTTAAGCTCTCGGGTTTCATCCTTTTTTCGTGTCTGGGGGAGGCGAATTGCAAAAACTTCGAATGCTGTGGCTTGAGATGCCACAAGTTGCCTCGGCTTTCGGATACGGGCTCTTTGATGGCAGCAAAAGATCAGCAAAAAGACCGTTGTACCAGCTGCAAGGAGGAGAAGCAGGGACAAGGAGGCGAAATGTGGCGTCCCTCCTTGGCGTAGACTGCTCAGTCCTAGCCAAGTCCTCTTGCACCACCACGACCCGTAAAATTATACGGCAGCGATGCCATTCTGCTTGGCGATGCCTTGGCGATGCGCTTTCCCCTAGTCCTCTCAGGTCTTTTTGCATTTCACATTTCGCATCGTGCGTTCAGCCCGCGAAGTTGACAAATCCCACATACAAATGGTATTGCACCATATCCCATGTTTCCCCCATCGCCACTGTCATCTCCCCAACAATAGCACCACATCTCTGCACAACCCACTGCCTAATGATATCCTCAAACGCATAAACCCACACAGCACTTGCGTGATCTTCCCAGCATGTCACCGCCAGCAGGTTATCGCAAAGTGGTGCGGGCCTCTCCCCTCTGATGTAACCGTAACCTTCCTAAAGAGGGTTGGAGCTTGGCGGTCCATTACGCGTCGGCCGCTTCTACGGCGGCAACGCTGAAGGCGTGGACCGATTATTCCCAGCGCTGTGGCATGTCTGCTCCTATATTCCCAATCATGACTGTGAATACAAGCCATGCGTCTTATTTGCGGGGTGCAAGACGGCGTGGAATACCGAGAGGCGAAAGAGGCAAAGGGGCAAGAGAGATAGGCAATCAATGGAATGTCAGCTTGCAACGGAGTTAGTGGGCGGCCAGCCGTCTATCGCAAGTGGTAGGTAGCATTGCCAATTGCCCGCGACATCTCAACGCTTCACCCCGCCGCCATCTCTCCACAGTAGTCCACGCGTCTCGAATGCTGCTCCCTATACGCCCCCAGTGAAATCACAGGCGTGGTCATTCTAAGGTTCGCGACTCATCCCCAGATTCACAATACATCTCTCGTAAAAAGGGTAACCTTGTTTTTTGTTCCCCAGCTTCCCCATTGAGGCTCTCGCCAGTCTGGGGTTTGTGGGGAAGCCCGACGGCAGCCGAAGCAGGAGTGCGGAAAGGAAGCCCACGATGGCGTTCTTCACGTAATGTTGGCGTCCAGGCTGGGTGTTGGTTGGCCGATTGAGCGCTGGGAGTTACAAATTGTCGCCTCACAACTTCAGCCGTCCAGCGTCCCCACAGTCGTCCGTCCCGCAAAGCTAGCGGCTGTCGTTCTATCTGGCGGCAGAAGGTCTCGGGGAACTTTTGGAGCCCCAATGGAGCAAAGATCTGTGCATGTAACCTGCCGCCCCTCCCTTAAGGACCTTTGTCTAGCGCCGGTGCTTGGAGCTCGAGCCTCTAGCAAAGGACCCCCGCCCATTCGGAGGAAAGAATGGAGCTAGGGGTCCTAGTTTGGCAGCCGGGGTCCGGAGCGAGTAGGCCCCGGAGAGCCATGCGACAGAGCGGAGCGGAAGACGGCGGTGTGGGGCGTCAAGAGTTGCACTTGCGGCGCTGTCCGTCTTGGACTTTTGAAGGTTGCTCCATCGACTACGACGACATCGCGACTATTGACTGGATGCTATACGTGGTACTACTATCTCTCTCAGTCACTCTATCAATGTGATACGTACAACGCACACCAATTGGCTAGCACCTCCATCTCAGATACCAACCCCCTTCCAAGCTTGCTTCGGCTTCTGTCGCTTACGCACTTTTGCGGCACGGCGAGCAGAGCCGCAGCCACTGCTAGGATACCAGACGAACTGTTCGTCTTCGTTTGCGCTAGGATACGCATCCGTCTTTGTTAGGCTTGAGTCGAAATAAGCGTCTGAGTGAGATTTACTATACAGCGTAGCTCGGAAGACGGCACCCGTGATGGTCATCACTTTGACTTACAAGGAACCACACGACACTGGCGTTGTCAGCAAATTCCCAAGTAGGTAGGTCCTGGAGTCATTTCCCCTCTCCTCTCTCCTTGGGCCGAATAGAGCCATGGCTCAATAGCGTCCATCGTCACACAACGGTATGCCGCGCGCAAGAGACCCAGACCCTCTCCCAATCCTCTACTCCGTACGTAAATAGTAAAACCCGTCCTCTCGCAAACAGCCGCCTGGCACATCCTCGGAAATTACAACACGGACACAAGGCACGACTAGGCCCCGTCGTATAAACTACCATCTAACATTTCTGCGAGCGCCAACCTTGCCCCTCTGTGCTCCATGCCACCATCCCCCATCAGGTGTTTTGACAAAGTGCCCTCACGCCAACTTGGCTCCCCACTCCAGCCCCCCCTGTCCCGCAAATCGAGATGTCAAACGTCCATTTTGGCTTCCAATCCCGCCGCACTTACAGATACGTTGACTAACACCCAACCGCAAACTTGGGGAGCTCAGACGGTCCCGACAGGTCTTGGGCCCAGGTGGAGTCCTGCTGTCGTTTTGTGAGAGTAATAAGGTTATCTTCAACTGGCTGCTGATTGCACCATCGGCAAGGGCCCACGCCCTCGGGTCCTTTTGTAGATCTGGCGTGGACCGCGTGTGCTCATGGTTACGTGTTTCTGATGTTCATCGATAGCTCTGGCGGCTCATGTTCGAGCTCCAGAAGCGCCTCACCAGCGGCTTCATGAGGGGAGCGCTTGCTCGGAGCCGGCCTTCCGCCCCGGCCTTCGCGTCGCATTATTCCGACGGGGAACAGGTGTCGACGCCGCTTGGCAACAAACACGAACGAGCTGCTACGTTTTGAGCGACCTTTGCCGCCTTGGCGCTGGCCACATTCCCGTTTCAATCATCACCAGACGTGGCTTTCCTGTTTGGATGCACGGCGTCTGCTCAAGAGGTTAGGCTTTGGAACGGAGGCTGCAGGACCGTCACCCTCGCAGCGAAGATCCCTGATACACGGGATTTCAATATTTCACTCCATCTCGCATGCAGTCCCAACTAAAATCCACCGTATTCAGGCAAACAGCCAACCGCATATTCCCTCCCACCCTGTCGCGTCGCGCCGCCAATCCAACCCCACCAAATCGCATCCCCTCTCCCATCAATTCTAATCTCCAGGCAGCCGAATTCCCCCAGCACACCACAAAAACCAGGCAACGACCATTTTCCAACATCATTCTCCCTGGTTTTTTCTTCATCCTGGTACCTAACCAGTTTCCCTGGCGACAGAAATGTTCTCTTGGTTACATCAACAGGGACCTTCATCTGACCGGGCCGAACAGCGCGAGTGCCCGCTAGGCAGATGGATGAGGCCTAACCGAGACGCAACTACCCGACATATCACAACACACGGCCACATCCAGTGTTGAATAGGTCTTCAACCAGCGCCTCATTTGTGGATTTGCTTTGTTCGCGCCTTGGCTGCCAATTGACTCAGAGCATGTTCGCGCTAAATTACCCCTACCAAGGTGTCAGGGATGAGAACAGCGACACGTTCGGGCTTCGCCTGTCTCCCTACGTTTGGCAGTGCCATTCTGTGCGATTCTTGAAACTCAGGCAATCAGGGCGGTGAACGGCCGACGACAGATGGCTGCATAACGAGTTGCACAAGTCACAACGCAGCAGTCTGCCAGCCAACCGATCACCGTGAACGGCCAGGTTGGTTGGTTGGCAATGTTGTGATGAGAACTGATAGACATCCACAAAATCTCACTAAGCCTAGCCAAGCAACTCTTTGGCGTCCGCTAGAGGTTCAGCCAGCGCACAAGAATCGACATATCAGAAAGAGTCATCAAGCGGTGAACAACTCTTGACAGTACAATCCAATACCCAGAGTTGGTCTTTTTGGGGGGGACGAAGATAAGAAGAAGCCTTATTCTTGGGGAGGAATAAATTCTAAGCGTTAGGCTTATTGTTTATTTTCCCAATGGAATTCTACGGTAAGTTCGTCGTCAAAACTGTTCATCAAGATTGGGGCATGTCTGGCGTGGTTGTGAATTGCTTTGTCCGCGCCTCCGCCAGTGCATGCTCATTCAATCAAACCACAAGTGCTTTGGCGCCCGCTAGGGCTGAACAGCCGGGGTACAGCATAAACAAGACACAATTGATAGCAAAGCAGCCACTCGGGGATCTGTTCCGTGTTTTCTTGTTCCAGGCAACAGTGATTTCTGATATTTGATACCAGTGGTGCTTCAGGGGATTGTCAGCAAGATAAAAAAGGGAGCTCTTCGCCCAATCCATCCAGCGTCAACATTGCTTCCCAAACACACGACAACCCATCATCAAAATTCTCACCTGTACTCTCCCTCCCACACCTACCAAGACCCCATCCCTAAACTAAACCCATTCCCGCACCTGTCTCACGATGGACCAGTTCATCGTCGACAATGCCGCCCGGTACAAGTCGCTCGTCACGCGCTTCGAGCCCAAGGCGTCCGGGCCCAAGGCCGAGGTCGCCCCGGCGTCGGACATGCTCGTCACCACCCGGCTCCGGCCTCTTCTTCCCGAAGAGGAAGCGGCCGGCCTCCCCAGCTCCGTGTTCCCGCGGCTCCGTCCGCCGGGCGTGTTGGACGTCCACGAGCTCCGCCAGCCGGTCCGTGGGCTCCCGACCATCAAGGCAAGCATTCATCTCCCCCGTGTCTTCACTGTTATTCGTCCGGCCTGGTTTACTAACTGGCTTAATTAGTCCTACGACTATGAAGTCGACCGCATCTTCAACACCGACTCCACGACAGAGCAAATCTACGCGGATGTCGTCAAGCCTCTTGTCCCCTGGGCATACGACGGCGGCATCGGCACGCTCTTCGCCTACGGGCAGACGGGCTCGGGCAAGACGTACACTGTCAGCCACCTGGAGCGGCTCGTCGCTGAGGAGCTCTTCAGCGGGAAGCTCAACGGCGAGCGTGAGATCAACATGAGCATTGTGGAGTTATTTGGCAACACCGCACTTGGTCAGTATCCCTGAGATCAACTCCAAATCCGTCAACTAACAAACCAGACCTCCTCAACGAGCGTGCTCCCGTATCGGTGATGCAAGACGCCTTCGGCGCCACGCAGCTCAACGGCGCCGTGGAGCACCGCATCCACTCGGCGGCCGAGATGCTCAGCTTCATCGAGACGGCGGCCTCGTTCCGCCGCACCGAAGCCACCGACAAGAGCAACTCGTCGTCGCGCTCGCACGCCATCTGCCGCATCCGCTTCAAGAACGCGGCGCGCCCGTCGGCCGAGGACGGCATGCTGTACATGATCGACCTGGCGGGCTCCGAGGCGGCGCGCGACACGGCGGCGCACAGCAGCGCGCGCATCAAGGAGACGCGCGAGATCAACACCAGCCTGTCGGTGCTCAAGGACTGCATCCGCGGCAAGGCCGAGGCCAACGCCGCCGTCGCCGCCGGCCAGCGCAAGCCGCATGTCCCGTGGCGCCAGAGCTCGCTGACCAAGATCCTCAAGCACGTCCTGGACCCGGCGGCGCATCGCCCGTGCAAGACGGTCGTCATTGCGTGCGTGAACCCGTCGCTGGCGGATGTTGGGCCCAGCCGGAACACGCTGCGGTATGCTGAGACGTTGCGTGTCCTGCTTCCCCGGAAGCCGCCCGTCATTGACGATCCCAAGGCGCCGGTGACGTGGACGAACAAGAAGCTGCAGGAATGGATCCAGGAGAATGTAAGATCCCTCACATCCCAAACACCCATTCTAGATGACAGCAATACTAACCACTTGTACAGTCCGGCAAGCCCCCCATCGATCCCACCATCCTCGCACCCACCGAGTCGGGAACCCAACTCCTCCACCTACCCATCCCCGACTTCGAGGCCCGGTGCCTCGACACCCACGGCGTCAGTATTGAGCAGGCCAAAGCCTTCCGCGAAAAGCTCTGGCACATGCACATCGACTCCGAGTCCCACACGCCATTCAAGAAGGCGAGCGACAAGCCAAACAGCCAAGAGCCCGACCCCCGAGTCCGCTGGCGCCCGTGGAAGCAGCGCATCCGCCCGGGAATGTTCGTCAGCTGGGATCCTCCGTACGATCATCCCCAGGGTCGACCTGGCAAAAACTTCGTCGTGGTTCTGGCCCCTGTTCCTGGAGCCGACGTCCAGTACGATATGGAAATCGATCCTCCGGCGACACTCGCCAGCCGCTGGCTCTGCGCCGATGTCATACTCAACAGCGCCTCCAAGGGGTACGAGGTGCAGATGTGGCGACATGTCCAAATCGACGTTGACCAGATGGACGCCGAGGTCATCTTTGACTACGACGTCGCTTCGAGACTTTACTACCTCGTCATTTAGAATCTGTTGTTAGATTGGTTCATGTCATAACAGCCAGCGCGTTGGTTCCTTGAGTAAGAGAAATTGCGAGAGAAAATGGTACGAAAAAGTTGCATTCATAGCTCGTGAGCCTTCTCGACCGAGTGGTCGAGATTTGGTCGTAAACGATAGAGTATTCTAATACCCCTAATCAATAACATGTCCCATCACAATCTTCCCTATGCCAATGATCGTGAGCATAACCATTCTCCCCATCCCACGTTGGTGTATCCAACTAGTAAAGCCAATACAAAAGACGCCATTCGCGTTCTTATATACCGCATAAAATGTACCATTCCAGGGTATCATCACTTCGATCCCCCGTCGTTAATAACCAACAGGCCCGCGTTGATGCCAGCGCGAGCAATCTGGTCACCCAAAACACCAACCGTTCGCTGGAACTCCCGCTCTAGTCCAAAGTCGGCGTGGAGCAAGGTCTCAAAGCAGGCGTGGTTTCGTCCGGTAACGATCAAGTCACCAACATTCAGGCGAGACTTGCCCACCGTCTCGCGCGCCACTTCAACGGCCCGCGCGGGAAGATTGCGAATCGAGTCAACGGCAACTTCGGTAAACGTCACACGACCCTCTAGCGTCTTGGAAGCGTTCTTCTTGGCCGTGTTCAACAGATCAAGATCAGTGGCAGAGAGCTCGCCGGCGACATTCTTGACCAGGCCGTTGCTAGTAGAAGGATCGCTGTCCGGAGAGGCGTGAGCTTCTACATCATCATCGCCAAAGTTAAAGTGGGCGACGGTGATGGAAACGTGAGGGTTGTGGGCCAGCTGCAGAACAAAGAGAAGAGCCATTCGGTCGTCTTTGCCACCGATAAACGGAACAAAGATTCGCTGGTCGTGATCCACAGGTGTACGCAGGACGGGTCCATCATGGGTGCTGTGCACGGAGAGTCCAGTAAACGGGCTTCGAGAAAGAGTTGGTCGCTTAGACCCGCTCGTATCCTCGATGCCTCGGTTGATGTAAATTCCGGTGGTACAAGTGGCGCGGTCAATAGCACCCTGGACGTAATCGATGTAAGACTTGCTGAAGAACCGGTCGTTTGGTGAGCTGGCCTCAAACGGAACTGACGAGTTATCCTCGGAAAGGCTACCATGGGAGCTCCAGGGAATGAGCATAAAGTCGGATTTGGCCTCCTCGGCACGCTTGGAGATAGTCTCCGCATATGCTGCCGTGGGAATAATCGAGACTTGACCTGCCACAGCAACGCCATTGAGTCGGGAGAAAGTCTGGAAAGCTGAAAAAACGGCATCGCGATTAGCGAATTCGTCCAGTTCCGCAGACTGCATGACCGAAGAGGTACGGTCTGTGAGCTCCACCAGGCGAACACCGTGGACTTCGAGCGGGCGAGCGGTAGGGGGTCGGCTGGGCTCCATGGAAATCACGCTGGGAGGAGCGGTTGCGGTTGCGGCCGCTCCATCCTCTTCCTTGTCCTTTGCAGGAGGGTTTGTTTCCGAGGCCTTCTTGGCGTCTCCAAGAAGGGCGACGAGGTTGAAGAGTCCGGAGAGAGCGTCGAGACGGAGGTGCAGGGTCAAGCGGCGGGTCTGGGCCTTGTCTAGGGCCTCCTCCATCCGGTGCTCGGAGGCCTGGGCCTCGGTAACAAGCGGGTTGCCCTCCCAGTCAATCTCGCCACGGCGCCACTTGTCAACCTTCTCACGATACCACACAGGATAGAGGTACCGCGTCAGAGGCGTGGTTGTGACGGTGGTGACCTAGAATATTATTAGCAGGAGGAATTCGGTACAAGGGTGAGACATACCAGTGCCATGACGACGAAAATGGTAAAGGTGCGCTGCGAGAGAATGCCAGCCTGCAGGCCAATGTTCTACCAAAGTCAGTGTCTCAGTCAGATCTGCGGAAACGTGGGACTCACCAAGACAATAAGTTCGACGAGACCCTTGCAACTCATAAGAGCACCAATGGTGAAGCTCTCGCGCCAGAGGCAATTGCACAATCGAGCGGCGAGGGAGCCGCCGATAATCTTGCCGAAAAAGGCGCAGGCAATAACGGCAACCACATAGCCCCAGGTCTTGCCATCATTGAGCAAGCCAAGGTTGGTGTTCAGACCTGAGAGTGCAAAGTAGAGAGGCAGCAGGAGCACCGTGACCAAATCTTCAATCTTCTCAGTGAGCTTGATAGCGAAACCTCCATCGTGAGGGCAGATGAGGCCGACTAGGAAAGCGCCAAAAATAGCATGGACGCCAATGGCGGCTATGCTCATTAGCCAGTGGCATGACTTGATGGCGAAAGAACTTACCAGTGAACCAGGAGGAGATCAGCACCAAAAGTAGGGTTAAACCCGTCATGGTCTGAGAGGGCCCGTTCTGGATGCTGTTGTTGCGGCGCAGAATCCAGATGAAGGCGGGTCGGACAGCGAATACGAGGAAAAGCACCCACGCAACAGCGGTCAAGAATACGTAGAGAGCTGTCAGACCAGATGCGTTGTTAACCAGAGCAACGCTCAGGGCCAAGAGAACCCATCCAGTAACGTCGTTGCCAATTCCAGCCGCGAGAACCGTCACACCGACGGCAGTACCAAGCAGTTGCAGCTCAGACAGAATACGGCACAGAACGGGAAAGGCAGTGATGGCCAGAGCGGTACCAATGAAGAGCGCATAGGTACCAAACGACATGTCCTCCAGGGTGCTCTCGGCGCGGAACTCGTGATAGAGGCCCCAGGCGACAGCGACACCGAGACCGAAGGGGATAATCATGCTGGCGAGGCCCACACTAAGGGCAACGCGCCAGTTGCTGCGGAACATGCGAGTATCAACTTCGAGGCCGACGAGGAACAGGAAAAGGAGCAAGCCGAGGTTTGCAACGTTGGAGAGGACGGGCATCGAGGCGGTGGGGAAGATGTTCTCCTGGAAGCCGGGGATGCGCATCATGACCGAGGGGCCCAGGACGATGCCGCCGATGACCTCTGCGATGACACGGGGCTGGCCGAACCGCGAGAGCGGGTAGTGCAGGAGGCGGCAGAAGATGATGATGATGCATGCCTGCACGATGAAGAGGGCAATGGGATCTTTGGGGTTGTAGTGGATGGGATTGAGGCCCTCGAGAATGCCGCCTTGAGGCCTCGCGCCCGTGGCGGCGGCGGCGGCGGCCGTTGTCGTTGCAGACATGGCGGCGCGCAACGTCGACGTCGATGGAGCGAGTGGGGGAAAGAAATAAAAGAAAGTCTCCGGCCAGATACACGGCGCAAGGGAGACACGATGCGAATTGATCGCAACAAATTTTAAAGGGACGGCAGTTGCAAAGTCAAGAGTCGGAGGGAACCAGATGGCGGGCTCTTGGTCGGTTTTAAAGTTGGTCGTGACAAACGCTCAGGACGAGCTAAGAAACAAGCGGGGGAACGAACTTGCCGGGATGGCAGCCCAATAATGGCCGTCAGCCGGGCTGTTACACTGGGCCCAGCGATTGATGATCAAGGGGTCTTGGCTGGCTCGCTTCTGGCGGGTGGTTGGCTTCATGAGATAAGAGCACAACAGTCGGTGGGGAGGAGGAGGAGGAGGAGGAGGAGGCGGATCTTGGGCCGAGCGTGGCCGCATACAACCCGGCATGCCAACGGACCCTGGATGGATTGGATGGATGTACATGTGCATGCGGGTAGGGGTATGGGTATGGGCATGGTGATGGTGGCGGCTGAGGCCACCCAACCGGAGAGGAGAGACAAAGACATGCTTCGGTCTGGGGAACCAAATTGTGGAGGGCATCTAGACCGACCGGACTGAACCACCTCCAGTCGCGAACCCCGGAGAGAAACAAAAAGGGCGGCCACGGGATCACTTGGATCAGATTCGAGGCGCTTTGAGCACAAGGAGCCCAGGGAGCTCAGGCAGCACATGGCACGCCATAATGTGCGATGACGCATCCGGAGGTGGAGGGAGGCTGGACTCGATTTGTGGGGGAGGGAGCTGTTTTGTGGTGGTTGTCATGGATGAGGGTTGTCAGCCCCCGCAGTCTCTCAGTCGCAACCGGCGGTAGTCATTATTATTCACGGCGCATTGATGAAGGCGTCGCGGGCTGGGCTTGGCTGAGGGACCAACAACGGACACCAACGAGGGCGGTGACGGATAGAGGAGGCGTCTTGGCTCCAGCATGGCGCGGGATGAGGCGAGGCTAGCAAACCGTTGATCATCAGCGAGAGGAGACAGGCAGCCGCAAGAGGGAGGGAGTAACTTAGCAACCTTGCTGGCCAGACCGGGCGAAAATGCCAGGGTTAAGCTATGGCCCATGCACTCAAACAGGGAGTCCATCATGGAACGAAACATGTTCGCTAGTCATTTACTCGTGATAATTGGTCGTGGCCCGTCTTTCAATGTCTGAAAAACTCCACCTCCTGCACCTCGGACATCGGACATCGAGGCTGGTGGAGCGAGTGACCGCTGAACAGCCTCACCCATGTGAGTGCTTTGTGCATGCACCCAAGGGCGCCAAGGCCAAGTGCCAAGCTACGACGACACCATGACTGCAGAACGCCATGTGACCAAGCCGCTGCCACCATGGTGATCCTGCTCCCCAAGCGCCGTTGATTCGCACATACTTTCCGTCGTCTCAGTTGGAGAAGAGCCCACGTTCACGCTCACCGACCACGCGCCACCCCTCCTCTCATCAATTCGCCCAGGGTGTTTGCCGTGGGCTGGGCTGCATATCCTTGCACAGGAGGCGGCCCAACACAGTCGACAGACCGCAGCCTGGGCTTGATCGGCTGACTGCACCGCTGCTGGATTGTGCGGGGAGACGAGAGGTCTGGTCGGGTCTAGTGCGCCGTGATTCTTCTGTCGTGTATGGAGTACGAAGTACGAAGCAGACACAGTAAATTGAGCCAGAGATTGAGCCAAAGATTAAACTCGCCGCGAGATAACAGTGTGGTACCGTACGCTGCCAGTTGCCAGTAGACAACAAGGCTTCGGCAACGCCCGGCACCTTCATGCCAAAATAAAGCATCCATCATCGATTCCTCCTCGTCAATTCCATGTTGCATCCATCCATCCTCCCGCCGTCTAAGCTCTGATCTCTAGTCTCCGAGCCTCTGAGCCTCCACTGACTAGCGGGGAGTCCAGCTGCCCAACTCCCCGAGCCCAGGCGTGTGGTGCCCGCCCACAAGCACCTCCCACAGCGGCTCTCGCTCAGTGGCGTGTTAGCGGCTGTTCCCAACGGAACTATCCCCCTGCTGTCGTGGTGGATGCAGCCTCCAGACCACGACACGAACCACCGCAGCAACTAGCATTCCGAGTGACTCGAAATGTTGACGCGATACGACACAAAAACCACCAGCCTGGGACGAGGCCAGGATCCCAACCGGACATGATCGCCGTCAGCCGAGACGAGACTGACTTTGGCCAAGGTTCTAGGGTGGTTGCACGAGGGGTTGGCCTATTTAACGAATGACAGAGATAATCTCTTGTGTTGCAAAAACAACTGTGCTTCTCGCCTATCATGTGAGGCAATCCGACCTTCTTAAATCAAGCTGTACTCTTAAAAAACCTGAGGAATGGTTTGTGTGTCACTCTGGGTGGAACATGGTTCTTGGACTTGGGGTACGACTGGAGCAGACGCGGAGCAAGCAAGAGCCAAATTACCTAGTCAGGAAATGAAGCTCGATGAGCTTTAGTGATTCAATTATTCTACAAGTCTATATATTCCCTCTACGACTATAGACTCAAGACAATACCCTTCCGACTATTCCCCAAAATGCCACACACCGACCACCATGCCCTCGTCTTCGGCGCCACCGGCCTCGCTGGTCTGTCGTTACCCCAATCCTGGCCGCCTACCCTGCAGCCTCTACATTCTATTCGCCCGCGTCACAGCCACCAGCAACCAACCGCCTGGTCGACGGCCCCGACACCTACTGGCCCGATGGGGAACCATCAGACCTCCGCATCGTGTGGTAGACCTGCGCAACGACAGCTTGACGGACCAATTGCGCGCCAGGGTCGACGGCATTGGGCGTGTCACGCACGTCTTTTACTTTGGTTGGTTACCGGTGGCGTGTCTCCCAGCGTCGTGGGCTGGATGCTGACCGGACGCACGGCTTGGACTGTCTTTTCGCAGTGCAACCATCTCTTTGTGCGAGAGTGAGCTGAACTGTGACACGATGCAGAGGGTCGTTGGTGCTGTCAAGAAACTGGCTCCCCGCCTCAAATCCATTGTGTGCTCAGGTGGAACAAGAGTTGGTAGCGCATTCTGACCGATCACCAGATGTCACCAAGTCTTGTCGAGGGATACGGCATCAACGTGCCCAACGGGACCTTGACAGCACCACTTAAAGAGTCCATGGCCGACAACCTCCCCGCCGACTATGCCAAGACGGTAGCTTCCCCATGGTTCCGGCAATTCCTCACCGAAGCCTCCACCGGCCGCGGCTTGATCCGAGGTGTGTCTCGACGCCGTCGTGGCTTCAGCCCCATCGGGTCCGACTTCTCGCTCGCCCTGCACTTGGTGCATTGCCTCTCGCTGTACGCCCGCAACCACGGCGTCGGGGAGTTCTCTCCAGCCATGCTCGAAGTGCCCTTCCCTGGGAACGAGCAGGCGTACAATGCGCTCTTTATGCCCGTGTCGTCCCGCATGCTCGGAAGATCGCGATTCATGCTGCTGTGAACCCAGACATTTGCGGGCGCAAGATGATCAACATGGTTGACTGCACACAGCCCACGACGTTTGACCAACTCTGGCCCGCTGTTGCCTCTTGGTTGAGCCTCGTAGGCGTCGGCCCCTCCGCAGACAACACTGGGAAATCTCCGGGCGACTATATCGAGGAGCACAAGCACGTATTCGGAGAAAAGGGTCGACCGAAGGCGCTCTCGGCCGGAGTTGGTGCCGGCCACAAGCAGCTCGAAAGCGGGGGTTGGCAGCTGAAATTCGACCGGCTCCGGGCCGTGGGGTTCACGGAGGAACGGTCGCCGGAGGAGGGATGGCTGGAGGCATTCGACAAGTTTCGTGCTAGGCATCATCTTTTGACATTGACCGCACTGATGGTAAACTCGGAAGGACAGCCCTTAATGCGACATTGGTGCACCGTCTGCTACATACGACCATAGCTCTTAGAGAATACGGGATCCCGTCCGCTCTCCCCTAGTCAAACTGAGAAGCGGTGGATTAGTACTCGGGTCGGTGACGACCGGGGAATCCCCACTGTTGTATGTTTCTTTTTGTTTCTTGTTCTTTTTGTCTTTGTTTGCCCTTTGGTTGCGTTGCTCGACATCTTTTGCTGATGCTGGATAATTCAGCCCTGCGGATCATCATGTAACCTACGATGTGACCCCAGACACGCATTGTAAACGTCATAATTCTCCATTATGTTTAGTCTGCTTTCAGGTTAGTTTCCATCTCAAATAAGGCAATTGAGAGGTGGAGAAGGCATTATGAATCAACTGTTGAAGGATTCAGCGAAATTTCAGCGAAGAATCAGCGAAGCTACCATGTCGCGTTGGCTCTTGGTGTGAGTCAATCCTGGAATGTCGTCATTCCGGGTGCGAACCAACACGACACGGCAAAGTATCCGGGGTCAAAGCCACCGAGTTGGCCATTTGTAATGCGTGTGTGCCGACAATCCGACAAAATTTATTTTCTTTTCTTTCCAACGCCGTCTCCAATTAATAATGAAGTATCACAGGATCCAGCTTGAGCTTGCCGAGCGAAAGCCGACGTTCCGCCTCCCCCGCGATGCCGGCTTCCCGAACGCCCAGGGCATAGCGTCATTGGCACAGGGCATTCTGCCGTTCCCTTCCAGCGGTCTCCAGCGGTCTCCAGCGCCGATCAGTGGGCGCTCCAGCGCAGAAGTTCCCCGTTCCAGCGGGCCAGTTTCAGTCAGCACTCGCCCAACTCGCCCTAGCTCGGCGGGGCCCCACTGTTACCCGCGCAGGCTGGGTCGCACCGCAGCTCTTCACAGGCACGCTGCGAGTTTCAATTACGAAATCGCACGCGCGAGATGCCAATGGCAGAACAAGGAACCCGGCGGTGCGGGTGTCGCCTGGCTTTCTGTACTGAACTAGTTTTGACAATCTCCGCGGCATCGTCTTGTGCTGCTGTGGTTAAAAGGTCCATGTTTTCCCCCTCTTGACGCGTTCCGCGGTGTCCTCTAGATGTGGTGTTGTTGGACCTGGACCTTTCTAATTATATCCACATTCCTCATCGCACCGTGGATTTCGCCCGTTTTGGCAATTGGTATGAGGACATTGCCCTTCTTCTCTTCTCCTCCCTGACGGGTTCCGCGGTTCCCTCTAACCCTAAACATTGGTTGTGGTTGGGACCTGGCGTCTAATTATACCCCTTCCTCCATCGCATCGTGGACCTCGGCGTCTCGTCGCCCTAGCACCCCAGACGAGACTAGACAGCCACTTCCACTAAAATCGACGTCACTATTCCCCGGTGGCTTACTATTGGATCGGGTTTAGGGAAATAAAAAAAACACCATCAAAGAGTATATTGGCAGAGACGGCATACCAAGAGCCTTAAGGATATACGTCGACCCATCCAACCAACCACCATCGTCAACCTCAAAGTAACCCTACCTCCCTCCGCCTATCCGGCTTCCGGAAACTCATATCGCCGCAAATGTCACGCTGGGATCCAACGACATGGAGGTTCGACATTGACCGTCTCCTCAACCGCTTCGTCCCGCCGCCGCCCTGGCAGCACATCCCCTACCCGGTCGCCTACTTCTTCGGCCACCGCAAGCAAAAGCCTCGTGATATTGGCAATGTCGTGCCCATATTCTGGGCTTTTATCGGTGTCTTTTGCGCCGTCAGTGTCATCGAGGTCGTCTCGGAGCGCATCCCCGAGTTTAAGCATCGAGGAGCACCCGTCATCGTGGGCAGTTTTGTAAGTGGTCCTCCCTCCACATCATGGGGCCCCGGCTTCGTATTCTGCATTTGGAACATCCATACATAATCTGCAGAGACACCGGCATGCCCTGTATAGATGGACCCGGTTGCTAATTATATCTGGCTAGGGTGCCGGTGCCGTGTTGGAGTTCTACGCCATAGAATCGCCCCTCGCGCAGCCGCGTAACTTCTTCATTGGCCAGATCCTAGCGGCGGTATTGGGCATGGGCATCTGCAAGCTCTTCCAGCTAAGCGCGTACTTCGCCTCGATCCGCTGGGTCGGCGGCGCCGTGTCATGCGCCACGGTGACGGCCGTCATGGCCTTGACCAAGACGGTGCACCCGCCGGCCGGGGCCACGGCGCTGCTGGCCGTGGTGGACGACCAGATCCTCCGCCTGGGCTGGTTCTTCGTGCCCGTCGTCATGCTCAACTGCGGCATCATGTTCGCCGTCGCCCTGCTCATCAACAACATCCAGCGCACGTTCCCTTCGTATTGGTGGACCCCCGAGGATCTACGGCGGCAGCGGCAGCCCGAGGCCGGCGCCATGTCTGACGAGGAGAGCAAGGGGGGTGTTGTCGAGGAGATGAGGACGGAAGATGGCAGCGAGCAGGAGCACGAGGACTCCGAGGTCATTATCCGTCCGGGGCGGCTCGTGTTACCCAGGCATATCTATTTGACCCCTGAGGAGGTTCAATTGCTGGAGGAGATAGGCAATAGGCTATAGAGCGGCCCGTGGCGACGGAATAATGGACGAAGCGTATGAAACAGGCGCGCCTGGAACTAATCAATGGGAAACCACATTCATCTCAACTCCATGCGCAATGCTGCCTTTATCGTATCGCCCTGCACCGTCCCTGGATCTGCACCTCGCCACCCGTAGACCAGTGTCACAGCTAGTTAGCCCAGGAACAGCCGATGCGATGCCACGGGCTGGCGATTAGCGCGCGGATGGCTGCATCGCCAAGACGCAGGCGCAGTCGCAGACGCAACAACACCACGCCGCCCACGAACAAAGAGGGTCAATTGATGTCAAAGAGGCCTCTTTTTTCCCTTCTATTTTTTTTATCCCCCTCATAGTTCCCTGAACACGCGTACTTGCCCCTCGCGGTCCTCCTATGTCTAAGCGGCGTCAATCAAAGCTGCCCCCTGAGGTCCCACATCACGAGTTACGCGTCGCCTCCTAGTTCCGATGCACAGATTCCCCACAAATGGCTTCATCCGCAGCACCGGGTTACGCAGCCCATGGAGCCCACTGTCCGCGTATGCTCCTGTCGTCGCCTCTGAGACGGCCACACTGTCGCGGCCCAGCCTTTGCCGGTGATGGTCAAAATGAACGGGCTAGTCCGTCTCAAATGGCTTCTTTTCCCTGTCTTCACCTCACCTCCACCTTCACTCAAATACTTGTTCATCGCTCTGTCTTTTACGCTCTGCTCTATATCCGTCTTTTGTAACATTTCACTCGCTTGAAATATGTTGAAACAGTATTCCCTCGCTCTCGTAGCGGCCTTGTTGACCGGGGCTGCTGCTCAGACCTACAGCGACTGCAACCCTACCAACGAGAGTAGGTCGACTTGTTCCTGTTGTATACTCTGGGGCATCCAATTGACTTGATATGTTTAGCCGACTGTGCCGATGACACTGCTCTCTCTTCTACTTACTCCTACGACTTTACCAGCGGCGAAGATAGCGACAACTGGTCGTCTACTGCCTCCACCGACGTCGACTACACCTCCAGCGGCGCCGAGTTCATCATCACCGAACAGGGCGATGCCCCGACTCTCCAGTCGGAATGGTACATCTTTTTCGGCCGTGTCGAAGTGCACATGAAGGCCGCCTCTGGAACCGGCATTGTCTCTTCCGTTGTCCTCCTCTCCGATGATCTAGACGAGCTGTAAGTCCTCCATCTCAAACCGCCTGTTCTCCACTAACACATGGAAGTGATTGGGAATTCCTCGGCGGTGATGCCAACGAGGTCCAGACCATCTACTTCGGCCAGGGTAACAGCACATCGACCGACCGCGAAGTCGACGTCGCCGTGGACGACGCCCAGAGCACCAGCCACAACTACACTCTTTACTGGACCGAGGAGTCGTGTGTCTGGTACCTCGATGGCACCGCAATGCGCACCCTGAACTACGCCGACGCCGACAACGGCAACCAGTATCCCCAGACTCCCATGCGCGTCAAGCTTGGTATTTGGGCCGGTGGCGACAGCGACAACTCCGAGGGCACTATTACTTGGGCTGGCGGCGAGACCGACTACGATGACGGTCCTTTCACCATGACTGTCGAGAGCATCAAGGTCACCAACTTCAACCCCGGCTCTAGCTACACCTACACGGACCAGACCGGCGACATGGACAGCATCCAGGTTAACGACAGTGACTCCTCGTCTACCAGCTCCTCCAAGACTTCAACCAAGACCACAACCAAGGCTCCAACCAAGACTTCCGCTTCCACCGCCTCGGCCACGTACGTCTCTGCCGTCTCTTCCACCGACTCCTCCACCGACTCCTCCGGAGCCACCGAGACCCCTGGATCTACTGACTCGGCCAGCAACAGCTCCGGCACAACTCCCACCTCCTCCAGCATCGCCGTTGTCACCTCTACCACCTCCGGCCTCGGCTTGATCATCGCCCCCAGCGCCTGGATGGTTGTTGGTGCCGTTGCCGTCGCCGTCCTTGGACACTTTTAAATCATTTAAACCTTTATAAAATGGGAGCGTTGTGTGTAGCGATTGAAATGACCCTAGATAGATACCCGATTCTATAGATACGTATGGAATGAGACATAGTCAAGCCAACCTCTCCGGGGATTATTGAGGTCGGACGCGTAATCTCCCAGCTCAGTGCCATGGCCCTCCAAACGTTTACCTGCTCCTTTGCAAGCGAATGACAACCTAACGTTGACGCCACTCTTTCTCCCGCTGCCTAGCCTTTGATACTTTGAACTTCCCTCCTCCATCTTGAAAATCCTTCCAAATTGTTCCCAAAGGATCAAACCCGCCTTGTTGATATTGTTGCTGGGGAGCTGTGGGGCTGGTGACGCACCTTTGAGAGAGCCGGATCCACCAACATCCCGATGGTGATAATCCCTGCGGCGATTATTGCAGGGATGGCTTCGATTCGTCGTCGCTATCTTGGACAATGTTTCAGATTGGCGTTACGGATCACCTTTGTTGGCTCGTAATCATCGGCTTCGTAAGTCTCTTGACTATCTTAGAGACCAGACAAGCATGGGGCTGTTGTCATTTGGAGGCCTAAAAGCTGCAGGTTGCGCGGCCTAGAAAATGAGTCCATTCATTCTGCAGTCATCGCCATGAAGAGGCAAGCACAGAGCGTTTGAAGCACGTACAAAGGGTTGTTGACTTGTTTGAAGTAATTAGATCAGTCAAAGAACATGCGTTGTTTGCAAAGCCCCGTGGAGAAATAATTGTTCGCTATAGCTAGGCGTCGCTAAACTAGTAGAAATTCAGCAGTATCGTTGAAGTAAATGCAGCCCGGGGTTATCTTCATCGAAACAGTAATCAGCTCTTATTTGCAAAGAAATCCCGTTCAGCTTGGGAATATCTCTGACGAAACGAACCATGTTCGTCGTCCATATCGCATCAGGCACATGGTCGTCCTTTCACCTGCTCAAGCAAATTAAATATGACATGTAATAATCCGTAACTAGTTACAAGCAGTATCCTCTTTGTTGGTAACTTGCTGCGTTAGTCAACTTGATGTTTGGCATCTGTCCAGGCTGGTGTCTACCTAGCCCTCAAACAAAGCACCTAACCAGGCAAAGAAGTAGTCGGAAGAAAACAGGTGTCTGCCTCGTTTCAATCCATTCAACCCAGCTGGGGTTGCGGGACTCCAAAGCATCACGATCGGCCAAACATCCGACGTTATCCATCTCTCTCCAAGACCCAACCCATACGTGGATATCAGGAAGCAACATGACAAACTTTGGAGATGTGATGAAACCGTGTTTGCTAGACAAGAGCTTGAATGTCTTCATGCATGGTTAGTGACTCTAGAGAAATATATATTAACCTGCCCATCTCTCAGGTTAATCTCAACCTAGACACTCTCAGATCAACTTCATCATCTCTTCTACACTTTGTCCCAGGAGATATTTAATACCTCGGATACATACTACCCCCTGCCGTCGAATTTCGTCACAATGCCGGCTAAGAAGAAGACGCCCAGAGGCATATTTGCCCTGTTCCCAGATACCAAAGCCGGCAAGGTGGCTCTCAGTGCCAAGAAGAGCACTCACGACTTCTCAGTCCGGGAGAAACCATTATGGCAGAATCAACGCAATTTCGGGCGATCAATCCCAGTAAAGCTGCCTTGCCGGAACACCGACTTGACGCTCATCAGCTTCGGCCGTCGAGGTACTTGGAAGATCAAAGACGACAAAGTTGCGGACATCCAGTGTTCCTTTGAGATGCACAGGCTGACTGGCGAGATACTGTTGTACGATCGTTCTCCTGACGCCTCGACTGTGCTCTTGGGGGAAAAATCCACGGCCTTCTGGGGGTCTCCTCGCCGTGTCGTTGTCAACGACAAGATCAACCTCCAATTCGGATTTCCTGGTAGTGGTGTTGGTGGATTCCAGTGGACAATCACTTGGGCAAAAAATCCCCCCTTTCCGCTCATCAACGGCCCCCGTGGCCCATGTGGCATGTTACCTCGCACCATCTGGGAGCTTCCCGCAGACCGTTCTCGTTCTACTACGCTCCATACAAAAGGCATTTCCCAAGCGATGAGGGTCCTGCCAAGACGACTGATCGCCACAGGGCTGTCGAGTGACGTCTTCGAGGCCATCGATATAGACTCTGGCGGATACGTTGCCGTCAAGTACTTTCGCCTCCCACTGACGACCTGGGATCTTCGTCCTGAATTGGTCCGAATCACGAAGGAAATTGCCAGGCAGTCCCATGTAAGCTCTCTTCATTTCTTCAAGTCCCATGTGTTGGAACAGAACCTAACTTGCTAACAGCCTCACATAGTTGAATTCATCGGGGCCCAGCAAATCCCCCAAACCCCCGAAACCCCTCAAACCCTCAAAATCATCACGAGCCTCAAACAAGGTAACATCACAGACCTCAAAGAGTACTTCCGCGAAGACCTCTCTCGCATTAACACTCTTCTACACCACATGCTACAGGCGTTGGATTACCTGGCTGTCGAAGGGATTACTTACTGCAATGTGTGTCCAAAAAATATCCTGTACACAGAGCGTCCCGATGGTTCGTACAACTACCAACTTAACAATTCCAGTTTTGCTTGTATCGACAGAACCAATCGACTTCACCCCCCCAACTGCTGGTTTGTCGCTCCCGAGTTGAGGGGTGACCTGAGTAGGGACCACACCCTCAAAGCAGCCGTGTGGTCTCTATTTACGACAATTGTTTTCACGCTCGACCTCGGCCGCATTCAGGGCAGTTGTGCAAAAGGGTCCCCAATCTCCATCCCTGATGCAACCTACCACGCCGCTAAATTCTTTTCTGATCCCATCAAGGCAATGGCGGAGCCGTCACCCGACGCTCGCCCAACGGCCGGCGAGTTGCTGGACCAGGTCTTCGGAGGCGAGGGCCGCGCGATGCCACCACATCACAAAACTCTGGTCTAAACATGGCCAGGATTGGTGATGGCGCTGTGGCTTTGCGATTGTCAAGAATTCTTCGGCTAGCTGAAGAAAACACGTGAATTTATGGATTGTTGGCGTTTGGAACACACAGATAGTTTAGTCATTGACCTTTTGAGTACGAGGCGTTGTCGCAGTGTGGGGTCTGCTACGTTGCTATGATCTGGGAGGATATTGGATAGGCAATTTTGCGGAAACTTTCCAGATCTTACTTAGTCTATAAGCGGTAGGCTCAGGAAATTGACGGACAATTGAACAGACTAGTTGGATATTGAGGGATTCATTTATTACTGTCTCACTCACAATCTGTGTGTAGTATCAAGAGTTGCTATTCTAAAGAAGACGGGTTTCACAAACACTTGATATCATTCTGTTTATCTCAATCCATCCAAGGTAAGAAAAAAAGCAGTCAAATGTCATTCATCTGGTATATCATTTCCATGTGGCCTAATAAGCCGCGATTTGGGGTACATAACTATTCCAAGTCCCATCCCAAGCCCAATCCTAAACCATTAATCGTAAGAAAGCACCAAACCCAATTTCATCCCTCAAAATAGACTCTCAATCAACTTCTCTAACTCCTCCACACTCTCACCCAGCTGCTCCTCCAGCCAGGTCTCCGCCTTCTCAACCAACATCTCCCAGGCATCCTTCTCCGCCTTGAGGTTCTTCTTGAAGAACACTACGGCGCACATGGTGGCCAGGATGACGTCTCGGTCCGCGCGGCTGGCTACGGTATCAGGGAGGTTCAGCTTGGAGGCGGCCGCGGAGGTGACGCCCAAGACCTTCTCGAGCGTCCCGCTCCAGGACCAGCTTCCGACAAAGGTCTGGAGAGAGGTGAGGGTCTGCAGGGGGTCGGAAGTGTCGGGCGTCGGGAGGGAGGCTGGAGCAGAGGCTGGGGCAGGTGAGCTGGCCATGGAGAAGAGGCTTCGTCTTCTCGAGGCAGTGCTACTCTTCGTAGCCTCTAAAGCTGGAGTTGCATTTCCGATCCCCTTTTCATAGGACTCATCAGCTGCAGAGAATCCAGTTGGTTGGGCAGAGAGCATCATCATTCCCGGGGCGGCAGGTGGATGTGGAGGCGCGCTCCCGAATAGAGAGCCGGTAGCAGACGGCTTGGACATGAAAGGCGATGCACCATCGGCCGAGCAGGAAGCTGAATTTGAGCTTCCGAATCCCGATGCCTGTGTAGCATTTCCAAACAGTCCACCACCGGCTGCTTGCGGAGCATTTCCAAACAGTCCACCACCAGGTGCTTGCGGAGCACCGCCAAAGGCACCGCCGCCTCGGCCTCCGGAGGGCGGACCGCCAAACAACCCCTGGGACTGCATCATCTGCTGGGGCTGTATCATCTGTTGGGGCTGAGCAGAGCTGCCACCGCCGCCGAAGAGGTTCACGATCGGGCTGGCAAGGCGGCGAGCCAAGGGGGCCGGAGGGGGAGCACCGAAGCTGGCCATGGGCGCTGCCGACGACTTCTTCTTGCTTGAAAACATCGACGAGCCAAACATGCTGCCCGAGGACTTTCTAGCCGTTCGGGCAAAACCAACAGCCTGTGCGTTCAAGGCGGTAGCTGAGTTGACAAGGCTGTCCAGCCTCTCTCCCCGTTCCGTTACACGAGTGATCAACTCGTTCATGCTCTGAGCCGCTTTCTCCTTCTTGGGTCCGTCGCCGGTTGAGTCGTCGGACTCCTCGACAGCAACAAAGGAACACCACTTACCGCCAACTTGGTACTCAACGCCAAGCCGGACAGCCTCTCGCTCGACCATGTCCGAGAAGTAGCCCTCGTGCTTCTCCTTCAGGAGCTTCCCGGCCTCGTCCTTGGCCAAGGTGAGCCAGCCACGGCCCTCCTCGAGCTCCTTGACCTCCTTGCGGGCGGCGAGCTGGTGGATCGTGGTGGCCTTGTCAGCCAGGTTGACGATGGGGATCTCTAGCTCCAGGGGCCCGCGGGTGGAGGTGCCCCTGAGGATCACCGACTTGGGCTTCTGGGCCGGAGTGGAATCCGAGAGCAGGACATAGACGGTGGTTCGATTGAAGGGGAATAGGGGTGGGATCGTCGCGGGCGTCTGTAGATAGCGGGGGACGGTGGCGGTCGGGAGATGGTCGAATTTGGTGTCAAGGGCATTGGGAGCATCGGCCATCTCGGTATCGTCGTCCGCGTCGACACTGCTGTCAAAGAGGGAAATCTTCTCCTTGGGCTTCTTCTCCTCCTCTTTCTCAACGAGGGTGCGGATACTGAGGGCGTCCATGACTTTCTCGACCACCTCGAAATCATCGTCATCCTCAGTTTCCACAGCCTTGGTCTCGGACTTTTCGTACTTGATATCCAGTGTGTAATCAGTGATGTGGGGGAACAGGGAACCCTTGAGCATGCGAACAACCTTCTTGTCCATCTTTTCGTTGTCAGCAACCGTCTGCGAGAATCCGTTGCCGGCGCGGGCAACTCCCTCAATCAGAGCAGTGCTGGCACCGGATCCCACGCCAAGAGAAAAGACGCGGACAGCACCCTTGCTCTCGGTAACCTTTTCATTGACAAGTTCAAAGAGCCGGGCCTGGTCCCAGATGGCGCCGTCGGTGAGGAGGAAGACCTCGAGGTTCATATCCTTGTAGCGCCGTTCAACGGTGGCCTTGAAGGGTTCCACCATCTCAGTGCCACCATAATCGGCACCGAAAGTCGCGATGTGACGGACAGCTTCATCGAGAGACTCTTGGCTATAGGTCTTGGACTTGGGCCAGAGGAAGGTGAAGGAGGAGCCGAAACTGCAGATGTTAAACTTGACTCCGACCGGCAGGGACTTGAGGAAGATGTTGAGGGCGGCGACGAGGTCGGGGATGGTGCCGGACATGCTACCGCTGCGGTCACACAGGAAGACGATTTCAGGCTTCTCGGCGGGCAGCTTGAACTTGGGCACGAGCGTGGCCATGAGGGCGCGCTGGTTGGGGATGGTCGGGTGAGTCTCGACAAAGGCCGACGGCTCGCCCATCTTGGTGGCCACAACCTGAATCACAAATTCCTTGTCTAGGTTGGCCGCTCCCTGCGACAGCGTTGCGGATGCCTTGCGCAGTGAAGGCTCGGCAGATGCTGCTGCGGAAGTGGTGCCGATGCTCACGGAGATGGGGTGGGAGGGCGACTGGATGGACTTGATAGCAGAACCGTCAGGCATCTCAGCGTCGACGGTGATGGAGATTCCCTCTTCCTTGAACCAGGGATGGCTTGAGGACAGGCTTGAGGTGGCTCCGTAGCGAGGCGCTATCTGAGTAGGGATGGTGAAGCGGACGCCGTCAACTTCGGCATCGTGCTTCAGCTCGCCGAGGTAGGTGATGTCGACGGTGATCTTCTCGCCAGCGGGAACGTTGCCGATTGTGGTGGTGAAGACGTCGGCCGACTCAAGCGACTGCTCGAACAAACCGGCCGTCTCGCCACGAGCTGTAGCTTCCTCGTAGACCTGCTTGGCCTTTTGGCGCTCCTTGACGACGCCCTTGATCACACGGTCACCCACCGTGCAGGTGAAGGCGACCACGGAAACTCCATCGTAGAGGGGGAAGACGTATTTAATCTCGTCCAGGGCTTTGTCCTTGTTGGGGTTGGCAAATGTCTGGGTGAGGGTTGTACGGGATGTGGTGTCGAGGATGGTTGTGTGGACGTTGACTTTGACTTGGGGGAGAAACTTTTGGACGCTCTCCACCCAGATGAAGCATCCGCAGAAGGGAAGGGGTGCGACGTATGGTCTGCCAAACATGATGGCGGTTTTTGGGGGCGTTTATTAGAAAGAAAGACTGAAGGGTTCGTGTGGGCTGATGAGTTGGTGTAGATGGATCTCAGCGGCAGGGAGGTAGCTGTGTCGTTGAGTCAAGCGACGTGATGGATAACAAATCCGGGGTATCGATTCAGAGTGTGATGGAGATGTAGATGATGAAGAATGAAAGTGAAAAATGACGGACAGCACGTCGTTGATATAGTCGACGCTGCGCTGCACAGAGTGAATCAGTGATGTCGTCGATTTGAGGGGTTGTTTGTGCTAGTGCGGCTGAGGTGGCGGAGCGCTGGGCTGGGCTGGGCCAGTGAAGTTGAGATTACAGGGCTTGGTTAGCAGCGCAGTCGAGGCGGTTTTGCAGTCTGCCAGGCGGGCGGGGATAGAATGGATGGTTTGATTGATTGTTTGTGATGAGAAAGAGAGAAGAATAGATTGATCGGATTGGGAATTAAAGTCATGTTTATATGCCCTGCTGCTGCCTGTGTGTGTCTTCATCGCAAACAAAGGCCTAGATTGGATGCCTGGTTTGGTAGGACGTTGTAAGTGCTGTCCTTACCAAGCACCAACGCACTTCTCTGCCTGAGTCACCAGGTTCACCTACCACAAGCCTCTTGGCTTGCTCGACAACTGGCTGCCTATGCCACAAACCTTGCCAGCGACGCGCACAAACGGCGAGTTGAGGGCGTTTTTCCGTGCTGCTGCTTGCAACATGGCGTCTCGACCACGTCCCGTTAGTCACCGGCGGGCTGTTAGTGCGAGGGAGCCGACGCCTCAGCCAGCCTAACAGCTCGCATCCCTGTCGCTATCGCGGCGTGCGGGCTGTGAGTGGCCAGAGTGCAGTATGCCTTGTGGCCTGCTTTGTCATTGAGTGAGTGCCTGAATGCCCACGCTCCGTCCAGCGACGGTTGATTAGTTCTTAGCATGTGAGAGATCGCGTTCAATTCTAGCAAACTAGGCCAGATTCCTCTTCGGCGTGGCAGGCTGCCCTTTTCACTTGCGCCGCGCGCTGGACTACGGCGTCTAACCTGCTCCAGCCACTTCGAGACACCACAGCGCTGCTACTGCAGGGGAATTTCCGGTCCCCGGGCGGCCCCACGGATGCCAGTGACAAGCAAGTGGGGCTCCGTCCAGGCCGCTCCTCTGCTCTCCCGCATCACCACCGTCCCAACAATCATCATCGCAGTATGGCTCTTTACCCACCAAGATTCGTGATTTCAGGGCGTGTGCAAGCCCAATTATTTCTGCTCCAGCTTCAATTTCCCAACATCTTACCACCTTCGCCCGGGAAATAACACGGGCTTGCCACATTCTCCCCCGGATTCATCGCAATCTTATCGCCAGGCCATCATCAGAATCGATAAGCGACTACCGAACATCTCCTGTCATCTGCCAGTAACCACCCAAATCAACCATATCCAAACACTCGATAAATGATAAACGTAAATAATTCACGCACTCAGTCAATCCAGTGTTCCCGGCACTGACCCTTCTGCATCGTTGTGAATCTCGCTGTGCCCAACTGCCGAAAACCATCTCATGCACGTCACACCACAGCGATCCACTTAGCCGTGACGTCAGGAACCGCCACCACCTCTGATAGCAGCTCTATCCAGCCCGGATGTCCTATCACTCTGGGCAATGACAGTATTTGTGTCTCGGCCAATACAGATTCGTCGTTTTATAGTCCAGATATACTCTTTTGTAGTAGACGTTGACTCTCGTCAGAATGGCGAGTATACAGGTCCTCCCTCTCATCTGCACAAGAGCAAACATCTAATACTCATCCGTCACATTACATGAGAACAAAATCAATATTCAATTACAGTAAGGTTCCCAAAACCACATTGTGAGCTTAAAACATAAACACCAGGCTCAGACATCTCTTGACTCCATCATTCCCCTACCACCCACACCCACACAGCCATCTCCTTTCCACCCAACTTACAAACAACCACCTCCCATCAAGCATATCCCCCTTTCCATATTCCTCGCATACCCCCTCTGTTCGTCTCTGCAAACCCCCCACCCGCGCTTGAAAACAAACTTCCACCATCTACCCACTCCCCAAAACCCTCATCCCATCCCTTCACCAATTCCACCAACCCGACGGTCACCCGCCCGCGAAGATGCACCGTCTGGCCGAGAAGTGGAACGACCCTCTCCCCCCAGAGTCACCCCACGCGGCCCGGTCCCATGAGCCATGTGCCCGGGGCCGTGGCCCACCTACCGCCTGAGCGCCGGCCCATGGTGGTCTGACGTCAACCGGCCGTGGAGCCTCTATCACGCCAGGTCCTTGTGGCTGACATACGTCTGCCATGTGCTATGGCAGCCTTTCCAAAACTTGGTGCCGATATCGTCTTGTCGGTGGTTGACGCGTCCGATCGCGGGTGGGCTTCTAGGAACACCGACTTACACTGAGTTGCTACTGTATTTGGGTTCTCGTCGTATTCACTTCGGGTGCCATTTATTGGTGTTTTGATTCGGATCAGTTACTCTAAAGCTCTAGGCCCCATGTGTAGAAGCAGGAAATCACAAATCAAAAAATTCGTCTCCGGGAAACAAGATTAAGATTGGTATTGGATGGAGATTGTTATATACTATCAAAAACAGAATTCCTTCCCAAGTTTTGTCCCAAGGCCCGTAGGCCGACGCCTCCAAATGCGCCGATTGTAATGGCAAAATGCAGATTCTGTCCCTTTCCTCTTTGCGCCAGAAAACTCCAGGATATCATAATTCATAACACGGGAGTTATGATCCCTTTTCACGAGCCGAGTGTTTAAGCCCAGACTCCAGGAGGTGGCGCCTGATCTCGGCTCATGACGAGCATCTCGAATCCCTCGACACGATTCCGGAGCTGGTTGTTTTCCCGAGCAAGGCTCTTGTTCTGTTTCTCAAGGTGGGCAATGTACTCGGTGGCCTTGCTAAGAATGGTGGCCTTGTTGAGCTTGTGCGCGGGAGCGAGGCCGCCGAGATCCTCCTCACAGAGCTCGTCCTCGACGCCTTCGGGGGCCTGCTGCTCTAATCGGTGGACCATGACGCGAAGAGCGGGCACAGAGTCGCGGAGAGCGGCAATCTTGTCGTTGAGGTTTGTTCGGTAGCGTTTCTCGATCATGTTGTGGGCCGTCTTCTTAGGAGGCGAGCAGTGGCGGCGGGTGGCGGGAGGAGGCGAGGTGGACGAACGCGACGAGGCGCTGCCCGAGCCGGAGGACTTGCGCTTCCGCGAAGGATATCGGTTAGGCGCGTCCTTGGCATCCATGCTGTTAGACATAGGGTTGGTGGCGGTAGGCATGACGGAGTTTTGGAGCTGGTGAGGCTGAGGAGAGATGGAGGACATGGGGGTCTGGAAGAGAGGCTGGGTGTCGATGTCATTCAGGCCGACTCTGCCAAAGGGGACAGCATCAGTGATGGTGCCAGCGAGGTCGTTGGGGTTGATGGCGGGGCTGAGCTCCATGTTGTTCCGGGAGGGAATGGTAGAGAGGTTGATGCTGTCAAAGGACTCCTGCTTGGGGAGCGCGTCGAGGTCAGGAGATAGAGTAGCCTTGTCGTCCCAGCTGACCCACTCGTTGGCGACGGGAAGCTGGTAGGGGTTGGCAAAGACGGGCGACAGCGGAGAGTCGGGCGAGTGAGACGAGTCGCCGCTGAAGTCGGCTGGGTCGTAGAGCGAGATGGGAAGACCCAGGTTCTGAAAGGGGGGTTAGGTCTTGTTGACGAAGAGGTAATGGAGTGATGTAGAGAGTATATGGTGTGGCTTGTGGTGTGCTATGAGAGATGTGGTGGGGATGGTTGAGGGTTGGATAGAAGGATGGGATTGGGATTGAATCGGATAGGGTAGGATAGGATAGGATAGGACAGGATGGAATAGAATAGATGGGTGTGTTGGCGTGATGTTAAGAATGACAAGACAGAACAGGATAGGCTTGAGTCTTTGCAATGGCCTGAAGAGGAAGAGTGAGGTGAGGTGAGGGGGGAGGAGGGGAACATATGTGTGCCGTAAAAACGAGGCCCCAGACCAGGGTACGTGCAACCGCATACAAGAACGGGGATGTGATCGGTGGTAATGCGGACATGTGAATGGCAGAGGCGAGCGAAGGGAGATGGGAGGGGAGATTGGTTCTGGAGGGAAAGAGAGTTGATTGGCAGCATACCTGTTTCCGCTGCTGGGGGTGGTCAAAGTAGTCGAATGATACGTCGGCCATTGTGTCGAGAGTGAAGACGATGATAGACTGAGATGTGTCGATTGTTGCTCAGATATGGCTGGAGGCGGAGGTGGCTGTGGCTGGAGATGGCCAGGGGAGGTGTGTGTATATGCACGTGTGAGAGTACTGTAAGACAGCGTGCGAAGAAGGGGGGTGTAGATGTTGTGTAGGTGTGTGTAAGGTGTGTGAGTGGGGGGTGGGTATTCGTCGAGGAGGCGTTGTCTCGGTCCGGCGGAATAGATGATTAGGAAGAAGAAAGAGGATGATGATGATGATGATAAGATGGGATGAGTCGATGAGACGATGGATATGGGAAGAGGTAAATCTATTGTTGTCGTGGTTTAATGTGGTTCAAGGTGGTTCAAGGTGGTGGTTGCTTGTCGAAAAGACGTTGGGAGTCCAAGGATATCAGACGGTCGGTGGTGCGTAGATGGCAATGGTGGGGAGAGTCTCGAGTGATGTATTCAATCAGTGCATAACCACCAACGGGATGATGGGCAGACACTTGGATGGCGAGACGGGGCGAGCGATATATAGCTTGGCCCAACGTGGGCGGCGGGCTCGCGAGCAGAGGGCCGCAAGGGCAGCCAAGGGCAACAAGGGCACCGGTGTGGTCCATGACTCCATGCTCCATGCTCCATGCCATGGGCTGCGCAGCAGTTGGCGGCGCAAAGGTGAGCGAGCGAGCGAGAGCGCCCGATGAATCTGGCCCGCGTCGTATGACAGGCCGGTCGACTGGGCGGGGGGTGCCGAGCTTGGCGTGGTGCCGGGGCGGTACGAGCAGTGGACGATATTGAGACGAGGAGACGAGAAGACGAGAAGAGGAAAAGACACCCCCTGTCGGTTGGTCCCTGAAGAGAGAGTCGACTCCTCCTCTTCCCTCTCTCTCTCTCTCAATATGGTCCCCGGCTGCGTGGCAGTGGACGTGGCATGGGACATTGGCGACGAAGACGACGACGACGGAGCCAACGGGAGAGACAAGAGACAAAGTGTGTGTGTGTGTGTGTGTGTGTGTGTGGGCGTGGGTGTGGGCGTGAGACTACTACGTACCTACACTATCCCCATCCATATGGGCGTGGGCCTCAAAACGACAAGAGGGCACCGACGGACATGGGAGACCGCCCGCATCCACCCAAGAGCCACCACCACACACCAACACCAGCCTGGACCATGGGAATCTCTCGACATGCCATGGGCAATTGGATGGGGACTCGGCGCGTTTCCAGGGATTCCATGGGATGTTTTTTTTTTTCCTCTTTGGCCCTCTACGCTTTTTCCAGGGTCCCCCCCCCCCTCCCTCCTCGAAGCTCCCTCTTTTCGGGAGACCGGGGTTTGGGAGGGTGTCCCGCTGCCCGGCCGCCGCCAGGGGAGGGGGGTGACATCTCTCTCTCTCTTTTTTCCCCTTGGCCCTCTTGTTCGGCTTTTTTTGCTTTTTCTCTTTGCTTTTCGTGCCAGGTCGAATCGCCGATGCGTGGGAGGCGAGAGGGGGGAGCCCGGCGTGGGGAGAGACGGCCCAGATGCAGGTCAAGCGGTTTCTGGGGGGGGCCATATTATGTCACATTGAGTATTCACAAAGTTCATCTACGAGCAGTCATATGGCCCTCGCCGAAACGCAAAGGATGCAATTTTGAATTGGAGGCACTCATGTTGGTTCGCGGCGCGGATATACGGTTCACCAACACCCATCACCCCCCTTGGATCAGGGCTCTTTGCAAACTTGATCAGCTCTGACAAACCCGCCTCGAGGTCTCACTCTGTCTCAGAGCGCAGCCGCGTGGTGGAGAGGCCCTCCCTTCCGGCGCAGGGATCATTCTTGCAGCATCGTACGCACGTAAAGTCGGTGATTGACAGCTGCACGCTTTTCGTGCATCGCTGGCTCCCCCCCCGGACGGCCTGGTGGCGGTCGCGGGGGGAGAAGAAGGGCTGGTTTTGTGCACGGCATCGCCGGGCTGGTTGTGCAGTGGGGGAAGCTTGAGGCTGGTGATGTCTGAGATTGGGACGGCGAGAAAACAGCAGACTGTGGTCTTGTTTTTTTTCTTTCTTTTTTTTTCTCATTTTATACAGTGTGACAGCCAAGTAAGAAGTGGCTTGATGCAAGAAAAATAAACATTCATATTGCGTTGCTTCGTCCATTCTTCCTTTCCCCGTCGCTACACGTCGTCTCCCCTCCTCCCACGGCCGTGTACCTGAACATGCAACTTTGAATGACACTGACTGCCCAGTTAGGCAATCACGGAAACGACCCAATCACGCGCGCCGATGGAATCATCTCCCCTCCCCTGGCTAGGCGGGACTCACCGTGGGGACCCTCTGATCGCGAGTCGTGGGATGCAGCACCGACCATGATGAATGACTGACAGCTCTTTGTGATGCCCTTCCGCTGAGGTCGATAAACACGAAGGCGGCCATGGCCATGGCGGTAACAGACAAGCCATACCATTGCCAATTGCTATGAGCACAAACGGCGAGCACGAAACAAAAGAAAAATAACCGTCATGGGATTATTTACATACCCAGCTCAATCAATGCCTCTGCATCGCTTCTCCAAAGCCACATCCCACCCAAAATACCTTCAGCCCCCCATTCACCCCGTCATTAACACCGGCCCTGCACAGCACCAGCACACCCCCCACCCCCCTCCCCCTCCCCCGGCCCATGGCAAATACGCATAACCGCACAAAGTAGGGACAACACAGCAAGAGAACAGAGAAATGCGATCCCGACGCCAGATCCCGAAACATTCCACAACGTCCCAGCGGCCAGCAAAGCCAGCAGCAACAAGCGGCCCGCACCACGGCGGCTGCCCATCGCCGCTGGCCGCCGGAGTCCAAACTGCCCACCATGCCGCTCTCGCCGCCTCTCGGCCGCACTGACCGCCATAACCATCGAGATTCACTCGGCCGCACGCCCAGCTGGTTGTCGTAGTGTAGTAGTGTAGTGTATGGCGCCGCCTCTTGCTACGTCGTAGGCACATCCGGCTGGCGTTCCGCGGACAACAGGTGGCGGCGCGCGGCGGCTTTTCCGTGGGTTGCGCCAAGTGGTCGCCGGACTGTTGCGCTTCTCTCTGACAGCGGCCGGGGAAAGCAGACCAGTAACAACATGCAGAAGGCCGAGAAAACAACCAAGCCCAGCAAAGCAGACTCAAGCCATTGGATTAATGGCGGCCAATCAGCAAGGTTGTGATTATGACAGGGAGCGATGCCGAATCTCGAGCACAAAATCCCAAAGTGGCTTCTCCTCATCAGCATCAGGGACAAGTCCAGATGCAAATTCACAACTGCCATCACTATCACCGCGCATAAGGCTACCTACCCCTCCCATCCAGCAAGAATAAGAAAAGAGTACGGAGTAGTGCTACACAATTAGTCCAGATATTCCCCCCCCCCCTCATCGCCAAAACACGAAAGCCAAGCAAGCAAGCATAAACCCGCCCCTGCTCCTCCTCAGCTAGATCGGAAGGATACGTACCGCGCATCAATCCATCATCTCGATCCCCTCATCCCCGTCCCCGTCCCCTGCTCCGGCAACAGCCCAGCTCCGCGGGTTCGTCGTGACACCGGGCATCTGGTTTGCGAATGGAGACGTCGTCGTGTAGTGCCAGGCACAGCGTAGTGCCCGCCGCCGGGGAAGGCAAGAGGAAACCACCACAGACGGGGCCTCACATGGACAAACCAGGCGGCTCTCTACTGCTACCTACGTACCTAGTAGGTTGTAAAGGCGCCCCTCCCCTCCCCCCCAAAAGCGTTCGACATGTGTCAAAAGTGGCCTGATCATCCGATGGGCTCCCAAACAGCCCATTCCAGTCCACCAGCACCAGCGCCCACCCGGAAAACGCGTGAGCGGAGAGGGCCGGGACGGACGGGCCACCGTACGGCCCCGCGAGGATTTGTCGCGAAAATGCGCACAGCTAGACGCAATGTCACGGCGCCGCGTGTTTTGGCGCCGCGGGTACCTGGCAGCCATCTCGAGAAATTATCGTCCAACCGTCCCGGCCGCTTCTCGAACCCGTATCGGCTCCGTCCTCGGGCCATGTGATCGGAAACACAATGGGACGGTTTTGCTACCACAGCCTCGCAGGCGAACGGACGGCACTCGCCTCCGCCAGATGAGGATGAAGCCCACGGCGACAAAAGAACAGCGGGGCGGTGACGGTGACGGTGACGCTTATGGAGCGCACTGCCGGTTCATAGGATACAGTTACTCGAAACGTCGCTCCGACGCGGGTGAGGGCTTCCATCCGGCCTTCCATTCTAGCAAGGGTGGGTGGGAATGGCAGACTGAGGAGGGCACTTTGATGCCGGCGGGTAACGGGAGCGCGTCTCAGACAGAAGCAGACAACGAAAAGGCCGGCGCATGGGGGTGAAATGTGCCCATTGTGCGGCGGAATTGGGCGACGATGGGGCCAACGCCCATGGGAACCGTGCCATTCCCACCATGGACCTGCCAGCTTCCGCATCTTGTTCGTTTGTTCTGCCGTGGTTTCCATCATTTCCATGGGCTTTTTCTGCTTGCTGGCCGTCGCTGTCGTCATCCCGGAATCCCGCCAGTCTGGGATCCCGAGTACGAGGCCGATGGATGACGGCCCCCCCAATGGTGCTATATGGCCTTGTTCACCTCGCCGTGTGAGTGTAGTATAGTTGGGACGGTTCGGCGGCGCAACGCCGTCCATGGTTTAAACAACACGCAATGCGCGCAAATCGTACCTTACTCACCCGTCGTTCCTCGTACATCGTATGAATAATCGCAACCTCTATTCTCACCGCGACTTACTCCCTACCCGCCTTTGCATGGCAACTCAGCATCGGACCCGATGAGTCCGATCGTCAATCTCGCTCAGCTAGCCGCCTGGTCCAAGCTGCTTGTCGCTTGTCCGTCTGTCTCTCACCCCCCCTCCCTCCCTTCATGCTGGCGCGCGCGTGTGTCCCGGCCGTGCTACGCTACACTGAGTGTGTCTCTACACCCCCGGGCCTAGAAGGCGGAAATACGGAACGTAGCGAGCTGCCAGTAAACTTGGCCCGACTGTCGCTGAGGGCTGAGCGAACAGGGCCGCCATGTGCGTTTTCCAACGGCCCTGCAGGCAGCGGGCCGGGTCGGTTATCCCACTGTCCACTGTCCTCAGCTCCAGCACTAGATGGACTATTGAGGTTGTACTGCGTGGTGCTATGTAGGTACGAAGTACTTCCCCCCCAGATCTCCATCTTGGGGTTGCCTGGTTTTACTTTTTCCGTTTGAGCCATCGGGCGCCTTTTTACTTTTTTTCTCATCGGGGCCTTGCAGCTTGCTTTTTCCCCGGCCGGCTGTCAAGCATCTGGGATCCCACATCGCATCGGTCCCCGGCAGTCCAACCGCCGCGCAGAAACACCAACGGTAGAAAGTACCTACCAACACACTCAAAGCCAACCGTACAACATGTCCCTTTTCGTCCACTCGTGTCCCCCCTTTTCCCCTCGTAGATGTGGGGATGATGCGCTCGGCAACGGGGCCGCATCGTCTGGTTATCCCACTCAGCCAACACACGGTCGCGGCAGCACAGACTATCGATATCTGACAGCTCAAGCGCATCATCGAGATTGCCTCGCCTACACAGCACATAATACGTCCTAGTACTACGTACGTGCCCCAGCTGTGGATGCCGTCCCTCATCTCCCTCGCTTGGCCATCCTCGCCCTATCACTTGTCTCCCGCCGTTCGATAATCGTCCTCTTCAGCCCTTCCGGCGGCCATGTCCGATCGCCAACGACGCCAGAAATCCTAAACCCTGGTGAAGCAGAGGCCCTGCGACGCTCCGAGCCCCCCGCCTGCCAGAAAAAAACGACACGTTCCTCGAGCGGTTCCGCGTACTAGACTTTCTCACCAGAGCGGCATTATCTGCTATAGTGCGCCCCCATTCCCACGCGCCCTCCCGCCCCGTAGATTTGGTGCGGCTGCAATACATGCGAGATGAATCGTTTCCCCCCCATCGAACGAGTGAGCGGCTCTAGATGTCATGTCCCATGATGTCAGTTGAAATTACCGCCCTCGTCCCTGTCCCAGAGCGAGGGCCTTCTGACCCAAAGGCAAGCCTGCCCTGCCTTGTCACAGCCTTTTTTGAAGTTCCCTTTTTTGGGGGGGCACTTTGCCTTGCCAATTCACCCCTGTCTTCATCTTGGGACGCCCGCATCTTGGCCCACATCTCATCGAGATACGTACGTATGGGAAAAGAGACCCTCCCTGCCCATGTAAAAGAGAGGCAAAAGCTAACGGCCTGGCCCACGGCCAGGTCCACGGCCAAAACCCTCTTTACCGGCCGACGGGAAGTCACTACGGCGACCTATCGAGTGGGACAACAACAACAACAACGACAACACAATTTTAACAATCGACCGTTGGAAGTTGACAGATTCCACCTGTTCTGTCTTTCGTACTGCGCACGGCATTGAGCGGCAGCGCATGCGGCCAAATCCTTTCGGATGCCCATTTCCATGGCTACAAGTTCCAGACCGAGGAAGCCGAGCAGACCGAGACCCCGTGTGTCTCTCCGGTCCTCCCATTTAACTTATAACGCACATGGTGCCCCTCTGCTGACATGTCCGAATATGCAAGTGCTCGGACGCTGAACAAAGCAAAATATGACGCCTCACAACCGACAGCTCGGTAAAGATGAGTACTCACAAAAAGATTTCAGGGTCCAAAACTCTCCTCTGCCATCCAGGCCGGCCTCTGCGCCGTGCAGACCGAGGACCGGCAGGTAAGCGGCCCGCGTTGGTGCCGTTATCTCCATTGGGGCACTCCAGGGGTCCATTGGCGTGCGTTGGTGCATCGGCAGCGATAACGAGCTCGAGGAGCCATCACCAATTCGCAGGTTCGTCGAGATCTGTCAGATGGTTCATGACGACGCTCGCTCCGTGTCTAGTCCCCCGCGCGCTACGACGGCGTTGGGCGGCCACTAGGCTTTTGACAACGCCAAGGGGACGGTACGGATGGGTCACAATTGGAGGCAAGTTTGCAACGGGAGGCCCTGAATGGACGGACTGTGCCTCACGCCGGCAGAGTGCAGCCAGCCATCTGGCCTCACCTTCATGCCGTGGGCTCCTTCGCGGAGAGACATGGCTTCCCTTCCCAGCTCACCCTCGCTAGTTTTGTTGCCTCGCGACGTGCGTTGTTGGCTCCCCCGTCTTGGTCTTGGTCTTGGCCTTGAATCCTTGGCTTCAACAAGTGATCATCGTGGCGGTTTCCTAATGCGCCCAAACCTTCACATGCTCCGAGTCCACTAATTCCGCATCCCATTCACCCCACTCTGTGACAGGAAACCACCTCGCTCCAGCCAACCGTGGGGATCCTTTGGCGAACGAGGCCCGCTGTGCTGTCCCCATTCAGAGATCTTGGCTGTTCCAAAATCCCCAGGCCACTCCTCTTTGAGTTCTCAGCCCTTGCCCGCCACACATAAACTTCGCAGCGGTCCGTCCAACCAAACGCTCCAACACACCTTTTGCCAGAAACGTGGCAGGTCCTCGGCCTGCCGACTTGTTGCCTCGGAGCAACCCCTCCTTGAGCAAGGAGGGCCATGCCGAGACCTCCGCCCCCCCACAACCGGGGTCCGTAGTGACAACTCCGGCCCGGAGCCGCAGAGCTCCACACTCCACACCTGCACCATCCAAGTTCCCTTTCATCAAGGGTCAATATCCGCTGTTGCAGTGGCATTTTCGCTCCCGGTTGCAGATCCCAAAACACCATCCTGCTATATGCCGTAGTCCTGCATGTGATGGGAGCGACCGGCAAGACAATGCGAAACTAGAGGCGTCGCCGGTGTGTTGATACAGCCAACGGGGTCTCAAGGCAGAGTCCCGGATTTCGCGGGAAAACCACGTGTAAGCTATCAGAAACGACTATTGAGCCAAGTCGACATGTAAGCGATTATGAATACACTGTGGGGAATGGATGGAGCTTCGGTAGATTTTGAGCCAGGCGTGGTGAGGAAGTGGTGTAGGGTAGTGAACACCGTAACAAAGATGCACGTCTTTCAGGTGTTATGGTTATTGTATCAAAGAACATGTTAAGAGTAATTGAGTTTTCGTAACAACAATGCGTATTGTTAGGACACCACGGCTTGGACGACTAATCTCAGATCTGAACATCTTCACACGGTATCCTCCACGGCATCCGCTACCACAACGTATTTGAATATAAGCGAAGCTCAGGTCTCTTCCGATCATGTATCTCACCACGGGTCTAAGTTTCTTGACATATCAGTTCCATAAAATACCAGGTTATTCATTTAGGTAAAACCATAGGTACTTAAGCAACCACCAAGTCACAAACAAGCAATGAGTAATCATGCGGTCTGGCAATACCCGCTCCTTTAAACGCGGCTTTCTCACCAGGTCCCAAACCAAACCCATTATCCCTGTCCGTAACCCGGGCCGTGAGCTCTCCCACCTCCTCCACCCTAGTCGCAGCTGGCCTTTGGTACGAAGCCGAAGCACGCTTGGAACCACGACGCTGGAAGAGACAGCTGCCCTGGAGAAGTTCATCGACCAGTTCTTTGAACAACCCGTTGCTGTTAGCAGTCAGGCGCAAGTGCGTTTACATCGCATGAAGAAGCAGCGGTTTGTGAGGATGCTGTATCCGGAGGATGATGAGCATATTGGATATTCAGGAGACGATGAATTTTCAGACTGCGAGGAGTATCTGGAGGTTGAGGATGATAAGTCCTCGGATCCAGCCGACTTGGACAGCGAGGAAGGTGAGTTCGTCGACGCTCCAGAATCCCCCCAATCCATGGAAATAGTGGACGACGGCTATGATTCCTCTAGCCCAGACGACATAGATTCTCTCAACGAGTCGATGTCGGAAGTGCAACTGGCCGAATCGATGCTCAACACCAGCAGCCCTGACCGGAGCGCGCCGGGCCTGAACTGTCACGTTTTCAGGGTTCCGCCAAAGGACGAGTCCATGTTTTCCAGTGTTTCTACGAATCCACCCACACCTGACAGCTTTCAAGAGGGGTGTAAGGATAAGGTAACATGAGTTGGCTAACTGATAGTCTATGATATGACTTTACCACATGGATGGAGTACAGGGGGTGGATTGATTTAGCAAAACACTAATGAACTGATTTAGTGGCGGTTAATAGACTAGCATTAAAGAAGAATTGCCTTTAATTTCGTACACTTTGTAGTATCAGCATCTAAAGAGGAGAACTCATTCCTGCTGTACGTCATATACTGTCCATTGCCATGGCTTTCCACGTCTAAATACATGTGTGTGCGTGATTGTGATATTGCGAGTCTAAAATATGACTTGATCCACGACTCCATCAGCCAAATACTACCTCGTCATGTCCTCTTCATGCGCGAGTCTAGTCTGCTCCTACGAAGAGGTTGCTCTCCAGTTGGTGCTGCTGTGGCAGTCCTCACTCGTACTCGTGCGACGCCTGTGAGAGCTTTCGAACGAATGGGCAACAGCCTCGAAGCTCATGTCCGAGTCTCGACTGCTCTGTGGTGTAAAAGGACCCGTGGGATGGCTGGAGTCATGCCCGTCTGATATCGATGAGACGATGCTGCGTTCTGTGTCCCTCTATTCCGCAGTACGCTCCGTCCCACCGCGCCAGAGGCCATAGAAACCATCACAGTTCTTCCACAGCTTGATAGTGCCGTCCTCAGAACCCGTGGCATAAAGCTTTCCGTCTGGGGAAAATGCAATGGACCAGATGGGACCGTGATGACCCTTGTGGGTGTCAATCTCAGTCTCATCGTCGAACCGGATAACCTTGGCCCACGTGCCGGGCTCCTCGCCAACTACCAACTTGCGTCCCTTGACGTCGAGGGCCACGCTGGCAATCGTGTAAGGCAGGGAGATGCGCTTCAGCTCATCCATGGCCTGAGGTCCCCCCCAGAAGTAGACCGTTTTCCCAGCCGCCACAGCAAGCACGGGCTTGCCTCCACCAATGTCGTCAGGGGAAGCATACTCGGCCGCCAACGAAACCATCTCGCACGACTTGATATCGCCGTCAAGAACTTCGTGGCGGATGCAGGCACGGCTAGGGAGGTCGAGCCATCGGATTGTCTTGTCCGAGGCTGTGACAACAATGTTTGGGTCCTGGGTCCAGCAGATGAACTTGATGGAGCCGGTGTGGACGCCCTCGCCAATCTCAAAACCAGCCGAAGCAGGGATTGTCGCAGGAGTTCCAGGGTTGGAGGCGGCAAGTTCCGTCAAGTCGAAGACACGGAGCTTTTTCTCGAAACCGCCCGTGGCGACGAGGTCCGAGTTGTCAGGGGGGTATGCGATGGCGCGGACGATGTGGTCATGTTGCAGGGTGTAGAGGAGCTCGCCAGTGTGGGTATCCCAGATCTTGCTGGTGACGTGTGAGTAGGGAGCGCGTAGAGGACGACATGCAAACTTACGCAGTGAAATCGGCCGAGGCAGTTGCGGCATTCGACGCATCGGGGCTCAGTCTGGCCTGCCAGACAGCGCCTTTGTGGCCAATAAAGGTACCGATCCTGTCAAGTGTGAGATGGGGTATAGATGAGTCCAAAGTCGGGCACATACCAGTCGCCAGTAATACCGTCGCGAAGCATAGGGTTACCATCTGATGCTCGGTCAGCACGCAGTATGCGACAAGTTGGCAAACGGCGTACCTTTGCAAGCCGAGATCATGTAGTAGACATCTTCCTTCTCCAGGGACGAGAAGCATATGTGGGGGACCGGCCGAGAGTGACCGTGACAGGTCAGGGGGACGTATTGGCGATTTTCAGAAGCCATTGCGATAGAGTGGGTGGGCAATGGGTTGCGGTGAATGGCTGTATCTGTTGGTGATGTCCCTGAGGGTCTGTAGAGGCGGTGTCGAGAATCGGGGGGAAGCGGGGACGTGTCGAGTAGCAGCGCGACAGAGTGAGGCAGGATTCGGTCGGCAACGTGTGCGATGCGATGAGGTGTAGAGGGAGATCGGAGGTCGTAATAGTCGTGAACTTCGTTAAGAGCGAACTGGGTCGTGAGTCGTTTGTCGCGTGTCGTCGCAACGAGCGGGGTGCAGAGGAAGGGGGGAGGGAGCGTGACAGCGCGCGCAGGCGGATGAGCTGGTGGACGAGGAGAAGAGAGAGCGCCTGCAGTCGATCTGAGGCACCGTAGGCGAAGTCGTGGTCAGTTCCCCCCGGTATAGAGAGGGAGAGGGAGGGAGAGAAAAAGGAGAGGGCGGAGGTGGTTGATGGGAAGGAAATTTGTCGATGGTCTGGGCGGTTTATTTTGGCCCCAAGCGGCCAGTTTCCAGTGCTACGCTCCGGTAAGGGACTGGACAGGGACAGGCAGGCGCCGGTTGCGGGTTTGCGCTTGCCAAAACGGACGGCGGGGTTCAGGAGTGAGAGCGCATTCGGTCAGGGTCTCAGACTCAGGGACTCACAGGGACTCTCACCAAGGAGCGGCGGATCACAAGCGGAAGGTGCTCCGCGCACTGCCACAGAGCGGGGTATTGAGAGCCTCTCCCGAGCCACTGTTGGCACACAGTGGCCACTGAGTGGCTCTCACCATGTAGGTGGAGGTGGCTGGTGACATGTTGCCATGCTTAGTGAGTGACGCACCTGTGGCTCCGAGCTGACCGACGAGGGGCGGCTCGGCTCAGCTCTATCTACCAGCTTCCATCACTCTCCTTTGTCCTCGGCCGAACGACCCAGGCACAGAATCGCTTGGCTTGGCTTTGTTTACGCAACTCTCTAAACCAGTCCATTACTCTCTGTCACAGCTCCTCTCCCCTCCCTCCTGGTCGACTCGCTCGTGGTTCCGTGCCACCTTGCGTTTGGACATTCATCTCCCCGCATACAACATCTGAACATACAACACTCGTCAACTGAGTGTAGAGGCAACCATGGTCGCCGACTTTAAGCTGTCGGCGCAATTGGTCGGCCACGAATCCGATGTACGAGAGCCCTTTGTTTCCCGTTTCCTCTTACGACCCAGCTAACACCAGCTCCAGGTCCGAGCCGTTTCCTTCCCATCCCCCGGCGTTGTTCTCTCCGCATCCCGCGACTGCACCCTCCGCGTATGGCGCCGCGCGCAAACAACACCCCCAAGCTTCGATGCCACGCTACTGAGCCGCGGCTCTGAATACATCAACTCCGTCTCTTTCCTACCGCCCTCCAAGGACCGCCCAGACGGCCTCGTTATATCCGGCGGCAAGGACACCATCATCGAAGTCAAGTCCCCCAGCGCCACCTCTGCCGACAACGCCGAACGCCTTCTCGTTGGCCATGCCCATAACGTGTGTACTCTGGATGTGGCCCCCGACGGCACATACATCGTGTCTGGCGGCTGGGATGGCCAGGCCCGTGTCTGGAATCCTACCAAGTGGGAGACGGAGCTGATGCTGAGCGGTCACGAAGGCATGGCTGTTTGGAACGTCGTGGCTTTCGATGAGCACACTGTCGTGACGGGCTGTGCCGATAAGAGCATCCGCATCTTCGACCTACGGAAATCCACCGCTGGCGAGGTAGCGCCCCGTTCAACCATCTACACCCCCGACGTCGTCCGCGCCCTCTGCCGGGTCCCCAAAAACCACCCTAGCGGTGCCGATATCGCGAGTGCCAGCAACGACGGCACCCTGCGTCTGTGGAAGCTCAACGGACAGCAGGTGGGCGAGCTTCATGGACATGACAGCTTCGTCTACAGCCTGACAAGCCTCCCCTCGGGCGAACTTGTCAGTGCCGGCGAGGACCGCACAGTGAGGATATGGAGGGGAACCGAGTGTGTCCAGACCATCACCCACCCTGCCATCTCCGTGTGGACTGTCGCTGCGAACCCCGAGACGGGTGACATTGTCTCAGGCTCTAGCGATGGCGCAGCTCGTGTTTTCACTCGTCGCCCAGAAGCAGTAGCCGACCAAGAGACGCTGAAGGAATTCGAGGACTCCGTCAAGGCATCTTCCATCCCTCAGCAACAAGTCGGCGGCGTCAACAAGGAGAAGCTCCCCGGACCCGAGTTCCTCACCTCCAAGTCCGGCACCAAGGAGGGCCAGGTGCAGATGATCAAAGAAGACAACGGCTCTGTTACGGCGCACCAATGGTCAGCAAGCCAGCAGCAGTGGATCAACGTCGGCACCGTTGTCGACGCTGTAGGCAGCACGGGCAAGAAGGTTGAGTACAACGGTCAGTCGTACGACTACGTTTTCGACGTGGATATCGAGGACGGCAAGCCCGCTCTCAAGCTCCCATACAACCTCTCCGAGAACCCCTACGAGCGCGCCACCAAGTTCCTCGGTGACAACGAGCTGCCCCTAACCTACCTCGACAACGTCGCCAACTTCATCACCGAGAACACAAAGGGCGCCACTCTCGGCGCAGATGCGGCACCGTCCGGCGGACCTGACCCCTACGGCACCGAGTCACGATATCGCCCAGGCCAGCCGACCGAGCCTCAGCAGCCCAAGGTCCTTCCCCAGAAGGAGTACCTGAACATCTCAGCTGCCAAGTATGAAGGCAAGTCTATCAGACGCTGTTTCCGTATATCATGGCCTCTACTAACTTCCGCTCTCCAGCCATGTTCAACAAGATCCTTACCATCAACAAGAACATGATCTCCTCGGGCCGCAAAGATGCTGCCTTCAACCCCGAAGAGGAGACCATCCTTCGTGCCCTGCGTGAATCCCTCGAGTCTTCAAAGCCCCTGCCCCCCAAAGCCCTCGGTCTCGTCGTCCGCCTCGTTACCCAGTGGCCCTATGGCGACCGCCTCCCCGGCCTTGACCTCCTCCGCTGTGTGGCAAAGTTCCCGCTCGCCGCAGACGTCTCCGATCCCCAACACGGTACTCTACTAGATCTCGCCACCGCTGCGTCCGTCCCTAGCGGCGGCGATGCTCCCAGTGAGAATGCCGTCATGATGGGCCTGCGAACCCTCGCCAACCTCTTCTCCTCTGCCAACGGCCGCAGCGTCGTCAGCGCAAATGCCGACAAGGCCATCGGCTTCCTCGAGCGTGTCACGGGTATCTCTGGTGGCGACCCCATCGGCCCCTTTAACCGCAACGTTCTCATCGCAGCCACCACCGTCGCCATCAACCTCGCCGTCCTCGCGCACCGCGAGCGCCTCCTCGCGGTTGAGCAGCGCCGCCGCCTCGTCATCGTCCTCGGCGCCGTGCTCAACAAGGACCAATCCGACTCCGAGGTCCTCTACCGCGCTCTCGTCGCTCTCGGTACAGTCCTCTCCGCCTCGAACCAAGAGTCGGCAAACCTCGGCGTGGCTGGCTGGATCCAGGCCGCCGCCGCTCGCTCCTCCGAAGACCGCGTCAAGGCCGTCGCCGCGGAGTGCTCCAAAGTCGCCCCGCGATGAAACGCCCACTTCCTCATAACCAAAACGATGCCAAGGGGGACAGCGGCTGACGAAATCAGATGGCCGACACGTGCGACAGTGTGATTGTGACGAGGAACCCCGTTGTCCGTCACGGCGCTTACGCCGAATTGCGAGCGTGTCGTCACACCCCGGGAAAGGGACCTGCCGGATCGAATCCCCACTCCGGCCGGCAATACGGGATTGTCGCCCACCTATTTTATTTGGTTCCTTGCATAGGCTCGGGCCGGACGGCAGAGAGAAGAGAGATGGAGCAGCATAGTGTGGAGCATAACGCAAGGAAGCGCAGATAGACAAGAGCAGAAATACCAACCATAGGCTATAGCATGTTTGATCATGACGATTTTTCCTTTGGTGACGATAGTGCTTGTTGGCGGATATCTGACATAGCAGGCGGACTGCTATGTTGAGTCGGAGAATTCCGCGTTACGTCGTGAATACAAGTCAAGAAATGAATGTCACGGAGAATACACAATACGAAGCACACATTTCTTTCATAATCATATCATCGATTCATTCGTGCCCGTTCTAGAGCAATGTAACCCGATGTAGCACCCCGCCCTCCAATCAAGTTCTACCTCGGGAGAGCGAGGCATTTCGTCCCCAGGTTGAGTTCTCGCCTGGGTTCCGAGATGAACAAGTCCAAGAGACAAGACAAGACAAGAAAATAAGCTCCCCCAACACCTAAACAAAGACAGGAGATAGAATCTCTATATCCCCCGAGAAAATGTGGGAATAAATTAAAAAATGACAGAAATAGGGAGGTAGCCGCCTCCCGTAACCCAAGGAGAACCGCCAGTAAAACGCCGTAGGTATATGATTGCGGAATGTACATTTTTCGTTTCAGTCCGGTCGGGCCTGGGAGAAGATTGTTCCTCTATCCCAGACCTTTGCCGGGTGCGCTTATGCGAACAGCAGCCACAGACCGGCGCCAACCAGAGGGAGCCAGCCCGCCCAGCTAATTTGTCTGAGACTCGTGGCGCTCGATTCGTTGATGTACTGGTCGGAGCCAGATTGTTTGGTGGTGATGGTGAAGACTTCGGCGAAGCCAATGTCTGTCGAGTTGTAGCAGTTGGTCTCGTTGACCTCGTTGAGGCGCTTGTCACCGGGCTCGGCAAAGATGATGTCGACGCACTGTGGATGATGTTAGTTATCGATGCAGAGACCCATAGATTCCAGGGCAGTCACATACCGAGAACAGTGCGGCGCCGTGGATAGCCAGCTCGACAATCTGGATAGTCGCCTTGTCGCCAGCCTTGACGGTTGTGTTCGTCGGGAGAGGAACCTGGGGCAGGCAGATGGTACCGGGGAACGGGTTGTTGGTGGGGCCGAGGATCTGGAACTGGGGAACCATGGGGTTGGACATGTTGAGGGGACCGCCGTCAGGACCGTCGCTTCCGAAGCCCATGTTGATGTAGGCAAAGGCAGTCTCGTGGCCGCGGAACCAACCTGGCTGGAAGGCGACGGCACCGCCGGTGGTGGGCCAGTAGGTGCGGTTTTGCGTCACGTTGTGGCCACCGCCTGAGGAGGATGAGAGTCAGTATGGGGGGAATGGCAAAGGGAAGCAAAAAGCCATGAGCACTTACAGGGATACATCCATTGCATGCCGTAGGGGAAAGTGTCGTTGGTGATGAGGGTGTTTCCACGCCATCCCGGGTAGGTGATGACAATGTGGGCGGAGGCGACGGCCGCGAGGACCAAGGTGAGGAGTGCGGATGACTTCATGTTGAAGGTTGTATGTGGGTGTGAGAGGTTGACAAAAATTGACGAGAGTCGAAATCTCAAGTGATGAGAAAATCAACCAAGTTCTGGTAGGGATCTACACGTCTTCCAGAGACGGTTGATTCGAGGTTTGCGCGACCTGACTGAGCCAGTCCGCGATAGCAGCGGGGGGGGGTTGGATTCGCAAGTTGGGCGAGTTGAGAGGGGTTGATTGGCGTCTTTTCCAAGGCTCACCACAATCCACAAAGCTGCAAGAAAAAAAGCTGGGCGTCAAAGCTGGAGGAGCAGCAGCTGGAATAACTGAAAGGAGGAGACGAGACGAGACGAGGCAGAGGCGGGCTGGCCGCATGGGCGAGGGCAAGTCTTATGGCGCTGGGGGCCATATCCAGCCGCCCAACTTGCATGCGAGCACTTGGGTTGGAGCTCGGAGCAAGCAAAACCCCGGTGTGATTCGCACCACGGCGCGGAGAGAGCCAGTGAGAGGCCAGTGAGAGGCTGGCGAGATGCGGGCGGGAGAGCAGGCATCGCAAGGCCCCCCTGTAGCAATCCCGACGCCGCAGGCCAATGGGCGTCGTGAAACGGGTGACGGTCGGTATTGACTGGCGGTATCGCCCATCTGGTTGGCGCATCGCAGGACGTGTTTAAGCGCCGGCACCATGCCGTAGAGGGTGCGTTGGACTGAGTTGGAGCATGAGGCCCAGCCAATAAAGGCCCCGGCCCGCCGAGGGTGGCACTCCGGGAGTGGAGCGGCGTCGGCATCACGGAGGGGAGAGGGGAGAGGGGAACACGGATGGACGAGCAAACTTGGGTCAGATTACCAAGTACACTCTGTTGGGAGAGAGACCTGAGGCGATCAGGGACGGGATATTGTCGACTGACTTTGGCACAAATCGCCGTGGAAATGGCACGAGTTGGTTCTGCCGCAGTCCCGCACCCGCCAACGGCATCGCAACCTTTTTTGTGCCGCACACGCCGGGCGCCTAAGTCAAGTCACAGCCAAGGTGACGGATTGAACGTCGCGAACCCAATTTCTAAAGAAAGAAGAAAAGACGCGCGCATTCGGCGGCGCACGCGTGGTCAGCATGGTCAAGGTCGAACGACGGGCTCAAGTGCCGGCGCCAACGGAACACTCTTCAGTTGTAACTTGTCAGCGTCAGCACACCGGACGGGATCGACGGCGACACAGGTGTAACACCAGGTCGTCCGCTGTATCTGCGTGCTTTTGCGTGCGTCCACCTGTGAACCTACCCACCTCTGGATACGTCTTGGTATCAATCGGTCTGGTCATTCATGTACGCGTGCGTCGGGCGCTGTGAGATGATGCTGATGGTGCCGCGCAGCCGGGCTCTTGCGCCGACGCTTGTGCAATGCGATGACGACGATGGATGACGGTTGCAATGGCCGTGGTGGGCGAGAGCAATGGATGATGTGAGACATTGGAGCAACGTGAAGCTGCATATTCTGGCTGAGCAGCTGTCCTGCTGAGTCTTGGTGTTTCCACCCAGCAGGTGAGGTCTCACCGAGCCCTCACCGGGGTCCACCGAACTGTGGGGCCGGAAATTCTGGTGCACTTCAGAACCTCACTCAAGATACAATATAAAGTCTACACCGAGTACCGATCGTCTGGGGCCCTCGCTCGATATATAGACAGAGTCGACTCAAGAAAGGGCTCTAGTCCCCTCACCATTCGAGTCCTGAGATACACAAAAGACACCCCCCAAAAAAGAGGAATGTCCCCCCTCACTCACATCATCCTCACTCACATCATCCTCACCCAACATGTCCCCGCAAGACACCCAACCAGCCCATGACCAAGACCATGACAATTCCCACCACACCGCCAACCCCAAGAGCCAGAGTGGACGCAGGTAACGTCCAAATCCCGCCGCAGCGGCCGCCGCACCCGCACCGCCCCGCTCCCCGTCGTCCCGCGCACCTCGGACCTCCGCCCTGCCGCCGACCTCGCCGCCGACCACCGCCGCCTCCGGGCCCGTTGGGAGGACGACGAGTGCTGCCGCCGCCTGCGCCATCTCTTGTCTACGCATGCCTCGCGTATCAAGAGCGTCTCGCGCGCGGTGAACCTCGGCGTCGGCACGTTTGATCCGGCGGATGGCTCGTGGGAGGCCAAGCGCTCGAGCCATGTCCAGCTCATTGCATTTCTCGTCATCGTCGAGGAACTCGGTGCGTGCCCAGTTCCCCGGGACCCTTATCCAGGACGCTGACATGCTCCGTGTAGAAAACATCACCGGCGGCAAGATAGAGTGCATCTTCCAGGACCCCGTCTTCACCCAGTCCGACAAGGACTTCCTCGCCAGTCTCGGCCACCAGGTCGTCGAGACCCCTGCGGCCTGCCACATGATAGATGCAAACTCCCTCTTGTACGGAATCCACCTCTACCGACCCATCTACGCCCTGGCGCTGGAGAAGAGTCTGCCGGCCATTTTCGTCGGCACCGGCTGGGACGTCTGGGATGAGTGAGTTGTGCCCGTCGGCCCCTGAGCACCTCGACGCTAACCACAGTGTCGTGACGCAGTCTTTCCAACACCGAAGGCCTCGAGAAGATGGAGGAGATGGAAAGGACTTACACGAGGTGCGCGTTCCCGCAGGACTCGCACGGCCAGGCCTTCTCCAGCACGTCCATATACTGGAAGCCCGCTCCTGAAGCTGCGACTGCATCGTCGGAGCAGGAAGCTACAGGCAAGGCGTCGGCGGAGGATGAGATTTCTAGCAAACTAGAATCAACTACTATTTCATGATGCCACTTACCATCGTTTCTACTGCATGGCTCTATTTAACGCCTCTCCGGACCTGACTCTCTTGTGCATCCAACGACCCCCGTATCCCGTGCTTGAATCACTGCTGTCTAAATGCGGGATCAAAGATCCTCCCTTTCTCGTCCCGCCATGTAGCTACCTATACTCCAAATCGCACCCTCTTCTCATCGTGCCCTCGCAATACCAAACTCGGACATTCCTTCTTCCTTCTGCTCAACATCAACTTCCAGTCATATTCTACGATCCAATTCCTTTTTCCTTGCATTTTAAGATACCCCCGAGACTCGTTTTCACGTCCCTTTTTGGTTGGCGCACAACTGACATGCAAGCCTGCGCGCCTCTACTTTGAAACTACCAACCATCACCAACTCAACACCGACACACAGCAACCTCGTGTCTTCAACACTCAACTTTGTCGACACCTTGACGCAACACCTCTCCTGGCCCAATTGATTTTCAATTCACTCTTCTTTCCAACCAAAGCCCAACCTTACCCAGCTTAGTTGTTTCAACTTTATTCAATCCAGTTTCCCTCTTCTCTTCAATCCAATTCGCTTCATTCCTGCCCAACCACTCATCCTCATCCCATAACAACCACAATGCCTCGCTCCGATAAAATGAACCCCTTCAAGCGCGCCGAAGTCCGCGCCCGGGAAGCCGAGTACCAAGCCATGTGGCAGGCCTGTGAGCGCGCCGCTCGCAAGGACGAGTACCAGAAGTCAACAGTGCCCGTCCGCCTGGTCATTCTTCGGGAGGCTCTCACGGGGCTCTTGGAGAAGAGGTACGCTTTTTTTGAGTCCAAGGATTTCATCACGGAGTCTGGATACGGTTGGGTGCTAACAGGTACAGGCGTATGACTGGGAAGCAAATGTGCAACACCAACCTCGAGTTGATGATCGAGCGACACCTCAGACGGGAAGCCATGCCACGCAGCCAATTCCGCGACAGGACCTTGCAAGCAAATCCCAACAATGAGGCATTCAACGACAACAACGTCCCTCCCGCCATGGGCCTCGCACCCTCTCCTCTCCCGCGAGTGGAAGTCCCGCCCATGATAAAGTACGACCACGAAGCGCACCCCCACAACCACCCACCACAGTACGCTCGCCCTCTGGCCAGAGATCACGGCAGTTCCGAGGGATACCCGCCACCAATCCTCGAAAACCATCCCCACAACATCACCCTGTATAACGAACTGGCGGCGTGCCGAACAGACCGCTGTGTCCTGTTGCATCGGCTTAATGCCCTCGAGGACGAGGTCAATCGGACTTCCAATCTCGTCTCGATTCTCTTCAATGAACTACACCCCGAGATCATGTCAACTCCTCCGACACCCGAAACAATGGGTCTGTCTGAGCATGACGAGATGATGGAGGGTGTTGATCTCTGAACGCCATGTCTAAAGGGGGAAATTGGCGGAGAGGCATAAAAAGAACACGATGAACGGACAGGTGAAATGTCCGTGGCGAAAAGGACATTGCTGAGGCATAATTATATTGGGTCCGGAGTCAGGAAACTCCTCCGCGATGCTATATATAGAAGAGCAGCTATGTCACATCACTTCACAGTGGAGTTAGTTTCACCATCCATATGCCTTTGCATTTTTATCAGTAAGCCTCCACACTATATACCTTGTGTAAAGGGGATTTTACAAAACCCTGACCCCTTTCCTATCTCGCCAAGTATGCCCATCTTGTGGCCTCCTTACATGATTACAAAAAACAATACCAGGACTATGCCCATAACCTTTCGCTCCCAAACTCCCGTAATACCGACCGAGGCCAAAACAACCTCGGGCGTATCCAACATGGAACCGCTGTTTAATCCCCATGAAAAGCAGGCAAACGAACCTGCAGGACAAATGCAACATTTCTGAAGTGTCGAATCCCAAGTAAAATAACAGCCACCGAAGCCCATTCCGACAAAAACCAAACCAGGGCATTCGCCCGTAGCCGTCGCGACTCTATCATCTCTTGAGTTGATGCAAATAAGGAGGTTGTTGCTCACAGCACCGCTCCTATCCCTCGTCTTGTATAGTATCAAGTGAAACGCACTTAGACAGTTTTGCCGCTACAGCTGGGGATCTTGACGCCGTCCTTGAGCTTTCGGTCCACAGTCAACAAACCCCACTGGTCCTCCCATGCCTTGCCCTTCGTGTTGAATCTCTCCTTCCAGGGCTCGTCGAATGCCTCGAACCAGAAGTAGTTGGTACCATTGGTAAGCGCATCACAAACCCAGCCCTCCATGAATGTGTTCAGCTCATCGATACCCGCGACGGAGCCCTGTGTGCAGGTTGTCGCGGCACCACAGTTGGTTCCACCGCTGGTGGGCCAGCCAGTCTCGGAGATGATGTTCTTCTCTTTGTCCGACTTCCAAAATTGCTTGTTGTTGTTCTCCCAGAACGAATAGGTCCAGCCAGCCGCTTCCTGTGCAGTGACGCCGGCGAAGAAGGGATGGATATTGGCCATGATGTAGTCGCTGTCCGCGGCAAGCGCTGCGGTCCAGTCATCGCCAAGGTCGGATGTAGCAACGGGGAGCTTGTAACCCTTGGCGGTAAAGTTGGTACGGACATTATCGAGAATCGTTCCCAGCTGGGTAATGGTCATTTCCTCGCGGAAGAGAATCTCGTTGGCGACAATAACGCCTTCGAAGGGGTCCTCGCCGTATTCCGCCAGGATGTCCCACATCTGCTCGAGTTGTCGTGCGTTGGTCGTCTCGTTACCGTCCTGCCACACACCCAGCCAAACCTTGGTGTCCTTGAGCTCCAGTTTATCGATGGCGTGCAGAAGCATCTGAGTTTGGTTGCAATCGGTGCCGTATAAGCGGATCTTGTTGGTCAACTGACTGAGCACGGCGACATCGCGAGTGACATTGTTCTGCGACGGCGGGTTGTGAATGCAGGCGGGGTATTGGGTGTTGAGAGGGGTGTAGTCCATGCCGGGGAACACCCTGTGTAGATCCGCGTTGTTCAGAAGCGCCTTGATCTCTGCACTGTTGGCTCCAAGATCACCATTCTTCGCAGTGTCGTCCTTGGCAGATTCGCCAGAGCCACCGCCAGAGCCACCGCCAGAGCTACTGCTAGAGCTACCACCGTCGCCTCCCTTCTTGTTGTTGAGCAAGCTACCGACCACAGCGCCGACAATGGCTCCCACGATGATGAGGCAAACGATGATAATGATTGCCCATTTCCACTTCTTACTCTTGTGCTGATTCTCCTTCAGCCACTCGGATGGCTTCTCGCGTGGTGCGGCTGTATCATAGTCACCACCTGCCGAGTGACCTGCAATTCAGTTAGCACAAGATCGTCTCTCCTTCGGCGCAATGTCATTTACCTGCAGACAGAAGGCTACCTGCAGCTGCGGCGCCACCAGCCCCCGCAGCGGCTGCGGCAGCACGTCTCCCTCGGTCAGAGTGGGGGAGGCTCAACATGGAAGTTCGCTGATTCCTATGGTAGCTAATACCATCATCCCCGTCGTCCTCAATGTCATTGGGATTCACAATGCCTAGATTGGCAGCAGAAGCAGAGTTTCTTGAACTGAATCCCTGATAAGGATCGTCGGCATAGGGGTCCGCGCGGTGGGGGGAGTGGGAGCCGTGTGGGACAGCACCGAGGCCAGCCAAGCTCGAGTGCGACCCTCCAGTATGGGGGCTGTTGCCATACGCTCCGTCGTAGCTATATCCCCCGTTCGACTGGGGCGCGTAGGCGTTCACGGGCGGCGGCGGGTAGTGAGAGCGGGAGGGAGGCGGAGGCACTTGCCCACCGCTGTGCATCGCATCCATGCCACTGTTGCGAGGGTTACGGTCAGCAACGTTGTACGCAATTCCAGCCATTCCACCAGACGCAGACTCGCCAAAGTTGTCTGAGCCGGGCGTAATGGCGTGAGTGGGAGGAGGTGCATACCCTTGGTTGCTGCCGTCGCCTCCGCCCCCGCCTCCGCCTCTGCCTCTGTTGTAGTATCCGTTGTCGCCGTGGGGCGGGGGCGGTGGGTTTGGAGATGCACGGCGAGGGCTATCGTATCCAGTAGAGCCGGAGTGCTGGGAGTGCTGGGAGTGCTGGGAGTTGGAGTGGGCGCTGTAGTTGTCCTGGGGCTGCATGCGACTGAAGGCCGAGTCGGGATGGGCGCTGGGATGGAAGGAACGGGACGCTGGAGGAGGGGCGTCGTAGTAGGGGGTTTGCGAGGGCGAGTAACTCTGAGCGGGAGGAGCAGGATGGCGCGAAGGGGATTCGTAGTGGTTATAGGAAGAGTCGAGGGGCTCCCTCTCGTAATGATCGTTGCGGTATTGCGACATGACGGCGGTCGATATGCGGTCGATATGCGGCCGAACTCAAGAGGGCAAAAGTGCGGCGGCAGCGGAGGCCGAGAGAAGGCCGAGAGGAGGCTGTGTCAAGCCGACGATGATCTCAGCAGCGGCAAGCCGCCTGCAGAATAAGAAAAGTGTTGAGACGGTGGGCGACGTACTCGCGAGTGTGTCCCGGAACGAAGGATGCAAGACACACAATACGAGGTGAGGTTTCGAAACAAGGAAAGGGAATTAGTGAGCGAGAGGACGGTAAGAGAGACAGGGCTAGGAGCAGGTTCAGGATCGGCAACGGTGGGAGCCGGTTGTTGATGAGGTCGTTGGCGAGCAACGGGCCTGTCCTGGCCTGTACTGGCTTGTACCGGTACAGTGCCCGATGGAGCGAATAGCGGGTCTTATTAGGCATGGGGGATGCACAGAGCAACAGGGCCACATCGGATGCGGACCGAACACACTGTGGGAGAGCCAAGTTTAGCGCAAGCTCCGCCCCAGCAACCAAGCAGCCAAGCAATTGAGCAGGGGGGCGGTTAAACGGGTTGGACCTGGCAGCTTCGCACGGGGCTTTGCCTGACATTTGAAAGGCCTGCCTGAATGCGCTGCATCGAAAAATGGAACCCCAACGGTTGGCTCCAAGTTCCAGCTGCCGTGCGCGCAGCACAGCCTCCTCCAGACGAGCAAACACGAGCACTAGCAGATCTAAGAGTGGTGTGCTGACGCAAGACGTCAAAGACGAAAGACGCCGAGTTCCAATTTGGAAACCGACGTCGGGAGGTGTCTCACGAACTGGGACTCGTGAGCGGGCTCGTATTATTGCACTGTCTCGTATGTCGGTCCAGGGCGGAGCAGCGCTAGTCTTCACAATGTATTTCGTTCGGTAGGTTCCAGGCGGGGGAGGAGACAGCGGAGTCAGTAGAGACATGTTTTGGAAGTGGTGCTTGGGCAGGGCACAAGGCAGAGACACTCCTTATTGCCGACAATGGATGGCGTCTGGCGATGGTCGAACACGGACGAGGCGGTGCGAACGAGCGACGGAGCGGTTCAGAGCATCTGGGCGGGCGAGCGACGGCTGAAGTTCATAGTATGTACCGCTACTTGTACCCTCCATGGCGCGCCAGGCCAGGTCAGGGTAGGGCAAGGCTGGACAGGGTGCTAAAAGGAGCCCCGTAAGGTGCTACTTAACGGGTCCGCTGGGTCCGCTGTTCGATTGAGTGAGCCGAGGAGCAAGGGGGTCGGGTGGCAGGTTGAGTTGTGTTAATAAATGGCTGTCACCAGCCGTGTTTTGTGTGTCGGTCGTGCTGATCATGTCAAAGAACGACCTGTTTGGCCGAGATTGAAGATTCGACAGACGATCAAGGAACTGGTACCACCGTCTTGCCTTGGCTTCCATTGTCGCGGAGAAGGTTGGATCCATGCCAATATGGGCAGGTGTGATGTTGCAGCGGCCGTGTAGGTACGTTAAGTGTGGTAGGTGCGCCAGGTCCCGCGGGGAAAAGCAGACACCCAGGAAACGAGGAGCGGAGGGTCGTGGGCCGTGGCGGCCGCGAGAGTAGCAGCGGCCCCTCGAAGCGTTGCCCAGAGCGGCCACAACGGGGTCGCATCCACGGGAGAGCAGCCGACCCAGGTGGAAACCCGCACTGGAAATGGAAGCACGATGACATTCAGCTAGAAGAGCGGTTAATTAAAGGGCCACCAGGCCACCAGGCCACACACACCACCTCCCGCTGCACCTTGTCGCAGTCATTGTCGCAGTCAGTGCTGTCGACCTGGGCTGGCACATCCATCGTCCGTATACGGGGTAGCCGGCTTGTTTCTCTGTTGTGCTGGTGCGACACTTGTCCCCTCTGAAGGAGTCGATCCCAGCAGGGTTCCTGGTGGTGCAGGTGGTGCACAGTGCGTTTGAGTGGTTTGCGTCACAGTACACTCTCTAGCATCCATCCAGGGCACACTGGGATTCTCCATCCAGCTTCTAATTCCATAACCCCCTGTGCCGTCAATCTGCCGTCACGCTCACTGCATGCCGACTCTTCCAGCCCGAGCCTCAGCTCTCTCCCGGACAGCCGTTAGTTCACCTGTGGCGGTAGGTGTGGCTCTCAGCCGCCCCGGCTAGTTCGGCTAGTTGACGATCCGTCTGTCAAACCTGGGGGAGGGTCCCCAAACCCGACCCGGCACGTAATGAGCACGACGGCTTGGCAGCATTTTGTCAACGTTAAATTTCACGGCCGAAACTGAGACCGGGTTCTAGAATCAGGTGGCTTTTTTTCTTGCTGGGTCACGTTTTATTTGCTGGAATCTCTCAGCCGCCTGGAAACCACTCTCCCGGGAATATTAGCAGAACTGGTGCATACCACAATCATTTACAGTTGCCGATGACCCCCGTGGCATCCGCATTCTTGCCCTTAACGACCATGATGGAGTTCTTCCCCCAAGCTCACAAACATGTCTCAGCCCGCTGCAAAATGACACCCAATTACGACGCCTCGTCATACTGACATCCTACGTGGTTTTATTGAGGCGTGCCGAAACAAGCCCGCAATTTCCAACACGAGACCTGTCGCCGTCCTGAACGAAAACGCCGTCAGCAGCCATCAACGTTATTGAGCCCGCCGCACCGCAGCCACTCCCTTCTTTAGACACGTCACTTCGTGTTCTTGCTATTGTCTGCACTGTAAACTACTTTGACTAGCGATGGCATTTTGTTCCCGCGGCGACGCCAGACTGACATCGTCCATCACCTCACTCTAACTGCACCACCAGCTTACTTGTGCTGGAATGGAAGCAACCGGCAGGGAAATTGTGCCAAGTGGTGTAATAACTCGGGGAGGCCTCAAATTGGAGGTGGGACTTCGATATGGAATCACCTGGGTTGAAGGTTGACAAACGTGATGCGAGTGCTGTCAGGCCAACAACCCGCAGACTACCCAAGCCAAGATATGTGATACACTCTCAACCTAACCATTTTCGAGCTCGCACCCGCAATCGAGTCTCCAAATACGTATGTCTTAAATCTTCACTCTTTCAGGACATTTGAGTGAAGTCGGAAGAGTGTATTGTTCGGTCTGAGCTTGGATTCTGATCCATCACGAATGAGACGTCCGTTTGCTCTAGGGTAACCAGGAAAACAAGAACTTGAAGCATCCTGAAGTCACGTCATATTCTCCATCTCAATTCGTACTTCAGGTTTCATTCTGCGCATGTCATATCAGGATGCGGCATACGTGACGTCCTCGATGCAGCGCCAACCCACTGTTTCAACCAACAAAGTGCCAGGCGGAGGTTATGTCCGGCAATACTCCACCAACCCTACCGGGATAGTTTCCACCACTTGACGACTGGAGAAATGATATGCGCTGAACTATCTACTTTCTGCATAATCTTAACTATTCGAGTAAGATACATCTGGCATCGAATCTCAAGATCTAGGCAACACATGTAGATGTGGCGTCACGATGGCTGTGATGTCATGGAAGTGTGAGAGTGTTGACATCATACATCGCCATCAGATAAGATATTTGCCTATATCAATAACTGTATGCGAATGATTTCGGCTTCAACATTTCCTGCCACATTTGAATACCAAAAAAGAAGCTTCCCAGAAAGCCACGCAATGTCTGTCAACAAGAACCCCGAGTCTATAACACCGGCAACGGGGGAATTTAGTAGCAGGGTCCCTCGGTCAGAGCCTCTCACAACCAAAGGAGTAAGATTCTCTCATCTACAACATTACACTTATCACACAGCTCACATGTTTGCAGCACGCTCCTGGCGTCAAGGTAGGCAACGACGCTAAACCTGAGTTCCACCTCGAAACGCACTCCCCCGGCACAGCCCCCGCAGACCGTTCCTTTGCGCCGCAGCCTCAACACGAGATCCCCGGGCAGGCGCTCAACCCAGACATGCAAAACGGGACTTCTGTAACGCAGACACTACCCGGCGCTACGTCGGCGGATGTGCACCAGGGGTACGGACACCCAGGTGAGGGGATGACGAGCAAGGAGCTTCATGGAGGCAAGCGCAAGCATGCCGGCGCTGGTCTCGAGGGTGTGGGTGCGAATTCTTCGGATCCCATTCACGAACGGGGGCTTGATATCGACCACGAGAAGGGACAGAGGACTACGTCGGGTAATACAGAGGAATGGCAGGTGGCGGAGGAGAGGATTCCTGTCACCGCGGAGGAGCTTGCCAGCGAGCTTTAAGTTGAGGCCATACAATTGCAAGTGTATGGTTAGTACAGATTAGCACTGAGGAATGCTCTTAAAGTGTATAAAAGTAGTTTAGAGATATTCTCAAACATTCCAATTGTCCTTCATCACTTTGCGTGATTGCGTGTTGGTTGTCGAACGCTCGATCAGATGTTCACAAGGAAAATGTTCACAAGGAAACAAACCAACCGGAAGTTCCGCATCGGCGCGTACCGAGGCAACGGAACACCCGACCACTCGTCCAAACACGAACCCACTTCCGTGACACGACCAAGCTTTGCTACCTTGTCTTCACTGCCGAGATTTTCGGACGCGGCATTGTTGGAAGGATTCTTAGTGTCATTCATATCCATTTGGGGGGCGGCTAATATGGGCACTGCCGCGTTTCAGGATTGGTAGGATTGGGGCTTTGCACGTCGCGTCTTGTAGGCCCGGTAAACTGGACGGCTACTGCATATGTCACGTAACGTACAGAGGCTGAACGTTGACAGTCCGGGGTTGACAGAAGCAATGTTGGAGAAAAGCAAAAAGTCGACATAAAAAAAGATGGGTCGATAGAGTCGAGAGGAGTCAATGGTCCCAGCCCTTGTAAACTGGTCGAAGATGCAGACAACCAGACTAACCGTTTGTTACGTTATTATTATTATTATCATCATCATCTCGGCGACCAAAAACTCGGCGCATGATGGAGACGCTAAAGAGTAAGAATAAGTTCCTGACTGAAGCAAGCAGGGTTCAGGGCCGCTGCCGCTGCCCAGTCTACGGGAGGAGTTGAGCATCTGTGGAGCTGTTGTGAAGGCCGCTCTGAGGTATCTTCCCAAACGAGAACGTCTAGCTAGACTCGGCATATGGCGCTCATTGTCTGTTATCAAGACCCTTGCGCGTGATGCGTCCTGTGGTGGCAAGCCCAAGTTGAGCCAAGGCCGCTTCGCGAGGGGGATCACGGGGAAACCGGGCACAAAGAAACCCCAGTTTCCAGTTCAACACTGTCGCCGGCCTGTTTTGGGAAGAAGCGCTTGAACTTGACTCACACGAGTCGACGCCCGCTTCCGCACTGGCCGCTGGATGAAGGAAGATGCCTCGGCAAGGCTCAGTGGCCATTGGGCGACGGAGTTGAAGGCTGTCAGCGGCATGTGGCCTAGAGACGTGGCTGACTATGACCTTGGACGGGAATCAATACGACCCTGTTAGCTTGCTGCTGATGCGGACAGGTCCTTGACACCTGTCCGGAAGAGGCCGCATGCAGATGTGGTGCATCATGCAGCAACGGCATATTGGTCCATTAAGTTGTGACAAGCCGTCTCTTGGAACCTCCGGCTTTTTCGTTGGCCTCTGGGGGCGGTTTATCAGAGACAGCCCTAAACCCCACTGAAGAAAGGGTTGGTTTAGTTGGCGAAAGAAGTTCCTTGGCTTGCAGGGATGAAAAGGCCGCGTAATAAGGGTAATGACTCCCGCGGCATCCTCATTGACGTATGGCCATGGCCATGGCTAGGTATTGCATTGTGCAAAGGAAAAAAAGACAAAAAATACCTCCACCGAACCTACAGTAGCGCGTCAGTTTCCCTGCTCACCAGAAGCCGGGTTTTAGCGCCGCCGCCGCTGGGCCTCGCTCGGTTCTTTTATTGCCATTTGCCATGCGGCATCCTTAAGGCCCCCCTCCGCCGCGGGGGCCATGTGGCAGTCCCGATTCGGCGGAATGGTAAAATATCCCTGCGGCGCGGCCGGGCCACGATCGCATTTCCGGTGGGTGGGTTTGGCGCGCCATCCGTCCACTCAACAGGGCCCCCGTTGCGGTGGGCAGGTCGGAGAGCCGGGGGTTTGGTGTACCGGAGCGTTTGCGAGCGGGACATGAGCGGGACATGAGCGGGTTTTTGGGCTCTACGCGCGCGCCGCTCAGGTGGGTGAGGCGGGTCACCGGCATTTCGATGCGGTTCAGCTTGCGATGTGGACTTGGCGGATGCTCTACTCAGCTTCTAATGGCTCTATCGCTGCCAATGTCGTCATTCTTCTCCATCGCGGCACGCGCCCTTGCCTTGTCTCCCCCAGGCTATATCTCGAGGTTGCCCTGATGGCCCTCCCTCCCCTTGACGGACATATCGGAACTAGTTTAGGTAGGTAGCTAGTAGGCCCGAGAGCCGTCGCTGGGACTTTTGGCGCCATTATGAACTGTTGCTTGGTGCGGTTGGCTGTGGCCTCCCCCACGCGCGGTGAAGATGCGGAGGCGGCGGCGGCGGCGGGAGGTCAAAGAGCGTTGCATCGTTTAGACCCTTCCCGGCGGCCCAATGTTCCCACATCTAGATGGATAATGGGGAAATGTGGTACGCGTCCGGCCGGTACTCGGACGTGGGATTGCCTTAGCTCCAGAGGGGACGGCCCCTGCTTGATCGACTGATGGATGGATGGTGGGTGTCTGGGTTGTGTCGGCTTGGGTTTTGATTTACGATGGCAAATGGATCTATCTCTCTACCGCCTAGACCGTAGTCTAGAGGGATGGGGGGAGGCGCTTTCATTACCATTGCCCAGGGACCATGGCCACACCTTTTCATCAACCCTTGTCTTTCATTCTCTTTTGTCTCGCTCTCGCTCGTCTTCTCTCGGATTTTTGCATGGCCGAGCCTCCGCTGACTTGATGAACAAACGGTATCATCTTGGTAAGTTGGGTTGTCTCTCGTCTTCATCTGCTTTGGTTTCAGTATCTCGATTTGTGTCTTTGTCTCTCCGCGTCTGAGTGAGTCCCGCGCGTTGTCTGTTTTATCAAGTATCAACATCAACCCCCTCTTCATCCTGCTCCCCTCCAACACCCAACCTAGCCCTGTCCACGGCACGGCACCCATGCCATCCCTACGAGCCCATACCCATGCTCGATATCCACAGCTCCATGCCTAGGCGGATATAGTGGCCATGGTCCTGGGAATCCACCATCGCCCATCACCCACACACGCCACCCGCGTGTGTCAAAAGACAGCCGCGCATATTGCTCACTCCCTCACTCGTTCACCAGTTCATTCACACACCCGGCTCTCTGCACTCTGCCTTGAGAATCCCGTTCTGCCTTGTCGCCGACTTCACTTATTAAACATTACGGCCTTCCCATTCGTTCGCTTTCCCCTGCCATTAATTCCATCTGCCGCGTCTTTCCTCATCTTAATCTCCCGAATCCCGTGACTCGGCCGGCTTCCTGATCCAGCCCGATCCCTAGAACCACAACCCAAAACACAACTCATACCCCAAACCCGTCCTGTATTTCGTCCTTCTACCTCGTCATCTACCATCTTGACACCTTTCTCACTTGCTTCCCCTCATCCACTTTTACGTCCGCTATCAGAGAGCAGAGAAAGGGCGGCTATCGCCACTTCCCGAGCTCCGTACCCACACTTCGGCCGAAGGCACGCAGTGCTAACTTATCTACCTTACTACTTGAAAGTCACCGAGACCAGACGCTAAGGAACCAACAACTCACACCATTCACTCGCACCTCGTATTTCATCTCCGCCAAACATTCCATTTCCTCAGCGTTTGCTGCGAGTAGATGCACTTACCATCTCCCCAGGCCAAGAGCCGCTGCTGTCACCGAACTGGCTCCCCTTTCGTTCTGAACTCCGTGCGTGCTTGAAAGAGCTCTGCATCCGCTCAACCGCTGAGCCGCTTTGCTCGTTGGGCGACTTTTTTGCTCAGCTGCGTTGGGTTGAGTTTGATCGTGCATTGTAAAACGCCGATTGCCGAACTGGACGGCAGTTGTATGGACGTGCAGGACGCAGACAGGGAGTTAAAGTCAACATGGAGATCCAGTTTTCGATCCCGCTCACAGTCAACCGCACTGCCAACACTACCAAGTACGTCGCCGCTCCCACCCATATTTTGGCTGATCGCTTGTAAACGTGGAGAAAAGCTGACTGGAAGCATCTTTGTCGAAACAGCCCGCCAGCAGATCCGGGTCGGTCAGCAGGCGCATCCGCAGCGAGAGGCGGGACCCATCGCTTTGCTCTCGAGACGAGGACGAGACATACCCGACGCAGCTCTACGCGAGCACGCACGGGATGTAGCACCTGTAAGTCTGATTGTAGCTATTCGCATTGGTGAGGTTGGATCGTTGCTGACTGAATCTCCAGGCAAGTAAGTATTACTGAAATCAACCTCCAACTGATCCGGGATACGGATATCGCCACGAGAACTACACCAAGGGGCTATGCAAGGGACACCGACTAATAACTCGTGTCACAGGAAGCGACACGTCAAGTGCGACGAAACCAAGCCCTCCTGTCTCAACTGTATGAAATGGCGAGGCTATTGTGACGGCTACTCCGAGTCCTCCGAAGGACAACCGTCTCGCTCAGAGACTCCCGCAAAGCCCACCCCCAACAAGGCCAACTCGAGCGCGAAGCTCATCCACACGAAGAAGGCTCCCCTCATCCTCGAAGAGCCTGCCATCAACACCATCTGCTTCACCAGCAGCGAACAGCGCTCCTACTTCGACGAGTGGTCTTCCCTGTCTGTCCAGTTCCTCAGCGGCGGTCTGGGCCAATCGCGACTATGGACCACAACGATGCCACAGCTCACGCTACAAGAGCCAACTCTACGATATGCTGCCATGGCAGTTGGGGCCTTGCGTAAGGCAGCTTTCGATGTCGAGTCCGGAGCTAGTTTCCCGACGGGCGATCTTATGGACAATAAGCACTCGTTGAACGCCATCTTTTACTACTGCGAGGCCCTGCGGATGCAAGCGAGGGCGAGGGTGACCAAGGAGAGCTTGCGTACGGCAATGTTGGCGTCTCTGCTGTTCATCTGCTTCGAGGCTCAACGGGGCAATATCCCTGCCGCCCTTAAGCACGTCACCCATGGGTTCAGCATGCTTAACGAGCTCGCCGCCTGCACCGAAAAAGCCCCTGATCTGGTCCGCATCGCCCCAGCGCCACCCGCACTGGTACAGGAGATTCTGGATTGTTATAGGCCGTTGGAACTCCAGTCTCGCTCCTTTATGGGCTCATACAAGAAGTTCTTCTTCCCTCCGAAGCAACAACAGCGACCTACACCCCACGATTCCACCGCTCCCCCAGCCTCAAACCCCGCCGGTCCACCCACCGGACATCCCGCCGGTCCCACCGGTCATCCGACTGGTCCTTCTGCCGGTCCTCCCATACCAACTCCTCCGGGTCAACCGGGGTCACCATGGCAAGGCGGTCCTCCTAATCGGGAGCCGCCCACTGGCCTACCAAGTCCTCAAAGCCAGGGAAGCCCACGCAGCCAGGCCGAGCAGCAGGCGCCTTCAAGAGGACCTCCACAGAGACCGCCAGGTATCGCTCCATTCACGAAGCATTCACCCTATTTTCGACCAAAACAAACCAATATCACCAAGCTCGAGGAGATGCCCCCGGTGTTCAAGGCTCTGGGCGAGGCGCATGGATACTGGGCTCTATTGCAAAGGCAGATGGTCCAGTACATCCCAGTGCTGACTGCGACGACTGCACGGCTCGGTCTGACCCATGTGGTAAGTCTTGAGGAGCTGGATGTGAAGTTGTCAAGCGTCAGGCAACAACCAACAATTGCCAAGTTCGTTGACGAGTCGAGGTATTGGCTTCAGAGATGGTCTGCGGCTTTTGATCCGTTGCTCCAGGCAGCTACAAATAACCGGCATGTCAATATGGACCCTTACCTTCAGGTTATCAACCTCCGAATCGAGTACCTCATCCTCTATGTATACACCGCCATGCCCCGGTTTGCCGGCCTCGAGGTCGCCCAGGCGCTCACACCTCAGTACAAAGAAATCAACTCCATCGCTGAGACGCTGATCTCGTGTCGACCGAACTGCGGGTTTGCAATGGATTCTGGGTGGACTTGGCCCGTCTTTGTTTCTTCCTTTGGATGTCGAGATCCCGCAGTCCGAGACGACGCTATCCGAATACTTAAACAGTACCCCATTCGCAATGCCCTGCGCGACAGCCGTATTTACAAGGCCATTTCACTGAAGAACCGCGAAGTCGAGGCCATGGTCTCGAGGGAGGGTGGGGACGTGAATGAACAGTGGTTGCGATTGCGGAGGCGAGAACTGGTGTTTGAAGACCTGGGATCGAGCGTTATCTTCCGGTCGTCCCAAAAGAACCCCGAGACGGGTGCGTGGGAACTGGTGGAAGAGGTTGCCGCGTTTGAGGTGGGGCCTGATGATCAGCTTGACTGGCATCGGCAACCTATTTCACCATCACTGTCTATTCTTTCGGGAGTCTGTTAAGAATATGAGAAACACCGTGGGTGTGATGAATGGGAACGACCATGTGGATGGATGTTAAGACGAGAGTTATGATGGCGCTATGCAAGAGGAGGACGCGCTTTATGAACGCTTTATTGTTGCTATTGCCAAGCTTTTAGGCTTCTGGGACTGTAGGATACAAACGGCGTTATCACGGAATTGGATCCCTCTTCACTGGGCAAATTCACCAAGCTGCCTGTTTCATTTGCAATTTATTCATCTCAAGTTGACGTGATTCTCGAGGAAGTTGGAGATGTGGGTTGTCGCGCTGATGTCATGCTTCTCGTTGTGCCCATTGTACTCATGCTTTGGGGACTGTCGGTGGTGGTTTTAGAGAGGTGTATGAAACGGCAATGGTGGGACACTGTCAACGCTGTTGGCCAAGATGATATTATCAAATTGGGGAGCTTGTTCTTCGAGATTGGTAGTCACTCACCTCATTTAACATCACAATTACACACAGCTAAGGCTCCTGGACTACATGTTCTTTTCCAGTTCTAGTAGTACGAGGTCAACTGGTGCCCAACGCCTTGATGCGGTAATTGCATTTTCGGCGGTGCCTGTGCCTCAGGGATACTTTCCCAGTCGTTCGTCCGCCACTCTGCTTCTCCCTTTGCAGTGGTAAATGGAGTTGGGGTTTCAAAACTGCGGGCGAGGTGATTTTATTTCCAGCTTGGGGCGGTTACGGTCAGCAATTAGTTATGTTTCGGAACCATGCATTTGGTTCGGGGGCTACGACTAGGCAACGGCCACCACCCTGGGCATGAGGGCATCATTTATCCAACCATCGAATCCCAAGCTCGTCGCTTGAACTCGCACATCAGTGGTCAGAGATGAAGTGTTGGTTGTTCGTGGGGCTGACTGTCTACAAGCAAACTCTACTGCGTAGTAGATCTGATAGCTAACCGTCACATACCCCTGTAGGTCGCTCTGTGAGAGAGATTCTTTTCTAGACCTTGGACCTCCAAAAAGTTTCCGCTTATCCCACGCCCTTTGCTCCCCTCCCTCTGTCACAGCCGTCTCTCTCTCGGACAGAATGTGTGCTTCTGCTTGTCTTCTCACCTCTGTCTATTGTCATCTAAGGTTCGGTTGGGTTCTAAACTTAACGCCCGGGAACCCGCTTAAGCCTGGAATAATTGAGGTAAGCCTGTGTTTGCTTGTACGACTACAAACGCGCAGATTGCTTGGCCAAGCAAGGGATCCAATTGACGCTGAACAGCGTTCAATCGAGGTTTCTGTCCATGCGGTGTAAATCAAGCCTCCAAAATCCCACTTCTCTCCGCCAACGCCCCAAGCCAATTGTGAGGGACCTTAGAGAGGTGGAGTGTGCAATACGGCAATGTTAGCGATTGACGCATCAAGTTGTACTGATTGGGGCCCGAAACACGCAATATACGGTCAACGTTTATTCAATATTGGCTCAATTAGACGCCATTCCCAGAAAGTGCACTGGGATAACTAGGCACACCGGGATGACGTCCTCAGAGAGCAGTTGAGAGAGTCTCCTCCGTCAGCGGAGACTAGCGCAAACAACCAAGTCAAACACTGCAGCTTCCCGTTTGTTTTTTATTCCACAGTCTTCTCTATTATTCCCTGCACGGTTGCCGTTCCAGCCTGATGGCCTTACACGGGCTGGCCCGGGGAAATAAGAGTGAATCACTGGTCGTCAATGAGGGTTCCCACCCGGGCGCATACTTCAAATTTCTCTACCAGGTCTCGACTTTCTCACATAAAGCGCCTTTCTCCCCACGTTCGCGTACTTAGTATTACATTTGTTTAGCCATTCGTCTGTCGACTCACTCAATACGAAGGACGAGCACCAGGCTACCGGCCATCTCTTTGCCGGTGCTCCCCATTCTGTGTCAGATGGGAACCTCCCAGGATACTGCCACAAAAGTACACACTCCCTACCATTTAGCCCCATGACGGAAGTTAGTCTGATGTCTTGTGTTTCCAGAATACAGTCTAGTAATCACGGCCAAGGTAAATACCCGTATCCAGGCCGACTACTCCCGCAGTCGTCACCCAGCATCCGCCAGACCACATGAAGCCCTGGATTCTGGCATAGGAAGAAGGAGTTTCTCATACCTACCTAGTTGTGGACTCCCTACCTACCTACTGAGTTGCCATATCCAATTCACCAGGAATATCCAAGTCGATTGTCTACAACTGCCTTCCAGCACCACGACAAAAGAAGACGTAACTGCCACCGGCCTGTGTTTCCCATTATCTTCCCGGCAGGCTCAAGCCACTGGTATAACATTGGCCACCCTTTCCTTGACACCTGCCTCGCAGCTGGCAACGGGATTTTTTTGCTGCGCACCGCACACTAGGCCAGCCCACCTGCAGATTACATTCACTTTTCCCTCCTTTCTCTTCTTCTTCTTCTTTCTCTTCTTTTCACTTCCTTTCACTTCCTCCATCCCCCCTCGTCACCCTGTCCTCACTTCGTCATTTACTTCCCGACAACTTCCCAAAAGCATCCGCGGGAGTGATTGGCACCCGCCGTTTCTCGATCTTCCCCAACCACGGTCGCAGACCAGGTACTCCGACATCACGTGGAGACGCGAGGGAGTCTCCATCCGCCCGGATTCCTCGCGAGGAAGAAGAGGTGAGGCCTTTCCCTGCTGCCTCGGTCACGTTGCGTTTTGTCCCTTTCATCCACAGCCGCTCGTGGACGAGGCTTCACCTCAACGCGGCAAACGGCTCCATCTGCATCATCCTGATCAGCCCTTATTGTGCCTGCTTCTGGCCGCCCCCTTTACTGCCTTTCGCGACCTCCTTTTGAAGTTTATTTACCCTTCAACCTACGACTCTTGTCACTCGAGATTAACCTCACCCAGACCAGCCCCCGGCGTCTCGTATCCCCTCGTGGCCAACATGGCCAGGGATCAGGTACAGTGGCAATCTGTCTTAGGCTTTCTTATTTCTCTAACACTCTCAGGTGACCCAGGAACCCTTCGCCCGAGACATAATAGAACAGCATGTTCTGACAAAGCAACTGGGCTCTCGCCCAGGAGGAGATGCCATCGGCCCCCCGAACTGGCAAAGTTGCCCCGAGTTGCCGACATCTGCAGAAGTCATGAATGCAGAGCCTGGTCATTTACCCGAGAACTCGAAGGACGTGCCAACAAAGTTGCAGTACCTCGAGAGCCAGTACTGGCTCACGAGATTCGAAGGAACCGAGCTGCTCCGCCGAGCGGTGAATCACATCCGCGCGTGCCCTAACATGATGGAGGACTCTGATTTCTACATCTACACCCAAGTATGGCTTTTTGTTGATCACTTATTCCCTAGCTAACAGCTCTCAGGTTCACGTGCAAGGGTATCTCTTCACAAGGTCCGGCGCTGCCTGCCGAATATCGTTTTCCACGGAGCGATCTCCCTCAAAGGTCCTCTGGAGACACTCTAAACGCCTCACGCCGCAAACGTTGGTTGCCCTATCGCCACGCTCAGACAATTTCAAGACTCAATGCTTTGTTGCTGTCGTTGCAGAACGGTGTTTGAACGGCGGGGTTGAACCAAATTTCCAGGCTGGAGAAGACGAGAACACGCCGCCTCGAATCGACATTTTCTGGGCAAATCACGAAGATGCCATTCTTGATCCCTCTGTTGATCTCATAATGGTCGAGGCAAAGGGGGGCTATTTCGAGCCCATTCGCCATGCCCTAGTCGGCCTTCAACACGCTGCCTTTTCCGAGTGAGTTGCTTCGTCTTGAACTATTCGCGCTCAGCCTCTAACCATATCCGACAGATCCAAATTCGACAAGTACATTGTTGAAGGGTACGAAAGAAGTTTGCCGGCAGCATACTTTCAAGAGGCTAAACAATCTGTCCATATTCCGATTGCTGCGTCGCAATTCGACTATTCCCAGATGGAGGCGTTTAACTGCATGACTTCTCGTGAGCTTGCCATTGTCCAAGGCCCTCCTGGAACAGGAAAAACATTCACTTCAATCGTCGCAATCCAGAGCTATATCCAGACTCTGCAGGCCAACAAAGGAAAGGACGAACCACCATCCCTTGTCGTCGTTTCAGCTCAGACAAACCATGCTCTGGACCAGCTCTTGGAGCGATGCATCCAGGTTGGAGCAAATGTTGTACGTCTCGGGGGTCGGTCTAAAGTGGCTGCGATTTGCGAACGCAGCATGTACAACCTCGAACAAGGCTCAAAGGTCAAGGCCGGCCCTGCCCAAGGAGAGAACAGTCGGAAAACCACTCTCCGCAATCTCAGGGATGCACTGTCGATGTGTTTTCCAGGTGGCCTCATCAGTGCAGATCATCTTTACCGTGAAGGGCTCCTTTCAAAAGAGCAGTTCGACTCCCTTCGTGACAATGATTGGGAGACAGCAGCGGTACAGCCGTCAGTCAAGGTCGACAGCCCCGATGGCCCTGATAACCCCAATGACACAGAGGATACCTTTGGTGGTTCAATAGCTGCGTGGCTTGAAGATTGTGTCGAACAAGATCAGACATACGTCTATCGCCCCCCACAAGGTCAAGCCGAAGTCACACCAGATGCCTTTGAGAGTGGGCACGAATATCAGCCCCCAGAGGATGAGGATGAAGAGCGAGAGCGCCTGAAGGGAGAGTTCATTTCCACAGAGTTTTACTGGACGGGCTCAGTGCCAGGCTCTATGTCAAGAAATTCTGCTTGGTACTATCAAGGTTGCAAGTATCTGCGCAAGTACTCGGATCTCTACCAAGTCAAACCGCCTCAACGTGGTATGGTTTACCGATGCCTTCGACAGCAGCTTATCGAAAAGATAACTGGGCAGTTTCCCAAGCTCCTCCAGGTCTACCAAAATGCCTGCGATGACATCAAGATCAACAAATGGGGCCGACAGGTCAAGGTCGTTCAGCATGAGGGCGTTGAGGTGCTTGGATGCACAACCACTGGGTTGACCAAGTATCGCGGGCTGATCTCGGCAATGAAACCTCGTATTCTAATGATTGAGGAGGCCGCAGAGACTTGGGAGGCAAACATCACATCAGCTTTATATCCATCTCTTGACCAGGTGGCCCTTGTCGGCGACCATCAACAGCTGGTGCCAGGAGTCGATGTCTCGGAGTTAAAACAACACCCCTACAATCTCGACGTATCTCTCTTCGAGCGGTTGGTTCATCTCAACCTTCCATATTCAATGCTCAAGGTCCAGCGACGCACGATACCCATCATCAGGTCTGTCGTCAATACGTTTTATCCCGAGATAGAGGATCATGAGTCTGTCAAGGATCCACGCATTCATCCACCAGTTCCTGGAATGGGTGGGCAGAACCTTTGGTGGTTCCAGCATCAATGGGGCGACAGCCAAAATGCGGAGCGCTCTTACTACAATACGAACGAGGCAGCGATGATTGTAGGGTTCGTCAAATACCTGGTGCAGAATGGGGTGCGCCCGTCCCTGATTACAGTGTTGACCTATTACAACGGTCAAGTTGCCGACATCCTCAGCAAGCTCAGAAGGAGCGCGACACTCGCCAACTTCAACCCAACCAAGGAGTGGTCTGTCAGAACTGTCGATGGCTTCCAGGGAGAGGAGAATGAGATCATTATTCTTTCACTAGTCCGAAGCCCAGCAAGTCCTCACCATCGCCCCAGGGCCGGTTTTGTCGAGAACGAAAACCGTGCTGTTGTCGCGACAAGCCGTGCCCGTTGCGGTATGTACATCTTTGGCAACAGTGACAACCTCCTCAGAAGCACCCCTGAAAGCGCCGAAACATGGCAACGAGTCTACGACATCTTTATCAAGGAGGGATGCATTGGGTACAAGCTGCCAGTGGCCTGCAAGAAGCACGACCGCATCACTGAAATTGGCCACCCTGCTGATTGGGAGACGATTCCAGGAGGCGGGTGCATGGAACCCTGCGGCGAGACATGCCCAGAAGGCCACCCATGCGAAGCGATATGCCATGCCGCCAACGAGGCACAGGTCAGATGCCGAGAGATGTGCGAGAGAATCCTACCATGCAACCACAGGTGCGGCTCCTTCTGTGGAACCCCTTGCGAATGTCCTCGTGGATGCAACAAACCCGCTCTCACGGAAGTGGACATGCCACTACGGCCACCTCCTACAATAGCAGCTGGAAACCAAGCAGGTGAACAACCAAGCTCACGTAACGAGCCACCTCGTGGTAGAGGGGGGAGAGGAGGGAGAGGCGCCCTAGATACCCAAGGCGCTCCTCGAGGTGCTAAGAAGGGAAAAAGGTTCAGAGGTGGTGGTGGAGGCCAGCAGTCACAACCTATGCCCATTTCCCTTCCCATCCGAGAGCAATCGACGCAGGGGACCCAAGGCCAAGTCCAAAATCATCAAGACGAGCCGACGAGCGAGGAACTGATGGAATTTGGCTATCACGCGGGGATAGCGGAGCAACATGTGCAGGTTAAACGGGCAGCCGAGAACCACGCATCAACTACACTGATTCCGGACCTTGTTCCAATGGCATCAGTGTTCGAGAGCGCTGCGTTGTCAGAGGAATCTACCTCGGATAAATGGAGCCCGCAAAAGGTTATGGAAAGGGATAGAGCATTGCAATTATCGTTACAGCGCACCGATCTCAGTCCGACTCGACGCTCAACCAGGATTCGGCAAACATTCTATCCCACAGCCTTAGACAGCGCAGGTTGCAGGCAACCTATCGTCACGGAGCACATCTTTCCTGCACCACAACTTCAACAGAGGCCCATGACGGTTCGAAGTGAAGCTGGCAGTGCGTATTCGGAGCAGCCCAGTCGAAAGCAACGCGTGCTCGACATCGCAGCTGGGTTCGACATTGCCGACCACTTGGAGAGTTTTAGCTCAACCTCAGGATTCGACGATGTGCGACAGTCAAGCCCAGAGCAAGAGCAGGTCTCGGGGGCAGATAGCCTTCTTATGCCCCTTATCCAGTTTGACTAAAGAAAGGAGGGTATTGGAAACCTGGAAGCTGAGTATCAGGTTGTCCAAAGGGCATAGCTATGGGAGAGATGGATTGTGGCGGCTTCTGGAAGATTACGGGGATTAACATTGCTTGATTTGGGAGGGTGCTAAGGACCTTGTCGTTTCATACAGTTTTAGGCACTAAAGGATCAGTCTTGATGAAACCCATTTTCTCGCTGGGTGATGTTGAATGATTGTGGAGAGTCGGTGATGTGCTGCAAGTATAAAGGCGGTGGTGGACCGCCAGTGGGGACATGGATGCACCCTCCTGCTGGACTTGGACTCGGTGGTGGGGGAATTTCCGAAGTCAATCCGCGGGTTGGACACACTGTACCTCGAGGTCAAAGACACGCGACTTCGGACTTGGACTTGTAATTTTCTCGAGGCCCTTCGACCAATGCTACTTAGTGGCCCGCGCCTTGATTTCTCCGTGTAAATCTTCTTTGTTCTCCGCTACAGACCTCGGCCTGGTCCTCACGCTTGACGCCAACAGGAGCTTCAACTTGCGTCAGACTAGAGCCTCGAGACAGGGCTGCGCGCGCATCAGCAATTTGGGGCACTTGTTGCGACTCCCCTCGCTTTCGAAGCATGCCAACTCGACCATAACGGCCCTGTACTTGTTGTCACCAGATTGCGACCGAATCGGCCCGGGTTTCGGTGAGGTTGGCCGGTTGCGACGAGATGGATGACGACCGGTTGTCGGCGAGCTCGGGCGAGTCGGACCACGAGAACGGCAACGAGCATGAGAACGACGCGGACGAGATCATGGAGGACGCGGAAGACGTTGGGAACGACAACGACCCCGATGCGGACGACGACGAGAACAACGACGATGAGGAGGACGACGCGGATGGCGATGGGGACGCCGACGGGGACGCTGATGGAGACGCCGACGGCGAGAACGACGCGGATGGAGAGGGCGAGAGCGAAAGCCAGACGGTGAACGCAAGGACAAATGGCGACGCAAAAATCAAGACTGAGCCCGATAGCCAGGTCAATGGCCAGCCTAACGGTCTTACCAACGGCGACGCGTCGAGAGTCAAGTCGGCCACGCCCGCGCCTCCGCCCTGGCTCGCCCGGTGGCCCGTCCCAAGCCCCGAGGTCATGAACGCGCGCTTCTACGATATTGTCCCAACTATGGCGGCGCCTCAGTCGACGAGCGTCAACGCGATGGCCATTACGCCCGACCTGCGGTACTGGATCACTGGAGGCTCCGACGGGTACATTCGCAAGTACGACGGACCCGGCACCATCAACGGCAAGTCAGCATTGACGGTGGCGCAGAAGCACCCCTTTGTGGACAGCGTCACGAAGGCTGGTATTCTCATGTCGTACTGGGAAAATGAGGAGCCCGCGCCTCCAGGTCGCGGTGACCAGGAGCACATCCTGTCGCCCGTCTACTCGCTCGCCGTTCAAGCCGAAGCGCTCTGGCTTCTCTCGGGACTTGAGTCTGGAGGCATCAACCTGCAGAGTGTGCGGCATGACGAGGGCAAGCGTATCTGTTGTCTACAGCAGCATACCAACGCGGTCAGCGTCTTGACCCTGGCACAAGACGAGAGGAGTGTGCTCAGCGGCAGCTGGGACAAGAACATCTTGGACTGGGACCTGAACACGGGCCAGACTCTCAGGAGTTTCGATGGCAGCGCAGGACAGATATCAGCCATCGAGCTACGGCCGGCGAACGGGGCCCCAGTTCCAGATGAGGCTGATGAACCCCTACCATCCACGACTATAGTGACCAACAACGCCCTACCGCCAGTGAATGGAACTTTCACAAACGGCGTCACCGAAACCAGCGTGGCAGACTTCACCCAGGACTCCAACTCCGGGAACATGGACGCCCAGGGGTCGCCCGCTGACGGGAGTCTATTTGGCGGAAGCGACGCGGGGAGCCTTTTTGGTGAGACGGCGGGAGACCAACCATTTGGACACGACGAGGATGAGTACGGCACGAACGCTATGGGCATGATGCCGGGCCACGAGCATGACAGCGGTATGGACCACTCTGCAGACATGGCCATGGCGAGCCTTCGAGATCCGGAGAAGGATCCAGAGCCAGATACAGCACCGGCTATACAACTACTTGCTGAGGCAGACGCAATGGAGGTAGATGCCCCGTCGTCACAGCTTCTGGGGGAATCGGAACCTGCGATTGCGTCCCATATCGAACAATCATTAGACACGAGCCAGGGGCAGCAAGATCAGCCATCTCAAAATACGGATGGGGGCGACGCAACTGCTCTGAAGAGATCGCAATCTCCATCGGCGTTCCTTGTTACCGATCCGCCAACACAGCAGCATGATCCAACGCAGACATCGCAGACGACCTTTCTTTCAGCGGCGATTGACGGAACACTGCGCATCTGGGACCGACGGGTGCCGAACCCCGTGGCGCGCATCGACAACCGAGCGGGCGTGCCTCCTTGGTGTATGGGAGCATGCTGGAGCCCCGACGGAAACATGGTCTACGCAGGACGGAGGAACGGCACCGTCGAGGAGTTTGATATCCGCAAGGCGAAGCGAGGATGGGAGCCTGAGCGCGTGTTGAAGTTGCCGGCGGGCAGCGGAGCGGTGAGCACGGTGCGGCCGATGGTCAACGGGAGACATTTGGTGTGGTATGTGGTTCTACGTGATTGCCCCTTGGAATTGTGACTTTGGAACTAACATGTGCATCTCCAGTGCGTCATATGATATTCTTCGACTGTATGACCTGCGCGATACTCGATCTTACAAGCACTCGAGTGTCCCCTTCCTCATCATCCCCGGTCCGCCCAGGGCGGGTGTCGTTTCAGGCCTGTATATTGATCCAACTAGTAGATTCATGCTCAGCTCGGCGGGGACACGAGGCTGGGAGGGTTCGAGCACCGAGGTGTTGATCGGGTACGAAATCAACGTGTCAAATCGAGAATAACGTGTCAGATTCGCCGTGGCAAGCGGGGGCGCAAATGACGCGGGAGAAGAGTTCATTGCATGGCATGTATCGAATGGTTTGGGTTTTGGACACGGCGGGTTCTTGGAAAGCCGGGTGTTGGGCGTCTAGACGTGTATTGATGGGAAACTTGGCCGTGGAGTTGGAGCAGCGCATATATCCCCGTTTAAAGTATATGTTTACCAGGGAGAGGCGCGTTTCAAGGGATGCAATGTGTATGACGGAGTGTAGCGTTTAGTTGAACTCGGCCAGTCAAGTCGGCCATGGTCTATATCAGTTCAGCATGTGCACAGGTGGATGTGGTTTTCGTAACAGGGGTTGCTTGATTATGAAGAAAACTAACTAGAGCACAGTTGAGTCGAGACTGGGTTAACTAAACAATCTCAGGGATATCAAACAGAATACGATCAGCGCTCACGAGTTTAGAACATGACCGGATAATCATTATCCAATACCCAATCTCGCGTCCTGGGCGGCACTGGAGGCATCCCGGCCACCTCACGAAGGCGTCGCTCCCGATTCTTCCGCCCTGCGCAACTCGCGCTGTCCTCGGGCCCAACTGTCGCCACCTCGATACCATCTTCATCTTCTTCATCTTCCTCGCCTTCTTCCTCTTCTTCGTCATCACTCTCATCAGTCTCCGCCACTCTGTTCAGTCCGGGCCACTCCGTCGACACAGTTCTGCGGCTCAGCCGCTCCTCGCCGAGGGCCTCCCCGCGCCACGCCGAGACGTTGGCCTTGCTACACTCATGCGGTGTCCGGCCGGCGGACTGCAGAGACAATGGGGGATTTTGTTTGACGATGGAGATGGGTTTCAGCTGCGGCGTCGGCGGCTCGGCCGATGGGAAGACTTCAATGCGCGGGCGGAAGCCATTTGCAGCGCTGTGCACCACGATCTCGCCGGGGAAGTGTTGGCCAGGCATGCGCGGGATGTGTGCGAAGAGGGGGTCGGTGGCAGGGTCGAAGGAGCATTCGCTCCGGCTAAGGTGTCGATAGTCATCATCAAAGTGCAGGGCCGGGATGACTGTGCTCTCGCTGTGCAGAGCTTGTCTGTCTCCAGCGTTGGAAGATGGAGGAACATGGCTCCTGGGCGGTTTGAGATGATTCTTGAGACGGAGACCCCAGGACGGCGACGCGTGGATCTGGCTGTGTTCTGATCTCTCAGAGAAGGCCGATGGTGGAAGCGACAGAGGTGACATGGGAGGAATCGTCGACCGGTTCAACGACAGACGAGAACAGATATGAGGCCAAAACGACATGGCGCCATCAGACTCAGTGCTACATCGAGCGCCTCGATACATCGTTGTCTCTGGCTCTTGGTTCGGGGTATGGTGTGGATTCTCCCAAACTTCCTTCTCTGATGATGGCTTCGGCTCGAGCTGTTCGTTCAGGTAATGGTGCGGATCTTCCCAAACCTCCTTCTCTGATGCGGGCCGTGGCTGCAGTTCTTCGTTCAGGTAATGGTATCGCCTTTCCGAAACTTCCTCAGCTAGTAATGGTTGCGCCTCTGGCTGTTGCCTCAGAGTCTGATACAGATTATCCCAAACTTCCTTGTCTGATGATGGTTGTGGCTCCAGCTTATCGTTCAGGTAATGGTATCGACTTTCCCAAACTCCATTCTCCGACAGTGGTTGTGGCTCTGACTCTGGTTTCGAAGTCTGGTATGGCTTCTCCGGAAGTGGAATCTTCGGGGGTGGCTTGGGGGACCCCTTTATGCTACTCTTCTCCGTACAGTCCGGAGTGATCTGGACTAAGCTTGGCTTGATTAAACTCAGATCAACTGAACTCAATAGACTAGGCTCGTACAAGGGGAGCTCATGTGGCTTCTGCCTAAATGAAGGCTGTTCAACTGAACTCTTCTCGTCTAGGCTGGGCGTAAAGAACCCATTCTCATACAGCCCGTTCACCGATTGAATAGGCTGAGGCGAAGGGATATCGTAGAACGCATCCTCGTTCGAAATAGGCTTTTGTGGAGCACTGTCGTTTACATTGTTCGCGTCTGCACCGGTCTCGACTGGCTTCTTCCTTTCCGATTTCTTCTTATTTGACTTGTTCCCGCCCTTCTTCCGACTCACCCCCGTATACTGGGACCTAGCCTGTGCAACAAGAGCCTTGCGGACATCATCGTTCGCTGTGGCGAAGGCCAGTGCCTCGATGAAGGGCATCGACTTGGTCTTTACGGACCGCATTGAGAATATCCCGTATGCTGTAGAATGGATGGAAGTTTATGAGCGAGAAGTTTCCGCTATCGTCAAGTGGATTTTGTACAGGGACAGAGCAGGAAGGGAAAGCATAAGGCGATTTTTATACAGGTAGGTGGGAGGTAGAGTAAGGTGAACAGCCAGCGAGTATCCGAAATACATGGGTAATAGCTGGCAGTGTTCCTAAACTTGAGAAATGGACATGGAGGGAAATCCACCGGTGCAGAACTCATGTTCTCTTATCTTCAAGTAGTCTGTTTGTTCGCCAGAGTGGTAGATGCTCGTCCCATCTCATCCTACTCAGATATTTTGATCAAGACATAAGCAACGCTGCGAAATCTCCTCGCTCAAAAAGTCCATTTTGTACTCCTGAAACGCGTCGCCAACCCGCAAATCCGAGCTTCAGGCCATCCATCTCCCCAGGCAAACTGACTCCTGGAGCTATAGTGCAGGATGCTGTCTCTTTGTTTGTTCACGGAATGTTCTTGTCCCACCACCCGAGGCTCTTTGTTTTGGCCGGGCTTCTTTCCGCGTTTTGTGAACAAGGTCATTGTTCCCCAATATCCTCCAATGCGAGTCAAATACTCGAGTTATCAAGGCCATCGGATATGCGTACACTCTACCGGGAACGTACCTAGGGTATTGCCAGGCCTATGCCACTAGAATGCCCTCCACGTCTGCGCTCACCTCCATACTCCTGCTCACCGTGTAAGTCAACCACTCAGTGGGGCACGCCGAGACACTCTACACAGTTGGTCAAAGACATAGACAGACATACACTCAATCTCCAGCAAATGCACAATTAATTGGCCCCAGACACATGCTCACCTAAAATGCGACAACAATCTTGTCTTGTCTCGGGCATACCAGTTCAAGCACGTTCCCTTGACTGCCTCCCTTGATGACATGCCAGCTACCTCCCTTGCATATGACATCTTCCAGCTGCCATGTCTAATGAAAACATTTCTCACATTCGCACTAATGGTAAACAAATTGCTTCTTAAAATCATCTTATCCGGGTCTTTTTGCATTCCACTTCCTATTCCTATCTTACACACAGCGGGCATTTATACCCTTTGACAACAGACGAGCGCTGAAGCGCCCCATATATGCGTCAACGTCAAGAAAAGCCCGTTCATCATATACATCCGCACCCCATTGTTCTCTTCTCTCCCTCTCCCTCTCTTTCTCCTTCTACCTCGCCGTCCTCCTCCCAGAACATCTCGACTATTCACTAGTCTTCTCTTCTTCCTTTCCTTCCATTCTTCATCCATCCAAATCGACGTTCCAAGCTCACAAACCAAGGAAATAATGGGGTACAGGACAGATTGCCTCCAACGCCGTTTTTACCAGCACAAAAGAAGCCCGACAAGTTCCCAGATCCCACACCTGCTATGAACATATATGAAGAGAAAAACACAAAGGACAGGCTCCCTCACCTTTCGTCTCGAGGGGGGGTATTATCATTATCTACTAAAGGAAAAAAGATAAAACAAGGAAATGTGTGCTTGCACAGGGACGAAGCCGAGTCGGTCGAGCCGGTCGGTCGGGGTTCGATTCAATGAAAAAGGGGGGCGCCACTGTTGGGCAAGCCCGGCCTTGGGGTTGCATGCGATGTGAACAAAAAAGGGAAAATTCGAAGTCTCGGCGACGTCCATACTGGGGAAAGCATTGCCTGCTCATATCGAGCTAGGCTCATGAAGTGACGCGAGGGTCGCTGAAATATTGTACCATACCCCAGTCGGAGGGTGCACCATTGGGTTGATGTTGCTGTGTTGGGGTAGCCTGCTGCTCCATGACAGCGCCAGCCAAGCTCTCCCAGTCGTCGAACACGACGGGTGCAGGAGAGTACTCGAAGTCCATCATCGAGTCACCAGCCTCCTGGGCGTGTGACGGCGGTGCTGGCAGCTCACGCTTGTCTAAAGGCGAGGGCGCAGGAGGTGGCATCAAGGGAGAAGTGGAGGGTCCCAGGGGCGAGTGAGAGGCCGAATCGGGTGAGGGTCGCCCCGTAGGGTACGACTGCGATGGTACCAGAATGGTATTGCGGAAAGGCGTGGTGAAGGGATTCTGCTGCGGGTCTGGCGAGGGCATCATCGACTGGTGAGATGCCTGAGTTGGCAGGGTCATAAACGACATGCGAGGGTCGAAGCCTTGAGGGGTAAGGCTGGCATGCGAATACTGGGGAGATGGAATAGGCGCGGAGGTGAGGACGATATCAGCAAGATCATACGCCACGCTGACGATCCATTGGGCCTCGCCCTCATCGCCAGAGAAGAACTCGAGGAGATCCTGCAGTTGGCCGGGGTTCTCATTCTCAAGGAAACCCTGGGCGCGTCCAGTCTTGCTGGGGTGCCAGCTGAACTGAGGTCGACGACCGTTGTACTCGGGCTGCTTGCTCACAACGAGAGCATCCCAGGCCTCGTGGATGAGAGGCTGGTGAAGGAGGCCGTACACGACTCGCGAGTGCATCCAGTCACCCTTGGTCATGCCAGACTCGAAATGACGAGCGACGTGCTCAACATGGCGCTCGCGAGCCGGGTGGAGGGCAGAACAAAAGCCACAAGCCCAGTACTTGCGCTTACGAAGGAACTTGACGACCTTCTCGGCGTGGGGGCAAGTCTTGCAACCATGGCACTGCTTGTGGTGCTGGTTGAACGAGTTGGAACCCCAGAAGCTGCGGTTGCAACCGGGCTCAGGGCAGGGGTACTTGCGCCAGCGCTCGTGAAATTCATCCTCGTGACGCTTCCAGTCGTACTTGCGCTTGAAGCTAGTTTCGCACGAGGTGCACCAGTAAATGTTGGTCTTTCCGGTAGTGCCGACGGGCGCGCCAAGGGGGCCGGTAACGGGAGTCGTCGGGGGGAGGGGAAGCGGCGCCTGGGATCGAGGGCAAGTCGATGTCGAGTGCCAAGAGACCGAGGACTGGCCAGAATTCGTGGACCAAATGGAGGCATGACCGGAGGAGCCGGATGAAGTTGAGGAGACGGATATCCTGGGACGATGGCTAAAGGGAGCCGAAGGAGGCATAAAGATGGCTACACACTATGTTAGATTATGTCCACGACTCAACACAGCATGGCAAGGCGCAATAAAGCGTGGCAAAGGCAATGAGATGAACGGGGGGGAGGAATCACGACGTACAAGAGACGTCCTCGGGGAGGGCCTCGACTTTAATGTCACTTGAGGGCGTTGTGGTCGTCGAGTTGTTGCTGGTGGGTGTGGTAACAGTCGGAATCGAAACAACAGGGACGGGAGGCGGTGGTGGGCATCGCATCGGTGGTGGCGGCACGAAGTTGGCTTGTTGTTGCTGATGGCTGACGAGCGTCGGTTGCTGATGCTGCTGAGGTTGCTGCTGCGGAAGTTGTTGGGGCTGCTGCTGCTGTTGGGCGGAAAGGGCGAGCTGCAGGGACGGGCTTTCGTCGACCCATTGGTGGAGGAGATCCTTGGAGAGGCCCGAGTCGATCAGGACCTGGAGGTTCTTCCTCGCCTCGGCAAGGACATCTTGAGCGTGGTGGTTATCGTGCATCTGGGGCGGCGACGGGCTCGGGTGTTGAGACGACATGATCGGATGCTGTTGTTGTTGATGCTGGAGCTGGTGTTGTTGCTGATGAGGACTCTGACTCTGATCCATGACCCGCTCTCACCACATCTGAGGGTAAAAAAGGCAACGGACGAAGACAAGAGCGAGCGAATGAACGAGAGACAAGAGCGAGCGTGGGTTTGCGGAGTGTGCAGTTGGTTGTTGTTGTTTGTTGTGTACGTGCGTACGGGCTTACGTCCAAGCAAAAGTGATGATTTTTTTCAAGCGAGTGTGGTGTGGACGAGCCGACGACGACGGAGGATGGCAGGCAACACACACACAAGAATGTGCGTGATGACCGGAAGGCGGCTGTAGTTGTATGAGCGCGTGGGAAGAGAGGAGGAGAGGGAAGAAGAGAGGGTCGGTCGAGTGTGGGTGGGAGGAGTTGGAGAGGTTAGATTAGAGAGTCGAGGCTTTGGGTGGAGGAGTGGGCGTGGGACGAGCGGGACGGGGTGGAAGGAGTGAAAAGTGGCCGAGGACGAGGACGAAGGAGGCGGAGGAGAGGGAAGGAGGAAGGGGCGAGTGGGAGTGCGCGAGTGTGGGAGTGGAAAGGAAGGAACGCCAAGCGTGGGAAGGCACGGACAAGGATGGGATACCCAGGCCAGGGACAGGCCAGGGACAGGTCAGGGACAGGATAGTACCTTGTACTCCGTGCTCCGTACTCCGTAGTCCGTAGCAAGCAGCAAGGAAGGCGCCTCTGCTCGGCTCCGTCTAACGTCCCTTTCTCGGTCTCGCCCAGGCTCTCTGCTCTACTGCGTATCGGCGTATCTGCTCTTAATGAGAAAAGGAAATGCGTGGGATATTTCTCCGACCAAAATTAGATCTTCCTCGTGGGAAGGGGGGGGTGGGCAATCGCGATGAAGGTTGCCTCCTGCCCTCCCTCTCCTTCCCTCCCGTGCGGTTCAGGTCTCAGGGCTCGGTCTTTTGGGCTGGCTGACTTAAAGTCCCCCAGCGACGCCCACCCAAACGCATTGTCCACCTAATTACAGAGTGCACCACAGCCGCGGAGACACACAAGCAATGAGGCACCAGCCGCCGCCGCCCCCAATGCCCTCTGTAAACAGAGTGGCTTCGCCCGCCAGCGCCGCCCCCGCCAGCCCCTCCTTCAGTGGCAGTGTGTGCCACTGGGGGGGAACCCAGCACGTCAGGTACAGGCCGCGACCCGAGCTATGAGTTCGGTTCCTATATTACATATTACACTGCAGCTTGCTACGTTGCGGTGCCCTAAAAAAAGTATACGGGATGGGTGAAAAAGTAAATTGAACGAGTCGCGCATCTGGCGGGTTCCGCTGGCTTCCCGTGGCTCGGGCTCGAAGGGGGGGGCGCTTGTGGAACCTGTCGCCCTCTGTTGTTGAACACACGGACGAGCTGATGTTTCCAGCGAAGGATATGGTGGTGGCGGAGGAGCAGGTCCAATTAATTACGTGCAGCTACGAGACCGAGGTCTACTACGCAGTGCCGATGCAGCGGAGAGAAGGTGGCCGCGTGGGGAGTGTGATCGAGTGAGACACTAAGAGTCGAACGGGCGGGTAGTGCCGCGTCGTGTGTGAGAATGTTGTCTCTCGAGATCGATCAATCATGTCGGGCCGAGTTGATCACTAATTTAGGAGATTGTGCAGAGATACAGAAAGGAAAGTTAGTCCAGGTTCTCGCCGGCCGTCTCTCACTATCTGGGTATCGGGTTTTTACGACTGACAATGGCAATTGTGCCTTGATTATGGGTGCCCGGGTCTGCTTCGCTTCCTTCAGCGAGCGCCTGTGCGTGGTGATCCAAATGGCGGATTTTCGTGCCATGTGGATGGATCGCCCAGCGGTGGATCCCAACCACAGGCGCTGAACGCACTGCACAGCACTGTCTCTCATTTACACGCTTCGTGGGCGCGAAGGAATTGCCTAGTTCGTACCTACCTACCATGTCGAGCCGCCGCCTCCGTTCCCCCTCTTCCCATCAGTCCAGCAAGAGAGTCAAGGCGAGCGCAAGGATGCCCACGCCGACGCATGGATGCGACCGTGACCGGGTCCCAGTCAGTCCCTGGGCGCGAGGAAGAGAGCGAAATGGGTCCCCTTTTACCTCTGTAGGGTCCTCGACTGGGGCCTGGGATTTCGCCCGGGATCAGAGACATGCAGGGAAAATGGGGCAGGGGGGGGCGGCATCGCAACTGGGGCCAACTCACAAAGGCGCGTCATTCTGGACCAAGTGTGAAGACTGTTGCGATGGCTGCGGGAGCAAAGACGAGCAGCCCGTTTTGCGTTTCGATTAGGGAACCACAGCGGCGGGCACAGCAATGCAGCAGCAGCAGAAAAAGAGGGGGCCAAGCTCGAGTGGCTGATGGCTAGGCTCGTCCATCCCCAGTCGATTCGATTGTCATCATCGCCGTAGTCCATCACCATCACAGACACACATCGCACCCCTGTCCTGCTGGGCCTGAGGTCATTCAGTGTGCTCCCGTCCCTCGGCCTCGTTCTGAGGGCTCTCCATTCGTCCTCCGAACCCCATGCCATGGCCCGTGGCTTTTAGGGGGCTTGACGTAGCTCCCCCTTCTCTAGCCCGCTGGCTGAGCGTCGTCGGTCTGATCCGTGCGAAGTGGGTTGCTGTCTTTCCTGGCCTGGAGCTGGGAGGGTCTGGTTCGCCGTGGGCCGCTCGTGTCTGTGTGTGTGCGTGTGTGTGTGCCGTCACGTCACTCTTTTTTTGGTTTTCTGCATTCGGCCTCTGCCGCGCGCTGTTTCTATATCACTGGTGTTTATTACATTTCATTTCTCCTAACTTCCGAAGCATGCGTCGGCGGAAAACAAAACAAAATCAACACACCAAGGAAATAAAGGGGGGCGTGTACGCATGACAAAGACGGAAGAAAGCCAGACTCCGTCGTCTCCTTGCTCCTTGATCTCCTTGTTCCCCCTTGCTCTCACACCGACTGACTGACTGATTGACTGGTCATCATCCTTCTGCTCTCTGTGCGTTCTTTTTCCTGTCGGTTTACCGAGCTTCTCTTTCCTCTCCCGTCATCCCGCCATGGGTTCCGGATACGCACGTCCTCAAGAAGCCAGCCCTCTTCTTTTTTTGGATGGTTTCTGGCAGCTCTGCCTCTCCCGTTGCAACAGGAACAGGCGTACCTGAAACAAAAGCAGCCAGGGCCACACCACCACTGCAGAGGATGCCTGGTGTGTCTGGTGTCGCTGGGTCGCTCGGGCGTTTGGGTCGTTGGGTGCTGGGTCGCTGGCTGTCGGGTTTCTCGCACAACGCGTCGCCCACAGCACCGAGCCCAGCGTTTCGAAACGGGTCCAGAGAGCGGCCGCAAGGTTCCCTCCAATCACGGTACGGGATCCCGGCCGGGAGTGTGCCGCTAAATCTTGCCGTCATCTTATGATTTTCCCAACTCTGGGTCCTGGCGACCTGGCTACTCCGCGCAGGGTGCAAAGAGCAAAAGAACGTGCCCCCAGGGACCGGCGACAGGGGCATGGGGAAGCTAAAGGAGAGCTCGGGGGCCCCTGGGCTAGCCCACGGCTTGGCTCGACCTGGCTGGCTTGGCGTGACTTGCACCAGGCTTGCTACGGGCCTTCTCGTTGGCCTGCTAAGCGGGAAGCACTCGACTTTGTCCGTGTCCCGTGGCCTGTGGCGGCCGTTATTCCACCCAGGAACCCGCTGAGCCCACTGAGAGTCCACTGAGCCCACTGCACTCCACTGCACTCCACTGCAACTCCACCTCAATCCAGGAGATAGATCTGCCGGGTCGCCTTCGGTGCCTCTAGCCTAAGGCTTGCGTCTTTCTGTTCCTGTTCCTGTTCCTGTTCCCGTTGTTCCCCCTCTGCCCAGCATCGTCCCCTCTCCGGTTTCCCCCTGGCTAATGGAATCCATCATGGCTCTTTCACAGGCTGATCCGAGGAACCAGAGGGAGCGCCCCGCCATACACCCACTTGCGGCCTCCGTCCAGCCAACAGCACGCGCTCTGTATGTAGCTGTATGTAACTGCATGTCTATCTGCAAGTGTGCTGTGTAGGTGCCTACTGCACTGACTGTGTGCTGCGTTGTCGGCATCTGCACTCTGCATTGCACACTGCCTTCTCCCCCCTGGTCCTTACAGCTGTCAATCGCCATCTCACGCTCTCTCTCTCTCTCTCTCTCTCTCTTCCTTCAACTCGGAGACTTTGATATGTAGCCCCATGCTGTCATAACCTGCCTGTCTCATGACCGTCATCGTCAGCATCATCATCAATGTCAGCCATCAAACGTCATCAAATTAGCCCCGAGCTTCTGCACTATCTACTACCTCCTCCGCAGCCTGTCGTATGTACATACATAGGTTAGCCAAGCTGGACAGCCTAGACTTGCCTCTGTTCGTCTTAGACTCGAGATCCCATGGCGCACCAGGAACCACGTCCTGGGGGCCCTTACCCATCGCCATTCATCAGCCATCTGCTCCATCGTCTTCCCACGTTTCCACCCCGGCACCAGCAAATCCAACCCAAGCCCACCCGAATGAGATCATCCTTTCTCATTGAGCGGGCGCATTACTCAATCGCTCGGGACGCAACAGGGCCCTTTCCGCGTTCCCAACCATAAACCTCAATCCCCGATCCTCACTCTGTCCTCGGTCCTCGGTCCTCTGTCCTCCATCCGCGATGCCGCAATTGCACAGCGCATGACACTGGACATCTCTCGGCACATTCACCTTGCTAACCGACCGAGACACCGACAGGGAAACGCAGAACTACTACGTACCTCCAGCCGGGGGAACAGAGTTCAAATCCCGGGGACCATCCACAAATCAGATCCACCCTTCATCCCTGCGCGCATCGCGCCAATCCATTGGTCCCCGAAGGCCCCCAAGCCAGTCCTCTGTGAAATTGTCATTTCGTATGCTTCCGCACCTTGGACCTTGGGCAAAGCCGAAGGCTCCCCTCGCTGACCTCACCCAGTGTTCGAGAAGGCGGCAGTGCGCACGGCTCAATTTCAACTCGCTCGCACATAGGCTCACGCCCCCTTGGGTCCATCTTCAGCTTGGGCGCCCACCAGTTCTTCAACTAATAAATGCCCTTCTCCATTTCTGCCACCAGCAACTACCCACACAGACCCGGATGCAAGACACTGACGATGACGATGCCGGCTGCCGGATGACGCTTGATGAAGCTTTACAAGTGGTGAGTTGATTGCGCCGCCAGATTGACGGATTATCGGACTCGCCGCCGGGGGTTCTGCGATGGCCCCTAACGAGATGCAGAGTGCAGATCAAGTGTATCGGATATGCGGACACTCCGTGTGCTGCTCTGGTGCTCGCAACTCTACCTTTGTTGGTCGTACTCCATGCCTCGTCATTGCGTTTTTTTTTCTCTCAGCGTTGCATCCCGCGCTCACGAGAACCAGCCATGGGAGCGAATCCCTCCCTCTTCCTGGTACCCCGGCCGGGGGGCGACTAACGAAACTCCTGACCCTCTTGCCACTTGATAGACTGAGTTGGGCGTTGTTGTATTGCGTTGCGTTGCCATGTGAGCCTGAGCCACTCGGACGGGCCAAAGGCGTGACGAGGAGCAATCTATTTCCGGAATAGTCTGAGCTGGAACTACCCGAAATCGTACACCACAGCCAAGAAAGGTTGTCAATTGCAAACAGATTCGTATCTAAGCGGCAGGCTCTCACTGCCACCCAAATCTCCAGCTCACTCGACATATCCCAATTAACCCTGACTGGCCATGATTTTCTTGATAATATTTCAAGATATGATTTAGAGATTTTATCCTGTATTATGATTGATGTTTATTAATATGGCCTGATAGTGGCGACTTAGAATTTCTTTAGCGGAGTTGGGATAGATGAAAGTTCATTTTATCCAAGACATCGTGTACTCGTACAACAGCACCGTGGTAGTACAACCCGAAGCGCGCATAATCTAACTTGTCCATCGTGGCGCCCTTTGTTTGTTGCACCCATGGTTATGATTGTTTTTTAATTAAGACCAGTGATAATAATAGCTACTACGTATTGTACAATGCAAAGGTGAATCGAAAATAGAAAGGGAAAAGGAAAATGTGCCGTTTGTTGTTGTCTGTGTTCATCATCACGTTTCCTTCCCCAGTCGTTGGCATTAATTTGTTTCTTGCAGCATTGCTTCTGCTGCCTTACCGGCAGTGCGCTCTCATGCACGCACTTCCTCTCTCGGTCTTTGTTTCCATCTCTGGCTCTTCCTCATTCCCCGTCTCCTCCCGTCCCTGTTCCCGCGTCCGTCTGTTTCGCTCACTTCCAATTGCACTTGCACTGGCCTCTCCACTTTCTAGGCCGGTCCCGATCTTCTCCTCGTGTTCGCTCCGCAAAGCTGAACATGTTTCAACTCAATTTTTTTTTCCGACTCGTCAATGGCAAGCCTCTTTCTTTGTCCGGTGCCCATCTCCGCGGTCCTCCCCACCTCGGGAACAGCAAAAGGCCCCTTTTGTAATCAACCAACATAGTAGCTCCACCAAAACCAACGCCGGGTGAAAAAGTAGCGCCACTGCTATGCCCAAGTTGATCGTAGCAATCCCCCATCTGAGACAACGGGAGCAGTATCTTCCGATTTGTTTAGCCGTATCTCCCTTGGCGAAAGGTTTGGAATAGGTTCCGGTGTGCTGAAGAACATCTGGAAACAATCCAGCCGGGTCCCCCATTCGATCCCCACCCCCGTTTCCCATCAGAGGGATGCTTGTTCGGGACAGAAAATGTCTCGGAGGATATTTGGAGGGGGGGCCAAAAACGAACTGGCTGGACCCAACACCATGGCGCTGCACGTCACATCCCATGTTGGACAACAGCCCACCAAGTGCTCCTCCAACTTCCCATATGCGGCTCTCTCGCAGCCCTGGCGCTTTGCGTGCTGTGCGTGCTGTGCATGTGCTGAACGTCAAACCTCCGGCTTTCTCGGCCCCTGCTCAGGAGCTCAGCCGCGCGCACCCTCGCCTGTGCCATGCCAGGGACAACTGCATGTTCAATGTTCCATGTTCCTAAATGATCGTCTCTTTACCCACGCCGTTGAACTCTGCTGCCGCCAATATTCCACGCACAAGGCACCAGGCACGCCCGGCATAGGCGAGCTGATGTGTTCTCGGCGGAGCACTGCCACACTCGTAGCGGCCCCTTCGTGTTTGAAGTTTCCTTCGTGCCTGGCCCTGTCTCCCGCCCGCCCGTCCGTGCTGACGCCTCCATTATATCTGTCGCTGACCCCCAAACTCCATGATCTCACCGATTGCCGTTGCAAGCCCGCGCTGAGGATATCGCACGGCCGTGTATTCCAAACAAAAAAGGAGATTCTCAACCCGGCGGACACTGTCACAGTCCCGCATCCATCTACCGAAGGACCGCCCTCCCAGATGTGGCACCCAATGGCGTCGCGTAGCCACCGCTTTACGCACTCGTGCTAAAGTAGTAGTTCTCCCAGAGATACTCGTAGTCTTCGAGGATCCCGGCGATGAACCCTGGCATCCGCTTGCTGACACCACCCATGACGCCCTTGGTAACGTTTTCGTAGCACGCTCCCCGCATCGCCCACCAGGCCATCGACCACCCGCGCTTGTTCCACTCGTCGCGTTCCAGGGACGTGGTACGCAGCCCGCGGTCCCGCAGCTGCCGGGCCGCGTATTCGACTGCCAGCCCGATCATCCAGGGCGTCCATGACTTCTTGTTGCTACTTCGCGCCATGGCGATCGCGTAGACCAACGGCGCCAATATGTGCAGCATTTCCGCGCCCTGGCTACTCCCCTGTAGTTGGTTGAGCAGCTTGGTTGCTGGCTTGATGTCATCAGCCGTCAGGACGCGGCCCAACAGATACGAGCTGATGTCGCCGGCAACCGGGAGAGATGGCAGGCTCATGCCCGTCCTCGGCATGGCCCACTCACGTTCGTGCGGCGGTTTCAGCGTCTGCGTCCCACCATCCTCAGATTGGGAGCCATCTCCCGAGACATCGTCCATCAGCTCGCTCTCGCTGCGGAACGCGAGCGCATCCTCCTCATCTTCGGGTGTCTTGTCTTCGGGGATGGGTTCCCGTTCCGGTAACACGGGTGAGACCAAGGGCCGCGACCTCGTGATACGCATCAGGAGCAGTCGGCAAAATGCCTTAATAGCTTCCAGAATCACCACCACCTTCCACCGGGAGCGCTCGCCACCTCGGCGCTTAGCGGACATTTCCCACAGCATCTCCGTGTAAATGACCATCTGTAACAGCATGGCTATCCGACGGTATGCGCTGCTCTTCTGCGTCCAGTAGCGGGTGTATCGCGCGTGCGCCGAGGGGATGGAAGTCATGGGCAATCGCGCGAGTGCTTTCTGGAGTAGTGAATCATGGTAGAGTGAGAGGAGCTGTACGCCTGAATGGATCGACTCGGACGCGATTTCGGCGTCGCGGAAGCGGCCTGGATGCAGTATCTCGTATTAGAGATGATTCTTCATTAAATATTTCCCTTCCGTGCATCCGGGACTGGGGCCGGGCACGTTGAGCGCTCGCAGAGCCTACTCACCTGGGATAATGTATGTCAAGCTGCGCAAGGCGCTCTCAATTTGCGACACTTGGCCGGCGTTCTTGGTGATAAACTCGTCGTACATGGAAAGCCATTGCGGGGGCATCGACAGGATACTGCCGAGCGACGCTCGCGGCTTTGGTTTCGATTTAGAGGTCGAGGCAGCCGCCGGCCGGTTCGTCGAGGATGAAGCCATCACGTCGGGATGCGCCTCCAAGGGCCGTGGGTAAGGAGCTGGCGCGCTTCTCAGTCGTCTAAATGCGGCGTCGGTTGGCGGTTCTCAGCCGGCAGCATGACGCGAGTCTCGTGAGGATAGTGCGAAGGCGTTGTTGCTGGTGATGATGATGACAATTTGATGGTTGGATAATTCGTACTAGGGAGCTCCTTCGTTCCCTCGCAATGCCGAGGCACGTCACGGCCCGTGAGCTCGGGATGTGACGTATGCCTCAGGCACTATTCGCATCTGAAATTTGGCTTTGGGATTTGGGCTACCCTATACTCACCAGTCTGACAACAACGAATGATGTTCAACTTCACGATACACGCCTTGAATATTGCATCAGGGTATGTTTTTGGGATTTTCATTCTCACACACGAGAGCATTCGCCGGTTCCAGCTGTCATTGTCGGTATTGCACATCTTAAAGGAGCTTAGGGAGAGCTTAGGGAATAACATTTTTATGACGCTTATTCTCAGCGTTTATCTCCTAAGAATAACTTGTATTTTGTTCACCAGCTTAGATTTAACGTAAACCTGAGTCTTTGGCCCAAGAAAGTATCATTCAACTGCATGTGCCAGGCACATTGGCTTGGCGGAAGTTTAGATGACGGGGCTGGCGCCTGTATAGGAATAGCAAAACTCACAATCCCTTCTCGGTGGCTTGGCATGGTTCACAATGTACATTTATCATCCTAGACTTTGTTTCCACTTGTTTTGTTTCGTCCCTGTAACCTGTAACCTACTGCTCAACAATAACTGAAGTCCGATTAGTTCACATCTGGGAGCAAATTATTCAACACGGGTGGCCATTTAGCGAGGCATTCGTCTTCAACTCAGGAGCACTAGAGACGTGTGTGTAAATAGTGTGAATACATAATATTACTCGTATACTGTAATTATATGACACCTAGGTCCTTGTTTCTTTGTAAATAACCCTGTCAAGCTTCTGGGAAACATGCTTTACAAGGGTGACGGCAACCCAAAGCAGACCACTTCCGCCCCCATGGTGTCTTACGAGATGCCGCGGAATAGAATAAACAATTGGGGTATTTCGAGAAGCAATCATATGCACTCCCAACCAATAGCTTCCCAAGGCATCCATGGCGTGTGCCAGTCTCTCCCCGGAGTTCGCTCCTTATGTAGAGATTATCCAGCTGCCGCTTCCGTCGTTTGCATGTCCCCTTCGCTCTGAATTGAGGGCTTGGTTCTGGCATGTGCGAAATGCGCGTGTATTAGACAATCGCAAAGCCGGCATCTTCCAGCTCTTTACCACTGGGGAGGATTGGCCGTCCCTGCATTGGGAACGGCCAGAACAGAGGATTCTCCATACTGTCCGCCGTCTTGGGAACCGAGGGCGTTTCGTCACCTCCAGCCAGGACCTTGCCTGTCCCCCAATGGCACAGGATATCCCCTTCCCGCATATTAGGCGCGAAGAAGTTGAGGCTACCCGTGTTTGGCTTAACCAGTCTGTCGTACTCCTCCTTGGTGAGTGTGTCGCCCTTTATATCGACCTCAATGTCCCATTTATGGGCAAGGTGGCGTAGGATGTTGAGCGCCTGTTCGGCGAAGTGATGGCAGGGCGCCATCTCAGTGAGGTCCGCTATGCCCTGGCGGATGGCTTCCTTTACGTGGGGGTCGAATTTGGCCGCGGCCGCCATCTTATCGGGGGTAGAGACATCCGAGCTGGTGTCAATGTTCGTGGCGCCAATGGCTAGGTGCATGATGGCCGATGTCAAGACGAAATAGGGTACGAAGGATGGGGTTCTGCGTAACGTATAGAGCTGAGAGTATGATTTCAGCAAGCCTTGAATGGCGTCAGCGGCCTGCGAGCAGACATCGCGTGGTGACACCTTGGAGCCGATGATCCGCAGTTTGATCAGCGGCCGGAATAGGAGTAAAATGGCAAAGTGATAGTACATGCTTCAAGAAGTTAGTCATTTGACCTCCACACCGTTTCCTGAAAGAAGTTGCGAAATGACTTACTGAGCAAACAGTACTGCTGGGGTAAAGTTGTGCCCCAGCCGCAACACCTCTGGTATCCGATCGTACCAGTTTAGGTATTGTGTGTAAATGCTCAAAAGATCCCTTGCTGTCAGAGGTCGTCCTGGAGAATGGAGGATATACAGAGACTGGTGAACCAGTTCGCTAAGCTCGCAAAAGCACTTGTAGACTGAGCGTACATTAGACGGCTGCTCACAAGAGCGCTGCAGGGGAGCACCTGTACTTCGTTAGCTCTGCTTCTGGGCAAATGAATGATACTCCAAAGCTTACCGTCGTCGGTATAGGGCACCCAAAGGGACGCTTCGATATCACTTATTATGGCGGGCTTAGGTGGCAGATGAGGAAAGCAGGAGCATTGTGGTAGTGAGCCGGTAGCAAGAGACCAAGCGCTGAGGGTTAAACTGTCAGAAAGGGGTACAGTATATGTTAAGGATCATGGACTCACTGGTCTAACGCAAAAGCCCCCCAGAATGTTGCCGCTTGCACAGCTAGTTCATCTTCATCTCCTTCATCCTGAATGCGGTGTAGGCCCATCTCAATAGCCAGTCGAATACTCTGGCCTGCATAGTACCAACTCTCAGAGTCTCGGCCACAGCTGGCTTCTCGAATCGACATGATTCCAAGTGCCTGAATCGTGGTTAGGGTGTGGTGATCTGTCTCCTGGTGGAAGAGCCGTTGGGATTCCTTGAAGAAGTGGTCACCAGATGAGTAGGGGTCGTTTGGGTTTGCTCGTGTCATGGGCTGCGTTGAGAAGCGACAGCCTAGGGCAAGGAGGGCGTTGATCAATATGGGTGAGCAGTAGCGGTGTCGACCGTCCTGGAAGTCTTGGAGAAAATGTTCCTTGCTGAGGGATGCAAAGGTGGGATACTCCCAACAGAAGTAGAGGGCGAGGAGATGTTGAACTAGATTGATGTCGCTAGTGATGCTGGTCCACGAGGAGGACGGAGATGACATTTCAGGATCATTTAAGGGCGATAGGACCTGTTCGAGGCCCCGGAATCTTGGGAGACCGTCAGACAGTGTGTCCGGGTGTATGCCCTCTGCCCATGATCCCACCTGAGACTCGGGAGGGCCTCGAATATCGGTCGACCAGCTCATGGCATCTGGATGGGAGTTGCTCCGCGTAGACCCGGACTGGCTCTGAGAAGAGAACTGCCACGGGCTATTTCGACCCATCTCTGATCTTACTCCGGGCTGTTGTGACGAGCCCGGGTTGACGCCGAGGCTCATGGCAGCCAACGAGCCCAGGCCGCCACCGGGAAAGCCGGCCGCCTGGGCAGAAGCGGAAGGCTCTGGCCTCGGAGCGAAGGATGGCACGGCGCCCCCGCCAGAGGGCAGGGAGCCACCCAGCCATTCCGAGATGCTCTCGACAGACTGACCACCTCGGAGGCGCGACAGGACCTCCTCCCAGAGCTCCGGGCGGGCCAGGGCAGCAAAGACCTGGTCGTTGGAACGTTGTCGGAGTCGCAAGTTCTCAATCTCGGCCCGTAGGTTTTCTTTTGAGTGGCGCACAGGAACTTCGTAGATGCACTCGATATCTTTTTGGGCCTTGCACCGCCCACAGGGATTTTGACCGTCACACTGCAGATGGCACGAGTTTGTCAGCGATGGAGGATTCACGACGAAGAGCAAAAGGCATGGTATGCTACAACAAGAACAGCACGTACCTTTGCTCGTTTCTTACGGCACTCTGTGCAGGCATTGGGCGTCACCACACCAAGCCCACGGCGTCGCTTAGAGTGCTGAGTATTGGCCATGACCGGTCCCGAGGAGGGCGTGTTGGAGGACTGGGCTGAGTTGGGGGTTGGGTTGCCCTGCGACTGCGCCCCCGACGCTCCCTGGGGCGTGTCACTTGAGGAGCTGACCTGCTGGTTCGGTCCCGCCCCGGGGGTATTTGTGTTGTCGTCGTCGTCCATCGCGTCTCAGACCCGGCCGAGGGGTCGCTGGGGGCTCGAGGATGAACGGTCGATTCGCAGATTGCGTCAGGTCGATGGAGCTGGGGAAGGTCTAGGTCTCGGCGGGTCGGCGATGGCTTCGACGGGAGGAACGCAACCTGACATGCTGCGGAGGGATGGCGGGGGGTGCAGAGTGCGGGAGCTGGAGCTGGAGCTGTTGGTGTTGGCGGGGTCTGCTTCGGTAGCGCGGCTTCAGATGTCGCAAGAGTTGAAGCAGAGGAGGTGGAGCGAGAGGGATCGCGGAGTAACCCCCCAGGAGCTGGAGCAATTGGGCGGGTTAGATCGAGTGGTGGTGGCAGAAGTCGTGAGAATTGCGTCGGGCGGTTAGGCTGGCGGGTTCGCGCGGCATTGAAGACGTGAACGAGTAGAGGTGGTCGATCCGCAACGGGGAGGAACAGGAGAAGTGAGGCACGAAGAGCAAGAATACTGAAATTTGCGCCGAATAAAAGGAGATGGGCAGAGAGAGGGAGGTGTGCCTTTTCTCATGCCCGTCGCCGCGGCCGGTTGACGTGGAGGAGAAGTGTAGAAAGAGAGGAGGCGGTAGGTTTTCCAAGTGGGCGAGGTATCAAGACGGCAGAAGCGCGGCCGAGCTCGCCAACCTTTGTCCTCGCCCCGACTCAAGAAGCGAAAGTGTTGCGACGTAGGGCTTCTTCTTGTGGCGCATCGTTCTAGCGCACTGTCGGGAATGCCGCTGGAAGGTTATTGCGATTCCTAGGGGCAGGGGAAGTCCCCTGGTGGGTGGTTAAGAAGCTGCTTTTTGCGAGTGGTGGCTTGCGGGTGGGTGAGTGAAGCTGGACATGGGATACTTAAGTTATGGGGCTGCTCGCAAGCTCGCCCATCGTCATCATGCATCATGTTGCTTCTCTTTTCAGCCATCCCAGCCGGAGTAGCTCCCGAGAGGGTTTTCTTTCATTTCTTTTCGAGGTATTAGAGGGTATTTTCTTTGTTTGCCTGTCTGCTTTGATCCCTTCACCAACATTGGAGCCACCAACGTTGACTTATACACCATACGTTCATCTCCTCCACTCTCCCACTGCGCTACGATTGCCTCAAGTCACATCTTATGAATATTATCCCACGTCGTTCACAGCTCCGACCTCGCGCCTGATCTTTGTCATCTGGTCAGTCCCCCTCACGGTTTGGAAGACGCAAATGCCTTGCGCCCGCCTCCGTCCATCCCCCAATTGGAACTCCTGGCACCTCGCGATACTCAAGCATAGCAAACCTCATTGCCATCCCCACACTTCCAGCCCTAGACAGCCATAAATGTTTTCCTCCGGCCGGCAGGGCCTGACATGAGGAAGTCGGTCCTTGAATGGGACATTCATGTAAATGATGTCAGTGGGCTTCTACCGGGAAGCCACACCACACGGCCAATGCCATGAGCGCGTTGGTAGGATGATCGACGTGGGCCTTGTCCATTTCGCCGCGACATGTGTTAAGCGAACTCTTGGTACACTAGGCTAAGCGAGTCACAACTTCGCGGTCCGTAATGCGCGCCATCTTACTTACGTTGAGAGTTGAGACTCTCGATCCATTCTAACCACCAGTCTCTGGCATCCCACGAGAATACTTCTAACACCGGCCGAGTCTATGTAGCGGTTTGGCTTCCCCTCGCGCTGCCCCTCTGCAATACCCCACTATACGTCATCTCCTCGTCTGTTCAAGATTGCTTTACCTGGTCAATGACGTTGGTTTGGGACGATGTGCCAGTTTAATTCACTTGGTGCGAGGCTATATTCTGAAATCGCCTCGGTCGAATGTGTTCGTGCCGCGCAATTGATACCGTTGTACAAGGCAGCCAGGTTGGATCCACAACTCTGGACAGCGAGCCGTCGTTTCACCGTTTCATCTGTACGTGTCTATGTCTCCGCGCCGTGTATGCATCCTGAATACCGTATTACGTTTTGTTGTACATTTTTACCATCCTCCTTTTTCTTTGTCGTTCGACCGTTCTCTAGCTTCCCTTGCTCGGACTTCGCCCATACTTGATTGGACTGAGTGACCGCTCCCTCTTACTCGGGCTTCGACGTCCCGATGGCGTGTACGGCGCGGCGAGCAGCGGTTTCATCTTCGGCGGCGAGCTATCCGTGTCCGTTCCATCGTCTAGCATCGCGTGTCGGTTGACTCTCGGAGTTTGGACTGGAACCCACATGAACCCAGGGCCGCTCTCGGGAGGCATCGTCGGGTCATGGATAGCAGCTGACTGCGAAGGGGGAGCTGGGACAGCCTTGTCACTACCAAGTCTGCCCAGCGTGAGGTTGTTCGTAAAGGCGCAAAGGACAAGAATGGCAAAGAAGAATCCCTATCCAAATGTTAGCTTCTGTAATTCTTCAGCCGACCCGCGGGCGACACGTACCCAGGCCTTCAAGTTCATTGCCTCAGAAAACTCATTGATAATCTCTGCAATCTGCTTCGCCGTGACCTTGACTCGCATAATGGATTCCGGATTCTGCATCATGCATTCAGACCACTCATTGCACATGTCCTCCAATGCTGGCAGGACCTTCGTGGAGCACTCGTTCACCGTGTACTGGTTCTGGCACCTCGCCATCTTGCCTATCAACTCCAGGCGAGCTTCTTCGTTGGCACTGCGAATGTCCCCCCGCACCGTGTCCACAATGGCCCAACCGATATACGCAAAGATGGAGATGAGGAAGAAGTTGACTAGGAACTTGATCCACCGGAACAAGTTATCGGGGGCATTCGGGTGCTCATCCAGCATGTGAAAGAGGGCTGCCATGACGCCCTTTGGCGGTGCCTTGTTCTTCTTGCTGCGAGATCGGCTCTGTAGCGGTGGAGCGATGCTATTGTCCGAATCGGCATCTGAATCATCCCATCCTTGGCCTCGATACCGGGCCACGCTGCCGACGTCTTTATCGAGGTTGTGTCGCTTCCTCTTTCGTAGAAGGTCTGCCGCCGAAAGCTCTCGATTTCCACGGATATCTCCTCTCCCAGAAGAATGTTTCTTTGGTGGGAGCACATTCTTGCCATAACGGAGAGTCTTGTCGATCTTGGATGGACTCAAAGCTCCGCCCATGATAACATCGCCCATGCGGTCTGTTTCCGGGGTGTCGTTTGGGAAGTCAGATACCTCTGTGAGGGCAGGACTGTCTTCGGCGCCGGATGCCTCGGACAGCACTAGCTCGTCGAAGGGTTTTCGAGGTGTCGTGAAGGCGGGATTTCGGAAGGCAGGGGCGGATGCCCTGGATGGTAGTTGCGGTGTGAAGGAGGATGTCTGCGGAGGTGGGAGATGAGATTTAATGGGCGTACTTAGGTTGGCAAAAGGGTTTGGTCGCGACAAGGGTTTCGACGGAGAAGTGAAGACTGCGTAAGGCAGGTTAGCCAGCGGTTGCCATGTTGCGCCAGCTGTCAACGTCGACTGTCGCAGCTGGCGGCTGAGGCCACCGTTTACCAACCATTTTGCGAGCCGCCTTTGGCGGCATGTGTAAAGGGACTTGTGGGATCCAGAGCGCCACTGCCCTGGTACTCCCAGTCCATGGGGCCTTCGTAAGTCCGGCGATCCATGGTTGCTGTAAGCCTGTTCGGCTGCGATGGCCACTGCGATCTTGTTGGGGATGCCAAAGGTTGTGGATTTGACCTGTGCAGATGTCCGCATCCACAGACCCATCAAGTTGGCTCGTTGGCATGCTCAATCGTCAATGGCAACCAATCCCAAAGTAAACAAATAAGTTTATGCCTGAGGCTGGACAAAAGTGGACGCTGCTTAGGTCAGCTGCAGGGGTGCGCCTAACCTCTGTCGCGGCTCAAACAAGGCCCGGCCAGAGAAAGTTGAAGCTCCGTGATAGTTTACAGAGTTGCCCAAAGAAATCTTTCTCTCATCCACCAGCAACTCTACGCGTGGCTCTTATTCACGCGGCACCATCGGGGTTCGTATTTCTATCTTCCATAATCGGCACCAACCCCTTGCCAACTCGACATCATGTCCGACAACGAGTCCCCGGTTGGATCGCCAGCCAACGAACCCGTCGATAATGGCCGAGAACGCGAGTTTGACGAGGACGCCGGGGCGGACTCCGACAAGGATTCCGAACTGCTGTCTGAAATCGACGAGGATCAGTTCGAGGACTACGACCCCGAAACCGCCAACATTGAAGATCGGCCCGTCGACATTGACGAAGATATCGCCCGTACCTTGAAGGCGACCAAGCGAAAGCGCGCGGACGGGGAGGTTGCCAAGAAGCCCCGAGAGGGTCGCAGAGAGAAGAAACGCCGCGATCGAGACGATGATGCTCCCATGGATGATGGCGCGGATGAGGCAGGCAAGACGGCGCGGAGGTCGAGGCGCACCGGAGACAGTGAGCGTCGCCCTCGGGCTAAGCCTGCCACGCCTGAGCCAGAGAATGAAGACCACCTTAGCCCCGAGGAGAAAAGAAAACGGGCAATCGATCGCGCACTGGATGCCGCCATCAAGAAGCCCAGCGGCCCCAAGCGCAGAAAGAAGGATGAGATTGTGAGTTGCGTCGGGTCCCCGATGAGTATGACGACAGTTGCTAATATGCGCTTCCCTGCAGGACCTCGAAGACGAGATCGATGAGCAGCTGGCGGACCTCAAGGTCCAGATGGAGCGCGCGTGTCAGGCTGATAACCAGGCGCGCGAAGCCGGCCAACCGGCTCTTCACAAGCTCAAGCTGCTGCCCGAAGTCACAGCCATTCTTAACCGCAACAATGTGCAACACGCGGTGCTGGACCCCGATACCAATTTCCTTCAGCACGTCAAATTCTTCCTCGAGCCCCTCAACGACGGATCTCTCCCGGCCTATAATATCCAACGCGACATCTTTATGGCGCTCACCAGACTGAACGTTGAGAAGGAGACGCTCCTTAGCAGCGGTATTGGCAAGGTGGTCTTCTTCTACACTCGAAGCAAGAAGCCTGAGCCGAGCATCAAGCGAATGGCGCAGCGATTGCTGGGAGAGTGGAGCCGGCCCATCCTGAAGCGGACTGATGACTACAAGAAGCGACACATTGAGACTCGCGAGTTTGATTACCAGTATGTATCCCCGGGCGACCGTTTCACGACTTGGCTGGCTAACACATTTATCCAGGGCCGCCAAGTTGGCACAACGCCAGAAGACGAACTCGCAGTTCAGCCTCACCCAGCGCCCAGCAGTTTCGGCACGGGATGCCGAGCGGGAGCGGTTCCTGGCACCGGCCCGAACCAACAACCAGGCTCGTATGGCCAACCTGCCATCGAGTTACACTATTGCGCCGAAGAGCACCTTCGATGGACCACAGGGAGGCATGGGCCATCGCCCTCTAGGCGCGGGTGGCATGGAGGCTTTCCGCAAGATGACCCAAAAGAGCAAGAAGAAGAACTGAGAACTGGATTGTGGTGGATCCGGAGGCGGGTGAGCGAGAGCCCGTCACCAAAGGAGTGCAGTTTGTATGCTATTGGCCAGGACATCAGAGGCTTGGTGTTGGCAGGTGCCAGGTTATTGGCGTTTGGGGCGTACCGGGAATCGTTCTGTTACATAGTACAACGGAGGTTGATAAAGAGAAACCAAGCTACGTTCTGTAGGCAAAATTTGCGATAAGGAAGGGAAGTGATGCTGCAAGGGTGTGACTGGTATGTGCATGACGGAAAATTGCACAGGTGACCTAGGAAGGGAAGAGGCGGCTATCATCAAGCCGTCTTTTACCTTAGCTCAACCTGGAGAGTGTGTCCTGTGATGTGTGTAACCCGTTATGTCCCGCCACTCTCAGGTCCGAGCGGCTGCAGCTCACGGCTTTCATGTGAATAGAGTCGGGCCAGTGGGCATCGCGAGTGGTGTATCGCGAGTTGGCGCATTCATAACTGAGGTGGTGGATGAGGCCATATGACTTGGAGTAAGGCGCAGACGGGAGCCTCGGTCCCTGCTTTTTACAGTTGTGCAACCACCAGAGGCGAGCCTATCGGGGAGCAAAGGCAGGCAAATGAACCCTTGACCGGGCTACTTAGAGCGCTTTTTCGTGTAGGATATAAGACGGCCACACTAGGTTTGGGGCGCATTCCGTTACTTGAGCGACACGTGGGTGGGTGAGAGAAGTTGGGGCTGTGCATGAGGCCTGCCTTGGAAGTGAGGCTTCGTTTGGGAGGGGTTTGGGTTGGTATAAGTGCGGATATGAAGATTGAAACGAGCCCCCAATACGACCAAGGAGCCTCGAGTTGGGACGGCACACAAGTGCGTTTATGTCCGGAATGCTCTGGAATGACGTTGGAGCATGCTAGGACTGCATGAGGCAAATATGCTGAATGGCGATGGCGACAGTGACTGCGACGGCGATTCTGATTGTGGATGAAGCGGCACATGTGGAGGTGGTGTAGATTTCCTGTTGGCAGTGACGTCAGGTCCAGTTTAGGGAATACCGAGTGCCACAGATGCAGTTGAAGAGTCGCACCATGGACGCAGGCGAGCTGAAGGTTGCAAGCAGATGCACGGAAAATGGAAGATTTCAAGCCGGTGATAGAAACATGGTGTATTTGTTTCGATGTGTTCCGTGTTTGATATGTTTTTGGTGCATTTGTAGCTCAAGGAATGGAGAGACCAGAAAGACGGTCCTTGACCCATGGAGGATGAGAGCATCGCTGTGTGGAACATCTCTTACAGGGGATTTGTTTTAGTGGACTTATAGGTACCGTAGCCCTATGATCATGGTCCACTATCGTCCCTTGATGGACGCTGGGGAGCAGTGAGCTTGTCTGAGCAACAACTCAAAGTAGCGAGGCATGCGGGAAGGGAATGAACGGGTAAACATGAAGAGACGAGAGACGGAGGAGATCGGACATGCGTCTTTGTCGTGCATTACACAGAAGGGGTTAGACATTTAAAAACCCTTCAAGTGGTTACAGTGTCGGGGATGGGGGTGTTATCATGTATCTTTGATAAACAAGGTACCTCTGGTCACATTGACGTCTCCCGAATCTGTGACCATCAGGCGCCAGCTCCAATGTACTCCGGTTGCTGCTGTGACACTGGATAAGGTACAGCTAGACGGTAGCTCCAACGACCACTGCCGGATGCTGCGACGGCCGGTTGCCGCTGGCCACTGCTGGCTGCTAGGGAATGTCCTAATCAGCAGCCCGTTCCTAGCGGCGTCCTTCCAATTGCATCAGGTTTGTTTGATGGTGGAGAGAAACAAGTCGGGTCCTTCCCACTTTCAAAATCTTGGCTCCGAAATCTTCTTCCTCCCCCTTCTCCAAATCGCCATCCCCATCATTAAACTATCATCCCATCTTTTGCTCCTTGTACATATTGTTTGTGGCAGGGTATTCTCTCAGCCATTGGCGTCGACGGCCAATCCTCTCCTGGTGAGTCTCCTTGTTGTACCTCTGTGCTGCGACTCTTGTTTTGTCCCTCTCGATTGTCTGCGGGCAAGAGCCTCATCATCCACCATCCCGATCCCCCTCCAGTGGCGCCGTTGTCGCAAAAGCCGCAAACGCCTCCCTGCCCCAATCCCCCAATTCCGATTGCCTCTCTACTAAAAAGCGCGTCTTGCGGTACACTTTCGATGTATCGGGATGACTTGTCTGGGGCCTGTCTCAGCCGCCTGGGCGTCTTCGGATCTCCAAGTAGGAAGGACATGGCATAGAAATGACATTATCAGCGTCGCATCCGTTCCGTCACCACATCTATCCTTTTCGTTTACTGCTTATTCCCCGAGCTCCCAGTTGGGTGCCGTCTGGGTGCCTCTATCTATTCCTTGCTCCTCGTGGTTGGATGCGGACAATTTTATCATGCCCGAGCCCATTCCACGCAGACTGTCTGCACCGTCCCCATCACCATCCCCACATCCAAAGTCCCCCTTCAATCCGTCTACGCGAAGAACGCATCCCCTCTCCCCATTTGCCTCTCTGCCTGTACATCGCCTCTTTGACGGCTTGTCTTGTCTTAACCCAGATCGCATCTTTTGCGACGAGCTTCCCTGCAGTTCTACCCTGTCTTTGCGCGGCAATCATGTCGACCAGCGCGTATTGTTGTTGAGCTGACGATTTGCGACAAGGGATCTCCGCTAGACTAAGCAAGCTACTAGCACCCCGTCGACGACGGCTTCTTTTGGTGCCGTGCAGTAACTCAACTAACGACTCGTCCGACGAAACCGACCAGGCCCCGACCGCCCCGCCACCTATTCCCCGTGCTCGCACTCCTTCTCCTCCTCATCACATCACACCAGGTCTTCGTTGCGATAGATCACGACTCGCCTGGAGCGCCAGCATAAACCATCAATCAACAAGTCAATCGATCGATCAATTCAGCGGCCCATTGTCCCCAGAAGGATTGCGCAGCCACATCGCAAGTTTCGACTTTTGCGACGCGACCACCATCGACGCCACCGCCGCTCCCATCGGCGACAACCGCCACCACGATCACCACCACTCTAACCAACACCCAAGGCACAGTGGGTTGAATTCGATCATTGCGCCGCTACAAATCGTGAGCCAAGCCAATCGAACCAGCGCCGAATCGAATACTTATAAGCAGCCTGTGCTGTTTTCCCCTCCTTCACCCCACCTAGACAAGACCAGCACCGCAGAGCTCGATTGCTGTGCTAGGACGAGACGCTCGTCGAGACGGTGCCGAGAGCGATAGTATCGCTCAATTTCGCTTCGATCTTAAATATTTTATTGCGCGAGGACTCGCGACTGCAACACCACAGCCATGAACGGCAGCCAACCCCCCGAAGCGCAACAGCCGACGCCCGAATCACCGGCCGGCACCAATGGGCACAGCAACAACAGCAGTAGCAGCCTGGCAGCCAAGAAGCGCAAGAAGGATGGACTGAAGCCCATCATTACCATGGAGGGATCGGGCCCTCAGACCCCTGGGTACGTATTTTGAACATGCTTCGTTTGTTTATTTGTCGTTGCTTGATTTCCCCATCCCCGGTCTTCCTTGCTCTGCGCTTTCCATTCATACCGTTCGTCTTTGACGATGGGCTCCTGTTTCTTTCCTTGAACGGCAGCACTGCCTAATTTTGTCCTTTTGCGCTCAGGCGGCTGGCGCGTTCCGAGGCCCGCGGAGAACGGACTCCTCTTACCTTGGGTTTCTTCTGCATCTCCGATTACCCTGTTGCTGGGCGGGCCGTCCGTGGCATGTGGCAAGGCCATGGGCATAGACCACGGGCATGGGCATGGGCAGGAGAGAGGTTGGCGGGCATCGACATTGGGAACGAGATTGGCCCCCGGGCCTGCCTTATTGCCTACTACTCCGCCGACTGCGACTGGCCTGAGCTTGGGCCAGGGTACCCAAAGGAAAGCCCAAGCTCAGGCCCGAACCCGAGCCTGATTAAGAGAGCGACCGCACTGCACAGCTAGCTCAGGGAATGGGGGCATCACGTCACAGGGCAAGTGATGGATGGAGTGGGTGGAAACGAGTGTGGACTCCCTCCATCTGCTGCAGGCACTTGACGGACCTTGAAAGTTCGGGGTCTGGTGTGCGTCTTGGGCATCCATCCCGTTGATCTTTTGGTGTCATATACCCACCGGACGAGTTGACGATTGGGCAGTTGACGGTGGCAGTGGGTGGTGCAGTCAGTAGCTCACCACCTGGACCCAGACATGGTGTCGAAGAAGCCGATTCACCGGGTGGTTGGTGAAGATTGGTGAAGATTGGTGCAGGTGGTGGTGTCCCTGCCTGCACAAGGACACTATTACACTGCCACCACCTGACTGGAGTGACGATGGTCCCGCCACCGACTGTTAGCTGCTGCATCGTGTTGATTCTGCCCTACCATCCATCACTGGCCCCTTTGATTATCCTTTCTGTTTGGGGTTTGCTTTTTGGGGAGTATCGGGCATCGGACATTTCACATCTGGCATTTCGCATCTGGCATCGCATCTGGCAGCTGGGCGTTGGCTGGTTCGGCACAGCACAAACGGACCAGCAAGCAAGACGAGACGAAGCGAGCGGCAAGGGATCGTCGTCGGACGGGACGCTCCGTGTCTGGAGTGTGTCTGTCATTGTTTCGCCGCGGCGGCCCTTGGTCTTTGGTTCCTTGGTTCCTTGGTTCCTTGGCCCTATTAGCAGTGGCATCCTCCGCCCTGTTACCGCCTGCAGCCGCCATGGTCCCGTTTTGACCCAAGCAAACCCACTCAAGCCCCCCATTCGTTCATCGCATCCATCCACGGTCCGTCCAGCGTCCCCATCGTCCCAGTGTCCCAGCGTCCCAGCGGTCATCAACCATCGTCCATCGTCTGTCCCGCATCCCGCATTCCCCCAAATCTCACATTCCACCTTGCATCTCTTCTCCCCTCCGCCTCCCCTCGGGCTTTCTTTCTCTCCTTTTGCATCCCGTCCACCGGCTGTCGCTTGTCGCTTTTTTTGCGTCGTGCGCGCGCGCAGCCCGCCCCAGCAACCGGAGAGGAAGCAAAACATTGCTCGTCTTCCCCCACTCTTCTTTCTCTTCTTCACTCGCCTACCCCCCGCCGCTGTCGCCCACTGGCCCGCCTGGCCGACTCTCTCTGTTTATCACCACCTCACCAAAAAAAAACCCACAGCGCGTCTATCACTTAGGAGTGTCGGCCGCCAGCGCGAGCTGCGCCATGTAGAGACGCAATGAGTTTCCTCAAGACAAGGTGGCCCTCTCCCTATCCCGCTCCCTATCCCGCTCCCTGCCCGCTCCCTTGCTCTCCCTCCCCCGCCCCCCCACGCGGCGGTGTCTATCATTGTACCACCACCGTTTGTTGTTGATCTACTGCACTTTGTTTGCCGCTCAGCAGCAGCAAAAGAACGAAGCAGCAGAATCAACATTGGATGGTTGTTTCCCCGCCATTTCCACTTCCCAACCCCAATCCGGCCAAGCCCCCCCCACTACCGTGGCCACCACCAGAGACTCAGGACACACGTTCGCGATGGTTTCATCCCATTGAAGCATCACTCAACCGCAGCAGCTGCTTTGTCATGCTGCTTCGCTTCGCCCCTGTGCCTTTGCCTTCATCTTCGCCTTCATCCTCCTCCTCTTCTTCCTCCGATAACCGTTCCAGCCAACCCTGCTAACGCCTACTCCGCTCCACAGATCCCATCAATTGTCAGCGATGACACACTCCCCATCATCTTCATCCGTCGACGACGCCGCCGAGAACACTGCCGACGAAGAGGATTCCGAAGATTATTGCAAGGGCGGCTACCACCCCGTCCAGGTCGGCGAGAAGTTCAAGGAGGGCAAATACACTGTCGTGCGCAAGCTCGGCTGGGGCCATTTTTCCACCGTCTGGCTCTCCCGCGACAATGTCAGTGGCAAGCACGTCGCCCTCAAGGTCGTCCGTTCTGCCGCCCACTACACCGAGACAGCCATCGACGAGATTAAACTTCTCAATAAGATTGTCCAGGCCAAACCTGACCATCCCGGCCGTAAGCATGTCGTCAGCCTCCTCGACTCGTTTGAGCACAAGGGACCCAATGGCACCCACGTCTGCATGGTGTTCGAGGTCCTGGGCGAGAACCTGCTCGGCTTGATCAAGCGCTGGAACCACCGTGGTATCCCCATGCCCCTCGTCAAGCAGATCACCAAGCAGGTTCTCCTCGGCCTCGACTACCTCCACCGCGAATGCGGTATCATCCACACCGATCTCAAGCCCGAAAACGTCCTCATCGAAATTGGCGATGTCGAGCAGATCGTCAAGCGCGTCGTCAAGCCCGAGACCCCCGACAAAGAGAACAACCGCAATGGCCGCCGCCGCCGGAGGACTCTCATCACAGGCAGTCAGCCTCTGCCCTCACCCCTCAACACCAGCTTCAACCACACCAACCTCTTTCCCTCCCAAGCCGGACATGCTAGCCTTGCTGGCGTGCTCAACGAAGGTATGTCTCCCCTCACGCCCGCTACGCGCCCCCTAGTCCTACTGCGTTGGTTCTGGTTCTGGTTCTGGTCCCGGCGCGGTGTAAACCCCGAAAGTACACTCAACTAACCGCACGCTTTAACAGGCAACAAGTCTAAGGACTCCTCCCCGAAGGCCGAAGATTCCCAGAAGCAGCGAGAGAAGTCTGCGTAAGAACACCACATGGCAATATCTTGGTCTTTGAAATGGAGCTAACTTTACGTCTAACAGGGATCTCCTTAGCCGAGAAGTCTCGGGCATTTCCCTCGACAAGTCGAACTCGCCATCTGCATCCACAGGCGAGAAGCGCAAGGCCGAGGACGCTCACGCCTTCGACATTATCAGCGTCAAGATTGCGGACCTGGGCAATGCCTGCTGGACCAACCACCACTTCACCAACGACATCCAGACAAGGCAATATCGGTCACCCGAGGTGATTCTGGGTGCCAAGTGGGGTGCTAGCACTGACGTCTGGAGCATGGCCGCTATGGTATGACAACCCCAGGACGAGTTGATGTCCCTCCCACGCGTGGTGCGGTCTTGCACGAGACAGAAATTCACTGACTTTTGCGTTTAGGTGTTTGAGCTCATCACGGGTGATTATCTCTTCGACCCTCAATCGGGCACCAAGTACGGTAAAGACGACGACCATATCGCCCAGATTATCGAATTGCTTGGGCCGTTTCCCAAGTCGCTATGTCTTAGCGGTAAGTGGAGCCAGGAGATTTTTAACAGAAAGGGAGAATTGCGCAACATCCACCGCCTTCGGCATTGGGCTCTGCCAGACGTGCTCAGGGAAAAGTACCACTTTAAAGAGGAGGAGGCGAAGCGCATCGCGGATTTCCTGACTCCAAAATTGGAGCTGGTGCCTGAGAAGCGTGCCAACGCAGGCGGCATGGCAGGCCACATATGGTTGGATGACACGCCGGGAATGAAGGGCCTGAAGATTGAGGGCCTGGAAGTTGGCTCACGTGGAGATGGCATCGATGGCTGGGCGACGGAAGTGAGAAAGCGATAAACGGCGGGATACGCTTCAAGAAGTCGCGGACAGAGACGAGCCGGACACCAAAGGTATCAAGAAGCACAATGGTGGGTCTCTCTTGGAGGACTTGCGCAGCTTGTTTGAATCTCGGTATCTTGGTCTTTTTGGGAGATACCTCTTGACCTGGTTATGTGCCCGAAGCGAAGAACAGCGCAGTCTGTCTTGTTACCTCTTGCTTGTTTTTTTTTTGCTGTCTTGTTCAAGACCATTGTCACCTTCTTGAATTGTACGGGCAGATACAAAGCCAGACGTGCTGCCTGATTCTGATATATCGATGGGAAGCTTCTTTACGACAAGGGAATGACAAACAAGAGACGCAGCGGATGAGCACACTATGAGAAGCAGATACTATTCTCGGAGATAGCGGGATGGGGAAATCAAAGGGATATTGATTTTGGGATGGGATGGGATGCGAAGGCAGAAGCAAAGCTATAGATAGACTATGCGGGCATGATTCTTTTTTGATACTGTTTTGATGACTCTCGTTTTATGATCTCGTGGGCATGTCTGTCCGCTACCTTTGCATGAGACAGATGTGACGAGAAGGGGCACGCTATGGGGGGATCGATGTGACTTAAGGGACATGGGAGATGGTGTCGTTGTCGGGAAGAGAGCTCCGTGTATTCTGAAGGCGTCGAGTTGAAAAGGAGGGAGGCCTGACTGGACGATGGCAACCGTTTGGCTTTCTTGCTTCTGCGTTTAGTCGTTGATGGCGAAACTGTCAAGGAAGTCAAAGAGAATTATATAGCGTAGAAAGGATTCAAGATACATTCGACGCCAAAAGGTACCCGTACACGTTGCCAACGTCGTATGTTTTTCATTACATTCCGGTCCACTCAAGCCTATTTCTTACCCTTACCGCGACGCTTCCTCACTGCTGCCGCGGGCCCATCGTTTGACTCCTGCTGCACCTCCTCTAAAATGTGCTCCTTGGCTACATCTACGACGTCATCACTCGACGCATCCTCCGCGTCATCGTCGGTAGTATCCTCCTGCTTCACTGCGGCGTGCTCTGCAGCTTGACCTAGCACCTCGTTAACGATGCGCTTGCCTTCGTCGAGCTCGCCGTTGAGGGTGCCACAGGACATGCACTTCCATGGTCCCAGATCGGATAAGGTCTTGGTGCCTGGGGGGGCCTGGCCGTTGACGAGGCGGCAAGAGTGACATATGAGAACGATGCGATTCTTGACGGCTGTCTCGTCATCGCCGAGGAGTACGTCAAAGATGCGATCGTACCAATGCGGTTCCGAGGGGGTCGCGTTGTATTGCGGGTAACCCGTGGGTGACGGAGGTGCCTGGCCGCCGGGGAAGGCGGAGGGCGCGAACTCGGCATTAGGAGCGAACTCGGCGCCGGGCTCCATCTGGTTCCGAGAGGGCACCGCGGGACCGTCTCTTCGTTGAATATTGGCCGTGGCAGGGGGTGGTATCCGAGTTCGGTTCGAGGCTGCTGGCGCAGCGTTGCCCTTCTTGCCCTTCTGCGGGTTGTCGTCGCCGTCGCCATCGCCGGTTCCCTTCTTCTTGCCCTTGGGCCTACTCTCCTGCCCACCGTACTTCTCGATCAGCTCCATGGTGGAGTCGTATTTGGTGGCATCCTTGAGCTTTTTGATCGTCTTTTCGCGCTCCTGCTGATATTCCTTAAGGTTGGCAGTCAGGCTCTCGATGCGGAATGTGTAGAAGGCGTCAAGGGTCGTGCGGGTCAGGTAGATGCTGCAATTCGGAAAGCGCACGTTAGCTGGGAGGCACTAGGTCGGAAGACGGGGTAGGCAAACGAATATCATACAGGACAGGGCCTCCGACCAAGCCGGTCCACTCATAGGCACCGAGGTTCTTGTACCCGATCACGAGGAGCAGCACGATGGTATAGACGAGGTAGGCGAAAGACAGGTAGAGAGTCCAGAGGACTCGGGCGCGGCGGGAGCTGGAGCGAACACGATCGAGGAGAGATTGAGTGTCGGTGATTTTGGTCGACAGGGTGGAGAGGGTCTTTTCGAATGAGGCGGTTGACGAATCGTCGCCCTGCGAGAAAGAGGGAGCTCCGTTAGCTACAGTATTCCTTTGGGACTGGTCGCTTGCGTGTAAGAGTGACAAACCCTCCAGGGCCAGATGGCCATTTTGTAAAGTCAAAAGCGCGAGGCGCGGGGTCGCGGTGTGTTGCGTGGGCGTGTTGGGAAAAGAGAAGCTTCGGGAGTCTCTGTGTGACGACTTGCTGGAGAGCTGACGAAAAGGAAACGACAAATAGGAACTCGGTACAAAGGAGGGGATGAAGGGACCTAGGAAAGAACTGTAGCAGGGCAAGGAAAAAGAAGACGATGAAGAACAAGAAGAAGAAGGAGAAGAAGAAGAGCACTGCCTGACGTAGGCGCTGTAAGGGTCCTGAATGAGCGTGGCCTTTTGTGCTGGGGGTGAATTGAAGTTGAAGTGAAGTAAGTGAAGTGAAGTGAGGTGATGTGTTTGAAGTGCGAAAGTGCAGGTGTGCGCACAGCCTACGGTAGACGTGGATATACATAGTACCTACGTAGCTACTTTTAGTGACCTCATCCAGGGAAGACACATGCGCATGCAGGGCAGCTTCTCCTCTGACCTGAAAGAGAGGGTCCGACAGGGAAGGAGGTACAGTGCTGTACGTAGCACGCACAGCGCACCCACTTCAGCTGTGAGCGTCAAGCCACACCTGACAAGGTTAGTTAGGTTCCATTCCTCCTCCCTCCCTCCCCTGTAACCCACTGCGACAGCCACTGCGACAGCCACTGTGAGCACTAGCCACAGGGGGATGGAATCCTTCCAGGTGCCAAAAACCCTCCTAGCACAGCCCGGTAGGTACCCTGGCGGCTGCTGATCTGCTCGCTCGTCCGGAATTATTACCCTGGTGGTACTCCGTACGTACGTGTACGTATCCAATCCGTCTTGAACGAACGAACCCATCTCCTTTCCCTACGTATTCCCTCTCATTAATCCCCAAATCTTCACCACGAGCGCCATGCGCGTGCTCTTTCGAGCTATTTCCATTTCCTGCAACTCTTGATTTCTCTTCAGTTGCTGTCCCTTCTTTCGTTTGCGCTGCATGCGCCACCTCGCCTTTCATCCCCAACGACGACGGGACGCTACGATTGCAACGTAAGCTTCACGAGGCTGTGATCTCCCAACGAGAGCCGCCATAATGTTGCAAGTCAGTCTATATCCCTCCTCTTCCCTCCCCACTGTAACTACGAGCCAGTAACTAATGCGACCTCTCTACAGCGATTCCGAGGCGTCATCGACCGCACCATCGCCGAGGAGCAGGCCCGTCAGAACCCGGAATCCTCCTCACTATCTCGAACCGCTTCGACCTCGTCGCGTAAGGGCGATGCCTCGCCTGCTAGGAGATCCCGTGCTAAGAAGCAATCCTCCGATGTTTCTGATGCTGCGCCCAACCCCGATCCTGCTGTCTTTGAGGCCGCCTTCGTAATCGACGACAGCGACGAGCCGAGCCGATCTGGCACCCCGAAACCCCCCGTAGACAAGGACTCAACCGATGAGAAGTCTTCTACCCAATCCAATGGCTCGGACGAGAAGAGTTCCGAGGCTCGATCTGCCAAGAAAGATCCTACGAACGACAAGACGCAAGATGCCCCTGGAGACGCTTCCGCTGCTGCCTCTAAGAAGCCGGACTCTGGTGCTTCCAAGCCGGCTGCAGAAATAACTCCAGAGATTAGACAGAGGCTGCGCAAGCTGGAGAAGCTCGAGGCCACGTATCCAGGTAAGGAAGCCCACCTGGTTCAGTCTATAAAACAGAGGCTGATGACTACTATTTAGAGCTCCTACGATCCTACCGAGTAGCCCATCGACGTGCTACCGCAATCGAACCTTTTGAAAAGGCCCTCCGCGAGAACACCCCCTTGACCTCCATCGCCGACCCCGACTCCTTGATCGAGTACCTAAATCAGCTGAACCAGCGCGGTGATATGGTCATGCAGGAACTCAAGCGAGTGACTACAGAAAAGGACGAACTCCAGAAGAAGCATGACAAGGCCGAGGAGAAGGCCAAAAAACTGGAGGAGGAGCTCGAGAGTGTCAGGGCTGGCGAAAAGGACGACACCGAGAAGCACAAAGACGGCCAGGACGACAAGACTGAAGATGTCACCGAAAAGGTCAAGTCCCCTGTCGCATCCGTCATAGGCATGTTCTCGCCAAAGCAGAAAGCGCAAAAGTCCTTCAGCGAACCTACCCCAGACAAGGAGGACAGCGGGGACCTCTTCTCCTACGAGGATGAGGTGCCCCAGCTCCAGGCCGAGGTCGCCTCCAAGTCAGAGGAGATTGACAAGCTCAAGAACGAGGTCGAGATCCTGCAAAAGGAGTTGTCGACCGTCAAGGAGAACAGTGCTGGCCTAGTTGAGAGCCTCGAGAATGCCACCCGCGAGCTCAGCGAATCCCGCGACTCTTCGGCTACCCAGGAGTCTCTGCAAACTCAACTTGATGCCCGGAACAAGGAGATCACGAACCTAAACAAGCGCTTAAGCGAGGCACGAACCCAGCTGAAACAGCTCGAGGAGGACAAAGATTCGCAAGAGTCCAAGGTTAAGGAGGCTGAGGCTTCGTTGGCTACTTCGGACAAGCGAGCGAGCGAGCTCCATGCTGAGCTGACCAAGGCCTCCAACGCAAAGACAATTTCTAAGAAACTCATCGACGATCTCAACGCCCAAATTGAGGTCCTGAAGAAGGACAAATCCGAAAGCCAGAAAAAGCTCGACGAACTAACTAAGAAGTTGGAGTCTCAGCCCGCTCCCACCACAGCCCCCTCTGTGGCAGTTCCTACTTCTCAGCCCATAGCTGCCGCATCCACACCCGGTGCTGGTGGTTCTAAGAAGAAGAACAAGAAGAAGAAGGGTAAGGGGGGTGCTGGAGGAGCCTCAGCTCCAGCCCCTGAGTCGCGGGCTCAGACTCCTGAGCCGGCACAAGAGACACCTGATGAGGGACCTGGAACTGCTGCGCTCGAGGCTGAGATTTCCAAGCTCAAGGAGGAGGTGGCCGAGAAGGATGGTCAGATCGAGCGCCTGGCCAAGAGGCGCAAGACGGAAGAGGATCTGCGGGAGGAGATTGAGTCGCTACAAGAGAACCTGATTGCCGTTGGCCAAGATCACGTCGAGGCCAAGCAGAAGATTAAGGAACTCGAAGCTGAGAAGGTGGATTTGAAGTCGCAGATCGCCGAGCTCGAGAAGAAGATGGCCTCGTCTGCCTCGAATGCGAAGGCTAGTTCGAAGTTGCAGAGCGAGATGGGTGCTATTCAGCGCGAGTACGAGGACCTCAAAGACAAGACGGCCACACTGCAGGCCGACCTCGGCGCCGCGCAGCAGCTAGCACAGAACCGCTACAAAGACCTCACAGACCTGCGCGAGGTGCTACAAAAGGCGCAACCGGAGCTGAGGAGCCTGCGCCAGGAGTCAGCTACGCTTAAGACTACCAAGGAGGAGCTGGCAGCCAAGGCCAAGGAACTCAAGGATATGGAGAAGCGGGAGAAGGACCTCAAGAGGGACCTTACCCGCGCCCAGCAGATCTCGTCCGACCGCGAGACGGAGATCAAGGGCCTGCAGGAGCGCTTGACGACCGAGACGAACAACAAACTCCGTCTTGAGGACGCCCAACGCGTATCTGGACGCGACATCCGCCGGGCCGAAGCCGAAAAGGTCGAGTTAAGCGCCAAGGCAGAGAAGATGGAGCGAGAGCTCCAGGGAGTGCAGGATGAGTTGACTAAGCTACGACCGCGAGTCAAGGAGCTTGAGGAGCAGCTGCACAAGCTGAAGCGCGAGAAGACGGCCATGCAGGAGGAGGTAGACTTTAAGGGGCAACAGTACACCAATGCTCAGGGCCTCCTAAGCAGCATGCGTGACCAGACCGCTGAGATGTCGGTACAGCTCAAGGAGTCCAAGTCGCAAGCGGAGTCTCTCGAGGAGGAGTTGGCTGAGGTACAGCGACTGCTTCAGGAGCGCACGCGCGAAGGCGAGACGATGCGACGTCTACTAGCAGATGTGGACGAGCGCGCCGACAACAAGGTGCGAGACATGCGGGCGCGGATGGAGGCAGCCATTGAGGAACGCGACCGCATCGAGGACGAGTCGAGCACACTGGGGCGGCGCAAGGCCCGCGAGACGGAGGACCTGAAGCAGAAGGTGCGCGACCTCGAGCGCGAAATCAAGACGCTGGGCAACGAGCGCGACGAGCTGGAGCAGCGTGAGAAGGAGTGGCGACGCCGGCGCGAAGAGCTCGAGTCGGTCGAGGAGAAGGCCGAGGCGGAGACGGCGGAGATGCGCACGACTGTGTCGCAACTGCGCACCGCGCTCGACGCATCCGAGAACCAGGTGCGCGATGTCGAGAAGCAGCGCGCCGAGCTGCGACGCATGCTGGACGAGGCCCGCGTCCGCTACGAGAAGCTGTCTAAAGACCTCAAGGCGGCCCAGACCAAGCTCGTGGCCAGCTCCAGCCGGAGCTCCTTCGACTCGGTCCGCAGCGGGGCCAACGGGTCGCCGGCCAGCGGCAGCAGCGGAAGCGGTGCCCCGGAGACGCTCTACCTCAAGACGATCCTGCTGCAGTTCCTGGAGCAGAAGGACAGCAAGCTACGCGCACAACTGGTCCCGGTGCTGGGAAAGCTGCTGCGATTCGACAAGTAAGTCACCCCTATTCCCTTGCTCGCCCTAGACGGTGCTACCTGACCTCTGGTTGTGGAAAATGACATATACTGACTGAGTTGCTCTGCAGAGCCGACGAACAAAAGTGGCAGAAGGCGGTCCAGCACATCAATGTGCAGTAGTGATGAGCAAGGATACGGTTTTGGATAGCCAGCCAGCCAGCCAGCCAACCAACGGATGGATCCTCTGGGCCATCGGCGAGTATAGCAGTACGCGTGTGTGCGGACAGTGTAGAATTACTGTGAGATAGCAAGGGAACTAAAGAAAGACCCCGAGATCCGTTCCATCGAGGACGACTACTTCCGGCGATAGACGGGAAATTTAGGAACGAAATGGCGGGACAGAGATGGCTTCTACACCCACATGTTAGACATTTAATCACATCCCATCCCTTGTCTTCGTATTCCACTCAAGGAAGGATTCCGGTGACGATATCGCTTGCTGCGTGAGGTTCTGCGTAGGAGTCGGCACTTTGAATCAGTTTCGCACCCCCCAAGTTTAACGAGCAACCCAAAACAAGACATTCTTAGCATGTCGTGAGGCATCAGTAGAACGATAGTCTGCGAGAGAATCTAGTTAATTTCAGACAGGGTACCTCTGGTCAAGTACGGCGCTTCCTGGTCAACAATGCCGTCATCACGAGCACGTCGCTGCAGTTCGGGAGTAAGACGGCCGAGGAGATGCGGCGCAACATGTTTGAGGACGAGAAGAGCCCGCTCCTTCATAGCGGCTGCGTTCCTGCCGATGCTACAGAATAGCAGCGAGCCACACAAGAGATGGTCGGGCAGGCACCGTCACTAACATCAATCAAACCGGGAAAGCACCACCCGGGCGTACACTGCCTCTCTCCGAGGGGGACGCAAGCCACACTCCCACAAAGCTCAAGCCACAATGCAACCCAGTCCGTCGGTAAAGCCAAGGTCAAGACAAGCTCGAAAAAACCCAAACGTCGTCTCCACGACACCCGCTTCCTCCCTTCTCTTGGGCCCCGTTTCGTTCCCCACCGAATCTAAACCCCGTCTGTCGACCCTCTCACCGAAGAACCCATACCCTTGCCCCTCCTGCTTCACCTCTCCCACACACTGTCTTGGCTCCCGCCTATGTACCCATCCGCTGAGCTCCCGCCGGACAGTACATCTTGCACCCACCCTTCGTTCAGTGTTCTAGAAAGAAACGCTACATTAGCTTCCACCTCGGCCAACACATCCTTCCCCTTCTTAGAGCTGATTGATAACCCCCCCCCCCCCCTGCCTGGTCTGCTGCATCGCTCCCGCATCCTGCGAGCGGCAACGCCCGCCGTCAGCATCCTGGGTCCCGGGTCTCGAGGCACGCTTAACCTCTAGAGGCAGCGAGTCGATTCGTAGGGCTGAATTGGCCATCTGGGATGCTTCGTGGTGATGCGCATCTCTGCTCAGCTGCTGCGAGCTGTTGGCGCGAGATCTTGAGCTACCCGAGCCCTTTCGGCAATGTTCGGCTACTGGTCCATCACAACGGACTTCGATGACCGCCACACAAGATCACATTCACACGTCTAGTAGCTTGCAAATGATTTCTCAACTTCAGAATATATCCATTCCGTCACCAGTCTACCTAAGAAGTGGCCTTTCAATGCGTGGCTGTCGGCCTCGGTCCAGCGGGTTGTGCCACCGACCCTCCAATCGCCCCTAGCAGAGCGGGCCCTTTTGCCACGCATTGTCAATTCATCTCAAGATGACTTGAACAAGACCTGAATCAGGTCCAGGTCCTCCTTCATGGAGAGACCATCCACGACTCCCGCGGTCAAATCCAGCCGCTTCATCAACCTCTTGCCCAATCCAGGGGAACAAATGGTTTTGCCCCCTCTCCGCTGATTGACCCAGCGAGGGTGCCGTGACTATAAACAAAACGCCATACATGCATCCACCGTCCCGCCATGCCAATATCCTCGAGCCCAAAAAGCACTCTCGTCCCATATAAGATTCCGAGGGCAAGGAGCAAAGTGTAAAAGGAGAAAAGAAAAAGAAAAGGGTGGAGTGGTGTGACGTGATCGCATAGGGGGTCAGGTGTATATCGCACTCCGGGTATCATGGTAGTAATCCCTTATGCTCTGGTGTATCGTTCAAGAACTGTGCCGTGATGCCAAGTAGTGCCCGTGGTGTCATGCAAAAGCAGGGAAATAAATGTGGAAAAAAAGGGGAACCAGGAACAGAAAGTAGTCAAGACCGTAAACTGTAAGACCGCTAACGATGACCGTGACCGGTAAAAAAAGGGGGGTAGAAAACATAGGAAAAGCCCAACGGGAGGCCAAATTGCTCAAGCCATTCTTGCGCCCCTGGTGAAGGGGAAAACAAGTCACAGAAGTGAGACATCGTATAACAAATCGCTAGATGCAATGGAGTTCGCCGTATTCGTAAAGGAGAATAAAAAGTCGTAAGTAGAGCTGCATACCATCAGGAACTTCAGATGAGTTGATGAAGGTAAGATTTATCAGGGTGTGCCGTATCAGGAGACGTGAAGCATATCCAGTGCCTTGTCGTTTAAGGATTGGCCGGTAGAGAAAGGTGAGAGTGATTATCGCGTTCACAGGTACTGGCGTACCCACTCGGCGTCTAGCCACCCGACCTTGTCAAAGGCGGTCCACAGCTTTGAGGCCTTATTAACGTCAATCTTGCATGCCTGCTGCGCATCCGTCTTGCGGAACTCTTTGCCGTTGCGCAGACACTGCAGTCGTCGCTCAAAGATGCGTCGCTTGCTCGTCAGGTACGTGGCGCAGTCAAGTCTCAGATTGCCCGCCAAAGTCAGCTCGTCGGGATGCAGGAGCATGGCGTGAGGATCGCCACTGAGATCAATCGGCTGACCCTTCCAATCAACCTTGAGGCTGTTGGGTCGGCTCGGGAGCGAGTTCAGTGGCGGGCAGTAGTTGGGGAGCGCCTTGAAGTCCTTATCCTCACGGTTGGGGGCGACAATCCTTCGGGAAGGTTCAGGGGTCGCACTAACTCTAGGCCTGGGGGCAGCGGGTCGCATGGGGCCGGGGGTGGTGGTGGTGGTCGCGACGGGGTGGGTTCGGATCGGGCGCGGGGCAGACTGGGGTTTCGAGACCCGGTCGACGCGCTGTGATCGTGGGGCCTTAGAAGCGACGACAGGCTTGGCCGCAGGCAGGATTGTATGGTATCGCTGTGCACCAGCTCGCCGGTCGGCCTCGAGAAGGGCGCGCTCCTTGCGCAACCATGCCTTGCGATTGGCTGTGAAGTGCTTCATGACCTGCGACCGGAAAGTGAGGGCGAGCTCGTAGTCCTCTCGCTTAGGTGGCAGCACTCCTGCGAAAGACGCCCGCGATCGGGCCAACACATGGTCGTCGACAATGCGGCGGTGATCTTCGAGCTCGGCTGGGGCGAATAGAGGCGGCTGGGCCGGACTGGATAGGATGTTGTCCTCGACGGGATAGAGGAGAGGATCCTTGACAGCCTGGGACGGAGGAGTGGCCGGGGCCTCGGTGGTGGAAATTGGCTTGCTGTAGGGAGAGATGGGCGGTGACATGGGCATCGGGTGCTTAGCTGAAGACGACTGTGCAATGCCCGCGGATGCAGACTTGCTCATCTCCGACTGATGGTGGTGATGGCTGAAGCTGTCCAAGACGGGGTCGGGGGGCGACATCAGGCTGGTGATGTCGAACTTCTTTGAGCCCATGCCCATTGAGGCAGTGGGAACGGCGGGAGGCGCCATTGAAGTAACCGCGTGGGTGTTGCGGGGGGAATTGTTTGCCATTGTGGAAATGGTGTTTGTGGAGGGATGATGAAAGGAAAACAGAGAAGGGGGAGAAAATAAGGATTGAGTTGTTGTAGTAGGAGTAGGGGTGGACGACGACTTGTTCTTGTCGAAAGTGGTGGAAGGTTGCATAGCGCACGGTGGTTTGTCAGCCAGGGATGGGCGACGGTCACCCTTTGTCACTGGGACTGACGTGGTTGGGTGGCGAAGCCCGTTCAACGGTTCGCGAATCCAAAGTGCAGCGCAGCGAAAGCGAGAGCCTCTTGTCGGTGTGAGTCTAAAAGTATGACTCTGCCTGTTGGGTTGGCGTGTGTTTGTGTGCGAAGCGTATTGCCTTTGATGTTATAGGCCCCAATTAGGCACTCGCTCGCTGTGAAACAGGCAGCAGGGCTGAGGCGGAGGCGATGGGCGGAGTTTAGGCGGGAGTGGGGGTGTGTTTGGGTGGTAAGACGCCCGTAGGACTCCGGAATTTAGGCGGCGGAGTTTAGAGAGGCCTGGAGCCGAAGATGCAGATTCTGTGAGATTCCGTGTTGGAAAACGGAAGGGGCAAAAGAGAAGAGGACCTTGGACGGGAGAACCGGACCAGTGGTGCCCGTGGGCCAAAGTGCTTTTATTAGTATGTTGAGTTGTGAGGAGAGGACAGTTGAGACGGAGCACAATGGTGGCTGTTGCTGTAAGTGGATGGGGTGATGTGATCCAATTGTCTGGGCGCCTGAATACGGCGGGGGGTGTTTGTCGTTCAATGGGTAACAACAACCGTATGACGGCGTGCGGTGCAATTGTTGCGATGGGGCATCCGATTGTGAGATGGGCGAATAATGGGCAGCATGGGCAGACTGCGGCGCAAATGGTGCTCAACTGGCGACACTTGCTTGAGCAAACGGGGGGCTGTCGGAGGCCCAAGCTGGCGCTGTCGATGCGTGGCGGACCGGGGTTTGCGAGTGGTGGGACGGGGACCGTATGACTTTTGACGACAATGACTCTCCAGCTGGTCGTCTAGGCAGTCAGTTTGCACGGCGACCTGACGACTTTTGGGTCGGGCGAGGATGATGATGTGGCAGACAGCCGAGCCCAGGGTTGGCGCAGGGTGCTTCTGCGAGAGACGGGGATCTGGGGACCGCGGACGGACAGCCGATTCGACTGGCCTGCTCTCAGGGGGGGTGATTGATGAATTTGATTGATTGAATTGACTTGAATTGGGATTGGGATTGATCGATTGATTTGAGGCGATGCGAGCGATGCGATGCGATGATGAATTGATTTCACTGAAAATTTGGGGGGGGCGGTTTGCGCGCGTGTGCGCATACAGAGCCACACACACACTGGACAACGCAGACAACGCACACAGGGGGGGTGAGAGATCGCAAACACACGTAAGAACGAGGCGAGGCAAGTTGAGGTTGGTATTCCCCAGTGATTGAGATTGACAGAGAGATTGTGTGAATGGAGTTGAAGAAGAAAGAAGGAGACAGGCGAGAGGAGAGAGAGGAAGAGAAGAAGTACTGTGTGCGGCTGTCACACCCCTCAGCGACCAATGTCCGATTGGGAATGGATTGGGTCGCAACAGGAAACCAAACTTGTGAGAGGTCAGAGTCGGAGGAGGGTCCGAATGAACAAGCCTGGCTGGTGGGCGATGGCTAATACACCGGCGGGCAGACAGGTGTAGGCGTAGGAAGGGCAGCAGCGTCCTCAACGCAGTAGTCAGAGAAGAGGGGAGGGGGTGGGTGTGGGGGTGCAAGTGGAACGAGATATCGATTGATGATGGTGATGATGGCCGGTCCTAGCGATGCGATGCAGCGGGGGAGATTGGCGCCGGCTGGGTTTCTCTTTGTCCGAGATGGAGATTTGGTTGAGTGTTGGCGGACGGTGGTGAGAAAGGAAAGGAGAAGGGGAGGGAAGGAGAGAGAAGAGAACGGACGGAGAAGAGGGTGGTACAAGACGGAGGTGATGACTGATGAATTGGACGGGGAGTGATGGGCAATGGGCAATGGCTTTCTCTCTCACACTTTGTGTCTGGCAACCTTTGCTTTGGCGACCCTTTGCTGTGATGGACCGCGCGCTCACACACTTCGCTCACACTCACGGACGGCCGACATTATGAGGTGGCGTCCTGTGAGAGCAGGAGGCAGGGCGGGAAGGAGGGAGGGTGGGTACCCTCGCATCGACCAGAGTGGAGCTGAGTCGGTGGGGAGGGTGTGAGCGGAGGGATGGGAAACGTGGGTTGTGAGTGCGAGTGCAGCAGCAGGGACAAATATTGTGACTATGCGACCACGATGCAACGATGCAAGATGCGATAATCCCACCCCCCCTTTCTGCCTCTTGGCCTCCCTGGCCTCCCTGGCCTCCCTGGCCCCCAAAAAGAATAGGCCAGAAGGACGCTGTGGCCAATGGACCCCACCCAATGGATCCATCGCGGTTCCTTCCTTCCTTCTGTGTGCGCCCCCTCCTCCTTTCCCCTTGCACCGCTGCCCAGCGCTGGCTGGACCGCAGGGCAGGAAGGGAGGGACAGAGGCTGACGCTGGACCTGGGCTGCCTGCAGGCGCCTGCATGCTCTGTAGGCTACTGCAGTTCCCAGTAGCAGTTTGCCCAGCGCCCGGTTCCCAGTTTCCCTCCTGTTCACGGGCAGGCGGGCAGCCACAACCATCAATGGCAAGGGCATAAAGGGGGCCCCGGCGCATTGGGGTCCTGGGCTGTGAATTGTTCATCCCGACATCTACTTGACCGACGGCGCAAGCGCGCAATGCGCTGAAGGAGACCCTTTTGGTGGCATGGCACGGCATGGCATGTCACCCGTCATTGTAAAGGCGACATCGGGGCACACTTTGGAATCAAAATCGACCTGCTACGCCCACGCCCCTCCTCCTCGTCGGTCAAGCCAGTCAGGTGTGAATCGCACCCTCCAAACGCCCAAGATCCAGGTCATCAGGGGACCGCCCATCAGCCGCGGGGCGTGTGATTCGTGATGCGCCCCCAGGCTGACCCCCCAAAAATATCCATCAAAGTGTGGCTGCTGTTGCTTCCCTTGTCATCCTCTCATAGAAGTAGGCTGCCTTGTCTTCGGTGGGCAGTCCGTCGTGCGACAAACCCCCTCCTCTGTGTCCGTGTCTCTCACTCATGTCGCTCGTGTCTCTCGTGTTTCCCGGCCACCTCTCCCCAGTCAATTGCGCACCAATTGCCAAACCAGCTTGGGACTTCAGCTGGACTGTCTACCCTCCATGTCTCGCATTACCTTTTGCGCTGTAGACATGACTGGCTTCTTGGTCTATGCCTGTTCAATCACTTGCGCAGTGTCTCTGATTGTGCTGTGCATGTGAAAGTCCATGTCTGGGTTTGTTGTGTGAGTGGGTACTTATGGGTGGAGCACAATGACGAAGCGAAAGGGCTCAAAGAGAGAGCGAGGGGTCCGAAATGGCGGAGAGGAAGTGCTGCAGAGTCGGCCAGAGGGCCCAGGACTGACGAGTCCTAGGACGTGCATCCGCCGGAGTCCAAGAAGCGCCAGGCAAAGACAGCGACGCCCGGCCATGAACCATGCCAGGGCAATTGATGCGCATTAGTGGCCGATGGAAACACCGACTAAGATGAGGCACTGCATGCTTACCTTCCCTCCTTCGTCAGAACACACAGCAAGAGATGGGGGTCGGACGTGATATTGGCTTGTTGGCTTGTTGGCTTGTTGGCCGGCTGGCCAGCTGGACCCTGCGGGGGAGGTTGTGGGAGCGGCTGATGGGAAGAGAGCAGCCAGCCAAGTCGCCCAATTCCTCGTCTTGAGGCTGCAGCTTGTCCAAAGTGTACGCGCGCATCGCGTGCCAGCCACGGTAGACTTCGACATCCAGCCCTTCAGCCATCCAGCCATCCAGCCATCCAGCCAGCCATGTCCAGCATCCAGCCCTCCATCTTGCTCACCAGGGCCGCTCGTGGCTTGGTCAGGAAGGGCAATGTTCACGAGCCCCGGCGCCAAAAAGCTTCCCAAAGGACGATGAGTGATCAGCCTCCGGTCCTCTAGTCGTCTTACCTCCCATCCACTACCCATCCCATCGCGTCCCATCGCGTCCTCCCAATGCGCGGCCAAGTTACTGGCGGCAGATGCGCGTCGTGCCTTGTCCACCGGCATAACACCAAAGACACATGCCCATGCCCATCGAGAATAGGGTCGCACTGATAACTACCCGTCTGTCAATCATGGTCAGTCGGGCCACGCCACAAGGGGACCACGGCCCACCACCACCATCAACAAACCTGACCCAGGACCAGTAACTCCATCCATCTAGGCTATCTATCCGTATCTATCCGTCTATCGTCTAACTTACCCGTCAACCCGTCTCTTTCCTACGCGATTGCGCTCATCATCACCATCGCCGTCTTCGGCTGCTTCGCCATCCGGACGTCTCTACCCCTCACGTTTCTTTTTTGGGTCAAACATGGTTTCGCCCAAGGAGAAAATACCGAGCATGGGGGCGCATCGGAGGGGTGTGGTTGGTTCTCGGGGGGCGTGTGCTCTTTGCTTGTGACGGCTGTGTCTTGAACTACGAACCTAGCCGCTCCTCTTTTCGGCGCCCGATGCCCAATGGTTTGGATGCTGGGCGCCAACCGCTTTCGCTCTATGGCTGGTTATGCGTGTTATGTGCTTGTGTTTGTGTCTGCTCTCTCAATGTCTTGCACTCTCAACAAGAACAAGCATCATAGTGTACCGCCCCTCATCTCATCTCGTCCGCCGTCTTGGTCCTCCGCCGCCTCCCCTGCCTTGTCTTGCGTGCCCTGGTCTTCACACTCAACGCCCCTCTGTCAATGGGTCAAAGGACCTAGTTAGCGCGTTCTGGGTTCAACATTAGGCACGTATTAGGTTTGCTGACGGAGCATTTCGAAGGCATTCATTCATCCATAATCGCCCGCCATCCACTAACACCTCTACCAACCAGTCTCCCCCCCCCCCATGCCAGCCGGCCAAGTAGGTACACATCCCACAATATGTCGAACGAGTTACGTAGAGCGTATTGATCCCCTAGCAGGACTCTTCCTGGGCGGGTTTCCCTGGGTTTGGGTTATGCTGTAGCTTGTGCCGCCCGCCCGCTTGGCGCGCTGCATCTCGTCAATCGGGCCCGCTTCCAGACCCTTTGTTTTGCACCCCCGCCCGCCAATGCCAAATATCAATGCCAATGCCAATGCCAATGCTCACCGCGCCAACGACTTCATCTGTGGACAACTTCATTGTTGTGGCGCTAGTGCTGGCGCAAACGTGAGAGCAGCAGGCTCATCAATTACAGACTGTCCTGTGGTACGGGTTCTGCGACCTGCGTCTTACCGCGAGTGCCGTCTCGCACGCCGAGCTGGGCTACGCAATTCATTGGAGCCTGTTCGTTTGTCCCGTCCCATGTCTCCTCTCCCGCCTCCTTTTCCGCCTCCGCCTCCGCCTCCGCCTCCGTCACCCCCGTCCTCGCCATCTCATCTCCCACCTGCCTTGAACAGGCCCTGCGCGTAACTGGTTGCTGGAGGGGAGGTGGCAGGCCTCCGCCTTCAGAATGAGCACAGCGAAGAGGCAGGCTATCCCATCAGATCAGCCTAGGCAGGGCATGTATGTACTTCTATGCTAGATTCCGTATTCCGTATCTATCCCGTACCAGGGTACGGAGGGCCCTTTCAAAAGTCTTGTCCAAGCACTAGCAACGCCACATCCATTTATCCCTGTCAGGTACCTGAGGTACATGAGGTTATGGCACACTCGTTCGCTTATCCGCTATAGCCTCTGTAACTTCAGGGGTAGTAGGCGCTGCTGGCCAGGATCTAGCGGTTGCTGGTGTGCTGTAATCAGCTATCTTTCAGCGCTTGGGGAAATCAAGAAGTACTTAGTGTACTTACCCTCGTGATGATTGGTTGACTTACTAGCGTCGTTTTTTCCTCTGGACAAGACTTTTGAAAGGGCCCTCCGTACCACCGCTGCCAATTCCAAATTGCCCTCTCTCGCGTGTACTAGGGACTTCTTAGGCGTACCGAGCCCTGCTCCTCTAACATCCCCTGCCTCTCCTGCTCTACCTGCTCTACCTGCCCTACTCTTGGGTACTTTGGACTCTTCCTGACCATCCTCCCGCCCTCTCTCTCCCCACGCACCGACGATGTGAGTCACAGGATATGGAGAAACAGGCTGCGTCCGCCTCAGACGCACACTAGAGGCCGAAACAAGGCCTGGCGCCAGGCCCTCCTCGGATTAGTGGCTGTTCATGGATGGGTCTTTTGAGGCCCATTGGACCCTTTGGGGCCATCTAGAGCCATTTGGGGCCATGGCAGGGGGGCAGCTGCACTGGACGGGGGGGTGGCGTGGGCTATCGATAAGAGTCCGCCATCTCCACAGCGCACAGCCCAATCCAAGCGGGGATGCCTACATCTGATGGGATGGCTTTTTATTGCACATTTCCAATTGCCAACGTCATCATCCTTGACCGGGCCATGGCATGAGCCGACATAGGTAGTAGGACGGCGGATTCGGGGGCGTGGGCTTAGGCTTGATGCAGAACGGAACGCAAAGAAGAAAAGGAAGAAGAGAAAGAGAACGCAGTCAACTGCGAGGCACTGCCGCATTTATTCGCTGTTCAATGGGTCGTTGAATGCTTCCCAGCATCCCATCGCATCCTGTCGCATCCTGTCGCGATGGGGGAAACTGGGGTGCTGGGATGTCTCCCCGTCGCAATTGGATGTCCGGCGGCGCAAACTTGGCCCGTGGCAATACTTCGCCTTCCAACGCACCAGACTGCCAAGGGCAATATACTTCGTACCGCCTCCTCATCGGAGTTGACGGGGTTATGCTTCCCCTCATTCCCAACTCCGAGAGAGCGAACAGGTCCGAGTAAGCCGGCGCGCGCGCGAGTGCGAGCGCGAGCGAAGCAAACAAACTAGACGGGCCGTAATTATAGGGGAGGTGAAATTGATCACATCAGCAAGGAATTACCCAACTGGGGGTGACGGATTGGAAGGATGAGCCATCCGAGCCGAGAAGCCAGCCGAAGCCTTTTTTGATGCAGCCAGCCTGGGTCTGGATCGCATCCCCGCCATCAACCAGTGCAGCACTCACAACACATTTGCATAGCTCTGCACATCCACCCATGCCGTTCAACGTGCAGGGGCAAGACGGAGGCCAACACAGCCAAAAAGAATCCACCGTCCCGATATTTCCCCATTCTCAACCCGGATTTCTACCTCCTGGTAAGAGGGAGGTTGCCTCCCGTCGGTGTCTTTTGCTCCGGAACCCTGGGAGCGAACTGGGGTGATTCCGGCAGCATCTTGTTCTCTCTGCCACAGTGCTCTCTCTCGCACACCCCTCCACAGCTCCATCCCACGTCCTAGAGTCAGTCTTGTCTGTTTGGTGGTGAGCACTGGAGGACCACATGACCCCCCTTTTACGTCCCCAGGCCTTCTCCGTCCTCCTGTGGCAGGCATACGTTATCAGTATGGTAGGTAAGACTCGATATCGCGGCCTCCCTATGGTTCACATGTGCAGAGAGACGTGCCAAGGCAGGGACGCCTTCCACCCACCACCACAGTGCTGGGAGGGCTGGTCCGCGGCCTGGGGTGCCGAACTTCCAATCTTTCCCCTCCTTTGTGAAACGGCCCGCTCGCGCGCACCCTCCATCAGTTCTAATGGGCGATCGTGGTGGCTGATTGCTCTGGTAGGCAACCCCAACGGGACCGGAAGGGTAACAGGCAGAGCATGACGGGGACGGGTGACGCTAGCACCTGTCACTTGACCGCCTCGGTCTGAGACAATGAAGTCTGAGCCTCTCTCTAGTGTAGAGCCTGAGTTTGAGTCTGAGTCTTGCGGGTGCTAGTGTGAGTTACTATCGGGAAGAATTGGAACAAAGGGCCATGTGAGTTCTCTGGGCGGTTACGTCAGTGGGCGGCGACCTTGTCGTCACCTTCCCTCCGTTTTCCTCCCACTTGCAACTGATAACTGAGGGCGCCTTGCGCGTCTAGGACTCCCGGAGAAGCACGTCAGGGCATTCCTCCCGATGGCCCCTCCGGCAACGAACGGTCGTCGTGCACCCACATACGCCCAATGGGTCTAGACACAGGTGCTGTGAACGGCGGGCAATCGAGCGTTTGCATGCGCTACGGAAGACGTCATGTAGCCATGCCTCGTTTGGCCTGCGCTTGCTGCGCGCGCGGGCGTGATCGTGGCCATTTCCATTGGTATTGACATCGGTATTGGCATTGGCCTTGGTATTTGGCGTTGGAGGCTTTGGGGTTGTTGGTGAGAACCCCGCCGTGACAGTTTCCATACCCCACCCCCATCACTTCATGTGTTCGTAAATGGTGCATGGTTAGGTATGTCTCTGAATACGTGCGTATCAAGAGCTTATCAGTCTGGTGACTGCAGTTGTCCCATGCGCAATTGTCTCAAGCATGTCTCTCTCTGATGTCTTGCATTGGAATGAGTTGCAGGATGGGTCACTTGGTGCCGTTCCTTATCGTTTATCACCCCTCCTTCCCTTCAAAGTATCTCAGTCGTCTCCATCACCCCTCCCGTCGGTCTTACCTTGGTAGGTACGGCTATCAATGTTGCTATGGCTGTTGTTGCGCCTGCCCCTCCTAGTAAACAACCTTCTTCTCAATCCTCATCATACAACGTCCTACAAACTCGAGAGAATTTTGGTTCCCTATTCTTCGTCCTTTGAGGCTTTTTTTCCTTCATCACGTCTTACTCCCCCTCAATGCAGTGACGAAGCATTTATTTCAAACTATTGATGCACCATCCAGCGTAGGACGTCTATGACCGGACATCCATCGCCGGCCAGGCAAGCGCCTGCGCCAACACCGCGACCAGCACCACACCTGCGCCAGCACCAACACCAGTACAACAAGTGCTGCGCCGTCGCCGACTCCCCCAACCCTCCCCTCAATGGAAATGGAGCCAGAGATCCGGTCCTCGGCATGCTTTCCGCCCAATGGTTCGGTTCCCCGCCGCTCCGGTTAGATTCGGGCCGCGGTCACGGATCTCCCACGTCCGAAGCGTTGTTGCAGTTGCAAAGCATTGCAAAAATACAGCGAAGTAATTCGGATCAAGTACCGACCTTGTCCGTGTCCAGGGCGCTCGCTGTCTTCTACATCAAGTAGTCCTCGCCAAGGATGTGCCCATCTAGCAAACCACAATGATGCCGCTTACAACAACACAACGGGAGTGGTTATAATCTCACTCCCCTCCCGCAGGCGCCATGCTACTCCACTGTCCGGAGCCACCTCCATCAACGGACGGCCCCACCGACCGAGCCTAAAGCTGGAGCCCTGCTGCGAGCTGCGAGAGAGTCGTGGCTACGGCATCGGGGCGGGGATGGAGGGGTTGACGGTCCAGACGGTTGCGAACAACAGCACAAGCAGCAGCAGTATGATGCATTCCAATGCCAATGACTCCCCAATGGCCCCAGCACAGGCCCAATAGACGGTGAGTGAGTCGTTCCATGCAAAGTCCCAGCCTAGGCGGTCAAGCGCAATGCAGCGCAGCACCGCACATGGCGCATCCTCCAGAGGCGCCCTCCAGGCGTAAAGTACCGTGAATTGGCGGCGTTTTTGCGTCAATCAATTCAACCCGCCTGCAATTCTGACGTAGCCAGAGCCCTTCCTCGGCGCGTGTCGCTTTTTGCTTGGCCCCATCTCTAGCCCCGCTGAACCACCAAGACCATCCATCCACGATTCTTTTTACGTCCAGGTTGGCAACTCTGGTCGCAGGGCCAGGCCCTCCTTCTTTTTTTTGCCTTCCCCTGGATGGATGGCTGGCGTGATGCGCTGTCAGTACGACAGCCGAGCATCATGCCGTGGATCCAGCTGCATGAGTTGCAATCTCGCGGGCCCGGCATGCCACCCCTCTACCATATCCAGCCTCTCCCGTTTACCCCCGCAACAGTCGATCATGTAACTGTCGACGCCTGACTCGAGGGAATCGTTTCAGATGCCCATCGTCCGAGCCCAGCTTTTGTTGCAGAAATTTAGGCCATGCGGTGGGGATAGGCACTTTACGAAGTACTTTGCAGCATTGCGGAGCATTGGCAGTGGCAGTGGCGGTGGCATTGGCATTGCATTCGCCTCATTTCTTCTCGTTGTGATTCTATAAACTGGGCGGCGTTACTTAGATGCTCCCGGTTCAGCCTCGGCGTTATTGCCTTTCAAGCCGGGCAGTCTATTCAATGCCTACGGAGTACCTTAGATGCACTCCGCAGCAATGTGCGTGCAATGGGTGTGTGCGCAATGTCGGTTGCTCTGCTCACGTTGCCGAGTGGTTGGCCTCACTTCTGCTCTGCCTACACATTTGCGCCTCAGCGTACCAGAATTGACTTTGCACATTTCTGGCTGCGCGCCCAACCAAGTATTGACGGGAAACCCCTGTCTCTTTGCTTCAGCCTTTTGTCATTGTCATACCAGACCAGTCATCTAGGGCGGACGGTGTTGCGAAAAGTGCACCAGTCTCGTGTGCGCCACCAGGTTCCGGCTTCCTTTTGATCGTCGCCTAGCGCAGGGATGCACCCTCACACCGAGACGCCATGAATCCTGGCTTTGCCTGGGCGTGGTCCGTGTCAACGTCGTCGTGGTCACATCTGAAGTCGGCGCATTGTTGGGCAACAGCGCCGTGCTGCCTCTCAAGCGTTCAGTGTCGAGAGTCAAGCCATCATTTGCCAATGGTTCCGGGTGCCTCACCACCAGAACCAGGCTCCTGGATGCCACCAGAAGTAGTGCGCCACCACTTCATGATGTATTGTATGGGTACGCGCAGCCCACGCTCCGATCCCCTTGCGTGTAGCACGAGCTTGATTGTCGCCTGGCATTCATCTGGGGGTTAGTGTTGTACACAAGCCGTGAGATCAATGCGTTGCTCGAGAAAACACTAGGCACCCGGAGACTCAATCTGAGGAGCACAGGACTGCGCGTAGCCCAATCTGTGGAGGCATACTTCGCCATGGCGGTCCGAGGCTAGAGTCGTCTGCCTTGATAGCCAACCAGCATGATGTGGCGATAGCCACCACGGCCTGGATCCAGCCCTCTCGTGATGCTCCAATATGATGCGTCCGTAGTGTCCGTCATGTAAAGTCGTAGACCATCAGGCTCTCACGGCCATCGCGCGCCTCTTTGAGCACAATGACCATCTCGTCATCGAAACCAACCCAGTTCCTACGGTCCTCCCACTCGGCAAGGTCCAGCCCCAGCGTTTGCGCCTTGGTGTCTTGCTCATTGCTTCTGCCAGTGCCACTTGCGCCGTCGCCGCCGTCGACCATGTCGTCCGCGTCATCAGCCGGCTGCCTAGGCCGGACTTCAATGCTGCTGCCTCCCACGCGGCCTTCCAGCTCCCACACGCGGATCTCATCCCCGCGCGTGCTAATGCTCACAGCCTTGCCCCGGGGTGTGATCTCCGCGTCCGATATGCCTGACGTGTGGCCCCATAGGCGTATCCCAGGAGACAGGCTCAGTGAGGTGGCTGTTGATGTGCACAAGTGCAGCACCAGCGTGTTGTCTGGCAGCGTGGCGAGCAGGTATGGGTGACTGTAGCAGAGAGTCGTGAGGCCAGGCTGTGAGTCATCGGGCGGTGGCGGACGTGGACGTGAACTGCGAGGCGGCGGGCTGAGGGAATGCGGGGGAGGAGTCGTGCTGCCGCTGTTGACCCCAGTCTCGATGGGGAGGGTGTAGGCGAGGCGGGAGGAGAGGCTGTCGGTGCCTGACGGCGAGGGCTTGATGTGGATGTCTTGGACACCGATACACCAGCCATTGGGGGTGAGAAAGGTGTAGGCGATAGAGGCGCTCACAGAGGCGGCCATCCGGCGGATCGAGAGCGCGATGGGCTGATGTGTAGTGTGCGAGGTCAGCGAGGTGAGTAGGTAGGGAGGTGGAAGGTCGAGCCGTCTCCCATCCATCTCTGGAAGCTTCGCCTTTCCAGTCGTGTCGTGAACACTCTCCGGGCGTTGCCCCTCGGCATCCTCAACCTCATCGCTAGAAAGTCGCGCGGACTGTCGGTTAAAGGTATATAGCGAGATGAGGCCCGCGCTGGTGGCCGTCAGCACATGAGGGTGGCCGTATGCCACAGCGACAAGCTCCCCATTACAACTCTTCTCGTGCCGGTATCTCCTCGTCAACTGCCCCTGCTTCGCGTCGAGCCTCCATATCCCGAATCCTCCGTCGGCGAAACCAACCACGATATCGACCAGGCCACCTATCTGTCCCTGTTCGTCCACTGCTAGAGAAATGGGCGTATTTCCATCGTCCGAGTCATCTTGTCGTAAGTCCACCTGTGCGATCAGCCGTCGAGTTCGTAGATCCCACGCTCGCAGCCCCGACGCCGCATCCCCCGTCACGGCGATGCCCTCGACCACTTTGACGAGCGTCTTGTTCTGCCCCGCCACGTCCTCCGAGGCATCTCGCACGCTGACCTCTTCTACGGCGCACTTTCCGCGCGCCCAGTTATGACGCAGTTTGTACTGCCTTTTCCAGTCGATGCTCCCACCATGCTCTGTCTTGGTCTCGTCCTGCACGTCCACCAATCCTCCTCTCCGTCCCCAACCACCATCCGCCCATACGGCCCTGCGCGCTGAGTACTGAAGCTTCGGTCCGCGACTAGAAGGCGACACGGTGCCGGCACCGGCCCCGACGCGGAAACCTGGGATGCGCAGTGCCCGCGGGAGGACGAAGCGAGTATAATAGTGCGCGCGCCAAAGTTGGGAGTCGGCGGCGAGGCGACGAAGGCGGCGCGACACTGGCGCGAGGTCGAGGAGAGTCGTGTCGCTCAGAAATGACAGTATTCGCACGAGGAGCTCGTCGGAGAGGGTGGAGAGGATGTCGCGGGAGGGAGGGCGGGCCGTCACCGGCATCGGCGGGGAGACTCGAGGCCGTTTTGGATGGAGGTGGTCATGGTGGATGTGGTCGTCTGCTTGGGAGACCGAGATCTTCCGCTTAGAGCCCATCTTGTGGGTGACCTTCCAAACTGCGCAAGTCCAAGGCTGCGTGGCAGCTGAGGAACGTGTAGTGTTGGAAAAGTTGAGGATATAGGTAGATGAGAAATGTCGGTGGCGATAACTTGGGGGCCATCGATAACGGTGCGTCATCCCGCCTTACCCTATACCTCAGAGAATAATGTACTTTTTTTCTCCATTATTGATCATTATTGATTACTTCTGTTCTAGTAGTGGTCTATTCTCTATATATTTTTTTAGAGTTGTGATGTGAAGTGCTTCGTTGTGTCGACGACTTGTGGTTGCTGATGATAGCTGAGTGAACTTGATTCTATTTGGTGTATTCGGTATATGATGTAGCTTATCTACCTATATTCCATCTCCCTTCCCTATAATATTGGGTATTTCCATAATACACATGTAAAAAAGTTTTCCCATGTTCGACCTAAATGAATCCCAACTCCGTCGCACAATGTGATCCGTCTTATATCTTCTAACACGAACTTGGTCATAACCCGATCGTCTCAAACATATCATCATACACCTTACCAACCCACCCATCTGTGAGCCCTCCTCTTGCGACAACGGCCAAGCCTCCGACTGCCCACAGCGCCGCAAATCCGGCAGCAACGCCGTGAAGCCCGGCCCAACTTCTCCTGCGGTACTTCTTTCTCTTTTCCACCACGACAGTCCCGGTTCGCTGTACCTCCTTGGTGGAAGGCGCAATCCCAAGCCACTTCGCTTGACCCCAGATCATATGTCCGCACCCCACGGCTAGGAGTCCAATATAGGCGATCTGAGAAATAACAGGATGTCGGCCGAAACAGTGCGCGACGTAGGCAAGGCCAATGTTGGAGCTATCCCCCTCAACTTGCAGTGGTAGGACACGATTGGCGAAGACATGAGCGGCGTAAAAAACGGTGAAGGCGTAGCCGGATATCGAGATGTAGCTGAATGACGGCCACGGCGAAGCTGTTCCTGGCATGGCTCCCCCGTATCTCCTCAAGTTCTGTGACCTTCTCAGTAGGCGCAGGGTGATTCCCGAGCCAACGTGCGCTATCACGGGGAGGGCGACTAGGATGGGCTCGGTGAGTGACGTCTGGTATACCTCTCGGGTCATGAGGAGGTAATTCTCGGAACCCGCGACGGAGCGTGTGATGGCGGGGATGAGGGAGACGTTGGCGAGGTGGAGAGAGGTGAAGAAGCCCATGGCGTAGCTTGAGAACTTTTGGATTCGCATCACTGTATTGGCATAGTCGGTCAGCGCAAAGCTCTTAGATTAGTCGGGCAATTGCAAGTGCAGTCGCAATCGCGCCGGGCTCTCGGGAGACGAACAGTAGAAGATCGGACCAGGGCCGGTGGCTGTGGTATTTGCGGACGCGAGACTTGCGCTCGCACTCAAACCAGGAGCCCCGGTGGAGGGAGCCTTTATTGAGACTGCGCTGCCGTCCATGTCGTCGTCTGCGAACCCATATCGTTGGTTCCCACCGCTGAGCTCTACCGGGATGTCGCCGTCGATGAGGATCGGGGGAGAGTCGATGGGTTCAGGGTCGAGCTGAAGTAGGGGCATGAAGCTCTCCTGGGAGGCTTCACGATTGGGCGACTTGTCCGCTTCCATAGTGCCGACCATTCGCCTGGGAGAGAGAATAAATGTAGCAGTGGGAAAGTTCTCGAGACAACGAGAACGGAGGGACGGGATGGTGGGGATGAAGTTGGATTAGCGCCTCAACGCTCCGTTGAGCCCTGCAGAGATAGAGTGAATGACCTTCTCGACCCCGGACATGGCCCCTGGCAAGGGCCTAGAGAAATAGTAGGACAGTGACGTTTATCGCTGCGAGACCCAACGAGCACCCACTGAAGCCAGGGGGCCCAGGTCAGCAAAGCACACTCGGACTCGATTGGCTAGCCCACTCAGCCCACCAAAAGACCCCGGAAATGCCCCGCTCTAGCTGGATTTCGCTTAGTTCAGGGAGCTCCAGGGTAGCCTCAGAGTTGATCCGAGTTACATCGAGCCCCGACCTGAACCTTCAATTTCCAACGTCATTCGCGATTCTCTTCGGCCTGAACTCTTACAAGTACCCACAACCATAGCGGCAACGCACGACACAATGCCTCCAGTAAGAAAACCGTCTAGCCATATGCCATGTCTCCTCGCGTCGGCTAACCACCTTCCAGCGACACCAGACACTGCCTCCCGCGCAGACCTCCTCCGCGCGTGCGGCTCAGAAGTCATTCTACTGCGCTCTGTGCTCCAAGGGCTACTCGCGCATGAACGAATACGAGGCTCACCTGAGCAGCTACGACCACAGCCACAAGCAGCGACTTAAGGATATGAAGGCCATGGTCCGCGACCCCAACGCCGGCTCCCGTGCTCGCAAAGCAGAGGCCAAAGCCGACGGGCTCGTCAGCATCAAGCTGGCCGGACAGGACGCTGCGAATACCACCGGAGCAGGAGGCTTTAAGAAAGGGGGCTTCAAGAAGAGTGGTTTCAAGAGTGCCTTCACGCGCGTTGAGGGTCCTGCGAGTGGTCCTGAAAAGGCTCCCAAGCCGACCAACGTCCTGGAGCCTCCTACAGTGAACCCTGGTCTGCAAAAGGGCTTGTCCGAGGAGAGCGACACCGAAGACGAAGGCTACGAAGTCTACGACCCCAGGTTCCCTACGAACTGAGGCGGTAAACTCGCCGCAGCATACGACCTTTACCTGAGAGAGCGCCTGAGCACATTTCGCATCTTAACCAATGTTGAGTCGGGTGTATTTCTATAACCATTAAATCCCGTACCATCGGGCATCTACATCGACCCAGGCTGTGGCCACTGGGGGCCACCTATTTGCGATATGTCTTGTTCCAGCAATCCGAGCAAGTTTCGACTTCCAGAGAACCATTCTGCCATTTGAGACACCTGTGAGCTCCCGGCTGCCGCTCCGCTGGCTTGGTTCAAAGGGTCCATCGGCGTCTGATCTTCTGTTGGCATGAATCCTAGCTGGCTGAGGTACAGGTCAAATTCATCACCGATTGGGATCATTGTCTGGTCCTCCTGTTGATGCGATTTTGCCTGCACATATAGCGTGGCAACGTTGGTCATTACGTGGCATAGGCGCCACAGCTTTTTCATTACCTCAGACAAGTCGGCCGCTACTTCGAGCGATTTGGTGAAGTCCTGGAGAAGCTGGAGGTCTTCTAGTGACGATGTTTCGATGACATAGCAAAACAAAACGAAGAAGGGGCTGAAGGGTGTCAACAGCAAGTTCCTATGAATCGAGATTAGTCACCACTGCGCTGGATCGAGCTCCGGACTTTTCGGGCACTTACCAATGGACATAGATGGCTTTTGCATAGGCCTCGCGCCGAACTAGCTCCATGCAGTCCAGGTGTTTTTGCGTCGCCCGGCGCGCTATTTCAACGCACTCGTCGCAGAATCTGCTCAAGGAACCTTCTGGGGCGGGGATGGCTCGATATACGAGTGTCATTGTCGATAGCAACTGTACTTCGTCGCCTTTGACATGGATATCAACAAGACGGGATGCTTTTACCCTCTCGAGGGAGGCAACTGCGATTTTCCGAACTTCAGACGCCTCTGCCTCTAACTGGCGACACTGGGCCGCTAGCACTCGAGCTCGTTCGGCGAGTTCGGCTTGTGGTCGTGCTAACGCATCTGGACTATAACTGTAGAGTTGTTAGCAGGTATTCTCGGAGTCTGATGACGTTGAATGGGATGACGAACAGTTGCACATAAATGTCGCCCTGAACGATTGCTGTCTTGAGCCACATGAGGGCGATGCCCGATGTTTCATCGCCCATCATGCCGTCAAATACAAAACCCCGGGGGATGTCGATGTCCCAGTCCTGGATCATAGGTGCGCGCCCCAGTCGCAGGGCGAGCGCCTTATCAGTGGTATATATGTACCAGAATAAGCCTGATTTGACCTTGTATTGCTCTGGGTCTGACTTGCAAGCGCTCTTGCGGTGGAACCCGGCCGTCTGACAGATTTGTGCGGCTGCACTATTTAGATGCCAGGCCACTGACGGTCGGGATACGTCAATTGCATACATGGTCTGCAAAAGTTAGATATTTTCATTCCTAATATCGCTGAAGCGTATACCCAGGTTACTTACCCCCAAGAGAAGAGCTTGCACGGTTTCGACCTTATTGGACATGAATAGAGACATGTTGGCGAGCGCAGTCTCGAGATTGACTCGACATATCTGGATGTAGGGCTCATATTCTTCCTTGGTTGCCTTATCGGGAGCGAAGGAGTGCTGCTCTAGGAACATATAGTAGAGCCCGGCATTGACGATGACGAAAGTTGAATCAGCGAAGTCTTCAGTGGGGAAATAGACCATCCGACACAGGCTAGAAAAGTCTGCGACTCCGACGAAGTAACAAATGAAAGTGAAGAGACCAGGAGGTGCAGCTTGGTGAAGCATTAGTATCGAATCGAAACATGGGAATACCGTTGATAAACAGTACGGATGGAGATGAAGCATACCTCGTATGCTCTTGAGAAGGGTCACGACGATATCCATGGGAGGCATCCGAAGCTGAGCCAGTCCGCCTGCGGGCATTGGCTGTTGTAGGGGGAAACGAGGACCATGACTGATGGACTGCCGGTTCTGCAACTCGACGAGTTGCCTGAGGTTGGCCAGACCCTCTCGCATGTATGGGTCGACATCCTGCAACGAGGTACGCTCAACAGCGTGCTCGAGAAACTCGCTGGCGAAGGTGGTGTGGGCGGCAAGGGTCGAGTCACCACCAAAGGCCGACTCACTGTCCGAGCTATCATCGCCGACAATGGTGGAGGCGGCGACGGTGTGGATTCCGGTGGTATGGCCGGACTGGGGAGTCTGGAAGCGGAGGCCGCTGTCGGGGGTGGAGGAGCTGTGGCGGACGGAGAGATCCCTCAGCAGGGTCTCGATGTTGGCGAGCCTGAGCTCGATTTGGTCAATCTTCTTTTCACTATTGGCGGGCGGCACATCATGCCATATCGTCAGCTCCTGGGGTCCTGGTTGGACAGTTGGGGGAGGGATGCAGAAGAGGGTGGAGGGTACACGGACTATTGGGACGAGATGAGGACTCGTTGCCGGGGCTCCTTGACCCTCTGACCTACACCGGTTGACGAGCAGGTGCGCTTTGCGACCCGACAGTTGGAACAGGGGAAGTATTTGTCGCAGCGGATCTAGAGGGGGCACAACTAGTGTTATTCATCATGGTCGATCTGGTCCACCCAAGCCCGCAGCCATGATACCTCCCTCTTCGAGGCGAAGAACTACAGTTGCAGATATATTTCGGATGGATGTGCTTGTGCAAAGGTGTGCATGGGAACTAACCTTGCGTAGGCGGCATTGATCACACTAGAGATGGCGATAAAAGAAAAGTGTCAGTCTATGTTGGTTTGTGTTTGTATCACGGGGTAGATGTAAGCATGGCATGGGCCTGGTGGTGATACGACTAGCCTCCGACCAAGGCGCCAGCACCGATGAACGGCATGTCAAACCACCAAGCCAGATGAAGCAGAATCATACAGCTCCTGGCAAAGCTGGGTAGGCGCCGTGCAGGTGATGTGAGGGGTCCAAATCAACTTACAGCTCGGCGTGTAGGGTCGTCGGAACCCGCGGACACAGTCGGCGCGGGGCCGAGACTGGGCTGTTGCTCCATGCGGTAACTGCGGGGATGGCGGGGAAGAAGGTGAGGGAAACGAATGAGGAGTTTTGCAAGAAGAGGTTGAACGGAGATAGAGAACTGCTCTGAGCTGTTGCGTTTCTCAATGGCGAATTTTTTTGTCTCTTTTGGGGGCGGAATGCGCGGGAACTGGATGGCGACTGTGAGAGGGTTTGCGTGTCTGTGGGTGGTGAGCGGTGGTTGATGAGTATTGCTGCTGCCTTTTCCCCAGCGGTTCGGGGCCCGCGGAGCTCCGGGACGCGGGCCAAAAGGGCGGAGCCGGAGCCGGTTTGAGGTGGCCGGCGAAGGGGAATAAGCAGAAACTCCTGCTCTCATTGTACAACTATTGGCTCTATTTCCTCCGGGACCTGAGCTGGACTTATCCCTCTCCACCTCAATCAGGCAACAATGAATTTCTTTTTACTTTGTAGATATCCACCGTCATCGTCCGACTCTCATGTGGGCGGGCACAGGACTCTAGAAGTCCTACTGATGGTGTCTGGCAGACGTCCCCACCCAATTTCTATGTGGACAAGTGCCATGCCATGGTTCAGCTTTGGCTGAATTATTCCCCCGACTTGGCAGCGCCTCTGGCCAAGTAAATGGGTGGCTTGGTACTAATTAAGTTGCCTGAGCCGACTCCTCGCATTCAATCGTATTCGTCGTGTTGACGCAATCAAAACCATGCCCGCGTGAACCACGAAACCTTTTCCTTTCCCTATCTGCGTTCCGGTATCGTCGTTGTTCATCCTTGCCAAGGATCCAGGATGGCTACGCAACAACAAGGGCAGTCGGAGAAGCTCCCACCCGATCAGCGAGATTCGCGCGAGGAGATGCAAATTCATGGCAACTGTGTGTCCATCTCGACTAATCAGCAACATGAGATGCAAGTCGATAGCGGTACTGTAGGAGACCAGTCAGATGGAGATGGCGGAGGCGACGGAAAGGATCAAAAGAAAGACTCTAGCTTCAAGTATTACTTGGTAAGTTTGTCTGCTCATTTGTTTTGCTTGGTTGCATCGTTTTTTCGCACCTTGACCCGAGATATGCAACAAAATACCACCCCATGTTCCTCCAGGACTGCGCCTGGAAACTAGAATCAAGTTCATACTACGCATTTTCCGACTCGATGGACTGAAGCCAACCTACACATGCCCGAGAACCCCCATCCTGTAAAGCAAAGAGCGCCGCTCCGTTAAAGCTACTAGCTGCCGTACTGTATCCATCCATTCCATGTTGCTGACAAGTCTGCTCGGCAGCGCGTCTTCACGTACAACGACCTTCGAGGATGGATCTTCAACGTCCTCGCCTTCATCGCCATGATCGCCGCGGGCACGTTGCTGCCTATCATGGACGTTGTCTTTGGTAAATTCATCAACGCCTTCAACGGCTTTGTCAATGGGACGCTGTCTCCAGCAGGCTATCGGTCTGAGGTGGGCAAGTACAGGTACGCCCTGGTTTCGCTTATGCTTGTATTCAATGGCCGGCATGGAGACTAACTCGTCTTCAGTCTGTATTTTGTCTATCTGTTTGTTGCCAAGTTTGTTTTGACTTACCTTTGGACAGTAAGTCTGCATTGTTGCTCCTTTTTTGGTGTTCCTCTTTGGAATTATCGATCTTGCTGACCTCGTCTCCGTCTATTTGTAGATGCTCATCTCCATGACCTCCATCAGGACGACCAAAGCTCTCCGCATCGACTTCGTCCGACAGACGCTCCGACAGGAAGTTTCCTTCTTTGACTCTCCCTCGTCATCTATCTCGGGCCAGATCACCACCAATGGAAACCTCATCAACCATGGTATCTCCGAGAAGCTCGGCCTCATCATCACGGGCCTGTCGACCTTCGTCACGGCCTTCATTGTCGCATTTGCCGTGCAGTGGAAGCTGACACTTATTGTCATCTGCATCATTCCCGTTAACGTCGTCGTCACCGTGGTTTGTGTAGTCATTGACATTGGTTACGAGTACGCCATGTTCGACATTTACTCGCGCTCAGGCTCCCTGGCTGAGGAGGCTTTCGCGACCATCCGGACGGCCCATGCCTTCTGGGCCTTTCCCAAGCTGTCGAAACGGTTCACGTCTATTCTTGATGAGGCTGGCACGATCGGGGCGAAGAAGTCGTTGGTCTATGCTATTCTCTTCCCTACCGAGTTCTTCTGTATCTTTTCTGGATATGGTTTGGCTTTCTGGCAGGGCATCAAGATGTATTCGACAGGAGAGATTACACAGCCGGGTACAGTCGTGACGTGAGCTAACTGTTCCTGCCGTCCCATTCTTTACGTCTACTAACATCGTTCTATGTACAGCGTCATCTTTGCTGTGCTCGTCGCCGCCACAGCTCTCACCCAGATCGCCCCCCAGACTATCGCCATCTCCAAAGCAACCGCTGCTGCTCAGGAGATGTTCCAGATGATCGACCGGGAGTCCAAGATCGACTCGCTTTCTGAAGAGGGGGAGAATATTCCAAACTTTCGAGGAGATATCCAACTACGTGGTGTCCGCTTCGCGTATCCATCACGCCCAGACGTATCCGTTCTCCATGCACTCGACCTAGACATCCCAGCGGATAAAACAACGGCTCTCGTCGGCGCCAGTGGGTCTGGAAAGAGTACAATCTTTGGTCTCCTGGAACGATGGTACGAGCCGAGCGGCGGTTCGATCACTCTGGATGGTCATCCCGTTGAGGACCTGAACTTGAAATGGCTAAGAACAAATATCAGAATGGTCCAGCAGGTACAGTCGAAATAAAGAAACAATCGCTTAGAAATTCGTCCTGACAACGACTATAGGAACCGACTCTTTTCAGTGGCAGCATCTTCCAGAACGTCGTCGACGGCCTCACAGGTACCGACATGGTGAATTTGCAAGAGAACGAGAAGCGAAAACTAGTTATCGAGGCCTGTAAATCAGCGTACGCTCACGATTTCATCGAGCGGCTGCCCAGTGTCAGTATATATCTATCTGTCCTCGAAATAGAGATGTTGCTCACACCTATTCAAGGGATATGATACGTTCATCGGAGAGCGCGGCGCCTCGTTATCTGGGGGCCAAAAGCAGCGTGTAGTTATTGCCCGAAGCATCATCTCCAACCCCAAGGTCCTGATGCTTGATGAAGCCACCAGTGCTCTCGACCCCAACGCCGAGAAGATCGTGCAACAGGCCTTGAACAATGTTGCCAAGGGACGCACGATGATCGTCATTGCGCACCGACTTTCCACCGTCCGAGATGCCGACAACATCATCGTAATGGCCAAGGGCGCAACTGTCGAGCAGGGCTCACACAGCGAGTTGATTGGCTTTGGCGGTGCATATTCGAGGCTGGTCAGGCTACAGGACCTAGGACATGGCGGTGTCGCTCCCCAAGACGAGGCTGAAACTGACAAGGAGGAGCCACTTGCAGCCCTCGAGACAGTTCTCTCTCGAGCCTCGGCGCATGGAACTCACGACATCTCTAGTGACAAGCTCATTAACCATGGGCTTCTCAAGTGCCTCTTCATCATGGTGAAAGAACAGAGGTCCATGTGGTGGCCAAATGGGGCTGTCCTCATTGCAATTTCCGTGCTTGGAGGTAGGTCATTATACTCGCCGTGAGACTGGGAAAGGTGTGCTGACGTACTGTAACATAGGTTTAACTTATCCTACACTTGCTATCCTGTTCTCGAGGACCATGGATGCGTTTGCTGCCGTCGACGTGGCAAAGGGAAACTTCTACTCACTCATGTTCTTCGTCGTGGCCCTCGCTAACCTGGTGATCTATGCCACAGGTGGGTGGGTTGCTAACAGTATCGGCCAGGTGAGCTGAACCACACCCCAGGGATAATCACGACGATTTATAAAACAGGGCTAATATGTCTTGAATTAGTATGTCATGAAGGTCTACCGTGGTGAGATTTTCAACAACACGCTCCGCCAGGACATGACTTTCTTTGACAACCCCAACCACGGCACTGGTGCTCTCGTGTCACGACTGTCTACCGAGCCTACCAGCCTTCAGGAATTGCTTTCAATGAATGTAGCATTGATAATGATCAACATCGTCACCGTCCTTTCCAGCGCTATCCTTGCAATTGTGTACGGCTGGAAGCTTGGACTGGCCCTCGTCTTTGGCGCACTGCCTGTGCTTGTCGTAAGTGGCTACGCCAGGGTGCGCCTTGAGTACAAGTTCGACGATGACACAGCCGCGCGGTTCGCCAAGAGCAGTAACCTCGCATCTGAGGCGGTGCTAGGCATCAGGACGGTGTCGTCGCTGGCACTGGAGGGAGCTGTTATTGAGAGGTACAGCTCAGCGCTCGAGGGGCTAGCGAAGGAAGCTATCGCGAGCTTGGGTTGGAAGATGCTGTTCTACGCGCTCAGTCAGTCGGCTTCGTTCCTTGCCATGGCGCTTGGCTTCTGGTAAGTGGATGGCCATGAGCGAAAGGGATGCAACGAAGAACCAATATCCTAACGTGGCTCGATAGGTACGGCGGACGTCTTGTCTCGACAGGTGAGTACACGACTGACCAGTTCTACGTCATCTTCATTGGCGTTATATTCTCAGGCGAGTCAGCCGCCGTTTTGTTTCAATACACGACAAGCGTTAGTAAAGCACGCACCGCCATCAATTACATCCTCCAGCTCCGACAGCAGGTTGTGCTCCGAGATGACGAAGGAGATGAGAGAGATTCCTCGAGTAGTGCTTCTGAGAAGACGCTCGAAAAAAAGGGCCCCGAGGTGGTATGTGATGCCGTAGGCTTTGCATATCCCCGCCGGCCCAAGTTGCAAGTCCTTCAGGATATCGACATCAAGATGGTGTCCGGTAGTATGGTAGCCTTGGTTGGCGCATCCGGCTGTGGAAAGTCGACCATGATTGCATTGCTCGAGAGATTCTATGATCCGACAGTGGGCGAGCTTCGATCAGATGGCCAGAACATCAAGACCCGAGACCGTCGCCTCTACCGCCACGACATTGCTCTCGTCCAGCAAGAGCCCGTCCTCTACCAAGGCTCCATCCGCGATAACATCTCACTCGGCCTCGAAACCGGTATCCCTTCAGATGACGCCATCGTTGAATCCCTCAAGCAAGCTAACATATACGACTTTGTCGCCTCCCTTCCCGAGGGCCTCAACACACCCTGCGGGAACCAAGGTCTCTCACTCTCGGGCGGCCAGCGACAGCGCATTGCCATCGCGAGGGCACTGATTCGCAGCCCGCGCCTACTGCTCCTCGACGAAGCCACCAGCGCGCTCGACACGGAGTCGGAGAAGGTTGTCAAGGGAGCGCTGGACCGGGCCGCACAAGGACGCACGACTGTGGCGGTCGCGCATCGTCTAAGCACGATCCGGGACGCCGATGTGATCATCGTGTTCGCCAGGGGGCGGGTGGCACAAATGGGAACGCATGAGGAGTTGGTGGCCAGACGGGGATTGTATTACGAGATGGTCTTGGGGCAGTCTCTAGATAGAGAGGCTTAATGGGAGGGTGATAATGGCATAAAGGGGTTCGATATATAAACGACGCACAAAGCAGGGTCAAGGAAAAGGGGTGGATGGTCTTCTAGACCGGGTTTCTGGAGTTAGACAGTTGGAACAGCATTCGGCCTTTATATTTGCGGGAAGGGAAGGATCATCTCAACACAGCTATTCTCTCATATCAAGGATCAGCAACATCGAGACGCGTTCTCGGAAGCCGTACCGTCTTCCCTGGGTGCTTAGGGTCAACTTGCTGGAGAAATAGGGGACACCACTCAACCAATGTACAACACAGTTCACAGAGAATAGGAAAAAAAGGTGATTTAGCAGTTTGCATGTGACATCATGTCCATCACTAGTTGACTTGTACGGCCAAGCATGTGCGCCGTCTAGTACGCACCCGCTCTCACTTGTCCATGACTACAAAGCTCTATGTATATAGAAAATCCACGGCAGCCCATGACGGTGCTTCTCACAGTCCTATCACCCTCTATTTTGCTCTCCAATTCGTCTCGTTGTCGTAATCATTGCTCGCTCAGGCCAGGACCTTGATATCACCGTCCTTGAGCTTGCCAGCATCTACGAGGCGCTTGACCTCACCACTCCATACGCCCTTGATCTCGTCAGCGACCTTGAGACCGTTGAGCTTGCCAGCGAGTTCAGCAATCTCATCAGGGTCGATCTTGGCCTGGATGGCGTCGACATCGTTGAGAACAGCGTCGATCTGGGCGGGAGAAGCATCGCCAGTAGCGAAGTAGTTGGCATCCTTGACGGAGCCCTTGAGCACACGCTTGTTCTTCTTGACAGCATTCTTGGCAGCCTCCTTGGCCTTCTTGGACGACTCACGGCCAGCCTTGGCAGCGGCCTCAGCCTCAGCAGCGGCCTTGGCCTCAGCCTCCTTCTTAGCGGCAGCCTCCTCGATAGCCTTCTTCTCAGCGGCCTCCTTGTCGAGACGCTTCTTGTTCTTGGCGGCGTTAGCCTCCTGTCGGAAGCGCTTGATACGCTCATCGCCAGCAGAGGCATCGTCGAGCAGCTTGCGGAGTCGGGCGTTGTCCTCGGCCTTCTTCTTCTTGCGGGAGTTGGTGTTCTTGCGCTCCATGTGGCGCTTCTGGTCACGGTTCTCGTTGTCATCGGGGACATCCTCGTCGAGGTACTCAAAGGAGCGCCAGCTGTCAAAGTTGTACCAGAAGTTGTAAAAGTCATCAACCTGTTCCTTAGTGGCATCGGCGCTGCCAAATGAGGGGACGGGGTGAGTCTTGGAGAAGCGGCCCTCAGCCTTGAAAACCTTGCTCCAGAGCTTGTAGTAGTCGCCCTTCTGAAGGGTCTTCTTGGTGGGGGGCTCGACATCAGCCTCCTCGTCGACGGAGTCGTACTGTCTGCGCTTGATAGGGTCGAGAAGAACGTCAGTGGCCTTCTGGATGCACTTGAAGAACTGGTCGTCGTCGACACGGCCCTGGGCGGCCTTCTTATCGGGGTGGTGCTTCAGGACCTTCTTGCGGTGGGCCTTCTTGATCTGGTCCTCAGTGGCCTTGTAGCGGTACTTGGAGAGGCCGAGGATCTTGTAGTGGTCCTGGGACTGGAGGATGGTATAGTGGTTAGCAACGGTGAAGGACCTGTGACAATAAGCGGAATATATGACGTACCTTCCAGTCCTTGGCCTCGCTCTGGAGCAGCATGGGGTCCTCAGGCTCGCTCACGTCGCTCTCGTCGCCATCCTCGACGTTCTTGGCGCTCTCCTGGGCCTGGATGCGGTCATCTTCGGAGAAGGTGCGCTTGTGGCGGGCTCGGCGGGCGTGGGCGAGGAAGTGAGGACCAACGGGCTCGATGCTGCGTTGGACAGCCTCGGAGAGCTGGCCGACGGCCTTGAAGTCTTTGTCTGCACTCCAGCCGCTGGGGAGAGCGGGCAGAGGCAGCATCACGGTCGCCACGGATGCCATGGTTGATGGTAGGTTTGTGTAGATTGGTGGTGGGATGTCAGAGGAGAGAAAAAAAAAAGCCCGATGGATTTTGAGCGATTCACTTTTTCCCCCTCCATAGACTGGATAAACAGGCAGTTTGGTGGGGGAGGGGTTGGCTAGCCCAGGACCATCCAAGTATTTTCTTAGTGGGCTACAGCGCTGTCATGGCCCATGGGTAGTGCTACAGTGAGATCTAGTCGATAAACTGCGCTATGAGCATTTTTGTGTAGCGCTGTGGCAAGGCTCTAATAAGGCAGCGGGCAGTGCGCCAATGCGCGGAAGAGTCCCGCTGGTCAATTCTTCAAGCCAATTGCACAGACAATCGCGACTATGACATGGGGCATCTTTTTTCCTCAGACCCATCCGATTATCCATCTCTAACATCAACGACAACGACAACGGCGCGCCTAGCCAACGACCACGACCACCCAGCCCAAACACACAACAAAGCAAACCCCGCATCCGAAGATAATACCCTCAATTGGCAAACATATTACTCGTCAACATGGCTATGGCTCTGTCCGCATACCGAAGCCTCATGCGATCGGCTAGGATCGCTTTCCAAGGTAATGCTCTCCTCAACGAATCTACGCACTCATTCGCATTCTCTCCGTCTCCTTTCCTGTCCCTTAAGAGGCAAGCCCCATTGGCGGCTTCCAGAATATATCCGCACTGAACGAACACAGCCTAACCGGATCCTTCAAACATACAGGTGACGCTCCCATCCTCGCCGCCGCTCAGGTCCAGATCCGCAACGAGTTCCGACAGAAGGCCTCCCTCGATCCCGCCGATGCCAGTGTTCCCGCCGCCATCCAGCACGCTGAACAGGTTGCCAAGGTTTTGCGCGAGAACGTCGTCCAGGGCAAAAAGATTGAGGAAGGTCAGGACAAGTACAGTACGTTACGACTTCGACAGGCTCGCCAACGGTCAATTGACTTGGGAACGACGTTGGCTGACATAAACAACGTTTAGAACTACGGATACATGAACATACTGAGAGGGGAGATAACGAGTCCATCAAGACAGCTGGCAGCGGCTCCGGAGGCTGCGGATGCAGGTAAAGAACCGGCGCCAATCTTGTATGAACGTGTGTAACATTGCTCTGTTATGATACCCGCTGAATAATGCCCAAATGATCATCATCACTCTACCTCCATGACTCAATGTTGTCTTTCATCCCCTGGTCTGGTTCCCCGAGTCCCTTTTCGCCGGTGAAGCCCGCCTATTCGTTTGACCCTCCTTTCCTCAACGCCCAAACACCAGAAGCATGCAATGCGCCAGTTCGAATACATACAGTTGACAACCACCTCACTCCCTTTAATTCCCAGAAAGACTGGCATAGTTGGGTTCGTCACCCGCTCCCGGGGGTGCTGCAATGACCGCTGGCTGGCTCTCCTGTCGACCACCAAGGCCTCCGGCGCCCCCCTCGATCGCCCGTGAGCCCTGGCCCTTGGATGCCGCTTGGCGCTGTCTAGCATCGTGGAGCATTTGGGCTCGTTGCTCCTTGTCCATGGTGCCGATCGCCTTGGGCACTCCCCACCGTATCCGCAACGGACATCCGGCGATAACGGCGCGGCCTTGACACGCCGCAGCCGCCTTCTCAGCCGCCTCCCTAGTTTCGTAGTTGACAAACGCGCAATGCGACATGTGGGAGCAAACCAAGCTCTTGATCTTGCCATGCGCCTTGAAGAATTCGCGGAGCTTGAACTCGGGCAGATCATCTTCAACACCTGTCACAAAGAGAGACATGATATTCTTGTCTTGCGGCGGCAGCCAGTCGCGTGGGCTAGGGGGCAGTTGAGCGGCACTTGGGAAGGCCTGTCGCGATTTACCACCGGCCCTAGCTCCAGCGGCGAGCGCCGCCTTCGTATCACGCGTCCGGATCGGGCCCGGTCCCCCCACTCCCGCTCCCACGACAGCCTTCCCGCCGGTCGCACTCTCAGCACCGTCCGCATCGACGGTCTTGCCCTTGCGGAAGTAGGGCTTGCTGTTGGCTAGGCGCCGCAGCAGCTCGCGCGCCTTCTCGTCCGTTTTGCCGTACTCCTCTGTCCCCACCTTTCCTTCCTCGATGAGCTTTTCGTTGTTTTGAGCAAAGTACTCTCGGTTGATGTCTGATTGTGGCCCCGGGGCGACCATCTTGAGCGCGGCATCGCGCACGACAATTGGGAGGCCGAACGAAAGATCGAGCATGCAACATTGGCAGCAGTTCTTGAGTCGCGCGCAAGTCAGGCAGACGTTGGTTCGCTTCTTGCGGCCGTGGGCGCGGTCGGCGCTCCAGCTGAAAACGGTGAAGGGTCTGGTGCACTACAAAAAGAATGTCAGTCAGTCGATAATTGCTATAGTAAGCGCGGAATCGGGTGGATGCCTTACCAGTTTACACTCAGCACCATAGTCCTCCTTGAGCATCTTCACATAGGGATTGTCAGGCAAGCATGTCTCGCAGACAGAAGGGAAATCAGTAGACTCCCATCCCGAGCGGTTGAGGTCTTGCTTGATCTGGGGCGGCATCGCGGGATTGTGGACTGATGGAGGTCGGCGCGGGTGGTATCGTGATGGGGCACCAGGGAACTTTTAGAGTCGCGGCGTGGGACTCTGAGAAATTCAGTCACCGCCCGCCACCGAGGCAAAGCGTCTTACATAATGCGCCAAGGGCCAAGCCACATACTACGGTACCTAGACCCTCGGGAAAAGGCTGGGTATAATCTTATCGATAAGTGCCGCAACTGGGGCGACACTACGTACTGTGGCAAGGAATTGCAAGGAAACGGCAGGGAAGAAGAAGGCAAGTGCAGACCCTGTTTACTCCGAGGAGCATGTGCTTGGAAACGAAAATTATAAGGAAAGACCCCAGATGTAAACCCTTTTTTTTTGGCTTTCCTTTTGGCTGCCGTGCTCTCATTCCGCGCCTCGACCTATGGAAGTCGGAATTCGCCTGCGCGACCACAAGAATATGTTCTCCACCGAGAAGGCAACACCAGAGATGCAAGACTGCAATTGCATCGCCGATATCCCTCCATCTTCAAGGACCGTTGCGACAGTGCGGAGGCTATCATTGGTTGGCATCGCACTCCCCGGCTTTTTTCGCAATCTTTCTCCTTTCTCAGGGAGCGTGCACACCTCGCTCCGCCGCCAGTGGCATCATAGTCTAGCCAGCCAAGTGCCGTCTTACTCCATACCGCTCAACCCCCAGCTCCTCCTTCTCGGCCGAACTGCACGGCAAGGCATGGTTCGATGAGATCAGGATGGAATGATTCTGGCCAATATAGCAATTGCAAAAGGGAAATCTACGTAGTATGTAAACCCGGGGCATCGCACCCACACCTCCAGATCGTCCCAAAAAAAAAAAGTGGTCGGCGATAGGGGTCGAGATGGGATCCGTCATTTCATTATCGAATATCTCCCTAGCGAAAGGAGAGGCGCTCGTTTGTAAGTTGGGCCGCCGCTCCTCTTGGCTCTCTTTCTCTTTTTCGTAACGCGACGCTTTCGTATTCGTATCTAACACTTCCCCCCCGATTTCCTCCTTGCGGGTGGGCACTCACCGCCCTGCAAAGGTACCTCGTCTACGGTACTACGCCAGCCGTAAACGCATGTACCTGCACCTGCCACGAAGCACAAGCTGCGGGGGGCCGAACAATTCAGAAGCTGCCCCCGAAACAGAGGCAACAAGCCATGGAGCTAGTCCGCTTGGGGAATAGCACCCGGGCCTTGGTCTCTCCCCGATTGAGATTGGATGCAGAGTGTCGTCCAGTCAGGGGAGGGCCCTGAAATTTGTTGGAAATGCCGTCGCTCCGTTACCCGTCGCCATTAAAACGGACGCCGCCTCCCTCTCCCAAGGCCATTGTCTCCCATTGCACTCGGTCCTGCTGCTCAATTTCTCTTCTCTCCCTCTCCACGTCCCCCTCGTTGGATCTTCTCGACCTGCTTCGTTTTCCCCGGCTGCTCTCCCCTTCTACAACCCTCCATCCACATTCAACATGGTTGCCTCATCCACTGCCTCCAACCTCGAGCGCGAGGATCACCAGCGCGATGCCGACTTCAACAAGGCCATGCACGGCACCTCCGCCCAGGCCCGCGGTGGAATCGCTGCCATGTTCAAGAAGGGTGGTTCTGCCAAGCAGGCTGCTGTCGACGAGTACTTCAAGCACTGGGACAACAAGCCCGCTGAGAATGAGACTGCTGAAGAGCGCGCTGTACGAATACGCCCATTTACCCCTCTCTCCTTTTTCTCCGAGACGATTGATGGCAGCATCTAACATCAACTTCTAGGCCCGAACTGCCGAGTATGCGACCTTGACGAGACAGTGAGTTGCCCTCGATGCTTTCCCGTTGCCAATTGATTTATTTTCTGCCCCTTTGGCCGGCCGCCTCTTCTTTGCACATTTGGTGTGGGGTTCGTCGCTAACTGGTCCACCACAGCTATTACAACCTCGCGACCGACCTTTACGAGTACGGCTGGGGCCAATCCTTCCACTTCTGCCGATTCTCTCTGGGCGAGCCCTTCTACCAGGCCATTGCCCGTCATGAGCACTACCTTGCCCACAGCATCGGCATCAAGGAGGGCATGAAGGTTCTTGATGTCGGCTGCGGTGTTGGCGGTCCCGCCCGGGAGATCGCCAAGTTCACTGGCGCCCACATCACTGGCCTCAACAACAACGACTACCAGATTCAGCGAGCCACCCACTACGCTGCTAAGGAGGGTCTGTCGAACCAGCTGGCGTTCGTCAAGGGTGACTTCATGGTGAGTTGAGCGTTTATCGCCTAGTCCAGATTTTAACTGAGTTCCCAACTAACCCCTAATCCAGCAAATGTCATTCCCCGACAACTCCTTCGATGCTGTTTACGCCATTGAGGCCACTGTCCATGCCCCTACCCTGAAGGGCATCTACAGCGAGATCTTCCGTGTTCTCAAGCCCGGTGGTGTGTTTGGCGTTTACGAGTGGTTGATGACTGATGAGTACGATAACGACAACCTTCGCCACCGAGAGATCCGTCTGGGTATCGAGCAGGGCGATGGTATCTCCAACATGTGCAAGGTTTCTGAGGGTCTGGATGCGATCCGTGATTCGGGCTTTGACATGCTCCACCACGAGGATCTTGCGATCCGCCCCGACCCTCTCCCCTGGTACTGGCCTCTGTCTGGCGAGCTGCGATACATCCAGTCAATGGGAGACATCTTCACTATTGTGCGGATGACGACTTGGGGTCGAACGATTGCGCACGGTTTGGCCGGTGTCTTGGAGACACTGAGGCTGGCTCCCGCGGGAACCAAGAAGACTGCCGACAGCCTCGCTCTGGCTGCCGACTGCCTGGTTGCTGGTGGACGGGACAACCTGTTCACTCCCATGTACCTCATGGTCGCCCGCAAGCCCGAGGCGTAAAGGCCTGAAATGACTGCGGAGTAGAGAATGGAGGGGGAGGAAGGAAAACAGAGTCAGCGGAATGACATATGGCAGGAGCTCCTGGAAACCGGAATCATGCGAGAGAGGTGGCTACTCCACGAATATAATTGTAATCTACTTGGCTGGGTAGACATCGGGACACTGGCGCAGCGAGGGTCCTCATGACTTTAGATGTATATATATTGGAGCGTCGTCGCCTGCAAAGAGTTTTTCAAGCAACCTAAGACACAAAAGTGCGTCATGAAGTATGCTGAGATGTGGTAGGATAATCTTGTCCGAGACTGGCATCTATAAGTGGTCCTAATGAACCTCAGTTGTATCTAATGCCTAAGCACTTATAGGCTAAAAATCGGACAACCATAACACGCCGCCTCTTCCAATGCTGTAGACGGAGCGATTTTTTGCTATCGTGAGTGTTGAGTCGGGCGGGATTTTTAGTTAGTCAGCGCCTTTTCCCTTAATGGATGTGTAGTGTGTGTGATTAAGCGTGGTGGGGAGCCAGGAGAAGCTCTCTCGGTCGGGTCGGAGTCTTCTTTCTCCGTCAACGCCTGGAGGGTCATTGACGCTCGACCGAAGCCAATGCGCCTTGAGGATTCGATTCGATCAGAGACGACACTTGTAAGACTGGCTATTGCTGTCTCTTTATCTTTATGGCATATTGCTCGCGGGTCCAAATCCGTTCACCGGTGGCCGTTGTTGGTGGGGAAATGTCCCGTCACGCCCCCCAATATTCCCCCCAACAGACTGGTTGAATGGGTCACCTCTGTAACTACTGTACAAAGTGCAGCGTGTTCGACGCGTGCCAGTGTGGGTGGTCCCCTGGTCGTGATTAGCGGGCTTTTCGCGCCTGGCACCCCCAAACGGGCCCCAAGATGAGGCACTTCAGGGCACCAACAGGACACCCACAGGGAGCATCTGGGAGCCCACGAGTAAGTGGTCCAGGGCGGGGGGCAGAGGCATAAAGCTGCACCGGGCGCTGAGCCGCTAGCGGAGGTTTGCTCGGTGTCTCTTTCTCCCAGGTACCTGGTCCTCAAGCGGACTCCGGCAGTGCAGCGATGTACCTCGCGACGGGATGATACGTACCGACGAGCCCCAAAAAAAAAAGCTGGCTGGAGAGCATCTCTTACCTCAACTCGGTGAAATTCCCTCTCAACCTGTCGAGCGTCTCCGTCTCTACCCATCTCCATCCTCTCTTTTCCTCCCTCTCCCGCCTTCGCCCGTTGCCATTCCCACGTCCACCTTTGACGACGCCCGGGAAGAAGCTCTGCGCACCTTCTGCCCCTTGTCCCAATCTCCCTCCTCCCCTCCGTATCCGCCCCCTACCGCCTCAATTGGCCGCCGCTTCAACCTCAACAGCTCACCTCACCACCATCACCATGTCCCGCCTTCTCCGGCCCGCAGCTCGCCTAGCTGCCTCGACCCGAGCCTTCGCTAAGGTACCCGCTGCTCCCTCCTTCGCCCAGCGCGCCGTCATCCGTCCCGTCGTCTTCGGTTCCTTCCAAACCCGCTCCTACGCCGATAACGCCTCCGGTGTCAAGGAGTACACCGTCCGAGATGCCCTCAACGAGGCCCTTGCCGAGGAGCTCGAGGCCAACGACAAGGTCTTCATCCTTGGCGAGGAGGTCGCTCAGTACAATGGTGCCTACAAGGTTACCAAGGGTCTTCTCGACCGCTTCGGTGAGAAGCGTGTCATTGACACTCCCATCACCGAGAGCGGTTTCACTGGTCTGGCCGTTGGTGCTGCTCTCAGTGGCCTCCACCCCGTCGTAAGTCCTCACCTATTCACGCTGCTTTCTTGCGCCGCTCCCGTTCTCGTCTGACCAAGTTTGCGCCTGCCTTCTAGTGCGAGTTCATGACCTTCAACTTCGCCATGCAATCGATCGATCAGGTTATCAACTCGGCCGCCAAGACCCTCTACATGTCCGGTGGTATCCAGCCCTGCAACATCACCTTCCGTGGCCCCAACGGCTTCGCCGCTGGTGTCGGTGCCCAGCACTCCCAGGACTACTCCGCCTGGTACGGAAGCATTCCCGGTCTCAAGGTCGTCTCCCCCTGGAGCGCCGAGGATGCCAAAGGTCTTCTCAAGGCCGCCATCCGCGACCCCAACCCCGTTGTCGTCCTCGAGAACGAGCTGTTGTACGGCCAGTCCTTCCCTATGTCTGAGGCTGCCCAGAAGAGCGACTTCGTCATCCCCTTCGGCAAGGCCAAGATTGAGCGCTCCGGCAAGGATTTGACTGTTGTCACTCTGTCCCGCTGCGTCGGCCAGTCCCTGATCGCCGCCGAGAACCTGAAGAAGAAGTACGGCGTCGACATCGAGGTCATCAACCTGCGATCCATCAAGCCCCTCGACCTCGAGACCATCGTCCAGTCCATCAAGAAGACCCACCGTCTCCTCGTCGTTGAGTCCGGCTTCCCCGCCTACGGTGTCAGCTCTGAGATCCTCGCCCTGAGCATGGAGTACGCCTTCGACTACCTTGATGCCCCCGCCCAGCGAGTCACTGGTGCTGAGGTCCCTACCCCCTACGCCCAGGGACTTGAGGAGATGAGCTTCCCCACTGAGCAGCTGATTGAGGACTACGCTGCCAAGCTGCTACGATTGTAAGGGGCCCATGGGAACCGGACAGAGGGTTGATGCGTCCGCTGGCTCGTTCGTTTCTCGGGCGACCGTGCTCATGCGCCGCGGGTAGCAGAGGGTAGCATGCGATGCCCATCGCGCTTCCTGGTTGGACTTCCGGATGAAACAGGGCTACATTCAGACTAGGCGTACCTGGTCAACGCTTTGTGATAGACGTGCGGAAGGGAAGTGAATTGTAATTGTATTCCGTGTTGCCATGTATACAGTCAGGCCTCGGCGCCCGTCTTTATTAATGATCTATCTACCTATCCGCATATTCCGGTGGTTCTGCGTTGCGGAGCATAGTGACAATTTGTATTCTCCTGCATATACGCGTTGAACGGACGTTGGAATTCAACGAGCGGGTGTTGAATTGAATTGACAGGCATGAACATGTATCATATCCTAACTAGCCTTATCCACTCATCAAAGAGGAAGATGTCAAAGTATAACTAAAATGGCTTCTGAACCTGAAATCTGCCAATCGATCAAATCTAAACCTACTTATCCTGCCGCCCAATTGTAGTGCAACTAAATGGCTTTCGATTGCTTCGGTATAGGGTAGGGTGGGAGCGCAATTTTTGGCGCATAAGTATGTGCCACACGTCACAGTTAGACCTACCATAATGTCCATGGTGGGGCACACCTCAGCCTGCCGCCTTCAACACAGGTTACGCTGCCCATCCACCTACACAAGTCAAACTCGCCTGGCCCTTCTTGTCGCACAAACTCGCGGGCATGGTTGGAATAGACGATATCCTCCTAGAGGAGTCGCAGGGCGGCAAGCGCCTTGAGACCAACCGACAACCCCAAACCCAGGATCCCACGGAGCTTAAGCGTCGTCTGGAGGACCTGTTGCTCTCTCCTTCACCTGAGTTCTCACCAGAATGGCTCAACCGGCTTCAGCAACGTTGGGACTTCGAGGCAGACTACACGTCGCTTTTCAAGCTAGCCCCCCCGCATACTCGGACTTTGACAAGGTTCCAACGACATGGCCTAGAGGGCAGGGTGACAGGCTACAAGAACGTCACGGTCCCGGCGAACAGCGCCACGGCCAAGAACTCAACTAGCTTACTGCGGAAGCCCGCAAACCGGGCTGATTTTGTGAGAGGCGCTGCAGGTTTCTTTCCCTTTGCTCCTGGTGGACTCGATGGCATCGAAGCTACGGCAGCCTTCGAGGATCAGATTCACTCAGGCGGGGCTGGTGTCGAGACGAGCGGAACAGGCAACAAGCTGGAAAGGGTGATCCAACTGGGCAACGAGGGAGGATTACTCGAGGTTGCACCCGGTATGAGCAGGGGCATCGATTTCACCAAGAAGACAACCACTGTCGACCAAGAAGACGCCAACGCTATTAAGCAGGTGCTCGAGGAGGATCCAGAGGATGCCAAAGCGGAGGATATAGGCGAAGAGGAACCCCGCGACGATGGATCGCCCGACCACGCAGATGATGACCCAGAAGAGGAGAATGATGATATCGATGACATCCTGCCTGTCGAATTCCCCGCTTTGGAGCCCCATGGTGTCCTGGCTGCTTCGAGCGCGAGAAAAGCTGGCCGCGAATGGGCGCATATGGTGGACATCAATCACGACATGTCCAACTTCAGAGACCTCGTACCCGACATGGCCAAGGACTGGCCCTTTGAGCTCGACACTTTCCAGAAGGAGGCAGTCTACCACCTTGAGAATGGCGACTCCGTCTTCGTGGCGGCGCACACCTCGGCTGGCAAAACCGTGGTGGCAGAGTATGCCATTGCCCTGGCAGCCAAGCACATGACCAAGGCCATCTATACATCGCCTATCAAGGCTCTGAGCAACCAGAAGTTCCGCGATTTCCGACAGACTTTCGACGAGGTTGGCATCCTGACTGGTGATGTCCAGATCAACCCCGAGGCCAGCTGCTTGATCATGACGACGGAGATCCTGCGCAGTATGCTCTACCGTGGAGCCGACGTGATTAGAGATGTAGAGTTTGTGATCTTTGACGAAGTCCACTACGTCAATGACCTCGAGCGAGGTGTTGTGTGGGAGGAGGTCATCATCATGTTGCCAGAGCATGTCTCACTCATCCTTCTGTCCGCTACAGTCCCCAACACCTACGAGTTCGCCTCATGGGTTGGAAGAACAAAGCAAAAGGACATTTACGTCATTTCAACCCCAAAGAGACCTGTGCCACTGGAACACTATCTCTGGGCTGGAAAGAACATTCACAAGATTGTGGATTCAGAAAAGAAATTCATCGAGAAGGGATGGAAGGACGCACATCAGGCAATGCAAGGCAAGGACAAACAGAAGCCCGCGGAGACAACTATCGCCACCCGTGGAGGCAACCCCCGGGGTGGACAGCGGGGTGGCGCTCAGCGAGGAGGAAACCAGAGAGGCGGCCAACGCGGAGGCGGACAGCGAGGAGGCGGACAACAACAAAGAGGCCGTGGAGGGCCGCCTCGAGCCAGCCACAACCCTGGCCATATGGGTCGCGGCGGTCGTCCTGGCGGATTCTCATCGGCGGCGCAAGACAAGAACCTTTGGGTCCATCTCGTCCAGTTCCTCCGGAAGAATAGCCTTCTCCCGGCCTGCATCTTTGTCTTCTCGAAAAAGCGATGTGAGGAGAATGCCGATGCCCTCAGCAATCAGGACTTCTGCACTGCATCTGAGAAAAGCCACATCCACATGATTATTGAGAAGTCGGTTGCGCGACTGAAGCCCGAAGACAGGGACCTTCCCCAGATTGTCAGGCTGAGGGAACTCTTGGGTCGGGGCATTGCTGTGCATCACGGTGGCCTCTTGCCTATTGTGAAAGAGTTAGTCGAGATCTTGTTCGCTCAGACGCTGGTCAAGGTGCTGTTCGCCACGGAGACTTTTGCCATGGGTCTCAACCTCCCTACTCGAACTGTAGTCTTCTCTGGATACCGAAAGCATGACGGTCATTCATTCCGAAACCTCTTGCCGGGCGAGTACACACAGATGGCTGGTCGAGCTGGCCGACGTGGCTTGGACCCGGTTGGATCAGTCATTATTGTGCCTCCCGGAAGTTCTGATGATGCCCCACCAGTTGCTGACCTCCGCAACATGATACTGGGAGAGCCTTCGAAACTTCGGTCGCAGTTCAGGTTGACATACAACATGATTCTGAACCTGCTCAGAGTCGAGGCGTTGAAGATTGAGGAAATGATTAAGCGCAGCTTCTCAGAACACGCAACGCAGCAACTGCTGCCGGAACATGAGAAGGACGTCAAGTTAGCCCAAGCAGATTTGGCAAAAGTCAAGCGAGACTCGTGCAGCACTTGCGATGTTGCCATGGACGAATGTCACCAGGCGGCTCAAGACTACAAGAAGCTTACGACAGATCTGTACAAAGGTCTATTGATGATCCCCATCGGACGACGAATGTTCTCTCAACATCGCTTGATTGTATTCAACTGGGAAGGCGTCCGCTCTGTGGGTATTCTTTTGTCCGATGGCCTTAGCACCAAAGGGTCAACGGAGGATCCGACTCTCCACATTTGTGCTATCAAATCCCTTCGAGAACGCCGCGATGCTACCGATCAACTGCCGTTCATCCCCTCTATGAGGAAATACCTCCACCAACTCCCCAAGGCTAAGAAGCGGGTGCAGACCAAGACTCTGCACGTCCCTCTGAGTGACGTCGAATGCTTGACTAAATGGGTCTCCAAGGGCATCATCCCAGAACTCTTCAATGGCGGAGATGGCTATCATCAAGCCAAGGATCGGCTTCATGAAATCTGCAGCTCATGGGATGATAGAATGGATGAGGCAGACTTGAGCCGGATCAAGCAGCTGCAGCTTCAAGAAATGGTTGAGCAGAGAATCGAGCTGGTCAAGACGATTTCTAACTCGCCCGCTATCAAGTGTCCCGAGTTCTTGAAGCATGTAAGTGTACCCCTTTCCCTTATGTCCAGGTTTTTTGGTCTAATTGTGTAGTTTGCCATGTGCCATGACGAGTGGCTCATCAAGGAGCACATTTCCCAGCTGAAGCAGTCCCTATCGGACCAGAACCTTCAGCTGCTGCCAGACTACGAGCAGCGTGTCCAGGTGTTGAAGGAACTAGGCTTCATTGACGACGCAACACGGATTCAGTTAAAGGGCAAGGTCGCCTGTGAGGTGCACTCTGGCGATGAATTGGTCCTCACCGAGCTTATTCTCGACAATGTCCTCGCCGACTATGAACCTGCCGAAATCGCGGCCCTCCTGTCGGCGTTTGTGTTCCAGGAGAAAACGGACATGGAGCCTGCTTTGACTGGCAACCTAGAGCGGGGCCGCGATACTATCGTCGCCATCTCAGAGAAGGTTAATGACGTCCAGACGAGACTGCAGGTCATTCAGTCGGCAGATGACTCCAACGACTTTGTCTCTCGGCCGCGATTCGGCCTCATGGAAGTTGTTTACGAGTGGGCAAGGGGGATGAGCTTTAAGAACATTACAGGGCTAACGGATGTGCTGGAGGGTACGATTGTGCGAACAATCACCCGCCTGGACGAGACTTGCCGCGAGGTCAAGAATGCGGCAAGAATCGTGGGTGACCCAGAACTGTACCAGAAGATGCAGCAAGCACAGGAGATGATCAAGCGGGATATTACAGCCGTGGCGAGTCTTTACATGTAATAAGACAGGTTGTCGAGTTCAACACAGGATACAGCCGGTCTGCAGAAGACCCAGGCTCCATGAAGAGATGACGAAATAAAAAGGGGAAATGTACGGTAAAAGCTGAGGGGAAAAGGGAACGACAAGTTCGATATGCGGCGTACGATGCCGGCAATGATTTGTTTAATTCACTCTCAACAATAAAAATAGACTTGCCTGTGTCTCCTTCCAAACCCCTCCAACGCCATGTCCCGTGTCCAAGAAATATATCAACCGTTTAAGCTCTGAGCGCAATCCATGACATCGCCAAACACTCCTCTAGCCAAGCGCGTAATTGTGCCCTCCTCCGTCTAGGCTCGTAGAGCGCGCAACCTCTGCTGCAGTTTATCCTCCTCCTCGGCGGTGGGCTCAGCGGAGGCCTGGGGGTCGACGGTGGAGGGCGCAGCCTGGCGCAGCTGCTGGTCGAACTCGAGGCCAGCGTCGTCAGCCAGCTTGCCAAGCAGCTCGTGGACAGCGTCCTCGCCAACCTGAACGGAGGTGGACTGACTGATGGCATCCTGGTAGATGCCATTGGACATGGCGTATTCCTCGTTTTGCTGCTTAAACTGCTCGAGGGTGACAAGGGTCTGGATATCGCGCTCGTCAGTCTGGCCGCTTCTCTCTTCAAGCCAGGATTAAAGGCAGGGGAACATACCTTCTCGGGATTGGCACTCTTCTGGGCGATGTTCATGGTTCGAGACGACGAAGCCATCATGTGCGTCATGCGGTTCATAGCGTTGTTGGCCTGGATCTGGGCGGCGGATAGCTCAGCCATGTCGGCCATCTGGTCCATCTGCTGGGCGAGAGCCTGTTTGGAGAGGAGCACCTTGGCCTTCTGGTAGGCCTTCTGGGTCTCGCCCTTCTTGAGGAGTTCCTGGATCTGCTTCTTGAGAATGGGGTCCTGCTTCGAGGCCTTTTGGGCTTCGCGGCGGGCCTGCTTGGCCTGGAAGCGGGCCTGGAACTCGACCTGCATGTCGCGGGCTTGCTGACGGTTCGACATGGTGGCGGCGACGGGAGGAGCGGCGGGTGTCTTGGGCGAGCGACGGCGATGCAAATGCGGGTGCGGATTCGAATGTGAATGGAGTCGTCGTGGTCGTCCTAGGTTTGGAGGCGGCAGTCAATGTCATGTGAGTAGGATGATGACCTTTTGGGCAGGCAGCTAGAGGGGAGGGGCGCCATTCTTGGCGGGGCCATGGTCTGGGGGCATGACGCAGGGTGGCGCAGGCCAACGGAAAAAAGTCGAGGCAGTGCACCGCCACCACTCCCGAAGAATCTTTTAGTGTGAGATGGGAGAATGATCTCTGAATGTGATGTGACGTTGTGTTGCTTGATTAAGCTTACTAGAGAAAAACCCTTTCGAGGGTGCTCAATACGTTTATTGCAAGTCTATTACCAGAGATTTCGCCACATCTGGGGACTTTTTGCAGGCAAGTAGTCTAAGTGCTTCTAGATACTTTGATATTAGAATCGTAACGCACTGAGGTTATAGTCTATTGCCAAACCACATCTTGCACATACGACCATAGCTCTTAGAAAATACGGGATCCCGTCCGCTCTCCCTTAGTCAAGCTGAGAAGCGGCGAATTAGTACTCGGGTCGGTGACGACCGGGGAATCCTCGCTGTTGTATGTTTTTTTTTTGCCCTGTGGGCATGTTGTTTTTTTAACAAAAATTACTCTCCTCTTTGCACGTCCAGGTGGTATTGTGCATCTAGGGTGTCAGACGGAGACATGCACTACCGGTAAGAGCAGTGATCATTCCTCTTTGCCGTACGGTATTGCGACATGGGGTATGTCATTGGTCTATGGTGGTAAATTGAGGGAGAGTTGCTGTTCAAATACATGCGAATAATCCTTGTGCTAATGCCATGCGTAGCTCAAAATCAAGATTCGTTTATATGATACGGACAGTGTTTTCCCATGTCGGAATTCGGTGTCTCTTTAAACTATATGATATTTCTCGCCGATACGGTGTCTGGCTCTCGGGAGCTGATGTGATATGCACCGCCTTAGGCATATCACGCCTCATGGTAGGTTCTACAGCTACCTTCTAAGTCTCCCGATTTATCATTCATCATCCATTTAATCAGGAACGATGGTAGGCCTGATTCACACTCTCTCAGTATATTTATGCGACAAGTCATGCTACGGAGCTTTGAGGGGAGGGACGTTGCCGGAAAGAGTCTGTCGGCCTCTGCAATGCCCATCAGCGCCTTCTAAACAGAGAGGGAAGACGACATGCAAAAAAATCAAGACCAAGGACCGAGCGTGGATCGAACACGCGACCTAGGGATCTGCAATCCCTCGCTGATGCGTTTGTTAGCATTGGTTGATTGCTACGTGAGACATCCAGCAACATACCTCTACCACTGAGCTATCTGTCCGGGACGTTGAATCACTGAGTGGTTCAACTCATACATCAGCTAGTCTGTGTTCCAAGGGCGGGGTCGTACATTGGGCTGCTGAGAGCCCCGCTGTTTAGTCAGACCGTACCAAGTAGGGCCTCTGCGTAGCGAGGCAGCGAGTAATCATGCAGGTGCTCACCTAGCTAAAGATAATATGGTTGGACCTGCTTGTTGATGTCTGCTTACTTCCTGATATCGTAGCTCTAGCCAATGCCACACGTAATTGTGGTAGGCAATAATTGTTGGGAGACACGTAGGCAAGAAGTCGTGTAGTAAAGCTACCCAATACACTATGCCTTTCTCACTGCTACGTAGGGCAATATTGCACTTGAGATTCGTAGTCGAGCTCATTTTGTTGGTTGTCAAATACTGGCAGCCAGCCGGGCAATTTACTGATCCAGGACTGGTTTTCCCGGTCCATTTATACATTTACGTACCCTTCCTCTGCCAATAGAGATCGTTGATGTTAATTCCCAAAATAGTAGTTTGTAGGCGCTGGGTCCCGGGTAGTTAGGCCGGCCACGGCGTTTCACGCATCATACTGTAGCCAACGTCAGACTGCACAATATTACACAAGATTGCAAGCTTAAGAGCGTAAGACGTTATATTTCAGTTCACCTACAAAGAAGAATGACAGAGGCAACGAGTCCAAGACCAATGGAACCACACAGGAAAAATGCTGGTACCCAGACATAACTTTGCCGCAGAATATTGACGACAGTGACTGGTTTAAGTCCTCCTACAAATCACACCACCACAAACCGAATACCAGCTCTAGTTTCCAGTTACGCTAACTTGAGTCCAGGGGCGCTTTCAGTCAACATCAACTAACAGAAGCCACCTAAAACGACGACTGCTATGACCGCGACCACTACACGGCAATCATGGCAACTATGACCAGCTTCAAGATGAACATCGAATAATTCCTTAATCAATTGAGTGTGGGGAAGGCGAACCACCACATCCAGGTCACAACCTTTTAGAGATTGCAGCAACAACAGACGCCTACTGGGTGCCGCAGGAATACCACTCACCACCGAGTGCGTTACTGTCTCCTTTTTGGTACCTTGCCTGGGTTCCGTTGCTCCCCAAATGTATTTGTCCGGGTGGCCCTCTTTCTGTCTGTCTTGAGATGCTGTCATGTCGGAGCCTGTTCATTTGCCGTTCGAATTGCTGAATATGGAAGCCCACTCTGGTAATTTCGCTCGAGTATAGAAGGCTACCTCTCCCGGTCTACGATCAAGGTGCGGTTGACGCCGACGGAATATCTGGTGCCGCGTGAGTGTAAGGGCTCATCACTACGCTATCACGGTACCAGAGGGTATAGTTATGGTGAACTAGATGTAATCCTACGAGGGACCGAGTATGCTCTGCTAGGCGCTCTAAAGCCATGCGTTATTCTACACGCGGCTCTGGCAGTGTTTTGTGGACGGGGAGCGCGTATTTCCTCTGCGGTCGGATCTGCGAGGGATTATGGGGATAGTGAGTGCAAAGAATTCCTGGTTCTGGGTTTGAGGACTCGAAGGCAAAAGTATCGTGAATGGGACCGTGGTATTCGCCATGAGTATGTTTCGGGTCTCGAGTTTTCGGGCGACGGCTTTGTCCTCGGTGCTCTACTAATGTGAGTTTGTGTATTCATTGGGCGACACGATCAAAGTTTGGAGTTGAGATGGGACAAGGTGCGCCGATGGCCGGAATTTCATGGATCCTCCAAGACCAGTCAGGGGAGATTGCGCATAGGGCCGACACCGGTGGTCTGAAATGTCAAACTGAACGAGTCCTCCCAGAACCCAAGAAGTCGGTGTAGTTTGTAACTTTGTTTGCTGCAGCTATAGTAAATGGGTAGACTATTGGATGAACCATTAGGCTGGCCGGGGACCATCATGGTGACTTTTGGCAAGGAACAAAGTCTATTGGTTGACGGAGGCGTGGATGGGAATTTACGATGGAATGGAATGGTCCAGATAACAATCCCATTCTTGAGAGTGGGTCGTTCACCTGGCCGTGCATTTGGGGTTGCAGGCTGACCAACACGCGGCAGTGTAGGTCAATTGAATCCTTTGCTGCGGATGATGCGCTTCCAACGTGCAAGTGCTCGTCCCAACACAACCAACGGTCTTGACATACATTCTTGTGTTGGTTCTGAAACCTGACAATTCATCAGTCTCACCGACCTGAGCCACCTCCTCGGATAGATTGCTGAGATTCCCGCCCCGTTTCTGTCTGGCGGGAATGGTCTGACAAGGGCCATGGCGCGAAAGCTAAGAAATGGGCCCGGGCTGGTTCCCGGATGGACACAGACTTACCCTAGTGCAGCATTCTATCGGCGGGGATGCGATCCGACAATGCAGGAGGTCGCAATGGGGATTGATGATGGGACGAAGGCCCGGCCCCAATTGAACCGGAGGTTGAGGGTTGGCGGGCTGCTGGACTGAGTGGCTGGCTGGAAGGCTGCCCACATCTCCGGGGGGCTTTTGAAAGGTGCCAAGGGATTACGGAATACGGGGCCATCTCTGTATCATCAATTACCTACAGAATCTGGTCTGGGCAGAGACAGTGGGACGGACGGATAAGGGAGGCGGTGCGAAATCCACTGCAAGACGAAGCAAGCCCTGGCCGGTATCTGCGAAGCTGAGTACGCCGGTCGACCAGATGGAATGTAATGAGCAAAGGGATGAGACTTGGATCGGCATGTCTCTCATTGAGGCCAACAATTGTCATGAAGTTTGCAGATCACAACAAGGCACCATTGGATAAAGTGAGAAAAGGGCGGGCCGAGACCGGTACTTTGAGAGTACGCTGACGGCGGTGGAGGAGGCGGTGGAGGCGGAGGGCGGAGGGCGGAGACGGCTGGATTGCTGCAGTTGTGCACCGATAATCATCCTCATAATGCACCAGGGATGCACCACAGATGCACCAACACGCACCAAAAGTGGTGCACAAAAGCAACCTAACCAATGCAATGCCCCAGCCTCGATGCGTGCTCAACAAGGTACACACGCAAGTCCTCCAATGTCAGCCCCCACCCAAAGTGATCCACGCATCCCTCGCCTCCGTCGGAAACACGTATGTACTGTACATGGTCCACACGAGCCCAAAATAAAAAGGGGACATTCCAAAAAAAGGGGTGGCGGAGGGAGGCAGCCCCGGTTGGCTCCAATTGGAAACACGAGGCCGCGCGAGAGGGAGGCTGAGACGGGAGTCAGAATTGCCGGGCCCTTCCTGGGATCGTATCTGATCTCGTACGGTCGGCGGTCTCTCTAACAATATCTCCCTGACGGCGGCAGCGATGCACGTGTCAGAGGTACGCGTTCGTTTTAGAACACGAGGCCCATCTACTGATGCTGTATCCGTATAGGACTCTGTAACTATCGGGCTTCATCTGTCCGTTTCCTTTTTGGGTTGAGTGCGAGATGGATATCCCCCTTCTCGAAGCACCCTGAGGCAACTTGAAGTAAACGCGCAAGCCGCCTTGCTTTCTGCTCACATGCCTGAGCAGCACCAGAGTTTGACCGTCTCTTCGTTCACACAGTCTAGAGCCCCAGCGGCAGCCCACCGCTCACTCTTAGACAACGATGATGACTCCCTGCATATTGTGGAGGCCTAGATTTGGTCAGGTCGGTGGCACTGGTGGGGTTAGTTGCTTGGTACAAAGTACTCTCCGGAGAGAAGAGTTGCCAGCGCCAGTCTGCCGTGAGCGCTATCATGTTGTCGGTACCTCCCTATTCTGGACACTGTGCCATGGGCCCCCGTGGTGCCCCCTGATTGGCTGCGGGTCTGGCCTGGCCGGGGGAGTTGGAAGCTCCTTCCAATCCTTCTCTGGTCTTCTATGCTCCTCCTACCAACCTCCATGCTACCCAGTGGAACGGAAGGTGCGGAGGCGAATCTCGTCATGGTCCAGGTGGACACGAACCACAGGTAGAAGGTACCACTACCTTCCTTGGCCTCGTTCGGAACGCTGGTGCCTGCCATAATTAGCAGGTAAGGTGACGGTCTACGAAGGCAGGCGATAAACACCTTCATTCAGGTGGCTGTTGGACACGGCACGGGCAAAAGAAATCAAAGTGCAGCTTACCACGCACTTCGGCGCTTACTATTGTACTGCCTCTGGACAAAGCATCTACGTGTCGCAGCGTAAGACCAGTAATGTCCGGGCAGGCTGTAGTCCGATGCCCAAGTCACCCATTCTTCCGTGCTTTGAGTTTTGTTTGAGACTCCGTACCGTTAGGACTGTCTTTGCCTTCGCTTGAATTACAGTTTCGTCGCATTAGTTTCCCCATCCAGCACGAAGATATGCGCCGACAATCATCAGCCTCATATCCTTTGCGCCCCGGGCAAATCAATCAACTCTGTCCGACATCCACCAATCGACCAACAAGCTCGCACACAGCCTCTATGGTAAACCTCCTTCGATCCTCCCGCCCAAACCGATCGAAGGAACGAGAAGGTCCGTGGGACGGATTCCAGTGCGAATCTCGCCCCAGCCTGTCTTGACCCTATGTCTCAATCTCCCTCCCAGCTGCCAGTCGGATGCCAGCCCCGAGCCCCCTTTTGGAACTTCGAACGGTTGTGGGGAACCCTCCTCGCACGGCCTGGGGCAGATCGCTCTGCTGCTGCGTGGGCGGAGGCGAAAACTATGAATGGCAGAGTCGTAGACCCGTAGATGCAGGCGGACAGTGACCGTCCATTGCGTCCAGTGCGTCGTCCGGCGCTCAGGGCCGTCGCTGTCAGTGTGTCCACCAATGGAACGCCACCGGAGGCCACTCAGCTCAGCCCTCCCCCCTGCAGTGAGCCACAACGCCCTGAAGCTCCAGCGGCCTGCGGGCTCCCGTGGGTCGATGTACCGGTGGCCCCTAAACTTAGCCCCTCGAGCCATGGTGCCCACTAAATGCGCGGGCGCTCGATACGTACCTCCCCGGTACCCAGCACGGCGAGGTACGTACCCACATCAGGGGCGCACAGGGGTGTCTCCCCCTGAACTTAGGCCTCAGGCAGCAATATTCACCTCTCCAAACTCTCAACGTGTCCTCAAGATAAAGAGGCCTGGCCGCACCACCGTTGTGACGACTCCAAGCTCTAAGCCCCTCAAGGACCATCCCCTCAACGAATGGTCGTCCTCCACTCCCGCGACTGAGAACACCTGTCCTCTTCCCATCTCGTTGCCTTCACCTGACTCATCCATCCTGGCCAGGCTGACTCACGCCTGCCGTTTGATGGTGGATCCATTGTTGCCTGCGCCAGTTTGTACATGATGCAGTGGATGTATATCTGCCACTGAGAGCACCGGCCTCACCTCGCAGAATACCGCCCCTCAAGACGCTATCGCCAAACTACTACAACCGACACAGTCAAAGACAAGTAACATGGCGTTCCAACAGACCTCTCCCATGGTCAAGTTTGAAAACTCGCCGGCCGAGTCGTTCATCTCCACTCCCGGCGAGAACTACACATCTCTCTTCGCCGCGGCCACTCCCTCCGCTACCAACACAATGAACCCTATGGAGATGATGACCCCCAAGTCCTTTTCCGAGGACAAGCCCAGCGAGGCCTCCCTCGACAACCTCGACAATCTCGACAACGTCACAGATTCCGAGGACTCCCCCGCTCCCTCTGGGGACAAGAAGAGCGCTAAGAAGCGCAAGTCGTGGGGCCAGGTTCTGCCTGAGCCCAAGACGAACCTCCCTCCCAGGTATGCATATGCAATGCACCCACTCTCTCAATGCACCCGTCTAACTCCTCGAAGGAAACGAGCCAAGACCGAAGACGAGAAGGAGCAGCGTCGTGTCGAGCGTGTTCTCCGAAACCGCCGCGCCGCTCAGTCTTCTCGCGAACGTAAGAGGCTAGAGGTTGAGGCCCTCGAGAAGCGGAACAAGGAGCTTGAGTCCATGCTCATCAACGCCCAGAAGGCGAACTTGATGCTGGTCGAAGAGCTCAACCGCTTCCGAAGATCCTCCGGCGTCGTCACTCGTTCCTCATCTCCCCTAGACTCCCTCCGGGATAACCCAGTCACACTGTCCCAGGAGCTTTTCAGCTCCCAAGATGGACACAAGGCTAACGCCGACTCATCAACCCCCCTCATGGATGATATTCTTATTTCTAACGCCACCGTCAACCCCGCCTCGCTCTCTCCCGAGCTTGGCCCCGTAGACGACTCATCTGAAGAAGCTCCCGAGCAGTCCTCGATGGAGGCGCAGACCAGCGAGCTGACTTCGGCTACCTCCCCCGACTTGACACAACGTCCTGCTGAGATGTTGTGCGACCTGCAGTGTCAAACGTCGGCGGAGATGCCCAAGTCGTTCCTGGTCTCGCAAACCTCGATGCCGCCAGCCTTGGCCTGGCTGTTGCAGCTTCGGATGATGTTGCTTTCAGCCTCGGCGATTCTTTCAGCATGTCAACGGCCCTTGACACAGATCGCTATGTCCTCGAAAGCGGGCTTCTCTCTTCTCCCAACTCCTCCATTATTGACGACGATTATCTGGTTGGTGACTCTGCCACCGGCTTTACGCATCAGTCCGACTTCGATCTCTTCGACATCAACGACTTCCTCATCGACGAAGCAAACCCTGGCGCTTCAGACTTTATGGCAGCGAGCGACTTCGCCGCTGCGGACCACGAACTCGACTTCAAGGTCCACGACCCTGAGACTCAAGTCTCTTCGGAAAATCCTATCCAGCAGCCCCAGCCTGGCGCGTCCGCTCTCGGATGCGACGCTGGTGGCATTGCGGTTGGTGTCTGAAGGACGCGAAGATCGGGTCGGGAACTTGCAGCGCGAGTCCAGTGGGACGCGCGGTGATGATTGCGAGTTGACACGATGTTTGAGCGGCATCGCCTTGCCGTCGAAGGATGTTCTATTAACCCTCCTGTGGGCCCTAAAGGTCGAGGAGCGGAGGATCCGACGGAGAAGCGGCGTAGTTCTCGACCCAGAGACTCGCTCCCAGCAACAACCAGCCCATAATTATAAGTTAGAGGTAGTAGGGGATAAACGGAAGATGGCAGATGTCGACAGCAGCAAACAGAAGCGCTGTCGCCTGGCATGAAATGTAACCATGACAATTGGACTAAGGAGCATTGGCGTCACAACGGAATTATATCTTATGTCCTCGGGTGGGACAGGAACCAAGGGCTGGGAACTGTACAACTTAGTAAATCCATGCGAATTAAAGCATGTTGATCTTGATTCAAAGAATATTTTCACGCAAACTACCCTGTCTGTGACATGCGCGCCTATTCTATAGTCGTGATAGTGAACACCTAATTTGTAAGAGTGGCAACACGCAAGACTTTTCTACTAACGCCAAACGCCACGCATGTATGTATGGTACACGATCCTTTCTTTAGTTGATTACCATAGTCCTTCCATCTCTTGTAGAGCAGCCTCGTCATCGTCGAAATCGTTGCTCATATTTTCTCCACTGCTCCTCGTCTCTGGCGCAGCTTGCCGTGGTTGGTCTTGTCCTTCGGCTTCAGCCATCAGTGCATCCAAATCATCCTCGTCTGGCTCTAGCCCCGCCGGCTTCGCATTCCTTGCTCGATCTTGGCCCTCGGCTTCGGCAATCAAGGCCTCCATGTCGTCTTCTTCAGGTTGATCGTTAAGGATAGGGACTATTGGCCGAGAAGCCCGTGGGGTTGCATCATAGAGATCGTCATCATCGGGGATATCGGGATCTCTCGCTGGTGTTTTCGGCCTTTGCGTTGCTGCGGCTGCTGCGGTACCTCGGTCAGAGTCTCCGAGACCTGCAATGAGGCCCGTGGCGTCATCATCCTCGTCTTGCTCCCTGTCCTCTGCGTCCTTGGGCTTCCCTTCGTTGATGAAGTCGTTTCGTGCGATCATGATTCGCTTTTTGTGTCCTGCCTTCTCCACCATACCGAGGGCGTCGAGGAACTTGGCCTTGGGGAAGAGGTCATCCAGCCAAAGTTGGTAGAAGGATAGCAAGCGACCGGCGTCGGAAAACTGAAATGTGAATGTTAGTTCGCTAGCCTGTACTTCCGGTGGGTGACTGCACATACTTCGTGGCCCTTGCCCTTGATCTTGAGGTCGCGGGCCCTGGTCCTTAACTTGGGGATGCCATTTTCGCTGAGCAACCTGTTCGCAAATGTTGTCAGCAAACGTTCAGCGTTCGCGTGTATAGACAAGTAATTACCTCTCCTCGTCAAGCTTGACGTTGGGGACTCGTGCTCGCTTCTGCACAGAGACCTCCTTGTCAATTCCAAGGCCAGACTCGGGCTCCTTTCGTTTCTTCGTAGATGCGGTTGGGGGTGGTGACCCGAAAGGATCGTCGGAGAAGTTGTCGGCGTCGTAATTGTCTAGGTCATCATGTCTTTCCGCGGCTGCGAGGCCTGAGCTGAGTGCGGAAGGCATTGCTGGTATCGTAGTTGTTGGCAATGTGTTAGTACTTCAAATGGACGTTCTGGCGCTGCTCTTTCGACACTTGAGTGTCCCGCAGTATCTCGCTAGACGCGCCTGCGCGATGGCGGACGCGTCGTGGAGCTTAATTGATGGCCGTCTGGCCCCACTAAAAGTGACTGATCCACGTGACCAATCATGGGCAACTTTGATGGGCTGACCATCCACGTGATTCATTCCTGAGGCACCAACCTTCGGCCCCAGCTTGAGTATACCGAATTGACGACTTCGACCTTCGTGATCCAATTGAGAAATTGCCCCGGACGAAGCACCGCACCATGGCCGAGAGCGCGATCAAGCAGCCCACCTCGACCTTTGTCGGGACCAGCAAGGTCGTCCAGACCGACTACCCGGTATGTTCCACTCAATTGGGCCTCTGATGGCCGTCGCTAATGAAGAGGATATAGCTCATCGACAATGACCCGTACGTTCTCCTTCGCCCACCCCTCCACGACCCTCCCGCGTATCCGAAACCGCTGCATTTGACTCCCTCAGAGCATTGGATGTGAACACTAGGCCATGGACGCTTCGCTGACCCCTTCGGCAGTCACTTCAAGCGAGTCGTGGGCTACGCCCGAACTTCCGACTATGTTTACGGCCTGATCGCGGCTGCTTTCGCGCCGGGCGCCCTCATCACACTCGAGAAGTTTGCTCCCTCGCATGTCGGCAAGGGCGGTTTCCCTAAGGCCCTGCGATTGGCTGGTGGTGTTGGTATCCTCGGTGGTTTCCTCTACTTCTACCAGCGATCCTGCCGTATGTCTCGACGATGATCCCCCGCAAACTCACGGCACAGCTCTAACAGTATCATGATAGTCCGGTTCTACGGCGCCACCGAGAACGCCCGAGAGGTTGAGCTGGACATGCGGGAAATGGTCGACAAGGTCAAGGCCGGCGAGCCTCTGTACGGCGCGAGCCGGCTCAGCCCCCATCTCCAGGGTGTCGCCGCCCGCCAGAGCCGATACTCTGCCCTGTTCATCAGCACGGTGCCCTGGTTCAACTTTGTGAACCACAACCAGCACGGTGTCGACACGGCCAAGTACTACCAGCAGGCCGAGCGTGAGCTGGAGGCGGAGCGATCGGCCTAAAGCTCGTAAAAGGACGATTGGGAGGAAGGGAAGGAAGCAAATGGAGGAGAAATGTGTGTATATTACCAGACCACAGGAGGGGATCATTGCCTCGACGGCGCGGTGGCTTTTCTTGCGAGAAAGAAAATAGATTTTCTTTGGCCCATTCACCCTTTGCTTGACTATCGTAAACTCCGCTGGATGTCATTCTTTGTGTTGAACTGAGGGTACATCCGTTGAATATAACTCTCCAGGCTACCGATATCAAGCAGAGATAATATCGCCATTCACTTACATGATAACCTCGTGTGACTACATCAGTACGCCCTTGGCTTGTCCTGGAGGAGGCTGAATTGCCTCGGGTATATAATCACGAGAGTCCGTGCAAGCTCTGCAATTGATACCGTGACAGACAACATTACAGCTCATGATGGCCGTGCATATTAAGGATGTATTGGGAGTTGGTGGCGCGATCTATGGGTACGTGGTAGCCATGCTTCTTGAGTTTCCATTGTCATTGATCGTAGTATATACAATGCGAATTATTTTTTTTTGAAGTCGACATAATTGACACAGGCAACTCTTCGTAGATTCAATTGAATTATATACACCGAGGACATCTATCGACATGAAATTGTACACCCATGGTATGCAACTGATGAAGCAGAACCGTGCATTTGGGACCGTAGCCGGAATGTCCACCAATGAACCAATACTGTTTGCATCCGGTAGTTATTAGATCCGCCACAGTCCCTTGACCTTAGGAAAATCAACATGGCAACCGAGAAGGGACATTGTCTCTGTAATTGAACAAAAAGTGAGGCAACGATGCAGAAATACTTTACCATGGCAAAAAGAGAAACACATAACAGCAAGGATTCCCCGGTTGTCACGGACCTGAGTACTAATTCGCCGCTTCTTAGCTTGACTAAGGGAGAGCGGATGGGATTCTGTTGGATTATGTATCCAATTAACCCTGGCTACAGTAATATCAGGTGTATACTATACTTTTGGCTCAGCGGTTAATTGAATAGATTCCGTATTTTTCCCTAGGTATAGTTGTATGTGATAGTTACAGATATAGATTTGCTTATGAACCTCCCCCCAGATTGCTACAGGTATGCAGACTGGCTGTTCCGTCGCACGCATTGGATTAGGAAGGGAAATATGCCAGAGAAAACGAGCGAGAAGATGGAGCTCGAGAGGAGGCGCAGAGCAGACAGACGTTGTCAACAATCGGGATCAATGTCTAACATTATGCACAGTGATATGCATGTACCCCTGTTCTACTTGTGTGCTGAATCGCTACTTTGATCCACACTGAAGCCAACTGCCGGACTCTTCGGCAATTATAGCAAGACAGCCAAGCCTAAAGCTAGGAAACTACAGGCAGTGAGCGAGAGGGCTGCAGCTGCAGAAGAAGCGCCTTCCAGGACTTGCCCTCCTCATCACCACCATCAGGTGCCGAAGCAGCATCTTCAATGGGTCTTACTAACACGGCTCACAAGATCGAAAAAGAAGCAGAAAACACACCAAATTCCGGTAAGGTGGAGTGGTTCTTGCAAGGGACACTATACCCTGATGTGTAAGTCGTTTTTGAGCTTGTAATATCGAGTCCAAGCTAATAGCATTTCAGTATCGAGTCGCTGTCGTGGAAAGGCCCATCAGCGACGTGATAAAGCTCAACGAAGTCGTGCAAGAAGCGGACACCAGCTAAGGAGATAGCCCATCACAACACTGGGGGTTTGCCCGAGGTAAGAAAAATCAACGTCCCTATAATTCACTTCCCTGTTACTTACCAACATGTAGCGAATGATGAATGGCGTAAGTCGAAGACCACTTGGCTGGGTTTGATCACACTGACTAAGACGGCTCATTTAGAAAGGCTTACGTGTAAGTCCACTTGTATCTTTCATCACGCAGTGCAGTGAAATCTGACATGACTTTTATCACAGCTTATCGAGCCGCTCAGACTTTTATTCGTGAGTCTTGTACTTGTCTTAACTACGCTCGGATGGAGCTAACAATACCGCACAGAAAGATGAAGTGAGGGTAAGCTAATAAGGGGGGTGAATCTTGACTTCACTTTAACTAAGCTTTGCAGGCAATTGGTCGGCAACTCGGCATACACGTGTCGCTGGTAAACAGGCACCCATTCCCCGGGTATGTTGATCACCCTCGAGCTTCTCATTCTCCTTACCAGCTTTGAAGCGTCTGCTAACTAAATCGAATATAGACCGGGAATTGCCATCAGGATTCTTGGCGACGTTACCAAGGAGCGAGTTGAGATCGCCCGCAAGGCTGACAATATCTTCATCAACATGATCAAGGAGGCTGGCCATTACGACCAGGTAGGGCGCGTCACACAGGTCAAGATGGGTGCAAGCTAAACATCCCCTCCTAGATGTCCCAAGCCTTTGCTGGTCTTGATACTAGCCGTAGTGTTGGTGTTTTTGGTGATACGCGCGTTTGGGGTTACGTCGTAATCCTCCGCGCTGTTCATACCAAAGACTTCATGAGCGCTGAGGTGTTTAACTTTGACAACTCCTTCCTCCAGGTAAATCACACAGCCCTTATACCGTTCTTTCGCGTACTAATCACTTACCTAGGATGTCTCGCGTGCCATTTGCAATCAGGTAGATGGTGTGGCCCGTGTTGTCATGATTTGTAAGAAACTGATGGCCCCCATGAATCTCGAGCCTCGTGCTAATACAGCTTACTAGAACTTCAAAGCCTCCTGGCACGATTGAGCTGGAATAGGCGGCATGATGGAATACTTGCCAGCGTGGGCTGGGAAGAAGAATAGAAAAGACGAATAGAAATTGGGTTCAATACCGTTTAGAGACTCTTCTGGATAAAGGCACATAAAATGGAAAGGGTGAATGGGCTCAGAATTGATTGCTTCATGATGCTAGCCGTCTTTGGAGAGGAGGCTCAGCGTGCAATGAAGAGATCAGGTTGCGGCAGTGGACAAGAAAGAAAGCCACGGATGGCCCGTAATTGGTGTTTGTAAGCATCAGTTTGTGGAGTGTGATCGGAGCCTTGATTCAAGCGGTCTCCTGCCCACAGGCCATAGCGCCTAAAGCTTTACTCTAATCAAGAACTATTATGATACAGGACCATCAGCAGTCTATGGAAAACCCTTCCAGAACCTTCGGTGTCTCTAGCTGTAAGTTCTTCGTGCTCATTTAGGCTTAATCGTCCTCCTTATCCTTAAACCATCGTCTGTCGCACTCTTCTTGATCTTGAGTGCATCTGTCGTACTTTCCCCTTCCTCCTCGCAAGCGAGTGCAAGGCACGTCGAGGTCTCGGCAACGACGGCGCTTGCCTCTGCAACGGCTCTCGTGCCATGGGAGTCGGCGTTCTAAGAGAGACGTGCCACAATGCCTACATGGTTTCTCCGTCATATCTAGAGCATCGGCGTGAAAAGAGCCCGTACATTCAAATCCCTTGCTGGTACAACTTTCGCAGCCTTGTTTCTTGTGGTGGCCGAACCTTGTTCTTACACAAGGGATGCTCGAGCTTGTGCATTGGTCACACTTGCCGGGACAATTTCTTTGATGTCTATCAAAGTACGCCCATAGTATGTCATTCTCACATCGATAGCAGACCTTGAAGTCATTTAGTATGACGTGGTCCTCATGGGAGAAGTTGGCACACTCATATCCAAGTGTGTCGCAGCTGTTACAGCGGCTATTTGGTGATTTCTGGATGCACGGAACACCAGTTTTCTCACACTCGCTGCACTTGCCTTCGCAAATGCGCAGCTGATCCCTCATAGAGTTGTTCGAAATTGTCCTGCCACAACGATTGCAAGGCTGTGAAGCCGACTTGACGTCCTGACTGTGGCTGAATCCAGAGCATTCCTCATTGCGCTGGTTACAGAGCTCGCACCTTTTGGAACCCCCTAACCTGACACAGGGCACGGTTTCTGTCTGGCATTTTTGGCACTTTCCCTCATAGTTCCTCAGGCGCATCGCACAGTGAACTTTGAAGGAGGGCCTTGGTTTTCTCGTCAAACTTGGCTGTTGTGGGTGCTGGTCCCATGACCCATGTCATCGGGCCTCGGCCAACTCCGCCTTGGTACTAATGAAAGGCACTCGGTGCTATGAGGTGCAGCTTGAGCAGAGCAACCAATCAAGGCACATCTAAAGTGGGAGTGACTAGCAATTAAGGCGACTTTATCCGCCCTCCTTCCTCATTCATGTGAAAGAGACAAAAACAACGATCCTATAAATATCCCCCGTCTTCCTTTTACAATTTTCCCCCATGCATCTCTCTTAGCACCCTTAGTACCGCTTCAGTCGCTTTTATTTTCTTGAGCGGAAGATTGATTGCTTGTCAACGTCTCACACAATCAAACTGTTTATTCGCCATGGCTTCTGCAACAGACACGCACCAATCTGAACTGTCCATGGATCTGCCTGTCATCGACCTTGACGCCTATCTCAACCACCCCCTCGACTCAGACGCTGTCCAGACCGAGTGTCGCAAGGCTGCCGATGCCCTCATCACCTACGGCGCTCTCGTTCTCCACGACTCGCGCGTTTCAGAGCATGACAATACGGCCTTTCTCGACCTCCTCGAGGATTACTTTGACCAGCCGGATCATCTCCTACGTAACGATGAGCGTCCGGAACTGAGCTACCAGATTGGTGTTACACTCGAAAACACCGAGAAGCCCAAGTGCGCCGTCGATGAGCCTTGCCTCGACGTTATCCAGCGCCTTCATCCCTCCCAGCGACCGCTCGACATTTCGGCTCACTCACCCGACCCCAAATGCCGTTTCTTCTGGCGTATGGCTGAGCCACCTCCTTTTGACACCGACTTCCCTGGCCTCAATGCCTCAAACGTCGTCCCTGATGCTCCTCATCTCAAGGATCGCTGGACTCCTGCCATGAACCAGTGGGGCTCTTCCATGACAAATGCGTTGGTCCCCTCACACTTTTAGTCCACCATCTTCACCATCTCATGCTCACTTCCTCTTGTAGTGTATCCAAACTCGCTGAAATGGCCGCCGTCGGCCTGGGTCTCCCGGCTCAGTACTTTAGTGATGCCGGCCGCTACGGGTTTGTCCTCCGTCCCGCAATGAACAGAAATTGGTGGTCAGCTCATGTCTTCACTCCATAGGCCTCACCTCCTTGCCCCTACCGCCTCTGACCTGCAAAAGTATGGGAGTAAAGATACCATCCTCGCTGGTTTCCATACGGATCTCAACTTTCTCACCATCCATGGGCGGTCTCGCTTCCCTGGCCTTCATATCTGGGCACGAAACACGGGTAACCGCATCCCCGTCAAAATCCCGCCCGGCAACTATCTGCTCGTCCAGGCTGGGAAGCAGATTGAACACATTACTGGCGGCCTAATCAAGGCCGGTTATCATGAGGTCGTCATCAACGAAAAGACGCTCGAAACCATTGAGCGCCGGAAGCGCGAGCTGCCCAGCCGCCCCCTCATCCGCATCTCAAGCACTCTATTCTGGCACTTGGGCTCTGACTTTGATCTTGTCCCAGTTCCTGAGCTTGCTGAAAAGGCCCGCAAACTCAGGACGCTGCAGTCCAAAGCTGGCAAGGATGAGGGTCAGGAGACCGAGTACCCAGCCATGAAAGTTGGCCATCAAGTGCAGAGGTACGTTCGCTATCCAAGTTCAGCTTGTCCTTTGGCGATTAACATAACTCCGCCTCTACAGTGAATTAAAGCACATTGCCCTTATGACGTAATTATAGTGTGGTTTATGTTAATATAATACAAAGGTTGAGTGCATTCTGTGCATTGGTTGTTTCGATCAATACCTTTGAGGAACTTCACTCTCGTGTCTCACTGTGTCAATGTGCGTGCAAGGATGGTTCAAATCGAAAATATCAGCTCTACATGCCCTTATATGTATATTCAGTACTATTCTGTAAATGCGCATACTGCTCCTGTCGGAGACTATTCGTCATCGTCAAACTGGTAGATTGGATAGCCACAAATAATGAATGGATGCCCACACAAACGACATAGCTCCCAATTGACCTCGACACCCGGGGTATCCACTATGGGTGCTAATTATATTAATAGACAACTACCATTTCCTCCTCCTATTTTCAGTGCCCTCTAGGCCTCCTTGGTGGTCTCCTTGGTCTGAGGTGCAGGCGTGGTGTCTGTCACCTTCACTCCCTCAAAGCCACCGTGATCGGAGCTTGTACTCCTTTCAGCACCAGAGTTGTCACCCTGAGCAACAGTCTCAACCACAGCTGGCTCATCCGAACGCCAGAAGTCTTTCTTTCCCTTAGAAAGTCTAACCAACCATGGCGGCAGGACGCCACCTGGGATGCGCCAAGTCCATCCATCTCTCTCCTCATAATTAGGGGGCACAATGCGGCCTCCAGAGGCAATTTTGATAAGCCAGACGAGGGTGTTGATCAGCATGTAGGTGCAAATTCCGGCGATCAGACCATCTGCAATGGAGTAGGTGAAGGGCATGAAGGCGATAGTAATGAATGCGGGAACAGCGTCCCCCAGGTACTTCCAGTTGATCTCAGTGACGGAGCTGGCCATCATTGAGCCCACAAGAATAAGGACACAGCCAGTGGCCCACGGAGGAATCGAGGCAAAGATCGGGGCGAAGAAGACGGAGATAAAGAAGCAGACACCAGCGACCATGGCAGCCAATCCAGTTTTTCCACCTTCCGAGATACCAGCGCCTGATTCGACAAACGCGGTGACTGGAGGGACGCCGAGAACAGCACCGACAGAGATGCTCAAAGCATCTACCATGTAGGCGGTGGAAGATCCCTCGAAATCCTGGGTCACTGGGTCGACAAGGTTTGCAAAACGGGCCATGCCGTACAGGGTACCAGTGCAGTCGAGAATATCAACGTAGAGGAAGGTGATAATGGCGAGACCAAACTGGCCTCCGTAGCCCGAAACATCCCACTTCAGGACATTGAGGATATTCTGGATCTTGTGAAAGTCAACAACATTCTTGAAAAAGTCGAAGGAACTATCTCCAAGGGTGGTGTAGGGGAAATAGGTGACGGGAGTGCCTCGGGGCCACGAGATGATGCTGACGAGCAAAATGCCGAAGATGATGGCGCCCTTGACACGGTACAGCATAAGCATGGTTGTGAAGATGCCGCCGCAGAAGATGCCGATCCACATGGCCGGGTAGCGCATCTTCTCCGATGAAGGACAAACGCCATCCACCATTTTCAAGGGGTCGCAACCGGCAAGCTCGGTCGGTGTTGCGGTACCTGGTACGATGAGAGCGATACCCTCGCTGTAGGTGAGACCGATGAGGGTAAGGAACAGGCCAATACCGACACTGGTGGCGACTTTGATGGAGCGAGGGATGGCACGAGCGAGCCACTGACGCATCCCAAAGAGGGCGAGACCGAAGAAGATGAAGCCTTCAATGAAGATGGCGGTGAGTGCGACTTCGAATGGAATATTTCCAGTACCATGGTAACCAACTGTTTATTTTGTTAGTTGTCGCCCTCTACAAAAGATGTGTACATGATTGACAACTGACCAACGGTATAGGTGAAATAGGCATTGAGACCTAGAAAATCATGTGTCAGACTTCATCATTATGGAAGCGGTGATGTACAGGGGATGAGCTAGTTGGAACTCGGCATACCCATTCCAGGAGCCAAACCGACGGGACTGAGATAAACATGGTCAGCACTTGGGGTGGTCAAGCGGGGATGCGCCATGGCATCACAGAGTGGACTTACAGATTGGCAAAGAGGCCCATGCAGAAGGTGGAGAGCGCGGAGATGGCGGCAGTGGCTGTTACGACGTCGCGCTTGACAGTCTGGACACACAGCATGTACTCCTCGTTATCGTCGCAAGTGCCCCCATCGGAACAAACACAGGTACCGCCACTCTCGGAGACAATAGAGGCGTTGACAGCAATGATGTAGGCCATGGCGAAGAAGATTGCGAGGCCAGCTCGGATCTCGGTAAAAAACAGAGACCCTTTGCGCTCCCGGGCCTATCCGCAAGAGGTGGAGTCAGTAAATGCCAGGTGCCTTGGTTGGGGTCGCTCATGAGCGACAAGGGAATGAGTGCTGCACTTACATGACCGGAGCCTTCGAGCTGAAACCAGCGGCCAACAGCGCTGGCCGCGATTTTGCGATTTGTCGTTTCAAGCCAAGTCATGATGATGGATGACTAGTTGGCAATTGCAGAAGTCTGAGGGAGGGGAGGGGAGAGAAATTCTCAGAGGGATTCGATGAGGGGAGCCGGCCCAGTCTTTAACAGTAGCACGGAGGTCAGATCGGGGACCAGGTCAAGGTCTGGATGCAGTTAGATTCAGCTTCAGGTGCAGGACCAGGCTAAAAGTGTCCGAAAGAGTCAGATAAGGTGCAGATAGAGAACACAGGCAGACACGGCGGCGAGATATAGAGGACGGAGATTGGATACGAGTGGGGATGGTGGTTCGGCGATGAGCTGGGGTTGCGACTGGGGCTGGGGTATGGGGCTAGGGTTGCGACTGACGATGGGAACATGGGAACATGGCATGGGCATGGATGGACCTATATAACCTAGGCGCGCGGTCTGGATAAGGACTGATGAACGTATCGCCCGGGGAATGGCCCAGGATAGGATAGGTACGGAGGTAGGGCGCCCTACCGTGGCGGGATGGGCATGGGATGAACGACCGGAGGACAAGACGAGGGAACATGAACCTACGTACCTGTGGTGTACAGTACGAAGTACCAGAGCAAGGCAATGCAGATGCGATGCAGTGCAATCCTAGTCGGAACGCGGCGACGCAACGTAGAGCAAAACCCAGGCGCAGGACGGCGCGATGCGATGCGACTGCGGACGGGAGCGCTGGATCCGTATCGGGGAGATCGGCTGGGGTCGCAGAAGTAATCCCAGGCCCAGGTCTTGGTCCAGAACTAAAGCTAGACAAGGTAGGCAATCGAGGCTTCAAGCCCAGGTCGATCAAGGAGACCAGACGACTGGACAACGGCGAACGATAGGCAATGGTTGGCTGGTTTGGCTTGGTTGGTGGCTTTGTGGTGTGCCGGCGGGCGAGTGGGAGACGCCGTGCTTGGGACAGGGTGCTTTTGAAGCGACTGCGACAGGGTCTTGAAGATAAAGAGGTTTTTGCTCCGGGTGTGCAGTATGCTGATGCTGGTGCTGATTGCCCCCGACTTGTCGCTGTAATGGGTCTCGACTCGACGAGTGAATTGGGCGACGACGCCAGGTACTGTAGTACTGTCCAGGATATATAGGAGACAAGGAGGAGTAGATAGGAAGAAGACAAATGTCAGCCCATTGACAGATGGCCTGCAAGAAAACGACAGAAAAAAAATTGCCATCGACAGTGGAGGCAAGTGCGTACCTTGTCCGTCCCTACTCCAGTCAGGGTCGTTTCGTCCCTGGGCCATTTTTTTGCTCCTCTTGTCCCATTTTTCTTTTGGTTCTCATCGTCCCTTCCCTTCCTAGGTAGGTAGGTGGGCCAGGGTTTAAGTTAGTGCCTTTGCCTGAAATGTAAGTGGCCGGCGGCGCATCATAAATCAAGCATAGTACCGGACCAATTCCCCACGCAGTAGCCCGGGAATTACAACGGCCAAGGCCGAGAAGAGTGGGGATGCAGAATATCAGAGATAACGATGCGATGCTGTAGGTTGTACAACACATCCGCCGCTGGGGAGCCCGCCATCCATTCGTTGAGCGCCGGGACGCCGGGGCGCCGATCGAGGCTTACCCGTATTCTTCTCTTCTGTCTTTGCCTTTGCGTCTGCACCTGCATCTAGTAGAACTGGACATGGTCATGGCGCGGACAAGATCATCGAAAGTTGGGTCGTACAGCGTTAGTGGCCCTCGTCGGTTGTTTGTTTGTCCGTCTGCGTTGCGTCTGTCCTGTTGGCCCTCTGCGCCTTTGGCCCTGGTCTCTGACCATCTAATGGCTCCATTGGCATCGTGGCGACGGTTTGTGGTGCCATGTGTGCAGCTCCAGCGATCCGGCATCCATTCAGCTGTGACTTTAGGGCGGTTTCGGCGAGCGAAAACAGCCCAGCAGGGACTTGGGACTGTGCTGTGCAACCAAGCCGAGTGGCTTGAGTGGTTTGAGTACGGAGGGACATGTGGGCCATGGATTGTGGGTTGTGGATGGGCTGTGCCCCGTTCTCTTCAGAGAGAGCCGCACGACATGTACTTTTCCCCTCCCGATCGATCTACTCCGTTCTTGCGTGTTTGGCTTGGCTTGGACGAGGTGAGGTCGGGTTGGACAATGCATCGACGGCTCGTTCGACAAGACTACGATCGAGCGGGAGGATAAACGTCGCTGCAAGCAGAGTTTGAGGCGGCTGTCACGCAATTTGGTGGGTCGCCTGCACTGGAACGCGACTCGGGGCTTCTAGAAGCGGAGAAGGCCCACCACTATTGCTGGTTCATGGGGCCACGATCCGATCGCCTCATGAAACGCGCCCGAAAGAGAACAGAGAACTATCACCATGCCGAAGACAGCGAAGATAGTGGTGATGATGTCCGTGATGGTGATGGTGATGATGATCCAGCTGGGGATTGATAGCTGGGACACTCCTGTCGGAGCCCGCCGTCATAAGGTGGCCGGCTCCGAGGACCAACGAGGCGGCGGCAAAGATAAAGGCAACGGCATGTGATTGCTTGATTGATTTGATTGCTATCGATGGCTGCGATATTGAAAAAAAAGATTGCACACCGTGTCTCTGGGTGTGTTTGCCGGTGTGTGCCTTTTTTTTGTGCATGCGTCTGTGTGCCTGTGTCTCTGTGTGGGTGTGGTGTGCTCCTATTTGGTCGAGATAAGTGAAGGCGCGGGCCCGCCATGAACTTACCTAGACGGGAAGCTACAATGTACTGTAACGGACCGACCCCAAGATAAGCGCCCCGTTGATAACGGCAGCCTTATCATCACGAGATCAGTTTCGACTGCTAACAGATTTTAGTGAGCAAGAGCAAGGGCGCCCTGTGGAGTGGAGTGGAGGCTTAATGTGGGGGAGGAAACGAAGAGGAAAGTGGGCGGGGGCAAGGAGGGGCGGGAGGAGGGGCGGAAAAGGGAAGAGAAGCACTGCTCTGTATCTCCGCAAAAAGGGGAATTCCAATGTCCATAAGCTGTTGCACCTTGGTTTCGCCTCCGTTACCAAAATGCCTTTGTCTCAAGTGGATTGCGCTTCTTACCTATTCTTGGAAATTCCATGACAGAAGTTCGCGCGCGCGCTCAGACCTGGAACAGGATGCAGCATGTGTAAGGCACAGCACCTTGGTTTCCCCTCATCAATCCAGATCTCAATCTCCTTAATTTCAATTCTTCACAGCACTCGGCCCGCTCCCCGGCGCAGAACTTGCGCCGCAGCGCTTCTGGTCGCGACCCGCTGGGCGCGTTCCGTGGTAGCCTACCGGGGCCTCCTCTTCAGTCGTCGCAGGCCTCGTAATACGTGATACGGCCCCCAAAACACAGCACTGTTGTCCTCATGGACTCGAGACAAACAGCATGCGCCCACTGCGCAGGGAAATCGAACATCCAATGGCCGAGAAGTTGGGGAAAAGGGATCAGAACCGAGGCTATTTCGGCGCCCGGCGTAGCCTCAGCTCACTAATAACCAAAGCTAGAGCGCCAATCTTTTGTGTCTTGGACATTTTATTATTCGTTTCTTAGCTCCCGACCAGTTGCGATTTCGGCGGTAAGCTAAGTAAAAGAAACGTAAGAGGATGCAAGTCAATGTTGCGGTGTGTTACACCACAGCTCCATATAGAAGCTTTTCTTGGATGGGTACTGACATCGTTATATTTCCTCGTCGCGGACTGTTCGCTTGCGTGCTGACATGCTTGCCGTGAATCTCAGGGACATTGGTGCAGCGGAGCACTGCACCACCCCCAACATCGAGGTCCTTGCCATTATGCATGATGGATACGACTCTGAACTGCATCATCATGAGTACCAAAGCCCCTGTCATCGGGCCTCCACTGTTGTAGCGCCACTTCTATTCTACAATGTTGTCTAGCAGCGTGCTGTCTGCGCTCCAGATTCTGATCTTGAGGCTGCTTCATTTTGCCTAGCATCAGCCATCCATACTCCAAGCAAAAGGTACCATGCATACCTTACTTCGGTACCGTAGGTAGGTAGTAAATGGTGCCCCGTGATTTACTCTTCTACTCGACTTAGTCTCATTCTTCTCCACCCTGTGCATCGCCGCATATGCCCCTTTCTCGATGTGCTTCAGTCTGCTGCCGATGACCTCCTTGCTGGGTCCCCACCAGGGAATAATAGGGCGAGTTCACACGTGGGACAAGGCGGCACGGGCGCCTATCACCGAGCAGTCACGACAGATGATTCATGTAATGGTCACGCAAAAGTCTCAACTCTTGGGAGGCTATGGTCGTGGCAAAGCCCCATGACCGAACTTCCGATAAGTTACCCTCTGGTGAAGCGCTGGTAGCTAAAGGGCACCCTTGACCCGTCCTAATTTTCAACTGCATGGCTTGCTTTCTCTACCACCTCATCTTCGCGCACAATAACCTCTTTCGTTCCTTGATCGGACCCACTTGAGCCAGTGCCAGTATCATTGTTAGTCGTGCGTGTAATAATTGGGAAAGCCATTTTCTGTCCCACGTGAGATCTCGATGGTTTCTCTCATGTCTTAAGCATCGTGTGCAGTCGATTGCGTCTCCCTCATGGAAGTCAGGTTCCTGGGTAATACGATCGGGAGGACGGGGTTTCAGTTCCAGGCCCGAGGTCATACTTCGACGCTACCCTCTTCAATGACGATGAGGAACGGCCATCTTCGGAGCCAAGGAAACGTTGATTGCGACGACACGACGTGATGCTCACTTTGCATAATCATGTCAAACGACGGCGAGTCTGGGAACTCACGGATACGGTGTCGGCCGTCATGGGGGATCACAGGCTGCTCCACAAGACAACTCACTCACCGCAATGCTTTCCCCAGGTCTGCAGAGCAGCATCGTGATGATTGACGTCAGGGGACCTTGGAAGTGGTGGATCCGTCAACTCACGAGCCGACATTGTGGCCCACATGACGTCAGCCATTAGGACCCTCCATCATCATCGAACATGACCATATCGCTCTTAGTGCTCTAGACCACACGATCCTTTCGCACATCCTGCTCATATCCTGCTAGGTGTCCGTTGGCCAGCCTCCTGCTGCAGCTCGACGCCATCCTGCTCCATTTTTCTTGCTTGATCCATCATCAACCTCCATGGGGGGTGACGGGCCCTCGTGCACAGCCCCGCCATCTGGGCGGAAGCCCTCCCAGCAGACGCCCTGTCGACCACTCAGAGGCATCCGACTTCTTTGTCCACGCTTGTCGCACTCTCAAGGCTGCTGCCTTTTCCCCGGGTTTCTATACATACATAAGGGTCTTCCAGCCAAGCATTCTCACCTCATCTAGTCTCGTCTGGTCTCGCTTCGTCGATCTGGGAAAATTCACCGGCCAGCCCTTACTTCTTTAGTCTCAGATCCCTTCACGTCTTGTCACAACTCATAATCTCATCCACACATCATCACTCACTGCTGCAGCAGTTTCTGCCCTATTCTGAGCGTACCCATCCTTGCTGACAGGCCTCCAACACCAGGGGGGTTGAGGTGCTTTTTAAGGGTGTTTAGGAACCCAGAAGCACCTTCTCTTTCTTTACCTCAACCATCCTTGCTGTCTCTTCACCTTGAACCACCTCACGGTCTCACCATGAGCAATCACTATCCTTCGCGGCGTCGGGCCCAGCCTCGATCTGACGACGACTTCCTCACCTACGAGTCCAATCAACCATACCAACACATAGAAACTCAAAATGCGTACGACCCGTACGATCCTTATCAACAATACGCCCCTCGCAACTCCTTCCCTGCGGAGCCCCAGTCGCCGCCCCGCCGCCACAAATCCGAGAGACGTCGTGGCGCGCCAAGTCCCTACTATCACTCCGACGAACCGGATGAGCCATCCCGCCGTCACAGCCAGCGCCATTCCCGCCAAGACGAAGACCGTCGAGGGCGGAGTGCCGGCCCTGATCGTCGGGGACGCGGCCCTAGTCCGCTACCAGACCCCGACCCACCCCGTCGATATCCCCGCTCATCCCGTCGAGAGCGAGATGTCCGCCCCGAGCGAGACCTTCGCCCTGAGCGAGATCTCCGTCACGAGCGGGATCCCCGCCCCGAAAGGAATATTCGCCCTGACAGAGAACCCCGCTTCATAGACCCCTACGACGATCCGGGCTTCTATTCTCGGGACCCACCACCCCGGCAATACCCATCAGATCCCCGAGAGACATCCTCTCGAAACCGGCCCCGACCTTCGCGCACTTCAGCCCAGGCGTCGCCCCCCGAACCCCGAGCCCGAGGCCGCAGTTCGCGCCTCCCTGAAAACGATGATGGTGAATTCAACACCACACGCCGCCGGCGACCTCGCTCCCAGACCAGGGGGAATCACGATCGGGCCCCGTCCGGACCGTCCCCGACGAGGGGCCGTCCGCCTCCCACCCAGCGAGGCCGGAATGCTCCAGCTCGGCGCAGCTCCATGCCAGCCTCAACCAAAGCGCGCTCTCAGTGGTGGCAGAACCCACTGCTTCAAGCAGGTGCCCGCACCGCCTTAACTGCTGGTGCCCAGGCCGCCATGAAGTCCCGCAACGATCAGGGCGCTTGGATGGGGGCCAAAGGCGCCAAGGTCGCAACTGCTGCTCTGGGAGCTGCTCTAGTAGACGGCTTCATTGGCCAGAAGCATCCCAACAGTGCAAGGCAGAGCATCGCCAAGGAGGGCCTGGACTTTGCCACGGGGAAAGTGGGGTCCAGTGCGTCACGACATCACCGCCGATGAGTTGATGATATAACATATAACGGCTTCACGTCTCTGTTTCTACGAATTTCTTTAGTCCTTTTTCGTTGTCGACTGCTTGTTTTCCTCTCCCTACATTTGGTCAAATACTATTTCTATGGCATAGGAGGAGTTCTGGTTCGGGGGAAAGACAAAAATGAAGGTCATGTGCGGACAAAATATGGATATGTACAGTAGGACCAGGGAACTGGTGGATAATTTGGATTGGTCAAGTGAATACATCAGAGTAGACTACATTTCTCAGTCACAATTCCACACACGCTGCAGGGCCATGATTCTCCTGCCTCATCTCAATACGCCATACCAGGCATAGAAGTAGAGTTTTGCTATTCACACACAAGTTTATAGTCCTTCAACAAATCTGCAGGGTAGGTCAAGGTATTTCCGCTATATGTATAATTAACTAGTATATTATCAGACTAAATACTGATTTTTCTTAGATAAATTAAACTGAATAAAAAAATAAATTATTCTAATTATAAGAGATAGACTAAAAATAAATCTTATAAAGATTATTTCTTAAACTACTTTATTAAGATTATAGATAATTATCAGTAGGATTAAGAATGTAGCTATATAAGTAAATAGCTATTAAGTAGCAGGTCTGCAGTTCTAGTCTTCCTCCTCCGAGCTCTCTTTATCCAAGCTCCTCCTCTTCCTCTTTCTCTTCTTCTTCTTCTTCTTCTTCTTCTTCAAGAAAGAAGTAGTGGCTTCTATTGTTATATAGACTCGTCGGGCCGCCTCTATATCCTCATCGTCGGTCAGTTGTAACGGCGAGTTGAAGCCGTGGTCCTTGATCCAGGAGTTTACCACACTTATATCGGCCGTCTTAAAATAAGTAGCAGGAGCGAGTAATATACCCTGCCGCGTGTAGTTCGGCGGTGTATAGTAGTTTTTGGATGTCGGAGTAAATGACATCTGTCTGCCATCGTTTGATGAGGTTTCCGTCGCATCGATGGGGAGAACAATGAGGTGATAGCAGTTGAACCACTGTTGATCAGGCCCGACGAGAGAAGTAACTTCCCTGCTCATTAAAGTGATTCCGCACGGTTGCCGAATAGCATCTCGCGAGGGCCCTCGTTATCGAGAAAAAAGTCTACGATATGCGCAGCTTTGGTTGACAGACGGGATACCATGTCGCTTATATGGCACCACGGAGTCCTCATACTGTCCGTAGTAATTGCCACATAGCCACAACAGCTGACTCTAGCCGAATCGCTTCCTTTTCCTTGGAGGCTAGGTCAATCCCAAATAATACCAACTTGCAGCTCACGTGGGAGACTCGGTCCGGCTGCTCCTCGTCTGGCTCCAAGTCGCGAGACATATCTTCGGATATCTTTTGCAGCTCGATGGAGACATATCGTGCTATGTCAGTCTTAGCCCTCGCGACGGGTAGAGCTGATAGTGGGATAGCTGCAGTGGGCGAGCTTGTTATAAGGGTTAGTAGCTAAAGGTAAACTCAGAAGTAGAAACTGAAGTATAGTACTACTAGAGTGAAGTATAGAATAGAGCCTTAACAGGAATTACAAGGTTAGCAGCGGTATTAGAAGGCTAAAAAGGTTTAGAAGGGTAATTATAGAAATATTATAGTAAAGATTTATTTAAATATAAATAACGTACATGATAAGCGCGCGATACAGACAAGCGAGCGATATACTTCCTCCTAACCTTCAAGATAAAACCCCAAATAAAAATACAACCAAGCATTCAATCAATTAAAACTTATCGCTATCTTCTTCCTCAGATATCTCAATACGTGCCTGATAAGTCCTCGTATTATAACCTGGCTTTCCATAGGTTCCATAGCGCCTTTCCTTCGATTGCGATGCCTCTTCTTGACCCCTTTGTCTCGATGATTCAGCTACTACCTGCGTATCTGTATCTATTTGATTAATTATATTTCTTCCTTTCTCTATAGTTAGCTTCTTTTTATTCTGCAATCGGGACTGTTTCGCTCTGTGCTGCTTGCTAAGATTCTTATTTGCCTGTTGAAGTATTTGGTTCTTAGACCTTAATAATACTACTTAATATATTATTGCTTTTATTTTCTTGGAAAATGACTGAAGTGCCTTTAGAATAGAGGTAGGAGAGCTATTTTAATGCTTTTGGATTTATCTTATAAGATATTTAGATTAAGAGCTAGTTTTAAGGGTAGTTTTTAGAGTTTTTAAGATTTAAAGGTTAAAAAGGCTTATTTTTTTTTAATAGATATTAGAGTTTGTAATTATATATTAAGCTTTAAAATAATAAATTCTAAATTAAAAAAAACTAAATTAATCTCTTTAAAACTCTCTTTAATATTACTTTTTATTATAATAGCTTATTAGATAGTATAGAAGGTAAAAAAGAAGTTAATTTTAATAATATAGGTTATTAAGTATTTTATTAAATTTTTAATTTATTAATTATATATCTTTTTAAGTAGCTTAAAGTAGCTAATATTAAGAGATTAAAGTAAATAAGATAAATAAAATAGTATATAAAATATAATAATATTATTTTTCTTATAATAAATTTTAAAGCTAGTTAAGTAGTAGCTTTTATACTTATTAAAAATTAAAAGATAATAGTAATTATTTTATTAAATCTTTATATACTAATTAAAATACTTAATTTATTTAAGGCTTATATTATTATTAATCTAGCTATTTTAAATAATAGTAATAGCTTAATTACCTAGAAGATTGCTTTTTTAATATTAATTAATAAGATAATATTAGCTTATAACTATAATAAATAGTAAGATTACTTAGCCTTTTATATTAATAACTTAAATAATTATAATCTATTTCTAGTTTCTAAGCTAAATTAACTTTAAATTTCTATATCTTTCTATATCTATAATAATTATTCTACTTATAATTATATCTATTATAAAGTTAATCTTATTAAAATTATAAATATTAATAAGATTAATATTATATTTTATAATTATATCCTATATAAGTATAAACTACTAATAAATAATAGCTAGATTTTTATATTTAGCTCTCTAATAATTATATTTATAAAAAAACTATATCTTAAGCTTTAAATATTACTTAATAAAGTTATAAGCTTAATACTTACTAATAGAAAGGGTATTATACTTAGCTAGTAGTTAGTTAGCTATTTCTTTAATATTATAAAGTTATAGGGGAAACTCTTATAAATCTAGGTTGAGAATAAATTGAATAATAATCTGTTTCTTTAGATTAGAGAGTCGGTATAATTTGGGAATAGTATTACAGCAAGAAAGAATACTATTACGCCGGTATTGCAATTTAGGTAATGGGATCTTATAGATACTAGCAGTATATTAGAGAGTAAGTTTGGGGTTATTTTAAAGGGCTTGAAGAGTAAGAAGGGTTTTTATTTTGATATTTAATTATAGTATAATTAATAGTTAAGAAATTAATAATTAAATTAAAAGAGATAAGATTGAGGGATTTTTGTATTGCTTGTTTATTTATATTATATACTTATTATATATATTATACTTATTTTTTATATAATAAATATAATACTTATTAGAATTTAATTAAAAATTAGCTATTAAATAATTATTAAATTAATATTATAAAAATATATTTATAATTTATTTTTAAGTAATTAATATAAAATATATTATATTATAAAATTAATATTTATTAAATATAAAATTAATATTTATTAAATATAAAATTAATATTTATTAAATATAAAATTAATATTTATTAAATATAAAATTAATATTTATTAAATATAAAATTAATATTTATTAAATAATATTATAAATATTATAGAAAAAGTTTTTATTATTTAATTTTTATAATTATTTTAAAAATTATATATAATAAAAAGTTTTTTTAATATTATTAAATAAATTAAAATTATATAATTATTTTAAATAATTAAAATAAATAATAAATATTATATTTAATATTAAAGAAAAATTAAATAATATAATTATAATTTATTAAATTTTATATAGAGTTTTTATTTAATTTTTTTAATTTAATTTTTATTATTTATAATTAATAATTTTAAATTATAAAAAAATTATTTTTTTTATTATTAAAAAAAAAGATTTGTTAAATATTTATTTTATTATTTAATTTTTTTAATATAATAAATATTATTTTAATAGCTTTTTTAAAAAAAATTTATTTTATTTATAATATAAATTTTAATTTTAATATAATTTTAAATTCTTTTAAATCTTAAAAAAGAAATTTATAAAAAAAACCTCTATTTAATTTACTATTATATTATTTATTTAATTTCTTTTAATTTTTTTAATATTATTAAATAATTTAAAATTATATAATAATTTAAAATAGTAAAAATAAATAATATATATTATATTTAATATTAAAAAAATTAAATAATAAGATTATTATTTATTAATTTCTATTTAAAATTTCTATTTAATTTTTTTAATATTAATTTTATTATTTATAATTAATAATTTTACTATTTATAATTAATAATAAAAAATTAACTAATATTTTAATAAAAGAAATAACTTAAATTTAAAATTTAAAATTTAATAATTATAATATATATAATATATTTAGTTTTTTTAACTTTACTTAATATTATTAAATAAATTAAAGCTATATAATAATCTTAAATAGTAAAAATAAATAATAAAAGCTATATTTAATATTAAAAGAAATAGTAACTAAATAATAAAATTATTACTTATTAATTTCTACTTAAAACTTCTATTTAACCCCTCTAATTTAATCTTATTATCTATAATTAATAACCTTACTATTTATAATTAATAATCTTAAAATAATAATCTTATTTTAAGTAATAAAATATAAAAAAACTAATATCTCCTATTATTAGAAAATTAACTTCCCTTTTAATACTTATTCTATTATAATTAATTTTTAATATAGTAAATTTTATTTAAGTAGCTTTTTAAAAATAACTTATTATATCTATATTATAAATTCTAATTTTAATATAATATTAAATTCTCTTAGAATTAAAGATAAATTAAAAAATAGAAATTAAATTTCTCTTAAGCTTCTTTAAAAAGAAAATCTATTTAAGCTATTACTATACTATTATAATACCTAAATAAAAGCTAATAAATTATATTAGCTATTTTTAGATACTATTTACTTCTTAATAATAGACTAGAATTAATAGATAAGAAAATTAAATTCTTATCTATAATCTTATTCTATATATCTAAATAGAAATAGCATACTTTATGATTTAGCTAAAAATATTAATAATTAATCTAAGGGGTTAAATCTTCCCTAGGATATTCCGGGGCCAATACAACCCTGGTTCTAGGAGCTGTTATGTTATGTTGGGTTGGTATAGATACTAGCTATATAGGGTGCTAGCTAGAGGGGGGATTTAAATAACTTAGGTTTTATTAGTATTGGGATCTTGGGGTTTAGGTTGGGTTATAGGAGTTTTTAGTGTAATTATTAAGATTAGATTAATTAAAAAAGTTAAATAGAATTCAGTAAGAAGAAAAAAGTAGCTTAAAACTTAAATTTAAGCTTTAGTAACTATAATATATATATAATGAAAATATAGTAAATTTAAATACTAGGTTTCTTATTAAGGGATATATATAATATATATATAGTAAATTTAAATATAAAGTTTTTAATAAAGAAATTATATTATTTATAATATTTAATTAAAAATTAAAAATTTATATTAGCTATTTTTAAATATTATTTACTTTTTAATAATAAAATTAAATTAATAGCTAAGAAATTAACTTATTTAAAAGGTTTTTTAACTTTATTTAATATTATTAAATATATAAAAGCTATATAGTAATTTTAAATAATAAAAATAAATAATAAGTACTATATTTAATATTAAAAGAAATAGTAATTAAATAATAAAATTATTATTTATTAGTTTTTATTTAAAGCTTTTATTTAATTTTTTTAATTTTAATTTTATTATTTATAATTATATTATTAAAATTACTATTCTAATTACTATTTTAAATTCTATATAATTATAAACTTATTTAGTTTTTTTTAGCTTTATTTAATATTATTAAATAAATTAAAGCTATATAA